CTTTTTTTCAATGAGCCTCCAATAAGATGCAAGCTTACTTGTAATTATTGCCGCATATTCATGCCGTGTCCCCCGGTGAAGGTTCAAAAAGATCGGTGATTCCTTCTCATATTCCCCGCGACGAGAAGCGGTGTGAGACTGTGAGTATTATTATTATTATCTTTCTCCCGAGCCAACGAACCGTGGTACGTACAGACATGCGAATGTGGGCTGTACCAAATTTTGAAAGATAATAAATGCCCGAAAAAAATAGAAACAGAAAATTTTCGAGCAACAACTCAGTCCGGAGCAGGTAAAATCCGATGTGCGTCCCAAGATACAAGTGGGGTTTCTGTAGCACGTGAGCAGGTAGACGCACCAACTGCAATTAGAAGGTAAATAGTTTACCGTCCGGAGTAAAAGATAGTTACCTACAATAAGATTATTAACGAATAATAATAATAAGAGACTTAAGAGGATACAAGCTTAGCCCAAATAGAGACCCTTGCGCTCAGGCTAATCTCGGTTCCGTTCCGAGAAGCACGGAATACTCCGTGTCGCGCGACTGCAACCGGTCGTCAAGCCGCCTCAATTTCCGACAAACCAAGGATCTCCAGAAGTATGCATCGCAGGATACAGGGATGAATAATGTGACCTTCGCCAGAGCAAACACTCTGTAAATGCTTCTGGAATGGCAGTGGTAGGTGAGAAATGTTGGCCACGCCTGTTGTTTTCTTGAGGACCAAGTGGATGCGTATTTTTCTGGTACTTACTGTATCGGAAGAATGCGACACCACTCCCAAGAATTATAGCGTTAATAATAATACTGAGACTGAAATATGCGGTCTCTTGAGCATCCTAATGTACTGAGTATATATTTGATAGTTAGTTATAGAGCTAGCCTTGTAAGCCCCTGTGTATTAACTAGTTCACAGTTGTTCCTTTCGGGTCAGTGATATTTCGGCGGCGCACGATAAATATACCCAAGGTAACCTGTCATACCACTATCCGTGGCAGCTTCTCTAATCCGATGCTATAGAACCTACGAAACCCCTAGGATCTAGATTCTTCGTATGCTATAGAGAATAAGTATGGGATCAGCTTTCCCCCTAGATCTAGAGTTAAGCAAGCAGCTGGGCTGATTGCCAGCTATGAGGTTTAAGCCATATCCTTGCTTCCGTGCATTTGAGGATGCGATAATATATAGTTGTAGAGTTCCCTATCGATTTAATCCAAGCAACTAGCTACTCAATATCTATAAATTCTTGTTTATTTCTGTGCCGCTCTAGCAACGTATAACTATATAATTCGGGGCTAACAGAAACTGTTCCGAATTTGGCTAAGCACCGTGTGGGAAGGGCCATGGTATAGGACGTTCCTTGATAGACAAGTTATCTCTTACTGGCTAGATCTTGTAGTATGTCTAAAATAAAAGGTATTCACGGTGTTCTGCATACTAGATATAAGTATGATAGTAATTCCTTTATTCCTTTAGAGATGCAACGGGATATGGAACTGGTACTCTTTTATTAAGAGGGGTTATTCTGGTCAATCTACAGTTGAATTGAAGCATGTATGTGATTACGTCAAGAAACCATAGCATCTAAATAAACATACAAACGGCCTAGTAGTCATAGAGTATCGTGCTGGATTGTATAACATATTTCGGCTTCTCCTTGGAGGAAGAGAGAGACAGAAACGTTCTACCATATGGATCGCCAGTTTCTGGCAAATGTTGACACTGATAATTGTATAAAACCGAGTAGATATATTTTCTATGTCCTCTAGCATAACAGCGTGACAACCGCAGCTTCTGAAACGCTTGGATCTTCATTTATATCCAGTTAAACAGCAATTGCTGTGAGATTACGGCAATACGAAAAAAGCCCTGCATATTGATACTGAAACTGTTGCGCCCTCAATCCCACCTGTACGCAGCATTACAGATAATGAATGCATGATACGCGCAATAACCAACACTGTCCAACGTGTGAGTCCTGTCTCAGTAGAAAAAAGCATTCGGAACCATGTACCCGGTACCCGGTACCCGCCATTTTTGTCTCGTTAAAACACCACCTCGCCTACATTAGAGCACTCGCCATATACAGCAGTGCTGCGCCGTAGGAATGGATTTCACGTCTCTCTACTGATCGGCCAAGATAGTACAGTAGACTCGAGTAGAGTAGAGCGCAGATCGCAGGGCGGAAGGCGCGATACTAGAGCCGCGGAACTGGATCCAGCTACTCCGTAAACTGTTCCAGCTACCTAGGTATACTACTATCCGGCGGTTCAGGATAGATATGGTTAGAGATTCCTAAAGTGGTTGGACAACAATAATGGAAAGCTTCTCCTGCTTCTTCCTCCTCCCGGTCGCTAGCCGAGAAGGACCCTAGTTTATGTGCTAGTTATCTAGTTATCTAGTAGATAGCTGAATCTACTAGCGGCCATCATAATTATATTACATCGCCCCTCCGTTCGTATAGTCGTAACCGTATGCAAGCGCGTTATACTGTGACAATATAATACGGAACTAACTCCACCTCCTCCCCCATTATTATTGTCGCGATCATCGTCCAGTCAGGACTTCGTTCGCCATCTTGCGGGATTTGTAGCATTGATGTTTTATTATTATTCTTGTACGCGGGTTTCATGCTCATCTCAATATTTCCCCAGCAGAGAAAAAGCTCTCTCTCTCTCTCTCTCTCTCTCTCTCTCTCTCTTCTCAGGAGGCAAGGATTGGTTATTATTATTATTATTATTATTATGCCTCCTGCGCGGACCATCGGAGATCCGAAAACAGAGTAAAACGAGGGGCCTGATCACCTTCGATAGTAATTCCGGTTCAGTGGTCTTGGGTGACGATGAAACAATAATCTACTGTAATAAATAGCCTAGCATCACTAGATAGACAAGATCCTTTTTTTCCCCCTAGACACGGATTTCGATCCGCGATGGCGGGAATGGACCTCCGAGATGTTTTTTTCTCCTCCTTCTCTTCGTGGTTTCCCCATTTTTATTATGTGGCCCCCGTCTGCTTGTCCGGTAAATGTCATCAATAATTTAGAGCCACCTCATCGATACCGCGGCTATGGGAAAAAAAAGAAAAGGGAGAAGCACTGACCACCGGGGGGGGGGGGCGAAAAGTCGCTGCAAATCCTTGCTGGAATAGGTATTCAGTGATTGCCAGTCGGCCGCATGATTGCGGAGTACTGTTACCTGTAGATGTTGGACGACCAGTTCATTAGGATTGCACGGAGTACTGTACGATAGGTCCGGGAAAAAAAGTAAAAAAGTAAAAAAGAAAGAACGAAACCTGATATTCAATCGGGATCTGCAATGAAACGTCTTGTCGGTATTTCGTGTGCCCCTGTCTTGGTCTTGCTTTACCCGGGCTTTCGTCTCTGCCATTGTTGGGTACTCTATTATAATCCCCAAAGCGGTTGTCCTAGACTAGGTATGTAACTATGTGCTTAATTATCAACTAGGACTTTTAAAGTATAGTCTTCTCAGCTAAAGTCTAGTATTTCCTATTGCTAGATATAGTAAGATAATAATAATATAACCCTGCGTAAATATAGTCCAATCAACCTCTAGTTACTATACGCCTGGATATATCATCCAGTCTCCGGCTCCGGCACCGGTTACTTTCCCGAGCTCAGAGCGGCTCTACGTAGAGTCTTACGATATAATGGCCAAAGGCGCTTTATTAAGGTGCAATATAAGTAACTATTGAATTAAAGGCCAATAATCTTCTAACTTTATGCAGTGATTTCCAGTGCGAAAAGCGAAAACTAGAAATAAGAAAAAGCAACCACGCGGGATTGACGCGGACCTTGATATAATTATGTGGAAATATATAAATCTTAGCCAGATTATATCCTTCAAACGCCTATAAAAATTCAGAGAGACCAAGTAACTTCCTTATGAAGTCTTTCTAATAATACTGTTATACGCACGATCTTCGCAGGAACCTAGTCATCTGGACCGAGACTAGGTAGCTACTATCTTCTCCCGCTCTCCCAGTCTTGCACGAATTACCATTATACGGACATTTATATAGTTACCTACAATTGATTCATAGGCAGAATAATTCAATAACGTCGAAACCGGAATAATACTAGCACATCCAGGTATAGTCTTCCTGGATTTGAGTAGCAGCAGAATCCTTACCTATCGAGGAACCCCCTGCAGTATGCTCTTCCACATAGTATTTATTGTGCCTGCTTTACTTTTCCTAGTCTTCGCAGTTATATCTTTATGCTCCGTGGGGTCTTATTACCGTCTGCTCTTGTCTAAATTCTCAGGCAAGGGTCTTATAGTAGTATTCACTCTACTGCGTGCTGCTGCTACGAATCGCAAGTGGGACACAAGAGTCTTTACAGGCCTCGATTTGCCCCAGGGAAAGCGGAGAGTCTATAGTGAAGGACCGGAAACTTATGGGACTCAGGTCTTAATGGCTAAATCACGGAAAGTTCACTGCAATAATAATTCGTGGTAGGTCTAGCGTTATAGAACACCTGCGAGACCTAGCAGCTCCAGCAGCCTATATCTACACCTATTGACATACATGCTAAACGTGAAACGACTACATTAGTTTTGCGATGCACGCGAAACATTAATTTGTTTCCCTTCGAATAACTTTTTGTTCGAATAACATGTTAACCGAGTCTACTGTCTAAGACAAATATCGACTCCGTTACCGACGAGTGCAAAAGCTTCAGAAATAGAATCGCAATCAGATACAGACATAAGGAATATGCCCACCATAAGCTGGGAATTCTAACATTAGCGGAATCACCGTGACATCACCGCCACCCGCGCATGAACGATCTGTGACACATGAAGGCCCTTGTAAAACCTCGCAAAACTGTCGGGAATAAAGACACTCTATCGTGAAATCGACGAACGCCGCCTGTGCCCAATGAAAAGAAAAAAAAAAGAATCAAGCACTACCGATTTAAGCAAAAATGAGTCGAGGGGGTGCGTCACGGAAGACGCCCTACTCGTGAATCGAGGCTATTCTACCAGCGTCGGTTGTTACCCAGGGGAGCCGAGTTAGAAGCAGTGAAGCCACCGCCGCCGCCACGGCCATGGCCGTGGTAACCACCGCCGCGACCACGACCACCCCAGCGGCCACCGCCGCCGCCGCCGCCAAAGCGAGCCATCTCCGCAAGACGGGGGTCAACCTGCTGCTTGGCTTCAGTAAGAATAGTGACCAAGTCACGAGCCTGCTTAGCGTCTGATGAACAGTTAGCAACTGGGCTAATTCAAAGGAAATGAATTCAAAACAGGGACTTACTGTCAGTGGTGAACAGGGTAATGGCGGTACCCTTTCTGCCCGCACGGCCGGTTCGACCAATACGGTGAACATAGTCCTCCGAATTGTTAGGGTAGTCATAGTTAAACACATGAGTGATGTCGCGAACATCTTCAAACACACTTATGTTAGCAAACAGAGCAAATGTGGAAAGCAAGGTGGCCTGGGCCGTTTTTCTCAGTCGTGTGAGACTTGATGCATCGCTCTCTTGGACTCAAAATATCATGATCCTGTTGTGTCGAGCCCATGGACTGGCAACGATCGCGGTCCTGGAGCAACCTTGGAATGCAGCTTGAAGTAATTCAAATACGAGAGTCCACCGCTCTACCCGCGGTCTGTTGAGGTAAAGCCGAGGGATCAAGAAGCACACATGCTGTACTGCACCGTAAGTCCAAGGTTCTCCTGGCATGAGAACCATTTGAATAAGACCCGAGAAGCCTGGACGAGTCATGTACACACACAAGATTTTAGAGAGCAAAGCACCGTGCCATTGTCACACGACGTCAATACGGATACGGACCTAGACAGGGGGAAGGGGGAGGAAGGGGAGGGGAGGTGGCATTTCATCATACCAATACCACGGGAAGCCACATCAGTGGCAACCATGACGGGGCTCTTTCCGGTCTTGAATTCGTTCAAGACCCAGTCACGCTCATTCTGCTGCTTGTCACCGTGGATAGCTGTTGAAAATTGTCAGTCCGTGATCTGGAAGGTTTGCTGGACAGGGAGAAAGATAACATACAGAGTGCTGGCCATCCATCCTGGCGGAGGAAACGAGTGATATCGTCCGCTACGCGCTTAGTACCAGTGAAAATCAGGACCTTGTTGCTGCGGTCATCCATGATCTTCTCCAGGTGCTTAATCATCTTGTCGCGCTTCTCAAATTCTGAGACGACCTCGACGATTTGAGTAATTCTGTGGTTAGCAGACAGGTCCATTGAACCAATGTTGACCTGGATGTAGTCGTTGAGGAAGTCTCGAGCCAGCTGGCGAACTTCCTTAGGCCAAGTAGCAGACCACATGCAAGTCTGTCTGTCCGGACGGATCTGGGAGATGATCTTGCGAATCTGAGGCTCGAAACCCATGTCAAGCATACGATCAGCCTCGTCCAGGACAAGGTAAGTAACACGACGGAGGTTAGTGCGTCCAGCCTCCAGCATATCGATCAGACGACCAGGAGTAGCAATGCAGACCTCGACACCGCGACTGAGGTCACGGATCTGGGGGCCCTTAGGAACACCTCCGTAGACGCAGGTGTTCCGGATACGAGAGGACTTTCCGAACTTGCTGATCTCAGCCTGAATCTGCACGGCAAGCTCACGAGTAGGAGCAAGGATCAGGACAATGGGACCATCGCCAGGAGCAAGCAGGGGCTGGGCGTTGATGTGAACGATAGCAGGCAGACAGTAAGTCAAGGTCTTTCCGGATCCAGTTTCGGCAATACCAACGACATCGCGTCCAGAGAGAGCCATAGGCCAACCCTGAGACTGAATGGCGGTGGGACGGTCGAAACCCTGAGCCTTGACTTCCGACAGGACATACTGCGGGAAACCAGCCTCGTCGAAGGTGGTGACAGGACGGGGAACGTTCTTTCCCTGGACGGTCATTTCCTTCTCCTTGCGAAACTGCTCAATCTCACGCTCCGAGCGAGCAGTGACGTCGGGGTGCTCCTTGTAGAAAGACTTCTCGAACTTGGGAAGCGCGGCGATATCTAAGCGCTGATGTTAGCATCCGTGTCCTCTTCGCAATGACTATTGACATTAGATAACTACTTACCCCAATCCTGCGCCTTCAGGCCAGAGCCAAGGTTGGACATTCTGTCGCCTCCATGGCCTCCGCCATAACCACCGCCATATCCACCACCGTAGCCACTACCGCCTTGGTAGCCGCCGCCGTTTGAGTAACCACCACCACCGTGGTGACCGTTGCTCCTGGATGCAAGAAGACGCGTCAGTAATTATTCAAAACTCCAATCTGAGCTCTTTCGCAGCGGCTGATGGCATTATCGACAAGATGAAAGCTCATCTTAGGACTTGCGGAATGCGACACCGCACATGAGCGGGGAACGCCTTCGACAAGATCGATAACAAACACGCAGCGCAACAACGGGGGATAGAGCGTAGAGATTCGTTGAGCAAGGGAATATAGCACATACCTGTGACCTCCGTAGGAGTCGCCGCCGCGAGAGCCGTAACCGCCTCCGTAAGACATGATTCAAGATCGAGTCGTTACCTGAAATCTGATCTGATCGAAAATATGATCAACGGTCCAAGGAGCGACAGAGACCGTGAAAATGTCAAGACCTGGTCAAAGAAGAGAGAAAGACTGGTCGCAAAGCACACAGCTTGCGTCCACCAGGCACGAAGAGGTTAATAAAGAGATGAAGAGAGGAGGGGAAACAAAGGATGAGGGATGAGAAGAAGGAAGAGATGATGAGACAAGTTTTTGAAAAAAAAGAGGCGAGGGAAGGCGCTTGGAGGCGAGCCAGAAAAGTTGTTCTGATTGGGTTTAGCGTAGAAAAACTCGGCGGTGTCGGCCGGTCCTTTTTTCCCCTTCACTGCTCGAGCCACAGCTTAGGTAGTAGTGCTGGATAAACATGGAGTAAAACTTTTCATATTCTGCTTTCTATTGGGCTTGCCACTCTTGGCTGACTTTATCCTCTAATCATCGCTTCTAGCCCTTCTGGAAGCTTTCGGTCCAGGGTCGTGGCGTCTGGATCTGCTCTATATCATTATTATTTGCCACCAAGTCCCATGTCCCAGAACCCGATCTCCAATTCAGTCGCGCGGATGAAAATCTTGATTAGATCCTCCAGTCGACTGGGCGAGACCTCCCTCATATGTTTCTCCAAAAGCGCTATGATAAATGTCAGCTTTTGTAGCCAGTTTTGCGGATGCAGTTCAGAAAACGTACCAGAACCGATCTCGACCGCTTCAGAGTAGTCCTCCGCGACATAATTCTCAATCCATTTCCAGTACGGGTTTCCCTCCTTCTTACTACTGTGTTCCTTATAGAGGCGCTTTGCTATCTCGCCGTATCCAATTAGGCACGGTGCGAGGGCCACTTGAAGCGCAAGCCAGTCATCTGATTGGCCCACGTCAAGGATGTATCTGCTATAAGCAGTGCATGCTGTCGTCGTAGAAGAACTCCAATTAGCATTGATCCAACATATGGACCTTTGTCGGGTAGTAGATTCATCGGACGTACCTTGTGTCTCTGGGGTGCTTTCTATCTGTTCCTTGGTAATCCCAAAGGATTCGCAGTAGCTCAGATGTAGAGCCATCTCTTCCTCGATGTGAAGCACGATCCTAGAGGACTGGAGGCCATGTTAGGAACGTGTCAGCACCGTATTCATCTGGGAGTTTCAAAGTCACATCCTTACCGCTGCGACAGCCTCCATGGTTCTTGCCTTGTATGCAGCTAATGCGTTGCTACGAGCAAAGTGGACCTATAAGCCATTAGTCTCTGCATCGAATTGGATGTTGGATAATCAATCCTTCGTACAAGGTAGAGATAGTCCTGAATTAGATATTCCTTGAATCTCTCGAGCGGAAGGGTGCCAGTGCCTAGGCCAGTAACAAACTCGTGCTGAGTGAAATCCTTCCATACTGCCTTCACGTCTGGTCGCTCTAGGGCATACTCCAAGAATCGACCGCTGCAGTCCTAATCAGTAACCCTATGATATAACTGGAAGAGACAAAGGGGGAAACGTACGGCGCAAATGGCAGCGAGTAGACAGAATGGAAATGATTAATTGGCCCACTGCCTTTGCCAATATCCACACTGGTCTTGATTCCCGCTTCGACAAACCTCACAGCACCACGAACCGCTCGTTCCAGATCCTGTCCAGATGCTAGGTTTGCGGCAATGGCAGATGCGAGGGAGCAACCTGTTCCGTGGGTATTCTTCGAGATGAGGAAATCAGTCTCGAAAAGTGCCACCTTTTCCCCGTCATACAGCACATCTATCACGATCGAGGCTTCCTCTGACTTTTGAGCCGTCTTGCGTTCTTTCGTCAGGGGTAGATGGCCACCCTTGATCAGGACACATTTTGGCCCCAATTTCCGAATCTGCTTAGCCAGTTTAATCATTCCCTCTACATTCTGAGGATCTTCGTAATCAACGCCAGCATCTTTCAATAGAAGCAAAGCTTCTGGGATGTTAGGCGTGACAACAGTTGTCAGAGGAAGCAACTTTGTTCGCACCCCCTCTACTGCATCTTGCGGCAACAACTGCGAACCACTGGTAGATACCATAACCTAGGACAAGAGTTAGACAAAACAGGAAATTGTCAACCACTGGAGAAGATAGGAGAAATACAGGATCCAAAACCACCGTAGGAATGGCATGCGTCACAAGCGCCTCTGCAATGACCTCAACTGTTTCCGCCGAAGAAAGCATGCCTGAAACGCACTAGGTTAGATAACCATACCATCTTCTGTTGAACGAAAATCTACAATTCAAAAAGGATATTGAAGAAATCAATATAAACAATAAAGCATTCCTTACCCAGTTTGACCACATCGGCTCCGATATCCTCTAGGGCCGCTTTGATCTGTTTTCTGACAAACTGCGCCGGGACGACGAAAATATCCTGCACACCCAGGGTATTCTGTGCCGTCAGGCCTGTCGTGGCAGTCAGTGCATAGCATCCATGTGCTGCAAGCACTCGCTGATCAGCCTCGAGGCCTCTGTGTCCGGAGAGAATTGATCGTCAGCGTTTCGCGCTCTTTGGTTCCAGCGAATTTTCGCTCAACGCGGGGGGCATGGAGGGGCTTGCAGAAGGGGAAGAACACACGCGCCACCAGAGCTATCTGATCCTGCTATTACCAGGACTCGCTTTACAGACATCTTGGGTATGTCTTGATGGAACTGAACTTGACATATGCTAGCTTTAGTTGGAAGTTCCTACTTAGTACTGTACGGGCCGCAAGCACTGCTCGATCGCGCGGCCATTCGATGAGCGGGTCCAAATTATCATATCCTGCCGGTGAAGTGGGACGGCATTATTATTTGCGGCCAGTTACGATTTCAGTAGAAAACATCATAGATCCAATAGTTCAATAAATATTATCCGCGCCGTGTCCATCGATAACAACGCTATGTACATACATTATATGCCAGTTAGACTTCCGATTCCAACGCCGATGAATACATGCGCTTTCATAACGACGTCAACCCAATTAGCGCCGCCCGCAGACTAAGCCGACATGAAACTAAACAGACTATCCATCTCGACCCATTGTCGTCCACACTTCTTCAGGTAGCCATTGACGACCTCTTTAACAGTCTCGAAGCGAACCCTGTTCCATTCAGCCAAAGCCATGACGCTATCTTTCTTTTCACCCCCTTGCTCTTTTCCAGCAGCAACCTTAGCCTTGTCAACATCCCACAGACCAGCGAAATAGAGAAGCTGGTTGTACATTTGCTTCTCGGAGTATTCATACGTCATACGGCCAAGGCACCCTTCAGCGCGTCCACGAGGACCTAAGCAGCGGTGACCGTAGACACTGATCTGCCGTGTTCGGTTGCCACAAGAGGGGTCATCACACACAAGCCATCCTTCGTAGTATTTGGCTGTTTGAGCTCGAATCTGACTCTCAACCTGAGCAACTACGGATAGCGTCGAAAAGGGCTTGGCGCAACTTGGGTTAGGACAGACGAGTCCGTTGGGCGTGCACATGTGGGAGGATGTGGCGAGCCCTTCGAACATTGAGCGCTCCTGACAGAATCGGCAGCGGAGCGTCAATCGAGCCACATTCTGGAACCGTACAGCATCCGGAATCTGCGATTCCAATGGGAAGATCTCATTATTCTGCTGTTGATTCGAAATAGATGAATTGATCTGGTATTTGCGCACGTCGAGACCGAGACACTCAGCGAGACGGACGGCGTCTGTTCCAGGAATAGGGGCACAAAGACGCTCGATAGGTGGGAAGATCTGCTTGAGAAGATAATACTCGACGTCGGGTTTCAGACCCGAGTCGGGCTTAATAACATCTTGAAGGGTATATGAGCGTTTCGCAGGGGGGAGAGCCGCTGTTTCAGAATCGCCATTGGTGACAATATATGAGATAACGTCGTTCGGGCGCACAGTCTTTCCACGAGCGATTTCGCGGAGAGCGACCTGCGCCGGAGGCATCGTTTCTTTGTTGGGATATTCATCGGGCCGCTTAGACAGTTTCTGTGTCTCTGATTAGCCTTGCCTGGGAGAGCTACTGAAACAGATACATACCGTGTAGATGACATATTTCTGGACAGGGATTGTGTACTCCCTCATCTTGGCAGCGATGTCTTGCAGGTAGTCATGCACTTTATTGAGGACAATCTCTTGGTCTTCTCCAGAGAGGACCTCATTCAAGAGTCTCGACGAAACCTCCTTGGACAGCGCACAGTACTCACGTCTCTTCATATCCAATCCCTTCACCTCGAGCTTGTCGACATACTTGCCGTCAACCTCTGTCATGTTGATCGCTGCATACTTTTTCTTTGCATGCAACAGGAGACGACGGAAGATGTTGTCGATATCGATCTCCAGGAGCCTGTATCGCTCGTTGACCGACTTCTTGAAGTCTTCACCGACCTTGAGCGCATCGCTGACGTTGTCCATGTTGGTGTTAATCATGACGGAATCAGTATCACCATAGATGACCCTCAGCTGCTTGCTCTCGGCGAGATCCTTCGTACTCCTAAGAATCTCACGTCCCTTAAAGGTGGTGAGCATAGCTAGAGGACGCGCGTAGAAACGTGACTGAGTATATCCCAAACATCCGTACATGGAGTTAGCAGTCAGCTTCAAAGCCAGCTGTTTCGTGTCCCACAGTGCAAGTTCTTCTGCAGTAGCGCGCTTGTCCTTCATCAACTTCTTCACCTCTCGTCGACGATTGACTAGGGTTGCAATCAGACGAGGCAAGATACCCTGTGGTTGATCCGATGACGGCACTTCAGGCACCTTCTCCTCATTCTCGTTCTGGGCCTGGAACCACCAGTTAGCGCAATTGATGAGGGGACGAGGGGATATGGCATAGATATACAGTTTCTGTTCGATCCACAGTTGTGAAGCAAATGTTGAACTCTTGAATAATACTGGGATACAAACTATTGAAGTCCATGACCAAGATAAACTTGTCGTAGAGACCCTTTTCTGGTTCGAACACGAGACCACCCTTGTACTTATCCTTTTTCTTCTTGTCGACGGTGTCATCTTCACCGTCCAAGAGCTTCTCCTCATTTTTCTGCTGCTGCCTGTTCGAGTACTTGTCAGGGCAGATATATTTGTTGCGGTGAAACTCGTGGAGCAGAATGTACTCGTTTCTTTCTGCCCTAGTACCGCTAAGGGTCCTGGCCCAGGAATTACCCGCCAGATTGGTAAGGACTTTGGTCAGCGAAAGCATTTGCAGGCGTAGAACCAGAGCAGAGATGAAATAAGTATCCGCTTCGCAGTGGCTGAGAAAGTTCATGAGACCTTCCTTTGTGGTTGCCCAAGTCTTCAGCGCTGCATCGCTATCCAAGTCCCGACGGACATCGCCTTCTCCCAGATAGAGTTGGCACATTTCAGTCAAACTCCAGGATTGACACTTCATCATCAGGGACTATCGATTGTCAGAACTTGAAACAGAGCTCAATTTTTCGGGCAGCTTACCTTTCCCATGTCGTTTGCAAGGTCACACATCAGTCGACCAGCAATCAAGTGTCTTTCTGCAAAGAAGCCTCCGCCTCTATTGAAGTTCTTCGGCCAGTCACCGCGCTTCAAGCGACCAATACGGTGCCAACCAGGAGTCTTCTTTTCCCGAAGTCGATTCAGTAAAATGCTGAGATCGACCTCCTGAAGTTGGTGACCCATCAGAACATCAGGATCCATTCTCTCGAATAAAGCGAGGAATTTGCTCAGAAGGAATTGTTCGCTCTTCTCTAGCATATAAGTTCCTCGCTGTTTGCGCGTTTCCGCCTCGAAGCCAAGTGGATACGCGGACCCAGCAGGACGCATCACGGTGAATGTTTTGCAAGGGAGTTTCTCTGGGGGTGTTGTGTCGCTGAGCGATACATTTTCATACACTCTGGCACTTGCCACGATGATCTCCTGCTTGTTCTCCTTGACATTAAGCTGGGTCCTGAAGGCAAGACTCATAAGCGTCAGGCCGGGTGTCTCCATGCTCTCGGAGTCGGGAAGAGGATTGATAAGTGCTGGCTTAGAAACTAGACATTCAAATTTGCACCAGGAAGCGTTGTTGACAGCCGAGAAGTCTGCCCCTTCGAGTTTAAGCCAGCAAGGGCCCATAATGTTTTTCCAGAGCACAAACTGTTCGAAAAGGGCAGTATTTGTACCGAAGACATGGGAAAATGTTTCACCCTTGAAGTCCATGGGCAAAGCAGGCTTGTCATACGGGTATAACAACTTCAGATAGTCTGCTTCCTTCGGAATGCCAGGAAGTTCGAATGCGTATTTTCGCGTGCACGGCTTGATCTTATGCATGCCGACTTTCAGCCTGGACATCGTCTGATCGACTTCCTGATAGACGTCCTCCATATCGACTTCTTCATCCGTGTCCTTGCCGTTTTTTTGTCTGTATTCACGCGGCAGGAAGAAAAGCTTGCGCAGGATGTTGTCTACCTTCACGAAGGAACTGACATATTGGCCCGTACGCTTATTCTTGACCTTTCCGAAGAGACACAGGCTACCATTGACCTCCGTATAATCTAGCCAGAACATTCGCACACTTCCATCCTCTTCGACAACATCCTCAGATCGGACTTTCCCGAAAGTACGGGCTTCCGTTGCGGGGCTACTGAGCACATTAAGTTTGCTCGTGACATTGTTCCATGATGCATCAACAACGTCGGATGTTACTCTAGGGGGAGAAGAGCTGGTAGGCGACGGGTAGGCTTCTTTCTTGATCTTCGGAGGGGGTCGACTTCCGGTCATATTCACGTTGGTGACCTTAGCGTCACTGTTGGCGGTAGCTTGGGCGATGTCCATCAAATCGTCATCCTCTTCCTCCTCTTCAACCTTCACGGGAACCGTGATCTTCCTTTCGACTGCCTTGACCACGGGAGAGGAAGGCATTGCGTCGCTCATTGGGACGTCGCTAACGGGGATGTTCTCGTCGTCTTCTCCGCCGGCCGGAAGAGGTCCATCGTCATCGTCAAAATCCAAGCTGGGCTGTTCTTTGACCGCTGGATAAGGAGTACCGTTTCCATTTCTTTTGGTTGGCTTGTTCGAATGTGGCGTCGCTGATAAGGGCGGAGAAAGGATTCTCACTTTCCGTCGCGCCTCAGACTTGAGCACACTTTTACTCGGCACATGCTTGGGGACGACGTTGGTGTCGACTTCGCCAAGGAGATCAGCCATGAAAGCTTCATCTTCAGCTGTGACAACAGGCTGTGTAGAGTAGCTAGTTAGTTGATGGGTTCAGGTATTCGGGCCCGAACGCGCAGAAACTCACTTTCGGCTTGGGAGCAGACGCTGCAGCGCCGCTATTGAAATATTTGGATATGCCATTATTCTGTCTCTCCTTCCTCTGCTTCTCCTCTTCTCGTTTCCTTTTGGCGGCCTTGCTTGTCGGCGGTAGGTCGTCTTCGCTGCCGCTGTCTACCATGCGATCATCGTTCCATTCTTCGCGGCCATCATCCGCGTATCCAGCACCATTGTCGTCGACGACAAAATCATCCTGGTCTAGGCGCTGCCTGACAACCTTCTTGTAACCCTCATCGTCGACTTCTTCGTAGATATCTCCTTGATCTTCGACTTCATATGTCGACAAACGTTTCTTTCCCGCAGCACGAAGAGCTCTTAGCTCTGCCAATTTCGCACGTGCAGAAGCCATTGCGAGAACAGATGAAGTGGGAATTCACTCCATGTATTCGAAATAGGTATATCAAAAAGTGGTTTGAATGACCTCAATTTGATGAGGTCTGGCCTGTGGACTTGAGATGGAAGGGAGAACTTGACGGGGGCGCTTGTCCTGGGATACGCGAAGGAATGTGGACGCGCTGCGGGCCGTAATCCGTATCGAGACGCGACCACAACGCGTTTCTCCGCCGAGCTTCTTAAGTGGTTTTTTACCCGCAATACGCGATATTACCCGTTTAGTCCAATCTACTCGACACCGAGTTTGTATTCTGACAGATTACACGACTCAAGATAACACAGAATTTCTAGGTATGCTGATGGACACAGACTAGACTAAGATTGTACCTAGCTGTCTAGGTGGTAGGTGAAACCCCAAGTTCTGTAGACAAAAGCATTAATCTTCTTCCGACTCGGAGTCCGTGTACTCCTCTAGAAACCGTATTAGCTCCACATCAGATTTGCACTGGATAGGAATTCTTACCTTGGGCAAGGCCAAAATCAAAAGTCCCACCCAAATTCTGTGCTAATGTCTCGCCTATTACTGTTTGTGCTTCCTCTGTGATATTGGCATCTGACAGTGCGTTTAGTATCGACAAGTGCAGACCTCTATTGCCGGGTCCCAACTGCGATATAAAGTCCAGGATGCCTTCAGCCGTAAAGTCACTTAGAGCATGAATAATTAAGACGCGTAGCTTAGGCAGGGCTAAGAATGCATTCCACACTTCGTCATCGAAGTCGTGTCCACTTATCCAGAGACGTTCCAGTTGGGGAAGGTATGGTGTGAGCGTTATTACGTGATCTGGGGTGAAATTCTCCGAGATATCTTTTAATTCGAGCTCGCGGAGGTTGCTGAGTTGTCCCAGAGCTTGGACAAGGATCGCCTGATCATCAGGAAACTCGGAAGAATCACCTTGAAGGTACAGGCTCTGCAAGGAAGTCTGAGAAGCCAAAGCCTCGTGGAACGCACGGCTTGTTTGCATCGTGTATCCTTCCACTGAGAGTTTTGTCAACCGCAACCTATCATCGCTGAGCGCCTGCGATAAGAGGGCCGGGTCATCAAGAAATCTTCGAAGTGCTAGCAGCCTTAGATTTTTGCAGGAGCACATCCATTCCGCGACATCTCTCACAATTGAATAAAACTTTTCGTCCCTTAATGCCGGGGCAGAGTCTGTTAGAGCTAAAACTCTCAGCGCCGGAGGCGATGTGAGGGAAGGAAGTTCCGCAATCGCGTCAATTTGTAGGCTTGTCAACTTGAGCTCCGTGAGTGAATCCAAATGGCTACCGAATGCCTTGATCGAGCGCGGGCCCAGTTGAGACAGACTGATTACTTCGAAATATTCTAGGCTATGTGGTCGGAGCCCATTCAGAAAGCGTTCGCATGTCAACTCTGCCTTATCCGTCGGAGAATCCATCCTGTGGCAAACCGTGAGAAATGAGAACGCGCATAGTGAATATCTGACATACCATCTGAACAAGGTTAATTTCCTGAACTCTGGACAATGAGCCTTGATCTCGACTTCAGCCTGCTGACTTAAAGCGTTCCCTGACCATAGTGACAGCGCTTGCAATTGGGCCAATCCCCGAACCCATTCAGAAAGCGACGAAGGTGAAACTGTAGCTACATTCAGCAAGTGACTCGACTTGCTATAAGTTCCCAAACTGGAGCTCACCGTTTCCTGACAATTCCCTGACTGCTGTTGCTTTTTTGACAATAGCTGAGAATGAGTTAGCTTAGACATACCGACCAATTGAGCTAGGACCGCCCTCAAAGTAGAAAGCACTAACCTGCACCCAGTCTTTCCCCAATAGCTGCTGTGTCGATAGATGACTTGGAAGAACGCAGACGCTTATTTCCCTTTAACTCGTACTCTGCCTGGTCTCGGAAGGCGTAGTCTCCGAGCTCCCCAGAGAAAAACTCACTACACATGATTAGCGATCCAACAGGGACACGAGGAGCTATTGAAATGTCGTACTCTCTGATCTTCCCAGTGAATCTGGAATCGCTGATTAAGTTCGTTAGGTCCGTGAGATCCAGCTCACGGATGTAACTGTAGTAGGGCAAGTATGTTTTGTCGAAAGTCGACAAGATAATCGAGCGCCACATAAGGGCCCATTTTCTGACAACAGCATCCTGTTCGCTTCTGGCGCTTGCTAAAGAGACTGCCGTCCTTCTCGATTTAAATTGTTCGTCTTCTGGTCCGCCGCCTGTGACCGGCGAGGTGTCATACAATCTGGGAGACCGTTCAGCAATGCGAAGAATTCCTTTTGCAACACACAGGTACATATGCTTACTGATATAGAACAGTAATCGCTGGCTCTGTCAAGATGTGAGATGATACGGCGCATTGGAATATGGTATTATAGTCTCTCTCGGCCTTTAAGAAGCCCAAGATGATATACCAAACATCACTGGGTAACACCACCGCCATTCTCGCCACGTTCTCAAGAAATGAAACACAAATTTGCAGGCAGCAGTCCCGATAATCAGCAGATTATCCAAAACATGATTCCACAAGGAGGTTGCTGCTCGCTCCTGGGATGAGGTCTGGACGCGCCCGACGCGTGCAGCGGAGATTAGATAAGCAAGCCACGAGTTGGCATCTGGAACCTCCGCTGTGCTTGAAAGGTCGAGAAGTACTCCAGGTTAGTCTGTGCTTATTCGATGATACTTTAGCCTGTTTCCGTGGGCATTTTGGAACAGCAGCGTGGGTAAATGTAGCACGGAGATTCCAGAATATCTATCTCATATTAATGACAAGGAATCGCCTTCAACATGGCCACTTTATCCTTCTCACTGGCCCCAAGTGCTCTGGTCAGGCTCCACGATGCGCTTACTTGCCTTGCCAAGTTCAGTGAGACGGTCTCCATTGAAGCTGAATATGACTTGGTGAGCTTGATGAGGCAGACTATCTTCATGCCCCGGAACTAACATAAACCACGAAAGCTTCGATTAAGTGCTCTTAACTTGTCAAAAACAGCATATGCTTCCTTCGTCTTGGACGCGGACAAGTTCTTCGAGAAGTTCTCATTCAGTATAAGGACAAATGATCCGGCAGCAAGGAAAACCCGATCAGGCCGGTTCTCTTGCCAGATATATTTGAAAGTATGGATGACTACTAACCTCTGAATCGCCCATTTACAATAGATTTCTAACATTTGCCAAATTAGGCGTTACTCTCCGTTTTTAAGGGCCGAACAAATGACGTTCGAGGCAAGGACACGGCAATTGAGCGCTGTGATGTCGAGCTTCAGGATAATGAGGATGAAGCTGAGTGCAGGCTCGTCATCAAGATGATATGTGGACACGGTAAGAGAAGAAAATTTCCACAAAGCTGCCCTTTCCTCACCAGACTAAAATGGCAGTACTAACACTGCATAGGCGTTGTCAAATCATACAAACTTACGTATGAGAGTGCTGCTGTTCAGCATGCCGTGTTTGACAGGTCAAAAACCAGAAATCGATGGGCGATTGAATCAAGATTCCTACGGGAAATTATCGATCACTTTAGCCCATCTGCAGAGCAATTGGATATCTACTGTGAGAATGGAAAGGCCATTTTTACGAGTTTCACAACGAAGATCACAGATGGAAAAGGTCACATCTATGGCCATCTATCTATACCTGAGACCTCGCTGACACCACTGCAGAAATCCTCAAGCAACCAGTGCACACATCGGTTGCTATTGACACCAAAGATTTTGAAGAATTTATGGTCGAAGAGAATCTTCATGTTGCCATCATTGTCAAGGATTTCAAGGCTGTTGTCACTCATGCTGATACGGCAAAAGCAACGATAACTGCTCGATACATTCGCCCTTGCCGTCCTTTGCATTTAGCCTATGAGTTCGAAGGCATAGCTTGCGAGTTTACGCTGATGACCAGAGGAGAGGTGGATGACGAGGAACCAGACTCTTCACGACCCCCAGCATCAGCACTATCTGCCAGAAATACACCTCGACCGGTGCAAGCCAATACTTCCCGAAGTGCTCCTGCGAGGGAATCGATGCCCCCTCCGGCGAGTCGGCCAACACAACGTCCCACACAGGCTTCTACGCCTGCATCCAGGAGTATCTCAATACCGCGACACGCGCCATTGATCGACCATGATAGCTTGTTTGTTCCAATGGATGATGACAAACAATGGGACGAACCCAATTATGACGATGATGCAGAGGATAGGCTCGGATGGGACGCAACAGCTGATCAAGTACGTGCCTCGACATTATTCCCCTGGTATCTTGACTGACATATACCGCAGGAGACATTCAACTCAACTTTCGATCAGCGAATCCAAGAAACTTTGCCGGCGCAGAGACCAGATGAGAACCAGCAGATAGCAGCAGCTGATGAAATGGGGATCCCGCCCACGCAACGGATATCACAGGTAGGTTATCCGCCGGGACCTGCAGTATCTAACAGCAGTGTTGACACGGACAACAGATCCGCGGTCTTTTCGATTGAAAGAGCACCGAGCCTAGTACATCATGTCTGGTATATTCTCGAGACAACCCGTTCGGCTGGTGTTGACATCCCAGACGCACGTACAGCCATAAAAGGCCTCACTCATTGCGATATAAGTCATCTCGGCTGCTCTCAGGACACGATTATCCAGCTTGTAGCGCAACCAGCGCCGAGACCAACGACCTTAGCTCCACCTTTGGCAGGAACCGGAATCTCATTCCATCGACCATTCACATTTCCCTGTGCATCCGTGTCTGGACCACAGTTCCCATGCTCTCCCCAGCCAAAAGCCACGACTTTCTGGTCATCAAGCAGCGCAAGCGCGTGCTCGCTCCCAACGGCAATCTTACTCGACCTAGGAAGACCCGGCGGCGGAAGCTGACCCTTGTCATTGCGGCCCCAAGCCTTGACAGACCCATTACCCCCATGTATATAGATACCGTTCCAACTGGCAGCCACAAGTGAAAACCCAGCTACGTCTGCCGGCTGGGGAGCATCAGATAAGATCCGCCAACGATCCAGCCCAGCAGGACCGAGAATAACGAACTCTCCAGACTCTTTATTCCCCGTAATGACAGTAAATTCCCTCCCGCACGCCACATCAGTAGCATGGAAATGGATCCCCTCGATCTTCACCGGCGACCAGACAATCTTCTGGTCCTTGACGGATTCTCCTAACTGCCCTTTCCTCGCCGCTCCCCATCCATATACATCTCCATTCGACAACACCACCACCGCATGTCCAACACTGCTCGAGATGGAAACAATCCTCGTTCCTCGAGGTGGGAAATCAGGGATGCGGACCGGTTTCACTACCCGCGTTGTCTGAGGTCCAAGACCTAATTCTCCTTTGGCACCAGAACCCATGACGAAGACCTTTTCTTCTTCTTGTTCTTCCAACGAGACAAGGATCGTCATCTCCCACATCGCAGCAACATGCTTGAACATATCAATCCTCTTCTTTCCACCGGCATCTTCATCCACAACCACCCTCACAAACTTCAACAACGAACCCCCATCCCCACCACCCGTCTTATACCCACCACACCTCCCATCCTCATCGCATCCAGCCGCATAAACAGCTCCAGACCGGAACAGAACAAGAGTATGATTCCCACCAGCAGCTATGCGAAGGACTTCATCATCATCATCACCATCACCATCATGACTATCATCATCATCATCAAAAAGACATTGCGTAGGCACCGAAACGTCCTCGACGTGCCCGATCCCCAATTGGCCGGAGCCATTAGATCCGAACGCATAGAGGCGCATTTGTTCGTCACTGTTTTATTTCTTTTCTTCTTCGCTGTAGTTAGGGGGTTTGTTTTGTGTACACCCCCAAGCTCACCCAAATATCAAACAAGAAAAAAAAAAAAAAAAAAAAAAAAAAAAAAAACCCACTATCAAATACAAAACCTATAGAAATAGCGGGATCCGACCTATATCTCTTTATCTTTACCCCCGTCCTGCCTTCTCTTTCTTTCTATGCGAATAAATAAAACACTCTTTTTCTTCCCGCGCAAAACACATCCAAAACCAGCATCCAAGTCCGCAGCGGGGGAAAGTAAACGTAGAGAAAGTAGTAGAGGACAATGATCTAAATGAACCCGGAAAAGGAATTGGAAAACAAGAACATGTACGTTCTTCTTTTTAAGTCGAGTGGTGACGTGGGATGTTTTCTGCGGGGAAAGGCGGAAAAGAACAAACCCTTGGGAACTCGAGAGGCACCGAAATTCCTCCGTTTCTGGTAAAGTGTCGTTCGACGGGTTTGGGGGAGCTGCCGCAGATGAAGATTTCGAAAAAGATAAAAAGGTCTACCAAATTGAATTCTACGAGAGTTGTATTATTGTGTTGATTACGGAGGATTTACTGTTACGCTGAAAGTTGCGAGAGAAATTTATCGATTATCTCAACGTCTCTATTCTATTTAAGAGAGAACAGGGTATCCTGACCATGTACACTTCGCTTCATCAACGGACATCCACTCCGTAAGAACCAAAAAATGAAACAGGAGAAGAGAAGGAAAAGTCAAATGCAATCAATTAAGTACGGGTGTAGAAATGAAAGGATTTTTTGGGGGGTTGAACAGCCAAATCATTATTTGCTGTTCTCTGACGCGGAGGAATCAGCCTCTGCGGCAGGAGGCAGAACGAGACTGGCAGCCTTGCCATGGATAGGCTTGTCCGTACCACGGAACATGGGGCTGGTACGCTCGAAGTAAGAGTGGACGTGACCTTCAAGGAGGCTCTCATCGGTATCGGTGGGCAGGTCCAGGTCGTGAACCTTCTCGGAATGCTTGGCGGCCATGGCAGCCTCCCACTCAGCGCGGAACTCCTCAACCTTCTGCTTGTAGTCGAGCTCGGCATTGTAGTTCTTGCCAACACCGCGCAGGCGCTCCCACAGCGACAGGTGCTTGGGGTGCACAGCAGGACCGTGGTATTCGCTCTCACGACCAGCGCGGATGTACTGCCAGCGGCGCTCCTGCTCCTTGAGATCGAGACCGGTGGTGTCGGGGAGGAAAAGGAAGGTGAGGACCACACCACCCAGACCGAACCAGGGCACAATGTGGAACTTCTCCTGGGTGGTGATGTAGTTGTACAACACAGCCGCGAGAAGCGCACCGAGCTTACCACAGGCGGCCGACAGACCGTGAGCAGTGGCACGGATGGGAGTGGGGAAGACCTCAGCGGCAACCAGGAAGGTCACGGAGTTCGGACCGAACTGGTTGAAGAAGGAACTCAGGAAGTACATGGCCTGGAAAGCCTTGATGTGAGCCGCAGAGGTGTAGTACTTGTAGTGGAATCCGGGGACGATGAAGAGAATGAAGTCCATCAGGAAACCGATGATCTGCATCCACTTGCGACCATAGAGCTTGTTGTCGATCAGGAAAGAGGCCAGGTAGTATCCAACCAGGGAGACACCGACGTTGACCAAGTTCCACAGCCAGTTGGGCATGATCGACTTCGTCTCGGGGCTGATGACAGAGATGAACTCGCTCTGGAACAGCTTGTTACCGTAGAAGAAGACATCGTTGCAGAACCAGCCGCCAGCGGTCGCGAGGAGACGGAAGCCGAAGTACTTGAAGGTCAGTCGCAGAGACTCGGTGTCGTAGCCAGTAACAGAGGACTTCTTCTTGGAGGCAGCCAACTGCTTGCTGGCAGCCTTCATGTGGTAGGCACGGTAGTAGATAAGCCAGAAGGTACCAGCAGCAGGAATGGCAAAGGAGATACGGTACGTCCACTGCGCCGCAACCTCGGAGTAAGGAGGGTTGCCGCTACCGTGGTGGAAGATGAGCAGTAGGAGGATCAAGATGACCTGGTTGAAGAACTGACCCCAACCCTGCATCAAGAAGGCACTGGTCACCTTACGACCACGGTGCAGACGGTCCTCCTTAGTCGAAACTCTGCCAGAGCCGACAGCGTTCTCCATACCACTGGTGGCAGTCATGGGATATTCACCGCCTATCGATCCATTAGCACACCTTCGTTTCCCCATTGCCGACTATCAAATTGTGGGGATACGCACCGACTCCGATACCGTAGAAGAAGAGAGACCAGACATAGCAAATGACCCAGCCGTTCTGGGTGACACCCCAGGCGGCGGTAAGCATAACCAGACCGATGAACATGATCGTGGCATCCTGAATCAGACCCCATCGTCGGCCAATCCTACGTCGCTGTTAAAATCCGTCTTCTGCGATTCCCAAACAATAGCCAGGCTTGCTTACCAGTCACCGAGAATTCCGACCAGAATCTGACCGACAATGATACCACAGATCTCCAGATAATCGATGGCGGCAATCCAGGTGGGGTTACAGATATCATTCTTCTTCCAGCAGGCGGGGAAGGCAGCCTGGAACATAGGCTTGACGTTTCCGATCGAGAACAGTACGTATCTAGCGGTGCCTGTCAGCCACCTGCAGAACCTCCACCCATAATGATAAGCTCTCTCTCTCTCTCTCTTACCCTTCGAGACCCAGACCGGCACCGGGGAGAACCATGTTCCTGAAGTAGTAGGAAATCGGCGACAGAGGATCCTGCTTGAACATGCTCCAGATGCCACCTAATTCGCGCTTGGCTTCCGACGCATCGTAGCTTCCGACGAACTTGATCTTCTGCAACAGGGGCAGATCGGCCCAGTAGGTACCCTCGGGCGTGTAACTGTCGTCGGGACGGATCAGTTTGTCGAAAGCGCCCTTCTCGTGCAAGTCCATCTCTTCGAGAGGCTCATGAGTACCGGTCATGTCGGGCCCATGCGGGGCTCGTGGTCCAAAGTCGGCCATGGCGATAACTCTCCGGACTGGTGATCGCAAGAGAAGGATTGGCAGGAGTTGCAAGAGGCGTGCTCTAAACTGCCTCTATCCGGAGTGGCAGATGAAGAGAAGTCGCCAAGGAGGTGAGATGACCACAGGATTGTCCACGCTCAACGCCAGCCAAGGTCTTGGAGATCTGGGCAGCAGATCGAGTCTTATATGCCAGGACGGAGGAAGCGTTCGTGGTAGCTTCGTTCTAGAGCAGACAGTTTTTTGCCGTAGCTCGAGATCTCACTGGCACACGGCCCGCCCAGCGGACCCCGTCCAAATGGGAAGCACGAGGCCGCATCCAGAGTGCTGATAAGTCGAGCGGCGACAGCGACAGTGGCGGGTTCCACTGCAAACCCGGAGGATGTCTGTGGCCGTCTGTGTCCGCGAAGGACTAGCTTAGCCGACTCGGGACTTTCTGTCAGACATGGCGGCCATCATCGTCCAGGGACAGGGTGCTGGCTTAACTAGATCAGATAGTTAGCGCTGGTCCCTGCTGCCCATACCATACCATAGTTTCTCCGTATTCTGCTCGTTCTTTTCTCGATGCTTCACGGAAGTCGCGTGGCGGAGAGAAGTCTGGCAAAGCGGAAAGCGGGAGTGCGGGAGGACAAGACCGCGGGCCAATCAGATCACTCAGAAGCACAACGTGCGCTCGCTGCCGGTTCTCATTCCTCACCGCCCGCCGCGCTTGGGTTCAACGCCAACGCAGCCAAGTCGGACACTTCCATCATTATTATATTATTGAATTATCGTCTTATTATTATCTACGGTAAATCACCATCAAGACATGGTCCGATCAGAACCACGACCGACAAATTACACGCGGGCAGTATGTCATGCTCCCACGCTGTTGATCACTCTGGGGCTCATCGTTCAGTTCAACGATGGAGATGGATCTGATCTCATCTCATCGATCTTGATATCCAGGGTCCTTCCATGTCATCAGTCCATGCGTCAGCTCGTTTTTGCTGCGGCTACCTGAGAGGATGCTGTCAGTATGCGGGGAAGACGAGAACTTGAAAGCCTCGTTCTTTGACTTTTTGTTCTCGTGTGCTGCTCAGGTTATTGAACGCCTCTCAAGGCCACCTCGAAGGTCTGGCTTGGCTGTATAGGTAGTATTACCACACGCCTCGTCGAGACTTCTGATACCACAATTTCCCCGCTGGAGCCACTAAGCGCACGGCTCTGGCGCACGCTCTATCCAAGCCTCCATAACGGTGTTCTTTTTTTTTGTTTCTTTTCGTCTCTCTTCGCTCTTTCAGGAACGACGGCGGCCCCATCCTCGACAGAATCTATAGATGGCCTCGCCCATGGTTTCCTGTCTTTGGCAACCAAGAGCTCGAGCTCAAACTGGAGCAGACCCCCATCAGTGACATTCCAGACAGAGACACGTGCTACAAGTGCTAATAAGCTCTATATCAGAAAGTGGATTCCGCGCATTAGCCGGGGGCCATGCAGCGTGCTGGGTCCATCGTCGGTCAGCCCCGACTGGAGCCTTGTCGTGCATGCAACGGCGTGCCGTTTTGGCGGCCTCTCCTTGGTTGATCAACTCCTCCAGCACCATCCTCGCTTCCTGCTGTTCTGCTGGTTTGCAAGAATGGGAAGGATGTCGTCCTTTACGAACGCGAGCTGCATCGAGAGAAGTAGTTCTCCCACGTGCGGAGCGGGTTCGCAGTGTCTCCATCGTCCCACTGGATATGGAATCAGTGCAATTGGCCTGCCTCGCTGGCTCGCGTGGCAGAGACTCAAAGGGGACCGGTGACATTGCGTCCTCCGGTGATTGGGATGGCCGTGCGGCTCCATCACACTGACGCTCATCTTCTTCCAGGCAGATCGGCCTCTGGGCAACAATCCCTAATCAAAGTCAGACAGTGATCAACAATCCATGACTAAGTCGTCGGTCCTGAAACGAAGACTCGATGTGTTTCATCTTGAGATGACTTGGGCCGATCACTGCTACTCCGTACTGTCACGGCAAGGGGTTGCTGCGAACTCCCTCTGGTGGAGCCATGGCACCCGTCAGCTCAGCTGCATGGTCGGGATACGCCGCCTTCTAGAACTCAATAATCAATGTCGACTGGTCTCCATGCAGCTTGTCCTTCTATCGCCCTTCTAGCCAGTCGTTTTACCTTTCCGCGTGGGCGATGGCTTCCTGCGGCTTTCTCATGGTTCCGGCGAATGACTCTCTTCTTGGGACGCTAGTCGGATGCATGTCCTTTCCCCCCTGGTCGAGCCTGGCGGCTATGAAAAGAATAGCATAACTAGTAAGCGACAGAGTTTTTTTTCTTTTGCCCGGTTTCATCCCAGCTAGAGCACTCCCAGTTCGGTCTGACCGAAACCAATATCAATCCCGGAGACTTCGTCAAAATCAGTAGAGAGTTGTGGCGTTACACGGCAATAATATGACCTTCAAGAATAATAATTATAATATCAGGAAGAGAGAAAAAAAGACTAACTAGCTGTTGGACCGTTCTCGACCGTTCTCGATAGTTGCTCGTCATTCGTACAATTTGATTGGTTTTTTCCCTTGCAATAATAAGCAGCCCAGGTTTACTTTGTTCAACCAGGATGGAAAACCGTGTCCCCGAAGATTCTGCGCAGAATGACCATCAGTATGTCGTCTGTTGAAGCTTAACATATGGGTTAGCCGTGGCGATGCTCAGCCCACGTGTGCACCTGGCAATAATTACCAGTCGCTGCCTCGTTTCCTTGATCCGGGCCAAACACACTCGTTATCCTGTTGGTGTGTCTCTGGACACTGCCGCTCGGATGAACTGAGAATTAACGGTGCAAAATGAAAAGATCTTATCTCTGCCCTTCCAGCTTCCTGCTTCCGCCTGAATTCTCATGTCATTTTATTTCCGACTATACGGCTGGGTTCGCACACAATTGATTCAACCTGAAGGACAAGCATTGTCGCTCTCGAAGCTTGTTTCCCCGTTTTTGAGGCCGGGGATGTTCTGATCAAGAAGGTTGATGCTTAAGGATCGATATGCCTTTTGGCGGTACCCGAGTCAGTTGTGACCGGACTTCAAGGAGAGCGTGGGATATGTAGGACTCCGACTCATGCGGTAGTCAGATCTTCTCATTTTGTGGCCTACATGCGCCAAGTTCAGAGACCACGAGCATTTTTCCTACACAAAGTTGTTTGCGTGGGAGATATCATCGATAAGGCTTGTGATGCATGTGAGTCTAGTTACTGCACCTTTGATACCTCTGGTTCTTGACTCTGACTTTTCAGGCTGAGATTGACTGATTCAGGCGTTAAGAGGCCGCACTCTGGCGGGAGCTATCAGTTTCGATGGGTCTTACACGGAGGCTGGCTTCGATCTGAAGCTGAGATAGCTGGTCTGTATTCACTTCCCATGGAATCGCGTTGGCACGGCTGTCTTCCGATCTTATCGAGGCATGTCAGATCTAGGACCAGACCTCTAAGGAGTTCTGCTTTTTGGTCTAGTCGTCTAGTCGACTTCCGTCAAGGCATGGTTGAGCTTGTTCGCGAGATAAGAAACAGCGATGTCCCGGCTGACGCCTTCCGCAGACTCGCCGTTATTGAATCCTTTGAGCTGAATTCATGTCAATTTCAATTACCTATACAAGCAATCGCAGCTCTCGTTAGGTGAACAACCTGTTCGGGATATTTTATTGACCTTGTGCCGAGCGTCGGATTTAAGATCGATTTAACGTCTAAAGACCGGGATCGGATTGCCGATCTGGTACGGATATACGGTTTAACTATACAGTTTACGGAAAAAATCCCCCCCGCACCCAACGGCCGAAACACTGACGTATCGGACTTGTGGGCACGATGGGACGAGTTGAAAAAACGCTCCTGCAGCTTTTTAAATAGACTTAATTCTCCGCGGTGGAATATCAATTGGAGCTACGTCTTGTCTGCCAAATTGAATTTTTTTTTTACAAGCAGATCTTGTCTCCAAACCATCAACCATGGCTTTCCCGTACAAGAAAATCCTCGTTCTCGGCGCTACTTCCGGTTAGTTAGCTCTCAATTGGTCCCTTCATACGTCGTCTAGACAGACACAATTATTGATATACGCACAGGAATCGGCCTGGCCCTCTCCGAGCGCTTCATCGAACGGGGCATCTTCGTGATCGCAGTGGGCCGCCGCAAGCAGAATCTCGACGAGTTTGTCCAGAAGCACGGCTCCGATAAGACAGTTGCTATTCAGTTCGACATCAGCAAGCTCGATGCCATCCCGGCCTTTGCTGAGAAGTAAACCCCCGCCTTCTCCCCCGCGCAGAATAAGCGTGAGAATGCATTGGTTATCGTTGTCTAACTGCTCTGAATGTGCTCAGTGTCATCAAGTCTCACCCAGACCTGGACTGCATCTTCCTGAACTCGGGAATGCAGCGCGGTGCGGACTTTAGCAAACCTGAGTCGTTGGATATCTCGTTGTTGGTCGAGGAGATGACGGTAAGTGTGCATTGATTGTCCTTGCTATCTATGCTTCAAGAGAAATCAAAGATCTAATAATTTTGCCGAATAGGTCAACTACCTCTCGTACCTTGCTTTGTCCAAGGCCTTCCTGCCCTTCCTCCTAGCGAAGAAGGAACCTACTTCTCTGATTGCGTGAGTGTACCTCATGATCTGGAACTGGCTATCATGACCAAGTACGACACAACGAGAATCGAACTGACCATTTATCAAGCACGAGCTCCGGCCTCTCCATGATCCCGCTATACAGATGCCCTAACTACTCCGCCTCCAAGGCGGCACTGCACCACTGGCTGCTGGTCCTGAGATGGCAGCTTAGGGACACAAACGTGAAGGTTATTGAGATCTTCCCGCCTGCTGTGCAGAGTAAGTCAAGTCATTTCATCCAAATCAAATCAAGTCCTCCATTTTCAAATCGGCCCACTAATCAACCAACCTTACTACTCACAGCTGAACTCCACGACGCCAAATACCAGCCTGATATCATCGATGGTCGGAACTTGGGTATGCCTCTGAAGGATTTCACAGATGAGGTAAAACGCCCCTGTTCTCTCAACATCCTTTATTATTGCTATTATTTTTCATATTCTATCTTACTAACCGAATAACGTAGACGATGGAAGGTCTCCTCGGAGGAAAAGACCAGATCCCCGTCGGAATGTCCAAGATCGCCTTCGACAGCTGGGAACAGGAGCGACAGAAGGGCTTTGCGAAGATGACGGAGATAACCAAGGCAGATGCTGATAAGAAGGCCGCCGCCGCTGCTGCTGCTGCTGCTAGTGGGAATTAGAAGGCTCGACTGATCAAGGAAAGTTATCTTCTGAGTTGAGTGAGGTTAGTTATGTGATGTGGGGTGAGCTGATAAAGGTATGAATGAATGAATGATCGAGTGAGTAAAGGATGGGTTGGTTATAAGTATTAGATGGGATAGGATAGGTTCTGGATATGTATATATGCATGGCTCTCGCTCTCTCTATAGACACACATACATACATACATAAGTTACATGTGAATACAAAGATATTGTTATCCATAAATCTATAAATCCAAAAAAAAAATAAAATAAAATAAAATAAAATCCGCGAATCGCAACCTCTCTTTAAATTTGTCTATTCCTTTCCTCTGTCTACTCTACAACATATAGACCCTTGACCCTAAACCGGTATATATATCTATATCTCCCTTAGCTAGATCCAATATAACTACTGCATGTAATATATAATAATATATCACACAACAATTACCCACGGAGTAGAAGTAGAAGGAGAACTGCTGTAGGACCGATTAACCGGGTAATAATGCGGGTCGTTCCCAGTTTAGTTCCCAGAGTCGAGTCATAGGGGGGTAGTAAGGTAGGTAGGGATGAGATACCATAAATTTTGTGCATTCACCGCGTTATAGAAATAAGGATGATGCATTACTGTATATTTATATATATGTTTCCGGTTAAGATCATGTCTTTAATAACTGTGACTTTGTTATTGTATAGTAGCTGTAAGGAAGTACAATAATATGTTATTGTGTTCCAAGACTACATGTCGAAATAAGATACTCTAGTTAACTATTGATTGATTAACTACCGGGTTGGCGATGTATGTACCTGACTAAAGCTTAGCCTAACTATCTTTTCCCCAGAATAATTAATCAAGAAATTCGTTGATACTGTCCAATTAGTCGTCAGCTAGTTACTAGACTGGCATCCGCTCATCGCCGCGAGGGGGCGCGGGCCGTGGCCAGGGGAGGCTGGAGCATGCCAGAAGGCCCGCGACGGACCAATCGCGACACGACCGCCCCTGCGCCATCGCCTACCATTCGGACGGCGCTATCCAGGGCAGTCTTCGAGCTGTTTAGCTGGAGATAACTTTCTCTACGGGCGAAGAGATGAGATGCCGGCCACCAGGATCCATTTTGGACACATGATTGTTGCTGGCGGGTGGGAACGCAAACGCGCAAGGGCCGGTCAGAAATGATGATACTTACTCAGTATGAGCATCGATTGCTTAAAATGAGCGACATGCCATCTGTCCATAGCTATGACCGGATTCTTCTCTTACCTTTGATCTTCTGTTGCTGCTGTGCTGTTCCATCCTCTTGAGTGAATCTACACGACCACGAACCCCCAGGCAGTTTTATTCGAGTGCTCCCAGAAGCCGTGGCCCGCTGTTTGCTTGAAATTTAGCATCTATAAGCACCTACCGTAGTCTCCTCTCGCAAACAAGCCGTCTAGCTCTTATTGCATACTGCGAAATCTCACCAGTACCCCGTCATCGATTCACGATCATCACAACCGCCATAGACCATTGAGAGTGTTGGATCTGAAGAGAAGCAGAGACTAGGTCTCGAACGGTCAACATGCAGCTCGGACCGAGCGCCATCCCCGCGGTCTGTACATTCATTGCTTTCATTCTGGGCATGCTGTGCCTGTTTGCCGGTTCTCAGAAGGGCATTCTGGACGGATCAGCGGACATTTTGACTGTACGTGACAGCCTCCCCGTGAATCGATGTATGCGGTGATATCTGACGGATCTCGTGTTGTAGCTCAATACGTCCCAGATCGGACAGGCCAGCTCCTATGGTGCTGTCAGTAGCTACGGCGCCAGTGATCCTGCCCCGGAGCTGGGAATCTATGACTTTTATGCGATTCACGTCATGTCGTATTGCGAAGGATATTTCAAGATCAGTGACACGGGTGCCGCAATACGCAACGTGACCGGCTGTTCGAATCGCACTGTACTCTTCAACTTCGACCCGACAGACGTGCTCTCCGGGGAGCTGAACGACGGCGTGAACCTGTCTGACATCAATTGGTCCGACGCCATCGATGATGACTTCGAAGTGCTGTCCACGACCACCAAGGCGATGGCGATTCTGTACTGCATTGGAACCGGGGCGACAGGATTGGCCGTCGTGGCAGGGGCATGGCTAGTCTTCACCGGAGGACGGACTCAGGCGATCGCAGAGCTTCTCTTGTCGATGGTAAGTCGTGACATTCCCAGCACATCATCCATAATCCTGTTCAGAGCCTTTTACCGGGCTAACATGATCTCCTCTTGTTGTTGTAGCTTGGGTTCATCGCTCTCGGGACCTCGTCGGCCATCGCGACGGTCATGGCCATGAAGTTCGTCGACCTCATCAACCGACACGGGAAAGCTATTGACGTCTCGGCCACGCGGGGGGACAAGTTCCTCGGTATGACGTGGGCAGCTGTTGGACTCCTGTTAGTAGCCATCCTTAGCAGCCTCCTGATGGTGCTGGGAGGCAGACCGGCTGCTGCTCCACCGCCAGCAGATGAACCAGCCAAGGAGCCGGCGGAGGAGTGATGGGATAACCAGCTATCATAATAATATGGAGAATTCGCAAGACCACGACACCGGCATGACGCGCAGCCGTGGAGAGCAAAAACTTTTTCCAACTAAACGCAAAGACAGAGCCAACACGGGAAGAAAATCGCCAAGTAGGGAAAAAGAGCCTGCGTGCGTCACGGCGATGCGAAACCTGCAGAAAGTCGAGGAAACAAACGATTATCGGCCCTATCCTAACTTACGTCACTGGTCCCGGTGTTGCTGTTGACTAAGTAAGCTATTCCAGGTTTAGGGTTGCTTATGTCATCCACAGGCAAGAGGAACTTAACGAGTTCCTTCATAATTCATCGACAAATGAATGATTATTGATTAATGACTTTGCTAATCACTGTTTTTGCATGCCAGCGCTCAATGATGTCCTTGACTACTTCTGCAGCGGGTTTGTTCTCGGGTTCGCAGTCATCGTGTGTGTCTATGCGGTGGGCTATGTATTATTTGATGATCAGCATCGCAGGCAGGCAGGTCCGCTGCATTTCGCTAGTTCTGAAGAGTAATTAATTTAATTAATTGCTTTTTTCTTTTGTTTCTTGTTGCTTCATATCCGTCCCACTCTAGTTTAGCCTGCTAATCTAAGCAAGCCACATTTGCGACCGACGTCACCGAACGGTGGATCGCCGGTGGATCGTCCGTAGTCTGTTCGTACTTCACTTGCTCCTTGTGGTCTCGAGCATCCATAGCACGCTCTGTTCCTGAATAATAATAATAAATATACAGCTGGTCCTCAACGGCCATTTGACTCGAGGCTGGAGCGGGGCGATGGGCCCGTTTTGCATGGCCAGATCTCTGCCGAAGCTCCGAGTGCCATATCAACCCGCGGTTGGTCCATCGGAGAGTGTCCTGGAGACATGGTGTAGCGAAAGTCTGGTGTTCATCTGGACTGTTTTGTTTGCTGTCCGCTCGGGATGCTTCGAGTCTGTCCAGAGCCTCAGAGGCATGCATCATGGGAGAACATGGTAAAAAAAGTGGACGAATGTAGACGAAGGCAGCGTCACCATTATTCGCGGGTTTTCGGCCGTCGTCCCCGTGTTCTTCAACGTAGGCGTCGAAGGTTGCAACGTTGTGCTTCATCGCTAGTGTAATTGTATCCCGTACAGTGAGTAGTAGCAGATGATAGATGGAGCTCAGGAATGTCTGTGCAGCGAGCCTGGTGACGAAATCACGCATCCCGTTGCTACCCAAAAGACCTGACATCCATCTATAACCGGGGGTCATCAAGGAGGGCGGACGTCCAGTTAAGTTAGGGCTGACTGGCGATACTCTAGTAGACCTGCGAGAGTTCCAGTGTGACCACTCGCAGTCGCTGCATTACCTAGGTACTACTGTATTCCTGAGGGACCCGGCGGGAAGACAATGATAGGATATACACGTGAAGTTGGTACACACAGTACGATAGACCGCGAATAGACGAACCTGACGAATTCTCCTGTGGTACAGACATCCTGGTGCTCCGGTACGACACAGAAGGACTTGAGGATAATGCTCATGACCCTATAAGCGGTCCTAGAGGAACATCAGCAACGGAAGGAGCGTACATACCATACATCCTGATTGCTAGCTAGCAGCAGGCGGTCGTACAGAAGACGGAGTACAGTGATGCGGTCGGACCGAGCAAGGTGAAAAGCGGACCGGAAGAAAACGATCATGAAGAAACCGTTTAAACAGTTTTAGTCTAGTCTGGATAGTCTGAGCGTCCACTTCCGTCCAGGGCTCTTCCGGAAGTTGCCATTGGGAGGGGCAACCCCCGCCATGGCCCGAGCGGTGCCTACCATACCATATTATTCTAGAGTAACTAGTAGGTAGTTATTAGTTAGTCCCATCGAACTCGGAAGAGAAGTAAAGTACCTTAGGTATGCTCTAACTAGGCGCAGGCTAGATGAGGCTGTCCAGTAGTCGACGCGATGCACGCCATAGTAAGCAACCCTGCGGAGTCCGGGGGTTGCCAAGGAGGCAGTATGGGAACAGGAAGGAGTAAAGAAACCAACGGGAATAGTATCACCGCGTGAAGTCAGAGACGGGTGGAACAGCAATGAAACCGATGGAGAGTGACCGGTGAGAGAAAAAAGCAGAGTAGTTAGATAGAATAATACCATAATACTAATAATACTAGAATAATCCTACGCGGACTTCTTTTCCCGGTCAACGATCGAGCTTGTTTGAAGGACCCGCGATGATGTCGTCGTGCCTGCCTTCATTGAATCATCGCCCCCGCTGCCCCCTCCTTCTCCTCCTGCTTTCTCTCCTGCTCTCATTCTCTCATTCTCTCTCTCAAGGTTTCCCTCGAGCATAAAAGAACTCTCCTCTCCCTTCTTTTCCTCTGATTTCTCCACATCTCTCCCTCCACTCTACTCTACTCTGCTCTACTGTCCTCTGCGGAATCAGGTGTAGTACACGATAACATCTGATCCAAACTGCCATCTACATTAGCTTTTCTGACCACACACGTTTCCCTTCCCATCGAACAGATCGAACGATTACCATACTGCCACAATGGGTAAGAAGGCTATTCACTTTGGAGGCGGCAACATCGGCCGTGGCTTCGTGGCAGAGTTCCTGCACGAGTCCGGCTTCGAGGTCGTCTTTGTCGATGTGATGGATGCCATCATCGAATCACTCCAGAACACCAAGTCATACCAGGTCACCGAAGTCAGTGAGAAGGGTGAGACCACCAAGACCATTGACAACTACCGCGCCATCAACTCCAAGAAGGAAGAAGCGGCCGTGGTCAAGGAGATCGCGACGGCGGACGTCGTCACCTGCGCTGTCGGCCCCAACGTGCTCAAGTTCATCGCTCCGGTCATTGCCAAGGGCATTGACGCTCGCACTGAGAAGAGACCGTTGGCCGTCATTGCTTGCGAGAACGCCATCGGAGCCACCGACACTCTGCACGGCTTCATCAAGGACAACACTGACCCGGAGCGCGTCAAGTCCCTCTACTCGCGAGCCGCGTTCGCCAACTCTGCCATTGACCGTATCGTCCCTACCCAGCCTCCCGATGCCGGACTCAATGTCCGCATTGAGCAGTTCTACGAGTGGGTGGTCGAGCAGAAGCCCTTCGGTGAGTACGGTCACCCGGACATCAAAGCCATCCACTGGGTGGACAACTTGGAACCATACATCGAACGCAAGCTGTTCACCGTCAACACGGGACACGCCACGGCGGCCTACTACGGTTACAACGCGGGAAAGAAGACCATCCACGACGCCCTGAGTGACTCGAAGATCCGTAGTATCGTTCACAACGTCCTGGACGAGACTGCGTGTCTCATCGTCGACAAGCACAATATCTCCGCGCAGGAGCAGAAGGACTACGTCAACACCATCATCAGCCGCATCTCCAACCCGTATCTGGAGGACGTCGTCGACCGCGTTGGCCGTGCTCCCCTGCGGAAGCTGTCCCGCAAGGAGCGTTTCATTGGCCCTGCCTCTCAGCTTGCGGAGCGTGGCAAGAAGTTTGACGCTCTCCTGGGCTCAGTCGAGATGGCCCTACGTTTCCAGAACGTCCCCGGCGACGACGAGAGTGTCGAACTGGCCAAGATTCTCAAAAGCAAGTCGGCAGCCGAAGCAACCGCCCAGCTCACTGGTCTGGAGGAGTCTCACCCTCTGTACCCGCATGTGTTGAAAGTGGTGGAAAAGGTTCAGAAGGAATCGAAGTAGGATGATCGCCTCTCTCTTCAACACTCTTACACTCCCCCAACATGTTGGGTTGATCCTGGCACTCATTCATGATAAAAAAGGAACGATAATCGATCCAGAATTTGAACGCATACATTAGGTGCGATATGTTCAGCCCGCGGGACCGAGCTTGAACGGGAAAGGCATCGGCGAAGGACGGCGCGACGGTTTTTCCTCACATCGGATGGGATTGCGGGCATGACTATAATGATGTGACTTCATTAGGTGCAGAGCATGATACCTCTAGAAATGAAGTAAAGTTAGTTAGACAGACCATTCCCGTGCAGAGTTGTACTGTAGTAACCGTACCATGCATTTTATGACAACATAGAATCGACTGCGCCATATACAGCCGCGGACTCTGCTTTCCGCAACTGGTGATTGGTGGCATTCCCCGGATCTATCGGATCCCCAGTGTGGTTGGATTTGGAAGTCGGGTCCACGGAATTGACCGCAGCCAGATGCTCAACGACCTGCCCTGCTTTCCTGCCCAAGACATTATTAGCCATCCTGTCTGCCAGGGTTGGAGAATAATGGGAATGAGGGGCTCGCAGCTATCTGTTGGTGACAAGTTACTATGAAATGGCTCGTAATGCCTTTTAGTCAATACTAAAACATTCTCATTAGTTACGAAACTTATTCGTTGGATATTTTTCAATTGAAAGAGAAAACGAAACAAAGTATGATGAGCATTACCTCTAGATCAGTATATAGTTATGCGTGTTTAGAGTCATGATAGCTGTAGAATCTGGTGATAATATGATATGGTATAGTATATATTTTATTTCTTCTTGCTTTTCCTCTTTCGAAACAACCTAAGATTCCATCCGGCTCATTTTATACCCGCTGGGTGTCTCCATGTAGGTTTCTGCTGCAATAAACCATATCAACAAACAAATTTACAACTTACTATCCACCCACTTCGGCTCTCTCTTCTCCACAAACGCCTTCACGCCCTCCTTCATATTCTCTCCCTCATTCAACCTCTTCTCCCAATTATCAATCAACAACCTCGACCCATCCTCCGCACCCACCCCTTCCCAACCCATCTTAATCCCCTCCCTCGTCACAATCACCGAATCAGGACTATTCGCCGCAATCCCCTCCGCAACATCCACCGCTCTCTTCACCACCTTCTCCGAAACCACCTCCTCCTCATCCCCCTCCCCCACAACCACAACCTCATTCACAAGTCCCCATTTCTCCGCTTCCTCTGCAGAGACCGTTCGACCCGTCAAAGCCATCTCCATCGCGCGCTGCCGACCAATCGTCCGCACAAGACGAGGTAGTCCGCCTGCGAGAGCGAAGACGCCGCGCTTGACTTCCGGAAGGGCGAAAACTGCTCGTGATGAGGCGATGTTGAGGTCCGAGTTGATGATGATTTCGCATCCGCCGCCGAAGCAGAGGCCGTTGATGGCGCAGATGATGGGTTTCTTGCCGCTGCGCCGGGATAGGCCGCCGAAACCGGATGGGGGGGTTGTTAGTTTGTTGTTGGTGGTGGTGGTGGTGGTTTGGAGGTTCCATTCTGATAATAATAATGATAGTTAGATACTTTTTTTTCTGAATCATTAATATAGTTATAGAGATATATATATATCTCTCCCTATATATCTATATGTATGTGTGTGTGTGTGTGTGTGTATACATACCCTTCAAATCAGCCCCAGCACAAAAAGCCCTCCCTTTCCCTGTGAAGATGGCCACTTTCAACGATGGTTCTGCATCAAACCATTCCCAGATATCATGCAGTTCGACGTGACCGGCGACATTGATGCAGTTGAGGGATTTGGGTCGATTCAGTGTGACGAGGAGTATATCAGGGCGCGGGAAGGAGATGATGCAGTATGTTGTTGTGGGTGGGGGGGATAGCATTGTGATGAGATTTCTTCGGGGGTTTTTCTTTGGGAAGAATAATGAGGGTGTTTGATGTTTATATCGGAATGAGGATATATATATCAGTAATTCGGTCTCGCGAATCGAAACTGGATTGATTGATTGATTGATTGATTGATTGATCGATCGATCGATCGTCAAGGTTGACTCGCGTAGGTACACTTCTCTCTTAGCGCAAATACTTCCCTTGAAATAAGAACAAGGATGAAAAAGTAGCGGAAATAACAACAATTTAAGAATAAGGTAGTAACTCCTGCGATCCTCAGAGTTAGGTACGAGTTACGAGTTACGAGGTACGAGTTACGAATAATGAATGGCGAACCCCCTCAACAGGTTAACTACCTATCTGATGTTCTCCTGGCGGTGGCGGTCTAAGATTTTGCGGGGAAGAATATGTAACCCCAACCAATGGAATTGGAATTCCAGTTCGGAGTGCGAGCCGAGGGCCGAACTTGGAGGGGAGGGGAGGGGAGGGGGTTTTCCGTGATTTGTCTTTGATATGAGTATCCGTATTATAGTATTATGATCGTCGATTAGGGTATAGTATAATTGTCGGTTGGGGTGGGTAGGTTGATATGTGTTTTATTCCGGGGAAGGGATGGATTGATTGCTTGACGAGGTTCTTTGTTGTTGGGGTTGACTACGAAGTACGATGGTTGAATGATGAAAAGTCAAAGTGTAGTAGATTAACTAGCACTATACATGGTACCATACCAAACAAGGGATATCAATGCAGAGCTTTAACAGCATGGTTCCTCCTATCCACGCAATTCTTGGTTCGTTTCATGTCATGTCCTCTTTCCTGCCTCGAACGCCGCGGGTGATATACTATAAAAGAAAAGAACAAATGTTGGAGGGTCGCAACAGAAGAAGAATACTTAAAAGATCAGACATGGACAGACAAGTCGTGATATGTAATGTCCCGGATGTAATCATCTATCCTTTCGTGATCCATCCACTGTGCACCATAAAGTCGTAGATCCGACTTGTCTTGGTAACGTCGATCTAGAAGAAAGTCAGCAATACTCGTTAGCGACAGAGCCCATTCGACTCACCTTGCAGAGTGTCCGAGCGTCTTTCTTTTTCAAACTACCGTTCTGTTTCATGGCTTCCTTCAAGAGCGCCTCCTTGACCACGAGATACGGCTTCGGCTGCATGTGAAGTACATTGCAGAGTTCGACTTCTTCTTTGGTCAACAAGTGCAAGTCGGGCGCCCCGTCATTCTCAAGCTTCCAAGGCGTCACCCCACTCAGCGGTTGGACGACGTATTTCGACTTTGCCGGTTGTGCCGTGTCGATGCCGTCCCCATTGCTGGCGAACATCCGATCGAAATCATTCATCGGAGGCTTGGTCTCTGGAGCTGGCTTAGTCGTTGCCTTCTGCTGTTGCAGTCGCAAAGGCAGCTCTGGAGCCGTGAGCTGACTGGCGGCAGATGGCTGGTCGGGTTGCTGGGACTGCTTCGGACGCGCACTGGCTAATCGGTCAAATGAGCCTTGCGGGATGGCTCTCTGCGCCCTCTGCAGCTTCTCCTGCTCGTACTTCTCGCCGCTCTTGAGGTCCCCAATGCCCATCTGGCGCCATTCCTGCAACTGGGCGATGGCGAGCCGCAGGTTGTGTTCATATTCAAGACCCTTGCAGAATTCCTCAAAGTCGTCGTGGTTCATCATCCGGGAAAACGGCTTCGCCTTGTTCAGCAGATCCCTCTCTTCTTTGGTACGCTTCTTCTCCTGAGCAGTATTTTTCCGGTATTCGAGCAGGTTGTGCTCGAAGAGAATCTTCTTGCGCTCCGTCCGTGCCGTCAGTCGGGAATTGTAGATCTCCATGACCGTCATCTTCAACTCCATCTCCGGCTCCATCTCGCCCTTCTCGTTGAGGCCATTGCCAGGTTCGAAGGTCATGTGCTGCACGGCCTCTTCCGCCTCATTCAGGAACTCCGTCTCAAACTCCAATCGACCGGGCATGTATCCTTGAACCTCATGGCAGGCCGGTACACTAGCAGTAGGCTTCTGCTTCGGTGTTGCGGGTGGCGCGGATTTGGCTGCCTCTTTGCGCTCTTCGATCCGTCGCTTCTTCCGCGCCTGGAACTCCTCCTTGGGGATACTGTCCTGAAGGCTCGTGTCATGGGGGTCCGCACGCGCCGGAAGGGGGAAGTTAGGACTGTTGATGTATGTGTCGATATAGTGATCCCGGACTTCATCTTTGGTCCGATAGCCACCAATATGATCGGCGATATCCGCCCATGAACCCAAACCGTAGATTTCCGCACCTTCCAGGAGCAGCAGCTCCTCATCCGCACCCCAGTCCTCCGTGTAGATGGGCACTGAGTTCTGCTCGATTACTTGGTACGGATGCGTCCTGGGATCATGGTTCTTGGAGCTCTTCCCTTCCGAGAAACAGGGGACGCAGAGGTCGTACTCAGGGCATGCACTGTGCGCGCACGATATCCGGACCTGCAAACACGGTCAGTCTCCTCCCTTGGCCGACTCCCTTCACCATCATATAGGTTGCCCAGACTTACCGTCGAGGTCACGTCGACGGAGCAGACATCGCAGTGGTATTTGGTGCCTCCCTCGGTGCCGCGCTGGGCGGTCTTCTTTCTTATTACACCCATCGCACTTTCGATCCGGTCATCCTCCGCCGCATCCGAATCCGTCTCGGAAAATGAATCGCGCCCTCCAGAAGCGGAAGAGGGCGACGCACAGCTGGACAGGCTCTCGAGGTCGTGGTCGTCGAAGAAGCGGTCGTAGCGCTGCGCAGGCCTTCTCCGCAGTCGAGTGGAGACGCGTGGTTGCGACGAGACGGGCTGTTTTCGAGGAGCGGCAGGGGTTGTTGAGCTGGAGCGCTTCGGGGGCGAATAATTGGGCGGGGGAAGGGGATGATTATTGTTGGTGGTGGTCTTGCGCGCGGTTGTTGCAGCTAGACTGGAGGTGTTAGTGTTGCAGCTGGCGGTGACTCTGGTCGTCTTCCGGGGAACCAGAGCGTCTTTGCGGGCGGTTGTTGGGCGCGGCTGCTTGCGGGCCATCCTGATTGGCTGGCTGTGGCTCTCAGCCACCGGCACGCGTGCACCGCCTCGTTGCGATCACGTGGGGGGACGGCCCCCGGGCGGTGAGGCTCAAGGCGGCGTTCTCACTGGCTGATCGGCCAGTCGGTGTGGACAGTACTACAGTACTATGGTACTTGGTCAGTCAGCCGCACGCCTCAGGCAGCCCTTCCCCTCCCCCCAAACGGAATCGATCGATCCCTCCGAGTCTCCTGTTCCCACCCCAACTTGTTGTCTCAGACTCCCTCGTCCCCAGGGGTCTTTCGCTCTCTTCTTCCTCGTGCTGTGCTTCTAGATTCTGTCGTTCGTCACGGAGCACTTATCTGCCCTTCCCGTCCCAGTATCTTTACCTCTGTGGCTCCTGTCCGCGTCCGAAACACTCGGCTGTTGTGTGCGTTGCTTACAACCGGCTGTGGCTGTAACAGTTCGGTGTACGGCCAACGGCATCGAAATTATTAACCTCTCCCCTCGATCACTGCAGTTGCCCTGGGTTGTCCCTCAAACAGGACTGTCTGCTGGTGTTCTTTGTCGTGTACAATCGCACTGTCGACAAAGATGTCGTGGAAACTCACCAAGAGTACGTTTCCCTAGTTTCGCGTCTGATATTCCCCTTTGGCGCCAGGTCGGGTCGAGGGAAGAAGAAGACGATGAAGGATCAACTGACAATTCATAACCAGAGCTGAAGGAGACTCATCTGGCACCTCTGGCGCAGTCCTTTGGTCGCTCGTCGTCGACGTCCACGATTAAGGGTGAAGCGGCGGAGGAGACACCCGTGTCATCTCATCCCCCCAGTATAAATACGGCCAGTGCCAATGGGATCTGTAAGTGAATTTACGGGTCGGGTCACCAACAAGTGAATGCAGATCTGACACCATGTGAACACAGCGGCCTCAGAGGCTTTGGTTTCACCACCAGCACCCCCGACGAAACCTGGTATCCTTATCGTGACACTTCATGAGGGAAAGAGCTTCTCGCTTTCGCCTCACTATCAACAGATCTTCAACTCTCACTTTCAGAACAGTGGTGCCTACAGTTCCTCTGTTCGTCCCAGTTCATCCTCTTCGCACACCAATGGTCCCGCTAGCTCCTATGTCGCGAGTAACCGACCGCAGTCGACAAGCGGCGGTATCAACGCTGCCCCCACTATCCACGGTCGATACTCGAGCAAATATCTTCCATATGCCCTGCTCGATTTCGATAAGAATCAGGTCTTTGTAGATGCTGTGTCAGGCTCCCCTGAGAACCCCCTGTGGGCTGGTGACAACACCTCCTTCAAGTTCGATGTTTCCCGTCAGACAGAATTGAGCGTCCAGCTGTACCTGCGGAATCCTGCTGCCCGGCCTGGTGCTGGTCGCAGCGAGGATATCTTCTTGGGAGCCGTCAAGGTGCACCCCCGCTTTGAAGAGACCAAGCCGTACGTGGACGATCCCAAGTTGAGCAAGAAGGATAACCAGAAGGCCGCTGCTGCTCATGCTGAGCAGGAGCGGACAATGGGTCAGCTGGGAGCAGAATGGCTGGATCTGCAATTCGGTACGGGTTCGATTAAGATTGGCGTGTCATTCGTCGAGAACAAGCAGCGCAGCATGAAGTTGGAGGACTTTGAACTTCTAAAAGTTGTTGGAAAGGGCAGTTTTGGCAAGGTCATGCAGGTCATGTGAGTATCTCCGGTGAAAAGAGACACTCTATTTTCTCGCGCTCGATGCTAATCTCCCCAACAGGAAGAAAGATACCGGCCGGATCTACGCCCTGAAGACCATTCGCAAGGCTCATATCATTTCTCGTTCCGAAGTCGCCCATACTCTCGCTGAAAGATCTGTGCTTGCACAGATCAACAACCCGTTCATCGTTCCTCTCAAGTTCTCTTTCCAGTCGCCAGAAAAGCTCTACCTGGTGTTGGCATTCGTCAACGGTGGTGAACTTTTCCACCACTTGCAGAAGGAACAGCGATTCGACATCAACCGGGCGCGATTCTACACAGCAGAGCTTCTCTGTGCCTTGGAATGTTTGCACGGTTTCAAGGTCATCTACCGTGATCTCAAGCCGGAAAACATTCTGCTTGATTATACAGGACACATTGCCCTCTGCGACTTCGGTCTCTGCAAGCTCGACATGAAAGATGAGGACCGCACGAACAGTAAGCTCATACCTCGTGTCCAGATTTCCCTGGAAACTGCTGACCATATTAGCTTTCTGCGGAACACCGGAATACCTTGCTCCTGAGCTCTTGATGGGTAATGGTTACACCAAGTCCGTCGATTGGTGGACTCTTGGTGTCTTGCTTTATGAGATGTTGACGGGTCTTCCACCATTCTATGATGAAAACACCAACGAAATGTATCGCAAGATCTTGCAGGAGCCATTGACGTTCCCCAGTCATGATATCGTGCCTGCTGCCGCGCGAGACCTGCTCACGCGTCTGCTCGACCGTGACCCTCAGCGTCGTCTGGGCGCCAATGGTGCGGCTGACATCAAGGCTCACCACTTCTTCTCCAACATTGATTGGCGTAAGCTCCTCCAGAGGAAGTATGAGCCAAGCTTCCGTCCCAATGTGGTAAGTATAAACTCCTCGCTATATCTTTAATCTGAGTTGATGTCTGACACCGTGCAGGTTGATGCCCGCGACACCGCCAACTTTGATCGCGAGTTCACTTCCGAAGCCCCTACGGACTCATACGTCGATGGACCGGTCCTGTCGCAGACCATGCAGCAACAGTTCGAAGGATGGTCTTACAACCGTCCCGTTGCTGGGTTAGGTGACGCCGGAGGTAGTGTGAAGGATCCATCTTTCGGCAGCATCCCGGAGTAAGCAGCTGCAGGCTCAGTGTCCCGTTTTCCTTTCGAATAGGTATTGTCGTCAATGCGCAGCCTGTCGCTTTCGACGGTTCAATCGAAACGAGTCCCGTTTGTACCTCTTCATTTTTTTTTTCGTTCTTTTCTTTTTTTCACATGCCGCTAGACTTCCGCTGTTTCTCAGATCTGACCGTGGTGTCGAATTCGCGGTATCTTGCATGCAGTCTTTTCTTCTCTGGATCTAGATTTTCTTTCAACGGCGATGTGGCTCTTCACAGTCGGGTGCAGTTCTCTTTCTCTTCGATCGCTCGCGCTTCACACAGGCAGGTCCCTTGCATAGCCCACGCCACCCTCCTTCCTCCATCAAGTCCTTGCTGTGTCAGCTTTCCGTTCTTTGTTGCTTATGTTGCCCGTCTCTTCGGAAACATACAGGCCGAGGAGGAAAAGGAAAGCAGCCAAAGACTGAATTTTCTCACCGTTCACCCAACATACCCCCGATCGTATTTACCTGGTTTCCTCGCGAGATTCCTGGGCTTTGTTCACACAAGTGTTGTCTGTTTCGATCCGCCGGTCCGATCCCAGTTCGTCTCAAACGTTCGCGAAATGCATGCAATTGGCGTGGAACTCAAATTAAGTCATAAACTGTTTTTTTCTTTCTCCCTCAAAGACTCCCTTGTTCAATCGGTTTATTCGGTCCTGTTTTCTCTCTCTCGTCAATTGTTTCCATGGTATGGATCTCTTAGTCTCGCCGTTCGTTTTCTCACGTTGTCTGGGCCCTTCGCTGGGACCGACTCAATGTAGAGCAACAACAAATATAAGAGATCTCTGAAAACTGTCGCCTACCATGATTAGGTCTATAATTCGTAGTCTCCTGGACCAACCTAATACCCGCAAATCAGGCAACCATCTCTTGAACTGTATGACCTGTACCATCTTTTGCCTTACAGCTGAGCAAGGGAATACTCAATTCAACCTCGTACTTCGACGACTTGCACTGAGATAATTATCAGATCGTTCACTTCTACACGGCTTGTACCCTCTTGGTCTACCTCATTATATCAGAACAATCTTCCTATAAAACCTAACCCGCTAATATCGTTCTGGTGATGCTTTTGGCCAGAAGAAGACGGGAGGAGGAAATGAGTGAAATATATATATATATATATATAAATATCCATCTTTGCCCCGAAAGAAGAGGATTCTACATGGGCAGAAGGTAGTGAAACGGGGTTTCGAGAAGAAGAAGAAGAAACTAAGAAGAAAAAAAAAGGATCCAAAGTCTTTTCATATTCATATTCATCTCGATTCAGTACAATAAAAAACAACTCAGTTTCAGTTTCGATGCGATTTTCTACCGAAATCGATCCGACACGATTCCATTCCGATTGAACAAAACAGACCGCCAAGTGCTGGGAAAAGGATTAAGAGAGGAAGAAGAGAAAGAGAAAGAGAAAGAAAAAAACAGCTGAAGTGAAGCAGCCAAGGGAAGGGGCGGGGTGAGAATGCCCCCCTCCAACATGAGAAGCAGATTGTTGGCCCCAGCTTGGTCGTGGTCTGGTCATGCGACTTAGACTCGGCGTTGAGAGGGCTGGCGTTGTGGATTTGAAGCTCTAGATTCATGCTTCTGCCTCCTCTTCCTCTTCCTCTTCCTCTTCAGCTTCGGCAGTAGTCTGGACTTCGGGCTCTCCATTAGCCGCAGTCTGGGCACCATCGCCCTCCACGTCGATAAGCGACTCTGACGATGGGGGCTCAGGAGCGGGACCTTCCTTCTCTAGTCGCAGGTATTCATCCCACTCGGGGAACAGGTCATCGTCAGTTTGAACATCCTCCGGGGCGCCCGGAGGAACACCAATGAGGCGGGAGATCTTTGTCTTGCCCGAAGCCTCGAGTGATTTCTTCCACTGGACGACCAGAGCCGGAGCACGCGAGGGCTTGTATGTCTGGGCGAAAAGAGCAGCCTCTGTGAGGCGGTTCGTCTTGACCAGAATATCAATACAACCATCAATATCTCTAGCCTCCCAAAGGGCGGAGAACGCAACGTTGTGTAGACTAGCAGCGGATGCCTTCTCTGCTACGGATCGAAGGCCCTCTGCGTTGGCGCTAGCAGTGTAGAGGAGTAATAGGGAGCCGAAGTCCTTGGCCTTCTCGAAACACTCCTCTGCAAGGGCAAAGTTCCAGGCGGACAGAGCGGCATCGCCGACTATTTTCCATTTATGCTCCACATCTGCCTCGCGGGCAATCTCAAGAGCAACGTCCAGCTTGTTGAGGGACAGAGCAAGCTCGAATCTGTGCTCAGGATCGGTTGCCACATCCAAGGCCATCTCCTTGTAGCCTTGACCCTCCAGGAAGCGGGCAATCTTGTTCATCTGGTCTGCTGGAATATCTGGCAGGAGCTCAGCAGCAGCATCCATGTCTCCACGGAGTACCAGAGTCTGGTACTCGACCACTGACAACGACAGGGCAAAAGAGACAACGTTGACATCCTTGTCAGAAAGATAGATGCGGCCATCACGAGGGAGGTAGCCCAGAAGGTACATGGGCTGGTCAAAGTGGGAGATGGTGTAGGTCTGATCACCGACCAGGTAGTTGAGGCGGTTGGTCGAGTTGGTGTAAATGAAGCAGTCACCGACCCACTCTCCAGTTCGAACGGTTTCATTGATATCAGTAACCACTTCAAACGCTGACTCCACTCCATCCTCGTCGGCTTCGCCTGCGTTCAAGCCATTGATGTAGTTCTCTCGCGAGAAGCGGAGCACATAGAAGGTATCTTCACAAGCCAGCGTGACCAGCTCGCCAGATTCAGACCAGTAGACCTAGGGAAGTCAGTTAATCTTTCATCAAACCTTTTTGTCACACGATATGCACTTACATCCTTTGGGTCAACTTCAATACGTCGCACCAAGTTGCCTGTCTCCCAGTCGAACATTCCGATACCGCTCTGGCCCTTGACACCGAGTAGTACACCTCCAGTGAGACCTTCAGCCTGGAAACCAACATCCAGACCTCCGCTCTTTTCCTTGAAGTTCTTGAAGATCTTGACACTGGTCGTCGACTCTCGGATGGCATAGTCATTACTGTTATCCTTGGCGCCCCAGGCGAAATCCAAGGCCTGTCCGAAAGCCTTGTTGCGCCATGCAAGGGCCGTATAGATGATGTATTCACCGTCCCCGCAAACAGAGACGAATCGACCGTTGGGAGAGTGCGATAGCGTCTGCGGATAGACTTCGCATGATCCCAGCTCCTTGGTCGGGAGAGAAAGAGGAGACCCGTCTTTGACCGACGCATCGGCACCCTTGATCACTGTCGAGACAACCTCGTTGTGTCTGGCCCAGACAATCTTGCCAGAACCATCCATAGAAACAGCCGGTTCTTCTCTACCCATCTTGACCACAACGGCTCCATCATCGAAACCCATGGCAATAGCCTGCTTGCCACGCTGGTAACTGACACACCAAGCTCTTTCGAGACCGTAACTCAGCGACTGCTCCAGTCTGTATGTGTTGGCGTGCCAGATCTTGATCGTTCCATCTTCGGAACCGGAAATGATGACCGGCAACTCGGGGTGGTAACAGGCGAATGAGACATTGCTGGTGTGCCCCTCCAGTGTCGCAATGAGTGCTTTGGTGGTATAATCCCATACCTTGACCGTCTTGTCATCGGATGTGGTCAGGAGATAAGGCTTGTCAGCCTGGGGATAATAGTCGACATGGTTCACACCCTTCGTCTCGTGCGCCTCGAGAGTGAAATTCGGATGGCTAGAACCCAGACTCCAGATCTTGACTGTGCGGTCAAGACACGCAGAAGCAAAGGTGTTAGTGTCCTTGGGGTTGATAGCCAGTCCCATGACATAGTGGTTATGGCCCTCAAAGACCTGAACGCATTTCCAGCCCTTATCCCAGTCCCAGAGCTTGATTGTCATGTCATCGGAGGCAGTAAGGACGAAGGGTTGAGTCGGGTGGACAGCAATGGAACGAATATAATCCGGGTGAGCTTCGAACGACGTGATCTTCTCCGAGGTGTTATAGTTGTAGACGCGAAGTTGGAAGTCATCGGAACCGCAAACAATCCAATTCTTGCGGGCAATAAAGCGACCGGCTCGAACAGGGACATCGGTGAGCTCGAATGTCTTGATAATTGACTATAAACAGAGGAGACTGTCAGTAATCGTCGTCCCGCGCGTGCTATAGTGGCCAGGCGCACCTGAGTCTCATAGGACCAAATGTAGACGTGGCCTGCGACTGCGCATCAGCATAACTCTAAACCATCTCACACCGCCCGATCGCAACACACCGCTGTATAATGTAGTCAGGATCTAGGATACTGTTAGCAGTGTCAAAGAAAAGGTCAGATCAGTTTCCCCTTACCCATGGCTCTGTTGGATGGAAGTCAATGCCCTTGACCCGCTCCGAGCGGGCGAAGAGCTGACGCTGTACGTCGCAATGGCAGTCAGCATTTCCATAATTCACTCCAATCGCAGGACTTCAAATAGTATTCGTCTCCCGAGAATACTATACACCAAAAGTTCAGACGAAGCGGCGTACCTTGATGTCCAACCGCATGTTCTCGCCTTTAGGTGGGAGAAACGCGCGACTGTGTGCGGCCACGGAAAGGCCTTCCTGGTTTCAAGGTTATCCCACTCCTGTGGCAGCGGGAGACTTCGCCTCTGGTGATTCAGTTGTAAATCCCTCTATTCCCCAAAGCGCTGGGTTGAAATAAAGGGGGAATCCAAGATATGGTCTTTCTTAAACTGGTGTCCTCCTTGTCCCTGATGTGTCCAGTTGGGGACTCCGGCCGCAGTCCCACCAGCTGTCTAAAACCGGTTAGCGTGTGCTCTACATCACCGCCTTGGGTGGCAGAAAAAGGCTACTTAGTACTTAGTTATGGCAATCGATGCTGGCTGCGTAATTAACTAGTCCTCGAAAGATCTCCCTTATGAATATAGGGTCGTATGTGGAATTGGAATGGGATATGTTTAAAGACCGAAGCTAATAAAGGCTCTATGCTCCGCTTTAGTACAGCATCTTTTCGTTTTCGTGTGCTTAGTTACATTCTGAGCTACCAACATACATGAGGCTCTTACGACTAGTAACTAAGCCCAAAATAAATCATAGAGTTCGTGCAAAGAAAAGAGAAAAAGTGGTCAGCCAATTGGCAGGCATGGTATAAAGAGATCAAACACAATGGTAATTTTCTGTAAAAGTATACTTTTCCTGTTGACTATCATTTCGCAGATCAATACATCCTATGTCGATATAGCTTGCTGACAGGGCGTTTCTAGATCTATGCCCTAATACAAGTTCTAGTATGAGACAGGAAGCCATTCCCGTGCAGTGAAATACAAGAAATACACGAAAAAAAGGATTGATTGACACATGAATGTGTTATATCCGTCCACATCAACGGCAGGCCATTAATAAATACAAGTAGTCTTTAACCGCGCACATATCGTTTACACCTTGCTGGAGGCATCCGATGTGCGGGCAAAGTACTCCCACTGTCCTGGTTTGGGCTTCTCCTCGAGTTCCTCCCAACTGCGAACCATGTCAGTATCAGACACGCAATCAGGGGGTTAATGTCCGATTCACTTACACCTTGGCCTTGGCCAATTCATCGACAAGCTTCAGCTCGCCTTCAGCGACCTGGATAACTTCCTCGATCAGACCAGCACCGATCTTCTTCTCGATCTCGGAAACCCTAAGGGCCGGTTAGTTTAGACGGCAAGGCGTACGCTGGGCTATGACTGGGCTACATACTGCTCTGCCTCCAGAGCGGGCTCGTTCTCCCACTGCATGCTCTCGGTCTCAAAATCCGAGTCCTTCATTTTGGCCGCAGTAGACTCTTCAATGGCCTCGTGCCACCGGGCTTCTTCTTCCGGGGTACGGGCGGGGCCTTCGGTGGTGGGCTCAAGAACTTCACCATCCCACTCGTTACCGCGGGGGTTGTGGTCGACAAAGTCATCCTGCTGCTTAGCAGCAAAAGTGTAAGAGCCATCCGCACGACGAAGTTTCTGGAAACGATCCGGCTCAGCCTCGACGGTTTTCTTCACGCGCTCCAGCCATGTCTCAAATCCTGGTGGCTTGGTAGACTCGACGATTTGCAGACGGTGTCGCGTAAGAGCCTCGGTAGCCTGACGGTAAGCTGACGACTCGGGGAAAGCCTTAAGCTTCTCGAGAGTGGTGGTGTATAGGTAGATCAGAGTCGGGCGCGGACTAGGGTGAGTGACGAGACCGGTCAAACCGGTGGGAGTGAAGGGCTCGAGGTAGCGGCCCGGCTTGACGTTGGCCAGCAACCGAAGAGCGGACCTCATCTTGAGGGTGTACGGGACAGAAAGAATACAATTGACCCGGATACGGGTTGGTAGAAACCGAATTGCAAGTGGCTGTGGCAGGTATCCGGATATCTCGCCGTTGTTCGATGCGCAGGTCGATGGTGGTGAGCCGCCTGGCCGGAGCGGATAAACATCGATTCCCGGCCAAGCCGAATCGAGCAACGGCCAGAATCCCCCGGCTGCGAAACATCAAAGGAGGCTCGAGAGTCTCAAGGGGTCGTCTCTGTTCCGCTCTGATAATCATCCACTTGTTCAGATGCTGCACAGCACTGCATAGCACCAGCGTGTTTCTTCTGAGGTGCAGGCACTGCTGCGAACCGTGAGGTGTTGACAAGCGTCCAAGTCGGCGCTCCAAACGGTAGACCATCGCCTGGTCGTCCGATGTGCCACCTGTGACTGCCGCAGTTCGATTTCTCTTCCTAAACGCACCACTACTCTCGTTTCTCCCTCCATTTGGAAAGCTTTCATCTCGTTCAGGTCGCTGACCTAGACCGTCCGCCAGCATGAAGCCTTCTTTGCTGGTGTGGTCGCTCCTTTCGCTCCTCACCGTTCCAACCCTCGCCGTTCCCTCTGAAGATTCCATCCATGCCGTCTCGAACCCATCGCCCCGCCTCGTCAAGAGAGAAGAGGCCGCGGCCCCAGCACACAAGGATGGACAGGCAGACTCTGATGCGCCAGGCACTGTCTTCAACGGGGTCAAGGTTCCTCCTATGAAGGAGTTAACACCGGAGGATTTCGATGAGACTATCAAGGACGGATACTGGTATGCCTACCCTGGATACTGGGACTAACTGCCTATGGATGGACATCAGCTCACGACAGAGCAGGCTTGTTAAACACTATTCTCCGAGTTGCCCTCACTGTCAGCAAATCGCCCCCACGTGGCAAACGCTCTATGAATTTTACTATGTAGGTGTTCTTGTTATGACTGCTAAAAATAGACTATACTGATCTTCCATCAGACATCGGATCCGCTCTCGACATCTACTGCCAAATCTGCTGACACGCACTCATCCCTGAATTCCTTCCACGGTTTCTATAATTTCCATTTTGCCTCTATCAATTGTCTCTCCTACGGCGATTTCTGCACCAAAAGACTTAACATCAGAGAGTGGCCGACGTTTAACCTCTACCACAATGGTGAATTTGTGGAACAATACGCTGGAAAGAAGACTATTGATGGTCTGAGCCAGTACATCGAAGAGAAGTTGGAACTTATCCGCCCTGGCTCCCGGCCTAGAAAAGGCGTTAAACTGCCACCTCCAGGGGCTAAAAGCGTTGATACCAAGGCAGAGCCTGACAAGCCAGCCGCTAAGGACAAGGATCGAGAAGCTGGAGTCAAGGCTGGTGAAAAGCACAACGAGCAGGCTGCTCACCTGGCTAGCAAAACTGCCGCCGACAAGTCTACCACTGCCAAAAAAGACCCCAAGCCCACTGTTATCCCCAATCCGCAAGGCGTCTCGGTTCCTTTAACCGCAGAGTCTTTCCAGAAGCTTGTGACGACTACACGCGACCCGTGGTTCGTGAAATTCTACGCACCATGGTGTTCACACTGCCAAGCGCTCGCCCCGAACTGGCTTGCGATGGCCAAGGAGATGAAGGGCGTTTTGAACGTTGGCGAGGTGAACTGTGACGCTGAGCCCAGGCTGTGCAAAGATGCGCGTATCAAGGGATTCCCGACTATGTACTTTTTCCGGGGCGGAGAGAGGGTCGAGTATGACGGTCTCCGTGGCCTAGGCGATCTGGTCAACTATGCTAAGAAAGCAGTCGATGTGGGATCGGGTGTCCAGTACGTGGACGCTGCCACATTCAAGGAATTGGAAGAGAAGGAGGAAGTCATCTTCCTTTACCTATATGATCATGCTACGACATCGGAGGATTTCGCTGCCTTGGAGCGCTTGACGCTGAGTCTAGTCGGCCATGCTCGGCTGGTCAAGTCCAACGATACAGCGCTATCCGAGCGATTCAAGGTCTCGACGTGGCCTCGACTCCTTGTGTCTAGAGACGGACGTCCCAGCTATTACAGTGCGTTGGCCCCCAAGGACACAAGGGACTTCCGCCAGGTTCTCTCATGGATGCAGACCGTGTGGCTGCCCATTGTCCCCGAGCTTACTGCCTCTAATGCCCGTGAGATCATGGACGGCAAGTACGTTGTGCTTGGTATCCTGAGTAGGAAGCGTGCGGACGAGTTCATCCTGGACAAGAGGGAGCTAAAGAATGCTGCCCTTGAATGGATGGACAAGCAAACCCACCTCTTCCAGCTCGAGAGACAGGAGCTTCGTGATGCCAAGCAGCTTCGCATCGAGGAAGCTGACGACCGAAACGACCAGCGCGCGTTGCGTGCAGCAAAGAGTATGCGAATCACCATCCGTGAAAACGACAAAAAGCAGGTTGGTTTCGCATGGGTGGACGGTGATTTCTGGGAAAGATGGCTCCGAACCACCTACGGTGTTGATGTGAAAAATGGAGAGCGTGTCATTATCAACGATCAAGACGTAAGTATTCTCTGCTCTTTCCACTTGTAACATTCAACTAACGTTGTCTAGAACCGACGCTATTGGGATACCGCTGCTAGTGGTTCACCCATCCTGCCCTCTCGTACCTCTATTCTCGAAACCATTCCACTTGTCATTGCCTCTCCCCCCAAGATTAAGTCGAAGTCGACCATTGGTCTATTTGAGGCTGTGTTCTTCCATACTCGCTCTTTTCTCTTCGTTCACCCGTGGATCACTCTCTCCATTCTGGCCGCCTCCTTGCTCGTCTCCGTCTACCTGGCTCGGGGTAAGCTCATCAAACGAGGGCTCGCTGGACCTGGAGGTATTCTCGGTGGAGGCAGCGGTGGCTTTTTCCATCTAGATGGAAAGGAGGGCTTGCTGAACGGTGGTTCGACCGGAAAGGTTGACTAATAATCCAGTTGCACTACTTTCTGGCTTTGTCTTTTCCTTCTATTCACATGTTCATATGTTCCGATTTTTTGATCCCTAGACGATGAGCGGAAGTGTATTACCCAACTTATTCGTCTTTTTTGTTTGCATTGGGAAAGGGGATCAACTGTCCAAGATGTGAGGTCTGAAATTGAGACATCTTGAGAGTAGCAGCGCCGCGGCGCGGGACGTGGCTTGGTCCCAGGGGACCTATACACGGGGACATGTGGGATTCTTATTCTTTTTCTCAGGGGACTACGGAGTGTGTTGGTTGAATTTCAGCGTCTACAGTACCTTGGATTGAGACCGTCCTTGCAGTGCGCGTCTGTAATAATGATCGTCTTTTCGAGGCTTTTGCTGCCCGGTACCCGTATGCATATTTTTTGACTGCACCGCGTGTTCCAGCCAACAACGTACGGTACATAATACCCAAAATGAAATTGTTTCCAGTCAAGGTACACGAGAGTATGACTATCCTCGCATTTTATTGAGATGATACCCAATCCTCATCCATATCTATAGTATGGCTGGATGAGCGTCAAATGCGGTGCGCCTTATTGGTGCATATACGTTGTCACGTGACATGTAAAACGACACTTGACCTGATTGGCCCACCACGCCAAGCCCGGCGACTGCCAGCCGTCCGGGGCCGCAGACACGAGAAGAAGCTCCCGGTTTTCGTCGACGACATCTCTCACCTCGACTTCGAGCCTGCACACGCCGATTGAGCGACCGTCTCATTCTCCTCTCTCTTTCAGACGCAAGTCAAAATGGTACGTTATCTGTGTCTTTGCAATTGAAGTTCTAGGACGTGAATTCGGCCGGTCGGCGTTTCGGATGTGATGAGGATGGTTCCAGGGACGTCATCTGCAAACATGTCCTCGGCGACCGGCGCGGGCTGGAAAATGGGATACTTAGAGGCTATGGCTTCATTCTGTGATGTATTATGGCTGACAAGTGGAACTTCGACATTATAGGTCTTCACACCTTCTCCCCGCCGCCTTGCGGTCTCTACCTACCACTCCCCATATGCGCCAAAGTGAGATTTCCCCCGATAGCGTCCCAGTCTATCCCCTCAATCGTGCCCATTGCATACGAAGAATCAGGAACAAGGCCTGCAACGATTGGTTCATGCCTCTTGTGGAAGAAAATTTGGGACGTTGGTCGGAATATGGCTGTGTGGGACATTATTTGCAAAGCAGGAAGAAGAGACACGAACGTGGTGGAATACAGATGGAATATGCCTTCAGGCATGATGTCTTTTGAACATTGACTGACTTCGGACTTTGGTGCGTATAGGTACGCTCCTCAGCCTCACTTCCACGGCATCACCCCTGGCCATCTCTTCAAGGCGTAAGTATTCCTACTGTCCATTCTGCGTGATTGCTATCAATCGGCTCTTACTGATTGATCTTCGATTACAGTGGTACCGTTGCCGCCACCTTCGGTATCTCTGCTGGTATCTTCGCCCTCTTTTTCTTCAGCGAGGTTCCCCGTGTCCGACAGGATATCCTCCAGAAGGTTCCCGTGCTGGGCGAATACTATGACCGGAGAATCCCCCCGGAGGACAACGTAAGTTCGCCTGTTTCATTCCCTATTGCTTATTATCCCACTGGTCTGGTTGTACATTGGTTCCAGCGCTCCTTTGTGAGCAGCTTACGACAGTGTCCCGTCGGGAGTCTGCCATGTGCGCATTGGATTACAGTGGGATTCTATCGGAATTATTCGTATGATTCGAGGGCTTAGCTAACTTTTCTTTCAGCCCTTCTAAACGCACTGTGCTGTGACTATGTTCAATTGTGGCCGCCTGTGGTATGAGGGGTTGTATCGCGGGAGAAGCAATTGGATGGGAAGTTCCGTTTGACGTTTCCAGGAAGGAACTGCGCTGTAGCATAGCATGTTTTGAATCGCATATAGAAACCTTGTCATATGGCCGCTGTATCTTGCTCGTAGACAGTAATTGCATTCGGAAACATCGCCCAGGTCTCACTACCCCACACGACAAAGACCATTCGAATTCATCGTCGCCTGTCCCTGGAGCCTCAAAGAACAGTTAGGAAATATACTTCTACTCGCATGGCCTCGGGCTGCTAGCAGAGATAATAAGAGGTACGGGGAAGCGTATCCCAGTCTTCGAGAAGACGGGCTCTACCCCGTCATGGCAAGTCCAACCGTGGACGAGCAAACGCTTACTTAGACTAAGAATTCGACTAGACACCCAATAACACGAGCGAGCCCGGGCTTATCTCTGGCCCTGCATCAAGCCGGAAAGTGTGCGTTTATCATTTATCATTATCATCAATATTCCCCGGACGTGACATAACGCCAATGACATTTTCGGTCCTGAATCCTGATAGACAAAACTACCTGGACGATGGAGAACGATAACGGATGTCACAACGCTTGCAGTTGCCCTGATGGGCAACACAGCAGGACCAACAAGAACTATCTAAGACCAGGCTTGCCTCTAAGCGCGGGGTGTCATCGTGGTTCATAGCAGAGCTTAACCGGGTCTTTGTCACTTGTGTATCTTGTGCGGAGAAGCCGGCGGGCAGATCTTGTGCTAGGATGACCCCGTCCGTCACTCCAGATACCACCTCGACATTATCATTCGCTTAAAAACATTCAGAGGCGCTGTTATCTGGCTGGACATGCCCCTTTTGGTACTCTTCCTGGTATAGCCGCCCGACGTCTGATATCCTACCGGCATGACTCCACAGGATATCTGGAGTGGCCCCTCGCTGCTAATCTTACACAGACCGGGGGTCATGGCGGACTGGCCTGTGTCATATATACCCAGACGCACTGGATCGAGCTCCTTTGGAGGAGTTGGTGTAATACTCGTCTTCGACATTGCTGGCCAACGTTAGGACCCTCCAGAGCGGTCGAGGACATCAGAGATGAGCGACATCATCACCTCGAAGACACACGGTGTATACCGCGACATCAACCATGATCCCGTCACGTCTGTTCTCCCGGACGGGGACGTCCCCATCTCGGACCATCCGATGGACGCAGATGAGGAAGTGATTATGGCCCTGGGTTATAGACAAGAATTCAAGCGGGAGTTCTCCCTGTGGTCGACTTTCTGCGTCAGCTTTGCGGTTTTGGGCCTGCTCCCTTCATTTGCCAGTACTATGTACTATGGTATGTCTCGACATGACGCGTTCTTGGATTCATGGTGGGCGAGATGCTGACTGCTACAGGAATGGGATACGCGGGCACGGCAGGTATGGTCTGGGGTTGGATAATTGCCATGGTCTTCATCCAATGCGTTGCAATGGCTATGGCTGAGCTGTGCTCTGCTATGCCAACAAGGTCGGTTTTTCCATTGCAGACGATATAGTGTAGGAATACAACGACTGATATCGTTTAGTGGAGGGCTCTATTATGCTGCCGCCGTCTTAGCTCCCCCTGGCTGGGGCCCTTTTGCTGCATGGCTCACCGGATGGTCGAACTGGCTGGGACAGATCACGGCTGCGCCCTCTGTCGACTACGCTCTGGCCGCGATGATTCTCGCTGCAGGGTCAATTACCAACCCGGATTATGTCCCCACGAACTACCAGACCTTCCTTCTGACCACGCTCATCTTGATCATCCACAGCGGCATTAGCAGTATGCCCACCGGGTGGATTGCCAAGTTCAATTCGTACGGATCGACCTTCAATATGCTCGCTCTCATCGTTGTCATCATACTCATCCCGGCTGGCACAAAAAACAGTCCCAAGTTCTCATCTTCCAAGGAGGTCTGGGGCACTATTACCAATCTGACCGATTTCCCGGACGGTGTGGCTGTATTGATGTCATTTTTGAGCGTTATATGGTGTCTGTCGGGATACGACAGCCCTTTCCACCTGAGCGAGGAGTGCTCCAACGCTAATGTCGCTGCTCCCCGTGCCATCGTGTTGACTTCTATCGTAGGGGGTACCTTCGGGTGGTTTCTTCAACTGGTCGTAGCTTACACCGTCCTGGACATTAACGCGATACTTGATTCAGACCTTGGCCAACCGTGGGCTTCATATCTGCTCCAAGTCATGCCTCGGAAGACTGCCCTTGCCATCCTGGCATTGACCATTATCTGCGGCTTCTTCATGGGTCAGGGCTGCATGGTGTCTGCATCACGAGTCACCTACGCGTATGCTCGTGACGATTGTTTCCCCTTCTCGACGGTGTGGAAGAAGGTGAACAAGACCACCAAGACGCCGGTGAACGCGGTCGTGGTAAATTGCATACTGGGAATTCTGATGTGTCTGCTTATCTTTGGTGGTGATGTCGCTATCGGTGCTCTCTTCTCTATCGGCGCCATTGCACAGTTCTTTGCGTTCGCCATCCCCATCTTCGTCCGGGTCTGTTTCGTTGGAAACCGCTTCCGTCGCGGCCCCTGGCATCTCGGCCCCTTTGGAAAGCCCATTGGCGCTGCAGGAGTGGCTTTTGTTCTGCTCATGCTCCCGATTCTTTGTCTACCCTCAGCCACCGGCAAGGATCTCACCCTCGATTTGATGAACTGGACATGCGTCGTCTATGGCGGCCCGATGTTCATCATCACTGTCTGGTGGTTCGTTGATGCAAAGAAATGGTTCAAGGGGCCCAAGGTCAATGTCACTCATAACATCTATGCAACAGAGCCAACTACCACAGTAGTCGAGGGCATCGAAGGAGACCAGCCCGGTACGTTGGAATCGACAGGGTCCGATATAGCTCAGGGGCTGGATAAGAAGTGATTTTTTCTTTCTTAGTTTAACTTTCTTACGGAGTTCCAGTTCTGTATAAGTCAAGTGGGATCGAATATATCATGATTGAAACAAACACATCATAGCATAGTAAAAGTTAACGATACAGACCTATGATGAGACCGTATTTTTTTTTTCAAAGCCTCGAATCATATAAGCAAGACTACAGTTTACTCCCCAGTGTTGCTCCCTCTTCACGCATGCCCCAGCCTCGTTCCTGACGAAGTCTTATCATGCCTTTCTACATGTCTCGGCACATCACATGGTGGTATCGATGCGAACAGCTCACCATATGCACTGTACCAAGCCCATCTATTTTAGTACGCTTGTATGTATATTGTCAATAACTCGATAAGACACTTTATACCTAGCTAAATACGCAAAACAATCAAGGGGTTCAAACGCTGTGTAATATTAACGTAGGAGGTGTGACGACATTATAAGCATAATGTACGGATTCTAGCATATTTAACCATATATATACATACACTACAGTGACTATATAGTGTTGGTTAGTTAGTTAGCTGCTATTAGGAGGTGATGTAGTAGCAGTCCCTTTGCTTTTGAAACTTATTTATTTATTTGGCTTGGTATTTCGATATATACATACATTAGTCTAGGTCCGTATTATGTTAATTCTTGGATCGTAGGATGGATGGAATATAGAGGCTAGTCTTATTTCTAGCTGGGATGAGGAATAAGTAAGAGGAGATAAAGAGGGATTGGTATTTGGTATTTGGTATTTGGTATTTGGTATTTGGTATTTGGTATTTGGTATTTGGTATTTGGGTATTGATGATATGGAGTCGGTGGGGTGTGTAGATGTTGTGTTTCTTCTTCTTCTTCTTCTTTTTTAGATTTGTGGTTTCTTATGTTAAATGGCGTAATGGGTGGGAAATTGAGGGGTCAATTCAATTTTCTTCTATTTACTATGAGCAGCGGGGGAATAGAGAGACAATTTATTATCTACCTGGAATAGAACTTTCGTTGATTTCTCTAGAAGGGTGAGAAAAGTATCTAGATGACACTTTGTGCAATTCCTGAGGTTATCGATGCTCTTGAGAGTTTCGATGAATAGATGCAGTTATTGAGTTAGGTGAAAATCATAGGGATAGGAGTAAGGTTATGTTTTGGCCTATCTTTTTATTCGTATCTTCCAACATAATATAAGGACGGAAGCGAATATCTAGATGCTACTGAAGATACTATTAGTGACAGTGTGGAATACAGTTTACTTATACTTGGAATTGAGATATATTCCTTCCTCTTCTCCCTTTTTGATCTGATCTACCGTCGTCTAAGTAAAGGCATACATATACTTGGCGTTTCACCTCTTTCTTCCATGGTCTCTGCATGATCACACTCGTGATATTAGAATAGGAACAGTAGATTCAAATCTCTTACACTAATGCATGGCTAACATATAACTAATTATCCCCGTACACGATAAAGCTTATCATGATCAGAAACAGAATACATCATGGGGATATCCACAGTGGATATGAAATCAGTACATCTCTAGCTTGGATGGACAACATGTTGATGAGGATGCTGTTGGTCTCATGAAACAGTACAGTTTTGTCGACACCTTGTTATGCCTTCAAGTTTGGTCGGGTCGAGCGAGATATTATACCCTCAGATGATACTTGGTAAGGCTTTGTTGTACGTGAGCAGTCGAGAACAAATAGCAGGACGATAAGCTATAGGCCGGGTCGATTCCTATATCTAAGAGATAGATTGCAAGTTATACCACCGAAAAAAAAAATCCCATAGATATTTAAAAGTAAGAAAGTAAATCCACAAGTCCAGCTAATGATAAGATATGGCCTGTCCTCATCACCCACCTGTAGTCTATGCAAATACTTACCTACAACTTGATATCAGACATAATCTCTCCATAAATACAATATCTAGATATACTACATCCCCTACAACAAAAACCCTTGCTCTACTATTGCCAGTCCACAGTCCAGGTTGTTCTAGATGTAGATCCCCAGTCTCCAACTCCAGCTCGACTGGACCTAGAGATCGGGGATTTTCTTTCTTGTAATCTCGATCTGGAATAGATGGATCTCGTTTCCTGATCATGTGGGGCAAGATATATATTTATCAACTGGCTCATCTGGGAGCGGTGGGGAAGTTAGCAAAGTTCGGTAAACTGGGGAATAATTGCGTGGAGTACGGAGTAAGTATGTATACTTATGCACGCATGCGGATTTGGTTTTAGGGCTGTGGACGCAGCTTGTTGTTATAGCGTGGGGGTGGAGATGTGTGACTTGAGTCCGGGGAAGGTTTCTTTGTAGGGCTTGGGTGATCTATGGATGCGTGGTGTTTTGATGGTTGATGGGGTCTATGGTATAGGTGATTTTTGGGAGGGAAGAAGCGATAGTGTGCTTCTAGAGTGTGTCCTGTGTGGTTATTATTGACTATGTAGTTCTGAAAAGTTAGATGGTACTTTTTTTTCTCTGTACCTTAGTAGTAGTGTGGTTCTAAGTAAGTATTTACATGGCATTTCTGTATGTAGCTTTTCGTATTGTGTTAGGTTGAGAGACAGAGATGCTCTGGACAGTTATACATATTCTGCATAGATACTCGATATCCAAAGCCCGAGAAAACACCCAGACGACAAAACCGTAGCGTAATCGCCTGTATCATACCAAAAGCACGCCTCCAAAGACAAGCTGCATATAGTGTTCTCGAAAACATCTAGCACTACTAACGCTCGCAGTGTCAAAAGTACGGTGTCCACCCGATCGTGGAGCTGGATGGAGCATCTGCTCCATACTTAGACCAGGGGATAAAGTGGCACCAAAGCAGATGCGGATCTGGCCCCCAAGAACCACCCTCACCCACAGTCTTGGGACTGCACTCTAAAAGGTGGTCTCCATATTCCTAAAGCACGATGACTCCATAATCTGCCTGAAAATGGGGAACATGGTCAGCCACATCAGATCTTATCTAGACTACTGGGTCCGCGGGCTAGCTATTTATCATACGAGGGGTCTCTCTGCTTGTCTGGTTGGAGATGGATGTTTTCAGACCCCGGATTTCGTGTCGATAACGACCAATATTGATTAGAAGGGACCTGAACACACGGTCGCGATCTGATTAGGGGGGACGGAGCGGCTCTAGCAAGGGGATATATAGCTGTGATTTGACTCGTGCATTTTGCAGTATGTAGAACGTGAACTCAGCACACAAAAGCCGGTTTTAAGCGTAGCGAAAATGTTCAAGTTCTAGAACTGTGCTACTTGGCAGCTCATAAGTGAGCCTTCAGCTATTGGGATGATTGTTTACTCGAAAACCAGGGCATGATAGGTCAAAAGACAAATGACTCGGCGATAATTACCGGTGATCCTTTATACAAGTACGTCTCGACCGAGAAGACCGCAGCCGAGACTTGATTTAGAATGCAGCCACGGCGCAAGGTCGGGGCAAGTTTTGCCATGTGTTGACTGGTCTGTACGCTCGCTCATCGTCCGGCATATTACTTATCACGAGAGGATGACCGATACGATCGCATTCTCTCGGAGTAGATAGCACTGGGAAATCCAGCAAGAGATACCGATTCACACGTGGTCATGGCGCCCGTCGAGAGTGGGAGGGACAGCGGCCGTCGCAGCAGCCCGCAGCGTGCCCGTATCGCGATGGGGACCGGCCAGGCGGATGTAGTTGCAAGATATGGGACCACAACGGGCGATCGTAACCGCTTGACTATCTAAGGGATGGTAAGCTTCGAGCAGAGGGGCTGAAACTTGCATGTTTCAAAAGAAGGTTCAATAATAACAACCATGGTGATAAATTGATCGCGCGGCATGATTGTCAAAAGGGAAGGTCAAAGAAATTGGCCTCACAGGATCATTCCTCGAGACACAAGGGTGATGAAAGAGACATGGGAGCGAGTACTATGACGCGGCCGGTTCGCAATAATCCCAGGGGTGCTGTTTCAATTACCGGTTGCAGGAGGGCCAGTCAGCCACAACAAGTATTGGAGTGGTAGTGTAGTAGTATATCGGAATATCCGCATCCATGGCACGAGTGTCTAGGGGTGAGAAGCGGCATGTCTCTGCCAGTGAAGTTATCCGGGTGACGACGATCACGAAGCCAAGGCGAGGCTGGACTTCTCTCTCTGTGTAAGACCAAACTCAAATGGGCGGCAGACGTGGTGGGATGCCGGTGCTTCTCCTTTGGAATGCCATGTATTCTGTATACCTGCCAATAATAGAAATCAGAAGGAGAGAGCATTTATGGTCCGTACTTGTGTTCAAGGCTAAAGAAGCTGGACGGACTGCCGATTGCGGTCATGTCCAACAGATGTGAGGTCTGTGGCGCATGAGAGCTGCAGCAATAACATTAACGACTCTGAAGTGAGCTGTTGACTGATCCGAGAGCTTGTTCGGAAAGATCACCCAATTTTGGTTCCGGACAAAATGGTCCTTTTGAGATATTATTTGATCTGATTACATGACATTATCATTATCATTTGTCCTTCTCCGCGGGAAACAACAGGATAGATAACCGATACTACTATCGGGCGGAGAGAGACTCACCATCACCATGCAACCCTAGCCCTAGCCCTAACACGCGATTCCTTCCTGAATAGGCCAAAGGTCTGTCCTCGAGTGCCGAGTCAATCATCATAACCATAACTACTTACCAGCCTCTCGAGAAAGTAGTAAGAATAATCAATGATCTACGAGTCTGAAGTGCATCTGCGACCTCACTTATCCGCACGCACGCTACTTCTGTGTCCTCCCCCTGCGCCAAACACGCTAGCAAAAAGAAGCTGTCGCACCCAATGATAATGACAGGTTGTCTTCCTTGTCCCTCCGTGTCACTTTACATCCCCGCGGACGGGCACATTCGGGCAACGCAATGTGATAGAACTGATGCTGGTTTCAGTGGTCCATTGACGGTGCATACTCGAGGCCATCAAATGGGCGTCAACTGAATGTTCTTCTTTAAAAAAAAAGACAGGTCAACAACAACTACAACAACAACAACAATAATGATTCAAGCTGGCTTCGAGAACAACGATCGATGCGTTGAAGAGGTCCCACTCCCCGCTCTGAGCCATCAAAGCCAGCGCGTATCTATCTCAGATTGCCGTTATGGGTCTATCCGCATCGGGGGATTTATTTATTCTCAACCTTCTGGGTCTCTGCATACTATACAGTCCCTGATGCAAAGAGGACAGTAGCAGATGGATGCCAGAAGCCCCGACACTGTACCTTCTACGCTATAGAAGCAGTCAATATTCGGAGGGACGAATTCGTAACAACACGCAAGAGTCGGTGACTTTGTTTGGTTAAGCTCACGTGGTTCTCGGACCGAAGGAGCTCTCTGTTTTTGGAAAAGCGGACAAGATTTTGGACTGTTCGAAGACCCTCTTGCCGGAGGCTTTGACGCCACGAAGCCGCTTAGGTGACACGCTATAAGAGCCAAGTCGCAAGATTTCGGCTTAGTGGCCTCTCAGAACCGTGCCGTTGGCTCGGGGTGGCAAGGTTGGAGTTGGCGAGGCTGAAGAAAGGGCCAGTAAGGAATGTGTACCCGCGATTATTGCTGATGACTTGCAGGGAAAGCCACGCAAAAGGGCTAGTGTCTGGACTCGTAAGAAAGAAACTCGCTCATGTCGGTATGTAACACTGGTCGGCGATCAAAAACACTCTCGAGGATGAGTTTCGTCATGGTGCCGAAAGATACTATCGATACTACTACCGAAACCGCGCTGAAATGGCTATGAGAGCTGACGCTCTTATTATCATTACTGTTCGTCGTGTTTACCTGAAACGGTGAGCCTCTGAGAGTAGCGATAAACCATGCCGGATCAGATAACTGACGGATCTTCGACAAGGGTCTGCATTTCAAGTCCTGACAGCGTCGATGGTGGTCCACTTTCGAAGCGGGAGAAGCCTTGAGGAAATCTCCATCCGGCGGAGACGATGGACCTGCGGTGGGCACGCGCCAAAACCGAATTCCCAGCAATGGCGAAAAATACTGGTTTCTAGAGGTTGAAGCTATCCATGATGGGCCGCTTGTCCCTGACCGTCCCTGACCTGAAGAAGAGCGAAGCCATGATCGCCATCATCTGCGGAGCAAGCCACCAAGATCGACCCGATGGCTGCGGCAGTGTTCGATGTTGTTGTTTACCAAGCTCATATGGGGTTAACTACGGTTTCTTCCTTGCTTTCCTTTTTCTCTCAAAAGGACACGTTTCTGCGACGAGATTAATATGACCAGTTGATAATAATAATATGTCGATATGCCTCTTCCGTCACGGTGGCAAATTGCGACTACGAAATCGGAGGCTGTTGAGGGAAAAACTGACCACTTGTTCACAGTAATAATAGTAATCCTGTGTGTCAAGGAATTCCTTACTGGACAGACGCAAGTTAGTGTGCGTGGAAATCGCGGCGCTGGGCCGAGGCTTACCGGCTTGGCGGATGTCGCGTGGGCAGGTCGGCCGTGGATATAGGGACTCCGAGCGTGCCCATATGTCTCGAGAGGACCTTTGGGGACGGGCTGGCGCGGATGGTTACCAACCCGCGGCATATTTGATATTATTATTATTATTATCCATTTAGCGTTTGTCTTATTGTACCATCGAAGGCGACGAGACTGCAGAAAAGAGATCACTAGCTGATGATCTGCTCAGTTGAGATAATGCCTGTCACATCGCACATGGGGATATCTCCTATATCTAGTATGATCTATCTCTCCAGTTCGGAGACCTCTACTGGGATATGGATGGGGATTCCTCGCGAGCTATGCGGTTTGCACTGCAGCTCGATTCAAAAGCATATGGCAAAAGGCGGTTTCACTAATGCTCGCGCCTATGACGAAAGAGCGCGCCAGCCGTTGAGACCGGACCCTGGACGGCGAGCGACGCCGGCAAATGTGGCCTTGTCTGCTGCAGTTAGAAATGTTGGGAACTGCCGCCGGGATCGGGGCTATATGAGACACAGCGCGCTTTTCTCGGCTTGTACGTTTGTTTAATACGCCACAGAGATTTTCACTTTTTTTTTCCCGGAGGGGGGCGTTATCCGTAATATATTATTTTCTATTATTATTATTTGTTATCCTTTCTTTTGGTTAAGCTGGGAACGCTGCCATAATAATTGCTGCCAGCATATACTGATAATAATAATTATCCAGTGGCTAGGCGATAAAGGTGTACAAACACATCGGAATATTTCCACTAGCCGGTGTGATACACATGGCCTGACCCGATCGAGACCCTCGACAGTGCAGCTTGATCACCGCTCTTGACCGCTGTGGTTGGATGTGTAGGCGTTTTACCTTTGCCAATGCAGCATGCATCCAGCACTCTGATTCTATTCCAATTTCCAACCACGTACGCTACTGAGCATTGGACGCAGCTAGATGTCTCGAAGATGATGATAGTGCTACCCTTCGATGGCGACGGTCCTTCTTTTTTCAGACTCGCGCGTTCAAGTATGAATTGGTTCCTTTCATGGGGTTGTTCGAGTGACCTGGCGGTGTGGTATTATTGATGCCTCCTCCGACCTCAAGAGGATATAACCGTCCGTGCTAGTGGCATTCTGGAACGCTACAAAATTGTGGCCGCCTGATGACGAACAACGCAAGCATACCGGACTAATATAAGCTTCGAGGGCCTTTTTCCAGCTAGGAATCTGAGTCTGTGATCCTCGCCGACCTACTACTACTACTACTACCCGCCGTTCCCCGGTGGTATCAACCCGTTTCGGGAGCAGATCTCCTCCCATCTGCCTCCTGTACGGAGTAGCATTCAGCCAGAGGTCAAATCGATCGGGACGGAGGTCGAATGATAACCCCAGGATGATCCTGGAAGGGACAGATATCCGGCAGATCCTCCAAAGAGGCCCAGCAAGCACAGGGGGGGCCGCGATTAGTTTAGAGTACTAGAGTACGTAGAGAACGGTGAACCTGGCTGGCGTCTTCGGCCCGGATGCAGACAGGATCCAATGGGCAGCAGTGATGGTGAGAGTCTGGACGCAGCAGCTCATCAGAAAGGAATTGGAATCCGACCAGCAGCGTGATGCCAGCAGTAACTGGACAAGTTAGAGTTGATATGGAACAATCCGACGGGCAGGGATGGGGGGACTAGACTAATAATAACAATCATCCATCTCGAGAAATACGTACCTCGAGTGAGTTGCTTTCTCCTCATCTCCTCACGAACCACTGACGACAAGCCCGCTGTTCTCGTCTCTTTTCCCACTCTTCCGCCCCTCCACCAGATCTCCCCTCCCCTCCCCCTCGGTCGCGTTCTGGTTTTCCCCTCGTCGCGTCTCCTCCTCCGCAATCCTTCCTAGACTAGATACTGTATCAGTGTATCTAGCCTCGTAAGACCAAAAACAGAGTGTGTCCGGCACGGGACGGGATAGCCCAGCGATCCCAGCGTCCGGAGAGAAGAAAGAACCGCAGCAGATTTGTTATTTATTATTATTGTTCATTAACTATTACTTACCATAATTACTTGTACTGATACCAAGCCAGTGGGTGTTCGACAATTACTTCCGTTGTCATCGATCAACAGCAATGCCAATGCAGCATGATCTTAGATAGAATTCCGCATCCGTCTTTTTTTGTTTGGTAATCAATCCATATCCATATCGATATCCATAACCATAACTATCCATAATAATAATCCATAATCCATGATCCATTATTCATATCTCTTGTGGCATCTAAGTATGTTGTAGTAGTAACTAAGTACCGTTGAAGTACACTTGCGTCACCAAAGTGCGGCCAGGGTACGAGCCGGGTACCTCCCGTGCTTGTTCCTGTTGTGAAGTACCATAACTTGTTGGGCACACGGCCTGTGCAGCTTACAGCCACATCCCCTCCCCCCCAGCAAAGCACAACAATCTCCAATAATCTCCATTATTCTCTCTCTCTCTCTCTCTCTCTCTCTCTCTCTCTCTCTGTCTCTCTTACTCTTTGACTTTTTTCTCCCCCTTCATGTTCTAAACCGTCTTCTGCTGTTCGCTTTTCTTTCCTCCCCGGCCCAGATTCGGAACGGATCCTGATTGATTGATTGCTTGCGCCGGCCCAGCCGTCTAGTCTAAATCTTCTAGTCTACCTAATCCTCTAGTCTAGGGCCAACCCGAAAAAAAGCCATCCCTCTCTGTGATGATAACGCACCGGCTGTGAACGGTTACTACTTGGCCATCCTTTCCAGTCGCTCCCAGCTCTCGGCTTTTCTCTTCATCTTGCTCGGTTCACGGACCAGGCGCAACTCACGGCTACGGAAAATACGGTCGTTTTCAAGCGTTGGGTAAGTTACAAACCAATTTTTTTTTTCTTTCTTTCTTCTCGTTAAACCTCTTTCGCCTCTTGCCTCCCGGAGTTACGATCGTCGAACTCTCTCCGTCTCTCTCGCTCTCACTCTCAACTCTCACTCTCAGTCTAACCAAAAGTCCCCCCGAGTCCGTCTTCCCTCCTGTCACGTCTTCGACGACTCTTTTCTCTCCTCCCCTCGAAATCTTAACGCCACCCTCTCTCCCCTGTCGTCCCGAGACGGTGGTCCCCCGTTTGCCTTTTCCTTTTTTTTCCTCTTCTTCTTTCTCTTAACTCTTTTTCGCTTTCCCCCCCCCTTCTTCTTCTTCTCCTTCACACATCAGACCCGCCTCGTCCTCGCATTCAGGTTTAACCACGTCGTTGTTCAAGCCTCCCGCCGTCGTTTAGATCCTGGCCACACTCGGGCCAGTCTCGCGCGTCCATTGACGCGAAGCAAAGCCGGCTAACTAACAATTCATCTCCAGCACCGCTGGTTGTCAGACCCACTCAACGCCGCTTCTGTGGTGGATACAAGAACCATTGACTCTTTTTGACAACGTGCGGATAAAAAAGACTGTTCCCACACAACTCGCTTCTCAGGTGGATGACCGTGGGGAATTCCGATTAAGCATCTTTACCTCAGCTTACCCTCTGCACCGGTGGAGTCAGATCTGATCCTCCCTCTCCATCGTTCTTTTCGACTACTAGCCATCGACCGTCTCCAGTCTCCTCCCACTTTCGGTTGTTGTTGCCCCTACCCCGTGTCAGACGCGCCTTGTTACCCATCGCGCATCAGCCTTCAGGTACGTTTTTCCTTTGGATGTTCGGACACCGGTGGAGCCAAGGCCTTTTTGAGTTGACTCGTGTATCTTGCAGACATTGAGGAGTAACCCTTGAGAGATTCAAGGACGAAAGAAAAAAAAAAAGAAGAGAAAGGGAAAAAAAAAAGAAGAAGAAAAAAGATCGAAGAGAAAAGGATCCTACGATCAATGAGCGCGGTAGTGTGAACATCACTTGGTTCGAAACTATCTCTGCACTCTCCTCCCTATCTCCACGATGGATCCCAGATCTCACCCTTCGCGGCCTCCGTCGACTTCCCTCCCGCAGGGTTCGACTCCTCTGTCGAGTATGCCAATGCCTCAGTACCAGATGCAGCCTCAGTATCCTGTGTCGCAGGCACACACTCTGCCTCCTCTGCAGCCGCATCACAGTCAGTCGCCGGCGCCTCACTACATGGGCCAGCCGTATCGCCCTGACATGTCGCGCTATCCCACAACGACCGCTCATGAAATGTACGCGTCTTCTACGGCGCCCATGCCACCGCATACCACGGTGGGCAGCCTGCCTCCATCGTCGTTCCTCACGCATTCGGCCCAGCACGCGCCTTCGCAGCAGCCGCAGCAGTACCACTCCCCCCATCTGCTGCCCCCAGCGTCCAGCGCCCAGAGCTACCCTCAGCCCATTGCACCCGCACCTCCGCGTGACCGCCGACCGGACTTTGCCTCTGTGCCGTCCGGTGCGTTCAGCTATCCCGATGGCAAGGCCCCCGTTTGGGCGAGCCCGGACATGACGGGAGCAAATGGTGCCGCTTCCTATGGAAAGGAGCCGCCACGCACTCAGGTTGTCGGATCTCAGGGAAGGAGAGGCATCCTCCCGAGCGTCCCGGGTCGGGCGGCGGTTGGCAATGGTGTCAACGGTACTACCAAGAACACCACCATTCCTGCAAAGGATGCGGATGGAAAGTTCCCCTGTCCTCACTGTAACAAGACCTATCTGCACGCGAAGCACCTTAAGCGTCATCTCCTCAGACGTGAGTTGATCCCCCGTTCCTGTCTCTTTTTCCCCTTGTTGCTTTCTTCGAGTGAACATGTATACTGACGTGCATCACTTACCTTGGTAGACACCGGTGACCGGCCTTACATGTGCGTTCTCTGCAAGGACACGTTCTCTAGATCCGACATCTTGAAGCGCCACTTCCAGAAGTGCTCTCTCCGACGAGGTAACCCGACGGGTGCGAGCCATTTGTCGCACCCCCAGGCACACCTGAAGAGGTCACAAGCAGCGGCGAATGCTGCCAAACCTGTTCAGGACGAAGTCAGTAACTCCATCCCGCCTTCCAATGGCTTAGTGGGTACGACTTTCGGCGAGGGGGCCGTGAACGGTAATGGGCTGGCCTCCAGCCGGCCCGGGTTCACGGAGCAGCAGCCTCTGGGATTTTCGATGTCCTCTGTCAATGGGATGAACCGTGGTCATACGGACAACGCGTACTCCCCTGGGCAGGCGCATCAAAGAGCCTCTTGGATGGCTGCACCCAAGCAGAACCCGTACCTCGTCCAGCCTGGTAATGATGCACATGGCCACCAACTGAATGTTGACCTTCCTCCCATTGAACAGGCTAAACCTCCGGTTGTTCACCAAGACCCCAAGCGTCCAGTCATGCCAGGACAGCACCCGAACCACCCCGGCGAGATTGACTGGACCACGATGTTTCAACCCGGAGCTCACGATGGTTACATCAACACGGTGTTCCCTCAGTCTATGGCGCCAACCCACGAACCGATAAATGCGCAGGTCAATGCACATGTCGATGCCGAAAGGAAGTACTACCCCGCTACGACTGCAGGACATCAGGAGGGCGGATTGAATGGTCTTTACCTGGCGTCGACCACGTTGGGCGGTGATGGTACGTTCTGTCCTACTACTCCGGGTGTAAGAGAAGTTGTTAGCAGGTAGCGGTGGACTGACGGATTTGGTTTTTTTCTCTCTTGTTTTCACAGGCACTGTCCAGCCTGCAAGACAATAAAGCTACAGCTGAAAGAAAGGAATTGTCCGATGGCCGATTTGTGAGATGTTATCGCCCTTGATTTCAATTTTAGAAAAGTCATGGTCACTTTGGCTATGCGTTGTTATGGGGTCGTTATTTCCGTTGGTCTGTTATGAGCTCGAGCCCAGTTTGGCCCAGAATCTTTGGGGGGGCCACCCATCGGCATACCATATGCTAGACAAAAATGCTCGACTGGCCGGGATGACAAAACAAATTGCAATTGTCTCTTTTTGGCCGCATACATGATAAGTCTGTGGCTGTCAATGTGATGCCTCTTGCAGAATCAACGGACGGATCGGCTTCTTCAAAATCCTTTCTGGCCGGCATTTCCTCTACAGCAAGTGTGGCGCGACGGCGATTTCAAATGTGTTTCTTTTTCGATCTCTTCTTGAGGGGCAGATGGTGGGCAGGTGGTTTATCCGGCGTCAATACAATAGACTTGGGCATGTGTTTCGTGTGTTTCTCGTTTTCATGCACTCTCATTTCTCTTCATCTGGAAAAAGAATTCGAGGGCGGTCGATGTCATCATATCGGTTTGTTTTACGGTCCGTGTCAGAAAGGGAAGTCTCCGGATTGTGTTCGCATCACGTTTACGGCCGTCAAATCAGCATTTTCCAATCAGTCAGTCAGTCAGTCATGTAACTAGCCTACCTCCTCTACGCGGACATATTCCTGTGTTCTGGTTGGAGAGTGGGTTGGTCGATCCGCTGCCTTGTTTACTTGCTCCACTTTGTTTCTGTTCCGCCAACTGCTGCTCTATGCGACCGAGTCGAATAGCTGGTGTCTGGTTTTGTGGTCCAGTCCTTCGCATCGCCTCTCGTGTATACTGCATGTTTTCTTCGACATCATTTCGGTTGGTGCCTTGGGAGTCTGGCTTTTGATAAGCGGGACGAGTCATGTCGCCGCTTGGAATGTGTTCGGGAAAGGAAAGAAACAAAAGCAACTTGCCAATCGATTTTTCAAAATAAAGCGCAACGATTACGCTTTGACGGAAAGAGAAAAAAAAAACAACATACAAAATGGCAAAAGCAAGTCTAGAATCGCAATGGACCCGCCGACCAAATACTCCCAGACACGGAAGGAAAGAGGGAAACGAAAAGGAAAAACGACAAAAAGAAAGCTAAAAAAAAAAGATAAAAGAGAGAATTCATCGGGCAAGACTCTTGTGTACTGTTCACTCCTGTCATCAATACATGGTTTGATCTGCATTGCGGAGCTACCCACTGCTTTTGTCAGTGGTAAAATGTTTTAGAGTTAACACCGAGTACTTGTTTCGCGTCATCAATGGCTGTTGCATGCATTTGTTAGAGATCTCTCTTATCTGTGTCTTGAGTTTTATGTTCTTATCATATGTTGGGAAAGAAGAGTACCGGTTAAACAAATGGAGAAATTCTTCAATAAGTCGTCTTGCTTCGCAGGAAGCGTATATTCCAGTTGTAGAAGCGACCCGTCCGAGATCTGTAGCCTAAACAATATTTGTCCTATGGAGTACTCCTGTATGCGATCTTGCACCGCAAGCTCAGATACATCACCCCGCGCATCTTATCTCCAAGACTAACTAATAATATGTAATACATCATTGGGCCCCATCTTAGGTAGTTAGTTATCCAAACACTCTAATAATATCTCCCTACAAGTCCCATAAAAAAAATAAGCAAAAAGGGTCTCGGCATCCCCACAACATGGGGCCTGCCAAAAAAATAAAAAAGAGACTATTAACCCCTGAACCTTAGACGTGGTAAGGTTGCGGGATCAACTCCACCAGCGAGACCCATTTTGGCACCAGACTGTCGGATTCGGATCTCGCGTTGCGGAGAACTATGTACCTTTCCCCCCTGAATCAGTGACAGTGTGAGTTTGGTTCGGTGGATGAAAAGGTAAGGTTATTTATGCTCAAGCTCAAACTTACCCAGAGAGAGAGAGAGAAAAAGTTAGGTTTGGATTTCCGGACCATGATCCAGAGGTAGTTGGGAATGGTATGCGGGGGTTTAGTCCGGGGGGGGGGGGGGGGGGGAGGAAGGACAGGGAAGTTTAACTTGTATTTGAGAAAGGTTTTCGATTAGGTTTACTGAAGTATCGGGATAGATGGGATAGGATGGGTCTTGAGGTAAGTAGTTTAATTTAAGGTGATTCTGTTTTTTTGCTTCGTGTGATACTTACTCTTACTACTTGCATGTATGTATGTATGTATGTAGATACTGCGTTGGAATAGAATAGAAGGGGGGGGGGGGGGGGGGGGGGGGGGGGGGGGGGAGGGGGGAGGGCCCGATAACTAGGGATTATCTGAAGAGAAGCGAAGAGTAATCTTTGACTATCTAGGTAGTCTTCTGTATCTACAGAGTGCAGACTAACTAACTTACTGAACTGTACTGCTATAATAATAACTATGGTAGTTACGTATGTTACTTGCATCGGTTGATCTTGTCTCTCTGTTTACTTCCTTTCTATCTATCTATATATCTATCTATCTATGTATCTACTATAAGTGAACTAGCGAAAAGCCATAGTTAGGTTTAGGTTCTTGCTATAGATAGAGTACGATGGAATGGAAGCTTGAGAAACGTAACTCTGATAGCTAGGTTACAAGAAATGAAGCGTTTCTAGGGGCTTTAAGAGGACGGTCAATTGATGGATTATGTCAAGATATGGAGTCGTGTGTGTGTGTGTGTGTGTGTGTGGTCGGATCTTGAGTAATTAGGTACATAGTTGATAACTGCTTATTTTAATATCTCGCTATCTCTCTCTCTCCCGAACAGTTCCCTTCCTTCCTTCCTTCCTGTCGGATCTTGTCTCAAAGATGGCGGTTATTAGATGATGATACGCATCTATTTACCATCCATCTACTCATCCAGCCGTATGCGGGGGGAAAGTAAGAATAAAGCCTACTAACTATGTATATACGTTACATACACATGTTGTAGTTATAACCCGGCGACGATCCGGATCTTGTATACGTCAATCAATCAATCATATAAGGAACGTACTGTATGTTATGTATATGTTTAATCCATCGAGCATCGTCATCGAGCCGGGGGTGGGTGGGGGGGATTTGATCCGATTTTTAATTTCTTGGGGTCCAGTCTTTCTATCGATTTTTAGATTTAGCTCTTGTGGAGATCATGTAGTTGACTAATCTTGCGTTTTTTTTTTTTTTTTCTTTTCCCTCCATATTCGAGAAGTTTAAGATTAAGAAATAAGAATAAGAAAAGAAGATTGTTATTCTTCAGGGTGAAAGAGAGAGGCAGATATGCGTGATTTTTTTCCCTGCTCTGAGATATATCTCGATATACGAACTATCCATCTATCTCTTAATATCCCAGAGGACGAGGAGAGGAAAGAAGAAGAAGAAGAAGAAGAAGAAGAAGAAGAAGAAGAAGAAGAAGAAGAAGAAGAACATACAAGCGACTATATCCATCATCTTAAAAGGGGGTATTTACTACACAACACAAAGTTTAATATATCCCCGTTAAAACAAAAAGAGGAATTATCTAAATAAACAAGCACCTCGAAAGGTCCACTCGAGTTCATTGAATGAGAACGAGAGCTGCAGTATATATATACTGATAGTTTAAGTAGAAGTACTATAAGTTACCTATGCTCGGGGGCGGTGGCTTATGTATAGAATAAGGAATTCACGCGATGTAGTAGTAGCAGCGGCTAATGTTGCGGATTGATTTAGTCGGGAGGTTGATATATGGGCTGAATGCTAACTAATGGGGGGCATACAAAATGGATGGTTATCGCTGGGTGAAATGTAGTTTTTAGATATGCGTTGAAAGTTTCTCGTCTTCTGGCGCGGTAACTTGATTTTTAGGGGGCGGTTTTTGTATTTGAGATATGGTTTTGTATATTCAAGACTAACTTATGTGGACCGGGTTACTTCTTTGAATAGTTATGCTGCAGGTCAGTGGATAGTCCAATAGGAATGCAATATAGTATTCAGATGAACTGCAAAGCATGTTGATGCTACTGATCGATGCTACAGACTAGAACGGCATGTGTGTAAATGCTTGTCACAAGCTTTTTTCTATTCGTTGTAGTCATTAATCGTACTGATCTAGGGACACCTGCTTGGAGGACGGAAGATAGTTCCCATATTGTCCCTTGGCTACCCGTGCCCTGCTGGTCGTGCCACTTCTAATTCCCGGCTCTCTCGGAGAGTCCTGTGTCCTTGTATGTTCTCGCTCTCCTCGCCACCCAGTCTAGAGGCACCTGTCTAAAAGAGAGGGAAGACATGGTCCTCCGTAAAATGAAAACCCAGATCAGAAAGTACAGTCACATATCCCGATAAGAGTCTTATCCGGTCTTTTCTCTGAAATCACGCCGTAAAACGCCTTAGTGCATAATTATCACAGTGTGCAAATGAGTCAAAGTCCACTCGTCGCCGTTATAGACTCAGCTGGTCGACGCTCCCTACCCTGCCGCGCCCGCCTAGTCGACCACCCCCTTTCGTTACCATCCCGAGTCGATAGAAGCGTTCTTCGCCAGCAGCTGTCCGCCCGCCAATATACCACTTTTCTGTCCCGAGAGCATCCCGGAACCCGCCTGAGCCGCTGGAACTGTCACTTCCCCGGCGATTACGTTCGCCAGGGTAAGTAATAGGGATAGGTGTCGATGTTGATGGAGATGAAGATGCAGGCGAGAGTGGAGTAGACGCTGAAGCTGGGGAAGCCTCTTGGGGGCTGAGCGGTGTGCGCGTATGCGAATGAGGCCGCGACGGATTAGCGGAGTGATGATGATAGTGGTGACTGGAGGCTGCTTGAACGGCTGCTGTGGTGGAGGTAGACGATGGTTGGGTCGAAGCGGTCTGCGTAGTTGCAGCGGCGGATGACGACCCTGTGTTGGTCTTGGTCGCTATCGTGCGTGCACTCGACGATATCTGAGAGGAAGGTAGGGAGGACGCTCCGCTGGCGGCTTGCGATCCGGCTGTCGACGTCTTGTAGGCTGACTGTGCTCGAAAGGCGGCCAGGAAGTTCGATAGGAAGGGTCGATTGGTGGACATGATGATGTTTGTGAGAGAAGGAGGGCTTCCAGACTGCGAACTCGATGGAGCAGACATGGGAAATGCTTCTAGAAGGCTGAACAACTGTCCGAAGTGATACCTTCCCTGTGATATAGGTTTTGAATCGTCTCCGGGACGATCGGAGGATGATACCTCAGTAGGACCTTGCGGGTGGAGAAGGCCAGTAAATGAGTTGAGTCTTCAGGAGTGATGGTGACGCTCGAGTCATGCAAGTGATTCGAAACAAATGCTCCCTGCCGGAGACTTCCGCGTAAAGAAGGTCGATTGATCAGGCAGCTTTTGAGGTCAAGAAAAGGTCATCAGTCAAGAGTGAAGTCTGGGGGAGGCGATAACGGTCGCCAATCAAGCGCTTGGCGTAACCAATCCGGGGAAGCAGTGATGGAAGCAAGACCGTGAGGTCTGCGGGCTTTTAAGGCACTTCAGTGCATCTGGGCCTGGACGACCGGGGACGTTTCAAATGGGCAGACGGAAGATCGCCTGGAGAGAAGTACGGATTTGGTTGGACAAACGCTGGCCTGCGATGCGGGAGAGCCGCGGTTTCAGCCAGGCAGCGGATGGTGGCAATTGCGGAGAGCAGAGGAGAGGAGAGGAGAGGAGAGCAGTGGATGAGTTGTTTCTTGTCTGCGAGTTTCTGTCTGAGATGATCGATGGACGCAGATGGCGCAGACGATGGACGATGATGGGGATGATGACGGTAAGGCTGGCTAGTTATTTCGTCCAACTCAGGGAATTCTCGGGTTCGCCTGGAGGGGTTCGACTTGCTCCTCCACGCTTAACCGCCGGCCTCCACCACGCGATGCTCCAAATCCAATCATGCCGTCTGCTTTTATCATCCGGCCATGTCTATCTCGCTTCTCGCAGAGTCCATCGCCAACCCCGCGGTCCAGCCCAAGTGAGCCTCATGCCGTGGTGCAAGTACGTCTGTTCGCCATGAGGGGAAACCGGCTGGATGTTGTCCAGCAACAATGCGCTTCATGCCGCTGCTCTGTCCGTCTTCGAACGCCTACTTGCCGGATCCGAGTTCCTCTAGAGAAAATCCCGGATTCGCATCCATTATTCTCCTCCTCACGGCACCCTGGAGAACAAGACATTGTCCGATTTTCTAGGCATGGTGATCGTCTCCCCGCATTGTACTTAGGACCATGACTCAATAATAAGGACTCGGGACAAGCCACCAGCGATTCAGCTTACCGGAAGGCCATAACCGCCGTTGCGTGACAGCAGCGGTGACGGCGATATATGTCCAATGGTATACCAGCTGAGATGTTATATTCGGTGTTCCCGACTACTTTTACCGTACTGTGGCCCCAGGGCCATAGCATGAGATGGAACAACGTACTAATCCGACACAAGAGTCACCCGAATGCTGGATCCCATGCCAAACCCTGGATAGCTAGGCATTAATGTACATCTTGCGGTCATCCAAACGGTGAACAGATGGAGATGATCAGAGGAGGATCGTCGGACATCATCCACTGCCATATCAGCCATTTTTCTGCATCGACCTTTTGTCTACTGTACGTAGTGTTTTTGACTCGCAAGTTTGCTCTAGATTTGGATATCACGCAACCACGAGACATTCAACGAGGGGTAAATACTTCGTACAGAGCTCCGGAGCCGCATAATTATATCAGAGTCTCTTCTAGCCGCCAAAGGAGACGCTGTGGGCTTAATCTGTACGGGTAATCAAAGGAGATACTCTGGTGACCTGCTCTTCATATACCAACACTCGTTCTTGGTGTCTGGAGTTCCTGATATTGCACTGTATATACCGAAAGAGGCAATGGATATAAAAGGATGGTAGACACACGACAACCTGATACGAGCAGTAGCCCGGACACACAACATGTCTAGATAATCATGTACAGATGCCATTTTCTAATAAACGACCGCAACCCAAGCATAAGTATAGATTCTTCCATATTCCTCCAATCCCATAATAGACGGGATGTCCCGGAGTCTTCTTTACATCCTCAAGCCCAACGGTCCAATAAGCTGAACTCGACAGGAAGTCCGTCGGCTACTCGCGGCTATATCATAGTCACAACCTGCCTCACGAAAGACCGACGTCCATATTTGCTCAGCAACGGCTTGCAGGTCACGCAGTGCACCGCACATCCGCGGCCACGCGTCGGAATCATCTGGCAGCCAATCCAGGAAGCGAAACAAGACTATTTCCTCTCCACCTAATCATGCATAGATAATAAAGGGATAGAAAAAGACTATATCAGATTGCAACGAATGGACCGTATGCGGTAAAATACTCCGATTGAGGGATACTACCTTTCCGGCTCTAGTGGGCGCAGAAGAAGGTGGTAGTAAGATATATACATACTCTGGCTGTCAGCAGGTACAAAGCAGCTAGGAGAAAGTCCCTCAGTCGGCAGATCCTTGGTGCAGGGTGCCGTAGTAGTACTAAACTATATTACCAGATAGATGCCCGAGCACCGGCCACGCACCGTTTCCGGTTTATCTTCGAAGAATCGGGTGCATCCTAGTCGACCTTGCAGGTTCGCCGGTGGGATTTGCTGGTCGTTTCGGATGAATGTCCGTTTGTATATTCCGTAACCTGGGGTCGGATCTCGGCGAGGTGCAGTGCGGAGGGTGAAGCGGCTGGTGTTGTGTTTGGCTAATTCTATTATTCCTGATTTCTTCTTGAACTGTAATGGTTCGTATCTAGACGCTATATTTTAAAGGGAGTTTCTGGATTTGATAGCGATAATGTAAGCGCGTTGACCTGAAGTTGGGTTGTAGTTATAGTACCTCCTCTGGTCGGTGTTGGTGATGGTCTTACTGTAGAGTCTTGGGTCTTGCGTGAGATCTGTTATTGATGTGATGATTATGATCGAAGGGAACGCTGTTGCTCCGTATTTATCTTATGGATTAATCGATGGAATCTACTGATTCGGATTTGAAGTAACTCCAAGAAGGCGAGTAGGATGCATATCAGAGGAGATATGTATAGAAAGCCCCCAGTGGCGCTACGACATATTATGATTTGGGAAATTTTGTGTTGTAAATCCAAGTCTAAGAAAAGGAATACGGTTCAACAGCCTCGAATCAAAAGTCATCCCAAGCTCGCAATTAAATTAGATACGGCTCGATAGGTAACCACAATCGAAGAGATAGAATTTGCATGCACATATGAAAGCTGGAATGATCATCCCCACTCATAAATTTACTCAGACACGACCTCCAATCCTAGGTACGGCAAGAGCTTGTCTCTGCCGAAATCCTCAAAGCCATGAAACTTCACTCCGAGAAGCTTGAACACGTTCTCATCGGGGATTCTCGCTCCTCTGTACATGTACCCGTGGTTGTACAGGCGGAACATGATGTCGCGATCCTGTACTCCAGTCGTTTGGAGGACTGTATATTTCACGTGCTTTCCGGAGACTGGAGTGTGTTAAATACGTCAGTACACTTTTGTTATAGTAGCAAGTGATATATGTATGATGATGACAAAAGGATCGTGGGATAAGGGAAGAAACTAACGTTTCTCGATCGCCTCGGAGATTTCACTCTGTGCTATCCTTGTGTTCATGGCATATAGGTATTTGTGATTTAGTTCTCCGTGTTTAGTATCCCATTGATCGAAGATGGCTTTGACGATTGCAGATAAATCTTTCTCGACGTAAAGCATAGCCACTATTTCGCTTGGGTTAGCATCTGAATCATGCATTGAGAAGATACAGTCTGTAAATACGTAAATCATACATCTTGTCTCTGGTAGCAATATGGGTTGCGTAAACTCAATAATGTCTTGCTCCTTGTCATACTTCACGTGGTTTCTGTAGATGAGGTTCTCGTAGAACGTCCCCGTGTAGACGAATACTCCTGGGAGATTGATTTCGCGGATATACTCGTCTACATGGTATTTTCCTAAGGAAAGAGTCAGCACGGAGTGATTCTATGAACATGTTAAGGATGTGATATGTGGTACTGTACCTTCATAGATGCGCGAAACGAGTTTACCCTCGGACAGCTTTTCCGAACTAGGAAGTGTACTCCATACAAAACACTGCACGCCTGCGTCCAATGCGGCCTTTGCAAGATGCTTTCCCTGCTGCTCTTCGCTGCCAGGATCATCCTTTATGCTCTAGATAGGACACATGATATGTCAGACCCTAATACATTTGGCCGGAAACACCATACATATAGGAGGTACATGCAGTATCGTAAAAGTTCGTCACTCCAAATACGCCCCAGCAGCCCTCCAAGGCCGGTGGGACGTCCGAAGGTACCGTTAGATCGGCTCGAACGATCTCTGCCCCGAGGCCGGCAAGTTCCCTGGCAGCTGCAGAATCCGGGTTTCGCGTGAGGGCACGTACTCGATATTCTTCTGGGTGGTGCAGGAGGAGCTTGGCAACTGAGCCACCTGTGATTACTTCCAAGTTAGTAGATTACCGTGGAGACCAGATGTCCACGTACCTTGGTTACCCGTGGCACCTGTAACAGCTATCAACTTGGTCATTTTCAAAGCAGCTAAAGAATCTTTAGAAAGAGTTTCGTCTCCTTGGTACAGAAATCACAATCAATTTGTCTCTCACTTCTCAGAACTGAGAGGGGCTCATATATCGCTGCCTCCGCTCCTTATTAAGCTCCCCATGTTGGCAATGCGGGGTCTGCAAATAAGTCGTACAACCAGATGTATAGTTAAGCAGTATAAGCAAATTCCGCATATAACTATCAGCCAGGACGGAATGCCTTCCGACCTATTCCCAATATAGAGGAGACAACAGCTGTCGTGCTCTACTTTCCTGTTTTTGAAGATACTCTACTGGCCAATATTATGAGATGGTGGATCCATGAACGTATGCCCTGCATAAGTGGGATAGGCCATATATTTGAAATACAGTGTTTCCGACTTGTGAGTGGAAGGGTTAATCAAGTATCCTCACGGATGATCGGCAACATGTATGTACCTAGTTAGGGCTTCATAGTGGTTGCTAGACGTGGCATAGCTCTTGAGAATTGCCGTATGCCTTTGTCCGTGTGAGATTTTGATTACATATCCGGCAGGTTTGATCGAAATGATGAAGGGTACATATCCGGGGTTGTTGGTGTTCTACAAGCCTCGGATTTGCGAAAGGCTGCAACTGGCATGGAGAATCGAATTACCAAGCTAATAGCTAGTATGTAATTCAGGGCTCAAATCACTTCGTGCCGTAATTTAGCACCAAAGAAAACCACGACCCGTGAGAACAATATAGTCAATTATAAAAAGGCTGATAATTACCTAGAGGTATTATTCTGATCATCGAAGAGAGAGAAACAAGGCGGGACATTCATACCGCCTTATACGTCATCAACCGTTTATTTCCGGCAGAAAACTCACCGCCATATGAACCCGCGGATGACGGGAAAAGAATGATGGGATTTCGGAATGCATTTCGAGATCATTCTTGGGGAGCCAGGGAGCTACAGTCTCCAATCCCACAACCGATACTCGAGAGACATACCTGTTGTGCTGTCAATTGACCCTCAACTGTAAGTATTCTGCGCCATTTTGTCCTATTATTGCTGTCTGCACCTTCTGTTGGCAAGGGATCGTCACATCATACGACTAGGGGTGATGGTTTTCCCCCACATCCTTACGTGAGAGATCACTATCCCTACGCATTTACAGCTCTTTCGAATGCCTGGAGTAGTCTAGTTTACTCAATTCCACTGAATATTTGCCTCTGTCTGCAAAACTACAATACCCTCTGGCTTATTTGTCTAATAATTTGCTGTGGTAACACTAAGACAGCAGGGCTCACGGTTTTCTAGTTTCCGCAACGCTGACATCGTCCAATGCTTCCCCGATAAAGTAGTCACTGACGCCCTATAAACATGGCTGCAAGTTCTGCATCGTTGGCTTTCAGAAGCCGTCTCCACACAAGCTCTCGAGCCTTGTCCCTTTCCCGTTGCCATCATCGGCCATCGCTTTTGCAACGACAAGGTGGCCTGCGATCACTGATCAACAAGAGAGATGCATCGACAGGTGAGGATTTGAAAAAAGAAGTTTCCAAGAAGGCGAGTGAAGTTCCTAAGAAGGCGGGCAATGGGCTCAGGAAGACAGTCTTGGGTACCTCTTTGCTTTTCACCCTCCTCGCCGGTTACGTCTACTTCACCGATACCAGAGCGAGCATCCACAGATACGGCGTGGTTCCAATCGTCAGGCTTATATTCCCGGATGCGGAGGATGCTCACCACGAAGGTGTAAAGGGGCTTAAGAGACTATATGATTTGGGCTTGAACCCTCGCGAACGTGGTAATCCGGATGCCGATGGTGTCCTGGCGACTGAGGTACGTTACCCTAGTCTCTGCAAGCCATGGACAGGGCCTTATCGTAATTCCAATGTATATAGGTGTTTGGCTACACACTAGCTAATCCTATCGGCATTTCCGGTGGTTTGGATAAACACGCCGAGATCCCCGACCCGCTATTTGAATTGGGAGCTGCGGTTGTCGAAGTTGGAGGAACGACACCATTGCCCCAGGAAGGAAACCCACGTCCTCGTGTCTTTCGCCTTCCCTCTCAGTGTGCCATGATCAACCGTTATGGTCTCAACTCGAAGGGTGCCGACCACATGGCTGCTGTCCTGAAACAGCGCGTTCGTGAATTCGCCTATGCTAGTGGGTTTGGCCTTCACGATGTTGCTGAAAAGCTGGTGCTGGATGGTGAAGCGGGTGTTCCTCCTGGAAGTTTGGTTCCTGGAAAACTGCTTGCCGTGCAGATCGCGAAGAACAAGCTCACACCCGATTCGGACATCGAAGCAGTGAAGCGCGACTATGTCTACTGTGTGGACCGCCTTGCGAAGTACGCGGACATCCTAGTTGTGAACGTTTCCAGCCCCAACACTCCTGGCCTGCGCGACCTCCAAGCTTCAGCACCCCTGACTGCCATCTTGAAAGGCGTCGTGGGCGCTGCAAAGAGCATTGACCGCAAGACCAAACCCTTTGTCATGGTCAAGGTGAGCCCAGACGAAGACTCTGATGAACAGATCACCGGAGTCTGTGATGCTGTCTGGAAATCCGGTGTTGACGGTGTCATCGTTGGAAACACCACGAACCGCCGTCCGGATCCCCTGCCCAAGGGATTCACTCTCCCCCCGCAGGAACAGGAAGTTCTAAAGGAGACTGGAGGATACTCTGGACCTCAGCTGTTTGACCGTACCGTAGCACTCGTAGCTCGCTACCGTGAGAAGCTCGATGAAGGTCCTGTCACCGAGGCACACCAGAGCGCAAAGGAGGTCACTGCAGGCGCACAAGCCGCAGAGCCAGATCAGGAAAACATACCGACTTCTTCTTCTCCATCTGAGATCTCTCGAAAAGTGATCTTTGCGAGCGGTGGTATCACAAACGGCAAGCAAGCACTCTCTGTGCTCGATGCAGGTGCCTCTGTCGCGATGATGTATACTGCTATTACCTACGGTGGAGTGGGAACAGTCACACGTGTCAAGCAGGAGATGCGCGAGGAGAAAAAGAAGCTTGGAAAATAGACAAGAGTGTAAAAGCATAAGAATAAAGTTAAGGTAGTTCAATGGCTTAAAAGGTGTACCTATAGTTATAGTTGATGGGTTAGTAATGTGACTTTATGATCACTGGATCTGCACGCGTGCTGGACATCACCAGCCTCAACCTCTCGACACTTCCTGCAGCCTGATCAATGGAAGAGGCAGCAATCCACAACAGCAAGTGACTCGAGAAATTTCATGCATCGTTGGTCGTTGAGGCGTTGATGAGATCTCAAGCACGAGTCTGGGACAAATTGGCGGCGATCGCGCGTTACCCTTCGCGTGACTTTCGGCGGCCAGGAACTGTCCGCTTGTATAGCCATCGTCTAACGCTCGTCACCAGAGCTCAATCCAGAGCTCTATCATTAGAAATGGATGACCGACCTGCCAAGCGGTTGAAAGTTGCATCAAGTGATGCCCATCACCAAGAGCCGACCGGCCCTACAATCGACTGCTCAGACGATCCGACAAACCCAAGTTCAAGCAGAAGTGGCAGGTCCCTGGCGTCACTTACCAGGTCTATAACGCCGCCTCCACGGCCACGTTCTCGTTTGCCATCCCAGTCACAGCAGAGTTCTGTGACTGGTGTATCAACTCATCAAGCTGGTGATCAAAATGTCCCAAAATTAATATCGTCGCCCATTCAGCTCACTAATATCCGTGATCTGCCCGCATCTTCCGGCAACAATGTGGACACGATCAGGCTGCGGGATATCCTGGGGGATCCTATGATTCGCGAATGCTGGCAGTTCAATTTCTTACATGATGTCGATTTTATTATGAGCCAGTTCGATGAGGATGTTAGAGCTTTGGTGCAGGTGAAGATTGTACATGGATCGTGGAAAAAGGAGGCTCCCAATCGTATTCGAATCGATGTAAGTGCAAGTGCCATGGCTGTTGAAACCAGAGGGATGATTCAGTAACTGTCATTTGGTAAGGCTTCATTAACTAATTTGCTTTTCCCAGGAACAATGTGCACGGTATCCGAATGTGGAAGCTATAACAGCTTACATGCCAGAGCCATTTGGCACACATCATTCCAAGATGATGGTTATTCTACGGCATGATGATCTGGCACAGTATGTGTAATGACATAGACTCAGATAATTTCTTGCTTATCAAGTATAGGGTCATCATACACACAGCGAACATGATCCCCGGGGATTGGGCCAATATGTGTCAAGCTGTCTGGCGCTCCCCATTGTTACCGCTGTCGAATACAAGCAAATCTGCAGAACCAGCTTCTTCAATAGTTGGTTCTGGTGCAAGATTCAAAAGAGACCTTCTTTCTTACCTTGGCGCTTATGGGAGCAAAAAGACCGGCCAGCTCGTCAAGCAGCTGGAAAAGCACGATTTCGGCGCTGTGCGAGCTGCATTAATTGCAAGTATACCTTCGAAACAGAAAGTCAATGATATGGACTCCAAAAAGGCATCACTTTGGGGATGGCCTGCACTGAAGGACACTTTGCGGAATGTCCCTCTTCTGCAAGAGAAGAGCACCCCGGGGAGTAGTAAGAAACCTCATATTATCATCCAAGTAGGTTACACGGTGTTCTTAAAATGCTATGCTAAATACACCACTGACACATCTACAGATATCATCTATAGCATCTCTCGGGCAGACAGATAAGTGGCTAAAAGAAACGTTTTTCGAGTCCCTATGTCCTTCGGCTCTTAACCGTCCGAAATTCTCCATCATCTTTCCGACACCAGATGAAATCCGAAGATCCCTCAATGGGTATGGCTCAGGAGGCTCGATCCACATGAAGCTCCAGAGCGCCGCACAGCAGCGACAGCTGCAGTACATGCGTCCGTACCTCTGCCACTGGGCTGGGGACAGAGAGGACCCAATTAGCGATAGGATGGGCGGCGGTACTAATGCCGTGAAATGTGAAGCAGGCCGCCGCAGAGCTGCACCTCATATCAAGACCTATGTGCGATTTTCCGATGCAGCAAGCATGGATCGAATCGACTGGGCCATGGTGACATCCGCTAACCTGTCTACTCAGGCTTGGGGCGCTGCTCCTAATGCGAACGGGGAAGTCCGCATCTGTAGCTGGGAAATAGGCGTTATGGTATGGCCAGAGCTTTTCGCTGGAAGTGAGAATGAAGGGAGGGTGGAGATGGTCCCTTGTTTCAAACGGAATACCCCGTCATCCGATCTTATTCAAACGCTAGAAGGTCGAGACTCGACCGTTCCGTCCGCTATTGTCGGATTCAGGATGCCCTACGATCTGCCCTTGACTCCTTATTCTGCCACTGATATACCATGGTGTGCGACTTCAAGCCATTCCGAGCCCGACTGGCTTGGGCAGACCTGGGAGGGGTAAAAGTTTCGATGAGTATGGACAGATTTATGCATATTCCTGAAAACGCTTTCAAACCAATGCCTACGAATCTTGTGTTTTCATGAAATAGCAATAGAGCGCTTGAACGTGTCTCTAATATCGACTACGTGAGATCATCACCCATGAGATTTCTTAAATCACAGCGTGTATACCCCAGCGCACTCGTACACTATATACTAGCAGAGAGTAAATCGCATTGATCCATATCCGGGCTCATTATAGTTCATTCCTAGAAACCAATCTCCAAGAATTGCTCTAGATCATACCACCTTCCGGTCACAAAGGCAAGACGTCTATTGGGTTCCGATCTGTTCGATAAGCTCGTTGACGAGCTTGGTGTACTGCTGCTGTGCCTGTGCGGGCGTGGTTCCTGCGGTGACGACGGCCTTCCATGCGTTGTCCATGTACTTTCTCTATACCGCGAGAGATGAAGCCGTTAGACATGAAATGCTCTGAAAGCAAAAATGGTTCCCGGACGTACCTTGAAGTCGAAGGTGCCAGGGGCGGGCCTCTGGTCGAAAGGAGGATTCTGCAGACCCTGCTTGCTCAGACCATAGAGCTGTGGAAAGAGGTGAGAAACGTTAGCCCGGAATTTCCCAGAACTTCTTGAACACGGCCAGAAAAAAACACCATGTCCGCCCTGCCCTGCTTCAGACCCATATCCTAACCCCCTCTGCTTATCTATCCTGTAGGAACGACACCAGCGAATATCACTCCCAGATGTTCGTTTCATTCTCCTTATCCGATTCAAACCGGCTGAAAGTACCGTAAGAGGAAACAACACCCCCTCCCCCGTGAAGCAGCGAGACAGAACGAACTGAGATATGAGAAGAGTGCACATACCTGCAGTTTCTGGTCATCAGTGGGCGCCTGCTTCAGATTCTTGACCTGAGCGTAGGCCGTCGCGAACTCCTTGGCAACTGCCTCAGCCTGGTCACCCAGCTCGGGCTGGGCAGCCTTGAGCGCGTCTTGGTAGATCTTCTCGTCGTAGCTGGACATGGCTGCTTTGTGAAATATAATTCTTTTGTTCCTCAGAGTGGGATGAGTAGAAAAGGATGAAGAAAAGGAGGGGCAGCACAACTCAGAAGTCAGATGAGATGGGAAATGGCGGGGTTAGCGGAATGTTGACGGTAGCTTCGGTTTAGCTTTAGTTTACTGCTTCTACTGACGCCATTGGCCCGAAACTTGTTGGGGATTTATTTTCGCATATTATGGTATTATTATTATTTTAGCAGTGAGATACAATTCTGCTATCTAGATAGGTAGTTGCGCATCTCTAGCTGTTAACATAGGTACTTATCAGAGGCAGATCATTCTCATGTCTTCGGTTCACTGTTAACACGTCCAAGATCACTGAAGCTGTCTGGCTATGTAGGATTGCAGGAGCTCTACAATCGCCTCATGTTGTTCCCGTATGGCAGCAGACAATGGCGAGTCCCCATCATTAGCTGTTGACATCGGGTCGACTTTTCCAGTTTCCAGCAGTAGTTTCACCACTCTCGGACGACCGCGCTCTGCTGCATATCTTAAGGGTGTTTGTCCATAGATATCTTTCGAATCTGGATCGACCTTCCCTGTCTCAAGCAGTAGTTTTACTGCTTCATCATGTCCACTCCGTGCTGCTTCCATCAGCGGTGTCCGGCCGTATTTGTTGTTGTGGTTCGGATCATATTCTCCAGTTTCAAGCAGTAGTTTGACCACAGCCTGGGTGCCGTTGTCTGCAGCAAGCGACAATGCTGTTCTGCCGTCGTCTGTCTCAGACTTCATATTGACTTTGCCGGTTTCAAGGAGCGCTTTCACCACTTCCAGGCGTCCGTTGTGTGCTGCGGTGTGCAACGCCGTCCAGCCGCTATTATCTTTCAATTCTGGATCAACCTTTCCTGACTCAATCAGAAGCTTCACCATTTCCGGCTGCCGATTCCATGCAGCTGTCTGCAATGGTGGCCAACCAAATGGGCCCTTGCTTTCCGTATCAATACCGTCAGTTTCAAGGAGCAGTTTTACCACGGCCTGATGCCCCTCATATGCCGCATGAATTAAGGGCGTATCATCTTCTGCAGACCTGGGGTTTGGATCAACCTTTGCAGTGCGAAGTAGAAGCTTTACTACTGCATCATGTCCAGTTGCTGCTGCCACTAACAGAGGTGTCACGCCGTACCTATCTTCCGTGACTGACTCTGGGTCGACTCTGCCAGTTTCGAGCAACATCTTCACAATGGCTTCATGTCCATTCTTACAAGCGTATGATAATGGTCTCCACCCCTCTTTGGAGACTGAGTCCGGGTCGACTTGGCCGGTCCCAAGAAGTAGTTCTGCAATCTCTTTGTGCCCATTTTCTGCAGCATATGCTATTGGTGTCATGCCGAACTCGGGATCCTTTAGGTTCAAATCCGCTTTGCCAGTCTGAAGAAGCAGTTTCACAACCGCTTCGTGTCCACGCTCTGCAGCCCACAACAGGGAGCTCTTATCGAAATCATCGATGTAGCCCTTGTCGATTCCATTTTTGATGAGCAGTTGTTGTACGACAACTTCAAGGCCGAAATAAGATGATATCGCTATTGCGGACGCCGGCTTCTCTAGCCTGCCAGTTTGTATCTGCTCCCAATGTGTGTCAAACCATGGGTAAAGGCGTGTGGTCTGTATTTGACAAAGCTCGAGGGCATCGCCTTGCATCGATTGATCAGCTACATCCTCTGCCTGTTGAAGATGGATTGCCCAGTAGGCCGACGCATAAATCAAGAAGGATCGCTCGTGAGTGATCTGATCTGGGCTGCCTGGAATCGAGAGATCCCGATTATCAGGCTGGCTCTCTTCTAACCAATGTGGGAATTTGACGTAGGCCATGCAGCAGCCTGCTAACAACGCATGTGCCTGTTGAGTGCTGATCGAATGACGGAAGGCGGAAGAATTCACGTCAGTAGTGCTGTTGGAGGTAGCAGATCCTATCTTTGGTAACAGATATTCCCTTGCAGTTTGGTGAAGAAAGTAAACCATGCCGTCGTCTATTGAGACAAACAGACCACAATACTGTCTCAGGCTCCTCTGGAATTCGCCGACAGGCTCGAGATCGAGGTCCCGCAGAGAGCTTGACGACCTGTCTGTTTCTAACGCAATCTGCATCTCACCCGCGGTGAGAGGGCGATACGCAGTTAGAAGGATTTTGAAAATCTTCAATGCCCTCTCTTTGTCCTTTGACTTCTCCAAGATTTTCTCATATGCATCGTCGAAGCTGACAGGGATATTGCTGAAGACCTTCTTTTGCATCTCCTTCTCTGTCAATTTTATCAACTCATTCTCGAGGTAGTCGAACACAAGATATAGCCAGAGATAAGTGCGATGCTTGATTTCCATCAGTCGTTTTTCCAGATAGTTAGCTGCGCCCTCTGTGAGACCTCGCTTCTGCTGAAACTTGCGCACGCGATATCTAATGACTGCATTGATCTCATCGGCAATTCGAGGCGACTCATCTTCCCCAGGAATTCTCATATTGGGAAAAGCTTCGTCAAATTCGTGAGTTATGTCCCCATATGGCCTACTTGTTAGTAGTATTTTGAGCTTCCCGCTCGCTGTTGACGCTCGTAGAAACTGACTTTTCAGGAATGATATCAATTTCTGGCGATCGTATCTGTCACACTCGTCTAGTGCGTCTAGCACAAAAATCACTTGACCTGCGTCTTCGTCCCTGGTAGCATTTTGGAGAATTTCCCACAGCTTTCCTGGGATTTCTATGAGCTTTGGACCGTTCTTTTCCACAGCTTCAATTGCGTGTCGAACCAGTGAGGGCCTTTGAGACAACAACTGATGAAGCAGCGCGCAGAGCGCTATATGAACACGGGACTGGACTTGCTCCTTGAAGAAGAAGTAACAAATGACTGGTGGTTTCCCCGACTCATTTATACACTGCGGAAGTTCGCAGTCGATGAGATACTTGGCGAGCACGGATTTTCCGCAGCCAGGATCAGCAGTCACGAGGAGGATACCGGAATCATCTTTCAACCAGTGCTTGAAATTTTCTTGGTCCAAAAACCACTGGCAGGTCCCTCCGACCCTGTATTCGACGCGATACTTGAAGTCTTCGTATGTCAGCTTTTGTTCAAGTTCAGCACCAGACCCAGTAGTGTGCGTGAGGCGGAAGAGTTGAAGACAATCCCGCTCGTTTCTTGTCATCTTGCGTTCCGCCGTTTCTATGCTGAGCTTGAGAACCTTCTCTTGGATATCGTAAAGGGCGCTGTCACGTATTTGCACCGAGTCCCGTGTCACAATTCTTTCACGCTCCTTCACCCGTGATAGCAGTTCGTCCCACCTTCGTGGTTGAAATAAGTCTCCTCCAAAATTCCTGATTGAAGACCGATAGAGGCGAAGGACGCTTCGAAGCTGGAATTCAAGGATACTTTCGTAGAGGTCTTGTACACTTCTCTCGAACGACTTTCTCAACCCATCGGAGATGCGCGGGATCCACCTCGTCTGAAATTCGTTGTAGAATCCGAGTCGTGCTGTTACATATTGGAAGCCTTCAAGGTTCGCATCGCTCGCTGTGATGGTGTTTGTAAAGATTTGGACGACAAGAGATACTCCAGCCCAAATCAGAGATGCTTCCCGGGAGTTCGACAGGGCTTCTCCAACCCAGTCCGTGGTCGCAAGCACGGCATTCGCAGCACAAGTTATATCGTGCCCTTTCGAAATTCGGGATCTGATTTTATTTTCCTCCATTCGCTGTTGGCCTTTTTTCATCATCTCATCCATCTGTAATTGACGTCTCTGAGGATCATTTTGAGCGATGATATTTGTTGAGTTGTCCTCGGAACGTCCATCTGAGGTGTACTCCTTGCTGAGTATCTCTTCATATCTGTTCACTAACACTGGGTCCTTTGCTTTTAGTGAATCGTATGCGCGGCTCCAGATGGAATCAGCTTCCCTCAATGCTGGGCTGATGGCCCTCCCTTCAAGTGCACCTGTGCTTTCCCCCTCAGTGCCTCCAGTACTCAAGCAACTAAGGGAGGCCTTCTGATTATTATCGATACCAGATGTCTCTTGAAGACCTCTAGTTTTCCACCAAGAAAGTGACTTTTTGTGGGACTTCTTGGAATTCTCATGGCTGTTGGCAACATGATGCCCATTTTTTGATCCAAAGAAGGGCATGGCAAGATTAGTATCGTCAAAGATCCAGAGAGCATGTGCAATAAGATAAGATGCTCATCTGCCACTGCGTTCAGGAGGGATGATAATATAGTATTGAGATTGATTGTCCTCACATTCGCGCCGCGGTCAACATGGCTGAGGTTTGAAGTTTCAGGCACTCAATCGCGATATGCAGGTTGCCCCCCTGCAGGCTAATTAATTCACTCAATCAGTGTCTCACAGCCGCTCTCACAGCCGCTCTCGTAGCCGCTCTTCTGTCCCAGCGCATACTAAGCCGCTCTTCTATCCCAGCACATACTAGTTTGTAGATTGCGGCGTTCGCTGATGAAACATATTTAGACATCACTGTATATTTGCTACTTAGTTAAGTGAAACATCAATGCCCGTCGCTGCAGCACCAGTAGTTGGTCTCTTCCTATCATAAAACTATGGGTGGTTTATCTCAACAGGCTCAGACCCTCTAACAAGGCTCTTTGTGCTTTGTGTTGTTTGTGGCCTTGCACTATCTAATCTCACAGACTAACTAGAAGACATATCCACCTCACTACCTTCTAGACTAATAAAGGACTAGGAATGAAAATCCTCTAAAAGGTAACTATTTTCCACTGCTGCAAATTGTCTAAGACATTGGAAAACTGGAAGTTTGGAGAGACACCAGGGAAACGGACGACAAGTTAATAACATCGAGTTATTTTGCTACTTGAAATTGTTTTGGAATGAAGTATCCTAGATAGTTAACACCTAATTTACTAGATTGTCAACTGCTATGGCAAGAAAATATGCTTGCGCTCGAATAATTCTGCAAAGTATGGGGTCTTGGGGTGATTGATATTGTAGCAACGTGTGATAATAGACAGTCTTTCTGGCCATTAATGAGCTACAAAGACTTAATGTTTCTAAGTGGTACCTTGGGACTACAGTGCAATGTCTCGCTTACGACATAGAAAAGCACAGAATCAGACCTATTGTTCTTTATATCTATCATCCACAATCTCATCAATGTTACAAGTGCATTCCCCAGATGAGAAACAAATCATATAACAAAGACTGAATGCAACCTCTTACTGGTCTCCCCTAACCCGTGGATCTGAATAGATCTGAAGTATCTTCCGCCTGGGTACAGTATTTTAGCAAATCATCCTAAGCGATATCGATATGGGAAAAAGTGTGGGAATAGAAGTTAATCCGGCAATAGGATCTTAATTGCTTGAAGAACTAGATTGTACCGAAATCTATCGACTACGGACTCTATTATGATTACTGCTGCCTAGAGCATTGCCTCCACTACTATTCCTAAGCATTTCCTAATTCCAGCGTGTCTGCTTTAATCCTATATTAGTGGAAATGGGCGGCTTTAAGTGGTTTGTTTTATATCTTTTATATAGGGTAGTAGTGGCGTTTTGCAGCTCGCCTGCTTTAGAGCTATAAGCACCGACAAAAAGCAAAGGCACATCGCAGACCGCCTAATTCTGGGACTCAACGAATGCTATTGAAGATAATACAAGAAGCAGATATAATACATAGTGTGCTTATGTTGCGCGAAGAAGTGTGCGGGTGAACTGCTATATTATCCGTTTGCAGCAGGTTTTTTGAGATCCTAATTATAGGATAGAACTTACTATATCACTAGGATCTAGATTCTTTGTATAATATAGGAGGTTAATATGGGATCAAGTTTCTCCCAGAGTGGAAGCAAGCAAGCAAGCAACCTAGCTACTAGCTTTACAGTTGCTTCCATGCCATTTGCGATTCGACAGCTTATATTAACGTTTACTTATCTGTTTGATCTGATACATTTTCTGTCGGAGCCTGCCTACAGCAGGCCTCCTGTCGGGTTTCTCCCACGCCTTTCAGCTCCATCCACAGACATAAATAGGCTGAGCTAGTTGCTAGAGAATTCAAGCCTAGCGAGCTTCGCTCCCAGGTTTTCATTCCGAAGGAAAGCCTACATTGCCAGGGTCCTGACAAAGTAAGTGTAACAATTACGTTGATTTTGCAGACCATTTAAGGCCAACACGGATCTCGAAAATCTGTGATACAGCTTTTTTTCTGACAGTAACCTCAACTTAGGATTTTACATTCTCAACCTAAAAATGGGCTCAATAGATACTCTGGATAGTGATACTCTATCTCCTAGTGAGTGTTAAAGTGAAAAATACAACGAAGGCTACTAATACTTCTCAAAGATGGATCTCCGGGCGACATTGATGGAAATCTGGACACAGACGCTTTGGAATCTCTGGAGACACATGAACAACGACGTGTTCTAGATATTGTGTCTCAGTTACGCAAATGCGGACTAGACAGTGTCCTCTCCTTACCACAGCTAGTGGTCTGTGGAGATCAGTCAGCCGGAAAAAGCTCGGTGCTTGAGGCGTTGACGGGAGTCCCTTTCCCAAGGAAAGACAACTTGTGTACAAGATATCCAACTGAGATAATTCTAAGACGTGGCGTGTCGCACTCGCTCCAAATCAAGGTGATTCCCGACTCAGAACGATCCGCGGAAGATAAAACAACAATCGATGGATTTCGAGAAACGATCACTAGCTTTGACCAGCTCCCTGAGGTTATGGATAAAGCAAAACAATTGATGGGGATCGAAGGTGGAGGAGAGAGTGTCGGTACTCAACGAGCCTTTGCTCGCGATGTGCTCAGTGTTGAGATCGAAGGGCCAAACCTGCCGCAACTCACTGTGGTCGATCTGCCTGGAATCATACAGTCAGAGACAAAAGATGCATCCCAGTCAGATGTGAATATGACGGTCGAAATCACAAACACGTATATATCGCAGCCGCGGACAATTTGTCTGGCAGTAGTTTCAGCGGCCAATGACTATGCCAATCAACCTATCCTCAACAAGGTCCGCCAGTTCGACCCGAAAGGCGAACGTACTCTGGGAATCATTACCAAGCCTGATATCCCCCCTCCAGGTTCGGAAACGGAAACTGCATTTCTTGAGCTGGCCAAAAATAAAGATATCTTCTTCGCGTTGGGATGGCACGTCCTGAAAAACCGAGAATTCAAAGAGGCTGGAATATCAATCCAAGAACGAAATCTCTCTGAGCAGTCTTTTTTCCGAAAATCAGCATTCGGCAAACTTCCAAAGGAACATATCGGAATTGGAAGTCTAGTAAATCGTCTCAGCAGTTTGCTTTTTACTCATGTTCGACAGGAGCTTCCTAAACTTCAAGAAGAACTGGACGCTACCTTGCATGCCACGAAATCGGAACTTGATGTCATGGGTACAGCAAGGACCACCACAGATGAGTGCAGAATGTTCCTCTCCCAACTAGGTCTCAACTTCTACGAGATTTTCAAATCGGCTGTCAATGGTCATTACGAGGGAGATGACTTCAAGCCCGACCGGGGGCCTTTTTCACTCAGGCGTTTGACCTCAGTCCGCCGTCTACGTGCCGCAATTCAACTTATGAACCAACAGTTCGCAGAACGTATGCGCACACACGGCCATAAATTTCAGATTCATGGTATGGGTGGTAATTCTACAAGCTCCGAAGCGTCAGAAGAGGATGAGGTAATAACGCGATCATTGGAATTTTTGGCAAATACCCTGACCTATCGACAATGTTTTTCGCACATCGAAAGGCCTCAAATACTTTCACATCGAGAAGGAGTGCAATGGGCAAATGACGTTGTAATCAGGGCGCGGGGACGCGAACTACTAGGCAATTTTAACCCTCTTGTGATTGCAGAGTTATTCTGGGAACAGTCATCGAAATGGAATCTCATCGCCGAGGCACATATAGATGGAGTATCAGACGTTTGCAGTACCTTCCTCCAGGAAGTTCTTAAGGACAAAGCGCCCTCGGACATGTACGCACGCATGTGGCCTATAATCCGTGAAAGGGTAAAGGCAAGACATAGGAGTGCGGTGGAGGAGCTTGAGAAAATCTTGAAAGATAACAAAAGCTATGTGATAAATTACAATCACTACTACACCGATACCATTAAGAAGCGGCAGGCCGAAAGGCAAAAAATCAAGTTGAGAGAATGTCTCGACAAGGCAGCGGCACCAGGAGGAAACCGTGAAGTTCTACCCGTTAATGTGAACAAAGCTTTACATCTCTATTCAGAAGACATTGATCCTGGCATGGATAATCATAGCTCGGATGAAGTTCTCGACTGCCTTCTAGCAATATACAAGGTACATACATGTCTTTCCTTTAACACTTGAGATTATGGCTTACCAAAGTTCTCGATTCTAGGTCTACCAAAAAGTGTTCATTGCGAACGTGACAGTTCAAGTTGTTGAACGTCATATTGTTCAGGACCTGCAGCATATATTCTGTCCGTTGACCGTTGCAAAGATGTCAGATGCTGAGGTTTGCGCTCTTGTATCAGAGCCGGTTGTTAGTAAAAGGCAGAGAGAATTCCTGACAGCCCGACTTGCAAAGCTTGAAGAGGGCCGCGAAATACTCAAAGAAGTTATGTCAACGATGGTACAGTAATCTAATGATGATTTGTTTTCGGGGCTATTGGTTTTATGTTCGAAGTTATTGCTACAGGATCTAAGCGCAGGGCTGTAAACTAGACTCGGGTGTAGTCGTACACCACGGATGATGGATTATTTGTTTGACATCCTTCTCCCTGCGATTAAGCCATATGCAAGGTTCCTATTTCAACACTATCCCTATTAGATCACTTATACCTAGAGTGTGAGGACCTGTGAGTTGGCGCGGAAAATATACAGTAGTGAGGCTGTATACGGCCGAATTTACACTCATAACTCCTAGCAGCAAGTCCCCACTTTACTGTTAGCTCGGAGCAGGACTTTTATGGCATATTAGGACAAAGTTGTGACATATTTTGCATAGCAGGCTCAGTAGACTAAAGCAGCTCGATCTGGTGTAGAATACTAAATTGCATGTCTTTCTGGTCGTTACCGCGTCCTGCTTTTGGTGCTCGCTCTGCAGTCTTATTCAGATTGGCGACCACTAATGTTGGACCAGTCCCATTTTCTGTGAGCCCGTAAGGCGATTGAAGCCAGATTCAAACGATTCTATAGCCTTAGAAAGCGTATATAGTTCCCTATAACTAACGGATATCATACTTAATCGAACAAGGCGTATTTTAAGTCCGTCCTCCAATCTATGTGTCCTAGACAGCAGTGATTTAAAACGTACATGATCCCGGATCATAGTAGCCTATTATGATACAGTATTCCATGATATTATTGTTCCGCGAGAACTGTATTCTCAGCTGGTAGTGATCTCAGGTGTCAGTGTTCCAATCGATTATTCTTCCGATAGTAGCATTCGAGAAAAGACTATCTAAGAACGGTTGAGGAGACGAAACTCAACGACGGCACAACCATTTGGCCTCAGGTCTATATCTGCGTTGATAAGCTCTAGGATCCTCCCGTTCCGTGGTTCCGTCTGGCGTTCATGGGACGGTGTCTGCTTTTGTTGCGATCCTTTGGTATTCTGGTATCTGGTATTCGTGTCCGAGATCACGAAGTTGAGTGCAGTAGTTTCAAGTTGCTTCGATATTCACCGCAGAGCCAGCTTCTGTAGGTCTATAGAAGGCATTTGTTAGGACTTCAGAGGCCTATTAGATCATCTAGCTTTGTCTATATTAGCTGGCAAATCCGATTCAATAACGCCCTAAATGACGGGTATTTATAGTGACATGATTGGTACTGACTTCCCAATCAGGACTCTCCCAAGCTCTGTTCGACTTCTTCGACCACTTTCCGGACCCCCTCTGGATCGTGGGCGAAGCGACCCAAGAACATGCCGTCCACAGCCTTCCCCAGACCACCGTCTCCCCACAACCCCGGACCCGCACTGCCGCCGTAGAGAACTCTCACGTCGCCTTGACGCCGGCCAATTGCTGCTCGGATTCCGCTCACCACGGCAGCGATATGGTCGACGCCCGCAGGAACAGGCTTTCCAATCGCCCAGACAGGCTCGTAGGCGAAGATCACGGGCGCCTCAGCGGGAATGGCATCCAAGACAGCGCGCACTTGCACCTCACACTGACGGACGGCGAGACCAATGGCTTCGGACGCGACAGGTCCCGGCGCGGTGATTTCGCCGATACACACGAGCGGAATCATGCCCTGTGCACACACGGCGGCCGCTTTGCGACCCGTTTGCTCGTCCGTTTCACCAAAGATCGCGCGACGTTCAGCGTGGCCCAATTCGACGATGGAAACACCCAGCTCGCGCAGGGCGAGCGGAGAAACTTCGCCGGTGTAGGCGCCTAGAGGTTCCCAAAAGGAATCTTGTGCCCCCAAGAGAAACGGAGCGGGCAGGTCGGAGGAGCGATCGGATTCAGGCAGGTTGGATTCATATTGTTTGATGATTTCTGCGCATGGGTAGATGGTTAGGAAGTCGGGGATCAGCGCCAGGAGGATCTTGGACCGGTTCTGCGGACGGACGATTCCGTTCTTCGGTTCGAGCAGGGTACGGAGGTAGTCCAAGGTGCGGCTAGGGGTGAAATACATCTTCAGCGAGATGATCAGGAGGTTCTGTGGCAGAACCGGGCATGATTGTGAGGCCATGGTGTTGGCTGTGTTTTTCTTGCCGCCTCCTCCTCTGCGATAGACCGTACGGTAGAGTATGGTTCCTCCCGCAACGGTTCCCTTTTTGAGACAACTTTGGATCTCGCAGTGGTATCAGATGAAGATGGGAGGTGATGTCACGGCTGAGAGCAAGATCCAAGGTTCCTATGATCCCGAATGCGAGTAATACGATATCGACCTGGCGGAGAGGATTCTAGCGCGACAGTCTCATGGTGTCCCCAGCACACAAACACGACACACGAACGTCCTGTGCAGAGACAGAATACTTTAGTTGTCATTAATTAATTCATTGCGAGATGGAGAGAGAGAGAGAAGGAGAAGGAGAAGGAGAAGGAGAAGGAGGGGGAACAGCGCTTATCGATAAGACTGGAAGTCGTACCAGTAAGAGTGTAATACAGATACGCGGCCTGTGCGAGAAACTGTCTTGCGGGGATGGTATGGGACTAGGATAATACAGTAGTTTTATATGGTTTTATATGTTGAGATCTGTGTCACAATACTGTTCAAATGATACCAAAGTTTCCAATAGCGGTAACGATACCGAAATTTACCAGGCACAGACGGGATGCCCAAAGTGGTCTATCCGAGCATACTGCAAGTTTCTTAATTATCTTCTCCCTCATTATTGAATTGAAACGCCCCCTTTTCCGCCCGGTTTTCCTCCATGCAGAATCTCCACTGCTGAAGGTCCAGTATCCACTGATAGGATACGGAGATTCTACGTCTTAGGGGGTTTCACTGCTGCACCGCGTTGCTGCCAGCTGTTCAGTTGTACTTCCGTCGCGCTGGAAGCCCTTTTCAGGTATCCCGAGGTACCTCTCGCCGGGGAGGGAAATCAAAGTCTAGAAGCCATCAGAGGTTCCACGACAGTCGCGACGGAGCTGGTTGATCTCAGTCCGGTCAGCTGGTGGTGCAGACTTTGCGGTGTTTCCGTTTTCTGATACAAGCCACGGGGTAATGATCGAGTATGTAGAGCAAGATGCCCGAGCTCAGCATACTGCTTCGAGTAATTTACTTGACCTTGGAGCATTTAATGCGTTTTTTTTGTGCGCATTCGCATCGGACAGAACAGTCCCGGACGAATTACGCGCTCTGACTGTGCGACGGTATAGAGTAGATCCCGGGCAGAGTTGCGCAGATGGTAATAAATCTATCTAATTGAGCCGAAGCAGCAGGGGTGGAGAAACCGCGCGGAAGGGAAGATGATTCTATTCATGGCTGGGGCCCAGGGGCATTTCTCGATCAGTTAGTCGACCCTCATGGGAATGGCGAATACGATACCAGTCTGGAGATCCGAGCGAGAAACCGATTGGAGATTCTCTTCCCCACGGAGTAACTGATGGTGGGATGGGGATGGGCTGGGATGACGCGGGGAATAGAGAGGGAATATAGATGGCTATAAAACCCCCATCCCGAATATCTCTCGTCAGCGCTGGTGGTCTTCTGTCATCTCTTCACGTCCAGACAATCCATCGTTCGTTCCGGCCTTGCATATTTCCTGCGCTAAGATCTACTACAGCTACATACTTTACGGTCTATACATCAATCCATTCCTTGTACCATGTCGTCGGACCTCAAGCCTCTCCGCATCGTCCTGGCCTGCGATGACGCCGGAGTCCCCTACAAGGAGACCATCAAGGCCCTCTTCGAGAAGCACCCGCTCGTCGAGTCCGTTACCGACGTTGGCGTCGCCAGTGCTGATGACAAGACCGCCTATCCTCACCCAGCCGTCACTGGGGCCAAGCTCATCGCCGAAGGCAAGGCTGACCGCGGCCTCTTCATCTGTGGCACTGGCCTCGGGGTCGCCATCGCCGCCAACAAGGTGCCTGGCATCCGCGCCGTCACTGCCCACGATCCCTTCTCCGTTGAGCGCTCCATCCTGAGCAACGACGCCCAGGTGCTGTGCTTCGGCCAGCGCGTCATCGGGATCGAGCTGGCCAAAAAGCTGGCCACCGAATGGCTCACCTACCGCTTTGATCCCAAGAGCAGCTCTGCCGCCAAGGTCCAGGCCATCAGTGACTACGAGACCAAGCTGAAGCTTGTCAACGGCCACTAGAAACAAAGTCTATCTTTCTTATGACATGTCTACCAGCGCTTGCTTTCAGGAATCAAGGATCAATGACGAATTGAACCCAATCCCGCTTATAGGGTGTCACGCGCAGGGTGCGTGGAGACGATTTCTTTCTCTTTATGAAGAGACAGATCGAACTATATATGAGTATTCCTCCCAAGTGGATGCCCATGGAAGGGAAGGGGATAGCTTTGTCGATATTTTGCGAAAAGAAATATATACCCCGGAATGATACCATACCATACCATTTGCCTTTTTTGGGAAGCAAGCGAGCGATAAAGCAGGATACTTGCGTCTTATTGTGCAGTCATCATCATCGTATCATTGTGTACATAGTTTGAGTCGAAACTGTTTTCAAAAAGGGAACTGGATTGAAATTGGATTCTATATTGATGCAGCAAACAGAAGTGGTGAAGGACGGCAGTCTTGTTTGGACACAATAATCCATATCTTCAAAATGATAAAGCTGTACCATATACTCTCCATCTATAGAATTAGAGACACTATTCTATTCTAGTAAAGTGACAAGTACCCACATGTGTCCCGGAATAATCATAGCGCCTTCGATCATCTGCACAACGCCTGGCGATCACCACGAGGGATCCGATACGCGCTGTCACAGATGACTAGGTACCTAATGTATAGATTATACTAGTTATTATGTCTTTTCTCTCTTTTTTTTTTTCCTTTTTATTTTTATAAATAACCCATCAATCAAACAGGACTAACCACAGAGCTCGGATCCAAGATCACGAAAAATACAGAGTTGTTCTTGCAGTGCCAGCTCTTGCTGAGTCATCCTCACCGCTGCCAACCCCAAGATTCCGCGGGGATCGATGCCTTTCGATGAATCTCACAGTGGCGGCTCAATCATCCGACTGCACGTTCAATAATAATATTAATAAAGAGGCCACCCTCACTGACAGTATGAGAGAGCAGGATCTCACTCTATTATTCCTTCTTCATCATATACCCAAGTGCAAAAAGATCAAGAAAGAGGCCACCTCGTTTGGTTGACTGATTTGATCACCACTTACTGCTCTATTTACTATCACTACTACTTATAACTATCCGCGGCCTCCGTGAGTCCCTGACTAAATCAATTTACTTTTTTGTGAACAAAGAACAACTAGCGCCGTCCCAACAATCATACTTACTCCACGGACCCCAGACTAGAAGAAAGAAACGGTGTTTACTGGGGGTCTGCAGTCGCTATTATTAATACAGCGGACATTCCTTGACAACTAGAGCTGGGTTTCTTGCATAGCTAGAAATTCTGTTCTGTTCCATTTGCGCGCCTTTTTTCTTCTTTTTTTATTTTTTATTATTGTACCGGAAGCTTCATTCAAGGAAGTCGCAGCGCACTTGCTGGTCTCTCCATTTTATTCTTCTAAACTAGATTCCCGTCGCAAACACCGGGGATCATCTCTGAATCGAGAATGTCTTTCGAGCTCAAAGAAAAGGGCAATCAGCTCTACAAAGAAGGGGATTACTCTGGTGCTGAAGAGCTCTACTCTCAAGCGTGAGTATCTATTCATTCTGGGTGATGTCTGTCCGATCGTAGACGAAGTAGCTAATACATGATAATAAAATTCCAGAATCCAGAAAAACCCCCGCGAACCCACCTTCTTCACTAACCGCGCTCTAACCCGCATAAAGCTCGAGAACTGGGCCGGCGCAGAGCACGATGCGCGCGCTGCTATCGACCTCTACGGACCCAAGAACGCGGCCAGTCTGAAGAGCTGCTGGTATCTGGCCCAGGCGCTGCTTGGACTGGGTCGACCGCAGGAAGCCTACGACGTTGCGATCGAAGCATACAAGGCTGCGCTATCGGCCAAGAGCAACCAGACGGAGAATCTGTCGAGGACGGTGCTTCGTGCGAAGCAGCAGATATGGGCTGCCAAGGAGACCGCAAGGTTGCGGGAGATGAATGAGACGCTGGCGAATGTCGAGAGGTTGATTGAAGCGGATCTGGATCGGGAGTTGAGCGAGCTGCAGGCGAAGCTTGATCGCGGTGAGATCGGTCAGATTGGTTTCGTGGAAGATCAAAAGGCGCTTCGTGAAGAGGCGGAGAAGAATATTCATAATGTGCGCGAAGCATTCCGGATTTCTTCCAATGGGGATATTCAGGAGAGGGTAGGTTCTATCGGATATTCGCGAGAAAAAAAAGCCATTCGTGAGCTAACATGAGTGTACAGGTTGTCCCCGACTATCTCGTCGACGGCATCACGTTTGAGATCATGCACGACCCGGTGGTCACCCCGTCCGGCCACAGTTTCGACCGTATTGGCATCGAGAAACACGTCGAGCGAGCCGGCGTGGACCCCATCACTCGCGTCCCCATGACCGTGAAGGACCTACGACCAAACTACACCCTCAAGGCCGTGTGTGAGGATTTCCTTAACAAGAACGGATGGGCTGTCGATTGGTAATGGTCTAAGCGACCAACTATGACCTCTCGGTCTTTCGTTTGGTTTATTCTTTTTATTCTTTTCCCCGCCTGTCTTCGGTGGAATTCTACTTTTTTTGATTTTTCCTTCAATGTCCATATTGCAGAAATACCCTTTTATTCGCTTTTTTCTTTCTTCTTGTGTCTGGCATTGGGTTCGGCGTCGATGTGAGATTGATTGCATCTAGTTATGTTGGCATGTTATGAACCCTAGCGTATATGTAAATATCGCTCTTGTGGTATGTACATATTAATTTACAAAGGGAATCAATTATCTTCGATAACTTCCCGAGCTTTTGATTAAAAGTATCATCAATAATGGATTCGATGTCCGTAGTGGCTAACATATATGTAGCGGGAGGTGATATAACTGTAGCGGGAACTACTTAACTAGTTAGAGCGGGCGTTTAGATAGGTAAAAGCGTGATCACTGCGACAGTAAACATCCAGGTAGATAGCTCGAAAATCTTATCTTATGACGACGTTTGTGCATACAACAACAATGATGGAGAAGCCATGCTCAGCCACAGTGGCATAATAACCGGTTCCTTCGATCCTGATCTGCAAGGATGCAGTCGATTTCGGCAAGTACTCTTAAAGAGTTTATGTCATGGCCTCCTGACCGGCATGGGTGTCACATAGCCTAGCTTAGGAGAAAGAATTGCGCCGCATGGCTATGCAGCGTAGCTTGCCTCAAGAGTCCAAGCTCAGATGGCGCAGCTATGCACTCAAAAGTACGGAGTACAGCGCAGCACGCAAAGCCTCTCGTTGACCCCTGTCAGATAGGAGTCGCAGGACGATCAGTAGTGTTCAGCAAACTGTTTGTCCTCTCAGCCAAGCGTGTATTTCTCCATCGATTGGCTCGAATATCGAGCTTTCATATCATAGTCGAAACGCCGGGGGCTCCATGCTGGCGATGTTTCCGTCAACAGCCAATAATGCAATATAGATTGGCGCCCGACTATCAACTTACCGCCGACTCGCATAACCACTACTGGAAAGACGTTTGCTGCTGGATGAAACAGTACAGCCTTGCTCATCGGCGCAAAAGAGGTCAAAATGCTGCTCCATCCCATCCTTTTCTGTCCGGGCAGGAGAGGAGAGCTAGAAACTGAGCCTATGGTTCCTGTTGAAGGATGCCTCGTATCGTCACAAGATATATTCGGAAGATAAGCCGATTCAAGGGCTCTCCGGGGGAAGGAGCCGCTGCCACTGTTTCGAGCAGCAGTACGCCAGAGCCAGAAAAAGTCTTGGTTTCTCTTCAATCGTCTTCGGTGAATCGTTCCCTGGGAGATAATAATGCTGCCGCCAGAAAGAATGCTGCTTTCGAAGAGGCCTGGAGGAATCACTTCGAGGAGCTCACAGAGGAAGAAAAGAAGAATGACTGGAGAGAAGGGAATCAGCATGTCTCACCGGAGATGATTCATGACAAAATAGTGAATCTTGACACGAAACATGCGGCCGGGGTCTCCAGGAAAGTGATAGAGCCTACTTTACAATTCCTGCAAGCCATTGACTCGCTCGTCACGGGGGCGACAGCAGCAGCACAGTCATCGCCAATCGGCTCGATCGTCTTGGGAGTTGTTCGTGTCATCATCGACGTAGGGCCTCTGAACTTGTCCTCTTACCTATGCTTGAGATCGTGCTAAAAATCCAAGTCCGCTATTAAAGCTGGCACCTATTTCGAAAGGTTGTCACAGATGCTTGAGCGCATGCCTAGTCGTTTCGACGTCTTACAGCGATACGCCGACATAAGCGCCAGCTCGCCTGCTGTACACAAGGTCTGCTTTTTCCTTTGTATCATATTCTTTGTAGACACGCACTAAACTGTTCTTAGATTCTGGTTGCGTCTTACTCGAACATCCTGACTTTTTTTCGTAAAGCGTACCGCGTGTTCGTTGACAAAGAAGGATCTGAAAGAAGTATTAGTCATTCCTGGGAGTCTCCATATACTGCCAAATACTAATCTGCTGCTCTGACAGGGTTCGCTTCGGCTCGCATCTTCGTCCGCTCGCAGTGGTCGCCGTTCGAAGAGGAATACGGGAAAATAGTATCAGACTTTGAACACTATAATCAGATGTTACGAGAGATGGCTCTAGTCGAGAACCTCAATTACGTCGTGGAAAGACGGGAAGCAATATGGGAAGAGAAGAAAGCGAAAAAAGGTACGTCCAAATTAAGTTGACCAAGAGATGGATTGGAGCTGATTTCGCTCGCATCAACAGACGAAGAGAGGGAGAAATTCCTTTCGTGGGCATCTGGAGATGATTCGGAGGTCGATCATGATCGGCTCTATTCGAAGAGATACACAGACACGGGAAGATGGCTACTAGAGGAGAAATGCTTCACTGATTGGCTGGATGATGATAATGACACACCTCTGTTTTGGTGTCATGGACAAGGTATGCTATTACAATATTAACCTTTTCTGTAATTCTGACTGACAACTCCTATAGCTGGAATCGGAAAAAGTGTCCTCTCGTACGCCCACGCCGAGACTCCAAAAAACACGATTTCCCTAACTAACTTGTCTGTAGATCAATCGTCGTTGACCACTTGAGCAAGAGCACTTTAACTGACCAGTACGCATTGGGATTTTGGTACTGCAAATGGGATGACACTTCCATGGAGACCATGGCATGTCGCGTAATCGGCATGTTCATCAAGCAGTTATGTCGGAAGATGTTCACCATACCATCTGAAATACTCGAGTTCCGTCGTCGATTGAACAAAGAAGGGCGAACGCTCTTATTCAAGGACTATGCAGAACTCTTCCTCCTTTGTGCTCGCTACTTCAAACGGGTATTCCTAACAATCGACGCCCTGGATGAGTGCAAAGATGAGCAGCGCGAGCTTATCATGGACTTTGTTCAGAGTCTTTCTGCCTCACATATCAAGGTCTTTCTAGCTAGCAGATGGATGCAGGATATTGAAAAAGCCTGCGTCAATAAAGCGGTGATATTGCCAATAACCGCGTGGGAAGTGAAGGATGATATCACCATATTTGTCGAACATCAGGTGCCTGAGAAGCTATCAATTACGTCTGCCGATATCAGGGGGAGGGTTATAAAGACCTTGGTAGACAAGTCCGAAGGCTTGTAAGTGGTCTGATATTCACACTGACATTCGGATGACTTACTATTTCAGGTTCCTCTGGGTCGAATTACAGCTGAAAGATCTCTCCAAAGTCCCCGAGTGCGATCTGGAGGACCAGTTACAATACCTGCCCACAGGACTGGACGCAATGTACATACGGATGATCCGCAGCATCAAAAAGTTACCGAGAGCCAGTTCATCTTTAGCGCGAAGATGTATGCTTTGGGTGACATATGCCAAACGCCCTTTGACTGGAAGTGAGCTGAAAGAGCTTGTCTCATTCATGGCTAGTCCTTCGGGAAGTAACCAAGATCATGACTCCATGTCTTGCTCATCCCACAAACACTACTCTTCCGAAGACATCACGAATTCCTGTTTTGGTTTATTCCAAATGGACATCGACTCCGAACCCGTTCGACCAGTCCACTATTCGATGCAGGAAGTTTTCTCTAACCGTACCGATACCGAATTCCCGGATGATTGCCGGGACTTCTTCTTATCCCCGGAAAAGGCAAATCTTCAGTTGGCAAAGGCATGCATCCGTGTACTTCTTTCTGAAGAGCTCTGCTGGGATAATGCGAGAAAATACTGTGCCAGATTTTTTGAAAGCCACATACTCAGCCTACAGACAATACCTCCAGAACTGGAGAACATGCTTGACTCCCTTCTTTCAGCAAACCGGGAAATGCTTGCGAACATATTGACATTCAGGTACCCGTATGGGTGCTGTGACTGCTGCATGGGAAGCCCACGCGAGATTGAGCCTTCCTTTTTCATTCGGTGTACGGGTCTCGATCGTGTGCCACACGTTGCGACAAGATATCCAAAGGTGATACTGTCTGATCGTCCGGAGCAATACCTGCAACTGTCCTGCTACCTTGGCATGTCTGATGTGCTCGAGGCTATTATTGAAACGGGCGCCGACTTGAACTATAGAGACCAAGTTGGCTACACAGCACTGGATTGTGCCTGCCTGGCCAAACAGCATGATGTGATAAAACGTCTGCTCGACACTGGAGTGCCCCAAAAGTGCAGTCCTTCCGGCCCGAACAGTCCAGTAATCAGAGCTGCTAAAATGAAGGACTTCAAGTCGGTCGAGCTTCTGCTGAGAGGAGGGCTGAGTGTCAGCTTGAGCGACTATATACGAGCAATCGATACTGACGATCTCGATACGGTCAAATTGATTGTTACAAGCCTAGGGGAAGGGATAGATCAGCAAACGTATCAAAATGCTATTCATGCCGCTGTTGTTAGGGGTCTTACTGATATTACGAGCTTTCTTATCAACCGCCTGGATGGCGAAGCCCTGGTGCCGTTCTTCTGCTATGCAGTTAGTTTCGCCGGTAATAAGAAAATCAGGAACCTAATGCTGGAACGTGCGCCGGACTGGGGCTTGTGCCTCAAAAGAAACCCAAATCTACTTGAATCTGCAAGTTATTCCGGGGACCTCGAGATCATGAACGTTCTTATTCGGAACGGGGCGGATATCAATGGTCCCCCTGACAGGTACGGAAGTCCACTTCAGGCTGCAGCTACATACGGTCACGTCAAAGCAATGGAGTTACTCCTTCAGAGGGGGGCAGATATAAATGTTATATCTAAAGAGAACGGAACCATCCTCGAAATAGCTACCACGTCATTCAGTAACGTCGAGGCAATGGGATTACTGATTAGGAACGGCGCTTCGATAAATGAGAGCTACACACAAGAAGGAGGACCTCTAGGGGTTGCTGCCAATGGTCAGGCGTTTGACAAGATGGAGCTTCTTCTTGCCAATGGGGCCGATATTAATCTACCGCGAGGCGAATGGGGTTCGGCTCTAGGAACTGCAGTCGCAAAGGGAAGATTGAAATCGGTCAACTATTTGCTCGAGAAAGGAGCAGATGCTGAGATATCATGTCCAAGATACGGGTGCCCATTAAGTCTGGCGGCTTACAAAGAAAGGGTAGAAATTATGCAGATCCTTATCGACAGAGGCGCTGATGTCAACAGAGAAAGCGGAGAATACGGCTGTCCTCTCGGAGCTGCTTCTCACAAGGGAAATATCAAAGCTATGAAACTGTTACTGAAGGCGGGTGCCAGAGTTAACACCAGTGGGGGTGTCTATGGAAGCCCACTTGGTGCAGCAGCCCTTGAAGACAATATTGAAGCCATGGACCTACTATTCGAAAACGGCGCTGACGTGAACATCCAAGGAGGACCATTCGGGACCCCATTAGGAACTGCGGCATTCGGTAACAGCATAAGGTTTATACGACCCAGTTATACGAAAGGGCTGGAGCTGCTTCTCCAGAAAGGAGCAGATGCCTATTTGCCGGGCGGCCTCTTTCGAAACCCCCTAGAAGTTGCTCTTTTTAGCTGTCATTCAGACGCTATCCAAATATTTTGCGACAAAGGATTCAAGATTGAACCCCCCTGTCCTCTCAGCAGAGAATACGACAGCATCATGGAAATGGCGAGAAGTGTAGAGGTGAAAAAGTGGTTTCTCCCAAAGAAAAGGATGTTGGATAAACTGATAGAAGATTTGAGTCAATAGTTATGACATACACATGCTGGTCCTGACATAGGCCTTCTTTACTCGACGATACAGAGAGCCTGAGTCAGTTGAAGAGTGCTCTATATCCATGTTATCTTTCATTTTTCTTGGCGCGCAGGTATGAGTGAATGTATTTCGGAATATCACTTTTCCTTTGGCATTATCAATTGGCTTTTCATATTATTGGTTTCACATTTAGAGAAGACAAGCGAGTTTACAGTGCGGACTTGGAGATAGAAGCTTCCCAAATACTAGGAGAAATTGCAGACAATTGAATGCTTATAAATGTTTATATTGAAAGTCCATAGCAATCGCGTTGAATCAGTCTAGAAAAAATGAACTACCCCTGGCACGTCACATTTTCAATCTCAGCCTGTATCAAGACCCCAGAAAATCTTGTCCACTCCCGAAGGTTATTAGTCCAGGCGGTTCCAATCCGGTTATTGTGGCACTTCATGATACCGTTCTGTCCACAAAGTCACCCTTCTGCGAATGTCTATGCCCCTGAATATCCGGCTCAGACAAGTCCCTTGTTATAATAGGAGGCACAGGCTGAGCTGTGTTGTACAGCATGAACGCCGGCGGTCTATGTTCTATCTCCGTACGTTTCATTTTCCGACGCTCGTACAGTTTCAACCAACGTAATATGGCAAAGACCACCAAATCCAGTCGATAACAGTACTTTATAGCACCGATCAAAGTACGAAGACGCGAAGAATGCGATTCCGTGCGTCTCTGTCGCAATGGCTCTGATAGGTGCTCAGAATCATTTCCGATTCGTTTTCTTCTGTGAAGTCAACGTTCACGAGCAGTTATAACATGAGGGTTGCTCAAAGGTACTTACGAGGTCGCATTTGTGTCAGTTTGATGGGCATTTCCATCCACAGAATAGAAACCTCGACCAACACTTGGAAGTGAAGGCTCAACTTTCCGGGCGCGTGAAAAGTTTCTGGACGCATGCGCGACATAACTATTTTCAGCAAGTGTCTCTCCCGATGAAGGAGAACAGGAACCGCAGTTATCTACATCGCTCTTACAGACCTATATCGGTTAGTCACTATGGCATAGCTCCATATCTCATGAACATACTGGAAGCCTGGCCTCCAGTTCTCCAGGAAAGCGATAAGGTGGTTCTCTCATAGTACCATCCGGTTTGATGGATCCGATCTCCGGTCTTGTTGCCAGCAACTTAGTCTGTGTACTTATTCAGTATGGTACAACAGACCACAATGCGAGCGGTTCGTACCTCCTCGAGAATTAGCGTCATCCCTTTTCGGCATTCTGTGCGGGCCATATTCAATGAAGCCACATCACATTTTATGGGATCAGGCACTTCATCAGAAGGCTCTCTGGCCTCGTAACGTTCCGGGTCCTTCATCACTACGACGCATTAGGTTCAGCTTTATAGAAGAGGACATCGCTTACTCTTGGAGATCTTTTTCCACAATGCTTTGTAAGCCATGAAGGCACTTAGGAGATCTGCAGTATAGAGATCTATAACCGTGAGCACATATTCCTATAAGTTATGGATCAGCTTTACTTACCGCACAATCGATAGTCGAGGACAATGTACGGTCTGTCAAGCTTTGTGTTGGTTTCATGGAATGAGCGAAGAGAGTTATAGTTCATCAGAATTGCTAATATCTTTTGAGAATGCTTCAATACTTGGGACGGGAACTCATTGGCGGCTGCTATTACTGTCGAAAGGTCCCAATTGGCCTATATTATTGTGAGACATATACAGATTCAGCGTAGGGATGAACTAACAGTGGGCTCTTTGATCTCTCCACCTCCTGCCCAACTAACAGAAATACTGAGCTCAGTGTCTTTCCAAATGTCTTCTTTGTCCTTATCCAGTAGCGCGCTGCTCGAGAAAGGCTGTAGCAAAGACCTTGGTAAGAGCTGGACTTCGGCGGCCAGCTTCACTCTAGAGACTTTACTCTTGTCGTCCACCTTGATACTGATAATTGCCGAAAACTCTCCTCCTTCCAAGAACCCCGCAATGAATGAATCGCCATATACTGCAGGAAAATGGTCGGGATCTAAGCCAATGATAGGCCTGAATTCCATGTGGCCAAAGCTGACTGGGGCTTCGTTCGTGACCTTGACGGAGACAATGAAGTTGATATCGCTCTCATTGACTGTATTTTCCCTTATCAAAGAGGTGCCACCACCAAGCTTGATGGAGCCATAGCTTATGGTCGCGCTTGACGAAATATTCAGGGCATCAACAATGTCTGCGACGCTGTCGATAGCCCTGGCTGTGTATGACACGGTTTGGCTCATGGGTTTTACAGACATTGTGTCAGAAAGGCATGGACGACATGAGAGAGATAGCCTTTCATCTTCAAGGGAATCGGTAGATAAATGGCGAGCATGGGAAGACTCAGGTGTCGGCTCTGGTCTTAGGCCTAGGGAAGGTGGCGGTGATAAAGAAACAGCAGGATGAGGATGTATAGTCACCGCGTTGTCTATACATACTTCTTGCGTATACGAATTGAAGCTAATCAGATATCAGTAGCTGTGGGACGTAGGAGTAGATGATAGCAACCCTTGACCAAGACGCATAATACTCGTGTATGGGGCAAAGAAGGACATCCTGACAGTCTTTGATATGTAGGGGAGTGAGGTAATGATAAGGGGTCGCCAGCGACTCCTTGATGTGTCAAGGAAGAAGTAATAAGTAACGAATATCTGATGAAGAGTAATCAAGCAGGACACTATCACGATGCCGTGAGTTGAGAAAACGCAGATTCAGGTTCGTCACTCCCTTCCCCAGCCATTGTTCTAGGAAGGAGCAACCAAAAAAAATCACAGCAGCTGGGCGTCTCAAGACAGACAAGACCAAAGGCTGATGGCATCTAGAATTCTTGGAAATAGTTATCGGATAAGCAATTGAAAGGGATTGATGCAGCTGGGTTTATATTATCGTTTCTACTTTACCTATCCCTATCGAAGGAAAGTGCAGGAATCAAATTGCACCTCGTGGTTTTTTTTTTTTTTTTTTTTTTTTTTTTTTTTTTTTTTTTTTTTTTTTTTTTTTTGAGGTTTATTGTTACTGGCAATGCGGTCTCGTCTTCATCGACACCCGGTAGTTTCGGGCGTAAAAAGGTGACTCGCAGTTCTCATTCCCTATAATAACGCAGGAAACGATGGCACAGTGCTGATACAAATGCTCTGTTGAGAACAGTTAGCGCTGTCTGTTATTCCTGAGAGTCTTGTATTTGGGCAGGATATGCATCAATTGTCACTGAGATAGACAGCGACCGACGAGCCGAGGAAGTCGGCCTCGGCGTAGGTAAGCGTGTCGAAAGCCAGAACGCCCTCAACGCGCACAGCTAGCGACTCGGAATACTGCTTTATATCATACATACAGGGCAGTATATAAGTCCGTCAGGATGAGCTTTGTCTGAAGGGTCTCTTTCTTTTGTTGACGCGCTCCTTGCTGCTCATTATCGAACCTCGCTATCTTTCGCAACGATGACCGCCCCGACCAGGAAACTCGACGATTTCGAGACACCCATCTACCACTGGTTCAAGGAGGTCATTCTCAACACGGAACAAGAGGTTAGCATACTCCCATTCCCGCGGGAGTTACTTTGGAGTCTGGACACTTCATACGGGGCGACGAAATTGTTTAAAGACATCGCTGACACGTATCGCGACCTGACAGTCCTGGGGTATCGATGCTAATCGCAGCCAGTTGCGCTTCGAATATGCAACCAGAGAACCTTCTCCTCGTGTCGCGTATCTTCTGAGAGTGACCCCGGATCTTTGCAATCGAATGGGCAACCTGCACGGTGGATGCGCCGCAACTCTGATAGACAATCTCTCGAGCACTGTCCTTGCGTCCGTGTCGCGACCAGGACGCTTCTCCTTGGGTGGTGTAAGCAGGAATCTTAAGGTCACCTACCTTCGCCCTATACCAGAAGGCACGGAGATCAGAATTGTCAATGAAGTGATCCATGTGGGTCAGCGACTTGCATTGTTAAGATCTGAAATCTGGAGGACCGACACCAACGTTTTATGTGCTATCGGAGAACACGACAAAGTAAACACGGATCCGGAAGCTTCCAAAATCTAATCTTCATCTGGATAGATACCCATTAGATACGAATGCTTACAGCCTTTTTGGAGATACGCATGGCTGATCTACAACAATATTATTTTTCGCTAAGGTTTATATGACGAGATAACATGAAAAGAATGATTGATCATATGTTTCGCTTAGTACTAGAGCTCTTACGCAATAGCATCCAATCAATAACGGTGATACCGGATGTCCAATAATTAAGAATATTTATCTTTTGGCTCAAGGTGCTAACGGGATCCATCGTTGTCTATTCCTCAGCCGAGATCTTCTTGAGGTTATCGACGACCAATTCTTCGCCAACCGCCTGCTTGTAAATCTCTCTAATGTTCTCTGTCGAGGTGTCAGTAACTATCGCTGTAGATGGAAGAAATATACAGTTATACTAACCTGTAGTCGTCTCGAAATGAGTTGTAGCATCGTAGCTCTTCGAGATGAAGATGTTGTCGTTGGGCAGGTTCGCCTTTGGCCTGTAAAGAGGAGCAGGAGGACCCATGAATCTCTCCTCAATGTCACCAAGGAGCTTGAATCCATGGTTGAGTTCTGCGTGCCAGTTGTCCTGGTCCTCAAGGATCTTAGAAACAATGGCAATGTAGTAGCCCTTGGGGCAGACGCAGTGCGTCGAAGACACCATAGCAATGTAGGTATCTGTTTCGCGTAAGAAAGAGCTCTCATTACAAATCTGCAGAGTCGATTCGAACTAACCTTTCTTCTGGTTGACTTGAGACTGCGGGATAATCAACTGCAGCGAATCGCTCGAGTCCGTCTTGGGGATCGGGTGCTTCAGGATACAGATTGCCTTTAGCAAGTGGTCGTAAGGTTCGACCTTTTCGGGGAAATATGATGGGTCGGCAATGATCTTCTTCGTCTTGGTCTCAAAGTTCATGACCACACTGCCATCGCCAGGTTCCCGCATGGTCGCCTTGATGCCCGAAACCTTACCATCGGCATCGTAAAGGATCTCGTCAATGCTGGTGTTCAGCATGTAGGTACCACCGTAGATAGCAGAAAGACGGGCAAATCCCTGCGGGAGCTCTCCAAGACCGTACAAGGGGTAGATGTATGGCGAGCCGCCATACTTTCCCATAGAGTTGACGTACAGGCGGATACGGTCGATTGTCTCCAGGATGCTCTGGAACCGTCTGGCCTTTAGTGAGTCCGATTCGTCGGTTTCACCTGGCAGTTTCGGGACATCGAGATAGTCATCTGACTGATACAGCGCCATTGCGTGACCAATGAAATCACGAGTACCTTCCTCGAGTCCAAATTTGTCATAGACATCCTTCATTGTGCTCTTATGCAAATCCAGACCTAACGTATATTAGCAGGGCCATAAGAACTACCTGACAATGAACTCACCAGCATGAGTCGACACTTCATCGGCTTTGAACTCCCCAACCCACTCTAGGAACTTCTTTGCTCTTCTCTTCTCGAACAATCCAAGCAGCGGGGAGCGCAGGGCCTCGGCGGCACTCGAGGGGACCTTGTTCACATCATTTCCCTTGTGGACGTAGCTGCCAGCGATCGACGTGAACTTGACATACTCATGGACGTTGGTCGAGGCGAGAATACTCGAAAGGTCACCGTTGGACATCAACAGCTTAGGCACGAGGTCGATGTTCCAGTCATGGGTCCTGCCGTATTTCTTCCACGGCTCCTCCCCAGCGGGGACATTGCCGTACTTTTTGAACAGCTTTTAGGGGTATTAGCGGAAGTTCCAGACAAAAGCTCACATCAGACGAAAGGCCGATCGAAATATTAGACGAAAGGGTAGGAGGTTTCTAACAGTTTCAATGTTCACAGATGCAGATTCTCTTTGTTTACTTGTTAGCTTCTTCTCCCAATGGGCACCATCAGGGGCCAGTCTAGCTACTTACCCGCCATAGTAAGGATTGCGGTCGATGTGAAGGACCTTGTATCCTTTGACACTCAGGACACTGGAAAGAGAGTTAGGGAGCTCTTCACGATGCACCACAGAAGATAATACTCACCCCGAAAGCACACACTCCGTCAAGCCTATTTGCAGGGTTAGCGGTCAGTGAAGTTAGGGGATGGCGGGGTAATCATTACCTGTGCCCAGCACAATGAAGTCATACTCCGGAGCAACGCCTTCCATGGCGGGTATCAACAGTGAATCTTAGATGTAAGGAATGTGATACAGAACAGATGATAGATAGAAAGACAGGAGACGGAAGCCTTATGTTGCGGTGTCAAGTGTGTTGGTCACTATGAGGTGCGCTGGTCAAGCTACGACCAACTCCCTCGCCTTAGCCTCCTAAACTGGATTGTCCCCGCAGAGCGTCGCCCCAACAAGCGGTGAGATTGGTTTAGCCTTCTCTAACACAAACGCTAAGATGGATCGACGGATAACCTTGAGACACGAGAGTTTACAAACGATAATAATTATCCTCCAGCTTATTTTAATGACCGAGTCTTTGAGGAGAATATTCAAGGGAGTCTAGGGGAGGTTGAAATCGTAGAGTGGAAAGGGGGTCTACAGTTCCAATCGTTTCCACTTGTATCAACAACGGCAAACATAATTAATGATACACTTCAGGAGATGAAATCGCGTGATAATACATGAATCCGAGGGGATATCTGAAGCACTGTATGCTGCACTTCCCATCGAGACGCTCTAGCTCACGCTTTCTGAGCAGTCTCTTCCTCGAAGCTACCCTCATCCGCCTCCGGTCGGTAACCACTGTTGTATAGGTGCTGCGCATCTTCCCAAGCGTACCATCTCTCCCGAAGGACGTGCTTGATGCCATTCTGCGTAACTCGAATCTGGAAGGGGATGTTGTCAGCACGATTGACTTGACCACAAGACGGAAATAGCTGGAATGCACTGAAGTTCGGTAGCGGGGAGGGACAAGGAACAGCATAAGCAAGCTCATTATATACTCCAGATTCTCATCACCATGATTGCGGTAACTGATGTAACTGGACGACGGGTATATCGTTGCTCGGGCTCGATGCAGTTCCAACACAAAAGACAACTCAGCGACGACTCACCACTCTGTCACGATCATTGGCCTCGTATTCTCCATAACCGGCCTTCAGCCTCTTCCTTTCCAGATTGGATGTAGCTATCCTGTTGCGCTCCTTGACGCAAACCCACCAAAGGCTGTGGAGATCTTCGAAAGACTTCTCGCGGAGTTCCTGGATAGACCAAGGGCGGCCTAGAACCAATGAGCGAAGGCTTGCAATTCACATGAAAGAAGTGCTTACCGTGTGCGATATCATATTCAGGGCTGCTCAGTGCCTGCTTGTCCTTCGGAAAGAACTCCCATAGGCCATGGTTGGGAGTAGGATCACGAGCCTGTCGGGCCGACAGCACAGGCTTCGGCAACGGATACTTGGAGACTCCCAGTGGATGCTTGGGGCCAGTTCTGTGAATCGCAGAAACGCCGCGAGACTTGCTCAGATCCTTTCCAGCCGCAGCAGCCGTGGAAGAAAAGCTCGAGCTCTGGGTCGGTGATCGGATTATGGAGAAGTGAAGGGAAGGCGCGAGATATGGAGGGGGTAATTCGACCAGGGGAGAAGCCCCATACTGGCGAGAGAGCCTCAGCAATGATTGCCGATGCATTGGGACTGTTGTTGCGCGACGTTACGATCGAACTGCCTTCAAACGTCCACTTTTTGCGGACTTGAGTTGCGGCCGGCGCTAAAGAGCGGCTACGGAGAAGCGCGGTACATGACAAACTATGCCGAACTAGGTAGTTATATTCTTTCTCCGATCATATGGAGAGAATCTCGGTTCTGCCAGTTGCACACATGGTAGGTGTTCATATCATCCTTCTCGGTCCTTTTCTGCTAATGTTGCTCTTAGTTCTAGCCTGGCTCATTCTATTTTTGGGACAAATTTGGATGTATAACCGTCAACACCCCATTTCGTCAGTCGGGATCCCAGACATAGAAAAGAGTAGAGTAGAGTATAGTAATGTATGTCTGTCATCCAAGTCAGAAAGTATTGCTGCAACACTATGTGGCTCTATATTGCATAGAATTAGGGGGGGGTTGGTATATGACTATGGCGTACCCCGAGATTATCTAAGAGAGTGGCACTAGTTAGTCTATCAGATTCTATATCTATTAGAGTCAAGCTAGCTTGCCACAATAGTTTCAAACTCAAAACTTGTTCTTTTCTACATCGCCGTCTTTTGAACAAGCTAGGATGGTTCATGCATCACTGAGATGCTGAAAATCTCACGTATGGCCGTAGTTTGTAGCACGAGGTGTCTACTACTAGTATGTATGCGCTATGCAAATCGCACTTCACCAGAAACGATCACCAGATTTTTATCCGATCATATTGGTAGCAATATATATAGCTCTATCAAACGAGATAGCTCTACATTCAGAATTGTATAAGTATCAGAATAGTATTCCAACTTGATCTGCCCTCTCTACCGCTCGGTTAACATGTGGCCCGTGCGCAAGACTCACGAAGCGCGCGGCTATATTCTCTCCACCTCCAGCAATGGAGCGAGCAACTGCGCCGCATGAACCTTTGTTAACGGAGCTTCTGAGCAGCAACTTCCATACTATATACACTATAGAGAGTCCTGGTGGGACCTTCCTACACTTTGTCAAGCTCCGCAGCTCCTTCTGAGAGATTGTTGAGGCTATCTACCTTCCCAGAATGAATCGGCCAGGTTCGTCAGTCCTCAGTTACGATGTGTCCCCGTTTATCTACTATTGCTGCGGTGATGGTCTGGATGTCTCTTGAAAGACACATCTTTTGGGCCTATTTTGCTTTGGGAATGCTTCAGGCCCTATGCATCTGAGACCAACCCTTCGATCTTATCCACATTCGCTCCCACAAGATGGATTCGTCCTTGGCGGCGGTTGACAATTCCTGCGGGCGCCCATCCAAATCGCCTGCGACTTGGGCTAAAGTGGTCGCAGCATCTTCAGAAGATTCTGCTCCAAGAAGGAAGGCTGACAGCTCGGTGGATAATACAGGACCAGGCCCACAGCCTCTGAGAGGCATGTCCGGATTCCCCGCCCAACAACAAGCTCAGGCGCGAAATGCGACGTTGGCCTCGGCGCGCTTACCAAACGGCAAAATTGGTGCGATAATAACATCTGATGATTTCCGGATACAAATACCTAGAGACTAACGGGCTGAGGGTGGTGGACAGGGAATACCGCTAATTGGAATTTCGGACTGCCTATGGGAGGCGCACCAGGCCTTCAGAATAATCAGCAACGTAACATGGGGACCATGGGGAGCTTCGCACAGAGCCTAGGAGGATCGCAGCCCGCAACTCCTCTGGATCTTTCGTAAGTGAGATCCGTGTCATGAGAGATTAGTGGTTTGCGGACACTGAACAAAGCATTTGGGGTAGGGAATTCCCATCGTTGTCTGGAGCACCCCCGCAATCGCAGTCTCAAGCCCCTGGACAAGCAGTATGGGCCAACGCAAGCCAACGTGCAACACAGCAGACCCCAGTCCAACGACAACAACCTCCTTCATCGCAAGCGCCGTCACGAGCATCGCAAACACAGTCTCATTTGCCTCAGCAGCAATCCCAACCTTCACACGAGGATCTTTTCCCGTCAGGAGCACAATTTGCGAACAGGCTCGACGATTTCCGCAACGGTGGTCGAGGAATCAGTGGCCAACTCGGTGCTAGCAGTCAGCCTCAAACGGGCAATATTGAAGAATTTCCGCCCTTAGGAAGGAATGTCCATGGAGACCTAGGCCAGGAACGAAGGGAATCATTACTTCAGAACGCGGGATTCGGAAACTACGCCAGCAACATTGCATTTTCTGGAATAAATCAGACACAGTCAGCCCAAAATCGCAACATGATGGCAGCATCCATGAACGGGCAGGAGACCGCCAGGATCATGTCACCAACAGCTACAGGTACGGGAGCCAGGCTTCAAAATACACAGAGTGTGGGCGAGTTGGGCTCATTATCATACATAGGCATGTCTGCATCGAGATCGCCTATCAACCAAGGATCAAATGGTATTCTGAGTCAAGATAAAGAGGTACATCACGCGTTGCTTCTGGTATCCTATGGTTTCTAATTCGTCTCTACAGGACTTGAGCGGCTCCATTTCTTCCAACCAACGTGCCGCTTTCACTGAACAGGCAACTCAGGCGCAGTTGCAACAGATGCAACAGCGCCAGCAGCAAACTGGGGGTTCTTCAGCCGAAGGGCAAGACTCAGCGGGAGCTACCCAGAGCGCTGAACAGCCGCCTTTATCTCAAATGAGCGAGATAGACAGATTTGGTCTTGCTGGATTGCTACGAATGATCCATAGCGAAAGCCCAGACGTCGCTAGTCTTGCAGTAGGTCAAGATCTGATGACTCTCGGCTTAGACCTCAACCAGCCTGAGTGCGTTTCCAAATTATTTCAACGAATGACATTATTGTACTATGCTGACAAGCTCTGAAGGCCACTTCATCCATCCGTTGCCTCCCCCTTCGTCTCGTCCATGTCAACGGTGCCTTTGGAACAGGATTATTCCCTTCCTTCTTGCTACGCGGTGGCAAATATCCAACCTCTTCAGTCTCGCATCCCGAGCTTCAGTGATGAAACTCTATTCTACATATTCTACAGTATGCCGCGAGATATAATGCAGGAACTCGTAGCCGAGGAGCTCATGGGCCGCAAATGGAGATACCACAAGGTGGAAAGATGTTGGTTGACGCGAGACGAAACTTACCCAGGACCCGTGGATGTGGAGAGGGGTGTAAGCGAACGAGGCGTCTACTTGTGGTGGGATGCCGCGAGCTGGAAGAAGATTCGGGTAGGTCTTCTCCCTTCAATGCCACAGACCAAATCTGCAACGATATAGCTAACTAATTTTTCATGCAGCGAGAGTTTATCCTTCGCTATGAAGATCTTGACAACAGGCTGGACCCAAACAGGAGTATCGCACGCACTGTCGGCTTTCCGCCTCATGCTTCATGAATTGTTCTTAGCACATGGTACTCGATCAGAAATGGGTTTGGTTGAAGACCAATTTATGTATTGTCCAACGATCTGCAAAATGTATCAACGGCACCGGAAACGGTAGCGGTCTGGAGACCACGACACATACTCGAACATCCCTCCAGTTTTCTTCATATGCGCAAGAACCTCCCCTTGACTGTAATAGACCCTGTCCCTTTTCCTACAGGACGCCGTAGTCGGGGAGTGTTATGTCATAGTAACGCAGTTAAACTCCAACGGCTGTTAGCATTTAGAACTGTCTATCGTTGAACTGCTGGAAGAGGGAAGGGATAGCCATATCTGCATTATAGTCGCTCGTGTTTCGACTGCGAACTAGTCTCTAGGAAGCTACATTGGTTTCTTAGCTGAAGACAGAATAGCAATCCAATCCGTCTCAATAGGCTGGTCCTTCCCATACTTGTTTTCCAAGTACGTCCGCATGACAGGTGCTATATCCTTCTCGTGTGCTTGTTTTTGGTCTTCACTCCAGAACCTGGACGTGATGAGGGGAATCATGCTCGATAACATAGTAATAAACTGGTCGTGGTTATCCACTACCACAGTCTCCTGTATCGGCTTCACCGAAACGTCCTCGAATCCGTGTTCTCGAAGACATGAAGCGATCCAAGCCTCATCGTCCCAGTGACCCTTGCCTATAGCAGCAAGGAACTCTTTCTGGGATGGAAAGGGAAGGTTTCCTGGTATTGTTGCGACAGCGTCCCTAAGATCTGAGAACCATCCGCCTACGTCAAAAGATATGATGCATCAGCTAGAATACTTTGTAACAGCTTGAGGCTTTGTAAGTGACTTACTTTTTATCCACGTCGAAAACGCGAATGTTCCACCGGGTTTTAGGATTCGAAAGGATTCTTCTTATATCGTTAGTAGTCAAAACAATTACACTGGAGATAAGCCACATCTCATGACTGATACCGACCTTTAATGGCTGCGAACGGGTCAGGGAGTGCCATGATGACTTATCGATCCAAGTCAGCAGCTATTTCATCCTGTCATTTTTGATCAAGGATACCTACCGAACGCCGCGAAAACATGTGAATAATGCGAACTAGCAAGATCTGTCTTCTGCGCATCCACGACCTTCGTTTCCGTATTCTTCCATCCTTCCTCTTGTATTCTTCTTTTGGTTATCTCAAGCATAACCTCAGATACATCAGCGCAGGTCAGCTGCATGTTACTTTTGGCTTCTTTATCCAACAACTCGTGCAGATTTTCAGCCACAACGCCGGTTCCGCATGCATTATCAAGAATAATAAGCGGTCTTTCTTTGATAGATTGGATTCCTGATTGTTCAACGAGGTGCTTAGCATACGGGCCGGTGATCCCTTCTGCGAACCGGTAGCGGGATGCGAAGGTGGGATCCTCCCATAGTGCTTTGAGCTCTGGGACGGTTGACATGATATGCGATGAATATATCAAAGACGAATGCACTGTTAGAGATGAGGTCTATTGTAGTTGTCCAGTAATAGAGTGGTGGTGGTCACTTTGGCGGGATACATATAAATATATATTCCAACGGGTGGCCTAACTCATCCAAGGTTCTATAGAGATGCGCATCAGCAGCCCACAACCCTTCGTATAGGTACAACACAAAGTCGCCGAATGTCTCCGAGGTACCTTGGGAGGCTTGAGAATCAGGAAGTGTAGCATGATGTTGCAAACAATTTCGAAGAGAAAGTATCCGAGATGTCTCCGTCGCTGACATCTTGGCAATAGTGAGTGATACGACTGGCAGATTTCCATTGAATGGAGCAAATAATTGGAATTCAAGGATGGTAGAATAGTGTATTAAGTACCTACATTAGGCTATATAAAAATAGCGTTTGATCTCCCAAGGAAACTGCCATCGGTATCCCGAACTCTCAGCTGGTGACTGAAAACGCTCCACGGAGATCCTCTGTTTTTTTTCGACTACGAAACTAGACAAATAAACTGATCGTAATATGTGTTCGGATCTCTATCCAAATGGATATGTTATTCATAGGGAAACTAAGAAACATCTATCGTGAATGCCCAATTCCCAATCCGTCCATCGAGACGAGCACGTGTGCTTATGTCATCCCCCGCTCTGCACCAAGCCAGACACGGCAAACCGTAAACACCGCGGCGCCGGGTCTGGGCACTCAGGCACAACACCGCGTCAACAGAAAATCGAACCGCGAGACGATCTGCGACCGGACTGTCCATCTGCTATCGCCCCTCTCTCGGTCTCCATCTGTGACCCATGTCATCGCATAGAAGCTGATTGAGGGTGATTTACTGGAGTCGCAGCCATGAGGATTGTCGAGATTATTATCGACGTGAGTAATGGCCCCGAGGTCCAGAGTTAACCATGAAGATTTGCGCAAGCTGACCTAGCCTACCACAGGGTTTCAAATCGTACGCTGTGCGTACGGTGATCTCAGGATGGTATGCGCTGATTACGCCCATTTGTGGAATCTTGTTTTGTGATCGTTTCGACCAGCTGGCTACGATCGATCTCTCCAGCATCCAGCGGCGCATTCTGCTGACTTCGGAGATAGGGACGAATCCTTCAACTCGATCACTGGCCTGAACGGCAGTGGCAAGTCCAACATCCTTGATGCGATCTGTTTCGTTTTGGGTATTACGAATATGACGACCGTGCGAGCACAGAACCTGCAAGATCTTATCTACAAGCGTGGTCAGGCAGGAGTTACCAAGGCTAGCGTGACTATCGTTTTCGACAATCACGACAAGGAGAAATCCCCGATCGGATTTGAGGAATATACCAGCATTTCAGTTACGCGACAGATTGTCCTAGGCGGTACGAGCAAGTATCTCATCAATGGCCATCGAGCCCAGCAGCAGACGGTGCAAAACCTGTTCCAGAGCGTTCAGCTAAATATCAACAACCCGAATTTCCTGATCATGCAAGGAAGGATCACGAAGGTCTTGAACATGAAGGCCGTGGAAATACTGTCGATGATTGAGGAGGCAGCTGGTACGCGCATGTTCGAGGACCGGAAGGAGAAGGCAGGGAAGACAATGGCGAAGAAAGAGATGAAGGTTCGCGAAATCGAAGGCCTGCTCAAGGAAGAGATCGAGCCGAAGCTTGAAAAGCTGAGAGGCGAGAAACGAGCTTTTCTTGATTTCCAACAGACGCAAGGTGACCTCGAGCGGTTGACGCGGTTGGTTGTTGCTCACGACTACCTCAAGAACGGCGAGAGGTTGAGAGTGGCTGGCGAAGAATACGAAACGAAGAAGGCTAAGATCCAAGCCCTCGAGGACAACGCCGCGAAGCTTAAGGGTGAAATCGCGCACCTGGAAGAAGACGTCAAGAGAGTCAAGGCCGTGCGTGAGAAGGAACTCCGAAAAGGAGGTAAATTCCAGGCTCTGGAGGATCAGGTCAAAGCCCACTCACATGAGTTGGTCCGACTGAATACCGTTTTTGACCTGAAAAACTCGAGCATGGCCGAAGAAAAAGAGAAACGAAAGGAGATTCAAAAGACTGTAGCCGAACTTGAAAAGTTGTTGAAGGAAAAGAAGAAGGTATACGATAAATTGCAGGCACAATACGACACTGCAAAAGCCGAGCTGGATGCCCAGACGGCCGAAGTCGAACAAAAAGAGGAGCTGCTACAGACACTACAGACTGGTGTCGCATCCAAGGAAGGCCAGGAAAACGGCTACCAGGGCCAGCTTCAAGATGCCCGAAACAGAGTCAGCACAGCCACCACGGAGCAGGAGCAAGCCAAGCTTAAGATTGCTCATCTCGAGAAGAGAATCAAAGAGGAAGAGCCTCGTGCCAAGAAAGCTAAGGAACAGAACTCTGGTCTCTTAAAAGAGCTGGAGGGTTTGAAGTCTCAAGCGAAGAAGCTTGAGGCCGAACTGGCGAAGCAAGGGTTCGAGCCGGGTAGAGAGGATCAAATGTACGAGGAACAATCAACGTTACAGAGAAGTATTCGAGAACTCCGTGAACAGGCAGATGGATTGAGGCGAAAAGTCGCAAATATCGACTTCAACTATGCCGACCCGTACCCGAACTTCGACAGGTCCAAGGTTAAAGGTCTTGTTGCTCAGTTGTTCACCCTGAATAAAGACAGAACAGAGGCTGGAACCGCGCTCGAGATCTGTGCTGGTGGACGTCTGTACAATGTTGTGGTTGATAGTGCCGAGACCGGCACGCAACTTCTCCAGAAGGGCAAGCTCCGCAAGCGAGTCACTATTATTCCTTTGAACAAGATCTCGGCTTTTAAAGCCTCGGCAGAGAAGATCGGGGCAGCACAGAGACTTGCTCCTGGTGCAGTGGATCTTGCCTTGTCACTGATAGGGTACGATGAAGAGATTACTGCAGCGATGGAGTATGTGTTTGGTAACACCTTGATCTGCCGCGACGCCGATACTGCGAAGAGAGTGACGTTTGATCCCTCCGTTAGGATGAAAAGCGTTACCCTCGATGGAGACGTCTATGATCCATCCGGAACCTTATCCGGTGGCAGCTCTCCTAATTCTAGCGGTGTCCTTGTTATTCTGCAGAAGTTGAATGAGGTGAACAGAGAACTAAAAACTAAGGAGCGGCTCTTGGCGACCCTTCAGGAGACCATGAAGCGTGAAAAGAAGAGGCTCGATACCGCACGAGCTATTAAACAAGAGCTCGATCTGAAAACCCATGAGATCCGACTCACTGAAGAGCAAATAAACAGCAACTCATCCTCATCGGTAAGTGCTTTCCTTAGCTATGCTTCAGCCGATTGCTAACAATCATAGATTATTCACGCCGTTGAGGAAATGAAAGCGAACATCGAGCAACTACACAAAGATATTGCGGACGCCAAGGCTCGCCAGACTGAAGCTGCCAAGGATATTAAGCGCATCGAGAAGGATATGAGTGAGTTCAACAACAACAAGGATAGCAAGTTGGCCCAGTTGCAGTCTTCACTTGATGCACTGAAGAAGAGTCTGAACAAGAACTCAATCTCTGTGAAGACCCTTCAGAAAGAACTACAAGCCTCCAGATTGGACTCTGAGCAGGCCGGAAGTGACCTTTCAGCCGCTGAGGAACAGCTTTCTGAGTCTGATGCTGCTTTGAAGGCGCAGTTAGAAGAGGTGCAGTCTCTAAACAGGGAACAGGCACGAATCAAGGTAAGGACATATGGCTCATGTGTGTGGTATCATGTAATGTTCTGACAATTGTCTAGGATGCCCATGACGTTGCACAAGCTCAATTGGAAGATGAGCGTGCCAAGCTCACCGGATTCGACGACGAGCTGCGCGAGCTTGAGGAGGCTATGCGCTCGAAAGCTTCTCGTATCACTGAGGAGGGCCTGGAAATGCAGAAGCTTGGCCATCAGCTTGAGAAATTGCACAAAGACCAGCAAGCCGCGGCGCAGATGGTGGCCAACATGGAAAAGGAACATGAATGGATTGCCGATGAGAAGGACAATTTCGGTCGCCCTAACACCCCTTACGACTTCAAGGGCCAGAACATCGCAGAGTGCAGGGCGACTCTGCGGAACGTAACTGAGCGCTTCCAGGGAATGAAGAAGAAGATCAACCCGAAGGTCATGAATATGATCGACAGTGTCGAGAAGAAGGAAGTCGCGCTGAAGAACATGATGAAGACCGTCATCAGAGATAAGCGGAAGATCGAGGAGACTATTATCAGTCTGGACGAATATAAGAAAGAAGCACTGCACAAGACGTGGACCAAGGTCAATGCCGATTTTGGTCAAATCTTTGCAGAACTTCTTCCTGGTAGCTTCGCGAAGCTTGACCCTCCAGAAGGCAAGGATATCACCGATGGACTGGAGGTGAAAGTATCTCTCGGAAAGGTCTGGAAACAGAGCTTGACCGAGTTGAGTGGTGGACAACGGTGAGTGTCTCTCATAAACAGCAATTTTAAGGATCACCGAACTAATTATCTTGATGCTCACAGTTCACTTATCGCGCTCTCCCTCATCATGGCCCTTCTTCAGTTCAAGCCCGCACCAATGTATATTCTGGACGAAGTGGATGCTGCCCTTGATCTTTCACACACCCAGAATATTGGTCGCTTGATCAAGACGCGCTTCAAGGGTTCTCAGTTCATTGTCGTTTCCCTCAAGGATGGCATGTTCCAGAACGCGAACCGGATCTTCCGGACGAGGTTCAGTGAAGGAACTAGTGTTGTCCAGGCGCTGACCCCGGCTGATATGAAATAGAGCCGGGGATATTGGGTCTATTTCTTTTGTCTCCCTTGTCCGTCTGCTGACTGGGGGAAGGACTTTCTGTCGTACGTGGGCTGCTATGTCTGATGTCCATGGTTGGTGTTTATGGGGTTTGTATAGGGTCCTGGGTTCAAATAGGGACATCTGGGATGAGCTATGCGTAATGATGAATTTTGGTGATTTCGCTATACCTATATATGCATGTTTCAGTTTCCCATTTTATTGTTGACACTTGTAGACATAGATTGCTGTGTAGTTTCCGCATAGGGGTTACGGCGCCGCATAGGGAAATTGCGCAGCCGACCTGGTGGACCGAACTCAGCTCACGCTGTTTTGGCCAGCGTGGATTCTCCGGTATTACCCAACTACTATTCAGTACATACTATCTTTATTCATTTCTATTCCATCGTTTGAGAGTTGAATCAAGTGCTACACTCCTTTACTGTGTCCCTTCCTGTCCACTTGCTCTCGGGCCGTTTTCCGCACGTGAGTGATCTCACGGTCCGATCGGTGTCCCTACCACCCGCCACATCCTACTTCGGTCATCTTGGAACGTCGCAAACAATCGTCGGTCTGTCGATCACTCTTAGCCTAAACAATTGAACCTGAGGGCTCTTATCTATCTGTGCCATCAAGAGGAAAATAGAAAGGCAGCGGTATTCACGCTCTACGGCATCAGGCGCTAACCTTGCGTGTCATACCACACTCATTCAGCTCTGTCGCCCCTCCGAGAATGACGGACGAAGAGCCCTCGTTGAACATTCCTTCACTCCTTACACTCGCCGTCGTTTCATTCTTTGTGATTCGATGGTTCTTCAACCGTGATAGTGGTGCAGACGGCGCAAGGCCGGGAGAAGCGCTGGGTCGTACGCGGAGGAGGGTCGATCCGGCGCATGTCGAGCAGATATCGCAGATGTTCCCGCAACTCAACAGGCGTGACATCATGTGGGATTTGCAGAGGAATGGAGGAAGCATGGCAGCGACTACAGAGAGAATATTGACTGGTAGAGGACTGGAAGTGGTGAGTCTCCTGGGCGCGGTTATCCGGCGCTTTCCAACATCTCCGAGCGCAAAGGATAATAGGATAGCGCGGGAGACATAGGTTCAATGTCTTTGATAGATTCCTTTATCTTGCTAACAAATATGCCAAATTAGCCCCCGCCCTCCTTCCAGCCCCAGATCCCTGTTCCTACCACCAGCACTGCAACGACTCAGAATCCTTCGGCCTCCGGGTCGTCCGCGAAGCCGCAACCCCAAGACCTCATATCGCGCTACAACCTCGCATCGAAGATCGCATCGGAGAATGACAGAGACTCATCAGAGACATCCCCGTCGGTGGATAGCGCATGGTCACAGAGCAAGAGTGAGCGACAACGGCTCCTCCAGAAGCGGAGGGATGAGATGATCCTGGCGGCGAGGAGAAAGTTACAGCAGAAGGATAAGGAAACAATGAGTACACCCGTCTCATCTTCTTCGTGATCGTTGAGTTTAGTGTCGTTTTCTAAGAAGAGATTCGGAAGTGGCCGCCTAATGTGGGCATTCTGAATGTGAACAGCTCTTCTATCGTTTCCTCGCAAGCTGGCTTCTCTCATCTATTTGATAGCAAGAGCGCGCATGCTGTATGGCGTTTCATTGGAATGATCTTTTTATTTATTCTCTATGGCAGCTGCAGGGTATATGCATATAAGGAATTCGTTTTCAAAGTCATAGATCTCATAGTACCCCCTTTTTGGATCACAAGATGATGCAAAACCAAAGCAAACCGAAACGCCTAGAACTCCATTTCGTCTTCATTTTGCGTGCCGTCGTATGTATTTTCGCGCTCCTCAGCGAGTTGTTCTCTTCGCGCCAATTCTTTAGACGCCCCGATTTTCCTGATAGAAGGCATAAAGATTAACAGGGAGACGATCGCACATATAATTGTCTCAATAAGGGCGGATGCATACCTTAATCCTTCTACCACCCCGGCCACGAACCCTCTACCTTCTCCTATTTCCATGGCCCCTACACCCGTGAGAGCGACGCCGCCTCCACCTGTGGCCGCCGCATCTAATACATCTACACCCTTTCTCATTTTAGCCATTCTCACCTCCCTAAGGTCCTTCAATAGCCGCCTCAGCTGATCTGGCTCCACGAGATCATCGCTGGCCGCATCCAGCAGCATATTCCCTACTTCCAGCCAGTGGTACGGTAAGGACGGCGGTTCCCCTGACGGCATCGCATTCGTCCGCGCTACATTCTGCGGTAGGAAGGGAGGAGCGGGGAAATATAGCTGGCCGTCTAACGTCCTTCGGGCGGTGCGGCCTCTGGGATTCCCTTGGCCGGGGAGTGGAGGAGGAGGGGAGAAAGCGTCCTTGTATTCGGACCGCTGTGTTTCGATTTCGAGAATTAGAGACAGAGGTTCAGGATGGAGCCAGTCTGGTGGGAGGATGTTTGCGCGGCGTTGACGCTTGAGGAGGAGAGCGAGCCAAAGAGGAAGAGAAGTGCGACGGGGAGGGAGGAGTGGTTCAGTAGGGCCCTGGGCGGATAAATATGTTAGTCAATTGAATTGAATAGAGGGATATCTTCATACGCAGTTTACTAAAAGAGCTAGAGACATTACTGCCATACAGTTGAACGCTTCATTTGCACTAAATCTGCGGGGAGAAACAAATAGAGAGAGCACTTACACCCAAAAGCTCGAGACCCTCGAGTCGCTGACGAGGAACAATAGTTACCATCTCCATCTCCGCAAGGAATGCTATCTCCGGGGGCGTAATGCCCCGCGGGAGAGGAAAAGCCATTGCGAGGCTTGATCGTTATACGCGGGGTTCAAAATGAACGTGTCGGAGATGGTCTCTTTGAGAGAAGTTGAAGATTGTCCACTCTAGATGAGCAGTGACGCGAAACGAACGAGTCTATATATGTGCAGATCGACATTTATGGCTCTGAGACATTGGAAAAAGTAACGAGCCCCAAGAATTCTAGACTCGCGGCCGCTTCATATGTATATCATTGTCGCGGCATGCTTCGCGAAATAAATGCGGTGTTTGGCTTGTTTGCACAGCAGGACGACGGACTGTCCGGGATTATTGGCGAGACAACATTATTGTTGAACTTTCATAGAATGAAAGCACCGAGTCTCACATAAAACCTCCTCCAAGAGCTCTCAGAGGGCAATACAAAATGAGCTCACGGCAGCCCGAGTCTAACTGGGCTCGTGCTGCTCGCTATGCTGTCCCATTTGTCCTGTTGTCCATTCCCTTCTGGCTGGCGAAGATTAATGCCACCGTTCCGGAACCATATCTGGATGAGGTCTTCCATGTACGCCAGGCCCAGACATATTGGGCTCATAACTGGACACAATGGGACCCAAAGATAACGACGCCTCCGGGTCTGTATCTTTGGTCATATGTTCTGTGTGCTGCTCTGCTTCTCCTTCGTGGCTCTCCTAAGGAGGTTGGCACAACCGAACTGCGCACAACCAATGTTGCAGCTATGGCCGTGATTTTGCCTTGGAGACTTCAGAAATTGCTGGATTTCTTGCGCAGGGAGCGGAACACACGACCAGCTGGAGCATGGCTGAGCCATACAGTTTTGAACATCTGTCTCTTCCCACCGTTGTTTTTCTTCTCCGGTCTTTACTACACCGACATCCTAGCTCTTCTTGTTGTCATTGAGGCCTATAATTGGGATCTTAAACGTGACACTGAAGGCGGCATCTCGGGTCTGATTTTCCTTCTGGTCGGGCTGGTATCCCTGGTTTTTCGACAGACCAATATTTTCTGGGCTTCTCTCTTCCTGGGCGGATTGCAGGCAGTCCGGACCCTTCGTCGAGTCTGCAAACCTTGTCAATCTTCCAACATACTTGGAATCGTGAAGAGGAGCTCACAGAATGAGCTTTATGATCCTCTGGTTGGAGATGCTACTATTGTTGGTCAGTAGGGTTGTATGTATATGGTCTTCGGGTTTACATTAACGTGTTTCTAGACTTCTTCAAGACCACTGTATCCCTCGTTATTACCGTCCTAACTAACTTGCCACGTGTGGTACTATCTGTGATTCCACATCTGATTATCCTCGCTGCCTTTGGCGTCTTTGTGTGGTGGAATGGAAGCGTCGTTCTCGGTAAGTCTGGATAAAGATGCTGACCGACCTACATTCTTCAGATCAACTGATGTGTCTAAACCAGGCCACAAAGAATTCCATACAGCAAGTCTACATCTGCCGCAGATGCTTTACATATGGCCGTACTTTGTCTTTTTCTCCTGGCCTATCCTGCTACTTCCTATGCTCAACCTTGTTCTCCCCAAGTCCTACCTTCCAACTTTCTTGGACTACGGCTTTTCGCCCAGACAGAAAGGTCTGCCGTCTCTGTTGACAGTATTGGGAATTATCCCAATCATGCTTGCAGTCGTCCACTTCAACACCATTGTCCACCCATTCACACTCGCGGACAACCGCCACTACATTTTCTATGTCTTCCGCCTTCTACTACGCACCCATCCTGCCGTGAAGTATGCGGCCACGCTGGCGTACTTCGTTTGTGCATGGTCTGTACTATCTGCCTTCGGTTTCTCGTCTCTTGTCTCCCCTCCCCGGCTGGCTCAAGTTCCGTCTTCATCAGCGCTGTCTGCCGAGCAGTCTGTTGCGAAGAAGACCGAGAAAGAGGAGAAGCCCCAAAAACAAGAAAAGAAGGAAACAAAGAAGAAGGGAAAGGCGTCTCGCAAAGGCGTCTCGTTCAAGGAACCACCTTCGCAACCGCAGCAGGAGCCAATCTCACCAGAGACTCTCGCCAAAGTCCGAGCTCACATGGTTCAGCGCCAACAACCACAATATCCGATTCGCGTCAGCTTTATCATTATCTGGCTTGCCTCCACGGCGCTTTCACTAGTGACTGCACCTCTCGTTGAGCCGCGTTATTTCATTGTTCCTTGGGTGATGTGGAGGATACACGTTCCTCCGCAGCCGATGCCAGTATTGTACCGCCAACAGCGAACTACCAATGAGAAAGAATTGTTCGTGGCGAAGCTCGTCACAAACCTGCCGCTAATTTTGGAGACGGTCTGGTTTGTTGCGATCAATGTTGTTACTGGCTACATGTTCCTTAATAAGGGCTTTGAGTGGCCGCAGGAACCGGGCAAGATACAAAGGTTTATGTGGTAGATGCCTCCCGACATCTCCGAGACCATCATCATAATCTTCAGCCATGTATTACTCTCCAAGAGATAAAACAAGCTGTAGCAGTAGCTGCTACAATAGCTACCTGACTTCCTGTATAATAGTCCGTTGCTTGCCGTTGTGGTGTACCTATAGACTTCATAATATAGCAAATATTCTGTATTCATTGATGTAGTATGCGATGTGAGAATCACATGCCTGCATTTCAGATAGACTATGTATACTGATTTGAGAATGGTGCTGTGTATATTGCTATCTTATTATCTTTACTCTTGGTTGTTATGAAAATTAAATTAGATATGGAGTGTGGATGCTAATGTTCTGATAGTAGAGTGACTTGTAGTTTATCCCTTTAGGGCAGTCCATCCTCACCTGACATCGCGTCACGCGTTCCGCTAATTAAACTGCTTTTACCTCCGACGGAGCAAGCAGAGAACGCAAACTGCGATGGGCCGCAGAGCTCAATTGAGCCACAACTTATAACTTTTGTTGGTTAGGATCTCCCGAGCAAAAAAAAAAAAATCTCATACTAATTTTTTGTTGAAAATACACTAGGTGATCTTCAGCCTTGCGCGACCCACCAGAGCAACCACTTTCCCGCCCACGGTCCCGTCCGCTTCGCGCGTCGAGTGCTATCTAGGAGCTACGGTTGCGCATTGCGAAATCCAGGACCAATTGCGAATACCACTTGATAGTTGTCGAGCACAGAAGAAACCCTTTCTCTTGCCATTTCTTCGATCATTATATCACACATATCACGAACCCTTAACGCTACGGACGAACCTGTTTTCACTTGTTGCACATCCTTGCGACTTGACATTTTACGTCTACCTTCATACTCGAATGTCCTTATACGAAGCATAAATTTAAATATATCCGCTAGGGCGATGGCTGCCGGCAAGAAAAGAAAGCTCTCCGACGTTAGAGCCAGGGATCAAGAGGGAGACGAGACGATGCACGACGTGGAGAACGCAGAGGCACCAGCAGCCACGTCCCCTTCCCCGAAGGGCTCAGGCAGGCGAAAGAGAGAGGATGTGTCTACGATGGATGTCGATGGAGTAGACGAGGATAATCAGGAATCCGTGACTCCAACAAGGTCAACTCGTCGACGATCTGCAGGGAGGCGAAAAGTTGTTCAACAAAACGAGGAGCAAACGGACGATGATAATGAAGAAGCAACGCCACCGAAGAGCAATACTCGTTCGAGCGGCCGACAGAGAAAACCTCCGAAGAGGTACGAGGATTCCGTTGTCGAAAGAAGGACTCCGCGATCGTCGAGGAAGAGTGCGGGCACACCTTCTCAAGAGGGTAGGGTGACGAGAAGCGCGAGACGGAACGCTGAGACACCTGTAGCGGAGGGTGCGAACGGAGATGAATCACCTGCGCCGGCAACCAATTTGACGAGGAGAAAGTCGACGAGAGCCTCTGTGAGATTCAGTACGACAGAGACGGAAAGTACAAGAAAACATGACGACGAGGAACAATCAGAGAGTGACGAGCGCATGCAAGCGGACTCTGACATTGATGAATTCGGGGATGATTTGGTCGCATATCAGTTGCAGCAAGACCTTGTTCCGAACAATGTCGATGGGCATGAAGAAACTACCGTGACTGTGGAGCAACTCCCTGATTACGTTGAAAGGTTCAAAATTCTTTGCCAGGACGGTCTCCAGGAAGAGTTGAGACTGCTGAGCAAGCTTGTCTTGGAGAAGCTTACTGGCAAACGTCCTGTTCCGCTTAAGGGACTGGAAAATGAATACCAAAAGACCCATCAACTGATAGAGCACACTGTTTCTGCCGGAGAAGGAAACTCGATGTTGCTCCTTGGGTCACGAGGCTCCGGAAAGACTGCGATGATCGAGACTATAATCTCATCATTGAGGAAGAAACACAAGGAGGATTTCCATGTAGTCCGCTTGAACGGATTCTTACACACTGATGATCGACTAGCTTTACGCGAGATCTGGCGGCAACTGGGACGGGAAACGAATACAGAGGACGAGGCAGCCAAGGTTAACAGTTATGCCGATACGATGGCTACGTTATTGGCGCTTCTATCACATCCCGAAGAACTTTTTGGCCCTTCTGAGAATGGCGAAGCTATCGCCACGGCCAAGTCAGTTGTCATTATCTTGGATGAATTCGACCTCTTCGTGTCTCATCCCCGGCAGACTCTGCTATATAACCTTTTTGATATCGCGCAGGCGCGAAAAGCACCACTTGCAGTCATCGGTATTACAACAAAGGTAGACGTTGCAGAAATGCTTGAAAAACGAGTCAAGAGTCGATTCAGCCACCGATACGTGTTCCTTCCTTTGCCTCGGACATTCGAGATGTTCTCGGATGTTTGTTATGCTGGACTGGGGCTAGAGGATGATGAGATTGCAGCAGAAACAGGGGCGTCGGGTGGTGAAGCAGGTGACACGATGGAGACTTCTCTCTTGAAATCCACTGGCATGAGAAAGTTGCTTGGTGGCTGGAGGGAATATCTGATGGTATGTCATACAATCCGTAGCGCGTATTCGCATACTTACCATTTGTATAGAGCCTATGGGAAGACAAAGGGTTCCAGCACCATCTACAGACTATATACTACCAAACGAAGTCCCCCAAGGAATTCTTTACTAGCGCACTAGTGCCTCTGTCGGCGATGCATCACAGCACCTACCAAGAGTCTAAGGATGAAGACATCAGCCTAGAGATTCCAACTCCAAAGTCATTTACGTCGCATACTTTGTCATGCCCCGACCCAGCGCCTCCTCTTCCATTCCCACCATCCTCAACAATTTCTGCGAGCACGACTCCTCTCCCTCTTTCACTCTTGCTGGCTGCTACTCGCTTAACAGCGCTCCACGATCCTGGTTCAGATGCTGCGCACCCACAGCTTCTCGCACCGCTTGCTATATCGTTCCCCGCCGCGTATGCTGAATATGTCCGGCTTCTTACATCAGCCAAGGCATCTGCTTCGGCATCTGGAGCGACTGCCACCCCCGGTCGTGTCTGGGGACGAGATATCGCACGAGAAGCATGGGAAAAGCTGGCTGAATGGGGCATAATCGTCCCGATAGGTGGCGGTGCTAATACGGCAGATGGCCGGATGTTCAGAATTGAAGTTAGCTTTGAGGAGGTCGTGGATATGGTGGGCGGCGGGGGTGCCTTGGGAAGATGGTGGCGTGACGGTTGATGATGTTCTTTCATGCATATCCACTGCCCGTTTTCTCTTATAGAGATAAATCTGCTTATCAGGCCCGGGCAGATGGCCTATCAAAGATTAGCCCATATACCATGTCATGTCGTTTATATGTATTTTGAAATGGAATAGAAAAACGTCCTGTCGAATAGAATAACGCCAGGATTAATATTCCAGAAATTACTGCCTTGCGATTAAATATCTTCGTATTATTCTCGATTATACAAGTCATATTCCAGCGTTATACCTGGGCGCGGTCAAAGTCCTGACAACCACTTTGTGGAGATTAACATCTATCAAACACCATACTATATATTGTCTTGAGATAAGCCGCTCCCCTAGCTACCGTGACTATAAGGGTCGCATTCCAGACCGGTGTAAAAGCTACTCCAGGCCTCGAATTATAGTTGGAAAGGCGGGATTATATATATTGTCGTTGTTTGCATATACTCTATCTACACATAATGTCTTCATACCTACGAACAGATAATATTATATGTGATTAAAGTAATCAGTACGAATGTCACTGCTATTCCTTCTTATATCTTAAGTATACAAGCATGTACAGTACAGTATCAGATTATAGCTATTGTATTTGTTTTCAATTCAATTGTAGCATAGTAATAATTGTAATAGATACGGTTTCACATAAACCTGCTGATGGGCTGTATTATCGCCTCTTGAAAATTACTGTACTTCTAACAGGAGATTCGAAGACGCGGAGTATCAAATGATATAAAGAAAAAGAAAAGGCAAGAGGTTGGTTATCTCAGGCACCGACACATGTGTATATATATACTAATTGATTCAATTCTCGTCAAATTGCATTAGATGTTTGTTTTCATTTCCTTGCCCTCAATCGAAATCCAGCAGAACATATCCCATCTCGAAACCGAAAACGCAACGCAATGCCTAAAAAAGCCAAATCAATAAGAAACCCCCAGTCTTTTCAGTCATATCAATAGCAATGAATGACACTATAGGATTATCTTGGATAGCGTTCCCTTCCCCTTTTCACCTACTCTATACACATGCTGTATTACAACCGAGTAAAGAACCTGGTGTGGATCGGTGCATGAATCTAGTTTAAAGACAAGAGAGCGAAAGGAAGCTGAGACGATGTCTGGCCCGTTTCCGAGTCCCGCTGTCTAAGTTTAATGCGAGGTCATAAGGATCAGTCAGTCCCTTTCTTCGCAGGCAGGCAGGCAGGCAGGCAGAAGGATGCGATCATGAACTAATCTAGCTAACTTCCCTGTCTGGTCCTCCGTCTTCTAAAGCAGAAAAGAAAAGACGGTGGCTGGTCGAGTAAATGGACACATCGAAGATCAAATAATATTGGCGATCAATTTGCTGTTATCTCAAGGGGTGAGTGAGTAACTATCTATCTATCTAGTTCTAATATAAATGAGTTCTCCCTCCTGGGATTTACGCAAAGATGGATACGTATATCTTGGCAGGATGTTGAATGAAAAGACGAAATTAAATTGTGGAGTTCTGCAGTATATTAATTATTGCCTACCTGGATACCCACATGAAAAAAAAGAAGAAGAAAAAGTAAAGGAAAGAGGCGGGGAAGCCAGGTAGGTGGATGTATACACGCAACTCCCGCAAGGGGAGAGAAGAAGATGTAAAAAAAGAGAACCCCGATTCCGAAACTCAAGGATCCTATAGTTAGGTAGGTACAGTAACTTATTCTACACAATATACTTACAGAAGGGACCAAGGTTAAATTAATTTTCAAAAAAATCAATTTTAACCCTTGGTTCCTGATTCTTCAAAGGAGGGGGAGAAAGAATCGCGTTTGTTCGGGAATTATTATCCTTTAATTAATATATCCCGCCACGTTGGCTCCTTTCTTCGTTGTTGTCCCTTGCATAAGTATGGATGGATATATATCTGCAGGGGTGGTGTTGATCGCGGCTTGATTTCTTTAATAATTCCCCGCCCGACCTGCCTTGTTTGAATTTGTTATGCTATTCCAAAGAAGCGGGCAGAGGGCTGATAGGGATGAATACAGATATGTTTTACGGGGTATAGTACCTATTATTGGAGGGCACTTTGTTGTCTGTATGTATGTATGGTACGTGCAACGTGGGGTTGGGGGAGTAAACGTGTTGGCTTTTTACTCCTTGGGATAAAATGGATGGGAGTTTCATTGGGTGATGATTGTCCATTAGAAACAGGGTATCCTTCGATGCTAAGAGTAAAATAATAATAATATGTTACGATAGGACAAGGACCAGGATTCGGTTATGGTAACATCGTGGATTCAGGAGCCGACACGTGATTGGGGTTTCAATCGGACTGAGTAAGATAGTTTTTCTTGCTCTTAAGATGAGTCTTACTATTATTTCTATGTTTTCGCATTGGTTTTGTTTTAAGAAGAAGATGAAAAAGAGAACGAGAGCTGAGCTGACCTTGCCAAGATCATGTATCGTGGAACCGATGTCTGTTGGTCCATGGGTCTGGCCGTCGGGATGATGGAATATGAACCCGGAAATAGATACGGGATGCTACCCTGGTCCGTGGAACTGGTCCAGGGGAAGCACAAAAGAGGAAGAAGAGAGAAGAGACGATCTGTTTTGGATTGAGTATTTACAGACTTTTCCTTTCCATCTCCAGTTCCATTGGCGAGAATCCTGTAGTGTCTTGGCCTTGATGGCGATTTAGGTAATAGTGTCTCAATGTGCGTTTTCGGGAAATCATGCTGCGGCTGTAGCCGCGATTGTTTTAGAAAGTTTCTTAGATTTCTTTTGGCCTCCGTGGTTGAGCTGCTTAAAATAACTCCGTACTCGAGGCCGACGGGGAGGAAAAACAGATTAAGTATTTTTCGTCTCTTTCTTGGTTCTACAACATTTCGCGTCTGAAGACTAGTCAGACGGCCGGTAAGCGACGTGACCCCATCGGTTACATCGCGGCCAGCCATCGTGAGATCTTTGGAGGATGGTCATTGCACCGATTGTCGGTAGTTGCATGACAATAATGACAACCAGGCCAGCAGCTTCCGGCTTAGTTCCTGTACAACAAATTCGGCGCCTCTGCTTCGTGGAGGATACCGTCGTTTGACCCAAACGAGGGCTCCAGGTTGCTAAAGTCCCATGGACAGCAGTAACGTGGATTCCATTGGGCATGTCTCGCGTGGCACGAGCTGGGGCTGAAGATGGCACCAGGCTGCGATGTACTAAATGATTATGGTGGATACATATACTTGATACGGAGTACGGAGTACTCCGTATAGGATCGGAAATCTAGAAGCGAGGGCCAAGCTCTCCATCACGCACAATCAAGCATCTGGGCGTGCCGGATCTCTGGAATACGGATGTGGCTTGCGAGCCGCCTGTGTAATCCAGCCCTCTGGATACATGGCTGTGTCTTGGAGATCTTGAACTGATGATAGTTAGTTAGTTAGAACGTGCGATAAGCTGACTTAACGTTGAACACGCGCGTAGAGGAAGAAATGGAAGCTGCATAGAATACTGACGCCCGCGGAACGAAAAAAAAAAGTATATGACACAAGAAATGCTTCAAGCGGGGCACCACCCAGTTTTGTACGACTGCCCCATGGAACGGTGAGCTCGCTTCATGAACGTTAGCCAGATCCGTTAATAGATGGAATAAGTAGTGCCAGATGGTTGAACTGAAGGCTTGAAGCTTCGAAGCAGCCGGTGCAGACGCCAAGACTCTCAGCGCCTTTTTGATTGTAGTGCGAGACTCCGGTGACCCCGAACGAGGCTCTAGATTATCCTAGAGCGACAGATTTATTGTTTTCCCTCGTCTATTTGATATTATGTAGAGAATTCCGGGTATTAATTTCTTCAACTATGGTACGGAAGATCTTTAGCGTTCCGAGCTCAGGAAGTCGTTCCACGCTGACTTCTGGTTGACTGGAAGGTGGACCATAGATTCTTGTATGTACGGTCGGATTTGGATGTTTCTCAAGACCGTGGTCAGTGAATAGAGTGTCAATAATGCAATTGTTTCCTCGAGCAGTGTCATCGTTCATTGCTGGAAGCGAGACGGCAGTCTCTGGAGGTCCCGTTTCGGTTCCTGGCAAGATAAGTCCCGCCCGAGGACAGACATGCGATCTGCGTTGAACACAGAGCAAGTAGGACTTCATTAATCGAGGAGAAAATTGGCGAGACAATCTTGCTAAATCGCTAGAACGAGTGTTGAAGATGCAGCCGACATGATCCGGAAGGTACGGCTGTTGGTCAGCATCTCATGTCCGGGTCCAGACCGAAATTATACTTGACATCTTCCAAGTTTGTCCACGAACTTTAGAGCGATGCGCCCCGTGGTTGTCTTTCGACACTGCCGCCGCTATGCTCTCTGTGGTAATTGTTCCTAGGAGGATAACCCTAATCTGTCCAGTGGTATCTTGTATTATTATTATTATTGCCTCTCAACAAGGAACATAATAATAATAATTAATGCTCGACAAGGAGTGATCGCGACCCTCAGGCAACCATCAGGCAGCGATCAGGCCACTCCGCCACCGCCCGCCCTTTTGCCCTTAGCGGCTTGGCAGAACGGAGGCCTCCCACTCGGGCTGTCCGCCCCTAGGCTGCCATTCGGACGGAGACTACTAGATCCAACACCTCGCTGGAGTCTGAACGTACCATAGAGGAAGAACGGTGGTGCAGCTGTACAGACATTATTATTCGGAGAGTCTGCGGGGAAGGTGCCAGACGTTGGGCGAAAAGGTAAATTGTGGAAGATCTACTCCCCCTACAGGGTCCTTCGTGGTGTTGACAACAGGCTAGGAAGACAACAAGAAACGCCTCCTGGCCAAGAAGACCCAATGATGGCAGAATCCGGTTCGTATCATGCTGATAGAGGATCCTGATGTTTCCTCCCTAGCGTGGCCAGCTCACTTGCATCAGAACGCCGCCGGGGCCAACCACCGATGCCCTTGAGCCGCACTAGTCGGACGCTATCACAGCCGGTCTCGAGTGTCACCATGATAAGCTGGACAGCGAAGATAAGCTGGCGGGTCGAGACAGTGCACACAGGAACCCAGTCCGTCCGCAGCCCTATTTCGCCGTGACCGTATTGTGGTAATTTTGGATGGAACCATCTGACTTACGGTGTACCATAGCTGGCACCAACGATCGCAGGTAAAGGTCATCAAGAGAACTTCTAGCGTGATGGATGATTTTACAATGAACACAGGTAGACTTGGACAGCAGGATCAAGTGTGCACTCTGTCGTCTGGCTCGAGAACGGTGGGGACAATGAAAGGGTTCCTAGTACGACCATCTGTGCCACCTCGGTTGCAGACCCGGTAGATCATCTACTATGAAGGTTCACATCAAATATATCCTATCCACCCACTGTCCGTGTCTTTACCACCGATGGAATGAACAGTGATCATGGATCCCCCGTCTGCGCATTAGTTACCCAGCGTGAAACAAGATAGCCATCTAGCAAGACTCGAGAATCAGGCCTGTGTCTTGTCAACGCGGCCACCTGCTCCGTGACCGAAGATCGACCAGCGGTGTGGACCTTAAATTGCGATAGATAGACGGTGTAGGAAACACAGATGACAGAACTGACTACGGAATAATATCCCAGGCGCAATGTCCACAGCATGGACACAAGAGACGATCTCGAGGTCTGGCGGGATCCCCTTTAAAAGATCAACGGATAACGCAGGACGGAGGACCGGGCGCTGATAGTTATCGTGCGCAGCGATGCGAAACAACCACAATCCTTTGGATCAGCGTCGTGATCATCCAGTCTGCCCGCACGGCTTGTTTGCTGCCCCCGGCAAGGTCATGCCGCAAGGAGGTGGTCGATAAGCGGCAGCTTCCCGCGATCTGATCGTAGCAACTACTCCGGCCAGAGGGAAAAATCCAGTCTCTGACACGATTAACGATAATTAACATATGTCAGGGCGGACGGAACGGACTGCGGTGCTCTTTCCGAGGGCGCGTAAATGGCCATTGTTCCATTAAGGGAAGAAAGGATGGCTTTATAGACCATCCCTCGCTATCCGAGGGCGGCTTCCAGTCTCGGCGTTCAGGGCCGATCTGATTGGGCGGATAAGCTATGTATCACACTCCCTTCAAGGTCCAGACTAACTAGCGACTTTAATCCTATCCAGCAGAGTTTTCCTCCAACGCGCGAATCGGACTCTGGTGCCTGGCCCTGGCGGTGCGGTACCTGACCCGCTCAATACAAACAATAACCAGCTGGAGAGGAGCTGATGATACGTGAGGGACCGTTGAATCATGAATGTCTTCTCGCCCTTCCACGGAGAACGAACCCCCAGGGATGGGGCGACGCCATCGATTCACCTCCCGGCTCCGCTGCTACATTGGCAAACGGTGGAAGGCTGGGGACTTTTTTTTGCGTGCCCTTTTTCCTTCGCCTTCAGCCGGGCCCCTCAGGCGAGTCCTAAGGACGCAGGTTTTACTCCACTCTGGTTCCAGAATCTAAACCAGGTAAACGAACTTATGCGAGGATACCGTATTCGAGGATCAGGACGATCGCGCATGGGACTCCGACTGACTCTTGGACGCAGAATACCACAATTAGTCGGTTCTGTCCAATAATAATAAGTTACTAATCAATTCTGTGTACTCAGGATTACCGCTGAACTCGGTCCAGTGCTGTCTAAGTAGTAGAGAGGTAGTTGTGATCTATGGAAGCGGACGAGATATGCTACGAACTAAGTCTTAAGTCTAGACATTCGTTTGTTGATATTGAAAGAGATGAATTCGCTGATTCATGCATAGCGTCTGACGGCCATTTCTTCTAGGCATCTTTCTCTCTCTTTTTTCTTCCAAAACAATTGGTTCCTTTCTATGGTTGGAGCTTTTCTTGCTGTTCCGCTTTCTTGGTATTTCCATTGGTCTCTTTCTCCTTCGCCTAACGAACTTTCCGAGAGGTCGTCTTATCCCACATCCAAGCGGACCAAGCCACTGCACGGCGCACCACTAACCTCAGATCGAGACAGGGCTCCAATGTCACTTTTTCCTGCTAACTCTTCTGTTTTTGCCCTCTTCCAAGCTTACTAGCGGCATGTAAGATCCGTGTATTCCCTTGACAGCCTTACCCACCATGCTGTAAATAGACCTAGGCTAACTGTCCTCGCTTTGGTCTACCCCCCCAGCTTCTGGTTCAAGGGTCGAAAACACGGCCTTGGGCCCCCCTTTTGGTCATGGCTGACCCTGTGAAAGGGGCGCTGCGGCGTCCTGGAGCTGTCGTTGACCTTACCGGACTGGGATGAATTGCGGCCAGCCTTTAGTCGAGTACTAAGGCCTGGCAAAAGAAGTTCAGATGCGCCTTTCGTTTCTCTGATTCTTCTACAACAAAGCTGCTCTGGTACCCTGTCCGCTGGTCGCTGCCCTCAGGACCATTTCCTCTCCGGACTTGAAAGGGATCCTCTTTTCCCTTCACGCTCGTTGCGATTCGCTTTCGCCTTCGTTTTTGTTTCTTTTCTCACGGGCCTTTTTGCGGACCCCGTATCTCTCGTTATCGGCAACTTTCCGGCGTATCTGGGGTTAAAACGGTCAGTCGCGGCCACAGCAGTTATTAATTTCTAATAGCCGTTCTGGAATACAACGAAATCCTGTCTTTCTTTCTTCGAGTGCCATCAAGACTCTTCCGCGACACATGTTGGGTTTGTAGAAGAACCAGCTCAAGTGGTCGTATACGATGAAGTGGGGGTTAGCCGCTGTCGGGCTCGCCCTCTTCGCGGCGACGTCTAAGGGCTGGCCATATGATGAGAATTGGGTCGAGTACAATCTGAATAAGAACCAGACGGCAACAGACCCGGTGTACTATTGGGGAGAATGGGAAAACCACACTTTCTTCCCTTCGCCAGACAACTGGCGGTTCCCCGTCTACACACTGTTCATCGATCGATTTGTTAATGGCGACCCCACGAATGACAACATCAATGGGACTTCCTTCGAGCATGATCTCAATTCCAATCAGATGCGTCACGGAGGAGATGCAGTTGGTCTGGTAGATACGCTGGACTATCTCCAAGGAATGGGAATCAAGGTGCTTTAACTCTGATACTCCCACGTAAGATCCTACCTTTTACAAGACTGACCACAAAGCTGCAGGCTATCTACCTGGCGGGAACGATATTGATCAACCAGCCTTGGGGATCAGACGGTTACTCGGCACTGGACACGACTCTTATCGACCAACACTACGGAGACATTCAAACGTGGCGCAATGCTATCACTGAAATCCACAACAGAGGCATGTACGTTATCTTTGATAACACAATTGCAACGTAAGTCTCTCACTCACTCACTTCCTACTCACTGGAGCATGATCTGTGTTGACGACAAGAGGTAGTCTCGGTGACTTAGTTGGCTTCGAAGGCTACTTGAACACCACGACACCATTCTCCGTTAAGGAGCACAAGGTTCAATGGAAGAGCGACCGCCACTACGTTGACTTCCACTTTGGTAATTCCTACAATGAGACCTGCGACTACCCTCGGTTTTGGTACGAAAACGGTTACCAGGTTGATCCCTCTGTGTACCAGGAGTTAAAAGGCTGCTACGACAGCGAGTTCGATCAATATGGCGATGTCGAAGCCTTCGGTGTGTTTCCGGATTGGCAACGTGAGCTTGCCAAATTTGCGTCCGTGCAAGATCGGCTACGAGAATGGATCCCTAGCGTGAGAGCTAAGATCATGAGGCACTCCTGTATGATTATCGCATCACTTGATATCGACGGCTTCCGGTATGATAAAGCTACGCAAGCTACCGTGGACGCTCTTGGCGACATCTCTGGATCCTATCGGGAATGTGCTCGTCGGTATGGCAAGAACAACTTCTTCTTGCCCGGTGAAATTACGGGTGGAAATACCTTCGGAGCAATCTACTTGGGACGCGGACGGCAACCCAATCAGCTACCCTCTCTCGAAGAAGCTATAACAAGTACAAATAGCTCTCCTCAACAATATTTCATTCGCGAACAGGGGCAGAATGCCCTTGACGCTGCCGCATTCCACTATTCGATCTATCGATCCATGACTCGATTCCTGGGCATGGACGGAAATTTGGAAGCTGGATACGATACTCCGGTCGACTGGGTTGATGCTTGGAACGAGATGTTGATAACAAATGATTTTGTCAACGCGAATACTGGAAAATACGATCCTCGTCATATGTATGGTGCCACCAACCAGGACGTCTTCCGTTGGCCGGCGATCGCCAACGGAACCGAACGACAGCTCCTTGCTCTGTTTGTGACCACTCTTCATCTGCCCGGCATCCCTCTAGTCCTATGGGGAGAAGAGCAAGCGTTTTACGTCCTAGATGCCACGGCAAACAACTATATTTATGGAAGACAGGCGATGTCTCCGGCCACAGCATGGAAGACGCACGGTTGTTTCAGTCTGAATTCCACTCAGTACTACAAATTTCCCGTCGGCGACGCCGCCAATGGTTGCAACGATGAGACTGTCACGTACGATCACCGGGACCCTTCGCATCCCGTCCGAAACATCATGAAGCATATGTTCCAGATGCGCGAGGCCTTCCCCGTGCTCAATGACGGATGGAGGTTACTGAACCTTTCGAAACAGACAACGGACGTCTACTACCCCGGTTCTCAAGGTACCCCAACGGAGACTGGTATGTGGTCCGTTCTTCGTGCCGGATTCGAGGGCGTTCAAAATTTCACAAGCGACGATTATGTCTGGCTGGTGTATCAGAACACAAACCGAACAATCAACTATAAGTTCGACTGCGGCGATGATAGCAAGGCTATTATCGCCCCCTTTGCGAGTGGAACCACCGTCAAGAACCTGTTCTATCCTTTCGACGAGATTACCTTGGAAGACGGTCCTAAAAACCTTTCCTTCATAGGTGGTAATGGAACCGCTGGCTGCGTCGATACCATGTCGATGAGGGGATGGGAGTTCCGCGCATATGTCGACAAGGAAGACTGGGTAGGACCACGGCCTATGATCACAAAATTCTCTCCCGGCCATGACGCCCGCATCCTCTCAACAGTTGCCCCGAATGAATTTGAATCTATCAATGTCACCATCTGGTTCTCTACGGAAATGGACTGCGACTCGGTAACCAAATCCATCTCGTTCAACTCCTCTACTGAAAGCGGAAAGACGGCTTCTTTGGGAGGAACTCCTAGGTGCTCATCTATCCCTCCCGAAACCCAGACACAGATGGTTGGTGAGATTGCCAGCACTTGGTACTGGACTGCAGAGGTGCAAAATGTTTACAATGGTATCCACCGGTTGACTGTCAACAATCCTAAAACCAGCGATGGAAGCGGCAATACTTCGGCGGTTGACCACTTCCTATTCAGAGTGGGCCAGATCGACAACCCGATGATATTCAACTTCGCCAACTACTCCAGCAGCTTGCTTCACAAGAATCCTGATGGCTCTTTATTCATTCAGCATCACGCCGCTGGAGCTGATCTTTACCGCTACTCTACCAATTGGGGTACCACTTTCTCTGATTGGATAACCTACAAGGGCGGCAATGATACGATCATTGAACAACCCTGGTCAGGCACGGACCTTCAGAAATGGCCGGGCAAACACGTTCGCGTGGAGTATTGGAATAGGTTGTCGGGTAGTAGCGACTACGTCCAACAGGGTGATCTCGATTACGACAAGAACGTGCCTCGAAGATTCCCACACATGTTCTGGAACGGCCCTTATAACCAGTATGGCTATGACGCTGGTCTCAAGAATGACTTCAAAATGGGGGACGACGGCCAATGGACCATCAAATTCATGGCTGAGTGGCCCGCCAGCGGCCAGGTTAACGTCTGGGGCATCAACCCCGACGGCAAACCTGACCAGACTGGTGTCTACGGAGATGCTGACAACGATGGTGTCCTGGACCGACTCCCACCCTCGTCGCTGTCCGCTGTCTTGGTCAATATCACTGAACACCCTCCGCATCCTTACCTGTCTTGGCAGGTATCAGTGGACGATGGTAATCTGCGCTTCCGTCTGTTCCCAATGGGATCGATGTACGCTCAACTGGCCCTCTACATCTTGCTCTGGATCATCCCCGTCCTAACAGCCGTCACTGGTATCTGGGTTTTCATGAAATCCTTCTACCAAGTCAAGTTCAACCAGGTCGGTGTCACTGATAAAAAGGCCATCATTCCGCTTGCTCTCCGACGCAAGCTGAAGAGACGTCATCTGGAAGATGGCGAGTCTATGAACCCATTGATGAAGTTGGCGAACAAATCCGGGTTCCTCCAGACTAGCTCCGCATTTGTCCCTGCAAAGGGTGACAAGCGCCGCATGGTTTTGATCGCTACCATGGAATACGATATCGAGGACTGGGCCATCAAAATCAAGATCGGTGGTCTCGGTGTCATGGCTCAACTGATGGGCAAGAATCTTGGACATCAGGATCTGATTTGGGTCGTGCCGTGCGTTGGTGGAGTCGACTACCCCGAAGACCAGCGGGCGGAGCCAATGTTCGTGACTGTCCTAGGAAACTCGTACGAAGTCAAGGTTCAATATCACGTCTTGAGAAATATCACTTATGTGCTGCTTGACGCCCCCGTCTTCCGCCAGCAATCGAAGACTGAGCCTTACCCAGCCCGTATGGACGACTTGGATAGTGCCATTTACTACTCTGCTTGGAATCAGTGTATCGCTCTCGCAATCAAGCGTTTCCCCATTGATCTGTACCATATCAACGACTACCACGGCTCGATCGCTCCTCTGTACCTTCTACCGCAGACTGTTCCAGCCTGTCTGTCATTGCATAATGCTGAATTCCAAGGATTGTGGCCTATGCGTACGCAAAAGGAAAGGGAAGAGGTTTGCTCCGTGTTCAACTTAGATCCAGAGGTTGCTACAAAATATGTCCAGTTCGGTGAGGTTTTCAACCTTCTTCACGCAGGTGCTAGTTACCTCCGTGTCCACCAGCAAGGCTTTGGTGCAGTCGGTGTCTCCAAGAAATATGGAAAACGTTCCTACGCTCGTTATCCTATCTTCTGGGGTCTTAAGAAGGTCGGAAACCTCCCGAATCCTGACCCGTCTGATACCGGTGAATGGAACAAGGAGATGCCAAAAGAAACCGACATCCGTGTTGACCCCGAATTTGAAACCAACAGGAAAGAACTCAAGCGCCAAGCCCAAGAATGGGCCGGACTGGAGCAGAACCCCGATGCAGACCTCCTGGTATTTGTTGGAAGATGGTCTATGCAAAAGGGTATTGACCTTATTGCTGACGTCTTCCCGGCTGTCCTTGATGCTCGTCCCAATGTCCAGTTGATTTGTGTTGGTCCAGTTATCGATCTCTACGGAAAGTTCGCTGCCTTGAAGTTGGACCGTATGATGAAGCTATATCCAGGCCGTGTCTTTTCAAGACCAGAGTTTACTGCTTTGCCTCCGTATATCTTCTCCGGTGCGGAGTTCGCCCTGATTCCCTCTCGTGACGAACCTTTCGGTCTGGTTGCTGTCGAATTCGGTCGTAAAGGTGCCCTGGGTATCGGTGCTCGTGTGGGTGGCCTGGGCCAAATGCCTGGCTGGTGGTATACCGTCGAATCGACAACTACGTCGCATCTTCTGCATCAGTTCAAGCTTGCCATTGACAGCGCGTTGAACTCCAAGCAAGAAGTCAGAGCGCAGATGCGTGCTAGATCAGCGAAACAACGGTTCCCGGTTGCTCAGTGGGTCGAAGATCTGGAGATTCTCCAGAGCACTGCAATTCGCATTCATCACAAGGAACTGGCAAAGTCTAAGGGCGAACCACTGACACCTTCTGGCTATAACACCCCCAGTGGCATGATGACCCCTCCCATTGGTCCTGGGTATATGACGCCTACGGGCACGCAGACTCCTCCTCTCAGCCACTCCAGAAACTCGAGTTACTCCAACATACACCGCCTGAGCGCTCTGGGTCCGCAGCAAAGAAATACAATCGTCTACAGCAGAGATCTCAGCCCTGGTGCCGACGAAAAACCGAAATCAGGATTGAGTCGCCAGCTTTCCCTTGGTGTCCGCTCAGGGCCTGGCCATTCTTCTGAACGTCGCGGCCGTAGGACAATTCGGAGGAGCGGCATCCCGGAGAATGAGGAAGGTGTGGGCGTTGCCGTGACAGAAGATGTCGAAGACAGCGACGACGATATGGTTCATAGCTTCTACGGCGATGATGAGTATACCTTGACCCCGGAGCAAGCTGAAGCCGGTCGAAGGATGGAGAGTAACCATCAACAAATCTCTCATGGCTCGTTGGCACCTCAGAGCAGGGACTTCCTGTCGCCCCGTCAATCGAGCTTCGGCTCTCTGCATCCTAGATCGCCTGGGTCACCCACAGCTTCGTCCCCGGGAGCTGACGATACGCTTCTGCCCCCGATACGGCCTTTTGCTGAACCCGGAAACCGCCTGAGCAGTGCCTCCGTGTTGTCATTGGATTCAGTCGTCGGTGACAAGAAGGATTTCAAGTTGCAGAAAGTCGATCCTTTCTTCACTGATAGCACCGGCGAATTCTACAGGCTGTTCGAGAAGCGATTGGAAGATTTGAACGGCTCCAACTCCGAGTCGCAATTGTGCATTGAAGAGTACCTGGTCAAGAGTGAAAAGAAATGGTTCGATAGATTCAGAGATGCGAGACTGGGCCGCAACCAGTCGCCTGCGCCTTCTATCTTTCGCGGGAAACGCGGCAATTCCCCGGTCGGTTCTGTTTATAATGACGAGGACTCCCACGGTAGCAGCCCCAGCGAGGTCAACAAGGAAGCAGATGAATTCTTGCTGGGGAGGGACTACGTCCCGCCAACGGGCCTGAAGAAGTGGATGCAGATTCGCATTGGAGACTGGCCTGTCTATTCGCTCTTCCTCGGTCTTGGTCAGATCATCGCTGCCAATTCCTACCAGATTACGCTACTCACCGGTGAAGTTGGTGAAACGGCTGACAAGCTCTACGGAATTGCGACGACGTATCTGATCGCCTCGATTATTTGGTGGTTCATCTTCCGACGATTCAAGTCTGTCGTGTGTCTCTCTCTTCCTTGGTTATTTTATGGTCTCGCTTTCATCTTCATCGGTGTCGCTCACTTCGAGAGCAACAAATTCAGCCGTGGATGGATTCAGAACGTTGGTACCGGTCTGTATGCAGTTGCCTCTTCGAGTGGTTCTATCTTCTTTGCGCTCAACTTCGGTGATGAGAGCGGTGCCCCCGTCAAAGACTGGGTTTTCCGTGCATGTGTGATTCAGGGTACTCAGCAGGCCTACATTGTCGGACTCTGGTACTGGGGTTCGTCCTTGACGAAGCAATCACAGGCGGGTGTTATTGACAGCCAACCGATCTCCAACAGCTGGAAGATGACGTATGTCTCCTTTTCATCCCTTCCGCAACCTTCCCTACTTTGATCTATTGCTAACACTAAAACCAGTGCTATTACGTTCCCTATCGCAGCCTTCCTCTGGGCAATTGGACTCCTTTTGGCCTTTGGCTTGCCAAATTACTACCGCCAGACACCTGGAAAGGTGCCCTCGTTCTACAAGTCTTTGTTCCGTCGGAAGATCGTCCTCTGGTTCTTCGTCACCGTCATTATCCAGAACTTCTTCCTCAGTGCACCGTACGGTAGAAACTGGAACTGTAAGTCATATCTGTTGCAACACTGCCGTGATGGTCGCGCTAACCTGATTGCAAGTCCTGTGGAGTTCCAACCATGCAAAGGCCTGGCAGATCGTTCTCCTGGTCATTTTGTTCTTCGGATTTGTTTGGGCTGGTATGCTATGTAAGTTTCGCCCAACATCATTTGAAACCTTGCTCCCGCTAACCCCTTTCATCAGACATTCTGAGTGTCCTGTCCAAGGATCACAGCTGGATCCTCCCCGTGTTTGCCATTGGTCTTGGTGCTCCCCGCTGGGCTCAGATCTGGTGGGGTACCTCGGGCATCGGTCTCTATCTTCCATGGGCTGGTAGCTATGTATCTGGAGCGCTGGTGTCACGATCTTTGTGGCTCTGGCTTGGATGTCTGGATTCCATGCAGGGTGTAGGATTCGGAATGATCCTTCTGCAAACGCTGACTCGTTTCCACATCTGCTTTACGCTTCTCGCCGCTCAAGTACTGGGTTCCATCGCTACGATCTGTGCGAGGGGCTTCGCTCCAAACAAGATTGGACCGGGAGACATCTCCCCTGATATCTCAGGCGGCGTCAGCGCCATCTGGACAGCCTGGTTCTGGATCACTCTGTTCCTCCAGCTTCTGATCTGGTAAGTAATCCTCCTTTTAGTATTCGTTTTTGTCCGTCATCTGACTGGTGATGCAGTGGTGGTTTCTTCCTCTTCTTCCGCAAGGAACAGCTTAGCAAACCCTAAACGGGCTACCTTATCGGTGTGCCTTCGACGGTTCTTTCGATACCCGCTTCTACACCGCCAGCATACGCCCTCCCGTCGTCGGCTCTTTTCTCGCTATGATACTGCGCTACTCCAACACCATACGGTGTTTTACGCCAATGCACGTCTATCTGATTCTGTTCAAAACATCACCATCATCATCCACTACCTATACGACACGGATATGACGCGAACTATGTACCACACCTGTTTTACTCCCGACCCCGTCTTCGGTCAATTGTTATTTTGGATACCGGACCTGCCTCTGATAGGCAGCCGTCGCATATATTCAGATACCTTTTTCCTCTTATCTCATGTTATCAGAAACATACATTCCTTTTATGGGTGTTGACGGTCCATCTATGGCATATCTAGCTTGGCCTGGGCATCGTATATATCTCTCCAGCAGCGTATTCGATTGTTTTGTCTGTCACAAGTGTTTTGTTTGCTGACGGGAGATTCCGATGTCTATTGTTGTATCTTGGCGTTGGTCTTTCCGATTATGTTTTTTCCTATAATTATTACGTGTGCGATAATCCGGCGTCCACTTACAATACCTTTGTTCATGAGACCCATATATGGTCAAGTGGGAAAGAAGCGCTCTTATATATCCTACAGTGACTGATGCATAATAATGTCAATGATATCCCTCTCAGTAGAATGGAGAGGAGTGTTCTCTAGCATTATCTCTACTTCTTTTTTTTTTGCATTTTCGAGTAAGTCAATCGTAGTAGATAAAGAGTCTTTTGTCGAAATCAGGCCAATCTAGTAAGTAGGCTGAATGAAGGGGACTGATTACTTGATCTGATAACTGGATTATATTGTTCTTGCCACAGAGGAAGACTTCAGGAGATATGATGATCTTTCTGTCTATTAACTAAGCAGAAGACATTTCTCGCTGCTAAGCATACCTTTTCCATTACTGGAAGACTTCTTTCTATTAATGCTTATGATTCATCTGTGGTATAGTGTGTGGTTTGGTTCTCGTGAGAGAAATTCGGGCTGTTGGGGACACTCAGGCCATACATAACTTACCAAAAGGACTTATTATGAATTTGCTAACATGATGGATTTTATCTGTGGATAGGATGGGAAAGTATAATTACCAAGAATTGCAGCATGGCAGTAGCAGTTAATCAAGTACAGTATTTATTTCCTGCCTGTTTGATTGGGATTTGGAATAAATATTTATGTAGCATGCATGCATGTCCATGACGGCACATGGGCATGATAATGAAAAGGGAAAAAAAAAAAAAAAAGAAAACAACGACGCCTCATTATTTTGAAACAACATTTCCTCTGTATCCCATGTGACATTCCCGAGAGACCTCCCTGAGATAGATAACTAAAGCAAATAGGAAAATAAAAACAAAAGTGAATTCTCACAACTCGTAGCGTGGGATACACTCAACCACGTAGATATATAGTAATCGTGCCCGATAAAAAATTGATAATAATTTCAGAAGTCGTATCATATCAAGGTTGTTGTTGTTCTTCCGAGAGAAAGATGAAAAAATGCAACTTTTTTCTTCTTGGAGTCTCTCAAGTCGAAGTCAAGCCCGCTTACCACTCTAGAGGCTCACCCTTGACGTCTCCGCGGTTGGTCTTGGGGACCGGCGCGGCCTCGATCTTGATTGGGCCCCGCTTGCCGCGCTTGAGGTAGCCGCTGCCATCGAGCCAAGGAGTCTCGAGCGTGCGCTTGGCCTCGAACTTGCGGATCTTGTCCTCCATCTGGAGAGTAAGGCCTATGTCGTCGAGACCGTTCACCAGGCAGTGCTTCCGGAAGGCGTCGACATCAAAGTCGGCGAGCTTGTTGCCATTGGCATCCTTGATGACCTGGTTGGGCAGATCGACCTCGATCTCCTTGCCGGCACGGGCCTCGTCAGCGATCTTCTGGATTGTGGCCTGGTCCTCGATCTTGATGGGCAGCATGCCGTTCTTGAAGGTGTTGTTGAAGAAGATATCGGCGAACGACGGGGCGATGACACACTTGATGCCAAAGTCAAGCAGGGCCCAGGGGGCGTGCTCACGCGAGGAACCGCATCCGAAGTTGGGTCCAGTCACAACCAGGATATTGGCCTGGCGGTAGATGCCCTGGTTAAGGACGAAATCGGAGATCTCCGTGCCGTCAGGGTGGTAGCGCAGCTCGTAGAACAGGGACTTGCCCAGACCGGTCCGCTTGATGGTCTTCAGGAACTGCTTGGGGATGATAGCGTCGGTGTCGACGTTGGCACGGTCCATGGGGGCGGCAATGCCCTTGAGGACGGTGAACTTGGGCAGACCGGCACTAGCTCCCTGGAGGGTGTTGGCGTGCGGCTCGTTGTCCTCGGGGAAGTCGAGGATCCGCTCGAGATCGTCATCCGTCTCGATGTCTTCCATTTCTGGCTGGACGTCAAGCTTGGGAGAGGCCTTGCGGACGGTCGGGCTGACGGTGGAGAGTTCTCGAACATCGGCCAGCTTACCGACAATGGCAGCAGCTGCAGCCATGGCCGGGGACATCAGATGTGTCCGGCCGTAGGCACCCTGACGGCCCTCAAAGTTGCGGTTGGAGGTACTAGCGCATCTCTCACGGGGCGACAGGATATCGGGGTTCATACCCAGGCACATGGAGCAACCGGCCTCTCTCCACTCGAAGCCAGCATCGACGAAGATCTTGTCGAGGCCCTCGGCCTCAGCCTGACTCTTGACCAGACCGGAACCAGGGACAATCATGGCACGCTTGACGTTGGGCGCAACCTTCTTGCCCTCGACAATGTGGGCGGCCGCGCGCAGGTCCTCAATACGGGCGTTGGTGCAAGAACCGATGAAGACCTTGTCAATCTCAATGTCCTGCATGCGGGTACCAGCCTTGAGACCCATGTACTCGAGGGCGCGCTTGCAGCTGGCCTTGCGGGTCTCGTCCTGGAAGTCGTCGGGACCAGGGACAACGCCGGTGATGGGCACGACATCCTGAGGCGACGTACCCCAGGTGACGGTGGGGATGATGTCTTCTCCCTTGATGAAGACCTCCTGGTCGAACACAGCGCCCTCGTCGGTCCGCAGATTGGACCAGTGCTTGACGGCGCGCTTCCACTCGGGAGAGTCGAACTTGGGGGCCAGCGGACGGCCCTTGAGGTACTCGAAAGTGATCTCGTCAGGGGCGACCATGCCGGCACGGGCGCCTCCCTCAATGGACATGTTGCACATCGACATACGGGCCTCCATGCTCAGACCGCGGATGACCGAACCGCAGTACTCGATGACTGCACCGGTACCACCGGCAGTGCCGATGACGCCGATAACGTGGAGGATAACATCCTTGCTGGTGACACCGGGGGGCAGCTTACCGTCGACATGGACGCGCATGTTCTTGCTCTTCTTGGTGAGGAGGGTCTGGGTCGCGAGGACGTGCTCGACCTCGCTGGTTCCGATACCGAAGGCGAGGGCTCCAAAGGCACCGTGGGTGGAGGTGTGGCTGTCACCGCAGACGACGGTGGTGCCGGGGAGGGTGAAACCCTGCTCGGGACCGATGATGTGGACGATACCCTGACGCTTGTCGTCCATGCCAAAGTACGTCAAATTGAAGTCCTTGACGTTCTCCTCGAGGGTGGAGACCTGGAGACGGGAGTCATTCTCCTCGATGAACTCGTTGACATTCTTGAAGTTCTTGCGGGAGCTGGTGGGGATGTTCTGGACAGCGTCAGTCAGTCAGCCGCTCCAATCGACGAGGACTGGAATATTATCAGAGAGAGACCTACGTGGTCCACGGTTACGAGAGTGCAGTCCGGCCGGCGGACTTTGCGGCTGGCGTTCTTCAGGCCCTCGAAGGCCTGCGGGGAGGTGACCTCATGGACGAGATGTCGGTCTAGGAAAGCGTCAGTTTCACGCGCTGCTGGTGAGATGCTGTATCTAGCGATATCTGTTTCTTACCGATATAGATCAGACAGGTGCCATCCTCCTGCTCGTTGACGATGTGCTCCTCAAAGACCTTGTCGTAGAGGGTCTTGGGTTTCCTCTCTGCGGCCGGCATGATGAAGTGCTCTGAAGGATGAAGATAAGACCGGCTGAGAAGAAGACGAGATAGAATCTCCAACCAAACCAAACGAGACGATGGAAAGCAGCCGAGAGCAATTAATAACGATCCAGCCACAGCGACTTTATATATCAGCGACGCTGCCCGCGATGTCGCTCAGCCGTTTTCGAGGGGCTGGCCCGATCTCGGCGGTCAGCGGAATGGACTGAGTTCTGATTGGCCGTGCTTATCGGCTGTCGAGCCACTCACATCGCACTTCGCCGCGGGGATCGACGCCGGTGTCGGCGGCTGACTCATCCGGTCACGGCTACTCGCGGCCAAAGCAGAAAAAGTCTTTCGATCGAGAAATTGTCCAACTGCTTCATCTCGTCTAGTTGGTTCATTCAGTTATCTAGACTAAGCTCAGTTAACTTAGCGACCACAATGAAATCATCACTGCACTGCTTGGATTCCCGTTTCCCTCGTCGCTCATTGGCCAGTGATGATCATGTCTGACTGCCTGGCCGACAACGGACAATCGCCCTGCTGGACCCAGAGCGAGAATGAAGGAATTCATGCAGGGAACAAGGGGATTGTCCGCTGCTGGATACAGAGTAAGCATCTGGATAAGATCAGCGTCTTGTGGTTGAAGTTCGTTTGGTAGTTACAATGATAGCGATGATGATGATGTGAGATGCAGAGGAACACTTCATCGGACATCCCGGACCAATTGGCAGCAGCAGAATCTCAAGCAAGATCCAGTAATGCTATTTGTGGCCAGATTGCATCTGGTGAGCTGTCATTGCAGTCGACATCGAGCTGTGATAGATAGTCTGCTGCGGGTAGCTTCTTTCACTGAAGCTGCTGATTTAATAACCTGGTTTCAATTTGCCGTTGATAAGCGTCATCCAGAGCTACATCGACAACTGTTCTGCATAGTTAGAGAATAATAATCGAAAGAAAACACAAGCAGTCCAGCACAAGTTGGGTTGGTGCCAAGGAACGGTCACTGAGGTTAGTTAAATGTATGAAGACTGCTTTAACAAAACACCTGGTTGGGGAATACATATGGGAAGTATCATTCCGTCGTCTGATATGTTGACACCATCCCGACGCGCGATGGTGCAACTGATTATCAACATTGATAGAGTCTTGACCCCTCCAAAATGAGGGGCATCGACCAATCTTGACGGCGATACACCCGGCAGGATGTCCTCACGAACAAAATGTGGCAGATTGCGTGCAGCAACTTGTCCGAGGGGTAGATCGATGGTGTTACCACCCCATAGTTAACGGTACGAAAGACGTAACTTATGCCATGTTTTCTATACATACTCGACCCACGGAGACAGCTCCGAAGAGTGAAGTGAAAGCGGGCTCAGTGCAACGATATTAAAATCATCCTTCTATTCCCTCTGTTTGTTTTCTTTTTCTTTTGCTTTTCAAGTCGCATCTTCTTCGTCATCGTCATCTCCATCATGACGCTTGTTCAAGATCTAGCAACAGCAAATATTGAGCCATCGTTGAATGGCAATGGGATAGACCACGTCGTTCCTGCGCCTGCATTATACGATCTGAAAAATGCGCCAGTAACCGAAGTCAAGAGGATCCCTCAAGATTCTACAACAGAAGCTCCTGCAACCAAGCCGCGATTTGAACTTGAAGAACATCCCGTCGACCAGGTCAGAGATATCAAAGTTGGTGTGATTGGAGCTGGGTTGTCGGGCGTATTAGCGGGAGTGCTTCTGCCAGCGAAGCTGCCTGGTTTGGACCTACGAATCTATGACAAGAATCCGGATGTGGTGAGTCCGTTTAATGCTTCGACAATTGCTCGTGGTTCAAAGCTAACGTGTGATAGGGTGGCACTTGGTATGCAGTAATAGTCCTTTGGCAATCGCAATATGTTACTCTAGCTAACAATGACGACGGTCAGGTTCGAAAATACCTATCCCGGCGTCAGATGCGATATTCCCGCCCATGTGTACCAATCAGGATTCGAACCCAACACGCAATGGAGCGAGGAGTTTGCCCAAGGCAAAGAGATCAAGGAATACTGGCAAGGAGTTGCACGAAAGTACGACGTCTACAAGTATTTGAAACTGAACCACCGAGTCGAAAGGGCAGAATGGCTGCCGGACGAGGGTAAGTGGAAAGTTACATTGAAGGATCTGAAGGAGGACAGAGTAAGCAGCACGTTGGCTAGTGGTTGTTGGTCTCCTCATCTGACGTGACTTGCAGGTGTATGAGGAGCTGCTGGATATCCTGATCGGAGCTATCGGCCATTTCAACGCCTGGAAGCTCCCGGACTATGAAGGAAGAGATCAATTCAAAGGAACGATCTTCCACTCTTCTAATTGGAACCACGACGTCGATCTCACCGGCAAGCGCATTGCCCTCATAGGAAATGGAGCATCAGGACTCCAGGTTCTCCCCTCGATCCAGCCCATTGCAGGTCATGTTGACCACTATGCTCGGAACCGAACATGGGTGGTGGACTCGTTTGCCTCGACAGGTGTTCGCAGGCTCGAGCCGAATCTCTTCTCGAAAGAGCAACTGGAGTCTTTCAAGGATCCAGAAAAGTACCTGGAGTATCGACGAAGCGTCGAGAAGGGCTACTTCCAGAGATTCAGTGTCATCTTCAAAGACTCTCCCGAGAACAAGGAATTGCGCTCAAAATGGAGCAAGATGATGCTAGATCGGGTGGTTGATAAGCCTGAGCTATCAGACAAGATCATCCCTGACTTTCCACCAAACTGTCGCCGACCGACTCCCGGTCCGGGATATCTGGAAGCATTGACCAAGGAGAACGTCAATTTCATCCAGACGCCTATCCAGCGCTTCACAGAAAAGGGAATCGTAACCAACGACGGCATCGAGCGGGAAGTCGACGTTATCATCTGCGCTACTGGTGCAAACGTCGACTTTGCTCCTCCGTTCTCTCTCATCGCCAACGGCATTGATCTGAAGACGGCATGGAAACCAGAAGGCCACTTCGGATTTCCATACACTTATCTCGGTCTCGCAACTCCCGGCTTCCCTAACTTGCTCTGGATCGGAGGCCCTGCTTCCTCTGGTTACAGCGGCTCTGTCCCAAACAACGTCGAAAACCAGATTACCTACCTCGCCAAAGTCATCCGCAAATTCCGCAGCCAAGGAATCAAGAGCCTGGCGCCATCGAAACAAGCCACGGACGACTACGTTGAGTACAGCGATCGGTTCTACCCTCGCACGGTCTGGACCGCCAACGATGACTCTTCCGAAGGAAACAAGAACTGCAGTTCGTGGTATAACGGTGGACGACCGGGTGGTCGCGTACATGGTATCTTCCCTGGAAGTGCAAGTCATGCCAACTATGTTCGGCGGGATCCCAGATGGGAAGATTTCGAGTACACGTATCTTAACCCTAGCGGGAATCGGTTTGCTTACTTTGGAAATGGGTGGACGAAGAGAGAGTTGGATCCCGAGGCGGAACTCACGCCCCATCTTACACTTCCTGAGAAGATTGATCTGAGATCATATATGGAGGGTTGGTGGGATGTATGAGTGGTCTGCGATAAGTTTACGAGTAAAGACAGATTATCTTATATGGAGAATATCAAATATTTCTTATATATAGGTAGCATGTATGTAGCATGTGCGATGAACCTCCCGACTTCCTCTTCTATCACATACCCCTTACAAGAAAACTTGGCAATAGTTTATAGATGGGTTGGTAAATATGCCCATTGCTTATGGAATACTAAGACTCGCTGACTCGACCAACAACGCCAAATAGTATGATTTAACTCTCTAGTACCGTATCTACTGCAGAGATATATTCCCTGCCTTTAGTCTCTGGTGAAGTACAGTAATTGACTGCCAGATGCGGGAGCTAAAATTCATAAATAATCATTGCATCGTACTACTAACTCAAGTACTTCTGCACTTACTATGGTGTACTCCGACTTAGATGTAATTCTAGCTTTATCGATGGATACTACCAAACCTCTGCCTATCTACGCCATGTTTCCGCTCAGAATACTGGCGCTCCAATCCAACATGCTCCGGTCTCGCCCTCCCGGGAAATCTCGGCTCGCCTCCGAGACTTTCAAGGACGCATTTATTATTAGCAGTCAAGTCATCCATGACGTTGAGTTCGTGCTGGTTGAACCATTTCGGAATCACATATACCCGGAAGGGAATCAATGCGATAATCAAAATAGGGAAACCTGATACTCTAGGTATTAATAGTGTTCCTGGAAGAATATATGTCATGGAAGAAATATTGTCAAGTACTGACCAATTGCAGCGATGGTTTGAGAAATGGCAACACAGGCAGCGACGTCTATCGCTTGACATGCGACCCATAGCAAGACTTTCCGCTTTCGCACGGTAAGTAGCGGTTCATCTCGTTGGATGAATCGGTTTTCTCTCAGGACGAATAGAATTTTTAATAGAATCCCGTTCGTTTCAATCGATCCCCACTATATCATCATGCACGTTTGTTTTAGCAATCGTATAACGAGAAACATCTGGGAATGAGAGAGTCCTGGCCCCGTTATCTACGTACCCCGACAATGAAGAATACACCTGCAAAAACAGCGGATGGCATCGTATGCAAGACTATCAGAAGTGGTCCAGTCATGGTACCGATGATAGCTAAAGCCATGAAGAAATGCGATATACGTTGCTCAACTACCGCAGTGGCTTTGACTACTGGTCGGCGGATCTCGGATCCTTCTCCTTCTTCAGTCGAGATGATCTGGACATCCGTCTCGTACACCGTGAGCGAGTCAGTATGTACGGGCGCCTGGAGCGTTTGTCAGTTTGTATATATATCTTGGAAACTCGTTGCTGTTGACGTCTTTGACATACTTGTGGAACTAAACCATTGGGCATCGGGATACCGATGATGCCGGCTACAAAGGTCGTGCATCCCAATAAGAAGAAATCCCAATGAAAACCTGCTGGTTTCTTCAGTGGGTATTGGCGTGCTTGGGCAGTTAAGCTGCTGACGTTCTGTGTGGTGTCAGCACAAGAAGTCTCCGTAGTATGTACTCAATGGCTTCGAGACAAGGTAGAGTTACATGGTCATAGTAGAAAAGAAGCATAATCAGGAATCCGAAGGGCAATGCAGCAAAGACCCATTTGGCATCCAAATGCCAGAAATGGATTAACCAGCCTCGATCCTGCGATGGATAGAAGGCGCGAGAGACTGGCACCATAGAGATGTTCGCGGTTTGCAAACGACCGGGGAAATGTGCGAATCCGACCCAGAAGAGAGTTCCGATCTATACTTAGGTGTTGTGAGTTGAAGCCGTATTCCAAATCATGGCATTGTCGAAAAAGAGAACGTACCACATATGCGTAATCTGCCAGGAGCCCTCTGAGAGATGGTTTCCACATGGTACTGGATCCTAGCTTCTCCAGTCCATAGATGGTTCCGAAATACAAGATGGCAATCATGCAACTCAAGTATCCGGCATTACTGCCCCTCGCATCGAACTCGCTAGTTAATTCTTCGACGCCTTTGACTGTATATAATCCAGTTAAGCTGATATCTGCAAAAAAAATATTTTCCGACTGGTCTTACTTACTGCAGTAGATTATACCCACGTACATGCCAAACGCTTCACTGGAGAAATCCGTCACATAGCGCATATAGTCACAAAGATTACACAATGAGACAATCCAGTGGAAGATTGCAGCCCAGATGCCCGTCCATGCCATGAAGCTGGGGTAAATAGAAGGCTCGTACTGTACAATGATCTCATAGATGGTATAATTGAACAGCGATATCAAACCGGTTATACCGACAATAGTCAAAGGCTGCGCTCCGAGAAGACTGAAAACGACAGCAGCGAGCGCGGATGAGAACAATGCTTCGTTAATGCCGAAGAACCCTCCTGTGCGACGGTCCATATCGAGGGTATAAGCGATGGCTGGGAGGATGCTGGAGTTGGGAAGTGAGCATTCCACGCTCTCCGCGGACATACAGAACCAATTGTAATGGTTAGGAAGGTCACGTACTTCACAAAATACATCCGGACCGTACTGGCAATCGTTCGGTAGGTGAGTGCATCCGTGATATCGCTCCAGTAATATGGTAAGCGCCTTCTCACATCATGATACATGCCTCGACCTATACAAAGCCACCGTATTCCTCTCCATCCATCCAGTCCCTCGTAGCCATAAGCTCTTTTGGGCTTGTCCCTTTGGGAGCGGGCTGAACTGTTCGAAGGGGACGTCATTGTTGACCAAGCGTCAGATCTCAACTACTGCTCTGGCATCGGATAATAGAATCGAAGACGACACAGAGACGAGATGGAAGTGGCGTGCAGAATGGTCTGCAGTGGACTTGATATTGTGACTGTCCTCTGGATATAGGTAGGCTAGGTTGAGGGGAACGACTTTTTTTTATAGTCCTAATATGGAGCCAACTCGCTTGTCATTCTCTCTGGCCTCTCATTAGGCAAAATTAATACGGAACCAAGTCCCGGGTCCGTAGGTACGTGCACTACAATAGGAATATGGACTCTATAGAGCTGGATTCAATTGTGGTTTCAAGATCCCGATTCAATCATTCCCTTTGCTCGCGTGGCTGATATAAAAGGAGTCACTGGTGTAAACACTACCACAACGGATTGAAATCATTGACACATCTTCAAAGGCAGAGTTGCTTGGATCGAAGAGACTGAAGATGAATCTCCATCCTGTTCTGCCCGGGCAGAAGATGACTAACTATCTCCATATCCGGGATGGAGATAGCTTGGCGCATTTGCCATCAACACAAGGAGGATCTTGGCATCAGTAACATCATTCACTCTCGAAAGAGGGCTCTTCGGCCCAAGGGAAATTGAGAGTTAGTTCGTTTGGCTCGTAGCTATGCGCAGTGAATGCAGAAGTGGTGGTCATCGACACAAGATAGGCCCATATCAACCGGTTAAGTAATACAGTCGTTCTGTCTGTATCATACAATGACCGCTATGGCGACCTCAGTGCCGACATGCAGACCCCCATCTGACGGAGAGCCATCTCGTGGTCCAACGTTGTTAGATCTCCTCAAAGAAGAGATTTCTGCCCAAATTAGCGCGCCAGCTTCGGAACTTGACTCGCGAGATGGGCCATACTTACGAATTGAAGGCGTACTCTGCGGTTCACTGGACGACGTGCGCGAAAATGGGTTATCTGTTAACCAAAACGACCAGCGGCTGGTCCTGGTAAGGACTGCAGCTAATTTGGGATGGGCCTGTCTAATAGTGATTGCTAATATGAAGTCCAGGGATATCTCGCTTTCAAAAATGGAGAATTGATCCGCAATCCCATCCCCAAAGCATCGGTCCTGTTGGATTCCCAAGTAAGAAGGTTCTAAATATTCAAATGATCTCAGGCTGACAATTGCTCTATAAGTGTCAGGTAGCGGAAGGAGAGGGTAAAGACAGACCGAATTGGAATCCACTGTCAACACCAGACTCCGGGCAAAGTGATGGTGGAGAGGGCTGCAAGAGGCGCAAAGTAGTTGGTGGCCTCCGGTTACAGAATCAAGGGAGTAACTCTGCGAGTGTCTCGGATGACGCAGCATCGGATTCTGGTTCTGGACATGAGCGCGGTGATGCCAGTGAAAACATATCTGTACGTCAGGTACTCAGTGATGTGACTCGCTTTCCTCTGCGGAAGCACAAGCGCAAGGTCGCTGGACCGGTGTTAGAACCAACCTCGGTGGATAGGCTCATAGCTGGAATATGGCGTCAGGTGCATTCGTCTGTACAGCTAAGTAGGCCTACGCTGGTATGTACACCCTGGAAAAAAGGCGATATTTCACCTCTAACACAGAGCAGCAGCAAAACACGGTTATTCGTTCTTATGGCTCATTGAGTAGTGAGGTCAGTTATCATCTGGTTCTTGATGGATACAGATTCAGGCTCAGCAGTTCATTTATAGGACTTTCGAGAAGTCAGTAAGACGTGTTTGAGATACTATAATCAGAGCCAATCGTCCCGTGCGCTGGAAATGGTCGCACAGGCATATTGGGTTGAATGCTACGAAGGACGCATAGCTGCTGTGAGGACTGAAAACGAGGGATACTCGGCTACAGATGCTCACATGGCCGTCCTAGCAGAAGCCTGCGCTGCTCTTGGATGGAAGGAGAAGGACCTGAGAAATCGATTGTTCGTCTCATGATCAATGAGGACATGTCTGGGATGCTGACATGTCATATCAGAGCTATCTGGCGTGGCTATAAGGAGATCAAGGATGCCGGAGGATGGGCCTGTCTCATCTTTGCCAGCGCAGGTGTTTACCGCTTCTGCAAATACCGAAAAGGACATGATGAAGGCCTCTGGCCAAAGCTACAGAGTGTCCGGCACAGCGTCGAAGTTGCCGCCGACACTCTACATCCCGAGTGGCGGAACCTGGTCGATCTTATAGGACAAGAATCTCCTCGGAGGTATCATGGGAATCCACATCAATGGGTGACTATACGTTCCAAGCCTGCGATACCTATCGAGTTGACCTACAGCCATTTGCCGAATGGTTTCGATTATACGTTTATAGACGAGTGTATTCTGGACCGCAGTGCCTTCGGTGATGAAGATCCTCGTCGAATGCTCGGAGTAGACTCCGATACATGTCATATTTGCAAGCAACTGCAGTCGGATGATGTCCGTTTGAACCGTTGTTCTTGCTATCCTTCTCTGTTTGGGGCTCCTAAAAGCCCTGTGCCGGTGCAGATTTTTCATACGTCCACTGGAAAGAATAATGGCATCATTGCCCGTTGCGTAAGGATCCAAGCTGTCTCCATTGCTGACGATATCTCGACTAACGGTGATATTAGAATTTCGAAAGAGGAACGGCTATTGGAGAGTTTGTGGGACTTGTCACCAAGGGAGTGCAAGGTATGGATGTCATGGTTGGAGGTTCCCGTGAGAATACCTTCCAGATCTTCCAGGGTAAAATGGGTTCGTAAACTATTTATAAATGGATCCTATTCTGACAGTCCACTAATATAATATACTTGCAGGCAACTTTACGCGATTCATAAATCATTCATGCTATCCTAATTGCCAGTTCCAGAAATTCTACTGGCGCGGCATTGAACGCATTATTGTTGTCTCCCGTGGTATAATAATGGGCTCTGAAATCACAGTCGACTACTCAGACCATTATTGGAAACAACTGGATAAGGTATGTCTTTGTGGCGAGCCATGCTGCCGGTTCTCGAACAGACAGGGACAGGAGTCGCGTATAAGGAGGAAAGATACATAGATGAAGCCGAGTCTTGGAATAATTCATCTTAATCCTCTAGACCGGTAGAGTTCACAACCGAGACGACCTTTCAAACGTTCTAATTCTCTTTCTGGAGCACATATTTTGGCGCCTCCTCCCCTTCCTTCCAGAAATACTGCGCCCCTGGATGCGTATCCGGCAACCTATTCTGCCCTGCTTTACCATATACATTCTCGCGGAACGTACCTCCCTTCACTGTATAATCATCCCAGAACAGCCCTCTCTTCCGCAATTCAGGTAGCAGATACGTGATGATATCCTCAAACGTCTCTGGGATACTAGCAGCGCTGAAATTGAAACCGTCCACATCGGCTACTTCAACCCATTTCTCCAGCTGATCTGCCACTGTCTTTGCGCTGCCGATGATCTTGGGACCGTTACCGCCGAGCTTCAGGTACTCTGCGATGGTCTTCTTGTCCCATTTCTTGCCTTCAGTTCCCGGAACTGTGCTAGCCCAGTGGTTGACCATGCTGCGGATCGCGGGCTGCTCGACGAAACGGAAGTCTTGGTCTTCGGGATATTTGCTAAGATCGTAACCTGACCAGCCACCAAAGAGGGCCAGGGCACCTTCTTCGTCTCCATATGAAGCAATCTCTTCGAACTTGGCTTGTGCGGCTTCGTCCGTCTCCGCGACGATAGCCAGAACACCAGCGATGATCTTGATACTGGACGGATCGCGCCCAGCCTCCGCTGCCTGCTTGCGAATCGAGTCGACAGAGGGTCTCACGAGCTCGGGCGCATGGCCATTCAGGAAGATAGCCTCCGCATGCTTCGCAGCAAACGCCTTTCCAGCCGTAGACGTCCCCGCTTGAAGCAACAACGGCGTCCGCTGAGGCGAAGGCTCAACGAGATGCGGTCCTGGAATCTTGAAGTACTTCCCTTCATGATTAATCTGGCGCACCGCATGAGGATCCGCATATCTCTTCTCGCTCTTCTCCACAGCTCCGTCCCTCCAAGACCCCTCCCACAACTTATACGTCACATTCAGATACTCATCTGCGATTCTATACCGCTCATCATGCTCAATCTGAGTGTCCAGTCCAAAATTCCTCGCCGCTGAATCCAGATACGACGTAACGATATTCCACCCCACGCGGCCACCGCTCAAGTGGTCAACGGTCGAGAAGCGACGCGCCAGCGCATACGGCGAATCATACGTCGTCGATGCAGTAATTCCAAATCCAATGCTCTGCGTCGCGGCCGCCAGGGCCGAGACGCTATAAAGCGGATCAATTATAGGGAATTGCGTCCCGCCAGGAATCGTAGGATCAAGATTCGCAGGTCCCTTGTATACGTCGTAGCCGCCTAGGACATCTGCGAAGAAAATAGCGTGGAACTTCGCGGCTTCGAGCTTCTGCGCGATTGAGATCCAGTGCTGGATCGAGTTGTAGGAACTGCCTTTATCTTTGGGGTAGCGGTATAGACCCGGGTTAAGGTGTGTGGGAGCTTGCATCGTGAAAGCATTCACGATGAGCTGCTTCTTAGCTGGTGATGAGGATGAGGATGAGGATGAGGATGAGGATGCCATTGTGAAGGGTATAATATTGTTTTGCTTATTTCTCAGTTGAATTGTCCCGGGTTCAATTGAAGAAAATACAAGAGAAAATGGAAATGGGAGCGATGGCCGGACCCTCCTTGGAAGCCACGAAAGAGAAAAGAGAAAAGTCTAACAAGTTCCTCGTTCTGCTTTCCCTTTCTTTTTTCTTTGCGAAGTAAGATCCAGAGTACTTCTTCCCAGAAGCCCCTCCCCTCCGTCCACCCCTCCTTCGTGTCCCTTGTGCCCCTCACCCTACGCCTGGGAACTGGAACTGGAACTATACTATGACCAGAAAAGGAAACAGATGCGCCGGAGAACTATACTAGGCCTCTCCATAATAATAATCACAGCCACAATTTCCTCAAGGCCGTTTTCTCTCCGTACAGGTACAGTACATACCATACAAAAAACAAATCCTCCACCGCGGACATATTCCGACACGAAAAACCAAAATAGGTAAGGGACACGCGAAAGAAGATTATTCTACAGAGGAATTACAGATAGGAACGGTTCGAGGTGTCAATGCGTTGCTTCCGTGATAGGTTGGACATTGATAAAGCAAATACCGGGGTGCTATTGCGTCAGTGAACCCCGGAATCTCCTAACCATACATGAGCACTCTATGCAGTAACTAGTTAATGTTACCTACGGAGCTTCTAGACTAACTTTTATATAATTGATAATTACAAGCTGTTTACTAATTAAGTGACTACTTTGAGGCGCGGAAGATGCCCGTGCGTAATGTTGCAAAAGGGGCTATTTTGAGGTGAAGTGAGGTATCATTGGTCTAGTCGTAGTATGTATTGTTGCACGGTGTCTAGATTCATCTAATGTTGATCGAAGATTAATCCGATTGATGATAAATACAAAATCTTGAGATCAGACGACCTTTCATCGGAGATTAAGCAACGTTGGCGGTGGTGCAGTATCCGATTTCGGTGAGGAATTGTTTTGCAGGTCCAATCTACATGAGTTCAACTATGGAAATTTACGTGGAACATGTCTGGAATTAACGTTATTATACATCAGCACGAAGATTGCTAATGTATAGGTAAGACCACCGAAGTCAAATTATTCTATAGACATTTTAGTATCCATAGTCTATGGGTGTCATGTTTATAATCTAAATCAGACCGTGGCCGCCATATGTGTAAATGTCGTCTTCTTCTGGAATGGAAAATCCCAGTCACGCCTGTGAGTCAAGTCCAACAACAATCCTCTTCCCGGAAACGGAACCCTCTCGAAGAATATCCAGCGCGTCATTGATACCTGCAAGTCCACCCTTTGCGTGAACGACCTCTGGCAGTTTGATGCTATCTGTCTGTAAAAGGCCTTCGAGCCATGTGACCATGCTCTCACCCACAGCGGGAGAGGTATGGAAGAGCTTGATCGGCACAGTGTGGTAGTGAATCCGTGGATCTTGTTCCTTGGGAATGCCAGTCAATCCAAGAAGATGCGCCTGTGGACCGTCGTCTTCGCTACGGAATAGAGCATTCTGTAGCAGTGCCGCTGTGTCCTTGCCCACTATGTCGAGGCCAAAGCGTAGCTTACCACCCGTGACACCCCGAATGATTTCCACGGCACGTTCAGTATTGTGTCGGTCTACTAGTAAATCTGCTCCGGCATCGAGGAGTTTCGCCCCGTGGCGCGCAACGTCTGCAACGCATATCACTTTAAGGCCGCACAGTTTTGCGAGTTGTAGAGTGATATAACCAGTTGTAGTTGATGCTGTTATCTGTCAGTAGACTTTTCTATGCCAGTTTGCTAAGTTATAATGTCTCACCTCCCCAAATTGCCAGCCAATCACCGCGTTGAATCCGCTCTGATTCAGGCGCAGATGAAAAGCACTCTTTTCTGATATCCTCTGGAATGACGTTGATATTGGCGTCCTTCAGGACCTTGGGGAGATTCGGGCCTTTCGCACTTCCGGGAATAGTAGAGAAATCCAGGCCGAATGATACTCCCAAGGCCAAAGTCGAGGCCACAAATGCCACTCCCAAAGATGCTGCCGCGTTTATCGACGTCGTCGAAGGTATCCGTGCTGCGTTGTAATGTGTTGCTACCGCATATTCCTGGAATGCGGCTTTCCGGATGTCTCTGTAGTCGGTCGATGGAACAAGGACGATATCTCCCACACGAACGCGCGAACTCTCATTGGATACCTGTACGACCACGCCAGCGAAGTCGCGGCCGTTGATCCAGGGCAAGGCGGGGATCCCGAAATTGAAAGCCCTATTGCTCGTTGCTCAGTGAGAATTCTTCAAAAGAAGTGCCGGCGAGTATACATACGGCCCCTTCCAGTCGATCGGGTTCAACCCAACTGCAACTACCTTCACCAGAATCTCTCCATTGTGTATTAATGAGGGAATAGCGTGGTCCTCGATCAATTTATACTTTTCTCGAGCAGCGTGAAGTAAAAGAACATTTTGTTTGCTCGTCTGCAATTTGGCGTCGATGGGACTGTTCGATCTTGTAGTATCTGTGCTGTCGCCTTGGCCTTCCACGAATATATGTCTATGGAATAGGACCTGCCCGTTCCCCTCGACTTCCTTGCACTGCAGGAAGGTTGATGTCGTCGACATTGTACCTGCTGCTATCAATGGTCTGCGCAATGTACACCACCAAAGAGAAGAGGTATCGGCGCGCTTTGAAGAGAAGGAAAATACTGTATTATACGAGATAATAGAATCTGCAAAGTAATCCGGGTCTCAGGAACCAGCCCGAAATCCCACGCTTATCGGGATTATTCGCCATTGATTACGGATCTGAGGCACAGCAGGGCATTACAAAACCCGAACCGTGCTTCGCCGGAGATGATTGGGCTTGAGAGGAGACGATTCAAGTGGAAACTCAGAATACGGCATGTTTTGGTACTTCGTGTTAGTATATCGGATTCGCAGCTGATGGTTGATATGCTCATGGCGGGGTCGTATGGCGTGATAGATCGATGTCATTGGAGGGGTAGCATGAAGAAACAGGAGGGGAATAGAAGAGTATCGAGCGGTTCAGTCGCTGTGTTACGCATTCCAACGCTCTTTTATCATCTTCAGTTGCTTGGGTTCTTCAGGGGTAGCGATCGTTCTTTCCAGACAGGACACTGGGTTATTACGGCGTAACAGGGGATACATTTGTCGCAGAATCCATTTTCATTTGCGACTCTACTCCAGACGCATCGATGTAACCAAGGGGGGCTGGTGGATGGACAACGTTGATTATCGTTGCCCGTTTAGCCACAGGATGCTGATGTGATTGCGGGTTCGGATGACGGGAGATTTTAACATTCTCTCTCTCTCTCTCTCTCTCTCGCCTGAGCTTCCCTTCCCGTTGCCGACAACTTCATGGGTAATAAGCGAGCGCCGTTAGAAATCAAAAATCTTAGGAATCATTGCATTTCCCTTTATCTACATTACAGGGGTCCAATACCCTGCTTATAGCGTAATAATATGCGCCAATGGTGCGGATGTCACCCCGCAGCAGATATTGTAAAATTGGCTTGTATTATTTTGCGCCTCTTAACAACCAGACTACGGCTAAAGATACCAGTATGGTATTGTAGTGTTATCACGAAATACTCGGGCATATGTTTTGCATGCATAGAAGATGTATCTCTTAATAGGTCTTAGTGCGAGACTCGTGCTACGTTTGGGTCGCATACTTGAACAGAGTGAAGTCGTCTGTTTCCGGCACACGCTTCTTTTGTAAATATATCTACTTCACAGTTGGCCTAAAAAGAAGTCTCTCGATAAAACAGTGACTTCTATATTCGAACTCTGAGAAGGCTAATCAAATCACCATGGGTTCAGTAGGCGATGCGAACTATGAGAATGGGGCTGGGGGACAGAAGCAGATCCTTCTAAATGCCTTTGATATGTCCACGGTGGGACACTTATCACCAGGCCAGTGGAAAGTAGGCAAAAATCAACGATTGGGATCCAAGCTAGCGACATTATGTTGACCACTGCTTCATAGGATCCGGATGATAGATCAGCCACGAAACGAAAGCTGGACTACTGGGTTAATTTGGCCAAAGTGTTAGAGAAAGGAGATATCAATGCTTTGTTTCTGGCTGACACCTACGGTGGCTATGACACATATGAAGATTCGCTGGACAATTGTATCCGAAGAGCTGCGCAATGGCCAGTCACGGACCCTACAATTGTAAGACCCTTCTTGTCCCATCTATTTTTCTGTCGTCTAATTATCTGTTGTGTATAGCCGATCAGTGCCATGGCTGCAGTGACCAAGAACTTGGCTTTCGGGATTACTGCCTCAACATCCTTCGAACCTCCGTTTCTTCTGGCGAAGAGATTCTCCACACTCGACCATCTGACAAATGGCCGAATTGGTTGGAATATTGTGACATCCTGGAAGAAAGGGGCGTTTAAGGCTATTGGACTGGACGAACCGATCGAGCATGACCGTCGTTATGCTCAAGCAGATGAGTATCTGCGTCTAACATACAAGTATATTACTCCACCCATATATTCGTATGATATATACTAAATTTGCATAAACGTTTAGACTATGGGAAGGCTCATGGGCAGATGACGCAGTCGTTGCTGATGCGGAGAATGATACCTATGTTGATCCGGACAAGGTCAGAGTGATTGACCACAAGGGAGAATTCTACAACCTTGAAAGTAGACATATCGTCGATCCTAGCCCTCAGAGGACGCCGTTCCTCTTCCAAGCTGGAACATCACCGTAAGTAACGCTCCCCATATCTATCCCGCTTGCCACGGATGCTAAATTGATTTTGCAGAGCCGGGTCCCAGTTTGGTGCAACTCATGCGGAGGCTATCTTTGTTTCCGCGCACAGCCCTTCTGTCTTGAAGCCCAGGGTTGCAAAGATTCGGGAATTGGCACAGGCGGCCGGTCGTGATCCTCAATCCATCAACTTCTTTGCTACCTTTACCCCGATTATTGGCCGGACAGAAGAAGAGGCAAAAGCAAAGTTTGAAAGAGCGAAGCGCTACGCTTCCCCTATCGGGGGGCTCGTTCTCTTCTCTGGCTGGACGGGAATAGACATCTCCAAGATCCCGCTGGATGAGGAGATAGACCCCGAAAAGCATTCTCTAGAGAAGCACAAGGTTACGTCGATCGCAGAAACTCTCACTGCCAGAACTCCAGAGCTACCCTCCCTGACACCTCGCTTGGTCGCTGAAGTTGCGTCCATCGGTGGGTTAGGACCTGTAGCTGTTGGTACTCCAGCCCAGGTGGCAGACGAGCTCCAACGTTGGATCCGGGAGGCTGATATCGACGGATTCAACCTTGGTTATGTTACAACGCCTGGAACCTTTGAAGACGTCGTCGATTTGCTCGTACCCGAGCTTCGCAGTCGCGGCGTCTACCCTCCAAAGAGGGATGAGCAAGATCCACCACTGACTGCCCGGGAGAAGGTGTACGGAAAAGGTCAAAATAGGCTGCGTGACGATCATGTGGGCAGTCACTACAAATATCCAGTATATAAGACCGACCCTCCCTTCATTAAAGAGGCTCCTTCGCAGTGAATATAGCTGCCTGTCTGTCCTTGATCAGATTAGCATTATTGACACGGGGATCTAAAGTCAGACGATAGACGCCGTTATTCAAGAGCGGCCGTCCTCGTGGTCTGGTATTTCGAACCCCGAGATAATTTCAGGAACCAGTCCATATAACACGAATAAAAGGATAAATTCATTATGATTCATCCAATCAGTTCCCTGTTAATTCACTCGTTCGTTAACCAACTAACTAGTTAGTTAGCCAACTAGCTATTTTTACATAAGCATAAGACAGGCCGCGTCTCTTTCGCGTTCTAGTTAACTATTTAGTATGAGACTATGAGCTAAGTAGTTTGATGCTAATTTATCTTCAACGTTCTGGAATGCGATGATAAGACAATATGAGTTATACAGGCCGCAAAAAGGCTTATTCCTGCTGCATATTTCGGCATAAGCTTATCATGCCCAGTTGTTTCGGTCAGCTCAGATCATGTACTCCAATCACTGGGTCTTACATCAATGTAGGGATGAATGGCGTGCGATCGGACAACAGTGCCAACCCTGTGTTTCTCTCTATTTCAGACGCCATGTTTACAAATACACTACAGCAATGGGCATCTTGCTACCTGTGCCGTAGATACTCAATTTTATCTCTCTCAGACACTCCCGACATATCGAGACCCCTTTCACAGTCTAATATTGCTATGCCTTAATCTGGATCGGCACCTTCATCTGGTTAGCCACTACGAAGCTCAATAACAGTTACAGGACCGAAACAATGGATGACGCGGAGACTCTGACGGAGGCTCTTCTGCCAGCATCTCAGGACTATCAGACATTCAGCACAGAGAGACCGTCGCAAGAAGAAGCAGAAGACCTTCGAGCCATCGAGCATGACACGCTACCAGAGACGGCCACCTACGGCAGGAATCTCAACTGGTCCAGTGCCTACATCCTCGTCATATCCAGAGTCATAGGGAGCGGGATATTTGCGACCCCAGGAGCGATACTGAAGTCGGCGGGAAGCACCGGTTTGGCACTGGTATTATGGGTCGTCGGTGCTATTTTATCAGCATGCGGTCTCGCGGTCTCCCTTGAATATGGATGCATGCTGCCTCGGTCCGGTGGAGATAAGGTCTATCTCGAGTTTACCTATCGACATCCTAGGTTCCTCGCCTCAACCCTGATAGCCGCACAAGCAGTGCTTCTAGGCTTCACAGCCAGCAACTGCATTGTATTTTCCAAGTACATATGGTTTGCGCTCAATGTGCAGCCAACGGAGTTCCAAAATAAAGTCTTGGCTGCCGGCCTATTAACGATTATAACGTTCGTGCACGCCCGATTTCTGAAGACAGGCATTTGGATCCAGAATATGCTAGGGTGGATCAAGGTCTTCCTAGTTGCCATAATGGCAATCACTGGCCTGTTCGTGATTACATTTCATCATCAAAAGGATACCGATATTGGGTCTTCTTCCACGGCTGCTGCGACGGCCTTGCTTTCCTGGGATGAACTCTGGAGAGATACTAACTGGAGCTGGGGAACCATCTCCACATCCCTCTTCAAGGTCTTCTACTCATATGCTGGCCTGAGTAACGTCAATAATGTCTTGAATGAAGTCAAGAACCCGGTTCGCACTCTAAAGACTGTCGGTCCGGCTGCTCTTATCACGGCGTGTGGCCTCTATCTTCTGGCCAATGTATCTTACTTTCTCGTGGTTCCGATCCAAGAGATCAAAGAGAGCGGGGAATTGGTCGCAGCCCTATTTTTTGAACGGGCCTTTGGACCTCATTTGGGCAGAACGATCCTCCCTTTAGCCATCGCAATTTCAGCAGCTGGAAATGTGATGGTGGTCACATTCACTCTTGTAAGTGGCCTATGTCTGCGATTTCAGCTGGACTCTGACAATGTATAGGCACGAGTGAACCAAGAAGTGGCCCGCCAAGGCTTCCTACCTTTTGCCAGGACGCTATCCTCCTCTCGCCCTTATAACTCTCCCCTGGGTGGTCTTATCGTACACTATATCCCATCTATATTGGTGATAACTCTTCCACCGCAAGGTGATGTCTATAATTTCATTCTTGACGTGGAAGGCTATCCCGGCCAGTTCTTTGCGTTGGCGATTACAGTTGGTCTTCTGCTTTTACGTTATCGACGTCCTGATCTCGAAAGACCGTTTAAAGCCTGGCTACCTGCTGTGTGGCTAAGGATTATTGTATGCCTAGCTTTGTTGGCAGCACCATTCTTCCCGCCTCCGGGCTGGAAAGGGGACGTGGATTTCTTCTATGCTACTTATGCCGTAGTTGGCGTGGGAATGTATGTCATCACTTCAATTTCTCATATCTTTGCTCAAGCTGACTTAAACAGAATCCTTTTCGCTGTAATCTACTGGTATGTATGGACGGTTTTGCTACCTAGATGGAGAGGATATACTTTGGAAGAGGAGGTTGAAGTTCTGGAGGATGGGACCAGCATTACGAAGCTCGTCCATTATTATAAATCATAGACTATAAATGATCAGTAGGATAGCTATCAATAGAGCGTCATAGTTTCCCAAGGATGATAATTATACCGAGTGTGACATGTTGCCTAAATTCTGAAACCGATCATGCGCCCCTTATCACTCCTGCAGCTACGCGGATTGTTCGTTATTTGCCAGCGAGTATTGAGTTGGCTTCCGGGATCAGCATAGTATGCATCAGGTCCAATAGGATCTATTTGCATTTCTCAGCATACAACTTTGACGCTATCGACTGTAATAATGGCATGCTGATCTGACAAATTGCCAGCTTTACCCCGCTTCTGTCATATACAAAATATCAAATATATATAGAGCTTTCTTGTAATCCTACAATATAGATCCTCAAGCACAACATATTTGCTTGTGGTCTTTACATAAAGGTATTATTCAATCGACATGGCTTCTGCAGTAGTGGGCCTGCCTTCTGGACAGGACGCATCCCTTCATGTCCAAAAATCGTTCCCCGTTAATTCATCAGAAAAGCCCCATCATGTTCAGACCATTCTTAATTATTACAAAGATCCTGGCGATGGCTCTCTTCCTTCGCCATCCTACGTCGGCAGGCCAGAAACCTACAATAACAAGCCTGTGGAACCTACCTCGGTCACTGTGACGGATATTAGCGGCCATGAACTTGATTACACTCTCGACAAGAACGGCTTTCAGATCTACTATCATGAGAGTAAGGAAAAGGACTTTCTTGACGACGAGAAAATCCAAAAGGAGTATTATCCCGAGACAGAACAGTTGTTGAAGGACGCGTGAGTTGCATGATCACCTTCAAGCCCGTGATATTCTGGGATAGATAGCTGACAAGATGTGTGATACTGCTATAGGACCGGAGCTTCCCGCGTCTTCATCTTTGATCACACTATCAGACGAGCTCCAAAAGATACTCGCACTCCCGAGGCTCAACTCCGAGGTCCAGTACAGCGCGTGCACATCGACCAGTCTTACGAAGCCAGCAAGAACCGTGTCACTCACCACCTCCCTGACGAAGCCGACGAGCTTCTCAAGGGTCGTTACCAGATCATCAATGTCTGGCGCCCGATAAAGACCATCTACAAGGATCCATTGGCTGTCGCGGATGCTCACACTGTCCCCGACAGCGACCTCGTCGGTGTCCCTCTGATTTACCCCAATCGAGCCGGAGAGACTTACACTGTGCGACCGAACCCAGCACACAAGTGGTACTACCGCTATGGACAGACGCCGGAGATGGTCACTCTGATCAAGTGTTTTGATTCCAAGACCGATGGTCGAGCTCGAAGAGTGCCTCATACCGCGTTTATCAATCCCGAAACTGAGGGAGCAGATCCGCGTGAAAGTATCGAGGTTAGAGCTCTTGTATTCCATCCCGAGGATAGGGATTAAATTTGTATTATGTTGATCTTCTAGTATACGAGTTGGTAATAGGGCAATTTCACTCTTTATTGAATAGTCTAATAGTCCCCATGGTAGTAAAGTTCATTTATTCTTAAGGTTATAGCACGATCGATATGCTTAAACCATTCTATGATAAGAATAATCTTAGCGCACTAATCGTACAGAGTTATTGTTCCGATTTACATACAATGGCTCATTTCATAGTAACCTAGTTTCCCAGAACTATGTCCTGGGCAGTATTTTTCAAAGAAATATCACACTTTCTAGGAGAGGAAACTTCAAGAGCAGCATCCAGGAAGCTTTAGAACGCAGCACAAAACACAGATCTTGGAACGGGTTTTCCTGGTCTGCGCACTGTTCGTAATCGCAGCTAGAAATGCCGTGATAGCACGTAATCCGTTGAAACATCACAACGTGCATATATGACCTCGGCGATCCAGCCAATGAGAACGCCACAAACAATATAGGCGATACTCGCCATGAGGTGTAGACGGAACTACCCCGATAACCTAGACCTTAATTATGGTCGCAAATTAAGCGTTACTAGTGGTATAGCAACCTTTTGGTGGAGGCGTTTTCCACGTTGTATGTTGCCGACATTCGCGTGGGACTATACCCGAAGATTTGGCAGGTTCTCGTATAATAATATACGATTCTAATGTCCGTGCCAAGTAAAGCTGTTATAGTTTGTTTTTGATTCTCTGCGATAAATATAAGAAGCCTGGTCGCTGCTATCTACTGGGCATAGCTCTCCTTGTCAAGTGTTCGAGAGCCATTCCATTCCAAGATGGCGGACCGCAAAGTGGTGGTTCCTAACGATGAAGAGATAGCTTACTCTCACAGTCAGGAACATCCAAATGGTATGTTATGTTCACAATAAACAGTTCTAAGAATGCGCAGGCGCTCACACAACGCAGTGAAATGGTATCGATCGACTTTCTACAATGCGCTCATTCTGGGACTGTGCAACTTCCTCGCCCCGGGTATCTGGGGTGCAATGAACTCCCTCGGTGGTGGAGGAGACGAGTCACCTTATTTGGTCAATGCGGCCAATGCTCTGACTTTCTGTCTGATGGTATTATCATGTTTCTTTGGAAGTGTCGTGGTACGCTATATCGGGATTAAATGGACGTTTATTATTGGGACGATGGGATATGCGCCCTTCGCAGCAGGGCTTTACACTCATAACCGATTTGGGTTTGACTGGCTGGTCCTTTTAGGTGCAGCACTATGCGGCCTGTCTGCTGGAATTTTCTGGATGGCGGAAGCAGCAATTGCTCTTGCGTATCCTGAGCCCCATAACCAGGGACGTTTCCTCGGCTTTTGGTTGAGTTTCCGTGTCGGAGGACAGATCGTTGGAGGCGCTGTGAACCTGGGCATCAACATCAAGAGAAATACCGCGGGAAAAGTCTCATATACCGTGTTCATCATTTTCATCGTGCTCCAGGCACTTGGTCCGTTTGCCGGTCTTCTCTTGAACAAGCCCTCGCAAGTTCAACGAACTGACGGGCTACCGGTCCGATTGAGAATCACCAAAAGTCCATGGGTTGAGGTCAAGGAAATGACCAAGCTCTTCTTCAGCCGGAACTTCCTGTTGATTGTCCCGCTTATCTCCCAGGCTGTCTACTCCGAGGCAGTCATGTACAGTTACCAAGACTTATGGTTCAGCGTCCGAGCTCGTGCTCTGGGATCGTTCCTCTCTGGAATTATTGCACTCATTCTGGGGAACGTCCTTGGTGCTTTTTTGGACCGGAAAGATATTTCTCTAAAAAAGAGAAACCGCTTTACGTTCTTCACGGTACTCGCGCTCCAGGGTGGCTGGTGGATATGGGGAACAATCCTGGTCACAGAGTTCCATAAGACGAATCCATCTTATGACTGGGTCGACCCTGGTTTTGGCAGAGCCTTCGCCCTATTCTTATTCCTGGTTGCTGGTTTTCAGCTGAACTATCTCTATCTGTGAGTCACTTATTATTCCGTTCTCCCGTGTAGATCCTGAACCGGCGGAAACCTAACATCTCACTACAGGTACTTCGTCGTTGGGAACATCGCCAAGGACGAAGAAGAAGTCATTCGTATTGCAGGATTGCTTCGCGGTACCGAGTCTGCGGCTCAGGCTGTCAGCGTAAGTAATGCTGTTTTCCGTTTAAACAGAATATGCTGAAGATGAACTAACGTTGGAACAGTACGGCCTTAGCAGTGTGCCTATCATGGCATCTATCGGGAATTTCTATCTCAACTTCGCTCTCTGGGCGGTTGCATTGATTCCAGCATGGATTGTTACAAAGGATATTGGTGTCACGCTAGGTGACAGGAAGGTTGAGAGAGAAACAAAACTCTTGCGTGAATCTGCAAGCGAATGAGAGGAGCTCCGTATTAGAGTACTTGCTTTGAGGATGTGCAAACAGGAATACATACCTTTTGACTTCATTAAACATCGAAGTTTACAGCAAAGTCCACTGCCCAATATTGGTTCTTTTTATTCAACGCTATCAAAGCTTCTAATTTGGTCTATATATGATAATTTTCGTATTAGTACGAAGGTCTTCGTTTGTGATAGGTATAAACGACGAGTCTATAACTAGACCATAAGCATCATGAACCCCAATTTTGGTTTTAGCTAGTACACCATAACCTAAATCTTCTACACCGCGCTGACTTCTACCTCTGCATCTTTCCTCCGAATACCTGAATAAAACTGCCTCTCCTCCAAAACCTTAATATCATCTCCTGCAAAAACTTTCCCTTCCTTCTGCGCTTTGTGTCGCAGCCGAGCAATCCTCCGCACGTCCCATTCCAAGTTCCTCGTTAACCACCACGTCCATAGATTCGCAAAGAAGGCCGCAATGATCGAAGAGCCCGCGATTGCGAAACTGTTCTTGTAGCGGTTATACGCCCATTTCTCCTGAAAGAGTTGCGGTCCAATCACACCACCTATTTGACCGACGCAGTTTTGGAAGCCCAAGGCGAAGGCCGCGCCAGTTGAGCCCTTTAGGGTCGTGGAGCGCCAGGCCCAGAAGGGGATGAAGTACATGCTGTAGAACATGGTGCCGAGGATACAGGCGACGTAGATTCCGGCGGGTGATGATATGGTGAAGAATAGTACGAAACAGACGACCATGCCGACCATGATGATCCTTTGTATATAGAGGTTAGATCACGGAAGCTGCCAGTATTTCGTAGCGATGGGATAGGGAGGGGAATCATACATAATATAAGCCGGTCGGGTTATATAGGCCCGTTTGATAAAATAAGCAGAAAATATAATCGCCAGAATGGAAGCCGCTGCAGGCGGGATATTAAGCAGCTGGTTCTTCGGTAATCCAGCAAACCCAAGACTTGTGGTGATTGTCGGCAGGTACCAACTGAGCGAGTAGCCACCTAGATTAACAAAGAACTGCGAGAGCATGAAGGCCCACATCGATTGTGTCTTCAGTGCTTCGATTACTTCTTCCTTCTTAAAAGCGGGATCACTGGTCACTGGAGCAGTTTCTGGCAGACGCGCCTCTATAAATTCCTGTTCTCGTGATGTGAGCCACTTGTTGCTTCGGGGGGATTTTGGGTAGTCGGGCAAGACTAGCCAGATGATAACAGAGAAAAGGATCGTCGCAATCCCCTCGAGGAGATAGACCCTGAGAATATACGTCAATATTTCGATATTACAGGCTGCGAGCAAGTCAAACTCACCAACGCCAGGCACTCAGCCCCCTCATGCCATTCATATAGCTGATGGCATAGCAAATCAATGACCCGACCACTGTTGCCAATTGTTGAATGCCGAACATCCATGCAATAGGTCTGCCCATCTCGTCTGGGCGATACCAACTGGCCAATTGTACAGCCACCCCTGGGAACATTCCCGCCTCCAGCATACCCAGAAGGAATCGCAGCGCATATAATGCTGCACGATTCTGGGCCGCAGCGTGACAGGCAAGGATAATGCCCCAAGAACAAAAAATTCGAGTTTGCCATACACGTGGGCCCACTTTCTTCATGACCAAATTGCTTGGAGCTTCGAAGATAATGTAGCTGATCTAAAGATGGCATCGCAAGAGGTTAGCCAAAGAACGTTAATCTTGTACGAAGTATGTCCAGTCTTACAAAGTAGATAGATTGAATCCAATTATACTGGTCGGCTGTCATATGGAGTTCTTTCAGTATATTTCTGTCACTTCCCACCTGGAGCACTTTAACACTCGAGGCATTGGTGTAGTCAATCTATTCACATATTTCCAATCCCAGGTCAACAACCATTTGCACGCTGTATCCATGGCTAACTTACCGTCTTTATCATGTACATTATTCCAGTGAGGAGCAGGAACCGCGCATCCACCTTCTTCATGATACTCTTCTCTTCCTCCGCCGTGAAGCTCGACAGGAATTCTGCTTTTGCTACGGGGTCATCGCGCAGAATCCTCTCTTCAGCCCCAGTGACCTCAAGAGCGGGCCGTTTGCCTGAAGATTCAGACGGAGGCCCTTTGGGACGAGCCTCTGTTGTTGACTCCATGTTGTCGAAGCCCCCGAAGATGAAGATGGTTTGGCTCTACCTAAGGGAAGAAGTACTCCGTATAGCTAGATATGAAGATAAAATTACGAGCTTCGCCCAGATATATATGTATCCTGAATCCTAGAGACCTTGGCGGGCTTAGATACATATCCAGGCCAACATTTTACTAAGAAGCGGTCTTTGCTATCTGAGCGGTATCACCCGCCTTGCAAACGCATGTATATCGGCATCCTTGGCAGTCAATCGCAATTGCCAGTTAATAAGTATACTACTGGCAAGCGGAATATCTCCGCAAAGTGGCAAAGGGAAAATATTTCCCGTAACCAGAACACGTATAACATTACCGGGACCATTTATCCCTCATAGTCGGGAGAGGAATGGTACTATGCTACTGCCACAAGACGCAAGAACGTCCCTAAGATTTCAATGATATGAGGGCGAGTGGTCTCGCGCACGCCATCGGATGGCGTTATTTCCCATCCTAGTAGCGTGGAACAAAACAAAAATTACAATGCTGTATTGATAGCGGTTTTTGCATATTGCTGGCAATCCATAGCTCTTTAGTTCGTTACCCTAACAAAATGATGTATACGGGGTTCAGGCTAACTCACTGTCGCAGCAGAGACAGTTGGAAGCCGCCGGGGCTATTTACTAGGTCGTTTTGTATCTATATATCCAGGACAAAACATCGTTCGTTAACATGTTGGCCTATATACAGACGTATTTTTTTTTCGTATTAAACATCTAGACGAATCCTCTGTTATCCTGTCTGAACACCAACAACGCGAGCTTATGCCGTACGAACAGTCCAAGAAGTCCGCAGGCTGTCTGAATGGCAACCATGTGCCATGCGAGTTTGTCTTCTCTCATCGGGCCCATCCAGACCAGCCATAGATTGAGAATAGTCAGGTTGGTAGACTCGATGATTCGCCCCTCTTTATTCTTCGTTAACCGTACCAGTCGCAGCCGTTCCAACAGCTCCAAGGCCGCAGCCACGAGAGGTTGCGGAGGCGCTACCCACTCAGTCACGGATGCATCCAACAACCCCGTGGAGGCATTGAACTTGGGTAGACGATGACGCGGACACGGAATGATACGGAAAAGCTGGGGTGTCGAGTACAGAAAGTTAAAAATCTGCGGTATGAACAGTAGGAGCAGAGTCTTGCTGAAATGGCCTAGGATGCCGACCACAGCAAACACCATACCAGCGAAATAACAGTATGTGTCACCAACGAAGACCTTCGATGGGTACCAGTTATGGCACAAAAGCGCCAATGACACTCCGACAAATGGTAGCAGGAAGTAGATCGAGAATAAATGCGAATCTGTTGCCGGGTGCGGGTATGGTGTAAACGGTGCCAGATACAATGCATCGTTAGCTAGCAGCAGAAATGCGATAACTAACGATTGTGAGACCTCGACACCATTGATACCGGCCAACATATTGATACTGTTTGGACAAAAGATGGCTACTGCAGCCATGTACGCATAGTACAGCCATCCAAGATCGACACTATTGCCGAGATAGCGCTGAAGTGGAACCGGAACTACCACCTGTGTGACTCCAAAATCTACGAAGTAGACGATGAGCATAGGTATACTTCCGAATGCAGGAATCAAGACTTTGTGCCGCCATCGGATGTCCAGCAAATCGTCTCCGATTCCGAGGATAACAATGGACTGTATTGAGAGTAGACCAGACAGATAGGACGCGAGCTACCAGCGATGTCAGACAGGGAGACCTGATTCAATGCACTGAAGGAATTACATACCTTGCTATGAGGGAATCGGTGAAGGAAACGGCCTGTCTCAACTTCTTGGACTTCAAAGACCACGTCCCTATTCCCTCCCCCTGAAGTAGCTGCGACAATATATTTATAGAATGGAAAAGGTATGAAGACAATTAGAAGCAACAGATATACCACGGCACAGACGGCGCCCATAGTTTCTGGTCTATGTAGCAGTCAGCATTGAACGAACCATGTATTGGAAGAAGGCTCGTACATTTCAGGTTTTCGAGGCTTGGCCATGTCCTTCCCCTTTAAGCCGGCTTTCATGAATACTGGACCAAGCCACCTTATCAGGCTATACGTTGCAGCAAATGCGATCGCACTAAATGCAAGTGAAGCAATCAAGGGCTCGCCGTCGCCCTTCAGAGTATTGACGATGATGCCAATAGAGGCTCCGACAAGGAGCAAAAGACCCCATGTCTCCGTTCTGGTTAGAGTCGCCGAGGTAGCCATCATGAAATTGTATGTGGATTCATGATTATACCTGCGAGACTATCTCACAAGTAAAGGACCTCCAAACACAATATGGACCTGCAATCTGGCATAATGCACGCTTGTGATTCTGCCGGTGCAAAACTTTACCGCCTTCGAGGCGGTCAGCCAGATATCGGCTGGATCCGTAAAGTCGGGTGCATAAGTTACACCCCAAAATGGAATAGTTTGCAGACGCCCAATATCCATGGCGCGCGTTTACCGTTCACTGCCCATTCAGATGCGCCCTACAGGGAAGTACATCCATACTCCTCAAGGAACAGCATTAGCGAACTACTCTCCAGCTGATATCCAATTGTACTTTAGACTCTTTATTCAGAACGGTAAAGGTCGGGTGTGGGATTTACGGGCCTGGCAGCACGAGCCAATATGACAAACGGGTTCACAGACTTCGATGCTGGTCATCGTGACCTGGTTACCGTTACCAAATTCAATTTTTACGGCAATAGGATTGTCACAGCTTCCTCTGACCATCGTATGAAAGTCTGGGACCAGAAAGACTCAGGTTGGCAACCGGTTGATACTTGGCGCGCCCATGACGCCGAGATCCGCGATGTAAGAATCCCTTTGTGCGTCTGGAACCCAATTATTGATGTTCAAACAGGCTACCTGGAATGGTCCATTCACTGGCCAACATATCGGCAGTGTTGGTGAGGACATGAAATTCAAGATATGGCAGGAAGATGTGACTCAGCCACCCAATTCTGGTCGCCGTTTCAAGCCTATCTTCCGCATGACAGCACCGCAGCGGCATCCTTTTGTTTCATTGGACTTCCGTAATATAGACATGGAGACATGGCTTGCACTTATCACTCGAGACGGTTACCTTATGATCATGGAGCCTGTCAGTCCAGATACACTGGCTGAATGGCAAGCATTGGACCAATTCCGCGTGTGTGCTGCACCGCAGCGCGGGGAGGAGACGAGCTTCCGAGTTCAATTCCACCATGACCCCGTCGATATAACCCATTCGCTGCTGCCAAGCTGGGATCGGAAAAGCCTCTCCCTAGTTGTCGCAGCCATGGATACTGTAAAGGTGTATCGTACAGATGCAAACCGGCGCTTCTACCACGCTATTGAATTGAGTGGACACGGTGGTCTCGTCCGAGACATATCCTGGGCAAATGGCTCAGTGAGGGGATTCGATCTCATTGCGAGCGGTTGCAAGGACGGTTTTGTGCGCGTGTTTGAGGTCTACACTACCGTCACTAATGCGGGAACAAATAATGCGAACAGCAAAAATCATCAGGCGTCCTCACAATCCCCATTTGCACGTCCAACAGTGCAATCAGGTATTGGTTCTGCGCTTGCAAACCGAGCCCCTTCGTCCATGTCGAACCGAGGAGCAACGGGTGATCATCACTTCAAACACACGTTCAAAGAAGTTGCCTGTATTGACAGTAAGCACTTCGACGTGTGGCAGGTAGAATTCTCCTATGCTGGTATGTCCCCAATTGTCAGTATCGAAATCTATAATACTCATTACCTTGACAGGTGACTGTCTACTCTCGTCCGGCGACGATGGTTCTGTGCGTTTCTGGAAGAAATCCCTGTCCGGCGAATGGCTTGAATTCGCAGAGACAAACATGGCAGATGAGTATGTCTCCCTCGGCCTTCTGTACCCGTAAAGCGCCGCTGACTTAGAACGAAATTACCAGGCCAAATGGTGCTCCAGCATGACATGTTTCTGCGGAATCAAATTTTCACATTCTAGACCGAGTGTGGGCGCTCTTCCGTCCAAATGGTGGACTCGTCTTTTAGCCCACTTCTGTTTTATTATCGTTCTGTAGTCTTGGTGTGGGAGCATTGTTGGGTCTGGATGTTTGAGATACCCATGCTTCAGTTGTATTTGTGCCCTTCGTTCCTGTCCTCTGCTGCGACAGACTCCTCTCGAACTTCGACCTAGCTGTTCGTTCAAGCTGAGAGAGTCCTGTTCTTTCGTTGCCAACTGCCCTGTTAGCGGTGTTTAATGTACTGATATGTTGATCGAGCTCCTGGAGTGAGATGCGTGGTGAAATCATGGTCCAGTTATCTTCTCTAAGACAGCCACCATCACCAGAGTATGGTCATATTACGCGGCTTCGAGCTTAACCTTCTGTGCCCCTTCCATTTTTGGGGACTCAGGCCTATGGAGAGATACGGTCCGCCCGGGATCATTGAGGAAGGAACTATGAATCGGTATTCAACACACTGGGAGGGTCCCCCGCCATCTGTTTTTTGGGTGAAGAGCAGATGTATCATTTCTCTACCTGTACAGCAACATGGACATCGACGCCACTATTGGAGCAGGCTTCCTGCTCGGGGCCGGCCAGGCACTAGCCGTCGGTGGCCCAGCGTCGTTGCTGATGTCTTATGTATTCATATCTGCATTATCTCATTGCATCTTGACCGCTGTCGCAGAAGTTGGGGCATATCTGCCAATGCAAGGTGCTGGAGTCAGCGCCTATGCCTCCCGATATGTCTCACCAAGCATGGGATTCTCCATGGGTGCGCTGCATTGGTATGGACTGGGAGTTGCAGTCCCGTACCAACTCACAGCCATGTCCTCTTTCGTTCGGTATTGGATGCCCGATATCAACTCAGCAATCCCACTAACAATCAGCCTCGCAAGCGTTGTTGGAATGAACTTCATGCCGCAGCAGTATTTTTACCTGTCGACGACGTATCTAATGTACTTCAAAGTAGCCATGATGGCATTCTTGCTGACTCTCTCTTCGATCCTCTTCCTTGGTGGTGGTCCGGATGGTGGCTTTTTGGGTTTCCATTACTGGAATACTCCTGGGGCTATGAATGAGTTCCTCTTAGGTGGTTCTGGCGGTCGATTTCTAGGTCTCGTGCAGTCTACATTGACCAGTGCCGTTGCCTTCCTCTTCTTGCCGGAAATGATCATCAGCAGGGGTGCCGGTCTGGTATCACCTCGACGCATGATACCCGTGACCGCTCAGCAAGACAACGGGATGGTCACCTTCTCATACATGATGAGCGCTCTCGCAATGGGAGTCGTCGCCCCTTCCGATGACCCACACTTGTTGAACGGGAATTTCGAACCCAGTTCAGGTTCTGGGTCAGATTCATCATCTTCTCAATCTGGTCAATCCCCTTTTGTCGTGGGCGTCAACAGGGCAGGGATCAATTTCTTGGGCAGTCTCCTGAACGTAGGGAACCTTATCTCTGCTACCTCTTCAGGAAGCACCTTGCTACAAATATCTACCCAATCACTCAGCTCACTTGCCGCCTCGGGCCATGCGCCGGCCACTTTCGGGGTCCGCAACAGATGGGGCACTCCGTACATGGCTTTGGGGGCGTCTTCAATTTTCTCTGGTTTCGCATACCTAGCCCTGGCACAGTCCGATCCACAGATTCTCCAATACTTGATGAATTTTATCAACACTTCGGGCTTTATGTCCTGGCTCGGTTCCGGCATGGTGTATAGCCGCTTTCGCAGTGCTGCCAGGGCCCAGGGTATCGAGCTCCCCTACACGTCTCGCCTCCAGCCATACGGTGCATATTTTGGCATGGGGTCTAGCGCTCTACTCTGTCTGGGAAATGACTTCAGCTTTTTCTTTCCGTCCAATTTCTCTATTCCGAACCTGATGGCAGCATACAGTGGTATTCCGATCTTCCTGCTCACCTACGTGGGACACCGGTTGATGTTCCGACAGTATCCGTGGATATACAAATCAGAGGAAGTTGACCTTTTCACTGGGCTCGATGAGGTTGTTGCTGCTGAACAGGAAGCGAAACCGGAAGATACGTGGTGGGGACAATTTTGGGTAATTGTTGCCGGTATTCGCGAGAGGTTTCGACGCGCCATGGCTTTTGTCAGACAAAAATGGGGTCACTCAAGGCCCAGTGATTCTGAAAATAGCGCAGAAGTTGGTGAGACTGATGAGTTCGATGGAACTGGAGAGACTCGGGAGGTACCGTGATCAAGACGACTGCGAGAGTCGATCTAAAGTGCTGAATGTGTCTGGGGGAATCCCGAAACCTGTCAAAGTTGTATATCATCCTGCGCTGAAGCTTCTGTCAGCTATCCATACGCACCGGAGAACAGTCTCGATCATCGCATGTTTTTTTGAAAGAAGATAGTCCCGTGACATTCATAGCAGCTTTCTCTAGAATCCTGTTTCCTGCAAAACAGCACACCATCTGCGTAGGTGTATATATCTCTGTCGCTGGAGATCAGCGGTCTGGGCATGGCAGCAGCCGCCGTCTGATAATCCGTCTTTCCTGGCAGGCCTCTGTCAGGAGCGTCTTATATCATGGCATGACCCATCTCAAGCCGAGTTCAAGACCCAAGTACCATCAACGACGAGTACAGAGCACGGCGATCATCACTGGTATCTCCGATCCATGTCATCGATCCGCCGTTGGCAGCCCCGCTGGAGCGTCGATCAGCGCTAGGACCATGTGCCAAGGGCAGAGATGGTAGAGCATGACGAAGTGAGCGTGACCAAGTTAGGAATGTAAACAGGGATGACAAGGCAGATGAACGTTTGGGGTCGAGGAAACGGCGTGTAGGGGACCTTGTTCGTCTCGAGTATGATGAAACCGGCCATTGCGGCTCTCCAGGAGCACGCAGGACGACTGTCCCCAGGGGGAGGGGGAGTCATCTTGGCAGTTGATAATAATAATAGTGAAAGAGATGAATGTCAATGGGATGTTGATGCCAGAACGGAGCAGAAGCTGATGACTCTACTGCCAATGTACCGGAGAAATCCGTTGTTGACGCTGAGCTGGACTGTAGAGCAGGCTGATGATTCCTTAAATTAGTGGCGGGTATCAAGGAGCTCGAGTGATCCCAAACAGCCTGCTAGTTATTAAATTAGCCAGCAAGTCCCTATTATTTAGTAGTCTGGCCAGCAATTGTCGGAACAACACTAGATACTCTAGAGTACTAAACTACCGGGCAACGCTGGCGGGTCGTCCCGTCCCCACGGTAGTTGATATAATAATAAATAATGACTGCTTGACGCCAGCCATCACTGGGTTCGTCAACGTGCAATTGATTACTGGTTAGTGAGTATCATCTGGTCTTTGCGTTCCCAGGCTCTCTTTTCTCTCTCTTTGATTCTCCCCTTGCCCCTCATCTCTCTGCACTCTCATCCATGTTTTTATTTAATTAGTTGCATCTGCACATCTTTTGCGCTCTTCTTTTACCCGCCTCATTAATCCGGTGGTCCACCGGAATGATTTTAGGACGCCAACACCGCTGTTTCTGCCCGTCAGGCTACATCTGTCTTGCAGATCGGGCCTGACCCGACGGCTTGTTGTCCTATCTGCGGTCTGGGAAGTCAAAATGATACTTCGTTTCTCATCTCGCGGACGACGAGCATATTCGTCGCTACTGGGACGAAAAGCAAAGACGACCTGAGAGGGAGGATATTGGATTGGATTCAACGAAAGCGCCCCCCGGAAGTGGCAATTTCTCCCATCGCTAACGAGAGTATTTTCTTACTCCATCCACCGCTTCCCCGGGAAGGGTGTGGTGGTGCTCTGTGCTTTTTGCTTTTCTCTTCTTCCTGCCTCCCCTTCTCACTACTACGCTCTCGTTTTCTCTCTTTGCGTTGCCTGTCCGTGGGTATTATTACTCCTCTGTTCGTCCTACTGGGTGTACTTCTGGTCTCTGCCACTGTCTCTCCCTCCCTCTCTCTCTCTCTCTCTCTCTCTCTTTCTCCCCTTTCTGGCTTCTTCTCCTGCCCTCGATGGCGAACTTGTCGGGTGACCTCCTGGGCAGTGCAGACAGACAAGCCGTGCGTGACCCAATCCAAGCGTTCCGAGCAGCGTCGGGCACGTCCATAATAGGACTGCTCTCCCCCTCCAGCGGCCGGCTGTTGACACCACACAAACGAGATTTCCCTGCCGTCGCTCCGATCTAACAGCGGAGAGAGAGAGCTTCCGCTGTGGTTTTCGTGCTGCTAGTAATTTTGGTTTATTATTCTATTCCCTCTCTTCTTGCTATTCCTATCATTCTTTTACGGTTCTTTTTTTCTGTCCTAAGGGTTTCCACCTGGGTGCAGTGATTCCTCCCGCTGGACGATCCTGACGCAGTCCACGGTTCCATGTCCGGAGGCTCACCAGATTCCTCAACTGGACTTCCGAATCGGGCGGACCTGGCACTCTCGACCTCAATCTCCGCATCAGCCCTCTGGCACCTTGCTACTGACATCCTTCCTTCTTCTTCTTTTCTCCTCGTTCTCGAGGCAGCTGCCCTGCCGCAGCTCAGCGTCTCCCCTCGACGCTCCTTTCCTCTCTGCTACCCCTCTGCTCTCCTCAGCTATCGAGACGGACTGCCACACGGCCCGTGACCAGCAGCCATGATGACTGTCTTTTTTTGCTCAGACCCTTTTTCTTCTTGGCTAACGCTCCCCATGCAGTTGCTAACAAACAGTGGATTACGGTCTTCTACTCTACTCTACTCTGCTCTGCTCTCCTCTTACTCTACGATGGCTGACTGACTGACTGACTGACTGACTGACCATCCCCTGCATTCCTCCCAGCGTTCCCCCTCCTGCTGCCTGTTTTTTTCTGCCGCCCACCGGCCCTCCCCACCTTGCCTGGCCGGGTCAGCCTCTCACAACCCTCGGACGCGTCCCCACTCGGCCCAGCCGTCCAATGCGCGTCGCCCATTCCGCATCAGGCAAGGCGGTTCGCCCGGGCCCTGGCTGGAAACGGACAAGCGGCCCCGGCCGTCAGGCCTGGCAGTTCTCGCTCGCTCTCCTGCTTGTCACCGCCCGCGCCTTTTCCCTTCCCTCGCTCTTCGTCCAGCTCGCTGTCTCTGGTCTCGCTGGTCTCTCGCTGGCTGCTCCCGCCCCAAGAAGAACTTCTTCCCACATCTTCCCTCCCTCCCCCCCCCCCAGCAGCCCAGAAAAAGAGAAGAGCCCGCGCCTTTCCTCTTTCTCCTGCGCGACGCTTGAATGGCCCGTCCGTTCCTCTAGCCTTCTCGCTCGTCTTCCTCTTCCTCTTCTCTCTCACCCTCCCACACAACCCCCCGCCCCTTCCTCGCATCTTCATCCTCCTCTTTTCTCTTCTTTCTCCATCTCGCTGTCGTCCTGTGCATCCTGCTGGTCCGTCTCGCGTTGTGCGTCTCGACCTCGTCAGTGCGCTGAATGTCGTCGCTGGCCTAAAGGTAGCGGTCTCTCTCGATTCCTCGACGCTCTCGCCTCCTTGCTACAGCGTCGCACGCGTGGAGGCCCTCGACGATCCACGACTTTCACGATACCGTTCCTGCGACTGCCTCCCATACGATCCAGCTGGTCATCCTATTGATGCTTACGACGGTTACGAACGCTACACACACGCGGCTCCTCTCCTTCCCGCTCCTCCCGGTCTGCGTACGTCGACAGGTCTTGCCGTCCACAGTCCGACGATAGGGTATCCCCGTTGCGCTTGGAGATCGCACGACCGTCGACACCCTGTAGGCAGAGCATTCTGGACGGTCGCGCCGCCACAGGGTCATCGGTCGAACGAGGATCTGAAGGCTGAAAGGGCTGTTTTGGCGGTTGAGGACACGTCTCACTAGAGAGCATCCTCGACGGCTGAGATGCGCCGTGACCGCTGGCGTCTCTATCACTAGGTGTTGAGGACGAACGACAATCACGCCTTGTGAGGGGGTACGCTGTCAGATTATGACAGATACCTCCTCCGTCGTCGCAACCACGCATTCCACCACGGACCCGTACCCGGTCGCCGGCCCTCTGAACTCTCCCGTCCCGAACGGTGCCGTCTCTGACTCCGTGCCCCCCGGGGAAGATGAACCGTACACTATCAAGTGCATCTGTGCCTTCCAAGATGACGATGGTAATACGGTCTTCTGTGAGCGGTGCGAGACGTGGCAGCACATCGAGTGCTACTACCACGGTCGGGACGTGCCCGAGGTCCATAACTGCGTGGACTGTGAGCCGCGGCCTATCGATGCCAAACGTGCCACAGAACGCCAGAGGCGCCTCCGAGAGCAGAGCGAGGCTGGCGACCGCAAATCCAAACGATCGGGCCCCAAGAGCCACAAGAAGAAATCCAAGGACCCGGAACACGTAAATGGCTTCCATCAGCGGAGCGAGTCGGGTGTTCGAGATCAGCCGCCCACCAAAAAAACCAAGACCAGTCACCGACCCTCTGTCTCGGTCAGCTCGCTGCCAGGAACGGCCGTCCTGCAGCCAGATTCTCGCAAGCGCTCAGGATCGATGGCGGCGATGAGTCCAACCAAGGCGCCCGGTCCGTCAATTCCTCTGTACTCAAACGAATTTCTCCATCTCTACCAACGCGACCAGGAGCCCATCCATATGGAAGGCAATCTCTTTGTCAACCTCACGCTCGCAGCCGATCTGGCCTCGTGGGTCAAGGACCCATCTGCCCTCTCGCGGGTGGTCAATGGACGCTCCCCGCAGGACATCTTCACCCGGTCGGATGCATCGCTCGAGTCTTCCCGGTGGCCTCATCTGTCAAAGGAGTCGATCACGGACACCAATTTCGAACAAGATGGGCTCCACCCGACCTGGAGGGTGCTGAAAACTGACAATGAGGTTCGCAAGGACGAGATCGTGGGCGAGGTGCGCGGTAAGATCGGTCTCCTCCGCGACTACTGTCTGGACCCCAGCAACCGATGGCAGGAACTGCGCCATCCGGAACCCTTTGTCTTCTTCCATCCTCAACTCCCCATCTACATTGACAGCCGAGAAGAAGGGACCATGCTCCGGTACATCCGTCGATCGTGCCGCCCGAATGTAACCATGAAGACGTTCATCACCAACGAGGTTGAATATCGGTTCTGCTTCGTTGCTAACCAAGATATCCCGCCGCAATCCGAGATCACCGCGATGTGGTACCTAGATCCTCAGCTGTTTGAATCGACCAACGGTCTGGTGAAGCAGGAGTCGAATGACGGTCGCCAGGAAGCAGCCGCCATCTGCATCAGCAATGTGCTAGCTCATTTTGGTGGCTGCGCGTGCGACTCCTCTTCTCAGCCGTGTCTACTGTCCAACGTCGATCTCCGCCGTTATCCCAAGGCGATTGACTCCAGCGGGAAACAGGCGAACGGCAGACGCAAGAAGGCCAAGAGCAAACCGCACTTGTCACCTGCCGCCACTGGACGAGCTGACAGTGAGGGTGTCAAGAATCAGGACGACGATGATATGGCTGACGGGCGATCCACTTCAGGGTCGACGCGTGGTCATGCTCGAAGCCGTGACGAGACCCCTACGATGCAGTCACCAAATGACCTGGGTGACACAGAACTCTCCGCCCGCGATAAGCGGAAGATCGCCGCTGTCGAGAAGAAGTTCGAGCAGCTCGAGCACGATCAGCACACGCATCAACGGAAGAAAAAGCGTAGTACACACTCAGCTCAAACGACCCCAACTGTCGCCAGTTCAAAACAGCACGGATATTTCCCTAGCACGACCGGCCGTCAGTCTCGCTCTCCTCCTTTTCACTTATCACCGGGAGCCTCTTCTGTCGGGCGCATAGGCTCGCCGAGGAAAAGCTCCGGCTCTAATACTCCCACACGATCACCTCTCGCCCCTCGCCAATATGTCGACTCTGCTATGCAGACCGATCCCGACGAGAATGATGTGCGGTTTGTTCCCCCAGTATCGACGCCACGTCGACACAGCTTCGTTCCTCTTACCCAGCGGCTGCTGAAGCGATGCCATCAAGATCGCGTCAAGCTGGAAGAGTTGGGCAAGCAGCGGGATATCACCACAGTCCCAACGACGGGCACGCATTATCCTAGCTCTCCCTCTGTGAGCGTTGATGATACTGCTTCTAAGGCGCACAGTGAAAAAGACGATGTGGAGATGAGGGATGCTGACACGGCGATGACTCCGCCGCCCAAGCCTCGCACGTCGGAGGCTGGAGATGGCGTCTCGAGGGCAGAGTCGAGTTCGGTCTCTCCCAGCGTCTCGGAGGAAACCCCGAAACCGCCTCAAACCCCGTGGCCTTCAACTGCTGCGCACAACTCACCTATCCTGACCAACGGCGCTCGTTCCGCTCTCCGCGTGCAGCTCCCTCCCACCAATCTCCCTGCTGCACCCTTTGTGAACACTCCCGGGTCGGCTGTCTCGTCTGTTCTTCCATCACCTTCGGGCTTGGACTCGGCCCTGTCGCAAGCTGGTTTGCATACTCCGGGATCCGGTGTCACTGCTCCTAGTCCTGTAAAGAAGAAGCTAAGTCTAGGCGACTATCTCAGTCGGAGAGGGATCACGACGCCTACTACTGAGAAGAGCCAGACGACTGCAATGCTGCCGCCACAGAAATCGCCTTCTTCACAGGCGCCAGCTGGTAGTAGTCCACCTCTGTCGACGGAAGGGGCCCAGACACACCCCGAACCGGCGTTAAAAACTGATACCCCTCGCCGCGAGAGTCCGGGCCCGCTTGATGTGCCCATGAAAGATGTCCCCAAACCGCCTCCATCCCCTCCTTACGTCTCCTCCGTTCCTCCTACATTACCGACCCAACCGAGTGTTTCGCCGTCGTGATGCTTTCTTGCGGTCCATGTTTCATGGTTTCATGAGATCATCCGTCTATCGATTTCCTTCGAAAACAAAAGATTTGATTATGTATCGTCTGTTGTATGTGCTTCACTGGGAACGGCGTTTCACCTCAGCAAAGGGTTTCTTCGAGTGGGAAAAAGGCGTAATGTGTGTGGTTTATGGGTTACGGAGATTCAGGTCTGGATCCTTGAAAGGAACTTTGTTTTTTTTGGGGGGGGGGGGGGGGGGGGGGGGGGGGGGTGGATACTGATGAGCAACATTTTCTCCTTTTCTTCGAGCCTTGTCTTCTTTCAAATATTGCGTCTTCCGGCGCCCCATGTGTACTTTCGGGTGGTGCAGTGGCTGGTTGAGTCGCAGCCCTCACTTTGTGGAATGATTCTATTCAGTTTCAAAATCTTTATACTATCGTCTTCCTTTCGAACATAATCGGCTTGCGACATAATGCCATGGATGTCCTTGATGGTTATTTAATGGATGGGCTATAGCTACACTTCTCTTCTGTTGTCACACTCTTGTGCTGTACATACGCCAGTCTTGCCAGTCTTTGGCGACGGCATGCTTCCAAGAATTATGATATTATCAGTTTAACGAAATACATAATAGCAGACATGTCACGCGGATTCTGACGAGGTTTCGATGGCTCCTACAGTTAATAGATAGGTAGCAGGTACTGGCCAGGTAAATCATCGCCAACATCTAATACGCTCGACAAAGATCGCTCAACCGATTATCAATGCACGGCAGCCAAACACTGACCGATAATGCAAGATCCATATGCTGTTATGTGCGGGTATCTATTTCCTTCGAGAAAAATCCTCGTTCTTAACTTCCATGTTTTCTCTTTGCACCCTCCTAACCTAATTACTCTCATCTACGTAAATCGTTATCAGACTATAAACCAACCCACCAATCGCTCCATCTTTTTCTTTTACCCGTCCTCTTCCGCTCGTCAGCGCTAGGAGGGACTATGTATGACCTTTCCCATCACATGCTGTGGAAAAAGATATTGCCGCATGCTCAATTTATTTTCTCCGATTGACAGTGTCGTCATTCGTTATTTCATGCATGTTAGACATATCGGTATCACTCAGACTGGAGAAATGAAGTTCGATTTAGTATCGGGATTAGAATTGGGAATTACGACTCCATTAATTAGATGAGATTATTATATACCTATTATATTGCATATATATAATGTCTGAATAATTATATACGTAGCTCCTGATTATTCAAGTGTCGCTGCTCGCAGGAATTCTGACTCGAGCTCGGCTAGTATCTTGTTGGCACCACATATCAACTTATGACAGGAACCTTTGTTCTTTATTGCTGTCCCGGCTAATATGGCAATATTCGGATTTTGCCCTCAAAGAAGGTAGATCGGGAGCATCCCAGCTCTCGGTCGGTAAAGTGAGTCGGGATTGAAGATGTAGTTTTTACAGTAGCAACAAACCCGACTATCGTATGATGAGGTGATGGCTGCGTCACGGATCGATGAGCATACGGTCTGTTCTGTGACTGTTGCATATTGTGATTTTCATGCTGAAAATATGATAGGATAGGAGTTTTGGTCCCCTTGCTCAAGAGGTAAACGGGCGTTTTGTTGTATGATCTCCTGAGGTGTAGGATCTATAAATGGGCTACTTACAGCGATCTGAGTATGATAAAGTTCTTTGACTAAGTTTGATATTATTTTCGGCTGACTTCTATTTTTCAGCTCTCGATCCCGAATTTTGTGATACTTCATCGAAAACGGGGACGATATCCATTCCATTTCATTTTCTTCTATACTACCTACTTACCTACCTACCTACCGAAACTGACCAACTCCTTCCTACCCGCATATCGCAATGGTATACAACATCACGGAAAAGGAAACCCAACCCACGGTCTGGAACCACCTCAACGGCTCCCCTGACGAGATCCTTGACCGATACTGCGTCTCGGAACTATGTAAAGGATGGCCCGTCTATCGGGATGCGTCGGAGTGGAAGAATTTCCGCGATTTATTCGCTGATAAGGGAGCGTTTATTTTTACGAGTACGTTGCATGTTCTACGTCTACGTCTGTTTCTATGTCTCCATCTTTAGGATAAAATAACGTATACGTATACGTATATATATACGTATGTATCTGAATGAAGTACTTACTAACTAACTCCATCAGCATGGAGTGGCGGACTCCTCATCGACGACTTCATCGATGTATCCAAAAAAGGCCGCGCGGCAGGCGATTTCATCATGCATCGTGAGAACGGCACCCTCGTGGACTTGAACCCAGTCACAAACCGTGCTGTCGGAAAGATGAAAGTCACCATCACACAACGGTTCACAGTTCCGGACCATTCCTCACCCTCTCCCTCCTCCAACAATACAATAACTTTCGACGTCGAATGTGACTGCCGCTTCATATTCTTCTGCAAAAAAACCATCTCTGGCTCTGCGCCCGATCATAGCACCGAATGGAAGATCCAATATAATAAGAACTTTTACGAAAAAGATCGTCTCGTCCCTGTATCTCGGGACGGAAAAGCAAGTACTGTCCTGCCGCAGTTCAGTGAAGAGGAGCTGGAAAAGTTTCCTGAGGGGTATAGGTATTTGGGCCTTGCGCAGGAGAAGTTTGGGGGACATGAGGTTTTGAAGGATTTGCCGACTATGAGGGATGATGAGGCGTTTAGGGGGTTGACGAGGGCGATGGATATGTGGTTGCGGGCGGAAAAGGTGGGGAGTGTTTTGGGGGTGTCGGAGGGGGCTGGGGTGGAATTTTGAGAGTTTTTTTTTTTTCTTTCTGTCTCTTGGATTTTCCAAATCCTTGGGAAGGATGATGATGATGATGATGAGGTGCTGTGTTACGATGTTTTGCGAGATGATGATAGCTGTATTAGTGAACAGTTGGTTTATTAGCTTGGCAGTACCAGTAGGCTCGAGTTATTTTTATCAAAACTCTCGTTTCCTTGTAAGATCTATCTTCGTAACTGTGGAACATCCTCACAGAGAGAAAAGCTATAGCTGCGTGTGAGAATAGATATATGAAGTTGTATACATGGATGATGGAACTAGCTTGGATTCGTACTGGCCGCCATCGCGTCACGTGACATCCCCGGGACATTCAACATCTCAGCTTCATTCACGACTGCTATTGAGCTGATCCGCCCAGCTCTCGATCCACACCGCTCCAGCACAGTTTGCCTTCAGCTTGTCGAGAGCTGCACGGCCTCCCAAGTGTTTCACACCGTTGCCACGAGAAACGATCGCACTCATGGCTACTGTCGACCCTGCGCTGCAGGATCCCCTTCTCGCGCTCCGCCGGGCCATCGCAGCATCCAGCCTACCGACTCCGACGACCTCTGCGGATCTCTCTGCTGAGAATGCAACCGAGGACCTGGCGCAGGCGACTCATCTCTACTTCGCCCAGCCCATACCGCAGTCGCTTCCGCTGTCGACGCCGACGCGCTTCGTTTCCGCGAACGCCAACAAGGCTGTCGACCTGCGCAGCATCTTCTTTGCCTGGTTGAAGAAAGATGTCGCCATTCCCGAGTACATCGCGTCGGCGCAAGAGTTGAACGACGCGCTGAAGAAAAAGGAAGGGGCAGAAGAGGAGCAAGTTCAGAATCTGGTCTTCGTCGAGCGGTTGGATCTCATCACTTGGCTCGAAGGTGCCTCTGATGAGAGCGAGTATATCAAGCCTCTTGAGGGCGTTGCGGCGGCCGCTGCGCAGGGAGCAGATGCATCGGCCAATGTCGCATCAGGCGCGGCTGGTGGTGTACCGACTGTTCCCAGTGGAGGTGCCGGAGGCGCGGTGCCTGCTACGGGGCCGCAGACAGGGAAGTTGACAAAGATCATTGATCCGCGGTTGCAGGAGATCTATAATGGGGAGAGGAAGATGGGTGATCGGAACACGGTGTTACGAGGGATCAAGTCAACGGTACGTGGTATCTAGGTGATGCTGGAAAGCCAATGACGAGATAAAAACTAACAATGGGATGAATTAAAGGACTTTTCGCATGTTCGAAAGGTAGCAGAATCATTCCTCGGCCGCAACCGTTCGAGAAGCCAATATCCTCCTGGCGTCAAGCCTGGTACAAAGGCGCCTATTCCCGCGCCATCTGCAGGACTTCCCCTTACAAAGAAGCCCGGTCTGCCTGGACCTTCTTCTTCGCGCCGTCCCGACCCGATCATTCTCCTCTCGCCTTCTGCCTCCTCCCTCATCCGCATGTCAAACATCAAATCCTTCCTCCAGGACGGTGTGTTCATACCACCAGACCACCCATCCGTGGCCACGTCTACTCCCTCGAACATCCTTCACATCACCCGTCCACTGCGCATTCTATCAGACCCGAACCCCGCGGCCGCTGGACCGATCGGTTCGAACACCGGAGCAAAGAAGCCCACGCGTTTCATTCTGGTGGACAGCACGTCCAACTTCAAGCCGGACTATTGGCAACGTCTTGTCGCTGTCTTCACGACCGGCCAGACATGGCAGTTCAAGTCATACAAGTGGTCTTCGCCTCCTGAGCTGTTCAAGCACGCGACGGGTATCTACGTCGGCTGGAGAGGAGAAGACGTGCCCCGCGAAGTGAAGGGATGGGGTCGCGGCGTCAAGAGCTTCGCTGTGGAGCGATGGGACGAAAAGGGCGGAGTCCACGGAACTGGCCGTTGGAGAGACCGGGAAATCGTAGAAGGTGTATGGACAGCGATCGAAGAAGGCATGCGAGCGAGAGGATGGGGAACAACGAAATGATCAGAAGCAACTTGTCCTGTTATATCTTTCCTCCGATCGATCCACGCGTACGAGTTTCCCCTCACGGCCTGTTTTCCCTTCTTTTTTCTACTAGTTCCTGGAGGATCGGGGATATGACTCTCGAACACATACATACATACATATACCTCTTTTCCCCTCCCTAATCCTTCTTCTACCCCACCATCCTTTTTCATTTCCCACCGAAACAAGAAGGAGGAGAAAGATAAAATCGGTTCATATTCAATCATCATCAGCTGGCGTTGTTGGGAAACGGTGCAAAAAATTCTTACCATGGAGTTCGCCCTTTTCTTTTTCTTTTGTTTTTTTCCCCCTTTTCATTCCTATTATTACTTATGTACTTCTGTATAGATAGAGAGAGAAGAACAAACATTTTCCCTACTATTCTCTTGATCGCATTCCATTACTCTTTTTTTCTCGCTTGGTTACTTTCATAGAACGCAGATGTTGATATGTACGTAGGTAGGTAAGGGAAGTAGAATAGCAGTTATAACACAAGCGAGCGAGTAATTCTGAAAATATTTGTCAAAGTACTGTAGTTAGTATACTGTACTAGCTGGACTCTGATTCGTTAGGGTCCATATGAGATTGGGTTTGTTTTAACTACCATATATATAGCTAAGACTGACGTGTAGTGTAGGGCTGAATGAAGATCATGATGGATGGAACCGAACCAAACCGGCTAGCTAACTTAGCTCTTTTGGTTAGTATCTATAACCTGTTTTCTGGGGTCTGGGTTTCGGTGGCGAAATTTTTTTTTTTTTTTCCTAAGGCGAGCTTTGATCTTATGTATTAATGCGAACTAATTACTTGTGTTAATCCCATTATGATCATTATCGAGGAGCTTATGTTGGGAATGACCATCGCGTTGTGATATAACAGTATTACCCATAGGATCGAATATGGATGGATATACATACATCGAACTGAGTTCTACGGCGTACTAAATGTTACTCGTACCGGAGTATTGAGGACCAAGCGTTATATTCATATAAGTGCAGTCGTCGAAAAGGACAGATGAGTTCGGTTTAGAAAAAAAAAAGAAAAAGTTACAAAGACATAGACACAGATAATCGTACTCGCTGTCAACCCAATGCAATGTGTGTAAACGTAGGGTTCTCGCAATACAGATCGGGAATCAGTGATGCTAAGCATATATGAATGGAACAGAACAAAGGGAAAAAGAAAAAAACAGAAGAAATTTATGCCGCGGAAATTTCAAGAAATGCAAACTCCTTCCCAATGCTTGTAAAGATATCCGCGGCTAATTCTATCCCCTTCCTGAATAAAACATGACGTGTTCTCTTTCTTAGTTCAAACCATGCCTATCGTATGATTCGTAGGGGATAAGGAAATTCGTAGCGTCCCTCGTCTCCGGGCGGGCTGAATCCGTGGTGACAAGATTAAACTCATAGTGATGCGTAATAAAAAGGAAGAGAGACAACAATCATTAGAAAGGAATGAGCGGTGCAAAATAGCAGAACCGGCACGGTAGGGGGTAACTGAGTGGAGTTAAGAGGCACATCGCTGTCTTGAGAAGCCGCCAAGTTTCATCCAATCGATAAGAACCTAGACAGCTTCTCATTTTGCCCCCCTGGAAACGTTCGCCGAGAATAGCCCGCCGAAGTGTGAATAGTTGGCGATCCTACTATAAGTCGCCACAGCAGGATAAACAGATCTAGAACTTCGTATTGAACAAGGATCTCGGCCGGCAGGAAAGAACTCAGGCGAATTCACGCGTATCAAGGCATATGCTGCTGAGAACAAACTGTCTCATGGATGACCCGAATGGTGGACCGTGTACCCGTGCGGATTTCCCTACGAGGGCTTGACCGAACGACTCATGGACCTCTCCGGGATTGGAGCAGGAGTAGGCGAATAAGACCGACCGTTTCCGCCGATATCCAAATCATGTTCCTGCAAAACAACGGCGTACTTCGGGTCACGAAGGAACTTCGGCACCGAGTCCTGTCAAAAAGGGAGAAATTAGTTGAAGTCCGCTGATGAGGAACAAACAGGTACTTACACTCGACATCAGTTTGAACACAGAGGTCTGTGCAAGCTCGAACAGATGCACGACTTCCTGCAAGCTGTTCAACATAGACTCGTCATCACCAACAGCCTTGGTCATCCGGCTGGCGAGGCTATTCCTCAGAGCATGTTCAATGTTCAGCTCGCAAGGCGAACCGGGTGCCAAGAAAGCATTGTAAAGTCCTGATAATCGTTAGCAGGGGGAGATTTCTTAGATAGAAAGCAAAACAGGGTTAACTCACCATACGCAGATGCAAGTGTCTCTCGAACCGCATCGATGTTGTTGAACGCACCCGCTTTCTCTGCTCTGTGGTAGTTTGCGGTGAATTCCGAGACATCAACGTAGAAAGACAGATTCTCCTCGCACAGCGAGTACCGGAGGAATTCACGGAAGAGCAATCTTAAAGCTGGGTCCTGCAAGATATGGTTCAAGCGCGCATTGTTGGAGTCCCGAGGCGCATTTCTGCTTTCAAAGTTGGCAGGTGGCTTGTCCCGAGCAATCCATCCACAGACACGCTGGCCACGCTCGGAAACACCGTAGATCGCGTACTTTGTGGGCTGGAAAACTGAAGACACGGGGTCCTGAAGAACGTAATTCTTATCCTCCTGATATGGAAGCATCAATCCATATTTGACAAAGAGCTCAGCAATGGAGCATGCCTCTCGTCGGTCGATGGTAGTAGAGCAGTCCATAAGCCAATCGATCGCCGCTTTTCCTGTGAAGGTGTTCTGGTAGATCTTGTCGCCAACTCTTCTTTCCTTTGCCATCTTAACACCGACAAGTCCGTTGGCATACTCGGTGACAGAATCCGAATCTGAGGAGGAAGTACTGTTCTTGATGTTGGGACCATCCTGACCCATAAAGCGGCGGAATATGACTTCAATCGTACCTCTATCCGAAGAGATCTTATCGCTTTCCGTATCACGCTCCAGAGTAACCAGTTGCATCGTGTTGCGTGGGGACTCAAGGACGTCGATCACGTGCCTTGCCGTGATACCATTTCGCTGGCAGAAGCGCTGCAGGATGTTGATCCCCTTTGGCGTGAGCTGGAAGAGAGCCCCCTTCATAGGGAAATACGAGATGTTGCGTCCATCGACCGGTTCGATAAAACGGGCATCAACGAATCTCTGGCACACAGAACGAGCCATCTCCTTGGCCATAGAAAAAGTTGTTGTGGTCGTTGTGGTAACGATCCGTGAGGGGTCCTTGGGATCAGGCATCCGGTTTGATTGCGAGAATTTGAGTGACCCCAGATTATTAATGGCCTCCTCAGAGGTAAATGAGTGATCAAACTTGGTGAATCGCACACGGTGCGAATCCAGTTTCAAGCTGACCATCAAGGTCGAGAACAGGTCCTTAAAATCCTGTCGACAAGTCAGTATCAATCAATGCGAAATGGGAGACTGGCAATTATGCAAAGCAGCAGCGGGAGATCATTACCTTCGTGTACGGCCGCTCCTCCTCCGTCATCCTCAACAACCTGGACGATGTCTGATGCATCTTGTTTGACGGTCTCCCCGGCGGGGTCTCTACTTGGGACGGAGGTAATTGTTCGGAATTCCGAGCGATGCGATTGAGCGTGCCCCGGCGCCGTAAAGCTGGGTTTGAGGTCGCTTCTAGAGCGAGAGATGGCGATGATGAACGAGATGCGACCTCCGGGACGTCGGTGCGCGTGGACTGCTCGGAGCGACGAGGCTGGTCTGTCTCGGGTCTGTCGCTATGGAACAATTGCTCGTTGCTGCTGGATCTGCTGCCCGACAGAGATGGGCTGAGAGCAGGCGATCCGCTGGACGCGTGGGATTGCTTGTAGCTATGTCTCGACAGGCTCCCAGAGGACGTCGGAGAGCGCAGAGAAGAACCGGAGTTGAGACCGATGGAAGCAAGAGTCGCTATCGTTTTCTCACGCGCAAGAACCGCGAAGGATCGTCGACTACCCTTCGAGATCGAGCCTGTCGCAGAAGGCGGCAGAGTGGTTGATGTTGATTTGGAGAAGTCTGGACCAAGATCTACAGGGGGTAAAGTAATTTGAGATGGTACAGCTGAGGATGATTCGGGGGATATTGTTGTCATTGAACCCGAATCAGGTGCAGAGGGACCAGCGGCTGCAGTTGTGGGAGCGGGAGAAATAACACCAGGAACGGCCGCAGTGGAGGAGGCTGTATCCGTCATGTAGTTAGTTAGTTGCAGGGCAAATTATCAGACTGGGCGTCCTTGTACTGTTGGGAATCTCCGTACACGGGTCCCAGGCTAGAGGATAGTAATTGCTAGGGTCTGCCTGTCATCGACGGCCCACCCAGAAGCACGAGTCAGACCGGGGTCGCATGCAAGAGACAACGTGGGACGCCGTCTTTTCTGCTAGACCTTTTCCGCCTTGAATTCCCGTGGGCCTTTTGGTGGCTGCGGTGGTGCTCTCTTTGGAATTTGGCACCGCTGGCCAATGGGGGTCGGCGTCTCCGTGACAAAACGTCGGGGGGCCGAAGATCTCTAGGGGCGATCCAAGAGACCGCGCGAACAAGGAGTCCTAACACGCCGGAGACAGAGGCCAGCGGCTTAGGGCCGATGAGGGCGCCGGAGAAAGAGTAAGCGACTGAAGATTTGGGCGGAAGTACAGGCTTGGCTCCCTTTCTAGGTATCGCGAGGTGGATCGCTTGAAACCGAAATCGTCGGATGATCAGCAGAATTGGGCCGCACAAGGTTTGACCAGATAGCAAAGAAGTCCTGGCGATCCAGGGTACGCAGGCGTGCGATGAGATAATAATCGCAGCAAGACTGACGACGGGGGATGACAATGATGCGGAATCTCGGGAAAATCAGATCCTGATACTACCATAGATAGACCGGCTCGCACCGGAATGAGAGGTAAATACCTCTTGCTGACCAGCCTGCCTTTCAGGTAATAATGGATAGATAGACCGCGGCTCTTTGATGCACAGCGGGAATGCTGACTGGCGTCCCTTTTTTTTTTTCCCCCTCTGAACCCGGGCGAAACGTGGTCGCGGAGGACACAGTGGGTTCGGGTTGTGGTTCAGGCCTAGGGCCGGCAGTTGGGCCGCCCAGAGAGGGGGGGCGAGAACGAGGAATCTGGACAGCGAAGAACCGCTTCCCAGGCTAGAATCACCGTCACCGCCAGAACGAAGCACAGATCGTCCAGGTCGAGTCGAGTCTCGTTCACCGCAACCAGCAGAATGATTCAGTGGTGATGTTGGGGGCAGGGGAGGAGCGGTCTTTGCAGCCCCGGCTCTCACGTACAGAGAGAGCTATCTACCTACCCAGGACTCCGGATCTTGAGGGGGATGAGCAATGATCGTCCGGGCGACGACAGCAACGCACGTGGGATCCTGGCCAGGAGATTGAGAGCTCGGATGGCGCGGCAAGACAGAGATTAGAGTAGTTAAGCTGCTGTGGGACTGCCTGGGGCGATCTAGCGGGCAATCAAAGCTCCCAGTTGCCAACCGTAAATAATAATGATAATAATAATCATGCAGGACCACGAAGATAAGCCACGGAGCCGTCAGGGTGAGATGGAAATTGGAACAGACAAAACCAAGAACGGTTCCCAGGAGGTGGATGAATTGAGGATCGCAAACGGCAAAAACCACTGGAAAGATTGCTGGGACGGAACGGCCTAGCGGTGGATCCGGCGGAAGATGGCGACAGCTTGACTGACTCGTGGTTTGATATCGTGCTGTGAGCCTTAGCCTGGATAGTAGAATAATGCCGCGACGACCTTCACTAGCCCCCGATCCACGTTATTAAATCCCGGCTCCACGTGCGCCCACGTGGTGAGTCTTAGCTGCTGGATGCTTTTTTTCTGGCTGTTTGGCTGTTCCGGCCCCTTTTTCTGGGCGTCTCTGCCAATAACGAGCACGCCAGTTTCGACTAGATATGTCTCTGATCTCGGAGAATTATTATTATTCTTATTGTCCTCTGCTCTCGACAAACTTAGATCGAGTTGAGAAGGCTGCTTTGCTTGATGACCGTCCTCACAACTAATTGTGCGAGCCGTTGTGCTGCGCGAGGTGGGGGATCATCAGCAGTGGAGTATAGTCGAGTTGAAAGCCGTCTGACGCTCAGCCTCAGCACGGTCTCCTGTTTAGGCTGAATCAGGAGAGGATGAAATCGCGCGGCTGAGAGAGGCAGGACGTGTTTATTTTTCTCAGATCTGGTACGATGGGGGGAGCGAGAGGTTGCCAAGCTTATCGCGGTGCTCCAGGGTCTTTGGGACGATAGTTAGCCTCGATGACTCTAGAAAGTAGAAGGCTAGAAGCAGCAGAACCGAGGTTATCCCTGCCGGCACCGAGAAGTGGATAATCATAGGATGATGATGATGATGATGATGATGGAGATTCTGTTGTTAGACTTCAATGATCGTCAAAAACTCCGACAGTGACGAAGAATCAGGCGGTGAGAGCGGGCCAATCACCGCCCCAGGCAGTTGGGATGTCTATCTAGCAAAGAGAATGATAGAAGATTCACTCGCAGTGATGGTCTCTCCATGTGCCATAATTGCAAACTGAACCAATAATGCTTGCATAGATGCTGTGATGCTGTGAGACAATGAGGCAAGAAAACGGTCAATCGGCTGGGATCTGCACCAGAGCTGGCTGCACATCCCCCGCTGTTTGATGCAGGCAGCTTACCGTTCAGACAGTCATCATCACAATTCCTTTCCTTTTTTTGCATAGTGGGTGATAATCACACTGCATCCACTATGATTATGATTATTATTATGATCCCTGTCGCCATGAGCTTAAGCCACATGGCGCTCATGCTCTGTGCTATGTAGCACCTGGTGGTTTAGTATTTTTATTTTTCAAATATGCTTTTGCCGGGAGATAACTAGTGGTAGTTAGTAGTACAGTACCAGACTAGCAGGGCCCTCGCTCGTCACATCGGGGAGAACTAACCATCTAGTCTAGCTGGGATTGTTTGAGATCGATGTGAAAGATTCAAAGTGAAGGAGTTGACCTGTCATACAGACCCCAAGGGCCAATAATTTGTACAGTTGAAAAGATAACAACAACAGTAATCATATTAATCTTGTCTGGTTCCCTTGGCCGTGTCCCGTGACTTCTGCAAAGAGCTTCATCCTCGTCTGCCCGCAACAACCCACGTCCATCGGAGAACCTCGACTTCCATCTACGTTGAGTCTGGCTCAACAGTCTAGTCAACGTCAAAACGCATCGAAACTGACGAGCGAATCATGCAGGTTTACCCGACTGATTAGCCTGTTCTCCTGCCAAGCTTCTAGAAGGCTTGACTTGACGCTTCGTATCATCATTACTCTTACTCGTCTCATCCTCTGAAACGCAACAACAGCAACTGCGGGCCCATCATCAAAAGAAAAAAGTCGGATCTCGAGCCTCAGTAATATGGACTACTCTCCCAGGCCATTTTGACCGTCACCGCAATTCCCGTCCTTGGCCGCAATAGCTGCCATTCTCAGATAACTATCTTGAGACCTGACAGGTATTGAGTACTATCAAGAACAGAGCTTGGCTGTCGAGAGGCTCGCTTACTGAAACAACTAATATAGGGAGCACTGCTGCATACAGAACTGTTTAACCATGTGAGCTTGCCGAGCGTACCTGGTTACCTGGTACGAGTGACACTTTCTTCATTATCGGCGGTTTTCGGGCCTCGCTACAAGATCCCTAACGGGACATTGCCGATTGACACGCCAAGAGTTGCCACCATATTGCGGAGGTTATTACATACTCAAATGCATGTTATTACTTAATGATCCAACTACTGATTAGGTCAAGCTTTCAGCATCAACTAACTATTCATACTTGAGCCGTTTCTGACCCTCAGATCGCCTCTATATATCTCCACAATAATTCAGACGGGCGACAGAAAGAACATACGTGTCGAATCCATACCTTTCACCACGGCGCGCGTTGCCCTTAGCAGGACACCTCGATGTGGTTAGTCGCTTCGATATATGTGTAGCAATCGGGAATGATGCTTTATGCGTCTGTGCAGTACAGGTTACAAGCCATCAGTATTACACAGGTTCATTATTATTGGTAGGGGTGCACGCCCGGCCTGAAACAACCTCGGCCTTCAACTACGGAGTACTCCGTACCTCAGGCGCCCAATTCTCCCGTTTCCAAGCTCGAAGGGCGCTTAATGACAGTCGATGAGACATCCCCTGGCAACCTTGGAAGTTCATGATCCACAGCTTCTAGAAGCGGCAGAACGTTCGGCAAACTCCGTAACTTCTCGTATAGTTACGTGGAACCCGTCAAATAATACTCCGGTCTCGGGCGAGGCGAAAAAAGCGAGGGCATTGCTCCGTGCTGGTACATATCGCCACCATGGAAATGGGAGATAATGAGGGGCCACGGAAAAAGAAAAAGGTTCGTACCCCCATAATTCGCACTAGTGGGATGATGGGACGGGACCCCGAGCCGCTAGAAGAACCGTAGAAGGTGGAAGATGGATTTCTCTGGCCTTGGGAACGGGCCAGGCGTGACAGGGCGGCAGCGACATTCATCTGCTGTTTTTTCACTGTGGTATATTGGAAATTCCTGCTTCCCGGGTCTGGTTACCGATTACGACAAACGCCATAAGTTGCAGATGCAACGAAATACGGAATGCGCCTACAAACTGAATCCACCTCAAAGCAGTGTTCATCTGGTTAGGACGCCCGCAAAGCGACAAATCTGTTTCAGTTCGACGACGTTCAGCTTCAACTAGCATCATAACATGATTACCGTGTGTGAGACAGTAGTAAGCTACCATACAGGCGCATCTTTAGGTATGGAGGATAGCGTCAGGGACACGTGTCATGGACAAGATCGAGTTCCTTAATCCAAGGTCGAAGCTAAAGCGTCCGGTTTTATTTGACCTGAGAAAGCACAGGCAAATGGTGCGGAACAGGGATCAATAATCATATTGAACCATAAGATGATCGGTGAAGGGATTTCCCTTGCAGCGTGGATCATAGCCAACGATCCTTCACCTGCAATGTTGGACTAGCAGTAACGGTCAACGGCGTGTCTCAACGGCTTTTTATGAGAAGTTAACGGTTCTATATGCGCCGTTAACTGTTCATAAAAAGCCTTGTGAACCTCGATGAGATGTTCGGAAACAATTAGCGACGAGGTGGTGCGACTGCGCCTATGGAGCATATCTTCAACTAAATGCTGCTCGCAGCTTTCCTCTCGAGAGCACAGGCGATCGGATTGTCGCTCTCTTTCGAGGTTTTGCTGAAACAGCTCCCCGACGACAAAGGGGTCCTTTGTTCATGCACTGCAATGGACATATCTCTTTGATCTTCAGCTGGTCGAGATCCTCTTCCATCCGAGCTTGCTTTTTGAGCGTCATCTCTGCCAAGGGTGAAGTGAGCCTGCGGAGAAGTATTGTCACAACGGAATCGATGCCAAAGACAAGCGTTATCTCTGCATCTTCCTCGACGATTAGTAGCGTACCAGCGTAAAGGTCCGTCCGTACTCAATAATCATCTCATCTCATCGTCTCGCTTTTTCTTACTTACACGCGAGGTAGGTGAATGATCGTCGCAACGAGTGCGGATCCAGTGTTTCCAGAAGAAGTAACACACCCGGCTGACCTGCTGGTTATGGTAAAGCGAGTCTCTGTTTCAGAGAGGGCATAGATAGTGGTCAGTTGACTTTGTGTTCCATCGTTCTAACCTGTGCTAGTTACTAGTAAATACTAAGAGCATGCTAGCCAGCCTGGCCTAAGGCCGATGGCGCGTGCTGGTTCTCCAGATCATCTCTCGGAGTCTCGGTAGTCGGTACTGGATGCGAAACGGCTGAATATTCCGCACTGCTGAGGTGATAACGCTGCTTCAACACGCTTTAACGTACTATGGAGGTCATCAATTAACCTCCGAGTTCCTTCCAGATCTATCACATCGTGTTGGATTCGACAAGCTCACTACTGCAGATGTTCGCTTGGCCATAATTGAAGCCAGAGATTCCAGGGTTGTTCTACAGTATTCGGTTCTGTCGGTTCACCCCCGGGTAACGCAGATCCGGTAGTTTCCTTCTATTTCCTAACGTGCGACTGATTCTATACATGTGGATCGTGGCCTATCTCTAATTCTCTGACCGGCATACTGCAGATCCCTCGAAGATGATAAATGATTCTACGTGTCAAGTGGTTTTTTGACTCCTTATGGAATTTGACCTGAGTTATCCACCGGCAAATAAAGATCGAAGTCCCCTAGTCGTATGACGATTTGTGCGGCAGAATGCGGAGACAGTTAGTTGCAAAGATCTTCAATTCGAGACCCTGTCGCGGAGTTGCAGATCAGCACTCCTCCGGTCCACGCTTCTTTTCCTTAGATTCTCTGCATGTCTTCGGTTATTTCGCCGGTAAGTCTGACCATGGACCGATTCATTCGCCATTTCTCTGCTCGTCGAAACCCCTTCCGCCAGGATCCCCGGCTGGGTTTGTCACGAATGCAAGTGTGTGCAACTGCATACTGCTGTCACCGGTTCTTTCTGCCTCACTTGATTTCTCCGGGCCTTCCAGCATATTGGACCCTGATTTGCTGTTCCAAAGCAACTGCTTCGAGGGTCTCGCCGTTGATGCCACCCTGCTCCGTTGTAATCGATGGCACCCATGCAAAAAGTGGTTTCTATCTTGAACGCAATAGATTATTATCTGAAAGAAGTCACCACTTTCTACTCACTTCAACAAACCTGCATCGAGATCCCGTCACTGGATCCACGTAATAGAAGACTCAACCGAAACCTCTACCCCCTTTCGATGTCCAGGTTATAGTATCCATCCTCAAGATCGGTAAGCTGAATCCTAGGCAGACGCATAGCTCAATATCCAATCTACAAGGGGACCAGAAATCGAAATCCAGCCCCCAAATCCCGAGTGAAATGCACTACTAGAGTACTTGGGATCTCATGCATGACTAAAGCAGTAAGGTTCTTCAAGGTCCACAGAGTATTATTATTATTATTCCGTAGACCCTTCTGACGCCCCTGTCGGGGTTCGCAAAGTCGTCAAGAAAACCCATAATAATCAGTAGCAGATAGATAAATAGAGTTTCTTTCCTAGTTAATTTTGTGACATCTCGAATCAAGCTTCCCCCTTCCCCCTCACATCATAGATGAGATCGACGCGTGAGCTATCTATTCTCAGTTCTGGCGCTATTGACTTTCGCATTCTCCGGATGTAGTCCCCGTTGCATGTGGCTTCTTCTCCCCGCAAGCAAGGAGGCGGGCGGAGTTTTCCCCAGGGAGGGATTCTTATTACGTATGTAGTGGCTTAATACGGGTCCGCAGAAGAAACAAAAGAAAAAAAATTTTTTTTTTCTCTTATTGGAATAGGTACACTAGACTCAATTATGAGTTTTCTTCTACAGGACATTGCTGTTATTATTATTATTCGGCTAGAATGCGTACGTTATATCCTCTTTTTCGAGGAATTAAATTAATTGTTCTTGAGGACGGAGACTACTGTATTTTACGTAATATAGTTATAGAACGAGCACGACATAGAGAGAGTATATATAGATATACTACGTCTTTGTAAGTATGAAACTCAATTCGTAGATTATATGGAACATTATACTGTATAATTAGGAGAGAATAATGCTTCATTATTACTAGTCTAGTAGTAACTTGTAAGGAAACACAGAAAGCGACATACTCTCTAGCTTACCTGTTATTACTACTGTAACTAGCTAATCTATTATTCTGTGAAATTCATTCCTAAAAGATTTATATAGTGCAACTGAGTAGAGTAGAACTCTGAAAAGAAAAAAAAAGCGATTAGTTTATATCTCGTGTAAACCATGCCCTAAAACTATTACCTCTCTGTTTAGCGTGGATTCGCGCAATTTATATATAGTGTTTAATGTATATATATTTCTCTTTTATTGAGGAGATTTACTTTATACTAGAAGAAAAAATATTTATAATAGCATAAATTGGTTCAAGAGTCCTTTCTATAGCTAATAGTTCTTTAAATTATTATCCTCTGCGTGTCATTGTGAGTATATGGTCCTTGATAACATTGGGAATCCTGACGGATATAGATTTAATATTATCTTTTAGGTTTTATCTGAAGATAAATATCATTGCTCTCTTGCGTATTAGATATGTATAATGTACTATAGTATGGGCACATGGTTAACGAAGCGATACTCTGTCTGTAAAGTCCAATTTGAGCTTTGCTTGTTTGTTCAGTCCTGGCCTGTTCATAGAAGGGATAGTCAGAAAGCGCCACCCTAGGGTATTAAAAGCAATACTCTAGGCACAGTAGAGGTATTTCCCGGAGGATTGGTCAATGGGAATATATTAGACAGAGAATTGTCAGGGAGGTATTTTTCAAAGTTTGTCTTGCCCTTATTCGTGGATCGTTGCGAAGTAGTATTATTATGTAGTGAGATTTAATTAGAAAACGGTAACAGTCATGCGGAAAGTCAAACCCGTGTAATTTTGAACGTATTATTTCCTGAAACTGGATCTTTATATCAGACGTCTCTGTCTCTCGCTGCATAATCGGCCTCTATAGGACTGTATCTATTCCGTTCTAATCTAAGGCGGTAGGATCAGAAGCGTAACGGCGTTTTCTTTTTGTTTTCATTGAACCGGGTCCGAGGGGCAATGCTCCCGGTAAGGGTCGTGAAAATGCCCAGGAGATGTTGAATATGTGTAGGGTATTGTCTCTGAGCGCAACGGACTCGTATAGACAATGAATGCTGAAGGTGGAAGAAAAGATGATTTCGAAGTTGAAGTCGATCGGTAGATGAGGAACGAAGAACATTTGAGGTATGAGACGATTGTACATGATGCGAATTGCAATAGGAAACAAGAAAATACGAGGTGAGAGGAGACGGGGGAACTTTTAAACTGCATTAAACAAAATGGGGATAATTGATGAAGAAGAAGAAAACGAGAATGTTTGTCCTGTGTTGAGAAGAAGAGAAAAAAAAAAGATATCTAACTCCGATGCCCCTGGTTCCCATGGTTTTTCTTTTGCGAGACCAACTCCATGCCTTTTTGTTGAAAATCATCCCGGATTTGATGTTGAATGAACTAATCCTCACTTCGCTCCCATGTGGTATCAAGTTGTGCTCGCAGAAAAGTAAATTTATGTTGAATCTGGTTCTCTTTTTTGTCTTCTCATGTTAAAAAGTTGAGGACATGCCATGGTTGAAATGTAGGCCGAGAGAATGAAGAAAAAAGAGTCCATGCTTTGAAAGCGTAAAAAGGAAGTAAATCGTTGAGATCTTCGTTTCGTAACGCCGTAACCTTCCGAGTTACCTCGAGTGTCATTAATGTTGAATTTTTGGTCGTGATATTAAGAGTTCGTTAGTTGAAAAACGTGTCGGCGACCAGAGCGCCGGTTGAATGGCGCTGCTTTGAATGTAATGTAGTGCTGTAATTAGTTGCTCGCCTTAGGCTCTTCTGCCTTTGCCCCGTCCGCCTGAGCATCAGCCGGGATGTCATCAGACGGCGGTACTTCAGTTTCAATGTCCTTGACGGACAGTCCGTTGAAGATGTCGAAGATATCATGGGTCTTGTGGAAGTCATTGTTCACTAGTAGCGTGCATGTTAACGATCAGGTCGACATGGCAAAGGCTGACGTGGTTCACTTACCGATGTTGACAATGTACCAGTTGTCCATGATGCTCTGGATGAGTTTCCTGCTGGGACTCGATGGCTGGTGGCACTTGGCCCAATCTTCTCCAAGGCGATAAGCTTCGTCCTTCCAAGCCAAGAAGCTGATAGTCTCAACGATGGTCGGTTGAATGACCTCCTTCGAGGCAAAGATACCCCAAGTCACTGCGTTCGGGCTATCACTGGTGTTGGACCTCAGTTCGCCCCTCTTGCTAATACAATAGTATGTGAGGTCCTCATTCTTCTCTATACGCTCAATCACCTCGTCAATCAATCCCGGTGGGACAAGGAGCTCGAGGTACGCCTTCTGGTAGACATAGCCATTCTTGGGGCCCCAGCCATAGATTGGGTGGGAAGACTTGGCGCCGTTGACTGCAGGCTGAGAATTGATCGTCAAGAAACCACGTCTGTTCAGATCGATCAGGTCCGACTTGATGACGTCGGCCTCGGCTGTGATAGGAGCCTCACTCCATGGAAGCCTGTCGAGGTTTCCTTCGATGTAGCGAATGAAAGTCTCAGAAACGTCTTTGAGAGACTTGGGCTCCCCCCAGAGTTTGATATTCTGCTCGTTGGTACCCTTCAACCCGATACCGTAGGTATCCAGTTCACCAAAGGCAGGTGATCTGGAGTCGGTCCATCGGCCGTTTGGATACTCGTCCCATTCCTGGGTGCGGACAACATAAGAAGAATTCCTGTTTCTCCAGAAGATTGGACGGACATCTTCTCCACGGCGACGAAGGCCCAGTGACTGGCGCCATGGAAGAGGCTTGTGTAGCGGTGTCTCTTCGGACGGAGTCAGCTTCAGCTCCTCTAGGATCATTCGAGTCGCCTGTGCAAGGTTCATGGTGTAGCTGTTCTCTATTAGCAAATACGGACCTCTCCGTCCTTTAAGCACACACTTACAAGTGCAAATGGTAGATCCCGGAAGCCACGAGCTTCCGACACATATCCGCGACCAATTTCGTTCCTATCTCCCTCACAGCGGCATCATCGTTCTTGACAGGTTCCAAGGCTTCGAGCCACTCGGGCGGGATCCGACTCTTCGTCCAGTTTGACCGTCTGATGAATGCGGCATATGTCTGGATAGGCATGATACCCGGGATGATAGGAACAGTGATACCCTTCGCACGGCACTTTTCAACCCAATTTAGAAAATGGTCAACATCATAGAACATCTGTGTGATGATGAAGCTGCTTCCTGCATCCACCTTTTCCTTCAGGTGGTCGATCAGCAGATCCACATCGCGGTTGTCGTCGCATCCTTCTGGGTATCCGCCGACACCAATATCGAAATGGTTTCCATACTTGTCCCGAATGTACTTCACCAGGTCTTTGGCATATCGGAAGCCTCCATCCGCAGCCTCCCAGGTCTCCTTCTCTCGAGGCGGGTCGCCTCGAAGCGCCAGAATATTCGTGCAACCAGCCCTATAAGCGGCCTGCAGTGCAGCATCGATCTTCTCGCGCGGCATATCAGTGCAGGTCAGATGCATGCAGGTCTCCAAGCCATAGATGGACTGCGCTACATTGACCATCTCACACGTCAAGTCTGATAGCCTGCCACCAGCACCCCAGGTGATATCAATGAACGCAGGACCCCACGAGTGCATGCGGTCCATCCTGTCGTAGAGATTCTGCACACCTTGCGCCGTCTTCGGAGGGAAGAATTCGAAAGAAATGCCGGGCCTGCCAGAGGCCTTTTCTTCGGCGAGCTTGTCCTTGATATGCATTTTGTCTTATTTCGGCACGCTGTGAGACAACCATCCTGTCAGCTCTTCTATCCAAGCTTTGCACTTCCGACCACCAGATATTCCACTGCTGCAAGCAGCCCTGCATCAAGGCGATACGTACAGAGAACTCGTCGCTTGCTTGATTCCGACTCGGCCTCTCTTTCAATGTCCCTCACAACTCCGCGGGCGTTGCAAATTATCTTCTGTACGGGGTCTCAACTAAAATATCGTCTCCGACCTCGGAGGTCTGCCAATTCCTGCAGTATGAACTGTAGGTAGAACCCGTGTTCTTCCCCTGGAGATACAGGCCAGAAGACAAAAACTAGAAGAACGATAGAAAGATGAAAAGATCGACAAAGGGCTTGTTGAAGCGCCGGTGAGTTTGTGTTCAGCCCCTCACGCCAGCTTACTGCGGTCTGCGGTGGCAGAGTTTCCGGAAGATCTGACCGTCGGCGTGGCGTTTCTAATTGTAAATCGTCACCGCCAGTGTAGCAGGAGGCGCAAGGCAACAAAAAAGCAGCAGCTCTACCAAAGGAAGAGGATGAGGAGGAAAGAGGACAAAGAGAAAGGGGAGGAGAAGTACCGTGGGGGAGAATGAATGTCGCAATGCCATTTCTTTTTGGTCTAAGCTTCTCCGACCCGCGAGCATCTCCGCCGCTGCCCCTCATGCAAAAGTCTGTCTTTGTTTTCTTCCTCTGAGAGAGAGTCTGGTCAAAATAATCCCACTTAATGTGCTCTAACTTATATTTCTATCTCAATTGATATCTGACACTTTGTCTGAATCTACTTGCCTGCCACTCTTTTGGAATTCATAAATAACGTCATTTGATATGCCTTGGTTAGCAATCTCTATATATTATTCCAGTGAAGACTTCATCAGAATTGGATCTGGAAAGTGTACCATATATTCTTGTCCATGTCAGATCAGGGGAGACCAAATAGGGCATTCGCTTTCTGGTCCAGAGGGTTATGATACATGTGTATATAGGAGACACTTTGTTCTTCAGGCGAGTTGTGCATCTAACAGGCCAGTCCATATTTTATAGTCTACAAACAGAAAGAGGAAGCTGAACATCTAAATAATGCCTCTTCAGAGGCAGCAGAATCCTGTTTCTAATAATGGTTACGTGTATCTAAAGCAATCGCTGCTAGCGTAAGAATATTGAACTTGGAGTTAGGGGAATACCCAGGCCGTTGTGGAGTTACCACAACATATAAACAGGCAATCCTGTTATGACAATGTGCGCCGACAATGCAATGGAACCCTCTCATAACCTTCATCAAATGAACAAAGCTTTGCCAACCTTCCCAAATACCCACCCAAAGGGTTTCGCAACCCATACAACCCAACTTCCCAGAAAGACCATGTAGCCGGCAGCACGGCCTAATACCATAACCACGAAACCCAGGACAAAGAAGTACAGACCTGCCTGACCCATATCCCGCATCAACAGTGCGATTTCTTCATTGGTCGACTTCGGCCACGAGCCCGTACGCTTGTAGACGATGATCCCGTTCGAGACTCGTTTTGCAACATGGAAACAATGCCCTGCCATCTCGAAAATCCTCTCAGCAATGATGCTGGCATGCTGAGATATGTGATGACGGCGGCAGAAGTCGTATAACTGCGTGACAGACAACACACAAATATCGAATAATAACGAGAAACTAAGGAAATTGATTGCGCCACTCGATGCATCAGCATCACTCTTGCCTTCATTGCGCTTCACTAGCGCAGTGTCTTGCTCACGATTATCACTCTTAGATGCAGGTACTTGCTGACCATCGAGTTCCGCAATCTCGGCCGTTTTAGGTGTTCGCGCTCGAGTGACACTTTTCGGTCTTCCCTCTAGAACGGGCGAGGGAGGTGCGGTCAAATCTTGAAAGCGCGGAGTAGGCGCAGGCCCAGGAATATCCTCGAACATCAGTGGATAATTAATATTCTGAATGGGATTATGGTTGTCCGTAATACATCTCCTGCACAGGCAAAATTTGTGATCACCGCGGGCGCCGCCGATATCTTGTTCGGAGGTCATCATCCTGGACATACGGATGTACCCAGGCATAATGGAAAAGCTTTCGCGACTTTGAGGGCTGATTCGTCTGTTCCTGACACCGGACATGCCTCCTGCCTGAACGTTCCCTGGTGGCAGCATGAAGAACGTTTCTGACCTTGGTAGCATTTGCATCTGCTGCTGCCATTTGGACTGGGAATTCGAAGGATGGGACCTCGTCCTCGGGACGTGTACGGTGTCGTCTGCCTTCGGGGTTTGAGTGCGTTGCATGCTTTTTCCGCCTAAATCTGGACAAGTAGTACTTGTGGGTATGGTACTGGATGTCAGAGTGCGTGTGATAGTGGGTGTGATAATGAACACATCGTCGTCGTTCTGATTCTCTTTGCCCAACGTGTCCGGCTTCTCTGGTTTCTCCTTTGGGAGTGGTGGCAGACTCTTGTTTTTCAGACTGTTCGGCATGGGTTTGTTGAGCCCTGATTGCCTGGGAGGGCTGGACAGAGGCTGCTTCGAGCATTGGGTTGGCTTCATATTCCGAGAACGCAGTGGCTTCTCGTCGTGTAGGATAGCCTTTTCGTCTGCCGACCGCCTCTGTTGCTTCATGCCCGATTCCCTTTTCCCGCCAGATCTCCTTTTTGTCTCCGGAGATGGGGGCATGGTTGGATACGGCGAATCGTTCGAAGTAGGGAACATCAATATTTCGTCTGGGTTCTTTGTCTTGTTCATCTCCTGACAACCTAAAAAAGTCTCCCCGCCGGCTCTGAGATGTCTCTCTCGCTGGTCCATTCGAGGAGACTCATCGTCAATAGGACTTACACGATCTCTGCCGACATCATCCGCATCATAGTACTGGCGGGGCCCCAGCGGAGGGGACACGGGGGACCGAGTATAAGTCTCTGCAGATACAGTTCGTACTGGTTTCCGTTGAACCGTTACGCTCGGTTGCTTTTCTAGTCTCTGAGCGGGAGCACCCCTTCGTTCAGGAGTCACTGCACGCGGACTTGGGAGAGTTTCTGGATCTAACATTTTTCCGCCTTCCAGACGCACTCTTTCGATGCTTTTCTGGTATTCCTCAATCTGCTTCGTAGTCATAGTTGGCGGATTTGGTTCTCTTGCTGAAGGCATGTTGACGATGAATCTGTCTTCCCAGTTGTTCGAGGCGGTTCTCATCGGTTCTATAGGCGACACCAAGTTATGAGAGGACGAGGCGCTATCCTTATTCACGACAACACTCTGACCAGCAGGAGGTGTGTCCCCTGGTGTAGACTGGTCGATATCCAGACTTATCCATTCGTCTCCTTTCATCCTCCATTTTTTCTTCTTGCTATGAGGCTTGCTCTTCTCGTCCTGGGAGCTGTCTGTGGCCACACTGGGGCTAATTATTCCAGTTCTAGGATTAGCCCCTCTGCCCAGAAGCTTGTCTTCGTTCGTACTCGTCGCATGGGACTTATTTCTGTGTCTCTCCGTTTCATGCCGCATAAGCCTCGTAGATGAGCTCAAGTTGTGGAGTGTGCCATGCCTATCATGATTCATTTGACCAGATATCCCGTCAGTACACACCTCTGCCTGCCGCGCTCTCGGATACGTATCACGGGCATCCGCGATGGCTCTAAGCCTTGCCTCTGTCACACCCGTACCAGAGCTAGCACGAGAATCTCTTTGTCTTTGCCTCTGTATGATGCTGTCTGGTCGTGGTAATCTTCCATTTTCGAATCGCTCGACAGTAGTGGACATGGGATGTATGTGTTCGCTAAATCGTAGTATGGTCTCTGGGGCGCTGACCGAACGGCTGGATGCTGCAGGCATATGATCTTCGAAAGTAACCGACTTTTTGTGTTGTCTACCGTTCGTCCTCGGTACCTTGACGTTGCTCCGCCGCTTCGTCTGGTTATCGTGGGCATGGTAAGAAGACAAAGGTCTATCCGCTGGCAGTTCGACTCGGCCCTCCATCTCCAACCCCCGCCGACCACGGGAATTATTGACAGTTAGGACTCTGTCAGGGGACGGTTGGATCGTATTGGCCCATCCCGATGGTGTGTACGTCGGTTTCAATCTTCTTTGTCCGTACTCGTTGCTTGTATCGGTCCTCTGAAGATAGATCACTTGGAAAGATGATAGAGAGCTGCTGTCAAAAGGTGGTGGGCAAGCAACAGGCAAAAAAGGAGCCATATCGATATCCTGTTTGTTCTTTCCGCGAATCAAGGGATTAAGAATATGGAATGGTATGTTATGTGGGGGTATTATCGTTCAATGGAATGTGCCCGCGTGCACGCAGCGAATGGAATGCTTGCATATTCAGTGGCTGGGATCCGAGACCATCAAGATGCACTGTAATCGATATCATCATAGTGGTTATTGTTTCTTGCATTGATCGGATTCGGCAGCGACGGCTGGTCACTTGTAGTGAGATCACTAGAAAGGCAACCGTGACCTGCGAGGCGGATGGCACAAGTATAGAGACCCTACATTCTCCCGGGAATGGGAAGACAGACTTGCTGAGTCTTAGGCTTTATTGGACCAGGCAAGAGCAGTTGAGATCATTGTGTGAGAGTATGGCACGAGGTAGTTCCGGAGTGGTCAATTGAGATAATACAAAGTCTCGAAGAGAAAGCTTCCTATCCTAGTGATCTCTTTGTCCATCGCTGATCTTCAGCGACAGGGAGATCGAGAACAAATTGACTATGACCGGAAGTGCATATGAATGTCGTTGTTTTATACAATTGCACTGTATTAAATTGATCTAACCGCAATCACCACAACCGACAATGTTCGTGGCAAGGTCGAACTTTGTCTGACTGCCCGGTAGATTATAGTTGATATGATATAATGCAGGCGACGGATGCATCAGAACCTTCCGCTCTCGCGGCGAGGACTATCGGGATTCGACGACAGATGGCCCCATCTCTGCACGGCTGCAGCCGTGCTCACCCCTGCAGGAACGCTACTTCTCTTAAGAGGACTAGACTGTCTTTTCACGGGGCTTAGGCCTGTGGGGTCAATACCACTTGGTTGACTTCGACGGTCGAGATATGTCGAGCTGGGCTTTCTTAGTGGGGAATTGGCATGAGAATACACGCCTAAGCTACCACCATCACCGGAGCCTGTTGACGGTCTGAATTGAGGCTGTCGAATTATACTTGCAGACTTGAAAGGTGAGGCGTCCCGTAGATGGCTAGGCGTCTGTAGCGATGAGTGCTGAAGGGATACCGAAGACGAAACGCTCGGCGTAGCAGGCGACTGTCGTCGTGCGGGGGTTCTAGAAATGCCCTCTGGATCAACATGCCGGACATAATTCGGATTAGGGCTTGTTGTAAAGCCACGGCGAATGACATGTGTCGGGGTGAAGACGTCGACTTTGTTGTACTTGTCATCGGAACCTGAATCGGCGGGATGTCCAGAAAATTGAGTGCCCACATCCCTCATGAGTGGTTGGATCCGAGGATGCACAAATTTGGCATCATATTCGTTCAACACTTCCTTGTGAACGAGCGCGGAGTCCTTCGCTTGCTGAGAGAAGAATCCCGAAAGCAGGGACATCTGAATAGACAGCAGGATCACCAAGAATATCGTCGTAACTATCGTAACGCTCGGCCGGGGGTCTGAAGGCAGAGTTGGTAGGAAGAGCCAGTAGATAAGCACATGGCCTGGACTGAACAGGCAGAATAGTCGGAGTGCCAGCGGCGAAGGGTCCCAAACTGCGATCTCCCAGACATCGCGCTGGGGATCCGGATGCGCCCTCGATTCCGCGCTACCTGCAGAGAGTACATTCGACAGGAAGCGTAACGGAGTAGGAGAGGCGGGAGATGAGTCGACTCGAACACGGTGGGCGGAGGGCGTGGATGGGACCTTGTCGATGGACGCTTCGAACATGCGGTAACGACGTTTGCGCCAGAAAGTGTAGAACGCATTAACTGCGGATATAAGCGCCAGAAAATGCACAATAAATGAAGCCTGTAGTTAAACTCCCAGTTAGCACCAGATACCCTTGGCCGTGAAGCTCTTACAACGTACAACCCAGGTCAACCATGAAACTCCACCATCATCTCCGAATATGTCATCTTCTGCTCTGCTCTTTCGAGCACTATTGGCGCGAGCGACCAGGAATATGAAATTAAGCCCGGCCCCAATTGGCAGAGCCCATTCCTTCTCCCACTGCTCCCAATCACTAGAGTCGATCTCCTCCGACAGCCAGAGAAGGAAGTCCAACGGGTTCAGGTAGGCCTTGACGCGCTCCGCGAGCGGCTGACGACGCACGAGCCGGGGCATGGTGTTCGGATTGCAAGGGAGCGACGTACCCGAGCTGATAAAGCTCAGCCGGGTCTTCCTATGAAGATATCATGGAGGTGTTGTGCCGTAGCGGTTGTGAAAAAAGCGACCGTTGTAAACAACAATAAAAATGAATGAATGAAGCTTCCCCGACGTCAAAGTGGACGCTGACATAAGCAGGGCGGGATGACGCCGAGATAGGCTGAGCTCTCGACGAGCGTCTCGACTGTCGGCCATTGATTTCCTGGCCTTGGTTCTGTTTCGATCCTGGGCTTTGTGGTTGCACGGAGGAGGAGGCGATATCTGTCCGCTCTCTATTGCTTTTGATTTACTTCTTGTTCCTCTGGATTCCGTTTCAGTCCAAACACCATGGCCGCTCCGCCCACCGCATACAAGGTGATATCGCACCTGGCCTTATTCCGCACTAGGGAAACTGATGTCGTCGATGTTGACAGGACCGGCAATTCCTTGCGGTGATTGGAGATGAAGAGTATGGACTCAATTGTCACCCGTTCATGTATCCTGCTTGACAGTTCGCTGACTATCTCTCCCCGCTCTAGCTCAGTGACCGGACTGTTGCTTGCTGGCGTTGGTGTGAGTACAGTACCGCCTTTGGATTATCTGGCCCTATAGCATGGCTACTTGGTACTTCATCTAAGTGATTCGACTGCTGACCGCTCCCTCGATTGTCTAGCATGTTACCGATCCCCCAGACTCGCAGCGCAACTTCCTTGTGGTCGACTCCAAGACCGAGACCTCCACCATCGAGAAGGCATTCCAGAACTTCACACAAGAGAGGAAGGACATCGGAGTTCTGTTGATCAACCAGCATGTGCGTGCCTATCCTGTGGTCGACACTTTTGTGCCACATGAGGCTCACAGCTAACATACAAACAGATTGCGGAACGTATCCGCAACAGCGTGGATTCATTTACTGAAGCTTTCCCGGCCGTCCTGGAGATTCCAAGCAAGGATCACCCGTATGACCCAGAGAAGGACAGTGTTCTGAGACGCGTGCGGAGACTGTTTGGAGAGTAATGATGGGGAAACGAAAGCGAAACGAAGCGAGGCCCAATTTTCTTGGCTACATGGATTCCTGATGACCTACGCGGGCCGTCTCACCAAGTGTAAATGCATCTTTAGGGTGTGATGTCGTTGTTGGCATCTTTTGTCAGTTGTTTGGCTTACGATGTATTGCAAAGATGAAGAATAATTAGTGCTTCTGGGAGAAGATACCCAATACAAGAAATCAACAGCATATATTACAAGTGGCATGACTGCAAGATGCATATGGTGATTGGGTAGCTCCGGTTAACGCAATAGAATGAAGGCCTATCTCACATGATTGCTTAACAGGTTGAAAGGGCTACAGCACTGTGGACATTGGTGCAACTACATGTAGATACCATTGAACCAGATAACCAAAAGTTGCTTTGAACTGCTCTCCAGTTGCATCGTTCGATAACGACAATGCGGAGCAGGTGTAAAGTAGGAAGGTAGAGGCGTAGTTAAAGTTTCGCGCTATCTCACTAGTGGAGAGACAGTATGTTGGAATATTGAAATCGATCATCACGTCCGATGTATGACTGGGTAGGAAGGACTACAAAGGTCGAGATATGTGGTTTCTAGACCCATAGAAACAATCAGTAGTTTGTCCGAGTTATATAAAAACCAAATCCTGCCACCTACTGACCTCATTTCCTTTTCTACATGACTCCATCCTATCCTCTACATGTGAGAGTAGCAGCCTTTCACTAGTCCAACAAACCGCATACACATCCATCATTTGCACGTTATATACACCATTTCATAAACGCAGGAATTTTGACATGGCACCCTCGCAAGTGACCACCGACTCCACGATTCTGATAATCGGCGCCGGAACATGGGGCTGCTCAACCGCCCTCCACCTAGCCAGGCGGGGTTACAAACGTATCACGGTCCTGGATCCCTATCCAGTCCCCTCGCCCATCGCCGCAGGAAATGATATAAACAAAATCTCCGAACACAGCGGAGCAGAAGGTACGTATATTATTATATGGTAGCTATCCACATCGACAATGGAATTGTTAGTAGGTACCTACCTACTTAAACTGATTCGAAAATATACAACAGATTGGCCCGACCCAGATAAGGATCCTCAGGGCTATGCAGACCATGTATGCAGAGAAAATGCCATCATGGCATGGAAGAATGATCCTGTCTTCAAGCCATATTACCATGAAACGGGATTCATCGTTGCCGCTCACACGCCTTCGACAATTGAACATGTGAAGAAACACGAACTATACCCGTCTGAGTCCGCGTTTGAGAAACTCGAGACGGCCGAGGACTTCCGTAAGACTATGCCTGAAGGTGTTCTCACGGGCTCTTTTCCCGGCTGGAAAGGATGGTGGAAGAAAGACGGTGCTGGCTGGGTTCATGCTAGGAAAGCTCTGGTCTCTGCCTACGAAGAGGCCAAGCGTCTTGGTGTCAATTTTATCACTGGCTCACCGCAGGGAAATGTCATTGGTCTCAAATATGAGAATGGAGATGTCATCGGTGCAGAGACGGCGGATAGCCAAGTCCACAGGGCGAATCATACCATCCTCGCCGCGGGAGCAGCGAGTGATCGACTCTTAGATTTCAAAAAGCAGCTCCGACCAACAGCCTGGACATTGTCACATATCCGGATGAGTCCCCAGGAAGCTAAACTGTACCGAAATCTTCCTGTCTTATTCAATGTCGCCAAGGGCTTCTTCATGGAGCCCGATGAGGACAAGCACGAACTTAAGATCTGTGACGAACATCCCGGCTACTGCAACTGGGTCGCTGACCCGAACCATCCAGGCGAGAAGATCAGTCTCCCTTTTGCGAAACACCAAATTCCCCTAGAGGCAGAAGCTCGCGCGAGGGATTTTCTTCGTGACACGATGCCGCATCTTGCAGAGCGTCCTTTCGCATTTGCCCGCATTTGCTGGGACGCAGACACGCCAGATCGCTGCTACCTGATTGACAGACATCCCGACCATCCTTCGCTTCTACTTGCTTGTGGAGCTTCTGGTCATGGTTTCATGCAGATGCCTGCAATAGGGGGATTTGTCGCAGACGCATTGGAGGGAAAGCTACACAGGACGATTCAATATGCGTATAGATGGCGGCCGGAGACAGCGGTAAACAGAGACTGGAAAGATACTCAGGACCGGTATGGCGGGCCGAATAGAATGATGGATTTTCAGGATATTGGAGACAATGAGTGGACTACGATATATGGGCACACAGAGCGTACGTCCATGTGATCTGTCATGTCATCCGTTTGCAGCAGAATCTTTGATATCCTAGTTATATATAGGATAGAACCTAGTAGATCACTAGGATCTAGATTCTTGGTCACCATGCTATAGGAAATAAATATAGATTCAAACCCATCCCCAGAACTAGAAACAAGTCAAGCAGCCTAGATATATCAGCTAGATGTCTCAAATAATACTATGCTTCCGTGCATTGGAATTCGACACGATACCAGAGGCTTCGAAGCTGTGAGTCCTTTATGTAATGATTACCAGTCCAAATGAAACGAAGCCATTTACCGAGTCCCTAAACGATTCTAAGGAAAGCTTATACGTGTATAAATAACAAGAGACTGCTCCATCAATCTAATACATAGCAAGGTATACATAAAACCACCCCAGATACTACCTAGTAATCGCTCCAGCAACTACGACTGCCACGGCCGGACTATGGGACTACAGACTACCTACTGCAGAACCAGTAATGGATCCTCTAAATCATTCAGAGATCGAATCGAGTAGTAAGATGATTGTATCCTAATTCTCGCAGACGGGTAGAAGGCTACTACATGTTCATCTGTATTCGATTGTGTGATATTAGTATGGCTCTTATATATATATCGATATCTTATATCTTATCGATTGCCTTTCGCTGCAAGGACAGGAAACTGAACGATCTTCCCATCCTAAGTCATATAGCTTATGCCATAAACAACATAAACAACATAAATGGGTCTTGGTAAGAAGCAGATCTATCGTTTATACGGGTAATAGCTCCCGTAATTTACAGTAAATGTGTCGATGTATGGAATATATGTCTATTCCAATTTGCGGAAGTGACACTTCCCGAACAGACAATAAAAAAGCCAATACGAGTGACTAGCCAGTTCATTTAGTTTAAGTCTCTAACATATTGTGCCTTGGCAAGCTGTTGATGATGATGTACTAGTAATACATGCCCTGAAATGACCGGAGTGACATGTGGAGAATTTACGCAAATGGTAAATATATACTTAGTTGCCAAGCCAGATATCATAGTAGTCATGCAGATAAACTGTACATCAATCAGAAAATGACTACACATAAATAGACAGAGACATAGTGAGGGACGGATTTGTCCAGTTGGAGGTAATAATAACTATTAGGCCGCAGTAGCTTTACACGAGGAGACCAACGTGCGAGAAACCCAGACTCCACAGAAAGATGCGTTACGCATGAGAATAGGTATCATCATTTGAGGCCGAATATGTCGAAGACGATGATACGTCACAACACGGCCGCTTTAAGACGAGGATGAAGCAATCTGGAAGGACTAAGAGCTCAAAATTATCCATATCGCAAGGTATACAAGCGTAACGAAAACACAGATAAGACGTCCATCATGTCAATTTCCGGCTCTATCGGTTGAAAACGATATCGTTGGCTTCGAGGCAGGTGATCTTTCGCTTGTCGTCGGTGTAGACATCAGCCAGCACAGAGTACTTGCCCTATAAACCCCATAAATGTTAGAACCCAACTCGATATACATTTCAGTCGATGCTCGTCCATGCGATAACGTACCGGAGGGATCTCCTTGGGCAGTTGAACATCCTTTGTGAAAGTCATTTCGCCCTTCTCCAGAGGACAGTGCAGGTCGACATTTTCGATCTGCTCACAGAGGTCTGCTTCCTGGTTGATCAAGCGGATCAAGCCATACTTGACCTGCAGGAGAACCTTGGAGCCCTGCTCGACCTTCTCGCGGAAGGTACCCTTGGCGACGATGGTGAGGTTCTGACCACTATAGTCCCAAAGTATCAGTAAGCTGCCACAAGAACACTCATGGAGTGCTATTGGTGTGAAAGACGTCGATATACGTTCAGGGAGACATACGGCTGGGGAGGGTTCGGAGAGAGGTCCACGGAGTCGATCTGCAGGATGTTGTTGCTGGGATCGGAGCAGTAGGTCAGCGGGTTGTCTCCGTCGACAGGGAAGTCCTTGTTGTTCGTCGCTATCGGCGACTGGTCGAAGAAGGACAGCGACCGAGCAAAGGTCGAAAGAGGAGTAACAAGCAGAAGGGCGGCGGTTGCTGATAAGAGCTTCATGATTGCGGTTCTCCTCCAGCAGGACTGATATAATATAATATAATATGATAATAGCAACCGTTCAAGGAGAAAGATGATTCCCCCGAGATCAGCAAGATACCAACAAGAGCCCCAAACTGATGTCTGGCGCAGCGATAAACGACGAAGGAGAAGCGGTGTCGTGATGGCGATGGCTGGGGAGGGCGATGACGATACTACCGACGACCACGTGATAGATCACACGGGCAGCGAAGATCGGCCTGGCAAGTCAACAATCATAATCAACAAGCTTGATGCGCGCATTGTTTCAGTTCATATTCACAGCCAGGCTCTGTGAAGAGACTGTTGCCTGCTCATCAATAAACTATCAGCATTACCTTCTCTGCGATGCTTTCAATCCTCCCATTGTGGACTAATATCATTATTGTCCGGACAGCTGCTCTGCTCTTCTGACCTGGAGATCGATGACGCTGGCCCCACCCGTTTCTCTCCACACTACAATCCGACATACTGTAAGTGTACAGTATCTCGATGACCAGCTTCAAACAGCTTGCCAGGGATAATACCTCCCCCTTCAACTCTAGACAGATCGGTAATGCCTGCATAATACAGACTGCAGATGTCGAATCGCTTCTCCTGATCAGCAAGCAGCTGCTCTACGCTCAGATCAGATCATGCACCACTATCAGCAATCACGTTCATGATGAAACACTAATCCAAGATACATACAGGCATCCACTAGCAGAGGTATTTTAAATTAGATGAGAGAAACCAGGTAAAAAAAACATCAAAAAGCAAATCTGATTAGATAAAACCCGAGTACAGTATACACATCCCAGGGACTTCAGACCCCAGTCACCATTTGGGAGATTTGTCTGATATTATTCTCTCTAGTATTATTGCATGGGACTAGTGGTCTGTTTTTGCCTCGATTACAATGCAACACTGTTAGCTCTTGTACTTCTGTCCGGAACCTGTGATGTTCCAGCCCCATATTATTATTCTTTCCGCTGTTTTCCCTGCTCGGATACCCACACTAGATACCTATGGTTTTGGTCTGCACGACTCCTCTTTTTTCTTTTTCTTCGATCCCTTAACACGGAGAGAGATACCGAGATCAGATGGTTCTTCTGTGTAGATATGCCTGATCCTTGTTTAAAACAAAAGTGGTAATCATCAAACAAAATCGTCCAGTGTGGAAGTTCTCGCTTCTGACCACACACTTTTCGAACTCCAATATCTTGAAAAAAAAAAAAAAAATAATATGCAAATCAGAATAGTTACTACCTACTTCGACACCCGAATGAATAACGAGAACAAAGTTAATCTGACTCGGAACGTTAACCGTAATAAGATAATCGTTCCTTTTCACTTCCGTAGACATTATTACCAATGAAGAACTTGCCCCCCCCTCCCCCTCCGCCCCAATTTACCCTGAGGGGGAGGGGTTCCTCTCTGAGATCTTAGAATAAGAGAGAGAGTCCCTCATGTTTCATTATTGAAAAAGATTGCTGCATACCCCACATGAAGTCTCGGTCCGCATCAGTACTCCGTATGGTACTCTATCCACGGAGCCGCACAAAAAGACCACTCAAAAAGTGTCCGATATTCTGAATAGTTGATCCGAACAGCAAGATCATGTCGATCTCGACAGTAAATGACATCACCTTCGTCATCTTCAGCCTTTCTTTTTTCTCCATTAGCCCGATACGGCTTGCAATAATACCCTAGGGCACCTACGCGTTATTGCCGTTTTTTTCCTTTTTTTTTTTTTTTCTCTCTTTTCCTTTTCTATGGCGCGCTGCATCGCCAGACCCGACGGAGCGTAAAGTTAGGTGTCCCACCGACCTGCTGCAATCGGCTCGGGCCGTCCCATCTGTGTCCCAGACGGAAATTATAATAGTCAGTACCAGGGTAGATAGGATAGGATATATGTTATGCAGGGTACCCCAGGTCACATGGACGTGATACGAACAATGATAATACTCTACTACAGGATGGACTGCTATCCCAGATTGACGGTCATGTTCCTGTTTGGTTTCTGGTCCTTTTTCCGCCTCCAATCTAGCGGAAACTCGTTTTATCAGATCCTCAAACAAGAAGACTGGGAAAAAGCATTCAGAGTTTTCCTTCCCCGCCCTGATCAGATATAGATGGTACATGTCACACCACAGCCGATAGGGATGCTCACCTGGTCCATTAGCCGAGGGGGTTTTTTTCCGCAGTGGGACCGTACGAGCTATACGCTGGGAGTAAATCTCCGTTAGAGACTACTATCATCGGAGCTGCTTGTGATCACGCCCCGGTGTCTGGGCCATATTGATTATGAATGGATGCACGAAAAAAAGATACGTCTACTTGGTTTCCCCTCAGGAAATGAACACACGAGCAATATCAAGAATATGCACGAGGAATCAGTTAGCTGCTTTCCAACCTGCCATAGTGATCTTACCTTTTATCCGGTTTCATCGCGCGTGCCGAAGGAAAAGGGAAAGAGAAAGAGAAAAGTTAGCACAGACATGAAGTGGTTACTAAAAGCGAGGAGCTAGACTCTCGTCAAGTCTACTGCCATCTCCACCATGGTTTGGATAGCGGTCTGAGCTCGAGCTCTGTGGGCGCCATCTTCAGTAATGATAATTACCAACACCTTAGGTGCCAGATTGACTTCGGTGCCGATGCTATGTAGTTGAATCATCTAAGCCCGAACAAAGGAATATCTCCGTTGCATGCTTGTTGGTGAAGAGGATATGCTATGAATGCCAATCATAATATGAGGTCTCCAACCTTGTACCTACCGGGATGAGGCTAAACTAATATCCATAATTCCGCTATTTAATATTATTAGCGATCGGAGAATACCGTGGAGGAATAGTCATATAGAAAGCAATGGAAAAGAAATAGGCCAGTCTCTTGGCATCATGCGCAAATGTACTCCGTACGTGAAGACTGCACAGCCGATCTTGAGGTAAATAAGTTAGCCAGAAACTCAAGGTACCGAGGAAGAAGACAGATGGACGACAGATGGAGCAAGACATATAGTCGTTATGCGGAAATCATATTGATAGGTTAAGGGTGGAGAGCGGCACGGAGTTCGTCGGCCAAGGCTAAGATCACTCACCGAAGAGGGAACGAACCACTGCGGGAATCCGTTGAGGACTCCATATTATTTCGTTCTTTGGGATTTCATCCCAGGAAAGCTGCAATGGGACGTTTGAGGAAATTCAATGCGTGATAAAATATCCCCTATCATTGGCCGACTATGACACGTAAGATTTAGAGAAAACCGGCTTCATGGGAAATAATGGACCTCATATTCCTCTGCCAACGAATGATAATAATGGTTAGCATAATATAACACCGGCTAGTGTGCGCTGTCTTGGGGCGGATGCGAACTATCATTTGGCTGCCGGCACCGCTGCTCGAGTGGGAATGTCGTACTGACCTACCCACCTAGGGTAACTATGCGTGGAGGCGCCCCCTGTCAGAAGATATCAGATCACACCTTATAGAGCCTGTCGAATCAAAGAGAAGGAAAATTCCTCGCCGGGGCTTAGCCGGACTCGCATGAGTCGATTAGGTTGATCCCTCGGTAGTAAAACCGTGCGACTGGGTCAGCTCCCTCTCTGGCAAAAACGGCCACAACTCCGGGTGCTCCTTTACTCAACACCTTCACTCCTGCGCATGTACGCGGGTCAGAGTCAACTTCCATTCCCCTCTTTCTTTGTTGGACACTTTGCGAAGTAGATTGCATTGACCCTTTTCCTGCGCCACGGACGCAAGCCGAACATTCGATCTTCGTCTGGTTCGGGCCCACAGAGCCTCCCGTCAACAATAGGGAGTTGAGTTGACTACTGTATGTGGCGCGCGCCCCTAAATGACGGCTAAGGCGGACCCCTCCCACTTTGGATCCCGATCTTGTTGACCGTTGATGCCCCGAGTGAACGGCTCCCTGAGGAGGCTGAACCACGGTGCTGGGTTTGGGCAAGAAAAGGATGGGCCTTTGGCTGTCCCCGCGGCTCCTTATGTTATCGTGACGGAGAAGCGACCCGACAGTTCGGATGCGATGGAATCGGTCTTTCGCGTTACTTACATGCATGTGCTCCGTCCTTACGTGCGTCGCGACTCGCGACGTGCTGGGATTCTTGAAGTGAAGGCGGGCACTATTAATTGGCGCCCCATACAGACGGGAATAGACAACGATAAACAGAGTCGAAGCACCCAGTGTAGGAAACATGCAAATGACGCGAAAAATTCATGTTAGTTCGAGCATGGGAATTTAGAATACATTGCACAATTGCGCTGTAGCAATGCGTTGTATGTTCCAAGAAATTGCGGCGCAATCCACTCGGCGTTCCTAGAGTCCTGTCTCGTTCGCTCTTCTGTTTGGTGTTCTCAAACATCGGCCGTAATAGTAAGGGCTGGTTCTCCTTCTCTGGCAGGGAAAGTATAAAAGCGGACATTGATGGTTCTGTGTAAGCAATGCTCGATCTCCACGCAGCTGTAGAGCTTAGCCCACAGTATTGAACCGCAGGGTGTCGAAATCTAACTTGCCATATCAGCATGAGCGTCTTGCAAGGTATATCGAAATGAGACTGGCAGGAAAAAGGAGGAGCGGTGAGTCTATAGACTCTAAAACAGGCTGAACTTTGGACGAAGCAGCGGCGGAGTAGATGCGCTCGGATCCATGGTCCCAAGTCCGAAATACGTACAAGAGGTATATCTAAGCTCCCCACCAAAGCAGAGGCATGAGTGCTGTTAGGTGTTCTTTGCCCTCTGCCTCTGCGAAATAATGCCTAGGTAAGACAACAGGCGATGGCCGGCCCGACTCCGTGTCATTGGGATGGAATGGAAAACGGCGAGAACTCGGGTTTTACTCCATACCTGGCCAAGGTTTTTTGGTGACTCTCATCCCTCACACTCGATAATTTAGCCCTCCCATTCAAAGTGGAGCAATGTTCGGCATGCAGATCTCCACGAGGCTCCTGCGCCCGCTTCGGGCCTTTTTGAGACAGGTCCTTAATGGGCATGGTTCACCAGGCGTGGGCCCATGAAATAGAAGAAGGAATCTCCTTGCTCGACAGGTTAGAGGCTGCCTTCTGATCATCAATCCCACTCGACGCATTTATTCCTGTAGGCAACGAGACATCGTGTGACTGTTGTCTGCCGTTGTTGTTAGGTTGATTAGTGTGGTTTGAGAACTGATATATGCCAGTCCAGTGCTCAATATTACAGCCACGATTAGCCTCTGCGGTAGGAAGGCCGACCCCTCCCTTCGCTGCTGGGATGGCTTGTTGGAAGAGTAGTATTATGGATGGATGGAACGCTCCTCCGGGGCGCCCGACTGGCCGGTTCACAGCTAGATTCTTCGCGTTCGAGAAAGATGACCGACGTGCGCAGACGGGCCGTAACGGCTATATCTAGCTGCATGCATTGTCCAGCCTGGGTCCGTTGAGTTCTTTGCCAGTGGCCCGCACCATTCTTTCGAGACGGGACAAGACCTCGCCATCGTGGCACGGGAGTCGACGGGGTGGATTTGTCGCTCCTACTGTGCACCTCACATGATCCCGTAGTCAAGAACTAATGGGACTGAATACCTAGAAGACCTATCTCTGCCCGATAGTGTTGCTTGCGTTGTGGCAGTCCCATGCAGGCGGTGTCAGTTGTTGCGATTCCGAACGGATGTACTGCGTGCCCTTCCACAGTCCCATCTCACCCATACATATTGAGTACTTGAACCGATTCACTGGGAATTAAAAACACCGTGACGATATACTTATCCTTATTAAATTCCCCTTTTGGCAAACCCTTGGAGAAATCCTGCAGGGATACTCTTAAATATGACGTACCAAAATCACTCCAGGACCCCTGCCTGCATCTTCTGGGGAAGCGCTGACGATCTTCTCTCTCTTCCAGAGACCCGGAAGCCGGAACTGTAGAACTCGACACTTCTTACCTCGAGACAGTCACCGTTGAAGGACGAGACTTCCAGCAATATTCGATCAATAATCGGATCTATTTCGGGCCAGTTGACGATGTGTGTGGATGACTAAAGGCTATCATATTATGCTTCGCTGACCATCTCATTTCAGGATGAAGCAGAGCGTCTGGAGCTTCAACATCGAGTTTTTAACAGAGTATTCGATGACCGCTTGATCTTTCCACCCATCCGCAGGCCAACAAGGATCCTCGATTGCGGTTATGGAGCTGGCGCTTGGGCTGTGGAAGTCGCTGAACAGTATCCGAACTGCGAGGTGAGCACAGATGAGTGGGCTGTAGCTGCCCTTCAACGACTAACACTATAGATGACGAAGGTGATAGGTGTAGACGTCTCACCTCATATGAAACCTGACGAAACCCCAGAGAATTTATGGCTGCAGGTGAGTTTTTCTCTGGACTTCTCTTTCTCCCCCTGCTCTCCGGCCAAAGGGGGATGTGTGATCTGCCTTATTGGAACCAGGAGACCCCTTTCCAACCAACTGTGCCTACAAAGTAAAAAGTAGTTTCGAAGGAGGAACATGATTATTCCGCCTCAAGAGGTTGGAGGGACGGGACCTGGACGAACTGACGTGAATGAACAGGTTGACGACTTGAACCGCCGCTTCACTTTTTCCTCCGGTAGTTTTGATCTGGTCCAGTCCAGGCTCGTTGCTTCAGGAATAAATCGTTCTCGATGGCCCACATACATTCGTGATATCGTGCGGTGAGCCCCTCCCAGACCGTCGGTATCTCATACTTTGGATAGTCACAGTATGATCTTGGGGGATGTACCTTGCTGATTTGCGGTATAAACACAGGGTACTCAGACGCGGCGGATGGGTGCAAATGGTTGAGATATACTTCAACGTGCAATCTGACAACGGTTCACTCACCGAACGACACGCTTTGAGCCAGTGGAGCGCAAAGTATAGAGCCTCTTTAGAAGATCTTAAGGATCTCCGCGTCGGTACAAGGCTAGGCAGCCTTCTTACTGCCGCAGGATTGGTGGATGTCGAGACGAAAATGATCCAGTTGCCATTATCTGGATGGCCCAGTGGTTGGTCCATAATGAATAAACACCATCAAGCGTAATAGCCCTGACAGAAGCCAGATCCGAGAATGCGGGAGATCGGTACGAGCAACCAAGAAAACGTCCACAGACTCCTTTCGGCAATGGCGATATATCCGTTTACGCAGAGGTTGCATATGCCACGAGCAGAATTCGAAGTGTTGGTCGCCCAGGCCCGTCAGGAAGCGAACAACCGGTCCTTGAAGGCCTACTTTCCCCTGTGAGTAGCTGATGTCCCCAATCTGTATATGGACGAGGCTGACAGAATAGCTATGTCACCATCGGTCGAAAACCGTAGAGGAAAGGCCGGGGTCGTCGAAAGCCCTCATCGACGGCAACCTTGACGGAACTCGCTCCAGCTGTGCAGTGTAGCTCGCTGCTTTGATTTCCGATATTTTTTTCATGAGCATTGCATTCTGAACCTGCCTAGCATATGGTTGCGCGATAGACTTGAGTCATAGTGAATTAATATTCTTTGATGCTGGACCAGATGGTCATTTCCTGGGACCACTACCCACCCTACCTTAGAGGCGCTTCTCCAGGTTGCGGGTACGCGACGCTGCTGCTCCATACCTGGTTATGTCGATACGGTTCAGTATCTTTTGGCTTCATCGGGTTATATGGCGGCATTCGACAGTTACTGTGATGAATGTGCCGATAGAAAGGCTTGGGGGTTGCTGCACTTGTGCCAGGCGGAAAGCACGGTCAGGTGCAGCAGGGCGACCGGGAGAATAAAGAGGACGAAATGCAATCAGTCAGACCCACGTCGGTAGGTTCTTGGAATGGCACATTTGCTCCCGGACCGAAGGCTAATATGACTTGCTGTGTAAGCTCATCAGTATTTAGCTGACTACTGGCTGATTCCGTAACAGCCAGAAGGTCTTGGTGATGTTGCCAATTGCGCTTTTCCGGTACCATTCAGGTGCACAAGGCCTAAACGATGTGCCATGGAAAATAACACCCCAAGTCTCCCTACAGGTGGACTGCTGTCTCGATGTTTCACCGTTGGCCTGGACACTATTGATAGTCGGGCTGGAGTGTTCGGATGGGGAATGACCAACCACAGTCATATACGCATACAACATCCCTTCAGGCTCGCAGATGTCCTGCCGGCCAGATGTAGCAGATGTTGATGGCATAATGAAAGAAGACAGGAATCGAGAGGGAAATACGAGATATTGCTGGACTGGCATAGCCAAGGATCTGTCGTGCACCAGCCCAGATAAGTAAGCTCTTGATCTGGAGCATTTGCCTTCGCCCTAAACGTGGGACGCGCGCAGTCCATGTACGGCCATGTGGGGATGTTTCTGTGCCGTACTCTGCCTTGGAGGTGAGTGATTCTGACGACCTCAAAAGACCTCTTCGTCATGTCCACGGCTTTGTTGTGGCCTAGACAGCCATCAACTCTTGGTCCTGGGACGCTTATGTGATGGACAAGATGCATCTCTGCTTTCGAGAGTGAGGGAGGGAAGGCCAAGATCCCGAAGACGAGACGGGTCGAAACAGGGAGGAAATAGTGGGAAGCCATGCCAAACGGACAGTTCTACCAGCTAATAAAGAATAGGCTTGATGCCCTGGAGAGGGAGAATCCGATTCCATTATTGTCCTGTTTGCTGGAGGCCCAGAGGCCCAAACGCCCATTGCTCTATCGCCCATCATTCCGCCCTTAACCCCTATGGCTCAATGGATGCCCAGCGGAAACGGGATCGTGGCAGGGGCCTCTCAGCGAACATCATTCCGATCTTAACTCTGAAAAATGTAGCGTTGCTGGGCTATTATTATTGTCCTGACGGGACTGCTTTGAACAAGTAATCGTTACTGAGCACGCTTACATCTGTCACCTTGCGTTTCCTTTTGCTCTATCTATTTCCTGCCCTCAGATTGCCCGAAGACCCCGGATCTTATGTACAGGTGGTCATTGCGGGCCCTCGCTACGTTGATATTCGATCATTGCTCTACCATTACTCCCTGATCCTGTACGAGTTTCTCCGCAATTGGAACCGTCAAGCCAATGAAGCTGCTGTCATTCTAGCTCCAAGCTTCATAATAAAAGCAAGCGGCGCTTGTCAGGCTTTCGCGGAAGCGGGCGCACTGGCACCGTCTCGCCCCACGCATGCCTGAGCATCTCAAGGTGTCCAACCCGAAACCAGCGCTCTCCTTCGGGCAGTATAGCGTCCAGTTGGGAGCTGAGCTGACGCGGGGATGGTACTGTCTGGTCTGTCTCCTCATCCGCAGGCGATATGCAGGGAGAGACTATGTCTGACCATATTTCAATCGTCGACAGCTGCACCCAGCATGAACACATGGCCACTGACTGTCGATGGTAACGGGCTCCAAAAGCATGGTCAAGAGAAGGCTTGACGGGAGGAATTACTCCGTAGACAGCTGAGCCTTGTTCTATTGGAGTGACGAGTAGATCAAGGATCAAGCTAGGGCTACCAGGCGCCGGCGGCCCAGGAACGCGGCGCCTCCTGAGATCGAGCACGCTAGATCCCTGTAGGCAGCAGATATAGTAAGACAACGGGCATGCGCATCCGATCGTCTTCTTAGATATGCCTGGACATTTGTAATTAAGCATCGACGGCCGAGACCGCGAGGGCGCTTGGGCGCTTATGTGGAGCCTTGTCACCTGAGGCCCCCAATCGCCCGATCGGGCAATGCCGCTTCGGGGCGGGGAAAAAAAGTTTCGGTAGAGACAGCGCAAGATCTGATCTTTTGCTCAGCATCAACAACAACACCAACCCCTCTGTCCAAGATGCCGTCCACATACAAGAAGGACAAGCCGTGGGATACGGATGACATAGACAAGTGGAAGGTGGGTGCGAGAGCATCACGCGGATGGAGCTGTTACTGACCTGCGCAATCGCAGATCGAAGAATTCAAGCCCGAAGACAATGCCGGCGGTACGTTCGCGGAGGAGTCGTCCTTTGCGACGCTGTTTCCCAAATATCGCGAAGTATACCTGAAGGAGGCATGGCCGATGATCACTAAGGCGCTGGAAAAACATGGCATTGCCTGTACGCTGGATTTGGTCGAAGGTAGCATGACTGTCAAGACCACCCGGAAAACCTTCGATCCTGCCGCGATTCTCAATGCACGCGATCTGATCAAGCTTCTTGCGCGAAGCGTTCCCGCTCCTCAGGTAAGTCTATTGCAATCTCCCAGCTTTGTCCTTCCAAAGAAAGACATCGTTGACACAGATCCAACCGACAGGCGGTCAAAATCCTCGAGGACGGCGTGGCCTGCGACATCATCAAGATTCGCAACCTCGTTGGCAGCAAGGAGCGATTTGTGAAACGTCGCCAACGTATCCTGGGCCCGAACGGTTCAACTTTGAAGGCTCTTGAGCTTCTGACGAGCACCTACATCCTTGTGCAGGGTAACACCGTTTCCGTGATGGGGCCGTTCAAGGGTCTGAAGGAAGTGCGCCGAGTCGTCGAGGACTGCATGGCCAACATCCATCCGATTTATCACATTAAGGAACTCATGATCAAGCGGGAGCTGGCCAAGGATCCCACTTTGGCGCACGAGTCGTGGGATCGCTTCTTGCCCCATTTCAAGAAGCGCACCTTGTCTAAACGCCGCCAGCCATTCAAGGTCACCGACAAATCCAAGAAGCCGTATACTCCTTTCCCACCGCCTCAGGAGAAGAGCAAGGTGGATCTCCAGATCGAGTCGGGCGAGTACTTCTTGTCGAAACAAGCGAAGGAGAGAGCGCGCAAGGAGGAGGTCATGGAGCGCCAGCGCGAAAAGAGAGAAGAGAAGATGAAGGAGCGAGAGAAGGACTTTGTTCCGCCCAAGGAAAAGGAGGAGATCGAAGCAGAAGCAAAGGAGAAGAAAGAGAAGAAGAAGCACAAGCGGAAGCGCGCAGAAGCCGAAGGCGACGTCGAAGCGGATGGTACAGAGACCAAGAAGAAGAAAAAGAAGAGCAAGACGAAGGAACGATCGTCATCTGCAGACGCAGAGTGATTTTCTTCGATAATTTTCCTCGGCTGAAACTTTTTGTGGATTCATCTGTCCCTATATGGCGCCTGCATGGGTTGGAGTTCTTCTGTCTTGATTCTCTTTCGTGCTCCTGTACTGCATTAAAATTCTCTTTTTTCTCATGTCTCGAATATGTTGTCTACCCTATGCAGTAGTGATACCATCAATCTCACTTACCATCGCACCTGTCTCATATCAGGAGGGTCTTTGTTCTCTAACATCATCCTTACCGGCCTTAGCAGCCTTACTAGCCCTAGCGGACGCCTCTAGCATGGATGTTCCTAAGCCAAATCATTCATTGAGTACATCTAAACATGGCTGTTCACTGCCTACATGGTCTTTGCGATGCCATGGCTCTGCCGCTGATAAGTCCGTACTCTCAACCTCGCTAGGATTTTTAGCGGGCAGGATCGATCCCGCTGAAACGCGCGAAGCCATCGGGTTGAGCGCTGATGTCTATCACTTAACTGCCCCTAGATCAACCCCAGTCTTGATATCGGAACTGTGTTGAGCCTGGGCCGTCCTCTTCTGTGCTACGATGGCCACCGCCCGGGGCATAAGGACACTTTCGTCTTTCGCCGGCACTATCTCTGGCGCTATCTCTCCCGCCGTCAAAGCTTTGAATGGTTAAACAATCCTGTATGGACTGCCTTAGCGGCCAGGTCCGCCACAAGGAGGCGATTACACGACCGCTGATTCGACGTACACTCGAGCTCTTCAACAGTTTAAACTTCTACGAAGATGCTGATAAGGAGCGGCGCCCTCGTGGGACTTATCGCTACTCGAGGAAGGTAAAAATCTCCCGGACTCGCCTGCGGGGTACGCGTACTACCGGGGGGTCTGAGAGTCGCGAAAAATCCCAGAAAAAAAAAATAATAATAAATCAATTGAAAAGGAAACTCCATTGCCCGTGTTGTGGTCTCTTTTCAAGATTTCTGGGCCGATTTGTGAAGCAGTTAATTCTTGAATATGTCGACCAATCTGGGGGAGATCGGTGTCTCCGATCCTGCACGGCTCGATAAGGACAAGGGAGAAGAGAGCGTAACGCAGAATGCCGTCTTCGACAACGACCTCGAGCAGCCGGTCGCTCCGGATCAGTTCGATGATAGTTATCGAACGTCCAAGTGGGAGATCTGGGCATATTATACGTGCGTTGTTTGCGGTTGCACAGAGGATGAAGACTAAATAAAGGGTGATAGTTACTACATTGGCAACAATGGTCTGACATTGTTCAGTAAGCACTACTATCTCTATAATACTCTTGGATTGGTGTCCTAACTGATCAGATTTCGCGCCAACTGCTTTCCAGAACCTGCTTTACCAAGCTGCAGGAGACTCCGGCATGCTCCCTTTTGCCGGCAAGCTCCGTACGATCGACAGTATTGTTCTTTTGAGCAACGGTATCTCGTTTGCCATTCAGATCGCCGTCTTTCTCGTCCTTGGGAGTTTCGCGGATTTCGGAACCTGGCGGTCTAACATTCTCATCGTTCTCTCCCTCATTGCTTACGCCATCGGTTTTGGCTGGTTGGGAGTCCACACGGAGGAAAAGTGGCTCATAGGAACTGGACTATATATTGTGGGCTTGATCGCTTATCAGACGACTTTGACCTTCTGGACGGCAGCATTCCCTGGTCTGGCCCGCAATACAGCGGAGCTGAAATCTAAAGCAGAGGATTATATGGCCGGGGTCATCTCACGAGATGAATATGACCACGCTGATACGATGAAACGTAGTCAGTTGGCAAACATGGCATTTTACATCCAGTCCATTGGAGAGATTGTCATTCTCGCCATCATAGTTGGAATCATGTTCGGCCTGAATGTCAATGCCAGTGAAGCTAACAATAACTGGGGTTTGAGCGTGCTTATCGCTTTTGCAAGCGGTGTCTGGCTCCTTCTCTCGATTCCTTGGTTTATTCTCGAGAAAAGGAGGCCAGGGCAGGATCCCAGAGGCAATATCATATTGGCGGGCCTAAAGCAGTTATCCTATGCTTTGTCGCAGGTGTGGAAACTCAAACAAAGTCTGCTGTATTTGATTGGTATGTATTCGAACAAGATGCCCATTTTCTGGCAAAACTAAAATTAAAACCAGGCTACTTTCTTCTGGGTGACTCCCTGAACACAACAGTAACAGTTATTGGAACGCTCCAGAATAGCATTGTTTCATATAATACCCTACAGCTAACGTATCTCTTGATCGTTGGTATTGCGGCGCAGGTAGGAGCAGTTCCTGTAAGGATCATGGCTAGAGTTCTACTAATCAGCAATAGGCAGCCGGTATTTACGCTTTTTGGTTCGTCCAGCGTCGATATAACCTTGGAACCAAGACCATGTTTAATGTCGTTGCATTCTCCATCATCCTTCTCGATGGTTGGGGAATGATCGGCATCTGGACGCAGCGCTTTGGATTCCATCACGTGTGGGAAGTTTGGGTTCGTAAACGATCAATTCCTGTTATATACGTCTCCAAATCGCTTCTAACATTATTTCCCCAGCTCTACCAAGCTTTCTACGGCCTCTTCGTCTGCCCATGGTACAGTTATTCTCAGATCATGATCTCTGAGGTGACTCCTCGCGGCTACGAGTTCCTCTTCTTCTCCCTATTCAGCATCATTGGAAAAACCTCATCTTTCATCGGACCCATCGTATCTAGCGCCATCATCGATGCTACACCATCTGGAAACGCATCTACACCATTCTATTTTCTGTTCGCACTTAGCGTTTGTAGTTTCATCATGCTAGTGTTCTGTGTCGACTTGAAAAAGAGTCGGAAAGAGCAGGAAGCTTTTTTGAGAGAGAAGATGGAGAGATTGGCGCAGAGTTCTGACGAGTCTGTATCGGGACTAGAGCAGAAATAGACGATGGAGGGAGCTGGGATATGAAGTTTTGATACCCACTGATAGATAGAGGAGCGTGATGATCTTTAGATGGGGAGGAATTATGAATCTACGTAACAGTTCCATAAGTGTCTTTCAATACCGTCTGAAATCCCACGTCCAAAATCAATAAGTGGATCAGCTCAATGGTCTAATCATTAAGAAGACATAAGTAGTCCAATACATATAACAAAACTTTCCACTCTTCCTCAGTTGAGGATATTGCAACGTAGAGAATGCCTGCATATATCTTCCTTCGTCTAGCGTTTAGTCTTTCATAATATGTAGAAGTGTATATTATCCAGGATAGATTACCTGGGACCCCATCTAGATCCAACTTACTAGCGGAAAAGGAAATCTTGGGCTATACGACACCTTGAGCAGTAATGCGTTTTAATGCGTGTAGATGTCTCTATGCCCAATGTGCAGAGATAGAAGGTATGACAATGCGTATTCAGCTACTCGAGTGAAAATACTTGATACCCGTAGTTTATCAGTTAAAGCCGAGTGATAGGGAGCTCACGTGCCTCCGAGAATACATCAACAAACGCTCTATCACATTTATTGGATGGATATTACGCAGCACCTGAGGCACTCTTTCTAGATCCTAGTTCTGATGAGGCAGGGTTCGCTGTGCCGCATACCTGCCTGGACGTATGATTCGATTGTCATCAGATGCGCCGCAACCGCCCTCTACATCGTGGAAGGGGTTGTAGATGTTGACGGGCTTATCCGGCGAGTACACCATGGACACGTGTGCCGGGCGCTTTGCAGAGGGCTCGTTTGAGATATCGTGATCATGCACCCTCACGAATAGGGCATCAGTTTGCGTCGTCGAATAATAAGATTAAGGAATCTCCACTCTAATCCCATTCGTACCAGTGACCAAGCTGATCTTCTAACAGGAGGGGACATATCAAGAGACGTTCAGTCACAAATATGAGAAGGATGTGACGTGCCACTAAAATTCAAAAATCGATAATACATAACAGTCTTTTGCAGTAATATGATATACAAATTGTAATTGGAGAAGAGCTAGAATGTCGGTATTGAGAGAGATCTTTGACTAGAACTACGCTCCTGATCATTTACCATTCAGGTGGGACGTACTGTACGAAGGCAGCTCTAGCAAACACCAGTAGTAATTTGGACTAAAACACCAAGAGGGTGAAATCAATCTTAACAAGTGTTGTTCTATGAAATTTCCAGCAAAGAAAACACCATCTGACAATTCAATTCCATTCAATCTCCCTTCCGTCATAGTTTCGGTTTATCGCTGACCTCTTTAGCATGTGCCGCAGCCTCCTCCGCATTGCGCGCAGCGCTGCCTTCCAGGCCATAAAGAACCTTTCCGGATCCAGGAATCACCATCTCAAATGTTTCCGAAATACGGGTATATTGGAAATAGCCACAGCGAGCAATAGGCTGGGCTTTGGAAAGGTCAACAATGCCATCAGTCAACACGTCTTCCGAGATATGGACACCAACAACAAGGCCGATGATGATGTCGACAGTACCCATCGGAGGGTTTCCAGGGAGCCTCAGGGTGCTATGATAGCGACACTCGAATCGGATAGGCGAATCGCGCACCATAGAGCAACGTACCAGGTGCGCAGGCGCCTTGGTCAGACCTGCGCGCTCGAACTCGTCTGTTCCATAGGGAACTTGCTCCGCTGAGATGTTGACTGCTTCTCGCAGAGGGTATGTTGCCATGTTCCACACAAATTCCCCTGACGCCTCAGTATTGATCGTTGTGTCCTTGCGTACGCCCAGCTCGGTCTGGTTTGCTGAAAACATGACGTATGGAGGGTCGAATGTCAGGTTGTTGAATTGAGAGAACGGCGCGAGGTTGTCAACGCCATCTGGTGATCGTGTTGAGATCCAGCCAATCGGCCGGGGCACTACGCAGGCCTACATCCCAATATTCAGTATCAGTAAGAGGGACAGTCTATGGTAATATGATAACAACCTTAAAGGGATCCCGCGGCAGCCGATGTGGTGTTTTACCCGGTTGGTAGAACATGATGGCGTGCTAAATCATGTATTGAAGAAGTCCGAGGCTTTGCAGCTTAATTTTGCCACTGAACTACAGACTTCCAACTGACGATAGAGGCAGATTAGCTAGATGTCATAACGCCTGGACGGCTCGCTCGGGGCAATTCCGCTGGCTTCTTAGCATCGATTAGCGGACAGAATAGCGCCGGCGTGCAGCTTCCCCATGTTTTCGGCCAAACCAGAGTTAGCCGGGTGGTTATCTGGTGGTTTGATAGTTACTAAACGTGGGGTATGATAAAAGTTTATGGCCTCCTAAAGGTGAACACTCTTATTACATCGAAAGCGAGTCTAATTTATTACTCGTAGGTAGTGTTTAGTTCGTCCCGCATCTATCACTTTGTATCGTCGGTTACCCTACCGTCTGCTACAATAACTTAAGAGTCTAAATTGAGAAGCTCTAAATACCTAAGTACCGGCAGAATGGGGACGATAGAAATCACCGTCCACATAAGCTCATAGACCGAACAGGATGACATGGCTACGCAGAGGATCAAATGGGCTTGCAAGCCAAGAAAAATGGAAGATCTCGATCGGATGCGGAATTAGAAATCAATATTACAATCATTATTACCTTATTACCTTAATAACTAGTAAGTTCCAAACTGGTTACTGATCAAAAACTGCGGCTGTGGAACCGAGGAAGAGCTTCGGTTGATCACTAACCAGGGCTTGCGTGTAACCGAGCATAATCAAGTACACCAAAATCGAGATATTTCTGGGCTAACTTGTCCTTTTATTTAGGAGGCAGGAATATCTCATGACACCAATCCATCTATCTATCCAAAACAAGTCGGAATTGGCTTGTCGTTACTGATCTTCTCGGTGCCATTTCTCCCCGAGACGCTAAAATAAACGTAGATAGACTAAGTATTCCAAACTGGAGCCTGCCGCGTGCACAGGCCAGCTTATCCGCATTCTGGTTACAATATCCATAAGATTGAGCCTCGGTTTCTTTCCTGCTCCACCCACCTGCTTAGACACTGGTGGTCATATAAGAAGTGTTCTTTCCCGAACACTTTTATTCATACCATAGATCTCAATTTGATGGGTTTCCCACAGAAGTGAAATATCATGTCTTACAACACACAAAAGAAACCAGTTGTGGCCGTTGTAGGCGCCGGGCCTGGAATCGGAGAGGCCGTTGCCCGACGATTCGTGGCCGAAGGCTTCGTCGTCGCTCTCCTGGCCCGTACCGAAGACAAACTCCGGACGATGGTCGAGGGTATTGATGCCGACTATGGAAAAGGGACGGCGAGATACTATATAACTGACTTGCGAATTGAGGAGTCAGTTATTTCCAGCTTCAAGTCCATCCGTGCCGACCTGGGTGCCGTGACTGTCTTAGTGTACAATGCCGGTGCACGTCGCGTCAATGGCAGATCAATACTGGATACTACGACCGAGGAATTCGAAAACTTTACGAAGATTAATCTGTTCGGTGCTTTCTGGTCCACCAAGTGCGTGTTACCCGACATGCTAGCCGCAGGTCAGGGAACGATTCTGTATACAGGCGCGACAGGTTCGCTGCGTGGTTCACCCGGACTAAGCAGTTTCTCTCCTGGAAAGTTCGGGTTGCGGTCTCTAGCGCAGATCGTGGCCCGCGAATACCAATCCCAGGGAATTCACGCGGCACATATCATCATTGACGGTCCAGTGGATGGAAAGTTGATTGGCGGCGTGCGGCGACGGCAATGGCAGCGAGAGGGAGAGACAGCTAAGTTGGAGGATGTTGAATCCTATCTCGCGCAACCAAAAGATCTGGCTCACATCTACTGGTTTCTGCATACTCAACCGCGAAGTGCCTGGACGCAGGAATTGGACGTACGGGCACAGAAGGAGAGTATATACTCGAGGTTGTAAAATGTCTGAGGAATAGGTCAGCCTTTGACCTCCGATTTTTTTTTTTTTTTTGAAAGCTGTGCGAATAGTCGGAACCATTGGAAGACCACGACTTTGAAGATGTAAATGGAGCCGTACAATGTCTGTTCTGTTTCATGTTTCCAATTATTGTCGTATCTAGCATTATACAGCATGCTTTATTCCTAGTCAATTAGTATTTAGAGGCGTCCTTTCCGACAAACTTTAGCGAATAATGTCCCAGCGAGCACTTGAACGTTCTAAATGCTTCAGCTCGGCCCTTCAACCAGGCCGGATATCTTGTATGAAGTCCATTCTGCCAGGTTCGGGAGATTACAGTGAATATACTTGGGGTGCAAGCTCTTTGATTCATGTCTCTAAAGCCAGCATGGTATCAAGTATGTGATGAGGAATAGTAAAACTGTAAAAGTCTACAGCCCTCGTTCTATTATATATAGCGAGAAACCACGTTTTCTCTAAAATCTGTGAAACCACCGTTACCAGATGGGTTTTTATGTACGATAAGTTATTCGCGCGGATGCTCTTGGCCCCCAAAGTCCATTATTGTATGGTATCGGCTCCGATCCGAAGCGCTCCGAGAACACACCGTGTGACTGACCAAGTAAGCAAGCAGTACAATTCCTCAAAACCCCCAGGTTCCTCTCAAGGTACATACATACATACAACCAACCATCTCATATATGAAAGAAGGACCTTGATAGTTATCCTTGATAATCTAATCTGCAGATCCAGTAATCAATAACTACAACATACATAATAATATGCCCTCCTCCACACTCTCCACCCTCCGTCTTCCCCGCCTCCCCGGATTTCCCAACCACTATCGCTATGGATCATCTTACTCCACAGCACTAACCATCGCATCCGCGTCGCTGCTCACTGCAGTTGGTATCCTCTGCGCACCGGCTGCGTATCGAGACTACAAGAAATACATGTCCTATGGACCCGGCGGTCCGCCATACAATGTCTTCGGATGGCTGGCCATCTCCCTCCTGGCACCGCTGCAGCGCGAGATGCTGGATACAGCGGTATATGACCAGGACGTGGAAGAGTTAGGAGAAGAGAGGACATGGTTGAAAGACGAAGATTTACCACAGAGAAAGGGACCGAGACCGGAAGTTGGGACGCATGCTGCGCCGCAGAGGCAGCTTACGCAGACCCCGGAAACGGAGATTAAAGAGGTAGGTTCTAGTTCACTTATTAAGTAATTTCTTTCTATATTTTATCAATCGATATCGTTGCGCGCAAGAGGACTGACTGTCTGATGAATGCGGATATATTAGAAACTGCTCAAAACCTTCCTCGAGATTCAGTTTAACAATCAAAATATACTGAACATTGCACCGTCCAATCTGGAAAAACATACATCTGCACTCTTCATCTCCGACCTCGCGCCTCGTCCCAATCCTCTCGTTACTTCGTCCACACGGGGTGAAATCGCTCATGTCCACGGCACTGCCGAACATTCGGTCCATGTGATCCTTTCGCCTGTGGACAGCAAGAAGGTCATCGAGGCCGGATGGGGCCAGCGTCACTCGCTGTCGGGCTCTACGGTTTTTCGCAAATTATTCGGGAAGAAAAGGGCAATGTTTATCCCGAATGAGTTTCTCTTGATCTATGCACCGAGGGATGAGGAGGAGATTAAAGTTGTGATAAATATCGTAAAGGCAGCAGTGGCGTTTGGAGCGGGAGTGTCGACTGACGAGGTAATCTGAGCAGTTTGATGTGTCGGGGAGTTCTGATTCAGGTGATGAGGTGCAGAACTGGGACGGTGTTAGTTGTCTGGGAGATATATGGATGTACTATATGGGAGGATGTAATGGGATACCCAGTGATAACGGAGGAGTTTGGCGTCGGGCAAACATATCTGATCATTTAACTTGTCCTTGTGGATGTTTAATAGTCGTGGATATAATCTCATCTCACTTGAAGCTCAATATCATCCTCCTGTCTTTACAAGGGTTCATATCATGGATTTACAACATGTCCAGTCTGGTCTAATCGATTCATTCGCCGTTAATACATGCTAGAAAAAGAAAATACAGATCCGAAGTTTAGACCACGGAGTATGGAATAGACACAACAGCTTAATGCTCGGACACGAAAATTCCAGCCATTCCCATTCCCTGTTTTAGATAACGTCAGTGAATGCTTGGTCAAGGATGTAGCGTTGGATCGCGGAGAACTTACCGTTCCAACACACATAGATGTCACAGCAACACGCTTGTTCTGCCTTCGAAGCTCGGACAGAGCAGTGACAACCTGTCGTGCTCCTGTGCAGCCGAGGGGGTGGCCCAGGGCACTATAATGGTTCTTAGTAAATCGTCCAGCTTATTTTAAGATCAGATGAACTCACATTGCACCACCACGGGGGTTAACCTTGCTCTCATCCAGACCGAGCTTGTCGACGCAGTACACGCCCTAAAGAACGGTTAGTTGCTGAACGACGGGAGTTGAAATATATGGCTAGACAGGCAAAAACACACCATGGAAGCGAAAGCCTCGTTGATCTCATAGATATCCACCTCGTCCTGACTCAGGTTGTACTTGCTCAGGATCTTCGGGATAGCAATGGAAGGTCCGATACCCATGATACGGGGCTCAAGACCAATGACCGTAGCACCCACAAACTTGCCAACGATCGGCTGGCCCAGCTGCTGCGCCCGCGATCGCTTCATCAGGAGCACTGCGGCAGCGCCATCGGTGATCTGACTGGCGTTGCCACCAGTAGTGTTGCTGGGCGCCCACTGCGGGAAAGCAGCACGGATCTTGCTCAGGCCCTCGGGGGTAGTACCGTATCGGACACCATCATCACGGTTGACAACAACCTCCTTGACCTCGCCGGTCTTGGGGTCCTTGACCTTGGTTCGTACGGGCACGATTTCCTCGTCAAACCAACCAGCCTTCTGGGCGCGCTCGGCCTTCTGGAAGCTCTTGGCAGCGAAAGCATCCATCTGCTCACGGCTGATACTGAACTGACCGGCGACGTTCTCTGACGTCTGGCCCATAGGCTGCGTGTTCTGGCCAGCAAGGCGATGTGACAGGATGGCGTCAGACATTTTCGGGGCGCCATTGTCGGGACACGTGCTCATGCTCTCAGCTCCAACAGCGATACCGACATCGATAGACCCAGCAATGATCTGGTTGGCGACATTTTGGATCGCGAGCAGACCGGACGAGCAGAATCGGTTGGATACCGAAGCGGCCGTGCTCTCGGGGAAACCTGCAGCCAGAACAGATGAGCGAGCGATGTAGGCCGCACTGGGCGACAGAACGTTTCCAACACAGACATCCTCCACCTGGTTGGGGTCAATCTTGGACTTCTCGCGAACAGTCTAGATACGGTCAGACGTGTGTTGCGTAGGAAACTTTTACTGAACAATAAACTCGGGTTTTGCGCACCGTCAGTAGCGAAACAAGCAGATCATCCAACGGGGTATCCTTCAAGCCCCCCTTGCGAGCCTTGGTAAGCGGTGTTCTCACGGCCAGCGTAATCACCTACTTTTCTGTTAGATCAACCCATCCAATCCGTATCTTTTTTTCAGAAGCGAGTATATTGCTAAGACGTGGTCGGGACTTACAATATCGTCGGGGTTCTGCGCAAGTATCTTCTGTCTGGCCGCAGATTCGCTAGTGCCAGAGAGCTGGTTAGCTATGGAGGACAATCTCTGCTGTGCGGACGACATTTTGAAATCTGTATGTAGCTGCCGTGATCTCAAATCCGTGTCTGCCTGCTCGACGGATAGGACTAGTAAACACAACTGCAGAAGACCGAAACTGCGGGGGCGGGGAGATCCGCTGCAAGATATATATCCTCGAGGTCGATGGCAAAAAAGAAAGAAACGGATAGATTTTAGGATGGACGGTACTTTAACTAGGGAATCCCCACAGAGCACATGTACAGATCAAAGACTTCTGTCCACCCGACTAGGAACAACCAAGCAGCCAGTCGGCTCAATAAGACCGAGATAAAACCTCAAGATGCCTAGGTAACGGGCGCTGCGGTATTAACCTGCCGAAAAGCAATGCCGTCCTAGCGACGTTACAATACTGTCACCGCTGGTACCTCGGCTGCTCGGAGTGCGCGATCGACTGCGATTTTGAACGCTTTGGGCGATTGAGTTCGGATATCAGAGCGTTAGCTCAAGGGGCCTTTCTCCACAGCCCTCTATGTTGTGATTAAGTATGCGGCCGATAATTATCGACGATATCAAGGAAACGGGGTAGCCATAAGGACGAAGGGTAAGAGTAGAAGCCGTCCTTATGTATCTGTATCGCTCAATTTTGAACGACTTCGCGGCGTTTTGTGGAGAACAGCAAGAGGTTGATATACTCTGTGAATAGTTATCATCTTGACACCTTCAGGATCACCAAAATGCCCCATGTGGGGCTGTATGGCGTATTACCCCAGAGCAGCCAAAACACCATAAAGAGTTAAGAGCATGGAGGAGATTCTTATAACCATTCGAAACATCGTAGTACATCAAAGTGCTGTACCGAGATCCGTCTATCACGATACATTTCAAAGTCCCTTCTTTCAAGTTTCAAGCCACGCAGCGGCAGATGAACACTCCAGCTCCCGACTGCCACTTTGTCCGCGTTTCTCAGACTGTATAACTGAATCTTCTCCCAGACTAAGCTCCGCAAGAGTGTGGAGGTCGAGTGAGCTTGGAATCTCGGATCAGTGTGTTTCGTGAACGGGAATAAGTCTATCCCGGGCTATTTAATTGATCTCTCATATATCCTGTTGAAGAGAAATATCAAAAATCACAGAAGAGGAGCACAATAGAGACTGAATCTGGACAAAATGCTTCCCATCGTCGTCGGCGCCACGCCGTCGTCCGTCGCGATGACATCGGCCTTTGTCGCTGCTGCGGGTGCCTACCTCAACGCCAAGTTGGGTATCTCTACAGATCTGACAAACCTCTACCATGACCGAGATTTTGGCAAACGGCTGGCCCAATGTGTCAAAGATCTGGGAGAGTCACAGACCGTATACGGGTTGCTACAGCGAGGTGTCGAGATTCACGGCAAAGGCGCGTCCGAGGCGCTGTGGTTCGAAGGCAAGACCTGGACATATGCTCAGTTGAAAGACCGTAAGGACACCTCAAATGCCCAGTAGTCCAAAAGATTGATTATTATGGCCACTATAGCGACTGATTCATTTACTGACGGGTTCCAGTGGTCGACAAATTTGCTGAGGTGCTCCATGCCCGGGGTGTTCGACCGGGTGATTTCGTCGCGGTCTTCACAACGAACTCCCCGGAAATGGTTATCTGTATACAAGCACTCTCGAAACTGGGTGCAGTGGCTGCTATGATCAATACCAATCTGCGAGGTAAGCGAACCGTTGCTGCAGGATCGTGTAAATATTATACTGACCTCTTAATGACTAGACGAGACCTTCCTCCATTGCTTGAACGTCTCCAATGCCAAGTTGATCATTGCATCGCCAGATCTGGCCCAGTTTGTTATCGGGGATCAACCGCGCATATCATTGAACATAGGATCGTTTGACGGCATCATTCCTGACACGGCAGAGCTCATCAGTCTGCAGGACCTTCAGACACAGCCGAGCACGGGTTTAAAGGCTGCGAAACGCTCTATCGTTGATCTGGCTGTTCTTATCTATACATCGGGAACGACTGGCATGCCCAAGGCCTGCGCTGTCCCGAACATGCTGATGCTTGTCACGGCGAACCCATTAACACGAGACCTGAGCAATCCGTCCAAGTACTATCCGATGAGGATATACTCGCCATTGCCCCTTTTTCACGGCACTGCTATGTTCGCTGGAATGTGTTATTCGCTGGGTAACCTGGGGACTTTCTGCTTGCGACGCAAGTTCTCTTCTTCACAATTCTGGAAGGATGTCCATGACTCGCGCGCGACTCGAATCATGTACATTGGTGAACTGTGCCGGTACTTGCTAGCCACTCCGCCATCACCATACGACCGCAACCATTCTTGCAGGGTGGCGGCTGGCAATGGTCTACGCGGGGAGATTTGGGAGCGCTTCAAGGAGCGTTTCGGAGTGCCTGAGATCCGTGAGTTCTACCGCTCGACAGAAGGTGTCGCCAAATACGACAACATGGGGGAAGGCGCCTGGGGTGTTGGCAAGATCGGATTCTCAGGACCCATCAGGCGTCTGGTGGAGGACGATGTCATCATCGTCAAGTATGATCCAGAGACCGAGATGCCGTATCGGGATCCGAAAACGGGATTCTGTGTCAAGGCCAAGTTGAACGAGGAAGGTGAAGCCATTGGCCGGGTCAAGAATCGCGCCCTTTTAACAGAATACTTGGGCAACAAGGAGGCGACGGAGAAGAAGTTGATTCGAAATGTCTTCCGGAAAGGAGACCTCTTCCAGCGAAGCGGTGACCTGCTAGTCCATGAATCCTCGGGCTGGATTCGTTTCCAGGACCGCGTGGGGGATACTTTCCGCTGGAAAGGAGAGAATGTTAGCGCGGGAGAGGTCAGAGATCACATCTGTCGGCTTCCAGGAGTACATGACGCCGTCGTATATGGCGTAAGGCTTCAGAGGTAAGTATTCACTGCAGCATGATACAGGGCCAGATAGACTAACTGGAGCAGCTATGATGGCCAAGCTGGTGCTGCAGCTATCACACTGGAGAAATGGACACCCGAGAGCGAGAGGGAATTTATATCCACTCTCTATAAGGCACTCAGGGCTAAGGGCGTGCCCACCTACGCTATACCTCGTTTTGTCCGGTTTATCGAAAAGTATGTCACCTTCCCGAAAAGAATCTGCTGTCCAGCGATACTGACAAGGCCTCAAGAGTTTCGACTGGTGTCACCTTCAAGCAAGCAAAAGGCGACCTGGCCAAGAAAGGATGGGATCCACGAAAAGACGCGGGCGGTGACTCCCTGTACTGGCTGAACGGAAGCCAATATCAACCTCTCGACGAGAGCAGCTGGACTGGTATTGAGGCTGGTGCTGCAAAGCTGTAATGGGTTCCCCAGCATGTGGGTAGAACTTATAAACAGACGGGATCCAGGACGAGTTATAGCTGTAGAGTAAACGTATATGTACGAAATGCAAATGATCTAATCGCGACAAATATGTCAGGGATATCATTTTAGTCGCTTAATACCGAAGATGCGTGTTTCGTCGAGGGAATCGGTCCTCTATGCTTGCTTTCAGCAGACTGCAAGGTTGTAATGCCTTGATAGTTGTGATAAATAGTAGAGGACAGGAAAAGCTCAACATCAACGATGGTATTGCAGATAATATTCCAACCACACTTGGAAGTTATCGCGGTTTAAATCGATACTGGACAATGAGGGGTCGAATGTTGATGAGCCGAGGAGTGGCGTGACGGAGAAGTTGGTCGATGTCGCTCTTGATAGATAGTCAATTACCGTCAAGCTCAGCAACGAATCAAGCAACTGAGGGTGATATCGCTCAGAATTGATATGAGATGTACTGTACCTCAAAAGTTAGAGTACCATCTAACAGCTTCACCTTCGAATGCAACCATAATGCCATTGCTATCCAGACCGTTCGAGCCTCGAAGTAACCTACCGACCCACTGTTCACGCTATGCGCCACCCGGACTCGACCTTAGATAAAAGAGGGGAGTTCTGTATCAATTAGAAGGCTTTGACCGCGAAACTGCTAAAAAATGGCCAGAGGATCGCTGCGCCTCCTGCTTCATTCCGCAAAGCGTCCGTTCATAGTTGATCGACAGGGGAAAAACACATTCCGCGCGCCGGCGTGACCTCCAATGAGTATGAAGTATGAGATGATTCTTGCTCGAATTACAGAACCATCCGTGTGCTAAAAGATTGCAGGTACCAGGGTCAATCAATGTTCATAATGGCCCGGAAATGATCGCATGCAGAGCTGTGCGACCGGAGATAAAACGATGGATTTGATCCTGGTCGCCATGAGCAACCTCAATGATCTACCACCCCTTTCCATTCCAAGGACCAGCTAGACGTGACATGCCAGGATAACGCCGGCTTGCCATGATCTACTTATATCTATTATCGCCCCCGCACTTGCGGAGAGAGCTGTTGCTGAGCAGCTTCGCAGTCGCTGTGATTTTGCTCCTTTATCCACCGCCATCGTCAGTATGGCGCTCCGCCATGCGTTGGTGTCATTCGTTTTCTTGACTCGCTCGTTTGCTGCAAACAACAGCGTTACTGATGATTATGACGTTCTGCAGTATGTTGATACACTGATCGGAACCACCAATGGGGGTAAATCTCTATGTAATACATCGACCAGTGGACATATTCTAATCATTATTTCTAGGAGATGTTTTCGCTGGAGCAACACTCCCTTATGGAATGGCCAAAGCTGTAGCTGATACAAACTCCCAGTATAACCAAGGCGGTTTCACCTATGATGGGAGTGCAATCACAGGGTTCTCAAACCTGCACGATTCTGGCACGGGAGGAAGTCCTTCTTTAGGCAATTTCGCGCTCTTCCCCTACGTCAGCTGCGAGAATGATGATGTTGATGGCTGCGTCTATCCAAAGACACGCCGTGCAACGGGCTATGTCAATGGCTCTGTGGCGGCTGTTCCGGGTTATTTTGGACTCACACTGGACTCTGGAATCGTAGTAGATATGACCGTTGCTCACCATACATCTCTCTTCCGCTTCCGCTTCCCAGAATCAGGGGACAATGCGAGCAGTCCCCTGATTCTTTTGGATTTGACCGATTTGCAAGACTCTCGACAGGACAATGCTACCATTTCTGTCGACCCGTCCACAGGGCGCATGCAGGGTAGTGGTCGTTTCCTACCCAGCTTCGGCAGCGGTACTTACGAGGCATTTTTCTGTGCTGATTTTCAGAGCTCATCTGGACTTCGCGATAACGGCATATTCGTCGACACACGCGCGAGTACTGGCGTCAAAGACTTGAAACTTTCAAGGGGAATCAATGGCTATCCATTACCGGTTCGAAAGCGCCCTTTCCTTCCGATATCTTTCCTCTGCTAACAGGCGTTTAGGGTGGAGGTTTTGTACGATTTCAGCCTTCTTCTTCTAACACGGTTCTTGCTCGTGTCGGGCTTAGCTTTATCAGCAGTGAGCAAGCCTGCTCCAATGCTGAATCTGAGATCCCCACGTTCGACTTTAACACCACATATTTCTCCGCTGTCGATGCTTGGAGACAGAAACTGAGCCCTATCAGAGTGTCGAGGAAAGGTGTCGATCGCTCAATTCTCGTCAACTTCTACAGTGGCATTTACAGAACCATGGTCAACCCACAGGACTATACGGGTGAAAACCCGCTCTGGAAGAGTGCTGAGCCATACTTTGATTCATTCTATTGGTGAGTCTCACCCTTTGCTTCATCTAGATATATATAACTCTCAGAAAGTTGCACTAACCTCGAACAGTCTCTGGGACTCCTTTCGGTCTCAAATTCCTTTCCTCATCCTCGTAGATCCTCATGCAGTTGCTCGTATGATCCGATCTCTTATCGACACGCAGAGGCATCTTGGTTGGCTTCCGGATTGCCGCATGTCACTTTGTAAAGGTAAGTATTGCTCATAATACTGCCTGAATTTCAAGTTCGTCGCTAACATTGACCAGGATTCACGCAAGGCGGCTCCAATGCCGACAACGTTCTCGGCGATGCATTTGTGAAGGGACTAACCGATGGTATCGACTGGGAAGACGGCTACGCAGCAGTGCAAAAGGATGCTGAAGAGGAACCATACGACTGGTCCAATGAAGGACGAGGTGGTCTAGTCAGTTGGAAGAGCCTGAACTATATCCCCGAGCAAGATTTCGACTATCTTGGTTTCGGTACCATGACACGGAGTATCTCGCGGACACTAGAATACAGCTATAACGACTATGTCATTTCGCAAATCGCGCGCGGGCTCAACAAATCTGCAGATGCTGAGAAGTATGAGGCCACTTCGGGATACTGGCAGAACCTCTTCAAGCGGGATCAGAGATCATATATCAATGGCCAGGACACCGGGTTCGAGGGCTTCTTTCAGCCCAGGTATCTTAACAAGACATGGGGTTATCAGGTACCTCCAGCCAGCCCCCCATATCAGAATGATCTACACTAAGGAATAAGAACTGACAAAACGATTAGGATCCAATTACATGTTCCAACATCGACACTAGTGGAAGTCCATGCTCCCTTCAGAACAACGCAGGCGAGACTTTCGAATCCAGCATCTGGGAATATCAATTGTACGAACCTCACACTTTATCCCCTCTCCACCTCAACCTAATCCACTAACAAGATAACACCTAGTTTCGTCCCCCACGACATGGCAACTCTAATAACTCTCCTCGGCGGCCCATCCCAATTCGTCAAACGCCTCGACTACCTTCACGACAAAGGCATAACCTACATCGGCAATGAACCCGCCTTCCTAACCGTCTATCAATATCACTATGCCGGCCGACCAGCCAAATCCGCCCTCCGATCTCACTTCTACATCCCCGCCTATTTCCAAACCACTCCAGGCGGTCTACCAGGAAACGACGACTCGGGCGCCATGGGCTCTTTCGTGGCCATGTCTATGATGGGCCTATTCCCTAATCCCGGTCAGAGCGTGTACCTTATCATACCACCATATTTCGAATCTGTCCAGATCACGTCCCCTCTCACCAATCGCACAGCCACTGTTAGGGTGAGGAATTTTGATCCGTCTTATACAAATGTGTACATTCAGTCTGCGACGCTGAATGGGAAACCGTATACGAAGAATTGGGTAGATCATAGCTTCTTTACGGAGGGTATGGAGTTGGTGCTTACCCTGGGGAGGAACGAGAGCTCCTGGGGAACCAGGCAGGAGGATTTGCCTCCTTCGTTGTCGACGAGATGAATGGTTTACGTATATGATAATCAGATTCCCCACCTTCTTTTGTGTATGGGTAATTTAAGAATATGCAATAATGATATTCAGAATGAGTTTAAGAGATGCCTCACACCGTAGTACACCGTTAAGGAACTTCGTCTATAGGATTTTTGCCGAGCCAAGAATGATTTCTTATGGGTAATTGCTATTCAGCATAATCGTATCGACTGAGTTTTATAGTGACTATCTCAAATATACAGTACATAAAATTGCACATCCTGCGCATGAAGGGTATCGGTACCGAGGATAAAAAGACATGATCAACAGCTAATCTGATGATTGAAATGAGTTCAGAGTAATGGTTTCCCAGCACGGACATTGGCTGAAGATGCGGGTTAGAAGTTGTGTTGGGAGAAGGTATCCCTTAGTTTGTGCATACAGTTGACACTGGAGAGAGCACACCAGTAGCAGCCCCCCTAATCCTATGAAGGACGATTTGTGGGGAATCCCCACATATTTTTGCCCTGCTCGTGGTTGTAACCGAAAAGGGGAGATTTGATGTAGGGCATCGTTGTTGGATCGTAGCGGCTAACACCACTTGCTCCTGAGTAGGACCATGGGAAGAATAGGACCCGGGCACGGATGAAGGATAAAGACCCTTAGACCCCGTTGTGACCGAAGGCATCCCTTCTGGTCGAATTGATAATGCTTAAGTAAATGTAGGATTTAGAGGGCGTAACTTTTCGGATGCCTGTTGTATCGTCTGCCTTGTTGTGACAAAACGGCGATGCAATAGACGCAAATCGCCACACTGAGAAAGACAGCTCATGGTTCCTCGCGGTAGATAGCACTTAGTGAATGAGCAAGCTTCAGCAAGACGACACTTTCAGTGGCAGCAAAGTAATTCAAACTTCACAACAGTCAGTAAAGTCACGCATCTGTAAGTCCAGAGCACAACTCACCTGTCCAGCATAATTCGAAGATGCCTGCCGAAGTGCTCTTCATATTTCTTCAGCGTGTCCTCGAGCTTAGCTAGGCGGTTTGGGTCATAGCCCTTGCCATCTGCACCAGCTCCTTTTGCCAGTGCTAGATCCGGATCGGCTGAACTCAGGCTTCGGCCTAGGGTGCCAGCGGTCCATGACGCAAACATGGCACAGCAGACGATTAGTTTCGAATGAATCTATGCCGCATTAGCATCTATTATATGCTGGCGAGACTTGTACAGTCTTACCTTCAAGAGCTTTGCCTGCGTCAGCATGCATTCTTTGAGACAGGTGTCGAGAAAATCGACATGATCCTGCATTAGCTCGTCCACCGTACGGTTGACTTGTTTTGTCCCATTCACAGTCACCTCGGTACCATCTTCATCTGCGCCGTTGACCCTATCCATGAGCGTCTGCCAGTTTGGTTCGACGACTTCAGCCGTCGAGAAGTACAGTAGCTGCTGTATGAAAACAAGCATCTTAGCTCGTAAAGTCCATGCCCGTCTCTTCCACAACTCAATCCGTCTATCGGATGACTTGTGTCGCCAGCCCACGACCTTATTTGAATCTTGCCAACAGCTGACAAGTAGGGTTTCTGCATGGCGAAGCGACAAAAGATGGCGGAAAATAAGCTGGTAGCGCAGCACGGTCTTGCGGCTGATGACCAGTGATAGAGGAAAGGGGACTAAGTAGTCTAGCTCAAGAGCCTCAAATCCTAGTATGTCCTTCTCTTCCTCGGCACTCTGCGGAGCCGGTGTCTGGTATTTTTCCATTCCACCATCAGGATTATCTTGATCGATACCAGAAACGCTGACAACTTGCATAAGCCATTTTGTAAGACCAATCTTATTCATGCGGACCTTGACATCCTCCTTGAAAGGGTCCTGAGCGGCAATACTTCCAGGTTGGCGAAGGACAAGATCGAGCAGAGACTGCAATTTCCCTTCATTCACGTTCTTCGCAGGTTTGCGAAGCTCAGACGCACCGAGTTCCAGGAAGTAAGAGAAGAAATCTGAACGGTCGAGGAAGAAGTAGTGTTTCAGCGATCGGAAGCGAGTGGTAAGAGAATTCTTCGTCAGGAGTAGATTCAACAATGAAGCATTGGCGTATGTATAGGCGCTGTTGACATTTTCCAAAAACCGAGGATCATCGAATGTTTTTGGAGCATCCTTGACCGCTTTACTGACATCGACGCCACCACATTCGCGCACCACGTTCAGGTATTTTCCAGCCAAGAGGACTTTGTCTCTGACACTATCCAATTGCGGAGGCACTTCATGCTCACGAATCGTGTAGCGCTTTTCCCAATATTCATCTGTGTAATCTTCTTCCAGTTTCTCGCGCTTGATCCATTTCTGCTCCTTTATTAGGAACTCTGCGTGAGGGTCTTTGATTACACCATGATGCAACCACTCATTCAACATGACCATATACGGTCGACTGGCTTCGCGTAGGAGGGTCTCAAGCAGTGTCTTTGTCGCAGGGTCGCCGGAGAACGTAGACAATCTCTCGGTTAAAAGGCCTAGAACGTTCCCTCCTTTGCATACCCTTTTGCTGGACATGCTTCCGGGAGCTAGCTCTCCGCCTTCTCTAAGCTGCTCCAGGATATTGTCGACATCGTCGAAGTCCGCGATTGACTCATCGAGATCCTGGTCTAGCAGTTGGTTTCGTCGCAACAGTTCCTGTCCTAATGAATATAGTTGCGCCAATGTCTGGCTAGTCGGCATAGTATGGAGATGCAGGACATGCAAGGTGAAATTTGGATTGTTCAGTAATTGGTTCTCAAGCTGTGCGACCAAAATCAGGTAGTCCTTCAGGAGCTTCCTGATCGCCGCACATAAAGCATGGCTAACAGCCCCGAACTCCGCACGGCTCAACACCTCCACAAAAGACTCGATCGAGCTGTGATGGGTCGCCATTTTTAGCATGGAGATGGTGAGATCTCTCAAACTCGGGTCCAGACCAGGAGAGATCTGAAAGGAAGGGCCGACTAGGCGATCTTTCTCGTCGGACGGGTCATAAGAGCTGTGAAAGTGTATGTACTGTCCCTCATAGCCCATAAACACGAACAGCAGATCCTCTAGGATCACTGCCTCTTGCTGGTCCAGAGAGAGTCCACGGAGAGGCACCGGTTGTAAGGTCGCTGGCACTGCTGAGAATAAAGGAGGCACGGAGACTCGACTAGCAAGAGGAGCGGAGGAGTGTGCAACGAGGGAGGCTTGAGGATTCCAGGGTACTAGAGTCACAATAATTAGCTGGTATGCCGTACGCCAGCTCCTCAATTGATATTACTCACAATCTATCTGCTCCTTTTCCTTCTTCCGCACGACCGGTGCTCCGTCCGCTGGGCTTGGCCTTTTCGCCCTCATCTTGTCTGAATCGCTGCGGTACCCCCCATTTACTGATTCTCTGACCGGGTTTCTCGACCGCACCTGCACTTTTTCCCGCGTGGTTGTTGTCATGCGCTCTGTGCGCTTCTCGCTGGTGCTGAGCTCCCGACGAAGTCCACTCTTGGGACTAGCCGTGCCTCGAGGCATCTGATCCATATTGTCCGTTTGCAATGGAGAGTATTCGCGTGAAGCCCTGTCTGCTGCGCCGGCGCGACCAGACGCTACGCGGGGTCGCGGCGCGCCCATGTAACTTGGGCGGCGCTCATTGACGGACATTGCCCGGGAGGTTGTGGTTGAGTAAGAAAGAATTGGTAGTTATGGGAGTCATGAAGAAAAAGCAAAAGCAGCGATCCGCAAGCAGACGTGCAATGTTGTAAGCGTCGACACGTCGGGCAGATATACTTGAGATGGCGGCGAGAAGGCGGAGTTGTGTATCGCGCTCCTTCGGGCTAGCGTCCTCTCCGCCCAGGCACGCTGGTTTGCGTAGGCGACAAGCAAGCCGGGAGCTTCGTCCATGAGCTTCGTTCAGCTGTCTGACCAACTTCACCCTCAACTCCCCCGCATCCACGACATCATAACCTCTTCCTCATCACCGCCTTATATCTCTCCTCTTCTTCTCCGACTGTTTCAGTTCTCTTCATTTCCATATAGCCCGTCATGTTCATCGCGCGATCGGAATATGGTAAGCTTTCCGTTGACTCTCCCCCTCCGATACAGTCATCTAACAGCTCTCTGCAGACCGAGGAATCAAGTATGGATACCTAGAGCCGACATGAGTTTGTTCGGATTTTGTTCTAACTGTGACGCAACAGCACCTTCTCGCCAGAAGGTCGTTTATTCCAGGTCGAATACTCCCTTGAGGCTATCAAGCTCGGTTCCACCGCAATCGGAGTACGTCGCATACTAGCTCTTTCCCACGACATTAGCGACCAGTGATTCTGGGATAGTGTCGTCTACGATGGCTGTATGCTGGATAATCTGACATTCACCAGGTAGCAACATCCGAAGGTGTGATTCTCGGCGTCGAGAAGCGTGTCACGTCCACTCTCCTTGAGACTTCCTCGGTGGAGAAAATCGTCGAGATCGACCAGCACATCGGCTGTGCAATGTCTGGTCTGCAGGCCGATGCCCGATCCCTCGTCGAGCATGCTCGCGTCGAGTCCCAGAACCACGCTTTCAACTACGCGGAGCCGCTCCGTGTTGAGAGCTGCACCCAGGCAATCTGTGACCTGGCCCTACGATTCGGAGAAGGAGCAGACGGCGAAGAGAGCGTTATGAGCAGACCGTTCGGTGTTGCACTTTTAATTGCTGGATATGATGAGGACGGCCCTCAGCTGTACGTGTCGCACCTCTCTGACCGAACCTCATGGTTGGACAGACGCTGACGTCAATTGATAAATTCTGCAGATATCACGCCGAACCCTCCGGTACTTTCTACAGATACGACGCTAAGGCTATCGGATCCGGCAGCGAAGGTGCCCAGGCAGAACTGCAGAACGAGTACCATCGGTCTCTGACGCTGGCCGAAGCAGAGACATTAGTGCTGAAAACGCTCAAGCAGGTGATGGAGGAGAAACTCGATGCGAAGAACGTGCAGCTCGCAAGCGTGACGAAGGAGAAGGGTTTCCGGATCTACGATGAGGAGGAGATGGGACGGGCCGTGGCGTCCTTGGGTAGTAATTAATGACTGGGTTCTAAGAAGTCTCTTCTCGGAAAGGCTTGGACCTATGACCGCACGAGCTGGATGCTCTTTATGTCAGGAAAATAGAAAAAGAACGCATTTACTACAAAGTCTGTCATGATGCTGCTTTTTTGAATAGATGATATCTAGTCTACAATGGGTATCGTGGTCTAATCCCAATATATCTACCTGGTTTTGTACACACAAGGTTTGAGAACCTTTGCTTCCTCCTCCGGTGTCTTCGAATTATCTGCTGGCAACTTGGTGATCCACTTCCTTCCAGGAGGTCCAGCGGCTGGCGCAGAGGAGGCATGCTTGCCCCTCGTAGGCACTCCCTGCTTCACGAACTCCATCTTGACAAACATCTTGTTCGACTTGTCAACTGATTCCTGCTTCAAGACAAAACCTCGGGAACGGAAGACTTCGACAAAGCCAGAGACGTCAGTCTCATCGTTGTTGGAAGCTGTCTCCTGGGCATCTTCAGCGTAGATATCCGCATCGTCATCGACGTCGGAACCAGCATCATCCTGGCCTTTCCTTTTCTGTTTCTTCTGCTGAGTCTTGCTGAGCGGTTTCTTGGCGCCGATTTGGGATTTCTTCTTGGTCACCTTGCCGAAACGGCTCTTGACTTCACTAATCCAGCATTCGCCCTTGCCATCGCTGCGGAGAACCCGCCAGGCTTCTTCGACGAAGGACACCCAGTTTGTGCCCATTAAACTCAGACAGAAAATGGCCACGTCGACAGTTCCATCTTCGAGCGGAAGGTTGGAGATATCAGCCTTGGTGACGAGAGGGTCCGGGGTATGAAGGTCGTAGCTGAGGAGCTTAAGGTTCAGCTTTTTGGCAGAGGGCGTCAGCGAACGAGCGAGCTGCGCATCGCCACAGCCCAAGTCGGCAATTGTACAAATACCATTAGGCCTTCGTGGAAGTGGGACAGGACTGTTGCTGTTTCCGTTGGCCTTCTGCTGTTTCTTCTGGCTCGGATGTACTGCACCGCGAGTCCGAATGGCTTTGATGTAACCATCCACAGGATTGGACGGCCACGATTCCTTGACCTGACGAGAAAAGCCAGCGTGGTATTCCTCAAAGAGTTCCGGGTTCGCAGTGAAGAGATCAAGGGCCTCGGTCGAGGGCGTAGTATAGAGGGTCTGGTTCAGATGGCGGAAACGGGCAGATAGGAGCTTCTGTCGCATCGCTTGTTGCAGAGGCGTCAGTTTTGCTGTCGTCGTTGGCGGTGCCGCAGGGAGTGGCTCAACTGGCGCGGAGGTGCCATTTGTTTGGTCGTTGACGGAATCATCAGTGGGTTTAGAATCCTTATTCTTCTTGCGTCGCTTGTTCTTCTTCTGGGAATTTTCCTGGCTGTCTGCATTGGCCTCTGTTTGCTTCTCCTGCGCTGCTTCTTGCCGGTCGACTTGCTTGGAGCCATTCACTCTGGGCTGTCCAACTGGTATAGCATTCATGCCCGTCCCTGTATCCCCATCGGCTCCTCCAGACTTCTTTTCCTTCTTCTTATCCTTTCTTGTGTTGCCCTTCGCAGCGTTTCCCTCGATGTGTCGTCGGAACATCAGCTCCAGATTCGCCTTGGTAACATTGTCGTCAGGTCCATCTCCACGCTTTCTCTTCTTGGGCTTTTGGTCTGGCGTTCCAGCGCCATTTCCTGGCTTTCCCGCATTTTGTTGTCGCAGCACAGACTTCGAGCCAGCCTCTGTCTGCTGCTTGAGGGCTGATGTCGGCACTGACCAGCCCGGGACGGCAAACATTTTGGGATGAGTTCCGCGGGATATCTAAAATTATAGGAACTCCAGGAGATAGATTCAGAAATGGCAGACGAATTGAATATCAATGATGCCAGAGCTCAAGCGTGAATTCATCCGCTCTGCCTCACAGCTCGATGAAATTTGCGATCTTCGAAAGCGCAAAAAGTTTAGGTTTGGCAGGCCCCGCCGGCTTGGCGCCGCTTAACTCCGGGCGGCCTTGGGGTTTGGGGCTCGGCCAGTCACGGGAGGTGGCCAGTTCCGCTTTCTGAGTCGTTATTTTTGTTCGTTGTGGACTGGATATCACTATGATTTAGATCTGACAGCCCCCAACGTACCAGCTATTATTCAGTTCAAGCGACTAGGAGACACCGAGCCTCAACAGACTAGTGAGTGAGCGCGAAGCTGAGGGATTCCAATATTGTCACGCTCACCATGGGAGAGCCCGCAAGACGGCTGATATAGCGAACGCATAGCACAGACTCCAGAGTACAATACGCAGAGCAGTTACTCTGCCCATAACTCAGTCCCATTAAGCTACTCTTGAGCTATGGCGCATTTGCGGCCTGGAGAATTAATCATCCGATGCCAACCTTTCCCGTGGCACCCGCCAAATACATCCATGAGCATTATGTTTGGTCCTCCAAGCTGACCCATTCTGTTTGGCTTCATTCGGTTCCACGGCTATCAGTTGTCCCCGCCTTCGCGGAGACGCCGTTCGTCCAAACCGGCCTGTTGATGGACGGGTGATAGATCGCAACCCTATGGTGCAAAGGTGTCCCAGCGTTTCGATAGCCATTCCCCGAGATTTGGCATCCTTTTTAACGGTGTTCGGGAGTTTGCCTGCGCTGCAGAAGAACGAATCTTGATCCTGGGTGTCATCAACCCTCTCCAATTGGTACATTCGAATGGCCCCCTAGCTATAGAGGTGCCAACCTATCAGAAAAGTAGAGCCGCCTTGAGCACGCGGGTGGCGGATGTGGGATCGGGATGAGACCCTTTCGAACTGCTCCTTGCATCTTACTCTGTGCGGCTGTGGCACAACATGGACAATCGCCCCGTTGATGTGCGTGCGGAATTTCTTGGGCGATCATTGCTTAGATTCAGCCTTTTTTTGACAGCTGGTGGACTCAACGTCAGCCATATGGTTGGGGTTGGGCAAGAATTCCATCCGAGCGCACCAGAACAGCCCAGTGTGATCACAGCCCTACCTCTGTGAGACGGTCCCTCATCATCTTTCCCTTGATCGAATCGGCTCTCTGCTTCTCCTTTGTCAGTTTGATCCCGGCAGTGTTGTTTCTGGCTCCTCCGCGGCCGAGCAGCTGTCGAGGCCCATGTGGGTCGTGATCTCCCAGATAAGCTTCTACGCACCTTAAATAAATAATAACAGCTGCGGTGGTCGCTCACCACTCGTTCTCTGTGCCCGCGATGGCATTGATCTGTGACGAGATGGCGGATAAAGAGGAAGAGACAAAGGGCTCTTTGGAGAGCCATCCTTCCCCCGAGGAGTCGAAGCCAAATCCAGACTCGTCTGAATCCCACGATGCCGTCCCAAAGAACGTACCTGCTCCCCGCGGTCCTAAAAAGCGCACCAAGACAGGCTGTCTGAGTACGTCCCCCACCACGACTAATTACCGTGACAGGAAACCAGTTGACTCCATGAATAGCGTGTCGCAAGCGGCGCATCAAGTGTGGTGAAGAGAAGCCAATATGCAACAATTGCGTCAAATCGAAGAGGGAATGCGAAGGCTACGCACAGCGCGTCATCTTCAAGCATCCCTTGGGTCCTTTCGGAGCATTTCAGACAGGACCTCTGGGAAGCCACCTGCATCAGCCTCCGATGGGCTTGCCTCTGTACAGTAATTATAATGCGCAGTATGCTCAATCTCTGCCTGGAGGGTCGCAGCACCCTTTGCTAGCTCCGCGCCCGGTATATCTCCCACCGACCGGGGCTGCTGGACTGATCAATGCTGGAACAATGCCTCAGTTACCTGACGGACAGGCAGCGAATGCGGTGCCATTGTATTATCCAACAGCAGTTCCCACAGGACAGACTCAGGGATTCGCACAGCCGCAAAACTTCGTTGCGCCGCAGCCAATACCTACCGCCACTGAACTGACTGGCACGGTAGGGGAAAATGGTAGATATCAAGATGCATTCGTCGCGCCGTCTTCATATCAACCATTTCTCAATCAACAGCAGCCTTGTCAGATCCCTGTATCTGGGACACCTCAACTAAATGCTCTTAACCAAGGTGATATGTCGCAGCACTTCGGACAGAGCTATCTACTAGGCGCAACGAATTGGGGTCCTATACCCGACTCTCGCGTGTCACAGATCCAACCAGCAGTCAGTTCCGGTGAGCAGATAGTTATCGACCATTCTCCAGAAATACCCCTGCACCCCAAACAACCCTCGCCGTTGCAGATACTATCCCCATCTTCTGGTTATGAAAGCGACGACTATTATGATGTCGATTCCGATGAAGAAATGTCTGAGCAGACGCAAATCGAGAGTTTCAATCAATTGAATCTGATAATGGCGTCCGCTCGTCATGATGAACGTCTAAGATCCTTCACAACACATCTGAACGAGCCAAATGTGTTAGCTTCCTATCGTCCATCGATGGGATCAACACCTCTCAATAACCCAAAGACCGCACGGATCTTCATGCATTTCATTCATTCAACAGGGCCGTCCATCTCCATCTGGGAAAGACACCCGACGAATGCCTCAATCAGGCTGGGGGCGGTGATTCCGCCCGCTCACCAGGGCTTGTGGACGTATACCTTACCACTCAAAGCTTTGGAGCATCCTGCATTACTGCAGGCTATTCTTGCCATCAGTAGCTTGCATATTGCGAAGCTCCAGGATGCACCCCCTACAGTCTCAATGAAACATTATCACTACGCACTAAAGAAAGTGGGAACTGCGGTCGGTCTTCCTCTACGACGGAAACAGATTGCTACATTGGCAGCTACACTTCTGCTTGGCTTCTACGAAGTCACAGCAGCTGAACACCACAAGTGGAACAGCCATGTCGCAGGTTCCTCACAGCTCATCAGGGAGATCGATTTTGCAGGGTTGACTCGGGACCTGCGGGCTCACCGGCGCAGGGTGCGAGCACAGCAGGAGCGGATGGCTCAGATGGAAAGCTGGCCTTGGTATGACCAATTTAGCGGAGGGGCGACGGAGGATGATCCGTTTTGCGAAAAAGAAAGCGAGGTGGATGAGAACCTGGTCGGCTCCTTAATGGGTCGAGTAATTAACTATGATCAATTTGGACGAATCGAAGGTGAAAGCGAGGCAGCGTCCCCGAAGAAGAAGCATTTCACGAAAAAGGACATCGAGAATTACAGGATCCAAAGCGACCTCTACTGGTGGTACACCAAGCAAGACCTTTTCCACAGCTTGATTAGTGGAAACCGTCTCTTGTGAGTTTTGCCCAAATCGTAGGTTCGAGCTCCGCTAACTGACGCCGCAGCACCTCTTACGACCAGTGGGGACAGTGCCCACCCCGTGCCGGTATTGGAAGGTTAGACGCTGTATACGGGTCTATGGATCATTTGATTCTTCTCCTTGGTCGCTTGGCCGACTTTGCTTACAGAGATCGTAAAAGGAAGATCAGGTCACTGGCAACTACTGGCGGCGAGTGGAGGCCAAACTCGGAATTTTTCAAGTTCATGGCACGCTTCGCACCTAGAGGTCGCCAGCCTCATGGAGGAGCCAATGTGATGGCGCCTGGTGATGCTGCCAGTAGCTTTCCTCCCCAGGGACCCCCAGTTGTCATGCCTCCTCAGCCATCTGACCGGCAGAATCGGCTTCGAGAAGACCCGCCAATGTATGGCATGGTGCCGCAACGCGGTCCAGTCCGCCTTCCCTCAGCATTCATAGCTACGGGGCGAGGCTCGGGCGTCATATCTGATGATACAGAGGATACCAACCTGGCGGAAACGCCCTACAAGGATGCGGAGGCTGAGTGGGAAGATATGGTAGCTGCTTTCGATCTGTTTGCTAGGTCCCTCGGCCCTGAGTATATGCCTTTGTCACCGGACATTGCTGCTCCTATTTCGACCCCGTTTGGGCCAGCATTGCAATACCGCACCCACACAATAGCCGTACTCTGGGCTTATTATTATCTTGGGCGAATTCTATTGAATCGACTGCATTCATCCATGCCACCGGCCACGATGGTTGCTGCTGGTGTGGCAGCATCGACTACAGTCGAGTCTGCCCAGACGATCGGAAAGATAATGGCTGGTATCTACCATCCGCAACAATACAATTTTGAAGCAGGCAGCCTCAACCCGACAATAGGTGGTGCCCTCACAGAAGTCACAGTACCAATGTTCTTTGCGGGTGTGCAGTATCAGGATGCTGCTCAACGAGGCTGGACCGTCTCGAAGCTCACTGAGATCTCTCGTTTGACAGGTTGGCAGACATCATTCTCGATAGCAGTCGGATGCGAGTCTGCCTGGGTGGCCGCTGGTAAAAAGGGCAGAGGTCCTCCGTACGAGTATACTACAAAAAAAGATCTCAACGAGCCGGTGAGTCTTCTAATTCATATCTACGCACTTGTCGGCGTCTATCTTCGATGCGTGTATGCTTACAGTCGTACAGGAAATTAACGTGCACAATACGGTCTCAAACATAGCACGAAGGCAGACTCCACCGCATGGCAATACAGAATTGCGATTTACCACACCCTCTACTCGGGAGCGACTTCACTTCGCCCAGGGTCTCCTAGGGTTGGAAGAAGACATTCTCACGCTTGAAATAGAAGACCGAATATAACCTCATCTCCAAAAAGTTGAAGGGGTTGCATTCTTCTCGAACCGTTGGAGCGTCTAAGGAAAACCTAGAGTCCTGTCAGCATACCGTTGGACTTGACGCCACGATTGAGAGGTGACTGATCTAGTCGCGTATTTTTATACAGCATCCCCTGGAAGAACGAAGCATGTCCCGGAACCCACAATATTCATTCGATCTTGCCTTCTGTGCTACAGATAGCCTCGACTAGCACGGCTGATAATGCCATTTACAACAAACCCAAAGGAACAGAACGCAAAATATGCGAAGCATAGGGAAACCGCAGTGAGCGCAATCAGGATACACCTCGAAACTTATAGGCATGAGTCTATGCATACGAATACGGAGTCGTCAGGGAAGAGATTTTGGACGGAGTCATGGTGGAAATTTGATGCACATAGACCTGGCATTATATACCCATGGGTTTCCTACGTTGTCATCGATTTGCATATCATCCACATCAAATCCATCATGGCATGGCAAAAACGCCAAAAGAAAAAAGAAAGATACCATATTAGCCAAATAGCATACATAAGCCCCTAGCAAAAGAAGCTCTATCACTGAAACGTGCGTTAAGACCGCACAATCTCTGTGATCAACTTGGCCGCCGCAACAGTCTCTTCATCATGCCAATGCTTTCCCGTTAATTGCACCGCGATCGGTGCACCCGCGTACTTCTCAGGACTATACTTCTTCCACTCGCGCTCATCAGTCTCGCTCCTAGGTTTATACGCCTCATCAACCTTATCAACCGTCGGGTCCTGCATCAAACCCGTCGGAAAGACAACACAGGGCTGGTCCAGAATGTTCCAGATAGACGTGTATCCCCAATACTCCGGCTCGCCCAGCGCACCTGCAACTCCGACATAAGTTGGGCTGAGGATGAAGTCCACCCCGCGCTCTTTCATGAGTGCGTGATAGTCAGCACGGTACTTTTCGCGCTTTACATTCCAGTCCCAGTTCTCGTTCACGGAGATAGGGTGTGGTTTGCTGTAGTTGAAGGCCCATTCTGTGAGAGGGAGGAGAGGTTCGCCAGATTCAGCGATAACGCCACGCTGGAATCCTGCAGCGTCGGGGAAGTAGAGGGTTGACTGGGTTTTATGTCATTAGTTCCTAATTCGAGTATGAAGAGAGCGGATATTGATAAGAAACAGGGATAGGTAGGTAACCGTACAATAATTTCCCAACCATGATCATGTTTGAAAGGCTCCCAGTCAACGACTTTGATACCTGCAGCTTCAAGTTTCTCTTTGACAAATTGTAATCCACGCGTAATTGGAGGATGGGGATGAACAATTCTATAAGCAAAGTTCCATCACATATCAGCAAACATGGCCAAATTTGTCTAATAACAAGCGAAATCAACAAAACTCACCCATCATCCCACATAATCGCAACAGTGATATCCTTCTTCGGCTCCACCTTCTTCCACGGCATAGCTACCAGACTAGTCTCAATATCCCACGGCTCCTGATCAAGGACCGCTTTCTGGAACAAATCCAGATCCTCCACAGACTGCGCGGCAAGTGGGCCAACAACGCAACGAATAGACTCCTGTCCATCTCCAGCGAGGATGATTCCATTATACGGATTTCGCAATGCGGTAGGTCGCAGACCGTATGCGCCATTGAATGCTGCAGGGGCACGGATGGAGCCTCCAATATCGGTACCGATGCCGAGAGGTGCGCACTTGAAGCCCATGGAGGCTCCTTCGCCGCCGGATGAACCCCCTGGAGAAAGTTTCCTGTTGTAGGGGTTGAGGGTCATTCCGGTTATGTTGTTGTTGCAGTCCAGGTGCTTTTGTTTTACCAATTTGTTAGTATCTTTGTCTCTGGTATATGTGCGATTGATTGGGAAATAGTCATGCGTACCATTAGTGATTGCGGCTGGTTCGTCCGGACGTGGAATACAGCACCGGCATTCTTGAGAAGTTGAACGAGAAGCGCATCTTCGGGTGCTATGTTTTTGATCCTGGGAATATACGTTAGTGGACAGATGTATTACTCTTGTCAAGGCTGTGTATGCAGAACTTACCATGCAACATATCCGGTATGGCAAATACGACCCTTGTGCCCAATGTGCTCCTTGACACTGATGGGGACTCCGTGCTTTATTTAATTAGTTCTATGTACAGTCCATAGTAACTTTTCTCCAGGAAGCTCATAGTTAACTCACCAAAGGCCCAACTAACTTTCCCGTCTTCTTAAAATGTTCATCAAGCTCCTTAGCCCGCGCAATGGCATCATCCGCCATGAATTCGGTCGCAAAATTCAACTATGTAATCGACAACAATACATATTAGCCTCTTCTGGGTATAAACAGATAGAAAGACATAAACTCACAAGCTGATGACCAATGGTAGCTCTCTTCAAGAACGCCACCACGACCTCTTCTGCAGTGAGTTCACCCTTGCTCATAGCCGCTACCAGCGCTGTTGCAGACATCTCCGTTATTGAAAGTTCCTTGTCCGTTAGCAGGCCACTCTTGCGAGGGAAGTCGATGACATTAAGCTCCTCCGCTGGAGGCAGCTTGTCCTCTGGGACCATCCATTGTTTAGGGACAGAGTTGGCAAGGATCTCCTTGCATTTGTTGGCTTCTTCTTCCCAGGGTTGAACTGCCATCGTGTATAGAGGTTCAATGATGATATTATATACGGTACAACAGTTTCACGTCAGACTCTCCAGGGAGGAAATGATTTCTAGCGGTCATATGTGTATGTACATACTACACGAGGTACGGGTCTAGGTATATATATATATATATATAACATATGCGATAGAAACCGCGACCCGCCCGATAGGGACTCTCAAGAAGCAAGCAAGACGCGCGATAGATAACTTCTCGTCCCAAATCATCGGGCGATCTTTACCTCGTTGTATAAAAGATAGCAGCATGCGGAGTTATCTTATCTCTCGACTTGGCCGTTCATGGTAGGGGAATCCGATAACCTTGGAAGTTGGTCGGTTAACAGGCAAGAATCTTGATAAGCTCTGCGGGGTCAAGGGAAAGAATTCTGCAACAAGAATAATAATACGTATCTTATGCGGGGAAATTCCCATAATCGACAGTCAGGAGACTTGAAGACGATTGATTGCTTGAACTAACGATGCGTTCATTCCAACCCCTCATCCTATCTTCGCGGAGACGGGCTTGGCGGCGATGCATGGTCCATCGTGCATACTTTGTAGATTCAACATCTACTTGTCGACCTTGGGGTTGCAGGTAGTTCTATGCCATGAGAGATGATTGTTTTTGCACCAAATGAAATTTCGTCATTTCAAATCGAAGATCGATAATAAATGGTTCGGTGCCCCAGAACCTACGGTACTTATGGTTCGGCTTGCCGCGCCCGTATGTTGCTTTCCTCAATATAGCGCTTCACAATTGTACCGAAGGCTGATAAGCCCCAGAACATCTTGAAAAGTTACATTTAAGAACCCTATGGGAAAATATTAGCATAAAGAATTGTTGAAAAGCGTTGGAAGTTGATTATATGATAGAGAGAAACTGCTCACGAGTGAATAATCGTTGACTGATTTTCCTATTTACTAAGTACCAAGGTCCTCTTGGTAGCATACTAGTAGTCGAAGCGGCAGGGACCTGGAAAAGAAGGTGTAGAATGAGACGATAGGTTACTACCCAGTATCAGAGAATCATCAGAGAATGGTTCTGAACAACCAACTCGCAATGTGGGCTCTGAAAGTTGTGGTTCCAATTGACGGACCACAACCTTAACTTTAATTACTATTTGTTACCGTGAGTGCGCCTGGATGCGATTTCGTTCAATATCCCAACGCCCCTGTAGCTTCAAAAGCTCGTCAGTATGGGAGCCTTGCTATGCTTTTTACGCTGCATATCTATCTGCGGGAACCACGAAGGCTTGCATCTTGTCTCCGCCTGTTGCCTCGAGTACCTATGTTCCAGGTCATTAACGCAGTTGGTCCTACTGAGCCGATAATCCACAAGGTTAATTTTCTATCGAGCAAGGATCTGAGCGGTGTGGCAGTCTACGAGTCATTCTCTCATGCGATACGAGATATTCGCATTTCAGCCAGGAGCATGTTTCAGGCCCTCCATCGGCTCGAGGAGGTTGCATCTGAGATATCAGAAGGGACACGGCATATGATTTTCATGTAGCGCGCTCAAGCTCATCACATCGGACCACGTCTGTTTGGTGATACGAGGCGAATTGAATACCGTGCGACCTTCACTGACACAGTTAGAGTAGTCTTGATTGATAAGGGATGTAAGTCAGTAACGGGGGTCACAAGGATGTTAACTATCATCCGAGATGGTACAGTCATACTGCACATGGACAGATGCAATGATGGCATCGGCTGCGTGTTGAAATGGAATCGCATCCGCAACATCTGCAGCGCAGAAAGAGAATTTGCCATAATCGATTCTTCAGGAGGTGAAGATTCGAAGATCTAGTACGAAATTGTCATTGTTGATGATTGCTAGCGCCGGTATGATGTTCTAGTCGTGTGGGCCAGTTGGCGGATCTCTGGCTAGCTTGAAACGACCCACAGATGTTAGTGATAATCATCAAGCCACGTTGACTGTTCTCTCACGCGTTCGAGAATAACCTGTAACAGAAGCGTAGGTCTTTTACTTTTCTGAATCTCCAATTATGGAAACAGAACGAATACCGTCACTCCTGTATTTCGAGGCAAGGGATATCTTTCGTTTGTCAAGCCTCGTGTGTGGCATAGTTGACTGCTAATGTTTTTTGCGCACCCTACGAATGATAATCTGATCGTGCAAGCCAACTAGAAAAAAAAATCTGGTTAGCAAAGTCAAATTCAGGAGAGGAATAGTACTCGAGTGGCTTCCGTCTCTCTACTCTAGTATCTAGTGCCATGTGTGGAGACACATAGAAACAACGTCACCAGTTCCGGGATTCTATTCTGGTAATAGTTTGCCTGAAATTTGAATTGCCCAGTGAGTGGTCCTGTCTCATCTGACGTAGCTAATGCAGAGAAGAAATCAAACTGGGACCTTCACTGCATGGGATACTGCTGGTAGTCGTCTCGCTGCGGCATGCCACAGGGGTGCTGCAAGGGCGTTTTGATTCTAGGTGGAACTGTGGATATCGGCCTAAGGATAACCTTGAAATTGAAGGCTTTGGACGATCAAGAAGCCAATTGGGACCGTTCCGAGCGAAAGGAACGCAATATGTCAACCGAAGCATTCATTCATGAGGGTCAACAAGACCTCCTCATTCGAGCCTGTGTGATGCAATTCATAGAAACCAAATTTCCATCAGGGACAACGAAATACGTACGTAAAGTTAACTCGATTCCCACCGCCCTCCGAATGGCTCCGGTCTACATAGCTTACCGCTTGTTGGGTTCCCAATGCCATAGGTAAGAGTCGACGACAATCTGGCCCGAAATTCACCAATATAGCGTAGCGTTACGAGGAAATACGTTTGCGAGGCACTGATGGGCACGCTTAAATGAGGGCTGTACCCAATCGGTGATTTCAACTTGCGTATCAGATGTAGAGTATGCTCGAAAGAGGATCCTCGCACTGACATGCAGTGGCGCAGAAGGTCAAGATTTCGCATACTCAGTAGGTCAAGGATATCTGATTTTCCGCCCTGGCGTTCTAGAACATAGAACCGTCCCGGGCTGTGAGACAAGGCCGAGAAACGTACGTTGCATGTCACACATGGAAAAATAACCAAGTCAAGCATCATATCACTTGCCCTTATGCTGAGATGTCGAATCGACCAGGATATCTTGATTTAACTCTCTGTCACTTTGCTCCTCACAGCTTCCTCGATCAAAGGACACTTGGTTGACTGTGTCCTACCCTTCGGACTAATACGCGGTGATTTCGCGGGCTTCATATTTCCGAGGTCTCGAGACCGAAAGTGGATGAAAGCACGTATATCGGCGACGTGAAACATCAATCTAACCCAAGAGCAAAAAAAATCTGCTCTAGACACTGGAGTGACAACCTCCGGAAACCGGCCTCTAGCCGCAGACGATCGCAGATTGTTGGTTGGATCGATTCCGACGGTTTGGGATCCTTGCCTATCACGGCGTGACGCATATCACTCCACTCGGCTTCATGCTCGACGAGAGAACTAAGATGGTAGATTGACGATGGATGCTCTTCACCGTCCCAGGTCCTGACATCAATTTCCCCATAATGGGGATAAGTGGAGCGGGATGTGAACGCCCAACACACTATCTGAAGATTTAGTCCCATTTAGTGCCCGAGAAATCAACCGTCCTGAGGCGCACTTTCTGTACGCCCGCTCACCATAGAACCGTTGGATCCGTAGCCCGTGGTGTACCGGCAGCTTAAGCCTTACCGACACTTCAGTTCGACCTTTCCCGCTCCTTCTAGGACTTCTTTCGGGAGAGGGTGGTCCTGGTTCTTGTCGCAGAATAATGTCGTGTGGCAGTTTCTACCTTGAGTAGTCAGTGCAAGTGGAACCGTTTCCGAAGGTCGATCCTCAAAGCTTCAGAGATGCTGCGACTCTCAAGGCTAGAGAGGATTGCTCCGGAACTCGCAGTGGAGATTCGGCCAGAGCCCCTTTGTCCTACTGGTGCGACTTCCTTGACCGTATGTTCTTGTCGAGGAATTTGTCGACGAAGGTGCTCAAGATGGTGGAGACAGAGGAGCACGAACGTAGGGCGCCAGATCAGGGACAAAAAGGCGTCAGACACCCTGTATTTTGGCGCGGTTCAAGCGCTTTCATATTGCTTTTTCTTCCTGAACCTATTATTGAATCAGCCCTATAGAGCTGTGCCGCCAGAAGCGATCGACCATGTCTGCAACGGCAACGGCGACTACTGTCGAGGCACCTATCGCCTACGATATCAACATCCCTTATGTTAGCGTCTCGGAAGATACCAACCGGACGACCAGATATCCCCATTATTTGCCGACGTGGGATAAGGTCTGGTTCGACCCGCTACCCCCATTTGAATATGAAGACCCCGCGCTGCGCGTCAAAGATAAGACGAAGCCCAATCTGCTCGGCTCTGGCGCCAAAGTAACGCCTATCCAGCCCATCATCGGCAGTGTGGTCGAGGGTGTTCAGCTGAATCGGCTCTCAGATGCTGCCAAAGACGAGCTGGCGTTGCTGGTGTCAGAGAGGAAAGTCGTCGTTTTCCCTGATCAGGATCTGATCGATGAAGGCCCAGCCAGCCAGGAGAAGTTCATGCGACACTTTGGAAAACCCAACTACCAGCCCGTATCAGGGACAGTCAGGGGTCATCCAGGTTTCCACATCATCCACCGTGATGGCAACAAAGAGGAAATTTCCCGCTTCTTGGAGGTGCGGACAACGACAACTCTGTGGCATCAAGACGTCAGCTACGAGATCCAGCCCCCTGGTTATGTGATGCTAGGATTGCTGGAAGGGCCTGATGTGGGCGGAGACACAGTCTTCGCAGCCACTGATGCTGCATATAAGTATGGATTTCCAGTAAACATGAGTTTCTCATCAGCGATTGACAGACTAACCTTTATGCTAGACGCTTATCCGCCACCCTGGGCTCTTTCCTTGACCGGCTCGAGGCAGTGCACACATCTTCCAAGATGATCGCACACACGAAGATGATGGGCGGCCTCGTTCGGAAGGATCCAGTCACTACGGTGCATCCCCTCGTCAGGGTACACCCCGTCACTGGGCAGAAGTGTCTCTTCGTCAACGGAGAGTTCATCACTAAGATCCAAGGTCTCAAAGAAGCGGAGACCAAAGTGTTCCTTGACTTTATCATGCAACATATTATTACTGGCCACGATTTCCAGGCCAGAGTCCGATGGCAACCGCGGTCCATTGTCATATTCGATAACCGCTCAACTTTGCGTAAGTAATCCTGCATGTGTTTTGGCCGCGATCCAAGCAGACCAAACTGACTGGATTATCAGACTCCGCTATCGTAGACTACCTCGACGAAGAACAAAAAGCTAAACCCAGGCATATATTCCGTCTGTGCGCAATGACTGAAAAGCCCATTCCTGTCTCACAGGAGAAGCAGTAAAACGGTTGCTACGAAGGTCTTGCTAACGCACACCAAAAAGGCCACCTCTTGCTCTAGCTTACAATCTGCAGTCATAAGGTCTGTCTCATTACGCATCTCGGCACGATTCATAATTTGTGGCTTTAGAACTGGATCGGCTCAGACTACATGTTTCCATCCTCAAGTGGCCAATGGAATATGGTATAATGGCATATTGTCAGTTTTCTGTGGCTTAATATACTCTTTTGTTTATTTGTTTATTTCGGGGTTTTCTTTGTGTCTTAGAGATAGGTCTATTATTACGAAATGAACATCTCGCTGATGGCTTTCGAATTCTCTTCTACACCACTTTTTCTTTTCCCTAACAGATTCAATTGAAATGCCAACGAAGTCTTCGGTATGCTTCTAGGGAAACAGCTACTCGTTACTGATTCTTTACTGTAACTGTGCCTAGATTTGGAAATTCTAAACTAGGGTATATCATTATAAGCGTTGATTTGCCCAGAGTAGCCACAAGACTACTGCACTGCAAAAACCTGCTAGATGCTAGGATGAGTCAAAGTATCTAGGTTATCCAAACTGATATCCGCAATCGAGAAGATGCAGGGAGACTTCAGGATCGACGTATATTGAATGTGGACAGTGATGTCATTACCGAGAGCTGCCTAACTGGTTTGTCTACTCCCTAGATACTGCCTGATTTCTTCTGTCATTCACTCACTCCCGTGCTTGGAATTTGTCTTGTGGTACTTCGTGGTTTCACCGCATGCAGACATAGGGAATACACTATCCCTTCGAATTCACCACTTTACGTATATGAGTGTGAAGAACGCCCGTTACCTTCTCTCGGTGACCCCCTACCTAGCCAAAGAGTTCCTGGCGGACTTCTCCCACACCTTCATATCGGCGAGCTCCACCTATGGGATAAATTAGGTAGCTTGAGCTTTCTAGCGGATCCGAACAACAGGCAACTTCAGCCTGCCGAAATATATTCTTGAGATGGAGCACGAAAATTCACCCTCTAGCCTATCTCTATCTGCTTTTACAGACATCTGTGCAGCTATTATGAATACTACAGAATATACAGTGCTAGTTTACAATGGTATTGGGCCAAGAGGGAGGCTGCAGGTTATGATATGACCATTTCATGGAATGAAAACCGTCGAAAAGTCGTTAAACTGGAAGGGGTGGATATATCGGAAGCCATCTCGTTACTCGAGAACTTGGCGAAGAGAGACTGAGACGGTCTCTTGACATTTTATATTGTGTTCCTCCAACGGTTTTCTGCTGTTTTCATATGGTGTTTCTTGCGACGGTCTCGCATACTATTTTGACATTTTCATATTGTGTTCCTGCGACTGTCTTCTGTTATTTTCACATTGTGTTTTCTGCGACGGTCTTGCATACTGCCCTGATTTTAATTCTTGATACATTCTTGCGAAGTCGGCCTTCCTGTTGCCGTCACCATGGTGTCCCATGGGATCCCACTGAGATCAGCTCTCTTGTCTTAAGGTCATTCGCAGTTGACCCTCGATTCCAAAGAGCCCTTCACCGGTAAATTTTTATTGTGATTCACTTTACCCTGCGCGTCTCTGCGTTTGAGATACAGCACGCACCCTCAAGTACGCATAAGGACCATGAGATCCCAGGCTTTTTTGTCCCAGGAGACCTGGAAGAATTGAAAGAGCTGCCACTTTTATCATTCAATGTGATATCGGTGTTCGTAATGAACAGACATATTAATTATATTCCAGGATCAACTATAATTCGTTTACAGGTGTTTTTCGTATTGTGACCAAGCCAACTGAGATCCACAACGTCCACGTTCAGTGGATGAAGAATGAGCTCTACCATATGAGACTAGATCATTTTTTACTACCTCAGGAGTTTCTGTGTCTCGAACTCAATGTCGGAACCAGTCAGTGCTATTCTCACGATCTGGCTTCACACTATATATGGTGCTGATCCCTACATCTATATAAACAGCATTTACTGGTTTCTCCGGAATTTACACTGGCTCAAGCAAAGAGCCTGATTTTTTTTTTTACGCCCTGACACAAGCTCTCACCTTCCTCGTATCATTATTGAAAGCGGCTGGTCGGAGAGCTGGCCACACTTGCAATCCGATATACATTTGTGCTTCTCAGGTGGCCCTGAGGTTCGATATGTGATTTTACTCAAATGGTCCAATTTTTCGAATCTTCAAGTGAAGGGACTGTGTTACGGAACTAGCAGCAGGCAGGTACGGCCACGCCCTGGGCAGGCCGGGGCCGGGACATCACATATACTTAGCCTAGTATATTAGCCTTCCCCTCCATAGAGAGGAATATCATCATCTTCATCATCCCACTGCGATCTTTCGTATCAGACTGGTTGAGGTATATCACCGCAACGGTGCGGGAGCAGCAATCCTCCTTCATCGCGAAGTAAGCTATCCTTCTATTTCTAGTTTAGATGCAGTGTCTAATGAGAGCATTTCTAATCATGAGTATAGCAACTATTTCCGACGCCTCCTACAGCAATACAACAACCTGTTCCTATCACTCTGGATGAGCTTTTCGGCTCGCACATTACGCCAGGAAGAAACCCAAATGCGAGTTATGGCTTGTCGTTGAATAGGTTGCGGGCATTGGCGACAGAGAAACAAACTGCAGGCAATGGGCCTTACTCCTGCATAGAAATGAGGGCACAACTTATCCAATCGTACGACGGAAGTGAACCATATGTTAGAGATCCAGCCAGACCAACAAGTTCTCCTTTTAGGTCGACTGGCAGAAAGCCATCACCATATATCTTGAGATATGGTGTCATGTACTTGTTTCTTTGACTCTACATCTAGGAATAAGGCAGGCTACATATCTATGTGCGATGACCTTTCTAAGGGCAAAGACATGGGAGAACTCCGCTGTCTAGGAACTCCTTAGTAGGGAGGCTCCAAAACATCATATATAAAATGGCTTTTTTTAAGGTCAATATCGCAATAAGCAAACATTAGGAAGCCATTCAAAAGAATACATAGAAAATAAATACTATTGAAAATCCATACACTGGTAATGTGATATAGCCATGTAGCCTCATCTAGTTAGATTTAGATTTAGTTAGTCGATCTTCGGATCTCTGTCCCTCTCCAATGAGAATAACTTCGACCTTCACTCCGTACCCGGTGTCAAATCAAACATAAATACAAAAATTACAGTGGTCAAGTAAAAAAAGGGGAACCCATTTTGTCAAGTGGCAGCCAGAGGATGAAACATGTATCATGCTACAGTAGTTATTGCTCACCCTAGTCAGTCGCTTTCGTCCAAGTAAGGAAATAGATACATACACAATGCTCTATGAATACCAATAGCCATCTACTTATTGTCATTCGGACAAGAAAAAATATTAGAGAACTGATCGCTGTTTGTGTATACTCAATCCCAGTATGGGCTGCTAAAAAGAAGCCCAAGCTAGCAGAAGAGATCGACGACGCGACACAAAGATATAATGTCACGGATACGACTGGGAGGGAGACTCTCGTTGGGGGCCAAAGCCAGGGATTTCAACCAACAAAATGCAACGACCTAGTCGATCCTAGCGCATCTGTGTCTACTACCTATCACAACGCTTCAATAAGCGCCCATGTAAATATAGTCATACATCTACACAGGTCCTGGCGGTTAGTCTAGAGTGCCCCTATGGTACTGCAGCATGTCCTCCAGATCACATCTTCATTTCTGTCATCTCCTTCGTAGGAAATAATTATTCTCCATGTAGTCGTTCTACTCCAAGTTTTTGATCTCACGAAAACTGAATACTTATACAACAGAAAACAAACCAAAGAAAAGAATGACCTCCCCTCCTCTCCCACTCACCACAACCTTCACGCCTGCCTCATCCTGTCTTGTTGATCTTTACCAAGTGGATAACACGAAGGGTATCTACTGTGGCGTTGGAACAGCGACGTACCTTTGTCCCTATCTCCAATTAGGACCGACCAGCACATCTGCCTGCTTGCCCTCTGGCTGGAGTACAGACAGTACAGCCTATTTCTCTCCTGGGATCTGCCCATCCGGGTACCGACAGGCATGTTCTTCGACGGTAAATATAGGCACATTGGTAGAGACGAGAGCGACATGTTGTCCTAGGTACGAATGGATATTTTCTTTTTCCGCATCAAGCCGAAGAACCGAGAGCATAAGTAGTCTTCTAACTGCGCAAAATAAACCGATCTAGTGGATATTTCTGCCAAACCCGTACAGATTGGCCATGGTACTCAACGGATGCTTGTACTTATGTGAACACCAACCCTGTGCCGTACACATACACAACTACAAATAATAAGGGTGCCTACATCACCTCTACAACTACGAATGTTGAAGGATTCAACGCCTATGGCGTTTCGATCCGATACCAGGCTACGGATTTTGCTTCTGCTCAGAAAACATCTTCTAGCGTGTCGTCGACTGAGAGTTCTTCCTCCTCGTCAAGATCAGCGCCAACATTAGAGACGTCGACTTCGTCGGCTTCAAATGGACTGTCGACTGGGGCTAAAGTTGGAATCGGAGTTGGATGTTCAGTGGGCATTCTTCTACTGATCCTTGTCGGGTTTCTCATCTTTCGATTGAGATCTTATACTAGATCAGTTACCGCCAAACATGAAGAGTCTTCGGACCTGGTGCAGACAACAGAGTATGCAAAGTCGCAACCGCATAGTGAACTTCAAGGCTGGGTTACGCAGAAAGCGGTAGAGTTGCCGGTTCAACCTGCAGAGCTGCCAGCGTCTGGTCCGCGCAGATGGTGACTGAGGAAGCAGTGCGCGGGTTATGAGAATGGGAGATGCATTTCTTTAAATATTTCAAATCCACGATACCTTATTAAACCTACGTGATTCTTTCAGGAAATAAAGCGATGGCTTTAATATTGTGTGTGAGATATCAACAAACATCTCCCCAAGGGTCTATAAGTAGGTTCGGTGACTGCATACTGAGGAATAAGGAGTATATGAGGAATCCCGAAGGACAATTTGATTTCTCTATTATACATACATCATTATGCAACGCTGGGGATGACAGATGAAAGCAGAGACATCAGTGACGTCTAGAAAAGCATGGAGCTGTGGCAACCACAGTCTAGCCACAGACTTTGCTCCACCAAGAGAGACAACCGGAAATATCTCTAAGAGGTATATGAACGACAATATCATCATCGTTATTAGATGACGCTATCACCAGCATCGGTGTGCATTGCAAACTCCTAATCTGTCACAGACCGGACGATCATGTTAAATCAGGAATCCAATAGCACCCTCGAGATCTCCGTTCGCTGCATCTAGGGCCCGAATAGCCTCCTCGCGAGTGAAGCCAAGTTCAGTAATCTTGGCAATCGAGTCCTGCGGCCAACGTGATGCAGGAGCAGCTGAAGGGCGGATGTTGATCCTCGGAGCAGCGGCTGAGGATCCCGCGCCGGTCGTCTGTTGTTGGTCGCCAGCCGCTTGATGCGTAACTGCCCCTGTTCTAGCACCCACTTCAGCGCCGTGAGAACCGCGGATTATAGGCTCATCTTCGAATTCCTCCTGGAACTGCTTCGGGATCTCTGCTTCTCCCAGGAATGGCACTGCTTGGTCTTGGATAACCAGTGCGCCATTTTTCAGATCAATGCAAGCTTGATGTCTTTTGAGCATATCCAAGCCGAGGAGAAGATCGATATGCTTCCCTTCCATCACTGTAAACGAGCAAGGCAGGAACATGCTGCCGATTTTAAGCTGCGCAGAATGAACCCGTCCGATGATCGTTGCCGTGCCGACACCCTTCGCGATACCGCCATACCGACGGTCAACAAGGCGCATGATGTTGCACGCTTCAGCACATTCGGGAGACATGATTGTCACCTGAGCTCCGGAATCGACGAAAGCCTTCACCTTATGGCCATTCACTTCAACGGGAATGTAGAGCATTGTCACACGGCCGAAAGCTACAAACAGTAAATTAGAGACCGTCATAGATCAGTTAATGGGAAGTGGAAACTTACATTCTGGGTTGTGCTCCATGGCAGTGTGTAGGTTCTCCGTGACCGCGTTTTGGCGAATAATCTCCTCGATCTCACGCTGGTTGTCCGCATTGAACGGATCGGCGTTCAGCATAGCAATTCGAGCCTCCTTATCAGCTTCGATCTCAGCTTCCCTTCGTTGTTGAGCAAATAGCACCTCGCGAAACCGCTGCGAGTCCTCCGCAGCTTCCGCCAGTTCTGGGTTCTGCCTCCGCACTGTTTCCCGAACATGTGGATCTCCCAGAAGGTGCAGACGAAGAGTTTCAGGGTCCGGCGTCATCGCCTGTCTTCGTGCCAGTGCTTGTTGTGTTGCTGCATTCGCACCTCCTCCTAAGCTTCGTGTGCCTGGCTGCTGACCACGAGTGCCCACATGGACACCAAGCATGTCACCTTCTCCGATGCCAACTTGCTCCAGTGTTCGTGAATCGTCGTTAAGCAGTTGGTTGTTGAAGACTAATCTCTGTGCTGATGGAGGAATGTTGGACTCGCTTTCGATGATAGCTTTGAGGAGCTCTATGTTCATGTCACCACCGACATCAAGGGATATGATGTCGGCGTCCGACTGGTCAGGCCGGATAACGCTGACTGTGATGCGCCTACCAAGTAACCAGGATATTAGTAGGGCGATAAAGATGATGATGAAGAGGAAGGTACTAGATACTCACATCTCGCTATCAGAGCGCGTGGGATAAGGCTGTAGTCGTTCGAAGGGGGTTGCGGTCCTACGAAGCGGGGGTACTGAATAGCTGCGGGGATATCCTGCTAAAAAGCAAGCAGAGCGGTTCTGGCTTGGGAAAAGAACTCGATGATGAGATCTCTGAAAGAAAACGAGTGTGAGAGTTTTCTCAAAGGCCAAGCGCTAGAACTTGCGTGGGATAAGCTTAGGCAGATGGAGATAATGTCGCGTGGCGGAACTGTCACCGACGTAAGCAGCTCTCTACCTTGCGGGACGCAGCGGGGAACCGTTGAGAGCCTAAAGTCCAGCCTGCAACTGTTATCCCGCCAGCACGCCTCACCGTGAAGGGCAGCTTTTCGATTCAACGCAATCTAACATCACCAGTCTTCATAATCTGCCAATACTGGTTGCTGCTGACATGCTATGTTAGGAAAGCCAGTTCTTGCAGTCCGAATCCGGTGAGATGCATGGAGGCAACAGCGGAGATGTGAGAACCACGAAAATAAGTCGCCGCAACAGCACGCAATCAGACATCTACCGTGGGATATGTCTTATCCCTTTCGATCGTGCTGGGTATGTTGCAGCCTCGAGTCCTCAACGATCAAGTTTTTGTCGATATCCTCTCATGCATTAGAGCCATCGATCTCTAGCAACTTACCGTAGCTTTGCATACCCCGACAGCCAGGGACACTGAACCAGTCAGAACTGGGAATCAGGAACCGAGAACGGCCTGCAAGGTGACACAAAGATGGATGGTCCCATTGAGACCATGTGGGATCAACGGTCCCCGGGTGGATGGAGAGCAACGATGTGTGCGTTGGCCTGCGTCTTCTAAGCACTCACTAATGTCGCATCCTCTTCCCCGCGGCCTTGATGCACCAGACTGCAGTCATCTGAATCTCCCAAATATTGGTCCGATTGTGGCCGTGCGCCATCAGCATATTATGCAGATAATAATGTGGCAGTGTCCTTGGCTCTTCAGACGAAACACACCACTGATCTCAGTGTTTCTGGACAATCCATGTAGACTAATTCTCAGCATCATTTTTAGCTCTGTTATCTGCTTGTCGTGTTTTCACCTTTGAGAAGGGATAGTCCGAACACCAATATTGCCTATTGCATATATTATATGCACAAAAGGCCCCAAGTTCCCAAGCACCAGGTTATGGAACAATCACTACAAGGCTCGAAAACGTCGGTAGCGTCGATAGGTGGATAATAACTGGCACTTGGTTGAATGGGATTTGGGACTTACTAGCATCTATCCTTACTATCGTTTATCCACGAAATAGTTCTTAAGGACTATGTATTTAAAAAGGTTAGAGGATGCGATTGAGCAGCTCTATATGTTGTTAGATATATAAGCCAAATGAAAGAATCTTACCACTCCACCGCAAAACCGAATTTGTCTAAATGACCGACTATCACTAATATCTTATATACCGAAAATTCACTCTACTTAGACATAATACTTGCGACTATAGGCGCGAAGAATTAAGTTCTAGACCCTCAGCCAAAGTGGATTATAATCTGCATTGACACCTGTCTGACAGGTAAGCCAGCGAGTTGGCATGGAAACTTTAAATTTAGCAAATCTGCATATGTTTCATTTTGCAGAGGCTGTCTAGACCGCAGGGCAACATATAATTCTAATACTTTCTACAGGGGTAAGCTTACTGTTATGCGGTGTTGTAAGAGCTGTCTCAGTCCGAGACTCTGCATTTCCTTTAAGATTCCCAACCAACGTCAGTCATCAATTCGTTAAATACATTGCAAAATGGGCCGTCTTGATGTTCTATTTTTCGTCTAGTAGTATTGAGCAGCGTTTGTAAATATAGAAAAATTGGGTATCCACATGAGAATGGCTAATACGTTCAAGAACAGAAACTTCCTGTAGGACTCTATGCGTGCCAACGCCGTCGCCGTGAATGTACCAACTCCCGTGAGGCGTATAGAGCGTTGCTGTACGCGGGTCAGGATGGTAGCTGTGCATTGTGTGTAGAAAACTGCCTCGTATCGGGTCCCGCTGCCTGTGCATAGATGAATACCACTTTTGTCCATGGAGCAAAGCTGTGGATAAGCCCTCGGGGTAAATGTTGATATCATACGGGGTTCCACACGTTGATCTTCCAGAGACTGAAAATATCGCCCTTATTGGCACCTGGGTTCCGTTGTAAATATGAGCGGAAGGACGAGATAATCCCGAAGGACATTGACTAACCGACAGTGGTACTGGTCCCATTCCGGAATAGAAGACGACAGCAGCAGACCCACTGTATGATTGACAAGTGAGATGTTCACCTTCATGACGGTATAGGACTGTCGGCTTTGTGTTGGATCGCCCATTGAAAACAACAGCCTTATTCAACGCTGGAAAGGGGTAGGCCCAGTTAACGGTGTCGAAGACTTTTTATCCATCCCAAAAGCGGAGCGAAGTCCAGCGATAGAGCCGTAAACATCTTACATCATGCTGGCTTTCTCCCGTAGACGATGTAAAAGTCGAAGATTGCATGAATGGAAGGATTCCATGCATCCTGTCTGGTTCTCGCCACAAGATCAGCCACAGCTTCCTTGGACCATCCTTCATGCCTCGTCAGTACTGCCAGTGCCGTTGCCTCAAAACCAGTCGCGATTTGCATCAAATTCAAGAAGCCCACAGATTTGAGAGTCTCGTCCTTTGGCCATCCTCCCATAGGAACCAAGAATTTCTGAACGTGGATATCTTCAAACCCTGCATCACGAAACCAGCCTTCTAGTTTTGAACCAGGAGAACATTCCACCTCAGCCTTGGCGAAAGCTGGGCGGATAACATCGTAGTACTGTTTGATAGACGTCCCTTCGGTTGATCCGTCTTGAGAGTACATATTGGCGTCCCAATCCTGGAACTCAACATAACCTCCGGGGGTTGTAAATTCATAACAGCGCCGTATGAGCCTCGGAAAGTCTTTGCATGATACCGCCAAGTAGCGTGCATGGATGAAGTCAAACTTTCGATGACCATACAACCACTCATCTTCAAAATCATCGATGACAAATCTCACGTTCGGAGGGATCCAAGCTGGTTGTATCGGACTGAGGTCATTGCCCCAGACCTCCGTGGAGGGATAATCATCCGCAAAGTCGATGGCCCATGATCCTGTACCGGTGCCAAGGTCAAGCACACGATGAGGCGTCGGAGGAAGGGGAGATAGAAAGAGTCTACCGCCCGTCAGGGTCCGATATAACATATGCAAAGTGTCGAGCCGTTGCTTTTCCGGTTCATCATTTGGAATGAGGTAACGGCCATCGCGAAATGCATGATACCGTCTGCCATTCTCATTTCGGTAATCAACAGCTGAAGCGGTAATCGAAGCAGTAAAGTTTGAAATCTCGTCCCCATAAGAAGAATCGTTTTCGAAGGCATAAGTATCAACTTCGACCGTGGCAGGTGGCACTGCAGCGTTATGTTCTTCTTCTGGACTGTCCATGGCAATGCAGTAGCCGCCGCACTGATAAGTAGACTCTTCGAGACCTGGTGGCTTGAGCTCCGCCGCGAACGCTGAGGCGATATACAGAGCATTCTGACAGGAAGACGGGGAACTCAGGGCCTCTTATGCGACTAGATGCACGTCGACCTCCACGTGGACGGGCATACGGAATAATACAGCTGCAATCGTAAGAGCAGTAGTTCTGATTCTTGAGACCGACAGGGGATGTGACGATCTCCACATGGACTCATCGAAGACGGTTGTTTAATAGCGGTAGTAGTTGAAGTTCTTACCTACCCTAGTTCTGACGGCACGGCACTAGAGGCTGCATGGTACTTTTGTGAGTATCGATTATCGCACCATCTCCAGAAACGGCTGCGTTGACGAGATTCTCGGCCATATCATTAACCACACCCTGGTTGTCCCCAAAAAAGGGTCTTTTTACATATGCATGCGCAACATACTCTATCTTGACACTGGAAAATTTGTCCGCCTCGATTCTGGTTCAGTGCTCTGTCCAGCGGAGATCAGTTCTCTAACTGCTCCGCACACACGCATCACTCCATAGGTTCTGAGGGATCACTATTGATGCAAACCTCGATTTGACCACTCCTCATCGAAAGGCACTAATCGTCGGGTTTGCATAACAAGAATTAGCACTGGCTTGCCTGTTCTGGAGAGGGCGTCAACAGGGGGTGCTCATTGGGAAATGTAATAATGCAGACGTACTGTACAATAATGGGGAACCTAGCCTTTAAGAAGCAGACATGTCGGTACGGCGTATGTATCTCGTAGATATAGCAGTCTAGACTATGTGCCTAGTTATACAGTTGTTCTCCAAAGTTATGTATGACCAGAGCTTGCCATATTGATGCGCTAGCGGCGGCCCAATACTTAAACAGGGCATCATGGCTTTTATTCTGTTTGGCCTCAAGGTGAGTTGTTGCTGCAAGGGCTAGCCACTCTGCGATCCAGTCGTGAGCTGAAAGACAAAAGAAGAAGCTGACCGTAGGCCTGTGCCCATCTTCTCTTCCAATGACTCGATGGCGGCGGGCGAAGTCGAAGCGTGGCGCAGACGCTGGTTTCACATCGCGCCCGATGACGATGTCATCATCAGCCGCTGATCGCCGGTCGAACAAAAACCAGGCTGTCCTGCGCTCTTCGAGTGTCCAACAGCTGATATCTACAGCAGATCAACCATAGACTCTTCATCCCGGAAAGCCTCCAGGTTTCTTTGTGATTTTCTTCAACTTGCCTCAGTTACCGTTCCTCATCTCATCCACGGTTCCTCTGTGCCCCGCCTTCCGCGGCCCGTCACCCGCTCTCGTCATCCAAGGCTCACCACGAGGCCCTACGCGATAAGTAAATACTATCCAGATCCGGTGATATATATCAGAACAACACATGCCGCGATACGACGACTTTCGTTCCTCGACCGGGAGTTTGGATCCAGGAGGCGCCCGTTGGGATGCTGAACGGTTTACTCGAGAGCGCCAGGAACGTGCGTACAATGCGCGTGCCCCGCCAGTGGTAGACCGACCATACGATGCGCCAAGGCGTCGCATGGAGGATGATTTCTTCGAATCTCGCTTTGTCGAGGAGGACAGATATGGACCGCCAGCCAGACGGTTGGATAGACACTACGACGATGACCATCTTGTCCGCCCCGCCGGACCTTTAGTTGCCTATGACCGCCGCCATGCAGATGGTCCACTACCCCGTCCAGGCCTTTTGAGGCGGCAGTCCTCATTAGACAGCTTCGACCGTCCTCCTCGAAAGTTTGATGAATACTACCGTGACAGCTATCGTGTTCCGGTGACCCCATTGAGACCACCCAGGCGTCCGTCTCCGCCCCGGTTTGCGGAGCGTGACTATTACGAAGACGTTCGCATTGCTGATCCCGACCATTACGGCGACGAGGAGTACAGGGATATCAGGGAGCGCGAGCGGACGGTAGAGCGGAGACGTCCTAGAAGCGACGAAACCCTGAGAGAAAGGATGGTGAGAGAGGTCGAGATCGAGAAGCCTTATCCACGGAAGGGAAAGACACGCATGCCGAGAAGACTTGTCCACACAAGAGCGATCTTGGAGCTTGGTTATCCATTCATAGAAGAAGTACGTATAGACATGCGGCGACTCTTTCCTACCGGCGGAGGACTAACATTTGGGTAGGGAGATATGATCATTATCGAGAAGGCTCTGGCGAAAGAGCAGATCGATGAGGTAGTCAGTCTCAGCCGAGAGATCAAGAGACGGACGGAGAGTGAGTTCCTACATGACTACCAGTGACCGGTCCCATACTGACGAGCACAGTTCGCACTGTACGTACTTCTCCGTCACCGGTCCGTTCAAAGCGCAAGGAGAAGTTAGTCGAGAAGGTCGTGATGGAATCGGACTCGCCGCGGTCGAGCCATGAGACGCTCATCATTGAGAGGTCGCCGTCGCGTCACCGATCGCACTCCCGCGTCCGGAGCGAGCTGATTGAAAAGCGCGAGGTCAGAGAGGCTTCCCGCCCTAGATCTGTATCCGTGCACCGCAGGCGGCGTCGATCGTCGCCCATGCGTGTCATTGAGAAGGACGACGTTATAATAGACGACAATCGCCATCTTCAGGTGATTGTGCCGGAACGTCACCGTCGGAGTGACCGCGACATCCGCGCTGAGATCGAGGCTCTAGAAGCGGAGCAGAAGGCCTTGCAACTGGAACGCCGCACCCGGGATGTTGCGCTAATCCGGGATACCGAGATCAGCGACCGTGAAGAGGTCTTGGAGGTGAAGAGAGATCGTAGAGGTAGGATGAGTCTGGTCCGACATAAACGGTGATTTATCGATCGAGACCTAATGATACCCTTGTGATATAGCACCTAGTGCGAGACTTATACGGGCGATGCTGGCGACGGTCACTTGATTTGTCCTTGAGTTGTCCCTGAACCGCCAGTCTGCACTTCGACGATTCGAATGAGACCCACGCCTTTTATTACCTATTTGAGTTCTGTTGGCGTTAATGTTATCGGTTTTTGCTCCCTTTAGTCTGGTTGTCGCTTGATAGTTGTATAAGTTATCCGGCACTCGTTCACCACGCCGCTCCAGGCAGACCAGCCAATACCCTGACCTGTTTCTTGCCTCTAGACAGGCAAATCATGTTATATTATTGTATGTTTCGGAACATGCGGTGTTTCAAGGCGGGGAATGCTAAATTGCAAGCTTCTTTTCCGGAGCCGCCATGGGGAAGCCTTGGAATTGGGATGCGCGAGTCTTTTGTTTCCTGTAACTTAAGAGTGTATTTTCTAGTGTAACGGTCTGTGCCAGTCACTAGTCCCATTGTATCAACGGTGAAACTTTTAATTTGATAGAAACGATGTCGATCAGTGTCATATGTAGTATCTTATCTAGGAGTAACTAAGCGGCAGTGTTTTGTGCCTCAGGCTGCAACACGACACCAGATCTGGACAGTTTGGCCGCTGAGCACGAGTTGGGCTCGGGGGAGCCGCTCGTGGCTGTCATATCGACTGCGTCCAAAGCACAACGTTCGCCAAGATCATCCTGTCACCGTTGGACTTTTACTCAGCAGCTATCTCTCTAAATCGACCGTTTCGATCGCAATCATGGATAAAGTGCAAGCTTTCGGCAAGAACTTCAGGTGAGTCCACGAACGCATCAATGTTGCCTCGTTCTTTGGTGTCGACGGCCTACTCCAACTCCACGCATACCATCGCCTAGCAACGCTGATGACCATTCACTAACTCAGTCTACCTTATAACAGCTCAAGCTTCCAACCCTTCGCGCAGCGCGCACAGCAGTATGTCAAGGAGCAGCTGGGCCAGGTCGACGAGAAGACGCAGCTGCCGGATGAGTACATTGAGCTCGAGAAGCGCGTGGACGCTTTGAAGCAGGTCCACCAGAAGCTCCTCTCAGTCACGTACGTATCCTGACTTCAAGTTATCTGTCGTGTCCATGAGGTCTAATATTGTATCGCAGTTCTCAATACTCCAACGAGGCTTACGACTACCCTCCAAACATCCGCGAGTCTTTCAATGACCTGGGCCGCACCATCAGCGAGAAGGTCCAGCTGTTGTCGCATGCCACTTCTCCCGCTGAGGCTCAGGCTGCTTTGACTGCTCCCCCATCCGCAAAGCCGCAGCCAAAGACGTTCAACCATGCCATCGCGCGCTCTGCTTTGGCGGGGTCCCAGCTGATCGCCCAGAACTCCCAGGGCGAGGACCCGCTTGCGACTGCTCTGGAAAAGTACGCTCTCGCCTCGGAGCAGGTGGGTGAGGCGCGACTGGCTCAGGATGCCCAGATCCAATCGCGATTCCTCGCTGGCTGGAACACGACTCTGAACACGAACTTGATGTTTGCAACCAAGGCTCGCAAGAATGTCGAGAATGCGCGGTTGACCCTAGACTCCATCAAGGCCGCTAAGAAGGCCCAGGCTAAGGGTGACTTGGATAACCTGAGCGAAGACGCACGTGCCGAGATCGAACAGGCGGAAGATGAGTTCGTCGGCCAGACTGAGGAGGCCGTCAGTGTCATGAAGAACGTGAGTCGACGACCATTCTATTTCCTTTCATAATGCATGCTAATGATGACAGGTCCTTGACACTCCCGAGCCCCTCAGAAACCTTGCGGATTTGATTGCCGCACAGCTAGAGTATCACAAGCGCGCGTATGAGATCCTCAGCGAGCTGGCCCCCGTTGTTGACGGACTCCAGGTTGAGCAAGAGGTATGATTATTTTTTCCCGCCCTACGGTTGATCATTACCACTCATTAACGATACACGCGCTTTAGGCTAGCTACCGGAAGAGCCGTGAGGGCGCTTAGTTATGATAACGGAGGCACGTTTCGTTGATTTTCTTGCTTTTCGTTTGGTTGCGTAGGAAGTTTTAAGCCATGTCTGTAAACGTCCATTATCTGAGTTTGCGATTGTTGTGATGTTGCCGGACTTCTTCTAGAAGTTCATTCCCCATTAGTTAAGTTTTGTCAGCTTGTAGCTCGACACAGACACATGTCTTTCTCTACTTCACTGGTTACCCTCGAGGGACCAATAAATGCAACGGTATTCCACAGCTCCAAGGTTCGATTTACATACGACACTCTGTTGTCTGGCAAGATGTACACTGAATATGCACGGACCGCAGCGGCGTATAGCTCGGCATGGTCCCAAAATAACTCCGCATGGTGCTGAATTCTGCCAATAGATATTCTCCGCGGAGAGCAGAGCAGGGATCTCTACCGGTCAGTGGAAGGCCAATAAGCAGTCGAGAAAAGGCAGGTAGGGTAGACTAGGTACAACAGCAGCAAGGGTAGTAATATATGATATATCTATGTATAAAACACACAAATCATCACGGCCACTCTGGTATGCCAAATCGGTTAATTAGACCAAAAGCCTGATACAACGGGTCTAACCACCGATCCACTATCCACAGATACCCATTGGCAGCCTCGACCTGCGTGACGAGACCAGCGTTCATAATGAATATGGCGTCTCTCTCTTGGGTGACGGTGAGATTAAGCCCTGTCACATCACTGGCAACGGAGACAGAGCCATTGAATTGTAGACTGGCAAATATCTCGCCGCCACTGTCGAGCCAGCCATACTGCCACATTAGAGTGTTGAATGGGCTCTTATACGGCGCGACTAGAGTGTCTGTTTGAATTGGTGCTGGTTAATAGTTTGTCTTGATTCTAACTAGAAGGAGCAGAGAATATGAAGGGTCCAGTAGGACTTTCTTGGGTAGGGAAGTATGCAAGAAAGCATGCATGGCACTTACGGTACACGGGAAGAATCGTAGGCATAAGGTCATAAGCCTGATTCTGCGGGACGACAAAGAACTGTTTGAAGCCATACTGTTTCGCAAGACGACGCAACGTATCAGGCGTATTCACATTGAGTAATTTGGAGGAATTGACCAGTCGCGAGTCATTTTGTATAAATTCAGCAATAGTTAAATTCGTCCTCTCGCTCGTCGGCGCAGCAGTTCGATTACTGGGCCCGCCACCGTAGATGAGGAAAGGGTCGATGACCTGGTCGATCTCATGGATGAAGCCATTATCAGCGACAATATCCTCCTTGACGATTGCGGCCTGGTCTTCGATCAGGACCGTGCCATTTGTGGAGTTAGTGGAATCAATATAGTACCCCTGCACAGTCTTGGTGAGGATGCCTCGGTGGAATTGCTCTGTTGTATTGGACAGCTGGAGTGAGGTAGAGATTCCTCCGGCGCTGCTACTCCCTGAAACGTGAACGAGCTCGGAGGCTGTAAGACCGGCCTCGACAATATGCGTGCGCAGTAGCGCCTCTATCAGAGGATAAGCTTGCTGAGTCATGAGAATGTCGAAGATGGCATCAGGGATCTTAGACCAGGCCTGTTCAACTGGTTAGGTAGGTTTCTACAGTTGTAAATTACCAGAGTCTATGGGGCTCACGGCGTTAGTAGGAGCCAGAAAGGTGTAGTTGCGTTTGTCCTCGTCGTAGTTGAAGCGCTTGGTGAACAGTGGGTTGATCTCCACTATGCCACCCGTCATATTGTATACATGAGCATATGTTGACAGCTCTGGAACTTCAAGAAGCATATCCATGAGTGGAGAAGCCGTCACGGCCTGGCTGATAATGACTGCGATCAGCGCCGCAATTGCTGCGAGAGAAGGCATGGCGTTTATTGATAATGACTGCCGTTGGTTAGAGATTCTTGACCTGCAGATGAACTTGCTTTTAATTTATACATTCTTCGCGAGAATAATGGGTCTACACGGCATTGTATATCCCCCACTTGCGACTCGTGCTGTGATAGGATCTAGCATGCCTTCTGGCCCAGATACAAATGTTACTGCATGAATAAAGTGTGTAGATAAGGTCTAAACTACCTACCAGGGGAGGACCTTTACCTAGGTAGTTCTACTATATACCCCAAGCCGGTTAGCGCCTACGTAAGCTACCTGGGAATAAGTGAACAGGGACCGCATTGAAACATCTTGGCTTTCCCGCACTTCTCGTGGATTGCCTTACAGGGGTTTAATCTTGGTACGAGTAGACTCTGTCGTTTTCAAAATCTCTGTCAGCACAAGACAAATCCGTAGACGAAATGGACAGCAGCATAAGAGAACCAGCCAAACCTTGGCGAGACTCCGCAGAGCGGCAGAGTTGCAAGGGAGAGGGAGTCTCCTAGTTAGCTCTCTCTGGTGGATATGGCTGCTCCGTTCTGCGCATTTTGCTCGGGAGAAGAGCTATTGTGATAAGCCGATACTGACATGAGGACCAGGAAGTGCCCCCGTGCCAGGAGTTATGGTGGTCGGCCATCAATGCTATGTTTGGCCAAAGCCGGCTTCCAATGGGCCGAATGGAAGTCAACAATGGATTGAAAGGATCTCCACTGCCTCGAATACAGAGAAATTGACGCGCGTGCGAATAGAGCTGCCTTATTGCGAGATCATCATGTGCCAGAACTGAATGGGGACCTACTCCCGTTGTCTAGCCGCCACTTATGCTGTCTATCCATGTCCTCCCGGCAGAACACATGGCTTCTATTCTTGATCTGAATATCACTTTTGTGTTATAGCTGAAAACCTTCTTAAATATAATGACAAACCTCTAATCTTTAAGATACGTTCGTTAAGTGCTAGCAAAACAATACCTTGCAGGTATATTCAGACGTTTCCTTGTACGCTAGTAACATGAAACTCCTTCTAATTGGCCCCTTCATTCAAGGAAATCACGTGTTAGTTTAAATCTTCCTATTTGGGCAGTATTAGGTGATCTTCCCCCTCTATTATTTTCTTGGTCATTGGCGCTTAGCGCCTTTCCTACGGCTTTGGCAGCGCCGGCGTAAGATCCCTGGTATATATTAAGTATATACTCTGACTGATTATAGCGCCCTGTATCAAATAAATTAGCATAACTGAATCATTTAAACAAGGTTAAATCAATTATTAGAACTATACTAAACCTCTACTAAGAAAAAACTTACTACAATCCTAGTATATACCAAAGGCATCTTAAAGGCGGAAGAAATGGGCAGAATTTAGCACCAGGACCACGGCAAGCACCCGCCGCAACAAGCGCCTCGTGCGGCAACCTCCGCCAACCACTTATCTAAGCGCCGAGCCGCGCCCCTTTGGTCCAGCTACGTACTACTCCAAAGTCGGGACGCTTTACTGCAGCTCCGCCGACATCTTGAAGCGGGAGGAGCCAGACACAACGATTACTCTCACCAAAACTACGATTCTCCATCCTGTTTTCGAGCACAGATACCCGAGTATTTCGATCTACCGCCCCGAAGAGTCCAAACCGGCCGTCTTTCAATCGAGATCCTCCAACGAGCAGAGCGTGACGGACGGATTGAAAGGACGATACCATCGATAGAGCATACAGGAGAGGAGAGCACTGAGCAACTGGGCTGTTCTCTGCAGTTTTTCGGCCTCGTTTGGGCTCTAGGATCCGCCTCAAGTTCACGAGAACTCTCATCGGGCATTGTCGTCGAAACCGGCGGAAGAAGACATCCGCGCTTGAGCACTGTTAACATCCCGATTTCGAGAGAAGGGATAAGAAGAATACAAGATGGCGAACGGGTACGTCTTTCCAGATTCCTCCGTCCATTGGCAGTTATTCCTGGCCCCGATTTCGTCGTCACCTGGCGTCGGGAACCTACTATCGAGCTATTCTCATCACATAACATCAAAAGATCATAACTAACTAGAACTTGTTCCATTCATACAGCTGGAGTGTGATCATCGGCCTTATCATCGTGGTACTTGCGAGTCTGGCCGCTTGGCTATTCAGTCCAAAGGGAGACAATCAAACGTTAGTCTCGAATTCCCCTACTGGCTTGCTACGTTTCGCTCTCCCGATTCAGGAGAACAAGGATCGATACATACGCCCAGGAACCGATTCAGAATCCATTTTATGTTTTCCAAGAAACCAATCTGAAAAGACCAAAATACTGACGTAAATGCATGAAACAGACTCTGGCGTAGCTCCCTCATTCTCGCTTTCGCAGCTTGTTATATCATGTGGGGTATGAATTTCCCTCTCTTCCTCCCGCCCTTCCTCTCGTTCTCGACTTTGGATAATCCATAGCTAACACGGCGGCTCCAGCTATCACGTTTCTCGCACAATGGCATCCCCTTATCGCTCCCAAGCGAGCAGACATCCGACCGGACCGGATCCCGCATTAATCATACTCAAGTTTGGTTGAGCTGTGAATAACTGTTTTTGTAGGGGATATGAAATTGTATTGCTTGCTGTTGAGAATCGTAAATTATTTGTTAGTATTTTAAGCATAGGAATGTCTGTTTCTGTTCTCTCGATTTCCCTTGAGAGATTGGATTGTTTGTCCTTTGGTATTTTCCTATATTATTTGGTGACTAAACGGCCTTGTATCATTTTTCGTTCGTAATCTATGTATACATGAAACTTTGATGGGGGAGGAGAAAAAAAGATATCAGATAAGATACACAACTATCCATACGAGAAACTATCTACCCAACCCCCACCGCAGTCAACAGTGCCTTTTCTACTGTCCAACGTGCTGCTTGACCAACAACTGCCAGTGCCACCGCTCGTGGATAACCGCAGTCTAAGAGGATAAACAGCGCCTCGATGTTGTTCAACAAGACAAGGTATGTATCTGCTGCGCTGAGTGAAATAAGGGAAAGAAGAGAGTTAAAGACCGAAACTATCCGGTCAGAGAATGCCGGTGCGGCTGAACTGGTGGCAGTCGAGAGTGATAGAGAAAAGGAAGGAAGTAAAGATGCGGCGGTAGGGATCGAGGTAGGGGCATGCGAGGCGGATGTTGCTGTCGCTGCTGACAGGAACTCCGAGTTCGCGCTGGAGAATAGTGCAGTCGAAGTCGAAGAGGAAAGGGCTTCGATGCCCCTCTGCAGGAGTGTGGCGGCGGCACTGTTGGTCTCTTCGCTGCCGGTCTCGGGAACCTCAGTGGAACCCTCTGGACCCCAAATCACCAGCAGGATTGGAAATAATTTCGCACAGCTGCTCACAAGCAGCGCAGTACTGATAGCACTTGGGCTTGCTGGCGACGGAGGCGGAAGAGGTTGAACCGTCTGCGTCGGAGCAGTAGATGAACGACGAAGAGGGGGGATGATTCCGCTATTACTAGCAACCGGAGGCGGCGGTCTAGTAGCTACCGCGCTACTTGCTGAACCTGCTTCTGAACCGGAAGGTCCACGGACAGCCTGCCTGGATGGACTCATCGGTTGGTTGATCGGTGCAAGAGTTGCAGGGCTGGCTTCGCCCACCCCAGCGCTAGTAGGGAGAGGACACTGTCTCCGAGCTATTATAGACACCAGACCACGGACTGTTAAATGATGCACAAGTGTCGCAAGCGCATTCAACGTAAGGAAAAAGAGGTATTGTACGACAATCGGAGCGTTAGAAAGGCGGGTCGACGCAAGCGACGAGTTCTTTTCGATTCGCGCCCACGTCAAATAGACGTCAAACAGAAGAAGAAGGATTCCAAGTCGAATGATTGATCTCTGGAATTGATAAGAATGAGAAGTCAGCTATATGCAACGGAGGCTGCTCGGGGATCATGCGCATGCTCACATCGAACTTGTTGTCATCTCGACCTAAGCGGTTGAACAGAAGATGTCGGTATACCTAGCTTAAGTTGTTAGAAATGATACTATCCAACCGATAGAAAGCTTAGCGCATTAGTTATACGGGTACGTACTTGGGGTTTGATCAAAACAAGATCAATGAAGAGCACGACAAAGTCATGCTCAACATACTTGTCGGCGAACTTCTCGCAACGCGGACATTGTGTCAAACGCACTCCTTTACCGAGAGAGTGGTCGTCCGCTTTGCTATAGGAAGTGTAGAGATGCGATACGGGATATGAGCACTCGATACAAATAGGCATAGTGTCATGAAGGGCGCATGGTGAAGGGAAAGGAACTGGCCTTTTCCCCAGATTGCGACTTGCTTTCCGCAAGATGGATCGAGAAGCTGCGGAGCCCGGAGCCTCGAGACGGTCCGTGCGAGGAAACGCCGAAAGCTTGTCTTTTCTAAGCAACAAACAATAACTAGTTAACTACATAGGTAGTTAACTAACTTACTTAAATAGTTATGCGACTTTCGTGTCTGGGTGGTCAGTCGCCTGTAATATAGTAAGCTACTACAAGCAAGTGAAATGATGCGTATGTATCGTTTTATATCGTCTATATACATTCGTATGTACAAAGCTGATTCAATCAACAACACTTTTAGCGTCTGCCCAGCTCGGCTGGATGCTGCGACACACAGCCTCGTAGTCACGGAACTTTTGTTCATCCTCTGGAAGGCCGGGAGTAGTCCAGAACATTGTCCAGTTACTATCAGGCAGCTTCCACGTGCCCTTGGAGCGTTCGAAATACCACTTGTTGACGGGGTTATCCCGACGACTGCGCCAGCAGACGCCGTTGGGAAAACAAGACCGAACCATAGCATTGAACACCATGTCCGCGACTCCTCCGGCTCCTTGGCTCCGCTTCAATACAGCAAATTTGTCGAGATACGGAACCATCCGGGAGAAGCTGGCTTCACTTCCATCGTCGACAACACCCGGAGGTGTCTCCCATGTGAGAATTGCACCTCCTTCATACTCGCCGGCGATAATAAGCCCCGCGATACGATTGTTGACACGATCCAAATAGTCCTGAACGTCAAGTTTGCGGTTGAAGGAATCTTCAATCAAGTACACAAGACGTCCGAGATCGATGCGCGGGTCGTCCAGCCTCAGGCGCGGTTCACCTCCGTTGTCAGCCGTCCAGGCCTTAACCCGAGGGTGTGGTAATATCGTCAACGGCATTCCCCGTTTGACAAAGGTGGAGTGCGTAACAGGGTAATGCAGCTGTTTGCCAGAGCTAGCGTTGACATTTCGTCTCCCTTCGGGCAATGAAGATGATTGAGGGGGTTTGTCCGTCAGTAAGTTATGGATTAGTGGGTTCCTTAGTCGACGGGTACCAACAGCTGAGGGCTGCGAAGCGGATTCTGGAACCCTGGCAGAATTGGCTACTTCTGTCGGGGATGTGATGATCCCAGATGAGGATGGGGGTAAAAGGGCAAGGATCTTCTGGGAGAGTCGAAGATTTCCCAGGTGGCGTTGCAGTGAGCTTTCTCCACCAGTGACTTTCGACACACTTCCTTGACGGACAACTTCAGAGTTGACAGATTTGGAGAGAGGGTTGTTCTCAGCGATTGCGGATATAGAGTCTCGTCCCAGCGATAGATTCGAGCCACCAGCTGCGGGTAGTGACATCTGTTGCAGGAGTTCATTCTCGATATCTTCGTATTCCTGCTCCATATTTATGAATACGTGTGAGTTATGCGGTCCGCTGAAAGCAGGTATGCCTCCAAGAGAATCCAACACAATCAACCTATCCAGGGAGACTTCGGCCTGAAGTGTCGCTATCCTCTGAGCCGTCACCTGAGGATCTTCATCCGGGTCCGCAGTGACTTCAAGGCCAGCAAATTCCCGCGCGAGCGAGAAGAGAACGTCACTTGCAGGAATAGGGACAACTTTGGGCGATTGCTCCGTATAGGCGACAGGAGCGATAATGACCGTCTGTCCATTCCTCAGGGGCTGCAGTAGCAACTTCCGCGAAAGGACTTTGGGACTATGAAGTGCCGCCTCTGGTATGATGAGTGCAGAGTCCAGAATCAGAGAATTGGGACCGCTGAACTTGTCGGCAGCCTTGGACAGTCGATCGGCCTGTTGCATAACTGACTTGCGCCATACCGACGGATCCTCTATAGGCCCCGGGTCTAGAACAACGCAGGAGGTCATCCCAAGTCGCCTCAGTTGCCATAGCGTCTGTGCGATCCCCTCAATCATATCATCGTCTAGCAGCTGTGGCGTATTGATCTTGACTAGAGCAAAGTGGAGCCTTTCACTGACTTCCTCTGTCACCTGGGCTGGCGTTTCCTCTTGTCGGAAGACAGGACTATCATAGACAGACCTTGAAGCGCCATAGAATGATCCGAGATTGACTCCAAGCTTTGCCCCGTGCGCTATGTGGCCATCCTGCTTTTCTTTGTTTGGTATTTTGCGTTTGGGAGCTCCAGGCTTGAAACGTGAAAGGTAGGCTTTGGCCTCGCGCTTTGTCGATGCCGACCCGAGAAGACTCAGATAGAATTCCTTTCCCGGGGCACAGTTCAGCCAATGTTGGATGTTCACGGTGCCAGAACGAGGGGACCTACTCTATCTGCGAGCTTCTCTTTTGAGAAATGGCCCAATTGATCATTGTAATTATGTTCACTGGAACCGCTGCGAACACCAGCTGGAGCCGCATTGGAGGACGCACGGGCTGTGACAGAGCTGGAAAAGAACCGGGACTTTGCGCCGGAGACGCAATAAGGTAAATGACGACGAGTGGCCATTTCAGACTTTGGCAGAAACAATCGTCAGTACGAAACAGTATATTTTAGCGGTAAACATACCTTTAAGTGCAAATATTTCGAAGCCCTTGGCCAGTCCAACACAATAGCACTCATGTTTCATTATGTGACCGGCGCGAATCGGATACCAACTGACGGATGCATAGGAGACGGAAAGGACACAACGGAGTGCAAACACACAGGACAAGGAAAAGCACCGGCTAATGAAGGAAGCTAATAATATGAAAAGTAACAGTACTGCCCATACAACGGGACAGAGACCGCGGAGGGGCCGAAGCAGATGGAAGAAGAGCCAAAGTGTTGTGGAGAACAATAATGCGATGACTCTTTTTCTGCCGCCGGCCCGTGACGCAGAACTTGACCGCCTTTCTTCCACGCTGACTGATAAGGGCCGTGTCGCGTGGCAGTTAGGTACTTAGGGCAATCTACTACCTACTCGTGCATCTTTATGCCTCACTCCTCTTTGACAGTGGGCATCGCGAATGGCCGAGTTCTTTCACCAAAATAGGCCATTCAATGCCTCAAGATACCGGGCTCGTCTCTAGGGAGTTCAAATCGACGACGGGATTCGCAAACCACGGAACTGAAGGTGGATGGTTGCCATGCTATCACGCCAATGATCAAGACCGGATCAAGCCAGCATCAAGCCAGCATCATCAAGATGTGGATGCTGATGCCTCTCTAACTAGATAATGAGGGATTTCATACGCACCGGGACAGAAAAAAACAAAAGAGAAACAAGCGTGAAACAAAATAAGAAGAAAAGAAAAAGCAAAGAGCATATCACTTTCGTTTCCAAACCCAGCATCTAGATAACTCGAACTACCCCGCGCGTGAAACTGATAATCTTGACCCGGTATCGCAGAGCTTCATATTCTAATCCTGTTTGTGGTCCTGATCTAGTCTCAAGGGTTAGGGATTTGCGGCGCCCTCCTATCTTCATGCAGGACCGTGTCATAGTTTTCATCACCTCTGGTTCTCATACTCACGAGTCCATGATTCAAATCTAGATATAAGGGACAATGATAATACTGCAATCTCCTTCGGCCATATTTCGAGACTGATACTTATGATGTCAACTATAGTATCTCAGCTTGGACGGCGCAGTGGATACGGTAATTAACAGGGGCATACTCCCTTTCTCGCACAGGATGGCGGATATTCGAAAAAGGTCCGCGATCTAGCTGCTTCGGCCCACATTTATCCTGAATTATTAGGTTAGTTAGTCCTATTCGAAACTCGGTCTTAAGTGCCAGTTATAGGACGCGTCATGAAACATATGATAACTGAAATGGGACCGGATGGATACAAACCGAGCAGTCTCGCGAGCTCTATCTGTGCTAAAGTGGGCTGAGGGGCTTTCTTGGCCTGTATATTGCTTCGTATCCGGGGAGCATTGCTCAGGTCCGAGATTTATACGTCGAGATGTACATAATACGTCGTGTAAACGCCATTCTCATAATCTAGACATCAAACAATACCTAGAACTGCGCATGTTCCTGCCATTGTTGAAAAAAGGAAGAACCCAACTGATCAAGACCCATACCGAACTCGGTCAGAAAATCAAAATCCATCCCACCGGCTGACGGCGTGAGTATCGCGTTATCAGCAGTCCAGGAGTCCAGATCAAACTGGGTATGCGTCACTGATGAGGAGCTTTCAGCCCTGGACTTTAATATATCGTAGGACATTCTAAGACTTTCAATGGCGGCTTTATTAACCGCGTCCCTCACAGGGGAACCCTCTGCAATGGCGTCGATCTGGGCCATGGCCACACTGAAGTAAACTAATATCTTGACGTTTGTTTCGCCGTTTAATAATCTGTCTTTTCCATGCTCGACGATCTTTCGGGCGTCTTGCAGCAGAGGTTCTCTCCGAGCTTTGTTCCTGGACTTTGAGAAAATTGCATTGTCGCTTTCGAATCGTGAAGTCAATTCTAGGAATATCATAAGCGCAGAGTCTGTCAGTATCTCTCGAAACATGCCGCCTCCGACAACCATGAGGCGGTGGTATATCTCGTCGTCGAGGAGAGAGATCGTTGAAAGAGCATTCTCGAGACATATTTCTGCTGAATGACTGTATATTGGATCTTCATAAGCCTTGGCTGCGAATGGTCGATGAAGAAGGAGTAATAATCGTCGATGATAGTGATCGCAGAGGTTGTGTGGAAATTCTGAGAGCCACAAATTGGTCTCTAGCGATCTATATTGATTGATTGTGACCGCAGCATTCTTATAAGTTGACATCATTTCGTTTCCAAGACGAAGCACCTCATCATATGATGGCTGTTTCTGCAAGTCATTCATGATCTCGACTACCTTCAACCTAAGAGGGAGAGAAGAGGCCAGTAGAAGCTGAAAGGAGGCTTGTGTAAGTACGGTTGACTCTTTTCCTGCAGATTCTATCCCAGGTGTATCAACCAAGTCATCATCGTCAGTGTTCAAGGGGAACCGAGTATCATAGTCAGCAGCGGAAACCATGGGAATCATTCCGGCATCCAAAGAACTCTGGACATTGATCTCCAATATGGTATACCACAGTCGCCTTCGGAGCTCTTTTTCCAACGCAGGCATTTCTCCGAGATTATTAGGATCGTGATGTAAACCCATCTGCATGGCCATGCGTATTAAACAACCCGCAGAAATCCAGGTTAAATCAGCCCCAACATAGTTGGTCTGGCGAGCAAGGAGAAGTAGGCAATGTATTTGGAGACCATCCAGAGTGAGACGATTCTTTTCAATGGGCCCTGAGAGCCATGTCTGGGCTATGTCAATCCAATCCAGAGCACTCTTCCGCAGATCCTGTCGTAAAACAACCTCACCCACGATAGGTGCCACGACGGCCATCACCAACGAGAGCTTCAATATGAAAGGTGCCGGTGCACCTTCCAGATTCTCCACGTAGCCTTCATACTCTGCGTAAAACGACGGTGAGTGCAGGATACGATAGCAAGACTCAAAGGTGTGAAAATATAGCCCCAACAAGTCCCTCGTCACTGAAGGACTGGGAAAAGTTTGAAACATCCCAGCAGGAAGCGGACTTCGACTGGGGCGCTGCGTTTTGACCTGTCGAGCGAGCTGCTTGCACTTTATTACCGTTGCACGTATTTCAGGATTCGGTTCAGTATTGTCCTGCTGTGACGGTGTGAAACCAAGTGAACTTAGCAGATGCAAGGCTGGTAGTTTCCGCGTCTTTTCAATATCAGTCCCTACACCCATATACCGTACATCCGCCAAAATATAGAATCCATACCTCAGGATACGAGCTCATCCAATGACTCGGACCGAACACTCTCGTCTTCGAGAATGTGCCATGGATTGGGCTATTTACAGTGGCATTGTGCGAAGGGGCTTTTGACGTCTTGCTTCCTCCGGCATGTGTCCGTGGTTGGGACCCCTCCCATGTTCTCACAGCAGGCTCTTCTGAGACGGGCTCGTTCTGCACATCATTCGAAGGACTTCCACGAGCGGGTATGCGTCTAATAGTACTTCTTATATTTCTGATATGAACCCCTCCAAGTCTATCCGGAGATTGGTGTGCGCCTGCATCGACAGTATGCTCCGCGTCAACTGCTTCCTCACCACGGGCTCGTCGTGAGACACGAGTGGTTTTCGGCACTGGAGGGTTTTCCGCGTAGGTGCAATCCACGGAATTTCGAATACATCGTCTGCAAGGGTGATTGCGGTCACACTTGACCTTGCGACGCCGACACTCGATGCAAGCCAGGGCGGGCCTTCGGCGTTTCTTGGTTGCTGGGCTTATGTCCGCCATTGTATGGTATCTTTGTCCGCACTGATTAACGCAACATGCAAGAAATAATTTTGCTGTGAAGTAAAGTTAATGATCCTGCCTATCTATTCCTCGCTGAATGGGCTGCAATAGATGTGGTGTATGAAAAAGTGCAAAGTCCGACAACATGTCGGATTGGAGATGTGAAAAGTGCGAACAGGGGGCCAAATAAGTATCCCGATATCTCCGAGCCCATGGGAGAAAAGACCGAGAACGGAGGACAACGTGCTTTCAATGCCACACAATCTACGACTAGTACTCAGCAATTGACATGGGTCTTTCGAAGATTTGTATAGTATCGTATGTTTCCGGAGTCTTAAGGACGGCTATTCTATGTGAGAGGTTATATCAATGCGTATTCGCCCGATATAGTCGTACCAAGCATACATATCACCAGTGACAACATTACCAAGAACCGATAATAACTCTTGATAGAATACGTTTAATCGAACAATGCGATATGATTTTAATGGGATATGTGTGAACTGGATGTCTTTTAAATACAGAGAGATCAATCTCTCCAGCAGTCCCGGTAATGCACTTCGCACGAGATATTTTGTTAGTGTGATGTCCAACGCCAGCGATGCTGTAACCCCAAGCGTTTCATTATTTTTTGGCCATGGAACTCTTGCTGTATTGAGCCATCGCAATGGCCACCATCGTATTTTCAATACTCGGTGAATTAGACCCGTTGAAAGCACCGAGATGTACATACATCCGAGCTGGCTATAAGATCATAAATAGGACCTATCTGCACAGCACCTCCATTTCATTCAATTGATCTCATATCATCACAAAATATCAAATCACCATCTCATAAACCATGCCTCAACTAAAAATCCTCATTTCCGGCGCGGGCATAGCGGGACTCGCCTCTGCCCTATGGCTCTCCAAGCTCGGCCACGACATCACCATCATAGAGCGCTTCCCAACTCTCCGCGCTACAGGCCTGCAAGTAGACCTACGTGGGCACGGCATAGAAGTGCTGAAACGCATGGGCCTCGAACAAGCCTTCCGGGCCAAATCCGTCCCCGAGCAAGGATTGCAGGTTGTCGATTCTCGCGGGAGACGATGGGCTTATTTCCCTGCAAATCGGTCCGGGAAGGGACTGCAGAGTTTCACGACAGATTGGGAGATCATGCGAGGAGATCTATGTCGGTTGCTTCATGACGCTTGTGAAGATCGGGTGAAATACGTTTTCGGGACGTATATTGAGAACTTTCAGGAGGACAGTGATGAGTTTGTTGAAGTGTTGTTTTCAGATGGAAGAAGGGATCGGTTTGATCTCGTGATAGGTGCTGATGGGCAGGGGTCACGGACGAGGAAAATGATGCTTGGGTCGAATACTCCTGATCGGATCACTTGGTTAGGTGGTATGTATTTCGGATACTTCACCATTCCGAAACCGCTTCAGGAAGGGGAGGATTTCCGCGCAACATCCTATATGGCTCCTGGGAGACGGTTCATACTTACCCGAAGGCACCGGCCTGATCGTGTGCAGGTATACCTCGGCTGCAAGACCGATTCGGAGAGTCTGAAGAATGCCCGCAGAGGTGACGTCCAGGAAGAGGTTAATGCGTTCGTGGAAATCTTCCGCGGTGCCGGGTGGCAGACGGAGCAGTTCCTGAAGGCTCTTCAAGAAGACACCGATGATTTCTACTGTGAGCGGATCGGAGTCGTCAAGATGGATTCGTGGTCTCAGGGTCGTGTTGTTCTCGTCGGAGATGCAGGATATTGTCCCTCAGCCAATACTGGAATGGGAACCACTTCTGCACTCGTGGGTGCATATATCCTAGCTGGAGAGATTTCGAAAATTCAAAAGGGTCACGAGACGAAAGACCATAATACGAAAAAGGAGCTCCTCATGGCGCTGAAAAGCTACGATGAAAAGTTCCGACCATTTATGGATCAGGTGCAGAGAGGATTGACGGAAGACTGGGACGTCTGGGATTGGATTGCTTCAACTTGGCTGAATGTTCTGATATTCAACTTCTTAGTGGCAGTGGCTTCGTTTCTGAGAATTAATATCCTGGGTAGATTCGCACTTCGTGAAGATGTGAAAGATTGGTCTCTTCCGGATTATGAAGAGATGACGAAGGGTTGAAGATGGAGGATGTAGTGACACTTTGTATACATTTCAAGAAGAGCTCAGGAACTCCCCTCTACTTTTACCACCTTGTATATTAATAATGGACAACTATCTTCTATGGCCATGGAAACAGAATATAATAGATGTTCGCATCTGAACCCAGTAGATATATATATATATATATATATGACATCAAATTCATTCCACTATTCTACGGTTGCGCATCCATTCTCATCTTCTTTAATTCCCCCACGACCTTCTGAGTATCCCAACCCTCCTGAAGGGCACGGAGGAGAAGCTCCTGCTCGCTTTCTGGCGCCATACCACTCGGAGAAGGGGGTCTCTTATCCAAATTCGTCGGAAACGGATATCCTTCCGCCACAGACTGGACAAACGACTTGATACGCTCGCTCAGAAATTTCCCCTCAGATATATACTTTTGGGTCAAGATGTCCCAGGTCACTTCGACTAATGGAATGGCATCGACAGTTTCCATTGGCTTGCCGAACGGGCTGCTGATCTGTAGCAGGTTCGCAGAACGGTGGAAGTTACCCTCGAGAGGGGTCTCATTGGCGCCAGCAGCATGGAAGATGGCTGGGTTGAAGAAGATACCGTCACCCAGGCACAGTGGCAGAGCAACGTAGTGTTTCTGAAAGAAGGCTTGGAAGTCTTCCCGACGGTAGGCCAGGAAGCCTGGCGGGAACGTCTGGCTGAAGGGGAGGAGGCGCGTAGGGCCTGACTCGATGGGCATCGCGCTGTGAGCGACGGCACCCTGAAGTGTCAGGAATTGACTGTTAACGTGGGCAGAGCGTGGAAAACGCAAGGATCTCTCAAAGTCCTGAAATCCAAGATGATAATCACGATGAGGGTTCTGTGCAGCACCCCCGGGCTTCACGACGTTGACCTGTGCCGTGACGCGGTATCCGGGACCCAACCACGCATCACAGACAAGGGCCAGCCAAGGATTGGAGTAATAATCGACGAAAGAAGCTGGATCTTCCAATGCATGCTTGCTGAAGGAGTTCCAGATGCGGTCGTTACGCCCACCCGCGGCAAAGTGGTCGCCCTTTTGCGCAGTGGCAGCCTCGCGCTCACGCTTGACGATCTGTTGAAAAGCGTTGCTGGCGGCAGAGAGGGTGTGACCATACTGAGAAGGAGCATACATTCCCTTTAGGACGAAGAACCCAGGACCAGAATGTAGGATATGATACCATTCATCCTGGAGACGCGCGGCAGTTGCATGGTCCGGGGCGGGTGTTGACAACTCGTAAATGGGTATGTTCTTTTCGATGGCGGCAGCAAGTGGATACGTCTCTGGACGAGTAACCTGAGAGCAAATGATCTCGAATTCTGCGAGAGACACAGAGTCTTCAGAAAAGAGACGCACGCTCGTATCTGTGGCGGAGTGTTGATGACCGTTCATTCTCTTTGTTTTGTCGTGAGTCATATAAGTTCGAATCAAGAGAGGAGAATGGTAAAGAAACAGAGCACTTTGCTGAGTCGTGCCAATTGAAATACTTGCTTTATCAAGGCCAGTATTGATCAATTCAGACAGCCTTTCCACACAATTTCTCTCTGCTTCTATCAAAGGCAAAGATCTCACTGAACAGATTGTTAATGGCAATGAGAAAGCCGGGCAGAACGCAATCTTATATCACTCGCAGCACACAGAATCGAGCCGACGAAATAGAACTCAATGTTTGCCTTCGGAAATTCGTTTCAGTGACGAATGTTCAGCTGATGTCGGCGGTTCCCCAGTGCGGAGAAGTGTGAGTGTTACTTAGTACGTCTGGCGGAAATAATGGGTGGGGTGAACTCCGGATAAAAAGTACTCAGGAGTCCGTCTGGCAAACCTGAAATAAAACTACTATATATGATTACTGCTCTGATATTGTTCACAGGAAAGTATACATCAGAAATTCTAGCAACTCCTCCGAAGAATGGATCTTGCTGACTTCTACGCTTGAATCCAAAAGCGAAATTGGCGCACACCCTGTTCTCTCGTACAGAACCACAGGGAAAATAATATACTATACATGACAATTGCCGCCTTCACTGCTGGGAAGCTGTACGGTTGAGATTGTTTGTACAGAAGAACAAGGTTACGTGGCAGTTTCGGAAAATGGTCTCCGAAAGGACGGCCACGATGAAATTCACTATAGGCTGACCCCTAAAAGAGGACCAGGATAACCTGAAGTAGCTTTTGAGATAGCGTCTGCCAATTGTAGAAGTGAGATGGTTATGACTCCTATGCTGCACCATTAGATTTTAAGCAATGAGAAAACCAGAAGTCGTGGCGCTGACAATCCGCAGCTGACATTACCCAGCGCAAAGGGCCACATATGAAGCAGCCCAAGTTCAGATGATAAACCAAGATTATAACACACATCATGGCATCTCATACGTGGACAAACCCTCAAGGTAATATGTGATAGATAATGAAAATGAGGGAATTTGAACGCCGTGAACATGTCTAAACGCCCATATTCGCTTCCCTCGATCCATGAAACTCATGAAAACATTCCTCGAAATCGCAAGACATAAGGGGCTTTCGATGGAGAAGAGGCCTCTTGATAGGAAAGATAAACGATCATCGCTAGAACCTTAGTCCTCATTCAACAATGCTATAACGGGCAATTGCCCCTTACAGTGTTGGACTCCAAGAATATAGGGTGTTCCGGAGCGCGTCCGATCCGCAGCGAGTCCGTGACAATAATTTGGTTTGGCGGGATTTCCGAGAGCACGGTGGGATTCCCAGACGTGGAGAAGAGAACCTTCAGAATGGTAGGCTTGGTCCCAGTAGCTCTGTTTCTTGATGTAGGACTTGGGCGGTTTGTACGTCTGACGAGGATCCGAACAAGTGACTGGAGACAACTCTCGGTCGATTCGTCATTGAGCACGTGAAGGCTACCGATCACGCAGACTAGGACCGGCGGTACGAAATTGAGTAAGGTATCGAAGACAGATATTGCCTCATCCCACGTGTTCAGGGTGCCGTCTAGCTTACGGAAACGTTCTGCGCTTGGATCAGAAGAAATCTCGCAATCCAGAACAGGCGGTGCAAGCTCGATCAATTGTCGGATCAAACTGTATACCAATGCCACAAGTCCATGACCACTTGTATTGCTTCCGTCCGAGCTCTGCGACAGAGGAGAACAGAAGTGTGATATCACTGGCAACCCTGCCTGTCGCGCTGACCAAGTGTAGTGTCCCGAAAGAATGGTAGCTGGGCAGGGATAAGACGTCACGGAGGGACATGCGATCGCGAGTACCTGGGATGGCGAACTGAGGGTCCATTCCCTCAAAGTCGTAATCACGCCGGGGTCAGCGTATATCTCCAGAGGGAGCTCGAGGTTCAATAATTGATCGTCATTGTCGAAGAAGTCTTGGAGGTCCTTGGAAGAAAGTTCCAGCTCCACCCTCGATACCTTGCGTTTAGATGTCTTGGAAGCCGCGATGCTGGGAATAACTTGGGCTTCTGGGTTTAGCCTAGACCTGATAAGAAATGCAAGAGAAATAGTTTCCGTACCAATATCTTCCAACGCCGTGGCGGTCACGACCTCGTCGTTCTTACCACGCTTCAACCCATGGACCTTCTGCTCTAACAAGTGAACTAGCTGCGAAAGGAGCATGTCTTTTTCATCCGCCATTCTCTTTCGCTCGTTGGCATCTTTTTGGATTTCCCATAGCAGTTGACGGATGATGGTATTCTGTGAAGCAACATGGCGATCCGTTCCTCTCAATCCGGCTTGGCTTAAACGTGCCTCTTCCATCTGGTAGAGCGTTGCACGTGAGAGATTCGTTCCGCCCTTCATTCCTATCGCCGCGGTGAGATAAGTCGTGTCTATTCGTTCGAGATTGATCGAACTGCAGGTCTCTCTTATCACGTGGACGAGATACTGAAGGTCAGAATAAAAGTCTTGGTGATGGCTCTTCAGAAGACGACATTTGGCCTTCTTAGTGTACCAATACATGAACTCTCCGAAGAAGAGGAAGATCTGAGAGTAAAGAGTAGCGATAGGGTATAGCACCCTCATGGATGCGTCGAGTCCGGCGCCTCGAGCGGAAAAGATCGCTTCGTTGATTTCGACGAGAGCTTGTGAAAGGCCTTCTGCGACCTTGTGATACTTGGCTGAAGCCTGTACATATGCACATGGCATGTTTAGCTTGAGGCATTAAATCACTACCATCGCAGTAAGATCATCAGTCTTACCTTAATCACAGACTGAAGGACACGGTAAAGAAGAGAGCGATATCTCTCCCCTCGGGGAAATGCACATAACAAAGCTGAATGGGCATCCAGGGCCGTAGCACATGATCCAAGCAGCGTCGTTGACCATCGTAAGTGATGACACCCGCGAGTACTTGATGCCCAGACTTCTTCTGCCTGGCGGATCACTCGCAGGACATCTTCATCGGTTGGGGCATCCTGTTCTAGATCACTATGATCGTCCGGGAACAGATTCTTGTTAAATGCCTGACAGGTTCTCGCGAGTTCATTGTACTCGTTATCGAGTTTTGTCAGAGAATCGCTAGTGATGGAGCCGCATCAGTATGGATAGAACATGACAGAATAAAATATAATCATGAAGATAGACAAGAGATGTCTGTGGAAAAGCCACACACCGATTCGTGCTTCAGGCTTCCCTGCGGACATCATGACTCAAAAAGGCCCATTGTCTACCATGTATAATATCAATATGAATGAAAAGACGGGATATACCTGGCGAGCGGATTCTGCTCATAGATGTCCCCATGTTTGATCTTGAAGCCAGCATCATTGCTGGTACGGTGGAGCGACGGCTTCTCAGCGGCTCTGGGGTTTTGGTCGAAGTGGATCAGATGGTCCATCTCCCACCCGCACTGCGACTCTTCTGCTTCCTCAACACAGGTCTGGAGTGATCTGAAGGTTGTGCTACTCTCTCCTCAGGACGACAGGTCACCGGCGACAGTATCATGTCAATAAAAGGGGGTTTGACTCTGGGATGTTCCACCGTTCGACGGGCTTGTTGGGCGTTCGCAGCCACGAGGCAACGACAATACGTCCAAGAGCGACACATTGTGAGAGCGATCAGGGCCCCTCGGGCTGCCAGTGTATCTGACGGTCGACGAGAGCCTCGACCTCGCCCAGAACGAATATTTACAGGGAATGTAGCGCCTCCTCGTCGCCCAGACCAATGAGACGCATCCGTTTTCCTCTTGTTTGCGACGGCGCGGGAGGAGGCCGGACGCTTTTCCACGCAAGCTCAGCCCGTCAAGTTCCGAATAACTCAGGTTGTGGACTTTGCTCAGCTACCAGAATAATGATAAAGTAGCATCAGTGTTACCATATTATTATTTTTCTCCACCAGTTTTGGCGTTGTGGGCGCCTTGATCGGTGCTACTGAAAAAGGCGCTCGCGATTCGGTATGGCCCGTCCTGTCATCTATATATAGAGTACCAGTACATTTTTCGCGATCAGATCCTTTGACAGCGGGCAACTGTGCGCACCCGAGCTTTTTTCTCCCTTTTCGTCTTGATTGAGTTAAGTAAACGACTGCTGTCCTGGTCGCTCTTATACGATTCTCTGCTCGAAGACTTTGCACTGCAATAAAGAAACATACAGTGGACAAAAGACGTGGCTTCATTCGTGACCACCACAGTTCAGCCTCCCGATAGTGTCTTGTGCTTCGAAGTGTCAGATCTCGAGGAATAGATGCGAGCCCGCATTCAAAATTAACAAATCGCTTTGCAGGTGGCGAGCAACATTTACTTTGAGCGAATGGTGGCATTGTCGCTGACTGGGGTCTATATGCTGACTGGCCACAAGTTCATGTATCTGTCTTCTTTTGATACCTTCCACACACAGAACGATGCCTGGCAGCACGGAAAGTTGCGGATATGATACTAGTCAATACGCAGACTTGCAATCTGAGCAATTGATGGCTCTTCACTGAGCTTTTGCTTATACCCTAAGGGTAGAAGTAGAGACGAAACCAGAAGACTAGGTAACTAAGTGATCCTTGATACCTATCAAGAGATCAATCGATTCTGCACCATCTATGAGCGATCTGCGATCCCTATCAGATCTTCCGTGGCTGCGGGAGGTAGGGGAAACTGAGTCGCTAGTATAGGCTGTACTACGGGAGAGCCAGGTTAATACCTACATATAAAGATAATCATGGACATCGACAAGCCTGAGTAACGGTCAACTTTAAATAGTCCCATCCATGATCCTAGAGGCTAGGTAATTGTGATTGCGGTAGGGCCGCTCGATGATCATTTCAGCCTCTATCTCGCACGGTCCACAAGTGATCTCGAGAGTAATTCCATACGTCTCCACATCAAGGCAAAGTGTAAGAGAGGAAGTCAAAATGATAAAAAAAAAAAAAAAAGGCACGCAGGGGAAGAATAAAAAAAGAAAAGAAAAGAAAAGAAAAAAGGTTTAGGGATGGTTCACGGAACCACACACGTATGGGACGAGAGCGAACGCGCGCATATTCGACGACGGCAGCGAGATTCCCCGGTATAACACACTTGAAGTCCCGCATATGATACACGCGCTGCAGCTCCTCGGGTCAGGCATTGGGAATATCAAACTCTCATCATCTGTATTCAGTACTGCATGGTAATATAGCCGTCACGAATACAAACGGAGCAGCATAGCCAGTGGTTAGTGGCCTCGAGAATCGACAGTAGACATGTTAGCTCCAAAGTTGAAAGCGGTGTAAGCAAGATAGCTCTGTGCGCGTTGGCCACTCTTATGAGTGCCGTCAACAACCCGATCGAGTAATAACTGAGGAAGGTCTGCCAGCTTTAGGCGCATGGCGGGGTGGGCATGGTGTCTCCCCGGATCCTGCGGCTCAGTAGCACAGTAGCACCGCGGAAAATACCCTAGCAGACACTATCCCCATGCCAAGAGCGCACGAACTCTGGGGTCGATGTGTGATGCTGAATAGGTAGAAGACCTGGTGGGTAATTTCTGACTGACAGTGGGTTAGGTTGTTCTGCCGGGAGGCATTCGTTGATGCTCGATGAGGGGCAGTGCGCGATCTAAAAGGACCAGGGGCCATGCTATCCTAGTCCTTTCTAGGCTCGTCGGGTCAATTACTTTACAAAGCTCCAGGAGAGAGACCCTGACGGGCCTGACCAATTTCATGCATATGGCACAATTGAGGTAAATAATGCGTTGCACTACCTAAACTGCGGAGACGATGCAGACGGTTGCCAATCTCTGCAATGGCAAGCGCCAGCACATCTTGGTGTAGTCCCCGAGTCAAAAACCAGATTTCACTCTTTCCCAGTATTATTGTCATCGTTAGTTAGCATGCAAGTTGATGTTGGCTTGGCTGGTGGCGGCTGCACTGTCAGAAATGGCTGGTATTAGTTCACTCCCAGACGCCAGAACCTATCTGTTTGATCTCCATAACCTTCAATATTAATGCATCGAGGCAGATCACCCGACGAGCGATAAATAGGCGAATTGGGTGGTCGGTACTACGGAGTACTTAGGTAAGGCGCGCCTCGACCTAGAAGTATACAATAGATCAGCGGTGCTGGAAGGGTGCCGTAGATAGCAGCGTCACAGGCCGATCGCAGCGCTTGGACGCGTCGTGGAGGAGGGGTTGGTGCTTACTCCGTACTGGGAGTTAATTAACTAACTATCAGCATTGTGTTAGCAACAATACCGACCTGCAGAGGCTGAAGGCGTGGTGAAGAGGTATCCGTGGTTCACTGGACTGTAGTTTAGTTACAATGTGGCCATCGATGGACTGACGCATGGCTCTTTACCGCATCAGGATGGTCCTGGGGCACTGGCAGAAGGCCAAAGAAGAAGAAAAAAAAAGAAGAAAAAGAAGAAAAAAGGTCATGGCTGGATGATCTCCGCAGTTTGGCGCCGATGATCGACAGACGGAGACGGCAGGTCGGTGGGATCGCAACAGCCGGAAGAGGGAGGGAAACAGGTCGATCGGCGAGATTCCTGCTCTAGAATCCTAGATAGAGTAGCACAGAGCTCAAACCTGGAGAGCTTCATGTCTTATTGCCATCCAGAGAAGCTGTCCATCGCGAGTGTTGTCGATGGAGAATTAGATAGTAGTTAGTTGGTACTCCATGGTAATTATTATCATTATATCATTATCATTATACACAATCTTCTTCGGTCAACACCCGACAGAATCAAGAATACATAATATGAATGATCGCCTTGTGCCGCTAGTTTCTTCCTAGTTACTGCTTATCTTATCCGGCCCCCTCAGACCAGACTGTTTCCAGTAAGTCGTCCAAAGTCACCAGCAAATGAATATTATTATTGATCGTCTTGACACTCCGATCCGGGTCCACTGGATGGCCAAAGAGGCACAACTACGGAGTAAAAGTCATCATACTAATCATGTTAGACTAGACTATCGTATCTTGTTCCCTGGCGCTGGCCGCGGAGATATCACATCGCAAGAGACGAGCACGAGCAGTAGTCCCCCGCCCTTCGAAGACTTCTTTCTCTTCCCACAATCTGTTCATTAATTAATTAATTCATTCATTCATTTATTCATTTGTCAATCAATAATTAAACATTCCCAGCGCAAAAGGTCAAACAACATAAAACGAGGGTTTCATGGTGACACCAGTCTCCCCCTCGTCCGACAAGCCCTGTTCCAGATCGCCCGGATGCACGGCGGATGCTCCACCGTTGATTGAGTGAGACTGTGAGCCTGACATAAACTCCTCCACACTTCTGCCCTTCGGCCCCCCGGCGATTCGAGCGCTCATCGAGACGCTGGCGCCGTCCAGAAAAAATCGAGCAAAGTGAGCAGACGGCCGGTTGATCCCAGTTGTCCCTACGAATAACAGTCGTCCCTCCGGCAGTGGGACGGATCGCTCTCCGCATTGACGTCTGCACTCGGTTGCGCTGGCTCGGCTTCATCCTCAGAACCACCAAGGCGGCCTGCTGGGGAACGCAGAGAGACACGACCCGACGGTTCGCCGTCATCCCGCCCACCGGGCACCGTAAGTCGATCGTCAGCTCATTGTTCTCCTTCCCTATAACCACGATGAGCTGCCGACGGTCCCGTTTCACTCTCTCGCCGTCGATATCATGTCTACTGCTGCTGCTGCTGCTCTTCTTCTCTACTGTCTCTGTCACTCGTGCCCAGAGTCTGTCGGCTGTCACGGTCCTTCCGTCCAATAACTCGCAGGATCTTGTCTGGACGGGGATCCTTCGATTCAACTTGCGCAGCACACAGGTTGAGCTTCCGTCAGTGGTCGATTTGGCACCTTTGACCCGGTCGCTCGTCGCCTCCGACCAGAGTAGCTTCACAGTGAGTTTGTTCCCCGATGGAGGGAAACCTCGGAGATGTGATCGATGCTGACGAGCGGTGGGGCCAACCAGAAGTTCGGCGTCACAGGAGATCTAGTGAATGTCGATGCCTCCAATTCCGCAAATCTGAAGAGTGGTCAAATCGCGTATATCAGTTGTGATAATTCCGCCTACCCTGGAAATATAGGCCCTGGCGCGACCGTCGCGAACGTGATCACATCCCACCAAGCCGCTGCCATCCTGCTGTATAGTTCCCAGTCGAACCACTGCAACTTCACCGCGGATGCCTCCTTGCCCTCCTATCAGAACATCTTCACAGTCTTGATCTCGGACAGCAGCCTCCAGATCAAGCAACACATTGATTCAGGGAATAGTAGTGGCTCGACCAGTATAGTGCCGGACATGTCGACGGTCAGCACGGCTCAGCCGTCCGGCGGCTCTGGGGACAACGGGGATACTGGAAGCCCCAATAATGGTTCGTCCTCCTCTGGAAATCTAGCTGAACAATTGCCAACCACGCCTGTAGCCATGATAATCCTCTATAGTATCACCGGAGTCATCACCGCACTCTTCCTATGCATCATCATCACCGGAGCCGTTCGTGCCCATCGACATCCCGAGCGATATGGCCCTAGAAGGACGGCAGGTCGACCACGGCAGAGCAGAGCACGAGGCATAGCACGGGCTATGCTGGAAACGATACCCATAGTCAAGTTTGGTGATCCTTACGAGGCATCTGATCCCGCCAAAGCAGATATCGAAATGGCATCGGGCAGTGAAGAGGAGGGAGGAGACGCTTCTCCGGAAGGAAGGAAATCTGCTTCGGGTCAGGAAGCTATCGAGATGACTGGATCCGGTGCGGATGCGACGAAGTCGACTGATGTGGAGAAGGCGCCTCAGGCCGCCGCCAAAACGACCGGCTCCTCTGGCCCAGAACAGAACGCCCAGGAATCTGGGAACTATTCCTGCCCGATCTGTACGGATGATTTTGTTAAAGGACAAGATCTGCGAGTGTTGCCTTGTAACCATCAATTCCACCCCGAATGTGTTGATCCGTGGCTCGTCAATGTGTCTGGAACCTGTCCGCTCTGGTAAGTGTTGATATCCTGGCATAAATGGTGCGGTCAATTGCTAATACGCCTCAGCCGTATCGATCTCAACCCTGCACAGGCTGAGGAAGATGGCCCGGAAACAGAACACGGGGACAACGCGGCTCCTGTGGACCATCAGGGCGCCGAGCAAGCAGCAGATGTCCCGAACACGCGACACAATCGCTTGTCCTCATACTTCCACAATACGCTGAATGTCCGACGGATGCGAGAGGCGTCCGTAGAGGAGCGGATTGCTACGTTACGACGGTTCCGACAGGCCAACCGTGACAGTGCAAATGCTGAGACTGCGGAAGAGACGGAAAACCGACGAAACTGGCTCACGTCTCCACTCCGTGATCGATTCAGAATACGAACGAGGCAACATGATGGGCCATCTACTGCACCAGCATCAGAATCTTGATTTATCTGTTCCTGGTACAGGGGTCATCTACAGCCTTGCCTCCCGGTGAGGTGCTTTTACGGCGTGGCGTTTCCGGTTACGGATCACTGCTGCAATTCATTGAGACACGTCTGTGATGCATGATGTATGATGTTGGCTTTTATTTTTATTTTCTTTTTTATTTTTCTTTTTCCATATTCGTTGAGACTATTACCGCTTATAAACGGATTCAAAGTCCAACCTTACGTCGGTACGAGATTTACTTTGCAACGTCTTGGTTTGGCTATGGAGTTCCTGGGTTCATCGCTGCTAAGCGACTGGAGGGCGTTGCATTCGTCAAGAGGAATCGGTTATTTTGTTTTCTTTCTTTTTTGTGGGAAGGGGGTTGATGGAATTACAGCAGCCAGGACATGTGTATCGACCGGCTGTATGTACATATCTTCCATGCATTGTATGTATTTTCCTTCGGGCCATGTGTAAGGGTTAGACGGGATATATCTTCGGTTGTGGTCTATATATCACCAGGATCACTAATCAATATCATCTAGAAGCGCATCATCGTCCGCAACAAACATTAGAGCATCCAACCTCACTCCGTTCGCAGGGACCTTAGTACATGTGTAGTATAATATCTGACGTTGACAGAACATTGGTGACGCCACGCGGACAACCACCACTCATGATCCTGCACGGGTCAAGATCACCAGCAAGTACAGGATCCATATCTAACCCCCTCCCCCTCAATTGACATCACGAAACCAACACCGCAACTGAAACAGCAACTAGACTCTTACCCCTATCTATCTATCGAAGGAAAACACAGGACCAGTATAGGAACCACCAAGCTCGCTCCACCTGCGCATGCAACAGCTGCCCTTCAGCTCTGCCATTCAATTTTGCAAATGGAAAATACTTAGTCGTGAAGCATGCGATATCTCAAGAAGTGGAAAATCATCGTATCCTGACGCATAAGGAACAGCCTCTCGCTATCTGTGGCTCATTTTATTCTTCTGTCATTTAACGGTCTGTATAGCTGCCAATTCTTGCAGAGGACTGAATAAATTACGTTATTACAGAGATTATTGGATACTTCCGAACGAGTGCATAAAGTAGATATATGTAATTTGCTTCATCTCGCGCAACACTATCTCTTCACAGGTAAGTTTGAACCTGCTCGTTTGTCCATTCCCAGTACCTTTTCCCGAGGGCTGGATCTAGTAAATCCCCCCTAGCAGTGGATAATCGCCCGAATGGCGCAACTGTAAATAAAGAGAAAAGGTTAGAAGAAAAGGGGCAGCTGTCGTTCTCCATGCGATGTTTACGTACTCCAACTTCCTGTCTTTTCTTCAGTTATTTCCGGATGTAAACCAGCGAATAGCTCCGTGTAAGCTCCGAATTTGGAATCATGGGCGATCAGTTTCTTGAGTAGTTAGTTCAGGTCAGTCTAAGTTAATAATAGCAGGAGAAACTTCGGGAGGGAAGACAATTTACATATACTCACAACAAATATTAATTGCCACTTAGGCATTGTGCGTTGCAGATCCGTAATCAGGTTTCCTGGATTCAAACTCTGCAAGGATACCGTCAGAATAACTGATAATATGATCATGATGATCTTGAAAACGAGGGTGGAATTACCACGCTGATTATGCCTTCTTTCTTTACCTGTCTGGCAAACTCACACGCATGGAGGACGTTTCCGGCTTTACTTCGAGCGTATTTCCTCCATTGATTCTCATCTCGATGGTAGTCCATATTTGAGAAATCAATAGCAGGCTTCGGAGCTATCTCCGCCATGCTAGAAGACACCCACACCACTCTGACAGACCCCTTCGGAGACGACTCTGCAGTCTGTTTCAAGACCGGGCGGAGAAAATGCGTGAACAGGAAGTGTCCAATATTGTTCGTTCCCAGTTGCAGCTCATATCCCTGTGCCGTTTTTGATCCTGCTGGCGGCACCATGACGCCGGCATTGTTCCAGAGAACATCCAATCGAGATTCTTTCTTGAGGAATTCTTCGGCCGATTTCCGAATCGTGGTCAAGTCACCGAGATCCAGGTGCAGAAAGATTAGCTGGCCTTTAGAGTCGGGATAAGTCTGTGAGATCTCGGAGATTGCGCTTTCAGCCTTTTGTTTCGAGCGTGTCGCTACATAGACCGTGGCATTTCGTCCGTACAGGATGGCTGCTAGTTGCTTTCCTATCCCTCCACTTGAGCCTGTGATGATGAAGACCTAGCCATGTGTCTCGTGTCAGTTCTTCTCTGAATAGCAGATGTAGAACTGCAACTTCGCTGATATGGCGCATACCTTTCCTTTCTGGTCAGAGAGATTCTCCTCGGTAAATCGAGGCGCTGGAGGAAATAGGTTGCTCCATTGCTGCCCCATGATTGGCTTAGATACTAGTAGTTAATATACTTTGTAAAATATATGTATTCAAGGAACAATATTTGAGGAAAAGGGAGATCAAAAGAAAAAACAAGGCTACGAGTGACATCCTGCTGCGACAACGTTAAGGGTGATCAGCAAAAATAAGCCCCTTAAATGGATTGAAGTCGCAGGTTGACGATGAAACAGTGAGCGTGATGGATGTATACGGGGTAGATAATATCAACATCTCCGTCGACCCCCGGTCGATACCGTCTATTCCTAGGCGTATCTTGTGATCGTCATTTCCGTCGAACTTATGGTCCGAACTAGATATGTCTACCTAGAGGGTGCTTCTGCAACCCGGAACGGGAACATGGGATTCGCATTCAGTACTCAACGGCGGGCCAATAACAGCGAACTGCAAGGCTTGTCGCTCTTGTCGTGTATGAAACGTATGTTCATATCAACGGTCCATTCACTGTACTTTTGATTGACCACTTCCTGTAGGTATCATGCGATGGTAAGAAGCCACGATGTGGCCCGTTCTATGCGCCGGCATCATCAGTGTCTATCCACCAGACACTCGACACCAGCACCATCACATCATGTATCTCAAATATATGCTACCCCGAATAGATTTTCAGGCTCAGCTTCTAGCGAAGCTGCATCTGCTTCCATTTCAAGGAGGGGTTCCATAGGTCATTTCAATGTGAATAGAGCCCAAGTTACAGGTTCTATAGGTATAATACAATGGCGTTTCCACTGCTATTAATGATATCTCCCTGACTATGATGGGTTGCGAAACAATGTCTTCAATAAAGAGCATGTTCTCCGTATCCTCTACACTTGTATCGAAGATTTACTCCTTGGTGAAGAGATAAGACAAGCAAGCATCCCTACTGCAGATGCACATCTTATCGGCGGAAGACCCTCTCATGTACACAATTTCCACTGGCTCCAGGTGGATGCATTGTGGGATAGCGAATAATATAACGCAGAGGTCCTGTCCAGTGTACTTAAGGGTGTTTGAAGTGTTGTCAATTGTCTCTATCTTCGGTTCTCGGGGTTCTTCCCGCTTTCACCGCACCCGGAAAATACCGGGCTCATTATTGAGGATGCATCTTCCGCCACTCATGTCTACACGTATACTTGCTAACGCCAGGTGACGAGTCATAGATGCATTGATGAGCCGTGCCGGGGCAGCAGTCTGAAATTTAGGATGTCTGCAGGTGGATGAGTAAATGCTATAAACAGCCGGGTGCTGGAGTAGATCCTCGGAGTAGCTAAAATAGCGGAGATGGCACCGGACGGCGAGACCTCTGGGCATAATTTGTATTCGAGGCTTCTAACATCTGGCAGATAGATAGATGCTCCGTCTGTTGACAAAATACGATAAGTCATATTGAAAGGTTTGAAAATGGATAGGTACCTAATGTTGGCAATAGGTCTAGACTCATAGAAATCATCAGCTCCGATTGTCTCCTCTGTCAATCAGATTAAAGTAGCTAATATATGGACCCGGTCGGACACGTCAGGGATCCATTTTCGGGATCTGAAGAAAGATAAGATTTGGCTAAAAAAATACTAGGATAGGTAGTTAAGGAGCACAGGATAGGTATCTACTGATGATTACGCAGTTTAATAGGTAGGTAGTTAGCATGCTGAGTTAGTTTGACGCTTGAGAGCCATCATCGCCTGTTTGGATCATATGCGCAGTAGACTTTATTAGCTGCATAACTGCTTTCCAAAGTAATCGGGATGCATGTTAAACTATCAAGCCTTTTTTATAAAGATATCGCTATACCCGATTTCTAATACATCGATCATTTTTATTTACCGATCCGGTCCGCGGCTGTCCTGCGGGGCATTGCGTTATGCATATATCGTGATCTCTATCTTAATACTAGTCTCAAGATAAAAAATTATATAACTAGTCATGATTGTATTCTCCTGTCTCGATCTTTGCTCGTAATATCTTCTTCAGTGTTAACTGCAGCCATGGCGAGGACTAAATCCCCAAAAGGAAACAACAGAATCGAATACCACCACTGGGACCATAGCTTCCGATGGACTGAATTACACAGATCATCAGAAGAACTACGCCCACTGACCGTCTCATGGGATAAACTCGCCGATGAATGCGTTGATATAATCAATGGAATGCCGTCTGGTCCCAGCGATACAAGCAAGAACCCTTGTAAACGAGACATATATGCACTATTAAGTGCCAATGTTGACAAAAATGCCAAGTTAAAAGAATTCTGGACAGAAATCAATACGGTCCCGGAATGGGTGGATTGGGAGCAAATCAAGCGAGGTCAAGATGTGTTCTATCGATATGCAATACCTATCATAATCGCAGTAAGTGCTTGTTCTGTCCAAGGCTGAGGATAATCGACGAAAGCTAATATTCTGCGGAAGCTTGCATTTCAAAGCCTACTTGGTGGGATGTATGGAACTGGCAAAGGTTCAAATATTGAATAGGAAGACGACTAACATCAACCCGAACTTAGGGGTGCGCCTCGAGTCGTGGAAACCCTTTCGCGCACAGGAGGTTTCAGTGCGAGAGTGGTTCGACGTCGACTTCTAGAAACTGTGCAGCATACTCTCGATGTCACCGGGTCAGTAAACGCAATGAAGCCTGGGGGAGAGGGCCATGTCTCATCTGTTCGAGTACGATTGCTCCACTCAGTCGTACGCCTTAGAATCTTGAACCTCGCGATACAGCAACCGGACTATTACGACAAGGAAAAATACGGTGTTCCTATCAACGACCTCGATTGCATTGCGACTATTAATATCTTCTCCAGCAACGTGGTGTGGATGGGTCTTCCACGCCAAGGTGTTTACCTCTCAAAGCAGGAAATTGAAGATTATATAGCGTTATGGAGATTGGTTGCCTACTACATGGGCACACCAACAGAAGCATGGGAGAACACAGAAAAGGCGAAAGCCATGATGGAGTCGCTGCTTGTTTCTGAAATTGATCCGTCTGAAACTGGGAAAATCTTAGCCAAGAATATCATTCTCGGTCTCGAGAATACTCCGCCACTATATGTGTCGAAAGAGCTCCTGGAAGCGATCACTCGACTACTCAATGGAAAGGACCTCTCTGACGAGCTGGATATTCCACGATCAAGTCTGTACTATCGGATAATCATATATGGATACTGCTTCGGAGTGATTATATTCTCATATATGAAACCAAAAAGTGGTTTCCTTGACAGAAAAATCATTGAAGTATGTCCTGATATATATATGCATAATATAGCATATACCCCTCACCTCTTGTAAAGGAGCATTCGCTAACGTCGAGGATACTATCGTATAGTGGTATCGAAAATACCTACGCGATATAATGATATATCGGAAGGACGGCCTCGGCGGCGAGACGCTCTTTGACTTCAAATACCTCCCAACCCTAACACGCACGACACGGCTGGGGAAGCGGAGGACCAATCTCAAATGGCACGGTATGAAAATCATGGGATTGTTCGGCCCTTTCATTACTCTAGGTTTGATCTTATTTCTGGGCATTGGATGGTACTCCATAAGTATAGCACTTTCTGCGATTAGCTCTTGATCATTGTCGCGCAATGACTGTCGGCTGTCCCGGAAAGCCTAAATAGAATTGTCCCAACCTCTTAAAAGGTGATAACTTATGTATGCTGAGTGTATATCTACGTCGATTTGCCAAAGACAAATCGTAGTCTTCAGTCTTCCGATCGACCAAGTTGCACATATTCTGTACTCCCGGAAACTAGGGACCTCTCAACATCGAGATCGTAACATAATCGAGTCGACATCAAGGCTGTAGCCAGTCTCGTTCGACATTCTGCTTTGCTCATGAGCTATGGCCGCGATTGACCCAGTAGACTGGAAACGTCACTCAGTGGGCAGGGTAGATCCTCATACCCGAACTTTGTTGGAAGTTGTTGCAACGCTTTATTTGATGTCCAGATTTCATCTACCGGACCCACCGGAAGTTGGAGTGGACCAACAATTCCAAAAGACTGTCTCTCTACGTCATGAAGAGTCCATCATAGTACCAATAATGATCAATTTGTTCTGCTGCTGTAGAGGAAGAGAGTTCTTTTCTGTGTGCGACGATTCACTCACATTTGGCAATGCATGAGAAATATTATGAAGGTTAGCAAAAGCTTACTTTTCAGAATGGGGTTACATCGAATAAATTTGTCACTGGACAGCGGTGGACTTTGCTGATGTCTAGGTATTGTTTGACTTCACAAGGGTAAGAGTTAGTCAAACCGTGATTCGTAGTCTCATTCTTGGGATGATGAATGATGCATTGACCCCGGTTTTTGCCGCCAGTAGAGCAGGCGGTGAGACCCCACGACCTGGAGAATGGGCGGTAGACTACAGTAATGTTTACTAGCATGGTGGACGACATCAGAAAAACTGGTTCAAGAATACTATTCAAGCTATGGAGTTTATTCAAGCATCGAGAAATGAAAATGGAGAACCCTCTAGCTTTGGCAGAAAGAAGAGAGGAACACTCATCGTGTCTAATATACACGATTGTGCTCGAGAAGTCTCTTCGATGTAGAAATGGCTAACTATGGCACGATTCGTTATCCTCTTTCACCACTCCAACCTCCACTCGCTCTAATTGATTAACTCCGACTAGTTAGCTAGTTAGTTGAATCGATGAGTAAGCAAAACAGAGCGAGGGAACCAGGTGATTATTATGATTATTTTCCCAGGATGTTTCAGGATTCGCACACGTATGCGTTATTGGTCGAAGGATGTATGTACATACCACGGAACAAGAGTCGATGATGGCGTCCAACTGGACGGTCCAGCCGCACTAGGTATTCTGAAGAATAGGGGAAATAAAATAATACAAGATAGCAGCCTCACAATCCGCGGAAAAGGAGAGGTGAAGGTAGAGTCCGCCAATTACCTTACCATCCTAAATGGCATACCTGAAATGACGATCTTTTTGACCAAGATCCTGTCGCTTGTTGCAGTAAGCAGATTGGCGTGATTCGCCTCCTGGTGGAGTCGTCAGAAAAGTTCATTTTAAGTTTGAGACCGCACGTACTAGGTTCGTTCTTTTCTCTCCAGTTAAGGGCTTGAAGTGTGGAGCAAGCGATGCCCTTTTTCGTGTCATCGGCGAAACATGCTGCGAACCGCTTGCCACAGCAGAATCGCGTCTACGCGATGGGCCAACTTTCTCCACTGATAGACATAGCCAACCTGTTTGCAGTAGTACATAGTGGGTGCTTTCCGAATGTCTTATGTTCCGCACATTGTGGTCTTGTACCCTACCATACTTCTACTCCGTAGAATAATATGGTCTGAATGAAGTTCGTGTATACGGAAAAGGGGTCAGAAGAAGCGAAGTCCCTGCCAAGACGGGAGGCGCAAGTAGACATCAGGGAACTCGCATGGATAAATCCACCGTGAGGCGTCATTAGCACATGTGCATCCTGTTCAGAATCCGCGCTGACGGGAGCGTATACATGTTGGTACAGTACATATACTGTAAGGGACATGATTGACATGGGCGGCAGACATCGATCTTCATGCTTCTTTCTCTTCGGGAAGACACCAGGGCCTCCCTGCCCACGGACGAGAATGAATCTGATCTGAGTTTCCGCCCTGATCGCGCGATCGATCGATAGATCTGCCTGCAGAGCTTGCCCAGCTGGTGACAACTGGATATGCCAGACCACGCAAGTGACCAATGGCCAAGTCGTGTGGGGTCTCAATAATGGGACCCTGATCCAGCAACACAGTGTTTGGTGCCTATCGGTTCTTTTTACCATCACTCGAGCTTCTAGGAGGGGATTGATCGCTTACCATACAGAACGATGCAATAATGTGAGATTCCGCTCGCAACACTGACGCGGAATATTCCCCGCAAACTCTGTCGAGCATTGAAAGGTTCGCGCGGAAGCGCGTGTGCATCAACACTACGACGGAACGGTTCTGGGGATCTGACAGACACAAAAGGCCGTTAAGACCCTGGGGCGCGCTGATAGGGATGATTCGCTTCTGGGGGATGTGGCGTTGGACCCAAGGAAGTTGAAACATAGCTACAGTAGAAGAAGGCTGCTGAACGGGAGAAATTTTGCCCTAGAGTGGATGTAACCCCTCAGGCGCTTAATGAGGACACACCGGAAAGCGTCATTCTGGAGATGTTCTTTTTAGGCACTGGAGTACCCTGATTATTATTCTTTTCTTGCATCACACTCGTTCTTTGCTCTTCTCCTTGCCCTGTTCAGGAATCCTCTCCTTTCCTACTGTCGTGCTGTGACGCACAATCCATTCTTTCTTTAGTAACACTCGGCCAAAAAAGCTCGAGACGACTTTCGTTCCGATTCCCCACGCGCGCTCGACGCACCAGCCATAGAGCCGGCCAAAGCCCGTCGTGTGCACTGGCGGACGATCTCTCTATAGCTGGGAATACCGTTTAGTTGCAACTCCACTTCGACGCCTTCTGGGCATCCCTGGGCATAATATATAACTTTACGCTCCCCAGTTGGTTCTGCACCCATGTCCGGGCTGCCGGGCCGTCTACATTACAAGCGATCATCTTCGCATAGATTCCAGCAAATACCGGAGATGGCTTCGGAAGACCGTCGCAACCCCAATGATGCGACAATTGATATTCCTCTCTCAAACATTTCCAGTCGAGGGCAGACGCGGACACAACAAGATACGAGCTATGAACCTCATTCTGACTTCTCGACCCCGTTCGAGAACAATGAGAAGGGAGACCTTTCTCATCAAGGCCCAGGTCGGCGCAGAAGGCTGGCCGACAAAGATGCGAAAAACATGGAAGATCCGCAAGATGGCTCTCTGAACCGCCTGGGGCGAATGTATACGGCCATCCTGAATTTCTCAGTCGTCACGAGATATATCATCTATGTGTCTCCTCTCGCGTTGCTGATTGCGGTCCCAATCATTGTTGGAGCCACGGATGTAGGACAGAATGCAAAGATCGGAGGGGTCAAGATTGTCTGGTTCTTCACTTGGATCGAGGTAGTCTGGCTGAGCTTGTGGACGTCCAAGCTGGTGTCGCATACCCTGCCGTATGTCTTCCAATTTCTTTGTGGCATTGTCAGTTCGGGAACGCGTAAATATGCGCTTATCTTGCGAGCTTTGGAGATCCCCATGTCACTTGTGTTTTGGTGCATCGTCTCACTGGTGACGTTCCTGCCGGTATGTTAGGGAATACTGCTAGTCGTATCCGACAGTTAAGCTAACGGGACATAGATCATGACTCTCAACCCTGATAACAAAAGGGAAAATGACACTAGCACGAAGTCATGGGAGAAGACGATCAAGAATATATTGTTCGGTTTCCTCGTCTGCAGTATAATCTTTCTGGGAGAGAAGCTCATTGTCCAGCTCATCTCCGTCAGCTATCACCGGAAGCAATTTGACCTCAGGATCAGAGCGTCGAAGCATAACATCTATCTCTTGGGAGAGCTGTATGAGGCATCGCGGAAACTCTTCCCTGAATTCTGTAAAGAATTCAGAGAAGAGGATGAAATCGTTTCTGACTCGCTCCTGGCGACCAAGAAAGGCAAACACTCCAAACATCTCAGTGCTACGGTACCTCTTCGCCTGATGCGAAATGTTGGATATACAGCAGGACGTATTGGTGATAAGATGACTGCAGCTTTCGGTAATGTCGCACAAGAAATCACTGGACAACAACTCTTCAATGTTTCTTCGTCGCATTCGATCGTGCTTAGGGCTCTAGAGCGGAAAAGGGCGTCGGAGGCTCTTGCTCGACGTATCTGGATGTCTTTCGTTGTGGAGGGCAATGACACGCTGTCCCTCGAGGATATCGTCGAAGTCCTTGGTCCTGAAAGACAAGCAGAGGCTGACGAGTGTTTCGCTATTCTGGACCGTGACGGCAACGGCGACGTGAGCCTGGAGGAGATGATTCTCACGGTTACTGAGTTAGGAAGAACCAGTAAATCGCTCGCTAAAAGTATGCATGATGTCGACCAAGCGATTCATGTCCTCGATAACCTTCTCCTAACGGTGGCATTCATCATCATGGTCCTGGTATTCAGTAAGTTTTCTGTTTTTCTGTGCTTCAGTTCGCAGTTATAGCTAATAGTCTCTAGTATCTTTTGTGACCAGTGGTTTTGGTACTGTTATCGCTGCAGGTGCCACTTCTCTGCTATCTCTTTCGTTCGTCTTTGCGACAACTTGTCAAGAGGTCCTCGGTTCCTGTATCTTCTTGTTCGTGAAACATCCGTTCGATGTTGGCGACCGTGTGACCATCAACAACGAAGACCTCATTGTCGAGCGGATCTCTCTTCTATTCACAGTTTTCCGAAGCATCGATGATCAGCGGACTACCCAATGCCCGAATATCGTCCTGAACACATTGTGGGTCGACAACCTCACACGCTCGGATGCTATGCGCGAGCGTCTCACTTTGACCGTCGACTTTGGTACCAGCTTTGCCGATGTCCAATTGCTGAAGAAGGAGATGGAGAATTTTGTGCGGGACAAGGAAAACTACCGTGATTTTCAGCCGGATGTGGACGTTGAGGTTCTCGGGATAGGCAATATGGACAAGCTTGAGCTCAGGGTCGAAATCCGTCACAAGTCCAACTGGTCCAATGAAAGCATCCGCGCCACCCGCCGTTCGAAGTTCATGTGTGCACTCGTTGTCGCTGTTCGCAAAATCCCGATCTACGGCCCTGGAGGTGGCGGGGCTGCTTTGGGCGATCCGTCAAACCCATCGTATTCAGTCAGCGTCACCGATGAGCAGGCTAAAGCATATCGCGAGAAGGCTGCCCAGGACAAGGAGGCTGGGCGTATGATTCCAAAGAGCCAGCTGAAGGACCTGAAGTCACTTACGGAGTCGCCAATACTCGAAGCAAAATCCACTGGAATTGATCTCGGCAACTCAACAAGTAGTGTTCAGCATCGAGGTGCCGCAACTCCGGCAGACGCTGATGCTGCATTTATTAGTGCCCTCACCGCTCGAGCGCCAGGTGAAGACAAAGCACGTCCAGAAGACGACAACCTCTATCGTGCTGCAAGTGGCAGCACGGCCGGTGGCCCTAATGCCGACACCAACGAAACCACTGGTCTGCTTCGCGAGGTCTCTACGGGAAGACGAAAGAAGAGCACCACCACCTCTCGACCTGGAACAGGTGCCGCCGTTGCACCCGCTATATCTGCACCCGCAGAATATGAGGAATACAGCACCTACTACGACCAAGCTGAAGAAGGACCGAGTCATCCGTATCGGCAGCAGTACATGTCCCAGCCTGGTCGTCCATACGAGTCCACGCCTGCCATTACCGAGACCGCACCAACCCCCTCTTTGCAGGTACCCTCTGCCAGAAGACCTGTTCAAGGCAGCGCTATATCCAGCCACTCGTCTCATTCGCAGAACCCGCCTTCAGAATCCGGATCAATCTGAAGCGGTTCGCTCGCATCATTTTGGAGCAGCATTTAACCAATTCTTACTAAGATTTTCTTGTCCCATATCTTCTTTTTGATCCTTTCTACCGTTGTCTTTTTTCCTCCTTGAAATGCCCTTTTCTTGAAGAATTGTCCCTTGCTGGTTCTGGGACAAGAGCGAAAAAGGAAAAGCAAGAATATTATAGACTTTTGTGTGTGATTTTTTCTTTTTGGAGATATGCTGAATATGTTATGACGAATCTTGACGTGTGGGAATAAGGGAACAAGATATCATATTTACATTAGATTTCGCCATGCTTGACATTGCAGGTCAATTCAGTGATAATGATACATAACTGTTTCTTCTTTGCGATATCGTAATATAGTACAGACTATGGACACATCAGGACCGTTAAGGTCCAAAGAAATTCTTCAGAATGGAGATTGATATCACATGATTGAGGTATCTCAAGCCACAGCAGCATAATCTAGTTAGTAGAATAGCAGAAAGGCGAGGCCAGTTAAGAGTCATCTCACGACTTATGGGCCCACAGGCTGTGTAGCGTATGAACTTCGTGACGCGGATTTGGATAAGGCGCACAGCTCCTGCTATGGATACCTCCGACCCGCATGGTGCTTGCTCATGGACATATCAGGAAAACATGGCGGACAAGAAGGTGTCTCACTTCGACTCCTTCCACGGATATGAGACACCATCATCCTTTCTGATCCAGATCTTCGACTTCCGCTTGGTAACCACATGCTCGACAAACACCTCGCGCGTATACTTCGCCTTGAACTTGCGAATCCATCGAGGATCCCACAATTCGCTAGCGATACCGAGATCCTTACAGCATCGCACTAGGGCATTGGAACGGCAGCCTTCGGTGGCAGTGGGAATTCCGTCCGGGGAGAAATAATCCTGTTCGCCGCGAGCGACAGAGACGAGACTTTTAAAAAGGCAGGACAATTAGATTCCCGTATTTATATCGCGCTGGAAAGGAAATGAATGCAAGACAACACACGTACCGTCCGTTACACACCAGAGCATACTCTCTCGTCACCGTCTTCGGAGTCACGATGCTCTCGCTCCTTGGCACGAGACCCCATCCACCCGGTCCAAAGGCACGGTTCAATATCCGTCTGTATTTGATCTCAGGCAGGTAGACAATGCCATCTGGTTTGATCTCGACTTCCTCGGGATCTGTCTCTGCGAGCAAAATATCCGCGACTTCCTTGGGGAATGGAGCTGCGCTGAGACCGTGGAATGATCGCGTCCAATCGACCTTCTCTTCTGGCTGTACCTCGAGCTCCAGTGGTCTATCCGAGAGTCCTGTTTTCTGGATATTGTCCGTCGTAGGATGGGAAGGGGTAGGCGCTGCAACTTTGGTGGCGCGCGAGTTCGATGCGGAGGTGGAAGGAGCAGAAATCGTCGATGCTGGGGCTGGGCTCGTAGGTTTTGCTGGAGCTGAAGGGGACGATCGTTGTTCCTGTCGGAATGGTGTAGAATAGCTTATTGAACGACTGTATATGTGGTTGCTACCACAGGTGGCTCTGATCGAACCCAAACCATTGCCGGAGCTTGTCGCCAAAGATCGAGAACTGAACGAGCGAGAGGTAAGGAAAAGCCTGCTAGAAGGCTTAAGCACCTCAGCGCCCCAGATGGACCTGCTGAGAGCGGCAGGCGACATATTCAAGTCTATTTGTTGAATTGGAAATAGTTTACGCGACCAAGCACCGATAAAGCTCGAGGTCCTAGTTCTCGCGCGATATGATATCACGTGATATACAGAGAGGCGTTAAGAGTGGCAGAAAATGTCATTTAATCAGCTATCTAATGTACAGGTTATTGTGGTATGAGCAGAGATAATCTATTATAGGACTTTCGCGGGCTTGCATGTTTGCGTCGCTGAAGTCTTTTGGATGCACTGTCGTGCTAGACATCTTTGGATTCTGTTCTCTGGTCATTTCCGTGACGTTTCCAGCATTCGCGGAATGCTTCCATCTGCAGGATATGAATAATTCGTTAGCAGCAGTATTTGTATTTATGTCAGTAAGATCACCTATTAAATGTTCTCAGGGCTGGTTGCCGACTACTAGCCAAGCATGTAAAGCTCCGAGGCGTCACGGATCGATACTTGCAAGGTTCGGCCTGCCTCGGGGGATATTTGTTGGGGGAGAAAATCTGAGACTCACATCTTTCTTGCAGGCTCTCCAATCTCTCTTTTCGTAGTAACAATCATTCATCTTAAGCTGTTCGGCTTTACGGTGTTAGAACAGAGAATATACTTGTCAGATTAAAGCACGACTCACCTGCGCAGCCGGTGCTGAAGATTCGCTTGTCCCTGCGATACTCGGAGCGTTAGTTTTACAACTTCAAGCTCCGCCAGCCTGTTCAGCTACCAAAAGCTTACCAGTCATCTGGCTCATCGTCGTCGTTTGACGCAACTACTGGGGTGTATCCTTCGCTCTTGGACATCGTGCAGTCGTTCTCGCCTTCTCAGCGCAAGGTCTGAAAGGGATAGAATTGCAGTTTTTCTCAACGCTCGGGATTTGGATACCTAAATACTATCCCCGCTCCCGAACGAACGAAAAATGTCCGCGATTAATGCCAACTTGGCTTCCAAGAAGCTCAACGTCCTGGTCTATTCTGGTTTGTTTTATCAAACACTCATCAGTATTAACTATCTAACGGTCATTTAGGCAATGGATCCACGGTGGAGTCCGTTCGGCATTGTCTTTACACTTTGCGGCGACTTCTAGCTTCAAATTATGCCGTCACCCCAGTCACCAGTGATATGATCATTAAGGAGCCATGGACCTCCAGCTGCGCGTTGTTCGTTATGCCTGGTGGTGCCGATCTGGGGTATTCCAGAGTACTTAATGGTGAGGGCAATAGAAGAATTTCCACCTTTGTCCAGACAGGGGGCGCCTACCTGGGATTTTGTGCCGGTGGCTATTACGGAACCAAGAGGTGCGAGTTTGAGGTTGGGGACAAGACCATGGAGGTCGTTGGTGAAAGAGAACTAGGTTTCTTCCCTGGGACTTGTCGAGGTTGTGCCTTTCCTGGTTTCGTCTATCACAGTGAAGCGGGAGCTCGCGCGGCCGAGTTGAAGGTCTCAAAAACGGCCCTAAGCACTGGCACCGTCCCTGACGTGTTCCGGTCGTATTACAACGGAGGAGGCGTATTTGTGGATGCGCCTCTGTACGCTGATAGAGGAGTTGAAGTTTTGGCTAGCTACTCCGAGGAGCTTAACGTAGATCCGGGAGAGGGAGCAGCAGCGGTAGTGTACTGCAAAGTTGGCGAGGGAGCGGCGATATTGACAGGGCCTCATCCAGAGTTCGTATGACCTACCTGAATTAATCATGTGGTAACTGACATTTGGCAGGTTTGCGGCCGTGAATCTAGACAAAAAGGCGGGCGGGCCTGAGTATGCTAAAGTAGTTGATGCTCTGGCGGAAGATGACAAGGCTCGAACAGACTTTCTGAAAGCATGCCTTGCGAAGTTAGGCCTTCAGGTCACTCAGGAGACAACAACAGTTCCATCATTATCAACTCTTCATTTGTCCGCGCTTCGTTCCGAAGATACTAGTGAGCTCTTATCGTCTCTGAGAGAGAGCATCACCCAGGAAGACGGACGGGAATATCTGAAGGATGAGAACGATACGTTCTTCATTGAAGCTCCCAATGTCTGGAAGATGGGAAAGCTGGAAGAATCGCTTCCAGAAGTCGAAAAGAAAGAGGAAGCGAAAGAAGAGCCCGCAGAGCTTGTAGAAGGCATCATCGATTACAACAAAATCGTCAAGCATGTCGTTGTTCACGACGAACTTCCGTCTTCAAAGGCCACGCCTTATTTCAACCACTACGCCTTCTTCAGCAATCTGCAGCACTACCGGTCAAAGTCTTCAGAACCTCTCTCGGAATTTGGTTCTCAGATCCTGTACGGAGAGGTCATCACAAGCACGAGCACCATACTCGAAAAGTGAGCTTATCTTCCTGTCTTAATTCTTTGTGGAAATCACTGACAAGCGAAAGGAATCCAAAACTTCTTAACCACTTGCCCACTGGTTTTACTGCTACTGCCACAGTTCAAATCGCGGGCAGGGGTCGAGGTTCAAATGTCTGGGTCTCGCCAGCCGGAGCACTCATATTCTCTACAGTGATACGTCACCCAATAGAGAAGGTTCAGTCAGCACCAATCGTTCTCATCCAGTATCTGGCAGCTATGGCTGTGGTAAAAGGAATCAAGAGCTATGATAAGGGTTATGAAGATATGCCAGTTAAGCTAAAATGGCCCAACGACATCTGTAAGCCTTTTCCTTATATTTATCTACATTCTCCGTTGCTTGTATTCTAATGATTCCTCCCTTCATCAGATGCTCTAGACCCGGAGCGTGCAGACGAAAAACGCTACACGAAGATCTGCGGTATTCTTGTCAACTCCCACTACACTTCTAAAGAGTACATTGCCGTCGTGGGTATCGGCCTGAACGCAACCAACGCGTCACCGACCACCTCGCTGAATGCTGTGGTGGATCACTTCTTGAAGAGTCGGAAAGCGGAACCTATCACTCTAGAGAAACTTCTTGCTCGCATCCTCACTGTGTTCGAAGAGCTCTACGCCCGCTTCCTGCGCGTGGGCTTCGACAAGACGTTTGAAGATATGTATTACAGTGATTGGTTGCACATGAATCAGATCGTGACGCTTGAGGAAGAAGGTGGCGCTCGAGCCCGGATCAAGGGAATTACAAGGGATTATGGATTGTTGCTCGCAGAGGAGCTTGGTTGGCAGGACCGGCCCACGGGAAGGGTGTGGCAGTTGCAGAGCGACAGTAACAGCTTTGATTTCTTCAGAGGGTTGGTCAAAAGGAAGGTCTGAGCTTCTTCCTCAATCTAAGCTTCAATATCTGGTATATAGTTACACATATATATCTTGAAGGGGATACGTGGGTACCTTAGTGTCCGAACTACAAGGACAAGCTGTAATTGTCTCTCTATCATACGTAGTTCCGCAGTGATTTCTTGACTTTGAGAGAATAATATGTCGATGGCGGTTGCCTATTTAACCGACTCCTTTTGCTTTACGGAATTCTCCGCTCATGTACCTTTCCTAAGGAAACTGGCCTTCGCTGTTGCCCGGTGTTTCTGACGTAAACTACCAGCTAATACATGGTAACAGAACTGACCGACACTAGAAAAAGGCGGGTTTTGTAGAGTTTAGGCTCCAAGATCAGATCGTTTCCAACGAGTTCAACTGGGTATTTCTGTACATTCCCTTCAAACGTCAGATTCTTGATTCCTACTTCTATCTGTAATATGTCTTCTGCCTCCGCTCACGGGCCAACTAGGACCCCGATTACCGCGGATGACAGCATCGAGAATCTCCAGTCAAATAAACTCCTCTGGTACAAGATCCACGTCTTTCTTTATGACCTGCGACATTTCCAAGAGGAAGCTTCTCAAGCACGTCTCGACAGTGTCATAGATAGCTCATATCTCTGTTCGCCGTATTTCACCTCAGAGGAGGTGACTCAACTAAAAGCGACGAAACTCCAAGATACGAAGTCTCTCGGTGCTCTTATTGAAGAAACTCTTAACGAACGGTTGGAACGTCGGGTGAAAAGACAAATCGGAAGTGGTGATTTTCGTGTCTGCGCCGCCCATGATCTTGCACCTATATTCGAGAGAGCGTTTCACATAAAGCCGAAAGACCTCGAACGTGATCGTATCCTGCTAGACTTGATAAAACAATCTGGATTGACACCAAATGAGGAAGAATTAAAATTGTGGCAGGAAGTGAATAAGAAGCGCAATAAACATGCTCGTGGAATTGGCAAAAAGAAGAAGACGTAACCGAAGGCGACCAGCCTGCGAAATGGGAAGAAGACAATTTACTTCCATGGGTTGGCCAGTATTCCACTTTGTTAAAGTATAACTTCTCATTCAATGGCTCATTCACGGCAGGGCTTCCCCCTCATTCACAAAGGTCTGGAGAATCTAAAAGTCGTCGATTCACATCTCTTATTTCATTAATCATATCCACCAGTATTCTTCATCCCCACCAAATTAGACTTATAAGACAATATTCTATAGGGTTCAGAAGGCGAATCTGAACAGCTATGGTAGTTCATTTATGAGACCACAGAAGATCCCAAGTATGCTCAGGAGAGAAAATATTTCTCTCTGAAATGCAGGCAGATAATCCCAGATTTTCCGACATTCTCGGCCTCCTAGACCTGAAAGGAAAGCCTGGAACTACCTAGCTGATTGCCAGATTGCTTGATTTGCTTGCTTGACGCTAGTTCTAGGGAGGGTTTGAACCCATATTTATCTCTTATAGCATACAAAGAATCTAGATCCTAGTGATCTAGTAGGATCTATTCTATAATTATAATATCAAGAAACCTACTACAAACGGACGATTGACAGATCACATGGACATACACTTTGTGCACCGACAGATCCTCTCATACGAACAGAGAAAGTCATCATCGATTTTGGAGGTGGTAAGCGCGAAGCTTTCTCCAAAGGCTACTTGATTGGTATGAAGACCCTTACAATCAGTCCTCATTTGATATTGTACGTTGCTAACTCGTCTGTTCCAGAAGGGTATATCGAAAGTAAGGCTTCCAACGAGAGGAGCCTTACAGGGATTATAGTCGAGGCCCTCACAAAGAACAAAAGGCCCATCCAGTTCGTCTTGTCAAAAGACGTTTGGACTTGGGCCCTTCACAGGGGACCTTATCAAAAGGAGTTTCTAGAGATATGGGAACCGGGGGCAAGTCGAAGCGAGGCGATCTTCAGCACTAGATCCGTTAGATTCTCCTTTTTGGTCAACTGGCAAAAGCCGTCGAGATCTATCTTAACCGTCGATTCTTTCCGCAACACGCGACGGTTTTTATGAGAGATCTTCATCGAGAAGCTCAGCGGCGTCTCAATGCCACCGAACACAAATTTTACTTGGGCCTCCCATACCTTGCTCCAGATATAGTCGGGCTTACGTGACCTGGTCCAACGCAAGATGGAGAGGGAGGAAAGGATTGAAATCTGTGCTGCCCATGACCTAGCGCCTATATTCGGAAAGAGTCAGCTCGGTACGGTAACTAAGGGCCTGATGAAGAAGGCTTCATTTTGGAAGAAACGTGAAGGTGGCGAGAACGCTTAGGGTTTCCTATCCCATCATCTCAATGACTTCCTTTTTTACGGACACCAAAGACTTAACATGAAGCGAGATTCCAGCCGATGTCATCTCTTCCAACGATAGTTCTGTGGTAGCTTTATATATAGGCATTAGTTACAGGAGCAGAGAAGAAGAATTAATAAAAACATCGAAAAGTGCGTATGCTCATAGAGTCTATGCAAGGTTCTGTCTTACAAGAGGATACTGCGATCCCTGCTGCATACCTAATGTCCTGGGATATGATATGCACTGATGACATAGTGATACGCCGGAATGATATTACGAGATCGTTCTACGGACATCATGAAGTGCTCAGGCAGTAAGTCAGTATTGTCCTTCCACGTACTTGGTGTCGACAGAGTGAAGTAAAATGGCGGACACACTGGTAGTAAGATTTTTATCATGTGCAATGCTGTACCTTCTCAACCTCTTCGATCTCTTTACCCAGGTCTATTCTGTCGCTGAAAACATATATCAAGGGATATTGCGTGACTGTGGAATAGATTCATCCAAGATGCGTCGATGATATATGGTTACTTAATTGCAAGAATCGAAGGAGACAACTCTGCAAAACTGTACAGAATCAGACCAGAGGACCTGAAGTACTAGTTCTGGTCAAACAATCCAGACTGGAGCCAGAGAAAGAGTAGCTGAAAATTTTGATCAGAATATTGGGTGGACATGAGACATTTCCTATGTGTGGAATGAGACAGTAGAAGAAAAACACATCATCGGGATTTTGCAACTCTCATATCTATATGAGTGATGGTTCTTCAGAAATCTTGACGCGAAAACGAGCATTTCTGTTATGGTTGGAAAAAGCCCTGCATCTCTAGTCGCCGAATATATATATATACCGTGACCTCTTAGCAATGATGCATAACTGACTGGCAAGCAGATACAATATAACTCTTCGAAGGAATAATAATATTACCAGAAGCTTACGATCATAAGGAGATTATTCCCTGATACAATCACCTTAAGTGAGGCGCGGCTTAATGTATTACCCTGCACTTGCACTGTCGGAGGCCGCCTGGGTTGCATGATCTCCAAGAACCAAAAACATAATATCGGAATGAAATGGCAACTTTGAAAATAGGAAAGCTTATGCTTTCACTCGAGCTGAGAAATGTCTGGCATGTTTGATTTCATGTCTTTTGTCCGCACCAAGACCTTCCCGATAACGACATGTAAGTAGCCCCCCGCCACTTCAGGTATCAATGACGCCTCGGCGCGGATGTCGACCATCGACATCCCTCCACATCACCAAGGACGTGGCACGCGGGGCTACCTTTTTTTTTTTTCTCGAAGGCTTAAGGGGTTCAGATGGTGTTCCATTTTATGCTTTCAGTACCTCCAGGCACTATTTTCGCTAGAATTTGCTTGCGGCGTTTGCCGAGCTGGAGCTGTGCTTGCTGCTTGCTTTACCTACTTATCCGTCATACCACCTCCAAACCCCAACAGCTCCCGCCCCAACAGGTTTCTTGCGGCCTGATCATCGTCGCTGTCCGTGGATAATGTCAGGTGGTCTTGTGAGAAGCCGGTATTTTACTTTCTATCATTTGTGTCCCTGGTGAGGTCGTACAAACAGACCTTGATCTGGACTATTGGAAGATTGGCGTCACCGGCTCCATTTTCTCCATACTTTGCCGTTCTGTCACAGCACGTGCGTATATATCTCTCCTCCAGCTCCTCTGCACTTGCGGTGCTTGGTCCTTTTCCTTGCTTGTTTATTCTGTGCACCGGCGTCTACGTCCCATACTGAATATTGAAAGAGAGATTCCCTTAACTCTCCTGTCGTTCAGAAATTTGGTTTCCTGGGAGCAAAGATGTGCATCGCGCTTATATCAACTGCGCACCCCGATTACCCTCTTATTATCATCAATAATCGAGATGTATGCAAAGACCCATATACTCCATTGTACCGTAAGAGAGACATTTGCTGACCGTCTGCAGGAATTTCTGCGCCGACCAACTTCTACTGTAGATTGGTGGCCAGAGCCGGCATCTCACGTTCTCGGCTCACGAGACCTGGCTCGTCCCGCTCAGGGAACGTGGATGGGCGTCACCAAGCACGGCCACATTGCTGTGCTCACAAATTATCGCGAAGACATCCCCGCAGATGCCGTGGGCACGTGTAGTCGAGGCCTCATCGTCAGGAATTGGCTCACTCTGCCGCCTGATCAGAGGCACTGCACACAGAAGTTCGTCGAGGATATGATCACGAGCAGTGCAGCCAGGAATGTGGGCGGTTTCAGTCTTGTGTGTGGAAAGATCCACGAACCACTGGCGATTATGTCAAATCGCGTCTCGCATGTTGATGGGATCACCTGGGTGGCCAAGCAACAGGGCGAGACAGTCGGTCTGAGCAATACATCATTCGATGACCGGTCGTGGAAAAAGATCTTGCTGGGAGAAAAACTGATGAAAGAGGCCATCGAGGAGCATGCGAAGGCCCAAGAAGGTGAAGAAGAGCTCATTCAGAGATTGTTGCATGTCCTCAGCACAGATACGCTGCCGCGATTGAAAGAAGGCGCCAGCCTGGAAACCTATATCCCTCTTCTACGTGAGAGCATTTTCGTCCCTGTCATTGGTGCCCAGAACGAAGAGAACAGAGCTGCAGACGAAGTCGCAGCTGGAGATGTCCCGGACAAGGTCACAGTCGCGGCCAACGGCAGTACTCCACCTGAGCAACAATGCTACATGACTGGGTTGTACGGTACACAAAAGCAAACAGTTGTCTTGGTCGACAAGAATCGCCGAGTCAAGTACTTTGAACGTACTCTATATGACAACAACGCGAAACCGATTCCCGTCGGGAAAGGGGATAGGAGCTTTGAATTCGTTGTCGAGAAATAGACAGCAGGTTTTCTCCAGAAAGTACGGACCAGAGAACTACGTTTAACAGAGAAAGCCAGTCGCTATCGCCGCTCTCCCAGAACATGCTTCTTGACACCCTGGAATGAGCGAAGCTAAAAATTTCCCTATGACATGAGAACTCGCTGTCGAAGATAATCCCGTTGTTCTGAAACGGCCCACAGTTAAGTCCTACGAGTCCGTTGTACATACATTGTTCCCAGGGTGGAGGCTTTTATGTCTGTACATAGGTAGCATTCATGATTCCGAAAGCGGCATTGTTAGTTTTGCTGAGGGGACGAGGCATCGTTATCATTGTCACTACATGGGTTGACCAGTGTATTTTTGTTATGATCAATGAAAGATGGCAGAAGAAGAGATAAAATCCCAGATATCTCCATTTGAAAATGAAACAAATAAATAGTAATGCGAAGAACGATTAAATAGAGAAAAACCAACGTACCATGGCATCTACTACAAATATAGAACAGGGCCAAGAACTCCAGAAATAGGAGCAAACCATGACCCTGTTGACGATCCGAATAAGAACAATCATGACTACTGGCAGTAGTAAGCAATAATTCAAACCGCCTTGTACTGTTTTGGAATCCGTCGGTTTCAAGATGACGTAACTGGACAGGAAAACCCCTGATGGATTCCGATTGCCGCAAGCGGTGGATATCATATCTCCATCGCACTTCATCTTCAAAGGAGAGCAATCCTCGAAATTTATTATTTCCCTGGACTGCCTTGCCGGACACTCTTGGTTTCTTTCGATGTTGGGAGATCCTCATCCGGCTGGCTGCTAGGTACCTAACAATACCTAACCTAACCTAACTAACGCATCACTCAAGGTCGCGTGAAAGCCGCCCGCCCCGCATTCCATTTCTGATAAGAACTTATCGGCCCCTCCTCCATCTGAGACTGTCCCTATAAGCCTCTTGCGCCCTTGTGGGAGCCATTTCAGAGATTAGAAATATTTCTTTCTGGATCTACTCACTATGTTCGGGATAGTTGCGGACTTTCTATCGTAAGTGAGCTCTTGTCCAGCTGTTCCGGCTGTTGCGGGTGCTCCGATTTCAATGGAGCCTTGAGATTCTCCTTGACCATAAATTCCCTATGAAATGCTCTCAGCTGAGATACTGACGGTTCTTGTCCTCTCGCAGGTCCGTTATCAGTATTTTGTTCCCTGCCTTTGCTTCATACAAGGCCATTCGCACAGCGGATCCCAGGCAGCTGGCACCATGGCTGATGTACTGGGTTGTGCTGACTGGGGTTCTGCTCGCTGAGTCTTGGACGGTTTTTATCATCGGATGGTATATATCTCCTTGCGACTGGAATGGAATTATTCTGTACTCTGCGGAACGATGGCTGATACGATCTCGTTTCTATTTTCCAGGTTCCCGTTCTACAGTTGGATCCGTTTAGGATTTATGGCCTACCTCGTTCTTCCTCAGACACAAGGAGCTCGCGTTTTATACCAAGAATACGTTGAGCCATTTTTGGAGCACCATGAGCGTGAGATCGATGAGTTTATAGGTCGCTCTCATGAGCGTGCCAAAGCAGCCGGACTGCAATATTTCTACCAGCTCGTTGACCTGGTCCGGGAGAAGATTCTCGGCCTCCCCCCTCAGCAACGAGCAGCCAACGTCGCTCCCCCCCCTCCTCCTGGTGCTGCAGGCTACGCTCAATCGCTCATCTCTCGCTTCAACCTCCCCGCAGTGGCGGCCAGCAGCCTGTCGGCGCCTGCAACCGATTTATACTCTGTTCTGAGCTCAGCCGTCGCGACTGTCACCTCTACCGGAAAGAGCCGGGATGTGCAAGTCGAGGAACTGAGCGCCAGCGGGACTCTCCTGCCGCGAGAGGTCGCTTCGCTGTCGCCTGCAGAGAAGGCCAAGTTCATCGCGACGCAGCGAGAACGACTGGACGTGCTCCGTACAGCTCTAGCACGAGAGGAGAAGAACCTGGGGAATGACAACCTAGCCGAACCAGACGAGGACCTTGCGTACGGCTCTGCTGCGGGCCTGCGGAAGAACCTCAGCAGCAATTCGTTCGATCATATTTCGCGGGACGATCTCAGTGTTTCGAATGGCACGCGGGATCCTTCCCGGAGTCGTTCTCGCTCTCCTGCCGCGAGAGAAAGGACGCCCAGTGGTGGCTGGACGACGGGATGGTTTAACGGGGTATATCGAACGACATCTGGTGAATCTCCTGCGGCGAAGTCTTCGGGTGTGGATAGGTAGATAGATCGCCTGTATCAGTGACACGGAGTGAACTTCAGAGACATTTTTCTTTTCTTTCGCCTTTTCTAATTCCTTATCTTTGTTGTATACACTTCTTCCCTAGAAATAGGGATAAAAAAAAAAGGCTGTAGTTAGCTTTCTAGAGAATCCAAGCTTTTGTTCGATGGGTGGCATTGATAGAATATCAACAATAATGGAGATATGAAGCAGTTCCTGAAGAAGAAGTGTTCAGATAGTTTCATCCGCATCCTACACACAATCAATACTACCTAGTAGTACTATATCAAGATGCCCCATCTTCCTCCGGGGTATATCCTGCCAACATACAAACATAGACCTTTCAAGGTAGCTAAACATCAAAAAAAGGATATATCCTAGGTGCCTTCCACGCGTATCAATATATATTATTATAGGAATCAATATACTTTAGTACTATGTACAGTACCTTAACTTGCCCCATAGTGGGGGACATGAGTAGTTATCCCTTGCTTCTGTAAGCTGTAACCTTTAAAGTAACTAAGTACTACTTACTGTACATACATACATCTAGACTGCCCCAGATATTCCAGTTCCTGATCTAGTCTGCCATAGACATGGATGCGAATATCCGTATGGTTACTTCTTCGCTTGTTGGCTGCAAGTATTTCTGTTTCCAGTGATGTCACGAATATCCCACATCGGAAAAAAAAAAAAAAAAGAGTCGGTTTTGGTTCCTCGAAGCATTTTTGATGCTGGGGGATTGGTTGGTGGCGGGAATGCGTCACGATGCGTGCAGGGACCCGCTGAAAAGGATGTTCCCGACCGGGTGGAAATTGCTTTTTGTTTTGTTGAACCAGTTGGTTTTATATGGGACAGGATTAAGAGTAAGTAAGTAAGTAAGTAGAATGTTTTTGCTTGTTCGTGGTCAATCTCCATGGAAGACTGGTTCTCAACGAGTATGAGTATGCAGCTACCTATGCTGAGATAAGTAGTGCCGCATACTAGTTAACTGAGTATGCTACGCGTAGACTGCTTCCATAGGTACGAGGCAGAAGATTCTCCTGGACATTATGGTACAAGCACTGTTACCGATGTATTTCCGTCGCCAGGCAGGGTTTCGTCATCGAAGCGTATCTACTCTACTGTTGCAGCTGTTGCAGCTGTTGCCCCGGGGAGAAGAAGAATATCCTCACGATCGGAGTCCCGGCAGGTCTGCTCGGGACGGTCATGCGATTGCTGGCTTTGAGTTAGTTCGAACACGGTCGTGTTTGGCGCACGGGCAGCGTCGCGGCTCGACAATGCTCGAAGGGCAGTACGTAGTGGACTCCGATGGGAATGGGCCATCGCAGGTTTTTTGTCGATCTGCTTGTTGTTACCCATAGATAAGTAGTCTAAGCTCGAAATAAATTCCTCTTATCTTTTCCTTGTTCTGATCAGATCTGAATTCTTTTTCGACTTGGTTGTTTCTTTGTTCTGCTGCTTTCTTCCCAGGAACAAGAAGAATAATAATAAAATAATCGCGACACGTTTTAAAAGTCTCTGAAAGAAAAAGAAGAAGATGTTTAGGTCTCCACAGCGGATCCTTGGTTCGCGGCCAAAAATAATCGATGGCTTTCGGAGGACTCCGCAAACACGCGCCCAGATCGTGATGCTAGTAGAGTAACTGTCCTAAACCCGTTTCTCTCGCCGGTTGGACAAACCCCCGGATATCGTCGCAGAATGACCATGGGTTTTTGCGAAGTCGGGCTGGAATTATTTTGCAGAAAAGAAACGGCCGAGAGATTCAACCTAGCACTAAGTAACTACTGCCCAATAGTTTAATAATAGGTTGAACGTTGTGGCTGTGGGTGGGTGAAGTTGTCTTCTGCATGGGTAATAATAATATCAACAAAATCGCTAGTAGTAGTTCGATATCGCATTCAGGACCTCGAGTATCAGAGATGCGATGGCAAAAAAAAAAGAACTGAGTGGCAAAAGGCACAGTCGAAGGGGCAGCGGTTTGTTCGTCGGGTTGCTGACGGCAGTTCCGAAGAAGACAAGAGCAAGGCGTGGTAAGACAATGCAGCGTAGAGTAATGACCAGCTCAGTGGCTCTGCTGCGTCAGACAAACCAGGCAAGAATGCAGGAATCGAGCTGAGAGAGAGAGCTGGTCTGCCTGCGGATATGAGGGTTATGGTACCAGGGTAGCCTCAACGGAGATAGATTCGATAGATTCGATAGATGGTTTAGTTAGCCACCAGCAGGATGGTTAGAGAGGATAGATAGAGTAGAGAATCAGAGCTGTCGTTCAAGTATTATTATTTTGCCAACACCACCATACCAATATACCAATATACCAGACAGCCAGACGGGCGCATTATTCGCATCCCTTCTCTCTCTCTCTAAGTAAGCGGCTGCCCGTCCAAGCCCGAATTTCCCAACTACTTGCTGCCACCCTCAAACCCTTCCCTCTTCTTTCTTCTCTTTTTTTTCTTCCTTTCTGCTTCCCCCAATTTCATCCCCCAATTTACCAGCGGATCCTCTTCTGTCATCGAAGCAGGACGATCGCGGATACAGCAGTTGGTCTGTATCATATCTGTGTGTGGTTTCTTTTTTGGATTCTGTCACTTGTCGTGGTGAGGGATTCACAGCCACTCCTTTGGCGAGCGAAGTGCCTGTTTTGGCGCTCCGACGAGAGTCCACAATTTTTTTCTTCCTTTTGGGAACTTCGTTTTTCTTCACCCACCAAACCCTCTCAACCTCCCCGTTGACCTCCCACCACCACCACTCGAGTTTGTGGTGATTACCCCCTGGAGGTCGTATTATTTCCATTTCCCCGTCGAGTTGCATCTCGCTGTGGTTCGTTTTGGTTCCCCGATCCCGTTTTGTCAAACTGGATCCTGGAACGTGTGAACCCCCATCGCTTCTTTTTTTTTTCGCGACCTGACATCACAACCCATCATCCAACCTACCACTCACCGTTGAAGTGATCGCAACACCACCTGTCTAATGACATCGATCTCTCAGAAGCCGGGCCTTCAACCTCAGGGACAGAGCAACACCAACCAGGCTGCCTCTCAAGCGCACTCTGCCTCGCCCTCTGTCAGTGGGAAGTCGTCGCCCCTGGCACCTGTGCCGGCGCCTGCATCGTCTACGGGCAACAGGACCTACGCCAGCGCCACCAAGAAAGCCGCCGATTCTACCGGCGCTCAACATGGAAAATCGCCCTCTATCTCTCCAGTGAACGGCAGACCCATGCAGCAATCTCAGTCATCGGGAGTGACCATCGTCAATGGTGCTCCCGCCCAGCAACCGCCCCAGGGCGACCATTCCCGAAAGCCCTCGGTGACCATCAGCTCTGCTGGCACAACCGGCTATATCCCCAACGGTGGTTCGGCCCCAAGCCGTCCTAACAACATCCAGTTTGGTGCGTTGGACCAGCCGGGCGCGAGCTCTCCCAATATGGGAAACCCTGCCGCGTTGGCAAACCAGTCGCCCGGAAACCTGGGCGTTGCGCCCTCGATGAACCCCCGAATCACTTCTCCGCAGACATCCCCATCCCCGATTCCTCAGCCTGCCTCAAGTGGCGGCAGGCCGCCATCGACGTATCAGTCTCAGGGCAATCCGATGAACTTTGGAAGCTTTGGAGAGTCGGGAGATGCCAATGTAAGTGAGAACCTGAATTACGCATGAACATCGCACAGACACGCGTTCCTTTTTTTTGTTCTGTTTTTTTATCTTTTTTTTTATCAGGCTGATGGCGGGTTCCTTAACACTAGCGACAGATGCGTTCTACACCGCAAGGACCTCTGGGACCTGGTCCCCAGCCGAGTCACCTGCGCCGCGAATCCTCCCAGTCGGCTCATAGCGACATGAGCAACCACATGGCTGGCGGTCCCGCTGGCCCTGGACGTGGTGGCTACCCTCACCAGGGCGGCAGAGGCCGCGGATACTCACAATCCGGCTATCAGGGACAGATGCCGTACTCGCCAGGCCCCAGCTTCCGAGCGACGCCTAACCAACCTAGAGGTGGACCGAATATGGGACCCCAGTTCCATGGACATAACCAAGGACGCCCTCTCGCTCCTCCGTTCCCGAATTCGCCGCAGGCAAACCGCAGCCCTGCCCTTGCGAACTCGCATCCTGTTACTCCCCAGATGAATCAAGTACCCATGGCGCACCCGCAGATGCAACCCCAGCATTACGGATACCAGCAACATATGGGACCCCAAGCTGTGAGACTCCAATCTCCTTATTCTAAGACCCTGAGATACCCAAAGAAACAACGCAATGGAACCCGTCATCACCCATCTGCTGCAGCAACCCTGAACCCCTCGTCATCTGTCAACCTTCCACCCCCTAATCTGGCTCCTGAAAGCGGTCACTTTGAACGGTATCTAATGCTGATGAAAAATCAGGGCTATCCTCATGCGTACGACCCTAATTATGGGTACTACAACGCCGCATACGGCATGCAGCCGATGCAGTACATGACCCCTCCGTCGCCTCAGCCCCGTCCCGGCATGCCATACAACCCCCAGGCACCGTACATGCAGAACCAGTATCCCGCTGCGGTCCCCGCTGCTGCGGGAGCGACACCGTTGTCGCGTACCCCGTCGCAGATGTCCAATGACCGACCCGGTTCCAGCCTTGGTCAAGGAGCCCCAGCTGGTCCTCCTGGCCCTGGCCATGCTCACAGTACCAGCAGGACATCCAACAGCCCCGCTCCCCCGAAGAACCACTTCATCATCCCTCCTACGAAGAAGAGCCCTCTGGTCATCAAGGATCCCGGTAGCGGTGCCGTCAAGACCTTCGAGAAACAGCCAGCTTCCCCCGCTCGTGGCACTCCTTCCCCGGTCAAGATCTCCACGCCTCCTCCCCGCACTGGAAGCGCTGCCGACAATGGCAAATCTGAGCCTAGACAGAAGACCGATGAGGAGAAGAAGCAAGAGCTCAAGGAGGCTGTCCGTCAGCGAATTGAGCAAGAGGAGGCCGAGCAGCGTAAGAGGAAGGAAGAAGAGGAAGCTCGCAAGGCAATGGAAGAGCTTTCGCTAAAGGAGAAGGAGGAGAAGGAGAAGGCCGAGAAAGAAAAGGCCGAAAAGGAGCAGGCCGAGAAGGAGAAGGCCGAGAAGGAGAAAGCTGAGAAAGAGGCTGCTGAAAAAGAGAAGGCTGAAAAGGAAGCTGCCGCCGCCAAGGAGGCCGAAGAAGCCAAGTCTCGTGCTGAAGAGCAGAAGAAGGCTGAAGAGTCCAAGAAGGCTGAGGAGAAGCCTGCTGATGACGATGAGATCGATTACGATGCCATCGAGCGCGAATTGGCCGAGATCGAGGCCAAAGAAGCTGCAGCAGAGGCCGACTACTACAGGAAGAAGCAGGCCGAGAAGGAGGAGAAGGAGCGCAAGGAGAAAGAGGAGCTTGAGGCGTACGAGCGTAACATGAAGCAAGCTGAGCGCGATGCTGAAGCTGCTGAGGAGGCCCGCATGAAGAGACTGGAGGCTGGTGATGACTCCTCAAAGAAGGAGGCCTTTGCCTCTCTCGCGAAGCGTGGCGAGTCAACTCCCGGTTCTGAGACGCCTGCTGACAGCGGGGCTGCTACTCCTGCCTCTGAAGCCTCCATGGGACCGCCGGCGAAGCCTAGCGGACTCAAGCGCGACAAGCCTGCTGCGCTTAAGCTGGAGACCACCAAGGCTGTTGAGCCGCCTCAGCCCAGTGCTGCCATGAAATCGCTGCAGACTGCTCGCTTCCTTGAGGACCCTAGCAAGGTCAGCTATCCTGCCTCAGTTGTGTCTCCCAATCCGGCTTTGAACGCCAACGCTCCGGCGGACCGGAAATTCAAGTACAACAAGGAGTTCCTGCTGCAGTTCCAGGATGTCTTCAAGGAGAAGCCATCTATCGACTGGGACGCCCGTGTCCGCGAGACGGTTGGTGATAGTGGCGACTCACGCCCGCAGTCCGCTCGTACGCCGTCGATGGGTGGACGCAACACCTCTCGTCCTGGGATCCCGCAGAACTTCCAGATGGGCACCTTCGGACAGATGCCTGGTTCGCGCCAGTCTCTGCCCCCTGGAACTACGTCGGAGCAGCGCCTTGCACTGTCGAACGCAGCTCGTTCTTCCATGGGCGGCAACCCATTCGGCTCCTTCGGTCGCCCTGGTCTGGGCATGGGTGCTCCTTCTATGAGCCGCTCTGCATCATCCTCCTTGCACGGTGGCCTTCCGCAGTCGCCTCGTATGTCCAGCCGCGGTGGTACTCGTTCGGACAGCAAGCGCAGCAAGCAGGCTTCCAGGAAGGAAGAGGAAGCCAACAAGGCTATGCCTCCTGTTTCTCAAAAGGAGTTCAAGGCCCTCACATCTTCCACCGGCTGGAAGCCGCGCAGTGTGGGCCAGGCTGCTGCTGCCGCCGGTCCTGCTCCTGGCGGAGACGGCCTTATGCCTCCGGATGTGGTACAGCGCAAGGTTAAGGCCAATCTGAACAAGATGACGCCTGAGAACTTCGACCGTATCTCAGGCCAGATCCTCGAGATTGTTTCTCAGTCCAAGGAGGAAACTGACGGCCGAACACTTCGCCAAGTTATCCAGCTTCTTTTCGAGAAGGCCACCGATGAGGCTCACTGGGCGCCTATGTACGCCAAGTTCGCGAAGCGCATGCTGGAGAGCATGAGCCCCGAGATCAAGGATGAAAGCATTCGTGACAAAATGGGCAACGTCGTCGCTGGTGGTAGCTTGTTCAGAAAGTACCTCCTCAACCGTTGTCAGGAAGAGTTCGAGCGTGGTTGGAAGGTCAACCTGCCGCCGAAGCCCGAAGGTACCACCGAAGAGATGGCCATGATGTCGGACGAGTACTACATCGCTGCTGCTGCCAAGCGTCGTGGTCTTGGTCTGGTCAAATTCATTGGTGAGCTGTACAAGCTCGGCATGTTGACGGAGCGTATCATGCACGAGTGTGTCAAGAAGCTGGTTGACTACGAGGGTATCCCTGAGGAGGCCGAGGTTGAGAGTTTGGCCAGCCTGCTCCGTACCATTGGTGCTAGTCTGGACGCCTCTGACAAGGGACGAACGATGATGGATGCCTACTTCGGCCGTATCAATATGATGATGGAGACCCCTGGTCTGCCTAGCAGACTGAGGTTCATGCTGCTGGTGAGTGCCTCTCGTATTGGTCTCCTGTTAATGGTGAGAGTGAGCTAACATTTGTGTGACTTCTCTTAGGACATTGTCGATCTTCGTAATGCTCGTTGGCAGTCCAAGGATGCCGACAAGGGCCCCAAGACGATCCAGGAGATTCGTGAAGAGGTATGTATCCCAACCGAAACTTGCTCTTCTTCTGGTATGCGGAACACTAACATCTTTTCAGGCCATGCGTCAACAGCAGGAACAAGAAATGGAACGAATTCGCCAGCAATCAAACAGAGGTGGCCGTCCCACACTCGGTCGTGGTGATGCTCGTGGGTTCTCTAGCGACTTCAGGAACCAGGCGCCGCCTCCAGACTATGCTTCCAGTAAGGTCGGAAGCGACGATCTCCGCAGACTCAAGACGACGAGGAATACCAACCAACCCATGTCGTTCGGACCCTCCAGCATGTTCGGCTCTCGCAGCAGCAGCGGCCGCAAGAACCTGGGCCCTGGTGGCAATCTGGTTCGCGGCAGCGATGACAGCGCAGCCAGCAGCCGGGCTGGAACGCCCCCCGCAAAGAAGGAAGACAAGGAGGCTGCATCCTCTATTAATGCGTTCAGGTGAGGATTGCAGCTTGCTTGTGCCAATGGACCCCCGCCCTTTTATTGCCCTGTTCTGGAAGCTAATCTACTTTTTTCTCCATCCAGCGCCCTGGCCAGCTTGGAAGACCGTGACAACATGGCTACATCTCCTCCATCCAACCCAACCTCTCCCCAACTGACGAAGTCACGACCCGCCGTGAAGTCCCCCGCTAAGGAGGGCGAAGGTACGGCATAGACGCTGAACTACATTTCCTATTACATTCTTCCGGAAGACAAGATTTTTTTTTAAAGGGGAGGCTCCCTAGAGCTCATGCCGGCGTGGGTTAGAACAAGGATCTACTTGGTAACCCAACCTTACAAGCATGCGAATTAGGAGGCGTGGGGAGGAGAGGAGAACAAAAAAAGCAGAGATCGATTGCTACTGGAATGCGTGCTTCATCTTTTCAATACCCGGAGAGCAGGAAGACTTCCCGTGGCCGAGGATTGGCGCACGGATGGGACTTCAGGCTAGCCACCAGCTTGCTTACCGTTTGTAGTTCCTTTTCTTTTCTTGCATTGCATTTGCACTGGGTGGTGCGGTTAGTTAATTCATCAGGCTACGTCATGCTCCTTTATGAATCGTGGATTTCCTTGTTCCTTAGAAACATCATCTTCTCTTCTTCCTTTCCAATTTTCTTCATTTCCCTTTTTTTTTAGACGAAAATTGTGTTAGAAAAGTCTTAACTTTTTAACTTTTCTTGTCTCAATATGACGAGCACGGTTCAAACTCATGCGTGTCTGGTGTGCTTTTCTTTCCTCTCGTCGACCTCTTGATGGCTTTTTCTTCTCTCGGGTCAGTACGCTATATTTATCGGGCTTCCCTTTTTTTTTTATCTCCCTTATCTTTTCGAAACCCCCAGGGCTAGGGACCCTGAGTATGAAAAAAAATGAGAAATGGAAACGACAAGGGAAGAAGGGGAAATCGAAAGGTTTTTTTTTTTTTTTTTTTTTTTTTTTTTTTTTTTTTTTTTTTTTTTTTTTGCTTAATATGAGAAACATGCGCGTTCGTATCTTCTTTATTTTTTTCTTCTCTTCTCAATTCTATTGTAATTATATCATGTTCTTTCTTCTTTTTTCGAGCAATTGTTCACAGTAGCAGCAGCAGAAGCGGAATGAAGTATGAGAAGATTATTATTATTATCAGTTGTAGGAAGTAAGTATCTTATGAGCATGACATGATCAGAAAGAGTCTTTGTAGTAGTAGTACTCAAGGGATGATGTATTGCACACATTCATTGTATGTAGCTTTGGTCTGCAAATGCTGCTGGGAGCAGATTCCGACGTACATACATATTTATCTTATCACCTGGAAAATGATAGCTTTAAGGTTCTGGAATTGCAGATTCTGTGGTTATTCCAGTTTATTATTATCATGTCATTCTAGGTTCTATGTTTATTTCCATAATCCATGATTCCTGAATGACTGGATCCTTCTTGGGACAACGTGTATTGTGCAAGGGTATCTTATTAGATACATGGATGAATTCAAGGGACGAGAAGAAGCAAAAACACCTGAAATGCGCTCTCGAGAATTTCCGTAGTAATCTCGTAACAATGCTGCGGGTGGGAGGGGTATAGTATTAGGGGAAATATACTGAAGCAAAGACCAATAAAGCTGTAGAACGCCAGGCGAGAAATCCCGGAAAGAAAAACATAGCAGTTTGTGAGTTGAACTCGTCGATTTTTCCGAGACCGGAAGACGAGTTATGATGGAATCGTGGAATGCATGAGCGGAGATCTGCCAAAGCTTACCAACGACCAGGCAGACGAGAATATTTATGCCTCTGCTGTCTCATTTGTGTTCTTTTCTTCCTTGTGGGTACTATCCGCATCAGACCGTTGTGACAGGGCCGAGTTAGCCACAGAAGTGCTATCATCAGAAGACCCAGGCTCAACAGTCTCAGTTATCTTAGGAGATACGGTTCCACGGCTACCTGCAGACGCCGAAGTAGGGGTTTCATATCCTTGTCCGGGTTCGGCACCTCCAGATGGAGCATCATCCTCAAGTTGTTGAATGACTATGTCCGGGTGTCCGACACTCGGATTCGAAGAGTTCGCGACTTCGTCCACCCCGCTCATGGCTGTTTCTGAGTTGCCGTTCTGCAGAACTTTGTTCTCATCCCCAGCAGGTTCAGTGACCACCGGCTGAGCTGTACTTTTTGTGTCATATTCGCTTTCGCTCTCGGTAATCGATGGGGTGTCGAGATCTCCTAAGATCGGACTCTTCATGACCACGGCATTTGGTGACTCCGCTCGGGGAATCTCCAGCTCAGTATGGACCGTCGATTTGCTGTCCTGGTCACTACTCTTGCTAGACAAGGTCTCTCTAGAAGTTCCAAACATGTGTTCGCGGTTCTGGTACGCTGATCGCGGTAAGCCAATGGCCTTGGCTACTGCAACGGCTTCAGCATCGGCGTTCCTGAGAAGACTGCTGTCGCTGTTGTCGGGTATATCGAACAACCCACTGCCTCGCTTCTCGCTCATCTGCAGGATGCTGTTATAGTTGCGCCTCGTCGGATCGGCAAGACGCTTCTTTTTCTTCTTTTCGCGCTTCGCAGAAGCACGTACAACGATCACTGGGATTGGCGATTGCTGCAAACAGTACTTTGACACAGACCCTGGTAGCAGTCCTTGCATGCTGTTCATGCTTCGACCGCGGGTACCGACGATGAGAAGGGCAGGCTCGTAGATTTGGATCTGACCTTGTTAGATCGGTTCGTCGGGAACTGGTAATAGACACACTCACCATGCGCTGAATAATTTCCTGCACTCTTCCAATCGCAAGTTCCAGTACCAGACTGATCGCCTTTTCATCCTGACTATTCTTCTGGATGACTTGTTTGAACAGTTTCTCAGCCTCTTGCCGGTACTTTCCTTCCTCGACACTAGAATCGCTTGCTATCTTCGAGTCTTTCTCAACGACTCGCAGGCAAACGATCTCATCGCCATCATCAACGAGCTCATCCATAAGCCATTCAAGAGCGAAGTCGGAATAATCGTTCTGGTCTGTGCCGCATAGAAAGGTGCGGCTGCGGCGGGTGAGCTGGTAGCCCCTGTGCTTGTAATTGAGTGTGAATGAGTAATCGGTAGCATCCCGATTATCGAAAGTATCGAATGAAACTCCGCGCTGGTAGGTACTAGATTATTGGCCATTGTTAGCTCGACCGCATACAAGAGGCGCATAGTTCTCCAAAAAGTCGATAGCGTAGTCTACAGTGACGCTGGCGACGAGGAAGAAAATTTACATATTCTGGAAGAGCAAACTGGATGCGTAGACGTACTCTGGAGGTGGGGGAGATGGCACCCTGGGGACGACCTTATGTGGCCGAGGCGCTAGAGGACTCTTGATGCTCCCAGTTCGACGGGGGAACGAGGGCATAGTCGGAGATCCAACGTTGAACTGTATGGACTTTTTGCGGCTGTCATCTGCCGGTTGGGAAGATCCTCTGGGACCCAGCCGGAAGCTCAACGAACTTCCCGGTCGCCGTGACACGCGCTCCTCGTCATGTCCATGCGCAGAGTTTGTGGATTTGGTTGGAGGTTGGGGAGACTGTGATGGCATTTTGAAGAAAGTCGCAGTCTCCACTGCGTCCAGTTCGGATAGTCACTCTGTATTTGTCGACGAGGCGCAAAGCGAGCGGAGCAATAGATCGAAAGCGCCTGGAATGGGTATTGATGGAATGTCTCTGGTGTACTTCTGATGCTGTTCTCTGTCGCAAGGCCCGTGTGAATGTCTCGAGCAAGTGCCGCTCGGTTCACTCTGTCGGCGACCTGGCGAATCGCGGAATAGAGGTAAATAGTGATCGAGAGAGTATGTATCTCTTTGTCGACCATACACGAGTAGTATAGTGCTTATCCAAATTCCCGTAAGTGTTCCACAATGTAATAGGTGATGTTGACACACGATGGCAACCAGTGAACTGGTGTATTTCCGCTTTGGTTCAGCCGCCGCGAAGCTCCCGTAATTCTCGAGTAGGCGCAAGACTCCAGACGCTATTCATGGTAAACCAAGAGGGAAATGGGTCGCATCGTCAGCCTCGATAGGTAGCCTGCTGCGACAGAGATCAAGGAGTCAAAGAGAGGTTGTCAAGTGTCAAGTCGGTCGAGTCAAGTCAAGTCGAGCTCGAATGGGATGAACCGGATCCACAGGGGCAGGTGGGGAGCGGCAGAACCAACTGACCGCTTTAGGCACCGAGAGGCTTTGCGGCGTTGAACTTCCAAGCCGATTGCAGTTAACATTCTTCTTCGACTAACTAAATAATTAATCAACCAACTAACTAGTTAGGTGCGCTGCTGAGCAGCTCCAGCCGGCCTAGCTCTCTGGGAGAAAATACCGAGAACACGTTTCAGCGGCATGTGCAAAATCTCCGAATGACAGCCAAGAATGAGAACATGCAACAAGGAGAGTTTCTCTCGCGGTTATCACGGGTTGCAAGTCCGAGGTCATGCACTGTCAGCTGTCATCGTACGATCTCCCGCTATCCCCAAAGGCAGTCCAAACAAAGTCCAGACAAGTTGATGCCACAGGGTGACGCCATACTCCATAGCGCTGGCCTTGTCATGGCGCCCGACGTGGATACATGCTGTGGGTCGTTCACTGCGAAACAAATACTCGAGGGAGGGGGGGGGGGGGTACCTCCTGGTAGAGATGTGACAAAATTGTCATGATATCTTCTCACGTAAAGGTAAATGCCATAATTGACGGGGATTTCCAGTTAGGAAACTAAAAGGCTAACAACGAATGTCCCCGCTGAGCACTGCAAGCAGGAGCTATGCACATACCATAAGGTTGGGTAGCTAAACCAGCAGCTGATCGTGCAGAGTCTAGGCACACAAGTCGCATCTATAGTTCTACAATATTCGAATGGATTCAGCAAGATGTATTTGTCCTCATCTTGCAGTGTACCGGAGGGCGTCCAATATGACAACCTAACCAATAGATACTTGAAACAAAGCAAAATCAGGAGCATGTTCAAGGCCAGAATCTACGGCTGTCACCAATGAGACAGTAACACCTCGACCAGATCACTAATCACCGACAAGCGCATTACAGATCAGTGATGAGATAAAACACGTCATGTGTGCTTGTTCGCGCTTACTTCTAGACCCCGCGAAATCAGGATATCGATAAATAGGATCCTAGTCAGTCAGTTGATTGCTGAATAATCCCCGACTGTGCTGACAAAATGCATATTACTCCCACGGAGAATGCGAGCCTATCTCCGACGCCTTACGCCTTGACCAACTGACAGATAATCATTGTGGCACTCTCTCTACCATGGTACTGAGAAACCACACAGGGAACAATAGGAACAATAGACGAGCCGACGGAGGAACATGCGCTTATGTCAGAAATAAAGTCCGCCGTCAAAAAAGAAAAGTAATCATTACAGAAAGAAAAAACCCAAATTCTCCCTCGAGCCAAACATACTACAAATCATCGAAATCCCGCCTTTTCCTGATTTTTTCTGTCTCACGAGTCTCGGCGGATCTGCCGCTAAAAAGGCCCAGCCAAAGTATGTACCTAACGTACGCTTATACCAACCCGCCGCTCTGAAGAACGTCCGAACTCGGCCATGTGCATAACCACGAAACAACCCCTCATAGGAAAATTTTTCTTTTACTACTTGGAGAAACCATAGGATATACTACTACCTGACAGTAAAACAAAATAGTAATACACACCGCATCGTGCTTACACAGTGAATAAGTACAGAACATACATGGCCGCCGCTACCGTTGTTTCTTTTTCTTCTCCCTTAGGTGCCAGTAACTACTGTAAGAGGAAGTAAGCATAAATCTCTAGAAAGTATTAGTTTAAACCCGATTATCCGAGCATACACATCCACTTTCTTTCTTTCTGCCGGCCTTCTCTCCCGACTCTTTCTAGGGCTATTGTCCAGGTGACCAGAGTCATTATTATTATTAAGTAGAGCCCGACCGACTAACTACAGTAGCAGTGAGTCCGTCCTAGAAGTGGACCCCGACTCTTGTCTTTTTTTTCTTTAAATGCCCCATCAAAAAAAAGAACAACAAAAGAGGCCGAAAGAATAAAGGGAAGAAAAAAAAAAGAAACAAAAACTGAAAAGAAATTAGTCTCCCAAAGCGGAGTTATCCCTAGCTAGCTAGCTAGCTAATCTCCATAGAAAAGAAGAAAAGAAGAAAGAGAGACAGACAAAATCGCCAGCATCGGCGATCTGGTTACTTACCAGCCCCGAGTGTCTAGCATAGTCCCCACTATCTATCACTGTTGGGACATAAAAATCAAAAACTTCAACAATAGTAGTTAGTACATAGCTTTTTTTTGTCGCTTTCTTCATATACTGTCGATAAAGTCTATGGAATAATCTGGCGATAGAAATAAGGACTCTGCATTTGGCATGATAGAATCTTGTCTTGATAAATGATACAGGAGCTAGTTACAATACCCCTTTCCCACCTCTATTATAGTAGTAACTATTTAGTTCGTTAATTCATTTACATGAGATGAAAAGAAAACAAGCAAGCAAGTAAGTAAGCACATGCATAAATAACTAGCCTAAGTATTATTTATTATTATTTCAAGGCACAAGAACATAAGAATACCCCCTCCGTGGGGAGGAAAACAAAGATCTCAGCCCTCTCCTCACCGCAATCTCTCTCTCTTTCTTTGCTCTTAGGTACTTTACTCCTATCCTATTATTCATCCAACAAAAACTTTGAATTAGAAACACTAAAGAAAAAGCACTTCTCTCTTTCGTGCGAAAAAAAGAAACACTCGGACCCCCGCCGACTTTGGTGGGGATAACGGATAGCGGAAGCCTGATAGATAACGCTATCTCAGGCGGTGAAGGGGGCTCGATGCAGTTGCGGGCTGGCCGTGCAGATGGCATGATCGACGGCGTAAACTAACGTTCGACGCGCGGGATCAGACAAGAGCCCGGCATCCTATTCCAGGGTTGATCAATACTAATAATGTACACGTACCAATACAGGGTAGATTGTGGAGTCGTCAGGCGTTGCATAAGAGACGTGCTCTACTCGGTACTATGAGCCGCTTCCGTGCGGGGGGGTCGACTGTTGGGAGTCCAGGCCGATCGAGTTCTACGATAGTGGGTACTCTAATGTCTACACTCTACAGTGTACAGTAATCAGGCACAGATGAGATATTGACCATATCTAATGTGGTAGTAGTATTATCATGCACTATCTCTAGTAAGATGTGGACATCTAAGTGGCTGTCATCAAAAAACATCTCGACCTTCGACCGCTCAAACCCCGCCTGGGGGACATAGCGGGAGGGAGAAATGCTATGCAATTCCAAACGAAAAAATAAACAAAACCAGGCGTCATGGTCTTCATGATGCAAATGGATATCAAGAGTAGAGAGAAAGAACATGCAAGTGAAGCGCTCAGACGCTTATATAAAGTGTAAATGTATATATAGATGCCACAGCGAAAATGCAAGTCTTTGAGTCGTATCGATGAATGAAAATTAATATTTTTTTTGGTGCCGTATCAACGCCATGCATGCCGAAATGCTAGAATAGCTCGCTCATAAATCGGTATCTCAGAATCATCAGGGGTATCATTGTATGGTACATCGATGAAGGTCGTCAGAAGCAGCGCGCGTGCTGCTAGTAAGCTTCGATCATCGTACCCTGATCTTGTGCAGGAACGTAGTATTCCGGGTTGAAGAGATCCGATTCAGGAGATTCAGAGAGCGGCAGTTCTGTTGTAGCCGGCTGCTTGTTGTCGAAGAAAGCGGACACAGCTTGATGCTCTTTTTCGGAGAAGGCATCGAAGGTGGGCGCCTCCGGAGAGGGAGGCATGGATTCGTCTTCCGATTCCTCGTCCGAGTCTGAGGAGAGTTCAGGTGGTGACTGTCGCGAGCTCGCTCGCGTCAATGTGAGTGTCTCGTGCTCCTCGCTATAGTCGTCATCAGAGTCGGTCTCGTCCTCATCAACTTCTTGCTCGGTGATGATGGCCACCGGAGAGGGTGCCCGGCGGAAGGGAGTCGCGGTAGCGGTAGCGGAGTCGACGACGAAGTCATCTTCGTCGTATTCGGAGTCTGAATCGTCATCACTGTCGGAGTCGAGATCGGACAAGTCTTCCGGATCCCAATCTTCCTCCGGGTCCTCGACGATGGCCTCGTCCATGACGGAGTCAGCCCACTGGATATGCTTGGAGGACTTCTCCTCAGCGGCCTTGGCGGCACCGCTGACCGTCTGATTGAACCATCGCTCCTGTTCCTGCTCTGCGTCGGCCAGTTCCAGCATCAGCGAATCGAGCAGGTTGGCGTGTCCGACGAGAAGGCGGAGGTCGTGGTCCGCCCGGGCAGCCTCTTTGGTGAGCTTGCTCCGGGCGGTGTGGGCGAGATAGTAAGTCTGGGTGATGCTCATCTTCTTCTGCTGCGGTCTGCGGCGAACGGGAGTGATGATGAAGGAGGAGAGAGAGGGAGAAGAGGAGGAGGGAGTCGAGGAAGTCAGTGAAGAAGTAGTCATGGTCGGTGTAGTAATATGTCTGGGTGGGAGCTGGATGAGCTCAATCCGACGTGACTCGCTTTCTTCTGCCTGTGAGTCAAAGCCGCGGCGGTGGACAGGGCAGCCAATCAGGGCAGGGCGCGGCGGAGGGCGGTGAACGCGCGCAGTCGAGTAGGGCTGCAAGGAGCAGACGCGATATGTGATGGATCTGCAGAGGCCAACAACGCGATGGTCGTGGTATGTTGGTATTTGAGGGCTGGAAAGCTGGTGGTTTTTTTGTGCTGTGGTTTCTGTGCTGGAGGGGAATGCTTGTCATCAGGGGCAGAGGGCCAGTTTTTATCTCCTGATGCCTCCGCTGTCCAGCTGAGTTTTTTCTTCCTTTTTTTTTCAGACTTTCTGTCTATTTCCACCCTGGAGCCGTGAGCCGTGTAGGACCGGCAGTCGGTCGGAGGTAAGAGACGGCCGGAGCGTTTCGCTTGCTTTGTCGCCGAGGCCCCACAGCGCCCGCGGTGATGAATCAGAGATCTCCGTGCTCACCGCATCCAGCCTCACCGCCCTCGGGTTCCATGGTCTTCCAGTCCGAACAAGTTAGCAGTTGATAGTTCCAGCCCTGCCAGTTTCGTTGATCCTGCTAGTACTGTAACTACTCATTCGACTGACCGATCTTCCCGTTCCGCGGAACCGATGGCCTCCTTGCTCCAGCAAAATCGTTGCCTCGGACGAACTGTGATCTCGTCCACCACCCAGCTTTTGTTCATGTAATTTGAACTTACACCTCGGATGGATGAGAAATCACGTCGGTCGAATTCTTATCGGACAGTTTACTCTGACCTCCACCAGGCCGTCGATGACTTCTTCCACTCCTCCAGATGCTGATTTCAAACCCCACAATGATGTCTAAGACTTCCCCCGGATGTGGCAAGCCCACATCTTGTCTTGTCTTGTCATATTGATGAATTCCCCTATTGGGGACGAAGCACGGACCGGAGTTGACAGGATGTGAATCGACGATGATTGTGGCATTGCTTTGCTGCATGGCCAGAATCAACATTAGTGATCAACAAGAGAACAGTCCTAGCGAATCGCCGGTCGCTGCTGGCTGCCAAGGTCGAGAGTCCTCCAAGTCTAGACGTTGTTACTATGTAGTTACTACTGACGATTGAGTCTTACGGCCTTACCCCTCTCCGTGGCTCCGCGCGCTGTCGGGCCTTATGAACGCGATGCCAGCGCAGCAGGACGCAAATCAGCAGGACACAACCCCTGTCTGTTTCCATCTGCCGTGCCTGTGCTGTCCTCGCCTGATGTGCATTTCCATCCGAAACAGTAGTGCCTAATGAGCGTGAACCCGTGGTGACTCCTAGGCTTATGGTATTACTTGTCGCACGGACAATGCCTCGACTGCAGTCATCCCGCAGAATAATCTCGTATCTAGGCTCGCAGTGGATTCCCGTTTAGGCATTTGCATAGGCAACTGAATTCTCCCGACAACCCCTGGCTTGGATGCTGAGCACACACTGCCTCTGGCCTAGACCGAACATTTGTTTGGGTATTTTCACAAAATACTGCTGCCTCGACTCATCTCATTTCTCCAGAATGAGCTACACCAACCACCTCAAAGGACCTGGTATTCGTTGGAGATACAGAGTTGGTTTTGAGTGAGCTTAGTTATCAGCCCCTGTGCACGGTCACCTGCACCGTCCAGCTGGGACCATCTAAGCTCAAGCTTCCGTTAGGCATTCTGACCTGTGCATTCCGCCCGCACCCGATCACCCCTTGGTGTGTATGGAAACTCTCGTAGATCCTAAAGTCGACTTTCAGAAATGCTCTGAGTTCCTTGCAGCGGGCGACGCTCAAATCTCAGACGGATTAATTATTATGAGTTAGCCTGATGGTCCAGTGATGATAGTGAAACGAAACGAGCCTCACCGCCCTGGGACGGATCCGGGGAAAATCCTCGTCCTGCCCCGCCCATGCCGTATTTCCGTATCCCCGATATCCGGGGATCGTCAGCCCTACCAGCCACAGCCTCACTTTGTGTCCCAAAACAGCAGTTCTGGATCTGGGAAGGGAGAAAATGGTGAGTTTGCTTTTCGTTGTCGTCGAAATAAATCTGGAGTAGTACTCCCCTTTAGGATTGGAGCACCAAAACCTGGCTCACCACGTTTTGGATAGGATGCAAGACCCATTTGTGCAGCCATGATCAGCGGCACAAGTATGGCATAATCGGTACAAAGCATAATAATGGGCATAGAATATATTTATCTTGACTTCACCGCCTGTACTCGATTAACGGATATGAAGGCCCCGTTGATGGCTCCGATTAAAGGCGCAATGCAATGGTCACGAGACCGACTCCGGAGACGCTGAAGTTGTACAGTGGGACGGTGAAGAGTTGCGCGAGGACACTCCCAACCACCACCGACCAGGAGGTGTTTAGGCCATAGGCGAAGAATGAGAAGATTGACATGTGGGAAACCAAGCATCGTCAACGAACGGATCAAGTCCTACCAGAAAGGCTCGTCCGAGACACGACCGTAGAAGGTCTTAGGTCATGCCAATACATGGCTGTGCTTCAGTTCAATAGATCGTGAAGCGAGCAGCGACTTATAGAAATGAGCGAAATATGCCCATACGCTGATGAAAAGCAATATATTCTTTAGGAGAAAGATGGGTACCAAGATGACACCTGTATTGCGGCCCTGTTCGTGTCGCAGTACCGATGTCTGATTCTCTATCACGTCGCTGAGCAGTGCCGTTCCCGGTATGTGCTCGAGATGGTCGTCTTCTAGCACGCCTAGACCCATCTTTGATAGTGAATGAACATCGAGAGGAATGAAACACTGGCCGAATCTGCGGACAACCAGTTTAGACTGAAACTTGCTTTTTCTAGGGCATTTCTCTATTCATACAAAATACGGGGAAGATGCAGGTCTACTCTTAATTGGAACTATATCGCCGCGGAACATCTAGATATCTGCAAGCTCAGCACCAACATCTGGGGTAAATCTGGGGAGAAGCGCCACGTGTATTGGAGGTTCTCGACCACGGTGGGTAATTGATCAATTGAAGCTTAGAGACTTGGAGAAGGAAGTGTTTGATCTTTATGTGTTTTGTTGCTATGATGGGCCCTTTTTCAGCCTGGTGTGAGTATCTACCTGCTCGAGGTGACTATTTTAGATTGGGTATTCTAGAGACTGAGCTCTGGAGCTCCAGTTAGAGATCCACAATTTTTATAGTACTCTGGCATCTATAGATGCAAGGGCCAGTAAGATCTACTTGGCGATAGTTAGGTAGGTAGTTTGACTGCGTATAGAGCTTTTCGCTTTTTTTCGGACAGCGCGAAAAAGTACTTTGTAGAATCTGACAGGGTCACGTATACTTCAAATAATTTGAATTTCCAGCTCATCTACAGCACTCTAAATACCAGGCTTTTAGGGCATCTAACTTATACTGTGTTCTGTTCTAGAAACCGACGTGGACAACTCGTTAAAAAGGGACGTGTATCATGTACTCCGTTAAGCAATATACTAGCTACGTCCGGCCTTCATTGCGAAACTATATCGCTTCCAGTTACCGGGCAACTGAATTCAGATACATCTCGAACATCTACGAGCTCTATATAGCATTCGGACAAGACCGTCCCGTTCCAATCCGATCCATGTAATGCCTGTATGAACGGGGGTTGGCCAGATCGGCCTCCGGAGCGCCCTTCACGCCGACCCGGAACAATGCTCCCCGGATGAATAATATGCATTATTCTGATTAGTTAACTCTTTAGTTTGTTAGTTAAGCTATGCATGAATAACTTCTTATGCGGTTCCCAGAGTCACGAGACACCAATTTTGTGATGTCATATGCACGTGAATTATACACATGATGGGAATTCCTTCCGTAATCTTCCTTCCTTGCCGTCATCAACGGCGTCTATTCTTCAAGGTTGTTGCGGACGAAGGGAAGCGAGGTAAATTTTTCGTCAGCTATATATATACATTGCCTAGGTAAAGTAAAGTAAAGTAGAGTAAACGACATTCGTTTGACGGAGACCACTTCACGTCAGATACTGCCGGATATAGTAAACTGTGGATAAATGTCAGCTATCATGGAGTCATCGATCTTAAGGCCAAAGATGACAAATTGAAAAACCAGTAAGATCCCATTTTTCTGCCGGTCTTATTCCAGGCCTGCTAGCAACTCTTCCCCGGAGTTTACCTTCAATTGCTCCATTCCGTTAGCTAATAATAAAGCTAGCTTAGTTGATTATCAGGTCTGAGTCATCCAAGATGTAGTGATTCATTCTCGACTCTTCCGGATAGATAGTTTGATCTTTTTTACTAATGTTCCATCTGAGGCTAGAACTAAACCCAGATAAATAAACCGTCTTATTATAAGAAAATCTCGGCTCCTATGCTCTAAATGAGAGTAGTTACATTGCTACAACCTGAAGGCCACCTCATTAGTTTCGCGTTCATTATTAATTAGCAACAGAAAAACCAAAGAGAAAAAACTTTTCTTCCCGCAGACTATATCCTTTACCGCTACTATTTTGCCCTGGCCTTATTTCCTTCTTGGTCATCTAACCGAAGCTCCGGGACGGGAACCCCATCGGATGGGGCCCGCTTCGCTTAAACGGGCATAACCGCTGTATAAAAAATTTTTCTTAGCGTTGATATTTTCCTCGATCTGGTATGTCCTCGTGACAAACCGCAAAATGAATAAAACGGTTTACCATAAACGATAATGATCTTCAATGTTGGATTGTTCCAATTTACCGACTTTGAACCGTTGCAGGGTTTTATCCTCGGTATATCTATCTAGTGCTACAGGTTCCGATTCCCGTCTGAGTTTTGCTTTTCTCTGGCTATTTCAGACGATTGAGTCCTGCGATGGAAGACGCTTGGTTTCGGAGGTATAATCATAATCATTATTATTATTTTTATTGAATCATATTTACTTAGATTCAACAACCCTTATACTACCAAGCCCCGTTCGGGCATTTGCTGTAACCCCGAAAGCCCAGACACATATCTAAAAGGTACCATACCCACATCGGCGGCTCCACGTCGCAAGGCTCTTCTTTTAGATCGATTTTTCTTCCCTTCTTAAGGCAGGAGGTTGTCTCTTTGGGTAGCTATGGGCCTGAGGGCAAAGTGAGAGGGTCTAGATGATCATAGATCTTGAGGGATCTGTGTCCGATCTTCGAGTCGGATTTATGTCGGTACTGATGACTGTAGTGGAATGCCGGCACGACTTGGTTGTGGTATACGGTATGCTGGGATTATACACTACTAGATAATTAATGTTGGGGAAATAGCTTGTTGGGTAGGTGCATCTACTGAATTTAGTTGGCACACTCTCTATGAGTATTTATGGGTTTCGTATATTAATAGCACAACTCCCTTTAGATTATAAGTTGTCTTGTTCATATCTCCATATGCGCTATGTCGAGTCACTCAAGGAATACCTCTTAAGATTATATGCATCAGTGGTTACGGGTAATTAATATATATATGTCTGAGTGTCCAACGTAGGTATATATCAAAGTCACTTTAGAATATACATCGTTGCCTGGATGAGATGAGCGTTTGCTTTTATTATACATCTATCACACAACCCTCCACTATTTATCTTTCAACATATATATTAACACCTCTTCGATATGATCCCATATCGTAAATGGCTTTTACCCTCATACTCCTTCAGCGCCACATTTGGTAGCCGTGTAGCCATATAGCGCCCCATCTGAGGAGGCATGTTGACATCCTGCGTGCCTTACTATAAAGCCTTATCCCAGGATAATTGACCTCTTCCAGGTCAAACTCCCAATTGCTCATAGCTAAGTCGCTTATCCTGGATATAGCTCCGAGCAATCCCGTCTATACATTTCCCTGGTGATCTTAACGAGCCCCTGAATGACTTCCTCGCTTCCTAAAGCCTGTCGATCTCCCTTGGGGAGATATTTGTTCTGTTCCAGAATTAGCTCTTACACGTCTTCTCTGGACTCTTATCCTGTGCCTTGGGAACGATATATCGATCGAAGATCTTCTTCAAAGACCCGTGGCTGCTTCTCGCATACGATGGCCGACTTGTCGCATGAGCCGACCAGTACTTTCTCACGTGTCGCGTCGAATTGCTTCCGGTGAGGTATTATATAAGACAGTATATGGTGCAGTACGCAAGTGCTGTGCTTTTGGAAATAATGGTAACTCCCAACTATATACAGCTAGCTAAGGAATGTACTGGAATAACCCCAAAGCTTAATTGAACCTTAAGCAGCTGAATGAAATGAGCTTTGAAGCCTGTAGAGCTGGAGGTTAGTCTGAACGAGGTGATCTACAGCAAAAGAAACGTTTGTATCATCGACAATCAAGCAGTGTATATCTAGCTCGAATATAGTAGACCTGCTGGGGAATATGGCATCCAGAGGAAGTATATGGTCATGTGACCAGAGGAATATCCGTTGGAGATCCTCCTTCGAGGACGCCCTAGCTATAGACTATGAGGTGATTCAATATAGTAGTTGGTAATAGGCTCATAATTGGATAGTTAGATCAATAAACATATTTTTCATCAGTTCGTTTCATATCCAAATGCCCCCCGCCAGTAGAACTCCTAGATCGCTAAATTCCCGATACCAAGAATATATAGATACATAGATCCTGAAACACGCCATCTAATAATCTATGGCTTGTCTTCAATGCACGTCATCCTGAGAATCGATGCCACCTCATATCCTATGCTGATATGCTTATATATAATGGATCGCGCCCAAATCCTAATATTCAGCAAGTCAGCATGGGAGTCCCGTTCTGTACCACCAAGTATCGGATCCATTGTGCGAGTCGGAAATCCTACCTGCCCCTTTGAACCTCGTCGTCCGATAGTTTTGGCCTGAAAATTTGTATTCAAAGGATGCGCTATGGTGATCTGCTTGTTCACTTTAGGGGTCAAAAGCAATGCTATGGGCTTTGAACACGCTAGACAATAAATGGATTTTCAGGCAATTGCGGCGAGAAGACATCGTCAGGGAGCCCAAGGTTCGCGTGATATTGCCAATATGAAGAGGCATAGTCATAAAAAGATGACGATTGACTTTCTGGCATCTCTTGATCTTCCCCTGGTCTGAATAGATCCAACGAAAGATATGATGCACATACCCAAGCAATTTCAGAATGTGCATTCCCAAACCAGTCTTTCCACTTTCGTAGGAAATACTCCTGCGCAGTGAAATGCACTAGGCGAAGTACCTTACTCTTTTCATCGAATGTGACCAACCCAGAGCAAACTTCAATGATTAAATCTACCTCGGGCATGTTGTCTTCATCGAATTTTTTAGTTTCACGAGTGATGGCAAGAGCATGCTGCAGCCCTTCAATAGTCAAAAGCCTCTTTGTGCGGACGGTCCACATCAGCGCCCGTCTGGCTAGGAGATTATCAGTCTGATTTTGGATTCGGACTGAAGACTCATGATAGACCTGATAGTACGCATTCGAACCCGTCGGAAGTATTGTCAAGGCTCTCCTTACATCTCCCTTCGAGACTTTATCCCTCAGGGAGTCCATGTGCAATGTCGCGAGCAGGAACCTAATTAGGGCATTAGTGTATGTCTTAACCACCTGCTAGTTATTGGTTATTCTCACATTCCGTCCACAGCCTGAACAATCGTTTCTTTGACTTTCGATCTCAATTTCTGATCCTCCGACACAAATGGCCGTGCTTTATTCATCTGTCCGTCAATATAACTGCGTACATCGTCGTCCAGTGCACGGATCTCAATCAAGTCGCTCCTGTTCCTGCGAAACATGCTTGCAATGTCGGCCACATGTCGGGAAGTTGCGATAAAGCTTACGGGAACGCTCTGCTGCAGCCTGAAAAGAGCAATAAGCAGTTGACGGCAAGTTCCATCCGAAGCTTTCATCTCGTCTAATGCATCAACTATGACAAAGGTCTTTTCACGAGATGTCATCAATGTTCCTAGCATTTGGAGGAGTTTCTCAGGAGAAGGATAAATATGGTGCGTCCAAAATTGCTCATAAACTTCTGTCACGCACTCGGGAAGCTCAGGAAGCGGCTGCGAAAGTTGCTTGAGCAAGGAAGAGAGAATAGCTTGGAGATGCTGCTCACTCTGACGAAGGACGCTGCCATATACGTATGCGATACCGATATTATCGGCTTTAGAAAATTGTTGGTGTAGGTGGTGTACAATTATAGCAGTCATTACCGTCTTGCCAGCTCCAGGAATGCCCTGGCATAGTAGGGTTTTACTTTGTCCATTGAGCCTTTTCAGGAACCCATCAGATTCCAAGAACCACTGGCCGGTATTTTCTTGTCGCAGGGCGAAGGAATCGCTTTGCTCGCTGTCATGATCAATTGGGCTTAACCAATTTAAGACCTTTTGCCTGTAAGTGTTGTTAATCGTTTCTCTTAGCTTCTGAACGCCTTTATCGATGACCCAGTGTGCTGATCACTTTTCTTTAATGTTAGTGGCTATTGGCCATATGTGAGCTCAGAGGTATATAACTTACCATCCTTCATATTGCTGGTCGCGGCTTCTGTATTCTTCACGCAGATTGATTCACCAGGCAATAAACGCTCTCAACCAAACATATTCTGGGAATTGGTTTCCTGGCGCTCTAGAGGACTCTTTCTGAGTCAATCTACTCGGACCCAACTTGGGTTGATATAATAACTATAGTGTGAACGACCGCGATCTTCTCCACTTCCCCGGACTGAATTCGTGCTGGGATTGGGAGAAAATCCCGAGAGACACCCAGGACCTGCTAAAGCAATGGCTTGCCACAGATATAATTGCATTCGTGCATTACTCACTCAAGGACGACGCGTCGAATTGGAGGCATATTATTCTCATAAATGTCGGAACTGGAGACTTCTAAGGGTTTTGGTATCTCCGCATGAAGAACATCAGTTGCAAAGAGCCGTGTAATGAATGCTCGATCGAATAAGTGTGCATCACAATGGGCCTCGTGAAGCATCCCCAATGGATGTCTAATAAAATTTGAGAATCTGAGTCTATTTTGGCACAATGACGATGACTGCACTCTATGCTGGAACAGAGATCGGAGCCGACGAGTCGGAACCGCCCTCGACGACATAGCATTCGTATAATAATTGCCCGCCATACCGCATCGCACCGGGAATAAGGACAATTAAAGATTGGAGTCTACTACGAGAACTTCGATTCATCTTGTCCTGTTCATTGCGTCTTCACTTATACTCATTACTGTCGACCTCTAGCTTCTGTGGATAATGCTACAGCTACGGGGACCCCTCACGGCGCGATGCGTGAAGTCCGCCTTGGAGGTCGGAATTGTTAATCTAACTCGTCCATCATGCTTTCCCAGACAGTCTGTCGGCATTGGAGGAATGGTACTGGCAGAGCGGAGGCCCTTCTCGTCAACCGCTCGTTCCAAACAGCGAGAAGTATTCCCCGAATACGGGGAGACAAAACGTATTCGATCGACAAAGCCTGCGTGGCCGCATCCTGTGTAAGACTAATCTTCCAACTTCTTTCTCCTGAAATTTACATTCAAATGGAAAAACAGTTGCTAACTTGAAGGTTCCTGCTAGGTTCACTGAGGAACAACTTCGATCTCCTGTCGTCGGCCCCGCTCATAGACCTCCACGGAATTTCTCGGACAGATGGGCATTGGGCCTCATAAAATTTGCGCGATGGTGTATGGATAGGGCTACGGGGTTCAAGGTATTGCCAAACCCCACGGATCCTAATACTCCAATGACAAACATGGATGAGCGCGGATGGCTGATGCGGTTTATCTTGTGCGTACGCCCCCATCCGGTCTATATCATCTCGGCCAGACCTATTCAGTGAACATAGCTTACGCTTTGCTAGCTTGGAGTCGATTGCTGGCGTCCCCGGTATGGTTGCTGGAATGCTGCGACACTTGCATTCCCTTCGTCATTTGAAGCGAGATAATGGCTGGATCGAGACGCTCCTAGAAGAGAGCTATAACGAACGAATGCACCTACTTACGTTCATGAGAATGGCCCAGCCCGGCTGGTTCATGAAGATAATGATCATCGGTGCTCAAGGTGTCTTCTTCAACTCTTTGGTTATCTCGTACCTCATTTCTCCCAAGACATGCCATCGCTTCGTGGGTTACCTTGAAGAGGAGGCAGTGAAGACATACACGGTGGCACTCCATGATATCGAAGTTGGTGCACTTACGCACTGGAGTAACCCCGAATTCAGGGCGCCAGATATTGCTATTCAGTACTGGAAAATGCCAGAGGGGCACCAAACCATGAAGGATCTCATCCTCTACGTGCGTGCGGACGAGGCCAAGCATCGCGAGGTTAACCACACGTTTGGAAACCTGAAGCAAAGGGCCGATCCTAACCCATTCGTCAGCGAGTATAAGGATGAGAAGCGGCCACACCCAAGCAAAGGTCTTGAGGCTACGAAGCCGACTGGATGGGAGAGAGATGAAGTGATCTGAAGGAAACCCAACAGCGGAGCAAAAATGATATATGATGAAGCTTAGGATACACTGCATGGGACTGGTCTTCCTTGTGGTCTCACTTTTGGTCGTATGTTATGGAATCTGCTAAAACTTACGCTTCTTCTTACACCTCTTTCTCATACTTACAGCTTAACAACTCTATAATCTAATACATGTTCGTTTCAAAAACCTAGCACATAGAAATTGATCGTACGACCCTCTAGACAAGATGAAACCAGTCTTTCCTGTCTTCGAATGTCAATATTGATTTGACTAGCTCCCGCAGAGCGCATGGTAACCGAAATCACCACTAAACTAAATATCAGAACCGCTACCAGTCCATACAAGACGCATATTGCCCTTCGGTAACATATCTTCCGTCATCACCGATGAACAATCCGTCCCCCTATTACCAGAAAGAAAGCCGAACTATCTTTTCGCTAATCCTTACGAATCCCTAGATTCACATGCGTTTCTTGATATCACTACTATCGAGATGAGAAAAAACCAATCAAGTAGCTCAAAGAAATAGAAGGCTCGATTCCAAGAAAAGAAAAAGGCGGAGAAAATTCCTCGAAGTGGAGAAGAATACTTAATGCGGGGAAAGCAAAACTACAGCCATACGGATTCCAAAAGTACCTAGGTAGGACGAGTGTCTTGCCAAGAAACTTAGCCAGCTTTCTATACTATGGAAGATATGTGTTCCTGTAGTAAAAGGAAAAAAGCTCCGCACTTCTCTTTTGTGAAACGTTTGGTTATTGTAGGTACCTTATCCCGGGAATCAAGATGAGTTTGGTAAGTACTGCCGCGAGATTGTCATACAGGGAGCATGGATAGGCGCGGGGTTAATGGTATATAAATATCTTGCAATGTTCGTCTCTCTAGGGATATAATTCAGAAAAGAAAGCAATAATCCCTTCGATCTTCTTATTACTTACTATACTTCGGATTTCCTACCAGGGAGCCAAGCGCATTATGTCTCAGTTAAAGATTGCCGTTGTCGGTCTTGGCCGTATGGTAAGTGAAAGTGAAAACTGCTAAGTATACAATTTTGCTTCTTCCATCCTGACGGATATAATATATATAATTATATAGGGAAAACGCCATGTGCACACCCTTCTGTACAGAGTTCCTCGCGCCCAAATTGTTGCAGTCTGCAGTGTCACTCCCCACGAAGTCGAATGGGCCACTGCCAACGAGGAATACAAGGAATTCAACATTGCCGTCTATAGCGACTATCAAGAGATGTTGAACCATCCTGGCCTTCAAGCAGTCTGGGTTTCAACCAGCACAGACGTGCATGCCAGCCAGGCTCTTGCTGGCATTGAAAAGGGGATCCATGTACTGTGCGAAAAGCCACTCAGTACGGATTTGGAAGAAGTACGTATGACATAAAACCCTTTTCCTGCCCCCTTCAGAAGAGAGAAAAAAAGACAGGTCTGACGCTTGCTTCTCTGCTTGTTTCAAGTCTATAGGCTCAATCAGTCATCGATGCTGCAAAGAAGCACCCCGAGCTGAAGGTTATGGCCGGTTTCTCTCGACGGTTCGATGAGTCGTACCGCGATGCCAGCCGTAAGATTGCGGATAAAGCTATCGGGGAGCCATTCCTCGTGCGGTCTAACACATGTGATCTTCTCGACGACACGGGATTTTTTGTCCGCTACGCCTCTCGTAACGGAGGCATCTTCGTCGACTGTGCCATCCACGACATCGACCTGTCATTGTGGTATCTTGGCAATCCTATTCCCAAGACTTGCTGGGCTGTGGGGACACTGCAGCACCACCCGGAACTGAAACAATTCAACGACGTCGACAACGCCGTCGGTGTCGTCGAGTACTGGGGTGGAAAGATTGCGTATTTCCATTGTTCAAGGACAATGCTGCACGGCCATGATACCGCCACTGAAGTGACAGGCACCCAGGGTAAAATTTCTGTTAATCTGATCCCTCGGCAGAACAATGTCGTCCTAGCGGATAAGTTGGGAATGAGACATGAGGTTCAGCCTGAGTACTGGCAGCGATTCGAGCATGCTTTCGCCCTGGAAGCGAATGAGTTTGTTGAATCTGTTCTGAAAGATAAACCTGTGCCACTACCGCTTGAGACGGGTATGATGGTGATGAAAATTGGTCGAGCTTTGCAGGATGCTTTGCTCTCGGGACAGGTTATCCGATTCAATGAGGCCGGAGAGCGCCTGAATTGATTATAGGTGTATTCCTTCAGCGCTATATGCCCTGAAGAGCATATATAGCTTTCGTTGTCGTCCATTTCAGGTCGTTGTTAACAAGTGTTTTAGAACCACTGTAGACGTGTAGTCAAAGTATATACGTACACTACATACCTGCCGACTTTTTATTTACCTGACGAAGCCTACCAGGTAATAAAACTCGATCTTCATTTTCCCATAACCCCTATGAAAGCATTTGATCGAACATCATCATCTATTGTAAAAAAACAGCCCCAAACAGATCCATACAAAAGTTCTGGTCTGGTCAGAAAATATGCTTCTTCATTTCATCAACCGGGCTCCAGAAAATGCAATATATAAACTATGCAACCAGCCTGTCAGAGTGACCATGCTCTCTCAAATAGAAAATGCAGGGGAAGAAGAGAGTTGTTTCTATATTCGGAAAGCTTGGTCATCAAGTAATAACGATCTTCGCTTGTATTCTATCAAAAGCTATTGCTATAGGCGTCATTTCCGCTTCATGAAGTTAAACAAACATTTCCATCCCACAAGAGGATATGATGGTATAGAGCAAGATGCAGCGAGTCAATGCTCTATTCATCTTTATCAACCAGATTCAACGCCAGAGAATGCAATTGCTAAAACTGAAACCAATTCCATGCGCCTCTCGTTAAAATGCTAATTCATCATCATCCCAGCCTAACTGCGCGTAGATAGACTTATCAGGTGTCACAGGGATATTAGGCGGGTTAACTGCAGGACGCCGCGGGCCACTCTTCACCGGAGTATCCAGTACAGGGGCAGGAGAAGAGGGCGCCACATCTTCCAGGACAAGAGGCCCTCGCGCGCCTTGTCTCGGTGGTGTTTCCTGTATTGCGGAAGGTGTTCCTCCAAATGGCAGCTCTTCGAACAGAGTACGAGCATTCGATTGTCGTGATGGGAGAGGTGTGGTAGGTTCAGCATCCATGACAGAGCGAGGCGGGGGTAAGGTTGGCACCTTGAATAAGTTGCCGGAATACTTTGAACTTGGTTGTGACTCAGACCCCTCTTTGACCATAGCGACCAAAGGGTTTGACAGCTTGGACATTCCTCGAGATGGCGTCTCCTGGATAGCATCGTCATCTTTCTGCCTGACGTTCGGAGTTGGCATGCTCGACTCAGGGGCCTTTGGGGCGTGGCTCGGGCGAACTGTAGAGCCAGGTACAACAGACACGTTGCTACTGAAGGGCGAAGACTGATTATGTTTGACTGAAGACCGGACGAAGCTTTTAGGCTGCGGCAGTCCACTAGTCATGTCTTTCTTCCTCGACCCTCTAGGAGTAGCCATGACTTGCACGCCTTGACCCAATGGGTTTCGAACGGGATTCTTCGACTTCCTTGCGCTACCGCTAGAGACACGTCTCTCAGCGGTCTCAGCAATGTCTTTAGCTACAAGTTCCCGATTAGGTTTCTTCAGAGCGTTGATGGCAGCGTCCAGCTCCTTCTTCTGCTCAATGAGTTTATGCATCTTCTTCAACTTCGCCTCGTGCTGTTTTGCGACAGCATTCAGGTCGACCTCACGGTTGTCGACTCGCTTCGGTTTCTGGATACCGCCCCTCACGCTGCTTCCAACTGACGTCAAAAATGGCTCCATAGACTCACGCTTGGCATCCTGTACAGAAGGCGCTGTGCTGGATCGTAGAAGAGAGGGCGGCTTCTTCTGTGAGGCGACCTGCTCGTCTGTCAATACACGTTGTAACGTGCGTCGTGACTTGTGAGGCTGCGGGCGCTTGATTGCTGCTCCGGGTTGGGGTTTGGAAGAACCCTTCGACTGAGGCGTGGGCCGGACAGGTGACACAGCACTGGGACCGCCGAGCTTCATGACGATTGACTTGCATTGGTCTGGAAGTCGTCCTGCGTAGAATGGTACAATGACTTCGGCGCAGAAGTCTCGCAGTATATCGCTTTCCACCTTCTTCCCTGAAAGATGGCTCTGCTCATCGGTCTTGACCGAGTCTGCAACAACAGCTTCTTCAAAGCTAACAGTATGCCAAATGCAGAGCCTGTCAAGAAGGATTTCTAAGAGGACGTTCAAATCCTGCGGCTTCTTTGACTTGGCCTTCTTAGCTGCGTCGTCAGGCTGGTTTCCAGGGGCGTCTTTTGAACCAGGCTGCTCAGCTGCCTCGAGAGCAATCGTCTCCAGAATCAGCAATATCTGTAGTTGAGTTTCTCGAAGACGAAGATCAGCGATGCGTCGCTTTACTTCACCTTCCCTACTCAGCTCTGCAGATGTTGCAGCTTCGGTCACGTTTCGGTTCTTCCACCACTTTTTGACAAAGTCTTGTTCTTCCGGATATAGACCGTCTTTGCCTAGTTTCTTTTTCTTGCTCTTCCGCTTTTTGGTCCTAGAAGTGGCTTCGTCTTCGGACGATGCCAAGGCAATATCATTGACCATAGCTGGCAAGGTCTCTCTGTATTTCAGGTCTACTTTCTTGACTGGAAGAATAGCATCCCGGTAGAAGCTGATAAGATCACCAGCCTTAGCGGAACCATCCTTGGATGTTTGAAACGCCGTACGACAGCGTGTCAAAGGACCTTTTGCAAAGTACGCAACGGACGTCTTCAGGGACGTTAGCTACAGTCACATTCCAAGGAAGCAAGATTATCCTCACCTTTGATGCATAAAGAGCCTCTAGATATTGACGCCTGAGACCATCCAGCAGTTCATCCGGCGACTGCATTGGATCTTGTGTACTATTATCCACGACGTCGTCAAAACTCGTGGACTGGAACGGCTGTATCCCAATCTCTTGTTCTTCAGGAGGCGTTGGCACATCCTGCGAAGCACCGAAGCTGTTTTCCAAGAGTGCCAGATCTGACGAAGAATGATTCTTACGATCCTGGAAAACATCACAGCTCTGGGATACAGACAGATGTGAATCGTCTGCACCTTCGGCGCCCGCGAGATCCTCTGCTCTTGAGTCGAACACGAGTGATACATCAAGCATGATGCCCTTGGCAGAGGAGCCAAACTCAAAGACAGCATTATCATCGATCTTTGCAACTTCCCACCATTCGCATGTGCTATTATCCCGGGAGAATTCGTCCCTGGCCTCTTGAGTCGAGGCGTCAGGCCTACGCCACCCCTTCGCAGCGACGAACAGGTCTCCTTCCTCCACCCAGCGTGCCAACCTACAAACAGCATATATACCCCGTTTTACCCGTTCTATAACGCACAATCCGGAATCATGACCAAATCGCGCGACTAGAACGACGGGTTCTTTTTGTGCACTTAGATCATCTTCGAGGTCGGGAATGTTGGCCATGAATAGCTGCCCGGCTTGAATATCGGGATTCTCCAAGGACACGTCCAGCCATGATAGAGGTAACCGCGATCGAGGAAGAAGGACGACAGACTCCAAGGTCAGTGATTTGCCAAATGAAGAAGCGTCATGGACCTGGTAGTGATACCTCGAGTTAGCAAGGGAGAGCAGAAACGGTGACCAGACTCGTCCAGGAAAGATGACGAACCCTAATCGTGAATTGAGAGGTAGACCATTCTCCCTGGGTGTCATGATCCAATTTTCTTTTCTTGAACGGCGGAGGGGGACCGTAGAGTTTGTTCAAAGCATTCAAGCTCGTGGATTCGAGAACGCTCAAAGATCCACGTGAAGCCATTAACGCGTCTGAAAACAATTGCGCATTCCGGAAACAAAACGAGAAATTGCTTGAAACAGGGAAAAAAGCGACAGGAAGCTTATCAGAACGATAATGACATATACAATGGAGTGTCTGGTCGATGCGGAGTTCTCTCTGATATCGTGAGGTTTATCAGCCCGCAACGCCAACGCCAATTCTGGCGTCGCGCGTCGTGGTCAATGCGCAGATTTCTATTACTACTCCCCGGCCATAGTTAGTTAGTTACACCTGGAAGCCCAACACTGCTCAAGTCACGGCTACATCAATTTGCTACAACAATGGACAAAAAGAACAAGGCTTGAGCAATGATTATATTTTTATTTCTTATGCCAATTCTGGGATTGGCTACCCTGTCTCTTCGTTGCTGTTGAAGTAGAAAGGTCGACAATACCACTACAGGCCCCTTGAGGGTATATGCCCTGTAGGATACGACCTCGCCGCTTCCTTTCGAAGCGATTCACACACGTAGACCATAGAGGCCTCGCTGCGAAAACTCTGCTCTAAATACAGGTTATAGTCTAGGAAAATCTAAGCCAAAAGGAGACAAAGGTGTTGAAAACTTTCGCTCCTTGTAACGCCATCAATCCCATGCCAGCCAGTGAAAGTGGTATCATGTTGAATTTTTCGTCACACCCATCTCATACGGGCTCAAATGCGGGAAAATAAAAGCAATACAGAGACTTTTTTGGGGTCTATTGTTGTGCTTTGAGTTGTTGAAAACAAAGCAAATTCATCATACTCATCACAGAACCGCCCCAGCAGACGCTTAGAACTGCAGGGTCTTGGGCTTCTCCCAGGGGAAGCTCTGGTCAGTGAAGTGACCGTTCTTGGCGGTCTTGAAGTAGATGGGCTTGGCCAGGTCAAGCTCCTTCACGATGACACCAGGACGGAGGTCAAAGTTCTTGCGGATGATCGCGACCAGCTCGTCGGAGCTCTTGTCGGAGGTACCGTAGGTCTCGACGAAGATGGAGAGGGGCTCAGCAACACCAATGGCGTACGAGAGCTGGACAAGGACACGACGGGCCAGCTTGGCGTTGACCAGGGACTTGGCGATCCATCGGGCAACGTAGGCAGCGGAACGGTCGACCTTGGAGTAGTCCTTTCCGGAGAAGGCACCACCACCGTGGGCACCCCATCCACCGTAGGTGTCAACGATGATCTTACGACCGGTCAGACCGGCGTCACCCTGGGGACCACCGATGATGAACAGACCAGAGGGCTGCAGGTGGTAGACAGTGCGGTCATCGAGCAGGTTGGCGGGGATGACCTTCTCGATGATCTTCTCCTTGAGCTCCTTGCGGACAGTCTCGGTGTCAACGTCAGGAGCGTGCTGAGCGGAGATGACGACGGTGTCAACGCGAAGGGGCTTGACAGCACCGTTGTCGTGGGCGTACTCGATGGTGACCTGGGTCTTGGTGTCAGGGCGCAGCCAGGGGACAGTGCCATCGACACGGGCCTGCTTCATGGCGGAGTTCAGCTTGTGGGACAGCAGAAGGGTCAGGGGCAGCAGCTCCGGAGTCTCATCGGTAGCGTAGCCGAACATGATACCCTGGTCACCGGCACCAAGCTTCTCGAGAGCCTCGTCGTAGTGCAGACCCTGAGCAATGTCGGGCGACTGCTGCTCGATGGCAACGAGAACGTTGCAGGTCTTGTAGTCGAAGCCCTTGGAGGAGTCATCGTAGCCAATGTCCTGAATGGCACCACGGATGATCTTCTGGTAGTCCAGATGGGCCTTGGTGGTGATCTCACCAAAGACCATGACCATACCTAAAATCCATGTTAGGAATCTCTTTATTATATTCCAATAAACATGTAGGTTCATTTTTTTTTCTACGTACCAGTCTTGGTTGCGGTCTCACAGGCAACCTGTAAGCAAGATATGGTTAATATCAAGCGGTCATCTTTACGCTATGAAGATACGGGATCAAAATCGCCGGCAGTACCTTAGAGAGGGGGTCCTCCGCCAGACAGGCATCCAGGACAGCATCCGAGACCTGGTCACTGTGGATGAACATATCAGCATTGGTCAATTCGTCGAATGAAGCCCAATCCAGGGGGTTTCATTGAGTGGCAGGTCTACTCACGCAATCTTATCGGGGTGACCCTCACCGACCGACTCGGAGGTAAAGAGGAAAGTCCCCTTCGGCGTAGCGGTGCTGCCCATTGTGATGGATGAAAAGCTCAACGGAACTGTCCAAAAGGAAGAAACCAAAGGGTCAAGAAAGCCTGGATGAACGAGCCGGGAGGGGAAAAAGAGAGGAAGAAAAAGATCGGGGGGCGCTTGGTCGGCCACAGGTGGGGGTGATCGCGGCGTATTTATGTGGAAAGAGTTTTGCCTATGGATGGCGCCATGTCTGGGCGGTCAGGGCAGGCAGAATGACACCGCCGGCAGATGGGCTGGAAAATCTGCCCGGGCCTCGTGCTGCCAGACGCGCCGGTGATACGAGCGTCTTTCAGGACGGCCTCCGCGCATCGGAACACTTGCAGTTCTAGAGTCTTTTGCTACTACTGCTCGACTACTACTAGATAACTAACTGTTTCTTCTGATTATTATCCTCTCCGATACTCAACCCGATCTCCTGCTCTTCCTCCCCGCCCCCCTGCTGATCTCTACCCCACACCCCACCTCGTTTCTTTTGCTGTCGAAAAGTTGAAGCCATGTCGAAATTTGGAGTCCTGGTGATGGGCCCCGCGGGCGCCGGCAAGACGACATTCTGCAGCGCAGTGATCCAGCACCTGCAAAACACCAGAAGAAGCTGTTTCTACGTCAATTTAGATCCCGCCGCAGAGACCTTCAGCTATGAACCCGACCTGGATATCCGCGAGCTCATTACGTTGGAGGACGTCATGGAAGAGCTCGGGCTAGGTCCCAACGGCGGCCTGATCTATTGTTTCGAATTCCTCTTGCAGAATCTCGACTTCCTCACACAAGCGCTGGATCCTCTGAGTGAGGAATATCTAATTATCTTCGATATGCCGGGCCAGATCGAGCTTTATACGCACGTCCCCTTATTACCGTCGCTGGTAAATTTCCTCTCGCGCGCCGGTCCCTTGAATATCTCACTATGCGCTGCATATCTCCTCGAGAGCACGTTCGTCGTCGACAAGGCCAAGTTCTTCGCGGGAACACTCAGCGCCATGTCCGCAATGATCATGCTCGAGATGCCGCACGTCAATATCTTGACCAAGATGGATCAGATCAAGGACGTCATCACACGACGGGAACTGAAACGATTCGCCAATGTCGATGTGCAACTCCTGCAGGATGAATTTACAGAGGCGGAAGAGGTGGAGAGTGATCCGTCCGGAACAGGTGCACTGTTGAGCGGTGGTTCGTTCAAGCGGTTGAATCGCGCAGTGGGTCAGTTGATCGACGACTTCAGCATGGTTTCTTTCCTTCAACTAGATGTCCAGGATGAAGACAGCGTTGCGGCGGTACTCAGTTATATTGACGATGCGACTCAATTCCACGAGGCGCAGGAGCCGAAAGAACCGGGTAATGAGCAGGAAGTTGACTGGGAAGATGCCGACGTATGAGCTTTTCTTTACGAGAAGTGAAATCTCTATCAAACGGGAAGACGAATACGAGCTCGAAAAACTGCGCCAAGACGGTCGAGGTGCTGCCTTTGCACTGTTATGAGCAAGAGAAAAAGACCACGACTTCTAGCATGTGCAGCTCATGAGCCGAACTCAATTTGAGCGGCTACTCTCTAGCTAAAGCCTGGTCGGCGCAGCTGCTCCTTAGAATGATCGACAGAAGAATGGCAATTAGCTGAGCCATCTATATCTGAGAGATGAAACAGGCCGGGATCTATGATCTCGTCTCATGATATGCCCGATTGGCGACGGGAGATCAGCATGGGAGAGCCACTGATATCACATCTCGATTGTGGAAGACATCTCAAAATCGCAAAATAGCCCACTGGCAGAATGAATAAATCTAATGAATATCCTATAGACCTATAGACCATTCGAGCTTCCGGAAAACAATCAACTCCTGCTCTGAGAACCTCAAAACCAAACTTCCGTAGCTCATCATGTATTCATAAACAGCCAACAACGCTCATAAAAAAATTCATAATCCAACGCGCCCATTCTGGACATTATGCCTTCAATAAAAAGTCTACCAATCATCACCATCCCCTTCCTGTCTTCTTTCCATACCCACTCCTCGAATCCCGTCCATACCGCTGCTTCCCAGCTCCTCCATATCCATACCCATATCCACCTCCATACTTCCCCCCATTCGCAGCATGGCTACTGCCATTCTGCACTAAATCCTCAACAAACCCCTCCGCGATACCCCACAACCATCCCAGATCCTTAACAGTCTTCTCCACACCCACAGTATAAACATAATACGCCACCCCGATCACAGTTCCCCAAAACACCAACCGGAACGCTAGCGTGATCCAAAAGACGATAACACGGCGCGCATAGTCGAGGACTTTGAGGGAGATGAGCAAGATGAGCGCGAGGAGAAACACGGATACGAGGTCGGGGGTGGAAGAAGCGAGGAGAGAAGAGAGGGGTTGGATGATGTATGGTTCGAGATAGCTGGTGCGGATCGAAGAGAGGTGCCCGGATGTGAGTGTTTGGATGTTTTTCATGGATGAGATTCGAAGGTATGGGATGATTTGCTCTGTGGAGATTTCGTTTGGATCGTTAGTGAGTGAGTGCTTTGTGGTTTGATGGTTTGAGGAGGGTAGATGGGACTCACCTTGTAGGTAATCCATGATGGAAATGAAGGTAGGTAGGTGGATAGACGATTTCGTATTGAAGTCGCGAACGACGGCTCAGGAGTCAGAATAAATGGACTCGCGACGAGCTTGCTAAATCGCTAGAGTGCGTTCGCAGTATTTTTTGAGGATTTTACCCCGGATCGTCGCAAAGGTTCCCCGAAACGCGAAGCTGATCTCTTTCCACCAGAGACGGGTCTAATTAAAGGAATAACACGGAAGACTCGACGCGGTTCCTGAAAAAATTGGAATCGTAACAAATTCACCAGTGGCCAGAATAGGACAAAAAGCTGTATCTTATATCGAGTAGCGCGTGTTGTCCCAACAACAGTTCCGAGTCGAAGCTGTGCCGCGGCGCAGGAAAGCGGCGCTCGGACAGCGGCCGTCCAGTACGCAATAGAACTGGGGCTTATGGTAGATGCTAGTCTGCCTTTGATATCCCGTTCGGGGTAAGACCAGACGAGGTATCAAAAAGATGGCTCTTCTTCTAGAGGGAACTCTCCGTCTTACCTGTAGAAGCACGAATGAGGGGGTTGAAGTGGGATGGCAACTTGACTCCGATGCATTTGGATGCCGCATTAGGTAGATGCAAAGCAGACAAACACATTTCAGCATCAGCACAAGGGAAAGGATTCAGCATGGTCATCGCCATCAATAATATTCTCTATTTGATAAAGCATATGGGTAAGAAATTACTTAAGCGGTCGCAATAACTAAATCAGTCTAAAATGAGGTTCGTTTCATTGTTATGTCTATGCGACATTATGCTGCTTGTATCTCGCATCAGAACACAATAACTCCACCGATTCTTTCCAAAACGCGCCAAAATGCAATGCGACAGGTTCAAGCAATAGACATGAACAGTTATAATTCTATATGCAATAGTTGTTTCTGCACCAGCTCTACCAGCCAAACGCCTCTTCAAAGTATTCAACCCCTGAATACCCTTCCTTCAATGCTTGATGAACAGCAAGTCGCGCTTCGTCGGCCATTCCCCCGGGGCCGCAGACGAGGACTGCCGTCTTACCTGCATATAAACCTGTCGGACCTGATTCCCGGACAATGCCTAGAATAATAGATCTAATATCGGGCCGTCCCGACACAATCTTCAAGTTGGAGTCTTCTTGTAAGAGCTTGGTGTTCTCGGTGGGCATCACGATATTCGTCTCATCCCCAGCAGAAGCATCTGTCTTTGGTGGTTCAGGGTCCCTTGTGGCATAGAATCTTGCATCGAAACCCTTGCGCCCAAGTGCTGGTCGAAGCTCACGACATCCGATCTCATGAAGAATGGCGCGTTGTCGGGCTGTCCATACTAGGGTTACGTTACGGGTCCTCGTTGTCTTGTTGCCCGCTGGAAGGTTTGTCTCTGCATTAAGAAGTGTCGCTGACGATGACGAGGATATGGGTGCGCATTCAGTAATAGCTTCTGAAGAGTGTGATGGAGTGCTGAGAATATGCTCTTCAATATAGGGCAGGACACCTGCAACGCCGCTTCCACCAGCTATAAAGATAACATTCTCATAATGACGGGTCGGCGATGTATGACCATAAGGTCCTTCGATAAGGAATGTAGATTCTAATCGACAGCCCGGAGAACGGAGGCACTCGTCTCGAAGACGCTTGGTCCAACCATCGAACGGCCGGATCCAGAAGACGAGCTTGCGACGAGCAGGAAGAAAGCTTTCTCCCGAGCCAAAAGTCAATGAAGACTCCTCAGTTTCACTGCATGAATTTGGATTAGCATGACATATCTCCAACTCTGATTGTTCCTCTAAGTCTCTGAGCGGTACTGGTGATGATGAATTCTCGATTACCGACATTTCATTGTTATCAGTTGTCCAAGCTCCCAGTGTGAAGGGATGGCTCTCGTAGCCTCTCCACTTCAGAGGCTGGTAGATGTAGTAATGTTCCCCAGGCTTGGGTTCAAGCTTGGGGTTTCCAGCAGCGACCTCCAGTCTGACCATATCCGAGGCTTTGTTGTAGGACACTCTTCCTCTCGTGCGCATTATGAAATTGCGAGAAAGCCGAACATGGATGTTGCAGTAGGCCAGACGCACGATGCGAGCAAATCGATCGAGTAACCACACGATGACAACCGGCCATAGGTATATATCATATTCTCCACTGAATATAGCTGTGTGGCTGTAGAAACAAGTCAGATACATTATATTGTGGCATGAAAGGAAGGAAGGAAGGAGAACCTACACAAATAATGCCCCTATGCATACAAAAGAGAAAGATATGTGGATTATCAGAAATAATTCGTAGTAATGTTTTCGAAGATATATCGAGGAGAAAAGAAGCAAGAGGCCCATGCATACGGTGGCCTATTTATTCATTAGCAATCTTTTTTCCAGTCTGGACAGCTGATACCTTCCGCACAATCGATGAGAAGGAGACATACCACAATGCCCATGTACCACCATGGCATAGGAAGATAGATAAAATATGTATGTTCTGTAATCAAGTTAACGCACAATCCACAAGTATCTGCTTATTATAGCACTTATCTAGACTTACTGTTCGCAGTTTGGATCGTGTATCCGATTGAGTGAACAATAGCCTGAATCGTCGCAACACGCGCAATAGTCCGATGAAACAGGTTGAAGGTTGAGAATTTCCAACCCGTCGCCCAAATGAATGGATTGTTGCGCCCGCCAAACAACCACAGTAGGCAGAGGTTCGCATATGACAAGATGCCGGTCCTGTCAGACACGTACCGCCACATCTGTTCCCAGGGATCTTGCCAGCTGTGACGTCTAAGTTAATCGTCCGCTCAAAGGCATCGGAAACTTACTAGAGATTTCCCTCAAATATATCATAACTTAAAATCGTGAAAAGAAAGCTCATCGTATAATATACGACAATTGGCACAGCTTCCATACGAGTGGGAATCGTACAGTAATAAAAGAGACGCTGATGATGGGAACCAAAAGCTGGAGGGATAACAAAGTGTGTTCTCACAGAGTGATAGACTCCCCCTAAAAGACGGTTGCAGCCATCGCGGATAGCATGTAGTGATTTGGAGCTCCTCTCCACGTCCCATTTCGAAGGCTCCACTTGGGAGTAAAACAAGTGGTATAATGCATTGTTTACTATACCGAAGAGGAGCACCGTACCCCAGAACCAATATGTTGCAGCACTGCATGCAAATCAATAAACGAGATCGCTAGTCCGACCGCCAGAGATTATACATACCCATATACGCGGTGCATACGAGCAACAAGAGACCAAGCAGCCTAAAACAGTTAGATCGCAGCACTCCCATCTGAAGATCACAGTACTAACATTTGTCCTAAAAGCGGCTTCAAAGTATGCCCTTGAAATCAGAACCGGACTGTCTAGCTCCACAGCTTTCGAGACCTCTTGGTATTCCACCACTCTCAACCCTCGAATATATTCATCCGTGAGTTCGGGTTCAATCTCAGAATAGGGCGTACGGGCAAGATCCCCTTGGCACGGCTCATTGATATGTGCGATCCCGGCTTGGATTTCAGACGGTGAGCAGTAGACCTTCGCTGCGGCGTAGATGGACCGCGTTCGCAGAGCATTCTTGCATGAGTTGACGAGCCACGGTTGGGAATGAGAACCGTTGAAGGAAAGCCGGCTGTAAGCTTCAAATATCGATTCCACGCATCTTTCTTGGTTTGTGGCTTCATCTGCTGACACCAGAATGCCACATGTCAAGGCGAGGAGGATCAGAAGTCTTGAGAACATCTTCCTACCAGACAGCATAGGAAGTCGAAGGATTAGAGGGATGTTATGCCGTTTCGTGCTCCCAGAGTTGATAGAAGGTCAGTTTTATTGTAAAGGAGGGATATCGGCTTTCTAGAGACCATGGCCTCGTGCCACACATCTGTCCAAACCCGTGAAGCTCTCAGTCGATAAGCAAACACGCGGATCGAAGAGACACTGCGTCGCTGACGGTGAGGAGGATAAGACGGTAGCAATCAAATACCGGGAATCGCATCTCAAGGATTCAGCGAGGTGTTCAAGCCTCCGGTCTGAAGAGAGATGGAAGAGAAGTGGGAGCCAGACAGACGGTCTCTGGTGGCATGTTTCTCCGTCCATAGCGAATGCCAACAGGTCCACTGGCCCACTTGCTCGTTGCTTTTAAGCGGCGATTCGCGTGTTCAGCTGGATGTTCATCGCTGCCCGGACTGATTGGAGGGGCTACCGGGGCCACGCGGACCCTAAGTGCGCTAGCGGCATCAGATAACCCTATCTCTTGATCAGCAGGATCTGATAAAAGTCATAAAACCGCCCTGTCTTGTCATGACATGGGAGACATCGGAATCTGACAAGCCAGTCAACATACGAGTAGCTCTAACCAGTCTTGTAGTTAAAAATCCGATGAGAATTATATTAGTCATTGAGTATTTATAGTCACGGTTTATATAATATGTACAACTTCAATCCGTATCCGCCACTTTGAAAAGTTTCAGCGGCCCTCCAACATCTCCAAAACAAACCATGCATCATCCAACAATATCTGTACAGTCGTGTAAATACACATTATCCAGGTTTACATCGATAAATAGGCACTGCGGGGGCAACAAAAGCGTGCAATCCAAGTGCACGGCCCGAATGGAAGTAAGTAGCCGGAAGTCAAACGGCTTTTCACACCCTCAAAAAGAACTCCAAACACCCAGCGTAAGTGGTATACCCGATGGCGAGAAAAGCGCTAAAGCACGAGGAGACGCTGACCCTCAAGATAAGTCGGGTATCGAGAAACGAATGTAAAATCGGGCAGAGTGTTATGGTGTGATAAGCAACGAGTCATGAGGAATTAGCCCCTCAGAGCCTGGAACTTCTCGCGCTCGGCCATGATTTCCGCCTGAAGTCGACGAGTCTCACGGAGAGCATTTTCCCTACAAGATAGCATGTCAGTCATCATTACATTTAATCCAACTCGAGGCTTGTCAGAGGGCAACTTACCTGTCAAACTGCAATTCCGCGACCTCGATCTGCGCCTTGTTCATGCGGCCCACCACTTCCTCCATTTCCATATCGGCATCACGGAGAGCCTTTTCGAGCTCCTTCACCCGCGCCTCAAGTGCCTCAGTCTTGACGGCTTGGCTCAGGGCCATACCTTCACCGGCTGTGGTCCGATCCAGGCGCGGCGAGCGGCCGTCAAAGAATGGCGAGGAAGGAGGCTTCGGCGAGAGCAGAACTGGGGTACGGATCCCGTTCTTCGCACGAAGGAGCTGAGCGTTGTGGTTATCCTTCAGCAATTTAATGTCTTCCTCATGCTTCGCGACTTCTTCCTCTGATTGCTGCTGAGCTTGAAGCACTGTGTCCTCCAGAGCCTTCAGTTTCTGCTGCATGTCGTTGATGCGAGCAGCAGAGAGCTTCTGCTCTCTTTCACCTCTGCTGATAGCCTCGGCAAGCCGGTTTCGCATTCTGTTGTTCGTTTCCAGTTGCTGTCGGACCTGGCTAGCTAGTGCTTCGGTTCTCTCGACAGAAGCCGCGAGCTGTTCTGCAAGCTTCTGCTCTTCCTCAAGCGAGGCTGGGGCGTTGGCTTCAGCGTACTCTCTGTCAGCCTGGAGTTGCTGGTAAGCGGCTTCCAATGAGGAAGATGTAGCCTGTACATCGGCAAGTTCTTCGCGAGAGCCGGCCAAATATTCCGGAACCGCAATATCATGCTCCTGCAGCAATACTCGGAGAGAATGCGTCTCCTGCTCGGCACGGTCAAGGTCCATCTTCAAGCCGCCCAGGCCCTTCTCACATTGCCACTTTTGTTCCAAAGCCTCGTCTGCTCGTTGTCTCAGGAGGTTGATTTCTTCTCGAAGAGTCCGGACCTCTCTTTCATATCCTAATCTACGCGGGGTTCCACATTCTTGGGCACGCTCCAGCTCTATCTCCAGCATCCTGATGCGCTTTTCGCTCTCCCTGGTCTGGTAAGCTTGGCGCTCCAATAGACTCTTTAGGGCTTGATGGAGAGCATCTCGCTGAGCCTCCACATCCTTCACTCTGTCAGCCAAAGAGTCACGACTCTCCCTGTCCTTTCCAGACACGGAGTTCGACCTGGAAAGGGAACCGGTGGGCTTTGCTGGTCGTCTCGCCAGGGAACTGGACCTTGTCAGGCCAATCAGAGAGCCTCTTCGTGGAATGTCACCATCTTCCTCGGCTATGGAACTGAATCTACTTTGTGCCAATGTCGCATTTTCGGCTCTCAACGCTTCAAGCTCTTGTCGTAGACGAGAGACTTCCTCATCGGGTGCTGCACCTGCTGAATCCCGAAGACGCGCCTGCAGTTGGGGAATGGCCTCATCTTTGAGCTGGTCTCTTTCATTTCGATGTTGTTCCAGTTCGACCCTCATTGCTGTGAGGAGATCCTCAAAGTTATCCTTCAACTGCCGTTCCTCGGCAAGTTTTCGACGAGTATCTTCCAGGGCTAGCTCAAGCTCTTTGGTTCTGGATGCAAGGTTCGATGCGTCGACTCTCTCGCGGCGGAACTGGTGACATATTAGACTAGTCTGTACAGTTAAGCCGGGGTGATATGACCTACCTGCTGTACTTGGCTTTCCAGCAGCTGAACGTGCGATTCGAAGGCCGCTCGACGGGATCTTTCTTCCTGCCATTTTTGTGATAGCTCCACCTTCAGTTGAGCCCGTTCTTGCTCTGCTGCTCGTCTGATCCTCTCAATATCCTCAGGTCTGCCCCCGCTGTCAGGGCCGTATTTTACAGAGCCAGCACCCGAATCAGAAAAGTAGTCACTTGTACGCCGGTTCGAATCCGTGCCAATCTCCGACTGCAACCTGTCGACCAGATCTTCCAGATCCATTTCGCGCCGGATAGACCCTGCCAGTTCTGTGCTGATTTCTCGCAGTTCCGCCTCCAGCTGGTTCACTTTCAGGGTCAGGTCTGGGTCCCCTGACATCGCAGACCCAATGGAACCCATCCTGGTGGGGGTTTGGAGTCCATTGGCCTTGGTCACGTCTATGGCCGTAGGAACAGCCTTGGTTCCATTCGGGTAAGAAGTGACCATTTGTGATGGTACTGGTGATCTGCCAGAGTCATCGGTACCTGCCGATTCGTCTCCCGGAGATGAAGCCGTCTTCCAACCGAAGAAAGATGTGATTTTGTTCCCGGGAGTTTTTGGTTGTTTTGCATCCGAGGAGCTGCCCGACATACTGCGCGCCCCAGAGTCTACACGAAGAGGAGGTGGCTTCTTCGTGAGAGGGTGCAATGCCATAGTAGTATCCGCCCGCTTATGATTCTGAGGTGGTGACTTCAGAACGGGTATGAAAGGTTCGCTCGAAAGACGTGAGTGAATCGGCGTTCCATTCGCTAACTGGTACCCTTCTTCGTCTTCAACCACGAGTGAGGTGTCTATAGGATACGGGATGAACTCTGACTTGCGAGGAAACCTGTGAGGTAGATAGATAGTTGATGTGTTAGCTTTCCAAATTACATTCCTGCCATTCATCCATGGTCAATGGAAACGAGGTCGCGTACCTATCAAGATCCCTGGGTAAATACGGCACCGAATCATCCAGTAGGATTCCCAGGTCGTCGAGAGCAGGGGGCGCTGCTCTGCTGGAAGCGCTCTGCTCCCTTGACAGGCGGTCTGGATATGGAGATGACGGCGTAGAATCAATCGGTTCTTGGAGGACTACTGGTGACGCATTCCCGGGCAATGGCTTCCTGTGTACTGGAGGAGAGGTTGCCGGCGGAGGAGTGGTCTGGGCCCCGAGGGGTTCTGGTATGTGGAAATCGATCGATAAGTCCTCCTGACGGCGGAGAGAGGAGAGGCCATCAGGAGCCGCGCTTGGCGGAGAGATACCACCCTCCATTGTAGCCAGGGTATCTCAGGCAAGTATGGTAACAGCTAATGGTTCTCGATCGTCACCTTCATGATTGCCAGCAGGGGAAAGTCGCACGCGCCATGAACAAGCGATGTCGACGAAAAAAGGAGAAGGAGAAGATTGGCGACACGGGCCAGACACCATCCCGGCCAGGCCATTATGGTTCGTTGGAGTAAGCGTGGTGGGACCGGGGCGGCATAGAAGAGGCATGGAGAACCAACCGGTCCGGCTGGGAGAGGCTTTGATCGACAACGTCTCTACCGCCGAAACAGCAGGATGGCCCGTCGAGAGCACCGATAACAGTCGTCGGTAGGTCCAAGCAACTGGAGGCATCGAGCCCTCTCCGCGCCAGATGCCCTGAAAACACTAGCTGCTAACTCTGCAAGGACACCAACTTTCGGTGTAGTGGTGTATGGTTCTGAGTAAAACATGGCGATCTCGACTCTGGTCCAGGCACCATCTTCACGGCCACGGATTGGCCGGGTTCGAGATATATTGAATGTCTATTTTCAGCGCTGGGGGGGGAATTGCGAGTAAGTTCGAGTAAGTTCACTGTCGGGACCAGTTCGGTGGTCGCAGCGTCAGCTGCACGAGGTAGTCCTGAGTGGTTTGCGTTCAATGGTGCAGAATGGAGCTGGAGGTTATCGCCATGTCCATCCACGAGAGCAGCCAGGCGCAACGCTATCAGTTTAGCTTCAGGGGTAGAGCCAGACAGAGTGCAGAGACAGCAGAGTCCATTTCAGGAGCAGCAAGGTACGCCCGTTTGCCAGTCTATGGTTTGCCCTCCCTAGCGCCGCCTGCCAATTTGACTTGCCGCCCTCCGGTGTCTCTCGTCCAGAAATAACGAGTAGATGCGTAATCGCCCCGTGCTTGTGTTCGTTTAGCGTGGGCAAGGAGGTTCCAGCAGACCCTGGACTGAAGATTATGGCTCTGTGGCCAGTGTGAGGCCATTATTATTCTTCTTCTTGTTTTGGTGTCGACTGAATCCAGGGTCTGAAGGTTGATTGACATGCAGGTTGCACTAAAAACAGCTAGACAGTAGCCAAAGTATAACAGATATCGAAGGACACCCTGAGTACCTCCCAGGACACGAGAGAGATCGATCAATCATAACAAATAATAACAATATCCGTGACGGCATCGAGCTTACTCGACAAAATGTTCCTAATTAGAACAGTAATGAGAACTATGACCCCGTGCCGTCGTCCATCCGTCTAGGACTCTAGTTGCGTTCCCACGGACCACAAGTATCTGTGCACCTTTGATCTCAGATGCCAGCCGTTTCAGATGGTCAAAGCAGAATCAGACTGAGTCCATCCGACTCAACTGCCGTTTGAGATCGTCGCGTTGGAAACATTGCCCCAGGTGCTAATTTCTCCGTGCAGAAAGGATTAGAGATCTCCAAGCAGGGCCCTTCATGTTGCCATGGGATGCCTGTCTTGGATCTGACGAGCCTAAGGCGCTGAAGAAAGCGCCCTCATGGATGATCGACAAAACGGTGAGCGGAGATTAAGAGAACCATACCATACTCTAGCGGATTGACATGCTTAGGCTACGTGGTTCGTGCGCACCATTTACTTAGACCATGTGGAGAACCTGGAGATCTAACGCGGCAAGTTCATGTCTATGTCCTATCCGTCGCGAGCATGCTGAGAGGACTGAGCAGTGCTCAGCAGATGTTAAGGGGTTCAATAAATCAAGAAGCTACAGTGGAAATGAGAAAGTAGTGCTACTTGTGGTGCGAACCAATATCAGCTCAAAGTAACTCCTGCCATGGCTTGACTGTAACTACTTACTTCTAAAGACAAACTGTCCACGCGCCATTCAATGACGCATCTCGCAAGGATTCCTCTTAGACAGCTCTCCCTATGCCATATATGGTAAACCTGGACAGCTTCGTTCTGGCCTTTACTTAACAGGTGTCGTCTAGGTGTCGGACCCTATGGCGGACCAGCTGACCTATCTGAGAAACTTCATACTCGAGTCGATGATTATCACAATTGACTCGACAAGTGTACTTGTGGCCATCTCCTAGTGCCTATTCCTGTATTTAGAGCATTGAACTGTCTCTATAATACATTTTTGTCGTGGTGTTTCTCAATGCGATTACTTCTATAACAGTAGTGTTCAGGCGTCAATATTTGTAGTCTTGGATTCATACGTATTCCAATATACAAAGGGTAGATTTGAATATCATTTCCACCTCTATGTGTGTGTGTTGCTGGCATCTTCATCGCAGGCGGTACATCCGACGGTCCCTTATCAGTCAACACCCACAATCCAGCCTGAGGATCTTAAAAGGCATACGAACAGATACGCAGAAGCTGCTTATAGTAATATGTGGAATAAAAGGGGGGAAATGAATATTCTCCAGCTTCATTTTTAGAATTTTCTACGCGTTTGGTGAGCTTGCACGAAAAGAGGCTTGGGAGGGGATTAGTTAGGTAGATAAGATTCATGATAAAGAAATAACTGTAAAGTTTCCCCGCGCACCCTTCGTATCAGCAACTCATATCCCGAATAACTCATTCAATAATCAAAAAACGAACACATATTATTGCGACGATCTACAGCTGTAATACCACCATGTGGTCCATTTGGGCAGTGGCTATTGTCGTCATCGTGGCTCTCCTACTCAGATGGCTTCGATCCCCGCTCGCAGCACTTCCCGGTCCGCTCATCACCAACTTCACATCGATATGGATCAAGTATCATGAATTCTCCGCCAATCGACGGCTTTATATCCACGAACTACATAAGAAATATGGACCTGTTGTCCGATTGAGTCCTAATGAGGTATCCTTCACCAGTCTTGAGGCTGTTAAAGAGATCTATGCCTCCGGAGGGAGCGGATATGACAGGACAGAACTATACAATCTGTTTGCACAATTCGGTGAAAAGTGAGTGTTTATTTTCCATTTTAAACAGCGACTAGAAGTCAGATAACCAATGAATGATAAGGACCATGTTCTCAACTTTGGGGAAGAAGGATGTTAGTATCTCTCTCTTAAGACCATGAGTATTTCCTTGTTGTAACGAGCAGAACAGCACAGCCAGCGGAAGCGATGTTTTGCAGATCGATATTCCCTCACCAATATCATGCGCAAGGACTCAATAGCGAGTATCCAGAAGAATGCTATTGAATTCGTCAGAAAATGCATGGAGACGAGTGGGACTAGCGTCGACGTCTATGTATGCAGCAATTCTGACGCACATACTATGCAGCTGCTGATAGGCTTATTGATAGGTACTCCTACACTGCTATGCATTGGATTGTGTGACGCATTTCATGTTCAGTCCTGGAGGAACTCACTCATTGACCAGTGTTAAAGACTTCGAGCTCATGGAAGAGCTTACTTATCACAATAGTCTACAGAGTATGTCACAAATCTATCTCCTCTACATGAAAGAATGACTAACACTCCGACGGAAAATCTACTTGCCCACTATCTTCCAGGGTTGGAACCGTATTTCCCTAAATTCCTCTTGCCAAGGCTATCGCCCAAGTCAGATCAGTATGTCCTAGACAAAGTCGAAGAAGGTCTCCGTGCCGACGAGTATACTTTAGTCAGGCGGCTACTTAGCAAAGATAATGGGCTCCATAACATTCAAGTTGCGGCGGAATGTAAAGATCATATGGCTGCAGGTATCGACACCACTGGGGACGGACTATGTTTCCTGATGTGGGAACTCTCCCAGCCGCATAACAGTCACATTCAAGAACGTCTACATCTCGAAGTGAGCGGGGCATTAGCAGATACCACTTTAGAAGATCTGCCATATCTGGATGCAGTCGTCAAGGAAGCTTTGCGACTAGCGCCGCCGATTCCAATGTCTTTCCCTCGATATGTACCCAAGGGCGGAAGCATGATAGATGGTTATCATATCCCCGGAGGGACCATCGTCAGCTGCCAGCCTTATTCTGTTCACAGACTGAACGAGCAAGTCTTTCCACGCCCTGATATCTTCTTTCCAGAACGGTGGCTGGATCCCGATGGAGCCAGCGACAGGAATAGGCTTTTCTTTGCATTTTCCACTGGAGCTCGAGGATGTACCGGGAAGAAGTAGGTTACTTACTCCCCTCGGCTTTATGGCTCGGGTAATCATACTGACAGGTAATAAATAGCCTTGCTCTCGTCGAGATGAAAATCCTCCTCCGAGAAGTATATTCTCGCTTCAAGACTGAAGTCGCACCAGACATGCATGGGAGTATGGATATAGATGACCAGATCATATCCGCGAGGCCCAAAGACCAGACCTGCAAATTGATATTCACTCCTTACGAACGAAAAGTATCTAGTACACTTCTATTCTGATCAAGTAGTATATCGTCCTCTGGCACCTATGTGGGCGGACAAAGAAGCGTGATGGCGATCTGTGGTATCATCCATCTGCGGCAGATCCTTCAGATTTGTATGTAGGGCATGAATAGCAATCTAGCTACTAGTCAAGAGGTTCAAATAATACCATTGCTTCCATACCATTTACGATTCGACAAACCCTAAAATATAGATTCCGACAATAGTCAGCACGTAGCTTTAAATATATATATACATGCATATGCGCCTCTGCTTTGCATACCCTTTGAAACAGATACCCTTGAAACAACGAAATATCCAGAAGCACAAAATCCAGCAGCATGTAATACTAGGCAACATTCCAACGACTAACAATGATCATTATTATTTAGGTATGTATTTTGTACTCCGTCACGAAATGCGGGGCTGGGACGCGCTTACCTAGTCCGATAAGGTTTACATAATGAGATCCCCCGACTAGTTACGACGACAGATAGAAAAATCACCTACTATACCAACGAGTCGAAAACGATTTTAAGAGTCCAGGATTAATCTTCTAAGATATATTTTCGACTTAAATACTACCGTCCCATTGACAGAATCCAATCGCACCGTGACGTATAGGTACATGATCTACAATCCTCATCATCCGTCCATCCGCTCTACTAAAGTATCCAGATAGTCTCGTCATTAGAACACGTATACTGAACGATGAGCAGGAAGACTTGAGAAAGCAAATACATAAATAGTGCATGAATATATTCCGACATCACATCCCCAGACCGAAAAGTCTGTCTGCTCCTATGCTCTAGGATTTATCAACAAAAATATACATAGAAGACATGGATCCAATAGAATTCCCTACAGCCCGTCTCTCGACGCGAGTCTCTCTGCGCTGGGTTCCCGAGCCTGCGTTCGAGAATACTGATACCATTGTACTGTCAGTGGGGAAATGGTATGTCGATCTGCGGATGGATAAACGTACGGGGAAAATCGATTGGGCGATTGCGGGAGAGAGGATAGTGGAGAGTGATGAACCGGGTGAGTTTTTATTGTTTATCTAGTTCTGAGATTCTTTTGAGGTGGGAGGTTGAGAGCTATATGTCATCTCTACATCTGGAAGTGGTCTCTACATCTGGAAGTGGGGAGCGGGACAAGATCTTACATGCTGAATCGCCTCACTTACTTTTATAAGCACATATCTAAGATGCACTATACTGATTCGATGGTTATAGCCAAAGTCCTATTCACACACGAACTCGACTAACACGGCGAATTCTCGTCTTCTGACCTGGGGACGTTCTCCAAGTTACCTAACGGTGACGATCTGGAGACGGGCAGCATGCCTCGTCCAGACGTACCAGGTGCGCCTGTCACTGAGTATGAGGAAGTATGGCGCGAACTGCAGTCCCGCGAAACCCCTGAAGACGGGTCTGATACCGACAAACCTCAAGCTTGGATCCTGGAGTCTGTTGATGAAGAGGACGATGGTGATGAAGTTGAAGAGAAGCGTCTCGTCAAGGATTTCCTTGGACGGATTGCAAATACGTATGTTGCTTTGCGGCAGGAACAGATACATAGGTGGGGAATAGGCCAGGATGGGAAGAGAAAAGTGACGAAGAGCGGAGGTCCGGTGATGGCGAGGAGAGAGGAATGGACTAAAGGTGAAGATGGCGGTTCTGGGAAGTGGAGGGTAATGTATGTGGTTGGAGATGAGGGAGATCAGCTGCCAGCGCTGAGTATGCAGGCGGATGGCAAGTTTCAAGGAGAAGGCGGTGATGATTGGAAAAAGGAAGGTTGTATTGTGGACGTGAACGGGCAGAAATATAAAGTACGGGCTTTTGAGTATGGTCGGAGGGTTTCAGAGACTTCTTGACGTACTACTGAGGTCCTTGCTACGGTATAGGATGGTATTAGCATAAATATATATTGCTGCATATGGAGACATATATGTATATATAAGCGAGAGAAAAGGGCAAAAGCACCCAGAGACGTGACAGAAACCAAGACATTCAACTCTTCCATAGGTCATAAACTCCTTATGTCGGCGCCATTGAATTCACCAGAGGGAATTCTACTCCAACGTACTCCACATGTAAACCGTCACAGTACGCAAAGAATTGGTATCATGTTTGAAAATTTTAGTGACACATTGAATCGTGGTCATAGCCCCTTTCAGTAAGGAATGAAGTCGAAACTCATGCGGTCTGGAGAGGTGTCAGCCGCAAATTGAAAACCAAGCGACGGCATCTGGAGGCAAGAGTGTTTGTTCATGCTTACCTAGGAAGTGGCTCCAATCTTCATCTTCGCTGGTCTGATCATTCGCCCAATACAATTCCAAGAACCTCAGAGACTGGAGGACATTCGGTATCCTGACCGTATCATGCAAAGAGGTGAGTAATTTCTTGAATTCCTCTCTGTCTTTTCCAAGCGCTTCGCAGCCTGCTGTGAACATAGGGGTAGTGAGCATGACCCAGGGACTCAGTCCGGTGGCAGGAGTGATCTGAGACGTGCACTCCAGGATTCTCTTGACCGATTGCTGGACTTCCGGCGCCCATGCAGGCGCCTTTCGTATGCGACGGTGGATGTGGATCAGGGCCGTATGCTGGAAGGCTTCGTTGCAGAGCATAAATTGCTGGATGGTGTCCGCTGACAGACCCTCCACCACACCGGGGTAGAATGTGGGCTTGGAATCCGCGTCTCTATCAATCAAGCGCCGGACAGAAGTTTCTAGAGAGGAGGCCTCTTCTTGGAAGTCTTCCTCATCAAATTTGATCAACTTTCCATCAGCAGCCGTGCTCTGATGCCTTCTCCATGCTACGGCGCCAATTTGACGGAAGATATCTGCAAGGTGCACGGTGAATCCCCAGTAATCGTCGAGGTAATCGGGCCCCTCAGACTTGCTTGGAATGGCCAACGCCTTCGCATCCGCGTCTCCAATTGGAGGACCATTGCCGTTCAACGCTGTCAGGGATACTATGGACCTGTACCAGCGATTCAGGTACCTGCGAAAAGATTCATTGGCCTTCTGCGGGGAATCCGGACTACTGTCTGAAGCGCTCATCAACGCCTTGGCGCCTTCAATATGTGCTCTCCACGTATTCGGATGTATGGCCCCCGAGTGTATCTCGGCTAGACACAAGGTGCGTGCCGTTGCCAAAAGTGCGTCTGAACCCTTTAAGCTGGGGTCCTGAAGCTCAATCCGAAAATGCTCTAAACTGCGTGCCATCAATCTAGCAATATCGGGTGCTGTTTTGACTCTGTCGGATTGATTGCTCAAAGCTTGCAGGTGTATCGCTGATAAAGCCGTAGTCGCGTATAGTAGGGAAGGAGTCTGTAAGGCCATCGGAACGATCATCCTGCAGATATCCCTCTGCATGCCCGGATGACAAGAGGTGACACGGGAAGCATCGCGGATGAAATGCTGAAGCAACGCCCTTTGCTCCGACGGTAGTGATGAGAAAGGGTCAATTTCCCTCGCCAAGGTCACTTTGGAGGATGTGGGAGATGGGGATTTCGTAGTCGTGTACACGAATTCACCGGGAGAGTATTCTGGATGTAAGTTAATGATAACTCGACGTCAGTAATCATTATTCTAGAACTCTTATATTTTCCCCTCCGGTTTAAACTCACCAAGTCTCTGCATTCCGCCATTGCCCACACACGCGCCGAATCTTGATCGTGAAAACGCACGGCCTCCCCACTGCAGTTGCATGGCATACTTGCACTGGATTCCTGCGGCCTTGCACCGTCCACACTCCGGTCGCTGTTCGTCGCATTTCTGCCGCCGGGCTTTACATCTCTTGCACCCCGTGAAAGATCGCGACATGGGAACGCAGTTTGTCCGTCGGGGGAGGGGAAGTTAGGTTCCTCTCCGCTCCGCACTGCCGTCGTTAGGCACTGCTTTCTTCTGGTTGGAGTTAAGAAGTCGAAGGGAACTCCAGCGTCCTCAGGTTCAAGATAGATGACAAGAGAAGAAGCTCAGCTCAACCTGGAGCAAACAGCGGATTGTCCAGCCGCGAGGACTCGGTGTTTCTGAGGCAGAGGCCCATCGGGGAAGGGGGGTTAGTTAAGCATCGAAAAAGATAAGCGTTCAGTGGCACTGCGGATGGTTCGTGCTTGAGCTGCTAAACCTTCGCATCCTCAACCCCCCACCTTGCCTAAGATGATTATCCACTGTTCACCCGGATTTGCAGGAAACTAACGGACGGATTGTGATCAGAGCATTACGCGGTAGTAGTAGTACTATACTACTAACTAACTCTCCACAGAGCACTTTACCCCTTATGACTTCATCTGAAGAAAATCGGATATGATTATTCTGGGCTATCTATCTATCCTCCTACTGAGCTACTCCGACTCGTAAGGCAGTGGACTTGTCGCCCAATGCGAGCACGCCCTCCGTTTCGGGGTTCAGGGTGGCTTTAACTAATTAATTAACTGCTCGTGGCGGAGCCGATGATCCCTTGAGCACGTTCACCTCCCGAACCGTGGCGAACGAAATAATCGCTCCGGAGAGAGTAAGGGTATTGGTCTATCATTGGCGGGGCATGGACATCGTCGAAGCGTATTGACATTCACCTGAAACACTTCTGCATATAATTGAACATAGCTGTATTCGCTGGATATATGGTTACATGCCAGGTTTCGACTTCTAACATAATTACAGCTTCTAGCGACAAAGAAACGACTGCTGACTGATGACCAGCGTATGCACATGCGAAAAAAAAACAACTTAAAATCAGGAACCCTCGCGGATGTTCAGTTATCAAAGGTATATCGCAGCCACTCCCCGACCGCTTTCAGACTCTCCCATCTCACCGATTCGTCTGAATCCGCCATCAGTTCCATGACCCTCGTCTTTAACCCCAGTTTCTCCAGTTGCGCGCGCCTTTCTGGGACCTCCTTCACGAGGTTACCCACATCGTTACATCCGATAGCCAGGACCTGCTTGTCATTGTCCCAGCTCTTAGACAGAATCTCCGCCAGTTTCTTAGGCAGAGCACCCCGATCGGCGTCGAGAATGCGACGTGCGTTCTCTCTCCAGAAGGTGGGGTTGCGGTGAGGCGGCGACCAACGCAGGTGACCGGACTGCACTTCGGCTGCGTACTGGTCAAACGTCGTCTGGGTCTTCGTGTACTCGTCCAACATCTCGGACAGTGACTGTAGGTCCTCAAGCAGGTCCGGGTCCGTCAAATGGCGACCGCCCAGGTTGGAGAGTAGTGCCGGGAGGCGGACAAACACAGCCACAGGCAGCAGTGTCGTCCGGTTCGTAGAAAGCAAGTTGTTCAGCGTAGCCAGGAGTAGACGAGTGGTCTTCTCCTTTGGAGAGAGTCGTAGCAATTGGGTGTACAATGCAATGAATTCATGGTCCCTAGAGAGCGTTAGAATGGCTCGTCGTCGATTGCGTACGGGGTCCTCACGATTCCAGATCGTCGCCCACCAGTTCACCTGCAAAGCTTAATTGCCAAAGAACAAGAAGGACGTGGTAGAGAAGCTGCAGTCCCACGCCTCCTCCAATGCCGGGTTCAAGACTCCGGATGCTTCCCGTCGCCCCCAGAGTTGTGGAACCTGTTTCTTTCGCACCAGCGGCTGCACGGAGTATCTCAATCAAAGGGTCTACCGTCTCCTTCCTCTGACTCCAAAAGATCTCTCTGGACCGCTGTGTCTGGAGCAATGCGGAGAAACCTTGGACGCCGATATCTTGCAGTCCGCTATCCTGGTTCTTAGTGAGCGTGGATAGGTAAGCGTAGAGCTGCGTAAGAGCCTCCTCGTCTCGTCCAGCAGACTTTGTCGAGGATTTTAAACTGGTGGAAACAAGCGCTGTCAAGAAGGTCGAGGTGAGGAGAGGTATCGGGTCTTCCGTGCTCGTGGAGTGACGGAGAAGGGGGAGGAACGGCTTGTATGGATCGGGATGCGCAACGATTGCAGGTGCAAGTGACGGTGCATCTACAGCGGATGTGATTAGCGTCGAATATAGCAGATAGATCGAGACCTCGTCGTTACTGGCACTATACCATTGATCAGATCCGTAGCCAGAACTAGGATGTACTGGACGATATCTGTCCGGCGAGACGCCGTCTCCAAGACACTCTTGCCATCTGGACCTCCGGCCAGCAGAGTCGTATAGCCTTTCAGATCACCCTCCACGGTCTGTTTCCGCTGCTCCTTGCGCACCTTATCCACCGCCTTGATCTTCTTTAGGTGGTCATCGGTGATGTTTCCAGCTCGGACGGCACCTTCCCAGGGGATTGGCCGCGCGCGGATGTTGTTCTCCAGGGAGCTGAGATAGGTCGGTGGCTCCAACGACATCGTGCGCGAAAAGACTAAGGAGAGAAGAGACGTCTGAGAAAGTCGATCGTGTTCGCAACTCGAGCTCCGGACGTCGTCGAGAGTGAGCTGGGACGGAGCTCCGCGTGCCAGGACTCCCCACGCCAAGAGCGGCTGGGCGGCTGCGGTGGTACCTCATAGTTAGTAGTTAGCCTCGTCGTCTTCTTCCCATCGTCAACGAGGCGGGAAGCACTTAAACACGCGCAATCTGACCAGGGTGTCCTCTTGCTTTGTACCACCGTACCCATGGCCTTCTTGGTCCCAGTCGCTCGTTTATGACCGTTTTCTCCATCCAGCAGAATTAATCCGCGACCCGAAAAGGCTTACGAAGCTTCCGTTTCGACGTTGACAACACTGTAACTACGAGCCTCGAACTACGCCCAGGAATTGCCCCCACCCATGCGCATTGCGCGCTCCATATATGTCCTGGGAAGTAACTGGATATCGATTTGCCCATAATCCCAGAGCACCATGTCGCAGAATTCGCAGCAGACGAAACCCAAATGGGGTGTGGGATCTTTTCTGCAGCAGGCAGTAGCAGGTGTCGAGTCGAGATTAGATCAGATTCTCGCCGAGGAAGACGTTCAGAAACATGGGGCTACAAGGAATAAACCGCTAGAGGATATGGCAAGTCAGGCAGGAACTTCCGCGCAAAAATTGGCAGCGAGTTGTATGATGCCTCTATAAATATTTGTCTGAGCCTGTGGCTAACAACTCTTCCAGCCGTCTCGCGCAGCTCGTCCACTGCGCGAAAGAACGACCGTTTACAGGAACGACTGGCTCGTGCCATGGCGAAATCTAACACAGCCGGAAGCTTGGCAAGTCCCCCTTCGAGTGGAGCACCATCTCGAACGTCCAGCCCTCTGCCTGGAAACGACCCGCGTTCTAGCATCGACAGTTCCGCTGGCAATGTTGAAGAGACCGTACGGAGCCCTACGAAAGAACGAAGCCCATCTATTACCTCATCTGCACCTCGAAGTAGTCATGATTCCGACCGGCTGTTACAAGATTCCAAAGAGACGCAGTTGGAGCTGGGCGAGGGACCGATATCGACCGCTGCTTCAGAGGAGAAGGAGACACAGCATGACGAAGTCGATAGTAAACCAGAGACCCCCGAAGTACTCCAAGACCGCGTACAGACCTCGACACCAGATACGACTGGAGCTACTCCTGCGCCATTAAACGAATATGAAGCGACTGTAGCTCAACTGAAAGCAGATCATAAAGCCTCTGAGTCAAAGTGGCAGGAAGAGATGTATGGATACCTTGAGCGGATCGACGCGCTGCAATCGAAGTTGAAATACCTGGCGAAAGAGGCTGCTGAGTCCGCAAAGAAAGCCGCCGCTACTGCCGAGCCTGGAAGCATCCAAAAGCAACTCCTGGAAAAGGATGAACGAATCGCTCTACTACTTGAAGAAGGCCAAAAGTTATCGAAGAGTGAAATGGACCACCGAATAGCAATCAAGAAACTCCGACAACAGCTTTCGGAGAATAGTAAAAGCCAGGTTGAGGCTAAAAAGAAGACCGACAAGTTGGAGCGGGATCTAGCTGCTGCAGAAGCAAGAGCCAAACGAGCGGAAGCAGCGGAGAAAAAGGCGAGCGAATCGTTAAGTGTCCAGACAAAGATTTCCAAAGAGGCGGAAGCCGTCGCCGCGGAAAGGAGCTCCCTGAAAGCGATGATACAGGATTTGAAAGATCAACTCGCCCAGGAAAAAGCAAGAGCCGAAGCTGCAGAAGAGAAGGCCCAGACGGAGGCTTTGGAGGAAGAGAGACGGCGGGTAGCCGGGCTCCAGGATGACCTCTCGAGTGCCAAGATTGAACGTGAGCTAAGCGAAGAAAAGCTAAGGAGAGAGATCAGGGACCTTAAGGATGGCATCGAGCGGGAAAAGGAAAAGGCCAGAGTCCTGGAGGTGGAGTTGAAAGGCGAACAATCTGCTATGGAAAGCCAGATGGAAACGCTCCGCGCCAGAGCAGAAGAGGTTTCATCAAGCGCTGCAGGGGACTCTCAAGCGAAGCTGCTCCGCCAGATTGAAACACTTCAGACCCAATACTCTGTTGCTAGCCAGAATTGGCAGACTCTGGAGGGCTCCTTGCTTTCTCGCCTGGCGAATGTAGAGAAAGAACGCGACGAATGCGCAAAACGGGAGGGAGACCTACGACGAAAAGTCCGCGAACTGGTAAGTCTAAACCTAATATTTAGTGTCTGAGTATCAGAACTGATGCTGACTGGCTATACAGAGTATTAATGCGAAGAAGACTGAGGAAGAGCTCGAGAACTCCAAAGAACATATACAGGATCTGGAGCGTAGTCTTGAAGAAACCAAACAGGAGGTGCAAAAGCTGACAGAGAAGCTCAAGAAGGCCAATGATGATGTAAACGCAGCAAAGAAAGAATTAACAGAGCAGCAGAAGCTTTCCGAGGCGACTCTCTCTCAAAAACTAGAGGAAGAAAGGAGCAAATGGCGCGAACAAGCTACCTCGCCAACTTCATTCCTTCAACAACCTCGTACAGAATCACCAGTGGCGTCCAGCCGCAGATCCACGGTGGGACTCGATCCCATGTCTGACCTCAGACCGCTAAGTCGTCGCTCATCGACATTACCAGTACAATCTCCTGAATTCGGTACTCCTTCGCGACAAGACTCTTATCCTTCCATAAGCTCTCCACCCACTACCAACGGAGCATCAAACCCGATGCTCATGCGAACCCCTTCCATCACTTTTGAGCCGGACGAATTCTATGGAGGCCCCGGTACTCCTGTGACACCATCTGCATTCGGTGCCGGACAGACACACCATTCACGAGGCATCAATGATATTATTTCCGTCTCGACAGTAGGGGCGGGCCCATCTGTTCAACTAGTTGAGCGAATGAGTGCCACTGTTCGTCGTCTTGAAAGCGAGAGAGCGGCGTCGAAAGATGAACTTGCACGTATCACAGCCCAGCGTGACACAGCCAGGCAGGAAGTTGTCGAACTGATGCGCGAGGTTGAGGACAAGAGGAAGTCAGACGCCCGTGTACAGGAGCTGGAAGCGCATATTGCGGATCTCGACCAGCGGTACGAGACGACTCTCGAGTTGCTCGGGGAGAAGAGCGAACAAGTGGAAGAACTACAAGCAGACATCGCTGATCTAAAGAAGATCTATCGGGAACTGGTTGACAGTACGATGAAGTGATGTTGGCCCACCTTTCAAATTTAATTCTTGTATATCTACAGTTTCCAGACCTTTCTTTTCAGGAATTCATGACGCAATGTGTCTATGTGAACTAGATTTTGTGATGGATGTCCTTGATATCATTGTATACATAATTTTACGAACATGTCATGGAAATTATGTATGGACACTGGGGTATCTTCTAGGTCCTATGTCAATATTTTGAGCCCTTCCTACCGCTAGTATTAAACGAGAGTCCTCCCAATCCTTTTTGCGCCATTCTCATGCAAATATGCGGACTCTGCCAAATCTGCCCAAGCTAAGTATTTCTATGGAAGGTCTATACCTTCCCTCTCGGCAGTCTGCAAAATATACTTGCGTACCTAGATACCACCCCGCGTCAGCTAGGACATAACATGAATATCTAGATTCCGCAGCAAACCAGCCTTACCTTCGTGTCAGGGGCCAGGTCAATGGCTAAAGCACCACTTGAGTCTCTCTTATCGGGCTCTGCGCCGGCCTTAAGCAGTAGGATTGCCGCATCACCATGTCCTTCTGCGATTGAATGGTGTAGAGCTGTCAAACCGTCCACATCCGTTGCATTTACCGGGCTCTTACCCTCCTCCAGGAGTATCTTGAGTATGGGAATTGATCCAACAGCGGCAGCTCTGTGTAGTGGTAGCTGCCCGCGCTTGTCCTTTACCCTTGCGCTGCATTTGTGGGCTATGAGCGTCTTCACAGTACTAAGATTTGATTTCGATGTAGCGAGGTGAAGAGCGTTCTGTATGTAGACAAGATGCGTCAGTCTCACTTGTTAAGACAAACGTTTGTCTTGCAGAAAACTGACCTGTCCATTGATACTTTTCATATTCACATCTGCTTCTTTGCGCAGTAGCAACTCAATGATCGGGTCGCCTTCGGCATCTTTCAGACTAGCTGCGATCATAAGAGGTGTCCATCCCGAACCATCCTGCACCAATACCATGAGCATTCGTCTTATAAAAAAATTGAACGAATAGCGAGCAGATATCGTGTATTACGGACCGTCACATCAGGGTCAAAGTTCTTCTGAGCTACAAGGAGCTCTACGATGGGTAAGCGGTTATAGGCCACGGCCCAGTGTATCGGGAGTCGTTCATCGTCGTCTTTTAAGGAAGCAAGCTTAGGATTTGCCTATGGGAAACTAGCGTAAGTAAGAGCGACACCACACAACGCATGCCTTGCGATTTGAGAGCTCTATTGTGATCGATGAGCCTCGAGCATGCGGGGCAACTTTAGGTGGTTCACTTACATTGAGAAGTGACTCAACAACGGTGGCTGCGACTGTCAGAAATAAATTCCTCACGATGTATCAGGTGGAGCATACTCTTTCCTTCACGAGAAGCCTCGTGTATAGCGAATTTAGCGGCGTGATCTGGATCCATTGCGAATAGCTGCTTCGATCTACAGCGGAATCTATGGAGGAGAGTGGCGGGGGAGCTTCGGGCGAGGATGAAGGCGCATCGGTGGTCCGAGCTCCCAACTTCTGAAAGTCGAAAGTTGCGCGACACCGTGAAGACTATCCGCTCAGCACCTTTTCACGTCCTCAACCTCTGCCTTCTGTGAGGCACCTGTCTGTCTCTCGAATCACGAGGATTCTGCACATTCTGTCTTGGATGTGCTAGGATTCTGTTTTGTCCTTTGCACGTTTGCTGTGACTGGAGCTGGGTCTTCTCACTCGAACCTGTTCCGTACCACCGTCGAAATATTCATATTCTCCATCATATACGGAGAACACAGCGCAATTGATACAGACCATGGATGTACTACCGAATCCTCTTCCTCCTGACCAGGCGGTCCGCGCATCGACGAAACGAACCATCGAGCTTTTTGGTTCCGACTACTTGCTAGCCACGCCATCTACGGACGGAAATGGTTCGATTGGGCTATCGTATAGACGAAAGGCAGAATACGAGGATGTGAAAGAGCTCCCACCATCCCTCGCGGAGAAGCAGGCCAAGGCACTGGCCGGTCGGGCGAAGCGTCCCAGAACCCAAGCGCAAGCACAGGCGGCAGCAGGCCCGGGCGGTTCATCAATGGCACTTGTGAAGGGCGCTCCTGGTGCCGCAGCAGGTGCTGCTGGCGAGAACCAGGCCAGAAGTCTGATACAGAGACCATCTGCTACCCGCCAGCAGAAACCCGACTGGCATGCTCCTTGGAAGCTGATGAGGGTGATATCTGGACACCTTGGATGGGTGCGATGTTTAGCGGTTGAACCCAACAACGAATGGTTTGCAAGTGGTGCCGGAGATCGGACAATCAAAATTTGGAATTTGGCGACGGGAAGCTTGCGTCTTACGCTCACTGGTCATATATCTACAGTCAGAGGTCTGGCTGTTTCTCCTCGGCATCCGTATCTGTTCTCATGTGGTGAGGACAAAATGGTGAAGTGCTGGGATCTTGAGACGAATAAGGTCATCCGTCATTATCACGGTCATCTGAGCGGGGTGTACACCTTGGCTCTTCATCCTAGGCTCGACGTTCTGGTAACTGGTGGTCGTGACGGTGTTGCCAGAGTCTGGGATATGCGGACTCGAAGCAACATTCACGTCTTGAGCGGCCACAAGGGTACCGTGGCGGATGTGAAGTGCCAGGAAGCAGATCCCCAGATAATCACTGGATCCCTCGATACAACTGTTCGCCTCTGGGATCTTGCTGCAGGCAAGTCTATGGGCGTCCTAACTCACCACAAGAAGGGCGTGCGGAGTATCGTGACACATCCGAAGGAGTTCACCTTTGCTAGCGCCAGCACAGGAAGCATCAAACAGTGGAAGTGCCCCGAAGGTGCCTTCATGCAGAACTTCGAAGGCCACAACGCAGTCATCAATACTATGGCCGTCAACGAAGACAACGTTCTCTTCTCCGGTGGTGATAACGGCTCTATGTCGTTCTGGGACTGGAAAACAGGATATCGCTTCCAATCTCTCGATACTACTGCTCAACCTGGTTCATTGGATGCTGAGGCTGGTATTATGTCCTCTACCTTTGATCGCACTGGTCTGCGATTAATCGTCGGAGAGGCCGACAAGACCATCAAGATCTGGAAGCCAGATGACGAAGCTACCCCCGAAACCCATCCACTGGACTGGAAGCCCACTCTGGGCCGACAGAAATATTAGTCCGCTTGTCTCTATTGATCGCTATGTTATTCTACGGGCCGTTACGGTATGGCATTGTTTTTTCTTTTAGCTGCGAAAGCCCGGTGTATTAGAAGGCGTTCTGGTGCTCTATATTTGTCGCGAACTGGGAACACGGAAATGCATACATATCCTTACCTTGGTTCGTACAAGGTGAAAAGACATATTTTATACCATACTACTACTCTAGTGTCCTGATCAATATATCTCAATGCGCTGCTGCATTCCTTGAATTTTTTATATTGTTCTATCTGAACCATAATAATACAATTTCGCGCGATTCGAATCGATCCATCTATCTGATAATAAAGTCTTATGGGAGGGTATCATTCCAAGAAAAAACGCCGGTTTGATGCCTCTGCTTATTTTCATCCATAGCCATCTTCATAACCCGGTGGCATGATAAATAGAAAAGGGGAAAAGGGGATTATCACTGATCAAATCCCAAACCCAGACCTTTTGCCTCTGGATCTTCTCTAAATGCAGCTCTCACATCTTCTGGAGCAACGCGTAGTCTGACCTTACCACTCCTGTCACCTCTGCCTAAGAGTCCTGTGCCTAGAGCACCTTTCATACCGATTCTGGTCTCTAACACCACGACACCCGAATCCATTAGTTCCATGGCTGCGAATCCCATCGCTTTCACACGCGCACCGGTGGACCCGCCAAGAAGGAACTGTTTGATGCTTGTTCCAGCAGCGCCAGCGACAGCGACGGCTGCATCGGCGATGCGTCTTGCTTCGTCGAGGACATCCCCGAGCGTGGACTCAGATATGCCAGTGCGTCGTGCGCGTGCAAGAAGCGCAGCGAGGAAGAGCTTGGCGGACAAGGGTAGAGTTCGGAGGGATTGCTGAAGGGGAGTGGAAGTGGCTTCGTTGATGGCTTGTTTGATTGTTGCTATCGTGACACGAGGCATAGCGTTGGGCTGTGGCTTCTTCCGAGGAGACTCGGTTTGTGATTTCTGGAGACGTTTCGACAGAGCCTTGTTCTGCCGTGCGGGCGTCTTTGATGGTGTTGGTGGAAGCGATTCTACATCGTCCATATCTGTAGTGTCTTCCCCTTCGGCCTTCGCAGTTGTAGCCTCACTCGCTTGCTCCGCAATCTCTACGGCTCTGCGGCAGATGTCCAGCGCTCGTCGGGCATCTCCGCTGACTGCGGCGACTTTGCGACTGGCGAACTGAATAGCATCCGGGTCGACAATGTTTCCTGGGACATTGGCCAGTCGTGATCCGATGATCTCCATAAGATCAGTGTGTTTGTAACCGGGAAACGTAATTCTAGTGAGACCAAGACGACTTGAGATCTTGTTGCTCAACGTCCGCTCCGGAAGATCCATGGTGTTCGCAACGGCGAGAACAATCAGACGGGAATGGCGGAGAGCAGGCCAGTTGAAAAAGTTGTACATCACTGATTGGTTCTTTGTGACCAGTTGATCAAGCTCGTCCATGAGAACCACACATGGTACTCTTCGAGGCGAAGGGTGAGAGAACTCTCGTTCAAGGAGGTCGAGGGCGTGAGAGGGAGATACTCGGTCACCTTTCAGAGCCTCCCAGAGCAATGAATAAGACTGGTGCGGGTCCGTGACTTTCATGCCGTTGATCTCGACGAATATGAAATCGTCCATCTCCTCCGCCAGCACAGCAGCATTGAGCTGTGCGACAACTTCACGAACTGTCGCTGTCTTCCCTGTTCCCGGAGTCCCTGAGATATAGATACACGTTCCCGTTCCCTCGGAAATGGCAGCGCTTAGGTGTGCGTAGACTGTCTCGAACTCAGCGTTTCGGCATGGGAGAGAGGCCGGAACACTTGAGACGTGAAGTAGGGTACGTGCTTGAACATATGGAGAGGAAGCGAAGTGAGTCGGTGAGAGCATGCGGGTACCGAGGGGCGTAAACTCAAGGGGTTTCTTTATAACAATCCTAGAGGGAATCGTCAGTTCTTATCTTAGGATAGATGTAACTTGGAAAATTGTAACATGCCGCTTATTGGAAGGCGTAGTAAGGGTCTTTTTCCGCTGCGACTGAGGTGTCACATTGAGAGCTGTCATCTTCTGTCGTTTCCTTGGTGTAGTCGGAGGGACGTCGTTATCCTTCCTGTCAACATACTGGACGACTGTCAGAACAAACCCCTGGGTTTCATTCAACGACCAGTATACTCACATCTTCGTCGGCAGCCTTGCGCTTCTTAGCTGCTTTCAACCCAGCTTTGACCATATCAATGAGTTCGAATACTGCCTCACTATCTTCTTTGTATACGTCTTCCCAGACAAACTCTTGGGTATATCGACCCTGTAGCTGGTTGACACCCCTTCTGCAAATTATGGACCGGTTGTACTCCGCCAGCGCCTCCTTCCCCTTCGGCGGCGCACCGTTCGGATACTTGGCATAAAAGGCATCTTTGGACATAACAGTAGCCTTCCCGTTGATAGAGGTCAAAGGGTTCACGTTGAAATCGGCCGTGAGGTATTGCTCGTTGGGCAATGCATCTGCGCGCTTCTTATTCCTCGTGGAAAGGAATTCGTCCGGGGAGGCAAACCACATGACGTTGACCGACTTGACTGGTTCCCCAGTATCCTCACTTTCATCTTCCAAGAATTCAGATATAATGCCGACCCAGTCCTTTCCAGCCTCAGGCGATTTCAGCAGGATGACTTGACCCAGCTTGCATTCGAAAGAACCCATCCGGGCTGCGATGATCTTGCGCGCCTTTCTTGTAGCTGGCCGTGAGGATCGCCTTCGACGTGGCTGGCTATCTGCATCATGCTGGACTGAATCCGTAGCGTCTTGGTCACCATCTTGTTCTTCTTCAGGTTCATAAACCCACTCCCAAGGGTGGTCTTCGTAGCCCAATTCATCGTCAGAGTCGTCGTGGACCACACCACCCTTGGTCAGCCATTCATGGCCTCGTTCCCGAACATTGCGATTCGGTCTGCCACCTGCTTGTTTGCTGTTGAGGGGGTCCATATTGGCTGTAGCTCCTCTAGCCGTGAGGTTGGCGGTATTGCGGAGGACATCTGGTGGTAACTTGAACACAAACGCATGGGCCAACTCCAAAATTCACAAGACGCGTTTGGATCTCCGCAACGCGTTTGCGCTGCTAATTATCACATTTACGGTTAGCACTATCGGGATGATCTTTGGGTGGGACCAATAATACCTGTTAGTTGTGTGTTGTATTGACTACCTAGGTATATTGACCATTTTACTATTTTGTACTCAGAATTGTTCGCATTCCAGTCTTATAATTCCCTTAAGTGAGAGAAGTTCCAAATTCACTTATATATCTGAGTCCATTGATCTTATTCTTACCATCTACTCAATTGAAACTAGTCCACAGGAGTTTAGGCTTGAGTCCCATTCAATTCTCTTAACAATTCCTATTTTCCTATGGATATTGCTATTCAAATCAATAGATGCCAAAGGTTCATTGGCATAGATACATGGATATCTCCTTTCAGTGTAGTTAAACAGGCAGTGCTGAGTCACTGGGGCGTGAGAAGTGAAAAGTGAAAGACCCTTGTTCCTTCACGTTGCAGGAAGTCTTGCGGTTACCCGCGACAACATATGCTGCACAGCAAATTTGTCTCTCGCAAGTGTCCATTCACTTCCCTCTCCCACCTTTTTACCCCAGTTTTCAGTCCTAGGTGGTGGTCTCTCCCACATCAGCCCATTACCCCGAAAGTTGAGAGCTTCCCTTCCACTCTTGCCTTTCCCACACACAAGGGGACTGGGGGACGTCGTCTAGAAGGCTACGCTCTACCTTTCCCACACCTGTCCCATTTCCTCGACGAGCTGCATCTCTGGAGTTCGAGATTCTAATCAATAGAAGCTCAACACGAGGAATCGCGCAAAGATGGCTGAGTGAGTGATTGTCATTATCTGCTGAGATCTGCTAACGTTGAATCAGCCACGAAACCTTCGGTGCACAAGGTAAGCCAAACATTCCCTTTTATTTTGATACTGATTTTAACACTGTGTACAGAATGGCAGCTGCCAGGCTACGGAAAGGTTCCCTCTGCGCGAGCAAATAACGTCTCCAACGACATAGTGGCAAAGCCAGCCCCAGCTCCAGCTCCTCCTTTGCAACCCTCTCGAGGACCAGGGAATAGCTTCCGCGGTAGAGCACGAACGCAAAATGGCTTTCCAATACGTGGGGGATCTCCTCCTAAGCCTGTAGGTCATAGTCGTGACAGGCGTTTCCCAGGAACTCCTAGCGGTCTAACAGGACGTGGGAATATCCGTTCATTCCCACGCGGCCATGGAAACCGAGCAGCTTTTGTTCCCGGTTCGAACAATTTCCCCAGAGATTCGCCTGCAAAAGCAAATTGGAGAGCAGGGTTGAGACCCGACGGTTAGTGACACTCAAAACAATCTATCGAGCGAGCTTACGAACTGGGGAACAGGTGTTTTTCAGTTACCCGCTCCTTTTGGTACATTCAAACATGAGTAAGGAGACCTTTTCCTGTTTCCTTGACAAGCCCTGACGATATACAAGATTCTTCGGTGTCGCTCGTGGTACAGTGACTGGCGGACGTTCCGCAAACAAGGGTAGATTCGAAGTGTTTGACGATATTTCCCAAAAGACGGGCACCCATGTAAAGCCTCCAGCCTATACAGACAACGTAAGTTAATCTGGACGTATATTTTCCAATACCTAAGCTGACTTGGGCAGGTTATTCTTCTCTGGGGTGATTCCAGCCAAGTCCTAGCTGCTCAGAAGCTATTGCAACAACTCGTCAACAAATGCACTTCCTTACAGAGCAAGAAGCCATTATGGGCCAAGATCAATGCATACTCTCTCAAGAAAGAAATTGACATTTTCCGTGACGAGCAGCAAGACGTCGTCTTACAGCAGTTGAGAAAAGCTCCCGAAGCTACTGTCCGTTTTGCGGAGAAGGTAGGGCAGGCTATTTCAATGTTTCCATCGGGAGCTAACTTCACTTTCCCCTTCTTGCAGTTGCTGTTTCTTTGGCCAACTGAGGAGCTTCCTTTCAAAGAATATCTCGGCCCTGAGCTCCAAGGTCTGGATCCGATCCGTGAAGAGTTCGATTGTCATATCTATGTCCCTGACGGTCTACCTGATTACATTTGCGTTCTCGCCCATAATCATGGCACCATACGAGAAGCCATTCGTCGTATCCGTACCAAGTGGAGCGAGTTGATGGCTTCTGCTAACATAAGATCAAAGGTGTACCTCGTGGAACCACCTGAATTAATCTATGCGCAGCGAGGTATTATCGTCAAGCAGAGTCATACCCTGGCGAGGCCTTTCCTTGACGGTGGTATTATGACGGCTTTCGAAATCACGCAGTGGCTTGATCGCGCTGCTCTAATGCGCTCTAGGAATGATGTTCGCTTACTCAACACGACAGAACGGGCAATGAGAGCTCTCCCATTCTTTCGAGGTCACCTACGGATGCGAGTGAATATAGGGGCATTTATCCTTGACGAGTATCGGCTTTCTAAAGACTTGAAAGCTTCGTACAGTTTTGAAGAATTTCGCGAGATGCTGTTACATGATCAGACCAAAGGGCGTCTACTTCCCGGGTACGGCATATCTTTTTGAATCGGAAGGCTTCATGCTGATCTTATACGTGTTTAGTCTTGAGATTAATCAAGCAGAGCTTCTTGGTAGATGTTTCAAAGCTTCCTACCTCCTAGAGCCTTTCGAGACAACCTCTCGTTCCCTAGAAAAGCCCGAGCCATCGTATTCTGTGAACTTCGAGTTTGTGGGTTCGGACAGTGCTCTCCTACGCCTGGAAGCGGAATTCGAAAGACACCCCGGTGCCGAAGAGTATGAGGTCGCTCAGCGTCGTTGGGTCAAAGTTCAGGGCAATAATCAACACGGAAATGAAAGGCCACCTCTCCAGGCCGCTATGATTGAATTTGGAAGGTACATATTGAACTGTATTCCCGCCGGATTCCAGAGTCCACGAACTAATAACTTCCAGAGCGGACTGGCAGCTAGAGATCAAGGCTCTCCAATTCCACGAGCCTGCCAACATAGGAGCGGCCTTGAAAGACTTTTCTCATGCAATTGGGTTCGAATTCGATGCCACCAGTAGTGGAATTACTGCTCCACCAAAGAGAAGAGTTACCTTTCCACCGACTGCTCCCGTATCCAGGTTTGTTGAGAAGACCGCTTTACGTTACCGTCTCAAAGGTACAAACTACATACTTGAAATTGCACGTTACGATGAGTATAGAAGGACGGGGATTCAATTTTCACAGGGGCAGGTACAAATCTCTAACCCCGGTCCTATTTTGAATGCTCCATTCACGACCTGGGGTGCATCTATCTTTGGGCTTGATTGGGACAATTTGCTTGGTGAGCATGCCAACATGGGCGTGGGCCATTCAGCGAGCTGGAGTCCCAATCTCAAGACCTTCTTTCCACCGAAGGCGAAAACAAACCCTACCGACACATCTTCCGGATTCTGGGAATTCGTGAATTTGGTCAAAGACGTTGCTGAACTGTTGGGCCCAAGGAGGCCTGAGGCCTTGGCGAAAATGGCGACAGAGACTATCGATCAGAGGACTCGTCCAAACAGACAGTCTTCCCCGCTGAAGGCCGAAACTGTCGGCGATGTGTCTTCTGGCCGCTCTTCGCCGGTCTCAGAATCAAAGGAATCAAACAAAGTTCTTGTGGCAGAGCTTGGGACCTTGTTCTAGAGAGGATTCCACCTGAACACTTTACGAACCTATGCGTTCACAATATTTCTTTACTCCTACAAGATCTTTCCAAGTGCCAGACAACAAAACGAGAAACCCAATCTCAGCTGCCGCTGCGGTACTATCTGGTGCTACGGTGCTTTCTAAGGGAGATACTTATCAAGGCTGATGCGATGAAACGGATGTTTGGAAAGGACTTACGTGGTCGCACCAATTCCCTCCCACGGAGTGGATATTATTGCGGTTGACTCATATGCCTACGCGACCAAGAATGGACCATAATATTTTTTCCATTTTCTGTATCATGCGACCATACATGGCGCGTGTTGTTGCTGCCATTGTGACAAAATCAAATCAGAGATCGAAAATATTGAAAGGTCGAAAGTCCGTCTAGTGCATAGAGCTATCGTAGCGTTTCCATGTCGGTTTGCCGACCCAATGACCGAATATGATACCGAACTTAGCGGTTATGCCAGCATTTCTGCGCTCTCTAAATAAGGCCCTCCTTTCTCCACACATATAATACTGACAAGAACTTTGAAGTGGCCATGTTTATCCAGCAGCTACGCCAGCCGCAGGAGTTGTAACGGCCTCTCCACTCATCACTTTCTGCCTCAGAACTAGTAACAATGTCAGGTAACCTCCTGGAAAGCATCGACATGCGTAAAATCGTCCAGAAACACAAATATATGTCCGCGAGAGATTAGTAAAAGCAACGTACCATCTTCGACTATCCTCAAATTCGCGCTCTTGCCCTGCACAATCTTCTCCAGATCCTTCAAGTTCGTTTCCAACTCCTTAGCTTTGTTATTGTAGAATTCGATCGCCTTCGCAGTCGTCTTGTCAAAAATAACCATTAGTATCTTTGTTTTCTTTGCCCTTCCCTTCCCCAAATCACACATTGCTAGCATAGCAAGAGAACACAACACCAGACAAACCTACCTTCTCAACATAAAATCCCGTTCCCACATCCACAAGGACCTTTTCCCGATCCGCCAATTTACCCTTAACGTACAACGAACTCGTCAAGGGCACGAGCAGATCATCCCGACTCTCGCCCCCAGCACCACTCTTCTTCTCCACACCATCGGTAATCGAGCGAACACAATCACGGAACTTGGACTGCGCCGCGCGCAGCTTCGCATGCGAGTTTGTCAGATGCTCGAGCTCGGAGGATAGACGGGTCTGGAGGGCGCGGAGCTGTGGGAGGGAGAGGGTTGTTATGTCGACTACGATAAGAGGAGTGTCGGATTAGTTAACTGTTTCTTTCTCTCTTTCTCTCCTCTTCACTTGTTCTTTTTCTATGCGGCTTTTCTTGAGAAGTAGGGGGATAATGCTTTTCAAGCCAGCTCAAAGAGTAGAAATTTGGTTTGGTTAAGAAAGAGACTTAATGGTTTCGCTCGCATACCTGCGCCTGGAGGGGCACCGCCTGACGCGGGGTTTGACGGTGGTGCCATTTCTTTCTGTGTTGTTGTTTTTTTCGCACTGTATGGAAGAGATGCAAAAAGTATAGACGTCAATTGGAGCTGGCGCTCAGGGAAAAGTCAAGCTCCCTAAGTATTGAAAGGGGAGATTGGAGGTCGCTGAGAGAAGCTCAATTCGACCTTCCCCGGTAACTTGAGCCTTTGGGATGCTTTTCTGGGTGCTGTCGAAAGATGCGCGCCGGGACGTGGAAATAGTGGCTGTAACGCAATCGCTGCGTCAACGCCAAGATATCGCAATAATACACACGCACTGTCATAAAGAAAAAGTAGGGTCTTTCTAATGGAGTATATTGAGAAAGGGATTTGAGTATTTATCTCGGGATCTACTAAAGTACATGAATTAATAGTACACATTTTGGGATCCGCATGTGCAGGTGCTGTTATGAGCATACAACAACAGCCATGATCCGTCCGCTGAGGGCAGGAATTCAGCTCCGAGGACTCCCGCGATCAAAGTCGGTCGAGTAAAGACCTGATGAACTGCGGGAGACGGTCCAGAGTTACTTCTTCTCGTAGGCCGTCCAGGCGACGGCATTGCACTTCCAGTGTTTGCTGCTTTTTCCATCCCTTGCCAACGACCACAATCACAGGATAGCCGATCAGGTCGGCGTCACCGAGTTTCCAGCCAATCTGTTTATCACGGTCATCGAGGATGGCGTCGATCGCAGGACCTCCACTGGACGTGAGCGTGTCATATACATTTTCTGCGTCCGCTTCCAGGCCTTTTGCTGGAACAATAACAACCTCATAAGGTGCCATTGCTCTCGGCCAGTTCAAGCCTTTCGAGTCAGCGAGCATGTCAGCAACAGCTGATATCATGCGAGAGACACCGATACCATGGCAGCCCATCTGCATGGGAACTGTCTGGGTCTTCGACGCTGATTGAAGTGACTTGCTTGGTTCACTAATAAGGGCCGAATCAACAGTTACGACGGCTTGCAACACGTCGCTGTATCGTGTCCCGAGGTGGAAAGTATGGCCCAGTTCGACTGCACTCTGTGGCTTCAGAGTGCCCTTTTCGCACCGTGGACACTTGTCTCCTTCATGAGCCTTAACAAGTTGGAGGCCGTCCTCAGTTCCGGGGAAGCGGCTTAGCAGCGCATATTCAATGTCGGTGTCGACGTCAATTTCGTGGAGCAGATCGCTCAAAGGAGGCCGCTTATAGATCCTAACATGCGAGTCGTAGAGATCAAGAACCTTAAGCGGTTGACTGCTGGATGAGGCAGGGCTTGGGTTACGTTTGAGTTCCGCGGCCCATTGCTCCAGGGGATTCTCGACACTGAGATCAAGATCGACTCCAGCTGCGTCCGTGATGGATTTAACAGCATGGGAGTTGACATGCCTCTCTGCTGGCTCTGCAGCCCCCTCCTGCAGCAAGAACTTCGGGTACCATCCTCTCACAAGAGTTCTCTTGTCTTTAGAGATCGCCATCCATAGGCCTGTCGAGATTGCTTCCGGAGCTTGGTCGCTTATCTCGAGCGTATCATGTGCCTGTTCGCTTTCTGAGCCCTTCGTGGACCCATACGCTCGTCCGTCCGATAGCTCTTCATTGTAAACATGGTCACAACTTGAACAGCTAATGACAGTATCCTCCCCTTTTGAGCTCGGGAAGTGGAATTCATGACTGAGGTTCCCACCCATGTTGCCAGAATCCGCCGCGGCAACAAGATACGGGATCTTCAACTCGTTGAACAGCCGGACGTAAGCCTCTTTCACCGACTTGTATGTCTTCAGTGCTTCCTCGTTGTTGTAGTCAAAAGTGTACAGGTCTTTCATGATGAACTCTCGACCACGTAGCAGTCCTTGTCTTGGCCTTGGTTCATCTCTGTATTTTCTCGCTATATGCATATAAATTAGATTCTGTCAGATGACAATCTAATACAACTCACATATTTGGTAAACTCGAAGCGGCAGGTCTTTATAGGACTTGACTAGACTGGCTACCAGTGTAGTAATCTCTTCCTCATGAGTAGGAGCTAGAAGAAATCGCGATTCTTTGCGATCATTGAAGCGGAAAACCTAACTCAACATCAGAACCTGCTCAAGTATCTAGATGCATCGGCAAGCTCACCTCAGAGCCTTCCTTTAATCTGCCTGATCGCTCCCATAATTCCTGGGAGGAAATTGATGACAATGAAACCTTAGATGCGCCTGTGAGTCGTTAGAGAAGGACCAGGAAACTTATAGTGCAACATACCAACTGAGCGCATATGTTTGTCTATGAGCCGCTCTAATTTTTCCTGCACCCGCAACCCAAGAGGCAGCATGTGAAAGACGCCCGAATACGCCTAGATAACACTTAACCGGAGGCAAGAGATCAATCATAGAACCGCGCATACCTGTCGGAGGAATCCACCTCGTATTAAAAGGTCATTCGCATCCTCTGCTTGATTGTCAGCTAATCCAACCTGCAACAGGGCTTATATCATTGACAATACCTCTTTCTCCTTCAGCAGCCTTTTTGGATATCCCGCCTGTAGGGATCCAAAAACTCGATGTTCGAGTCCGTGCATCAGACTACTTGATGATTAATATCAATTAATATCTTTGGGATCTGTAGATTGCATACATGATATCCGCATCTTTTGATACTAAGGTACCGATTTCGAAGAACAAAAGGCCGATTTACACCCGAGATGAAGCTCGGGGCTGGACGGAGCCGGACAATCATAGACGATTGAATTTGCTGAGATGATAGAAACACGCAGTAGAATTCATTAAACCGAATTGTAAAGATGGACTATAATTATACAAGGACGAATGGACTGGACATATCGCAGCTCTTTAGATCTCCGCGCTTTCTGCCGCAACGTTCGCGCTTTGCGGGTTGCCGTTCTGGCCCGAGCGTCTAGATATCGGCGGTCGCGAAACTATTCTCCGGCGGCCTCGAACCGCCAAAAAGATAATTTTGGTTTTGAAGCGGCAGAAAAATCCACGGATTTTCGTCTCGACAAGACAGTCGCCATGGCGAAAAATAAGGGCAGACGGTCTACAGGTGGAGAGACAAGTCTCTCTAATGGCGCGGCAGCTATTCAAGAATCTGCTCCTGCCGAGGATTCTCTCCCGAATTTGGACGAATCCGCATTGGCGAACTTGACCAAAAGAATCGAGCAAAGGCTGAAAGACGGGAATGGCACACCGAAGAAGGACCACAAAAAGTCCAAGGATGATTCAGTCAATGAGGGAAAGAAGGGTAAAAAGGATCGAAAGGATAAAAAGGACGAACGGAAGAATCCAGCCAAACAAGATTCCAACAAAGGCAAAAAGCGGGATCGCAACGGCGATGTGATATCGAGAGAAGAGAAAGAGGCGGGGAAGAAGAAGAAGGACGAGGCAAATGATGCGCTGCGACAAGAAATTTTGGCTCTCGGTGGAAGCAAGGAAGACTTCGATCTGATTGCCGGGGTGGACTCTGACTCTGAAGTTGAGGGCCAGAACATCGCTTCCGCTAAATCAAAGGATGGAAACAGCGAAGATGCGCTGCGCAAGGAACTATCCAAGATGCTTGAAGGTGCAGGTCATATTGTCCCGAAAGATATCGAACAGGATGAAGAACAGGAGGAAGACGACTCTCAAGGAGAAGATGACGAGGAGGCTAGCGACCAAAGTCAAGAGGTCTCCGACGTTGAGGAAGACATCCCAGAAGATGTCTCCCCACCGGCACCCTCTAAAGCCGAAAAAGAAGCTTTCAAGAAAGAATCTACCGCCAAAAACCCTACGAAGAATGAAACGGAAGTGCTTCCCAAGGCTTATTCTAAGCTGGTACGTGTATCGGGAACAGATCTTTTGGGCTAGGACCCAGCTAACTCTTTGACAGACTGTTCCACCAAAGTCTGACTGGTACTCGACCTCCCTCCCTCCTCTCTCTACATCCGCAAAGAATGTCACTGCTCTCCCCCGGCATCTTGTCGACCGCATTCACCAACATGCCAAGTCGTTGCTGGAGAAAGAGAACAAGATGTATGCGGAAGCACAGCAATCGCTGTCATCATCCTCCCACAAGTTCTACTCGACAATTATGACTTCGGGAACCCTCAGCGACAAGATTTCAGCTTTGACGCTGGCTGTCCAGGAGTCTCCATTGCATAATACGAAGGCGTTGGAAAACTTGATAGGGCTCGGGAAAAAGCGGAGTCGTGCCCAGGCGGTCGAAGTTCTCCGATCTCTAAAGGATATGTTTGCGCAGGGAACACTACTTCCCAGTGATCGTAGATTGAAGGCTTTCGCGAATCAGCCGTCCCTTGTGGCAGCGTTCCAAGGCGGTGCTGGTAGCAGATGGAGCGAGAGAGACCCCCTCCCTGGAGGTCTTCAGCCCATCCACCTCATCGTTTGGGCATACGAAGATTATGTTAAGGAGCAGTACTTCGAAGTCCTGAAGATTCTTGAAGTATGGTGTAATGACGAGATCGAGTTCTCCCGCTCCAGAGCTGTGAGCTACGTCTACGAATTGCTGAAGGAAAAGCCAGAGCAAGAGTCCAACCTCCTGAGGCTTCTTGTTAACAAACTCGGTGATCCTAGCAAAAAGATTGCCTCGAGAGCTTCCTACTTGCTCCTTCAACTTGAGCAAGCCCATCCTCTGATGAAACCGACCATCATCTCTTCTATTGAGTCAGAACTGCTTTTCCGGCCACACCAGAGCCAGCACGCCCGGTATTATGCCGTGATCACACTCAACCAGACAGTCTTGAGTACCAAAGAGGAGAAGGTTGCTCTTCAGTTACTTGATATCTACTTCTCGCTCTTTGTCACGCTCCTGAAGCCGACGAAGGAGCAAAAGATCCAATCCGACCAAAAGCGAGGCAAATTTGGAAAGGGCGGTAAAAAGTCACAGCAGAAGAACACAAAGGTTAAGGGTCAGGATCCGGAGGATGAATTACGGGAGAAGGTTATCTCTGCGGTTTTGACCGGTGTCAATCGGGCTTATCCTTTCTCTCAGTCTGACAGTGACAGGTGTGTATATTGTCGTACAGCTTTTGAAGATCGCCTGCTAACGAGGTTTCTAGGATCACCAAACATATCGATACCTTGTTCCGCATCACACATTCCTCGAACTTCAACACGAGCATCCAAGCTCTCATGCTCATTCAGCAGATCACGTACTCGAACCAAATATCTGGTGACCGTTTCTACCGGACCCTTTACGAGTCTCTCCTTGATCCCAGAGTTGCCACGTCGTCAAAACAGTCTCTGTATCTCAACCTGCTCTTCAAGGCGTTGAAGAACGACTTAAACGTGAAACGCGTGAAGGCATTCGTGAAACGTCTTGTTCAGATTCTTGGGTTACACCAGCCATCGTTCGTCGTGGGCGTGTTCTACTTGATTCGCGAGCTGGAAAAGATATTCCCCGGTCTCCAGTCTCTGGTGGATCAGCCTGAGGAGAACGACGATGATGACGAGGAAGTGTTCCGGGATGTACCCGATGAAGATGATCAGGAGGCCACAGTCCCGACAACCGACGGGGACTCAAAGAAGCAAAATGACGCCTATGATCCTCGTAAAAGAGATCCTGAACACAGCAACGCTGATAAGAGTTGTCTGTGGGAACTTGTAAGTCGTCGTGTTATACCCCGCGAGACTCCAATGAAAAATACTAACGTCTATTTGCACAGCTTCCCTACCTATCGCATTTCCATCCGTCTGTCTCTGTCAATGCATCCCATCTCATTGACCATAGTCCTATGTCGGGCAAAGCGGATATGACACTGCATACACTGACGCACTTCCTTGACCGTTTCGTTTACCGTACTCCGAAGGCCAATGCTGGTACTAAAGGTTCTTCCATCATGCAACCGTTGGCCGGAGGTGACACTAGTGGTCTCCTCGTCACCGTTGGTGGCGTGGCCGGCAAAGGAAAACAAATGGATCCTGTCAACTCAGAAGCATTCTGGCGCAAAAAGGCCGAGGATGTCGCGGCAGAGGATGTTTTCTTCCACGAGTACTTCAACCGTATTGGCAAGGACAAGACTCGCAAAGGAAAGAAGGGAGCCAAGGACCCGGTTGACCGGGATGAGGAGGCCGATGTCGATGCCAGTGACAACGAATCCGAGATTTGGCAGGCAATGCTGGACTCCAAGCCTGATCTTGAAGGCATTGATGACGATGATGCGGATCTCGACGACGCATCCGATCTCGAGGAGTTCGACTACGATGAGGACGAGGACATGGATGAAGAGGGAGACGAAGGGGTCATTTTCAATGACGAGAGTGACGAGGCTGAGGAAGAGGAAGAGGAAGCGAAGCCTACGAAGCCCACGAAGGGCAAGAAGGCGGCAGAGAAACAGCCATCCGACGATGAGGCTGACGACGATGATGTTTTCGACATGGATGTCTCTGACGACGAAGCGTTCCGTGACAGTGACGAAGACCTACCTTCGGACATGGAGATGGGTGGTGTTGAGATTCCGTCTGCGGAACCAGAAGATACCAAAGACAAGTCTGGTCGGAAGAAGAGGCGCAAGCTCAAGCACCTGCCGACCTTCGCATCTGCGGACGACTATGCCGCCTTATTGGGAGACGAGGAGGATGGTATGTAAGCTTTTCTCTTGGGGGATTTTCACTTCGAGCTCACTTCAGTCATGTAAATTCCTTTGTTTGTGGTAGATATCTGAACTGCATACATTCCCCTAGTTTATCCTTTTTACTTCTAAAATATCAACGGTTATCTACGCGAATTCTAGAGAGAAACTAGATAACAGCCGTAGCATTAGTTATGATCTACATACATACATAAGACGACGTAGCATTTTACGTATAATTTCTCCTTCCCCTCGAGCTGGATAAATCAAGCAAAGGAATACTCGATAAGTTCCCCATTGAGAGCAGTAGTTGACGGATTATTGGTAACTTGTTTCATAGTAAAAAAAAAAAAGCTTCCACCGCGCTGGGACCTAAGTAAGTACTTAAACGTATCTCCGTGATCGAGATCCCGCTAGACAACTTTTGCCGCGCTCACGTGACCCCAAGGGCCGCCCTGGAAATTTTTCTGGGACGCTTCTCTTATCGTCCGCTATCAGGATCACAAGAGGGAAAAAAAAAGGAAATTTTTCCCACAACAGCCAAAATGTCGAACGACAAGATCCAGACCGCTCAAGAGCAAGCGAAGAAGCGAAAGAGAAAGCACAAGAGCACGACTCAGGATGTGAAACGCGCTGCTGAATCGCAAAACGTCGAGGCGGAAGAACAGCCTGAGCAGGCCGAGGAGAAAACAAGCAAGAAGCAGAAGATCGATCGCGCGTCTCCCTCCGATGACGAAGAGGCCAATTCTGAGAAGCCTCAGGAGACTGGATCCGTGCAGGAACAGGAGGACAATGGAGAGACCGAAGGGAAAGAAATGGCTGCTCTGCCATCTGCGAACGGAGTGTCGCTGCCCACGGAAGATTCCGTGCCCCAGAACTTTAGCGATTTGCAATTGTCAGAGCCGACCATGAAGGCGATTGAGGATATGGGTTTTACGAAGATGACGGAGATCCAGCAGCGGGCAATTCCGCCATCGTTGGCTGGTCGCGATATTCTGGGAGCTGCGAAGACTGGATCGGGAAAGACACTGGCTTTCTTGATTCCCGCTGTGGAGCTCTTGCGAGCGTTGAAGTTCAAGCCTAGGAATGGTATGTTGTGTTTCGTTCAAAAATTGTTAGGATATGAATTCTGACTTTGGACGTCAGGTACTGGAGCTCTCATCATCACCCCCACTCGAGAACTTGCCCTGCAGATCTTCGGAGTCGCTCGTGAGCTCATGGCCCATCATCACTCTCAGACTTACGGAGTCGTCATTGGAGGTGCAAACAGAAGAGCGGAAGCGGAGAAGCTCGCCAAGGGTGTGAATCTTTTGATCGCCACTCCCGGACGTCTGCTGGACCACCTTCGATCGACTGAAGGCTTCGTTTTCAAGAACTTGAAGTCTCTGGTCATCGATGAAGCTGACCGGTAAGTCCCACTTGAGGTTATAGTTGGCAAATAGGTCTAATGGTCGTAAATAGGATTCTGGAGGTCGGTTTCGAGGATGAACTTCGACAGATCATCTCTATCCTCCCCAAGGACAACAGACAAACGATGCTGTTCTCCGCAACACAGACAACCAAGGTCGAGGACTTGGCGCGGATATCGCTCAAACCCGGGCCGCTGTACATCAATGTCGACCACAGAAAGGAGCACAGCACGGTGGACGGGGTCGAACAAGGCTATATCATCTGTGAAGCCGACAAGCGCTTCCTGCTCCTATTCGCCCTGCTGAAGAAGAACCAAAAGAAGAAGATCATCGTCTTCTTTTCCAGCTGTAACTCCGTCAAGTACTACTCAGAGCTATTAAACTACGTAAGTACACCAGGGATGTATGCCAATTGATCTGACACTGACAATGCGGCCAGATCGATCTTCCCGTCCTAGCACTCCATGGAAAGCAAAAGCAGCAGAAGCGTACAAACACATTCTTTGAGTTCTGTAACGCCGAGAAGGGAACTCTGATCTGCACAGATGTCGCTGCCAGAGGTTTGGATATCCCAGCAGTCGACTATATCGTGCAGCTGGACCCTCCCGACGATGTAAGTCTGGATGAAGAAATCTTCAATCAAGTCAATACTAACGAAAGCCACAATAGCCCAGAGACTACATTCACCGTGTCGGACGTACCGCTCGTGGTACTACTGGCAAGGTCGGCCGCAGTCTGATGTTCCTGCAGCCGTCCGAAGTTGGGTTCCTCACCCATCTGAAGGAAGCTCGTGTCCCCGTCGTGGAGTTCGAGTTCCCCGCCAAACACATTGTCAACATCCAGTCCCAGCTAGAGAAGCTGATCGGACAGAACTACTATCTGAACCAGGTAAGATCATTCCCTCACCCTCGAACATTATTTACAGATTCACCAACTAACAATGTATGATAGTCCGCGAAGGAAGGATACCGATCATACCTTCACGCCTACGCTTCTCACTCGCTCCGATCCGTCTTCGACATCAACAAGCTTGATCTGAAGAAGGTCGCCAAGAGCTTCGGTTTCACGACGCCCCCGCGTGTCGATATCACGCTAGGAGCCAGCATGAGCCGAGACAAGAAGGTGCAGGGACGAAGAGCCTATGGTAGTCAGCCCAAGGGCGCGCGATTCAAGCGGAGACGAGATGACGATTAAAAAAACAAAAGCAAAAGGCTGTTTGTATTCTGTTGTTCTGTACATACATAATACCATCGGATCGGAGTGGAGTGGACTGGCAATTCAAAAGTTTTCTTAACTTCTTTTTTCTAAACTTCGTTCTCTTTCTCTTAAGTCCCGTCGTTATCGAGTTCTCTCAGTGTATTTCCGTAATGATGTACATTGGGAAATGCTAGACCGCTCAATCACCCGTGTCGATATTTTCCGGGGAAAAGATACTATGTATCACATTCGCGCAAACCTAGATAACAGTCGCGACCTGTCGCCTTACCATAATGATTAACCATCCATCTACCTAAGGTACCTACCTAGCTGATGTCCCGCATTAGAGCACTACTAACTCGTTTGCATCTGGAGCATCTCTCAATGGGAATGTAACTATAGCCCACGTGACTGATTCTTGGTTGTGAGAAGCTCAACTTGAACCCTGGGAAGTGCCGAATTAGGAGGTTGTCCGGTAAAGACTTCCGAATAGGCCTTGGATGCACTTGTCCCTGATAAAGCGGCCACCTACGACTGAGGCGTTCTAAGATCGTTTAGCCTGTTCAATTCAACCATTCTCGTCAATAGTTATCGTGCGCTCTTCACATATTGATAGCTTTTTTTTTTTTTTTTTTTTTTTTTTTTTTTTTTTTTTTTGCGCGAAGTACCACCTCACATGGTAGTGAGTCGGACAGAAAGGCATCTGCGTGCCAAAAAGCCGCCCCAGGTTTTCGTTCCCAGCTTCCGCTCCAAGAAGAGATCTTCTTATTTGGGACCATGCCTATTTCAAATCTCGCTTAATGCGTAAGGGCTTGGGATTAAAAATTATACGAGGTTGAAGCGCACGATGTCATGTGCAAGTCGCGCACAGGTCACGAACTTGACTTGCAGCAAGATGCGTGCGCCACAAGATCTATCTGATCAATAGAGTAAAGCGGAGACCAAGATCGGCCATGCAGCTAAATGAGCCTCAATATGATAAAAGACGACGGAATGTCATTGTCGAGGAATGGAGGGGCAGCGATCGAACCAATCATGGATTTGTTCTGGAATCCTATGTTCGATCTCGGCGTGGAGGAAAAAAGCCCCTGACTAGGCGGTTGAGCCATACCATTGTGACGAAAGTGGATATGAAAACGGCATCGTTGAGATGATGAAAACAGCCGATATGCGTTCTCTTCAGGAACCGTATAAAGTCGATGCCTGCGCTATATGGGCGGTTCCATGGATGACAGATGCTCACATTCACTAATCCTCTTTTTGTTTCGTTCTTTTTTCCTGTTCTTTGCGCCAGAGGGGCCTAGTACTAGTAAGTCGTGACACAGGATGAATGCGAAGGGAGTGATTGATGCTCATTACTGGAGTCGCTTCCACCGGACTTCATTTTAGCCTCGATCGCGTCCCTGGCGAGACCAAACGCGAGTCGAGATCTCCCATGGGATGACATCAAGGGGGCGATGTTTGTTCAACGCCTCCCGAACGCGGTGGCGGCGCTTGGCTGGCGCCTGGGGCTGTTGCTCCCGAGGGAGTATTTTAATTACAACCTTGCAAATGGAGTCGGAGACCCCGTTGGGTGGTTGCGTATGCCGTACACAGACCCCAGACTGGTTGGCCTAGTCACGACTAGGCTGAGAAGTCTCTGCAACAGCGGGGCTGAAGCTTTCTTGGGGGGCCATGGAGTTGAGGGATTGAGATGTTGAGATGTTGAGACGTTGCAGTGGTGAGATGGTGAAGAGCACGGAGAGCAGAATGATAATATGATGATATGATAATAATAATCAATCATTAGGCCGTCTGCAGTTTGTCGTGGACGTCAGATAGCAAGTTTCAACTAACAATTAGCTGTTCCTGGAGAAAATGGAGGCGGGGGCGGCGTCTGCGCCTGCCGCTCTCTCCGCGCGGAAATCGGCTGGGCCGGATTGGGAGCCAGTATACTTTGTACTCTATCTGGCATGCATTATTATTATTATTATTATTATTTGGCTGCACCGCTATTAGTTGAGTCGGATTTCCTGGACAGTGGAGACGATGATAATAATGCAGAAGACCAGGATGATTATTATTTCTGGCAGATGGATGGAGACATTATTGCAAATCCAGACCCTGCAGTTGAACAGAGGCAACGCTTGACAGCAGTCTCGAACACTGCCCTAGCGACGAGATCTCTGCAGACCACGCACAAACCACGTTTTCTGTCTGCTCCACAAAGACATCCCAGATCGTACTTGGTGTTGCTCGACGTATCGGCTGTCGTACTGACCCGGGATAGCGAATATTGGGCCCGCAAGCACGTCATTACCGGCCTCAATCTTCGCTCTTTTCGGCGAGTGGATAGCGCCGTGTCGGTGGAACAAAAATAGTCGCCGCTGCATAAAGATATCCAGATCTGCTTTTCTCGCTCGTGGATTTTTTTTTAACACGGTTCCTCCATTATTATTGTCCATTCCGCAGTCGTGGTTTGGACCTGAGCTTATCTCGACTGATACTTACTTATCTCCGCCTCAGGATCAGTTGCCGCCATTGGGATCAGCGCTGCGCCAATTAGTGCGAGGCTCCGGGCCGCCTGACAATTGCTCTGCTTGATAAAGACGCCTGTCGTGTCTCAACTCGCCCAGAGCTGGTCGTTTTCTTTATCGGGGACTCCCTTTCCTGATATGTTGAATATCTCCTCGCGTCGTCGGTCTAGATAAACGCCGTATAATACGAAGGTGGCACATGTGTCCGAGGGTCTTCACAATTGAATTTCTCTCTCTGCCGGTCGCTCTCCTACAAAAGGAGACGGTTCGTTCAGTGAAATGGCGATGAATCACGACTCCTGGGACTATGTCGCCCGCAGGAACAGTCACGGATCTCAGTCGCCTTCCGAGAAGAGTGGACATGAGGTTCCCAAACTGAAAGACGGTTACGATCTCGAGGACCAAAGTTCAGAACGGAGGAACAGTCGCATTGCGCCCATCCACTCGAATACCTCCGTCGATAGGCTCAGTGTGAGTCGACAGGTCGAGCTGGAAGCGGAGAATGCGATCAAGTACCGAACATGCAGTTGGCAAAAGGTGGGCAGTGCTGTTTGATGGACATCTGCGCAATGGACAATGTTAACAAATCTGCGCAGACCGCCGCATTGCTCTTTTCGGAGTATATCTGCCTGGCCATCATGTCATTTCCGTGGTCGTATTCGATCCTGGGGCTCGTCCCGGGCTTGATCTTGACTGTCGTGGTGGCCGCTCTAGTGCTCTATACCTCACTTATCGTCTGGTATGTGGAACCTTATCGGGAAGCATGTCCCCGGATCTGCAATGCTGACACTCGCTTAGGCAATTCTGCCTACGCCATCCAGAAGTCCGTGATGTTTGTGATATTGGCCAGTATTTGTTCTGGGACTCCAGGATCGCATGGTGGGTGACGGCCATCATGTTCCTGTTGAACAACACCTTCATTCAGGTATGAAGGCTCATGTCTATATGTTTTCACAATGCCCTAACGCTTTTCAGGGTCTCCACTGCTTGGTGGGTGCGAAGTATCTCAACACGATGACGGGCGGTGGAACTTGCACCATCGTTTGGACTGTCGTGGCCGCAGTGATCTCTTGGGTTTTTTCATTGCCTCGAACGTTCGATACACTGTCGAAAGCTGCCACTCTCTCCGCCTTCTTCACCTTCATCTCGGTACTCCTCGCCACTATCTTCGCAGCGATCGAGCCCCATCCCGCGGGATTTGATCCGAATCCCAATGCCGCTGTTGGTGGAAACCCCATTGTAACGGCTATCCCTATCGCCGGAACGACCTTCGTGTCAGGCATGAGCGCATTCCTGAATATCAGCTATACATTCATCGGTCAGATCACACTGCCCAGTTTCATCGCGGAGATGAAGGAGCCCAAGGACTTCTGGAAAGCGGTCACTGCCGTCACAGTCGCCGAAGTGATTGTGTTCAGCATAGTAGGAGCGGTTGTCTACGCCTATACTGGAAACCAGTATATGACCTCTCCGGCGTTCGGCTCGCTGGGTGAACAAGTCTACAAAAAGGTGTCTTTTTCGTTCATGATTCCGACGTTGATCTTTTTGGGAGTACTGTACGCCTCAGTCTCTGCTCGCTTCATCTTCTTCCGAATTTTCGAAGGAACACGCCACAAGAGCAACCATACAGTTGTGGGCTGGGCTTCCTGGGCTGGCATCCTAGCGGTTCTCTGGATCGCGGCGTGGATCATCGCTGAGGTTATCCCCTTCTTCTCCGATCTTCTGTCCATCATGAGTTCACTTTTCGACTCCTTCTTTGGGTTTATCTTCTGGGGTGTCGCATACCTGCGGATGCGACGTGCGGACTATGGCCCTGGTTTCTATAGGAAACGGGGTATCCGTGGTTCGATTGGGTTCATTGTTAATATCCTCATCATCCTGGCCGGTCTTTTCTTCCTCGGCCCTGGCACCTACGTAAGTTCACACATACACCACGTTTTACCGAGCATGATGACTGACTGTTTTCTTCCAAAGGCCTCCGTTGACAGTGTTGTCCTGAGCTACGAAGCTGGCACCGTCGGCAGCGCTTTCTCCTGCGCTAACAATGGTCTGTAGGCTATACATTCCATCCTGTTGCCAATAGTAGCAGTTGCATCGCATTTTGCACAATAGGGGTCTTTTTTTTTATGTCGGTATATTTTTCTTTATAAAAGTTTTGGGAAATGGAGATTCCCCTCTTGGAAGCGTTGAAACATATATACCCTCACAAGACGGCTATCTGCACCGGGCTTCTTGTGCCTTGTGGCCATTGATTCTCCGTGGGGCACTTGCCACTCAATCAAGCATGATAATGTTCTGGCTCTTCCATAGAAGTATATACCGTCGTGCAGCTTCACTTAGCCGCAGTACTAGCCTATACCCACTGCGCTTGTACTCTTAGCTGGCGGCGCCCCCATCTTGCTAGCAAAGAGTATTCCGGAGTGGATCAGCGGAGAACCGTATCACCACGTGACTTTTCCGTTATCGCCGGCAAGTTGCCCGCCTCCGCATCTTATTATTCTCGCGGACAAGCAGTCCACGTTCCTTAAACCGTCTAATTTTTTGTCAAAAATCATGGTTAAAGCGATGAGGCCGTTTACTAGAGCATCAAGGCTCATCAACACCCGGGCGTTATGTCCCAAGTCCTTCTCCACGGCTGCCAATGGCTCTATCTCGACCACCCAGCTTCGGAGACAGCTCCCCTCGCACGCCGTCCGTTGCCCGACAGCTCGTCTGCTCCCCGGCATCAGAGCTGGAGCGCTCGTCCAGCAGAATGCGGCGAGATATGCATCCTCTACGGTCGTTGATCCGGCGACACTGGGTAAGACGCAGCTCTATGATCTGCACATCTCCCGCGGGGCAAAGATGGTGCCATTCGCCGATTTTGCCATGCCTTTGCAGTATTCCGACCTGAGCCACGTTGAAAGTCACAAGTGGACAAGAGAGAAGGCTAGTTTATTTGATGTTAGTCACATGTGAGTCTATCAATTGCTTCCTCAGATGGGCCGTAGTTATATATCGTCTTTGTTCTCCATGTACATAGCTGACGTGACGCCTCGACAGGGTGCAGCATTCCCTCCGAGGACCTGGTGCAATTGACCTCCTCATGAAGGTCACCCCATCGTCCCTGGATAAGCTGCCTAATAACCAGTCGACGCTTTCATGCTTGCTGGAGGAGGGAACTGGTGGTATCATCGATGATACCGTTATCACTCGCCTGGACAAGGACTCGTTCTATTTCGTCACCAACGCTGGCCGGCGAAAGGATGACCTAGCCTTCTTGCAGGCCGAAATTGATGCGTACAAGAAGGAGCACGGTGAGAGCAGCATCACATGGGATGTGCTCGAGGATCGGGCGCTTGTTGCTCTGCAGGGTCCCTTGGCTGCTTCTGTCCTGCAGCCATTGATCCACAAGGACCAGCAGGCGGACACCGATCTCAGCACCCTTTACTTCGGACAGTGCCGCTCCTTGTACCTGACTCTTCCCGACGGATCTGCGACCCCTCACCCTCTCCTTATCTCCCGTACTGGATACACAGGAGAGGATGGGTTTGAGATCTCCATTCCTACTGCCGATGCTCCATCTCTGCCCAACGACATCGTTGAGCTTCTCCTGTCAAACCCTGACGAGGTCCGTCTCGCTGGTCTTGCGGCACGAGACTCCCTCCGTCTTGAGGCGGGTATGTGTCTCTACGGTCAAGACATCACTACTTCGCACACCCCGCCTATGGCCGCTCTCACCTGGCTCGTCGGAAAGGATCGTCGAGACCCTTCCACAGCCAAGTTCAATGGTGCTTCCGTAATCCTGCCCCAGATCGCGTCTCCGTCAAAGACGCTCAGCCAGCGTCGTGTTGGATTCACGATCGAGAAAGGACCACCAGCCCGTGAGGGTGCCATCATCGTCGAACTGTCAGAGGACGGTCACAAAAACCAGGTCGGCGTCATCACCTCCGGTCTTCCGAGTCCCACCTTGGGTGGCACCAACATTGCCATGGGATACATCAAGCAGGGCCTGCACAAGAAGGGAACGGAGGTTGGTGTTCTTGTAAGGAACAAGCTACGCAAGGCAACCGTTACTGGTATGCCATTTGTCGAGAGCAAATTCTACCGCAAGCAATGATTTATCTCCAGGCAATGACCTGCATCACCTATCCATCTTTTTTATTATATCCATTTGCTATTTCTTACATCTCATGTTCTATGTCTCCGACGTTTTCGTTTCACGGTTTTTTTTTATTACCTTATGGGAGATGAACATATGCTGGGAATCGTTGTGCATTACCACCACATATTCAACATATTAGACGATATTATAGGAGAAACGAACCAAAAAATGGCGAGTACAGTGAATGACAATCACCAAAGTTAACCAGCTAGCGTGTCACTAGCTGGATCCATGGTAAAGCAGTCACTGTCCCTTGCGTAGTATTCGGTGTAACATCCAATAACCTAGAACATACTGTGCCCTGTCTTATATTGAATCCATACTCCCATATCCATGCTACGGGTGAGACCTCGTGACCTTACGTCCAATACAACAACCTCGCCTAACTTCACCATAATTCGAGGGAAGAGTGCTTCAGATGACATGTAATTGTGTTACCTTATACGTAGAGATGGACCGAGATTCTCATAGATATGAATCCTACAGCTAGCTAGAATTAATTCTCCTCTAGCATAACGAAACATGACATCCATCCCTCCCAAGACCAAGCCCAAAGAAAAAAACAAAAAAAAAAATACAATACCTAACTTAAAACCAGCCATTATCTCTCTCTCTCACACAATGTCCTCATCCTCCCCCCGAGTCCTAATCATCGGTGCTGGAATATCCGGCCTCGCACTCGCCCAAGGCCTCCGCCGCCGGGGTATATCATTCACGATCTTCGAACGCGACATCCTCTCCGAACCCAAACGGCAAAACTACCGACACAAGATCGCGGGGCCGATCCAAACCAAATTGCGCGATCTCCTAACAGACGAAGCGTGGGAGGAATTCGTCAAAAACGTCGCGGAGACGGCGTTGGGTGAGACGACGGTTAATGCGATTGATGGGAGTGTGATTGCGTGTCGAAAGGGGAGGATTCAGAAGGGGACGACAGTTCCATGGACGGTGGAAAGGAATCTGTTGAGGAGGGCGATGATGAAGGGGATTGAAGAGGATATTCAGTTTGGGATGCGGTTTGTGAGGTTTGAAGTTCGTGATGATGATTATAGTCACGATCATGATAATAAGGACGAGGATGATGAGAAGGAAAAGAAGGAGGAAAGAAAAGGTGCAGTAGTAGCAGCATACTTCCAAGATGGGACGATCGAATACGGCACTCTCCTCGTCGGTGCAGATGGTATACGTTCAAAAGTCCGCAAACAACTCCTCCCTGACCTCAAGCCCGTCGATACAGAAACATGCTGTATCTACGGTAAAACATGGCTGAGTCACGAGCTACTATCACGATTCCCGCCTCAATATCGGAAATGGCTAACCGTCATTCGAGACCGGACTCCATTTTTCCATTCGACTATCTCCGGCGAGGCGCCTATCGCGCTGATATGCGAGCCGATTCGCTTCTTCAGTCTTGATAGAGGAATTGTCCGCCCAGGTTCGATCCATTGGTGTCTGGTATTTCCGCAGGATACGTCTGGGTTAGGATCAATGGAGTTGAATGAAGCGCTGGCTTCTTTACCTGCCGAATTGGCGATGGAGATGACGAGCGACTGGCATGTCTCGATTCGATCGCTGATTGAGCTTCAGGATCCTTCACTCACGATTGGGATGAGGATTTATTCTGCGGATCCGAATATGGAGGCATGGACGCCCTCGGAGAGGGTGACTGTTATGGGAGATGCGGTTCATGTCATGTCGCCGTGTGGGGGTGTGGGAGCTGCTGCGGCGTTGAATGATGCGTATGCTTTGGTGAAGATCATATGTGAGGAAGGGGTGTCTGGAACATCGATTGGGAAGTATGAAGAGAGGATGAGGGAGTTTGCAAAGGTGTGTATTCAGAGGAGTTATGAAGTAGGGGGGAAGATGGTGGCAGTGCCGGCTTTTGAGGAGTGTGCGAAGGTAGATCTATAATATGCTTTGTGCGTTGTGGTTGGGTGAGATCAAGTAGGGCTGCTTTTGTTGTATACTTATAGGAGGATTGTCTTAAGCTGAAGATATGGGTTGTACTCAATATCAGATTGCCATTATTAGTGATGTTTCTTCATTCATTGTCAAGATTGACTCTTCAACGCCCGAAATCATGTCCCTCAGGGTATCATAATCCAACAACATACGTAGACATGGAAAAGTGAAAAAAGAAAAAAAGAAAAAGAAATTTAAATATAAATAAATAACAAAACACCTTGCCATCCAAGTGTGACATGCTGGCCAGCCAGCATCACTAATACTTCGTTAATGTCTGAACTATATCTTTACGCTTGGATCGAACCACCCGGTATATGCGTCGCTTGCCAATCTTGATCAACTCACGCGGCTTCATCGCTTTAGGACGAACCGAGACCGTCGGAACAATAGCCACGCGAGGCTTCATCTCAGGAGAGGGATAAATCACCGGAGGACTGGCCGGAGGCAAAGGAGGCGGCGTCAAAGTATCCGCCGTCTCTTGTACCTTCTCCCAGCCACTGCTATCATCCTCCGTAGAGCACGTCTCATGAGAATCTTCGCATGAGGAACCATCCTGCTCATGTGAGCGCCATCCAAGAGGATCCCAATCCTCTGACGGAGTATATGATTCAACGGCACATTCGTCCAGGGGGAAATTCCGCTGCAGGAGTCGGGCTCTCATTTCCCTGAGGGCTCTGAGAGAGGTATATGTTTCGAGTGAGATCATTGGCCGCATTGATTGACTGGATTCGCTAGATGAAGAAGGGGAAGAAGTGGAAAGGCTCGGTGCAACAGGCTGGCGTTCTCCTGGAGGAGTATAAGATTCGATGGCGCATCCACTTAGCACAGCACTGTATCCCTGCTCATGGCCACCCATCTCGTTGACGAGATCTTCCAGGACATTTGACGATGTGGGAGCAGCAAGGTTGCGTGTGTCGGTTGGAGATTCACGGTGCAGCATAGAGGTGAGTGCTGATACTCGAGAAGGTCCAGGCGACGACATGACCTTGGGAAACGACAAGTTTGAAGCTCGTGCTTTTCCAGCGGCGCGCAAAGAGTGAGGACTGGATAAGTCCTGCTCCCTCAGTATGTTCGACCGTGCACGTCGCAACACTAGAGAATGGGCTTCTCGCGATGCTGTACTCCCAGATCCCGATTGACCTGGCCTCTTACCGCGCATTATGTTTTTAACTGACTCCTTGATCCGCCAGATATCGGGCCCATGATTCCGTAAATATAGTTCCTCCAGATTATCATGGAGCTGTTTCCACCCTGGGAAACCAGGCTCGTTCTCTATACCTGATTGAATGACAGGATATAGAGAACGATGGTTGCCCATAATGAAAGCCGGGGTCGGAATATATTCCTCCCCATCTTCCCTTTCATAACAACAGCGCAAAGATATCTCTGAAAATCGAGTATTCGGCAATCGCTGTTCCCTAGCCATTGCCTCATCATATTCATGGCACAGATCGTGCCCTTCTTGGTGTAGCCCGCCGTTGAAGCCTTCTGGGTAACACTCTGTCCCGGCCCCCCTGGGCACTGAGACAACCCACTCGTCGCCAATAAGTTGAATACGCGTGTGACGAGAGGCTGCCTCCCCGGGGCGTATAGTAGCCGAACAGGTCCTCTCCAGAACCGGACGTTTCTTGCTCAGGGGTTCGTCCCCTGATGTGCTTGGGCGCTTGCTCCTCTTGACCGAAGCACGATATATCTTCTCAAGCTTCGATATGTGAAGCTTCCTTGCAAGACCTATGTGTAGAGAAACACGTCAGAATATAAATCGCATGGCGTAAGATTAATATATAAGTAGCAAGCCAAGCATAATAAGAAAGAAAGAACTCGGGGCTCCTCACCACTTCCAGCAACCTTTTCCAACATCCTATCCCAAAAGCCACTCATTTTGCCCATAGACCAGCGGCTATGATTGGCAGAAGATTCCATCTATAGATCAAGCCTGGGAAATTAAAAGTGGGCAGAGACAAAGAAAACCAGACGACGGGTAATACCACCGAGTAGTAACAGAGTGGCAGTGTTGAAAAGTGTGGTATTATTAGGGAAACAAGCTAAATATGAGCAGGTCTATGGGAAACAAAGAATAATAAGACACAAAGGGCATGAAGGGGAAAGGAAAAAGTGTTGGTAGTCGATGTAATGAATTCTCGGGGCAGGATGGAAAAGGAAGAGAAGTCCAAATAAATAGATAGTGGGCGTATAAACAATAACAATAGGTATACAAAGGGAGTAAGTCAGTCATAGGGAGGTTACCGTCATTTAGACAGTACAATAATATAGTCAGTCGACGGGAGTCACCCTCTGATTATGACTGGGTGTTTCCGGGGAATATTCACGTAGGAACATGATGTATACCACAATGCGCTGGTTCATCGTATATTTTCTTTATATGGGTCATACCCAGGCGTATTTGGCAAGACTCGTCGATTATAAACTAGCGGGTAGTTAATTCATTATCTATCTCCAAGTAGGAAAAAGTGACATACCCTGTTCATCACAATCGAGATCCTGTACGCCAGCATATAATACCATATCTTGGAATGAAATGGCCAGCTGTGGACAGCCGGTGAAGTATATCTCATTTAACTTGCTGTCTCGAAGTATAGGATGGATTCTAGGAGGTCGCTGATGATCAACTAATGAATAATCATTTGAAACGCAGAACATGACTTGACTCTATATCCCGCTGTGAATATCGACAGTCAATAGAGATAGTCTATTGTATATGCACTTTTATAGATGTCATTGAGTCGTTTGCGCGTCGCATCCATGACTCTAACTCGGGGTCACTGGATAAGAGCAAACATGTGGTCTATCAATCGACAATATTAGTGTCTGTCAGGGAAACAAAAAGTTTTTGACATTGAATAAGGTTCGTATAAACTGACAGTGTTACTGTCACAACACGAAGAATCAATATTGCCAGAAAGGAATCCTGAGGACATCGGAGTTCGCCTTGCTAGAAGCTCAAGGGGAGTCCTTGGTCCTGACTACATAGATTAGACAATCAATATAATCTAAATGGCCAACCGTCCATATTCATAATCTGAGTAATCAAACATAAATGCTGAAATTCCTCCAAGTATGCTGTTATAAAGGTCTAGCAGCTAGCTCATAAGAGTAAGGTCTGTACAATAGAAACACGATAGATACTCTAACCTTGGCATGTAGCCTAACCAGTATTCTTTGACAATCAGCGGAAGACTGACATGTTTGTCTTCCCAGCAATCCAAAATAAATTACTGAACCCGATCATACATACTACGATGACAGATGACAGGATACAATAACTACTCTGGCCGTTCTCTGTTGCGCCAAGCCTTCATCTCCCTCAAATGTTGCAGATCGACATTTCCCCAATCAAACCAGACGGGTTCCTCTCACGGTTTGAATAGTTTCAAACACCCAGGGCGTGACGATTAAGGTCGTATCGTCCACACCTACAGTAACATGCGGTGTGGATGCCTCGTCTCTTTTTCCCCGAATAAGTAAGAAGTAAGTAGGTCGTAAGAATACTGTTTCAACCCCCCATTGAAAACTCCGATTCCCTACTTGCGTAATGATATAGATATTTACCTAGTTAAGAGAGATTGACGCGCGTTCGAATCTCAGGAGTCAAAAAAGAAACATAAACATGTCACGCGAAAATTGATAGTTATCTATAGTTATTATATTAAAAATACTCCGTAGTACTTCCAAATTCAATCTGTTCTTTAACCTGCCCCTCCGCTCCGCCTCCCGCCCGCGCGGCTTTTTCTCCATATTTTCTAAGTGCCGCTTCGTACTTACTTAGAACTTCCTCCCCCCCACTTGGTCAACCAACTTCTTTCCCTTGAGCCTCTTTCTTTTCCTACTTTCGTTCTTTTTTCCAGATCAATTATTCCGCGTTGGGGAACTTTTCTGAGATACCCTATATAACCCTTTGCTTTTCGGGAGTGATTCTTCTTTTGTGTGGAAAATATGGCGACGTACGTTTTTTTAACCCCTCCTTTGCCCCTCAATTTGGCCCAGCGGTTTGTGGCCGGTGCAGATGAAGAGGAACGGAACAAATAAACCAGTCCTCAGGAAATATATTGCGAGAGTCTCAATTCCTAGAAAATCGTACACAAAAACTAACGTCCGTTTTTCTCCCTATTAGCAACATCACCTACCACGCCGCAGCCGTCACCCGTCCTGAGCGCTGTGCGCTCCGTAAGCAGCGCGGTCTGACCATCTGGCTGACCGGTCTGTCTGCATCCGGCAAGTCGACTATCGCCGTCGAGCTCGAGCACCAGCTGCTGCAGCGTGGTGTCGGCGCGTACCGTCTGGATGGCGACAACATCCGATTCGGCCTGAACAAGGACCTGGGTTTCAGCGAGAAGGACCGCAACGAGAACATCCGTCGTATCGCTGAGGTCGCGAAGTTGTTCGCTGATAGTGCGACTGTCGCTATTACTTCGTTCATCTCCCCGTACCGAGCGGACCGTGACACTGCGCGTCAGCTGCATGAGGTCCCTACTCCCGGTGAGGAGACGGGACTGCCTTTCGTTGAGGTCTACGTTGATGTTCCTGTCGAAGTCGCTGAGAAGCGCGACCCCAAGGGTCTGTACAAGAAGGCTCGCGAGGGTATCATTAAGGAGTTCACCGGTATCAGTGCCCCGTATGAGGCGCCGCTGAAGCCCGAGGTTCACATCGTCAACAACGACATCTCGGTACAGCAGGCCGTGAAGCAGATCATCGATTACCTTGAAGAGAAGGACTATCTGCCCAAGCAGCAGTAAATCTCTGGCTTAAACAGACGGACGTGACTTGCTTTGTGTTGTCATTGTTGAGGATAGCGAGGACTTGCATAGGAATGGGCCCAGGCTGCGGATATAGAATAGCGCCCCATTGCACATAGAGCACCTCTCGAATCCTCAGTATATACCTTGTTTAGAGCGACGACATGCTAAATGATGAAACGTCTGAAGGGACAACGTCGATCGACTTGACCATTGCAGACACAACAGAGTATTTTATTGGAAACTATCAAACTTCATCCACATAATAGGAGTATTGGACATTGAAGAGTCAAAAAAATATATATGTAAGCGCTACAGATCCAATGTGAGTATCCAAAGTGCCAACCGTAGAAGCTAAGAAACCTGGATTCATGCATGCGAAAAGAGTACACGGCGAATTCAACTATGACCCCCTCCTGCGATCCTTCCAAGAGGCATGCAGCAATACTCGCCGTCATCGCTTAGTCAAACTGGAATTCGTAATAGACGTATGGAGTATACTCCGCACCACCCTCGCCGGCAGCGTGGAGCTCCCCAGGGTCATCTTTCTTGACGCGGCCCTTCTTGTCACGCCCGAATGCGTTACCCGCCAAGTACGAGTACTTCTCGTCGAGTGCACTCTTTGCCTTTGCGGATTGCTTCGGTGTCGTCTACGCAGACTGTTAGCCGCAAATCACGAATCCTCCACCGGATTTGGGGGGCTTACCCTGATGATCGTGCACACAAAGTCCAGTGGCAGACCATACCGGAGAACTGTCTCCACGAATACCCGTAGAACAAGCACATGGATCCAAGCCATTACGGCCTCACTCCAGGCAGTTCTTCCCAGCCGCAATGTTTCTCCCCATAGCTTCCTCTCGTCACCACCAACCCGCTCGACCTCTTTTCTCTCCTCTTCCCGTCCACCTTCCACATATTTGAAATCTCGGGGGATCCACTTATGCTCCCTGCACTTGTGGATAAACTCCGGGCTGTGCTTCTTGAAGGTAGTCACAGCGTAGAGGGTGAACTCATCATCGGCGGCAACCAGTGTCGCAGAGCGCGGAACAACCATGGGCGATACAGTCTCATACGTCTTTAGGAACTCCTTCACCTGCTGCTTGAGAACAGCAACAAGGTGCGTCTCGATATATTCAGACTCTTGCACAAGCAGACGAGGGTCCACGACGGACGTCAGGGATCTCGTCGAGAGGTTGCCCCTAAAGTCCAAGTTAGCCATTGCTCGACGGCCAAATATAAGATGCTACCAGCACTCACGTTTGTTTCCGCTGTAGAGTCGCCAGATTAGACTTGACTTGGTTGTACTGAGAGTATTTACTCCGGATATCATTATCAATGCTAGCTGTTTCCTGTAAGCAGCATCGCGATTAGCCACGGTATAGTTCACACCAGCAATTACAGCGACCGACCCACACACCTTCTGCAAGAGATCAATCAACTCTGCCAATGGCTTATCAGCCCGGTACTTCACCTTGTTCCATGTGAACGTTCGGAGATAGTGGTCAACAGGCTCTATATTTCCAGGCCGTTAGCGCCCAAGTCCCACCACTCTGTAAACCACAGTCCTGCACGATTTGACGGATGGACACCATACTATCATTGACAGTTTTCATCTTCTCAATCTGTGCCTCGTCGTTGTCCAGGATGTTCCTCAGTGCATCGGTGACTTTCGAAACGACGGCTTGGCATCCCGACTCGAGTTTCGCCAGCTCATCCGCCTGCTGGACCAGGGCGTCCAGGGTCCCGATCTTGAATTCGGGGATAGGGAACTGGGTGACAGTGCCATTGTCCGCAACGGTTGAGGAAATTGCCCCCAGAGCGTCGTCCCGGTGGGAGGAGGGGGTGATGGAGGAGGGGAGCGAGACGAGGAGATACTTGGTTGTTGTCTTCGACATGGTGACGGCCGGGGAGACAGGAACAGGTCGTGGATAAGATGACTAGGAGGGTTCTTAGGGAATAGACCCGTCGCCGCGCTCGAGCAAGCGGGCAGAAGGCAGCCGGGGGACTTGTAGAGCTTCAAGACGTTTGGAAGTCGGAGTTGGTTGCGGGAGCTGGAGCTGGAGCTGGGCGGTAGGCGGTCGTTGGGTCGAGCGCGCCATCCCGCACCTTCTGATGCTGGTCGACTCCACCCCGAAACTCCGCAGAATACAACAGTTGGAGTCTCAGACAAGAACACCGTAGGGAAAGGATCTGTCGAATTCTTCTCTCATAGTATTCACACAGTGCCATGTTGGTATTATGAAGGGGAACCCTACAATCTCGTCCGCTGCCTTGTCTGCTGTCTCACCCCGCTTGGCTTTCCCCATGGTGGTATGTAGATCATACGACTCGGGCTGTCTGTTGAATCGACTAGTATTTATATCTATATTTATTCTAAGCCCGCAGGTCCATATATCAAAACTCTAGGCTTCTATAGACAAGAAATGAATATCCATGTCGTTGCACCCGTTCCTTATTAGACGCCTATCCCACATGTACAAACGCAAGATCATCAGCTGGCTCTCCAACCTCGTCCACTGGCCATTTCTCAGATTACGAAGAGGCCGACTTGTACACACTGGGCATGTTCTGTGGCAATATAAACATCAGCATATAAATCCCTCTGCAACAAAAAGACGGTTTGACGTGGAGTTTATGACATACCGCTGCTCCCTTGGGCTCGATGAACAAGGCTTTAGCCTCGACTAGTACGACCGGTTCCTTACCCTCTTCCGGCAGCGTCTCAATGCGACCTTCTACCCAGGCCTTTCGACCTTCGACCTTGGTAGTCTCTGCTCTCAGCACGGCATACGCATTGGCCGGCGCCGGTCGTCGATAATCAATGTTCAGGTTTGCAGTAACACCCACGCCGTTAGGCAGAGCAGGGAAGCAGCACCTGGCCAATCCTTCGTCGAGAATAGTGGCCAACATACCGCCGTGGACGATTCCAGGGTGACCGCATACATCAGAACCAAGATAGAAGATCGACACCATGCTCTTTCCACCCTTCTCACTCCAGATGTACGGCGGCACGACTATCCTATCCGGTCCAGCCAGTGTGCCCGCGGTGAGATTCCGCCTGCGCATCTCCTCTGGGATCTTCAGGTGTGGGCGGGACTCGGTGAACAGAGGGTTGGCACGCAGCTCCTCTGATAAGGGATGATGTTTGATGAAATTGTCAACCTCGCGAGAGAACTCATCTTCCGGTTGGAAGAGCGTGAGAGTCTCCTCATCGGTGGGAATGGGAGACGCCATTATGCGAGACACTGCTCGGATATTCGGATAGACGAAACCCGCTACAAATGCGACAATTGCAATGGATGTGAAACCGAGTGCACGGCGCAACCTGGAAGGAGACTTGGGAGGGTGAGACGCCGCAAAAGCTGCTGCTTCTAGGGTAATCGTCAGCATCAATTGGCATACATCGGTGGTGTCATTTCCGGCCAGAACGGCGGATGGCCCTGTCGATTACATAGATTCGGGGAACCCGGGGGAAGACATACCAGTCGCGTAGAGCCTGTTCAAAGATGCACATGAAGGACGCAAAAAGCCAGTGCCAACAGGGACGGCCGCGGGGTATCGTGCTTTATAAAGATTCCCACGTCTGCTTAGGGCCGATAAGGATCTAGTTGCGGTGGGACTCAGCGCGCCCTTGGACCGGAAGCACAGCATGTCAAATGCGCTCACCGCTGGCGGCCTATTTCTTTATAATTAATCGCCAGAAAAAGAACGAAAAAGACACAGCCGCGCAGAGCGAATCCACTCGCGACCTCAACGCCTCTCAAACAGGGACCGCCAGGGCGAACGGAGAAAGGACAACGCTGAAAGGATGCGTACTAATTGGCCTGGAGCAGCTGGTTGGGGAAAGCGGGCTGAGGTCGGAGAACGGACTGAAATGCCCGAACTGCCGCGGGAACCACCGTGTAAGTATGGTTGTGCCTGGCAAGAAGAACAACCTCGGCTCATTCCGAGTCTCGATGGACTATACTCCATAATTATATCGGCGAGTCCGGTCCCATCTGGATGGCAAAGGCAGCTGGATTCGATTTTGACGGGGACTTTCTAATAGTATTCTCTAGTGATTTGGTTCCTTTGGGTCCGAAGAACCTTATGAGGTCAGGATCAACACCAATCATGTTTTCCGTTTGGAGCAGCATTCTGGCATTCGTACCATATGGACAATTCTTGTGGATATGTTCAATTCAGGAACTAATATTTTCTAGCCACGTATGATCTGATAGTCCAAAGGTCTGATTGCGCATGTCTATTAGATCTCATTCAAAGATATGACTGACTTCTCTCCGGCTGATAAGGTACCTAGTAAACGAAGAACAAAGATGCAGTCTCTATTGTCTCCACTCTATGATAAGATTGTTGTATTGCGTAATTGTAGTCATCCATGCTTGGAAAACATGACGGAAGCGAGTAGAGATGACACCGACAGTTCGTGCTAATATCAAATATGACCAATCCTATTTAAAAAATGGCATATGCGTAATAAAGGTCTTAAAAATGCGACTCCATCCGTAGATGGCAGGATACTCATGTGATTCATGATTTAAGATTGGCGTGCCAGACTAATGACCTTTTTGGCAGCGTCCTCAAAGCTGTCGAAAGCGTGCAATGGGAGGCCGCTCTCCGCAATCTGTATGAAGGTGTTAGCCATGGTCTAGATTCATTTTATCCACTTGGGCCGTACCATCTTCTGTCCCGCTTCCTCGTTCGTACCCCTGAGTCTGACAACCACTGGGACTTTCATGTCCAGATCCCGGAACGCCAAGATGACACCTTCAGCGATCATGTCGCATCTGGTCAACCCACCGAAGATGTTAACGAAGATAGTCTTAACGCGTGGGTCGGAAGAGATAATGCGGAACGAGGACTTGACAGTCTCTGAAGTTGCCTTGCCACCAGTGTCAAGGAAGTTCGCGCAATGGCCACCATGCAGTGTAAGCGCATCAACTGTGTTCATAGCAAGTCCAGCACCATTGACTATGCAGTGTTAGAACCATTTATGGCTACTTGGGCCCATAAGAGCAACTTACCCAGTGTCCCTATGCTTCCTTCGCCTTGAAGTCTTTAACAGCTCTATTAGTGCGGGTTCTGCGAAAAGAGTTCGGTTGCTGGTGCCATACTTAACGTAGACAATACCATCTTTCTCAGCTTCTACCTCTTCAGGGACCTCCTCGGCTTTATTCCTTAGCTTATGAATCTCCTCTTGTCGGCCAGAGCTTCTGTACGCAGCATCGTCGAACCCGAAATGTGCGCCGTGGACTTCAAATTGTCCCGCTGGGGTCAAGGAGGCTCTGGTCTCGAGCAGGAACGCTTCCTTCTCCTTAAATATGCGCCAGAGCTTCTCAACTAGGTTCTGAAGCCCTCCTCTGGCATTCGCCGGAAGGTTAAGATGTGACGTGAGGGAAGGAATCAGGGAGCCATCTTTGGAGAAATCCGGATTCGCGTAACTGATTGGGAATTTGCGGGTAAAAGCTAATAAGAACTCTTCTTCGATCGTAGGAGACGCAATGATGCATGGGGACAGAGCACTCCGGTCAACAGAGATTGAAAGGATAAATTCCTCATCTGGGTCGACTGTGTTATAAATGGCGATACCTTCACCTCTGAGTATGTCGAATGCTTGATGTTGCTTGATATAGAGACGGCGTCGCTGGGGCTTATTCGAAAACACGTCTCTATTCTTTACAACGGAAGGAGTCCGTCTCACAGTATGAAAACTCCGTTTCTGACCTTGGTTCCCAGATGTAGACTGGGAGAAATCAGTGTTTGGTGGCGTACAGTAGCACTATCATGGACTCACTTGGATGGTAGGACGTCGGGTAGTGTTGTTGAGCAGATCTCTCATACCCTCTCCAAACTTTTCGGGATGATTGACGAGTACCGCGCCAGCATTTTGCAGTGCCTTATACTTCGCTCTGGCATCTGGCTCACCGGGAGCAGCCCAGGCTCCTGCATGACCCATAATTCTTCCTGGGGGTGCTTCCATACCACCAACTAGGGCCATGATTGGTCTTTTCTCAGTTAGCCGTGCGACCTAAAGATGGCATGAAGGTGTCATACTTAGGATTAGAAGTCCTCCTATGGTAGTCCTTGATCCACTCAGCAGCATCAATTTCTGCAGTGCCACCGATCTCACCCACAAGGATGATACCCTCCGTGTCGGGATCATTCTCAAAGATCTGCAGAGCGTCCACGAAATTGGTTCCCGCCAGAACATCACCGCCCATGCTGATGCATAGAGATTGCCCCAAGCCAGCTCGGGTCAATGACGCGACAGTCTCGTAGCTCAGAGTGCCGGACTTCGCAACGACACCAATACTACCAGGCGAAAAGCAGGGTAGGGGCTGAAATCCAATGCGACATTTTCCAATTGCAGATATTATCCCAGGGCAGTTTGCTCCCACAAGTCTGGTCTTGGATTGCGTCTGCAATATTGAATGGACCTGTGAGATGTTAGATGTTAGAGTGAAATAGAGATTGTCACTGCGATCCACTGACTCTGAGCATGTCATGAAGAGGAACGTGCTCCGCAACAGCAACTACGAGGGGTATTTCAGCTTCGATGGCTTCCTCAATCGCCTTGGCTGTCTGGTTTCCTGGGACGTAGATGGCAGATGCATCAGGTTTCGCCCTATCCACTGCCTATGTACTACAATGAGCATACTGCTGCAATTTGCACATGTAGAGGCGTTCTCCGTAATACGCACCGTTCTCACAGAGGGAAAGACAGGAAGCCCCAAATGCTCGCCTTCCACACCAGGCTTCACGCCTCCAACAATCCTCGTACCCCATGCTAGAGATTCCTTCGCATTGGCAGTGGCCTGGAACTAGCGTAAGCACTGATTCCAATGATAGATTACTCCCATTAATTTACCTGTCGACCTGCTAAAGTATCAGCAACTATCCGGTATTTCCCAACCCTATATAGTATGTATGTTGTTTGAACCTACCAGTAAACCCTTGATAAAGGACCTTTGTATGGGCTCCAATCTTGAGATTTGGAAGCGTATCCGCATATCCCCATGTCCTCGTTGACGTTGAGAACTTGGACCTTAACATATGTGAGGCATGGGGTAAGACGCGAGCCCGTGAAAGCCGCACGGGCGATGAAGTCACGGGCATGACTGGCAAAAACCGAATTGAGCTCAAAATCAGAAAGCACCCACTACCAAACTACATCTGAATGCTTTTTGACGCAGAGACAGGGACGTTCCCGACCACGCTGTGATTCTTCTGCCAATAAAACCACCTCTTGAAAACAGAATTTGGGAGAGGGAAAGTTGGTCATCATATTCTCCCCGAGCCCTAGTCGATGCACCGGCGCTTCTCCGCATTCACCGGCAACTTTGCGTTTTGCCGAAACACTCGTACGATGCACTCATACGACCGGCACTCGTACGACCGGCTTCGGAACGGCTAAAACTTCGGAGCTGGTTTGCTTTACGGAGTACTACTCGCTTCGTTTCAAGGATAACAAGAATAATAATTACTGTTGCTATGAAGTGCATAAACCCCTCTCGGAAGTTCGGTCTACCCCAGGTTTCAAGGTCGGCCGAAAAAGGGTGCGGCGTTTGCTCCGTAGTCTAAGGCTAACTTAAACCCGATATTATTGGAAGCAGAGTACCTAGGCATTAGCAATCTCGAGTTTATCATACGTCGTTTTTTAAAAAGGTTCCTGCAAAAGATACCTTTCTAACCAGCTATTCCCTAGTGAATAACTAACTAGTTAGAATTTCGAACAAGGGAAAGGTATGAGAAATCTAGCCACCTCTACCTATTTTGCTAATTGAGACTCGCTTTTCTAGGTATATAACGAATCCTCTGTATAACGAACGAAAATACGTGTTCAAATTGATTCCTCATGGTCAGGTTTGATTGTATCTATATCAAGAGAATATGAGACATAGTTCAAGTCGCAACCCAAGCAGCTTAATCTCCATGAACCTCCAAAGAACTTATCAAGGCTAGTTAGTTAACTAGTTAGCACAGGGGTTTATGTAAGATTTGATAATCTTCTTTCTTCGGTTCATGTTTCTATAAATATAAACGAAAAATGAGCGTATTCTGATGAATTTTAATTCGATTCTATTGGATGGCCATATATAGTAGTTATAGGAACCATATTGAAGTCCTCTAGAGTAGTTAGATATACTACGTGTACTTTAACTTATTAATATCACCCCTGTAGCTCGATCCTCGAATCCCGGAGACTGGCATAGGGTTGAGCGTTGATCACGATTGCGTGCACTTTTCTTCACAAGTCTTGAGATGACCAAACATGTGGCACCTAAATGGCACAGTGAATTCAATAGATCAGCCAAACAAAAAGTGTAACCGTGTGGAGATTAACGGGTAAAGAGACTCCATAAAATAGGCGGTGCAGTGAGTTCTAGACCACCATGGAAGATTAGATGCAGTCAGAAGAGAAGAGTATTATTCCAGCCACGGAAACACCGGTCTTCAAAAATAGAATTCGCCCCAGAGATTGAATACTATTATTACTGAACTTTCAACGGCAACATCAATAATGATCATGAGTAGGTATACTGGTGATCTCTGACAGATAACGGGATGATCCACTGCACTACAATTCATCTGTAGCGCATTGTCTCAATTTTGAAACTACAACACATTCGGAAAACAAGAGACTCCCAAATAATAATGAGTAGCGTCTCTGTCTCAGTCCCCGAAGTCTTGTGTGATCTGCTGCTTCGTTAAGTGACCTGGTCGAACGTTGGTCACGTGCTGCAATTGGCCAGTAAGGAGAACAAGAGGGAGAACCACACCACGGAATGTCCGTTGGCTGTACGGAGTACCAACAAGTGTGACAGACCCGTCGGTCTGAAACGGCTCGACAACGCCATCTTCACAGGTCGACCGGGCAGAAATATGGGGTAATGAGTTAGACAAGAGACGCGTACGGAGTAGAAATGGTGAGCCCATCGACCGTTCGACGGCAGGACGCGGAACCATGGGAGCAAGCGCTTTGCTCTCGGCGCAAGCTTCTTTCGACTCTATTCTCGAACTGCACGAGCGTCGCTCCTCTCCGCTAGAACTCACCCACAAGCATCATCAGTGACGGAACAAAAACAACAGTGCTGGCTACGTTGAAACCTGCCTTGTCTTTGCCTTGCTGACCGGTTATTCCCGCCGAGGTTGATCTACGATTTTGGCTCCCATAGCCAATCAGAACGCTCCCCCTGTGACATCGTCGAGAATCCCAGCAAGGCGGGGGGTCGATCCAAGTACTCTAGGGCCCCATGCCTGCCCCGTCGACGCTATACTCAGATTACTTCTAGTGTCGCTGAGTCGCATGCAAGCATACTACTTCGAGTACTCAAGTCTGATCTCACATCGACATATTGACCCATGTCCATTATGGCTGATCGAACGCCCGATACATCAAAAGGTGAGTAGCTTGGATCAATGGCAATGTATATCGAAGAAGTGTTGCGAGAAACATCAACTGACTAGGCTCGTGATTCGATACAGGCACCAAGGAGTTGGAGTCCCAGTTGGAATCGTGTCTGCAAGATCTCAGCCTCACCAACAAGAGACCGGATAAAGACATACCACGACCTATAACCAAGAAAGGTCCAACGAAACCGAAGAAGGACGCAATCGCAGATTCCTGGGAAGACGAGATCGATTCGTCTGGTTCTGAGACGGAGAAAGAAAAGGAAGAGACATCAACACCACTCACGCCGTCAGCTGAAGGACCGCTAGCTCCCCCGCCCACACCTATCTCACCACAGACAAGTGCTACCTGGACAGCTACAGGCAATGCTCCATACGCAGATGCTGTCCCGCCCGCCGTGCCCAACAGTCGAGCGCCTGGCCCTCCTCGCGTGAGGCCGGCGAAGCAGACAGCTGTGGCTGCTAGGCTCATAGCTGGAGGACTAGGGATCCGAGCACCGAAGAGGACAGAAGAGCAGCGAGCATACGACCGAGCTGTCAGAGAGCAAGAGCTCAAGAGACGAAACCGCGAAAAGGAAGAAGCAGCGAGAGCCAAGGAAGAGGAAGAACGGGCCAAGTCTGCAGTCTGGGATGCTTAATGCATTCTCCATTCAGCGATCCAATCCTTTAATTCCCCTGTATATATATACATATATGTGGTGTATCTGCTTCCCATTCTCTGGTTCCTTTCGCTCCCTTAGTGAAATTTTGGGCTCCGATCTCGGCTGCATACTCCGCATAGTGTCCTGTATATAATAATATCTATATCCGATTCTGTCATATTAATATATCTGCAGCCGAACTTCTGATCTGCTTTCTGTTCACCTTGATCTAGCGGTCTTATTAAAGCCTCCCTGACAAGCATCCATTGTGTCTCGTGGGAGTGTCATGTTATGACGTAATGGGCCAATCCTTGTCTATCTAGTAGTATTAGTAGCGTCTAAGGAGTCGCATCGGGACTTGGTTTTGGAAGCAAGAGAATATAAGAAAAGACTGGAATGATTCTGAGTCCTGAGAAAGTAGTCTTGCCGCACTATCTATTAGAGACGAAGAGGTAGCAACACATTCAGTCTCCGCCAATGTCTAGTTCACATGACGAAGAACGAGTGCACCTTGAGCAGCTTAGAAAAGTGTAGACGCTCAAAATAGTGAGACGGGAGACGAATGCACGCAGATGCGGCGCAGTAGAAAAAAAAAGACTCGTCCCTTTTCCTCGCTTGCGTTCAACCAGATACCCCTCCCCCAAAGCGCGAGCCTAAATCACGAGTGAACACGCCGCACGCCCATTAATTCTCATGAAAAAGTAGCACCACACAGTATCCCGTCCAAATAAGACCGAATCTCTTCGTGACAGACATTTCGTTCCTCTTTCGTGTTGTAACGTGAGAGTTTTGTGAAAGTGGTACGCGATCACCCGCCGATCTGCTCCTGGTGAACTTCGAGCGTATCGCCGTCGGCCATTTCGAGCTGAAAGAATGAATTAGCACCACTTAGCTCCATGGATTTGTAGAATCCGGTTCAGTAGCCTCTTGCCAGCGTTTCCGGGTTCATAGACATATGGCGCAGCAGGGGGGTCTCAGAACTTACCGTATCAGGAGTGTCCTCTGGCCGCACTCGGGTTCCGTCGAAAAGGAAACGGACGGTCGATGGCTGCTTTCCTTGGCGTTCACAGAAAGCATCCATCAGCTTCTTCAGTTGCGTGGTTCGCTTGATCTTGAAGAAGACCTCGTTGTTGTTATCCGTGACCTTGATGTTCAGGTGCTCCACAGGAGCAGGAGCGTCGCCAGCATTCTCAGCCATGATTGTCCTATCGCACAGAGATCTTGAAGCAGAAAACACGGGGTTGTAGTGTGGGATGTGAAAGTCAGGTGTTGGCACGTTTCTGCAGTGAGAGAAATGGGTTAGTTCTGCTGAAGAAAGATGCCAGCTCAAAAGGTATAGGTCCTGTCACTGAGAATGCAGCATACTTACCAAAAGAGCTACAGTAGGAATAGTCAGGTGTCACAATTCTTGACGAGGATCTGAGGTGAAAGTAAAGAGGCGGACAAGAGCTGATATACCAGTGAAATGATGGGTGCAACAGCCACCCCACCGTCCGCGGAGAGAGCCCGGATAATCTGTTTTTGCGGCGCAGGTCCAATACAGGGACCGTCAATGGTCTCTCTCTTTGAAAGAGATGATCTATTGCAGATATTCTGCGGTTATTCTTTTCCTCCCATCAATCAACCGAATATACACCGATTTTATGTTTTAGAGGGGCTTCCTGCTTACTCTTCCGTCTAAATTCAGTGCTGAGTTCACTTCCGGGATCTCAAACTGCCAAACAGACGGCTTTGGTAGTTTACTTATTGCGTCATGGTAGAGTGTCCCAATGAGGTTGTGATCGAGAAATGAACAAACACTGAAGCCAAATGAATGATGTTCAGGGAGAGCTCAAAGATGATGTGAAGTATGATCCTCCTTGCCATCCACGAGCAGTACGTATAACCATGTTTGCCCTGTGCTATCCCGAGTCATGGCCCTAACTAACACTGCTCAGTGTGCTATACAAAGTGATTTCCCCTGCCCCCAAGTTCAAGTAGAAAAGGCTAACTAGCCTAAGCTTGCTTGACCAAGAACAATTATAAAGAGGAGAGATGCCAAGCTCAACTAGACGCCTTATACGAATGTTGCAACGCATTCTATAAGGAGCGGGGTGAGGATGCGCAGACACCAAGCTGTCCTAAGCCGAGTCTGCTTAAGGTCAAATTGAAGCAGCGCGGCTTACAGAGCTGATCTCTTCCCAGTGCTCAGATGAGAAATATTGAGACAGAAGTAATCGGTGACAGGCGTTCATACACATGTACATATTTGATATCTTGTAGAAGCGCAATGCGAATTTCGACCGTTGTTTATCTTACGAGAGAATGCGCTGGTATGTAACAGTTCTTTTGCAGTCTGAGCCCTCATAAAAATTAAAGGCTAGGCTAGTTGAAGAACTGCTAGATTGTTCTAAGACAACCTTGAGCGCGCGAGAGGTCCTTTGACCTGAATGGACACTGATCGATCCGTTCCGAGACTCTAATGGTTGCCTATTTGACATTTGTTGAAGAAAGAAAAAGAAGTTCAAAAAAAGGGCGAAGCGAAGAGATTTTGTACTGTGCAGGATCGTCTTGTGCTAGTCCCGATCGGAGCTAGCGTAAATGTTGGCCGGGAGGCGCGCCCGTAACATTATTGGGATCCAAGAAAGCTGGAAATAGCAGAGCTACAAACACCGCACGAGTGCGACAGCGAGCCTGAGTGCTGCTGCCTTCTGTCATACATGGCGCCTCTGACAAGAGCGGCTGGCGCTGCCAGAAGTAATGGTAGCTTTAATTTCGCACAGGTAAGTTCTCATCTTTTTTCCAGGCCCCCTTGAATTTGTTCGCTCATAGGTCACCAGGCTCCTCAACCCGCGTCATCGAATGAACCTGAAGTGATCGAGATCGACGATGACGACGACGAAGAAGATCAAGAAGATCAAGAAGATGAAGTAAGCGATGAGGAGGTCGAAGACGACGAAGATGAAATGGTAGACGACGAAGACGAAATAGTTGAAGACGAGGATGAAGAAGATGAGGACGAGGAGCCTGACGAGGGGCCCGAGGAAGAAACGAATGGAGTGGACGCTACATACGAGAATCCAAAAGCGAAACTGAAGGAGAACCGTCAAGGTAGGTTATTGGGCGGGAGCTATCAATGGGGCTTCAATTAACTGGAATCTTTCAGATGTCCGCATGTCGACACCGGACCTCTTCACCTCCGCAGGCGTTCAACAGGCCTTACACCCTCTGCGCCGTACAGCTGATCGCGTTACACGCCAGATCGAGGCATTTGCAGAGAAGCTAGATCGCTTTAAACAACATGAGCATCGCCCCAACGATATTAGCAGTTTCCAGGCCGCATACCAACTTGTCAAGAGCTACCAGGTCATCGCAGAGGATCAGATCCAAGGGATTACAAGGCAAAACACTCTAAAGCGCGCAAAGTCTGGGTGGAGAGCTAGCCGTGACTCGCAGGACGGAATTGGTAGTCCTAAGACTGAGGAGGAGCTGAAACGACTACAATTGGAGGCTGATACTTGGGACCTTTTGCTGAACTTCCTAAGTGTCGACGATCCCGCTACCCGTGCGCATTCTACAAGCGCGCAAGAAACAGCTTTCCAGCATCTGCATCGGTATTCTACGGATCGCGAAGTATGGGAGCAGTTCCTCTCAGCTGATCGATTCGCTTCGGAGTGTGTTATCGTTATGAAGTGGCTTGAGCAAACTGCTAGGGCATCTAGCAATGATATCGACTCCCTGATCGCCGATTTGGAGGCACAGGCGGAAAGAGGACAGGGATTGTGGGCTCACGGTTGGCTCTATACCAAGGAAACAATCAAAGGCCAAAAACGGTTACGCGCATGGCCTCAGCCGCTTGAGCCAGACGATCCAGGACTTATTCGCTCCCTCCTGGGCTCGGAAAATCGTCAACCTCTAGTTACGCAATTAGACCCGGATGCGATAACTAGACAGAAACATGGCCTTGAAAAGCAGGATCAATTCTTCGAACGGGCAACTTGGTTGACTTGCTGGAAAATGCTGAGAGAAGGCCAGAGTTGGAGCAAAATCCGAGAATGGTCGCAGGAGCGCCTGGAAAGCTGGCGAGCCGTTAGTTTGTGTGGTTCGAACATCGACACACAATCAAAAACCAGTCAAGAAGATGATGGAATGACTCGAATGATGAACTGCCGGTCCCACGAATCCTGGAGGACTGCCTGCTCAGCACTAGCTCAGAATCAAAACACGGAAGACTTTGAGCGAGCTGTTTACGCGCTACTCGCGGGTGAGACTGAGCCTGCATACAAGGTCTGTCAGAGCTGGGATGATTATCTCTATGTCTTCTACAACCATGTTCTGCTGTCGCGTTACCAGGGATTCTGCAAGCAGTTCCAACGGAAACTGAACCATCCTGCGAACGGCAATGTAGCCTTCTTGCCAGAGCCTGAAGCATATGACGAAGTTCGCAAGTTCCTGGAAACAGTCAAGGGTCATGAGCGCATCAGCGTCGAAGCTCGAAACCCTTATCGCACTATTCAAAGCGCCATCTTATGCAAGGACTATGATTCATTTTTTGTTGCCTTTGCAAATGCAGTTTCTAAAGTCGCCACGACCTCGGAGTCTGATCTCGTGCCTGACCTCTCGCCCACGCATGTGGAAGATTCTGCTCTTATTGCAGCCAAAGACCAGGACTCTCTGCGAATTGCGACACATTTATATGTGATTGCAAAATCGCTTGGTTACGCTCGCGCAGATTCTCACTTCTCTCAGACTGCAGCCGTGACCTTGATAGGATACATCGACTTCCTGCAGAAGGTGCACTTGGTGGACCTCATAGCGTCCTATGCCTCTCTTCTTCCGGCTCCTCTAGCGCACTCCGTACTTGCTAGAGTGCTGATTGACGTTGTCGACCCTAGAGAGCGAAAGATCCAGGCCCGGTCAATGCATAAGCATAAGATTGACATGCAGGCTGTACTACGCACTCAGTGGGAATGGGTCCTCAGCGACGCTATGCAGGTAGAAGATGTAAACTCCACTATCCGTCTTTCCAAGAGCGTCCGGGGCGGCGACGGTTATAAGGAGTTGGCGCCGGTGAAGAAGAATTTTGTCGGAAAGTATGTGTCTCCTGAAGACGAACGAACAATTCGTTGTCTTGAGTGGCACCGCTACCTTGAAGACCAGTGGCAGCGTATATGCCAACTCGGCACATTGTTGTACAAGAGATTTTACGGTACGTTCTGTTGCGCGCCACTAGAAAACGTGCACTAATATGTCGAATAGCTTCTGGGTCTCTTGCGGCAGCTCGTGAGCTATCCAGGCGCATGAGATTATCCGACATCTCCCGGGAGATACTGGGCATTGATGTCGCGGACGTACCCCTTCTCGATGAGGATGGTGCCGGAATACCAGCCTCAGAACCCGCTAGCCCGGTGAAGACAAGCCCATCGAAGAAGTCAAGTCGTTCGAAGAACCAAGCAACGAACGGTCTACAGTCTCGTAGTCGCCAAGCGATCATGTATGAACAGTCTCAGATGATGCGCGAATTTGAGCGACTTATTCTGGTCTTTGACGCCTTGGAGGATTTCGCCGTGACCTATGAAGACTTTGAACAGTGCGTCTCGCCTCTTTTAAATACGCAAACAACTTTTGCTAATTGTTTCTATAGGAACAAGACTTCAGGAGAGCCTACTGCAGTACACGAATTGAGAAACAATCTGCAAGTCCTACTTGACCAGCTTACCGAGCATATCAACTACCTATGCGACGATTGGCTTATTCAGGCTCGGGATGGTGAGTATAATAGCAGATTCCCCGTTGCACCTTCATGCTCTTGCTTATTTTCTCCTGTTGCAGAACTCGAGGAGACTCAATTGGAGTACATCCGCAGCACTTATCTACCGGAGGTCTTCCTTTACTACCACAATGCTCTTTATTTTGCGGGCCATTCACTCTCTGGCGAGTTCCTAGTTGAATGCGTGAATCTTTCCACGGTCATTGCAGGCAACCCTAGTTTGACTAGCAGTTTCGTATCTGCGGGCCGCATGTGCGAGCTGGTAGATGCGTTGGCTTTGTCGAGTACGGCACTTGTGAATACCCCAACACCTAAAAACAAAAAGAAGCTTGCACATGGAGCGAGATTCGACATCTGGAAGATCAAGCTTGAAGGCGACGATCCGACTGCAATCTTCCGCCAACCCTGATGACGATACGCGGTTTGTCTTTGTTGTTGCAATTGAATCGTGCCGCCAGGCGGCGTAGAATTGAATATGGAGGGGTCAGACATCTGCGGTATTGGAAGGAGCACTGCCGTGACTGCATCGGGACGGGATACTCATCGTGTTTATGGGATCTATCGGGGCACTTTTTAGGGTGTTGGTGTAAATTAGGACTCGATCCACTTGATTATCAATCTGCATGAGAGATATCTCTAGGCTATGGGCTTCAGATCAGGGATCACAAATACTTCCCTGTCCAAGGGCGCCTCAAAACGCTTAGTATCAACCTTTGTAATAACTGTCGCAATATCATATGAGGTAATACTCGTTTCATTTACAGCTAGGACTGGGATACTGTCATCGCATCACGCATTCATAGTCCTGACCCTCATTATCGGCCAGTTAGAACAAGACCACCGATAACGATGGGAGATGCATCGTCGCTTGCTTCCCGACAAAATCTCCGATGCAAAGCCTACTCATACTCTGCCATGAGCCTATTCCCCTGAACCTTTGCCGGGAAGGCCTCTTCGCCCAAAGTGGTCGTATGCGCCCATGGCTTCAGGCTATTCTCCCGATGGATGACAGCAGTGAAGCAATCGCTCCACTTCAGACGCGGGTAGTGTTTGGTTACATCTTCGATTGTTGCTTTGTGGACTAGTTGAGAGTGCGTGCCTGTGTTATCTATTGATTTCTATTAGTAGTTGATTCATGTGGTGGAGTTTTGAGCATGGTCATAGCCACATAATATCCATACATGAGCTATGTCTATGGTTCTAAGTAACCTACGATAGGAACCATGACAAGACAGGGAGAGGGGGGCCATGGGGGAAAAGGGAGTCAAAGAAAGGAGAAAGAAAGTACCAAAGATCGTGGCCAGCTGCAATAATTGCCCTAACGCTGTAATCTTCCCCTCCTGGCACAGATCCTGATGTCGAATAATAGCTTCCGTAACACTCTCAGCCTGCTCACGCGGAGCTGCCATGGGCGACGCAACCGCGATTGCTCCAGTTGACTGTAGTAAATTGAGAGCCAAGATACCACCGTAGAACTCGAAGCTGATATGGGTCTTATGCAGATTCTCTTCCGTCGTACCGATGTCATGCAGCAGACAGCTGAGGAAGTATGTCTCGTCCGTAAATGCCCAGGTCGGGAAGCGGTAACGCTTCATGGCGATTCCGTACAGGTAGACACGCAGTGAGTGGTTGTATGTCGGTTCTGGGAGATGCGATTTCGCATAGTCGTGGATGCGTTGAGCGAGGGGCGTATTGGGAATAGGGATGTCTGAGACGGATATAGGTGCTGGAGGTGAGGATGGAGCCGGGTAGGGCGTTGAGGAATTGAGCAGCGTTTCCGCGGAGGAAGGAACAGCTGTGAATCCATAGGTCTCAACGGGGTCGATGGCCGTATTCTTTTTCTTTGTGGGTTGATCCTTGTTGTGAGGGAGAACTGAGGACATGTTGATTTGATAAAAGCGTGACTTTGTAATTATTTATATAGTTAATACCGAACTATACTGTGGAGTCGTAGAAAACCTGTCGAAGGACTCGATGGCTTTTTTATATAGATGAATAAGTAGAATTATATGATCTCTACAGATTGATTTATAAGGACTGATGTCATTTATGGTGCTGGAGAGGTTATTCATTACATTTTGCCATGAAGACCGAGTGGAAGACTTTCGTGGTTGACAACCTCAGGGCGTGACGACGGCTCCGCATGGCTTCCGCAGAATCAATCTATGACGAGTGAATTACTGTGCATGTTCCCTCTTTGTATGGAATCACAAGCACATTGACAATTGCAGTATTGGTGGAAAATCAAGAGCATCCCCTATCCGGTTCTTACACTTGGGCATCATATGGAATTGGACTCGTTGGGTGTGACTGTCAGTCGTCGGAAAGGAATACAGAATGCGCGAACAAGGCTGGGATTATCAACATCTGTGATATGACCGCATAAGAGACTGGTTATATGATCAGCAGAACAGAAAACCGCTGTTGATGTGATCTAAATAATCGATTCCTCTGCAAATGAGTTTTCATCTTTTTTTGCATAGTCTGGTACAGTGGCATATCTCAAGCAGCCAAGCTAGGGGCGATATCCTACAGTCTACATCCAAAAGCCGTCAAACATCAAAGTGGCTCAGTATGACAGACCCAAGCGCGATAACAAAATATTCACTGGGGTTGAATCTTTTTCGTCCGCGCTAGTGGTCTGATGCGCCTACACGTCTAACGCATCGGTGCAAGGGATACCCCGGAAATGCAAACAGGAATATTAAGTTATGTAGATTCGGCTGACAGCTTGTGAGACAGATCATATTAGTCTTATTTATTGTAGGGGCACATGGGAGGCAACATGTTGTCAAGACTGCTGCCATTCAGTTCTGGTCATTATTATTTGCATTCCAGGGAGGACACTGTCTCCTAGGATACTATTAGGAAAGTATTAGGCGAATAAGCGCCATGATTGCACAGCATTCTCTTGACTGGAGTTGAACAATCCTGGTAATGAGGGCCCTAGCACAAGGAGCCTTGGTCCCGCGATTTACCTATGTGGTTTTGAACCCGTCACAACGTCCTCTTTGACATACGGAGCTCTCTTTTCCTGACTATTAGCTGTGGGACCGTATAGCAACAAGGATAACTATATGGATGTGGACAAGAGAAAGAACCACTTTGGATGATTCTTACTGGGGGTCTGTTCTGTCGTTGGTGTCCTCGAATCGGCGCTGACGAGTCGATCTCCAAAAGATGTGTCCTCGAACACTGAAGAACCATCACTCTTGAACAGCGCGTTTGGACCTTCCTGAAGCAGTCGAAACAGCCAGTCGGGCTTATCTTTTATCTGATAAGTTAGCAGTAGCAGCAGTTCCATAAGCGACCAGAAACGCCGACTGACAAAGGTCGTCTCCCATGGGGCCCCTCTAGACCGATCGACCTGTGCCAAGAACGGCTTTGATGGACCCTTTTTGTATCTCGAATTGACGTAGCAAGCCCGGCGGATCTTGGGTGGAGCTCGTTAAGCTCAAGTTGACTAGAATATGCCGCCCCTAAAGGCCGGCCGAAAGCGTACCTGCGCGGGTAGACTACCAAGGCATAACTAAGTGGCCGTTCTGTAGCCGGTAAGCTCCTTCTGTCGCGTGGTTGATTATTGCCAGGATGCAGTCGTCTGGGTTACTCTGTCGATAACATTATCGGTTCTGCGATGGCATGTCCGTCACAACATGACATCTGGCATTGCCGCCCTGAAAATGCCTCATCCTGTTTGGGTGGAAAGGAAGACTGGGTTCGTGGTTCATGTTGGCCGACGCTCTGAATGCGAGTCCAATGAAGGACAAGTGAGTGAGGCTGTGCAAACGCTAAAGCAACCCCCAACCCCATCTCCCGTCTGGGCAAAGAAATTTTCTTGTCTGGATCCTGCTTTGCCAGTAGTGGCGAGCTCTTGCGGTCAGGAGCCATGATGCTGATGGTACGTTAGCTTTGGAATCAGGCTTCTTGTGGGGGAGTTGGCTGATGGGAGAAGAGAGTAGACGTATCTATATCCCGTCAATCGTGAAGGCCTATCTCAAGTATCAATCTGAATCAGCGAGGCCTGTCATCGGCGAGTTGTACCTAACTGTACCATAAGCCCTGGTAATTAATATCGATGATGACAGGGCAATAATAATATATGCTCTGGAACGGCTGCTCAAGGAGCAATGGCAGCCCTGAGTGGCTGCTGTTGGCATTCGGGTGCAAATAGTCTTCCCGCATGCAACTGTCTAGTGGAGAACTAGTGTAACAAGGGGAGAGCAACAGTCCGGAGGCGTCGATTGATGCCCATGGATCTGCCCATTACTCTCTGTTGCAAAGACGGGGGATAGCTCCGTCTGGTCAAACGTTTGGGTCCGGAGGTTGGAAGGTTTCCCGCCCGTTGTTATTACTGTTAATATTGTAAGAAAAGCCTGGGCTCTGATCATCACGCTCCTGAGCCCCGACGAAAAGCTCGCCCAGTGTGTGCTTAACTCTACTCCAAACACGGTGCTCGTTGCACACTGTTGATGGCAGTCTTCGCACTTTCATTGGACATATCCCCGACCATCGTGGTTCGTCGACAAGACGATCGTTGTGTTGTCTTTGCTGGCGATCCAACCTGATCAGTTCGACGGGGAATCCTGGACAGGCACGACTGGTATGTACGCCATTTCAACGGTTCGCACTCGATCGTTTCCCTACAACAGCCAAAAATCGCGGTTCTCAGTGGATGGACTGACGCAGTTTGATAGGTGTGAGCGCCATCTCTCTCTAGTGGCCATCAGCAGCGTCACAACGAGGGCTGGGAAGGAAGCTCTTTTTCCAGCGACGTCTTTATACACACTCTCTTCTAAGGCCATCTAGGTTCAGACATTCCTTTTGGTGGGATAAGCTTGAGCTATGACATAGTGGGTTGCAAGAGAGGCGAATCGACCTTCGTTACTTCCTTCCAGGACCTCTCTGCTATTCTTATATGATCGTATCACCGGCCAGTTACCATAACCATGTCGGACCGAAAGGAAAATGGGGATGGCGCACGACAGAACAACAACCCTTTCCGGAGGGCACGAGCGCCCACTATCACCATCGATACATCTGCGGTGAATCTCGCTACGGACTCACCCTCGCAAGGCCAAGGGGGAGCTGCACCGGCTCGACCTCAACCTTCCTTGCGGATCTCAACAAGCAATGTGGAAACTGACACGGGCACACTGCTACCAAGCAACGACGTGTCGCCTACTGATCAACGATCCATGCGCTCTTTCGAAGGTCGGGAGAGGGAGAGCAGGCCTACATCGCCGCACAACGTTTCGTCGCCGACCTTCAAAGGGCCTGATGTTCACTCCAACTTTCTAGCGGTTCCTGGCAGCAGGTCTCGCGGCAACTCAATCGAATCAGAAGGGACAACCCATAGCGGAAGCTCGTTTGGAAGTGATACTTACGTTCAATCTTCCCCAGTCGACAATTCCAGGACGAATAGCACCGTTATGAACGACGAAGATGCTTTGCTCCCTGATCCAGGAACGGAAGGTGACTTCGAGGTGGAGGATAACAAATTCGCATTTTCTCCGGGCCAACTGAACAAACTTCTGAATCCAAAGAGCCTATCGGCCTTTCATGCTATCGGTGGTCTCGCTGGTCTTGAGCGGGGACTTAGGTCCGATAGGCGGAGCGGTTTGAGCCTGGACGAGACTTATTTGGACGGTACGGTCAGCTTCGAGGAGGCAACAGGAAGAGATGTTCAACAACAGACACCAAAGGTTGCGTCAAATACCCCCTTGGCGGATTCAAACCAGGGCGCCAGTGGCCAAGGTGGTGACGCGTTTGCCGATCGAAAGCGCGTATTTGGGGATAATAGGCTGCCAGAAAAGAAGGCCAAGTCGTTCTTGGAACTGGCATGGATTGCATATAACGACAAGGTTCTGATTCTGTTGACAATAGCTGCCGTCATCTCACTTGCACTTGGAATCTACCAGTCTGTCACGGCCAAGAACGGCGAGCCGGGCGTCGAATGGGTAGAAGGTGTCGCTATTATAGTAGCCATTTTGATCGTGGTCATTGTCGGTGCTGTCAACGATTGGCAGAAAGAACGGCAGTTTGTCAAACTGAATAAGAAGAAAGAAGATCGTCATGTTAAGGTGATACGGTCAGGGAAAACAGTCGAGATCTCCGTGTTCGATGTCCTCGTTGGCGACGTGGTGCATCTGGAGCCGGGTGACCTGGTACCGGTGGATGGTATTTTCATTGAAGGTCACAATCTGAAATGCGACGAGTCGTCTGCAACGGGAGAGTCCGACATGTTACGCAAGCACTCAGCAGACGACGTTTACAGAGCCATTGAAAACCATGAGAACCTTTCCAAGATGGACCCTTTCATCGTGTCGGGTGCCAAGGTTTCTGAAGGTGTTGGAACGTTTCTCGTCACATCCACCGGCGTCAACTCAAGTTATGGAAAGACCATGATGTCCCTACAAGATGAAGGCCAGACAACACCGTTACAGTCCAAACTGAATGTTCTGGCTGAACACATCGCCAAGCTTGGTCTCGCTTCAGGTCTACTCCTGTTTGTGGTGCTGTTTATCAAGTTTCTCGTCGAGCTGAAGAACATCGATGGTGCCGATGCAAAGGGACAAGCTTTCCTCCAGATTTTCATTGTTGCAGTGACAATCATCGTCGTTGCAGTGCCGGAGGGGTTGCCCTTGGCTGTTACTCTTGCTCTCGCCTTTGCCACCACACGTATGTTGAAGGACAACAATCTGGTTCGTCTTCTGCGAGCTTGCGAGACTATGGGCAATGCGACTACCATCTGCTCGGACAAGACTGGTACACTCACTCAAAATAAGATGAGTGTAGTGGCCGGTACCTTGGGCACCTCTTCTAGGTTTGGGGATAAAAAGAAGCCGCAGAACTCATCGACTGAAGTCGAGACTAGCAACAATGGCGGTGACGATTCTAGTAACGTCTCTCCTTCAGAATTTGTCGCTACTTTGTCTCCGTCTGTAAAGGATATGCTATTGCAATCTATCGTGCAGAATTCGACTGCGTTTGAAGGTGACGAAGATGGTGTACCTACTTTCGTTGGGTCAAAGACAGAGACCGCACTGTTGAATTTTGCACGCGATTTCCTTGGTATGGGCGCTCTCAGTGAAGCCCGGTCCAACTCTCAGATGGTTCAAATGGTCCCTTTCGATTCTGGAAGGAAGTGTATGGCCGTGGTGATCAAACAGCAGGATGGACGATATCGAATGTTTGTCAAAGGTGCCTCTGAGATACTGATTTCCAAATCGACGCGAATCATAAGCGATCCCACGAAAGAACCGGCGGATACCCCTCTGACGGATCAAATGCGTTCATCTCTCAATGACATTGTCGCCAATTATGCGTCCCGCTCGCTACGAACTATTGGTCTCTTGTACCGTGACTTTGACCAGTGGCCTCCACGAGGTGCTCCTACTCTGGAAGAAGATCGAAAACTCGCGCAGTTCGATGCTATCTTCAAAGATATGGTCTTCCTCGGAGTGGTCGGAATTCAGGATCCTCTCCGCCCTGGTGTCGCTGACTCCGTCCATCAGTGTCAGAAAGCCGGTGTATTTGTACGCATGGTTACAGGTGACAACATATTAACAGCGAAGGCTATTGCGCAAGAATGTGGCATATTCACTCCTGGCGGCGTCGCAATGGAAGGCCCCAAATTCCGCAAGCTCAGCTCTCATCAGATGAATCAAGTGATCCCTAGACTTCAGGTACTTGCGAGATCAAGTCCTGAGGATAAGAGAATTCTCGTTGCGCGGTTAAAGAAACTGGGCGAGACGGTTGCTGTCACTGGTGATGGCACGAACGACGCGCCAGCTCTGAAAACTGCTGATGTTGGTTTCTCCATGGGAATTGCTGGAACCGAGGTGGCCAAGGAGGCGTCGGATATTATTCTGATGGATGACAATTTCACTTCCATTGTGAAGGCCATTGCGTGGGGCCGGACTGTCAATGATGCCGTGAAAAAGTTCCTGCAGGTCAGTCCAATCTATATTCGTAATCGCTTGATGCATACTAAACCGAATCTAGTTCCAAATCACTGTGAACGTCACTGCTGTCGTCTTGACATTTGTATCTGCTGTAGCTAGCGGTGATGAGAGCTCTGTACTCACGGCAGTGCAGTTGTTGTGGGTTAATCTTATCATGGATACTTTCGCAGCTCTTGCTCTGGCAACGGATCCGCCCTCGCCTTATGTCCTGGATCGGAGGCCTGAACCGAAGTCGTCATCTCTCATTTCGTTGACCATGTGGAAAATGATCATTGGACAGTCGATATACCAGTTGGTTGTGACGTTGGTTTTGAATTTTGCCGGGAACAGAATATTCGGTTACAAGACCTCTGAGGAGCAGGCGGCACTGGAGACGGTCGTGTTCAACACTTTCGTCTGGATGCAGATATTCAATCAGTATAAGTGAGTACTATCGGGCCCTGGTAATATGGGATTATATGCTAATGTCTTTCCAAGTTGTCGCCGCCTAGACAACCATTTCAATATTTTCGAGGGAATACACCGCAATGTCTGGTTTATAGGTATTCAGGCTATTATTATAGCGGGGCAAGTTATGATTATCTTTGTCGGTGGACGGGCCTTCTCCGTGAAGCGTCTGAACGGACCACAATGGGGCGTCTCCTTGGTTCTTGGAGCCATCTCTGTCCCCGTTGCAGTCATCATTCGATTAATTCCCGATTCACTTATTCAGCGACTCGTCCCGCACTTTTTGAGCCGCAAGAAACCACCACAGCTTTTTGTGTCGGACGAGGAAAGCCGTTTTGAGTGGAACCCAGCGTTGGAGGAGATTCGAGATCAACTGAGCTTCCTTAAGACGGTTCGCGGAGGACGGTTGAGGCATCTCAAGCACAAGCTTCAGCATCCGGAAACTCTTCTTCCAAGGTCTCGCAGCGGCTCACGCTCAAGAGAAGAATCTGCTCCTGCAACCCCAGTGAGCGAAGAGGCTCCTCCATCAACCTCGGCCTCGCCCCCACCTGCTACTCCAGAATCGCGTTCAAGAAACCGAACACGCTCTCGTTCTAACTCGGCTTTCGGCCCGGCGGCTGCTATGGCTGGTATAGTGGCAGGTAGTATCGCCGGCTGGTCTCCTATTGAGAGAGGCCACGGTGACAATGATTCTCTTAAGTTCTCCCGCAATGGCAATGGTCGAGATGATCAAGCCGCCATTGAGGTGCATCCCGATACGCATCCTGATGATCCTGTTATTACGGATTACGCAGTTTCGTCCACCACTCCTCCAAGTCAGAATCCGGATCTTGTTCCAAGCTTCGACTTTGTGCCGTCAGATAGCACCTCCACTCGTGGTAGGAGATCCACTTCGAGACGTTCGCGCTCCAATACGCTTCGTAGCCAAAGTCAACAATCACAGAACTAAAGTAAAGCGAGGTTAGAAAGCTCTTCTGTTGCTGCTTGTTGCACGTCGGACTTCTCTGTGATTTTCTTTTTATCGACTGGCATCTGGTCGGTGGCTGGTTTTGGGGAGTGCGAGGCGTTTGGAGATCGGCATGTCCCATTCCTGTTTGCATAATAGAGGTTCCATTTGTCACAATGGACATTCGCACAACTACACATTGTTAATGGTCTTTTTCGAACTAATTTTCGGTCCCTTTCCCTCGATCTCTCCCTTCTCTGTTGTTTTATTCCTTTTGCAAGTCGAGAGCATAAATAAAAGAAATGCAGAGGGCCCCATGTACTGAGAATCAGCTATCCAAACAGAGAAAAGGATTGCAAAGTGCAAGGACATCTTTACGGACATTTGCGGACAGTGGCACAATCGGCGAATGGCTCTTACAATATCCTACTTGCACAGCACTGCATACATTTCATCTTATCCTCTGCAGTTGGACCTATATATATTTGATCCATGGCGTCTTTCATGACCGTTGACTATTAGCAAGTCCACCACTGGGTGCAGTCTCTTTTTGGGTCTTTTTTTCTTTTGTAGTGCAATTTTCTATCTGCTGTATTTCTATTGGGAAGGCCGACTCTTAGTTTAGTACTTCTCCGTTTCTCTTTCCTTACTGATATCAACCCTTTCCTGATACCGCCTGTATTATTTCAGCAAGAAGGATGCAATCTGATAGAATAGCGAAGTCGATCAAAAACTATTTTCTAAATGACTTCAATCACAGTTCCATTGTCTCCCGCAATTCGAAGCCTGGCTAGCTATCGCAATGTTCTTCCAAGGTATGGGGATCAAGTCTGAAAGTCTTGAGGCTTCATGTAATTGATGATTGAGATCTATGAAAGCCGATAATACATAATATACTGCTAACATTCTCCACTTATGTCCCCAAAAACAGATAAGATGAGCAAAGCAGCCGTGCTTCAGTGATGGTAGCTCATTGTTCAGGACCCCCATTCTTGGATTCTACAGCTAAGTCGATGGTGGGGATGCCACCGGGCGTCCGGGCAATTCTAGACCATCGATTTCCCAATAGGAAAGGAACCTGGACTGTCCTCATTGCTGTCATAGTAGTAGTAAACCAAGCATTTCCAACAATCCGGTAGTCTGGGTATTCCTCGTATTTACCAGTTATATTTCTGGGGAGACTGCTTTGAGCTAACTAATTCAACAGTGGGGTGAAGGTAATGGAGGCTAGTTTGGAGATCTACTCTTTACCGTTAGAGCTGAAGCTCCTTCATTGGATGCAGATAATAATGATAATGGTCTATTGCTCGACAGATTGATAGATACCCCGGCCCTGCAGATGTCAGGACTGCCGCAAGATAGGGATCTCAAACTAGACTAGAACAATTCGGTGGCCATTTTATTTAAAAGTAGTCCTCTTTCATCTTCCCTGCTGATGGTTTCGGTTCACGATTCCTCGACTATCCTCGGGGGCGCACTTTTCTCTCAAGTTCAAGATGGATCCCAAAGTGGAGAAGTCGGACGTACCTATTCGCCCTGCGACACAGTATGACTCTGAAGAGCTGGGCTCATCATGCACCATCCCAGCTTCGAGATGGCGAGGATTGTTCAACCGCATCGAAGATTTAGCTGGCATGGAGGCTCGTGGTATCGAGCGTGTTCCTTCTGAGGAACGCCACAAGGGCGGAGTACGCGAATATATGCAGATGATGCTTCTATGGCTCAGCGCAAACCTGACGGCGAATAACACGACTGTGGGTATATTGGGCCCTCTGGTTTATGAACTGGGTTTCACAGATGCAGCGTTATGTGCGACCTTTGGAGGGTTCCTGGGAGCAGCTGGAGTTGGATTTACTTCCATGTGGGGACCCAGGAGTGGAAATCGGACTCTGGTAGAATCCCTTTTTTTTGAATGATTGTTTCGCTTTTTTCTTTTATATTTCGTGATATAAACCCTGTTGCTTTTTTTTCATAATGGGATATCGAACTTATACTCCCCTCACAGATTGTGGCCAGGTATTTCATGGGATATTATCCCGGCAAGATATGCTCTTTGCTGAACTTGGTAATCATGCTGGGATATGGCATGATTGACTGTGTTATTGGAGGCCAGATCCTCTCCGCAGTCTCCAATGGACGCATGACGGTTATCGTTGGGATAATCGTTGTTGCTATTGTCACACTGGTAGTAGCAGCATTTGGCATGCGAATCTTTCAGGCCTATGAGAGGTAAGTTTCCAATCCATCTTCCCTTGAGCTTCCTGTGTGATACATACTCACCTCAACACATGTAGATATGCATGGCTTCCTCAGTTAATGGTCCTCTGTATCATGATGGGCTCCGCCGGACCGCGCTTCGACATCCACACACCCTCGGTTGGCTCTCCGGAAGCAGTTTCTGCTCATCGGCTTTCCTTCTTTTCACTCTGCATGGCTTCCGGAATTGCTTGGGCTCCATCCGGTGCAGACTATTATGTCTATTACCCTTCGAGCACAGCTAGATGGAAGACATTCATGATGACCACAGTCGGACTAGGCTTTGCGCTATTCATCACTCTCATGCTAGGAGTAGGCCTCGGAACCGGAGTCGCTACCATCCCATCCTGGTCCGCTGCATACGATAACACTCCTGGAAACCTTCTAGCAGCCGCATACGATAACTTGAATGGCTTCGGAGGTTTCTGTTCTGTGATAGTGGCTCTGGGAGTGATTTCAAACAATATCCCTGGTACCTATTCAGCGTCCCTTGCATTCCAGATGCTTGGTCGTCACGGACCCAAGGTCCCACGTTTCATTCTAACCATCTGCTGCGTGATCATCTACACGGCATGTGCGCTTGGTGGACGTAACTACCTGTTTGAGGTCTTTAACAACTTCCTGCCCTTAATGGGTTACTGGATCGTCATCTGGATTACGATCATGCTCGAGGAAGACCTGATCTTCATGCGAGGCAAGGACTATGACTGGACGATTTGGAACGATTGGCGAAAGCTGCCTCTGGGGATCGCTAGCGGTATATCCTTCCTTGTTGGCTGGGCTGGTGCTATTGTTGGTATGGTAAGTAGACAATTCGTCCCTGCATGATTTTCATTGAAGGTAGTAAGTAATAGAGCTGACATGATGTGATTTCTAGGATCAAGTGTATTTCGTTGGTCCAATTGCCAAGTCTATTGCTGGAGGGGCCGACCTCGGTATCTGGCTAGGAATCGGGTTTACTGTCTTTGTCTATCCACCATTGAGGGCACTGGAGCTTCGAGTGGTGGGTAGGTAATGTGTAAGATTTGTTTATAATAGTGATATATGATATAATAGTTTTTTACGTCCAGAAGGTTGCTGTTTCAGTGCCGTGATCATTATATCTCGTAGCTTCCGACAATCCGTATAGTTAATCGCAGGCTTCTTACTCGGCCACCAGACACGCTAGTGAAGAGTCGTATATACAAATTTCGCAGTATGATTTTTCGTAGAACAACGTAATAATTCTCCGTTGTAGATCCGATGACAGATAGTAACGGGATACGTATAACCCTTTCGTAACCAATCAGCATTCCAGAGTCACTCATACCCGAATCATTACCCGGGCAATAATCACACCTCTAATCCCTCAAAGAAGACTACTAAATACCATAACGTTTCATATTATCTCCAATAGATCAGAGATCGACAGTCCATTGAATGCACTCGTATAATCATGCGGGGAAGCCGCTGTAAAGCGGGGCGTAGTTCGGTTAGTACAGTAAGAAAATAGGGCCTCGCCTAGATATTCCGAGGAAATGGCGATCTTGAGTTAACTCATCCTGCATACTAGTTTCGCTCTTATCATATCCCAATAATGGAGAATACAACGAAATATCTAGTCGAGGCCTGGCAGCCTCCAAGATTTCTGAGCGAAGCGGTGCAGATAATCCAAGATGCGTCGCCTCGTCAGCTACTCAGCTATACATTAGTCGGTCTAGTCATCTATCCGACTATCGTATCCTTGCTTCGATTTCGCAGATTGAGAAAACTGCACAGAAGATATCACTATCCTACCCGAGCGTCGATGGCTCGGATGACAGATAATGAAGCCTGGGAGATTCAGAAAGTTATCTCGGAACTAGAGTTTCCGTTCATGTACATCAAGGCTCTCCAATTTGCGCTGTTCAGGGTTCGAGAGAATTTTCCCCGTCCTCGTTTGATGTCTCGTGACTTTTTTATTATCTATGATATGTATTACCCGACTGACGCTTCATCACCAGACATACGGAATCCCTACAATATCCAGCCTATTGGTTGGAACCAGTCAGTTCACGAACCCGCGCACCGCTCTGAAGCGTTACGTGGACACAACTGTCTTAATTGGCGAGTTCATCGCACACGCACCTACCTCAGACCGTGCCCAGAGCGCTATTTCACGTATCAATTACTTGCATAGCGGGTATCGCAGTACGGGAAAGATCCTCGAGGATGACATGCTCTATACGCTGAGTCTGTTTGCCATCGAGCCCATCCGCTTTATCGATACGTACGAGTGGCGCAAGTTGAGTGAATTGGAGAAATGTGCACTTGGGACGTATTGGAAGAGCTTGGGTGATGCCATGCAAATCAGTTATGAAGCGTTGCCGTCATATAAGACTGGATTCAGGGACGGTCTCCATTGGCTGGAAGAGATGGATGTCTGGAGAAGAGCGTATGAAAAGGAGAAAATGGTGCCGGATCAAAAGAACAAGTGCACGGCTGACCAGACGACGTCGATACTGGTATATATGCTTCCAACGAGGATGGAACATATTGGATACAAGTTCGTCTCCTATATGATGGATGATCGTTTGCGCAGAGCTATGATGTGAGTTGGACTACCTAGTTGATCTTAATCCGGGCCAGAGTTTGAGAAATACTAATACACTCCTCTGCAAGGTATGAACCACCTCCAGCATTATATGCCACGCTCTTCTCGGCAATGCTAGCCATTCGCAAGTTCTTTTTGCGCTACCTAGCTCTCCCACGTCCGTATTTCCTACGCCCGGTCAGGTTCTCTGATCAACAAAACGAATATGGACGTTTCTTCACCTCAGAATGGGATGCTGCCCCTTACTACGTCAAACCAACGCTTTGGAATCGATGGGGTCCCACAGCATGGCTTACCTGGGTCCTAGGTCATCCTCTTCCTGGAGACGAGGGTGACAAATACTATCCAAAAGGATACTACATTCCGGAAGTCGGTCCCAAATACCAGGAAGGAAAAGGATATGAGCAAATGAAAGAGATGAGAAAGAGGTTACACGAGGAACGGACGGGGAAGTGTCCCTTTCATTGAAATCAGTCTTGTATTGAGACAAGAGACCAAACTTATCGTCAGCGTTGAAGTATAACCACGAGCAATCAGAACTTGAACCATGCAATCCTGTCCGCGGGTATCAGAAGGAAAAGGGGTTTTAATCCCAATTGATACCTTCCAATACTAAGTTCAGTACTGGTATAGTGCTGAGTAGATTCATGATTGAATCTCAGGATGTCAACACCCCCGTCTATTTCACTCCTAGGCTTTACTGTGCTCAAGCGTCCGTCGGACACTATGACGAATGATAAATGCACGACTCGACACATGGTAAATGAAAAGTCTACGCAAGCGTGGTTTATGCATTAGCCATGTGGGTGTGGAATAACTTAAGATTAGGCCTGTTATAGAAGACTGAAGTCTGCTCAGTGCAAACTACGTCTGGACAAGTAACCTGGACAATAATGTATCCTGAGATCCACGCTTGGTTCGCAAAACTGCGGTTTATTGAATAAAGGCTATTACATGGGGACGTATGAGGGGAGAAGCTGTTTATTGCAGTAGGTATGTGCTATTCAATTCCGACATTCCCTGAACCACAATAATCCCTCTTGAAGTTTCGACAAGAAAAGAACGCTCGCTGTTCGGCTAAGGTATTGTTTTTTGGGGACTTTCGGCTCGGAATCAGAACCAAAAAATCCTAGAGAACGTGGGGGAAGGCAATGGGGTATTACTGAGAGCAGATCTCGAATTATGTCACCGTAAGAACAGCGTTTACTCCTCACCCTCGAGGGGCTCCTCGTCGTTGCTACAAAGATTGTTAGCCAGAATTCCACGTACTAGTGGATGCAATCAAACTTACTACTCCTCCTCGCCCTCAGAGACAGAGGCGTCCTGGTACTGCTGGTACTCAGAGACCAGATCGTTCATGTTGCTCTCAGCCTCAGTGAACTCCATCTCGTCCATACCCTCACCAGTGTACCAATGCAAGAAAGCCTTGCGACGGAACATAGCAGTGAACTGGTCACCGACACGCTTGAACAGCTCCTGGATGGAGGTGGAGTTACCAATGAAGGTGGCGGACATCTTGAGGCCGCGGGGAGGAATGGAGCAAAGAGCAGTCTGGATGTTGTTGGGAATCCACTCGACGAAGTAGCTGTGGTTCTTGTTCTGCACGTTGCGCATCTGGTCCTCGACCTCCTTCATGGAGACCTTACCACGGCTAAAAGAAAAGGTGATTAGCTAAAGAACATCGAGTACTTCAAAGGTATGCTGCACTTACAACATGGCGGAGCAGGTGAGGTAGCGGCCGTTACGGAAGTCAGAAGCAGCCATCATGTTCTTGGGGTCGAACATCTGCTGGGTCAACTCGGGCACGGAGACCGCACGGAAGGAGTGAGCGCCACGGCTGGTCAACGGGGCAAAGCCGACCATAAAGAAGTGGAGACGAGGGAAAGGAACCATGTTGACAGCCAGCTTGCGGAGGTCAGAGTTGAGCTGACCGGGGAAACGCAGGCAGGTGGTGACACCGGACATAACGGCGGAAACGAGGTGGTTCAGGTCACCGTAGGAGGGGTTGGAGAGCTTGAGGGTGCGCATGCAGATGTCGTACAGAGCCTCGTTATCGATACAGAAGGTCTCGTCGGAGTGCTCGACCAGCTGGTGAACGGAGAGGGTAGCGTTGTAAGGCTCAACGACGGTGTCGGAGACCTTAGGAGAGGGGACAACCGAGAAGGTAGCCATCATACGGTCGGGGAACTCCTCACGGATCTTGGAGATCAGGAGGGTACCCATACCGGCACCGGTACCACCACCAAGGGAGTGGGTGATCTGGAAACCCTGGAGGCAGTCACAGGCCTCAGCCTCGCGACGGACAACGTCGACAACCTGGTCGACCAATTCGGCACCCTCAGTGTAGTGACCCTTAGCCCAGTTGTTACCAGCACCGGACTGACCGAAGACGAAGTTGTCAGGGCGGAAGAGCTGGCCGAAAGGACCGGCACGGACAGCGTCCATGGTACCAGGCTCAAGGTCGACGAGGACGGCACGAGGAACATACTTCTTGCCAGCAGCCTAAAGTATTGGTGAGCATATGGAGCGTCCTTATCGGTATCATAGGGCCAACAACTACCTCGTTGAAGTAGACGTTCATGCGCTCGAGCTGGAGGTCGGAGGTGCCATTGTAGCTAATCCATCGTCAGTCACCCGTCGATTCGATGTCCAAGCGTCTCCAGATATCGTGTACTCACACACCAGAACCGTCAAGGCCGTGCTCGCCAGAGATGGTCTGCCTATAGCATAATTAGCACCCTCAATCTTCATAACCTGAGCCTTCCACGTCTCAAACAGACACCCGGGCTCTTTCTTTCATTTCTCCTATTGATTTCCAACATACCAGAAAGCAGCACCAATTTGGTTACCCTGTTTGATTGGTACCCTTTAGTCATCCATGTCCCTAAAACCTCATATTCGGAATTCGATATCGATGCTGAAACTTACACACTGGCCGGTTTGGAGGTGAACCTGTTGAACGTGAAGAGAAACATGTCAGTTATCATGGAATGCGGACAGTGATGGCGGGGTTGCGTTTCAGGGGTCCGAGAAAAGGTCTCAGAACGGTCCCGACGCGTCTGGGGGGGATTGGAGTCAACAAACGTACGATTTCACGCATGGTGGCAGAAAGGTGACAGGTCCGGTAAAGAAGAGAGTTGGAATGGACGGGAGGATGAGGAGAGGATTGAAACCCAGGACAAGAGGAGTTCTGGGAGAAAGGACAGCGATGGAGGATGAAGTTGGGAAGAAGTCGGCGGTGAGGAGACGCCTTGTTGTGCGGCTAAGAAGGTTAGTTCAGGAGTCAACAGGACAACAAGAGGCCGGGCAGGGGGCGCGCTCAATCCGGTATCGCGCCGGTTCGTGCCACGTCACGGGACCAGCCCGCGTTGTCCATGCAGGAACGACCTGGATAGAGGAACTCTTACATTGGAGACAGAGAAATAACTATATTCATGGCCACAGAATTACTCATTTTGAGGACATCCCATTGATGGCACATACTCGACAATTGGTCAAGTATTTATTTGTTATGATTTGTCATCAACCAGTGGTCTTCGTGGGCGCTGTGTTCAGTAGGTACTTAGCCGCTCTAACTAACCCACCCCAAACATAATTACCCCGAGAGGATGGTCACCCGAGATCCTCGATATAAAATGCCCGTCAGCTTTGTCCTAAAAATACAAAAATATCTCCCGTGACAAGTCGTCGATGCCCCAGTACTGTCACTTGGCGGTGCTTTCCACAATCCGCTCGCTTTCCCTTTGGCTCTCGAGCCACGAGCCGAACTCGTCCAGCCGTCTATACTCATCCTGGTCAGCATCCAGACCATTCTCTGCCATATCCTCGAGCGCTGCCCGCTTCTCATTGGTCTTCTTGAATCTCTCGCTTCCATCTGCGATATATGCTTCTACACGAGTTCCGGAGAAGAACCGTCCATCCATCATCTGCATTGCTAATCAGTCACAGTTCACAAATCACCATCATGAAACAGTAGGGCTTTAACAAAAGTGTACTCACCCTGACACATTGCCTGGCGGGCTCAGGGTCCGAATACCGCACAGTAACGATACCGTCAGGTTCTTTGTCGTATAACACGACGTTGGTTACTTCCCCCAACTTGGAACATTCATCACGAATATCTTCTTTGATGTCCAGAATAGCCGCGGGATCCTCCTGCAGAAAACTGTTAGCCTCAAAGTCGACACCCAGGACAAAGGATACGGTCTTCGCACCTCGATCTCCTTCAGAGTGAACATATGCTTAAGCACGACGATCCTGTCCCATCTAGAAGTAGTGTCTGGGAGGGCAGCTACATCGTCATCATCCCAGTCTGCTAGTTTACTATAAGGATGAAGTCAGTAACGGTTTCGCATATCGACTAGTGAGATGCAACGGTTGGTGAGAAAACGGAACCACTATACCTGTTAAGTTTCTGGGTCTTTCTCAGGATCTTTTTCTTGTCTCGCATGCTCGTCTTAGTAGGAGCCTCCTGCTGACTCTTGAATGAAAAATCTGCTGGCTGCACCTTCATCGGACCCTGCGGTCCCGTCATGCCTAACCGGAAGTCCGTCTCATCCAGCATCTGAACCGCAAGATTAACAGATTCGGGTCTGAAGTAGACGACCAGCGCATCTCCCTTGAATTTCCCATTCTCATCCGTGTACATCTTAATCCGGGGTCGACCGCTGTCGATCTCTTCGGCGATGACACCACACTTGCAGAAGACATCCTTGATCTCGTCCAGTGTAGCATCGAGAGGGAGAGAAGTTACGTAGACTGCTGTATTGACACGGGGCTTCTTTTGTTTTTGATTATTTTCCTGCTTCGACATATCCGTCAGCATTCCTCCTAACGATATCTTGAATCCGACCGTATATACCTCATCTCCTGTAGCTTGCTGTTTCCGTTTCTTTCTCAGCTGCTGCGCCGACACTGTTTCTTCTTCATCAACCCCTTCGACCTTGTATGCTTGTCGTTGTTGTTCGAGAAGTTCATCGTCAACCTGTAACATTCGCGCATATCGCGCATCAGCCTATGACTCCTCATATCGTAACAACTCTATACGCAGGCAGTGACAGACACATTGATTGACCAAGCAGTAGACATAAAACGGGTTAATGTGATCGATTGACCATGGAGAAGCGCAACGGCGCAAAAAGATCCTCCGGGAACTTACCGTCTGCACCCAACGCTTCAACGCCGTATCATACTCGAATTCCTGACCATCCTCCGTTTCCAGAATAAACTTATTATCTAGTTTCGAGAAGGAGATGCGCGGATCGCTGTCGAACTCTTCAGGGTCTCGAGGGAAGTCGGCTGTAGGCGCCTGGTCTGGCGCTGGCACCGGCGCGCGCTCGTCGGGGTTCCGTAACGACATGCAGAATATGGAGATCCGAAATATGGCTGCGATCCTATTTTCTAGAAATAAGGAAGCTAGAATACTCGAAAAGGCGGTATCGTATTTGTTATGCGCGGACTGCGGCGTTTTCGTCCTTTCTTTGCGGGGTCGGCTTAAGCTCAAGGGATCTGATGATGTTTCTGGGAGCTTCGCCCGACGTTAACTAGCTTGGACTGGGGAGCTTCCCTGCGGATGACGCATTTCCTCTTTTTGTATTTCTACTTCAGCCACAAATGCTCTCCTGGCACTTTTCGCAATGATGCACATACTCTACCATGTTTGATGTTGATTGTTCGATTCAGTTATTCAGCTCTACCCTTCTGCTGCAATATTTACAACTGATTGTTAACAACACCCCCAGGTTCGATATCATTGGACAATCACACATCAAATCCGCAGGAACATCAACCAACAGCTTAAAAAAAATTCCTGGTTTCTTCGTCAACCGTGCTCCACGAGCATTGATCTGCAATGCTAGGTGTAACAATTCTGTTTCGCTAAGGCCTGCATCTCTTTCTGATCTCTATCGTACAAACTCATGTTCACTGGTACCAATTCTCAGATCGCTGGTCGCGGCTGTTCGGATGCCATGTTGGACTTCTGTAAATAGGATGAAGCAGTCAAGTGATCATTATGGACGTGGGTTTCTAGCAATCTAACAACTTAGTAGCCATTCGATGTGACCGTCGCGAGAAGCCTTTAGGCTGATTCGGGGCTAACATTCAGCTTCCCCTGATTGAAATCCAGGACAGGGTCGATGATGACAGCTGCTTTTGTTGAAGGGCAAGCGACAATATATTGCCAAGTCGAGGTTTTCTCTCGAAGATAGAATGTACCATGGGTTGTATATTCGCGACGTATAGGTATCAGGGAAGAGTGGGCGTTTGGATGTTGTATATTCTGAATATCTAACTTTCTAATCACAGATATACGAGCTTTTGTTAACTTGACGAATATTGGGACTATATGATGATGAACAATTCTTTCGCAACACGTTCAGGTCTTCTTGATTATCCGGACTGATATTTACTTGTTGGTCGGCGAGGTTGTTTGTGAAATCCCCGACCCCGGGATCTCCAAGCTTGATGTTCTATCGATCCGTGAGATATTCGGAGGCCTGCGTGGATCTGGCCCAATAGTTAAAGTTAAAAGTTAGATGTCGGCGTTTCTCGTAATTAACGCCTCTCGTGCTTGTGCTTAGCCTTGCCATTCGTCTGTCATCCCCCATCAAAGGGACGCCGAGCTAGCCATAGCAATGGATTAATTCGATGAGTGCAAGAGTTACTCTTTTCTTGATTAAGTCCATGGGATTGGGGTTATTCTAACGGAGCTGCTTGAGATCTGAGCTGAAGAAATCGGTGCAGATTCGAACTCAACCTCCGAATACATCTATGAACTAGAGCAAGAAGACATCGCACCTTGAATCCTGTCGATTAATATCTATTCATCTATGTAATATGTAATGTATTAAAAATCAGGGAGTGTAGACAGATCAAAAAGTCCTGCGTTGAGAATGGAACAAAACGACTTGGAAAGATCAGAAAAGAAGTAGGAAAGTAAAGATAAGGATTGTTCGAACACGCGAGTTTCCGATATATGACCTGCCCGTTCAACAACACACAATTTGCGCTCAGGTCTTCTTGATGAAAAGTACTAGATATCCCAGCAGTCGATAAACGGCAATGATTCCGATCATGATACCCACCCAGGTTCCTTCAATATTGGGGTTAATTCCAAATTGCTGCAACACCGCAAGACCACTGATCTTTCCAACGGAATTCAAGTCACTTGGATACATGCATTGATATTTGCCATCTCCGATGAGATCACACTCATAGGTGCGGTGCTTGAATTCATTCACCATCATGCCCTGAAAGACGTAGGCCTGATAGTCAATGTAATGAAAGACGTATTTCCAGAAAGGATTCAAGGTCCCCATTGGAACGAGGAAACCGTCGACGCACATCCATAAACCATTGGCGAATGCAGTGACGGCAAGAGCTACCACGAAAATCGGGAATAGGGATGAGACCAGAACGACAAGGGATTCAGCGGCGACCAGATCCAGGAAGAGCCATAGAACGAACATCCAGAACGAATCAGCGTTTGGACGCATATTGGTCAGCCAATACTGTACCACGGCGAAAAGCAGCGTGATCAGGAACAGGAATGGCAGACCGATGAGGAAGTTGGAAATTGTGAATGCCAGCGGTCCAACTAGCCCATTAGCCCTCTCCTTGGCAAAAGTGGCTCGATCTTCCAAGAAAGCCGGCACATATGCCACTGCCATAAAAGACATGAAGGCCGAGCTGAAGAATATTGAATTCACAAATGGCTGGATATGGGACTGAGTCGTGCTGAAACGTAGGAATACTGTTCCCATCAGGATCGCCAAGCCAAGGTACATGATCACGCGAGTTCCATAGGCGACAATGTCACGATATGCTTTAATCCATGATCGATGAAGCAGTACCCAGGGGATCATCCATGGTGCAGCCTTTGCTGCTCTGACCTCGGAGACATTGGGAATGCCCTTTTCAGGATCGCCTGACATGTTAATGACCATATCGATCTCCTCCTTGAGCCTGGTCGCTTCAACAGATGAAGCCCATGAACTCGCGATATGTTTTACACGGTTTTCGGCATCGTCACCCTCTTTCGCGATGTCCATATTTATCAAATCCAGATAGAACTCGGCGGGGTTGACTTTCTGAGGCATTCGGTAGCCGATTCGCTCGAAGTATTCGCCAGCTGTGTTGACGGGTCCGAAGTAACAAGTCTTGCCTCTCGACAGAAGACATAATTTATCGAACAGCTCAAACGTCTTGGTCGATGGTTGATGGATTGAAGCGATGACTATGAGCTGGGTCCGAATATGTTCAGTATCCAAGCTTAAAGACATAGAATGCAGGCAAACTTACATTATTCTTCCTTCCAACTTGCTTGATATAGTTCATCACCTCGAAACTGAGAGTTGAGTCCAAGCCGCTGGTGGGCTCATCAAGGAAGAGGATTTTCGGGTTCGTAACCAACCGACTGGCGACCTCGAGCCTCTTCTTTTGACCACCACTCAGCCCCTTCTTGATGGGTGTTCCCACGATTGTCTGAGCTTGAGATTGCATTCCAAAGCTGGAGATCAGGTCGTCTACACGTTGGATTCGCTCTTTCTTTGATACAGAGCTATTGTAGCATCATTCAGCAAGATGAAAGACAAATAGGGTAATGGAAGGATGTATGGCGCTGCTTACCTTGGTAATGCAAGCCTTGCAGCGAAATGCATTGTCTCATGAACGGTCAAGCTCCCTATCAAGGCATCGTCCTGCTCGACGTAGCTCGAGAGCTCACGGATCTCATTGACACCAATTGGCTGCCCATTTGCCAGCCTCAATCCGGTTGTGACAGCGCCTGCTGCTGCTTTTCGATGTGCAATGGAATTTAGAAGAGTGGTTTTTCCAGAGCCACTGGGTCCCATGAGGGCAACCATTTCTCCACCATGGATGATTCCATTTGCGTCGGTCAAAATAGAGAGGGGCCTTCCACTGGCGTGGTCCTTGACCTTGACTTCTATGTCTTTCCATGCGTAGTTGAGGACAAGGTCGTTTGCAAGGTGTGCAGATTTCAAGTTACCCAGCTCAAGGTCCTCTGCCATGTTGTCATTTCTCTGTGTCTGCTCCTCTCGTGCCGTGTCTGTGGACACTGATCTTCTGGGGATCGGAACCATGATATATAGGTCACTGTAGGCTGTAGTCTTCAACTATAAAGCGGTCATGGAATTCTTTATCAAGAATGAAAACGGAAGTTTAAAACAGAATATACGCATGTACATACGATGTCTCGTAGGTGCGAATATCTTCTTGGAATAAAACAAAAGGAGAACCAATGCATAAGCAGGTACATCTAATATAAGAAATACTGCTCTCTCTAAAAGCATCTCCATGTTATCGGGCTTCTTCAACTGTTCCTCGCGGTGACTTTAGGGCTATTCCTAGATTAGGGTACCAGAGAGTATACATTTCCATTACTCCGACGACCCCGAGCATTCAATTGCGATATGCTGTATACTTGGAATGAGTCCCTATAGTTCATAAGACATGTTCTGTCCCAAAACGGACATCCCTAACTGATTGGGGAAGATGTGGTTCTTCAAGCTCGCCGACGTGCGGACTGTCGGAGCATAAAGCAGAAAGTCGCCGAACGGACCTAAATCCTTCATGGTCACCGACGTCTCCGATCAGAGTCGATATCGCCTCTCTATTTTTCTTTTTTTTTTTTTTTGCCTTTTGCTGCTCTGTTGGGAGCCGAATTCTGGGGAGCCCCGAGAAGTAAGGAAGGTAACGCTGCTTCACGGCGTCCGTAGCGTTGGAGGCCATCGTCAATTTACCAAATTGCGCGTCTAATTCCATTGCTGGAACACTACAAAATACAGTTATTCCGGGCGTCAGCTCAGTTACAGCTGAATAGGTTTGTGTTTGACACGTCACATGCATACTCCGAGCTCAGAGGACAGATGGCAAAACAAGTCTTGCTTTTTATTCACGATATACTCTAGTGGGACATATCAGTGGTTATCACTTGAACTAGAACTCTTTTAAATGATCGAAGAGCGATTGCCCTTCTCGAAAATGGTCAGTCCTGGTCTGTTGTCGAGTTCAGCTCAGTCTTGCGCTCTCTCAAGACGACCGGGCAACTAGGGATATACGCATTAGTTACCTAAGAAGCTTATCCTGTCAACTACGTAGGAACGGAAATAGATTGGTACAAAGCTTATTGGTTTTTCAACACGATTATATTGAAGTCACGTCGTCACATCATCTCATTCATCTGAACCTTCTATGCTTTTCCCCCGGACGCCTTAACACAGTCAACTCCTCATCACATCACCAAACACGACACCGCAGATAGCTAATCAGCCTTGGGGCCCTTGGGAGGGTACTTCTTGCCCTCTACCTCTACTTGCGGAGTGCAAGTGCAGCGTTCATTCTCAGGAATCTGGTCCATGACGTTCGGAATGTGCTTTCCACAACCCCACCAAGTAGCTTTGTCTATTGCCATGTCAGTCTGAACAGCCTTGGAAATAGAGCACCTTGCAATAGTTGTTAGACAGGGGTCAATAGGGGTCTACATACGGCAGTTGTCGCAAGTGGCCTTCAAACACATTTTGGTAGATTTGAGGTTGTCGATGCGGAGGCTCGATGTGATATTTCTGATCTATGATATGAACTTTGCGTGTTGCAAGTCACGGCTTGATTTCGAACCCAAGAGGCAGGAGCTAGCTAGATGTATGACTTCAAATTGTAGTCAATAGAGAAATAAAGGTTTGGATGAATTTCAGTCGCATGATTTAATTGATTTAAGACAGGTTGCCCTGACTCAAAGCGGGGTCTACTCGAACGGTTCCGGCGGCAATTCTACTGTAATGGACCCCGAAGCCCGAGAGAATAGTTGAGAATAGGCCAGACAGGTTCCCTGGAGTTGACGTAAGCATCTACTAAGCAGCACCAACTAACAGTTAACTATAGCTATGACAGGGGGCGGCAATCTAATGATAACGACGATAACTATAGGAGTAATAGTGAGAAGGGGGAACGATGAGCTGCATGAGACCATGAAGGGGCTACTGGGGATGTGTGAGAACCCTAGAAGACCCCCGGACGATTCGAAGGGCTAGAGTATTGTTGTTCTGGGGAAAACGACTGCGGCTCATACGTCGATCATGACGGCTTGGCCAATTATAGACTTCAGACTGCATATTTCACGCCTGAAATGAATCCCTCGACGTCAGTTGGCTTGCTGCTCAGTTGAACAATAATTTTCCAAGTATACCTAGAGCTCTGAATGCGCCGGCCGCTGGTTCTGCTCGGCCGAATTGCCCTCGGGCTTTTCGGGGTCCTTCGGGCTCCTCCTTCTCCCCGGGGATACGCTCTGGGATGCGAGAATCCTTCTTGAAACAAGGTGCGACGTTTCTTTTCAGTACTATGAGCCACGTCGTCTTCAGGGGTTTTTCTATCCCAATCTGGAAAGCACCGGGTTGTCCGTTGGACTGGACGGCGTCCAGTGATTGTCTCTGCCAGAGACACCGCTTATGTGACTCGGTGTCGCTAGCCTGCATGGACTCATTAACTGACAACATGCGAAGAGAAGCAGGATAGCGGAGCAATCAGATCTCTGAGGGAGTTGTATGTTTATAAACCTGATATAGAGAGTAGAGATATACTTTTTGATATCGATCGCGCAATCGCCCTATTAGATCTAGCGGACCAGTCAGCTAAGGCACAGATCTAGGTGGATTCAACTCAACGTCGCAGGGACCAATAGCTAAATTGGCGGGCATATAGTCGAACGAGACAGTTAGACATCACTAGAGCTTCAACGTGTCTGTCTAATCCAGAACAGGGTCAAGTCCTCGAGGCGAGTGCTGGTGGCCGAAATGGCGGGCCCGGGAGTGTGGAGAAAAGGTTCTTTGGCAGTCAAACGCAGTTTTTATTCCGGACCCTTAGGCTAAAGGTATCAAGAGAGGAGAGAGTCTGTTGGAGAGATCCACAGGAAAGTACTCTAATGTTTGGTCGCCTGTCCGGGTGGTCGCCGACGGGGACCTCCTTCATCGAGTCCATGCATATTTTCACCACCTTCCAAAGCCGTGGCGCCACGCCCATAATGTCTTTGCAGATTGGATTATAGACGCCATGACAGACGCCTCCGTTCGAAAAACCACCGCTGAACAATGTGGATGCTTTTTTGGTCAGAAAAAAATTTATATGAATGAGCTTAAATGGTCGCCCGGAGCATAACTATACCAATCCTCTCCCGCCGTCAATATCGAGGTCAACATTCGTCCGAATCAGGCTACATAGTAGCCATGCAAACACCACACGACCTGTCAAGCCAAAAGCAGGATAATCCTGTATCATCCGCCTGTGTTCCATGTCGGTCTCGCCATTTGAAATGTGACGGGGTCGCGCCTACCTGTAGTCGTTGCCAAACTACGAACACGAACTGTTATTACATCCAGTCCCGGAGAGGATTGAGACCAAACAAAGCAGACAATGCATCATCCAATGTGCCTTCGCAAGCCTCTCTTCCTCTGGAGGGATCATCAGACACGGATGCTATTCTGGATCCGAGCTATGATCCTGCGATGTTTTCCGGGCTGGGAATGGATGATCTGTCCTCCGAGTTTCTGTTTGGGAGCCTTCCTATGCAAATGGGCCAGGTATGCTGACTTCAAGATTACAGTCCACATCGACTCACTCTCAAGACTGACTTTTAGCGAACCGCAGACACAGCAGAGTCTAGAGCAAGCAGTGGAAGCAAGCTCAACACTCGATCTCCCGAATGCTGTGGATATTCCTCCCAGTGAACTCGTACCGTCGCTTGGGGATAAATCGACATCTCCATCGTTTCGAGAAGTGGCATTTGACCCTATGATCCAGCTCTACTACCAGAATTTTCACGGCTCTCATCCGTTCGCTATCCCCTGGAAGGCTGTTAATAGCCCCCTGTGTCAGTACTTGCCATCCTACTTACTATCGGTTATGCGGTATATCGGCTCTCATTATCATCCGAATTTATCATTCAGAGATATATACCAGAGAAAGGCCTATTCGGAATTATCTAACGATATTTCACGGACGGGTTTCAAGGTTCAGGGCTTGCTTCTTATCTCCATTGTGGACCACGCCTCTGGATACGAAGACAAAGCGCTTCAGACACTTGATACAGCTATAAAGATGGCTCTCGATATTCAGATGAACAGGGAGTCGTTCGTGCGCGACAACTCTGGCGGAAACGCTATTCTCGAGGAGAGTTGGCACCGGACGTACTGGGAGCTGTATGTTGTGAGTGGGTTGTTTGCCGCATTTAGACAACAAACCACGTTTGCTCTGCATAGTCAATATGCAGACATAAGACTTCCGTGCAGTGATGAGATCTACAATAGAGCCGGTGTGAGTGTTTCCCTTTCTGTTGAGTCTTTTCATATTGTTCCCATGCTGATAACTCGAAGTTGATCCCGCGGGGAAGAACTCTTGAAGAATTCCAAAATTACTGGCTACACGACGATCCAAGCAATAATTTCTCCTCATTCTCGTATCGCATACAGACTACACAAATCCTAGGTACCATACTATCTTTGGGCCACCATATGGACAGCAGTGATGAAATCCAAGCGGAGGCAATCGATGCTCGTCTTGCTTCATTGGCCATGCATCAACCAGCGGCGCAGCGGGAAATTTACAGAAGTAACGGCACTCTCGATGAGATGGCTCTTCAAGCACAGATGATCAATTACCTGTGAGTACCGGCACAGCTTACCCAGCGCCGGATCCGAACCCAAAGAAACAGATACTGGCGCGGCGTGATCATGATACTAACAGTGTATCCGTCTCCAGGTCGTTAATTTGTCTTCACTATCCCCGTTCAAACATGCGATTCGTACCCTTCCGAAACCCCAGCTCTTGCGTCCGACAACGCACAATAGAGGATAGCAATAGCACACTGCCAAACCTCGATCTCCACTCGGTGAAGGCTCTCAGGGCAGCCGACATGCTAGCAAGCCTGGCAGCCCTTCCAAGTCCTATCAAACGACAGAGTCCTTTCATGACCTGCGGTCTTGCAATAACTGTCACCGTCCATCTAGCAGCCGCTCTGACACAAGCTGGGGGCACTAGACTAGACACTCTGAAAGCGAGAATCGATCTCGCACTCGGTGGATTGAATATGCTGGGTGAGGTGTGGCCGCTCGCTCAGGCGATCAGGAAACAGCTCGTGGGCTTATACTCCGAGATGATCGCAAAGCATTGATAATTTCCTTCTTATGCTGGAGATTTCAGTTGGTTCATGGTCATGGCGCGACTATTTTGCGTTTGCATTTACACATAGAGTTCGCCGGCATTATACCCCTGCAAGCTGGCGAAAGTCTGTCTGGAAAAATAATATCTAAAACAGTACATCTAATTTACAAAGTTCCTAATGTATATACCTCATTTAACACGAGAGAATCAAAGTACACTACGTCTTTACATCTTTGCATAACAACCGACAAACCAATGCCACCAGCGTATATCGATGCGACAGTAACAAAACTGCTTATCCAAAGCATATTCATCCCACTAATAAACATGTCCGCTAGGATATCCAGCAGCAATAATTGATTAGTATTATATTAGATACATAGTCTTCTAGAGTAGACTAGACGCATCGCTATAATAACATAATCACTTGTTACAAGTTGTAGTTAGAACTATGGTATATCGAGCAACCACCCCCCATTATTGTCCGGAGTCCGGACACTCGAACCCCCTTGCTACAGTAAGTATGTAAGTGGCGCAAGATCGCCGAAGTCAGTGGGCTCTTAACTAAGCTCGGCGATGCGTCCGGGGTTCATCTACCAAGTTTTTCTTTTTTCTTTTCTTTTTTTTTTTTTTACTTTTTTAACTTAAGGTTAAGTTTCCCGATTCGGTCGAGAGGTCAAGATCCCCGAGCGACGGACTTGAAACGTCGCCAAAGCTGCAATTTTCACACTTCGATGTGCAGGTACTGGGCAGTAATTATTGATACTGCATGGTTTAAAGTAGTGGATGTGGATTTGAGCCCGAATGGTTAATTGGTTCCGGATCTTTTGTGGGGTTGGGTGATAATAATATAAGTTTGGAAAAGCGCTTTTACAGTAGTACTTCTGATCCCCGAGACTCCCCGGGTGACGAGAGTATAGGTCGATTGTTATTTTGGATGTGCGAAGAGCATGTATAATAAATAATACGCAGTGTATTAAGATGTTTCTCTTATTCTTATGCTGTTTCTGGATAGTTTGTGGTATTATCATTGTATGTATTTTCTCCGCACGCAAGCTCGAAGCAGATATACTACGTACACTACCACTCGTTCGTGGAGAAATAGCCAGGAATACCAAAATGATCACCATACAGCTTATGGTTAGTTAAATTTTTCTTTTGAATATACTCTTACTGTCTCCAGCTGAATTCAATTCAATACTGGGGTAGAAACGATGTGAATTGGCAGAAGCGTGACCTCTTCATCCTTAAACTACTAACTAGATAAGTAAGAAATTGTCGAATTCTAGTTAGATAGCACGGTAAGCATAAGCATGGTCTGACTTGAACGCTTTGAATCGTGTCGAATCCTAAACAGCACGGAAGCAGAATCTGAATTGCTTGCTTGCTTGACTCTAGGTCTAGTGGGGAATTGAACCCATATTCATTCTCTATAGCTATACAAAGGATCTAGTAATCAAGTAATCTAGTAGGTTAGATCTATCCTATAATTAGGATTCAAAGAATCTGCCACAAACGGATGATTGACAGATCACCTGGCGTTTGCTTTGTGCGCCGACACGGCGGCGTACATAGAATGCTGCGGTGGATTCGAGGTTTTATGACGAGGAAAGAATCGATCGAGGAATCGTCGCGTGATGTTTGTGGTTTTGTTTACGGGCGGGTTGTTTTGTGCGAGCATTTGCGCAAAGAGTGGTGAATTGGATGTTTCCGATTATGCTTTGTGTCGTTGGGAAGTGGGTTGTTACTGTGGCGTTTCTTTTTTTTAAAAAAAATGAGAGTGTTGGTTAACTTGAGGAAAGTATAGATCGTGTTGTACTGTAGTTACATGATGTAAGAGAACTAGTCACGGGTAATAATATGAGATGAACACACAAAGAACTAGAGATTCTGTCCTTTCCTTAGAGCATCTCGTGATACCTTATTGGAGCGTCGAGAACTCCCGTAGGTAAAGAAATAAATCATAACTAATTCGGATTTGATTGCCAAACTTCCTGTCCCTTGACTAAGCTATCGCGATCTTCGTACAAAAGAAAGAAACTCTGTTTACATTATTATGATTACCGGTATCTCAGTTGGCAGTCAAGAGTGTGATAATATAGGTAATATATACAATTAAAGAAATTAAGGGTATCTGGTTCTACTTGACAATAACAGAGGGACAAACAAGACAGTGGCACGAGCACACGTAAATCAGCAATTCTCGGAATGAGGCAGGAGTCGAAAAGAACAAAGACTTCCAGATCACACAACCAGCGAAAACAAGTGATGCTGCATTTCGTGTCTCAACCGGAACGCCTGCGGACCACCTATCCTCGATTATAGTCGTTAAAATTGTGACTTCATCTGTCTCATTCCATGAACAATTCGACCAGCGTCGCGCTTCAAACCTTGGTGTCCTGGACAATGTCGGTACTGGAGTGCTTGGACATGTGGTCACTGCCCTCAACACCACAGATAACATCGCGAGTGATCTCGACGTAGTCGTACTGCACAAAGAAGAAAATTAGCTAATCTAGTCCAGAAATTGTAGATGAGGAGTCCTCAACGGGGGAAGGAACATACAGCAAATTCGCCGATCTCAGCATCGTCGATGCCCATGATCTCGTCTTCCTCAGAAGCCCGGAGGCTCAGACCAGGAATGAAGTTCAGGATGAGCAGGATCACGCAGCTCAGCACAAAGGAATAGGCGAATCCAGAGACGGAATCGGCCAGCTGATATCCGAGCTGAATGTAGTGGTGGTTAAGCCAGCCACCGGGGATGACGGTGACGCCATCAAGATGGGCGATGTAGTCGCTTTAACAGATGTTAGCCATACGCTGTCCCAAGGGAAGTTCAAAGGATATAGGGCACTCACGCAGCAAAGAGGCCGGTCATCATGTTTCCCACGATACCGCCGACGCCGTGGACAGCAAAGATATCCAAGGCATCGTCCACCTTGAGAAGGTACTTCAACTTCGTAGCGTAATTGCAAGCAGCAGCGCCAACAATTCCGAAGATAACGGCAGCCCATGGAGGGACGAAACCAGAGCCGGGAGTGATTGCCACCAGACCAGCAATGACGCCAGAGCAGAATCCGACAGTCGACCACTTCTTCTCCAGGCGGTAATCCAGCAGACACCAGGTGACACCACCCACGGAGGCAGCCAGGTTGGTGACGACGGCCGCCATGACGGCGCGGAGGTTAGCGCTCAGAGCGGAACCAGCATTGAAACCAAACCAGCCGACCCAGAGGAAAACGGTTCCGATAACGACGTGACTGACATTGTGCGGGCGGTAGTTGAGCTCGTGGGTTCCGTGCCCGCGACGCTTGCCCAGCATGAGAGAGTAGGCAAGGGCTGCAGAACCGGAAGCAATATGGACGGGAGTACCACCGGCAAAGTCCAATCCACCCAGCTTGTACACCCAGCCGGAGGAGTTCCAGGTCCAGCAAGCAATTGGATCATAGACGATGGTCGACCAGACGAACATGAAGATAACGCAAGGCAACATACGGCCACGCTCCGCAGCAGCACCGGCGGCAAGAGCCACACTAGATGAACAGTCAGCAAATTTCCACAGCCGTTATCAGGCAGTGTGACTCACGTAATAGCAGCGAACATGCCCTGGAATATGGCGAAAAGAAGGTCTGGAACCTTGGTGCTTCCCACGGAAGGCACTGCGAGGACGCCCTTGAAACCAAAGTTTCTCAGGTCACCGATATAGGGGCCCGCCGTGTGGGAAAATGCCAAAGAATAACCCCAGAAGAACCATTGAAAGCTGATGACGCCAACTGACATGATGGAGAGCCAGATCAGGGACAGGGCGGACTTGCGACGGGCGAGGCCAGAGTAGAAAAAGCTAGGTTTGGTCAGCACTCATCCTCACGGTCAGGAGTAAGTACTCTTTCGACATACCCAACACCCGGAATCATGAGCAGCACCAGAGCGCTGGACACGATGACCCAGGAAATGTCACCCGCCTGTGAGGGTGGTCAGTTAATTATGCCATCTCTATAAAAAAAAGGTGGGATCCAGTTCAGGGAAGACGGACATTGTAGTAGACATTCAGGTCTTCTGTAAGAGAATCACCGCCATTGCCCGTCTGCGAGCCGGTGTATGGAATGAGAACGGTGTAGTTCAGGTTCGACAGGTCGGGTGTGCCCGACATTCTGTGCTGATGGACCTCGAGTCCGGATTTTGTTTAAGTCGAGTAGCGGATAATATTGAATACCCCTGATGGATCAGAAGGGATCGTCGACCTTGAAGAGCCCGGGTCCGTCAGAGAGAGGAAGCACCAACACCAGGAGAGGTAGGCGGCAGAGAAAGACACTGGTGAGGCCAGGATACGGCGGGTGACTAACGAAGGGAGGGAATATCAAAGTAAGCCCTATGGGAGGATCCTAGCAAGTAGATATACGCAGGACATCGCGGACGATAAATACTAATAGATACTGGGGGCCGTTCTCCGGAGCCCCGGCAGAACGCCGCACAGCAGATAGAGATCTACCCATGGATTCAGGCGCCAGTAGCGTTCTCAGCGGACGGTTCCATCGAGTACGACCAGGAGCGTCCCCCGGTGGAGTATCTATCACTCGGCTCTGGAGAACCTACAGAGTTGCCATGGAGTCAAAAAGGCGCTTTGATCAATCATTGGTCTCAGATCTCATACCACGACCGTTACAGCTCCCTTTTTCCATCTCTCAGGGACTCAATGTTCGTACTGAGAACAGCTAGTAGAAGAGAATCTTTCAGATCCGATCGAGACAGCTCCGAGATAGCGTACGTATGCTGTGGGCAATCAGCGTAGCCATCCCGATGCCACATCCGCCACCACGGCTTGGTGAACGTGCTAGACGCAGATGAAAGATAATGGCGAGATTCGATTTCTATTTTCGCTGACAGACGCGAGATGATAGCAGCAGAGACAGGCTGGTATCTTGCCATCGGACTGGCTGTAGATATGAAGTTGCCACGGGCCAATCAGGATCGCCGCTTGGCGCGACGCCAAGTCCCGCCCAGAGAAACGCCCATCGTATTGCTGATACCGTATTTCCCCCTGACCTGCCACGGTAACCAGACTGTTCCTGCCCAAAAATACCAGCTTGTTACCAGTTGTGACGGGCTTATATCGCTAATCTCTGTTCTTATCTGGCCAATCCCATTGCAAGAAACCCTTATCAAGATCGTTTTCCGCAACACATTCTTGTCATCACCATATTATTACCTAGTTATCTGCCATACCATACTGACTTTGACTACTGAAGGATCGATTCTACAGACGTCTTTTTGTCTCTGTCACGTTGTCCTGTCTTTTTTCTTTTTTTTGCACAGTACATCTATCAGAAATCTGCGTTCCACTGCGACGACTCTACTCGACGTAGAGTAGAGTACTCTAATGATACTTGCTCAAGTACCTCAATCGAGTGATATATCAATCTTCTCTAATTATATCATCAGACCCTGACAGGAAGTGTGTCAACATTTAGTTCCCTAGATGTATATATGTACAACATATGATTTAGACGCCATGTGGAGGTCTCGAGTCCATCTGCCTCGTGGTTGTCTCCACTGGTCCAGAATGCAAAGTACGAGAATCTGACTCTCACAGACCACCAGACGCTCCGGATTCCGTATCCCCATAAATATAACAATAATAATCACAGGCAGGATCCGCACGACCCCAGCACGTCCGCGGGGGCACTCTTCGATGCAGTTGTGGCGTCCTGCAGTGGTCGGAAAGATCCGTATCTTCCCTTCCCGTATGGTAACTAACTAATAACTACTCTAATAATATTAATTACTATTATATCGTCTTTCCAGAGAAATGTTTCGGGAACTCCGTTAACCTCGCGCCAAAGTCGCGCTATCGCCAAGAACAGCAACACCAGCAGAGATAAGCATCCCCGGTATTATTGGCCCGTCAAGGTCGGCAGCAAACATCAAAGACTCAGAGACTGAGAGTATTGATTTTTCTTCTCTATGGTAGAGCAGAGAGAGTATTACTCGTAGAGTACTCGTATTGCATCCCGGTCACTCGATCTAATCCGTCTCCTGTAGGTTCGCTGGCGGACTTGGCACGTAGAATATTATCTCCCACCAACGACATTTCCAACCCTCACCATCTTGGCCATGGTATTCTGTCGTCCGGAATTTCCGCTCCGGAGTCTTACGAGCTCCTGGCCGTATGTTGTATTACTATCCTCTCGTCCTACAGCATGTCACACAGGACGCGAAGCACTGAGTTCATTCAGCAGACGAAGAGGGTGAGTGGAACATCGCTCTTCTTTGTCAATGCTCCTTTCTACCGAAGATGTTTAATTTCCCATGATGCACAAAAGCCGTTGGTCCAAGAATATATATATACCCAAACCCGCAATGCTCAAACAAGTGATTATCTCATCTTCGCTACACTTCCGAAAGAAGCAGCTCCTCCACGGAGTAATAACCCTGGCAATAATTTCTATTCGACGTGAGACAGTTCTCTCCCAGATCACCATCAGGCCCGTCCAAAGCGAGAAACCGCTGCAGAGGAGCAGCCTATGCAGACGCAGCCATGGTTCATTTCAACGTTATGATTATCCTCATGGGTTGGGGACCATGAGTTTCATAGAGTGCTGTCTCCTAGTGTTCATTTGATAGGGCAATCTACTATCTAGAGGCCAAAACTTGCAGAAAAACTTCATGTTGAAGTTGAAGATATCGCTTTAGTTGATCAGGCTGCATTTCAAGGAGTCCAGGAAGTTGTATACTGGCCTGTGCACCTCAAAAGGGGTTATCATATATCATAGAGGATTTGAGTATGTAGTTATCCCTGGTTGCTTTTTTATCCTCAGGCACCGACAACACTCCCGTAATTCTAACTCGTTTTCCTAACTGGTCATCACTATTATTATTTCTGGTCATGTTTGCACAACATTAAGTCTCTCCTTCATTTTGATTCCTGATCCACGCTAACTAGGTAGTTACTATTTTGCTGGCGTGCGGAGTAAAAAGAACAAGCTAACACATGTAACTAGTGAAGCTAACTCAAGTTCGTTGGCGGAAAGCTACCAAGAACGCACCGCCACGACCCCAATCCGACCCGAGCTCCTGAAGACCCTTTAATCGGTCGACCCTTGAAACTGTTGGACGGAGACGCAGCACGACGACGGACGACGACGGACGACGACTGCCTGTCATGGAGCATCGAGATATCGTCAGTCAGGATTCAGACGGCTCATCGGGCTCGTCCGATGAGTACCTGCACCAGCCGTACGCTATCAGGGCAAACTCCAGCTTTGAAGATCTCGCCGGGCAGATGCCACAGACTCCGACCCACGTAGCGTCGTCGCCTCCTCCGACTCATTCCCTCAGCTCGTCCGGTATCTCATCATGGTCCAACAATTCGACCCCGCGACCGCGCGGTGGTAGCGTTTCTGCAGTCAACGTCCTGTCGACCGAGGGGCCGACCATCACCGAACCACCACAACACAGGCCTCAACGCCCCTCAGGACCGGCCAGGACACCGTCAAACACCTATGCCCCGCAGAGGCATCCGCCTCGATTTATCAACCTACATCATGACCGTCGACGGTCCGCCTCTGCGAAACGGGCCGCCAGACGCGACCCAAATGCTCAGTACCGCGCGCAGGAGAAGGCGTACGTGCAGCGTCTACGGGCCAACCCACAGCCGGGGTATTACCACTATGAAGACGGGATGACGGGAACGATGCTAGACTCAGACTTGGAGGAACCGTCGCCATCCTCGGAAGTCCCTTTCGATGACGACCCTTACGACCCTGATATCCAGCTTTTCCTAGCGGAAAACGGCAACCAGCCAACTCTCGAGGAACTGAAGAACCCGAAAAACCAGGAACGGCTGGAATGGCATTCAATGCTGGCTTCCGTCCTGAAAGGTGATGTTGTCAAGCAAGAGAAACAACGGTTGATCGGGACGACGGAGTCGAAGCGGTCGAGTGCTCTGAACAATGAGATCTGGCTAGGAGTAAGAGCTAAAACGTGCGGCCGAAGCGTAGCTCTACAGAAGAAACTTATTGAGGAAGCACGCGCCAGTGTTGGAGCCGTGACTGAGGATATTATCAATTTTGAAATCAAGGGCGAGAAAGAGATTGGGAAACCGCCGATTGAACAAGTCGAAGATGTCGTGGAGAAGATTGGGAAATGCGAGACGCTATATTCGACACGAAAGGAGATGGAAGCCGCCAATCCGAGGGCTGCTTCTGAAGAGTTCCAAGCAAGCTGTGATGCGGTTATCGCCTGGCATAATACGACATTGCTGATAAATACGGAGTTGGCAATTCTTAAGGGTTGGGTTGGAAACGACGAACTCGACTTCACGAAACCCAAGGCCAAGCCCGCAAGCTCTGATCTCTCCGACGAAGGCTCGTTCCTGGACCGAGTCATGAAGGAAGACGGCCTGAAGACATTGCAAGGAGAGCATAATATGCTTTATGGAATCGGCGAAGTTATCAGGAAAGCGAAAAGCACACTGATCGAGAATGCGGAGGCCTTTTCAAAACGACATCTCCCTCCATATATCGAGGAGCTCCTGACCCTTATCAATTTTCCATCTCGTCTGATCCAGGAAATCATTCGTGTGCGACTGTCTTACGCCAGGAGGATGAAAGATCCTGCATCGCAGTCGCCAATCCTCGTGGACCAGATGATAACTCAGTTCCAGATCTTAATGAGAGTGGCAACAGACATCAAACAGCGCTATGTTGCCATTTCGAAACCGGAGCCGGGTTGGGATCTCCCGCCTTGTATAGACGAAAACTTCGACTCGGTGGTCGTAGACGCAATGAAATACTACTTCCGACTATTAAACTGGAAACTAAGCGCGAACAAGAACACTTTCAAGGAGGCGGAAATCTTGGAACAGGAATGGGGGTTTTCCAACGAGATTGGACGACAGCTCGAAGGTGGTGATATCGAAGTTGCTGAACAATTCAGGTAATATCTACATCCCATAAATTAGAAGCTCGTCTGGACTCATATTATTATTAGTGCTCTGACAGCCAAATCCCTTCAACGCCTTATGATCCATTTCGAGAGAGAACTGGTGTTCCGCCCAGATGAAGATCCTCTTGATATGGATAAGCGATACAAGAGCGTCCTTGATTCGACTCGTGTGCGCCAACGAAAGCTTTACCGCTTCTCTCGCTTTTTATGTCAGTTATTCGAGAACGCTACGGAATATAACTTGACAGAAGATATCGCCGACGCGTTCTTCGAGGCACTTTTGATCTCAGACCATTTTCTCGTCGAGTCCAACGATTCGATTGGTCAAAGGGGCGTTTATTTGATCGCGCATCATTCCCTATGGAATCAACCCCTCGATATTCAATCCATCCTGGGTACATCCTTCCGAGATGAGGACTCTCCGAGAGACCCCTCCCACAATCCTTATATTCTGGTGATTCGACCAGAGAGGCCGCTTGTGTGGGCTGGAAAGAAGATGGAAGTCGCCCTCTTGGAGCAACCAACTGACGTGAGACTGGGAAAGTTACGACTTGTCGCCGATGGGACTCAGCAGAGACTGTCAAACGCGCGGCTTGAATTGGCGCAGTTGACTAACATGCAGCTCGATATGAGTATCGAGCAGCGTGCCAACCTCGGCAGAGTCAACACGGAGCTGAACAGGATCAAGAAGATCTCGTTCAAGCTTTCCATGACCATCATGGACAGCGTAGCTGTCATTAGACGTCAACTGAAGCAGAAGGGCGTCGAGAACCAAGAGCTCATCCAGGCCTGCTTCGCATTCGCGACCGAGTTCGGTAAACGGTCTGCCAGCTACGTTGACCCGAACCGTCGCGCAATGAACAGCGCGAAGCTGGTTGAGCTTTCGCTTGAATGGGTCTCCTTCATATGTGACGATTGCGATGCTTCCGACCGTAAAACGTTCAAGTGGGCCGTCGCTGCGCTTGAGTTCGCGATGGCTATCACCTCGAGTAACCACCTTCTCTCCATGGACGACTCCCAGTACTCTCTTCTACGAGTCAAAGTGGCAGGATGCATGTCGTTGCTCATCTCTCATTTCGATATTATGGGCGCAAGATCATCCTTGGCTGCACAGGCTGAAAAGCAACGCCTCGAAGAGAGGGGAGGAATGCGGAAGATCGGTGCTGGACGGATCCTAACTGACGAGGAGGCAACGAAACTTGTCCGTGAACAACGCCTGCAGCGTATAGCGGCCCTGGAGGAACTGAGAGTTGAGGAAGATGCGAAGCGCCAAGCGCTGGGTAGAGTCTTGGAAGGATCTAATGAGGCTGATAGGTCTCTCGCAGTTCTTTCATCTTCTGCGACCAATGTCACTCTACGCTGGCAGCAAGGCCAATTCATCGGAGGAGGAACGTTTGGATCAGTTTATGCAGCCATCAATCTTGACAGTAACTATCTCATGGCTGTCAAAGAGATTCGTCTGCAAGATCCACAGCTCATTCCTACGATCGCGCAGCAAATTCGCGATGAAATGGGTGTTCTCGAGGTTCTTGACCATCCCAATATCGTGTCATACCATGGCATTGAAGTCCATCGTGATAAAGTGTATATCTTCATGGAGTATTGTTCCGGAGGCTCGCTGGCTAGTCTTCTCGAGCACGGTCGTATCGAGGACGAGACAGTTATCATGGTCTACGCTCTGCAACTGCTCGAGGGTCTGGCGTATCTCCACCAGTCAGGTATTGTACACCGCGATATCAAGCCTGAAAATATCCTCCTCGATCACAATGGTGTCATCAAGTATGTGGACTTTGGCGCTGCCAAGATCATCGCGCGCCAGGGTAAGACTGTGGCGCCCCTGGATGCTTTTGCCAATGCCGGCCACAAGGATGCTCTTGTTCCCAAGGAGCCGCCCCATCAACGCAAAAACCAGAAGACAATGACAGGTACGCCGATGTATATGTCTCCTGAAGTGATCCGGGGCGACTCTTCGAAGCTCGTCAGCCGGCAGGGATGTGTTGATATCTGGTCACTTGGCTGCGTTATCCTTGAAATGGCAACTGGTCGCCGTCCCTGGTCCTCGCTTGACAACGAGTGGGCAATCATGTACAATATCGCGCAAGGAAATCAACCACAGATGCCAACCCGTGACCAGCTGAGCGAATCGGGCATCGATTTCCTCCAGCGCTGCTTCGAACGCGACCCGCTCAAACGACCAACTGCAGCCGAACTCCTGCAGCACGAATGGATCGTGTCTATCCGACAGCAAGTGGTTCTCGAGCCCCAAACCCCCAGCAGCGATGGTGGGAATGGCAGTGCCAGTTCGTCCAGCCTGAGTAGCCGTCAGAACTCAAGCACTTATCTCTAGAGCTCCACGCTTATAACGAATCATTACACCGCGATGCGTGGCCTCCTTACGTTATTTTGCTATATTTATCGCTTTACCGTCACCCAATCAATGCAACCCACGGATATGATACCCCGTATTTCGTCTACCTTGTCTCGATACTGGTCTTTATCTTGCCTGAACATACTATATCTATGTATCGTGTTTTGAATCGCCCACGTCTATGTGCGGCCCCAGTGTTTCTCTATCCTCAAAGCTACGGCTTAGGATTCCTTGTTAAGGACTTGTTGATAATGGGTTCGCGATCACATGCTCTTGCATTTCTCAATAGCATAGTCGCACGCACCATGTTTGTTGCTTGCCGGTGCTTCGCGACCTGAGTTGAAATTTATCCATATACTATATGATATGACCTGTATGTATCCTACGATGGTCTCGAGCTGGTAGGAATATCAAAATCCAAACTACGACAAGAGTCTATTGAGAAGGTATGGGTATCCATCGTGAGCGATAAATTTGATTCTCGTGTCAGTTCTGCTTCGGGAAGACCTGGTCCAAATGTGCTGCATATACTAGTCTACGAGCACAGAGCAAAGACAGATCTGACTCGTAACCGCAACCAAGGAATACGAAATTAGGATGTCTCGGGGAGGTTGGGATCCAGAAGTTGCTCAAAATGAGCCCTCTTGGGATCGTCTCTGAAAACAGGGAAAGTGCGTTGGATCTCTGGTGCTTTCATTAATGCCATAGGCCCATCCACCTCCCAACTCCCTCGCACAGGGTAGGACACCATGTCTGCTACTGTCATGCTACAATCATCACTGTGCAAAGCATTCTACTCAGCAGCCGCCTAGACTACAGGGACGCGCACTCAAAATCTTTTGGGGCCTAACATGCCTCGCTTACTCCACAGGGAGAAAACCATCTGGTAACCCACATTGGACCTGCTCTATTTCCTGTGTCGAGACCTAGAGCCCAGTGACGGCCACCAATAATTTTCTCCCGAGATCCAGCGTGGAAGCCATGGTTGCCTGTCATTTGCAAGTCCCATCCTCTTGGCGGAGATAGATACTGTTTTCTTTCGATATATATTACGGAGGATGGAAGAGAACAATCACGGGGCGGCCGGCTAAGCAGGGAACCCCTGACTACGAAATAGAGTATACCAGTGGGGTCATATCTGACTGAAGGAGAGAGTTATGGCTTGAAATCTAGGTTATGCTAGAGAGAATGTCCACGGTTAACGGGATCTGAGGGTCGGAAGCAAGGAGCCAATCGGTAAGCCGATTTCCAAGGTCGTGCTCTAGCCTAATTCAAGGGATGTTAGATGCTAAAGTGAATCATATAGATAGTACATTGATACTGTCATCTTCCAGGAATGGGGTTAAGTCCTGGGGTCTGGATCTCAACGGCATATCATTTTCCTAGTTGGACATGTCCACATTCCACGGCCACGAGCGGCCGGATCAGCGCCGAACAGCCACCAGCGCCCAAACCCTGAGAGGCAAAGTCCAGAAATGGTACCTGTTGTACAGTACATTCCCGACATCACCAGATGCATCCGCACGAGGGAGAATTCCTGAATTCCATGGGGTTTTGCATTGTGTCTATCAGAATTCTGGGTTCAGGTACAGTAGCTGAACCGTCTGGACCATAAGAGGTGGGCATACGTTCAGACGGCCCCAAGACGCTATTGCAGGTCTCAACCTATCAGTGTGCTTGTCTCTTCCAATTAGGTCCGAAACATGGGCTTCATTCCGTACCATGCACGGAAGACATGCGATGGAGATGGAGGATGGAGTCTTACTCTCTCTCCCTCTCTCTCTCTCTCGTCTGCGGGACTGCCATTAGGTGACACTTCTGATACATCGCATTTCCGGCTTGTTTGTTTATTGCTAGATGGTGTCAAAACCCTACGTCAAACGGCATTCTCGAAGTGTATATATATGGTGTTTGTGTACCTCGTCAAGATGAAGAGAGCATCAGTCGTAGAATTTTCTTTCTCATTTCCATATTCTTTTCTCTTCGTTCGCTCTATTGGGCCCAGCTGACACTCCTTTGACCCCCCCTGTGGTTCATTGATACTATTACCATTAAGCCTTTTTGATAACCTGATCCAAGTCGGGCAAAATGAGATTCGGAAGCATCCTCGCCATCCCCCTCCTGGGCAGCGTCCCTGTCTTCGGTGCTGCGGTCAACGATGTCGCAAAGCGTGGTCACCACAATGCTTGCGTTGCCCCAGGCGGTGGAGTCGTCAAGGTCGTGAAGGTCATTATCGTTGACCCCGTCTACATCAGCACCTACTGCGAATCCAACACAGTCCTTACCATCTACAACGACATTACCTACAGCGTTACCAACGCCCCAACCACGGTCATTGTGAACACTTATGCGACCAGCACGACTACTATCACGACGACTGAAACCGAAACTGAGACTGAGACGGTTATCGCGTAAGTATATTCCCTCAGATATATACTTATGGCAAAGGAAAGATTTATATATAACTAACGCCTTTATTAAGCGCTCCCACTATCTCGCCTTCCACCAGTGTCTCTCAAGTGGTGAACTCGTGGACCAAAACTGCTGCCGGAACTACTTACCCTGCCTCGAGCTCAACTCCTGCCTACACGCCCGTCCCGTCTGCCAACCCTGATCCTATCCGCTATCCTGTGAACAGCACCATCACCGTCCAGCAGGGCCAGACTGTCTGCGGTGAAAACACGGTCTTGTCCTGCTGCAACAAGGCCACCTACTCCGGTGACACCACCAACATCGACTCTGGTATCCTGGGTGGTCTTCTCTCTGGCCTCATTGGCGGCGGCTCCGGCTCCGAGGGTCTCGGTCTCTTCGACCAGTGCAGCAAGCTACCTCTCGACCGTAAGTTTCCCCCCCCATCCTTATTCATATATGGTATAACCGAAAAAAAAGCATGAATCTAACAAATAAATAAATGAATCAGTCAACATCATCGGCGTTGGTGTCCAGGATTCCCTCGACTCCCAGTGCAAACAGAACGTCGCATGCTGCCAGAACAGCCCGTCCGAGGCCACCGGTCTCATTGCTCTTGGCCTTCCTTGCATTGCTCTTGGTTCCCTCCTGTGAAGAAGGGTAAAAAAAAAAAGAAACAAGATATGTGGATATTATTATTTCCAATTGGTCTCGTCCTTCATTCAAGTATAATTTATTTATAATTTTTCAGCCGTTATCTTGATGTTCTCCAATTCCAATCGAGGGCGTCTAAAGCAGTAATGAATACCATACCGCATCTGCTATATAATATATAACTAAAGCCCGACTTGGATCTGGGAACATGTTTCTTATTTTTATTTTTATATTTTATATTTTATTTTTTAACATAGGATTAATGTATGCTTCTTACCTTAACATAACATACCAAGGCACGAGGAGAAGACTATATTTATCTCACGGTGCTAATTATTAGTATTTTAGGGGGGGGGAAATTCTTCTGTTTCTTATTCATGCAATAGATAAATAAATAAGCCTCTTGAGTAAAAAAGTGGAGGATATGAATCATATATCTTAGAAAACATTGTCCGATCATGGGATATATTTCAAGCATCCTTATAGTCCGTATAATTGTTGTCGTGGTCAGGTTCCTGTGTGCACTGGAAGTAGTTCTGTCGCGGGCACGTGTTAAATTTGACCAATGGGATAGGACAAGTAACACTATCAATCACGACTTATTCAAGGATATTCTTTGGATAACTAAATAACAATAGATTAATCGTAGATATCACTAAAGAGCAAAGCAAGACTGATTTGAGTTTACTCAAATCCCAAATTCCAGGCAAGACTTTACGTCTGGCCTAGTGGCTGACACCATCAACCTGTTAGACTGTCGTATCGTATAATAAAGTCTTAGTGCCGAATGAAGGATTAAAGAAAAACACCGGAAAAGACCGAGTTTGGATTGTTGAACCTATACCGATGATAATGCCCCTAGAAACAGAAAAGGCTTGACCCTGCCGGTAGAAACATTCACAACAATCCCAGCGCTTGGTAATCGTCGGATGCAACAACTTGGATACCATATGAGGAAGAACAGGAAAAGAGGTTGGGACGCCGATACCTGGAGAATAGATCTCGTGAGATGAAATGACCGACAAAAAAGACATAAATCGTGATGCAATAAAACAGGATCTCGACGACCGCAGGGGAGGGCATATATCTAGACAACTGGGCAACAAGGTCTAGTTTTCTGCATGTACCAGGGTATGTGTGACGGCGCCGTCTTGGGAATAAAAGACCCAGCGGTTCCGGACGGCCAGCCGTAATCGAATGGCGATTCAATAGATGGCCGAACTCAAAAGAAGTAAAAAAAGGCATGAGGATGACCGGGCATCATCTCGTCAGTTCCTCCGGAAATGTACAAGAACTTGCGGACAGTTACCTATCCAGCGTCGTGATTGATTAAATACTGTCGTACCAAGGGGTCATACAGAGCTCACAAGAAGCACCTGAGAAGCACCTGCGAAGCTCAACGAAATTCGATAGCGGGAAGACAACCATGATCCTCGACATGTTTCAGTTCGAGCTGCTGGTATCTGTAGGTATTGCAATGTTAGCGTCTGCGATCAAGACATGTTGGGATCAATACATACTTCTCGCTTTTCGCATGGAAATAGATACCGCTGACGGTCCCTTCTACCTGGTTGAAACAGATATAGTAGAAACCCTCGAAGCTAGCACCGGATATCGTCCGCACGCGGTGGTCAGGCACCAGAAAATACTCCTTCCACCTCATGAAAATATGTTCACGCTGGGCGAAGTTGCGGTAGCTGAAGTCTGGTCTCTTTGCCTGTTTGGCAAGGGGCCGCCACGCTGGGAATCTGGCCCAGTGCTGCATATCGGTCTTCTCTGTCGCACCCCATGCTTCGTGTCGCGTCTGAAAGGTATGCTTGGTCCCGATGATCTCTCCTTCAAAGAAAGTAGTCAAGGTAGGATGATCCTCCGTCAACCCTAAGTTGTCACCGCAACGGTCAGCTTTCAACGGAACCGCGAATGTCACACATCGATGGATTGACCAACCTTGTATGCGTAAGTAGCCGCAGAGGTACGATTCGGCCATGTCGACATGCTTAATCTCCACATCTACATTGTAGACTTGGCGGTCAGACTGCTGGGTTCCGACGAACTTGCTTCCCGCACGAAGAAAGGACGATGAATGATTCGGTAGGAGCTGATCTAGTTAGCCAAAGGGATCACATATACACCATGCTGCGCAACGTACTCGGATATTGGAAAACTCGTAGCTGAGAGACGAGGTGGCGGAAGGCGCGGTCATTGATGACGATTGCGCCGCTGTCGGAGTCGATTGTTCCTCCTTGGCCTCTGAGGAGACGCTTGCTGGGCTGGAGGTGCCCAGCACGGCTTCCTCTTCGGACTGTGGCATCCTTTTGATAGAGGATGCTGTGGTTGCGTCAATCTCCCGAGGCATCGCAACGGGTTCTGCCACGCCGTCAACCCGACTCCTCAAGGTCGATTGCGCCGGAGCGCTGCTCTCTGGCATGCCACCATTGCCTGGACTATTATCAGCGACGATGCGCTCTTCTGGTGCTGCTCTCCACGCAGGTATCCGATCACTCTCTGGCGGGCACGTCGAATGGGCGGACAATTCCTCGGCAAGCGGTGTGGCTGTCAACTGCGGCGTCCTGTCGCTGGGTGTCGGCATGGAGGCAACTAGGGCAGTGATGACATCGGAAGCCGGGATAAAAGGGGGATGAGAGGATGGGATTTACAAAGGGGAGAAACGCAATACCAATGACAAGGGAGAAGGAGCAGAAGGGGGCTTTTCACGGTCGAGGATGTGCAAGTAAAGTCTTTGACAAGTGACGACGGGCAAGAGACGCACTGCCCGAAGAGGATAAGAGCCGCTCCTGGTCATGCGATCGCGGGGAAGGCGAACGAGAAGCCGCCAAACTGAACAAGCAGGCTGGAGGGTGTTGGGGAGATGCTGAGGTCTGGGGAGGGAGGATAATATCATATCATAAATGCAATATAAATATAAATACTTGGGGACTGGTTTGTGGGCTCATTCATTGTCTGTATCAGATTGTGCTTGCCATCCAATTCAGCCCGGTGATACACTTACAGCAGAGACCAGCCTGCATCCGCAATTGGTGATGGCGCCGTGATGTTCCAGGCTTTAGACTCCACTTGGTTATGTGAACTACTCGAGGTTAATTCATCAATTAATTAATTGCTCCATCTGCCAAAAAAAAGAAAAAGAGGTTTCTCGCATCCCACCGATGAAGGAAAAAAGAGTTAGTCCTGGGGGGGATCGAACCCCCGACCTTGAAGATACTAATATGTACCTATAAGCTTCAGGCTCTAACCGACTGAGCTACAGGACTACATTTGTAAGCCTTGTTCCGCCAACACTGACTTGTTTCCAACCTGATTATTGATGCACGTTTTCCAGGGCATGAGATCGAAATTTGAACGGCACGATTCGACATCCAGTCTCTTTGTAAAACATTTAGCTGGGAATCGTTAGTCTCAGGCTCAATAAATATCAGAAGAGATAACATTATCTGTTGCGCAATTGGGGTATCTGGAAAGAGTGCCGCGAGTGTGTAAGTCTCAAGCAGTATCTAGCGACTTATCCTGGCGGAAGAAAAAATTATTTATATGGAGAAGAAGTGGAGTAACTTATAGGTTAACGGCACTCCCCGCAATGCCCCAATATACACCGTCCACCCAGATAGTAGCAGATGGCAAAGATAGGTATATACAGCAAGCAGAACACACCAGGTTGAATTGTTCAAGGAAGCGTTCGATACCATGGGATGCTAGTTGCCGGCAGGCTACCTGCTCTGTAGCAGGTAGTGACCGAGAAATATATATATACACGGAAGCCCCTTTGATAAAGCCATTGGGCCTCCCGGCTCCAACCGTTTCGTAGTCTCTATGTGGTGAAGAAGGCCCGAAAAGATGATCCTTAGCATATGCAAGTAAACTGTGACCGCCTAGGCCAAAGGCTAGTGTCAGACAACTGTAACCCGGGGGTACGAATATACCGGCTTGAATACTGTTCGATCGAAGGCGCTTCTACCAACTACCATGCAATGTACAGCAGAGACGCATCGCATTACTAGACCAAGGTGCACGTATTGATATGGAAAACCTAATTAGATGTTGCATTTAAGTCGTTACGTAGAAGTACAAGCTCTTCCCTTTTTTGTCATCAAAAGAATACTATTTCGCGAGACAAACTCCTGTACCAGTTCCCACCAAGGATCACTGATCCACGTTGATCCACCAGACATGCGGCGAGGTGACGTTTAGATAGGCTTGATCTGTGGTGCGAAGTGCCTGTTAGATAAGAGGTCCAGCGATTATCATGAGATGTCCCACCCACCTTAAAATGCAAGGAAATAAGAGAAAAGACAAGAGCCTTGAGGTCCTGTACGAGATAGTAGAAGACGCGCAGTCCCTCGGGGTCTGCAGACTCGGTCACGTCGACCAGAGAGCCGATTTTCGCGGTCTGTATCAGTGATCGTTTGTCAGCTCCGGTTACCTGCATCTGGGTCACCACGGTCCACGAAGGATTACCTCAAAGGAGATATGCTCATTTCCAAGTCTAATCTCCAGTTCCTGGCGGCCATCCTTGTTCTTCTGAGGCCATTTTGAGTCGTCTTCCCTGTCCGGTTCTTAGCACCACGTTGTATATGGGGCATTCCAATAAAAACGTACTTCATGATCTCACTATCCTTGATGATGCGCTTGATCTCCTGGATCAGGAGGGAACTGACACACACTGTCGTTTCCGTTAATACCACCACTCTTCGTGGCCCGGTGCTTGCAGCTTACTCTCTTTGCGGATGAGGGAGTCATTGCGGTAGTTCGAGTTGTTCGCATATCGGGCAGACGCACTGCGGCCGTCGCCGAGGGTACGGAAATCAAACTCTGGAACGACATGAGCATATATAAATACTAGCAGTGGTTGGGTTGCCCATACCTAGGAATTCATGTCCAAATCGCCCAGAGTGACCTGAGCTGCAGGACTGTCAGCAGCTGAGGAAACCTGGGCCACACGGGGGTTCCTTACTAGTAGCGCACATAGAAAGGCTCGTTCAGATCCGAGTTCGACATGGTGAGAAGCCTGAATAGACAACAAAGAGCCGCCTCGAGTCTGCTCACTTTGGCGGGGAAGATCATTCCCCGTGCCTGTCGCGTCCCGGCGGCTTAGTCATCCACACACTCCGACAGCTTGGGGCTCCGCCGCGCAAATGGACAAGTTGACCGTCCGGACTCTAAGTAGGTCGTTTACAAGCGCGCTGATGAACATACGGTAGTTGAGGGGTATTGGTACATTGTGACTGCCTCTACCGTGTGTCCCTGAGTTGAGGGGCCTTTAATTGGTAATTTCTACTGTCTCCCCATGAAACCATCACTCGATGCTGACCCCGACAACAATCAGCGCCTCCGTCACCCTTTACAGCGGCCGTCCTGTCAATAACTGCCCACCATGGCGTCGTTTCTGGATAACGCATACAGTTTGGTCCACATGGACAACACTGCAGACCAGCCCTCATTGCAGGAGCTGAAGACGCAGTTGGAAAAAGGCACCGATGAATCGAAACTCGAAACCATGCGGAAGGTTATCACCGTCATGCTCAATGGCGACCCGATGCCTCAGTTGCTCATGCACATTATCCGTTTCGTCATGCCCTCAAAGAGCAAGCCTCTGAAGAAGCTGCTATACTTCTACTATGAGATCTGTCCGAAACTTGATGCCAATGGCAGGTTGAAGCAGGAGATGATCTTGGTCTGGTAAGGCCGACCCTGACATCCGTCTCCCTCCCCCGCCGTGCGGACAACCACCCCTGACCTAGGACTGCAGTAACGGAATCCGGAACGACCTCCAACACCCCAACGAGTACGTTCGTGGCAACACTCTTCGATTCCTTTGCAAGCTTCGCGAGCCCGAACTCATCGAGCCTCTCCTGTCCTCTGCGCGCTCGTGTCTGGAACACCGCCACGCCTATGTGCGTAAGAATGCCGTCTGGGCTATCGCTTCCATTTACCAGCACTCGGAATCTTTGATCCCAGATGCCCCCGAATTGATTCAAACGTTCCTTGGCACGGAGACCGACCACACCTGCAAGCGCAATGCATTCGCGGCTCTCATGTCCATCAGCCACCAGGGTGCGCTCGAATATCTTAGCTCTACATTTGACAGCATCCCGAATACCGATGAATTGCTACAGCTAGTGGAACTCGAGTTCATCAGAAAGGATGCTGTCCAAAATTCTCAGAACAAGGTGGGATTGTCTGGAGGAAGATACAAAGTGACTGGAAGCTAATAAGGTGTAGGCGAGATATCTCCGCTTGATCTTCGACCTTCTTGAGGCGTCTGCGAGCACGGTTATCTACGAAGCTGCGACATCTTTGACTGCTCTTACGAGCAACCCCGTTGCTGTGAAGGCGGCTGCGTCGAAGTTGATCGAGCTTAGCATCAAGGAGGCAGACAACAACGTGAAGCTTATCGTTCTCGACAGAGTTGATCAACTAAGAATCAAGAATGAGGGTGTTCTAGATGATCTGACAATGGAGATTCTGCGTGTCCTTTCGAGCCCTGACATTGATGTTCGTCGAAAGGCTCTGGGAATCGCTCTGGAGATGGTTTCAAGCAAGAATGTCGAAGAGATTGTCATGCTTCTCAAGAAGGAACTTGCCAAGACTGTTGATGAACAATATGAGAAGGTAGGTCAGGCCAGTGTGTGGCAGAATCGGTGGCTGACGATAGTTTCAGAACTCTGAGTACCGTCAACTCTTGATCCAGTCCATCCACCAGTGCGCCATCAAGTTCTCCGAAATAGCTGCTAGCGTCGTTGATCTCCTCATGGATTTCATTGTCGATTTCAACAACAATTCTGCCGTGGACGTCATCTCCTTTGTCAAGGAGGTTGTCGAGAAATTCCCCAAGCTACGAGCATCAATCATTGAGCGCCTCGTTTCTACTCTCAGCGAAGTGCGCGCCGGAAAGGTATACCGTGGAGTCCTCTGGGTCATTGGAGAATATTCACTGGAGGCTACCGATATCCGGGAAGCGTGGAAGCGAATCCGTGCCTCTCTTGGAGAGATTCCAATTTTGGCCTCCGAACAGCGGCTGCTTGAGGAAGTTCCTGATGAAAGTGCAGCTTTGAAGGAACAGGTCAACGGTCACCCGAAGGCCGCTCCTACAGGCTCAAGGAAAGTTTTGGCCGACGGCACATATGCCACAGAGAGTGCTCTTACCAGCCAATCTGCAGCAGCAGCTAAGCTCGAAGCCGTGAAGGCTGCTCAGAAGCCACCGCTGAGACAGCTCATTCTCGATGGCGACTATTACCTGGCCACTGTTCTTTCATCTACGTTGACAAAGTTGGTGATGCGTCATTCCGAAGTCTCTGAAGATTCTGCTCGCACGAATGCTCTCCGCGCCGAGGCTATGCTCATCATGATCTCTATCATCCGTGTGGGACAATCTCAGTTTGTCAAGGCCCCTATCGATGAGGACTCTGTGGACCGCATCATGACTTGCGTTCGCTCTCTTGCCGAATTCACGGAGAGGAAGGAGCTTGAGACGACATTCCTGGAGGATACAAGGAAAGCATTCCGTGCTATGGTCCAGGTTGAGGAGAAGAAGCGGGCAGCAAAGGAGGCTGTTGAGAAGGCCAAGACTGCCGTTCAGGTTGACGACGCCATGCCGATCAGACAGCTGGCAAAGAAGAACGCCGGCGAGGGCACCGATGAGATCGAACTCGACCTTGCGAAGGCTACCGGTGGCGACTCCACTCTCGAGGATATCTCTTCTAAGCTGAGCAGAGTCGTACAGCTCACTGGTTTCTCCGATCCAGTGTATGCTGAGGCCTATGTCAAGGTCCACCAGTTTGATATCGTCCTGGATGTTCTGCTGGTCAACCAGACCACGGAGACTCTCCAGAACTTGTCTGTCGAATTCGCAACCCTTGGAGACCTCAAGGTCGTTGAGCGACCAACCACTCAGAATCTGGGACCGCGCGATTTCTTGAACGTGCAGGCTACGGTCAAGGTGTCTTCCACAGATACTGGTGTGATCTTCGGAAACGTCGTCTATGACGGACCCAGCTCCACCGAAACGCACGTTGTCATCCTGAACGATGTCCACGCAGACATCATGGACTACATCCAGCCGGCCTACTGCAGCGAGACCCAGTTCAGGACCATGTGGACTGAGTTTGAATGGGAGAACAAGGTCAACATCAACTCCAAGGCCAAGAGTCTCCGAGAGTTCCTCAAGCAGCTCATGGAGAGCACCAACATGGCGTGCCTGACTCCTGAAGCGTCGCTCAAGGGCGACTGCCAGTTCTTGAGTGCTAACTTATATGCCCGGAGCGTATTTGGTATGTTTACACCTATTACCCTTCGCTATCCCCTGTAATACCGTTCTCTTGGGGTTGAAAACTAACACTATCCCTACAGGCGAGGACGCGCTGGCGAACTTGAGTATTGAGAAGGAGGGTGAAGATGGCGCCATCACCGGATTTGTGCGGATACGGAGCCGTTCCCAGGGCCTGGCTTTGAGCCTGGGTTCCCTTAAGGGCCTCAAGGCCACTGCTGCGTGAATAATCTAGACACTCGATGCCCCCTTTTATAAGTTTCCCCTTCTTCTTGCTAGCGATTCTCCCAGTATATTTTGTTGCGTTGCACCGGATGAGAAAAGGCTTTCCTCTAATGGAATGTTGCATGTCTGTGGTATAGTCAATTATTTATTAGTCTAGGAATCAGAATGACTTACGCTTCCAGCCGCGCAATATCTCACCCTAGGGTTGGGGGGATGGCCATTCTGTTATGTTCTCCATCTGCGTGGAACGCTCGTTTACAGTCAGTTTCTGGGTTTTACATAAAGGCTACACATAGTACAAAGTTCACAATCTTCCAAGACTCTGTATAGTTAGCTGTCACTGCGCTTGCATGGTTGACTGCCAGCTGCTTCGATCTTAGTCTGAAAGACCAATGCTTTGACGCCGTGGAACTTCGTGGATAATCCCAATTCGCCATTTCTGCATCCTGCAAGGTATAACCAATAACATGCGCAACTTTCAGATTCTGGGATCGGATAAGGTTCCTTGAGATGTTCCTCTCTGTCGGGTCTTTATCATAAGGCTGATCCTGACCAGTATAGTTCTTGGCATGGGTTAGTTATCACGTATCACAATGTTATTATTATCAGAGTAATCTGCTCCGGAACAGCCAAGAAGCCAGACCTTGGTTCTCCACGAGGAGCCATAGGCTAGTTAGACGACTTGTAAGCCAGCAGCGCTCCTACTTTTATGCGGAGAGCTTGAAGCGGTCGTTCTAGTTTGCCGGTTTTGTTAGCTTATCGGATACTGCGGCTGCAGGAACCCAAGGATCCCCGCTAGTGAAGGCTTAGGAGGCGAGAACGAGCATATCACAATTGTTGCGTACCTGGAGAGGCTTGGAAGAAAAGAACAATCCCTCCCCGGGGGTTCCACTGGCCGACAGCAATGCTGATCCAGGGCGAGATAAGCCTGTAAGTATAGAGTAGAGTAATAAATAACCGTTGATACTGGTGTCTGTTGAAACTTGACAGTGATCATGGTAATCATCTCTATCTAACTAACCACATTCTCTCCCATGTTTCGGCCCGTCGCGGAAACCGCTGAGGATGAACCGGCCGCAGAGCAGGCGCATTCAAGCCGAACTCCGCCGTGGGATCTTCTATCGCGATGCTTTCTTCCTCCCATTTTATTATTAGACTATTAACTAATTCGTTGACTAGCATATCTGCTCGCGGCGGCCTGCTTTGCCAAATTGCCAAGTCCCTAGCTCTCCACCTGCGTGTAATACCATAAGTATTCTTTCACCGTCTCTGCCATTCTCTCTTCTCTTCTTCCTGCCTTTATTCCTCTCTCGTTCTGTACTCTAGAATGCCCCCAGCCTGCCGGTCATCACCACCATGACTATTGGCAGCCACAATGCCATCGTCAATCCGTTCGCGGATGGTGGCTCTTTTGCCTCCAGCGCGGATCCGTCGGAACCGCCATCGTGCAAGTCCGACGCTGTTTTGAGGGTGGGGAAACATGCAACCTTGACGCTGGGAACTGATGCTCTCACGGTTTTAGGTATGTCTGGAGCATGGTGTTGATTGATCCTCCTGCGGTGTTATTGTCATTTAAAGCGTGAGCTTGATATTTACCAATATTTATTGGAACAGATGAAGGAGACGCCAATAAGGCACGTCGCCGCTGTTGCGGTTTGCTATCTATACGTAGTAAAGATCCCCCTTCCATAATGGCTACCGGATTGCCCTTTCGGCCGTCGTACCGGGAGGATCGAGATCTGGTGTGGCAGTTTCTGACTAACGGCAACTTTCGCAGAACGCAAGACTAATCAGACCGTGCCTTACTATAATGTCCTGTCGGCGAACGTGTCGGAGAACGAGATCACCATCACGTATGCGGAACCCATGTCCAAAAGCCATGTCACTGTTGGCTATATCCACTACCCGATCGATCTGGAGCAGAAGTCGAAAGCGGACACTTGGGCGGAAAAGCTGTTACAGCTCTCCTATGGAGAGGCGAAGCCCAAGAAGAAGCTGAAGGTCTTGATAAACCCGTTTGGTGGTAAAGGAATGGCTCCGACGTATTATTCCCGCTATGCAGAACCTATCCTAGCTGCGGCGGGTTGCGATCTCGATGTGCAGACGACGACTCACCGCGGACACGCGACCGATATTGCAGAGAAGCTGGACATCAACGCGTACGATGCGGTCGTGGCATGCTCCGGCGATGGATTGCCCTACGAGATCTTCAACGGTCTGGCGAAGAAGCCCAACGCACGAGAAGCACTGGCGAAAGTTGCTGTGGGTATGATACCGTCTGGTTCCGGAAATGGAATGGCCATGAATCTCTATGGCTCTCCCAGCGTAAGCTTGGCCGCCCTGGCGATCGTGAAAGGAAAGCGGATGCCACTGGATCTGGCGTCTATAACTCAGGGCGACACACGAACACTTTCGTTCCTGTCGCAATCATTCGGAATCGTGGCAGAATGTGATCTAGGGACGGACAACATCAGATGGATGGGTCCGCATCGATTCACATATGGCTTTTTGGTGCGCTTGATGGGTAAAACCGTCTGGCCCTGCGACGTGGCCGTCAAGGTGGAGGTTGGTGACAAACAAGCCATCAAGGATCATTACCGCGCGGAAGTACACAAGGAACCGCGGCTACTCACCGATACGGAGGTTGAAGAGCTGCCGGAAGGCCTCCCTCCTCTTCGATACGGGACCGTGAACGACGAGATTCCCGATGACTGGGAGCGCCTACCAGGAGAGACGATGGGGAACTTCTATGCGGGCAATATGGCTTGGATGTCTTCTGATGCCAACTTCTTCCCCGCTGCCCTCCCGAATGATGGCCTATTGGATTTGGTTACCATTGACGGAACCATTCCTCGCCTCAAGTCCCTCTCTATGCTGCTGGCAGTTGAAGACGGTAGTATTTTTGATATTCCCGAGGCACATTTCCGCAAGGTGTCTGCCTACCGGCTGGTCCCTAAGCAGACCGAAGGATACATCAGTATCGACGGAGAGAGAGTGCCCTTTGCCCCGATCCAGGTCGAAGTTCACAAAGGGCTAGGGACCGTGCTCTCGGTTTCAGGCAAGGCCTACGAAGCGAAGGGCCCTCCGGGGACACAGACGTAAGAATAGGCAGGATCCCGAGCGTGAAAGATGTCTCATGTGTTTATGTTCGCGTTATCATGATACCCAGGAAAACGGAATTCAGAAGATGGAATGGCTTGGTTAAGAGGCCTAGCCTTCACCTGTGGGGTTGACTGTAGCATTGTTTCTATCGATACTTTTGTATACTATCCGACGTATAACTAATGTCTTTGGACTCCCTCCCATACCACTCAGAGGGGGCAGCATTCGTGTGACAGAGTATTAATAATGCTAATTTCTGCAGCCTTGGGTCTGCTAATACATGTATAATGTGCTGTCTTCAAGGATTACTACAATCATAGGGGGTCAACGAGTATTATCGATGTAAGGTGTCGAAATACACTGAGTCGGACGGAAAGTTTTGCGTGGCCGTGGAATTTTATCAATTTCTCGTATGCAAAGAATTACTAGTATTTTTTTCATTGTTCAGCGGGACATTCTGCAGTGAACATCCTTAAAAAGAAAGAAAGATCCCACGATAATTTTATCAAACATACAAGGTATCGATTCAATTCAAGAGATTCAATCATCGCCCAAACCACCCCACTCCTCTTCACTATCCTCCTCCTCATCCTCATCATCCGAACCCTTCTTCCTCTCAATCACACCCCACTCCACCAACCGATCATCCTCAAGCACCTCTCCAGCGCGCTCGCGGACCGTCTTCGTCGGACTTTCCGCCTTCAATTTCCGCATCGGCCGCAAGATCAACTCCATGGGGATATCACCTTTTAGTCTCTTCGTAGGACCATCTGTGTTGTTGTTGCTGCTGTCGACATCGAGGTCTTCGACTTCGACGACTTTCTCGAGCTCGTCGAGCCAGATGTCGAGGATGTGGTATCGCAGACCGTCAGGGCCATGAGGCATCGTCACGTCAGAGTCGGTGTTGATGGATGTGGAAGTTGGTTCGTTCGGGTCGAAGTTGAGAGGGTGAAGGGGTCCTTCTTCGATGATGGAGATGTAGGATTCGAGATCTGTCCATTGGGAGTCGAGATTGGTGGATTCTTCTCCTTCTTCTTCTTCCTCGTGGGTTGGTGTTCCATTCGCATCAGTCTTTGTTGTTGTGCGCTTCTTCTTCTTTTTATTTTTCTCCGTCGTCATGCTGACCTCGTCGCGCTTTCTCTTCTTATCCTTTTCTCCATTGGCACTCTTCTTGTCGTTGTTTTGTTTGGTGCTGGACTTATTATTATTATTCTTGATAAAGACCTCAAATGCCACGCCCACATAGCATCGAATCAGATAGAGGTATTTATCAAGTCGTAGGCGGTCGATCTTATGAAAGTCCCGACCGATAGTGATCCAGAAAGCGCGTAGGAAGCGATGCAGTGTGCTGTGAGGGAGGCTGGGGACGATAGAGTAGGAAAGAGAGCGGGCGAGAGATTGTTGTGTTAGGGGACGGTCGGAGTGGTAGAAGCCTGGGGTGAATGCGTTAGTTGAGTTTATTCTTTTCTATCTGCGTGTGTGTCTCTCTTGAGTAGGGGGGGAAGACATACAGAAAAACAGGCCCTTCCAAACTTTCAGCAAATCCACGAGTGATAGACCCGTCTTCATTTTCAGGAACATTGTTAGCGACTCGAGGGCCTTGTCTCTTGTGCGGCGGTCTGCGAAAGAGGGTTATTAGTAACGATATTCTTGAAGAGTGATGATAAAACTGTAAAGGATAGAAAAAAGAGCAACGATTCTTTTTTTTAGAGACTCGTATGAACTGAACTGAATGGAATTCTCGTTCGGAGTCGATATTAAGATAAGTAGAGAGAGTCCCAAATTTAACTCACCACTTGACGCCAATTCCCTCACAAAGGGAGTTTTCTGAATATCCGTCATGGCGACGTATCTGCTTTTCTTTCCTCCTTCTAATCTATTACCCTCCCCAGAAAGGAAGAAAAAGAGGAAATCGTTGCTTCGTAGCTCCGCGATAGTCAAATCAATCGAATGCGGTCTTTGGTCTGAAAATGAATGCGAGACCTACTTAGCTCCGATGGAAGACAAGAGGAAAGGAAAAAAGAGGAATATAAGAGAGAGAAAAGGAAATATCTCTTCAAATGTAATTTTTCCAGATTATCGCACGTCGGCAATTCTATGGACTTTTCTATAAAGATTTCGAGATCCCAGAACTTTTTTTTCCGCGCAGCGCTTCGGAGAGTTGGGTGTTTGTGCTGTTTGCTCAGCGCTAAACTTATCTTAATCGGGTCGGGCCCCGCGGGGAGGATGATCTATAGCCGAACTGAGCGATTATCATCAATGAAGGAATGGTGAACCCGACCAAGATCGTAATAATAAAAGCAGTGACCTGAAGGTTCAGAATTATCACATTCGACAACAGATTATGCTGACATAGCCCTACATACAAGACCATCCCGAGGTCCAGTAACTATGGGGCTTCATTTGTCTTAGCGCATCAGATTTTAAACCCACGAGATCCTAAGACGACAATTTCCACGAAGATTATATAGATGTCCATGGTAGAAATGTCAATAAAGATTATCGGTTTCCATCCAGAATGTATGCGATAGTTAACGATGATTCGAATTGTGGCCATTCATAACATCAGCCAAACACACCATCGGCCCCGGAGAGAACAGGCGTATTAAGCGTATACGCTGGGAAGAACATGCAGAAGACAGCAACATCATAGTAACCGACCAGTTAAACAACAGGGTATTGTGCAGAAATAGGAAATAAGCATCGGAAAGCGTCATGTTCAAACTCGAAGTAAAGTTCGACCATCCCTGGCAAGTAGAACGAGACAAGATGCCCGATGACACTGGATGAGGTTGCTTCCAGGGAAGTGATAGGTATCGTAGCCCACGATAATGGCAGCGAAAATACCAGAGATGACCCGAACGAGAGCTCAGAAGTTTCGTTGACTGCACGACATAGATCACCAGCAAAAAACATTAGAGGGGAGAATATGGGGAGGATAACATTTCCAGAACAGTTCTTCGAATAGGTCGTTATATCGCGCACGTCCGACTTTGGTTCCGGGATGATAACTTGCGTAATGTCCATGAGATGAAGGTAGGGTTGATAATCAGTCCATAGATTTGGCACTGTCATGATATCGAGCGTCGTGTCACCACTAAAGCGTTCACAATATGGCCGTTCTTCCACCCTTGATCGGTGAGACTCTCGTGCTCGTTGAGTATTCTTCCCAGGTATGCGAGTCGAACTCGCTGTCTGCCGGAAATCTGTAATATATCATTATACTTTAGCATACACTACTCTCTGCAAGGGACTCGAGAACACGGCAAAAAAACATACCCCGGCCTCTCCCTGCACCTTGCGGGCCAGTAGTCCGACGCTTTGCGTCTTCCCAATGGAGATAGTAAGATCAGGTCCTTCCCTATCACTTAGTCGCGCTTTGACCTTGATGAGATCGCGTTCGCTCGTTTTGCCCTTCTCCTCCCTGCGCCGCTCAATATCATCCGGGATCAGTTCATCTTCTGATGCCTCGTCTGCTCCGAGCTTTCCATCGGAAATCGCATCATTGTCGATTCCATCGGCAGGGCTGTCGACGATGTTGTCCGGGTCGCTGACAATGCACTGAGGCAAGCGGTACAGTGCGCCTGTTTCGTCATAACAGCCTTCACATAAGTCTCCCGTGGGTACCGTGATTCCAGCAGCATCGATGATACTCTGTGCTGTCGCAAAGTCGCCGTCGCGCATCAACGCTGTAGCGCTCGCCAGCGCTGCCCACACCTCTTGCCGGCCGGTCACTCTCGTCTCGAAGAACTCCTGTCGTTCCCGCGCCAACTGTGCATGCGACCATGTGCGTCGCTTACTCCGCCAGGTATGCGGGCGGATTGGCTGATTGTAATGCTCGCTCAGCGGTACCGCTCCTCGACGACGGACTGTCGTGGTCGTGGTAGCGGCGCCGGTCGTACGGTGTCGACCAGCAGCTTCTGAGACGATCGCATCGGTGATAGGGTTTACTGTGGGAGACGAGGAATCTCCATGAGGATGCTCTTCCGTTACCTCAGCGGAATAAGGTATCGCGCCATCGTCACGCGAGAACAAGGAGAAGCAGCAACCCTGGGTACATACCAAGTTAGTTATCGTAGATATGAAGCGCTGCATTCACCACACTGCTGCAGAGACGGCATACGACCCCCCGGAATTTGGTTGAATAAAATATATATATAGAGCGCAGAGACTGGAACGCTGTCTGCTCATCGCATTGAACCGGTGGGGAAGCCCAAATGAATGTCCGTGACCGCTTGGGTAACACAGCGATCCATTCTCACGAGCGAGGGGCGTGCTTCCCCGACCGACGGACGAGAAAGACGGAAGCGCATTCCAGCTCCAATAGATATTTAATGATAATGAGCTTACTTACCATTTTGCATCCTGTTCGAGACCAACTGCCCCGGTGTCAGGCACCTCGATGTCCCGCAACGTGGACAGAGGAGCTGCGGGAGTTGAAAAGAAAGCTGGAGAAGACGAAGGATATGTGGATCGAATGATCGGTGCTAAGCGTCCATGTACGCGGCACAGGAAGCAGTGGCTGCAGTGCACACTATCTAGTCTAACGGGGTGGAGAGGAGATGGATCCAGTCAGTGAGTGTATTGGAAGTTGTCTTGCGATCAGTGCGACCTCTCTTTCTTAGTTCTTACAGTAGAGGGATCGTCGGGGCCAGCACGGGCAGTCGGTGAGTAGAGTAGAGTAGAGTAGAAGAGACGAGGGAAAAGAAAAAGAAGAAGAAGAAGAAGAAGAAGAAGCAGAACATCCCAAGGTGGATGGGCTGATGGTCTCTCCGTTTCACATAGATAGGTATGAACTGCTTGCTAGTCCATTATTATTATCCTCTTCGATCCCGAAAAAGCCGTCCAGGAACTCCTTCCAGGCAGTTCGTCCTCAGGCCGGGATGCCGGTGAGACCCGTTCGGCGCCAAAACGTCAGAACAGAGTCAGAAAAAGCTTGATAGAGTCGGAAACCCACTTTGTCCACGACAGCGTGATGTGTTTTTTTCTTATCGTCTGTGATTTCTGTCCGTTTCCACCAAGGAAGATATCATCAACAAGGCCAATATCTCTATCCGGGATCAACTCGATGCTGTCCCTTGGATCACAGTCTAACTAGTTATTCTCGCCCTCCAGTGGCTTCCAGTACATCTTCCAACTAAGGAAGCTGTCTTTGTCCCTTCTCCACTCGACCCATTGACTGTACTAAGATAACTAAATTCAGTAAGAGTATAGTTACTTACAGTGTTACTACTTAACTTACCTAGGTAAGTCAACTACCGCGACCTACCTACAATCGCCTATCCAAACCTGTACGACAACGCTCTGGGAAAGATCCAGCCTGCGAGAGTTATTATTACAGTATTACTATTTCCTGTCCATACACACAAATGTCCACCTTGAATGCATTATTAGGAGATAGATAGGTCGAGAACAACACCCCCTTGTCAATTTGTCATTCTTCTCCCTTTTACCCCTCCCTTAGTGATCAAGTATTACTAGAGGGCAGCGATCTGAGCGGGAGGTCTAGAGTAGACTGGCTCGATAGTACCTAGTCGGTAAGTACTAAGTAGAGACCGTTAGCGAAACGCCTTCATCTTGTGATTATTGCAAGGAGGAGATCTATTGATTCCCCTCCCCCGCCTTCGATCCGGCAGATCATCCTGGGCGATAGGAGCCGAGAGCCAGATCGCGGTCTCTGCAAGGAGTTGTTCGAGGTTATTTGTGCCACGTTTAATAGAGAACGGGCTACGTGAAATTTGAATACTAGATAAATCGGTAGAAAATAATACATAATGATAGGATTAATATCGATATGTTTTGTTTTCCTATCTTGGTATTTCGATCGAGCCATCCTATAGACCTCAACTGAACTGAACTGAATTGAATTGAACCGCGTGGGACACCGGTCTACTACTCTATGGAAGTCTCGACAACCGTATCTCGTCATAAAGAATTATAACGGGTCTCTCAGTGATAATCACCCCTGTCCATGCCCTAAAACATATAATAGCTCTCGACATAATATGATCTCAGTCATTGCTGACATCGTCATGGTCGACTAATTTGTCGCATGCGGAATAGACCGGCATGGTAAAAGTGGGTAACATGTATTACCATAGTTTATTCTAGACCATTGCATGGACTTTTGTGGGTTGGGTTTAATGATATTCAAGATCTTGGGAATCATATCTTGATTTAAATCTATACACTGATCTGACACGATGAACTCATTCTTCCTCATCTTCGTCGTCGCTGCCAAAGATCGCTTTGAAGACAGCTTCGCCAGGTCGTTCGGCTTCCAGAGCGTCGTTGCGCTCGGGCTCGACGATAACCGGCTGGCGCGGCGGTGCTTGCGTGGACAGCTCTGCCTCAGACACGAGGCGGTTGCCACCGCCAGCTTCTAGCATGAGCTGGTTCATCACGTCTTTGGAAACCAGTTCTTTGGTGCCTGTAGGCGCTTGGTATCCTGCTGACTGGAAGCGACCACCAGCGGAGACGTCTCGTTCTCCGGGGAACTCGCCCGGATCGACCTGTACATGGGCTGGCGGCTTCACGTTGAACCTCTTGCAGAGCAGACGAGATGGATAGAACGATAGCGTGCTTCGCGTCATCGGCCCAAACATGCCAATCTTCGCGGCTGCTTCCGCAGGGTCCTCCGGCTTGGCTGCTGGCCTGCTGAGTAACGAATCTGCATCGGATGCCCCAGTCGAATCCGATGTGCCTCTGGGGTCGGAGCGGGCCGACGTGAATCTTGATGCCATCAACCCTGACACGGGCTTGAATACTTCTGCTGCCCGCGAGAACTCTCGAAGCTCGGTAGCCCAGTCATCAATCGTTACACCGGGAGTCCGGTCCGGAAGACTGTCGCGCAGACCGGCGCGCAGCTCGAGAAACGCTCGATAGCGCGCCCTCTTTGCTTCATCTTCAGAGTAGGGCATCCAACCGCCGACGGCCCGGTTGAGAGCCTGCGCGGCGACCTCCTTGTCCAACTTCGGAACCAGATCCCAGAGGTCCTTCCGCCTCTGTGCCTCAGAAGGCTCAAATCCCTTGGGTGCCTTCTCTCCAAGGGCAGGTGGTAGATCGGTTTTCCCTGTCAATTTTACAATCCGCTCTCGAGCCTCAGGCGTCATCCAGTCGAAGATGGACTTGCCAGGTAGCTGAGCTTCGCCCAGTATTGCGGCTCTCGAAGTGGGGTCCAATGTAGATGCTTTGGCGGCTTCTGCGGTCGAAACGTAGTCGGTTGTAGCTGTTTTTGCAAAGGGTGCTTTGGAGGATTTCCAATCTTTAGGAATCTCAGGGGGGGCGTATTTCTTCTCATGTGAGAGAGACAGACTGGACATTGCCTGAGCCAGGAGGAATCCCTCAAGAGGGAGACGGCCGTCGTGGCATTTTCGAAAACCGGACGCTTTCTTCGCAGTGGTCGCTTTTTTGGAGATGAAGACGGGCTTCGTGCTGACAAGGGGATTCGCGGACGTTATGGCAGGCTTGCTGTCAGCCTTCAAACCTTTCTTCTTTTTCTTATCCCCCCCAATAGTCCTGTTATAGGAGATCTGCGGGCCCATCGAGTAAGGATCATCTTCATCAGAACCCGTATCATTCAAGACTCCCACGCCAAATCCGCCCCGCCTGGGCTCTTTCTTCTTCTCCTTTGACCTTCCGTTGAGGGCTAGACGTCGAGCATGAAATGGATCGTCTTCGTCCGATTCATCCGCAGCATCGTGGGACTTCAACAACCCTGAGTCTAAGCGAGGCCCTCCCTCGAAACCTAGGCCTTTATGGTCCGTCTTTGTGACGAAAGCAACCATGGGCGGGTTGTCCGGCGCAAAGTAATGGAATTCCTGCTCCGTCTCTGGGCCGCCGTCCTCGTCTCCCAGGTTGGCTTTCCGGCGTACTCTTGGTCCGATCCCCTGGCCCTCTCTCCAGCCCATCTTCTTCAGCAACTTGACGCCCATCGTTTCTCCCGTCGTCTTGAGGATGTCCATGAGACCGCCCCGGCGGGTGGGGTCCAGTTCCGTCGATCCAAAACCTGCGAAGCCCTCCGCGGTCTGCAGCTGTCTCGATTCCTCCAGTTCCCGGAGATCCTCCTCATCCATAAAATCCTCGGGCCGCTGCTGGATGTGCTGCTTGGAGTCCTTGGCGCGGTTCTGCCGCGAGGAGACGAAGGTGGCAGGCGTCCATCCCTCCTTGGAGCCTACCGTGTTGAAATACCTAGACGGTCCACATTTAGTCTGCTGTCCCGAGCCCTCTGTGAATCGTGAGCTCACCCGGCGCTGAAACCACCGGTGAAGGCGCCATGGAGACGTTTCCTTCCCCGGTCATCCGTCACTTCCTGCTTCCATACGGGCACGTAGGATCCATCGTCGCGCACGTCGGGGTCGAGCGGCGGCAGTGGGGTGCCGTAGAATGCGTAGGGAGATTGCTTTGCCTGGAGATCTGCCTCAAAGGCCGCTCGAGATCTCTTGGTTGCCATGATGGCACATGACCGAAGGCGTCGCGGGTTCGATATGCGGAATTTCGGTTCCCTAAGTCTGTATTTGGAAAACCACTCTCGATCGACGGTCACAGTGACCTTTTTGTTTCTGCTGCTCAGAACCAGCAGTTGACAGCAGGTGTATCTTCCGGGCACGGTAGGTGGTCTGGTTTCGTTGACGCGATTGGAACGCTCGAATGCACGGGAGAAGGCCCGCTCCGTCACGTCAGGCGGAGGCAATCCCCAGATCTCTGGAGCTGTCGGTAATCAGGAGGGATCTGGGGCAGCGATCGAGAAGAGCAGTCAGTTCGGGGCTAAGGTGGTCAACTGGCACTGTCAGGGGAGTTGGCCGGTTGAGATGCTGACGTCGGAGCGGACCAAGAGAGTCCAAGAGAGTCCAAGAGGAGAGAAATGCACCGCCACGGGGCCGGCTCATGTGGCAACGCACCTGGATGTTTCGTTTCTGTCTTTGGTTTCTTTCTTGAGTATCTAGTTAGTTAATTAATTAGTTAATTAGTTATTAGTGATTAGTTCCCATTGCTCAGAGTAGTAGTAGAGTCGAGTCAAGTATTATTATTATTTTATTTCCCCAGGGCAGCTGATCCATTGTCCAGCCCAATCTGGGACGGTTGAGAACAGATAAAAGGCTGGCATACTCTACTCTTCTACTGTCTAACTAATAATCAATTATCTGATTGATCGATGCTCCTGTTCTTTTCTTTTTTCTTTGTGTTTTGGCTTCTTTGCTGAATCCTGTTTTGTTTCTCCGCTAGAGTTACTCTCTCGCTTCCTGGACCCTGGTTGACGATTGCTTTTCTTCCCCAGCCTCAGCAACGCTCCCAAGGAATCCAATTAATTAAATCTCCATTCGTAATTATTTATTCCCTCCCCTTAGCGCCTCCAGGAACCCGCCCCAGACCCCGTTGTCCCTCGCTGGATCGACAAGCTGCGAGGAGTTCCGCAGTTCTGCGGTGGGTAATAATTTATAATTACGGCAAACGGGCCTGTTTGCGGCCTCCGTTCAGTTAACTGATTAGTTACTAGTATACTGTGAGCACTGCCACCAGCCATCTCCATCTCCATCTCCATCTTCATCTCCATCTCCAGCCATCTTCTCCCTCCGGCCAACCTTCGGGCCATTCTCTCATTGCAGGCCATCTGTTCACCAGAGGGAGTCTCCTGCTAGACTACTGCTGCTGCTGCTGCTGCTGCTGCTGCTGACAGGCCCTCATTCACAGCATCTCCCAGCATCGCCAGCAGTTCGCAGCCGCCGTCTGCTAACTAATAATAACTTAACTCCCTCGGCCAGCAAGCCTCTCTCCCTCCTTCTTCCCCGCCGTCGCGCCCGACCGGTCGTTGTCCATCGTCCCTCCTGGCTCTCTCTCGAGCCCCGATCGATCCCCCAAGCGCCATAGCTCAACCAACGGCGTGATCCAAAGCTCAACGTCTCCGCTGGGACAACAACGCCGTGCTTGATCGTGATGTCCACGGCTGCATCCTCTCCGTCGCCGGCGGTCGTTCGCAGCCACTCCACGTCTTCCCGCTCCCACTCGCATCATCACCATCCTCCACCCTCCTCGGATCTTCCCCACCGCACTCGAAGCGTGGCTACCAGGCCGCCGCCATCCTACACCACTTCACATCACCATCGCTCGAACTCGCGGTCGGGTTCCTATGACCGTCGCTCCGCCGCGGACCCTGCGGCTCTCGACAACGTAGCTCGTCGGGATTTCGAGACCTCCAACGTTGCTCGTCCTCCGTCGTCCCGCCGTGATCCTTCCAGGGACCGCTCCCAAGAGCGGCCTCCGAGTGTCTACCGGAACGGATCTCATCACAGAAACTCCTCTCGACAGAGCTATCCGCGCAAAAGTGTCGACATGGCTGCGGCTGGCCCCGTAGCAACTGAGGCTGCGATGCCATCCGCTCCTCCAGTCCCCGCCAATGCCACCCAGCCGAGGCGTCGAACGACCATTACGACCCCCACGGGCCACTGGGCTCTGGGAAAGACTATCGGGGCTGGAAGCATGGGGAAGGTCAAAATCGCAAAGAACATGGAGACCGGAGAGCAGGTGAGTTGTGGAACTCTTTTTCTTTTCTTTTCTTTTTCTTCTTTTTTCTCTCTCTCTCTCTCGACCAGGGTGATGATGCTCTTTCCTATTGATCCCGGGGACTAACGATGCGACGCGCAAACGATAGGTGGCCATTAAGATTGTTCCCAGACAGGCGGCAGAAGAACATCGCAGCGGCCGTGATACAGAAAGGTCGGATCGGTCCAAGGAAATTCGCACCGCGAGAGAAGCGGCCATTGTGAGCCTGGTCAACCATCCATACATCTGCGGAATGCGCGACGTGGTGCGAACGACGTATCACTGGTACATGTTGTTCGAATATGTCAACGGGGGCCAGATGTTGGACTATATCATCTCCCATGGAAAGCTAAAGGAGAAGCAAGCGCGCAAATTCGCCCGTCAGATTGCGAGCGCCCTGGACTACTGTCACCGGAACAGTATCGTGCACCGTGATCTTAAGATCGAGAACATCCTGATCAGCAAGACTGGCGACATCAAGATCATCGACTTCGGTCTCAGCAACCTGTTTTCCCCAAAAGGCCATCTGAAGACGTTTTGCGGTAGTCTGTACTTCGCAGCCCCGGAGCTGCTCCAGGCCAGGCAATATACTGGACCGGAGGTGGATGTCTGGAGTTTCGGTATTGTTCTGTATGTCTTGGTCTGCGGCAAGGTCCCATTCGACGACCAGAGTATGCCGCAGCTACACGCGAAGATCAAGAAGGGTGTGGTGGAATACCCGCAGGGGCTCACAACGGGTTCGTCATCCATTTTTTTCTTTTACTCCTAGTCTAGATGGACTATCGCTAATGCAGTGTAGAGTGCCGCCATATCATTTCACGCATGCTGGTTACTGATCCCAAGCAACGAGCGAGTTTGGCCGAGATCATGAACCATCCCTGGATGACCAAGGGCTACAGTGGCCCTCCAGAGAACTATCTGCCCTACCGCGAGCCGCTCTCGCTGCCCCTAGATCCCGAGGTCATCGAGAAGATGACAGGCTTCGAATTCGGTTCGCCAGAGTACATCACCGCCCAGCTAACCAAGGTCATCGAATCCGAGGAGTACCAACATGCCGTCAAGACCAATCTCCGAGAACAGGCGACTGCGAACCCTACAAATGAGAAGAAGAGAGGCATGTTCGATTTTTACAAGCGTCGGAACTCCGCCAGCAGGGATACTCTCTCTACGCCTTCCGTTGAAGCTGTACAGCTGGGAAACGATCCCCTCAACGCTTATAGCCCATTGATATCGGTCTATTATCTGGCCAAAGAGAAGCTGGAAAAGGAACGGGCAGAATCCAACCCTGGCGCTTCTAGCCTTACCCACGGTGCTAGTGAACCAATTATGAGAATGCCTGACCTAGCGGCGCCAGAAGCCGCACACACAAACCAATATGAGATCCCTGGTGAAAAGGACACGGGCAGGCGGGCTCGCCCTCGTGCTAGGACCCACGGAGATAGCGAACTCGAAGAAAGTGTCAACAAGATGCGCATCGACAACGCTGTGCCGCCATCTCCTGCCATTGTGACGCCCCAGCCAGAGACCCCCGTCAGGAAAGAGAGCACGGCAGCGGGTATCTTGAGGCGCCTAAGCACAAGGCGTGTCAAGGGCAGTCGCGATCTTGACAAAGAGAAGATTAGTGCTCCGCATGGAGCGACCCTGAATGTTCAGGCTCCCGCGGATCTGGCCTCTCCGCCTAACAGAGGTTTCAGTGTCAGAAGAACCAGGCGAGCGGAACCGTCCCCGACTACCATACATAACGCCGGTAGTCAACCGCAGCATCAAGATCTCCTTAGGACGGCAGCATCTGGGGATCCAGCTTCGCGCTCCAGCAAGTTCCTCGAAAGATCCGCCAGTGTTAACTCAGCAGATTACCGACCCCGTCGGGGTACGCGCAGAGCGCCTCCGGACCCTATCAACACATCTGCGAACGAACCTCCTCTTACCAGTGGCTCTGATCATTCTAGTGTAAACGGTCAGAAAGCTAAGCCCAGCGACCAGCGGCCCCCCCAGGAGCCGAGAACCCGCACGCACACTGGCAGAACGAAGTCACTCGGTCATGCCAGACGCGAAAGTATACAGGCCAGGCGAGCTAGGCGTGAAGAGGCTCGGGAAGCTAACGTCCCTGAGGAGACCGATGCCGAGCTTTCTGGGGCAGGTAATGCCCTAGAGAGCGCGAATGACGGCGAAGACCTGTCTAAGCCCGTGTTTCTGAAGGGTCTGTTTAGCGTGTCTACGACTAGCAGCAAGCCACTATCCTTCATCCGTGCGGATATCATCCGAGTGCTCAAGCAGCTTGGAGTGGAGTATGTCGAGATCAAAGGAGGGTTCAGTTGCCGTCATGCCCCCAGCATTGACCTGGAGCGTGTTGTGGACACTGGACCTCCAAGCCCGGATCGACAAGGCCAGGTCTCCAGCAACCGCCGTCGCATCAGTTTCGGTGGACTGCGCAGCTACGAAGAAGAGCCACGGCGATCCATCAGGACTCCACGCAGATCGCATGGAGCACCGGATGAAAGCTTTGTGAGTAACTCTGATGGGTCTGATGACGACGTCGCGCCTCGAGACCACAACGTCGTTGTGGGTGAGCGCGTTGTCGGCGAGACTACAACACGAGTGACGAGCGATACTGGAGAGAACTTGATTCTTCGATTCGAGATCCTTATCGTTAAGGTTCCCCTGTTCTCGCTGCATGGCATCCAGTTCAAGAAGGTATCAGGTGGCATGTGGCAGTACAGAGAAATGGCCAAGAGAATCTTGGATGGACTCAGACTCTAAGCTACTTCGTCTGCGGATACTGTGTGGTTACGCAAAGAAGCGCTCTTATGAGACCTGATTCTCCACCCGCCTTTCCCTCTTGATCTCGATCAGATTCGATCCACGCAGCTCTCTAATCCTGCAAAATTTTCTTTTTTATGGTCTCTTGTCGTGTACATTAAACCGACCGAGCAAGCGTTGCGGATATTGGTCATGTCTACATTCCCGTCAGTATTGACTAGTCCTGGGTGTTTACGATCTGCATTTCCTTTTTTACGATAGCCTTTTGTCTCTTCTCATTTTCGAAGCCCCTGCGGTCGCTTCCTTGCGGACCAAGCATACATACACACATACATACACTGTCTTAATTCTTTCGAAGTGCAACCCGCTTCTGAAAATATTCATCCAACCCCTTACTCTATTCCAGCCGAAATCGTTGTGTTGCTCCATGACCTTTTTTTTCGGTTACTTCGGTTGTTTCTATCCTCACTTGAGCGAGTAGTTAGCAATTCTTGCTCGTCTTTTCAAAAGGCAGTTCGTATGCATACTAGCTTAGATGCTTCATGTCTCATGGCTATTTTTATTGACCTTCTAGACACATATCGAAGAATTCACGTTCGCAATAGTATTCCATTGGCAGATTACCTGGTATTTGCTTTATGTGCCGATACACCCCCTTGAACTGGCAATTATTCAGCTTAATCTTTGTCCTAGATAGGGGAATCGAAAGCTATCTAAGTATCCGGGGCTTAGCTTAGCCTAGTCAGCTTCCTCTAATCAATAAGCGTATCTAGCTCGTGAGTTTAAACCTAAATTGAAGCCGTTCTTTCTTGTTTACATATAAGTGCATTTTAACAACGTCCATTCGATCCTTCCTAGTTTATAGTATTTCGCCCTAATTTGTGATCCTTTGTAAATAATAATAACTTGACATAGTTAGCTTGTGTCACTGGCCTCTATTAGTTGGTCTCTAGTGCTTATTGTTAGGTATACTATTATTATTGTCAATTGTTAATCTATTGGATTCTTTGGTGTCCTTCTATAACTAATTCGTATAAAGGTTGGTGTTAATAATCGGTCCTCAGAGCCAGTATGTATGTCTCCTGTGATACTTGAAGCCGCAGAAACATACCCTTGCAGAGAGTTTTTCATCCGGAACTCAATTTGCGATCCTCAACCTCACTCTTCCCAAGACCTTAAACGGGCAAAGTTACGACGTAAATAGTAAAAGAGAGTGCCAGGGTGGAAGATACCTAGGTACCTGCCTTGAGTGCTGAAACAAATAAGGTTCCGTCCAAAGATTGTCGCCGAAAAACAAAAAAAAAAACGAATCCTATGGTAGATTCTTTTGCCCCCCTATGTACGTAACCCGCCTGCTCAAGCAGTTAGGCACTCTGTTGATTCCGCTAGTTTCCATATTGCTTCAAGAGTATTACCCAGAGGATAGTTTGGGACAAATGCCAGTGTGTTATTTAACTCCGTATAGTATAAGTTTATCAAATAGCGTGATAGCACGACTATTCGATAGTAATATATTATTGAGCGCTAGCGCAACATTATAGATATGCAATATGCAATAGTGCAAGTAACCGTGAAGCGTGTAGGGCTCTATTCAGCCTGAGATAGGGTACTGTTTATTCTGCGGCTGACCCAGGTGGAATAATACAGCAAAGAGTCTTTTTGCCGAGCCAGCAGCAGTGACCATCTCCACACTCATCCTGCTTCACTTTCTTGTATCCGTGACCGCACTTGGACATGCAGAACGGCCAGTGACCTTCCCAGTAACAGTCATCTAGCCCAGGTGGGTTGGCCGGAGGTTGAGCTTGCTTGTCGGGCCAGGGTTGCTCGCTCGCATCGTCTGCTCGTACTGAGGGGGAGAGAGAGAACAGGAAGTGTTAGTGTTGATAATCCAGGAGATGGATGCTAGTAGAAAGCTAAAATGTGGAGAATCTACTTACTGGTAAAGTTGTTTGTTGGATAAGCAGCAATAATAGGCATACTGGCCAAACCCGCAGTGAGCATTAAACTTATAAGATGCATGATTGTATCTCTCCTGGGACGATAAGGCGGGGAAAGTAAAACCGTACGCGGAAATTGTATGAAAAGAGGACTTGAAGCTTTTGTAGGTGTATCGAAATGAGCTCGTGTATCGTTATTAAAGGAGAAAGAACCGATATACCATTCAGGAAGGCTCTAATGCGCCTAAATACCCGTGCTTGCGAGCAGTGCCTACCGATATACTTTTTTTACTAGTCCAGTCTAGGAACATAGGAAACTAACTATCTGCGTATCTAGATATTTCAGCGGGTGTTAGTTACCTGTAAGGACTCCGGTTTCTATAGAGACTAGGTGCTTAATGGAATAGAAACTGGTACCACTCTTTTTTGTCTCTTATGGCTCCTTTTATGATGGAACCGAAAAAGGGAAAACAGCGAGGAGTGTACTAACAATAGGACAATCGGCTGGTAACCTCCTCGCGAAGGCTTCCACGAGACCGATTACTGCACACTAGGCAGCAAACAGTCCAGTTATATCACATGCCCTGGATTCCAGGTACCACTGCACCAAAAGACCGCAATAACTACGCCTAAGACGTAGTTGAGCCTAGCAACCCACAGAGGCTACGGAGCTTATAGACTCTTGCACTTAGGTATAGAAATTATTACCTTAGTTACGAACTAGGGTTTATATAAGAACCTAAAGTTACATTATATTTCAGCAGCGGTCTCGATATCTTGCGCCTAGCGCCCCTAGATAGTAAGTGATAATTATAACGCTAATTATTCGTATACCTTTAGCTATTTTAATCTTTACCGGAAAGCCCAAAAACTGGTCTTTAGATAGATAATTACTACCCTTTACTGCTTAGCGAGGAGAACGCTCTAAACCGCCTATTGAATAAATTATTCTAAGCTATATATCGATATTATTATAGCGGATAAATTAACCCTTATTCCTGAGGTCTTAAGAGTTAAAAGCTCTAATTTATACTGTGACTGCAGGTAATATATCACGTGACCTATAGGCAAGGTATTCTCAACAATTTTTTATTATTTAAATTAGGTTAAAAAATTATAAATAATTTTTAATTTTAATAATATCTTTTCTTATTAAAAATAATAATTAATTATTATAATAAAAAAAAGGAAAATAGAATAATTCACTTATAAAATCACGTGCTAAACATTATTCACTAAAAGAGAAACAGAAACCTTTATCACTAAAGCACTAAAATAGCTTCACTTTAAACACTTAACTGCTGGCAACTTGCTAACTGTACTTGATTTAACCCTTGAACTTGTCAAATACCTTTATCTTAAGCTTCTCATGGGGTTTAGCTATTCTAAAGACCTTTAGGAGATTAAGCTGGGCGCTAAGACGCGCAAAAATGTTTATCGACCTGACTTTGGACTCGGATGAGGAGCTTCAGGTAAGTTTACAGCTTGCTTTCTCTATTTCTTGGAATTAAAACGTGTGGAAATTTTACATTTATTAAATTTATAACGTTTTTTTATATTGTTATAAATACCTTAAGATTATCTTTTTTTTTTTTAAAAAGGGGTAATATTATATGTATTGAGAATGTTTTTGTTTGTTTTCAGTGTTTTCTATTAATGTTATGATCTTGCTAAAGGCCGAGATTTCTGGTTATACGAAGATAAATTTGACATTAAATGAAACTAATCTCTCTCTTATAAACAGAAGGGTAATTCTGAACAGCTTTTATCGCTCTTCACCCAGCAAAAAAGTCGGAAACGCAAGGCAGAGCTCACTTCTGAGACTTCGAGTCTCAAGTCTGATCTTACAACCCGCCATGTTGACATCGATCCGAACTCTCTCCCCTCTCACCACACCGAGACAGACTTAGAATCCGTCGTCAAGTCTGAACCTCGCAAGTTCGATGTTGTCGTGCCTCGGTTCACTGATGATGTCTTCTCTATCGAGTCCGATAGTTCCGTTCCTAGGAAGAAGCGCGCCAGTCTGCCTCCATGGAACAGCAAGCCAATCACGAAAACTGATGAACCTCAGACCCAGCAAGATACTCTATTAGGCCTGTCTCAAACACACTACCCTGTGGATGATGCGGAGACTAAGGCGTCCTTCGCCTATCCTAAGCACAAACATGGCAGCTCTGATATCCTTCCTCTAAGCCTCTCAAGTATGCCGCCTGGTCTCTTTAGGAAGAAGAAGTATCAGGAACCACCTGCGGATGGAGTGCCCAAGACCCTCTTGGCAAAGCTATCAAGGATCAGAGGACCACCTGTCACATTGACTCTCAGTAAGGAGGACAGCGCCTTTCCCGAGAACTTCGAGTTCATAAACTCGTACAAAATCCGGGGTGGTGTCGAAAAGGCCGATGCATCCTTCGATGCAGGATGTGACTGCGGCATTGTCTGCGATATGAAATCATGTACCTGTCTCTCTCAAGAGATCGACTCTGACGACCGTATCAACCCGTATGATATTCTGCGTGACGGGACCTACGTCCTCAACCAAGGATTTCTGAAACGCTCAGCGATGATTTACGAATGTACGCCCCTTTGCGCCTGCACGAGACATTGCTGGAACCGCGTCGTCGAACGAGGCAGGACTATCCGGTTCAACATCTTCGACACGGGAAACAGAGGATTCGGTATATATCCATTCCCTGGCCCAAAGATCACAGATATATCAATGCTAACGATAATGATTCTTAGGCCTACGTTCCCCAGACCACATCAGAGCAGGTCAATTCATTGACCTTTATCTCGGCGAAGTAATCACAAAAGCTTCAGCAGACAGACGTGAGATGATTGCAGAGACTCAAAAGAGCCCATCATATCTCTTCTCGCTCGACTTCCTGGTAAATGACAACAAGATCTACATCGTCGACGGCCAGAAATTCGGATCCCCAACACGATTCATGAACCATTCCTGCAATCCGAACTGCAAGATGTTCCCCGTGTCTCGCCACCATGGAGACGAGCGTCTGTATGACCTTGCGTTCTTCGCATTACGAGATATTCCGCCAATGACGGAATTGACCTTCGATTACAACCCAAGCTGGGACGATACCAGGAAGAAGAAGAACAGGAACCAAATCGATCCAAACTCCGTCAAGTGTCTGTGTGGAGAGCCCAATTGTCGTGGCCAGCTGTGGCCTACACAGCGAAAAAGAACGAAAAGAGACTAAGTAGAGCAGATCAGCAGATCTCTCACTCTACGTTCATACAGAGTCTCACAGTCTCGCAAGTTTCTACATTAGCGAAAATGTCATTGTTTCGGAATCGAAGTCCGAAAGTCGCTGATTATTAGCGTTTGTTTGGTCCCAGTTTAGTCCGCCTTTTTTCTTCTCTAACTAAATCTCATGCATGCATTTTGCATCTCAAGTCATGCATCGGATTCCAACACCGGAAACAAGCCGAAAAAGAAAAGAAAAGAAAAGAAAAGAAAAACAAAAACAAAACTGACAGCAAGACATACAACGATGCAAAATCGGCGCAAGTTTCAATCACAGCAAGCAAGCAATCATGTTTTTCCTTTCTTTCTTCTACACAGGTGTTGAATTGAATTGTTGTTATTTGTGGAGGTTGATTGATACTACTACTTCTGAAGTAGGAAGAAAGCATACTTACTTACTTAACTCTAAGCAAGAAAAAACGGAGCACCATATCTCTCTTCCATTATTTCCCCCCAAGACCCGTCGTGACGGGGTTATTCACTTTGAGTTTTTTTTTCTACTTCTACTGTATCCTATTCTAGTTCAGTCCAAGACTGGTTTAATAACCAATCAATTAACTAATCTTGGCATGCCACATTCCTATAATAATTGGGCTTATTTTAAGCCTTTATAACTAACTCCTGAAGAAGATCGATATTAACTCTTCATTTCCGAAAGGAATCTACTACTAGAACATAGCAGGGAAAAGAAAGAGTTGAACAAATTTCCTGCGTCTCGTACTTAGTTCCACGAGTCTTGAGTGGCAAATGGAACCCCTGAAACCGTACGAAAGTTATTGTGATCGGCTAATTTGGCCACTGCGCATGGACGATTCAGGTTGAAACGGATTGAATTTTGCAGTGCACCTTTTGTGGACATGTAACCATAAAAATGAGAGATGGTAGTTTTCAGTATTACTTACGGAGGAAAAGTATTGGATCTAATTTTCAGATGTCAACTGTATAGTTTCGATAGACCAGATGGAGAATACTTTCTATACTCCCGTTGAAAAATAAATAAATCAACTCCATCCATTATCCATGGCAGAAATTGTCACATGAGCGAATAAACGTCAATAACATCTCCTTGAACAAGAGATACGAACAACTCTGGAAAAAGGACAGCGCTCGCTCGGAACATGAAGATCATAGCGTAAAAACAGAATCAGAACCAGAATAATAAAACAAGTCAGCCGTTAACAACGAAAGAGAAAACTGCTGAAATACGGAGCGATTTCTATGTAGCTAATATCGCTAGATAGAACTCCTCACCAACACACGCTTGGTCACGTTATATAAATATATAGATCTGTATATACCCATCAGACATTATACCTTCGCTGTGCGAAAAGTCCGGACTTCATTGTATTCTTCTTCATGCGCGTCCTTCCATCACCTCGAAAATACCACCCAGAACAAAGCGGGGCTGCTGAGGGCGCATTGGAAGATCAGGAGTCGCCTTCAACATACTGTCCATATCACCGAAGATATCCGCAGCGAAGCCCATCGGAGTCGGAACTGGGTCGACGGGACGGGGTTCCATCAAACCGAGGCCTGTTCGTTCGACCGTATCTTCATCGCATCGGGAGCGTTCCTCACTCAATGCAAGATCGACGGCAGAGGGGCGACGGCGAAGAAAGAAGGCAGATGGGCGGCGAGACATGGCGGAACACAGGGTGAATGGACTGCCACTGCCACTGCGGCTGCGCGAGTCCGTAGTCGTGGAGCTGGGGGAACGCATCCTCCGGGTGAAGCTCCGAAATCTCGTCTTAGGAGACGCTGTAGGGCTCGAAATAGGGGAGCTTGACGGGCTCACGGAGGAGCAATCGCTGGTTGTCCGCGCATGGGAAGCGAATGTGAACGAATTGAGAGACATATCCATGTCTGTCATTGGAGACGGCGACAGCGCGCGAAAGCTCCGGCTGTTGTTATGCATCTTGGCGGCGTAAGATGCTTCTGAATCAAGAGCCTCAAAGAGGCTGATCAAGTGCTGGACGGCCGTTTTGGAAGGCGTTTATGTGTATATATTCCGAAACGTGAGTATGATAGGCGTCGTAGCGAACGGCACTGAAGTAGTATGAATGCGCTCGTCCGGTCGTTTATGGATCTCGAAAGATGGATATCCAAGGTGCGCCAAAAAAAAAATAATAAGTGATTCCCAAGGTCCTGCCTGGTTCCCGAATTGAAGATTATATAGAGGTATCAACGAGTGATTGGTGACTGCTTGTATGCAGCAGACGAACTAGCACTTGCCAAGCTGCAATGGCTCCCCGTCGACGGTTGAAGTGAGAGATCCAAACAAACAGACCCTGGTAACGGGGCTAGAGAAAGAATATAAAGAGGTTAAAGAGAAGGGTTCGTCCTAGTAAGCCGACCCGAGGGTGCGACTATTGAAAAGAGAGGGAGAAGAGTGGAAGGACGGAGGTTGTCGCCGGTGCCAACCGGGAGGGAGTGGGGAGTTATGTAGATGATAATTGAAGGGACCCCCGGAAGCAATAATATGGGCCCTCTATGAGCTATCCAGCGCACTTCCGTCACAGAACAGGGTGGTGAACCGGGGAGATGAGATCCTGCCAGGAGACTAAGCAACACTAAGAGCGGACCAGGGGCAAGTGGCTGCAAGGACCGGCGCCCCGCGGCGCCAGGGAGTCGGGGCGAATTATTTAACCATCGACGGCGTCCTGAGACAGAGCCAGGGCTGTTCCGTGAGCAGGATCTTGACTTTCAGGAACAGGACGTGCTCTGCTATCGTGTAACGGAAACGGAGTGGAAGCGCAGGGTGGGCGACGCTTCCGTCTCAGCTATCTCAGGGTCCGATATCAATTGATCCCACTTGTAACTGATTCCGCCCATGGTTCAGACGGATATAGAGTAGTTGCCAAGCTGTGTGGAGGTTGCTAGTCTGTTGACAATGACATCCGGAGTAGAAGATCTTGTCTGAAAAGATAATCATCATATAATGGTTACCTGGTGAGATCTCAGCCCGATGTCAGCAAATGCCAAATAGAAGCTTTGATAAGGTAATAGATCAAGAATTTTTAGTGACAGCCCATCGATAAATGCGACAATGGGTCTCTCGATGGAGACCAGGTGGAGTTAGGATCGACCTCGATGGCAGACGCACGTCCAAAAATCGTTAAGATGCGAGGCTACTGTATGTATAACAGCCCCGCGAACGGACAGCCTCATCGTCTATCATGATCATCCTCGCGACAATGGTCATCATCTCTTCTTTCCATCGCGGAAATCATGGTGCCTGTTCTGCCTGAGTGCTAATGTCGAATTCGATAATTTTAATTTATCGGGGACACTCCTCGCGGGACTAAGCCATTCGCAGTGGACCATCTGCGACACTCGTGTCGTTTAGACGCGTCGCACCTTCGCACAATCGCCACCCTGGGCGTCCTGTGCACGATGTTCTGGACACTTTCCACCAGCCCGCGGTTGTATTAACTTCAAATGAAGAGACCCGAAGCGACAGGGACATCCAGGGACTCCTGCGACGGAGTAGTGGAATGCTGGTCTAACCGTGCCTGAACCGTCGTTCACATTCCACAACCTGTTCACGCGTGTCCGGAAAAGAAGACGCCAGGGGAAAAAAAGGTTGAATGCGGCGACCACTATCTATGTATTTCAATCGCGTGCATTCCAATGGCGATACGACGCATGGAGGTCCTCGAGATAAGGACAAAGCCGGTCTAGGTCAATGCTTGTATCGACAAACTCAGTGGGAGACTGCTCGGGTACAGATTTTTTTTTTTCTCAAGCCTCGACAGCACGTCGCGACAGCAACCGTAGGGCTTCTCAGACTTCCCATGATTCAAGAAAACGTTCGTATTGTTTGATGGTGATTGACGGATTCTACTTTACAAACTTCCATCCATAACTATGTACTATACAGAAAAACAGTCCAATCAACTCGCAGAAGCGTCTGTACCAAAACCTGTCTATGATACGTCGCGTCGAAAACGGATGAGGCCATGATATGCAACAGATAACAAAGATAAAATAAGCAGATAGGATGGCTCAAGCTCTTCAATAGTCGACACATAAAAAAAAGAAGAAAAAAACGCCTCGTGCTATGCAAATCTCATAGGCCAATAACAAAGAAAAAAGAAGGCAAAGACGAACCATGCGTTCTTCGGGGTAACAAAAGCTTGCTCAATCAAGAGACCCTGCATGCGTCCACTGCTTTCTAGAACATATGTGCAGAATGATACCGCTACAGGCGTGGAAGTAAGTAGAGGCGCTTTCCTTCTTCCCGGCTGCAACGTAATGAAAGGACAATGTTGTTAAGGAAATCGGTACCTGACCTGACAGAAGCGAATCCGGAAGGTGACCCCGTCTCCCGTGGTTCTGGTTTCGTGACGCCATCTCTCGTATAAGTAACATATGTTTGTAGAATGTACATTGACTGCATCCGATGCGCGAGCGGCATGCCCTCGAAGACAAAGGAAGAGGGTGCAACTTAATCCCTCGAACGATGCTGGGTGAAGCTCCGTCTGATACTTTCTCCCCAGGCTGAGTTATCAAGTGATTCCATGACATCGTTCACATTCATGCCGCTGTTATCCCGAGAGCTCCTGGGACTGGCGGAATCGTCCGGCCCTGACGCGCCGAAATATGAAGTTTCTACTTCCATGGGACGGCGAGGAGACAACGATGGACTAATGGCAGCCCACTCAGTTGGCGTGCTTGCTCCTGATCCATGTCCGGCGAGAGTCGTGTCAATCCGAGGAAGGCCAGCGCCTCTCGAGGCGATGGAGGATCCCCGATTCCGCGTCGCAGGTGACAACATGGGTGAGGACGGCTCGCTGGAAGCATGACTGGGAGTAATGGCAGTGTTATCGTTGTCCCACTCAGGCCCCTCTCCGTCGCCGTGGTCGACGAAAATTTCTGGGACGGCGAACTGCGGCACAGCTGTCATGCGGCCTAGGCTCTTGGCCTGGATGTTGCGGCGGAATTGACGAGACCAGTACAACGTATCAAAGAAACCGATAACGGTCTTACGACGAACCGTCTCTTCAACGCGTTGCAACCTTGTGCGTCGTCGTAAGAATTCCTCCAGTCTGGATCGAAGGTTAGCCACAGTCGCTCGAGTATGAAAGAGTGAAACACCAACCTCAAGCTCTTGCTGTCGCTAATCACATTGTGGTGTGCAAGAATCATCAAGCATGACGTGAAAGAGATACCAAAGTCGGGGTCAGCGGACACCAGGACTTCTTCGTAGAAGACATTCAGCTTTGCTCGTCTAGCTCTTATCGTATTCACGGGGATACGATTGATGATTCTTCGAAGTTCGTCCAGATCAACACCTTCGACAGGTCCCGATCTTGTAAAAGCGCCGCTGGGAATCGTCCGGCACCTCTCCAAGATCCTACCGACTGTAAATTCGCCGTCGTATACGCGCATTTCGAAGATCCCAGACAATTCCTACATAGAAAGTTAGGGATGCTGCCAGCGATATCCTCTCAGAGAAACTTACCCCGAGCAGCCGAGGGAACTGTTCCTTCGAGATGTATCCAGTTCCATCGGGATCGAACGTCGACCATGCCTGCTTGAAGCGACGAAGTTCCTCCCTGTTGATAGCGTAAAGACCACTGCTTCGCTGGTACACGTAGGAGAAACTCTCGAAAATAAGAGACACAAACAAGGAGACGAAGATATACATGCTGATGATGTTCCACGTAATAAATAGCCCACGAGCCCAGGCCGGACTGCCACAGTCACTCCCGAAGAAATCTTCCGAGAGTGTGCATTGAGGGGGTTGCATGGTCGCAAAATCTTCCATCAGTTGATTCCAACCCTCTCCGCAGCTGGTGCGGAAAAGGAATATCAGGGCCTTAGGCACATCTCTGAAATTGAGATTGTTGTTTTCGTTGCTACCAAACTTGGTGAGGCCGAAAGTCTGAGTCATAGCGATGGCATATACGAGGAACAGGACGAACCACGTAGCCAAGAGGTTGCCAATCGCTGTAAGACTAGCCGCGGCAGTCTTGAAGAGTTGATCGAGCTGGTTATTCCTTGGAATGATAAGGAGGGTGATGGACACGAGGAATAGCTTGTTCAATTCGATGATTGCTTGGCTAGTAGAGCCGAAGGCGAGCAGAGTCGTGATGAAGGTGCCAGATACAGACAGGACGGAGTAGAGGTCCCACGAGCTTTTGCGAAAACGGTGCCAGCCCAATCCGATGATGCGGATCACTACGTTCGCGATGTAAAACCACGTAAAGATGAAAAACAAAGCCTCTGGAAATTAGAGTCAGCCAATCTACTACCACACGCGAATGGCCTAGGAAACTTGCCTCTCGTAGTATCCCACCAAGTGACCGAAGGATAGAACTCAAGAATAAGCAGTGTCAAATGAAGGAGAAGTATTGTCGTGACACATCTTGGCCATCTGCCATGCTTCTTGACAGCAATACGATAACACCAGATCTTCCATCTTTTACTTCTGGCGTTAATCGATCTTTTAGAAGGCGAGATCTGTCGAAGAAGCTTGCGCAACTCCAGCCAGGAGCGCTGCTCTGCAGTCAAGAAGGCAACACCCGTCTGCTCCGTGTAGTTTCGCATGAAGACAGAAACGAACAGGGTCAAGACGAAGACCGCACCGAGCAAGTTGAAGACGATGAAGTAAAGTCCGTTGGCTTGTGAAGCATAAGGTTGGGGTTGATGGCCTTTTCCCGTCATACTCATGGCACTCCATTGGACATCTATCCAGCCCTCCTGGGAGACAATCTGGAACAGAATGAAAAGAGCGTCGCCGAAATTATCGAAGCTATAATAACTATTTGCGGCGACCCTCGGTGCGAGTACATCCCAGTTGTACGGACTGCTCATGTATTCGTCCACGCAATATGATAAGTTTCCATTTGGTATATTGTCATCGTTGCATGAAATCATTTGCCCGTTGAAAAGGGTTAGTCCATAAATGGCAAACGGGATGAGAAAACTCATGGAGACAAATGCAGCCTAGATGACAGGTGAGTTAGAAGTCCTCGAGAAACATGCGAGTGCGGTATACTTACGGAAATGACCTTCCATCCTCCAAGAATAATGACCGAATGGAAGGTGTCTCTCGCGCTGTCACTCACGTTAAGAAGTCTCAGAGCCCTCAGAGCTTTGAAAGCCCCGACAGCTCTAGATGCGGTTCCATTTTGAAAGAGTGAGGTTATGACATTGATCCAGAGGGTTATCAAGACAACACCATCTATAAAGCCCCATGAGCTGCGGAAATAGGCATTGGGTGTCCAAAACAACCCATCAGCGATGACTTTGATGATAGCCTCAATGGTGAATAGCGCCGCAAAGCCCATGTCGGTCCACACATACCAATTGCGAGCACCATATGTGCTGTTGATGACTTTTCCCTCTTGATCGAGCACTAATTCTCGATGCTTCATCGAATAGTCTCGCTGGTATATCGGCGTGGTGATACAAGCAATCAAGACCATGGCAACAATGGCTGCATAAATAAATGCAGAGAAAGTATACCAGACGGGTTTATATGGATCTACTCCTTCGAAACGCTGGGTACCGCGTCCTGGTCCGACAATGCGTTGGCAGAATCTTCGAACGGGGTTATTCGGCGCGAAAATGAAGAGAGACTTGTTGTAATTCGGATGGTTTTGCAGGTATTCTCTCTGTGCTCGCTTCCGTTGTTCTGCAGCCGAAACAACTTCCCTCGCCATACTTCTAGGATCCAGGTGATCATATTCACGAGAGACCTGAAGTTTCGAATAGAACGGATTTGGTTCCTTATTAGTCACCAGCGAGGTTATCTTGCCCCGAATCTTTGCCCAGAATCCAGGCCGAGCTGGCTCCTCTGGGGCTACCGCCAGCGGTATGCTATCTGCCCGACGAGGCTCAACTGGTGTATCCTGCTCATCAAGGAACTCATGCACTACTGCATCTTTTAGCAACATCTCGAGAGCCGCCGGACCATGGTCCAGAGGGTCTCTATACCTGTCGCTGTTGCGACCAAATTTGAAGATTGACAAAAGAGGCAGATTCCCTTGAGAGGGACCAGCGACATGTTTCTCCCGTAGAAATGCTTTCACCTGTTGGAGTCGTTTTTCATCTTCGGACACATCAAAACTCTCTTGGATGACGGCAATGAACATGTTAAGGATGATGAAGCTGGCCAGGATAAACCACATGATGAAGAAGGAAGCAGAGATCCAAGACGTATGGAAACCGGAAGTGAAGTTCGTCGCGTCGTAGAGTATCGTGGTCCAGTTCTCGCTTGATAGAATCTGATACATCCCAAGGAATGAGTTGTATATAGTAAAGAAATTCATTTCGACGGTGTTGCCATTATCATCCTGTTGTGGGATTTGTCCACGGAACAGCTGCGCTGCAAATATCGCGGCAAGAAACGTGATCAGAAACACGAATAATATAAGATTAAGGAGACCAACTGTGTTGCGGAACACGATCATGATAAGGTCTCGTGTCACAGCAAAGGCAAGGACAATCCGGTAGATGCGCAAGACTTGGAAGAGCGTGAGGGCCGAGTATGCACGCTCATCAGTTCTGATCGGCGGGAGCAATATAACGCACGTAATCACCGCGAGTGCCAGATCAACCCAATTGCGACGGCTCTTGTGGAATCGCCGCCAGTCGGAGGCGAAACGAAGGATGATCTCAATTAAGAGCACGAACGTGACACCAACTTCAGTATTGTTTATGAACGCCGCACGGTCCTCACCCATAGTGGAACTCCTCAGACATTGAACAACCAGGTCGAAAGCGATGACAGAAATCCAAAGCCAGTAGGTCTTGTCATATAGACGTTTGAGCTGGCTGACCTTGTGAGGGGTTGTCTCTGTCTGACCAGGCTCATCGATCTTGTCAACCGCAAAGGCACTCCGCTTGCTCTCTTCTCGGATAACCTGGAATGACGAAGTGATAACAGCGACGAGCAAGTTGACCAGCCACAGACTAAGGATCACGATGCCGAAAGCGAAGAATAGAGCGGAGGCCAGATAATCGCTGTCGGTGGTATAATACATAAGATCCGTGAACGTATTTGAGCTCATAACTACAAACACGAGTTCGAGAGATTGGAGGATATTGTCAAAGCTGACGGTGCCGTTGTAAGGATTAGACCCTTCAACGCAAACGGAACCCTGGGGACACAAGTATCCCTTGGGCGTAAATCCAGATGCCACGCCGTCAGCGGTGACCCACGGTTTTGGTGACCCGTCAACTGCATCAAGATAACCACCACAAAACTGGAGGGTACCATAAGCGTCATTCGATGTGAAGTTATCTTGACCATCCTGTCCGATCCATGTACAGGTCCGTCTTAAGCTTGACTTAAAGCTCTGTATTCCGACAATTGCGAATAGAAGCCAGAAGAAGCCAATCAGGAATGCGACATGGACCAGTAAAGGAGCTGCCTTTTTGAGACTTCGAAGAATCACCTTGGTTCGTGTTAGCCACAGTACAATGTCCGCTTTAAAAATTGGTTGATATACTTACAGATGTTCCATTGGTGAGCCCTAGGAGACGAAGAATCCGGAGACAGCTCATCATCTGAAAGACGTACATGTGATGGTCAAACTCATATCCTGTTAGAGAAAGTCCGAATGAGATCCAAAATGATATGACAGCAACAAAATCGAGTCGATTGAAAGAGTGTCGGAGAAAGGCACGATGTGCAAGTCGGACGCGCTGCCTCTGCAGAGGATCGTCTAGATCTTCTTGAGGGTTCATGCCCGTGAACGTCCGTATAACCGAAGGCTGCAGTTCCACTGGCTCCGTAGTAGGTTTCTTCGTAGATAATTGGCGCTGTGGCGTGAAGAGGTTCTTCGTTTTCTCAGCCAATGCTTTTCTCGCCCCCAATGACCGATTCAGAGTGCTATACTCTGTAGGATTCTTGATAAATCCTGAGACCAAGATCCTAGCAATTAACTCTAGAGTGTATATGATGAAAATAACAAAAAATGCATAGTCTAGGTTGGACGACCCCCAACGTCTTGACCTCGGATGCACAAAGACCGGGTGCGCAGACTCAACAGCAAGCAAGACAGTCTGAACGATGATAACTATCAAAATGAAGGGTTCCGTGAAAGGATGCACGAGAATATCACATAGTCGCATGCGTAAAGGATTGTCAGGGGCGAGTATGCCGAGCGACCTGCCTCGAAGCGGATTCGATCGATATCTCCAATCCTTGCTCCGGGGACGAGGCTTTTCGATCTGAGGTTCCACCTTCAGCGACGTAGTAGAGGACGTATCGTGCGCATACTCGGTCATCGCAGGAAGCGGGGGTGGTCCTTCAAGACGTGCGCTCTTCAACGAATCTCTACGTCTTAATGACTGCTCCACCACTTCCGGTTCGTTACTTAGGTTAACCACACGCTGAGACATCATCCGCATCATCGAACCGGCTCTTGAAAGTGCAGAACCAGATGCCGAAGGAGACAGGGACCGAGAACGGTCCGCACGTCTTCCTGTGCCGCTTTCAAGATTGGGCAAATCGTCACCGAGTCGCGAGCCTGGCCGAACCCCGTCCGTGAGATGGACTGTATGCGTGCTGCTTCTGTCATCATAAGATCTTCCAGCATCTGATGCCCCATCCATTGGCTGCAGGTACTGCCGATTTGTCAAGGGTGTTGTGTCTTCATTTGTATCCGTAGGACCCAGAAAGTCGTCCATTTCGTTCGTGCTGTTGCGCTCCAGATTACCCTCCGTGTAACTGTTCCCTCGAGATGCCAGCCCCCTGGGATATGATGGTGGTGTCTGCGGTTGTGGGCCATCGAAACTTAGCCCTACAGATGTCATCGCTGCCGCAAAGCCTGCTGGATCTTCGATGGGCGAGGCGTCACCCGGATCAGAGACATAAGGAGACGGTACGGGTCGCGCGCCTGCACGTGTTGGCTGGTTCATATAAGAGCCAGTCCTCTCGATAGGACTAGGGGAATCTTCTGCAATGCGCTCATATCTCCTCAACGATCCTCTTCCGATCAACGACCTCCTGGATCCATGTGTGCTGAGAGGACTGCCAGCGCTATTCGTCCGTCTTCTGCGACCACGCTCATCGGCTGCAACGGCCTCGGGAGGTCTCGACAGATCTTGCAACGGTATCGACTGATTCCCCGGCCGAATGTCCTGGTCGCTTCCATGGTTTTGCGACGCCATTGTCTCTGGCGGCTGTTACTTAGTTGCAGACATTGCCAGCTCCAACCATCAGAGAGATCCAGCTGCGGGAGAAAATATCGCACTGCGATATCGGGTATAGGAAGATAAGAGGACGGCTCTTTGGGAAACGTAACGGGTTCGACGATGGCTTGAAGATCGGAGAAGCACGAGCGAGGGACTTGAGAAGGTCAGCGGGGATGCGGAGGCTGTTTCAGGGGAGCAAAGGAAGAGATAGGGCAGGCGGGAGCTCCTCGTGTGCGATAAGTACGATCGAACTCTCGTGTGCCAGCGAGTGTCGAGATAATAATAATAATAATAATAATCGAGTCGAGAATTACCTTTGCCCCGAAGACAGCCGGTTTGGCTCTTCCTTCGTCTGGCCAGAGTTGTGTGGCACTCCTTGGACTGTCTCACAAGCTGTGGCTTTGCTACTGATGGCGGCCCGCTTTCCTGGCGGAGCTAAAAAGGTACCGACAACTTTATGCTGCGGCCCGTTTGACACACGAGGAGTCGCAACTTCAAAGTGACTCGAGGAGAGATGAAGGAGATAATTCATATGTGGTGTCGGCCTATGTTTGTCTCTGTGTGGTTATCTTCCAGTTCTACCATTATAAACCAGGTTTGCAGGTTCCTTTTTGGGGCAAACACTACTACTGCTGCCACCCACCAGCCTCCATTCCAGGCGGGCACGGTCTAGTCTAGAGTACGCGCAAGTGGGTATAGGCAGCGTAACGGGTCAGGCCCGGGCTAGAATCGTCCTTACATGATAGTGCGTGGCTTTCCATAAATAAACTTCTCCAACGTATATTATTATTTGACACAATTAGCGACGCAACCCTAGGAGCCTAGTGGCTGTTAGAGTACAGGTAAAAGTGCTGCGGCCGTACAAACACCATAATCATCAATCCGTTTCCATGCTATCGTTGGGATTCGATCGCTTTTCCTTCACCTGTCGTCGGATTCCCTCTAGAAAGGCCTCAACGGCATCACCGCCGCCCAGGGGAACACCGCCTCTGCGCATGAATCCTCCATTTTCTACTGGCACCTTGAGGGCCTCGCTGATGCTTGGTAGGCCACCGTCTCTTAAGGCGACAGTCAGACTTCCAAGGCTCTGGGTAAATTGCGGCGAACGCAGCACTCTCCTAAGGATATCTTTTTTCTGGGACAGATCAAGCGACTGCAGTGCTGCTTGTGCAGTCGCCGGATTAGTGTCAACGGCAGACACATCATCAATGTCTTGTGCAAGTAGTAGTAGTGCGGGTGGTAAAAAGCTCAAGAGATGATCCGCCATCTTCTCATCGGCAGACTCGACCAGAGGGATGGTGGTGGAAGGAGGAAGAAGATCGGGGAGAGTAGTGAAGGGTCTTTCGGGGTCTTCTGCTCGAGACCCCTGGCCTCCTTGTAGAGACCGAAGAAACTCCTGTACGACCTGTGACGGATCTGATGACGCAGTAGCCCTAGATAATCCGAGTAAGTTGGGGATCGAGGACATTGAAAAAATATCATTCCGGACGGCAAAGCAGGTCTGCGGATGGGATAAAGATAGGAATATGACATCATTGTCACTTGAAGGGAGGAGAAAAAAAAGAAGAAATTCCATTCCATGGACCAGTGGACAAATTTGCAATGAGCGCAAGCGTAACCGCAATCGTAATCGTAATGCACATGCTAGAACTCAGACTCAGAGAGTTGTACCTACGCTCGTCCACCATCCGCACCGCCTTCCCGCGACCCCTGACCCTCTTCCCGGATATCTCCTCCAGTAGCATCCATACCAGCTCCCCCGCTGCCGGAGTGGTTATGGTTGGGATCATGGTCAACACCTTCTACATCCTCCATTGTCTCGTCATCGTCACCGCCGTCAGGACCCCTGGGGAGATTGGCGATCTCTTGCGAAACATCAATCTCCTCTCCCTGTAGCAGCGTGTGGACAATCTCCCCCAGCTTAAGATCTCTGGGGCTGAAATAGCTTGGGTTTCCCCTCTCATGCTGGCTCTTGGACTGCAGCCAGAAGAGATACCGCTGCGAACTCGACGAGAACTTCAGCACAAAAATACGGCCGTTGGTCGGGGCCTGCGCGGTAGACTGCTTGTACGGGGTGAAGCTGCCATCGGAGGGGACCATCACAAGGTCGAGCTCTGGTTCCGTGAGTGGAGCCGATCGAGGACGCCAGCAGAAGTGAATCAATTCATCTTCGGAGTATAGATAGATGTAGCCAGGGGTCTGCTTTGGCTTGACTCTAGGAGGGTTGGCAGAGGTCTGTATGGAGCATTAGTTGAGCTGGCGGTGATAGCTGGGGAACGGACCGCAGCAGCAGCAGCCAAGCATCGCAGCAGCGAACCGGGAGGGATAGGACTCACATCCAAGTCGCAGATACCTGCTTTGAAGGTGATGATGGGTTGTATGGACATGATGGACGACAGGGAGAGAGGATGGTCGTCAAGGAAGAAAGGTGTATAGAGAGAGAAAGGGAGAAAGAACAGAGCAGAGCAGTCAACCCAAGGGTACGTCAGTGTTGGTGTTTTGGTTAGAAGCTCTCCAGTAGACTACTAACTACTAACTAACCACACCTGCGCTGCTGGTCTCTCCCGGCCGCCGCAGCACGGTCACTTATCGCGGCAGCTTGGCTGGAGCTCCCAATCGGCACTAGCGCCTTTCGGTTAATTGATAGGGCTCGTGTTCCCACAAACCTCAGGATTTCCCGCCCTGGGCCGCACCAAGTCAGTCACTTCAATCCAACAACCACCGCCGTCGACAAACCACCACCCCTTCCTACTTTCTTTTCAAGCGACCCTTCGTCCCCAGCAGCCAATATGTCGGACTCTACTGTTGGCCAGACGAAGCAGTTTGGAAAGGGCCAGAGGACCGTTCCGCACCACACCCAGAAGGCCCAGAAATGGTACCCCGTGGATGACGAACCCCAGCCAAAGAAAGTCAGTACAGCCCTTGTCGCGAATGAAATGGGAAAAGGAATCGAGATGCGACGACTACCAGCCGTGCAATTATCACCGGTATGGCGGTTGTGCGGTTGCGTACGACAGCCGGTGTCGATATGAGCACGGTTGATATGCCAAGTCGTATATCGAGGACCACACATCTCAGTGATTCGCACAATTGAAAAAAAGGGACAGAGGTTCTAACATGACTGTGCAAATGAATAGGTTCGCAAGAGCATTCAGCCCACGAAGCTCCGGGAAACCCTCCAGCCTGGTGCTGTCCTGATCCTCCTGGCCGGTCGTTTCCGTGGCAAGCGTGTTGTTCTCTTGAAGCATCTGTCCGAGGGTGTTCTCCTCGTGACCGGCCCCTTCAAGATCAACGGTGTTCCTCTCCGCCGAGTGAACCACCGTTATGTCATTGCCACCAGCACCAAGGTCGACCTGAAGGGTATTGACGAGAAGGTCCTTGAGAAGGTTTCCGAGGCCGACTACTTCACCAAGGAGAAGAAGGCCGAGAAGAAGACCGAGGAGGCTTTCTTCAAGCAGGGAGAGAAGCCCGAGGTATGTCTATGCACGCACACTGACAAGTGTGAGGAATCGAAGGTTGAGATCTGAGGCTAATGCGTGGATTCTCTATCAACAGAAGAAGAAGGTCACCAGCGCCCGCGCCAGCGACCAGAAGGCCATCGATTCGGTTCTCCTGGCCAACATCAAGAAGGAGCAGTTCCTCGGCAGCTACCTCTCCACCAGCTTCAGCCTCCGAAACGGTGACAAGCCCCACGAGATGAAGTGGTAGATGGCAGCTATGGGACCGCGGGTTAGGTGTGTTGGAAAGGGGAATGTTTTCACGAGAGGCGGCTACTAAGTTTTCTTCCGAACAAAGTTGGGCAACCAGTTGTGGAACATTCGTCTTGTGGGAACGCAAATGGCAAAACGCGGGAGGAGAGCTCACGAAATATGTAACTTGATGCGGATACCTTTTTCTTTTCTCTAGGAAAAATGTGTCACTCGGGAAAGACCCCGGGATGTTATAATTTCAACCTACAGCCCTCCCAGCGCGGCCGGTTTGCGAAAAGACCAAAAAATATGAAATACTTTTTTCCACCCAGTCAGCATGTGCCCACACATGAGAGGCTGGCATGTCTTTCTAAAACATCGCAATGCATGGTACAATCTTCTCCAATTCCAAACTCCGATACGATTCCGATCTCCGCATAAAATGTGAACCCCCGACCTAGATCCCACATTTTAACAAAAACCTTCGAATCCCCAAAGCTGCCCAATACTATATAATTTCCCCTACTACCGTCCACCATCCCATTGATTAGTAGTACCACTTCCATATCCAGATACACACATCAACCCCGTCGCACATGGGGTTTCGGAACCAGACTCGGACCCAGTTCAATATTGCCCGAAATGGACTAGACCTAGGGTTTTCCCATTCATGACGAAACCCAGAAATTTCCCCGGATTTTTTAAACGGAAAATCGCAGACGAGGTTAATATTACATATTATGGCACCCTAGTACGATACTAGTATTGACTAACGTCCCTAGTCTGGATTGAAATGATCGTCCGGGATGAAATGATATTATCAGTACTCTCCAATTTTAGTCTTAAAGATCATATATGGAGACATCCTATAATTGTTTATTGCTGTCCTGCCATGTGATTAATTACTTATGTTCCCGATTTCTTTTCTTTTGCTTTGTATGTTCTTTCGAGAAATGAGAAAAATTCCAAAACAGACATCATTACTATTTCAAAGACATCTTATCTCGCATTATATATAACACAGTAGATACTAGTTATTCATTTCACATACTCATGAATTCCTCCTCCTACTCCTCCCTTTACTAGGAGTTACTTTACTACTAGCCCTCCCGTTTCCTTCCTTGATTTTCTTCCTCGACATCTGAATCGCCTTTCTCACCTTCTCTTCAATCTCGTGTTCTTCCAACTCCCCCCTGATATCATCCTCAACACTCTCTCCTACTGTTGTCCCGCAGACCCAATCGAGGATTCCCCACGGCCCAAAGTTGCCTTCGCCGTCACTTAGAATATGCATATCGACCCGTCGGGCGATACCGCCTAGAAAGAAGCTCGTCGGCATGATGGTGTAGCCGGAATAGGCGAATGTTTCCTCCATCGAGATAATGGAGAGGTAGATGATGTATGTGATGAAGTGAAATCGGAAGAGCGTCGCAGAGCCATATGTCGGGATGAAGGTCGAGATCAAGTATGGTAGAGGGTGGTCATAGTGTGCTGTGAGGGGATAAGGTGCGCGCAGGGAATGATACCAGGATCGATGTTTTCGCGCAACCCGTGAGCCGCGTGAGTGAAGAATGTAGCGGTGGACAAGATAGGATAGGACCTGTTGCAGGATAAGTGATAATTAGCAGTGATTCTGCGACTGTCGTCCCGCGATTGATTGGAAAAAAGGATAGTATATACCTCTCTCACGAGAAATCCACGAACTAGATCCTTCACGATCCCCCATGGCATAGGCAATTTTATCGAAATCTTCAACGCGCTACGAATTCCAAGCACTTTCGTCAAGGTATATTCGATACCAGCCTGCGCCGCAATACTCAATGCAAGATTGAGCACTGACCATCCCACAACTTTCGCCTCTTTCAAAGTTGTCTTCCCTCTCTTGCTCCCCGCTGGCAAGCCGGTTTCTCCATGTGCTTTTATCACCACTGCCGCAGAAGGCGTCAAGATATCAAACAGAAAAAAGAGCAGTGACGGGACGAGGTAAAATAATAAGCGCACAGCTAATGTGCCAAAAATCTCAACTCGTAGTGGCGCATGCGACAGCACGAGAGTCGTCCATGTCATGTAGAAAAACAGGATATTCAGGCTCGTGCTGTACGAGGAAAAGGCTGGGATAAGTAGGAAAGAGAGCACTGGGATGGAGAATATGGCATCCATAGCTGCAATTCCTGCTGCTTCAAAATGAGAGGAGGAATGGTTTTCAGGTTTCCTCTTCAGCGCGCTCTAGGAATCTCCTTTGCGATCAACTTTGTTGATTGTATGTCGAGTTAGATGCATAAGGGCTTGCACGCTCTGTTCGAGATTCGGGATGTCGTCGCGCAGATGTGAGTGAGCATATTCTTGCTCCAACTGCGCCAAAAATTGCAAATTCGTCGCCATTCAAGGGGTATGCGTGCGATATACAAACCTTTCCAACTTTCGAAACTTGATCGCGCGAAGCGATCTTCAACGGTTTACTACGTCACTCGGCCAACCAACCGGACTTTCGGTAACAACAAAAGTCCGGACCCGGTGCATAGAATGGCGTTATCAGATTCATCCTCTGTTCATAATCGCGATGATGATTATTGTTTGCCTGAAATGCCCAGAGATACATCGTACTTTATTATGAGAAGTAACTTGCTATTGTACTTTAAGAGTTGCCCTGCAACATATCCTCGCTGTGCGTATATAACGCCTGGCTCTTGTGTGCGCTCTGCCGTAGTGCTGCCCCATAAAATGTGCAATAATATATATAGATCGCTCTTTAGTCTTCCGCAGCCTTCTGGTACTCCTCCCAGAACTGGCTAGCAATGCGCCGCAATAGCTCCCAATCTCTGGGACTTCCTTCGACATGATATCCGAAGAGGACACCACCAACCTGCCATACGACCTCTGACCACAATTTCATGGGCACGGGCGTATTCACACGCGTGAAAAACTCAAGAGCGCGCTCAATAGTCACAGCTAATGATTTGTTGGTGAAGATGAGAGCACTATGTTTGGCGGCAAGATTAGCACATACACGAACTTCTCAGATGAGGGACACCTTTAAGGAATACTCACGCACGCACAAAGAAGACGATAATCGATCGATTCTGCATCAGTTCACGGTGCACTCTCAGCCCATGAACCCAGAACAGCTCTCTTGCAGTAGGATCCGACACGTTCGCGCTTTTTGCCCTATTTATGCCATGCTCAATGGCAACCAGAGATGCAACAGACCATATCTGATCATGTTCCTTGAGACCGTTAGAACCTCGCATCCTTCGTGTTATACCCACAGCACTGACTTACTCGACGATCTCCAAGGCCTCCACGGCGCTGCTCACGGAAGAAACTAATCCATCTGATCACACCTGGGTTGGGACCAGGGTCGTTTGAATAGCCTAATACTATAGCCGCTGCACGTTCGACAGCTTCGATAGCTGCTGCTTCCACATGAGAGACCCACGTCCCTCGTCCAGCAATTCCCTTACGCATCGTGAACTCGGTTATGCCCTCCATGTCTCGAAACTGGTCAGACGAACCGAGTCTCGGGAAATGCGTGGCTTGCATATACTGCAGGAAATGAAGACGCGTGACTGGCTGCCAGTCTCTGATGTCCTCGAAAGAGCAGTTGAGCAGATCCCAGCATGAGCTGATCATCTGCACATTGTCGATGACTAGCTGAGATGAAGCCTTCGCGTCAACGGCTGGGTAGAGACAGAAAGCCGATGAGAGAGGTATAAGGACAGAGATGATGAGTATTGATTTCAAACTGGAGCCGTTCAGGGAAGCCATTGTGTACGAGATAATGGAAGTCATCTATTTGAAACAAGAGTCTTCAGAGGTGCAGCTGTAGAAACTAGCTGATCATCCAGAATGAAGTCAGCCTACTTTGACTGCAATGGCCCAGTAGATATGTAACGAATAAGGCAACAGCAGCCCTGTCAGGTACAGACGGTATGATCTCTTGGAAGGAGCTGAAGACGTCTCGTACAACCACTCTTCACCAAGAGCATACCAACTTAGTGTCTCAATCGGGAAGTTGCTCTCAGAGGAAGTCGCTACATTGATCTTGTGCCCTTTGAACACTTCCGGGAATTCAGGACGTTCATAGGTCATCAAAGATTCACCTTCGTGTTATCGCGAAATATACGGTACTGATTTGCTTAGGAAATAACTTGCTCTTCAAGCTAGACTGGTGGCTAAGAATAAGCATTGTACAAGCCATTACCATTGCTCATGGGCCTCGAATCCTGACATAAGCTCCAGTAGCTGCCAGGATAGTTCCTGAAGAGCTGAATAGGGTATCTTTATATACAAATCCCGGTGAACCACGGAGATACCATCATAGACCTCTCACGAGCTGGAGGACGGCAATCCATATTTCTTGCCCCAGTTCCATGTCTTCCTGCTGAGGTCTGGGACAACCCCGAGGAAAATAAGATTACTAGCCCAGCTGGTAATCGTGTCGAGCAGAATGTTATTTCTCGGACTGGGTCCAAGACTAGTCCCCTTCAACAGATGACCAACAAGCATAGTTGTGATCAAGTAATCGCCTCGTTCCAGGGCTTTGATCGAGATTCGGGCGACCTCCTCCGGAGTCTGTGGCTTGTCTGCTTCTTCCAGTTTCTTGGTGAGCTCCGGTTTGAGCTTCTCCTCGTTTTCGAATCCGGGACTCGATATTCCCATAGGGAAGACAGTGTGAATCTTCACATCCATAGCGGGAGCTGCGTTGTTCGAGTTCCGACGTGCTCCATTGTACATCTCGACTTCCTGACAGAGAGTATCCGATAAGGAGCGCATTGCCGCTTTCGCGGGCGAGTACGGAGCGTAACCGGTGACGGGAACGAACGCAAGAACGGATGAGGTGAAAATGAGATGTCTCCGCCGAGATGACGAATCAGAAGCATTTCCCTTGTCATCCGGAGCAATTGGAGCGAGCCATTTCCTCAACGTCGCATGTGCAGTATACGCGGCGGTCCAATAGATAGTATCCATCTGGTCCTTTAGGGTCTGAATTGGAGTCTCGATGAAGAACCCTGGATGGCAGTAACCTGCACAGCACCAAACGATATCTGGAGCCTCTCCACCGTTCCATTCTGTCACTTCGCTAATGATACGTTCAGCCTCCGCAGGGTCTGTGAGATCAGCGCTGATAAAGTGGAATCTTTGTTTCTCGGAATTCAACGCTGCGGCCTGTTCGTGTCAGCAAGTAGGCTAGCTGTATGGATGGCAACTGACATGCCTTTATACTATCGAGGGCATTTTCGAGCTTCTTCACGGTCCGGGACACGATAACGACATTCGCTCCTTTCTGCGCAAGCTGAATAGCGACCGCTCTTCCCATCCCATCGGAACCTCCAGTAACGACAGCAGTCTGAGCAGACAGCAGAATAGTCAGCATAGTTAATACTGAAATGAATGGAACATGAGAGACGTACCCTGCCATCAACGACGAATTCATTCTTCGCACCGAGCCCGAACATCCCGGCTAATGAGTATGTTATAACGCCGCATAAAAGGACAGAGACTGCGAGGCCGACTGCGGAATAAGACATGGGAAACGAATGGACGTCGATTCGCACAGAGAGCGACAGAAACCTCAGCAGACAGAATACGAACAAACCGATGGCCTCGAGGACATCAACATCGGGGACCCTAAGTAAAGCTGCGCTTCCGATCAAGATTCTGGATTCGCCGTCTTATTGGAAGGAACAAGAGGCGGCGTTGCATTGAAACCCACATTGGGAATAGCGCATCGAAGGCGGTGAGAGTCGTCCCAAAATTTTATCATCGGGTTATCGAAATATTCAAAGCGGGAAAAGAACGCTGTCTGATCAAAGACTGCCATCACCGCCATAATCTTTAATTTCAGACGAAAATGGCCAAGAAGAGAAAGGCCAGTGGCCGCGGTTCGGGCAAGCCCTCTGCGAAAGAAAGCGAGGCGCTGAACCGTTCGAAATTCGCCTTCGAAGAAAGGTTCGACGACTCGGAGGATGATTTTCAAGCTGGTCGGGATCAGATTCTGCTGGAAGAAGGACCAGAGGCCAAAAGGCGAAGAAAGCTACAGGAGAAAGGTGTGTAAAAAAGTTCAAATGTTTTTGCTGTTTATGTACTGATCACATTGCAGATGACAAACTTGAAGCCTCCGATGAAGAAGTTCTTGGTTACGAGTCCGTTGACGAGGATGAACTTGACGATGAGGACGACATTGATAGCGAGGAAGACTATGAACAAGACGATGGCCGAAGTTCCAAGAAGTCCCGACATTTGCGCGACTCGTCTAGTCCAGTTTCCAAAGCTGGCGATGACGAAGAGGAAGAGGAGGGTATCGCGGCTTGGGGAACATCAAGGAAAGACCTATATAATGCCGACAATATCGAGACTGAGGCAGATGCTTTGGAAGAGGAGGAAGAGGCCAAGAAGCTGCAGCAGAAGCACCTAAAGTCTATGAAGGAAGAAGATTTCGGCTTCGACGAGACGGAATGGCTCGATGCAGAAAAGCCGGAGGAAGGGGACGAGGGCACCGGGGAAGTGATGGAGGTTTTGCCCCAGCTCGAGGTCACAGATGATATGAGTCCAGAGGAGCAGTTGAAGATCCTAAAGTCGAGGTATCCCGAATTTGAGCCTTTGGCAAAGGACTTTGCCGACCTACAGGCGACGCATAAGGAGCTACAGCGAGCTGCCAAAGAAGCAGAAGCGGGCAAACCTCTCGATCCTACGCAGCCCACTCCTGTATCCGTGACGAAGCTCCGTGCATTGTCAGCTTACCTTGGCACGATTAGTCTATACTTTGTGCTACTCACATCACCCGCGCAGAATGGAGAGACGAAGCCTACAGCCTTGCCAGCTGCACAGCTGAGAGACCACTCTGTGATGAGTTCATTGGTTCAGTTCCGAAAGCTTTGGGAATCTGTCAAAGATTTGCGCGAACCAACCGTCACCGACGGCGCCAGTATCGACGAGGACGAATCCGATGTTGAAATGGAAGAAGCTACACCGGAGCCCGTGGAGAAGAAGACGAAGGAAGCGCAGCCTTCCAAGTCAAAGAAACTGAGCAAAGCACAACGCGCCGCTGAGACTGCAAAGGCTGAAGCTGAGGCACGCCGGGCTGAGAGACTGCGCGAGACCGAAGCTGGCCTGGCTGATCTATCTGGCTTGCTGGCGGAAAAGAGCAAGCAACCCAAGGTCAAGAAAGCCAAGGTTATTTTCAGAGACCAGGATTCCGATTTCGGCGACGAAGATGCTCTTACCGCACGAGAAGCCGAAGAGAAGGCGAAGCAACGACGATCGCTTCGTTTCTATACCTCTCAACTGGCACAGAAGGCCAACAAGCGTGGTGCTGCTGGTCGGGACGCTGGTGGAGATGCAGACCTACCTTACCGTGAGCGTTTGAAGGACCGCCAGGCTCGACTGAACGCACAGGCCGAGAAGCGTGGTCGACAACAGGCGGATGAGCTTGGCGTTGACAGCGACGACGAAGATCATCGTACAGCTGGTGAACTCAGAGGCGAAGGTGCCGGCACAGATGAGGACGAGTATTACGACATGGTCGCCTCCAAGTCTAAACAGCGCAAGGCAGATAAGAAGGCTCGCGCAGAAGCCTATGCTCAGGCAGCTCGCGAGGGAGGCCATGTTGAGATCCAAGAGGAAATTGGCCCCGACGGCAAACGTGCCATCACCTACCAGATCGAGAAGAACAAGGGTCTGGCACCTAAGCGGAACAAAGACGTCCGCAACCCGCGTGTCAAGAAGAGGAAGAAGTACGAACAGAAGCAGAAGAAGCTGGGTAGTGTTCGCCAGGTCTACAAAGGCGGGGAAGGCCGTGGTGGATACGCTGGTGAACTCACGGGTATCAAGAAGAATCTGGTCAAGAGTGTCAAGCTTTAGAAGACATTATTTGGCTAGTTTCTTCCCCTTGTGGTATTATCCATTTCTGGGGCGTTCTTCTATGGGGTCATAAAAAGTAGGAGTTGTTTTTTTTTTTCAACTGTACATTCATCTCGTACATAGTTTCAAGATACCGATCGAATTGATCAATGTTGCCCGCGTTACTTATTATTTGAAGTCCCTCGGGCTTTCATTCTCATTGCATAAGTTTTTCAGCTAAACTATATCTCAGAATGTCTGTAATAACTGCCTTGTAAATGGAATAATGGATAATCGCCTCTGCACTCATAATTCGTAAAAGACCACCATTTCGTTCATTGATAATCAGACTTCGCTTCTGTTTCTACCTGCTCTTTCTAGAAGAGCATCGAGAAGGTCCCTAGCACTCGCACTTCCAGAAGACCGTTCATTCTCACTTGAAAAGGACAACTGCACAAAGTTTCTGGCGATGACTTCCTACACGTAAAGACGGCAAAGCCGATATGAGCACCACTATGTGACATAGGCTGACTGCCTTTTCACTTCAGTTGGGGGGGGGGGGTTCTATACGTACCGCTTTTTCGAGAGCACTTGTCTCTTCAGCAGACATTTTCGCGCAGACAGCTACTAGATTCTCACCACGAGCGGACAGAGCGGCGATCTCGTTGGCTCTGTCGACGATTGCTGGAGGGATCCCGTTCATTGCGGCGCAGCTGGACTACTGGTTAGTCCATACCGGAGATTCTAAGATCGATATAGCTGGGGTATACATTGTACCGAAGCTCTCGCTGCTCCTTCCTAGGACGAAGCTTGATGTATGTTAGTTCGACTGGTAATTGGTTATGTGGCCAGGAGATAGAGAATTTCGAACTTATAAAGATACGTGATGTGGTTTCCAGATCGCTTGCTCCTTTCGTCAATTTGGACCTCCATATGACCGAATTGTAGCTCAGGTCGCGCTACGAGGAGCCTATTCTCAAATATTTCGTGGAAATGCGTTGCTGCTAAGACTTTGGGTCGGTTGTCGTTTAGATCTAGAAGATATTCTAGAACACCACAAACAAGTCCCGCTCCATCTAGAAAAGCAAGATCAGAAAATTCAAATGTTAGAGGGGAGGATACTTTTCCAATAGACGAACCACTCCAATCAGTTCCTTTCCCGAATTCATCTATGATTAGCAGACTTCGGTTCGTCGCCATCTTCAAGGCTAGAGACATCTGCTGCAGATCGATCATAAAGGCGCTCTGACCCTATAGAGCGTAATTCAATACGTGACTCATAGGGAAACTCGTTCGAGCAACCAGCGTACTTACCTTAGAGACGGTTTCTCGAGTGGTAACTCTCGTCAGTATCTTGTCTGTGATACCAATTTCTGCGCTCTCAGCGGGAACGAAGCTATATTCTTAGTGATGCTGTACAATACTGAGTCGGGCAGCAGACGAGCTTCCAAATTTACTCACCTGCCTATGTGGGCGAGGTATACAATCAGAGCCACCTTAATAGTAGTTTAGCAGCTGTAATTTGGATTATCTTTGCCGACCATACCTGCTTCATGTAGACACTCTTGCCCGAGTAATTTGGACCCGTCAACAATAGCATGCTTGGACCTTGATAGACTTCTCGAGAATGGGTAGCTTCCAATGACGGTGCATTAATTTCCGATAATTCATTATTGTTTCCACTACCGCCTATAATGAACGTATCGTTTGGGACGTATGACGGGACAGTAAGCTCTTGAAGAAGATGGCTTGCAGGGGTGAGTATTCGATAGACATCATCGTATCACATGGGAATTTACCGGCCTCCTTTGACTTTGATAACGTTTTCGTTTCTCATACGTGGACAAACCAGCTTATATAGGATAGCTCCTTGCGCCATTGCAAGAAGACTGAAGAAGTCTCAACTTTGGGGATCAGTCATTTCAGGATATTCGCTCACCTATCCAGTTCACCACAGATATCCGATGCTTTCAGTAGAGCTTGTTCGAAATGTAAGACCTTCTGGGCAAGCTCGTACACGATCTCGATCTCTTTTTCTGCGAACTAGTTAAACTTCGCCGAAGGAAGGTATATATGACTGAGGCGACTTACCACATATAAGACCATATATATCCCCTAATTTATCGTCCATCTCTCTCATCCGAAAGTCTTTGAAGTATGCCCTATTCTCAGTAACAAACATCTGTTCCCACTCTTCCTCATTTCCGTTATAACTTGCTATTCCATCTTCCGTGAGAGGTATAGCGATATTGAAGCCAAGTTGAGGGAAGTATATCACATTCACGTCAATATCCAGCTCCTCCGGTACAGTCATGGCAACATCTATGGCGACCTGTTTCAATAGGCTGTCTAATCCGTTATATCTGTCTTTTAGTGTATCTAGTTCTCGATCAATTCCCGGTTTCACGACCGTACGGTGTTGCTCCTCGGAGCTATCAATATCAACCTAATCCTGTTAGTCTCAAGCTTGAAACCATTCATGAAATTACAGACAATTTCATGTATGATCCTTCCCACTTTGTGGAGTTCAGCTGCATTGAGTATTTCTAGTGCCTTCTACTTGTTAGCCCCCTGCAGGTAAGTCACTTTATTTGTCGTCTTGCCTTCGTCCTCAAGGCAAGCGACTCCCCTCCGATAATCTCACGTAATGCCTCTTGAATATCGATGCCGTAGAAGGCAAACTAACTTATTAGCTAGGTACCTTTCCACTACTCGGTATTCTGCTGACTTACAGCAAGTAGCGTTGCCCAGACAGTCGTCTTGAAGCCCGTAACTTTTCCGCCGCCTACACTAACCCCTTTGCGAAGGTTGATCATTACAGGATGAAGGTTCTTGATTTTCTTCAAAGCAGATACCATCTTCTCCAACGCAGGTGAATTATCGGGTCTCACAGATACCGTAATAAATCTATGCCTTGAATTGATAGTATCCAAATCAATGCTAGGACGCAGAAAAAGCTGTCTAAGCCGAGCTTTTCCTTGGGGAGTGCGAGCCAGATGATGAAACAAGCCGTAGATAGAAAGACCTTCTTTCGAGCCAGACGATGTCCTCCCTGGGCCTTGGTTGAAGGCGTTTGGGTGAGACTCTGATTGCAGAATCTGCAGCGATGAAAGTGTATCTATATTGATGAACCTGTGTGGTTCAGCAATGCTACATCCCACTAAACGGTCAGTCGGAAAGAATGCTTACATCGTGCCTTTCAATGTAAACATCTCAATTGAGCGTACACTAAGTCGATTGACTTCTGGATCACTGGGCAGGTATTCGGTAGCTTTTCTTCGCTGGAGATAAGTGAGGACAGCACCGGCACAGCCCACAGAGATTGTGTTCTCCAGATCGATGCAACCAGTCAGGCGCAGGAGTTTCCCTTCTTGTGCCGTAAAACCCACTTCGTCTGCATCGACCTGATCATCATAGGATAGACCGTCTCCAGGTACTAAAAACCGAATAGATTCATCTTTTTCAAGTAAAGTTTCTAGGGCAGCCAACTTTATCCTGGCATTTGTGTAATTGAATTCTGGTGAAGGACGAATATCAACTTGCCAAGGATAGTTGAATTGAGCTGCTAGGGTTGATTAGAAGAACATCGGATCAGAATAATAGAGAGGCCAAATCTCACTATTTTCTCGATCAGAGTTACCTCCTTGTCTCTCATTGACAAGCTGATCAGCACGAGTGCTAGCCAGCAAAACGGTCGGTTTCACCTCAAGTTTTACTTTGGAAACAGAAGCAAGTTAGCAGATGCATCAATGAGCATGCGGAGCAATACAGACTAGTCTCAATAATTGTCATATCTGCGACGTGCGCATCTGAGAAGAGGTAAATCTTCTCCTCTCTCGCAACATAGTAGCAGCAGCCCACCGTTCCGTTGTCTCTGATGTCAACCGCCATCACCACTCTATCGAGATCTTCATCGAACTCCTGTTCTGTATCTTCTCGAGCTCGTTCATCATCATCAACGTCAGTTGTAGTTCTTGACCGCAGTCCCGTTGAATGGGTCTGGTGACCAGCTACTATATTCGACCTTGGCCGTGAGACCCTTGGAGTAGGGGCAGTATGGGGGGAACAAAATGCAGAATTACGCTTCCTCTTTGGCCTGGAGAATGCCATGACGGATGAATGATATTGAAACCTTGATGGACTATGGAGTAATAAATTAAAGACAACTTGCTGCGTGAGACTCTTCAGTCAACGGCATTAACCTCATAGAGCCGTCACGAGACTACCACCGAGACAGAAGCATGCGGCCACCGAGAAAGCTAGACTTTGAAACGAATGGAACATACTCGCACATATGTAACCAACGATTGAGGAGGTGGATGCTTCGATCATATATTAAAGGAGTCATATTGAGAGAAGATGCTATATAATACATTGTTTCATCAGATCATTAAGTCTACATTACACAATGCCGTATTCCCAACGATATAATGCCACCAGAAATGCCCATGACCTAGACACATGCGCCAATGCTTGCTAATCAAATGAAACAAGATGATGCACTCCTAGATGATCACCAATAGCTATTTCTTATGCTTCTGCTGTGACCTCCAGCCCTGACTTATCAGTGTTGAAAGTGACATGGGCAGTCTGCCCAGAGACCACCTCTCCCCGGATGATCTTGTCGGCCAGTCTGTTTCCAATCTCCTTTGCAATAAGGCGGTTAAGCGGACGAGCACCATATTTGGGATCGTACCCTTTCTCGCAAAGCCAATCCTTGATCTCGTCGTCAACCTTCAGCGTCATCCGTCGGTCGTCAAGCCGAGACTGAAGCTCCTTTAGTCTGATATCGACGATGTCCCTCAGTGCATCCTTAGAAAGTCTCTTGAAGACGATAAACTCATCGATACGATTGAGGAACTCTGGAGGATAGGATGCCTGCACTACATCCATCACGGCCTTCTTGATCTCAGGTGAGACCTCGCCGGAGTCCGAGTCCTTGTAAGAGTGCAACGGATCGGCACCAACGAGGATATCGGCCCCCAGGTTAGAGGTCAAGACAATAATGGTGTTTCGGAAATCCACCTTATGTCCCTGAGCATCTGTGAGGAATCCTTCGTCGAGGACCTGCAGGAGGAGCGCAGAAATGTCACGATGAGCCTTCTCGAATTCATCGAAAAGGAGCACAGCATAGGGTTTGCGTCGCACCGCTTCCGTAAGCTGACCGGCATCGTCGTAGCCTACATAACCTGCTGGCGACCCGATCAGACGACTAACGGTATGCTTCTCCTGGAACTCGCTCATATCGAATCTCAGCACTGCTGATTCTGTTGAAAAGAGGAAACCAGCCATCTTCTTGCAAAGCTCTGTCTTTCCAACTCCAGTCGGGCCAAGGAACATGAACGACGCGAGAGGCTTGTTCTCGCCGCTGAGACCAGCCCTCTGCATGCGCACGGCGTTAGCGACAGCAGAAAGAGCCTCGTCTTGGCCGCGAATAGACTGTCTCAATGTATCCTCCATGTGGATCAATTTCTCAACCTCACCAGCCATCAGCTTATTGACGGGGATGCCGGTGGTCCGAGACACGACGGCGGCGATATCGTCAGGGGTGACCGAATCATGGATGAGTGTTTGGCTTCCATCAGTGGTGGTCTGAACTTCAGAGCCCTCTTGCGGCAGCTTCTTTTCCAGGCTTGGAATTGTAGAGTACCGCAGCTCTCCTGCCTTGGCAAAGTTGCCTTCTCTCTGGGCTTGCTCTAGTTCGAATCTAGCTCGCTCGAGCTCCTCCTTCGTCCGTTTGATTTCTTCAATCTCCGCTTTCTCCTTGTTCCAGACCTCCATCAATTTCCCGACCTCTTCTTGCTTCTGCTTCAATGCCTCCTGTAACTTTTCTCTGCGCTCCCTACTGGTAACATCTGTTTCTTTGCGAAGTGACTCCAGCTCGATCTGAATAGTTGTGATCTCACGGTCCAGTTCCTGGATCGCATCTGGTTTCGATTCCTGTTGCAAACGGAGGGCTGAAGCAGCCTCGTCGACTAGGTCGATAGCTTTATCTGGCAAGAAACGATCGGTGATATAACGGTTACTGTACGTCGCTGCAGCTACGAGCGCTGCGTCGGTGATTCTCACTCCATGATGGACTTCATACTTGTTCTTGATACCTCGCAGGATGGAAATCGTTGCTGCCACAGACGGTTCGCCGACTTGGATGGGTTGGAATCGGCGGGCCAGAGCAACATCCTTTTCGATCAGTCGATATTCATTCAAGGTCGTGGCACCACAGCATTGAAGCTCTCCTCTCGACAGAGCCGGCTTCAGCAGGTTGCTAGCATCGATGCTGCCTTCTGCCTTCCCCAATCCAAGAAGAGTATGAAGCTCATCGATGAAGAGAATAACGCCGCCTTGGGCATCTTCAACCTCCTTCAACACTGCCTTTAAACGCTCCTCGAAATCTCCTCTGAATTTCGCACCCGCGATGAGTGAACCCAAGTCTAATGCGACAACACGCTTGTTCTTGATACTCTCGGGGACATCCCCTTGTACGATTCGCTGCGCCAATCCTTCCAGGATAGCCGTTTTACCGGTACCGGCAGCACCGATCAAGACGGGATTATTCTTCGTTCGTCGCGACAGGACTTGAATTGTTCGATGAATCTCTGCGTCTCTTCCAATGACGGGATCGAGTTTGCCCGCTTTAGCCTTCGCTGTAAGGTCCACACCATATTGTTCCAACGCCGGTTTCTCCTGCTCTCCGGACATATTCATCCGATGGGTACCTCCTGGAGGATGCGGTCTGCCATTTGCATAGTGGCGGACAGACGATACCGACGGAAGAACTGTTCTTTGGTACGGAAGAAGTCGAGACGCAAGGGCCGCTGGGAAACGAGGTCTCTGCGTGATAGATAGTCGACTCGGTGACGCTACAGTCGATGGCCGGATGAGACGGCCCCGACCAAGCTGTAATCTCGAAGCCATGGTCGTAGTTCGCTTCTGTGATCGCAATCTCTGAGACAGTATTGCAATGGGATTATAGGTAGCTAGGATATGAAACACGCATCATCCGGGGAAGATTATATAGTAGTGGTGTCAAGCTCCCGTAGCTCCGGACCGTTCTGGAAAGCTCCCAGAGCTTCCAAGATCGCGAGTGGCGGATTATTGGGAAGCTCAGCTTTGCCCAGCCTAGACGAACTAGTGTCGTTACGCTAACCCACCCGAAGTCACGTGATTGCCCCTCCATAGCCTCCGCCCCGAGAAAAAAAAACTCACAACCCAAATTTTGGGACTCCTTGAAAAACTTCCAGCCCCCTGTCTCCCACACCGCTCCTCCTCCTTTCTTTTTATTTATCTTCTCCTTCCCAACCACTTCATTTCTCATTCATCATGGGTTTCACCGACCTTGTCTCCGACGCCGGTCTCACCGGTAAGCCCTGAGTCTCGCAAGATCTTGCGACGTGGGAGACTGACCCCTCATCTACAGTTGCCGACAAGTACCTGGCCACCAGGACCTACATCGTTGGGTAAGTTCGTGCATTCTTTTGTTTATTAACAGTTATTTTGTTACTCTTTCCTGCTTTTTATGATGAGAACAAATTGGTCCGTGTTTAGGAGGCGGCTTAAGACACCGCTGCATGACTACACCCAATGCGAGTAATCGCGTCTCTGACTCTGCTATTGCTGCTCTTCACTGTTTACAAAAGCCTACATGCACCAAAGGAGTAGCGACTAATCTGATGCTAGCCATGCCCCTTCTCAGGCCGATGTGGTGACCTTCAAGGCCATCTCGAGCGCCCCTGACGCCGAGAAGTACCCTCACGTCGCTCGCTGGTACAAGCACATTGCTTCGTACGAGCCCGAGTTCTCCACTCTGCCCGGTGACCCCTCCAAGGCCTACACTGCTTACGGCCCGGAGACGACTGAGCTGCCCGTCAACCCTAAGGACAAGCCTGAAGAGGGTTCCGACGATGAGGACCTTTTCGGCAGTGACTCCGAGGAGGAGGACCCCGAGGTTGTCAAGGAGCGTGAAGCTCGTCTTGCTGAGTACAAGAAGAAGAAGGAGGCTAAGCCCAAGGTTGCCGCTAAGTCCATTGTCACCCTGGAGGTGAAGCCCTGGGGTACGTGATAATCCATTACCTAAAACGCGAAATATACGCAGGTGACTAACATCGTCTTATAGACGACGAGACCAACCTTGAGGAGATGGAGGCCAACGTCCGTGCCATCGAGAAGGACGGTCTCGTTTGGGGTGCCTCCAAGTTCGTTGCCGTTGGTTTCGGTATCAAGAAGCTCCAGATCAACCTGGTCGTCGAGGACGAGAAGATCTCTCTTGATGAGCTCCAGCAGCAGATCGAGGAGGACGAGGACCACGTCCAGTCCACCGATATCGCTGCTATGCAGAAGCTCTAAACGCCAGATTTCGTTACGAATAATTTAAAGAATCATGCGAATGATCTCATATTGATGTCTCATGCTAGCCTTCTAGTGTCATGAAATCCTATCTAGCTAGCCCCGACCTAGGCGTACATGCCGGTCGTCATTTTAACGAAAAAATACAAATCGACAGCCAGTCTGTCATGATAGAAAGCCTTGATATTCCGCCAAAATTTTATGTAAAACCCTTAAGGAGAGTGTGACTTGCAGGGCAGCGCAGCACCGCATCCGCTGTAGTCAAGATAGTGTCCGTATTATTGCCAGGAGCGATGATTTGGCGGGGTTTGTGTCAGCACGTCGTGATTGCGCACCAGGCTTATTTACGCAGCCGTAGCATTGCGCCAGTCATGAGCCGGGAAAGAGAAAAAGGCCACCTGTGGAGCTCAATCCACACGACGACCACTATTTTTTCTCAAATTTCTCTCTTCCTGAAGCCTTCTTTCCCTGAGCTCTCCTCGAGCTTGTTCCTCAAGGTTGGAAAGGGTCCACGAGTTGTGACGAGGATAAGTGACAAGTTTTCTCAAGTGCTACCGCAGCCATGAGCTTCATGTCGCGCCTTGTCACTTTCTTCGGGCTCATTCTGCTGGCTCACGCGTGCGTTCTCTTCTCTCGTGTCAGACAAGATACGTACCGCGGGAGCATTGCTAATTGACGATTTTTCTTTTACAGCGGCTACTCTGCCCATGAGCATTCTACTCTCTACAGCAATGCCCGGTCTTCTACCTCCCCCTCTTCCGCTCTTCCACTAGATATCACAATCGAGACGCTTGTTGCTGTCGTGCTTGTCTCAGTTGGACTCGTGCTCGGTGCTGAGAAGCTCAAACCCATCAGCTGGAGCGAGTGGGCGGGGCAGATAGAGAGGGAAGGAGGAGGTAGGAATCCGTACCGTAACTTGGAGGAGAGGTATGGGTTCTGGGATATTAGGGTGAGTAGCTCATAGCTTTCCAACTGTTCTGGTTTCCCTTTGGCGTTTGAGCCTCTGATGGATTGATGGAAATGGAATGACAGCTAACGCGTCAAGTTTTAGGCCAAGCGAAAGGAATTCGCGGACTGGATCCGCCACCAGGATATTACGACGAAATAATAGAAAGCTAGAGGCTCGTCTCTGATAGGATCCTCTTCGACCCCTAATGTACAATATGACAATATCAAGGATACTTTATCGTTCTTCGATGATCCAGTAGAGGTCTTCTCGAGTCACTCTCGGGTCACTCATACTCATCAGTACGACTGGCAGGAACCAGGGATGAAGTCCAATGGTCCGATCCATAATCGGCTCCATGACCAAAACCATATTTTCCAACCCGCAATCTTCTTTGCATCTGGCATGAATGCATGTACTTTGAATGCCGGATTCACTCGGATAGCGGAGATCAAACCCCATTTTATAATAGCTTTAGATCCCTTGCTGAGACTCTCAAGCAAGCAAGGGAATGTTAAATGGGCACATCTGTCAATCTCACATGTATATATGCACGGTTGGTCTTCCAGCTGAGAGCTTCTATGGAACTATGGGAATCTACCGACTTCTCTGTGCCCTCCTCTTTTTGAGTGCGACTTTGCAGGAGCACGGAGAAGAATCTCGGGAATCGAGGACATCCACCTCTCTATCACGCTCTAATCAAGCAATTGCTTTTAGTGGTCCTAAATGAAGGCCGGGCAACGAGGCTTTCTGAGCTAAAACGCATGTTTGCAACCCACGAGATCACGATTGGAGAAATGCAGACAAGCCGTAAAAGCCTAGTCTACATGAGATTTCTAGGTAGCACGGTTGATAAATGAAGGCTAGAGGGTTTTGTCGGCGCACAAAGGACACGTGAATAGCGACCTCTCATATTATTGTCGAATCCTAAAATGGCATACAAACAAACAGCATATTGGACTTCTAGCAGAATAGCTAGTTGCTTGCTTGACTCAGGATCTAGATCTTTCGTGTAATTACAAATATGGAGTCGACCTCTCCCCATTAGATATAGAGTCAAGCAAACAATTAACTGTTCTACAAGATGGCTCAACATAGATGTTTGCTTCTATGCCGTTGAGGAGTTGACACCCGTCCAATGATCTGGATAATATATATGTCCATCCAATGTATAACTTGATGCAAGCAGTGTCCTTTGAAAAACCAAATCACCTAGCAAAAAGTGCCAAGCACATATCTCTACGAGTCACCCCATATCAGATCATGTTATTATTAGTATCTTCGATCCTCTCACGCATGCTGTTTCACTAGAAACAGTCTCGACCGCGTTCCATTCGATATGACCAGACCCCGCTTGACTTGCCGGAACTATGGTACAAGTCCCACCCATTATTAGATGAGATCCAGTCCTCACTACGGAGTACTCCCAGTCTCAGTCTCTCAGAGGACAAGATAAGAAGCGAAAATAAATGTTATGTTGCAGGCAGTCCCGATCGTGGCTTGTTTCATCAACGAGGCTTATCTGTTGCTTCTGCTTCGTTGGTGTCGTTTTAGGAGAGATGGTTGTCTAAGGACTGGCGTAGAATATAGCGTAGTACCAAGGGCTGTCTGTCGTGGTCTTAGTTACGGTGGATGACCTTACTGAATAGTTTATTGAATAGCTAGCTTCTTGAACAGTAGATGGTGGAAAGGATACGGGAAGCTCTGGTTGATTGCGGTTAATAGAGCTGACGCGTCCACCTGGGTCTATATAATGAACCTGTATGGTATAGTACTGTAGACAGACAGGTATGGTCATGATGAGTGTGATCCTCAAGGTCTTAAAAGCGGGGTTCAGAAGTAATATTCCTCGGGAATTAACTGCGTCTCATAAGAACGAAGTTGGGAAGTCTGGAAACTTTATGGTATGCCGTCGGCCCAGGATAGAAGTCTCGTTCCATTCCCCATGTGTAAATTCTCACTTACCTATGCAGACCCAGACGGGACGGAAAGAATCACGGTTCAGAGGTGGGTCGTGGAAGCGGGGAAATGGATTAATTTACTCCATACCATATGTTTTTTTTTTTATTATCATGCAGGCGTATTCTCGAAGTTGCTGCCAAGACTTGTCGGACGAGGTAACTAGTCGTAGAATGTTGGTCTTCAATGATCAGTAGAGTACTAGTTCGCGTTGAGTAAACGGTAATATATGGCGCAATTGACATGTCTCGTGATGGGTGACGGTGCAATGCTCTGACTTTAGAGTAAATTATTGCAGTATATTAGGTCACAAGTGATGCTAATTGGATGATGGCTCTGAACGACACTAATCCAGTTGCCTGCTCCCCTTACGCATTGGATAACTAGTCGCATTGACACACGTACGCGGCAAGGATACATTAGTTAGTAGGTGTAGCTGTTGTTAGTCGTTCTGGTATACGGAGTAGTCAGGCGGATGGGAAAGTCCTGCCGGATCTTTGCCATGTCACTTCTTTTCTTGTCGGTGTAGAATAGATACTACCGTGTCATGGTAATTTCCGTGGAGGACGAGGCCAGCGAAGTTCCTGACCCAGAGCCCAGGAAGGGGGGAATGCCCAGTGGCTGCTTGGAACAATGTGTTTCGCCACAGAGACTCTCGAATCTGGCCGTGTCTAGGTGTTTCGTTGGGTGGAAGATTGATGATCCATTCTAAGCTTTCTATTTTTGTCTCTCTGCCGGCTTAGCTCCATCTTTTCTCAGAGTAACTTACCATACGGTAATCAGCTATCTAGGTATGCCCAAATAACACAACAGAAATGACTCTGGTCCTTGCCTTCGAAGTCAGAACAGTACTTTACTCACCTCGGACAAGGCACTGGCCTTGGCTTTCTCGACCCTTGCCATACTTAGTATTTTTTTGTTAGTTTGATCGGATAGTTCCCGCGTCGAAACCTCAAGCAGTGGGAAATGCTGGCGGCCCAGTGGGCACAAGTAAGGTAACACCAATGACAGGTGGATTATTAGGCCCGACAGTAATGTCCATAGCAAACACTTGTATACGTAGATCTTCAGTAGAAATCCCGAAGTAGGGTCTCTGGTCACCTCATAGGAGCCGTATACCATGCAACGCTATTCGGAGATCCCGCAGGGTTATGGTATAGTCTTACTGTCTTAAGAGTATCGTTTAAGACATTCATATTCAACTATATCCAAGTCCCTGGCAGCCACGATGGACGGTCTGGCAAATTCCCCTGTTGTTGTTTTTGATGTTCCCGTAGGAGTCTGAACATGGTACGATCTTCCTGACGTGGCGTAGTGATCCACGGTACCGCTACTATTCTCGCACAATGTTGTTGCCCGTCGTCGCCATGTACTTGTGGATCCCAACCCAACTGGCTATGTATTATTATTGTCCTAGGGGTGAGGTGATGGAGTGCGCGATTCGGTTATATTCTAGCGTCAGCAGGACGGGCCGCGCGCCTTGTGACAGGGACTTGCCGCGAAGAGCAATGGACTTCCAGGAAAGACCAGGTTTGAGCTGAACGCGCGGCGATGCTTTGAAGCTATGGGCAGAGCACAGGCCCGATGGCGACAAAATCTCGGTAACATGAGTTTAAAAGGCCGTTGGTTTAGGTAGTTCTGCAAAGCGAGGCTTGTGCGCTTACGCAGTTGGCAGGCCGCCACTTCGAGGTGGAGATGGACGGTAGACGAATCGTGGGGAGGCCCAGTTGGGGATTGTTTAGTCCATCGATCTTGGCGACATGGGCTGATCGAGAAGATGAGCGAATCTACACATCCAGCCAGAGACAGGAAACTGAAAATAGCCAGAGACGCGGGCCGCATGGAGTGGCCCAGCTAGGTAAGCTGCGGATGGAGCTTTCTGGCACATGGAGGATGAAAGAGCTGGCGCAATCTATTTAATCTCTCCTCCCAGGCCACGTCTTACTGACCTCTTCGTTTCCCTAGACAACCATTGCGTTATTTATTCAAGCAAGAGTTCATCCTTTTGACTCTTAAACGCTCGTTTCTCTGTCGGAATCGTCTATTTAGATCGATACTCCTGTCGCTACCGGTTGTTATACAAAGCCTGATCCATAATCTTTGAGCGATCTATAAACATCAATATCCATCAAGATGCGCGCCGCTATCCTCGCTGCTGCTCTCTCTTCTGTCGCCCTTGCCTGGGATACCTCCTCCAGCGCGTCCTCGCAGGCTGTTGCCAGTGTGGTATGTCTTTGGTGTACTTCAAATTAACAGTATCATCTTATACTGACGGACATTTGCAGAGCAACCCTGCCGTGCCCTACCTGACCCAGACCAACTCTCTGGGTGTCGTGACCGGACAGCCGACTCCTATCCGCTCCCAGAGTCCCGCTGCTTCAATCCCGGCCGGTCTCTCGAGCGTCCCTGTGGTCCCCGGCGCCTCGAGCATTGTCCCCAAGCCTCTGGGTACTGGTAGCTCTGGTAGCAAGAGCAACTCTACCAGAACCAGCACCACCCTGAGCACCTCTGCTGGCGTGACTCGCACCGCCAGCGGATCGGGCAGCACCGGCACCAGCTCTGGTTCTAGCAGCTCTGCCGCTTCCACCAACGGTGCCATCATGGCCACTGCTGCTCCCGCCGGTCTGGGTCTGGGTCTTGCTGGTGCTGTCTTTGCTGCCTTCCTGTAAACATGGAATGGCTAAGAGATAACCGACCTCTTTCATGGACATTTTAAACAAACACCCGCGGTCCCCTACGTCCGGGAACCTCCTAATGATTCATAACGCGCGGCACTCTCTCGCCTTCGGTTTGGTCTGCCAAATGAATTAACGAAGGGAATATCTGGTATAATTGGGGCTTTCGATTCTTTTTTAATGGAGATACCACAGGAGTTCCTTGGCCCTCCTAACGCATCATCTCCATATTATTTTATCATAAAGTGCATAATCTTGGGCGTACAAAACACAATTGCACACGATTTTTAATCAATGTATCTAACTACTTATTTTTAGTTATCTGGAGTTTGCTAGCTTACTCAGATAATGATAATCGCTAACGTCTCTTCAATAACATAACCGTAATATAGTCCTGTTAGACATGATGCCTGATATGTAAGTTCTTCTGAATATACCGCAAGAATAGACCGGCAAAACAGCTATGACCATCACCGTGCACTTGCTTTGGAGTAGTCGTGTACTGCTGCTAATCCAACGGCCCATATGAGGTTTAGTGCGCGGGGAATGATGCAAGGTTAGACACCATTATTGAGGTCAGTTCTTGGGTGATCAGCATGCAGGCAATTAAGTACGCCGTTGAGGAACTAGCAATGCATGCGCAACTTCAAAATTCGAAGCAGGATGCATAGTTAATTGCAAGTTAGCTATTTAGTAAACGGGTCTTATGCAACATGGTAATGAGCTGCTTCTATTACTGTATTTGTGTCGTGGATCTTGGGTTGTTTTTCCTTCGTTCTCAGAAATTATGGATGTATCTACATAGTGGTAGCCCACACAGTAAGGTCAAAGAATATCCTGTAAGACACGGAGAACGAAGGACGGATTCAATTAACATACTGTTAAATAGATCAATTGCCTAATTTAACGAAAATAACCCTACCAATTAATTGAACCCGGCAGGTCGTTATCCGGTTCCTGATCCGAACGTTAACAATGGGCGTGAGCTTTATCAGTGACGTCACATGCACTTCAAATGAAGCGCATGAGCTTTATCTATCGAAATACTAGCTATCAGCTCAAGTACATTCAGAATTATCATCAATGTCAATGGACTTATCATCATAGATTCGTCCATGATGCCTCCTGCTAAACGCATTAGACGGACCAAGGCCGCTGCGTCGACTCCGACGCCTCCACCAGCTCCTGTGTCTGCATCTGCGTCCCCTGAAAACAACGACGAAGCGAACGAAGAAATTGTCAGCAATGCAAGTAGCGCACCGACATTCGACAGCACAGAGCCCGTTGACCCGGCCCTCATCGATGAAGAGGAAGTCCCTGACGCAGAGGAAAATGAGGACGTGAAATCAACAAAGGCTGTTTCTGGGGACAAACAGAGGCGGGCTTACGGAGGCGGTTATAATGCGCTCAAGACTTTCAACGGTCAAGTATACTCAGGCATGGCTATCGGCGGGTCGCATACATGGAACTACGATCAGGGTGTTTGGAAGGAGACCAAAGAGGAGCCGGACTTGTGGAAGATTGACTACAAGACTACCAAGAGAAGAGCGAGAAATGCTCCTAAGGGCAGTGGTGCACCGGTAGGCACTGCGTATCATTGGTATATTGTTGCGCATCAGGTGAGATTGTTATATCTTACTTTTTTCTACTTTTGTATGGAAGAGTGGACGAGCTCGCTAACTGCTTTGCTCGTACGTAGTATGTCGAAAAGATCGACGCCAATACCTACGAGACGCATCTCACTGGATCGAAGTACAAGCTCGCACATAAAAATGCATCTTCCAATTCGTGGTCAATCCCTACTGTGAAAGGGCAGCGTGAGCGAGAGATTGAGCTTCTTCAGGATGCGCAACGACGTGTCCAGGGCCTGCCACCGGTTCTGGCTGGAGAGAAAGTAAAAGTCGCAAAGGAGGAGAAGGGCCAGCAGAAACTGGATTCTCTATTCGCGAAAGCCGGAAAGAGTAAGAATTCCGCACCGCCGGATGACAAGAAGAGAAAACGGGAGCAGGAAGTTGAAGCAGAGTGAATGGCGTCATCCTGCGAAAAAAGATGTACTAATATCGATGAAGGCGGGCCTGCTGTTACGAGATGGTGTCTAAGCTATTCAACTGGAGTTATGCTGTGTAAGTATCGAGTCGTCCACAAAAGACAAGCGGACATAATTGCGCTCATCGGGAACCGCCTACTATATGTCTATATCGAATAACTCAATGTCCTATGCATAGTTACTATGTACTCGATGCCTACCTAGATTTGCAATACTACTGAATATGCATCACCCGAGGTTATAACCAACCATTCATTGCGTGACTTTGACAACACATAGCTTACAATGTCATCCGCCACTATTCAATTAAGAGCTACACTGGAAACAGAAGGATTCGAGAGCTTCCAGCGCTGTCCGGCTCTACTAACAGGTGACGTCATCCGGGCCTTCGCTCCGGACAACCACCCTGCCAGTTTCTCTGCAACTACATATCTTTCTTTCTTTTATAAACCTCAGTTCCCATACCTTACCGTGTCAGCGAGCACTGCCAAAGAAAGGGAAGAAAAAGAATCCACAGAAATGTCATCCGAGACCTTTGCTTTCAACCGTCGCCGTGCGCGCGACGAGCTCAATGCTCTGGCAGAAGAACACTTTAAACATGACCTCCAGCCTGCCGATCGGGACAAGCTCCAATTGTCTGCTCAGAAGATTGGCGTTCACACGACGCTGGGTTCGTTGATCGGTATTGGTCTCAGTACCTACTTTGCATTCCGTCTCAGGAAGGGCCGGCTGCAGTTGTTCGAGGCGCTCAAGACCAAGGAGAAGCCTACTGCAGTGCAGTTTGCTGACGGAAGAACTGGTGCGTTCCGTCCTTGCCGATTGAGCGTCTTAGAGGTCCCATGTTTGAAAGTATATATATGTGTATATATGCTGACTTGACTGCAATTGAATAGAACCTCTTCCCGACCTGACACCCATGTTCCAGCCCTCAGCCGCTGGTGACTTTGCTACTTTTTTCCTCTTTGGCGCAGGAGGTCTGTTCCTCGGTGGGGAGACCGGATTCTTGACGGGTACGTACTCGGCCGGCCGAACCTTGTCAAAGGATGCGGAGTCGAGGGCCCGCATCGAGAACGCATTTCGCAAGTTCAGAGCCGATGTGCTCCGGAGAGAAGCAGACCAATTAGACGGTGGTCAGAGCGCTTTGGAAAAGTTGTTCTAGTCCGACATGAGTTCTGGAAACGATTGGAATGTTTCTTATGCCAATCGAAATCTTTTGTGACGTTCAAGGAGCAAAGGTGGAAATTTGCATGCAGAGTTACTCCAAGTTGGATGATGAATAAATAAAAATATACACTCAATTGTGAGCTAGTTGTTAACATGGCTCCATATTCAGCAACATCTAGGCGCCCAATAAATGATTTGGCTAGCATCAAGTGGAAACAGCCACATAGAACAGCAGATCCTTGTAAATACCATAGCGTTATATTCCATAACACACTTTACTGCCCACCGTGGGTTATCCAGACCCTGGCTCGGTTTTGAGTATTTAGAAAGATGTGGATATGGAATCCAACCGGCTGTCCCACAATGTGGTGACCAGAGCAGCTATCTTAAATGAGAATTCTCTACAAAGCGCTTTCCAATCATTCGTACACCTCATCCCAAATTGGCACGCAGAGAAATCGACGCGTATACTGAGAGGAGTCTCCCATGTGGGCATAGGTAAGAGGTTTGAGTAGATCTCTATGCGTCGGGCAGGAGTAGCTAAGCTTCATGTGCTGGTCTTCAGTTTGCAGGACAGTGGCCAGTAAGATCAAATCCCCTATCGCTAATACCAGACTATCTCTATTGTCTTTGAACCGTCCATGCGCGGCATACCAATAGTCTCGTCTGATGTTTAACTAATAAATAATGGCGGGGCAGAGACGCGTTCACGACGCGGTTATCACCTGATCTGCCCGCTGGCACGCGTTGTTGATATAACCTGTTCGGGACTAGTTTTGTCCCAGCCTGAGGCAATCATGTCAACCACCAAAACAACACCAGCCCCGGCAACCCTCCAGCAGCAGCATTATTTGCGACTCTACCGGCCGCATTTTTCTTTCAACATCCCACAACGCTGACTTTTCTTGCTCACTCAATTCACGTTCTCTTTACTTTCTTTTCTTCTATTTTCTTGGTGTTTGGAACAAGTTTCTTGACCCAACGGGAGTGATTAGGGTGACCTGATCTTGCGTCATTACCGTTCATAGAACATACTATACTTCATTCTTTTGAGGCTAAGTCCGGCTGCGCGCACAGCAGAACCTCACCACGATGGTATGTAATACCACTTACTGGATAGTCGCGATTCAGTTCACTTGAGGCGCAATCAAGATTACTGCCCTCCCGGTTTTTCGCTTCTGGGAATATCCCAAGCGACGCCTTTCTGAGCGCTTAGCTGACTTTCCCTTTTCTAGGTCTCCGGCTTTCGACGGCTTGCCGCCGATCACGCTGCCCTTCACAACCAGGATCTGCCCCCGAATTACCTCTTCCTACCGAAAACTGCGCTGTCATCGTCGTCTGATGACTTGACTCAGCTCACCATCCTGCTGGCTGGACCCCAAGGCACTCCTTACTCTCAAGGTCTATGGCGGCTTCACCTGAAGGTGCCGGAGGACTACCCGAAAAGTCCACCAAAGGCATCTTTCAAGACCCGCATATGGCATCCGAATGTCGATGAAGCGACAGGATCTGTTTGTGTTGATACGCTCAAGAGAGATTGGAAACCCACCTTGACGCTGAGAGATGTCTTGGTTGTAAGTGGACCTTTATATATATATTCCGTTCCCTCTCCGTGCGATATTAGTTCACAAGAAGCAAATCGAAGACTAATGAGAATTCGGTTTGACTAGACAATCTCATGCCTTCTCATCTACCCCAACCCCGACTCTGCGCTGAACTCGGCGGCTGGCGCTCTGTTGCAAGAAGACTATGAGACCTTCTCCCGCCAGGCAAAACTCATGACCTCGATCCATGCCCCCGTGCCAGCTGACATGAAGGAGGCTGTGCTTGAGGCGAAACGAAGGGGAGAAGATGCAGGCACGACTATTCGCGAGGACGATGAACCTCGACCAACCGGACTGCGAAAAGCGTCTACCACGCATAAAGTTATTATGAAAAAGAAACCGGCAAAGGACGGGCACGGAAGCATCCAACCAGTGGAACCAGTGAGACCCCAAGTTGGCAGAAGTGCTGTAGATGAAACGAGTGCTGGAGAGCAGGATGTGAACATGGATATGTCTGAAGACGAGGATGTCGATCCAGCAAGCGCTTCGAAAGAGAATGATCCGTCTCTATCGCCCTCGCCAGTGGCCATTGTTCCACCGAGCCCTAGGAAGAGCGTTCAGGGGAAGAGGCCTCTTTCTGTCCTAGCGACATCAACAGACCCAGACATGGTCATGGTCGACGCGGACGATGATGAATTCGACGGGATGACTGCCTCAGAGAAGAACATTGCTGCGAACGTACCTATCGAGGGCGGCCAATACCATCTGTTACCGAGAAAGGCATCAAAGTTAGGCGAGTTAAGCAGAGGAGCCAACGCACAGGAAGCCACAGACTTTACTGCTTCGGCCAGACAACAAGTCTACGACGATCTCAACGAGTCACTCCGCATCCCACGCCGCAACAGTGGCGAAGGCAAAGAGAACTATGGATTGAGCGCAGGTTCGAAGGAGAAAAGCACATCGATGAAAAGGGCTTTGACGGGACCCGCGAGTCCTACCTCTTCAACACTACCACCGACTTCCACATTGCTCCATCCTTCAAAAGTCTCCAAACCCGCTTCTGGCATTCGCAAAGTGTCTGCAGCTGCTGGAAAGGCCAAACCCAGAGTGGGTGTCCGCAGACTATGAGCATCATAATATCATATCTGTGTCGCATCCTTGCTTCGGTAACAACAACATCATAAAGCACGCATGAGACCGATCATATGTGCATACCGATCGGGGCTACTGCACGGTGCATTGGAGTTTTGCTTCTCCCCCCCCGATTGCAGCATTGCACTATCACCACGGCGTTTGGTTTTTGATTTTTTTTTTTATTTCCAGGTGTTGGCAGAACGGGACGGAACAGGACGGCAGGTCAGGTCAGGATAAGGATGGGATGGGTTGGGACTGGAGAGGTAATGGACACAGTACAGATACCTCATTGCATACACCACGACGATCTTATTTTTTTCCTTTCTCCTTTCTCTTCTTCCCTCTTGGAACAGAGGATCAACCATCATTATTGTATCAATGACCGGCACGACGTTACGAAATTCTTATCATTCTCTGAATGTTTCTTCTCTCTCTCTCTGTTGATCTTTAGACAGTAGGTCCTGAGCCACTTGTCCATAAGCTTCGCTCATCATTCGTAGTTTTAGTACGTAATACCGGACTCAATAGGCAGTGTGCATGAGATAAAGCCCCTGGGGGGGAAAAAAAGCAGGTCTACTATATTCTACCACAAAGCACTCGACGCTTTACAGTAATAGTACATGACAATACAGGGCAGCGGCTGTCTGTAGTTACCGGAAGGCGATTGCCTGACAAGACTCCATGCTGGCGGTAGTGAGATACGGGGGTAGTAATGCTCTTCAGTTTCATTTGTTATTCTATATCAGTCTCGTCGCATTGGACGGACATCACTACCAAGAATCATGCCAATTGGGGGTGGTTGAGACAAAGTGAAACTGATGACTAGAACCCTAGTCATACGCCAGAACCGTTGTAAGAGATGCAGATATCTAAACTGCCACGGGGTTGTTATCGATTGGGATAAGAAAAAGCAATCTTTCATCGACCAGTGTCCATCACACGCCACCACTGACGTCGCTCTCCGGCCATCTCACTTGTTTTACCCTCTTTTCGAGTGCTCCACGGATGTTTCTCTCACGTCCGGCCTGTTTCCCTTTCCACACGAAGCAGCAGTTCAATGCTCCCAAATACTTTTTGTCATCAAGTACGAAATTGTGAACAGATGGAGGATTAACAAGTAGCCGGCCTTCCGGGTCGTGTAATCAGCCCGTCGAGACCAGAAGTATGTAAGGATACACAAACCCATATCACGGGAAATAATTGAGAGGCTAAAGCAAAAAAGGGCTAAACTATTTAAAAGCAATGTAGTCACAGAGAAGAGAGAGTTATGACCCAGGGCGATCACATGTATTAGAGTATCAAATAATAGTGTGCCCGATCCAGTCAAACCTCAATCGTACTGATGAGACTAGACCAACAGCGGTCCAGCATGCAAGTCGGCCAAGAGACTCGAGGTATTGCGTCATTGAGCACGGAAATCCTTGGATGCTCCGATTTCACAGAGCATAAGGGTTCACGGACCGGATGGTCAAGCATCTAGAATATTATTGTTAGCATCTTGACCAATATAAGTCTTGTGGAGGCGGTTACATACGGAGGGCTCTTGCTCAGGTCGGTCTTGAGGATGATCGGGACCCGAGTCATCTCGGTGACGTCCTGGATGTACTCTCCATTCTCCTCTCTCAGCTTGAACAGCTTGAGGTACTTCTCCTTGTTCGTCAACTTGTTCTCCGGAGCATCAGCCGTGCTTGTGGCAATCTTAGGGTCGGAGCGAGTGCGGTGAGGAGCCTGCTCCAGATGGCCGTTACGTGTAGGAGACGGAGGCATGCTCTGGGTAGAGCGATCGGCGGGCGAGTTCAAGGAGACGCCAGCCGCCATCTCGGTAATCTCATCAACATCGTCGTCATCATCGAAGAGGGCATCAACGTCGTCAGTGGACATTGTTCCAGTCTCAGTCTGCTTCCGCTGAGCCTCCTCTCTCTCTCTGGCACGTTCCCGGGCAGCCTCTGCTTCGCGTGCTGCAGCTGCGGCGTGAGCGGCACGAGAGTTGGTCGCCTTGGGGCGCTCGTCTTCAGGGATATAGGCAGAAGACGGGACACCCTTCTCCCAGTAGAGCTCAAGGACACGCTCATCCTTGCGGAACTCAGCCTTCTTCAATGGCAGCTGATCGCAGTGGACACGCTTCTCGAAACCGTACTCAGGAATCAGAACGTCAAATGCAGACTCATATACACTCAAAACAACACCTTCACTGATGAGGTCACCGCCGATCTCCTGCTTCTTCTTGTCCATGGCACGGCAGGACTCGATGTGGACACTCTGTTCTTGCGCGTTGTGGGCCGAGTCTTTCTTGTTGTTGCATTGCTCAGCAGTCTTGGCCAAAGTCTCAACGTCATCAGTGAACTCGATTGCACCGTCAGAAAGAACAGCTTCCAGCTGACGATGGACAATGATGTCGGCGTAGCGTCGAGACGGGTTAGTGAAGTGCGTGTACAGGGGCAGGTTGAGAGAGTAGTGCTGGCGCTCATCCTCGGGCACATTGGCCGCAACATAGTACTTCGCACGTTGCATGGATTTAATAAAGAGTGTTTCCATACCCTGCATTTCAAGTTAGACTCAAGATGGAACAGTAATCAAATGAGAATTAGCCCTTACCTTACGGAGGTCCGCATCTTCAACCTTGAACAAGCTGGCCTGCAGACTTCCACTGCTCGTGGGATCAATGTTGTAGCCGAGTCTGTTCATCCTGTCCACGAAAGTCTGAAGGCGGCGAGGGTTTGGCGAGACGTGGCGGCGAAGGAAAGCCTTTTCAGGCAGAGCCGCCAGCAGCTTGTGTGCAACGAAAGAGTTCGCCTTGTGGCTGAGCTCTTCGATGAGTTCGTGCGCGGCCGAAGAATCAAAGATATTGTGCTCCACTGGCACATTCTCATCATCAAGCTGATACACCAGACGAAGTGATGGTGGGTTAACGACGCGGTTACCGAACCTGGCTTCCCGGAACTTCGTTGCGATGGCCTGACGCCAAAGGTTAGCAGAGGACTACTTTCGAAGGTTTCATAGTGAAAAAAACTTACGTGCAAGCTTCGAATATCTTCGGCGCTGACACCATTGACAGGAATGTCCGACTTTCCGGAGATAACGGCATCCACATCGTCGTAGGTCAGCTTTCCTGCGCTCTTGATCACACTCTTGCCGATCCAGGCGTCCTCTTCGACAATTCCAGTGTTGGGGTTGACGCGGAACACGACACTGACCGTTAGACGCTCTTCTCCTGGTAGAAGGGAACAAAGCTCAGTTGACACTCGCGGTGGCAGCATGTTCACGACACGGTTCATCAGGTACACGCCGGTTCCCCGCTTCTTGGCCTCCCTGTCAACGAGAGAGTTGGCCTTGACGAAGTGAGCAATGTCAGCGACGTGAATACCGACTTCCAGCTTGCCATCTGCGAGCTTCTTGATGTGGATCGCATCATCAAGTTCCTTGGTACCATTGGGATCGATGGTGAAGGTGGTCTCCTCGCGGAAATCACGGCGAGAAGCAAGTAGGGCGTCTCCTTGACCTGCAACAGACCAATCTTCGAAGCCAACATTCTTCAAGACGGCTTCAGAGAACTCATCGGCTCCAAAGTTGTTGTCTCTAAGGAGAGCGTCGGTCTCGACCTTCAGATCACCCATCTCTCCAAGCTGCTCAACCAGAGTACCAAAGGGATGGAGGGAGGTAATGGGCCATCTCTTGATGCATGCCACAAAGATGCGGTTGGCGTAGTCCTGGTGCTTCTCGACAAAGTCTCGAGGTGCCTGTTCCGTGGGGATGGCGATCAGGGGCACACGCTTGTCCGTCGGCTTGAACCAGACGATCTTGGGCTTGTCCTGCTGGCGGTCGTTATGGCCTCGGCCGTTACCACCATCGCGCGCGGCACGTTCGGCCTCTTGCTTCTCCTTGGTAGCTTGGCTGCTAGGACGGAGCAGACCAAGAGTTCCAGAGAACGTCTGTCCTGCAACACGTTCAATGACCGCAACAACGTGACCGGCATACAGGGGCTTCTGCTCGTCACTGATTTCGTCCTCCTCCACGAGGAGGAGACTCTGGCCCTCGACCTCGACATCGTCGTTCTTCTTCTGGGTCGGGCGCTGGCGGAGACTGCCGCGGCGACGGATACTGCCGTCGGGACCCACCTGCTGGCCATCTCCATTCGAATCGGACCGAGATAGCTTATCGTTTCCGGCATTGCTGCCAGCGCGGGTGTCCGTGATGTCTTTGCGCTTCTTCTTCTCTTCTTTCTCGCGCTTCTGGCCCCAAACCTCGTCCACGTCAAGAAGCTCGACGGCCACAAAGTCACCTTCGAGAGCACGGTTTCTGTCCTTGCTTCCGCAAATGAAGATATCCGCATCGAGATCAGTTGTAGTCACATAGGCGTCAGAACGGTTCTTCTTGTTAACGCGCAGGATACCGGCCACAAGCTGACCGTTGCTCAACAGAGCGGGCAAGTTCGCCTGAGGCAGGTAAGGGGTGAAGAGAGTCTTCCGCTGCTGCTGCTGTTGCTGAGCAGAGAGCTGCTGCGGAGCATGCTGACTAGCCTGCAGACCAAGACCTTGGCCGTTCAGTTGTCCGTTCTGCTGCATGGCCTGAAGCTGAGCGATCTGCAGAGGGTTGAGTTGCTGACCAGCAAACATTTGAGGCGGAGCCATGACGACCTGGCCCTGAGGCAGCTGGATGAGCTGTGGCTGGCCCGGGAACTGGAAGGAGCCAATGGAGCCGATGGACTGGTTCATCGATCCTCGAACACGGTGACCGGGTTGGAAGCCACCGTTTCCGCCCTGCTGCTGATTGAAGCCACCCGTCTGGTTCTTCTGCTGATCTTGTCCCTGGTTCTGGTTGTTGGGCTGGCGCCAGTTACCATCGAAGTTGCGAGAGGATGTGCGTGCATGACCAGCTTGGCTGCTTCGTCGTTGAGTATCCGGCTGGCCGCCGGAACCTCCATCGTTTGGTGCTGGGAACTGGAAACCACCAGCGCCACGACCGGCGCCGCGTCCACCAACGGCCATCGACTGGCTTCGACCGTGGGATCCTACACGAATGTTACCAGCCCGTTGGATACCCAGGCCCTGAGACGGCTGGTTCGTACTGGAAGTAGACTTGTCATCCGAACCTGAAGTACCCTCCGTAGTACCGGTACTTCCGCCAGCACCAGGGATGGGAAACTGGAAGCCGGAGGTAGTTCTCTTCTGTTGAGCCAGCTCCGCAGCCTTCTTGGCTTCTGGAAGAGCAAGGGAATGGCGCCGTTGGTGACCACCGCCAGGCGGGCCACCACGGCCGCGGCCATGCATATTCTCACGGTTCTGGTTGCCCTGGTTGAAGTCTCCATATCCCGAAGCACCCGAGGAAGGAGCCGGAGGAGGTCCCATTCCGAGACCTGGCAGCGCGGACTGATTCCGTCTGTGCGAGGACGGCTGACTGGGAGGATTCATCGGCACTCCCATCTGCTGCTGCTGGCCCATCTGGGGGAATTGGAAAGCGTTGACGTGAGGGGCGACCCCTGCTATCGACGCTCCGCCCTGCATGGCGGTAGAGTAGGCCGGAAGCTGACCCAGCGGCTGCTGGGGCTGCAAGAGGCCCATGTTAACATATTGTTGATGTGTAGCTGCAATCTGCTGCTGTTGCTGCTGAAGCAGCTCAATCTGTTGCTGTATAGCTAGTTGCTCCACTGGCACATTGTCAGCCTGTAGAACCCCCCCTTTTGGACCAGATCATATAAACATACTCATGAGTGGAGTCAGCTCAGAAGGACTTCTCCTGTGAGCTATATGGAGGCGACGGCCAGCGGGGCCGGGGACCCCGGATTGGCCCTGCTGCTGTTCCATGTTGTCTGATTAAGATAGATCTGTCTTTTCTTTTTTCCTCAACGGATATATAGTCTGCGCGATGCAGAACGTCGTCCCATCAAACGAACCGATTGACTAAAGGACCGATCACACCCCGCAACGGTATTCTCCAGCCGGAAACCGACCGAGGACTACCCTGCTGTATGGCTTGTGGAACGATGACGATGGCTGATCTAGAGATCCCGCGACGGTCAGCGAACCGGTTACACGAACGACCAGAGCTTCCGGGCCATCGACACCATTGGGTGGATAACGCTGATGAAGAAAAGCTCCGGATCAAGGGGGAGGGGGGAAAGGGGTGAAAGAAGGCGGATGTTTGTGCTTACGATTCAAAAGGATGGACCGAACTCTTTCGAAAGAATCTCGGGATGACGTCTTGAAACAAAAGTAAGGCCGGAACGCAAACGAAGTGAGTAGACGGTCAAAAAAACGCTGCTGGTTTAGGGATGTTGACGGAAGAACAACAAAGCTCAAGACGCTTGTCGAAGCGGTGGGGAGATCTTGTCGATTCTGTTCGACCGGACTCGCCTGCCACCACAAGGGGGAGGGTCGAGTTTGGCGGAAAGAGGGGATGAAGCTTGATCGATGGGAAGGACCGAGTAAGCGGATGGAGCCGTCGCGACAGGACGGAGCAGCAACCGCAAAACCACGAGCTTCAGTCAAAGTGGAGAGACCTTATTTTGGAGCGGATGAGATTCACAATTGCACAGAGAATGCAGGTCTCCGCTGACAGGAAGAGGAATCCTTATTTTTGTCTGGCAAAAGGCACCGTGAAAGGGAGCTGTCGTGCTGACAGTTGAGTGGCCTTTTTTTCCCTTGACGGGGGCAGCTCGCTGGGGGGGATGAACGAGGAAGCGGGAGCTAGCTAATAAGGGGTGGCGGGAAAGTGGTGGGTTGCGTTGTCCCGGCAGAGAGAACGACAAAGAAAAGAGGATCAGCTGGTGAAGGAACGATGGAGAGAAGAGGAAGAGGGAAAAGAGGCGGGAGGGAGAGAGGGAGAGGGAGAGAGAGAGGAGAGAAGAGAGAGAGAGAAAAGATGTGGATGGGATGGGGATGGGATAGATGGAGATGATGCAGACAGAGAGAAGCAGAGAGAGCCAGAGAGAGAGAGAGAGACAAGATGTGGGGAGAGCGAGAGAGGCCCGGCCAGGTAGCAGTTTAGCAATAATACGTCGAGGAGACGAAAGGCCGGCCGACGGTGGGACAAAAACACCGCCAGATCTAATCTATGTTTTTTCTGCGGATTCACTACTGAATATGAGCACTGCTACAACCTCAATTATATTCGTATTATTATCTTATCTGACTCTTCCATTATTTACTTATTTCTATATATGCAAAGAACCATCACCACAACAACAAAATAATTATAAGAAAAAAAAAGACAAAAGAAAAAAACACAACTCTCCTATTCCCTCGCCCATGAGCTGTTTTGGCGGGCAGTCTAACGCCGTCTAAAGGCGTTAGGCGCAGCGTTCGTGGTGCGACGGAGCGGGCGGACGTCGCGGGCTCAGGCCAACTCTCTCTCCGGGGGCGACTTGACCCGCCTAGAGCGCCCGGCAGTGCCTCCTGTAGGCCAACGGTTCGTTCGATGATCGCTCTCGTGGCCTTTGCTTCTCGCCCATTGTTGAGTGCAGGATTCAGGAGAAAAAAGAGAGACTCCTCTGTTCTGCTCTGCTCTGCTCTGCTCAGATCGTCCGTCACAGACCCTCGAAACACTCTCCGCGTCGACACACTCCGCCAAGAGCCATCGTGAAACTGTCAAGGCAAAAGCGTGACAGCCGTACTCGGTGCGAGAGACACACAACAGACGCCGTGACGCTCCATGATGCAAGCCCCAGAGGACACCAAAAGAGACTAGAGGCGAGTTACCAAGCTGGATGCGAGACCGCAGAACTGGCACCATCGGCGATCGGCGTCCGCGATCACGGCTTAGCTTCCTCCAGCGTGGAGCACGCCTCCCAAGCTTGGGTCGCGCCAAAGATCTTCCAACCCGGTCTGGATGAGCTCCCAATTGAGCTGTTATCGTGTCCTGTCATTGCTGTCTGTTCGAGGATATTGAGTCGCAAGGTGGTACGTGCTCCAATCCCTGTCTCTGTCATTATTCTCCCTTGCCCTGGCTACGAGTCACGCCCCAATGCGTGGCTCCGTCCGGGGAAAAGCTGTGGTTTGGCAATGGATCAAAGTGCTAATTGATGTTTCTCCTCATCACAGGGAGGATACCACCGCCAGTTTCCCTCGACGAGCCAGTGTCAAACCGTCAAGAGCGCGTTAGGCTCATTCTCTCTCTCTCTTTTTTTTTTTCCAGACGTTTTCTACGGCCCCAGCGGGCCGACGAGACTTTCCGCTCCGCAAGGGACTCGACCGAGTCGCTCACTATATTGAGTCTAGGCTAGAGAAGGAATTGAGCCGCTTGCTCCATCGTTTGTCTTGTTTGGATGGAGTCACTGCTCTGATTGTCATTGACGGGGCCTTTTGTGTAACTGTTGGAACAATCAAAGGATACACTCTCTATTGTCATTCACTGCACGATAGCGACTATTCAGCATAAACCGTGTTGTGCCCATCAAGCAGCTCTATTCAGCACTTGGTCTATCAAGTGCTCATGGGCCCTTCCTGCTAACTATCCCTACCACTTCCACGTCTCTCCTACAGCATTTGGAGCCTAAGCACACGCTCCTCTCACGCGATCAGCCATCTTGAGTTGCTCGAGCGGCAGACACGCTCACAAGATTCAAGATGGCCGGGCACAAAGTCGACTCCTACTCATCTCCGTCCCGGATGCCGGACAGTCCCTCCAGACAGCTCATGTTCGAGCTGGTCAGGGACCTCGAGCAGATCCGGCTCACCAGCATCGAGATGAAGAAAGTCAAGGCCTACGAGCGGAAGTCTTTTTACGAGAGTCTCGATCTCATCGATCAGGAACGCAAGAAGAAGGACGATGCAGCTCTCGACGCGGTAGCCGCTTTTCACGACCAGGTGCGGCACGAGGCCGAAGATACACTGCAGGACTACTTCAGACAGGTCGAGGAAGAACGGCTGCGGCAAGAAGAGGAGACGCGCAAGGAAAAAGAACGCATTGAACGAGAGAAGGCGGAGAAACTTCGTCGCGAACAGGAAGAAGCTGCTCGCCTAGAGGCAGAGAGACGAGCGCGGGAGGAGGAAGAGAGGCGGAAGGCCGAAGAAGCCGAAAAGGCGAGAAAAGCAGCCGAGGAAGAGAAACAACGCAAAGAACGTGAACGGCTAGAAGAAGAGAAGCGAAAGCAGGATGCGCAACGGCGCGAAGCCGAGGAGGAGGCTGCCCGCCAGCGGGCTGAAGCTGGACAACAGAGCCAACTCGAACGGCTGAAGAAGCTGGGTGCTTCGCGTCAAAGCGAAGAGGAGGTCAATGTCCACATGCGGTATCTGGAATTGCATCAGCATCTTAAGAAGTTCCGCAAGTGGCTCCGAGATGAGGCAAAGAACAATCCCGTCGTCAAGCAGAACATGGGAGACATGCGCCGCACAATTAAAAAGTGCGTGGGCCAGCTGCGAGAGGGCAAAGGCGCCAATCGTACACAGGTATGTATTGAATATCCGTTGCTCCCAGATGATTATTGACTGGCTCTTCAGATTCAAGAAATTCGAACCGTATTCGAAAAGGCAGCCGCCATATCAGAACCCTCTGTCGATGTTCGCCAGTTTTTCGCATTCCCACCAGAGCACATTGCCAAGGCGGAAGACAGCAAGGTGCCGGCGCTACTCATCTATATGTTCAACATTCTCTCCAAAGCTCTGATCTCATCCCTCATCAACGAGGCAGGCATCAGCCCCAAATATGCCGAACCCATCGGCATCGTGGCCGCTCAGATCTTTTCCACAGAGGCCTTTGTTTACAAGGGATGTGCACTGGTCGATATCCTCTGGGCCAAGTACCGCGTGGTCTGCCCGGCATTGTGGGCATTCTACGGCGACGAGAAAACAGTCGCTGGAAAGGTTGCGATCGGATGGTGGCGCCAGGAGGCTGGGGGCCCTTTCGTCGACGAGCAGACACATGTAGACCGCATGACCGGCCTGGGTGCTGGCTTTGCGGCTCTGACATTGCGAAATTTCGGAAAGACGCCTCGCAAGAACCCTTTCCCCAACACTATATTCTGGCATATCATGCACAAAATACTCACCATTCCGCCAGAGGAGATCCAAGAGACACATCTGATTCTCCTGACCGCGATGCTGCGGTCTTCAGCGGATAGGATCGTCGGATTCTTCGGTCACGTGGGTCTTGCCCTCCTAAGGACCGCCATCGTCGACCTTCCCAGCAAAGTCCCCAAGCAGTCGATGGCACTCAATGGACTCAAGTTACTACGGGAACTCTACCTGCGAGAGAGGCACATCCTCATCTAAGATCCCAAAAGTTGTGGAGTCACAGCAAACACTTCCACCTCAATTTTTTTTCTTTCTTGTTTTCTCACCATGTATGTGCATATATCCAAGGAGTTGGAGAACAGTGTGATGATCAGGACGGGAAGAAGGGAAATAAAAATCGCCCCGTTATCCAGGAAAATCGAAACGATATGATTAGGTATTGTTATGTTACGTTATGTCATGTCTTCAGGGATGGGCGGTTATTCGTTGAGCGCTAGCGAAACGATATATTAGAAATACTCTGTGCATATTTTCTCGATGATCGCGAGGTCCAAAACGGAGCCAGTCGAGTGTACTACGGAGTCTTGGAAAGAATAAAAAAGTTCTTTTAAGAAACGATAACCAGAACGTCCTTTTGAGAGATAGACTGCCCTCGTAGGTTTGTTCAGACTACGAGTTTTTTTTTTTTTTTTTTTTTTTTTTCTTCATTATTCTTTCTTCTTGGTGTATAGTAAACATAAGACATATAGTTCTTCAAAGTAAGAGAATAAGGTACGACTTTCTATTATTATTATCCCCCCCTTTTCTTTAAGTTATTATACACGTAAACCTCAACTCGATATTTCAGACCATGTATAGTGCGACCCAGTCGCTCGAGATACTAACAGATAATCGCTAAGGAGAACGAACTTTTCTTTTCACAATTATGCTTAACTTATACACTAGTCTAGTCGACCTGGAGTGTGAACTCTCCATAAAGGAAGAAAAGGGGGATATCAAGAATAGAAAATTATAATAGAATGCGACCGTTATAATAATCGATATAATATAATATAACTAGTTAGTTGTAAGGACAGGGGTCTGAAAAGAAACGAACAGATAAATGCGCATCGGAACCGCATCTTTGCTAAATATAACTTACTATAGATAAGTTACAATCTCTTAGGTAGGTAGTTGTCATGCATGGCGAATTGTGTACCGTAAGGGTCGTACTTGTACATACGTACTCGCTCATACTCGGAATACTACTTGTTCGAACTATATACTCAGTATAGTCTAGCTAGTATGTTTATCTTTGGTATTTTGATTTCTTGGTAAATAGAAATATCATCCATAGAGAACGATCCATCTCTGTTCCTTAACTTCCAAAGGATGGTCGTCTTCTGGCCGGTTGAGTTTCCTCCCGATTTCACCCGATTAGAATTAGAGTTTAGTCTACGCCGAATATACTCCGCTGTCATGGGCGGCAACTCGGAACAAACGGCGCGGAGGACTCGCAAGGGGGCGCTACTTATCTACCATTCTATCTAACCTTTTGGATCCCTGCGTCCATGCTTGCTTTCTTGCGCTGTCTCCCATAACTAGGGGCAGGGGCATATTATTATTATTAACTACCAATACATACTCTAGAAACGTGCGGTACCGCATAAGTATGGGATTCCATGCAGATGTTTCTCTTTGTTACTTACTTACTATGCTAGTCGATGCTTCTTTCTTCTTTCTTCGAGGTGTCATAATTGATGTGCAGATGATTCAGGTCCGTAGACTGACCTACCTACCTTGATATCTAGGTATCGATACTACTACTGGCAGCAGCTATCTACTTATAACTTGGTATGCTGCTCCACGAGACAATGTTGAATGTGCTGAGTGAGTGGGTCGCTGATTTTAGTCGGCATGGCTGTCACTGTACCATATGGTAGAAACGGCCACAAGTTAGCTTAGCTTTACGGGTAACAGATCGGATCGGGTTCGGCCACTTTCAAGTCGTAAGTTCTATGCATTTCGGTCGGGCATCGTGGGTTGTGTCACGGTTGAATTCAAGTAGGTAGGTACCGTAAATGATCGGAGGTCACCGATGATGTCTTGCGAAAGTTGATGAAGCCTCAAAGGGCATTGATATTTTTTTCCCCTTGTGTAACTAATAACACTCAGGCTGTCAGTTGTCAGTCAGGCCACAGGCCACTCTGGGAGCCAGCGTATCAAATTGGTGTCTGACAGAATCGATCCAGTCGATATAGACGACCACCAACATTGCGAGGCTGGGGTGATTGTATCGTTCAGGTTGTGGTGAAGAAAGTAATAATAGATAGGCGAAGGGAGACGTGCCCGAGTGCTTGCTACATGTACGGAGCAACATGCATCTATCCATTCCATGCCAGCATCGGTGGGCGACCGTGCCATTTGTACTCAGTCTGACGGTCTGACCCGTCTGTCACCTCGACAAAGCATCATTAGACACTCGACCAATTATCTTTCAGGCAATTCGAGTAACTATCACCCTGTAGGGCGCGAAATAGGACCATAACAAGTATGTATGTACGTAGCCATCGCTAGTCATCGTACGGATTATTTCTACCAACCTCCCTTATTATTGCTGAGCAGTGGGCCGGACACAAACCACTGAAAAGTATGGTAAAATGGTAAAGTAAAGATAGACGTGGTTTATTATTATTGTTACGGAGTAGTTATCTAGGACAGGAATAACTAAATAACCACCTAATCTATCGGGTCGACTCGTTCTCCGAGTTGATTCCGTGACACCCGCCCGAGTTCCGATCTCGACTCACTAGGTACTTACGGGCCGAACACGACTACATGCCTAACGAGGGAGACATGCCGATCTCAAGTGCTGATCAGGCGAGAGAACAACATTATTATTATCCCTCGTGGCCAGTGAATAATTAGATTAATATTAAAACATCTGTTCACCAACAATTCGACAATGTGGACGCTTCTGAGTTTGCAACCCTCGTTTCAAGCTTATGCCGCGATCTCCATGCATTAGTTATGGCCATTATCCACGACAGCTCGGCACCCAGCGTCAAACCAGCGGTCTGGTTCAAGGACGTTGCCAAAAGTGCCGTTCGGTCCGTGAAACCGACATGGTTGAAAAAAAAAAGTTTATTCACGATTCAGGATGGATACGTTTGAATTCACTTTGTGAAAAAAGAGTCCGCTTCTGAGTCAGCTTCCATTGAGAGCTTACATCGGTATAGCCAATGTCATGAAAGGAAGCGCTGTATACAGTCATCAACTCGGATCAATCAAATCCCCCGATTCTACCATCCAGATCAGTAATTGTCCGACTAGTAGTACGGAGTAGCAGTAGTAGTAATGATAATAATATCCAAGCTTCCTTGACGTGGAAATCTTGTTTCAGGCTACTTCCTTTTCCGGCGAAGACTCCCTCTTTTCGCCGGTCTGGATGTATCTTAAAAGTTCTAAACGGCTGGGTCCCCATGCAAATCTCTTAGATCCCGGTGGCGACTAGTTTGACTTGAACGTAGGGCCAGAAGCCACGGGGAATAATCCTGGTGTCGCGCGACACCCAGCCAAAAAATTACTTTACCACCCAATCGAGAGCAAATCAGTAACTTAAGTTAACTTACTTCTCTTTGTCATACTTTAGGGCGTAAATTAGAGGCTGTAGTTAGTGATATGGCAGCTCAAACCATGACAACCAAGCTGCATGGATGGGGAGAAAGTCATGGATGCAGCTAACTAGCAGATGCTCAGCAAAGAACACGGCTGGCCCAGCGCATACCTAGTATCGCAACGCAACACAATTCGGTTCTGAGGTGTAATAATAATAATAGTTCAATTAACTTTCCGGCATTTTAGAGCGATGGAGCCATGAATTAGTCCCGACACTGGGTCCCGAACATGCCACTGCGACATGGAACCATCAGCGGCTTGTTGTTCCCCTGAATTCGCTGCTCGGGAAAGGACGGGCTGATTTTGATAACGGCCACCCTGATGGTATGCCTCTCACCAATATATGACGTGGAGAGCGCCACTCGTGGTGCGGTCAATTTCAATTCTCCAATTTTTGTCTCTTTACTATACTACAGTATATTAGCGATTGTGCAGTCGATTGTTGCAGATTACATTTGCTGTCTAGATTGTACTGTCACCTTATCTCTTGATCTTCTACTATATAATCCTACATAATACTCTTTGCCTCACTGATACACAGACACTTAATTACTTTTCCCTTCAACTGAAGAGGAAGAGACTACACATTAACATGGCAGCTGCAACTCTGCCAATTGAGATTATTCAATTAATACTTCTCTCCGCGGAACCCGAAGCGTACCATTCCGCCCGCCTCGCGTGCAATTCCTGGAGACATGCTGCCTCGAGCTCTTTCATGCTTCGAGAGGCACTCAAAAAGACGCCAACTCCGCTCCCTCCAGTGGAGGACATGACAGAGGATGACTGGAATACTCTCTTCAACCAGATTGCGCACCTCAATCTACTGGACAGACGCGACCATATCGAGAAGATGGTTATAGAGCAAAAACGCCCACCGAAGTGTACATTTTCCACAGTTGTTGCTGTGTCGGGTGATCGCTCGAAGCTCGCGGCAATGCATGGATCCAGGGTTGTCGTCTACAACATCAATAACGAGACTCACGACCTCGAATTCGGCCTCGCTCGATCTCTCTATCCTCTATGGACAACCATGAGTCGCACATTGGCTGACGGCATGAGGAGTTGGATGACCATGGGCCAGCATTACGCCAAATATCACATCGCCCTCTCGACTCATGGCAACTTGATCGCAGTCGCTCTGGGAAAGTCTATCCACATCTATGATCTCCAAAACCCGAGCAGCCTCGATTCTCCCGCAGAAGGCGTAATTGGGGATAATGAGACGGTTTCTGTCGCGGCTGGTGTCACCGGATACGAGGAGGCAAAGGGAGTGGTCGAGTCTCTGGAGTTCGTCGAAAACGACAGTCTACTTCGCGTCGTGATTGGAAAGGAGCCAAATGCGAATCGACAGACACGCGTGCGTTATCTGGGCAAGCCCCCTCCAAGATGGGGTTCCAGTCGCAGCTGTTCAACTGTCACAGAGAGCCTTGAGTATTGGAAAGAGAACATGAACCACATATACTTGGACTCTGTGGCACTTGCCGTTTCTTTCCGCGATGACAACAAGACTGCTTTCCAAGCGGTGCAGTTAGTACCAGAGTCGGTTTGTGAAGGCTGGACGGATCAGCCTGGGAGGTTCTTCATCGCAGCACTTCAAAATACCGGCATCAACGGCTACTGCATCGCCTTCGTTTCTAGCGTCGACAATAAGGTCACCATATGGAGACAGCTACCATCGCGGACCGACCGGATATCAGATCGCTGGGCCAAGTTTTTCGAGCCGATTCCTCAAGAGAAGAAGTTGAGCCTCGCGGTCAGCGACGCCATGGTGGTCGCGCGAAATCGCCAAGTGGCCAAGGATCGCTGGAATCCAGTCAACATGCCATACGTCACGTCGACGCATCCAATGGCGGCCATATCGGACGACGGGAAAATCCTAGTTGTTTTCGAGCCCGGGGCCGGACATTCATACAGCTTCTCGAATGGCGGTGCGCTTTATGTCTACAGCATGCAGTGGTGTGATCCCGAGTTTAGACCGCGACAGTGCACCAGCGGAGACAAGCGATCATCACCTCAACAACAGCCCTTCTCCATTGATGGGGTGTCTCCAAGCATCCAACCGTGGTCTTTCCTCTTGGATATCATCAACGTCGACATCGACCGGCTCCGCGTTGAGGAGAGGGAGCAGCGAGAAGGGGCAGGAAAGGTGTACCTGGTCAGAGCCGAGACTGCCCATGAAGTGATGGAATGGCGGCTGGCCTGAGAGCGGTGAAACGGAATGAATCATGGCATTACTGTACTTTTCGCGTCGGTAGCCATCTCCGCGTGGCTTCTTGACGTAAGCGTGAAAGAGGGAGTTACGGAGTTTCAACAGGTAATGGATGTGGCGCATTTGCAAGGCGTTCGGTTATAAGAAAAGTTTGGGTAAGATCAGCATGACAGCGATCAAATATTTTGGTGATTCCCGGTCCTACTGCATTGTATAGAGAACGAGATCTCAGTAACATCCTGAGACCGCCGTACGTCTTTTCCTACAAGAATTGTTCTGATATGTTTATACGGGAATAGAAGCCTTTTTAGTTACTAGATGAGTCACAATAAATTAATAACTAACTAGTTATTGGACTTTGAAACGGAATCAAGATTGAATTCTGCTTCCATCACGTGAGCTCAGATTAAAAAGGAGTCGTCACATAAGGTAATCCATTACAGCAGCCCAGTCTCTAGTGTCCAAGCTCCAATGGTTTACGCTTCCTCGTAAGCAACATCTGAGGAAAGAAGAGGCTGTGTATTGGCACCTAAGGGATCAATCAGGGTGACCTACCGTCTTCATGGCTGTTTCTTGAGTTCTTCCAGGCTCTGAACCCAGACCTCGAACTTCTCTTGGAAATTGAATAGGTGGCCTGCCCCAGAACGCAGTATTACCTGCGCCCCAGGCATATAGGAATAATCGGAGACATCTGTGAAGAGATTACCTAACGGCAACTTCGGCTTCCGAAAGCATCGGGAATGTTTCCAGGTGACATCGTAGACTAGTAACTAACTTCTGGGGCGAACCTCTTCTGTGTCTTCTAGAACACCATCCTCGCTGAGGCAACCTGCGCGAGAATACTCCGTAAACCCGGCAACGGAGATTTGCTGCCCCGAACCTTGCCAGTAATGAGCCGTTCTTGCGTGCTCTGACAGATTCGGCCACACGCGTCGACCGTGGTTGTTGGCTTGCACCGCCAGACGCACTACGCGATAGTGGCCGGAGTGGACACCGCCAGAAACGGGTCCCATCTGAGCTTAACACAACCTGAGATGCGTCTTCTATCTAGTTAGCTATCTTTCATCAGACGAAAAGCAGAGATCGTTCACAGCATCTTTCATCATTTGCACTTGGTACCCAGCTCTTTTCCGGATCGGAATGACCTGCGACGAGAATCAATGACGAATCTGAAAAGGGGTCTTGAAAATCATGGGCTTCAAGCCAGAGCAACACTTTCTCCAATCCGGAAAAATCAGCCAATTGCACCAAAGTGACCATTCTGGAGTGCAGTCGAAGAAGTAATATCTTCTGATGAACGGCATATTCTCTGATATCAATGAAGAATCAGGACCAAAGACATGCGTCCGGATATGCCCCTGACAGCTTGGATCGCGTCTCGATCGTATGAACCCAACCAGTCCACAACCAGGCGCTCTTGACAGGCAGACAATAGTTTTGGCGTGGGTAGTCGATGGAGACAGTTCTGATGAAGAGGAACAGACTAGGCGTCTCGGATATCACAAACAATGCCTCAATTTTATGTCGGTGAATGTCGCGTCCTAGCACACGGGAAATTGCCTACGGACGATGGCTGCAGATGTCGCCTTCGTCCAGTATACAATGGCAAGCGATAATTCCTAATATGCAGCAAGGAGCACCAAGCCCGCTCTGAGGTTCTGTCAGTCGAGGTATCGCCAAATTCACAGCTAGATAATTGGAGGGTCCCTGTCAGTTTGTCCTTGGGTGTATTGCCTCATACAACCAGAAGTTCCAGAAGGAAATCCCAGTCTAATGGGAGACGCCGTTCAGATGTTGTTTGCAACATGCATATGCGTACATCGGAGTTTGGAATTTCGTCGGTCTTTCGCCAAGGTACTGGACAATGACCAGCACGCCAAGATTTGTCTCTTGAAGACCTTGTCTTTCTATCCATAACCAATGAGACATCATAGTAATATGATGTCCTCAAATCCTGATCTGTGGATCTGAAAGACTGTAGACGTCTGCTGGTTTAGCTGCCGAAGCAGATGCAGACCACAAGGACATAATTGACTGTCGAACCCTCCAAACCGTCTATCATGACTGACTTCAGAATTGGCTCAAATGATCAAATTCTTCACTGGCCTCTGGTGCCGCGTTGGTCATATTTAGCACCATGATGCCATGCGCAAAGTTTTCATGCCTGATATCTCTTTCCGTCCCCTGTGTCGCGTAGAACAACTCATTGCTTTCTTCGCGATAACTATCATCACTATATCCGGGGTTACTTGATCACCTGTACCTGTGGTCTCCTATCAGCATCTGTTGCTCAAGGTATGTGGGAGAATACAGGCGATTGTCTCTTACCAAGCTTCTCACGTCAGTTGTGGGACATATTCCACCGTTAGCCAGCGGTGAAATGAACCATTCAAGACGATTGACGTACAACGACAATACAGTGCCATCACATTATTTGAAATGGTTTGAACAACTAGCAATCACAGAATGGATTTTATCTCGTTGAATAGCGGCAACCAGGTCTCGTACCCGTTGAGTCCTTGGAAACAGAAATGGAACACTCAATGATCAGGAGAGGTTCGTTGTATGCTGCAGTCCAGTCTCAGCAGCCAGACGATGAAAATGGCATGGATAATATTTTGGTCAGTACAGGTCGACTATCTGGAGGCAAATCGATGCCTGAAGTGACAGGACACTTGTCGTTCTGTCACCGAAGTTCACGGTCGCAATTTGCTCGCAAGGTCCCCAGGAGGGACAACACTGAGTGTATGTATGCACAACCACCCGGGTCCTCGAGTGTGAGGACGTGGACGACTCTCTCCTTCTGTCTCTTTTATTCCCTCAAAGTTGGAAATGTATCTTTCATATTCCAAGATGGGTTTTCTGTCCTACTTGTCGCCCCTCCTCGAGGTTTGAGTCAGGGAAAGACCTCGCGGTACCAGTTCGTGGTGAATTTCGGCGACCATCACCCAAAGAGCCATTATGTGACCAAAGCAGGTTCTTAAATCTGTTACACTTTCGAATAGCACAGGATCTCGGCCTGGGTTTGCTGGTTGAGACCGCGGAAGTTGAGAATCTTCGTTCGAGCCTTCCATGAGAGAGCCAAGTCACCTTTCGCCCGACCCTAGGCCCCTCGATCCTCGATGAGAACGAAAACCGTCAAGAAAGTACAAAAGCGGTTTGTATTCGAGGCTCACAAAGTACTAAGAGACAATCCTTACGACAAACAACTCACGACAGGAAAGCATGATGCCTGTTCTTTTTTATTACGCTGATGTTGGAAGGGTTTGGAGCAGTCCACGGCCGTTCTTAGGAGGCACGTTGGAACAATATCGGCTTTGATGACGGTCTATCTATCTCTACCCCCTTCCCTCCCTTCTGACGGACGAGAGGAATGGTAGCCCACGATGGTTGCCGAAATGCACCTGGAGTGAGGGTACTGAACGGCTTATTGGATGTCTTCGAAAGCGAATACGTGATGGAAGTATACATAAGACAAGAGGTATGTCCATATATCTCCTACGATAAGAAATTTTTTCTGGACGAGCCTCAAGCCTCAGACATCCGAATAACCTTCGAAAAGGTGCAGTGGGGAATACTGCTATATCTGAATTCACTGGCAGGAGTATAAGAGGTGATTGAAGAAGAGAATGGATTTCTTTTGCTGACAACACGGAATCATAAACAGAATAGCTTCGGGATCTCGTTTGAACAATGGCTTACAGCGGATTGGACAATATCATCGGGTCTTTTACGACTTGCCTACTACCGAGAAAAAAGCAAAACGAGAAAATGAAAAACCTTTTACGAGATGGAAATTGTGCCCCAAGAACCAACCTGAGATGATTCCTCTATACGACATAGAAAATTTGTCCTAGAGTGCACTATGTCCAAGTTCTCTCGTGGCGCTATACAGGGACGGGGACAGGGACATTGGTGTGGACCATTAAGTTACCCGCCTAACGAGGCCAAGGACCGACCCTAGGTCGCATCGAGCGGCCGGAGCCGCGCTTTGCGTTAATATTTGTCTCTGAGCAGAGATCTTGAACGGAAAATGATCCTTTTGATGGAGACTCGTGCTGAGGCCTCTGCCACTGAAACCGCTCTCTTCGACATCTGGAACGAATCTCTATTCCCACCGAAACTTGACCTCACGGATTTGACCCCTATTTCAATCCCGTCATGCGAGTTGCTTCTCGGGATTTCATATAGGCCTACGGAGATTTATGAGGTTCAGGTATCCCACTCTTCCGACGGATCCCCACAGCTCTTTTTGATACTTCCGATGGGAGTTCACGATCCACTTCGCCAAACTCTGGTGTTAGCGTGGGGCCAAGTCGACTTTTCACCCTGGCGTTCTCGTCGGTTTCAAGGTCTGACCAAGTTGCCAGGGTTGAGGCGGGTGGACAAGTCTGCCATCGGAGTCTCACTGGCCGTGCCGCCTGCGTGTGACACAACCTATTCGGACAACACATGGAACAGCATGAATCCCGCGCTGATAATCTATCTGCCTCTTCTTACCCGGCCAATCCAAGACGGCTGATCACTGTTTATTACACGAACTCGGGGAGTCTGATATCTGACGCGTCCTGTTCGAAGTTGCTGTCCTGGAGCGTGGCCCATGCTCGTGGTCCTGCTGGACAGCCACGAGGCTCTATCTGATGCGGGCCGAATGGGACACTAACCTAGTTGCTATCAGACCCATGCGAGTCTCGGTGCTTTCCTGCAGCAGAGATGTGGAGTTCCGAACTAACCTGAGCACCTCCACGCTACGGCACTCTTTCCACGTCATGCCGCTTCACTCTAAGGAGGGGGTCACCATCCGAGGTATGACTATTATCGCGAAAATCCCTGGGAAAAAGGTATAAATAGGGACTCAAATCCCATCGAAACCATCTTCCTTTCTCTTCATCAAGCACGCCCGACAACTCTTCAAGCCTGCAACTATCCATCTACTCCAATCACCAACAAGTCTCTCGACTTATACAAACCACCCATCAATCAACATGAACCCCTGCTCCTGCAACTGCTGCTCCGGCAACTGCAACTCCTGCAGCTGCTCCCAGTGCAGCGTAAGTACATGTCATGAATTCTTTCCTCGTTGCCCTAGATGCAATACAGTCCCTCCCAGCTCGCTGGCGGTCTCTTTGGATCACTGATAGAGAAGCTGGGCTAACATCTATCGTCAACAGCACTAAATATTCATACACGGCACTCCTTCTGCCTTTCCTCATTCCGTTCGGCGCCTAAGTTGACTTCATGTCTACTGCCGTATTGACCGATCGACAACCATGAGTCACCACGTCAAAGACAACACCGACAATTCAAATCAACCTGTCAACATTTCGCTCGCGGTTGGCATAAGCCGGTGCAAGGAAGAATTTTTCGAAGTCGATGAGGGGCCAGATACCAGTGGCGTCGATGGATGGGAAATAATGGTGCCTCTGTGATACCTGTCAATATACCAGTAGAAGGACAATGAAATGATATCCACATCGCCCAAAACCGTTCATTATCACGCTCTGGGCATATGCAAAATCAGCATAGCCTGTCCTTTCCCTGAACATACAACTGATTTCTGTAGAAATTTCACCACTCTCTTCCACCACTGCTGCTGACATTGCCTTGTATTCGAAAGCAGCCATGCCTTGTTGACATAATCCTCACCAAACTGGCACAGCAGTAGTTATGACCCTGTTGAACGATACGGATATGTCTATACTCCCCGTAAGATTTAAAATAATACTCAGCAGCCAGACAGGATGTAATTATGTAGTCTCGTCTCGCCTGTTCCTCCCTCCAGTCTTGGCACCACGGCTCGACGATATCTCGTCATAGTCAAAATCAAACCATTCGGCCAGGAGCGAATAGAATAGGGGTTCTCTGTTTTTGTGTGTTGTTTACAATCTGGTTTATATTTTATATTATCATCGACAGATTTGTATTTCAATTGATCATTCCACGTATCTTATCTTTATTGATTTCACCTACTACTTTAGATATAGTAGTAGATGTTATCTCTTTTTCTATCGTTATCTCTACTTTCCACTTATCATTTACTGCACTCTTAAGAGTGGGGATTCGTAGTGAAAAAAAAAAAAAAAAAGATAAAAATAAAGTAAACGAAATAAGAAAGATGAAGGAAGATATTATATTATATATTACTCCCATCTATAATTCCATACCCACCATAATCGCCTTGGTGTTGATAACTCTCATTTCATCCCCGACTCATAATTCTCTTTATAAAATTCCGCTGCACCTTCCCCTGCGATTCTTCCAAAGATCACGCACTCCAATAACGAAGAGCCACCCAGTCGATTATCACCATGGATCCCGCCAGTGACTTCGCCCGCTGCCCAGAGGCCGCGGATCGGCTGGTTGGTTTCTTTGTCTAGGACCTCGCTACGCTCGTTGATGGCGACGCCGCCCATAGTGAAGTGTACGACGGGGGTGACTTTTCCGACATAGACGACCGAGTCTGCAGTCACGTCTTTCAGCGTCCAGTGGCCGAAGTGTTGGCGGCCGAATGGGTCTTTGGTCTTTCCGGAGGCGGCGTCCGCGTATGTTTGGAGAGATGATATGGCTCCGGGACCGAGGTTCTTGACGATTTCTTTCCGGAGGAGACCTTTCCACGTGTAGAAGTCGATGGAGGAGCCGACGGCTGCGGCGGAGCCTTCGTCGAGGACGATGCTGAGGTCCCATTGTTGTAGGGTGGTTGTTCCTGTTGTTGGAGATGCGATGTTTCTGATAATGTTTGTTATATATTCTCTCGTCCCGAGCTCGTTGACGAAACGACTACCGTTTGGTAGGAGAAGGATGCCACCTTCGCCTCGAAGTGCCTCAGCTGCGAGGAACTTGACTGGAGACGAAGGAGAGTTCACATCCACGAATCCCGTAGGATGAACCTGCACACGGTCCATATCAAGCAATCTTGCCCCAACTGCCGTCAGAAGAGGTTGAGACCCTTCCCGTGGCTCATTTGTAGACGGAAATCCAGCTAGGTCAGGACGATATTTCGCAAGCATCCCATGCGAATCGCCCGCAAAGCCACCACTCGTTACCACGACTGGACCTACCAGGGTATCTGTCTTGCCATCTTCGCGTGTAAACCCCACACCCTTGATCTCGTCTAATTCCCGGATGATATTCGTCACCTTGCAGTTCGTATGAAGATGAAACTGCGAATTGGTCTCCAGCGAGTTCAAAAGAGCCCCAATGATCGATCGACCCGGTGGATTGGTTCCAGCACCACGATGGGTTCGTGGTCGACTATGTCCTCCCAATTGACAGACTTTGCTCAGATCGACTTTCTTCTCGTCCGCGAGCCAGTACACCGCGTCTGCAGATGACTTTGTCAGAACTGATATCAGACTCTCTCTAAGGAGACGATCCGGATCTCCTTGGCTGATAGCTGCCCCTGCAGACTTGATCGTGTCGTCGTAGAAAAGATTATCAGGTTCCGGTTGGAATCGTGTCGGGGCGCCATTGATCCCCGAAGATGCCTTGATAGCATTTCCTCCCGGCTTGGACATTCTTTCGAGCATGTGCACGGGGACGTTGTTCGTGACGAGTTGACTCGCGGCTGCCAGACCGGCGAGGCCCGAACCAACCACTATCACGCATTGTTCTCGCAAAGCTGGCGATGTGGTGGTCATGTTGAAGAATCGTCGCGTGAAAATGTTTGGAAGGAGAGGGATGATGATTGAGAATACCAGGAGGGAATATAAGCCAATGCGGCTCATTGTACGAAGTCGTTAAAGTTCTATCAGAATGGGTTATGTGTTGTTGTTATCTGTCTTCCCGAAGATAACCTTCCACATGATCTCAGTCACCATGGGAATCTAAAGTATCCCCTCCCTTCTCACATGGTTGAGTGGATTCCGATAGGATGATGATGGCTTGATACTTGGGATGGGAGTAGCCGTCATCCGTTCGGAAGCAGCCTGGGCTTCATGGCGTGACAGTTCTCCTCAACATCAACTAACTTAAACCCCAACATCGAGAAAGGTATTTTTGTTTTTATTGCCGCGAAATATTCAAAGCTGGACATAGTAGTAATCGACTCGAAACAGGATGGTTTTTTGTTTGTTATGTTGTATCCACCACATGCATATATGGTCCATTAGCAAGACCGATGAAATACCGAGGAAGCCTCCTCCATATCCAGAATGAAGAACAAATCATTGTTTTACGGAATATAATCAAATCTATAACTAGCCAGATTCATTGAATCTTTCTCCTTCTCCTATCCTCGCTACGTATGTACAGTACAATAATATATCCAATTTGCAGATCATCCGACCCTTCAACACACCGTCCGAATCTAAATTTAGCCCGAATAATAATGTCTTGAAGAAAAGATGATCGTCAAACTTCCCCCACTTTCCGCCGGGCCGTAAATAGCCGAGCGAGCAGTTCCAACATCGTTTCAACAAAGTAATAATATTTAAACATAAGGATCTACGTGGAGTCATGTCTAGATTGCAATTTGTGTTTTCAGGGTCATGATTTAGACTTGAAAGCAAAGAAGAACTTTTGGTTGTCTAGAATCTAGTATTCTAAGTGAATAAAAAGGGGCAATAACTAAGTCAACTGAAGTAAAAGAAACGAAAAGGGGGGAAAAAAAGAAGAGAACTATCTAGTTCTACCCATGTAAGTAAGTAGTCTATATGTCTATTCTATGCCATATGAACCCAACTGAAGCCATAACAAATCTTGAATAGAACCTGCGCCATTCTAGCCATTATCAATCACCTTCTGGGAAAAAATTTAGACCATCTCTCAGAGAAAGATTATTTCGCCATTGTCGGAAAAGTTTAAAACCCATCGACCGCAACGCCATCATTCACACCCAACCAAGGCGTCTTCCGAAAAACCCGATCCCACCTAACATAGTCGTAACGCCGGTGAATACAATCAATATACCATATTTGCTGCCATAGCCATAGGAAATCACATTAGTTAAAGGCGGTGCAGTCAGCAAGGCCTCGCTTAAGGGTCCAGAGAGCACGCCCCCTACTCCGCGACCTGCCACTAGCAGAGCATAAACTAGCCCAGGCTCCGCGGAGTAATGCTTTGCTGTCGTCTCGCGCATGATTCCCGGCCAGATGGAGCTGAAGCTCCCTGCGAAGAAGCCGTACAGACAGGAGAAAGTGCATAGGATGGCAGCTAAGCCTGAAAAGCCCCAGAGGAAAACGACAGATGCAGTCGCGCCGACGGTGGAGAATAACATGACGGTCGTTACGTCCCATTGATCGACTAAGAACCCGATGACAACTGAGCCGAAAAATGCACCGCCGTTCAGAAGTACCACGCTCGCAGTGGCGATTTCGTTGCTGAATCCCAGCGAGCGCGCATATAGAGGAAGGTATAAACTGGGGAGGAAATAGCCCAGACTCTCCATGATACTGCACAGTTGCAGTGGCAAGAATGGTCGACAGATGACGAATTTCATATTAGGGATCTTCGAAGCAGAGACGGTTGAAGGAGGCACGCGAGGCTTCATGAAAGGCAGCACGGGGCATAGAAGAATGGTACTGGCGACTGCCCATATGCGGAGAGTGGTGCGGAAAGAGAAATGTGACAATGACCAGGAGATGAATAGAGGAGCCGTGACCCCAGAACATCCCGTACTTGCCCACGCAATACCAAAAGCTAGCCCCTTGCGATGGACGAACCACTCGTTGACGAACAGCATTGTCGGGTAAGACATCATACACGCGCCAATGGCGTAGAGAAAGCCCTGTGTCAAGACCAGTTGCCAGACACGCGTAGCAAATGAAGCTGCCACCAAAGCCAGAGAAGATATCAAGCAGCCCAGGATAATGGATCTGCGACGGTATCGTGGCCACTGTCGGAGCGCAAACAGACACAGTGGTGAACTGAGATAGAGGACCCCAAGGGTCACGGTTCCAATCATCGTTACCCCAGCGGGGTTATCATCAAACTGCCCATTGTTGGAGTAGTACTCCTGGAAAACCCCAGAAGTGAAAGGGAATCCCCAGACGAGTCCCTCAATGACGAAAGTTCCCACTAGGACGAGCCAAGCATCCTTTCCACGGTCTACGGGCGGAAGAGACTGGCCGACGAGATCTTCTGATTCTGGAAGACTGTCGTTGATACCTTGCTCGGACAGCTCGTTGCTCTCAGTGTCCTCAATCATCGCGAAATGATAGTAGGTTTGGCTATCTGCAAAGAAGAAGTTAGAATCGATAAGAGACAAAAGATCTTCATGACCAGAGACACGGGATGGAGCAATAAATACCAGTTTCCTTTTATTTTTTTGCAAAGCGGAGGAAGGGAGTTGGTTCGTGGGTTACGTATTATTGACTTGTTAATGGTGCGGCCGACCAACTCCAACGCTTATGCAGCCTGTCGAGGTCTGGCCTGGAGGTACTCAGGCCACCGCCAGCTCCTGGCTTGACCGCTCAGCCTTGTGTAGGACCAAAGTGTGATATTCATAGACTATTTGATCCACTTCGTCCACTTCTTTCCACTTCATCCCATGACCTCTGTGTCGAGACTCGAACTGTTTGTGGCGTGCTGTCGACTCCTCCGCAGCGGAACGAGATAAGTACTGACGCGACTGTGCTAACTTGCCCAAAAAAATCAGTATAAGCTAGAAGTATAGCAGTATAGCATATCAAGAACGACAAAGGCCCAGACTTCTTTGTCCAATCTATTACGTTATAGTTACAGGAGTTGCAGTGCTGTCAATTCCTCCCGGAACATCCGCTGGTCGTGGCATTGCATATAGTAGCTGGGATCTGCATGTTGTCGAGATGCAGAAAGGATCAGATACGAAGGAAAAAGAACAATAGGAAAACAGAGCTTCCCATGAAGGAGATCCGTCTCCTGAGATTCTAGAGTCATTACTAGTCTTTTCAGCTTCGGGAGATCTACTTCTCGCTATGTCGCATCACTCTTCTTCATCGACGAACTCCTGGATCGAACGAGACATTCGGGACAGTCTGGCGTGTCAATAGTGCATGCAGGGTCTTGACGGGATACTCGAACGGTGGATGAGTCCCACCAAAGCTCTGCTCGGTACTGTGGCCGACGCTAACTATAAGTTCGAGGAAAAGGGCCCACGTGGTCTGGTTCAGAAGCACTGTTTCTCTAGGGATAATAATGCTTGATAAAGCAAAAGAATGCGGAGGCGAATCTCGACAGCTATACTCCAGCCCGACCGGTATATACATAAAAGCCTGACCCAAACTGCGCGAGCCGGAAAGAACTACATCAATAATAACAAGCACTGAAGACAACACTATGGCAATCTGTCTAAATTCTGCTGGACATTAAAATGTCCGCTCTCGTGTACGAACAACTTACTGTACAGACGTCAAGGGGCAAGGAAAAGCGTGCGGGTATGTATGAAGAATCAAAAAGAAGGACAGGAGGTCGGCCTAATTATTTGACAAGAATAGTATGTGGGCAACGTGAGAACGCAAAGTGGTATAATGTAAGCAAATGATGCCCACGCGGTATCAAATAGAAAGATCGTGATCGGTACGCCGTGAAATTAGGATGATTGTACAAGGACCAATAAAGAGTCGGGAGAGATATAGAAATCGGATGAAAACAACAAGGGGTCAAAACACATCATTCGCTCGCTTGGGGGGAAATAAACAGATGACTAGTCAAAACTATCAGGCAATTTGATCTGACATCTACCTCCAGAGCTCTCTCTTCCGGGTAAATATGCAAAATAAAGCAAAAACTTAGTTGACAAAGGAAATGGGCATTGATCAATCTCATGAAACAATTTGCGGTCCAAAGGGACCTTCGACGGAGCGAGGCGATTGAGATACCAGACCGCCCATGGTGCTTTCTAGGTCATCTCCGAAAGTGCCGTTTTCGTAGTTATTCGGCTCCGCGTCGTGGTCATAGCTTGATCTCCGCAGTAGCGGCGGAGTGGTTGGCGGTTCTAAGCGCGAAGGACTCTCGCTATGACGGGCCGAAGCAGATCGCAGGGTCTTGTTGCTATTATAAGACCTCAGTGGGCGGCTCTCCGAGTACGAGCGTCGTGCCCCTTGCATCATCGACGGAGCGCTTCCGTTAATAGGGGACTGTCGCACGTTCGAGCTTGGTGGAGTCAGGAGACCCGACAGGAAGCCGCCTGCGGTGCTCGATTTCGAAGGTGTCTGCTCTGACAAATTGGCATCTCTCGCCTTGCGCCAGCTTCCCCAGGCCGCGGCAGCGGCAAGGGGAAGGGCACGAGGGGATGCAGCCAGGTTGGAGATGGATGACAGAGACGGGAATGTCTGTCCGCCAGCCATGGCTCGTTCCTTCTCCTGCTGCTCCATCTGGAGGTTGGCCTTCAGACGGATCGCAGCGTCACGGACGGCGTTCTGATCAAAGGATGGCTGGGACAGGGTGTTGATAATATCTTGCAGATCATCAATACGTACGCCCAGAAGCTCTCGGAGCCAGTTGATCTCGGTGTCCTTTTCTTTGATCTTGTTGGGGGCCTCCTTGTCGACAGTCGACAGTTCCTGCTCGAGGTCTTCGATTCGGCCTTCACGCTGCTGCAATTGATCCTGGAGTACCAGGATAGACTCTCGAAGGGCCTGTGGTGAGATCTTCTCTGGTACAGAGTCGCGTCTGAAAGACATGGACGGAGAAGTCGGCTGGGGAGGAGAGCTGATCGGAGCTCCCTTGGCCTGAGCTGCTTGGGCTGCTGCGCGGGCCGCAGACTTGGCAATCTCCAGCTTCTCCTCAAGATGGGCAACGCGGTCTTTATAATGCTCGACCTTTTCGTCCGAGAGAGAAAGCTTCTCCAACATGTGCTCCTCATTTCGCTGCTTATCTTCGGAAGCGTTGTGCAGAGCGCGAGCATGACGTTCTCGGAGATCATTGAGGACTCGTTCATGCAGCTTGCGCTGCTCTTCAAGAGCAGTCTCCTTAGACTCAAGAGCAGCCGCCAATGCAGCTTCCCTCGCGTCTTTCGCTTCTTCCAGCAGCAGCTCATAGCGCTCCTTGGTAGTGTCGGCGTCCATTCTAACGTTCTCCAGCTCATTCTGCACACGGGAAATCTGCGCCTCAAGTTCTGCGCGCACATAGTTCACTTGGTTGTTCGCGGCTTCGATGTCAGCCTCCATAGAGGTCCTGGTGCGCTGAACCTCAGCACGGCTACTCTCGCGGGCTTCATTGAATTCCCGCTCGAAGCGCACAGCTTTGCTTTGGAGTTCGTTGTTCTCCAGTCTTAGAGCGGAAATGAGCTCCTCCAACCTAGCATTCTCATGCTGGGACTGGGCGAAGATGAATTTTAGCTTCGCAGCTTCCCTCTCTTGCTGTTCCAGCTCGCTGATGTCAATCTCTAGCTTCTCCCGGAGCTTGACTTCTCTGTCATAGGAAGCGCGGAGAGCGTTGTATTTAGCGATGTGATCCTCTTCTCTCTTGCGCCAAGCAGCCTGTTCACGGACAATGTCGCGTGTTGCAGTAGTCATATCATCTTGTAGACGGTCGAACTTGGTTCGAAGGCTCTGCCTGGCACGCAAGCTATCTTCGATGCGAGACTTCAGATGGTTGATAGTAGCACGGAGATCCTTGTTCTCTGCCTTGACTTCTTCGATCTGGTGTCTCCACTGGTCGCTTGACAGCCTGTACTCATCAAGAGTGCCCTCGAGAGCGATATTCTTCGCCGACAGCTCAGAGAGAGTAAGCTGGAGAGATTCCTGCTGCTCTTGCAGAGCATCGGACCGCTTCTGGATCCACTCGAAATGCGGGATCCTCTCTTCCTTGAACACACGTAGACTCTCCTCAGCAGCAAGCGCTGAGTCACGATGACGGGCTGCGTCTTCTTCCGCGAACTTGAGCAACCTTTGGACCTCTGCGAGAGAGTCCTGGGATTCTCTATAGGCCTTGTGTTGTTGATCGGCTCGTTCGTCGGCGATTCTGAGCATGCTCTTAAGTCCGTCAACTTGAAGTTTCAAGCTCTCTGCATCGTACTCATCAGCATCAGACCTCCGAGCGTCTCTGATGCTAAGCTGCTCCGCAATGACTGCCTGAACTGTTTCTCTTAGGTTTTCGGTCTCCGCTGCAGGTTGTCTTGAAGCCGCAATGCTCTTGAGTTCGGCAATGCTCTCCTGCAGGAAGGAGAAATCCACAGCAGGAGCTGCGGGTTCAGGACGGGAGGACTGGTGCGCAACGAGAGCATCCAAAACGGCGTTCTTGAGCTTTTCCATTTTCCGATCCCTGATATCCAGAGGAGATCTTGATCTCGTTTCGGCCTCTTCATCGTCCTCATCATCTGCATCACTGTGTTCGATCTCGGCAGACGTACTGCGCAGTGGCCTTCTACTACCAGATCGAGAAGCAAGCGACGCCACCGATTGCTGGATGACACTCAATGTCTGCTCCAGCGGGCCCAGGCGTTCGTCCAAAGCGGTTCCAACAATATCGTCAACGCGAGAATCGAAGAACCTGCTCCTGTTGGCCAACTTCTCGTCTTCGCCCGAAGAGAGGACATCATTCCAATCGCTGAGCTCTTCATTGACACTGAGCGCTTGGCGCACTGAAGAATTGGCATGAGATGCGAAACCGCTGGCAGAGAGAGCGGCGGGCGATTTGACACCGACGTCTGAGCCCCGTTTGGGAATGTCGCGTATCTGCCGAGGTGCCTTCGGGCTTGGGCTTGGAGCTTCGCTTCGGATGATGTTGACTGGAGGCAGTGAGGGCTCCGTCGTCGGCTCCACAGGAGATGGAATAGTCTCCAACGGGGGACGAGGGGTGATCTGTCTCTCGATACCAACATCAGAGTCATCACCGTTCAGTTGTTCCATAACCGCATTGAGCTCTTCCTCATCAGGAGAGTCATGTGCCTCGCCAGGCTCGGCCGTCTGGTCTGCCGGTTTAGGAGATTCCTTGGACACTGGCTCAGCCGTGACCGTCGTTGTCGGTTTGGGAGTTTCAGGCTCCTTGGCTCCAACCTCGGGCGATGCTGGAGGGCTTATCACGGCATAGCGGGAGGCCATGAGGCCGGCAGCCTTCTTCGGTGCAGGCTCCGCATCGGATTTTGGAAGTACAAACTTTGAGGGTATGAACTCAGCAATAGAAGGTCTGAATTCAAATGGCTTAGACCTCAACGGGCGCTTTGCATTGTTGTAAGAAGACTCCTGGCGAGGTGGAGGAATTTCTTCCTTTGGAGCAACAGACTCGCCATTCTCTGCAGCAGGAAATTGGCTGGCTTCCCGTTCAACAACACCATTGGACTCCTGTTTTTCGACCCCGACTTTACCAGGGGCATCTGGTCCAGCAGCATTGAATGCGGCGGCATCGGCTTCATTCTTGAATTCAAAAGGTGTCCAGGTCTCTGCCTCACTGACGGGGGTCTCCTTCGATTCCACAGGCTTCTCCTCAGACGGTACGATGTCGATCTTGGTGTCAAGGGTGACTTTTTCCTCTGCACCAGGAATGGCATTTTCCTTACCCTCCGCTGGAGCATGCGATGTACTGGGCACTTGAGGAGACTGTCTTTGGGCAGCTTCCGACAGAGGGGCAGCAAGTTCAACTTCCTTGTCACCGTCGTCGTCGGTACGGCGAGCACGCTTCTGGCGACCAGTTTCTTCCCGAGCCTTCTCCTTATCATTTTCGTTCTCGTTCTCCTTAGTGTCACTTCCGTGTTCGTCTGGACGCACAATAGGAATAGCTTTCGATTTCTTGGCAGGCTTCGAAATCTGGGTGAAATCAATGTCGCCAAATATCTTGCTCTTGCCGCCTGCTGGTGGTTCCGAACTAGAGACTATGGGGTTAACAGCGTTTCCAGGGTTGAAAACAGGTGCATCAACATTGAAGGCCGCTGGCGAAAACTGGAACCCAGAGAAAGAGTTCTGTCCAGAGAAGGAGTTCTGCCCAGTGAACGGTGAGAATGGAGAAGCCTCGACATTGAAGGAGCCTGCAGAACTGGCAGGCTTGAAGATAGAATTTGGAGAGAAGATTCCTGCGCTGTCGAATCCTGAAGGCTGGAAGCTGTTGCCCTGGAACTGGAAGTTGCTAGACGAGAACGAACCCGAGGGATCAAATTCTTTAGCTTCGACGTTGAAATTTGACAGCGAAGTCCTTGGCTTGTGACCGGGAGCAAATGAACTGTTGCTCTGTCTGGACTTATGCCAGGAAGGCTGGTTTGCGGAGTGGCTCTGGACACGGGGTGTACCAGAGACGCTGGGATTCGTGTCAATATCCGAGGCGTCACGGCCAGTTTCTTCCTGGTAGTGTTCGCCAAAGAGATGATGTTGCTGAGAAAGCGATCCCTGCCTCGGGAACTGCGAGGACTGAGGAATCTTGTCCGGCAAAGCCCATCGAGAGTTCAACAGATCGTTTGCGCCGAACTGGTGCTGTTGGTTAGACTCCCTGTCATCCTCCTCCAACTGTCTCTGGATCGATTCCTCCAAGTGATAATCAGCCTGCGCATAGCGATCCAGTCCCTTCTGCAAAGTCTCGCTTACATTGTGGCCATGGCCACGAGGGGTGGGATGGGCGATCTCGACATGCGACTGGAAGGACTCCGGTTCATTCTTCTCTGAAGGCGTCTGGAGTTGTCGTGGAGGTTGACTGTGTAGGTCACCGTGTCCATCCTGTCTGAATTCATTGTGAGGCGAAACGATGTCATGCAGACCAGGGTGGAATGCGTTCGAGTCGTCCGTGTTCAGAGGTGAAACAGGCGATAAGATAGAGTTCAAGTTTGGCAGGTTGCTAGGAACAGTCGGTGAGACACCCGTTTGACGTGCGTTCAAGAAGCTTTGAGGGGTGAAAGTCCCTTGAATTGGTGGAGTAAACTGGAACGGGAAGCCTGACGGGAGATTCTGGTCGCCTCCATAAAATGCTGGAGAGGCGATCGAACCAAGGTTTGCAGACTGATTGAAATGCGGGGAGAAAGGATGGCCAGCAAAGAACTGGTTGCTGTTCGCCGAACCGGTCGGGACAGGTGGAGATGAGATCAGGCCCGGTAATTGACCAGGGAGATGGCTCATGGAGCCAGAGGCTGGAGAGATTGTCTGCTGCGGCTCGTCGTCGCCCAGTGATACACCCAGAGCTCTCAGCTTCTCCTCTTTGAGGAAGTTCACGTATTCATCCCACACCGACTGGTCCGGGAAGCTGACATGGAAGTTGTGGGCATCCCATTCTTTCTTCATGTCAGCGGGATCGGGGTGAAGCGGCCGACTTAGAGCACCTTCTTCTGATGGCGCAAAAGATTCTTCCGGCATGCAGATACTGAAGCCGCGTGTATCGTACCCTTCATCCTGGAATTTCTTCAGACGTGCCTCGACATCGGCACGAGTCAGGAGACGGTACCCTGATTCTTCAGAACCTCTCTTGTCCTCCAACGGAACCGCAATGATACACGCTTTCCCACGCCAAACGACTCGCTTCTTTGGTCTCGCCGTCGAAGAGGCTTTGGCCGCCTTGACCGGACTGACGTCTCCAGAAGAAATCTTAGGCGTTGATGACTCTCCTAGGGGAGTCTCTGCTGGAGGCGGTGGTGGCAGAGGCTTCTCGACCGGCGAGAGCGGCTTTGCCGCATTTTCCTCGACGGAGAGCTGTCTGTCCTGGTGGTCAGACATTTTAGACGGTACCGGATCCTTGTCGTATGCAAAGCCCCAGAAATCCTCTTGCTTCAACGTATCCGTGCTCTTGCGAGAGATGTGCTTGGCTCTAGGCGGAAGAAGGCCTGTTTCTGCGTTATTAACCCGCGCTCTACGAGCAACGTAATCAGCTACCGTGGGCGTCTTCAGAGGGTCTTCCTCGCGAGAATCGTCGTCCAGACCAAGCCAACCGTCTTCGTCCACAAATTGATTCTGTGCAGTGAAGAACGACGGCGTCTCACTACCCGAATCGTCACTTAACCAATTGGTCCGTTCAGTCCTCGGCTGGCCCGAGAGGTACTGATTGATCCAATCTTCCGTAAAATCCCTGATAGATTTCCCTCCTTGTCTACCTGGTATATCTCGCGCAGTAGCACGCCCCACTGAAGGATACACTCGCCTGGCGATGGGGCTCGAGGCCGACGGGTGTCTCAAATCCGGAGTATCCGCGCTTGATACCTGGTGCAAGCCGCTTCGCGTAGACACTGGGGACGTGTCTCCCGAGTGGTGACCTGGTTCGGCGACTTGACTCTGTGTCCAAGAGGGTCTGCGCGGACTGGGAGTCGCGTACGGCGATCCCCACGCAGTCGTGTAGTAGGTACTACTTTCCGCCCGTCTATACTCGGGGGAAGACGACAGCGAGTCCCACGCCGTACCTCGAAACTTGGGCAGTGCCGGAAGCGCTTGGGGAATCGGAGTCGAGCTCAGCTGTCGACGCTGACGACTAGGCGAACCGGAACCCCGGACGCTCCAGTTGGCAGGGGAAGTGGCGCGTGAGAGCGACACCAATGGCGCAGCCAAGTATGCTTCGTCACGAATATTACGCTCTAGAGGTCGAGAAGGCGAAGACGCCGGGATGGCGGAGACGGAAGGAGTTGGACCTGAAATCCGCGCGCATTGATGTCAGTTTCCATTCAATCACCCTTTTCTTCTCTGTTTCCCCGGTCTCATCTTCCATCGAGACGCGCCAGGCACGAGAGAAACCGGCGTTATCGATACAAGAAAAGGAGAAGCCGTCAACCGCGGTCTAGAGTAGTATATCAACATACCTTCCGTGTCGTCTGCTGCAGCAAGCACCTGCTTGCCGCGCCCCTTATCGCCCGGAATATTGGAGCATGGAAATCAAGCCGGGGCGAAATTCAAAGAAACCTTGCAGAAACACCTAAGATCGCAGCGATCTTAGGGCGACAGAAAACCGATGCTGACTACTGCCGTGACTGTAGCGATCCGCGCCGGAATCAAGCAAGGAGACCGGGAAGGGGGAGTTGGTCTTTCCGTGCGGATTTGCAGGGAGATTATTTCGACAACTAGATCACAGGAACAACCTTGAGTATGCGAGAGCTTGGACCATGGCGCACACACAATGGAGAGCTGGATCCAGATGCGAAGACCAGGATGGGGAAGACGGGGGGAGGAAGACAGAGCGAGAGAGAGAGAGAGAGCGCGAGGAATGGGAAGGACGAAGAGCAGAACGAAAGATGTTTTTGGCACGTCACGACCCGAAAAGACGATCAGGGAGCGATGAGCGCTAGTTGGCGTTGTGGAAAAGCGAGAGCGAAAGAGGCCCGTGATGGCCAGCAGGTCAGTTTAGTAGTTGGTTAGTTAGTTGGTCAGTCAAGTTAATTAACTAACTAGTTAGCTGGTTAAGCCGGTCGACCCCGGGCTTTCTGTGCTCCGTCGGTGTGCGATCGACGCGTCTGTTGCCCACGCGCTGGGTGAGTTATTACTACTAAGTTCTAACTTGGTCTACGGTTGCTAGTCGAGGTTTCTACGGTGTAGACTGTAGAGATGTTTATGCTGGTGGACGTTGAGAGCCCGATAGATGAGCAGTCAGTCTGTTGGAGATAGATGGATGGATGGCTGCTGGAGTACAGCAACTACTCTATGTTCCTCTACCATACTCAAGGTCAATGTTATTTATTGTATTTTCAGGGGTAAAGCGAACTATGAAGGCTGGAACCATGGTTCTCAAGCCTCGTTTCTAAGGTCTGTTGATTAATTAATCTACCTAATTACCCGCTTCCCGCTGGGTTCGCTCCGCGCCGTGTTGGTTCCAGCGAAAATAGAAAAACAAGCCATTCTTCGTGTTTCTTCCTTCAATAATAATAATCTCACGACATGCATCTTTCGTCCTCTCCGGCTAGAGCAAGAAAAAAGAAAAATACGAAAGAAACGAAAGAAGGAAAAGCAGGGCCAAATTCCTTCTTTCTCTCCAATGCGGTGGCGGAATCAGCCGTCAGTCAGGCCCAACATACGTGGCATCAGTTTGTCGCCTCGTGTCTCTTGCTATGATTCGAGTCAAGATGATCCAGTGTCAATTCAATCATCTGAAAAACCGTAGCTAACTACCTAGGTAGTTATAACCTACCATCAGATAATAATCAGATAAGTTAGCAGATGCCAGAAACAAACAAAAACTCTCGTCCAAGCTGCATCAGACCCACTGTCGTAGTTAATCAATAAAACATGAAACCTCCACAAACCGACAAGGGATCTGCCTTGTTCGCGACTATTGAAATCCGGGGCTGAACTCACTAGAACGGTCAAATTAAACTTTCCTCTGTAGTTCATGTATTACTCACTACTGTCTCATCACCTCTTCACCTCATCACTCAGTGACGCTTGTCATCAATCGACTCGCGCAGCTGGATATCTTGAGCTTAGATCTGAGCTCAGATCCAATACCGACAATTTGGAGATTACATGACGTGTTTTGTTCGACGGAGGATTCATCATGCACTCTGACTATCTGACGAGATTGCGAGGCTAGAGCCACTGGAGCTCACCATGTGCGGGATACCAGAAAATCGTCAAGCGCTACTAACCGACATGCACGCTAGAGGCATATGCAGAAGGATCCCCGCAGGAGACATGGTGTGTTCTATAGATATATTCATGTATATGTCGCAGATCTATTCTACCATCTGCTACTGATGAAACTAATGAAGCTGACAATATACAAAAGTCGATCCAACAGTGCCAGCTCACCGCTAGCACGTGGTGTTGAACTTGGTCTGGCGCTCAGCCGTGAACATACCCCAGTGGGTCTCGTCAGCAGAGGAACCGTCGTCACCAACGCTCTTGGGCTTCCAGGGCTCGTCGTAGGCCTCGAAGTAGAAGACGTCCACTCCCCAGGCAAGCATGCCGCAGACGCCCTTCTGGAAGAAAGTCTCCGCGTTTTCGGTACCGGCGATAGCCTGGCCATAGTTCGAGCCGCCCGCTAAACAAGCTGTCAGTCTCATGTTTCCCATCGGAATGCTCTTTCCGGGGGGGGGGATTCTTACTAGTCGGCCAGCCAGTCTCACCAGTAATGATCTGGATCTTGTTGGCGTTTTCACCGGCAAGCTTCTGGATGTGGTTGATGGTCTGAGCCATGTCGTCGAAGTAAGTCTTGTGCGCATCCTCAGCGGGCTGACCCTGCCAGTAGGCGAAGGCGTTGGTGAGGCTGTACCCATGCATTAGCAGAACCCCTCGAAACAGCATCTCCAATGGCGCTCACATGTACTCAACACCTCCGGTAATCAGAGGATCAGCAGTGCCGTCGACGAACTTGTTCCAGCTGTCGGCAGTTCCAATCTTGACTGTCGGGAACATGGCCTTGACCTTGTTGATTCTGTCGAGAAGCTGCTGGCCAGTGAAGGTGCCACGGTAGAGCGTCTCAGAACCGACAGTGATGGCCTCCACGACATCTTCGTTTCCAGGGACGGTAGCCTGTAGGGCATCGGTATCTTGCTTGAACGACTGATCGTAGTCCGGCCTTTTCAGATCCGGTCAGTTATATTCCTCGACGGCCATAGCCACCGACAAGTACAGGGGCCTATCACTCACCAGACACCTAGAACAACCTTGAAACCCTTGGCCTTGGCGGCGGGAATAATGTTCTTCGCCGTGTTGCAGTCACTGGCAGAGTATGTGCGGACCAGCTTGGTCACGGACTTCAGCTGGTCAAAGTCGGCCTCATAGTCGCTGGTCTGCTTGCACGATCCGTCGGGGTTCTTGTCTCCTAGAGCGAGACCGAGAGTACCGGCAGCCGAAACGGCCACTGGCGCTGCCGCGAGGGCAATGGGAAGGATGTTGGAAATGCGCATCTTGAATTATGACGACAGTACTCTCAGGAACGAAGCTAACTAGCGAAGAGATCCGGAAGGTGAGGAAGAAAAAGAAAGGACGCGCAAATAAGCACCTTGTCGCGAAGAATGGGTAGAGAAAAGAATGGACACTACCCCAGTTTATACGATAGAAAAAAGAGTGACGGGAGATTAAGCAGTTAGTAGTTGGAAGAACAAACACAGACGTTGTTCTGGAAAAGGGAGAAGGAAAGAGAGGCCGTGATCGAGGCTAGGGTGTGACGATGCCTCGCCTTTCCTAGGCCAAGAGCGCGCCCAGAACGCCGGTTAATTAGTTACGCGATGGTTGTTTCTTCAGCGAGTGTGGCACTACTGTGGCTGTCAGGAGAAGCGTTACTCTAGTCTGCTAATTAACTCCCCACGCGGGTCTGCGATAAAACCGCGGGGGATCCCGTTTCCCAGGGGCGGCGCGAAACCTCCCAGGGGTCGTCGATCCATGCCTCGAGTAGCAACGACGCGGGCTATTCCTGGATTGAGACAACATTCGATCCACGTAACTATTATTATTATTGTTGTTAGCTGGCCATATCGAGTGTTTCTCTGCCAAGAGAATAAATATGGAAACATTCTATACTTGTTCTTCGCGGGATCGTTCTCAAGGTGCAAGTGATTTCCGTCGTTTTGTGGAGACCCGAAGCCGTCGCTGCAATGTCCGATGCTGCCGTCTTACTACTGTATGTATACCACTACGGAGTATATAACTACATATAGTACGATGAATAATACATGATGACAGGCGAAAGAATCAAAGCTTGTAAACATCGGCAAACAGTGATACAAATACATTCACACTATTCGTCACGACGCCTCCCCGTATGCGTCTGTGCAATGACTGTCTTACTGCTCTGGAAGACATCGACTTCGTTCCAGAATCCCATCCAACTATATGAACACCCTGACCCGCAAGATCCAATTCAAGACCTCTACTGAGGCCAAGCACCATCCCTAGTTTCAGGAGTTCTCATAGGAAGCCTTATTCTGGAAGCGCACTTTGGCCTCTTCCGGTGTGATCCTCTTCCCTGTCTTATCGAAGAATCGAGATGCGACATGCAGCCACTTCTCCCTCTCGAATCGTGCCTCCAGCTTGTGCAGGAGGAGTATCTCATCCAAACTCAATTTGGTCTCGATGTATGGCCGAACCTTGGGTTCGTGCGATTCTCTACGTCGCGACGATGAAGCGGCGCTGTCGGTCTATCATTGCTCTTAGCCTGCTTCGTAGTGATCAAGAAGACATGTCTAAAGAACAGACATTAAATGAAAGAAACATCTTACCTTTCCTGGGATAATTAGTGGGTCGGAAAATGAAACGCGGCGAGTCTTCTTATCCTGTTGCTTACCGTTTTCCTCTTTCTTGTCCTCCTTTTTCTCTGCTGTATCTATTCCCTGCCCTGCAAGGACTGCCCTGACACGTTCTTCAACAATAGCTCTAATCTCTGCTTCGATAGAGGCCTCTTTAGCCGTCACAGCAGCCTTTTTCTCTGCCTCAGCTTTCTCCGCTTGAGCCTTCTTCTCCGCCTCGATAGCAGCCTGGACGCGTGCTTCAATGACAGCCTTGATATCTGCTTCTCCAGATCCGACCTTTTCCGCTTCAGCTTTCTTCTCTGCCTCCAGAGCTGCCTTGATCCCTGCTTCGAGGGCGGCTTTAAACTCTACTTCGGCCGATTCTTTCTTCTCCGCTTCCGTGGCAGCAGACCGCTGCTGAGCCCAGCGCTTCTTCAACTCTGCAACCGGCCTATTATCCATCACTAGTGATATCTCCTTCCATGACTTGTTCAAGCTCTTCATAGCCGCGAGAAGCGTGTCGTGTTCTGCATTCCACGCGGCAGCGATCAATTTGCCTAGTTCCTAATCAGTCACCGTTGCTTGGAACTTGGGAGGTGGATAATCCAGAGCAACAACCTGACGGACTAGTAGAGCCCTTGTCTGACTTTTGTTTTGGGGACGATTCCCCATCCTTTTTATCAGCATCATTCTTCCCTGTCGCTGCGTTCTCTGCCGCCTTCTTCTCCGCGGCTTCCTTCTCGGCCTTTTCGCGGGCCCTTTCGCGCTGCTCGAACAGGTTATCAGCTCTCTTCCAGGGACAGAGTTGCTGCTAACACAACGTAAGTTGAAGAAATAAAATCGTAGATAACGAACCTTCAGAGCCTGAAAAGCAATTTCTTCTGCGAGGAGGGTTCTGTTGCTTTTGAAGATATCTGAGAAGTGCAGCTTGTATTTGTCTTCGTAACGTCTGGTTGGCGTCATGATTGTCCTTTTAGCTGCAGGGAGTTACATGGATCATGAGAAAATAAGATGTCCATGAAATGCAAGCATTGATTTTGTGTGGATGTGAATGTTGACGTTGGTGTTGGTGTTGATGTTGATGCTGTGTAGGATAACGGCTTTCAAAGACCGTCGCGCAACAAGGCAGGTATCACTTTGGGAACTCCCAGCGCGCATGCACGAAGACTACGTGATGAGAGCCACACCCATGGATATGTCTGGCTGGTTTAAAATGCAGAAAGACTCAAAAATATGCTGCAACAACTGCGTTTATCTACAGTGCGACGTTATACTCTAGGTCTATGGGTGCAAGTGTAGATACCATAGCAAGATAACAAATAATTTGCATATCAAGGCGAGAACATAGGTATTTCAGGCTGTAGGGAAAATAACATTCGAACTCTCCGCACAGCGGCCGACACATCATATATGCCCAAAAGACCAGCCATCATTGTAAGGAAGCAGCAATGGGCAGCGTGAACATTGAGGGTGCATCGCAGAGTGAGCTGGCGCCCTGTCCGCCAGTAATCCATTTGTTTAGGATGTGGTCCGAGCGTCTAGGATTTCGGGCGGACACATTGCTGCTTCAGCTTGGAGATTCAATCTCGGCCGCGTGGAACTCAAAGCTCCCCTTCGCACACAATCCCCCACGCCACCAAGCTGCGATCCATCTGTCGAGGGTCGTGTGTCCTGCATATTTCAATTAGCAGTTGAAGTCAAAATACCGACCCCATGCGATTCTCCACGACAGCCATTCTGGCCACTGCGCTGGGATGGATCGGAGCCGTGACGGCACATAACATCCAGCTCAAGGCACACTCAATGGAATGCTTTCACGAGCAGCTGCACAAGGATGATAAGATGACCGTTACGTTCCAAGTGGGAGACAGGGAGTTTGGTGGCAGTGGAAACTTGGAGATCGATTTCTGGGTACGTGACCTGTTGCTCCCCGCGGACAAAACAAGCCATCGTGCACACGCCGTTGTCCGATTCCCAAATCTCGCTGACCGTTTGGATTCCAATTACAGGTCGAGGATCCCGTCCAAAATCGTCAGTATCACAAAACCGGTGTCTCTTCGGAAGACTACTCTTTCACGGCTCATATGGACGGCAAATACGTCTACTGCTTCAGCAATCTCGGTTGGACCTCGAATACGAAGGAAGTATCGTTCAACGTCCACGGTATCGTCTACGTCCCGGAATCTGAGTCGCAAGACCCATTGGAGACTGAGGGTATGATATGTGGTTCCAACAATGATCTGTTGAATTGACGGAGCGACTAACGATCTTCTAGTCCGACGTCTTTCAGAACTGTTGACTCAGGTCAAGGACGAGCAGTCATACATTGTGGTTAGAGAGCGGACGCACAGAAATACTGCGGAGAGCACCAATGCTAGAGTGAAGTGGTGGAGTATCTTCCAGCTGGCTGTCGTTATCGGAGAGGGCGTTTTCCAGGTTTGGTGGCTCAAGAGATTCTTCGAGGTCGGTTATCCTGTTACTTGTTCATACGGGGGTGTAATTTTCTCACAATTTGCAGGTCAAGCGCGTTGTCTGATCGATTATCGATCCATGGCCCATTCGCCATTCTCAACATGGATTCATTGGCGGTGTTGCGGAGTCTGGACCTCTCCCCAGAGGTGCATCAGCCCAGCGGACCGCAGAATCTGCATATCCCAGCAGAGTATATTCCGGTCCGAAAGCCCAATGATATTTTGGATGTAGTTTTAGCAAGATTAATTTTCAGTTTCAATGAAATCAACGGTTATGAACAGGAGAACAGCACCCTGCGACTGTTAACAGCCAGCAGTAGTTATACTTGATCAAACGCAAGACATGTGATTGACACCTTAGAACTCGTCGGTTACTTCTATCTCGAAAACTCTACATCTGGTACGCTGTCTGGCACTCCGATGTAGTCCATTCTGTAACCACCTTCTACTATCGTTAACCACCACCAGAAACCCCCTGTCCTGCTCTTGGCAGGTGCTCCCGCGCATGCCGCTTCCCCGCATCAACATCATCAGATCTCATCCTTTTCATTTCCATTCCCCCTCTTAGAATAACAATCGACTTCAAGGACACAATAAACCACTAGACCTATACCAGATCTAATAAGTAACTCAATCATACAAATCCCCAAACACGACCGAAGAAGCTTATCAGAGACTTTCTCGCAAGTCCTTCATCTATCAATCAATGGCAGCGTATGCAGCTGCGCCAGGCCTTGCCAATGACAGTGGTCTGAACCAGACGATATTAAATGAAATAGACGCCAGTGATCCGCTATTTCATATCTGCTGGCGAAGACAATCGTGCGGAAGCTGTTTAATCGGCGACGTGCCGTGTAGCTGGTGTCCTTTTGTATGTTTCTATATTTCTCTTTTCGATATCATTATCTTCGGGGACTTTGGTGGATTGCTATCTTGAGAGCTATTATGGAATGAATATATTGGATTCGCTGGCTCGATAGGCATGATTTATTGAGTCTAGGAAGCAAGTCAACGTCAACTAACTCCTTCTGCACCTACCAGTCTTCAACCTGCGTTCCGAACCCGTCTCGCATTCCTATCTTCTCTCCCTTTCAATCTGGAAATTTATGCCCTCTGGGCTCAAAGGAGAGATGGGAGATCAGAACGACTTCATTCGGGTGCAATGTTAGTGCGTTGAATTTCTTGAGTGTGCTCGTGGCTGTCATTTCTACACTTGCGGTGGTGGGGTTGATGTTTCTGCTGGTGTGGATAGGGAAGAAGGTAGCGCGCCAGTGGACAGAGAAGAGAGCGAAGGGTATCACTGTAATTGAGTGGGTCAGGTCGAGAGACTGGAGGATTTGGCGTCCTCAGAGATGGATACGAAGGGATAATGAAAGACACGAGGAAGCTGTTGCTAACGATGGCGATGTTGAGGAGGGTGGAGAGAGGAGACCTCTGCTGGGTTAAGGGAGAGGCTCTTCCCACCGTAACCTTCCCGATGCTACGATCTGATCTCAATAATATCATGTGTAATATAGAATAATTGCAATAGTGGTTTATTTTTCATTAGCCATTCTATATCTTCTCCCGATGAACATATACTGGAGGGACTCGATAACTAGCAAGAGTCTGTTTGTACGCATGACACTCATAGCGCAGAATCTCGTTGTCTAGCCTGTACAACCTGGCTCACCTTGTACTCCACCACAGAAGGCTTGTCCTTCCTGATCACGAAGCGGCCCTGAGCGACGAAAACGCGCTTCTCCAGGTCCTTGTATCGCTCATCTCCGGTCTGTGTACTCTGTCAGCATGTTGAAGAAGAAGAGAAAAGAAAACACTGGTGATGATTGTCGGATGGGAGATCCTTTATGTTGCAATTAAACGGGATTCCATATCCCCGTAGAATTCCCTTACCTCGAATTTGATGCTGGTGACTGGGAAGAAAGTAATGTGAGCATTTGAATCTTTCAGTACCTGCTAGGCACAGGGATGGTAAAAACATACAGATGTTACCCCACGGCGTAGGACCTTCTGCAGCCTTCCCGCCGAAGACGGCAGCCTCCGCCTCGGTCACATTGATGTCTCCAAGGTAGTGTAGGTAAAGCAGCTGTGACATAATAGTATGTTAGCCCGGAGCATTTGCAGATCAGACACACGCTTTTAATGATGCTACTTACGGCGTCATCCTTGGTCCTATATTGGAAGCCGCTGGTTAGTTTCACTGCATGTACCGAATACAAGCGATTCACATCTTAGAGGAAACTTACTTGACAACTCCGTGGGCATCCAGACGCAGGTGCTTTCCGTCAGCGCTGGCGCGGATGTAGTCATTGCCAGTTCCGGCGAAACTGGAGTCGATGGCAGGAGAGAAACCAGGCTCGCTCTTGAGGGTGCCACTGGTCATGGGCTTTTGTCACGAGATATCATACATTAGTTTCCATATATATATATAGACTGAAATAAAACCTATTGATGAAATAGAAAAGAGATATGAAGGACTTACCACGACGTTGAGACTGCCTATATTGGCACATGATTAGTTAATAACCATTTTGTCACTCAAATAAATTTTGTTCAACAACGCCGAATCATACCAACAGCCAATGGCTCGCCAATTTCAACCTATTCAGATAGACAAATGTCAGTTCTCCTGTATTGCAGGGAAGCAAGTGCTCCCAAACGTGGTAGCTAGATAGGTTCGATTTACCTGAATGGTGAAGGCGGGCTGCAGGGTTGGGAATTCAGCCATGTTTGCAGACAGGTATCAGGATTTCTGTTGTATTTTCTTTATAGTACCCGACCGTGTATAAGAGAGATAGTACGCTTCTTGGTGTTTGTTTAAAGGTCTGGAAGCAGCTCAAGGCAGTCTTATTTATCCTTCGTTTTCAACTGATCGAGCAGGCGGAAAGCGCAGCCCCGCTCGATGTGAGGGGTGCGTCAAAGCTCATCCAGGCAGACAACAACCGCAAAGACGGGAAGAAAAGACATCAATAATATGATTTCATTGGGTGGAATTATGTAACCCTTGATGAGCTCTTTTGGAAGTTTTGCAACATGTCGTATCATATACGTGTCTCACTTTTCAGGTGGGGTCATCGACCTGGGCCCCGCGAATATTGAGTATCCAGTGAAGAGCTCATTTCAAGTCGCACTCTCTAAGTAAGCTAACAGGCGATTTAACTCATGTCGTGAGTTGATATCTGAAAGGATTGATTTGTGAGCCCATCGCATGCTGTCTCTCAGGAAGTATATATTTACAAGGTCTAGCTACCTACCTATGTATAGTGGCCCAAAGAAAAAAGGTGACACAGAGTGGACACGCGTGCTGATGTCCGCTAGTTGCATATAGAATGGAGAGCACCATGTGGAACTTGTCCACATAGCTATGCAATACTCATTTGTAGTATATGTTCGTAGACCGCACTGGGCGGTTCCAATGTCATGATACATTGCCGCTGTTTTCTGTTCGCCCCTGGAACTGTGGTCCTCGAGATCCGGAGGTCGATATGCAAGGGATTTATTCGAGAAGTGTCTTCTGACTGATTTTATTGATCTCTGGCGTCTTTTAGTGGAAAAGCAGCGGAAGTGGTCCAGAACCCCTGGTTATAGTCCATCGAGAGTATCCTTCGATTCCTCACAGATGAGCTTGGTCTTCTCGAGGACATCTCAAGTTATGTACGTGGGATAAGTATCCGGGGACCACCTTCAAGCGATTTAATGCTATGAATCCCTATGCATCATGCAGATTTTCTATGGAATTATGAACAGGCAAATACAGACGAAGATGAAAGTCTAGGCTCCGACGCAGAATTTTCTCGTGCTATTTCCCGACATCTATCTTACAGTTGTATATTGTGTACATCGAGAACATGCCAAGGAAATAAGAGGAACAGACTGCTAATCGGCCCCTATTCTGGACCCGCGCTTTAGCGCGCGATCGCGGGTCCAGAATAGGGGCCGATTAGCAAGGGTACCTACGCTTTGGTATTCGACGTCATTTTCACAGAAAATTTATATATTTAACACATTTCTTATCATTATTGCCGATGCCTGTTTGTTCTTTCTCCTAAAAATATTCGACAAGAAGACGTTATGATATGGTTCATGGTTAACGTTAGTACATCCAGCGGTCTTGTAAACTAAGCCGTTGGAAGATCCCGCCCGCGGGCCGAGGCTAGGTAGTTACTACATAGTAATACTAAGCAGTAAGGCCCAGAACAACAGCCTGACATAGTCATCGAGGTTCTTTTAGCCATGCTGTTTGAATTGGGGATTTTCAAAAAGATATAGACCTTATTTGTACTATCATTTGAATCGGAAATACGCGCGGACACTAGAACACCGACACAGAGAAAAACCCTATATTCTAACAGTGGCATGCGCCCTATCACTGTCTCTTCTTCATTTCGCACCACTCGGACTCTCCGACTGAGTCTCTCTTCAGCATGCCTCTCTGGGTGTTCACGCACACTCCCAACACGTTCTCCCCTGAAGACAAACGGGAGCTAGCAGATCAAATTACCACCGTTTATCGCAGACCGGGCTTCCCGGCTTCTGTGTCAACGTTCAATTCTCTGAACTAAGTCCCCACGATATCTACAGCGGTGGGCCAAGGCCTGCTAGATTCACGACTATATCTATCTACCATGCCGCTGGATCATTCCAAAATGTAGCGGAGAGGAACAGATTTCTTAACAAAGTCGACTGGGTCCTCACGCCGCGACTCAAATCGAGGGATATAAGCTGGGAGTACTTCATCCAAGAACAGCCTCGCGAATCATGGAAGATCGATGGGAATATTCCACCAGAGATGGGATTCTAATTGGAAAATCATTGGTTCAAGGCCAAATCCCTCGTGGAGAGCCTTGATAAGGAGTCATTGAGTTGAATGGGCATTGTTATCTGTGCAGGGACATGTTGGTGGAGACTATCTGGGCGATCAACGCCTGACTGACTAGCATTGCAATTTGTTTGAGCTATTGTTATGCTACCATTCGGTATACGACTAGGATGAACTGATTCTTTGGACAGCTGGTTGTTGTTGTGTATTTATTTGGAAAGATTACCCCGTGATGCATTTATTTGCCAATTTCTGCCTGAAGAGTCGAACTGTAGAGCAAATGTCCGTTTCAGGAGTTTTTCTAAATCAACGTCGACTTAGCATGCGTTGCCAAAGAAGGGAACTATTACAAAAGGAGGATCGTTGGAGGCCTTTGCCTAGCGGTGCGAGAGGCACAACTGTTGACTACTACTCAGGATTGGGGGGTCCCGCTTTGAGGATGTTGCATACGATAAAATTCAGATCTGGCGTGGGACGAGGGATATAAACGTGCCTGTGCGCGTGATACGATACGATATATGGAGAGTATGATGCCGATCATTTATACTACGAAGAAGTATCTGTGGGAACTTGTACAGAAGCGGCTGGGATGGACAAAGATAAGGTATATTAGAGCGTGTAGTTATCTGTTCTTCTCTTGGCTTACCCATACATGATAGATAGTAACAACAGTATTCAGACCAAGTTCTATTTCTATCTAGCCATTAGTTATTTGCACTGCGCTGAAAAAGCCAGGTCAGATGGTCCTTTTTCGACCTCTTAAATACCTATCTACTAAGATTGTTGACATGCAAAGCAAGTCCAAATCCTTTCATGTAATTATCCAAGTGGCCGTTTGTCCGAAATCGCTGTTCTCTCAGCTGCTCCACCGTGAGACCGTGCGAGTTCGACGCCAGATCATCGTGAGCAGATCCAACGACGATTGATCTTTCTCAACGCGAGGGATGAGCAGAGCGGCGTCCCCAAAGGTCCTCGGGTTCCGACGAACCAGCGACGATCAGTTCGGCACGTGCGGAGCGAGGAGCATGTCGCAGGCTGGCTGAGTGTCGTGTGGCTCGCGTGATCAAAAGATGAGTAGAGGAAGAGTCGAGTATTTTATTATAATAAAATATTTACTCTACGATATATAACTAACGAACAACAGCAATATTAATAAATAAACCATGGTCGGAGGAGAAAACCGGCTGCTGGGGACCCTTGGAGAACGAGGGACTGTGATTGGCGCGGAAACCGGTGCGTGCCTGAGGACAAATCGACAATCAATTCCACCGCTGCAGAGCTGGTGACGTCGAACATTCGTCGCGGCTTGTTTTCCTCTGTTGCGGGCGATGGCTAACTGTGTGTTTCTGATATACATAGACAGCTCTCCCGCCCCGTCGGGCTGGCTACGATCCTCCCAAGAGCAGCTATCATGATCGGATTTCTGCTGGCCCTGTCATTGCTGGCCGCAGCAGTGGACCAACTCCCGCTGCAGGAACAGCTGGCCGCATCGCCATCGGACGCCCTCAATCCGCCAGAGATCCAGAGACGGCCCTCAAGTGGTCTCAAGGGTCGTTTTTTACACATAACAGGTACTGTTTGCGAGGGAGAAAAATGAGTTAAAAAAATAACTGTAAATGGTACGCGTGCTGACCGCGACAGACTTTCACCCCGATAGCCATTACAGACCGAAAACGTCGACGGACGAGAGCGTATCTTGTCATCGAGGCAAAGGAGATGCGGGGTATTTTGGAGCCGCGGGGTCAGAATGTGACTCTCCCTTCTCGCTCGTCAACGCGACATTCAGATGGATCGACGACAATCTAAGAGACGAGATCGACTTCGTCGTATGGACCGGAGATTCTGCACGCCACGACAGCGACGAGCGCATTCCGCGGACAGAGGATGAAGTTTCATCATTGAACCAATACATGGTCGACAAGTTCGTGGACGTCTTTGGCAAGGAGAACAACAATCACGATATCGACCTGACCAACGACCTGACTATCCCTATTGTACCGACCATTGGCAACAATGACATCCTGCCCCATAACATTCTCCGGCCAGGGCCCAATAAATGGACGAAGAAGTTCTTGACGATCTGGAGACCTTTTATCCCAGAAGAACAGCGCCACACCTTTGTGGAAGGAGGCTGGTTCTGGACGGAGGTAATCCCGCAGCGGCTAGCAGTCGTCAGTCTGAATACGCAGTATTTCTACGAGTCCAACAGTGCCGTCGATGGGTGCAAGCGCAAGTCTGAACCAGGCTACGAACAGATGGAGTGGCTTAGGGTTCAGCTGGAGCTCTTTCGGGAGCGCAACATGAAGGCCATCCTCATTGGTCATGTGCCTCCGGCCAGAACCCATGATAAAAAGAACTGGGATGAGACGTGTTGGCAGAAATACGCCCTTTGGTTGCACCGGTTCCGCGATGTGGTCGTCGGAAGCGTTTACGGACACATGAACATCGATCATTTCATCATCCAGGACAGTCACCACATCGACATAGTCGAGGAGGCAGACACAGGCAGCAGGTCTGAACAGGAGTTTACGACAGAATCGAAGTCGTCATACCTTACTAGTTTACGAAAAGAATGGTCAAAAATGCCATCTCCACCCGCAGACGACGACTTCCTCGAGAACTGGGACCTCGGGAATGACGGGGACCCGGTGTCATCACTGAAGAAGGGAAAAAAGAAACGCAAGTTCCTTAAGAAGATCGGTGGTCGTTGGGCCGAGCGTTACAGTGTATCCTTGGTGGCACCCAGTGTGGTGCCGAACTATTTCCCCAGTCTCAGAGTGATCGAATATAATGTTACGGGGCTGGAGGCCGCCATGACGTGGGCAGAAGCTACCACGCATCGTGCGTCGCCCGGGGTAGTAGAGAAGGACCCTGAAAATGAAGAGTCGCTGCCATACTCTGATGATCCTGATAGCGATGTCAAGAAAGACAATAAGAAGAAGGGCAAGGGAAAGAAGGGCCGCAAGAAGAAGCCGAACTTCAAGGTTCCTGATCCGCCATCCTCTCGCGCCCCTCCTGGGCCCGCTTACTCGAATCAGCCTCTGTCATGGCTGAGTTACACTCAATATTTTGCGAATCTCACCAAGATCAACAAAGAAGCTACAGAATTGCAAAAGTCCTCCGAGCAGCAATCAAGAACCTGGAGAGAATACAAGCTTGCAAAGTCGCAGCCGGACTACGCCAAAGTGCCATTCGAATATGAAGTGGAATATGAGACGAAGACGGACAATGTCTATCATATGAGGGACCTCACTGTCCGCAGCTTCTTCAAACTTGCTACGCGGATCGCAAACGATGAACCTACGGGAAAGAATCAAATGCTTCCAGGCGCCTCCAATGGCGAATACATAGCCGACTCTGGAAACGATACGAGGTCAGCAGAAGATGATGATAGAGTGGAAGATGGCCCCATTGGTGAGACGAAAAAAGGAAAGGGAAAGAAGAAACACAAGAAGAAGAACAGGAAGCATGCTAACAGAGTATGGGTTACTTTCTTGGAGCGGGCGTTTGTAGGTTTCTTCAATGACGACATCGAGAACATGCAGAACGAGTCGTACTGAGATTATACTCGGGTCTGGTTACTGCGCCGTATATATTTCACGGAGATAAGGCTGGAATTGCTCCTTTCTTTTCTCATTGTATATCCCGTCACTCCGTTTTTGGGTTATTTCATTTCACCTTTAGGCGTGGAGAGAAAATCTGGCTAGCACCACTAGAGGCGGACCTCGGGCATTTTACCCTTTCATTGCATTTTCAAGCGGCATTTATGAGACTTGTTCTTATATTGGTCTTTATTGGACATACGACTTATGCACACACCTGCTTGGTTACTAGCGGGCTCTTCATTCCCGTTCCTGCTGTTGATCATTGGCACATCTGTGATGACTGTACATGCATTTTTTGTCAAGTTTCCTATCGTAACAATTGGAAACGTTTACACAAAATTATCTACATATATTGCAAAAGTTTGATACAATGTTTGTACAATAGGAGATTGAGTCTACGTTACTGTACTCTGCATCGCAATGCAATTCCCTGTTATCGCGAATCCAACGGACATAGCCGCAACTCCGCTTCCCCCAATAAGCACTTTCATGTCCAAGAGTGAATATCCATCCTTACCCCAACGACCCTTCGTCAATTCATCCCAGCAAATAAAACACCCATTCCCAGCATTCAATGCCCAAAGTTTCCCCGCTTCTGAACAGAGTGAAGAGTACTATAGTCAATGAGGGGCCTTGATAGAAGGTCATATAACCCTCCTGGATTCATCTTATCAAATGGAATACCATCTCGCTTCTCTTCTTATACATGTATGTACATCACACACGGCTAGTTTCATGCATATCCTAGCTTGAAGAGGAAAATAGCATGCTACAGCTTAACAGGCAGCTGGTTCTGAAGCTATGGATATCTGCCCGACCCCGATGCAAATGGTGACTGTTTCATCGCCTTGAGATAGGATAGTAATTGCGAGCCGCTAAGTCGGGCTCAGAGACTCACGCAAGTATTGTCATGGTAGCTACCAGCCGATCATTACTCCTGATGTTCCCTTTTATACAATCACAATGGATTTTATCATGGGGTTACCAGAAACGATGAATTACAACCAGATGCTCACCGTTTGCTGCAAATTTAACGAAGAGGGTCACCTTTATCCCCGGAAAGGATACATGGACCGCGAGAGACTGGGCATTGGCGCTACTTGAACGGCTTCACCTCGGCGACTGGGGCTTGCCGCCTGTTATTATATCAGACTGTGACCCTAAGTTCTTGTCGGAACTTTGGATGAACCTATTCAGAGGACTGAACGTCAAACTCCTCTTCTCCGCAGCATATCATCCGCAAGCGGACGGTCAGTCCGAACGCACCAATCAGACAGCGGAAATTGAGTATTGTCCGGATCCCATATGCTTTAGGAAAGGCGATGGGATCGACTAAATCTTAAGTGATCGCCACGAGATACGATGCTTTCTATCAGACGGGGAGATATATGTTTCAAAGAACATTAAGTCAGAATGACCGACTTATTTTAATTTGTTGTGGCTGGACATTATAACATCATATAAGTCTCTGTAGAGCCGGTAAGACTGGTACAGGACGATGAATAGGAGACAGTGAGCTGACCAATTCTAGGGCAATGACTGTCAACATTGGCTTGAGGACTATGTCGAGCTAATTTTGCTACAATCAGCAATCACCGAGATAGATCGTGCCCCAAAGGCCTGAAGGGGGCAACATATGGTTAGATGGCTCAAGTTGACCAAGCAGTCTAAAGAGCAATACGTTCATACTGTGGGGTTGAAAGGGCCCTGGACGAGCGGTGACCGACTAGACTGACTTGATCGCTGTCTCTTGTTCTTGTCTGGCTCGAACAGCACGACGTACTGTGCTCAGCCTGTATTGTGTTTCTGTCTTTGTGTCTTGTGTTTCCATCGGGTCTTCCCCGTCTATCCCAGGTGTCAACTCCCCCTCCAAACACAGAATTTGTTTATATCTATACAAGGTCTGAAGTCCTATTGACAGCATATGCTGACATACAACTGACTATAGGACCAATAACATGCTCACCAAGGAGGATTTTCTTAACAATCAGTTCGCCAACGCGGCGCAACAATCGCAGTTTGGCTACCACTTCGGTAAGTATTATGCCTATATATACCGGGTGGATACTGAGTATATATAGGCCCAATACCCTATACCAACCCAACCTGGACACATTTTATAGACTATGTCCTTTGGGATTTGCGCTGCCTTTTGCATTTGAAGCATTTTATTAGCGTTCTGTTTGATACCCATGGGAACCTACCAGTTGGTTGAATGCTCCGATCTCCGTGGGAGACCACGGTGACCCTTCGCTGAGCATGGTTACCCTGCGTTGAGCATGGTTTCTGATATAAGACCCAGCGTGGACGCAGGTCCCTTCAAAAGGGGGGGTGAATGTCATAGAGGCAGTACCCCTTTCCCTCAGGCGAGACATGCGATAGTGTCAATTCCGCAGGTTCGAATCTGCAGTCCGTCTGTCGCAATGTCCACTTTTCGATATCTCCACATCAGACCGATACGTGCAGCAGGCAGTGGGTCGAGTTCGTCGTTTAGGGCGAAATTGAATGGTGAAAGCCGTGAGTATATTCAAGCACCGTCTTGCTTTCGCTCTATGATTTCTTTCTGAAGCAATCGTTCAATGCTCGCCAACTGACTCTAAACCCGACTCTTCAGTGTTGACTTCCCAGGAACTAAATTTCTAACATTCTAGTTTCGGGCAAAGATTTCGAGGGTCTTATACAGTTTACCTGGGACTTGCTCTTGCCTTCGGGCTTCTAGCTTCATACAGGGATCAGCAATACTAAAAACCGGAAGCAGTATTCGCATACCAGGACGCCCCGATTATCCTCTTCTTTTCCTCACCATAGCAATACTGTATATCTCTATTGCTATATCATTACCCACATACATTCGTTAACACTTTGTGTCGGTATGGACTTCCCCATTTGCTGCCTCGACCACCTCCGCCGAGCCCTCTTGGCTTAATGACTTACAGTATTACGAAGATCCAATGAGTGATAGCGGACTATGAGTGGAATTATAATTCTTTTTATGAAAATTAACTTTTTTTAGTCGGGATATTCTTTCTTAAGGAGATATATATTTTATTGCGGAAAGTCTCTATTTTTAGTTTATTAAATATTTATCCCTCCTCCTCTCCCATTGAAAAAAGACGGAACCGTAGGTCTTAACTATTCAGTTCCTAAACGCTTAATAACCAGTTGCTAACTGGTTATGTAGGTCCATGTCACCAATATGCGCAGGATGGTGGGAGAAATGGGCCATACTATCCCATGCAAGTCTTGCGGGTCGCGCAATAATTGTTGTAAGGAGATCAATTCGTGCGATCATTTCATCCTTCTCGATTGTGGCAACATACACCCCCCAAGTCGCGTCTGCGGACACGGAGGAGACTATCCAAGTTGACTAGCTGGTTTGTAACTGCTTGTTAACTGTTTTTAACCAGTTTATGACTGCTTTGCAACTAGTTTACAACTACTCTTAGAGAAATTTGACTGGAATAAGCCCATTTTTAACATATACTACTTGATAACTTGCCCCTAAACCGATACCGCAACAACTTATAGCCTAGAGACATACCTTTCCTAACGTCCCGTTGTTGATAGACCAATTGCAACAGTGGCAAAATAGAGCTAGACCCGGACGCCCTTAAGGAAGTTGGGAGCGACGCCGAATCTACTTTGAACGACTTCAAAGAAGACGTGGAGGATACTATAAAAAGCTTCAGCTCATACCGCTTGTTAACCATGTCAGCGCACAAAGCGTACATGCAGGTGGTCTGTCAATTATCCGTTTGTAGCAGGTTGTTTGAATACTGATTATAAGATAGACCCTGCTAGATTACTAGATTCTTTATGTACTATAGAGATAAATATGGGTTCAGACCCCCTCTCTAGAACTAGATTCAAGCAAGCAATTCAAGGTAGTAGATATTCCGGCCAGTAGTCGAGTCGTGGGCTGTCTGACTCGCCGTACTTTGAAAAACCGAGACCGTTCCCGATTGGATTGGATTCCGGAGCTGTTCAGCAGCATATACTTTGGTTCGTTCTATGACATTATCAAATGGCGTCAAGACAGAACCTATCGGTTCCCGTCCATCAATACTCTCAGAAGTGTCCTGGTGTGAGAGGTTGACTTTGAGAATATGCCAAAACTTATAGTTAACCAACAGGAGCAGAAACAGTTAGACAACATCGTATTGAGCGCTTTGTAACGCAGGCACTCGAGCATCTTCTTAGACAAAAAAAAAATAAGACAACAAGGGAATTTCCAGGACATTTAATGGAGATTTCCTTCTATGTGTGTGCCATAGTTAAGTCCCGTGCTTAAATGAGTCATCTTGACTGTATGCTTTGTGTGCAAGCATGTCATTGCATGTACATATGAAAGGTGTTAACCGGTTGAAACAAAGTGAAATACTAGGAAGTACGCGGTATAGGCCTTGTAGGTGGTGTATGTGCGGACTATACAGTCACTTTTGTTCTTCACGTTTCTGACAGTGTATGACTCTATGCAGAGAGGGATAAAATAGAGTAATAGAGGCGCCTATCTATTGCACTCTTCTTTCCGTCTACAAGCTCTCGAAGTTGAGGTGTGCCTGTTTCTCACTTTGACCGTCGCTGAAAGCCCTCTGTTCCAGGATAGCTGCGAATATACTTCTTTGATACTCCTTTCATTTCTAGTACTATCTGTCCCAAGGACCTTCCTGTTCGAATAGATAATTATCCATTTCCTCGGGTGAAGAGCTTTCGAAATGGCAGACCGTCATACTAATGTAGGTCACCCCACGTTGAGAAAAGAACTGGTACATGCAACCACTAAATGAGTTAATTTAGATTGTCCGCCGTCGTCGCGGCACAGCTTGGAGCTCCGCGGATGAGGACCCATGGCTGGCCTCTCAGTTTGTGCTCGGAACACCGGTAGAGAGCTTCCATGTCAATATGCCGGGAGGTGGGAATCGCACACAGCTAGGAGTCTCCATTCAGATCAGCAATATGCGCACTCAGTCAATTCTACCCACTCGCTGGACAGACCCCTTTTACGCTGCCAGGGACAGCAACAATTGGAAGATGCCAGAGGATATCGAGATCCTTCAGTGGCATGTATGGGGCCGCAAATCCTTGGACGCACGTGTCTTTTTCGACATGGACCGCTCGGCGCAGGGTGTTGCCCGACGTGCGGATTATCTCTGCCAGGACCAAAGCTTGGTCGATGAGGCTAAGCGCGCTGAGGGACAGGCGTTACAGAAGCAGTCTGCTGACGGGGACCGCGCAGCTGAGCTAGCTATTGGAAATGCTATAAGTAAATCGCTTAAGAATAGGCGTTAGCGAAGCTGATATGTTTGCTGATTTAACATGTGGGTGAAGATTCATGTCACTGAGTGGCTGGACCATGATTTGGATTTTCACATTAGTGAAGGAAGTAATGGGCAATAGGGTGGAGCTGGTACTCTCTTTGGATGTTGTGAAGAGTCTTGATCTTCTCTGTTGGAGTAGAAAGCAATGAGAAGTAAGAGTTCATCTTTTTGAGCAGCGGTCGAGAGACAAGATAGGCTCCATAAGCAGTATATGCAGTCCCGCTTTGAGTAATATGGAGGTCCAGAGCTACAAGTCAGCGTGCCAAGGTGTGATATAGCAATATACTCGGTGATCTGTTCTGCGCATATAGACCTGCCTCGAGGACAGCGACTGCTTGTGATCTTCAAGACTCAGTCCCGTATTATCTGACTTATCAAGAAACCATTAGTTATGCAATGTCTTCCGCGACACTAGCGAGACCCTCTCCTCCCTGCACCAAAAATGGAGCTTTGCTTGTACCTCAATTCCTGACGCTACAGCGGCTCTGATGAGTCTCAAACCTTCGAATTTTCTTGCAAGGACTGATCTTCAGGAGAAAGTGGACACAGGAAAGGCTGCACAATTGGTTCACAATTCTCCGCATTTTAGATGTGATATATTCTGCATAGCCGCATTGCGGTTCGCGTGGCTTTCAGAAGAACCTAAATAAAGAACCCACAATCCGGGAGGATAGCTGAAAATAAATAGCATTCTTATTGATTATCAAGGAAGAGAAACAAGATCTCCCATAGAATTAGGCTCATGGATCCGGAGGGGCTGGGATCCAAGTTCTGGCGGTGAACTTACCGCTTTTTGGGCGAGAGGAGAAGATCTCCACTAACCACTAGAACGAGAACTTAATTCTTTGAGAGACAAACATTGCGCAGCCGTCAACATGACAGAGCACTTGAGATTCGCGACCACGACGCGTCGAGCATGATTCTGGCTGTAGAAGAGCGCGTCTGGGCGGTAATAAGCTGGTGCTTCGAGTTGAAGCTGGTCCTGGCTAGAGACGCAGGGGTTTCCGGGCAGTGGCCGAGGCGGTGGGTGTTTTTCCCTGCCAGTGCGACCCGGCCTGCAGGGCCAATGCATCCCTCGTTCTTCCCAGGCTGTCGTGTCGCTACTTGGTACTTACCATCATCAATTATGATTATCATTATTATCTGGTCTCAATATTAATTGCTCTGGATGAGGGGTCAGAAAATCCTTGAATCGAACTATGACGACGGTCGGTCATGGCGCAGGGACCAGTGCGTCACAGAGAGTATTCTAGTCAATCTATCGACGATTAGACTAAGTTAGCGAAGAAAACGACCTTAGCCTTCAGTTCATCAGCCACGGCCACTTGAGTTTGTCCTGAGTTGATCAGCCACAGGCAGGGAGGGGAAAATAATTAGAGAGAGAAGAGAGGCACAGAACTGAAGATCCCCAGATTATCACTGGCTCAGGCTGTCCAGCCCTGCTTCCCCAGTCTGGCACGGAATTTCTTCTTTCTTACGGTGCTCCGTGAACCGTGGAACACAGCCGCTGCCACGCTGGCATCCTGCTCAATTGCGATGAGATCCGATGGGCGAATCTTGCTAGGACGCCATCGAGTCGTTCTACGATCATGCTAAGCGTCGTCCAAACTGGAACAGGCTCTGCGCGGGCCGCCAACGGAGCGCTGGTCTGAGCTGGAGATCCACCACGGCAGAGGCTTGTTGACCCGGCCGGGATTAGACGCTCAGGGCAGAATTGGACTGCTCTGGCTCTGACACGTAACTGATGCATCCCATCTGCAGGACCAGCTCAACGAGACCTTCGGCCTCAGGTTGCCACCGTCCTAATCCGCCGCATGTCTCCGCCGCGGACTATTAGATCCTCGTGTGCGAGTGTGACGTGCGTCGGTAGCTGTACTGTCTTTTCTGTAGGAAAAAGGGACAGCCGTCATTCGATTTCTGCCATCGTCCCTGAATATCTTCTCGCTAAGAGGAGCTGCTTGCTGCGTTACGTTGAAAAATCAAGCAGATGGGGTTTAACCCTGCTCATTACATGTTGTGCGCGCTATCAGTTGCGGACCGGTCTCTCGCCATTTTCGTCTTTTCGAGCTGATGCAGTCCCTTCAGACGTCGGTGCCTTCTTATAGCTTCTACAGGACGTCTATCTATCGCCTGAGCTAGGCGTCTGGCAACGATTGCTCCTCCGTGGTGCTGTTCACGTCTCCGGGCCTTGTTGCCACCGTGGTGCTGGCAGAAGCACAGGCGGACGCCTTACTTGACTCAATTGCACATGATGAATCGGGATTATATACCATTGTACAGCCTTGATCTCCTCGTCATTCAACCTCTTCAACGGGTGTATCTCTAGTCGTGCCCGCGTAATCTGTTGGAGCTTTTAGTGTGCGCCGATTTGCTGGCGTTTCTCTTGTCTGTGGATCGGTTTGGATGTACAGGTATGCCATTGGATGCCTTTCTTCAAATCAGCAGCCGTTGTTCAAAATTACAGGCAGATGCTGATTCCGAGCAGTATCGACGATCGTACCAAACAGTCGTTCTAACGTTGCAGACTATACATTATACATTACCTGACATCGCTCCGCCATCGAGCTTACAAGGGATCACTTCCCCTTTTTCACCTCGAACCAGAATATCTGCTTGCTAAAGTCTCATCCTGCTTATACGATAGATCTCTCGTCAGTCTTGAGGGTGGCTCTTTGAGCTGCTGTCAGAGCGAGCTCCTACTCGAATACAATTTCAGGAGGCAACCACATCACGTTGTGAAACAGCATCCTACTTCGTGGAGCTCCTACATCCCGTTCCGTCCTTGACGTTGCTCGACCTGAAGTACAGGTCTTGTCAGTTTGAGCTGTGAGAGTGAGCCGAACATTCACTGCGGGCAATCCTGCAAGCCAGCCCCACGAGTCGCGATTCACTCGATTCTCTGTTAGAGGCCCGACTATCAGAGGTGCCGCAGTCTTACTCTCGGCAAACGCCGGACTGCTCAACTTTGTCGTAGGGTGTCACCGGACGAAGAAGGGCAAACTCTCCGTGGACGTATAACTTACTACATTCTGGCCAGGTGAGTCCGTCTACACTCCAAGCGCCTTCTGTCTCATGCCGTCACTTGCCGCCCGATTATCTCCAGTCATGCTCAGACAAGGAACACGTGTGATTGTGACGATGGGTTGTTATGAAAGACACTACCGTACCTTGGATTCACCACCCGGATCATCCTTCCAGATATAGAGCGAAGTGTACAGCAGCCGAAAATGATGGCGATTACAGTGTATGAAGATGTCGAGAAAACGGCTAACCGTTGTCGTACGCAGGGTCTAACCACCGGCGAATTTGGCTTTCGGATGGCTTCCTCAGAAGTTGATCAGAAATGCCTGGGCCATTTCGCTGCCAGCACTAGCCGCGAGAACCCTTTTCTTTCCAGCATGCTATACAAAATCTTGGGGCTTTCCGTCATTCTTTCGAAGAAGCTGCTGCGGGCGCGAAAACTCCGACGGTTGGATCCTTCACGCGATACGAAGTCTCTCCAGCTTTACCATCACATCATATGGTTATCTAGAGAAGGCCTTGTGATCGTCGAGCAGTACATCCTTCCCATGGTTGAAGACTATGTGGAATTGAAGGTGCTGGCATATAAGCTGAGGGCCTCTTTCTACCACATCTTCGTCCTCTTCCACAATCAGCCGGCGATCCACCCGCCCGGCATCAGCAGCCTTGGTAGCACGACCACTCTTCACAACAGCAGCACCGGGTCAGGGTTCCAGGCGACGAGACCGGAACTTCCCAACCGCGATTCCATTTCTATCACTCCTCCACTGGAAGGCGGACCTGTGGGTGGTGGCCTGCAGTCACGGCCTCCGGGGCTTACGACTCCTTTTCAGAATCCAAAAGCTGCTTCGTCATTTCTACTTCCCGCTCTCGACTATAGGCCGACCGCCAGCGCCTGTTTCAATAACGCAGCAGTCCTCGCGGATACTCTTCTTCCAGGATCACATCTACTTCGACTCTCCGTTAAGCTCGAATATGCGGCGTATCTCTATGATTGTTTGCATGACTCGGACGCCTGTAGGCGCCTAGCAAAACAGGCAATAGCCGACGTGTACAACGCACAGGAAGGAATGGACGATGAAAGCTTCGAGGATGCTGCAGAGCTCGTGGGAATCTTGGGGAAGATGGTCAAGCGGGGCGGCAAAACAAGCAGTGCTGGCGGAAGTAGTACCGCCGGTGGGACGCCAGCTGGCGAATATTCTCGGAGCGAAGGAAGCAGAGGCACTCCTACGCGGCAGCAGCGGTCGATTTCTCCATCAAGTCGCACTACGGCGATAAAGGCGTCCGCCAAGGAAGGAATGGGTGCTTCCCCTGGAGTCCCAGATCTGGTGATGTTGAATCCCATTTGACGCTCTTTCTTGAATGTGCCATTATGATTATGAGCGATGGCGTTTCATGACATGTGGGGAAAATGTATCATTGAACGGATTTTCTTCTATGCTTTCGTGGGTATTTATTCCAGCTTTCCAATTCTTTCATACAGAAGTGATATCTTCTTATTCCAGAGGTGCGTCTGTTTCTTTTTTCTTTTTTCTATTGATACCTTTTTGTTTGTTATTATCTAACATCTCTTTTCTCTTTACTTTTATGGTGTGGAAATGACTTGAGCTTTGTACACTCTTGAGACAAATTTTGTATTTAGATCGTGCCAGTTTCTAGGTGGTTCTTTCCTAATATCAAGCCGAGAAGCTATCTTAAAAAGGGATTGCAGTTTCGTGCTGCAAATATTTGAACAGTGATGAATAGACACATTGGCTGTGAATGGCACTCGACCCATACAAGAATCTGGTTATGACAACAATCACCCTAGATAAGATAAGTTCTTTGTTTCAGTTGCAGAAGAATGCTTGGATAAAGCTGTAGAACTTCCTGCCGCAGGTCACATGAAGTTTAGGGCAGATCGACTCACGTGTCACCAGGGAACCAGATCCTCTCTTTTTCGTCTCTGCCGAAGCAAGTTCTTCTCTTCTATTCTTTGCTGACTTGCATATACCACTACCGTCATATCGAGACTTTTGTTTAGAATATGGTCTAACCTTGCTTCGTTGTTCAGAAGACATCTGCCTCTGAGGATCGCCATTCTATACTAGTCGACCGACAAGCGGCCAAGAAGAAGTTACAAGCATTGCCTACCGGAGTGGAGTAGAGACTGGACTCTTGGATAAAAAGCGCTTGGGGCTGTTTCATTTGAAGGATACAAAATGAATAAAGAGATAAAACGAGGACGGTTGTATCAAACTATGAGAAATGCCACTGTGTCGGCGGAACATCCAAAGTCTCTCTCTGAGCACGGGGATATCGAGGAAGAGTATGGTACTCAGTGCCAGAGCTGGAGGATGAGCTAGATCTAGGATACGTCATATGAGATCTATGTCGTATATTCTGACTTGCAGAACCGATTGGTCTTTGTAATCTGCTGCTGCTTCTGCTGGGAGCTTCATCCCGTACTGCTGACCTGCTGCGGAAAGTATGTCTGACTCCTAAACAAAATTCCCTATTTGCTAAACTTTTAAATGAAGTCTGTTTCCCCTTATCTTTCACGTGTCTTCTCGGCCTTTGCTTCCTCTAGTATCATACCACGTGTCTGAGAGACGGGTGGAATGTATGTACATACATATACTGGACGACAATGCTCTAACTAATTTCAAGATATTCAGTCGCAGTAATCAGCACTGAAGCTTAGTCAAATACGTAAACTTCCAATAGTTAGCGAGTATACGCTCAGGGGCTTCTATTGATAGAGATGACTTTCTTTAACTAATAACTACGTAAGCAACAGCCCGGATTGGTCTGTCTCATGGTAGAATCCTTGCTTGTAAAGAGTTCACAGAACCGTTTCAGTTTCATGATGAAGAAGTACTAGTTAACACCTGATTTTAATCAGAGCATCTTCTGAAGATTATGGAGGAACTGAACTTGCAAGGTCTCACATTCTCGGTTCGGGGAATATCTCTTGATCTTTTCTTTTCCTTTTTTTTTATCTGATATTTTTCATTTTTATAAATTGGTACACTAGATATCTAGCAAAACACATGATCAGAAATAGAGGCTAAATCCAAGTTTAGCCATTTTCTTTTAGTCTGAGTTAATAGGAGCGAGTGTATCTATACTATACTTAGTAACATAATCTGCTGTCTTAATCCCCTACTGATAATGCATGAGGAATTAAAAAAAAAAAGACAATTAGACCAACGCAACGAGTTATAACTGACTGGACTTGTATCTATAACGCCTCTTTTGCAAACCCTGCTCGCGATAGAATGATATAGTAAAGATAATATCGATATCTATATTTGATTCCGTCTCAGTTATAACTGGAACTTTACCAGAAGGTAATACTTTATTTAGAAGAGGTTATGTAACTGCTATGCAACTTCTGACGAGGCAGGTGGCTTTGATGTCTGATATGTGTCTGAAGACTAGATACCTAGTTTTTTTCTTATTCATCGGTGGAGTTGGGGTGAGTCTTGGCGATGTTTCTTTTTTGCGAATCCTCTTACAGATTCTTTACTTGGAGAGTAACACTGTATACCTACCTGCCTTGACAGGACCGATGTCTCTCTTACTGAATCCTTCCAAACTAGGTACTACATCCACCATAGATAGTAGCCGTTGGAACATTTACAATTCAGTACTATATCGAATATAAAAAGAGGGAGAAAATAAAACAGTGTAGCAAAGACTAAAAAGAGAAATCAATCTTCTGTAACTACTCTCCACTCCGCTCTGGCTAACACTTGTTAAATCCTCCGGGGCACTTCCCGCCGAGGAATGCGAAACATTCAACCGCTCCGCAACAAGCACACGCGGCCCTTCTCTGCGGGGTTTGACAGTACTCTAGAAGTTCCCAGTCAGCCAAGACTCGTGGCGCTGGATCGTAGCGTGTTTCGCGATCCGTCGAGTGTCTTCTGTTTTTAGCGCCGGGGTAGATATCATTGTAGTACACCCAGAGGGTTGGCATTCGTCATTATTGTTCTTTTCTTTTCCCTCCGGAGGCGGTGAACCGTTTCTTCGAAGAGATACCTACATAGACAAATGTAGTAGTTGACTCGTTACCTAGCTAGAGTGATGATCCCGTGTCGGATCGGTATAGAGTAGAAGAATGACGGAAAGGCAAATTTCTGGATCCGGTTTGTTTGCTGACGCTAGAATGTACGTAGAGTAGAGTAGCAGTGCTCATCTTGGATGTGCAGGTGGGGTGTTGTCATGGTGCATGATTTGACTCCCAAAATAGATGGGTTTTCCATCGCTGCCTTGTTATGCTTGTTTATTATTTGCTTCTGTTAAGATACTAGGGAGTTTGCCAGCCTGCAGTGCCTCAACGGAGGAACTAGTTACTGCAGCGAGTGAGAGGAGGGGCAAAGATACCATGAGTGTGGCAGGGCCGAGTTGCTGCAAGGCTGAGCGTCAGCTCGACAATCAGTGGGGGGACGATTTCCAATGAGAAAGACGACGGAGCAGGAAACAGAAATGCCATGAAGCGCCATCTGAGCATTTGACACTTTCTTTGCAACAATATCCGTTGTTGTTGCTTGGGGGCCGGCCTGCAGGATATTCTTGGTAGCGGTACTGTGTGCCGTTCTGTATGTTTTCGGACCGGCACGGATGGTGTCAGTGCTAGACTAGTGCTCGAGTTATGCTCTGTACCCGATCAGTAATATGGTAAGATTAATGATAACAATAGTGATAACGATGGCATCGTGATGGTAATCTATTAATGGTTGTTACGCCCACCGGTTCAACTAGATAGAGTACAATATGGTACACATTAAAGATTACATCTTGAAATGGCCGTAACAATGATAGCACCCAGGCTGCGCACGTGCTTTGCCTATCTGCTCGAAATCGAATAATTGGGAAGGGTTGATTGTTCCACTTGAGATTATTGAAACGGCTCCAGCGCTATAACACGCTTGGGGTAATCACTTTGGCTCTGTGTGGTCAAGCTTGTAATGTCGATACCAGCTGGGTTCGAGGGGTGGAGTAACTACTAGGTAGCTATGGTCCTCTCTCTTTCTCCGTTGCATGGCAGCAGCATACTCTATATAACTACAGCCATACACAGAGAAGAACCAGAACGAAGAATATTAAATACAGTCGACTGAATCCATCGTCGACCGTGGCAACCAGCGCTGAACCTTGGATGTTTCCTTACGCCGATCTTACAGGTCTTTTACGTCACAGCACGGACTCGCGCCGGCTAAAAATTACGACGGCACCAAAAACGGACGCCCCGAAGACAGAGAGAGGCAGAGAAGAGATCATCTATCGTTGCAACTCCTGCTGGGGGGAAAAGCTGGTTGCAGAAAAAAAGAAGAAGAATCCCCATCGCATCGCATCGCATCGCATCGCAGCAGCAACCACCAGAGCCACGCACCCCCCCCATAAACTCCCCCCGCCCCCACCATCTGTGACGACTGGGTTGCTCGCCCGTGTTGTTGCTGCGGTGTTGGCTGTGCGTAAAGAAAGGACAAAACATCCCCATTGCAAGCTATTATTATTTAGATCACGCCCGCTCGTCTGGACGCAGTGGTGGTCGTGCTTTCCACAAGACCGCGCAGCCTGCTCATCCAAGCTTGGCCCGGATGGCTACCAAGCAGTCGCTCGATTCCAACCGCCCATCATCACGTCACTGTTCGATATCGCCAATCGTGCTCATCGCGCCCTGAATCGACTCTTCCTTTCCGTACGAGCCGGTGAGCGTGGGACAATGCGCTCTGGGTTGCAGACTCCTGGAGTTATCCCGTTGCTCGCTCTCGTCGTCTTCGCACTGCTCAGCGTGGTACCGACGGCTTTGACGGCATGGGAGAGCTCCAGTGCACGTCCAAACTGGCTGGCATACCATGCCAATGACCTTCCACGTGCGTTACGAGACTTGGCCGCGTCGAATCCGACGCAGCGTTGGCTGATCCCGGAAGCTCCAGGCTCTGGTATGGAGGATGATGCATCCATCCTCGATGTCGACACCAGCGTCCAAGCGTTCTACATAGGAGATGGCTACGATGGCTTCTCCCGCGACTCCATCCTGTCCCCACGTCCCAAATATCACCTCCCCCAGGTGACCGTCAGCGAGTCTACCGATTCCAGGCCATTTGTGGCAGCAGAAACAATGAAACAAGACCTTGTGGAGGAAGCTACCGACAGCGTGACCGTCTTCTCTGGCCCTTTCCGTTCGTTGAGGACGTTCGTTTCCCATGGCTCTAAGGATAGCCGACTGGGACACCTGCTCCCTGGCCGGAACATGCTGTCGACCGTTTTCTCAGCGGTTGCAAACTCTTCTCACCAAGGGGTCCTTGCTGATCGGACAAGGGGCACTTCATGGACGACAGGATCCAAACCGGACGGTAACCGCCTGGTCTCCGGCCTTCCGTTTCCTGGTAGTCTCTGTGAGACGTGGCAGCAGGTCTGTCACCTGGGAATGAGCGCTTGGGGCGACTGGGACCGCTCTGCCCTTCTTGCCATGTTCAACGGATGGATCGGTTCAAGCAAAAAGAACCCTGTTCATCACGAATCCCTTGGGAAGAGTCAATTCACGGTACATCGCCAAACAGAAGGCTCTGTACTCAGGAGTCAGTCGTCAACATATGACGAGACGGCCCACCCCTTATCGAAAGCCTCAAAAACTCACCTCTTCGATGCGTCGACTCTAACTCTTCCCCCTTCCACGAGCCCCACCGACCAGCCTAACGTCGCTGCTGGCGCTTCGACGAGTCCCAAGGAAATGCGTGGAAGCTGCATGGCCATCGTGATCGGCTTGGTAGTCGGGATCATGTGGTTTTAAATGTCGCCAGCGCAACGGAACTATTCGCGTGTCTTCATATTCAACACTTCATTGCATCTTTTGAACATTAACTTCTCGACCATGATGATCATGATAACGAACTAGCCTCTGCCTTTGGGAGCAGCTGGCTTTGTCACGCGTCCACTGAACGAATCCAAGCAGTCTTGGAATTTCGAAGATTGAGTGGCGCGTATACCGATATATCCGTCTATTTGGCCACCTTGGACTTCCGGCGCATGCCCAAATACAGCGTTCTATTCCCCATACATCTGCACCAATGGACAAGGCTTGGCCCCAGACGTGTTCTGTTGCATCGTCTATTTGCATCAAGGCCGGACCTGGCGTTTTCTCTTCTCTTTTTTGCCTAATACCCCAGTGCCTGGTGTGCGAAGGGCTCCGTCGCGTCTGCTTTTTCGCGGTCCTATCCACGCTAAGCGGGTAATTAATACCTTTTAATGATTGCATGTATACTGGCCTACTGTTGGGCGCTCTTTTCTCTATACGGCGTTGTCGTGTGATGCGATAGCGTGCTTTTTTTCTTTTTCTTTTTTTTTTTTGATGTTCATGTATGTTAGATAACCCCGAGCACGAGCTCTGTATGTAGCTAGTTACTACCTCGACGAGGCGAGGGATTGATGGATATATAGGTCATGGATATATAGGTCAGGGAAATATTCAGATAATTTGGGTCGCGACACGAGCGCTTGGTGGGTCTTGCGGCATATCCCATGTTGAAACGAAGATGAAGCCTGGATGTAACTAATATATACTTAATGTTTAGTTGTATATTAATAATGGAATGATGTATCTGGTATTATGTTTTGTAGTGATAGTTGCGCGAGCATGTAGCACAACACCTAGGTCAAGCACTGCATTCCCTCAAGTAGATACCACTTTCAGCCAGAGTTTATCGTTGTAGAACCAGCACTCTCGATCACAGATACACGACTTGAGCATTGCGCATAGTACACGCTTTCTCTCCATATATCTCCAGGATAATAATCCTAGTGGCAAAGAGCTCTCAGATAAGATAAATGATACCCAGGCCTAAGTATCGAAGTCGGCCAGAACAACGGATTGATGAGCGTTTTCCTATGTGTACCCCTACCTCTTAGTTAACTAACTATTACCAATTCTCTGGTCTGTTTAGTTCGGGATTTTTTTTTTGGAAATAGTATCCATGGAAGGGGAAAGTTTTGTTGAAAAGTGAGCTGTGGATCTGTCAATCTATATTTCATCTACATCTTAAGTACTACATATTGTATAAAGAATAAAGAGAGAGAGAAAGTTATCGAGATGAATCATCCGTCGCCATAAATAAAATAAATAAATGCAATAGGATATATCTAGATAGATAGATAGTTATATAGATACTGTGTTCCATACTACTAAGATGTCCCTGTCTCTATCCCTATCCCTGTCCCGGTCCCCATTTCTTATTTGTTACTTACTTAGTTAAGAGTATTCCCCCCCTCCTCGGCCGAATGTCCGAAGAAACTCCCACAGGTCAGGCCAGCTCACCCCGCGTTGTGGAAACCGGTCCAACCCCGCAACGGTAGTAATTCTCGGGGGAACAGGGAGCGAGGGGTGGAACCGTGGGGGGTTTTTACTTGCTGTGTAGGTAGCTTTAAAAAGCTACATAGCTATCTTTCTTTCCTGCTTGTGCCATTATTGGTAAGAGTAGGATAAACCCTAGGACCTAGGACGCAGGATATTTGGGAATCTCTCTGTTTCGGGGAAACAGGGTTTACTAACTACGAATTTCAACGGGGGTGATTCGATCAAAGTGAATAGCATGGCGATGCAGGCGGCGAACCGTCTACAGAAGGCTCTGCGTACTGAGCGCGGCTTGTCCTTCGGAGCGTGGCAGATGCTTCCTGGTGCGAATCATGCTAGGTTGATGGCGAGGAGTGGATATGATTGGATTTGTGTCGATACGGAGCACGGGAACATTGCTGGTACGTTCGTGGACTTTGTTACAAGGTGCTATACTTATCTATGACTAGACTGGCAAATGCACGAGGCCGTCGCGGCAATTGCGGCCACTGGAGTCAGCCCGATTGTGCGAATTGCAGCAAACGAAGGATGGATGGTGAAGAGTGAGTGAGATCTGTTCTTCTATAACTAGTGGATGGATGTTGGCTGATGTTACGGTAGGAGCGCTGGATGCTGGCGCACATGGCATTGTTGTCCCTCTTCTATATACAGCAGATGACGCCCGAAGACTGGTTGAGTCGGCCAAGTTCCCTCCTGTTGGACGCAGAGGGTTCGGAAGCCCTTTCGCTATGGGGTCGACGGGCAACGTGTCGGGAATAGAGTATCTGCAGCAGGCAAACGACGCCTTGCTTACGATAGTGCAGATCGAGACGAAGGAGGCTCTGGAAAACGTACGATATGTTTTTTTGCCCTAGTTTTGTCCTCGTGAACAAGGCTAACCGTCAAAATCCAGGTGGAGGAAATTGCGAAGGTGCCTGGCATTGATGTCCTCTTCGTCGGTCCATGGGATCTTGGAAACAACATTGGCCGTCCTGTGCTTGGCGCCTTTCACGATGACCTGAACGCCGCCATTGAGCGTATCCGGAAGGCTGCCACAGATGCGGGAAAGAGAGCCGGAATCTATGCTGTAGGCGGAGAGGCCGCAAAGCAGTACGCAGACCAGGGCTTCCACATGGTAGGTTTCAGCTTCGCTGTCGACACATTTCATTGGTGATCGCGACACCTTTTGCTAACAAAGTATCCTCCAGATCTCAGTTGTTGCAGATGCCGTTGCTCTCCCAAGTTATCTCTCAAATGCGCTGGAAACTGCTCAGGGGGGCAAGAGTGGTGCCGCTATTCCGACATATTAGACGTCGATTGTTGAGCTGCTCGACAGCTTTTAGGAAATGAATGTCTCATCTTTGGGCGCAAAGCGGTAGAAACTATTTGGACACTTCATTGACAGCTTCTTCGACCTCCTGCTCTGTAAATCTGTGGAATAGCTTCTTCGGATCGGACAACTCGCTGTTGGCCTTTGTCTCCGTCTGCACATGGAGAACAGGAACGTCGAACTCGTAGACATCTTTCCAGGCCTTATTTCCAGGCTCCATTATGTCCACCTCGGAATAATGCAACGGCTTCTTCGCAAGGAATTTGCTCACATTGTGCTTCGCGGTATCGCAGAGGCCGCAGCCCGCACGTGTAAACAGTGTCAGGCGGACGGCCTGACTGAAGAGAACTCTCGTAGCAAACATCGTTCTGGTTGAACGTCGCCGTGATTCACACACCTATTGGACGGCAAGAGACTGGCAATAATGCCTCAGCACTGACGGACGCGGGGATGCTTCCAACTTTCGAGGGATACTCGCCGGGAAAACCGCGGGAGGATAGGATGGAATCTTCGAGTTGCCCAAGCTAACCCGATTGGACAATATTGCCCATTGCCCGCGGCGCGCTCGCCGCAATATCCAAGAGCAACCAGAAAAACCACTTCTACAGCCTTCCATCTTCCACGTCTGAAAAGGAGATATTGCTGCTATTCTACCGTTCTCGGATCAATCGCGTACTGCAGCGAGTCTGCCACCATGGCATCAAAGTGCGTGCACAAGGGATGTGGGAAGGTCTTCACCGACCCCGAGGAGGAATGTGTCTATCATCCCGGTCCCCCAGTTTTCCACGAAGGTCAAAAAGGTAAGGACCTTGGAGCCCGGGAGTTTAATCGCTGGTTGTTCTGCTGCGAGAGGTTCCACGTCAAACAGGCTCACTGACAGTTGATCGGAAATTTACCAGGCTGGAAATGCTGCAAGCCCCGCGTTTTGACATTTGATGAGTTCCTCGCGATTCCTCCCTGTACGACAGGCAAGCATTCTACTGTCGACGACACACCTGCAGAGCCTGAGAAGACTGAGAAGACACCGGCTTCTGAGGAAATTTCACTGCCTGAACGCCCTGCTGTCCAGCCTACTCCTGTTCCTCAAACAGCGCCGACTCCCACCCCGGCGCCCGCTCCCGCGCAAGAAGAGTCTGAGGAAGATGATCCCTCGCTCGAGATTCCTGCGAATGCCACCTGCAAACGGAGAGGCTGCAATGCGACATATGACGCCTCAGTGCCAAGAGATGAGGAAAAGTGTGTGCATCACCCTGGCCAGCCAATCTTCCATGAGGGTAGCAAAGGGTGGTCATGCTGCAAGAGGCGGGTGCTGGAGTTTGACGAGTTCATGAAGATCCAGGGATGCAAGGAGAAGACGAGACATCTCTTTGTTGGCAAGGGAAAGCCTGCTGGCGAAGAGAAGGTGGAGAGCGTCAGGTAAGATACCAGCCATTCGACCTAAAACCTCCGCATGTTACGAGATGTGAACATGCGAGCAAACAGTAAATGAAGTAACCAAGTCTAATGCCTTTTATCTACTGCAGGAACGATTTCTACCAGACAGCTACCTCCGTGATCGCGTCCCTCTTCCTCAAGAAGATCGACAAGGACAAGGCCAAGATCGAGTTCTCATCCCAGAAGGTCGAGTTCGACTTGCCAACCACCGACAACAAGCGTTACAAGGACACCTATAACCTCTTTGCCTCCATTGATCCGGAGAAGTCCCAGTACAAGGTCCTGGGAACGAAGCTGGAGCTGACTCTGGCCAAGGCGGATGGGACCAGCTGGCCGGTGTTGCGCAGCGATGATCGGTGGACTGGAGAGCGTATCCAGGTTGGTCGCGCCGGCCGGGTATGACGAATTTAAGCTGTTGGAACGAGTGAGGTGTATGGACATTGTATGACCGAAAGATGAGCATGGGAGAGGAGTTCAGGGTTGGTTGATATCCGTGTTACGGGATTGGTTCTCATTTCAGACATGAGGGATCCTTGTTCTCTCAGTTGTCCCTGAAATATATAGTAATTTCAGTGATGTTCAGGACTTATTATTTCTCGCAGACATCTTGTATGAATAGATAATGCCATGATGCTCCGCCTAAGGTCGGACCTTGAAGACAGATATGATAACATGAGGCAAGAGTCTTGCAACTAAGAGTTGGACCATTTTTTAAGATCTACTTCTACCTCGAAATCAGACTACAGTCAAGTCTGTTCAAGGTCGCTGCAAGAACCTTGCCTACAAATTACTTAGTGAGCCGCATCTGGCATTTCAATTTAATAGGCAGGATAACACGGAGTGTCACGCCCCCTCCACAGCTAAAGCGCATGGGGATCTTTTCGTGAGAAGAGAAGCCCTAACCCAGCCATATGTGGAAAGGGAAAAAGGGAAGCGCACGCCCAAAAGGACATTGCTCTGCGAAGCCGGGAACGGAAGGAAACCCATCGGGTAATAGGAATAACCCTCAGCACGCCGCATTTGCGGAGCTCCGGTAAGATTTACATGGTCTGTAAACCTCTACTGATGATGGAGAAAAAAAAGGAAAAGAAATTCGCAGAGAGCGGGCGCGGTCAGCGGGATTTTATAGAGGTTGAGGCAGTGGGGCTGCGCTAGCGTGTCTTGGATTCGCTTATGGGATTTCAGTTTTCAGTCATAGTGACAAGTTACGGTGTTCAGTAAAGACATACAATGCAGGGTTAGGGCTATAGACACACGTGATGATATATCTGTTCTATTGCTGCCTCAGGTGTCATTTATTGATTCCTGAGGAGTGGGGAGTGGCAACAATCACATGCCAACGAAAGCCAAGGACGTCTCAGGAAGAAGAAGAAGAAAATCATTTGGTACGGGCAGTTCGTGAGCGGCAATGATGTAGGTTGTTTAGCCGTGGAGTGAATACCATACTCTATGATACGTATTAATACCAGTACTCAGGATAGAGTGATCGACCGTGGGGTCTGCCATGAAGTTCCTCCTCGTGTGCCTCGTGCCTCGTGGGCGACGATAGATGGCAGATACAATGGTCATTTTATGGGGCCCTTAGCGTCCTTCGGGGTCTCCCCAATCGTCGTCCAGGGGCACGAGACCAACTCCTCCATCTTCCCAACAACCCCCCTCTCACCACGATCGCATCAATTGCCGGCCAATTTGTGCTTTCGTCTTTCTGATCATCTTCTTTCTCATCAGAGTCATATACGAATAACATACCTGTCTGGAATTCCTCATCTATAAGGTTAGTTTACTCGTTTTCTTTGCGACGGTTTGTCTTCCGCTCTGGAGAGAGTGTCGGATGACTTCAGTTTGCAGACTGTACTTTCCCCATCCGATATGATCCCCGTGAGCCTGTTCTGCAGATATTTGCCTATCTCTACTCAACAAGAGGCTATTAAGCTCTCCTGGCTAACTTGGACAGAGCAGCCTAGAGACCAGGACAAACCCCCCAGTCCTCTCCTAAAACTATAGCACAAAGGACGAACATCGACTTTCCACGATGGGTTCCTTCGAAAAAACAACGGAACACGCGCCCAGGTATATTGCGCAGTCATACAATCATGCAGACTCGCAAGCATCCGCGCTCAGGCTGGTGCTGACCCTCAACCCGCACTGGGAGGGCCCTGAGAACAAGATCGAGTTGGTGCGATTCACGGATGGCATAACTAACACTGTGTGTTCCTAGAATCCTAGAAATATCGGGACCATTGGGCGCTTTGCTAACTGTGCTTAGCTATTGAAAATCGTGAACCGGAAGCCCGGTTTGACGGACGAGGATATAGACAATGAGGCAGTACTGATGCGTGCGTATGGTAACCACACGGAGATCCTCATAGACCGCGAGAGTAAGCCCGCCTCCTAAGCTCTTCCTGCCCAATGCGACAACGAGCTGAGTAGAACTTCGTCATGGATAGGAGAGACCAACTCCCACGCTCTTCTCGCCAGGCGTGGCCTTGCTCCCCCGCTTCTGGCGCGCTTCCAGAATGGCCTGTTATACCGATTCCTTCGCGGTCGAGTTGCTGCTCCTACAGACTTGGTGAAGCCTGCGGTCTGGCGAGGGATTGCAAGACGACTGGGCCAGTGGCATGCTGTCCTCCCAATTAATGAAACGCCTTCGTCCACTTCCACGGAAACGGGACTCCCCTCCCGGCCACTAGATGTCGATTCGCAAGACGAGCAAGAACCTAATAAGGCCGATGATATAGTTCCAATCCAGCCCAGACAGCCCGGTACGAACATCTGGACCGTTATCCAGCGATGGATTCTGGCTTTGCCAACCCAGAATGAGGAGCAGCGCCTACGGAGACGTAACTTGCAGACGGAGTTTGAGAAGATTGTCGCTGAACTGGACGATGGAACTGGGATCGGCCAAGGAGGGGTATTTACACCCCTACTCTCTTGGTAGACTCTTGCTAACAGACACAGCTGGTCTTCGGCCACTGCGACCTTCTTAGTGCGAATGTCATCATCCTCCCACGAAAGGACGGTGCCTCCACACCTCAAGACGGCGTTGAAAAGGTCAACTTTATCGACTATGAGTATGCCACGCCCTCTCCCGCGGCATTTGATATTGCGAATCACTTTGCGGAGTGGGGTGGTTACGACTGTGACTACAACATGATGCCTACTCAATCTGTTCGTAGAGAATTCCTGAAGGAATACGTCACAGCATACAGTCAACACGGAGGAATCCCCGAATCAGCCGTGGATGAAACTGTCGACAAGCTCTACATGGACGTGGATCGATTCCGTGGCATTCCCGGCTTCTATTGGTAAGAATATTCCGCGTCGGACTAGGAGACATCGTATTGATCAAGGATATAGGGGAGTGTGGTCTCTGATCCAAGCAACAATCTCTCAGATCGACTTTGACTACGCCTCATATGCCGAGGTCCGTCTAGGCGAATACTGGGCCTGGCGTCGCGAGCTCGATGGGTCTCGTGCTCGTGCAGGAGAAGAGATGCCATTGCGAGAACGCCGCTGGGCCCAGGAAGCCTAAGCCTGCCGTTCCTTACGAGTCCCTTGCATCTTCGATTATACATCTTCGTCTTGCGGTTTACTTTCGTTTGTACATAATCATGCAGTACATACGGTATCTGGGTCCGTTCCGGTGGTTGCGAGCCACGACAGCGACGAGGATTTCAACAATGCTCCTCTTGAAAGAAGCCATGCAGGACGTGGAGTGCTCATACAGTTTCATCAAAATTCGAAGACCCTTCCAGAGTGATATGACAAATCGACTCTGTACTGGACAAAAGGAGAAGACGGTAATACGGCATGGAGTTTGTCTTCAACAACTTACGATACCCGAGTAATTGAAAAGAAAAGGATCATGTGTGTATACATGAATCGAATGAACACAGTGTTTCTATGCAGGTTCGCAAAAATATTGGACTATTGTTCATTTCTTGTCCGACCTATTGGTGTTATAATTGGGACATAGAACAGAGTAATAAATTTCTTTTGGATGAACATCAAGCAAGTAGGATTGCTCTAAGGGGCTAACCAGTGTTGAAGTCTACCAAAAACAGCAAAATGAGGCCCGAAATATATCAAAGATTTGAAGGGACCAGCCCTTTACAGCCAACTGCGCCAAACCACATGATGCGACACAATACCAGCGCTCAAAACTCTAGAGCGGGATTCTTCTCAGACGTGCAGCCACCTCCAGCAATATCTTTGGACCAATCGTAGATCCCCCCGCGCTTCTGGAAGCTCTCTTCATCCCAGTAAACCTGCTCCAGAGCGCGCTGAGCACCCACATCAAGTATCGATTCCGTCGGCGCGCCGGTCCCCTTGTTCAGGAATCGCATATATTCATCGAGGATCAAATAAGAGCTGCGCATCACATCGTTCGGCTCCGGAACGAAGAACGAGTTATGCGAATGTCTATCGCAAAACTGCTGAAACTCCTCATCAGTGATCATGAACCGTCGTGCATCCCGGATCGTAGACGTGGAATCATTCTCCCCTTCAATGATCAGAACCTGGAAGCACTTCCACCGGAACGGCTGAATGGAGTTCATCTGCTCATTCATATCTTCATGAACATTATACCGGTTAACGACCGTATTAACCTTGAACTTCACACCGTACTTCCGACACAACCGCGCTACTTCCTGTACTTGCTCCAAATGCGCCCCCTTCCCACGACCAATCTGGACATTGACACTCTCATCGAAGGAATCGCACGAAACGGCAATGATATCAATATGCTTCGCAGACCGCACCATGAACTTCTCCGTCAATTTGCTCCCGTTCGTCACGATCGATACCGACTCTAACTTCAATTCCTCCTTGCAGAAAGCAACCAATTTACTCAAAAGTCGCGGGTAGAGGAGCGGTTCGCCTCCAGCGAAGTTGATCTTCCTCATACCGGCCTTTTTCAACATCCAGAGGCCGCGCTGCATGTTCTCGAAGGACTCGACGTGGGATGTTTTCTCTGTATGAAAGCAGAAACCGCATTCGTAGTTGCATTTGCGAGAAAAATGGAAGTTGACAGATAAGGGGATGACTTTGGTGGAGCTGAGATTGGTATTTTGGAAGATTATCCATAGGAGGAAGGGGATGAGGGTCCCAAGGACGGCGGATGTGAAGAGAGCTTGTAGCAAATCCATGCTGAAGAAGAGGGATATGATGATGAAGTGGGGTTTGTATTTGTCTATCGGAGAATCAGGAAGAGGGATGATGGTATTTATACGACCCTTCTTGCTCTCTGGAGCTCTTCAGGGGAACAAAGGGCAGGTATTTTGCCTTTTGTGACAATGAAAGTCATAAGCATGTAAGAGTTAATAAGACTCATTCAATTGTTCTCTGCGTAGGGTTTTATCAGCTGTATTATCAGTGACATGACTATCTATTTGCGGTTATATCCGCATCAACAACAAAAATAGGTGCTTAGTTGTTTCACTGAAACATCGCATGCGGATCCCAGAGTCTAATGGTTTGAGCAATTTTCAGTTTGTCTCTGTGGAGATGTCGGGGAGCATGAGGCGGTAAAGTCCTGCATTGTAATATCCTCAAAAAGGATCAAGCTTCTATATTTCTATATTGTTTTCTTTCTCTAGACTGATCTGCGATACGTAGTTCTAGTGGGTTTCAGAACCTAGCTTCTCCTTTCTCTTTTGTTCGAATGTCTCGTAAATGTTTGTATAATTTGAAGCGAACAATCACTTGATGGTTTCCCAGGACGCCTATGAGAAGAAAAGGGAAAGGAAAAAACGCATGCTGATCTGTTTCATCGAATGGGTCGATTCTATCCATATCATCTATATACAACACTATATACAACTTCTATATACATTACTTCTCAGCAACCTTTCCACCGCCATCCCACGCTCGCTCCTCTCGCCGCAACCAGGATCGAACCCCCCAAAAGCAAACACGTACCTCCCCATATTTGTGCCCCAATATAATTACCACCGCCGGCTAGAATCAACTTACCTGCCAACGGCGGTCCTGTCAGACATGGAACGCTAATAATCGTAAACACCATACCGATCCTGGTGCCGCTTTTACTCAGGTCTTTCGTCAAACTGGCCAGAGTTGACGGGAAGAGACCCTGGATCCCGGCAGCGAAGAGACCAAGGAACACGATCCAGACTAGGTCAGGTGCAAGGGCTCGTACAGACTGCCATGCGTAGAGACATACAGCGGAGAGGAAGACGACTGGAATGAGGACTGTAATCGCGCTGAAGTAGCGATCTGCAAGGAGAGCAGGGATCACGCGACCGGGGATTCCGACAGCGTTGAAAATAAGGAGGATATGGAAGGATGTAGTTTGTGATACGTGCAGGATATCGAGTGCATATGGGCGAACCTAGATGTCGATCATAAATATCAATGGATTTCCATTGGTGTTGCTTATGCAACGGGAAGGATGACTCACGTAGTAATAAGCAAAATACGTAGCCCATAGTGTGAAGAACATGCCGATTGTAAAGAGTAGATAAGGCAACTCCTTGAAGGCTGCAAGGTCGATGAGCTTGCCAGTCTTGCGTGGTGGAATCCGTGTTTGGATGGTAGATACCACCACCGCGGTATTAAAGAGGACTACAAACGCCATGATACGAACTGTCCAGGGGAAGCCAATGCGAGGCAACAGCTGTTGTGCGATCAGGGGAAAGACAATTCCCCCAGTTGCGGCGCCGCTCGCAGCTGACGAGATAGCAATGGTCCGTTTTGTCGTGAAGTAGGTCGAAACCAACGCAATTGTCGGACAGAAGATGAGGCCATTTCCCAGGCCCTGACATATGCCCTGCGCGAGAAATAGCTGCCAGTATCGCGTGCAGAGGCTCGTCATGAATATACCGAGCACCTGTAATATGCTTCCGGATATTAGCACCCAGCGGTAATATCCTTTGTCCAAGGCGGATCCCGAAACAGAGCCGATGAGAAATATCAAGAAGAGCTGGATGCTGCCGATCCAGGAGATAGTGGACGCGGGAAGAGAGAGCCATGACGAGTAGTAGGCCTGGAATATCCCGAAACTATTGGCATATCCCCAGGTGTTGAATACAACGAGGTGGCCTGCGAGGACTTGACGCCAGGCCACGATACCTCCATTTGGTGGTGGGGGATGACTTGATAACGGAACGACAAGTGTCGGCTCTGAAATAGATTTCTCATGTTGATATTCAGAGTCCGATGTAATTGCAGCTTCTTCAGGTTTATCTGAATTGACACAGTGGGCGATTCCCTGCGTTTCTACCCCGGACTGTGAATCGGACATCGTTGCAACTGCGGGGACCCCGACTTTTTGTCGGTGAAAATAGAGAAGATAAGCAGATTAGACCCCGCTACTGCATAGAGACATTCACAGAAGAAGAGATCTCGATTCACTCGCTGCAGTGCTTCATTCAGGAACAAAATCGACTGAAATTACAATCGAGAAAATATTTGACTTCGGAGTCAGACCCCATTTCTGAATGACTCTAAGCGGCCGTCGAAGATCGGCCGGGATTTGGTCTGGAAAAGACCACAAAACACGCCTTATGGACTCATGGAGCCTGTTAACCAACGCCCCGCAACCCCGCTAACGCCTAGTACAATTTAGCTGCAGAATGCGGAGGGGCGAGGATATAGATTATAGAATAATTATCGGGTTTACTCCGTAGTGCAATTGGTGATATACGCCGCTGGTATAACTGAGATGTGAGAAGTCGATCGCTACGATGTATTCAAGTCCAAATATCAAGGGGAGTGGTAGAACAATGAAAGTAAGTACTAAGAACAGGAAGCATGAGTAGATAAGATATCAGAATCGCTCAAGTCATAATCCTATTCGAAAATAGAGATGGGTACATATGCTATCGTTTGGGGCCCGTAGAAAAAATACCTGCAAGAATTACAAGGGCTTAAAGGAGTAATGCAATTGGCGTGTGATCTATTGGTCACTCAAGGTAAAAATGCTCCGTCACTATGTATATTCACATCTCAATTGACTGCTGTGCTGCTTGTCTGCTTCCCTCGATTCAAATATCTATGGACAATGAGGTTCTTTATATTGCCCGATATTGAAGGCGGCATTCTACTTCTGCAGGATATCTCCGCCTTGTCCTCATTTCGCACAATGAATAATAACTCATATTTCCTTGTTTTAGATGGCAAAACCCGGGAATTTGTAATGGAATAATGGAATCAATGGTAACTACCGCCTGTCCATGAAGAGAGATATGCAATAAGCAATTCCATATATATGTGGTAAGTCATCGTCTTGGATAGAGAGTCAATCTTTCCCTCTTTCCAACCAAAGATCTGCCTAGGCACGAGATAGCATAAACAATGGGGCTATATCAGCAGCAATACCCTCTGGCATTTCCTGTCATGGATTTCCGTCGTCGGTTGGATGAACGGCCTCCCATAAAGAGAGACTTCTACTACGTCTTTGGTTAGTGGTATTCCATGTCTTCATCTTTCATAACAGGCTACTGATATCCAACTACGCAGGTGGTCCTGGCGCTGGCAAAGGCACAATCTGTGCTCGACTAGCACACGATCTAGGTCTCTTACACGTCTGCGTCGGCGATCTTCTTCGAGATGACCCACAATTGATTGACATGGAAGACGCAATGCGAGAAGGAAGACTGATGCCGAACTACGTGGTTGCAAACGCTCTTGGGAAAGAGTTGTCCAGAACAACTGGCCCCGTTCTCCTGGACGGATTTCCTCGTAGTCAGGACCAAATGATGATGTTCCAGCACGATGTAAGTCTACTTATCCTTGCGCACTAATACCATTTTTTAGACTATTCAAATGAGACTCGTGCTAAGAACCTATCCTTTTCAAGTTCTGCCCACCAAAATACGCCTTATATTTCTCTTGCGACAGTGAGACAATGGAACGTCGCGTTCTCGCTCGGGGCCAGACTTCGAACCGAATCGATGACAATATAGAGGCATTCTGCAAGCGTTACGTCCAATTTGAGACGGAGACTATGCCATGTGTCCATTCTATGAGAGGTATTAGTAGACTGGTCGAGGTAAGCATGTCCAAATATGAATCATTGTTGTGCTTAGATATTATATTTTGAGTTCTGGAGTTACTAAACTGGACCATCAGTTCAACTGTAGTGGTGATTTGGACGAAGTTTATGAGGATGTCAAGAACAAGCTTGAGGTATGTCTCCCATTTCTAAAAACTGTCACCGATATCTGGTTTAACGTGTGATGTAGCAACTCATGAATTGGGATGGGGAAGGGGTTTATGACTTTTACTTGATTGTCGTTGCGTCTTAGATGATGTCGCGTTGTAGATGAAATGAGAGTCAGATTAGATATGATTTTAAAAAAGCAATAGAAATGAGATATTGAGAATTTCCTCTTCTACGCTTTTCACTCGAGCATGCCCTTCACCACATGCCCATAATATCCACAAGAACAACCCCCAACCGCGAACAAAACACCTATCCACTCTCAAAACTTAATAGGGAACTTTTCAAAATACGCAGACAACTTCCCCTGGAGCATATACTCCTTCTTCATCCCCTCCAATTCTTCTTCACTTTCTGCCTTATCAGGGAAGAAAAACCAGCGATACATCTCCATGAACTCATCAATATCCCTCTGAGCCTGCACTTCCTGTCCCCTATCCACTAACAGCTCCACCTCTCCAACACAGTGTCCGAAAGAGGTACGATCCAACGCAATCTCGAACCGCCCATCAGCGATAGCTAGCACCCGCTTCGTTTCGAAATCCGCAATGGGCCGTAAACCAAAATAGACATCAGCCCCTGGCGCAGAAGGGATGTAAGTCTTCACTAGATCATGGATAGCTCGTGGACTGGTGAGTTCCTTGAAAGCTGTGCGGAGATAATAGTCTTGTTCTTTCTCAGCAGTTGTTACTGATGGCGACGATTCAGTAGTAGAGGCGGCATTCTGACTTTCTCTCTTTTGGTGTTTCTGATGCGGAAGGATAAGACGCTGTTTGGCCTCCCATAGTTGATTGCGCTGCCTGATCCATATTCCGTTTCTTTCCAGAATACAACGCGTAGGTCCTCCAGCTTTGGCGTTCGCGTCACTGGTGGACGCGAGAGGAGCGTCGTAGTAGATATCGTGTATTTTCCGTTCTGCTTTGATTTCAAGCTTCGTGAAAGGAGGATTGCCAGATCCCTTTGTTAAAGATGCAAAGAGAGCAGGATTGTAGATGAACTTGCGCTCGATTTCGATTTTGGACATTTTGCTAAATCTCCCAGATTGGCTGTGATGCAGATGGCTAGTTCCTTGGAACCTTGACGAGAGTCTTCGAATGCATAGGGCGTAGATAGAGTGACTGGTGATCGAGAGCTTTTCATGAGCAGAGATTGGAAATTTTCTAAACAAAGAAAAATCGCCTAGGTATCTACGCTTCTGTCGGAAAACCCCGTCGCTGGCTGGCATGCGTTACTTACAACCACGATTCCTAGGACTATAAGTGGTTTTCATATGAACTGCTGGGAATAGACGCTTTATGGTTTCAAATAATAATCTTATTTACAACTAGAATGTTAGGACCTACGAAATCAATGCCGAAAATAACTGCTACTGAGGCTATAAACAGCTGCATTTCCACCCATAACTCTCAGCGGCGAGCTGCTGCCTTAAAATGTTCTGCATAGATATTCTGCACCCGCTAAGCACTCTTTAGTCACCTCTTGGACTGATCTTTTAACTAACTCGCGCTCGACCTCGGTGAGCTTTAGTCTGTTTCAACTCCAGGATAACACCAAAAATGGCCTCCCTCACAACCAAATTCAGCTGGTTAATCTTAATCTGACATTCTGGAAATAATTTCTGAGAAGATATGGCGCGTTTCGAAAGTTGATAGTATACCTGTATGACCGTAACAACAAGCAGGAGATCGATATAGTAAGCATGTGCTGGATCGTCCAAAGCATCTCCCCGAAATATCAAGAGAAATCACTCCTCCCTCTCAAAAAGCTCCAAAATCCCCTGTTTACCATAAGCCATAGCGACGTCCAAAGCACTCAGCCCCTTTTTATTCTCTCGTCTCGCATCGAGTCCCCTCGCTAGAAGTTCCTGAAAAAGGAAGACGGCATCCTCCTCACTGCGCTCCTCCTCCTCTCTGCTTGCTATTGCATGAAGCAGCGTATCTCCATTGTTGACCGCAAAGATGTCATGCGTGTCAAACATCTCCCGGACATCCTCTTCTGCAGGTGGGACGGTATTGATGACTTCACATTCCTCCTTCACCTCTTGCACATACAGGAAGAGAGGGGTGTTGCCCTCGTTGTCTCGGGCATTACGATCACAGCCGCTGTCAGTAAAGGTCTTATACAACGCTTTGGACTCCGCAAGATAATCAAAATCATCGTCACACTGGTAGTTGCTCTCGTAAGACCCCGCCGGGCTGAACTGCATCAGCGACGGAGCGAGGATATGCAGTGCATTTTCACCGTTCGGACCTGTGAACAGCGGATCTGCCCCAGCTGCGAGGAGAGTCTTCGTCAAGCGCACGGAGTCCATGGTCTGCCGGTATTTCACGGCGTAGTACAACGGGGTGAGTCCTGCATTGTTCGTCGCTGAGACAAGCGCCCCTTTTTCGATAAGCAACGAGAGGGTCTCACAGAGTCCGGATTCAGCGGCCAGATGTAGTGCGCTTGAGCCCTGGGGACTGACTGCGTGGATGTTGGCCCCTGCATTGATGAGTTCGATAGGAGTCGACTCGTGCCTTAGAGAGTTCTTTAATCTCTTTGGCGACGCACACGACACGAGAAGCGGGGTTAGGCCGGCTGCGTTGGTCCTCTCCAAGTCAATACCGGCCTTGAGAAAGGGCGACACGATGCCGTGGTAGTGGCAGATCTCATGGAAGACGGTGGTGGTGGTGCTCTCGCCGGGAATTTCAAGGAGGGGATCAGCTCCACGTTGAAGAAGGATGGATATTATCGGGGCCCGCTTATCAAGCTCGTCGTCTTCGTGGTCGTATTCGTATGAGCTCTTCATAGCAGCGGCAAGAAGCGGCGTTTCGACGTGTGGTCCCTCGGTGTGGGCAAAATATCGGCGCTGCCCCTTTGGCCGGTGACGGAAGGTGTTCGGATCGGCCCCGGCGTCGAGTATGGCCTCGCATGCTCCGATACTCAGGCTCTCGACGGCGGCATGAATGGCTGGGACGTGGCCGAGGTTGATCTCAGCGCCATGGCGGAGGAGTCGCTCGATCATGGGCCGTCCCCAGCGGTATTTTAGTGCGCGTTGCAATGCCGTCGATCCATCCTCGGGAGATTGCGCGTTGATGTTGGCCCCATGGGCGAGGATGGTATCCAATGTGTCTTCTTGCCAGGCGCCGTGGAGGACGGAGTTGTCCGCCGTAAGGGCGCACTGCAGGACTGTTCGCCCGTGAGAATCGACGGCTTCGAGGTCAGCCCCGGCCTTGCAGAGGGACTGGAGCGCCGTGATGTGCCACCAACGTTCTCCGGCAGCGAGCATGTGCACTGCGTTATAGCCTGACGCCATCGCTGTCCAGGTACCATTGTCCAGAGGGGCTTGGAAGTAGGCGTTGACGTTGGCGCCGTGGCTCATCAAGAGATCAACCATCTGGATATTCGACTGCTCTCGACAGAGGGCCGCATGGAGGAGTGGCGGGTTGATGGAATTCAGGTCTTTGATATAGCGTGCCATCAACTTCATGACTGAGATAAGACCCCAGAAAGCAACGTAGTGGACTGGTGTCAGCCCGTCGGGGCCAGGGACAGCTGGATCTACTCCAGCGTCCAGGAGGGCCGCTACCAGGGTTTCATTTCGCTGCGAGAGGGCCGCATGGAGCACAGTGTAGGGATTGCAGTTGTCGACATCGAGTTGCTCGACGATTTTGTTAGCATCAATCCCCCCAAGGGAACACCAACGGAATGGAACGGACGTGTGCTGACCATCACCACTCTCCGGCGAGGGTTCTAAGATAGCAGCTACATCTCCCCGGTCCAGGTAGACAGCCAGATCATAGGCTGTCCACCCAGATCTATCACGCAGATTTCGATCAGCTCCCGCAGCGAGCAGCAGGCGGACGGAATCCTGAACCATCTGTACTTCGTCCTCGACAGCAACAGCAGCCCTCACAGCTTCTGGAGCCTTGTGAACAGGACTATCGCGTCTCAGGTCCATCAATCGCTGGAGGCCATCCCAAGAACGCCCTCTGCCCCCGCCATACGGGAACCCGGCTTTCCTGCGGGCCTGTCTCGCCGCGGAAACGTCGATTTGGTACTCAGTCGCCGTATGGAGTGGCGTCAGCCCTTGACAGTCCTGTGCGTTGACAAACGGCCCGGCCTGGAGGAGGTAGAAGACGCATTCGGAGCTGCCAGATGCAGCGGCGTAGTGCAATGGAGATCGACCATTCTCGTCTTGCTGGTTGATATCCCATCCGTTGTCCGTGTACAGCTTGCAGAGCAGTCCCAGGGCACTGGCCTGTCCAGCACTGGCCGAGAGATGTAGTACATTAAAGCCGTTGTATATGCGAGCCTGAAGGTCTGCACCGGCCTTCGCGAGCTTCAACACATTGACATCTGCTGCTGCTGCTGCGCAATGAATCGGCATGAATCCTTGATTATCTCGCGCATGGAGGTCAAGACTTAGTCCTGCCTTCTGAAGCCAGTCGAAGCGGTCCGCAAAGGGCTGACCAGGAAGAGAAGAAATCTTATGCAGAACCGTCCGTCCTTGGTTGTCAGCTGTGTTGGGATTCGCGCCCAGTTCGAGGAGAGCCTCAAGTCGCACCTGCACGGGCCGGAAGTAGTCGTCTGTTTTGATGGCGTCGTGGAAGGCCGTGTTTCCTTGGTTGTCGACCGCGCCGATATTTGCCCCGGCTTCTATGAGACGAGACCACACGTCCACTGCTATTTTGCGATCCTTCTTTCCGTGGTCTATACTGGACAGCAGTACTTGTCCTAGGATGTGTAAACCTAACTTCATCAACGAGCTGCTCTGTAGGAAATAGAAAAAGTGAAGCAATAGGGAGCCATACAGGTCTTATTCTCAAAGTCAGTCGCCGTCGCAGACGCCCCATGTCGCAACAAGGCAGTGATAAAATGCTGCTGGCCATTCTCGCAAGCCGCTAACAAGGCCGTTCGCCCTTTCCGATCGCGCGATTCCAGATCCAGGCCCTTCTCAATGAACAGTGGAATAGCCTGCACACGCTCGTACCCGTCGTTCCCAAACCGCAGATTGTATATGCACGTCTGGCCTGCGTTGTTGCGAATCGTGGGATCCACGAACTGCAGCCATTCTCGCAACGTCGCCAAACCCGGTACCCACGACTTGCAGATCCAATGCAGTGCTGTATTCCCATCTGCGTCTTGCAGGTTCGGATCAGCGCCACAGTCAGTGAACAATTTTACGCCCTCGAACTGTTTTTTTGCTGCGCTGATCAGGGGCGTCACGCCGTCCGTCTTCCGCGCGTGGTTGATATTCGCCCCGGCATCGACCAGGAGGCGCATTGTCGCGCCAGCTTGATGATAGGAGAGGCTGTCGTGCAGGATTGTATTTCCGTCATTGTCAAGAGCCCGGGCATCGGCGCCATGCCGGAGTAGAAAGGAAGCAAAGCGCGCGCCGGAGCGACCATGCATGCCCCAGTAGAATAACACCGTCTTGCCCTTGTCGTCTCGCGCTTCAATATCACTTCCTGCTTTGATCAGCGACTCCCCTACTCGCTCCCACTCGTCCTCGCTGGTCTGGTACCGCTTGTACCACGACGCATTCCCGTTCGCCCACCCCTGGAGCGCCGTCCAACGATCTCGGGGGGCTTCAGAAGAACCAGTCCATCTGCTGCCGTTGCTCCCCGATCCCGAGGAGCGAACACGCACATCAGCTCCATATCTAAGCAGGAGGTCGACAGTCGGAGCGGAGTCAGCGCACGCTGCAAGATACAGCGCCGTGTTCCCACTGGCATCTTTCACTTGGATATTGGCTCTGATCTCGGGATATTCTAGGAGAGCGCGCAGGGTATTCGCCTGGCCATTAACAGCAGCCCAATGCGGCAGAACGCGACAGCGCGTGGCTTCGTCCATGTGCTGGAGCAGCAATGTCGCTGCCTCGGTATTCCCCCATTGACAAGCGTACTCGATTGGCGTCTTACCGGGTTTGGTGTATCCCGACCTATTGCCAGGGCCCTGCGGATATAACGGATCAGTATCAGCGTCGAGTAGTCGCTGCAAGACATCAATGTGGCCGCCTTTCGCGGCGTAGTGGATGGGTGCTAAGCCTTCGATGTCGTAGTCCGTGAAGGTGGCTTGAGAATCGAGGAGCACACCCAGTGTGTCTGCGTTACCATTCATAGCCGCGAGGGCGGCGGGCGAGTAGCAATTCTCATCGCAAACATTTGGGTCTTCGCCTTTAGCAATGAGATGTGCTGTATAACGCGAGAGGCCAGCGCGCGCAGCCACGTGGATAGGCTTGAAGTCTTCAGGGACGTGCTCAGCCATAGAAGCGAACCAGAAGTCCAACCAGGCGTTAAAAGTTTCAGGGTCAGTATCAAACAGACGATCGAGTGCCTGCATGAGCTCTAGATCTTCAACATCGCAGCTCGCCGCATGGTCGAGGAGATTCTGCACGGCATACTGCAGGAAGGGGAACTGGAGCATCACTTCATGATGTGGTTTCTCAAAGCCATTGCCTCCATACTCTCTCCAGTCAAACTCCCACGAGGTGAAGCAGCCGGAGAGGAGGTAATTGATGATGGATAGCGTCAGGGAGCGATGGGTGGCAGTTGGTGCGAACGCAGGAAACCATGCATTGGAGTTGGATTCGTTTGCACTTGGCCGGTGGCCGTCGAGGAGAAATTCTGTGAAGGAGTGGTGGATTACCTGGACGGTCTCATTCTCGAGGATTTCTAGCAAGGGGCCACAGGCCGTCCGGGCCATCAATTTCGCGTCTTGGTCGTTCTTGAGACCGGCTCGATCGGGTGTAGAGAGGGCGAGTGCCGCGAGCTCAGTTACTCGCAGCGGCCGAGTGGAATGCGTAATCCAGGACAGGAGCCATGACTGGAAGGGCAGACCGGCGCTGGACCGCGTAGCGTACTCATGCAGGAGATTTACGTACATGTCCTCGAGGGACTCGGGCAATCGCTGGAGATGCCGGTCTACGGGTGTAGTGGATGGTTGCATGAGCTGGTCAAGCATGAGCCGGGAGTAGAGGAACAGTCCCTGGGCTTTTTGGCAGATAGTCTCTTTAATTCGCACCCGCTGCTCCTCTGTGAAAGGGCTTTGCTCTTGCTGGACGAGCCGCTGATCGATATACGTCGCGATATCACTCTCAACAGCGCGCTTCGTCAGCCGAATGAGTCCTAATGAGGGTCCTCTCAGGGCGTCCACCAGGTGCGAGACAGGCCGGCTGGTTATAATGAGCTTTATCGATTGGGGGCTCATTTGTGCGAGCTCCAGAAGGAGAGTGAGGAAACCGTTCTGTTCAACAGCGAGCTCATCCAAGGCGTCAAAGACGACATACGCGCGAGGAAGAGTCGCCAGAGCGAAAAGAAAGGCCCGCCAAAGCTCCTGGAAAGGGGTATACTCGATGCTAGAATTCTGCTTCCGCAAGTCATTCAGTCGCGCTTGGAGAGGGATAATGTGGTCCAGCAGCTGGTACAAGCAGTCCCGGACGAGATTCTGGGGGTGGCTGTTGGACTTGATAATGCGACGGGCGAAGAAGAAGACCACGGGCGCCCTCTCTTCCTCTTTCAATTTCTGGATCAACCGGGCTGCGATGACTGATTTACCACTGCCTGGGATGCCCTGGATCCAGAGGCCCCCGGGAGTGGTCTCGGTCGAGTCGTGCCATTTCTGGTACGTCTCAGCCTGAACAAGCCAGTCGCCGGTTCCTGGGGCATGGGCATTCAGATGCTTGCGATACTCACTCCCGTCGGAGTCGAACTCAGTGGGCGACAGCCACGACCGAATGGCAGCGATGTCTTTGGGAGTAACTTCATTCTGTTTGCGTGCCTCCCCGTCGGGACAGGATGCATATCTCTTGCTCAGGCTGGGTGTTAATTAGCTACTGGGCCCAGCTCGGGAAGGTGATACAACTCATTGAGGTTTTCAACAATCACAAAATCCTCGTTATTCATTGTCTGCTGGGTTGGTGGAAGAGAGATGGTGTCCTTTGCGAGAAGATTTGGACCCCACGATGTCTCTCCATCCGAATTTGTATGTAAGCATGACGATCCATCAGGCTGCAATTGTGCCTAGTGCCTGCACAGCCTTTTCAAGTCTTGTTAAACCACCTCATACAACACTTCATTTGGGGTTGAACGGTAAAGAATATAGGTAGGTAGGTATCTGTGATCCTGGTCGACCTTGGCTGCTTCCCCGAGAAGATAACCGTATTGGACGGCTTAACCTAAAGAGGAAAAACTAACTATAGGAGGGAATTCAGAGGTCCAGCCCTGGAGGATTTACAGTATATATATTGGAAACGCTGGGCGAGAAAATGAACGACAACATAAGTAAAGAAAAGTTGGACAAGTATGCCACTAGGATGGTCTAGATGTATTAATTTCCAGATTATTATTGAAATGCCGGATTGATCGAACACGCCGAGAATCGGGAACGGGAAGATCCACATGGCGTCATCGTCCATCTTCCATAAATCTATTAGTATTGCTTTCACGAAAGGATAAACTGTCGCGAACAAGTCTATCTTTTAAGCCAATACACAAGCCTTAGACACGCTCAATTGGAAACGCTATTCCCTCATAACACCACATCCAAGACCACAGCCATGGAGAAAAATCACATCTATCAATACTCACTCTTGAACGCCCTCATGGATGGCGTCAGCGAGACCGGAATTTCAGTCTCCCAATTCCAACAGAAAGGCAACCAGGGTCTAGGGACGTTTTCCCGAATGGACGGTGAACTCCTCTTGCTTGACGGAACAGTCTACAAGCTCCGCGCTGGAGGCGACATCACTGTAGCCCCTCCAGACGAGCAGATTCCCTACGGGGTGTGCACGAATTTCGTCCCTGATGACACCAAGCAGGTGGTTTTGGCAGACAAGACATCCATAGAAGAAGAGTTGGAAAAGTTCAAACCTCACACGACGAATCTTTTCTTGTCGTACCGCATCAAGGGGCACTTCAAGCATATCAAGGCACGGACCGTGAGGGGCCAAGAGTATAAGGGGCAGCCGCTGTCGGAATTGAGGGATAATCAGTTCGTTAGAGATTACGAGAATGTTGATGCGACTGTTATTGGGTTCAGATCCCCTAGGTCATGGCAGGGGTTTGCAGTCGCGGGGCAACACCTCCATTTCATCAGTGAGGACCATAAGGCTGGAGGACATGTGTTGGAGTTGAGCAGCGATGGGGAAGTCTCCATGAGCGTGGCTGTTGCGTCGAGTATACATATCGATTTGCCCAGATCAGACGATTTTAACGAGGCGAAGTTGACGCTGGATGACGCGGGAATTAAGCGGGTGGAAGGTTGACTTTGCTGTTTTGATTGAATTTCCTTCATGAGTTCACGTACAGCATATACTCATATCATCTGCCATTTGAGCGTACTGGGATATTTGTTCACGATGGCTATAGAACTTTCGTCAATGTATATAAGACAGATCAAAACTTAATCTCAGTGATCTACGCTTCCATTTATTCCCATTAACGTTTCAGTCGACTCATTAAATGCGTATTTATGTACAGGCTTTGATGGCCACTGATTCGAGAAAGAGCGCATAGCCATTCTCGTGTATTCTATGGGAACAGCGTCCAGGCGCCAATATCGCAATATTCGGAGACGTCAATGTCCAAAGTACGCGGACAAAATACCTAGCCACTGTAGCTGGAGGATAACTTCAGTAGGTTAACGCCTTTCGCATTGGCCACTTCTCCCAGTCCCACAGGTTCGAATTTCAAGTGGATGACTACCACTCTGGAACTTCATCTGGTTTCGGTTGCTGGACTCTCACAACCTTGTCACAGTTGAGCAGACACAAAGGATCGAACGCTTGTTTCATCTGAGTACGTATTGACAATGTTAGCCATAGGAATTAATCTGAGGAGACAGTGGGAATCACATACTCGACGCATAGCATCAACTGTAGACTCGCCCAGTTCATGAGCAAGGTAATCCCGCTTGATCATTCCAACACCGTGCTCTCCAGTAACAGTACCCTCCATTTCCACAGCACGCTTGACCATGCGGTGGACAAGGCCTTCTGCGGTTTTCTTTTCATTTTCATTGAAAAGAAGAAAACCTTTATAGTGCTGTTAGAAAATTCTGGTCTGAAAACCCTCTCGCAGTGTGGATACACTTACTGTGGAAGTTACCATCTCCAACATGCCCGACGATACCTCCTACAAGGCCGCTTTTCCTTATTTCGTCCTTGGTCTCCTCAATGATGTCTGCCAAGCGGCTGATGGGAACAGCAACATCGGTAGTCCAGAAATGATCACCAGGATCCTTTCTCATCTCGAAGACGCTCCAAAGAGCTACTTTCCTTGCGCTCCACAATGCGTTTATCTCCTCACGGTTGCGAGCAAAGTCAAACGTCTTGCTATTAGCCTTCTTCGCCAGTTTCTGCACGATCGAGACCTGTTCTTTGACTGAATCTGGGGTGCCTGCGAACTTGAAGAATAACGTGGGAGCCTCGTCCCATGTTCGAGCGCTTCCCTTACCCATATTGATGATCTTCATCAAGACATCATCCATAAGCTCTACTGCTGCGATGTTCACCCCTTCCTTGACGATCTCGGAGACGCATCCTGCGGCACTGTGAATAGTCGGGAAGGATGCTACCGCCACACTCTCATCGCTCGGTTTGACGGCCAATTTCAGAGTTGCTTCGGTTACCAGCCCAAGTGTACCCTCGTTGCCAATGAACGCCCTAGTCAGATCGTACCCAGCGCTGGATTTGCGAGGTCTCTGTCTGGTCTTGATAATGGTGCCATCAGCGAGGACAATGGTTAATGAGACGACCCAGTCACGCATTGTACCGTAATGATAGGCATTGGTTCCTGAGCAGCCTGTGCCAACCATGCCTCCAATCATGGCACCAGGACCAGGATCTGGAGGAAAAAAGAGTCCGTCCTTTGAAAGCTCGTCGTTCAGCATTTCCCACTGCACTGCAGGCTGCACGACAACGTCCAGGTCATCTTTGTGGAGTTTCAATATCTGATTCATATTCCCAAAATCGATACACACTCCCCCTCTTGTTGGCGCGAAGTGACCTTCCAGACTGGTACCTCCTGCGTATGCAGTCACCGGTAGTAGTCGTTTGTGGCAAACTTTCATTATGCGGGAGACTTCCTCCGTCGTCGATGGAGAGACCACAACAGCGGCGACCTCGGTCTTTTTGGGAGTATAGGAGGACCAATCTGAAGTGGCATATGTCTCTACTGCGTCTTTGTCGCTCATGACGTTGTCCTCTCCTACTATCTCCTTAAATTCTGCAATAGCTGCCTTGATGTTCTCCGGGGAAGTATCATGGTGCGGAGGCTGCATATCCTTCAACGGTGTTGTAGAACTTGTCAGGGCTGCTGGTTGTTGCTGCTTTCCGGTCCCTATATAATAACCACCTAGAGACGCGAGCGCGACTGCCGCGCCAAACGCTTGATAAAGTCAGTATGAACCATGCCAGCCAAATTGCAATGGACAGAGAAGCTATCTAGAAGGGCATACTGGTTGCGATCAGGCCATAATTGCTGCCTGCAGACGACTGATGGTGCCCTTGATCAGATGTCTCTTGTGCTGGACGTCCTAATCTTAGGTTAGCTGGATTCGACCCGATTGTCATTGAACGGAACAAACTCACCAGCTTCCGGTCGACGGAGAGCGCTAGACGATGTAAATTGCCTCGAATGCCGAAGATAGCATCGCTCTTGAACTGAGCTGTTGTTCGCAAGGGTTCGTCTCGAAAAGAGCCCTTGAAGTGAACGACGTCCTGTCGGTGATGCGGACTTCAACATGGTTCTCGTTGGATAACTTCCGTAGTCTCTGCCCTTCCCAGATATGCACAGCTCGACAAGGATTCGAAAGAAACAACAGCTGATCCCCCAGAGACTTTTATTTCCCCGGACGAGCGCTCAGACGCAAGCACGCTCTGATCTATTACCCCTCGCCTAAATCGCAGAATAGCCGGCGCGGATCTACGTTCAGGAACCGAGACAGCTATATCGCTATCGGCTGGAGCTTGTCCGGGGCAGACGGTTCCCACTAATGCTTGCGATCGACCAAAATAATTATTAATAGGCGTATGAGCAACAGGCAATACAAATGGATAATACGCGGCAGCTTGAAAAAGAGCTTCTGTTGTTGAATTTCGGAGAAGTGCCTAGGCTCCCCGTGACGGATACGGGTTGATGTCATGCAACGATTCATGTGGAGAGCAACATCGTCTGGGAAGTGGAAATGGAGACGCAACGTGCAGCGCTATTATCCTATTCGGCCGGGTTGGAATGTCTCGCTTTGGTATCATCGGATAAGACGGACCCGTCAGATTGATCATTGATACTTTCTCGAAGAACTACATATTACTGCATCTCAAACGCGAGAATGAGAAGCACGCACAAACCAACGGCAGTGATCCGACACGATCTCTATGAATTTATGGGTTATTATCTCGAGGATGCGTTACGGTACACCGTCTGCTCAACTCACAGATCGCTAGTTCAATGCGCCTTTGATGTTTTGAGTTATCTCAGCAAGCTCAGACCCTCTAGCGAGGTGCCCCGCCTGCGGGTGGGCTTTTCACTGCGACGGCCTGTATAAGCGCATGCACTAAAGAACTGAGCCAATAATATGGCATAAAAGCGACCCACTAACTCCTGGACCAATGGCAGGCCGCGTTTTCACCTTCCTATTTGGGTTTAGCGTATCCGCTCAAATATTATTGGCTCAGGTTATTGAGCTAATTTGCACTAGTTTCTAAATAGTATAGTAGAAGCACTAATCTTTGGCGAGCGTCTGAGCTTGCTGAGATAAGTTTTGAGCGCCTTTGATGTTTTGAATATCTCGGCCGAGAGCTCTCGGAGAGAACATCGAGAACGCTCATTCATCTTCTCCAGACCCACCATCTTCTATACCGTATTAGCTAATCGTGAGTGACGTCGTCAATATGTATAACTGCAACACTACATCATGTCTGGATATGCTTCAATGGCTATTCGGGATTGTCGCGAATTCAATTCGTCGATGAACTCACCATGCTTATTGAGAACGCAGCAAAAACCGGAATCTGGCATTCGGTTCGTTCCGAGTGCTTTCGATCTGATTCCCGGTCTATTATTTATGCATAAAGGCTGGCAGTATCTATAGATATTTATCACTACAGTCTAGCAACTTGTGAACACTCGAACAATACCATAAACTTCCAGACGAAAAATTGCGATGGCCTCCAAGTCGAACCCATACACCTACGAAGTGGAAGTCTATCAACATGGCCTCAACGACAAGAGACCACCGATCAGCTTCAACCCTCTCGACTGGGAGTCGTTAGCCAAGGAGCGCCTTTCCGCAGAGAGTTTTGGATACGTCTGGGGATCTGCTGGGACGAGAGAAACGGACGACAATAACCGTGCAGCATTCAAGAAATGGGCCATTGTCCCTTCGCGATTAGTGAAATCGGACTTTCCGAATCTGAAAACAACCCTCTTTGGTGAAGAGTACGATTATCCAGTCGCCATTGCGCCCGTCGGGGTGTTGCGCATCTTTCACCGTGATGGCGAAGAAGCTGTCGCATCTGCTGCGGAGGCGGATAACGTCACGTATATTCTGAGCACCGCATCCTCGACCAGTATCGAGGACGCCGCAAAGGCCAATGGCAACGGGTCGCGTTGGTACCAGCTATATTGGCCGCCCAACGAACAGAACGATATCACTATCAGTCTACTCAACAGAGCCAAAGCTGCAAACTACAAGGTCCTGGTAGTGACCCTGGACACGTATATCTTGGGCTGGCGACCCTCCGATCTTAGTAATGGATATAATCCTTTTCTAAGAAAAGACAACATCGGTGTCGAGATAGGTTTCTCTGACCCTGTCTTTCGAAAGAAATTTAAAGAGAAGCATGGAAAGGAAATCGAAGAAGACACGGGGACTGCTGCATCAGACTGGGCGCATACGATTTTCCCGGGCATGAGCCACGGATGGGAAGACCTTGACTTTCTGCGAAAACACTGGGATGGTCCTATTGTTCTGAAGGGGATTCAGACCGTTCAGGATGCCAAATTAGCTGTCCAGCATGGCATGCAGGGTATCATTGTCTCGAACCATGGCGGACGCCAACAAGATGGCGGCGTCGGGTCGTTAGATGTCCTCCCAGAAATTGTGGATGCTGTCGGACAGGATATTGAAGTCCTATTCGATTCAGGAGTACGTTGTGGTGCGGACGTCATCAAGGCGCTGGCGCTGGGTGCTAAGATGGTTCTCGTGGGACGGCCGTACGTCTACGGACTTGCCATTAGTGGAAAAGAGGGAGTTCGCCATGTGATGCGAAGCATACTTGGAGATCTGGATCTCAACTTGCATTTATCTGGGATCAAGTCAGTGTCGCCAGAGCATCTGAACCGCTCAGTATTGAAGCAAATGCGTTGGTAGCGCGATTTTCGCAGTGTCCCGAGATATAAATCTATCTAGGCAGATAATATCATAGACCAGAGAAAATACGACGCTTCAATATACAGATTCTCAAACATAAATGCATTTACTGTCTTCATATCCAACAAAGATCAAATCTACCACTTATATATACCCTACTCAAATCAACTCCCATCTCACAATCTGGAAATCCCAAACGCATCCTTCTTCTCAACCCCCAACATCCCCCTCCGAATATCACCAACCTTCCTCGCCCCTGCCAACGTCATCGTGCGAGAAAACTCCCTCTCCAAAATATGCAACACCGTCTCCACGCCCCCCTGACCAGAATGGCTCAACCCCCAGAGCGACGGACGGCCAATGAGCGTGAAATCCGCACCCAGCGCAAGGGCCTTAAAGACATCACTACCTCTCCGAATACCCCCGTCCAGAATAACAGGAACCCGACCTCGAACCGCGGCCACAACCTCAGGTAACGCTTCAATAGTCGAAGATACCGAATCGAGCTGACGACCACCATGGTTCGAGACGACGATGGCATCTGCCCCATGCTCGATGGCAAGGAGGGCATCTTCGGCCGTCATGATTCCCTTCAGGATGATCTTGAGAGACGTCTGAGAGCGGAGCCAGTCCATGGCTTCAGACCAGGTGAGACTGGCGTCGTTCATGGTTGCCGATGAGGTATTATTCTGGGAGAGTTTGTATGCGTCTTCTGCAGTGCGGGCGTCCATGAGGAGTCGATTCATAGTTGGTCTGGGGACTTTCGGTTTATCATTCGGATCTTCGAGATTCGCGAGGTGGAGATGACTGGGGAGAACAAGAGGTGTTTTCCGCTCATTGATCCTGTTCCCTAGAATGGGGGTGTCGACTGTAAGGACGATGGCTTTGTATCCAGCAGCTGTAGTCGGCCGTGGGAATGAATTTAGTATAATACTCAAATCCATCCATGCAATGCGATGCATTGCAATGCAATGTTCACAGATATGGGGAAGAACAAACCTTCAGCCCTTCTCACCAAACTTGCACTCTTCTCCCTATTCACCGAGACATAGATCTGGAACCAGAAATTCTCCGGACGATGCTGCCCACCTGCACTCTCCTCCACAGGAGCCTGGATAACATCTTCCAAAGTCGTCGTCGACTGCGTCGACAAAATCATAGTCGTCCCAATCCTCGCCGCTGCGCGAGCCATATCAAGCTCTCCATTTCCCCCAATTAACTTCTGCATTGCGGTCGGGGCAATTCCCACGGGGAATGGATATCGATAACCGAATAACACGGTGCTCGTGTCGACAGTAGCTACATTTCGAAGAACGCGGGGACGGATGAGTAGTCTAGATAGATATATGTATTCGTCAGAAATGCAATCTTCGTTCCTAAGTACTAATTGCATTTTCATCCCTACTGGGATGAGGCAGACAGGCAGACATGCATACTTATCATAAGCCTTATTATTTCTCCTAACGGCGTACCCTTCATCAGATCCAGAGACGTAGAAGTCCCAGATTTGCTTGGGGAGCTTTCTCTGTGCTAGACTGAAGAGCTCTGAGATGGTGATTGGATCATCTTTTGTTTTTGATGACTGAGATTCCTGTTCTGAGTGGTGTTTCTTATCAGTAGTCATTGTTAAGCTCTAGTCAAGAAGTAGTACTCCAGCTGGCCCCCCCAGATGCTGTCTGTTAAGTATGCGGGTAGGATAGAGTAAAGGGCATAAGCAAAACGATGGCTCCCAACTAAAGAAGAATCTCTTGATGTCTCTTTTATCGTCAGCGCATTTGTGCTTCATATAATAATAGCTGCAAGTCGATATCTATTTCCCTTGCCTTGCTCCGATATGCGCAATAATAGCGGTAAGCAGATCTCCCCGCGTCTTTTCAGTCTCCGCAGAATGGACTCCTCCGCACGGACTTTAAGCCGAACAAGGGTTTGCGCCTTTTGTCGGTGTTACTCCGGATATGCAGAGCGAGCAGGGAAGTCGAGGAATTTGGTTCTGTGTTATTCGAGCTGTTTGGAGATCCCTTGTTAATTAGGATAGATGGGGGATGACATCTGGTCGATCGGGTTTTTGCGTCAACAAATGATATCATAAGTTCCATGCTTGCCGCACATGGTACCTGAAAAACTAACTTTACCAAGAGTCGAATGATTAATATCTAAGGAGATATGTTCAAACAAAGTAGCTGGTTGATATGTAGAGGATTCCTGCCCCCTATTGTTTGATTAAATATAGGTATTAACTAGCAAAATACACGTGAAGAACAGAAAACCTCCTAAGAGTACACGACAGGTATTTGGCCCGAAAGAGGCTCCGCCTCCTTGCCGGTAGTTCGACAATAACGATTGCGGCAAGCCATCAGCTGGGGCACATGTCTTTACATGTTATAGCTCGCAGCGATATGGCCGTTTTGGTTCAAATGGTAAGGTGAATCTCAATAGACCCAACACAGCGGCAATACGCAGGTAACCGATCTGACACCCAGGAACTCCTTGATGCACGCTCACTTATTCCTTGCGCCCGCGATTCAGATGCTCCTCGGTGCTCTGTAGCAGCCGCTGACAGACGTCCATGTCTGTCGCAAGACAGAAGGTATGCGTTGCACCATTATGAACCCAGTCGCCGAACTCCTGCAGAGAGGGTAATGCATGCATACAAAGACATACAAGGAAACACGAGTAAAAATGTCACTCGGGAGCAGAGGGTATCGCCTGAGGGTATGATAAGACGCAAACAAAGGAAACAGTAAAGAGGGCGGAGACAGATGCCACAGGAAATAATGCGATGCATGAAAACGGGAAAGCGCCTGAAACTCGCATCTCCTGGCCTGGTAAAAGCGGAAAGAAGGGTGAAAAAACAAAACTCCCGATACCGAACTCGAATGATTTATCCCACTCCCATGCTAAGTAGTAACCGGATACCGAAATCTTCCCGATGCAAAACCCCGCCCATCGATATAAAAGATAAAAACGCCGTTCCTTTTATTTGCACATAGTTTGTTTGGTGTTCGTAATTTTGATATTTTGGATGATAAGAGTGGCTGTGGTTGCTCGTATCGATATTGTGGAGCAGGTCGCCAAACCTGCAATCGGCTGGCAAAGCGCCAGTCTGCTCAGCTTTTCAAAGCTCAAATGGATGAAGGGTTGAAAGGAGGAATCGACGAGCTCGAGACTGCCGAAATCGTCGGTGTCAATGCTGGCGAGCAATCTCTACTCCGGCCAGATTCGTCCTCGAGACACATGCTCTTGTCTCGGCCTTTGTCTTCGCGTGTTCTCTCGCTGGATACAGCACGCTTGAAGACAGTCTGGCCTATCTGACGGAAAATGCCTACTCGCTCGGCCTTCAGCTCGTCGAGATCAAGCCGCGTGACAGGCACGGGGTCTTCCTTGGTAATTCTGCAGAATAAAGTTGAGAAGAGATACTGGTCACCGCTTCCATCGTACAGAGGCAGGTAACGGTAACCCTGAGAGAGACTGCTCAGTTTGGCCGTGAATGTGGCAAGTTGAATGCTGTTATTATTGCCAGCGCTTCGCCCGTCAAGTGAGCTCCACACAGTCCATCGTACGAAGACTAGATCCGGATATTTGGTCTCTAGAGACAGCTTGAACTTGTCGTTGAAGAATGGACTGTATCCGTTGCTTTGTTCAATCCTTGTCCTCCTACGATGAGGAAGACCAATACCAGACATGCCATTACGAGCGGAAGCATTCATACCACCTTCGCCAAAAGCCAGACTCTGACCCCTGTCATCGGCACTAAATATCTCGATCTCGATGTAAGGGTTGATGTTCTCGTCAGGTCCCAGACTGCGGGGCCGCGGAAGTTGCTGGGCAGAGATCACGTCTACTGAGAAACGGACAAGCTTCCTTTCAATCTTAGGTCGTCCGTCGTGCAGCGAAAACGAGTCAAAACCAAGATTCGGCGCGCGTAAGCTTTCTGGTTTCAGTACGTATCCAGTCCGATTTGTTCCTGCAGCAAACATCGCCTGATTCATCTGCATTCCCACATCGTACGTTTGCCAGTTGAGAGCAACCATCTGCACACCGCGCCGCCAGAAGGCATTGGGATCGAAGTTGGAGGACCGGAGACGGAATCCAGAAGGGTAGACACGGGTAAGATATTTCCGATTGTGTTTCTCGAGGAGGACTTTGTTTTCAGAGTCACGGCAGATACTCTCGAAGGATCTCTCAGCAAAAGAGTACACATGGTTGAAGCGCTTGCTGTCGGAGGACGTGAAACTCTGCCACTTGTATCCACGGGTATAGACACCCAGGTCCGAGAGAGGCTTGGTGATTTTACTCTTATGGCGTCTCCTCTTGTCTCTCTTGCTGGACCCCAGTGCACCATCGCTGTCGTCGGTGGCGCTGCTCATACTGGTAGTAGTGGCTGACCGTCGGCCAGGCATCCAGTTTGAGGTCGCCCCTTCTCCAGGGCCAATAGTGGGCGGGCTAGAGAGTGGTGGACAGGACGCTAGATTAGGACTCTCCAGGATGGTGGCTTGAGTAAACGGAGAACTAGAACTGCGCTTACGTCCAGTGGTGCTCGTGGTGCTTGTCGTGCTTTTCGTGTCGGTAAAAATGTCACTCTCATCGGCCTCATCTGAAGTCTTTACCTTGATGAGAATTCTGCGCTTTAATTCCTCGGGAGTGGGAAGGATGGGACAGTTCGTGAGCAAAGGTTCCAGTACAAGCTGATCACCAAATGTCTCCTTCATGATCTTGACCATTGCAAGCTGCTGCTCTGGATTGCAATGCACCTCGAGAGACAGAATAAGTGGAAACTCTGATTTAAGAAAAGCGTAGCGGTTAATCACTGCGATGCAATCAGCGAATAGAACACTGCTGGTCATGGTTCTTCCGTGGGAAACGATGGGACGACCGTCTGCGCCGTCCCAGCAGTCAATCTCCACGCAGCGGCATCCTTGTTGCAACGCAGTGATATAAGCTTCTGTGCTTGACGCACCAGCGACCTGTCTTCCAAGTAGATAGGTATTATGGGAACTCGAGATGAAATATTCGTTCAGCGGTCGATCAAACGGCGATCGGGGAGCGCGAGAGGCATATATACCGTTCGACGCAGAAGCCAAGAACGATGAGAAAGCATCGAAATTCATTCGACACATGTAACCTTCCAAAGGTTCAGGCAGACTCTGGGCGCGGGACTTGGATTTCCGGACGAACTTTTCAAACACGGTCACCCAGTATTCTTTGTCGGTGTCCACATCCTCCCGCTGCATCTCGCGCAGGAAGACCAGGAATTCTTCCAGCGTCAGACCTTCTTTGGGACTGGCTGCCAGCTCTGCGAAGATGTTTCTGAGATCTTTCCGCTCCTTCAGTCCTGCGAGGAATTCTTTGAACTCGCCAAAGTTCAACTTGCCCTTGGCTCCTACATCGGCTTTCAAGAACTGAGCACGGAGCATGTCCCGTGAACAGTTTATATGCAGACTGCGACATACACTTTCGATCGCAGACTGGTCCAAACCTTCCTCTTCTCCCACGGCCAGGCCTTGAGCTGACAATCTGGACAGTTCTCGCTGCCAGTGGGCCTTCAGGACCGCCTCACTCTGGCCGGATCCAGCCAGACCAGCCATGAGGCCAATTCTGTACCTGGAGATATGCTCCAACGTGGTCGTCCAAAGTTCGAAAGTGTGATCATCGGGTGCGATGAGGTGCATGGTCTTGACGGGACGGCCTTTGGAGCGCTCTGGATCAGCGAAGATGATCGTGAACCAGCGGCTCTCCATATCCTGGGGGATCTGGTGTTCTTCGCGGTAATTCCGCGCATCGACCCCGACACGGATCTCTTTAATGTCGTCAATGTAAAATCTCTTTGCAGGATTGGCCGGATCCCAGAAGACTTTTGCTGAATCAAGCTCGAGGAAGAACCGAACCGACCTTGTCTTCTTCTTGGTGACTTTGGTGAGGAGCGTACCGCGCTGAAGCGAGGAATCGACCTTGGGCGCAACAGTGCCAACCTCGCGTGCCATAGGCATCCGGTGCTCACTGGTCATACTAGTGGCTTCCGAGCCGCACCAAGGACCCAGGAAATCGATTGCTTCGTTGTCCTCATCTTCATAGCTGGAGTCTAGAGACGTCTCACGGCCACTATTCGCACCGGTCTTGCTGTCACTGCGTCTGCGCATGATAACAGGACCCGAGCTGTGATCTCTCTTATCATGGTGAGATGTCGATTGTCTCCTGCGCGTGAGCTTGTTAGCTGCACCCCGCGAAATCCTTCGCATCAAACCTGGGCCTTTGACATTGCTGGAGATGACGGGGTCGCTCGCGTTGTTCGAGTTGACGTTTCCGGGCACGGCCATAACGGACTCACCCAGCTCAAGGGGAAGAGGAGATGCAAGCGTACCAGGGAGCAGTCGCCCTCGGAAACCGTCTGCGGCACTCTGGAACGGGGTGGTAGCTGGGCTGGAAGCATTGGAGGAACTGCGCCCTGCAAAGACAGAGCTGGAGGTGGTTGCGGATGGAGATGCAGAAGTTGACGCCGGGGGTGTGGTGATATTGAGGGGGAAAGATGTGATGACATGGTGTAGCTGAGGAAGTCGAGCAAGAGAGGCAGGGAATTTGGAACTGGTGTGAGGGTCGCCATTTATGGCGGAGGGTGAGGAGGAAGCAGTAGAGGCCATCTCAACTATCAGCTGGGAAGCACAGCTCCAGAAAAGAAGGCGACTGTAGGCAAGCGAACCGTGCCAGAGTCGGAGTCACCTGGACCCGCCAAGGGACGAATAAGCGACAGGGCGGTAGCAAGCAAGCTGCTTAGGCAGATAATAGATTGGTTGCGCAGCTATGAATCGAGCAAAAGGCCCGGGAGAAAACGCGTTTGATATGTAGCGTGGGAGTCACGTCCTAAGCAGGTTTGCTCAGATTATTGATATCTGCATCTTGGCCTGCCTGCAATGCAATGCGAAGTAGCCCTGCCGGAGAGCGCTCGCGAGAAGAAGAATTGAAAGACTCCTTGGAGAGCTGATCAAGAAACGGCTGGTGGCTGTGGAGCTTGCCCACGAGGGCTTTCCTTGCCCGTGAGTGACAGTGCGACCCCCGAGATAGTCCTCTTATGCTTGTCTCCTTGTCCGCCGGACACAATGAGATTTCCGGCTGCGTTCCCCTGCACAAATTCGCCAGATCGTTTCGATTTCTTTCTTCTGTCCCTCCCACCGTTGACGACTGCGTCCCAATCGCGATTCAATGCCCCTCCCCAGTGTCGATCTGCCGGAACGAGGGGAAAGCTACCCTCGCACGAAGGGAGGGGATGGTAACAGGCAACCAATTGAGGCTGGAGCCGCAGAGAGGGGCAATGCGGTATTTCGCGGCTGCTTGATGCAAGTAACGAGGTCGACGGCCTGCGCACGTACCTAGCCAAAGTCGACCTTGTCGGCAGCTGGCTAGAAAGAGGAATTGCGTGAAGGACCAGCCAATTAGTTCACAGTCGGCCTGCCGTACATGCGAGATGGATAGGGCGGCGGGATAAAGTCTCCAGAGCTGATGACAATCTTAATCACCAGAACGAAGATTTGACTGCCAACACAGCTATGCACGTGAACCGATGCGGAAAGACATGCAATTGTCGCCTGTGATCGTTGCTTGCGGTGGATTGGACCGGGGCGTTTTGCGCGCAGGTGGTAGTGTTCGACGCTCAAGCTGGACGTCCTGCACGATCGTTACGCGTGGGGTGGTCGAAAAGAAAAGTAATTTGGACAGTCCGCGGGTTGCTGACGAAGCGAGAAAGGGACCGCAGGCTCATGCGGTACAGTAGTGACGCGAGCAGAGAAGAAGGTACAGACTGAAGCTTGCGCACAAGTCAACGGGATGTGAGGTCGAGAAGATGATTGTCGAGAGAGAATAATATTGCCAGATAATACAATTTAAGCGGCGAGCTGTCAGGACGGATGGGCGTGCGGGATGAAGAATTTTGGAAGGTTCGATTGGAACTTCGATCAAGCGGCCCTAGTTCGATGTTTCAATGGTGACTCTTCAAAGCGGGCCTCGTTTGGGGGTGGAATAATTGGAATTGGAATTGGAATTGGAAGCCCTGCAGAGCCGGGGTGGGGAATTATTACCGTATCGTTACCGGGATGCGGGTCGGTATCGTGTTCGCATACGGTGACCGTATCGATACGTCTGGTATGGTGGCTCAACTTTTCCAGGGGGGCAGAAATAACTACTCCGTAGTTGATGGACAAGAACAAGAAAAAGGGCACACGGCTGTGGCGCGATTCGCCCTATCTAGTTAGTTACAGTCTGTAACTTAGATAGTGGTTGCCCTTCTGCGCCTCAGGCCAGAGGAGGGTCCTGAAATGAGGAAGGATAAGGATAATAGCGATAATGGTAATATCTTGCACCCCCGGGGTGACGATGACGATGTCGTTTCAACCGGTTCCCGGTCGAGCAAAACAAGAGGCAGCCAGCAGCTGTCGAAACTCGTGTCTGGGGAAAAAAAAGGGCAGTTGGTCTTATGGCAGTATGTTCGTTATCGTGCGGCGCAGATGAGTAAAAGGCAACAGAGATGACCACCATAAAGTATGTCGAGGTCCGTGGTGCACTGCGGGCGGGTGCAAGGGAGGACTTAATAAGAACTACTGAATGATTTATTTCCTTAGGCGGGATGGGCAAGATGGGTATGATGTGGATGCTGCGATGACTGTTCTCCCCTGCGACACTCGAGCTTTTTTGCGCTGTCAAGAAAACGACCAGAGGCGGACCTATGAGCTACGAGAATCACGATACTACTTCGAGCCAATACTCTTGCTGCAGTCAAGCAGCGCATAGCAACGGCCACCGCACACCTGCCCAAGATTCCACTGGCAGTGCTAATCAACACTTCTCCCCTCCTGGTCTGCGTGAAGCCCGAGGTTTGGGCTGCAAGAAGAGCGCAGCAGACGGAGACAGGGTCGAAGAAGGCAGAATGTGCGGATCCCATAACTCTGGTCATTGGTCGATCTTTTCTGGGGAATGTCAGTGTCAATTTCACAGAGACGGGACGTTTCAGAAGGACCATCATCATCTCCTGCCGGAGATCTGCTCCTGCGTATCTCGCAGCTGCGTAATTAATTAACTAACTCTATTGTGTGGAGAGGAAACCCTTGGTACCGAATGGCGGTCGATAAAAGGATCATGCCATGCCTTATCATGTAATGAGATATCCTGGCCAGTAGGTTTGGGTTGGGAATAGATAGTAGTAACTACCTACCATATGGTAGAGTTGACGGAGCAATGGGTTTTGTTGGATTGCTCTTGGACTTGGAACAATGTGATGAACTCTACTCATCGCCCCTCTTCCGATCGATCTACTTTGCTTTTCCAGTGAGCAGGTAACAGCGATGACCCACCCTATTGTATTGTCTTCTTATTTCAATACGGAAATAATCTATAGATACTGGCGACAATAATGAATGCCCTGACGTGCTCCTTTCGCGACCCGCAAGTCGACGTTCAGGGTGCTCGCTAAAAGGTGCTACGATGAACCGACCTCAACACCGTTTGCAGGCGAACCCGGAAGCCGTACGGAAGGTGACGGGCCCCGTTGATAAAAAGGTGTTCGTTCCCTGCCAGGCTGCCAGGGCTCACACTACTGGCAGGCCAAGAGGACCGTCGAACAATTGAGATATGAAATTTAATTTCGGAGGTTTGAATCCACACCACTCAGCCCCAAAGCCCGCCTGAAATCTTTAGAACACCGCTGTTGCCAGCACAAATCATGTCTTTTTCTCCATGTAGTCTACGAGCTGCACCTTGGGCACGCAGCACGCTTGTCTACACCGCGACTTTTAACCCTTGATGATGATTGGGGCCCTTCAGCAGCATTTCCCCGACTATCACGACATCACAGTTGCCTGCTGTAAGGCTGCTTTTCGGCTGTCGCTCGCAACCGTGTTTCATCATGGCCGCTGCAGGGTGATGGCACGAGATAGGGCACGGTGATTTGCGCACAAATCATGCCAGCCCACCACATGGTAACTAACCAGTCTGCTTAGCTGTCAGCCAGCGATGAAGCACCAACGGTAGATCAGACAGGACCGAGCTCAAAGACACGATCATCATGCTACTACTGTCGCGACACCTTCGAGAAAGGAGTGAAAGGGGAAAGCGACCTATGCGCTCTCTCAGACCCCGTAGAGAAGTGAAATCAGCGGTGGAGCTTCCAGTCACCTCTTCTGCTCTTCAGGTCCCAATCGTTCGGTGCATCAGCGGGGAGACCGTTAAGGGTTCGCAGATTGTGGGTGCCCTCGTATCGCGCCTGTATGGACAGTATTGCAACAGGACGATCGCCAAGTCGCAAAGCAGCGATCTGATTCACACCAATCATGCCAGCAATTCGCTCCTTTTGTTTGTTGATTAGCTCTCTGCTTCGTACTAATTAATTACATTGGAGCCTTGACAGCAGCGGACAGGGCATCGCGCCTCGTGATGGTATTATAAGGGGTGATTCACGACAGCCAGTCCCGGAGGACCGTTTCTTTTCCTGCCCTACGAGGGGCTTACCGCTGATGCTGAGACCGCTGTCCAGTTTAGGATTTCTTGTATTGAAGCTTTTATTGTTTCTGCCGGTCTTATGCTCTTACCGCTTCATGCGACCACTGCAGCCTTGCAGCCTTGCAGCCAACCGTTCCAATGATTTTCAACAGTCTTGTCGGCTGCGAGATGCGGCACCGCTCCTCCAGACCGTCTTCCAATCCCCTCCATCGGCCCCCGTGCCAGCTGTTGTTTTGCGGCTCATCCCAGTGTGTCTGTGCGTCTGGGATGCTCTCGATGATGATTATGCCATATTGTCTTGTCCCTCGTGCGACATGACATGTCTGATACGATGGCATCGGTCAATGGTCACAACGATGTCTCTGTCACTATAACAGCGTTGCCTCGACAAGATCCAGTTATCTAGGATTCAAATTGATCCTGGTCCTGGAAAGGTCGACGTTGTTTTTAGCGGTTCTTTGTCGTGGGATAGTCCCTGTGGATATTCGACCCCTCCAAAACGGCTATTTCGAGTTCTCCTCCCTCAGTACGTACTGGCACAGTGTATGGCAAACGATCGCTGTCAAGGTCGCGCAGCTATCCACATGAGGGAAGTTGACTAACGTGTAACTTGGGTGTTAGTGACTCACTGTGCTTCCTAATCAGGGTACTAAGCAACGTCTCATGACACTGGACGAGTGTTTATGCCTGGGGGCACGACGCTCATCTGCGAGATTAGAGAATGAGCAGTTACCCCTCAGCTTATCGTTAAGTTACAGGACCTCGTGCTCTCTGCGGTCATCTTGACTGGTATCAAGCCGGCGCCATGCGATCTTTTCTAGGCACGGATGTTAATAGGCCGGCATGGTGGATTGGTTCTTCTGTGACACCCTCGGGCGCAGCCAACGTTGCATATTGCTGCGGAAGACAGATAGTTAGTTACAGTCTCCTCAGCTGATCTCAGCTCGGGCAACCGGACAGCTGTGCGATACTACTAGCGACATAGACGACCGGATCTTTTTCTATCGCGCAACAGTCAGATATTGGAGGATGGGGTTAATCTTGCCGCCGATCCATTGTCCTTCCTGCCGCTGCCGCTGCCGCCAAGGGGCGTCCCCGCGGTTTGGGTTTACATTCTAGTATCTACAGTATCTACATGTCGGACCTAGTCGCAGACAAGGAGGGGAAGACCAGGATCCTACCTTGACAAGGTTGCTCAAGTCATCATCATTTCACTTGCTAGTTATTGATTACTACGCTTCTCAGTGCTAACTACTAACTACTATAGCTATAGTTAGCACCTCTCTCCTTGTTTCCCCCGTCCTTCAGGCAGAGGGTTTCTGTTCGAGACGTCTGGTTTCCTCATTTAGAGCGGAAACCATTTCTGTGCAGTGTGCACCCAACCTCTGATGAGCTAACCCGCGGTCATCGCTCGATTCTATTACTACGTAGTATTGTCGCCGTTCGAAGATCATCAGACAATAGCCTCGATCGTACTCAAAACAGACCAGTTCGTGCATCTCACCCCGCAGATAGGGGTGATCCGGGTGTGTTTATGCCCATCTCCACGATCTATCGCTCCCCGTGCCCTCCCCCTTTTTGACCGCAGGCATTCCCCGGGTTTATGGCATGCGAGGACATCGCGGGCCAGCTCACATGACGATATGGTTTCTTGGCTTAGAAGCAACCGGTGGCATTTTCCGATTCTCGCTTCATTGGCGGTGACGGCCTAAATGAACCAATGTCTCTCCTGGAAGGCCTAACTACTGCTTGAGCCTTGTAGATAACTAAGTAGCTTTTGTTCTCAGTCTGAGAGCCACGCCGTTTTCTCGTGGGGATCGTCGATTGGCCTGCCTATTTCCGGGATAGCTCAGCGAGTCCGATCCACTCGCCTTTGTCATGACAGGGAAGAAAAGGGCAAAGTGTACTCCGTAGTCTACTCCGTACTCCGTACCCTTGAAGGTTGACTTTTGAGTGACCGTGTGTGGATCTCGGATTCTTCCTCCTCTGATGGCTTTTCTTGTTCCTTGGTAACCCCGGCGATGAGATCCATACCTGCCATGATCCTTCATTGTTGTCCCAGAGAGAGGAAGTAGTCACTTAATGGGGACGGCTCCTTAACCTAGCAGCAAAGCCCGCCGACCGCGCAAACAGCGGTCTCCGGGCCCTGCAAGGATGACATCATCACTACCGCTCGATCGGCACGTGACGGGGTGCAGATCGATTGATTGTTCACAAGGAGGGGGAGTAAAACCAAGCCGGCCCCGTTGCGATCAGTCCCCAAGCGGGTTCGGGGTTTAATCTTGTGTTAGATTGATTAGGAGCATCTAGTGTGCTTCTGGTGCTTATCCTGACAACTAGAGTTAGATAGAGTAATAATAATACTCCATACGGAGTAAAGCATTCATTATTATTTATTTTCTCTGGCGTCATGATCTAACTAAAAGTACTGTACAGTACCACCCACTCCAATGGTCCGCCGTCATGGTACCGTTCCGCGTAACAATACAGCTGTCACAGCGCTAGCGTAACGTACCGTTATAGTGGCTGGTACGGGCCCTTAACCAAAAGCAGTAATTCCAGGGCTGTCCCTGGACGGAGAGGACAAGGCTACGTACCTCGTATCTCGTACTCGGTCCGGTCGGTTGGTTCACCATCTCTGCAGGTCAGATCGAATTAATTATCTCCGGCCATTATTGCAAAGACCTCGTAATCGCATCAGAACTGTTCGTGTTCTTTCTCTCTTTATTTCTTTATTTCTTTCTTTCCTGTGCAAGTCAGCAAGCTGCCTTCATCTTCATCCCTGAATTGCACCAGTGGCGAAGCTTTTGCAGGCAAGGGCGGTCGCGACTAGCTTGTTAGCTAGCCGGGCAGCCCGAAAGGCTGCGGAAAGCCCGTTCCCAGCCAGACGGAAACATTGACGCCTCTAGCCAGGGGGGGGGTTCGTCATGGAATGGTATTTTTATTTTTTATTTTTTATTTTATTTTATTTCATTTTATTGATGTGATAAGGGAGGACAGGGCAAAAAGATTAAAAACAAAAAAGTAACTTACAGGGTCCACATTTCTTTTTCCCGCTCCTATCATTCTGCTCTAGTTACTCTAACTACTCTATGGTACTCTATGATTGTTACTGCTCACATTACTTATTCGCTGCCCTAACTACTGTCTACGAGTATTAACTAATTCATGAAGGATTATTATTATTGTCATTTAGTCAATACCATAGTGAACTATCCAGCCGATATTACCCGCTCAGACACTCTCACTAATCATTGTTTGTTTGATGCGGAGACAACTCCCACGTAACTAATAAATAATACAGTTAATAATAATACTGCGGCGGCCTTCAGTCCGTACCTGGCTTTGTCAAGAGCGTTGCACCCGCTCCATCCGCACCGTGCCCTTCGATGCGTCTTCCATGACCCGGAGTCGAATCGCCGATGGCAGAGGGTATCGCCCAGCCGTCACTGGGATCTTCCCACGAAAGCGGGCATCAATGACCTTGCACTTGTCAACGTGCGCAGCCTCCATTGCCTGGAAACTACACGCGATGTCATGCATCAGGGAAGCTGCATTAAACTTATCTCGTGACACTCTTTCTCGTCCTGCCGCCTTGAGCGCAGCGAATTATTTACTAAGCCCCTCCTGAGAGCGAGCTCAGCCCGAGGCTGTTTCCAAGTTGCATTGCATCTCCTCATCGGGCAAGATATCACCAGGCGGTGGAGGAGTGCCTGTTCGGTTGACGATTGCAGCAACTAAGTTAGTAAGTTAGATACAAGGTTGGAGAAGAAGAATAATGACCCGCAGACCGCAACGGCAAAAACAGGCTTGGAGGGGGAAAAACGTGCTTCTCGAGTCTGCGCGTCGTATTGCCTGTTCTGGTCGTTTCTGTCATTCCTGACTTCCCGACGATGCGGACCGATTATTGATGTTCATTGGGTCGGACATTCTTGTTTACTCGTGGAGAATCGTGTTGATTTCCATGTTAGAAATCCATCTTGACCTCGCAAACTATCCCTATTCGGAGGTGGGATAGTTACACTCGTTTTTCCATTATTATTATTATTATTATTATCACCCCATGTGAGGCTGCGGCTTATTCAGGTCTGTGTCACTTTATTTTTCTTTTGTCCTTCATGGCTGTCAAGGTAGGTGGGGTACATAGGCTATGGTCAAGTTGTCAACCGCCCCTCAAGCTTCTTGGGATGCGGGGCACTCGATCCTGGCTCTGTGTGTGCTGTACTTCTACGAAGTATCTATCCATGTTCTATCTATCTCAATGCCCAATTTGGTGAACGAGGACTGCACTATGAAAAGTCAACACCGGGGTCCACAATGGATAATCTCGTCAGACCAGCTAATATACATACTCCTAATCAGAGAGTATGGTTGCCTTCGTAAATTCCGCTGCTTTGTACACCCAGGACGGAACCTGACGGCAACGCTTTACTGATGGCTTAACCAATAGTTACTACTTTGTATTACAATGTCTAGCCTGCCCATCCTCACGCCTTTTCCTGTAACACAGACGCTACTCGTCAATGGGATATAATCCATGGGCTACCCACCACAAGACTCATCATCCTTACGATGTTGTTATTCCTTAGCATGCATCCGCAGCCGACGGCAAATATCCTCGTCTGCCCTCAGGCATGAAATGAGTCGAGTTGGACGATGGAAGCTTTGACTCTTCCCTCTTCCGGAAACATCATGCCAGATATTATTAATACATCATCATGGCTGATATGACACCCCGGGGTGTCTCTTTGCTTCCTCCAGAATTCGCCAGATGCTCTTGTCAATGACAATCGTCCCGGGCTGAACCTGCCTCTTCAAGACTTGATACCCTGGGTATACGTCGAATAATGATGATTCACCAGACGATCAGCCGCGCAAGTGGCGGTTCCGCGATTCCAAGGGTACCTTGTCTGATATTATTACAAAGTCGTACCGCCTTTCCAGTTTCAGGTTGTCTCGTCACGTATGGACTAGGACAGCAACAATAATGACTGTCTTGTCACCACCAGACCGATCCATTTTGATGATGTTTGATTCCGAAACTTGATCGTGCATCATTTGCGTTCCAGCCCTGTCGGTTGATGCTGCTGTCCCTGGTCTGCCTATTGCGACGCTCCACCATACAGATGGCGAGAAAATGTCATGCAGCTAACTACTCCTTTAGTGCTATAGCATGTTCGAATTGTCGGGTCTCCAGTAGACGATCCATATCTCTGGAACCTTCGAGCCTCTAGCCGATTCTCCTTTCAACCATACGGGGAATAGCAGTAATACAATATACTGGCCGGTGATCTAGATCCCGTCTCCCGGCCAACGCCTGAAGGCGCCCGCTACGAGAAAATTCGATGGTGCCAGAAAGAACCTGTCTTCATTCTACCCATAGACCCTATCACATACCTTTGTTTTCAGGGTTCTGCCTCTGTATCGGTGATGGCCACAAAACCGGCGGAACGCTGCGTTATGGTAAAGTCGCTGCAATCAGGCGGAGAGACATCCCGATCGCAACCCAAGGAACGTTATCTCATCCTTCCGTCAAATCAAAGGCAACACTCTCTCCCCTGGAAGTTTCTAGGGAAATCCGATCGGTGATTTCGGACTGTCAGCAACGCTGCAAAATGGCACGAAACCTCTTTACCACATCCTGGGCCGCTCACCGGGGAACGCCCCTTGTCCGGGATGCATTTCTTCATGCGAGATGATGATAATTTACAGGGCCATCGACCTACAACGGACCTGCTCGTTGTTGTTCCATCGGGAGATCTGCCAGGTTTAAAGGACTGTGCGGGGACTGGTCTAGACCCCTCGGGCTGTTCCGTGACGGATCGATCGTTGGCCAACGGTTTCCACAAGCTTAACGCCTCCTGGAGTCCGCTCATCTTTTTTCATCCTGCGCATCCGCTTTGACAGGGGGATTTTGCCTTTCCCATCTTGTCGCTGCTTACAGCACGTCAGAGTTGTGCGCTGTGATGGACTTGTCCCTTCTTACTATGGTACTTGCTGTACGGACTCGAGACACGGGGTAGTGATAACTCTCATTCATAGCTCTCATCTCTATCAGGACAACTACACAAGATCTCAACTGCAGAACAGTGTCCGAAAACTTAATCGCAGAGATCGACATTCTCGCATGCAGGAACAGGGCTGCTGTGTCACTTACATCTAGTTACTACTCACTCACTCATAGATTAATCACTTCATCACTACTTAGCAGCAACCCCGCCATTTCTTTACCTTCAACAGGATAATTATTACCCATGGTAAATGACTCCTTTCCTAACTTATCTACCCCTTCGTTATCCTAATGCGCCTCACATCCATCAAACAATCTTAGCGCTTGGACCCGTCGTCCCTCGCCTCGATAACGCATGAAACAAAATTACAACATCTTACCACAATTACTGTACATACATACATACATAACCCCCCAATCCCACATGGAAAGCCGCTGCATTCAACAGTATGGTAGTTAATTATTCGTTCTCTCCTTATCTACGCCCTCTTGCTACCTACGTACCCGTATCCCTGTCCGCTACGGCGCGAGCTCGTCGCTGAAACGTCTGCCAAAGCTAAAATGCTATGGGACGCGTATGTGGAGTACGTGTATAGGGTACGTATACATGAGCATGAAGAGTTCGTTTTTATATTTGATCTTATTTGGATGATTATTGGGTGCCCTATTGCGGCTTGGCGTTTGGTCTGTATAGCGTTATAGGTAACTACGTCCGCTACAGAATTAAGGGTGCGGTAAAGGATAGTTAGGTGGTTCGCTGTGTACTTGGTTAAATCTTCGATATATATTTATATGTATCGTGCTGTAGGCCATGTGATGTGCAGATATCCGATCAATGGGTGTGTGAAATAGGAAGAGAGGATAGAATTCAAATATTTCCCTTCTAGCTTAGCTTATACAGTTCCAAGATTTATTAGCGGGGGAATAGGTTAGGGACTATGTCTCCTATAGTACCGTGATATAGTTTTATTGCCGGGGGAAGCAAAGCGATTGTACTGTTTACCATGCGTTGGTATAATCTGGGGACGAGATAAAGTTCCATCCATCTTTCTAAAAACGATGACTTTGAATTTATTCAGAAAATAGCGGAAGTCATCACCTATAGATCTCGACTATACAATACACACAATAAAAAAAGGCACCGCAAACATGCTTCTCTCAGATATATAAATACTTCCGGCATCAGTATCAGAGGGAGACAGCACGGGATGATCTCTATTCCTAACATAACAAGAACCCCAGTTCAGAATCTCCCTTATGATTTCAACGAAGGTATCTATGAAAGAATCAAACCACAAGTACAACAGGACGCAACTACGCACTGCTGCTATGATCGCAAGTGCAATCACTCCCCCTAGACGACTTCCCAAAAATCCCCGTCTTCCCCGCATCAATGCTCTTGCTGAGTTTACTCCAGCTATGTCTATGTCCATTAGCCACAGCCATTGCATGCGCGAGATTGACCGTCCAGCGTCTCCCAGGCTGTCGTCGTCGTCTCCATTTCGCCTCTCCGTTGATCGACTTGTGCTTCTCGCTGTCGCTATCGCATTCCAGCCCGAGAACGCGACAAATGACTCTGATCTCTGCGTGATCTCTTGTATTCCGCATCCGATGACACCAGGTTACTTTCACATCGACGTCCGATCCAGCTCCTTCTTGTTTTCCGTAATCAAATTTCCAATCCCGACTAGCTTCAAAGATAAATTCACCACCAATCTGCCTCATATCCCCACCTCGAAAAGCGTCTCCTTCACCGAGTCGCTTGACGCCTTGCACGACGCTTTGGAACATCCCTGTAAGTAGAGAGCGATGAATATATTCTGGATCGTTCCGGCCGAGGTTCAGGGTGCGTCCCATTCCGAGGGCGCGGTATAATCGTTTGGTAGGGTCCGCGTAGACGGGGAAGGGACAGGATGTTTCTTCTTTGTACATGGTGATGAGAGATGGGGAGCCGCAGCCGATGATAACTAGTTCGGTTCCGTCTGGGATTGTGGATGGTGAGGGGATGGCGGATGTGAGGGAGCGGAGGTATTCTTGGCAGTTCTGGATGGGAATTGTAAGTTAATTTGGTTTTTATCCGTGGATGCATGTTTTTGTTGTTGGTGGTTCCAAGTTCATATATGAATTGAATGGGATAGAACGGATGGGATGAGATGTCTGATATCAAACTCTGGGTAGGTAGGGGATAAATGTAAAACTCACCCCACAGAAAAAATGCCGAACGAAAATAACCATCACTCGTTTCTTTTCCAGAGCATTTGACGGCATATACACATTCCTAAAAGGCATCTCAACCCCATGTGCATCAATAACCGGTAGAAGAGCCGCTTCTTCTAGCATCATCTTCGACGGTAGCTCACTCGACACTTCGACATCCTCCCCCGGTTCATCTAACAGACGGTCAGAATCCGGAGAAATTTCACCCTCATCATGCCCGAATGCTTCACCGAATGGCGTCGGTGGGAGGGATTTATCTGCGATGGAGGCGCAATTCGGTGAAGATATAGAATTGGTATCTGTCTTTATGATGGATACGCCGAATGCTGGCTTGGGAATATCCTTGAAGGCAAGGCTTGGTGGAACTATTGATCTTCGGGGTTGAACAGGTTGAACTCGGACGAATGTTTGCTGAGATGGGTCGGACGCCCATGTCTGCGCGTCTGATTGATGGAATGCCGGGAAGGGTTCTTGGGACATGGTGATAGTGACGGTCATTTTTGCGGACTAGAGGAAACGACAAAGTTCTGTAAAAGCAGTCCGTCAGTATGGTTATCATGAGGAACTATATCATTCTTAATGTTTGATGGATCAGTCATACATACAAGCTTTCAGAGGTGAATTTGAGCTTTGGGAGCCAAACTTTGGTTCCAGCACAGAATAGGATATGTTCGAAGTTCTAGTGGGAAGCGAAGCACAGGTCTGTGTTTTCAATACTTCTTTATGTCCTGACAAATCGAGAGATCTAGGAATATACGTTGATATGGAAAAAAGGAAGGGCACACAAGCTGCAATAGCAACAAGCGTCCGAAATGAGTGAAAAATCTGGAAGAATAGAACTCAAAAGAGGAGATTGGTCCGGCCAAAACACCCTTCGAAACAATATTGACAAATAACGTCTAAATGAAATATAAAAAGAAATATATATATAAAAAAAAGTAAATGGTGTGAGGCGCCGCTCCTGCTACAAGACAGAGAGAGCAAGTCGCCTTATACGAGGACCCATGATCTCTCTTAAAAGTCAATTGCTCGGATCTCTTGACATCGAGCCAAGACACAAACTAATTAAGCAAAACGACATGAAATGCGCTCGTCCTAGACCATTGTTGGGGATGCCGCTGACACGTCGCGTCTATCCGGTAACGTGCTCAGGGGGTGTCTCTGGGAATAGTTACGCCAGGGTTGATTTTGAGGCAAATACGACTCCATTTTCGGTAATCAGTCCACAGCAGTATCAACCTAGATGCATTCTCCCAGCAAGATCGAAAGGATAGTTACTCTGTATGGAAACGAGGGCAACGCGTTCAATCGTTGTGTGTCGCAGACTCGTTTCAGCATCAAGGCGGCGAACCCCTGAATGACTGTCGGAAGTAAGTATTTGCCGTAGCTCTAGGCCAGGACCGACATACAACGATGGGATTCTCGCATTTGGAGGTAATAACAGAATATTCCTATGTTTGTTCGAATAATTTCGTCGAAAATGTAATATCTGTCAGAAATATACATTATAAGCGCTGTCTCAAATGCGGAGAGCGCAACCAGGCTTGTTGGCCGGAAGTACAGAGTATGTAAAAGGTTCTATATCCGGAATACTCGCAAAACGGTAATTAGTTTGTAAGCGGAACTTTCAAAGTTTTCTGACAGATAGATACGGAATACTCCGTGGACTGGATTCTCCCCGCATATGGGACCAGGGAAAGTCACGATGATCCTTGACAGCAGGTATCCTCATGTGGCAGAAGAATTGGAAAAGGGGTCTCGTCATGTAGTTTGAGACAGGGACCAGCCGGCGACTGAAACGGCATTGTCTACCTCCTCCATAAGAAGGCATATTTTACGTTTAAATTTGTGAATTGTGAGTGCACAAGTGAGACGTCCGAACGCATATTGTGGACCTGTTTTAAGGCGTGATCCCACAGCCAAAAGTTCTCACAGAACTTTTCTTTTAGCCAAAAAGCTGTTCACAATAATAGATTCCCATAAAAGCAAGGAACCCCCAGTCAGCATCATTTTCTGAACACAGACTAAGCTAGTTTACTGCTGACAATTCTAGAGCGGGTTCCGCGATTCTAGCTGTTGATCGTCATGGGGGATCTGCATAATCTGCAGGGTCGATGAAGCTGACGATCATACTGTTTTTCTCCACTATTTGATATGGAAAATAGCAATCGCAATGGTTACTGCGCTAGCAGGAAAACAGATGTAACTAAAGTGTGTGGTCTTCGTAATGGTCGACAAGCACTAGTATCTCGCTGTATTGGACGGCGCAGGTCAGTCATCCAGTCTAGCCTGTTTTCTAAGGAGATGAAGAGCCAACGAATGTAATATGGAGTGGACCAGCAATTGACCCTGAAAGTTCGTCGAAAAGTGCCAACCACGTTGGAAGAGCAGTCCCGGATTAGCGGCCGCACTGGTCAGAGACTGCGCCGGATGCAAACCAATGGCCCAAGGATGTCCTGGATGTCAAAGTCTGCTCATACTTCACAGGTTCCAACCATCAATATCAGACACAGAATTGAATACCGCACAATTTGGAAAGCAGGAGTCTAGGTCCCAGAGAGTCCCATCTCCAAAAGCTATATTGAAGGTACCTTCGCCGGTATTTTCACAGTGTAGGTTAGGAGCGTCTGGATGTGTTAAACCTTCATGCGCGCCCTTGGCTGGTAGAGAACGATGGACATCAAGTGCTTTCTCCCTGAGCTTGCGAAGTACGTTCCATTTCCGGCCATGGTTTGGCCAGTCTGGAGCCTCAGTTGAGTCAAATGACTTATTCACTACATCCCATGCCCTCTCGGTTCCAGGGGCTTCTGGCCGAACACAAAGGTGCCACAGGATATAGGTAAGCATATGATACTGCGGGAAACTTGAGAAGAGCCAAAAGAAGTTACTCAAGAGCTCATCTGTCTTCATTTCTAGACCAACTACCGCGGTATCGCATGCCAATGAAAGCGTTTGTTCACAAGCAGCTTGAGCCGCAGAGTCGTCCCAGCTGAGGCCTTTCAGTTTTTGCCGGCGGATGAAGACTTCGACTTTTCCAATCTGCACACGGGCTAATAGTATCGCCGATCTCTGTATAGGGATGTTTGGGTCGCAGTACTGCAGATATTTGCTTTCTATGCTTGTTTTCACCTCATCCAGAATCTGTTCCAGGCTGGTCGCTCTGTCACTGTTATTGAGCCCCACTGCAGACAGTCTAGAGATCTGCCCAATGGCTTTGTTCATCTCAGCTGTTACGAGAAACTTCGTCATCTCCGTCCACTTTGCTTTTGATACTGGTGCAGTTTCCATGTCTGGATATAAGTCACTATCATCCACGTTGGCTGGGAGTTTCGTATCAGAGAAGCTGTCAAGCCCTCCGGTCAAGATCCCATGGTCTTCTGCAACTCGAGCGTCAGTACTGATGATCTGCCACCATAGCCGACGGCGCATTTCACATTCAAACGGAGATAGCTTGAAATGCTCTCCATCGCGATGAAGGCCGATTGATTGTGCTGCCCTGATTAGAAGCCCGTTCAGAGTCCAGCCAGAGCGACCACCACTAATGTTTCGGCGACACGTCTGATAATAGTATCAATGAGCTATATCCTAAAATGGCGGGTATTGCAAATATGTATTTACCTGGTATATAGACATCGCTTGTAGAGATCTTATCGTAGGTAAATCCAGGAATGATGCCATGTGCAGGGATACTTCCAGACCCCTCTGGTATGTTTGGAGCGCTGATTGTCGATCATGGCCGACAATGATGTGTGTCTCAGGGGAACCTAGGCTCGTCACAGCTGCAAAGTAGATAGAGAATAAAAGTGCAGTTACGTCTGGAGGGGCATGTTTGATATCATTTATGGCAGCAAAGATGACTGGTTCTAGCGTTGGGATGTGAAGAACCTTTATGAGAGGGTCGACATTATTCCGGTAAGACTGCCATAACAGCATTGCTTGCCGACGAGAGGGTAAGAAAGACGAGACATCATGTGCCGACTGCAGTGGGTTTGAAATCAAGCCATCGAATCCCATTATGGTCGATCTGCTCTCGGGAGTAGTACCACTAGGTGTGTCGATGGCCGACTGGAGTTCGCTTTCCTGTGAGACATGATTCAGTCTGTGGTGTTCCCGAAATGTGTGTTTCCCTTGATCATGTCTACTAACTTTTTCCAAGACACTTGAAAATAACATCTCATTTATATACCGAGTGGAAGCACCGTCTTTCAGTAAAAGCCCCTCCTGGGGACTCGCTTTTGGGGATGCATCCAGCCTAGGCCTGGAGGAAGGTCCGGACACAGATTTTGACCCAGAGATGATATCATGGTCGTAGTCTGTACTCTGAGAACTTTGCTTGGGGATTTTGGCTATCAGTCGTTCTAGTCTCTCTAACCGAGGCGTCAAGTTGGGGTCTGCAGTGGCATGCCTCCGTGAGCGACGCTTTGTTCGCTCTGGACCCGGATAATGACATGAAAGCTTAGCTCGGAGGCATGCAGAGCATGGAACCGTCTTACTGCATCGAACCTTTCGTTCGTGGCATCGGATACATGATCGTTCCACGTTGTACCGTCTCACAAGCGGCGATCCATGCTCGGGCTGCTGTGTCTGGTGCTCCATAGGCGATTCCCCAAAACAGGCACTGCATTTGTTCAAGATAAAATCGAAATGTAAAGGTTACTCGCGCCCTAGTTTCACAAGATTGAGATAAAGGGGTCATTCGCCTCAAACAGAGAGAAAATTGGTTGTGGCCATCTCGATTGAAGGTCGTTCGCTCGGTCGTTCGGCCTTTCGGCCTTTCGCCCGCCCTGCCAGACACGTGCTGTCCTGAAGGAGTCGCCAGTCCCAAACTGCATCATGTTTTACTCGTGAAGCGCTACAGATATTTAGATACATCAAAATAGACATCGCTATCACCATGAAGGCAAATGGCCAAATGTGGTGGAATTTGCAGCATTGAAAGTGACAAACGTAGAAGGCTTGTGAGAATCAAAGGTGAAATATATATTACCAACGAGGTCAAGATGCAAGTCCTTCTAACGCCAACTAGGTACTTATTGATATCCCCAAGGATTTTTCGGTATTTGAGGCTCCGTCGGTCTCATCTGAAATTCCAACATATCATCTAACGAAACCCATCCATTCCTTCTCGTAACAATCGCCAGGTTCAACACATCTTTCCACTCGCGCCACCACGTCTCTTCTGTCTGCACGGCACATGAACGGCCTGTGTCTTCAGCATCGATGCCCGGTGGAAGCGTCGCGTATGGCCAAACCGCACGCGCAACTTCATAACGTTTCTTCTCGAGAATCGGGGAGAAAAGCGTGGCAATGAAGCCCTCCCCCCGAGGTTGGACCGTGATCTTAGAGTACCGGACTGGGAAGGTCACAAGAACATGGTTGGTGTAGCCTGTCGCAGCAACGAGACTGCGGATTTGGCCTTCTATATAACTGGTATCCCAGTTTGTAATATGACGTTCCAGTGTGAATCTGTTCCGACATGTCAGTATATGTCTCCACACATGAGCTTAGTATGTGAAGATACAAATGTATCCCATATTTTTTAAGAGAAGGGAAGGGGAGCAGATCCATACGTTTTCAGCGATGATTTCTCTGCACAGAACCTCTTTGCCCAATCCTCGATCCCATTCTTCGTATTTGGTGTTGTCGTCTGCGTATTCTTCCCACGGAAAGCCAATTGGCCATCCTCCACCAATTTCAGATAGTTCCACCCTGTCGACGACCTCGTGGGTAGGAAGTACCTTAACATGTTAATCCTGACATCGAAATCAGGCTGGCTTGTCCCTGGAGGAATGCCCACGATGCGAATGTATGGTAATGGAGGTAGAGCTGCCTGTTCTCTTATGAACTGCGCCAGGGCCGTCGCATCTGAACAAAGAGGCCGATAGTTCGTGGTTATTGTGCCATCTTTGGATACAGTACACTCGGGGATTTGGTATTTCGAGTAATCAAGATTGGGAAGCGACGGAATATTGCTCAGGCAGCGGATTGATCGCTGCTGGTTGCCACTGGGACTGGGCCGCGCGGCTACAGGACTGGAGTACGGGGGTGGCTCCTGATGAGCAATACTGTTATTGTCTTCGAGAGTTTCGTGCTGGTGAGTTTGCGATACAGAAGTATCGATTGCTTTTGATATTCTCTTAGCCATGGATCCTGGATAGCCCGACGGAGTAATCACAGTGCGCGGTAAGCTGTTTTCGTCCAAGCTGGAAAGGCAGAACGTCGGAGTGTGACAGGGTAGTCTATCATCAATATTTCTATACTTCTTGATGCTGCTCTCAGCCAATGCGGGGTTAGATTGTATGTCTGCCTAGATAGCTGATAAATTTGCTGAGACATCCAATTTTTAATAGTCCATTGACGGGCGGTGCTCAGCCAACGATGCAACCCAAGCTTCTTCCTAGCGTCCAAGCCACACTGAGCGCGTATACCGCGCATGAGGATTATTGTAACGTATGAAGGAGGATTCTTCAGGCCAATGATCGGGGTGACACAGCCACACAGAGCCCTAGCTAACTAACTAATTGCATGAGGGCAATGATCTAATCAATCAGTTCCCGACGGAAAGGTTACTGGAGAGCTTTGCCAAAGTCTAGGAACGAGGATATCGTTTTGGATCTGTCTTTCGAACTGCTAGTAACGAACGGAAGGGTGTTTATATTTGAAAGCACGCAACTAAAGTTGACCAGGGGACAGTCGATAAGCTCTACCCACGTATACGCTGAACAACTGTCTCAGCATCTACAGACTTCGTACCTCCCTGTCACATCCAGAAATACAACTGGCTCACGATCACGAAAACCCTCAAGCCATCTGAAATACATAATGATCAGTGTCGACACCACAACGTGCCATGCCTGATGAGAGAAAGAAGCAATGTGCAAGCACAGAACACAGTCAGTTGGGAAAGGAAATGCCTGCACGGTAATAAAAATTCGCAGATTGCGTCCTCCGGACATGTCTCGCTTGCCCCAACTTCGACTTGTTTTTGATCTAGCGGCGGTCATTTAGCTTCAGGCTGTTCCGCTTCCCCCAATAGACGGACTGTTGCTGATCGCGTTCAAATGGTATTGAGTGTCGTCGAGAAGCGACCAAGTGCTTTGTGGCTCGTCCACCTGGTTAAAGGAATTTGAGTCTTCTAAGTGATATCGTTTCCATAACTCTTTCAACAGCATAAGCCTTGCCACATATCTGATAGCCACTGCTGCTCAAAGGAGTTTGCTATGGCATGTTTAGGCACTTCCCTTTTCCTTCAGCCGAAATTACTGACTTACACTCCCACTATTGAAGAGTTGCAAGCAGTCTTGCGCACCAGTGCGGAGCTATCACTGAGATCCTGACTCGAGGACGTCAAATGACTCGACCGGCCAGAACAGATCCCCGAAAATGCAGCTGAGTGGTTGATGATCACCTCAAGCAGTTTCACCATGCTATTGATAGAAACAGAGAAGAGAAGTCGTCAACCTCAATCATAGTTTCCCCCGACCTGACTGGCGAAAGCCGTCGACACACTGCGGGCATCATCGTCGTCATGAATGTGGCCTGGGACGCCACGAGTAACGCGAATGCTGGCGGTACTGCCGCCGAAAATGCTTCCATTATCGTTGACCCCCGTCTTGTAAGGCTCGCGCCCTCCAGATTCGACGTAGCGCTTCAGTCTATCGGACTGGCTTAAACTAGTCTGCTTGTTCATGTCGTTGATACTGAGACCGGCAAGGCTGACACCTCCTTGCTTCCCATCAATGATACTTCCAGTCACGTCCGACTCCGTGGCAGCGACAGATTCTCCTGCGATACTTGGCGCACCTTTAACCCTGGCACCGTTGGGGCGCCGAGCTCCAGGAAGTGATGGCCACGCCTCAGCGAAGTTCTGGAACATGGGAGGATAACCCGAAGGCAGACCGACGCCACCAAGCGCGGAGGAGTGAACAGAAGAGACATCATCAGGGATGTAACCGACCACAGATCCAGAATCGTGATACTCATTACGGTGACCATTCCTTCCATTGATCATTCCACTGGCCATGCTGGAAGCGTGGTTATATGCCATTTGGAAACGCTGCGGGCCCCTGTATGCCTGCTTAGGGCGACTGAATTGGACAAGGGACTCCTGAAGGTTGGACAAAGGTCCCTCAACAAGACAGTGTCGTTCCTTGAAGTGGAGCAGTAGGTAGTTCCACAAGGGATGCTTGGACAAAACTTTGGGATTTCCTAGGATGACAAGACCATACTTGGCTCTTGTCAAAGCGACGTTGAGACGACGCGGGTCACTGAGGAAACCGATGCCCTGGTGGTCGTTGGAACGAACACAAGAAAGGACAATGAAATCTTTCTCTCGTCCCTGAAAAGCGTCCACGGATGCTACTTCGATCTCCTTGTAATGTTCCTTCTTGAATGTTCCCGTCGCTTGCATAGAACTGACAACATAGCTTCGCTGGCCTTCGTAAGGTGTAATGATGCCGATATCCTTTGGCTGCACGCCTGCCTTGAAAAATCGGGTAACGATCTTCTCAACATTCGCGGCCTCCGTACGGTTGAGATAAGAAGTTCCGGACGCAGAGATCTCCTCATTTCCAAGGTTGGACCAGAACATCATCGGATTATCGACGACAGGCCAAGGGAAGTCGACATCGCGGCGGAGACGCTGGGCCATAGAGACGCCGTTCTGGAGAGAGCCTTCATAGAACATGTTTGACGGAAATTCAGACAGACAAGGATGCATACGGTACTGCACGTTCAAGCGGATCGGGGAGCAGCCCAGAATGACAAGGCGCTCGAACAGCGATTGATTGAGTCCAGCCTTGGCAGCCTTCTTGTTCATAATCACAGGGCCCAGCTGCTGATGGTCTCCAACGAGGACAACTTGCTTGCAGCCTAAAACAAGCGGAATCATACACTCAGGCTCTGCAGACTGAGTCGACTCATCAATCAGGACCGTCCTGAATTTGAATTTAGCAAGACGCGGGTCACCTGCACCAACGCAGGTACAGCAGATGACGTCTGCGTTTGTGAGGATTTCTCGTTCAGCAGCGCGCGTAAGCTGCTTGAATTTCTTCTCATCTTGACTGGACAGCTCTCCTAACTCCGCCTTCAGCTGGTTAAGTTTCACGAGTTCAATGTTGCTGTCATTCATCCGGACTTGCTCGTGTAGCGAGAGGAATCCAACTGGAGACTCTACATCCTCACGAGATTTCGCAGTCACACGTACGGTCTTAAGGCCAGTCCTATGGATACGCTCACAGAGCTGGTCGACAGCAACGTTCGAAGGAGCGCAGACAAGGACCTGGCCACCGTTTATCTTTGCGAGATGATAAATGATCGTAGCCGACGTGACCGTCTTTCCTGTTCCAGGTGGACCCTGAATAAGACTCAGGGGTTTCTGCAGAACGCTCTTAACCGCATTGATCTGACTACCGTTGAGCTCTGGAAGGCCAGGAACGCTGAATTTCTTAGGCATCTGCGTCTTCATTGGAGCGGCCGCGACCTCATGTCCAAGCAGGCGATGGAAGATATAACCGGAAACACTCATCTCGTCGACTGCGAACGTCTTCATAGCTAGTTGCATTCGGTCGAAAGATGTCGCCTTCCACACATAGTCCGCGGTGAAGTTGTGGGTACATTCGGTAGGCACTGACTTGTGATCCCCTTTAGAACGCAACTCAATGGTGACTTCATCCGACTGATTGTTGGGTATTTTGATAACATATCCGACTCCCTCCCACTTGGGACGTAGATCGCCAGTGTACTTGAGTCGCATCTCGTCACCAACAGCCAACTTAACGTCGCCAAGCTCAAGCTTTGGAAGAACAAAGCTAGCAAGATGCTTGTTGTTGAGTCCAAGATCCCATCGGACAACCAAACCGTCTTGTGACTGCGATTCCTTCAGCTTGCGATCATAGTCCGCCTCGATCTTGACAAGAGGACCAAAGACATTCTGATATTGAAAAGCGTCATCATAGCGTAGTAACACTGGTGCTGGCTCATCATCCACACCAGTTTGTTTTTCAAGGTCTGCCACCGTAGCAGAAGAATTATCCTTCCACATTTCTTCCAACTTCGCGATCATCTGGGGACTCAGGTGTCGAGCTCGTAGTTGCTCCTGATCAGAAGGGGCAGCAACAAGCCACGGAAGAAACGAGCGATCCTCGATAAGGGGTTGCCAGCGTGAGGTATCCCAGTTCATATCTTTCGACGAAGGCATTGCAGCGCACGGCTGTCGGCACAATAGGACGACGACTGTATCCGACTTGGCCGGAATGAAACCCAAGAGAAAGACATTCTTCGTCCCGCAGTTGTAGCATTCGAGGATAGTGTCACCAAGAGATGAATCAGGGTGCAGTTGCACCTCCTTGTGGCGTGCGCGCACTAGGTGGTTAACGATATGCGATGAAGAGGTGTTTCCACGCGCGCTGCAGAACCATTTACTGCAAGAAAGGCACTTGACGACGCTGCTTGAGTTGTGTATTCCGCAATACCTAGATAATCGGTGTCAGCGAATCTGTTGCCACCAGCTGTCTGAACTAAGAATGTCAAAACTTACGCGCAAGCGTGAGGAGGAAGCTCCTTCTCTTCTTCAGCCTTGGCCTTGCTCTTCTTTTCCCCTCCAGCAGGCACGCTTGCCATGCTTTCCAAGTCGTCATCATCATCATATCCGTCTGATCCATCATCCTCATCATCGTGTCTTCTCCGGCGAGGCGCGCCTGTCATATTCAGGGTATTCTCGTCATAGTCGATCGTAGACATATCGTCGCCAGCATTAATCGTAGGTCCAGAATCAGAAACGAGATGGTTTCCCATGTGAGTAAAAGCCTCCATTATTGTAAGGCTCCGCCCCTAGGGGCCAACGAGACTTTAGAACTGAATGGCAGAGTTGTCTGCTGTAGCAATCGCAAAACGTGACGCAAATGATATACTCCACTGGAGCATTCACGTACGACCAGTGAAACCGAACCAGCAAGAATCGACAATTTCCAGGACGGAAAAGAATGAAAAGCACTAGCAGTTGCTAGGAATCCGTTTACTTTGAGAAAGACGACGTTTCGTCAAGCAAAAGAACGCCAGTGTGCGGAAGCGGGGATCAGAAATAAGAAGCTAAGCTCGACCACAGCTCAATCTGTATCTCGCCCTGCAAACTTCCTGCTGCAGGAGTAGAACAGCTAGCTGACCTCGACCTTTGTCGGAAATCTCCGCCGTCACCACTGACAAAAGAGTGTGAAGATATTAAGCAGTTGGGATGTTTCGACGAGAAAGGGTCTCGACGGTCTCCGCAAAGTTAGTGGTGGCTGCATTCTGCCGTTCTGGCTCCGGAGCGGCGAAAATGCCACAACGGAGACCTCTTGGCGCCAAAGACGCAGTGCTTATCAGAAAAAAAAGTTGCCCGCCTCCGGTCAACCTGTGTATAGATTCAGAACAGCGCTCTCAGCTACCGTCAACATGTTGGTAAGGATAAACTCATCATTTTATACGTTTCTACAAATAAGATAATGGCTAACATGATTTTAGCGCCGTCAAGCTCGCGAACGCCGCGACTATATCTACCGTAGAGCTTTGCTACTCCGCGATGCCTCCATTGCGGAAAAGAGAGCGCAACTTAAAGCTTCCCTGGCATCAGGAAAACCGCTAAATTCGTCAATCGCCAATGATAAGAAGCTTCGGGAGGATTTCAAATATGATGAGTCTCTGGATTCTACCAAGGAAAAGGATGCAGATCTTCTGGACATAGACGATGAATACGCACTCACCTCCGGCGTCATCGACCCTCGACCTCTAGTCACCACCTCTCGATCGCCTTCAGCACGACTCAGCACCTTCGCAAAGGAGATCCGCTTGCTTCTTCCGACTTCCATTCGACTCAATCGTGGTAACCTGATTCTACCGGACATGGTCTCCAGTGCCAATGCCGCAGCCTTGACAGATATGGTCCTCTTGCACGAACATCGTGGTACACCAACAGCCATGACAGTGTCGCATCTCCCTCACGGACCAACTGCCAGTTTTTCACTTCACAATGTTGTTTTGCGCGCGGACATTCCCAATGCGGCGCGTGGAACAGTGTCGGAGAGTTACCCGCATCTGATCTTTGAAGGGTTCAAGACGAAACTAGGAAAGCGCGTTGTCCAGATCTTGAAACATCTATTTCCTCCACGAGAAGGTGGTGGCAAGCTTGGAAACAGGGTGGTTACTTTCGTGAACAAAGAGGACAGCATTGAGGTGCGACACCATGTCTTTGTAAAGACCAGCTATCGTGACGTCGAACTGGCTGAAGTTGGGCCGCGTATGACGATGAGATTATTCGAGATCCGTGGAGGTACATTGGAGAAGGGCTCAACTGGTGATGTTGAATGGGCTCTCACTCAGTACACGAGGACCAGCCGAAAGAAGGATTATCTATGAACGAGGGTTCAAGACGGAGAGCAAGGAAAATGGGACAACATCTTATACCTTTCAGCATCTGGGGGGCAAAAAGTTCGGCGTACATGGTGTTCGGATAAAGTTCAAAAGAGAGAATATGTACACATTCATCACGGTGGGCGAGTCTATTTTCACTATATCCTTTTCCTGGGGATCGACCTAGGTAGTTTATGATTTAATAAATGGAACCAGAATCAGGGTCGTGGTTGGCCTTATTGAATGATGACGGCGCATGCAAAAACAATATGAGGCTGCTGTAATATATCGAAAAGCCGACGGTTCGGATCAAGAGCATTTAGAAAACTCAGATACGAGAGATTAATATAGACTGGCGATTTTTGATTCCCGGTTATGTGATCCGAATCTAAACGAAGCAATAACATTATGATGAGAACCTTCTGAACTAAGCGGTTTAGACCCCCAGATCCCCTTGTCCAAGTGCGAGCAGGACCCCAATCACCCGATGAACGCCACAATCGTCGATACTGCAACCTCATTCTTCGCCCGCCTCAGTGATGGACTCCATCTCCTCCTCAGGGCAAGAGCCCTCCTCGTCAACATCGCCCTGGTTGCTATCATCCGAAAGAGCTATATTGTCGTACTCTTCCTTTGGGTCTTCAGGGATGTTTACTGGCAAAGCAGGACTTGGTTCTTCCGTTCGATCCTCAGACTGGTCATCCTCCCCCTTTGAACACGGCGCACTTGACGCAGCAACAGCGATCTCTGTCTGCATGAGCAAGCTCGCAAGGAGACCCTTAGGCAACTCATGACGGAACCACCCCTCGTCAGGCGGAAGAACATTTCCTTCATGATCCTTCTTAGCCTCAGGTAGTTTACCATCGAACCTCTCATCCCAACTTTTCCCGGTCTTTATCTTAAAGAACTTTTTGTACGCTGTCATAGCTACATCGAAACTGCTTCCTCGCGGAGCCACAAGCTCCGTGCCTGATTTGCCGACACGACTGTATTTGACATAGGTCGCGTATACGTGTGGTTCTGCATTTGATTCATAAAGCTGGAGCTGTTTAGCATATGGTCTCTCGATGGGGACAATGAGATAATGGTGCTGGGCGAGTATCGGGGCCTCGAAGATCATATGAGGATGAAATAAGGACCATGATCATCAATTGAGGTCTTTTGATAACAGAACAAAAAAAAATCGGGAAACCTACTTTGAGTTGATATTTTTCATTACGACCAGTCACAGACGTTGGTCGGACAAGCGTCGCACAGTATGTAACACCAGTTTCCTTGTCTGCGCACAAATGATAGCCCGCTGGTGATGTGATACCATTACTGTTAGCGTACTAATATTGCATCTGCATGTACAACTATAAACACATACCTCTTGCCATATCATCAATAACTGCACGAGATCCCTTCCGGGTTTTCTCGAGTGACTTTGCTATAGTTATATCATGGTTAATAGATCGAAACCCCAGCTAGCCAGTAGTATACATACCTGCACTGCCATTACGCCTCTTCGTAGACTTTCCCTTCTTATCAGCCTTCGTAGCTTTCTTCTTCGTCTTTCTACCCAGTAACTTCTCCCAGAGATAAGGACCCTCGCGCTTCGGTCTACGGGTCTTGGACATCAATGAGTCCTCTAGCCAATCGTACGAGACGATCTTCACATGCTTCATCCGTTTCGCAGCTTGAACTGTTGGGATACGTTAACTTAACAGTCCTGAATACATATATATATATGCCTTCGGAAAATGGGAAAAACAGTGATAAACATACCAGGTTCAACGTTCCGCTTAAATGCAGATTCAGTAGTGATTAAATGAGTAATGTCTGGATTCATCTCTTTCGAATACGTGCCACCGTTTGCACGCAGCCACTGGGGTATCTTCTCGCTGTTTTCTCCGAAGTTGCCTGCACAGCAGGCGTTGACTTTTTGGAACGACTTTCCCATTTTGGATTTAAGTGAGGTTGCGTGTTTTGTATGTGTGGTTTAGAGTGGTGTTCGGGCGTTTGGGTTGATGTAATGGAGTTGATGTTGAGGTAGAGATACGAAGAACTGAAAGGGTAAGTGAGGGTTGAACATCAGAGATATTGCAGTGGAGTAGTGCAGTTATTGAGAAACTGAGAAAGTCTGAGTATCGGAGGTGAGCAGAGTGAGATGTTCATGCTAGTGAGGATGAGACTGTTTTAAGATCTTGGATTGGGGGAACTTATAGATCCAGGAGAAGTCTAAGTCCAGGATCGGTTACTTTTAAAGCAGCCCTGAGAGAAGAACACAAAAGGATATGTTGATACTGCGAGGCGAGGAAGAAAGCTTGCAACCTAAAAGATCTGGGGCTAATTATGTAGATAACTCAGTGGGGTTTCATTCTCATTGTTCCCAATAGGGGGACGACAGATAGAAGTGTCGCCCCATTCAGAAGCATAATACACATAATCATGAAATTACATGATCAATCATCGCTGGATACTCTTTGCTGCTTTGACAAAGGCACGGATCTTATCTAGATCTTGGGAGCCTGCCGTTTCCACCCCGCTGCTAACATCAACGCCAACCACCTTCTTTGCCGATTCGCCTAATTTCTTAACGATTTCAGCAACGTTTTCGGCGTTGAGTCCGCCAGCTAGGATGACTCGTAGACCATCATCCCCCTCCAAGGTCTTTTGCACACCAGAGAGATCAAGCAACTCTCCCGTTCCCCCGGCGCCAGAATCCAGTAGCGGAAGCGTATGATAAGCTCTGCGAGATAGCCCAGGTTCACCGAGATCAAATTTCCTGATTACTGGCACAGGTATCAGGTTTGCCCACTCCACGGGCTCAGACCCGTGGAGTTGCACAACATCAAGACCCAACTTCTGCTGTTGGGCTAAGATATAAGACAGGGGCTGGTTCGCGAAGACACCCACGAGCAAAGCACGTTTTGGATGGCGTAGAGAGCTCGATGCATACTCGAAGTAATCAACAGATGCAGTTTGTACTTGTTGTATGGTATTCCCCGAAGGGCGTGGCGTTGACTTCACAACCTCCGAGATCTGAACAGCAACCTCGTCGGATACAAGTCTCTTGCGACCATGCACCAAAATGATACCGATCAAATCGGCACCTGCTTCGATCGCCGCGCGAGCAGCGTCAGGAGACCTTGTACCGCACACCTTTACGAGCGGAGAGAGTTCTGTGGTGCTTGAGAGCTTCTCGGCGCTTCCACCAAGAAGCTCAGAAACAAAGGCTGCAGTGTCCTTTGCTCGCATGAGAGCCTCACCGACAAGAATGGCTTTCACACCATCTTTCTTGTAAGCCTCCACATCCTTCGGGCCCGAGATCCCGCTGAGAGCACAAACAATGGTGGCTTCGGGAACTTGATCCATCAATCTGCTCGTAGTGCCCAAATCAACTTCGAAACTGGTCAAATCTCTGTTGTTGACCCCAATCACCTCCGCTCCAAGGTCTACTGCGATCTTCATTTCCTCCGGCGTGTTGACCTCGACAAGCGGTTCCATACCCAGGCTCCGCGAGTAATGGTACAATCTGGTGAGGAGCTCAACACTCAACATCTTGACGATCAGAAGTACGGTATCAGCGCCAGCCAGTCGGGCCTCCAGGATCTGATATTCGTCGAATACGAATTCCTTCCGGAGCACCGCAGGTCGGTTCGGGATGCCTTCCAAACTCTGTCGAACAGCACGGAGATCATCAATGCTTCCCTTAAACCATTCAGGCTCTGTGAGAACAGAGATGACACTAGCGCCCGCCATGGCATATTTCCTCGCTTGAGCTGGGGCGCAGGTAGATGCTGCGATAATGCCTTTGGAAGGGGAGGCTCTCTTTATTTCAGCCATCAAGGATAAACCGAATGGTGACTGCCGAAGACGGGCCGGGAAAGAGATCTGTGGAGGCGAGATACCAAGGTCATAAGAGGCCTGAAGATCCTCAGGGCGCTGAGATGGAATCTCTTTCTGAGCAGCCACAGAGGCCCTACGATGGGCATATATCTTTTCCAGTATAGACGTCTTCTTGTCGGACTTCGTAGAACCACTGATGGGCGCAGAGCTGGCTGGGACTGGCTGACCAGTCAGGCGTTGGTTCTCTTCCCAGGTGCCTCCACGCATCTTAAGGAAATTTCTAAACATTGCTCGGCCATGTTCGGTCAGAATGCTCTCCGGGTGGAACTGCACGCCTTCCACGACGAATTCTTTGTGTCTGATTCCTTGTATGACCCCCTTCTTGCCAGTCTCGTCGAGCTCAATCCAGGAGGAAACAAGCAAGCAATCCGGAACTGTCGAATGGGTACCGGCAAGGGAGTGGTATCGTGTCACTGCTATGGAGGGAGGAAGATCCGCGTAGACGCCCTTACCATCGTGCTTGAGAACGGATGTCTTGCCATGGAGAATTTCGCCCGTAACATCGACCTTGCCTCCGAAAGACTGGATGATACACTGCTGGCCCATGCAGACACCGAACACGGGGATCTTCCCCGCAAAATGTTGTATAGCGGCATTGCTGATCCCAGCATCTTTCTCAGGATGTCCGGGACCAGGGCTAATCACCAACTGAGTCGGCTTCTTCGCAATCAATTCCTCAAGGGTGATCTGATCATTGCGGAACACTGTGACTTTCGCGCCTTCTAGGACCAGATACTGATATACATTCCAGGTGAAGGAGTCGTAGTTGTCGATCAAAATGAGGTTGGACGCATTGTCCAGCTCTGCGGCCTTGGTGGGATGGCGGGGTGAATAGTCGATTAGACCGGAGTCGGGCATGGTCGCGGTGTTCCAATTGTCGCAGTAGAGCTGCAGGCACCGGAGAGGAGGACCGACTGGGTTGGGGGAAAAGGAAGGCAAGGGACAGTTGGCTATAAATGCCTTCACTTCAGAGGAGAAGCAATAATAATCATAACGTGAGTCAGATGGCTTCACTTTCGCCGTCCGTCTTGATGTTCGGGTAGCTTGCCGAAACGGGCTCTCTTGTCAAAAGAGCCAAACACCAAAATTTCATTGAGTCCGAGTGCGACTAAACCCGGATAGGAATTCATTGTTGACCTCCAAGCTCAGGGCTGCAAGATCCAGCTTCAGCTCCAGCTCCAGCTCCCAAGCTCTCCAACTGCCTCCTCGCGCTCGTCGCACACTCTCTACGGGGTCGATCCCTCGTATAATGATATAGTGGTGCTGCCAATGGCTCCGGCTCCGGAAGCCTACTTTCCGTCCCTAGACAAATGTTTCTCTGGGGACGCGCAACTTCTGTACGTCGACGCCTGGAGACTCTAAGAAGGAAGGCTAACAGAATCCAGATCATGGAAAAGGGCTTATCTGCATTTATGCGATTCTGAAACGGGCTCAGGAAATGCCGTTGGCCTGTATCAGTTTCTGTCGCATCCAGAGAGCATTCGTTGTCTCTCCCAAAGTCTGAATCCCTTTGCTCCCCCCTCCGCAAAATCCAAAGCCGAATTCGAGTCAAAGACCGCCGCGATCCATGTCAGCACATCGCCACAGGCACCATATGATCTCGCTGAGATCAAAGCGGATGCGCTATGGTTGAGCCAGAAAGCTAAGATCGATGAGGTCACAGCGCTACGGATTACCATCCTCGAATGGCAGAGTCGACCGGCTACAAGGCTGCTGGCTGGGTTTTCGGAGGAGGAATCGACAAGCTTACAGGATGCGGCAGGCGTCGATGGTTTCCGTGCGTCGTTGGCTGGTCTGCCCATGGTCCAGATTGTCAAACGGACCGCTGGCAGGGATGACGGAAGGTCGAGTTTTGCTTCAGAGGAGAGTAGACGCCAGCGATTGCGACTTCTCTACCTCTCAGAAAAGAATCATATATTGAGGGTTTCTCGGAAATTGTTAGCTTTGTCTCTCCATGGCCGTCGGCCAAACCAACCGATAGCGGCGGCGAAAGAAGGCAGTGCGAAAGACACCGCGAAGGACACCAACCTCCGCGAGCTGGGACTCTCAATTTTCAAAGACAAATCAGGGGATACAGATAGGAACCGTTTCCTTGGCGAATGCGTCACTGCTATCCGGTCTCGACTTTCTGACTTCGAGGGCGAGGGAGGCTGGTTAGGGGCCGCTGAATCTGACCAAGATTGTGAAGATGCATGGCGGACAATGCTCATTGATGAGATCGTTCATATAACGCAGATCCTATTTCTTCAACTTCAGTCGTCCAATACTATTCCAACCGCTGATCTCTTACTATCATGGCTTCGCCTTATGGTAGACTACGAATTTCTAGAGTCCGTCAGAGTGGTGAGTACTGTCTGCCTTCATGCTTTGTGGTTCAGATCTGTTTCTAACAATTCTATCAGCCATGCGAAGAACCGATCTCTGTATTACTGCCCCTCCAAGCCTTTGTCTCCTTGACGACCCTCGCTTTCCTCAAGCTTTCAGTCTCAATACCATTCATCATCGACCATGCCCAATCCCAGGCTGGCCTATCAGGCGAGTCGGCATATTTCCTCTCACGAGAGCACATCTCCGAAATCAATGAGACGTTCCTCAATTCTGCAAGTGCGGGACTGATGACTGCGAGCCCGGCCGTGTTCGCTTGGGGTTTGATCATGTACACCATGCGAGAAATAGCACTTGCAACAAGGGAACGACGAGAACTCGAACAATTCCACAGTGCAGTGGATTCATTCCAATCCAATACCCCCGCTGCATCTCCTGGCCGTGGATCAGAGCAATCGTTGTACGAGGACTTATTGGATTGTGCTCGAAGCCCAAGGTACGGAGACGAGGCTGTAACAATACTTACAGCAGGTGCAATTGATAGGGGGCGTGTCTTTGATGCGATCATTGCATTAGCCACGAAGGTTAGTTCAGTGTCAGCTGTAGACGATGGCCTCGTTGATCAGTGGATACGTGAGGCTCTATTGGACCTCGTCCGCGTCAGCACCGAATTTCTTGACTACATGCCGGAGATAGTGGAGTCTGTCCTGGCTATCCTCACAGGCAGCCCTACGAACCCTCCGTGGATATCTAATAGTGTTCAGAGTCATGTTAGCGAGCCCAGATCTGTCTTCTATGAGGACCCTGTGCTCATGGACAGGATATTCAGGGTGGCGCAGTCTCGGTTTCCCTATGAAACCGTGCCTTTCTTGAAGCTCTGCCGCGCTCTAACTAGCAAAGAGTTGGTGGTGAATGATGGTCTACCCGCTATTCTCAGCGAATTGGAGACCATGGACACTTTCACCCAGGTCGTCCCCCAGGATTTCCAAGGTTATGAAACAATTCGGGAGGACGAGAATGCGAACTTCGTATCTCTGGTCGAACCACTTCCTATGATCGAACCTGCACAGCGGAAGCAAAGGTTGGTTCACAATCCAGAAAATGCCTTGATTGTAACCTCGTCGTCTCAAGTACCTACCTCTACGACAGGGCAGGTGGTGTCAGAAGCTGGCCCTCCAGTCATCATGTGGCAACATCAGTACTCCTGTCTGAGCTTCATTGGCAGCTGGCTTGAGGAGCGGGCGGAGAATGGTGGCTTTCCAGGTCAGTCTGAAGACTCGATCGCGGAAGCCATTGGGCTACTGGCAGATCTTATATCATCCGCTGGAGCCCGACCCGCGCAAGGTGCTGAGAGTTCGAGCGCAAAGAGAATTTTGGAAATGGCAAGTGATGGTCTCGCCCGCCAAGGAGATATCATATCTGTGATCCTCGACATCCTCGAACAAGACCTACAAAATATCAGCTTCAAACCAGGTTCTCAGGGACCATTGGAATCCACGATTGCATGTCTACAGTTCCTCCGCGCCCTCGTTCCCATTCTGCCTAGCCGGGTGTGGCCGTTCCTGTCACGGAGCAGCTTTCTCGGTTCTGACGGGAAAGGGGGCGTCATGACTGCCGTCATTTCGGCGGTGGAAGTGACCTCTGGTGAATATCCATTCCTGCTCAATTGTGTCCGTCTTCTAGACGCTATTGTCGAGGATTCGGCTTCACGTTCTGCAATTAGAAGAGCATCGCACCGCGGCTCGTCACGATTGAAAGATGCAATGGATTGGAGTGCAGGCGTGCCCGCCCACACGATGAGCGACGTATTGTTGACTTTTGTCCGGACCATGATCGACGTCTACAATAGCAACGCAAACTGGAGGTTTAATAACCCTGAAGACCGACTGGAAGTCAACACCCTTCTCGCAAACACCTTTGAAAAGATCCTTTACTACGCTTATGGCGCGGGTGATAGCATGAAGCTGGAATCAAAGATTACCAATGTATTTTCTACATCGGCGCCGTATGTACTTGATGTCCTTCGACCAAGTTCGAAAGAAGAGCTTCCCTTCAACCCCGTTCTCCGAATAATTCTTGACGGCCTCAACACGCCTACGTCCACTATATATCTCCGTCCATTGACTGTTATAGAGAGGCAGCTGAAGTCGACACTAAAGCTCTCTATCAAGCTGGTACAAGCCGCACAACTCATTGGATCGCCTGCCTCTCTGTTAGAGGAACAGCTGTTCAAGGCAGCGCCTGTTCTCGTCAAGCTATATGGCCTCCACGATAGCTATCGTCTCCTAGTAATCTCGCTTCTCGACCTTCTCGTTTCTAGGGCAGCTTCCGACCCAGACAATGAGCCGCCCTCCTTACTGGGCCATCTTGGGGCTGAGTCGACTTGCCTCTTCCTTGACATGCTAGCGCAGTTTGATCAGCCTCTGAATGACAGTTCCCTATTCATAGCAATATGGCAGCTGCTATCGACGTTTGTCAGTAAGCGCCAGCAGTGGCTTGCAGTCTACTTGCTTACCGGATCTTCACCTCGGGAGTCACTGAAGCAAAAAGATGGAAAGGGCAAGGCGCCTGCTATGAGAGCGACTCCCTTCTTTCAGATAGCACTCGATACCCTGTCAAAGATCGAACAAGTCGATCCGCAAATCGCGTTGTCCATGTTGGAGTTTGTTTCACGATCTCAGGAGCATTGGCCTTGGGCAACGCCGGAGCTGAAGAAACATCCTAACTTCTTCAACGGCATCATCCAATATGTCGCGAAATTGAAGCTAGGAAGTCTGCCTCCACATGAGCAGATATTTGCAACAAGGATTGCCGCCGTGACGGCTGATCTCTGCACTGTTTATCTACACTCTGCAAAGGAGGCTAGAGACATGACATTCTTCAAGACTCTCATCCCATTAATCACCTGGTTCGCCAACAATGCTGTCGAAGTGTCCGGTTACAATGCCTCGCTACATGCTAACCTCAGGAAGAATTTTGAAATGAAGTACGCCGGCTGTAAGCTGCTTGATTTCAAGAGAACGTCATTGGAGCCACGCTTACTTGGACGGGACTACTATTATGACATGAACCTAGGTGAAAAGCTTCTTTCGTATGATTTCGCTTGGATAGGCTCGAGAAACCAAGGTTTTGCTGAAGAGTTCGAACGTGCCAACCTGAACTTGTCACTAGTGGAAGCACAAGTGGTATGTACACCCTTCCAATATCTGTTGCATATCTAACCTGTCCCAGAGCCTCCTTCATAGTTGGAAATTCTTCGCTATCGAGCATTGCGCGGATTTTTGCCCCGACAAAGAAGTTCAGAAATCAATGGCATTGGTTGTCAAAAACTGTCTCGTCGCGAATACCGGAAGCATACCACAGGAAGCAGTCTTTGACCGACTGCAGCAGACTCGAGTTGACTTTGCCCAGGCTTTGCTTCAACGACTTGTTCAAATTCAGTCAAAGGGTGCTGAAGTCTTCGGGTTGCTCAGTGTCGTCTGGGAAGCTATGCGCGCCCGTGGTGGAACGTATGAGAATGCCCTCGCCAACGATGATACCGAGTATTACCGCTCGCTTCTGAATGTCCTCTTTTTATCCCTCCAGTTCCATCTGGACGGGCCTTCTCGGACAGAACCTGAAGTTGTCGGCAAGAAACCCAAGTTCTCGTCGGATACGTCAATAGTACTCGAAGTGGTTAAGGTCGTTGTGGCACAAGGATTCCGCACTCTAACCACGTACTTGCATGACGATCCACAGAAGTGCCATCCTCGAGATTTCGCTATACTGACGGCAATCCTGCAAACATGTCTGCAAGTGAAATATGCGGATCGCTTATACGGACAGATCGCATTCCATATCGAAGACAATGATACTGCCCGATATGCCCTCACCTTGTTTTCATGGTCAGATCAAATCGCCATCGAAGGCGACCCGATCTACGGAGAGCTCAGTATCTTATTCCTACTTGAGCTGTCAACCGTCCCAATGCTAGCTGAACATCTCGCAGTGGAGGCTGTCCTGATGAAGCTCACTACGTGCCGACTGACCAATGTCCTGCAGCAGTCGAAGGGATGCGGACCCTTTGACCCGATTCCCAGGCTGCACTCTATCTGGAGTGGCGGCATCCTTCCGCTATGCATCAATCTGCTCTACCATGTGATGCGCGCCGCACCCGAGGTGGCAGCGTTTCTTAACCAATTTGGAGGTCAGCTCAACAGAGCATCTGAAAGCTTCACAAGCAGCCACGCGGGCGTGTCGACAACTCAGCCAGCGGGTCGAATCTGCTTGAGCATGGCATCCGAGGCGTACTCCCTAGCTCTGATCTCCTTTATCCTCGAGAGATTCCGCGAGGCTGGGCCTAGCGCCGGGATAGATATCCAGACCATTCAAGAGCTCAAGTGGGACAAGGGACGCGTCAAGGAGGACATTGAGGAACTGCTAGGACGCAGGCAGACTCTCCGGGCTCGAATCGTCGCCACCAGCGAGAAGGAGCTCGAGCTAGCGAGGCAAAAGCCACTTAATGCAACAGCATCTGGTGCGGAGGATCGTTTGGAGGAGAAGATCGTCAACGAACTTAGTGCAGCATTGGTGTGTCTTGGTGGCGAAGTCGAATAATTGCCATTATCTTCATGTTCTTCACACATACCATCTTGGCGTTCCACTCTCATGAGTTCTTTCTGCAAACGTGTTCTGTTTTAAATTAGGCGGGGAAGGAGAGGAGTATCTTTTTCGCAATGGAAGTCGTACCTGGTCTCATGTCCAATGCTCTGGATGATAAAAAGAATCTATTTTTTGATAATTCGTGTTTGGAGGTTGTGTGTTTCTCTAAGCCACGTAGGCACGATCTACAGGTTGAATCTCGCATATGCAGCTTAAGGAGATGAATTTAAACCACTTTAGTGACTAGTGATATTTAAGTCTTCTCCTGTCATGATGGAGATTCCGCACAACATATAATGATGCAGTGGAGTCCAGCATATGCGATGCACACATAGTCATACAATGAACAAATAAAACATATGAGGTAAAAGACTTGTGTCTGTATTTGTATTAAGGGCAATAAACAAGAATATCATTATTTCCAAGCCCAGTTTTAAAGAGGCCAGTTGTATAGGTAGTTACTACCATTATATATTCCGTAGTTGTAATAATCACAGCAAATCCCGACTTTTCCCCGTCGGGCAAATTCAATCGACCTCAGGTAGGTAGTCATCTGATTCTTTCCATTTGTCCATTTGTTCTTTCCTTCTTGCCACCTTTCCATCTTGATGGGCTTAAGAAAAAATCTGATATCTTCGTTTTTCTTTTTTCTCAAGATCGTCGATTTCGGCTATTTCATGCATGTGAAGCGAATCTGGCGCTGTTGGAAAGTAGTGCCACGCTGAGTAATTTTTTTGCTTTCGATGAGTATGTGAACTACTGCAGAGCTACTGCAGTACGTACAGAACATGTGGCCTGGGTTTGGGGGCGAGTTTTCGCCCGTGCTCAGCATTTGATTGCGGATACTACTGAAGAGCACTATGGAAGTAGGTAGAAGGGTAACGTCCTCCATAGTAGTGTGTACTCAGGACTGTTATGTCCACTTGCAGGTCGATTCTCTCCACTTGTCCCCTTGGTGGGACGCGCGCACACACATTCTCTCTCTGTTTCTTTCTCTCTGATACCAACACAGAGCCGATCTAATCAGCCCTGCCTACCTACTGTGGCGCAGGGACCCGCCACACGGGGGGCTGGTTAGCGCTCCAGGCGCCGGGGAGTTCGGCAATGGTGCCAAGTCGGAATGATCCCAAGGCCGCAGTATTATTCGCCGGCGACTAGAACCGACAAAGAAGCGCCATCGCGGAGTCGAAGCACCGCCACGGGCAGTTATTGGTTAGCCGCCCCGAAATCTGCGTATGCTTCCAGATCCCGAGTCGAAGAGAGACTAAAATGATCAACTAAAATCCGTATCCGCCCTTCGACCATTATTGGTCTTCGAATATGAGTATCCTATTCCGGGCTGAGCTGAGAGTCGTCCATGAGGCGAGACCGCCTTGATTGCTCTATGGTACTTATCTGACCCTGTGTCTCGGCGGCTTTAAGTAACAGACCCCACCGGACGGTGTGCTTTGGTCATGGGAAGGAAGGTTCGCCCATCTTCTGATGCAGTCGAATAGGTAGACACACGCAGAACTAAGTTAGTCAATGTAGGGGCCTGTGTGGCATACCAGTTAGGCTGTCTGTTCGTGTTTTCATGGCCCTTACAGGCGCTTCTGCGGTGAGCTGCAGGTTGGCCTCATCGGACTACTATACAGAGATCGTTATGCCCGTTGGTTTGGTTCACATCACCGTTAAAGTTAACTATAACCAGAGAATCCACCTACCAGCAGGATATTTCGTTGGGCTGCAGATAAAATCTTCAATCGATTGGCCAAAGCATGTGGCGTTGTTCATCGAGAGCTGAAAAGTCATGTACTGTCCCAGTTCCTCGGTGCCTAGTGCGCAGGATGAAGGCCGTCATCATCTCGCCGCAGCATAATCGTTCATGCTGACAAGATCTATGCAGATCTTATGGTGGACCTGGAGCCCCTCTTGAGGCCAACTTGTAGCCGCCTAACTGTCCTGGACATGTTCCTTTTTCGTCAATATGTTGCGAAAGGCGGAATCCCCACCACATCCTCAGTTGACTTTAAGCTCAGTTTTTGAGATCCAGGATGCTGTATGGGGCCTCGGCTCTTTTTGTTCCTCCGAGCGCATCTTCATTAGTAGAACTGAAGCGGTCTCCTATCAGGTCCTCATGGAACCGACAGTGGCCTGAAATCACATTTTCGCCCCTCTTCGACGTATCAGATATATATCGGTTGTCCCCGAAGGGCTTCCGTAGATTCCTCGTTTGAATCTGCCGTTTCCACGTAGATTATTATCGAGATCATGAGACAACAGAGTGCTAGTTTCGTCATTGTCTTAACCTAGTCGATGAAGGAGGTGGCTTGGCTGAGAAAGACACATGCCAGCAACTCCAGGTCGGTGTTCTGTTCCCATTGGATAACCCATCAACGTGACATGGGCTGCTTCGATTGAAATCCGATTATCTTTCTGAGATTGGCCATCATTTTTATCATGCATTGCCTATCCTGCTGCTCCCTTGTCTGCTTTCATCATACTTTTCGCAGAACTTAGGGCCACGACGTCGAAGACCCCATTATTCAGTTTCTGGTGACATGAGCAACGAATCGAGGACTCGACCTGAATCCACTAGGAAGATAATCAGTGAAGACAGTCAGACTGGTGGTTGCACCGCTACAGCCGAGATATCAACGCCTGCTTCAGTCCCGCTACCGTCAGCTAGTGATATACTCCAACCGCTATCTCAGATGTATCAGGAATCAAATATTCCAAGCAGCGGGGAAGTCGCTGCTCTTTCTCGAGGAGCGAGGGAGGAGCACCGTGCCTGTGCAAAAGAACCAGCTAATGGACTGGGGACTGATGGAGGATCGAGAAGCTCTAAATCAGGCCCAGAGCCCCTGCTGTACACCACAGATGAGCACGCAGAAGTTGATGGAGCAAAAACTTCGGAGCAGAATGCATCCAGCGTCACAGTCTCTTCAGTCAGTCCGTTGGCAGAATCGGCTGAACAGACACCGTCCGCTCAAACCCATGATGCGGATACAGAGCATCGACCATCAATACAGAAACGGAGTGAAATGGTGCAAGTTATGCGTGAGGTCGACTCTGACGGCGAACGAACATTTATACGACGAATTGTCGAGTACCGCTAGGTCCAGCTAATCTTCGCTGGTGGCGTTTCGAGTTCCACTGTTCTGGCGCTATAACTGGTATCTTTGGGATCAGGATTATTTCCTTCTATTTTTAGGTCATGCCAGCTTGATGAAGACCTATTTCATACTCCCCTGTTTGTGTGCAGCCATGCGGACCTCTTTCTCTCGGTGTTAACCTACCTGGTGGCATTTGTCTTCTGTCTCTATTTTATCTTGATGTCAGCGACAGTTTCAGAAGATCTCTTTGATGGATTTATTGTTGCAAGCTGTTAGCCGCAAACCTGTTATTGATGCGATGGCGCTCTTGACATGATATGTGTATACACTATTATGGGAGGCGAGGAGCAACATCTTGGATGGCGCATCATTATGGTGATAGAAATCGTCCATATACAATTAGTCTTCTCACATATATACATTTGTTTAATAAAATAAAGTATCATCTTGGCACCTTGAGAAGACAGATGAACTCCCATACTATGGTTAGTTATTGTCGAAGAGGAATCGAACTTGTCGTTTTGCATTTCCTGGGGAAAGAGCACCCTGCTGAGTCATCCACCAATCAACTTCAGCCTCTCGTGACATCTTCAGTCCCCGCCGCCGCGGAGCTACCCACGTGTCTATCATATCAAACGCAGCTCGAACGTCTACTGCGTTATGAACAGATTACACGCATAATACTTACCAGCGAGGGCAAACCATTGGGTGTGGATCCCTCAGTGTCTGATTTGGGAAATAAGAAAAAAAAAAGAAACAGAGACTCACGATGACACGCACGATATACCGCCCAGTCGCCGCGGAGGAATCAGACCTGGCGGTCCTGAACCTCTCGAGACTGCTGGCGCGTCTGGAGCATAATTTGCTTTCGCCATCTGCAGACCTCAAGCCGCTGAGACAATCGGAATTTCATCGGGCGAGAGTTGGAGCAGTGAGTTGAACCCCGTTCTTTCAGCTTCCTTGAGTTGTGTTTATGTGTTGTCAGACAAGACTTTGAAAGCTAATACCTGTATCCCTAGAACCTCGAATATGCTCGCTCACTTCTCGTCCAAATCGAACGTTCCCTTCCCAAGATCAAGCCTGTCGACCGCCGGCACAGCATACAAACGGATATCACCCGGAAACGACAGACGCTGAAGCTGCTCAAGGACAGATTAGATGCGATTAGTGCAGACGCAGAGATCCTCAGGTCAGAGGGTGACGAGGAGGATATCGACACTGGTATTTCATCCGAGGAGGGAGACGAGGACCTACTAGCTACCCCCGGTGAGAGTGCGGAGGAGGAGAACGAGGTTGAGAACGAGGTTCCCTTAGCGGAAGGGGTATCACGGCGGTACATCGAAGAGGAAGGGTTACGATCACCGACTGAGGATGAGCCTGTTCCCTCTACTACTACGACAACGGCTCCGCCGACGGCCACAGCAGCAGCAGCAGCAGCGGCGGCGGCGGCGGCAGCGACCACAGACACAGCCTTACGAAACCGTCACAATCGCCAACCTACCTTATCACTTACAGCTGACGCTGCCACTGCGACAGCAACCGGATCCGCCCTCCCCACCACCTCCTCCCCTTCCCTCTCCAAGACGCAAGCCACCGAGTCGGCTCTAGATGCGCACGCCCATGAACAAGAAAGCTTGACCGATTCCCTGCTATCCCTTGCGACGCAACTCCGAGAATCCTCACAGTCCTTCCAGACGTCACTCGAGGCCGAAAAGTCCGTGCTGTCACGGGCTGTCGAGGGTCTGGACCGGAACATCACCGGCATGGACGCCGCGGGTCGTCGCATGGGGCTCCTGCGACGGATGAGCGAGGGTAAAGGCTGGTGGGGACGCGTGCTAATGTACGTGTGGATATTCGGACTATGGCTCGTGGCAGTGGGGATTGTATTCCTGGGACCGAAGTTACGATTCTGAAAGTGTTGATCAGGCGATCTTGTTTGTGGTTGGTATTACTTCGTCCGTCTTGTATGTGCATGCATCTGAGAGGCGTTATCTTTTTTTTTTCTGTTTGATTTGATATATCAACCGCCTTCCTTTCATAGTCAGTTTTCAAGATACCTACCTATGCGGCAAAGATTCTCTTTCTGGCAATACAATACGATCGAATATATTACCATAATATTATTCTTTCTCTTTACAATCCAAGCAACCAAAAGCCGGTCCTAGAAGGAATCGAATATACTCCACATTCCTGTAAGAAGAGTCTGACTAAACCGAATGACCGACATGGCATGGACACGTGAACAAGCAACAAAGGAAGCCCATATAAGAGATTATTTCAAGGCATCCTCTCATTGTCTTTCCCACCATGTCCCTCTTAATAATGTCGCTCATTTGCTTCTGACTGAGAGTAGACCAAGGAGAAAAAGAAAATGAGTTTGACGTACGGTTACACACATGATTCTGACTGAGCGCGAGGGGGACGGGGATATCCAGCTTGTAAAATGAACAACACATGAAATCACAGAGAAAAAAAAGTGATGCAAAGAGAGCTTTGAACAAGACAGAAAGTGAAAATAAAAAAAAAGATGATATGGAGAAGATAAAATAAACTGGGGCTACGGGGAAAAGGAGCACACACAGGAAATTTTAGACGTGAAACTCTGGCATCCACTGGCATCCCGGGAGCTCATGGTGCAACATAAATCCCTCCGCCATAGTCATGTGATGACACCTGGACTGGTGTTGACAGTGCGACAAAAACCGACCAGATCTCATCTCGAGCGCAAATCACGGGAAGTAAATGTCTCAACGCCAGTAATTTTAAATGAAACAAGGAAATGACAAGTGAGGTATGGTATGAGAAACAGGGTAATAGGAGACGGCGACAGTGATATCAAATTACGAGGCCACATATGTGTGTGGTCTGATCTGCGACATATCCTCACCGAGCCAAGCTTCTTCGACGGTCATTAGATCAGACCACAGAGTCTGAGATTTTCTTGGATGATGATATCTAGACAAATGAGTCAGCACTATAGCTCACATAAAGGGCTCGAGAGCGAGGATATGTATACGTACCATTGACTGCAGCCATGACGAACCGGATCTGGGTCGTATCCGTGGCGCAGGTGAAGTGAGTATAGATCTGCTTCTGCTCTGCCTGGTTCAGAGAGACGAATCGGTTGAGGATGTAGTCGCAAGCGGCTGCGTAGTCGGCACCACCCTCATAGTCTGGGAAGTAGTTCTTCATAGGGCTAATGGGGAGCTTCTCCTTGAAACGGTCGATCTTGTTCAGGAAGAGAATGATCGAGGTCTTGATGAACCATCTGGAGTTGCAGATGGAGTCGAATAGGGTGAGCGCCTCCTGCATACGGTTGACCGTCTCATCTTCAAAGAGCAGTTGGTCGTACTCGGAAATGGCGACCAGGAACAGAATCGTGGTGACGTTCTCGAAGCAGTGGATCCACTTCTTACGTTCGGATCGCTGACCACCAACATCGAACATACGGTAGGTCAGGTCACCAATGATGAAAGTAGTCTCGGTGATACCGGTGGTCTTGACACGGGAGCGGAGCACATCCTGGTCATCGGGCATGTAGTCAGGTTGAGCGATCCGGTCAATGGAGTCGAAGTAACTACAGGATAGTGGTTAGTTATCAATCCTTCGCAGCGACTGCAGGCGCGCCCGGTTCTTTATCAGGAATCATACTATTTGGCCGAGTCATTCAGCTGGTACTCGCGAGACCGCTTGAAGCACTCCTGGACGCCAGCGTCCTGCCAGAGGGCTTTGATGGCCGCGCCAACCTCGGGTGGTAGGCTGTCACCTTCAATCTGAGCGGGCTGCATGAAGATGGTCTGGACGTGGTACTCTGCGCGCTGGTCCTCCAGAGGCAGCTCCAACGACTCCATCGCCTCCAGAATTACCCGCATCGACTGGACCGTGTTGCTGAAGATGATCTCTTTGAACGATTCCCGCTCATCCCGTGAGTAACCGCCCTCATGGATTAGCTTCATCTGCTTCAAGATGGTCGATTTACCCGACTCTCCCGCACCTAGAAATCCTCGTCAGAGACCATTCGACTCTTCTTCTCCCGCTATGTTTTCCCTCTCCGCTTGCGTCGACAGGGGCACGTACCGAGCAGCAGCATCTTGATCTCGTTCCTCTGCATCATCTTATCCCGCTTCAGCTGGTTTTCGATCTCCTCATTGCGGGCCTTGCCCTCCTTATCCTCTGTGCTCATTCCACAACCCATCTTGACAGATTCGTTTCAGGTCGTCTCGAACACTCGTAGAAAGATTAGTCTCGCTGGTGGAGAGTTTATTTCTGTGATGTCGACGACGGTCGGATAGACGGACAGCTGCGGGGGAAAAAAACAAGCAGTGTCAGTGGCAGAGATCCCCAAAATGCACACAACAGCGATGAAACAACGCCAATGTTCAACGTTGTACGGAGAATGGCTGCTGAGAAAGCGGATTGTTCCGTTTCGGGAAGGGCGCAGGACGCAAGGAGGTCGGCCCAGCGACTGCGCGACGCAGCTTTCTTCTGATGAGGCTGGCGGTTGAGATTCCGAGGTCTGGAAAACCCAGTGTGAAGGGGGGAACCGGAACCAGATTGGGGAGGGAAGAAGCGATGGATGTTTTCCAGAAGACGACTACTTACATTCCTGTCCTGGTCTCGAGAAACGCAGCAATCGGCCAGAGGCGCAATGAGTGAATGGGGGCGATAATTCCAAGCTCCCAGGGGGGGCGTAAGCTGCGAAAAGTCTAATAATTTCCTCCCAAGGGGGGGCTGTTGAGAAACGATGGAAGAAGAAGGAGATTGGGAAAAGCGTAGAGAAAATACACCCACGACAGAGGGGCGAATATGAGATTAGATCTCCCCAGGTCGACGAAGAGAAAGGGAGGAGGGGAGAATAATGATTAGAGTAAGAGTAGTAAGGGCAGTCGGGGAAGAAAGGGTGTTGAGAAAGGGACCGTTCAGTAAGTAGGAGAAGGAGAGCGGATGGGATCGAATAGGATTTGGGGAGTCGCCTGGGTGGACAGTAGGGGGGGGAAGAGGGACAGGATACGGTTAGCTTAGCTGGACTTAGTTTCGGCGCAGAATAACTAATGGATGCAATCAATCAATCAGTTCAGTCCCAGTGGGTTCTTCATTGCCCTCTCTCTCGACTCTCGACTCTTTTCTCGTTTCGCGTATCCGGGAGCGGAATTAGCATCAGCCTAGTCTACTCTGGATACTCTCTCCGTACTCTACATACTGTAATAATAATAATACTAATAACTTTCTCTCTCTCTCTTCTCTCTCGTCCTGCTCGAACTGAGGCCAACAGGATCCCTCCGGCCCGAAAGTCAAAAAAAAGGCGAAAAAAAAGCGTCTCTGAGCGTAAGGGGTCAGGGGCCAGTGCCCGCCAATCAGCACTCAATCCACTCTGCCTTGTTATCGCCAACTCCGAGACGATGGCCTCAGCTTCGTCCAGACTCTCCAGCCTGTTGTTCATCGTTCGTTCGTCGATTCTCTCCTGAATGCCCTTCCCAGTGAGATAGGACTGCAGATCTGACCCTAAGATGTCCATGTGCGCGGAGCCTCCAACGTTCTACCATCCCCTGGGGATCCGTCTGAAAATCCACGAGGTTACGGCAGATAGTTCACTTAGCTGCTCCTGAGCCAGCACCTACTTTAAACTACGCCTGGACGAGAACCATCTACCACTGGCTATCATCGACTCTATTCATTGTCGATGAACAGATGATTTCTGCACCTCACACTGCACAGAAACCACAGTTCGGTGGTCTTTCGTCCGGCACGGTGCGCCAATAATGGCCGGAGACGACTGGTGACGGGACCAGATCGCCAGGGGTATGCGCGCCCCAGTTCCTCTCTTGTTTCGTCCTTTCGAAGGCTTAACTATCGCTACCCGTCTTTCTAGAAGCCAGGCTGCCTCTCCCGTCTCGGCTGCGTTCAGTCCTCTGCGGACATCCCCATGGATCCCTTTCCGCCCGCTGCCATCCAGCAATAATAATAATATAAAAATCATCATAAATCATATTTCTCATTCCCGGGAAGCCGTTACGCAACGGTGGAAAACCGGATACTGGTCGAATAACGGCGTAGAATGGATCTCGTCAAGACAGAATCTCCACCCGGCGGAGACGATGGTTCTGCCACCGTTCTGCGCGGCGCGCCAGGTCTTCTCGAAACGACCCGTCTTGCTCCTCTATCTAACCCTTTTTCGGGCCCTCCATAGCCTGTCCGCTGTCCCCGTAAGCGACTTGACCAGCAGGATTGCCTCGTGGCGACTCCAGCGTGGAGGACGCTATCGCTAACCGGCCTCCCTTGACTACTGACTAGGAGTCGGTTATACTTCTAAGTTCTGTCTGTCAGCGGATAAATAGGCCTAATACCAAGGTATTCTTCCCGTATCCGCTCAGTACTCATAAGGAGCCGTACGAGACTACGACGATCTTCACGCAAGTGACAACCAACTACTCCGTAACTGCCACGAGAATCCTCTGTGTAACTATGGAGCAGGGGGTTCATCTACGAGTTCGTGAATCCAGGGATATATTGTGGAGTCCACCTCAGATTCACCAAGCAATTGTCAGAGATCTATCATCATGCCTCGGTTCAACAGAGACATTACTCTATAAGGAGCGAGGGAAAACCAAGCGTTAGAGACATTGCTGTCAACAGTGTCCCGTGAACGGAAAGTAAAACAAAACGATGAGAGCATAGAAATTATGGCGACTATCTACTCCATACAGTGTATTGCAGTGGGCATAACGGTTGGAAAGCCCTTCGACAGCAAATCATGCCTCTTGTGCATCCAAATTGGTCAATGACATCATCAACGCATAACAGCGTGACTTACAGTGGGCATTATTATTATTATTTTTATTTTATTCTTACTGAAGTACTACTAACTAACTAGAGCACTTTAATATTACCATATTAAGCCCATGGATCAATTCAGCCCTTGTGGTCCAGATGACGGGCAGGGAACCCCTTGCGGTCGGTTGGCTACGGATATCTCGATCCACCAGCTGACGCATCGCTGGGCACCGTATCTATTCTAATTCATCGTTCACCACTGAACTCCATACTCTATACGGAGTAGTACGACTCATGCTCTAAGCAAAAGAACGACCCACCGAATGCAGATGAGACGAGCGCCAGTCACTACACGTGTCAGACCTTACTATATCTACGCAGCCCTATCTCTCCTCACTGCAGGGTACAGGCCATGATGAACTTCATTATATTAATGCCTGTCTTGTCACCCTGCTATAAGTTACTCCGAGTCCGAAACAAGATACAAGATACGAATCATATAATTGGCCCCATTATTTGACCCTTTTTCTTCTTCTTGCAAGGATGACGACCAAATAACGATCTGAAGTTTTACTCTCCTCCGCATGAAACTCTCCTTTTTTTATTTTTTTTTTTTCTGGAATGCTCAGTTTTGTTTCAGGGATCGACTAACACATGAAACCTCTGCTTCAATGCATAGCCAAGCATCCTGTTCCCGAAATAGCCGCGCTGTGTTACGTTCTTTTCCAGAAGAAATCCGTTACACACCGGGACATCTCAACAACTAGTTACTACAAGCCTTAAGGACGGTACTCCGTAACTAAACTAGATGGCCCGTGATACATACCTAAGTCAGATGATAGTATCTCCGTGAAGAACGAATTTTGTATCAATTTGTTCTTATACTGTAGATCTCAATACCAATTCTCAAATATAAAGCGATAGATGTGAAGTATATATGCAACACTGATAATTCCACTGTAACTATGCATTGAGTAGATTACTCTACCTAGGTGGTTGAAGCTCGGTGGCCATCACGTGAGAAAAAGTCTGGCCAAATAGTCGCACAGCGTTCTGTAGCTGGTATGACGGCACAATCAAGTCAATAATATGTAGCTACCCAGCAGCATTCCTAGAATCAGTTCCGGTTCCGTGTACAGTAGTTAATAGCGGAAGTCCCCCCCAGAAAGAAGCCAAATTTAGTCCTTTCGGGACGATCCCGGATAATATCAAATTGAAAGACATGTGATTCTGAGTAACCTAGGTCTCCGCAGTATTTCAGCGGTTGTTCGTCCACAGCATTATATGTACATACACACAAGAGGTATTTCAGAAGATGATAGACCAATACGAACGGGAAAAGGCTGACGAGGCTACCTAATCTACCGTGAAGAACATCCGTCATGGCTTCGAACGAGAAGGGTACCATCATCGACGAGTATCCTGTCCCTTCCTACAGCCAAGTAGCGTGTGTTGGTACGGGCCTTAGTGCCATTGCACTTGGAGCGACGTTGAAGAGATGGTACGATAATGATGATATTCGCTTTTTCGAGCGCCAGTCCGACTGCGGCGGAACTTGGTTCATCAATTCTTATCCCGGTGTGTTCCCTCACGAATGTACTGTATGTACATATAGTACAGCCTTACTCCTTAGCTTAGGTAGGTTGCTTGATTCTAATTTCTTACCAGGATGCGCTTGCGATGTTCCAAGTGCTCTATACAGCTTCTCATTCGCTTTGAATCCCAACTGGACCAAATTGATGCCATCCAATAAAGAGATAAAAGAATACCATGATGGCGTGGTGAAACAATACGGCTTGCGCGAGAAGATGGTTTTCCATACCGAAGTGCGTAAGTGTGTTTGGCGAGATGATGCGAACTGTTGGCTGCTCTTCTTGATCGACCTTGAGACTGGAAACTTGTATACGCATGAATGCCAAATCCTATTCGCGGCAACGGGCCAATTGATTGAACCTCGACCCTGCGATTTTCCAGGCGCATCGGCTTTCAAGGGGACCATCTTCCATTCTGCAAGATGGGACCACAGCGTCAATCTAGAAGGAAAGAACGTTGTCGTTGTTGGTAATGGATGTGAGTTGTGGATTTAGTAATCGTTTTTCATCTAACTAGTTACTTCGAATTATTAGCTAACCAGGGTAATATTTCAGGTACTGCAACTCAGATTGTACCTTCGATCGTGAAGAAGACAAAATCATTGACTCAAATAGTCCGAAGCAAGCATTGGGTTTTCCCCGCTCACAACTTCCATTACCCGAAGATAGTGTCTTGGATTCTTCGCCATGTGCCCTTTGCTATGAGGCTCCATCGTTTCCATGTGTTCCTCGTAGCTGAGAACGGTTGGCGCCTTTTCCCAATGACAAAATCGGCTGCGAGGTTTCGAGAGAAAACGCAACGGACGATAGAGAACTACACGAGGAAAACTGCTCCAGAGAAATACCATGACATTCTTATCCCGGACTTTGATGTCGGCTGCAAGGTGAATCTCCCCTGACGGTCATGATTGTATCATAGTTATTTGGACTACATATTCACTTACACCTGGTAGCGTCGCATATTCGATTGCGGGTATCTCAAATCTCTGCATGACGATAACTTGCTCTTGACGGACGCCAGAATTACGGAAATCATACCCGAGGGTGTGAAGACTACAGACGGTATTATACCAGCCGATGTGATTGTATTAGCGACTGGGTTCCAAACCAACAAATTTACTTCTTACATGGCCGTTCACGGACGAGAGGGCACCATCGAAGATCATTGGGCACGATACGATGGCCCCGAAGCCTACAATTGCTCGACTTTGAGTGGATTTCCGAATTTCTTTATACTACTAGGCCCGAACTCCGCAACAGGACACACTTCCGCACTGATAGCGGCCGAAAAGTGAGCAAGGTCCTATCGAATTCCATGCTCCTACTCCATGACACATGCTGACCTATCCTATTGGAGTAGTTCTGTAAATTATGCCCTCCGCATAATGGAACCTGTCCTGAATGGAAATGCCGCAGCGGCCGAGGTCAAACAGGAGGCGGAAGATGCCTACGCTCATGAAGTTCAATCGGCTCTGCAGAACCGCGTCTGGAACGCTGGCTGCTCTTCTGTAGGTTCAAACTTCCAAGTAACGCATTCGTCTACCTACCAGGGGCTGCTCGGGATCTGATTTTGTACTGTTACCTAGTGGTATATCAACGAGAAGAAGTGGAACTCCATGTCCTATCCGTGGACTCAGGCACATTACTGGTATCGCAGCTTGTTCCCAGTGTGGTCTGATTGGAAAATCAAAGTATGTCCACACTATATCGAATGCCTATTCATCTCTGGTTAATATGATGAGGAATGGCCGTTGACAAAATACCTCTCTAGCGCACCCGTAGAAGCTCAGGGATCAGGACCAGCCATTACTTATTACTCTTACTCGTCGTCAGCGGCACCTGGGTATCCCTACTTGAGCGGCATCCCAGTCTGAAGGATTCGTTGTCGGGGAAAGGACTTATAGACGCGGCCAGAGCGGTGATAGGATACTTTAAAAGGACTGTCTCATGGCTCTCTTGAACAACAGTAGTTGACAAGTTGGATTTCTCATTGCTATTACGGCTTGAAGGAGGTTTCGCGCAAAATATTTTGGAATTGGAATCTACAGTGAAAATCTGGAACTTTAAACTCTTATCCTGCAACTTCATAGTATGGGGCACTAACAAAGTCTGCTGAAACCATAATTTATATCAAGTCACCAATTAAATACATACAACTACAAGATGTGCACCTCAACCCACTGATCTGGCGCGTCGGATCCCGCAGCATCATGCTAATAATCAAACAATAATACCATGCATCAAAATCACTTACACCCGACATCCGGTTCCTTACCAACTCGGGTGTTCCTGATCATCCATCCAGATCTGTGTTCCCTTTTTCGGCGCTTTTAGCGGCGATCCGAGAGCCCACATTTATACACCGACCCATTGGTCCAGGATCGATTTATCGTCCGATAAATGGATCCACGAGCTGGCTTGGCACGGGGAAACTAGCGATTAGTTAAATGAACCTGCGGCGCTTCAGCTGCTCGATTTTGAAATGCGACATTACAATTACTCTTCTTCTCTTCACGATTCTGATTGTTCGCGGGATCTAGCAGGCGGGTTTGCCTATACGTTTTATCAAGATGTCGCATGAAATGTCATACATGGGCTCGAGGGGTGAGTTGACATTGACATTGACATTGACATTGACATTGACATTGACATTGACATAATCGGAATTGCAATTGCGATTGCGATTAAGAAAACGCACTGATTGATTGATTGATTGATTGACTGACTCGATTCGTTATCGATCGCAGCCCTGAATCACTCGCAGAATGACTCTGCCGAAGCGGAATATGATCGCCTGCGAGACCTCGCGCGACAGGAAGCCAGGAAGCGTGGAGAGTGCTTTGACAAGGTATGCTACCTATAGTTAGGCCGCAACGACAAAATGCGTTAAAACCAGGAGGGAAGTCTAACTTGGAGCCGGAACTGCGATTAGTCCCGACAGGCTTATGAGAATGGTGATGGTGCGCTGGCAAAGGAGCTCTCTGAGAAGGGTAAAGCCCACGGTCTCAAGATGGAAGAGTATAACCGTCAGGCATCCGAGTTTATTTTCCGTGAGAACAATGCGCCGGGACGGGTTGCTCCAGATACTATCGACCTACACGGCCAATTCGTGGAGGAAGCTGAGGATATCCTGGAGGAGAGAATCAAATATGCCAAGGCGCATGGACAGAACCATTTGCATGTGTGAGTTTTTTCCCGGAAGATTAGCAGATTGTGTTTGTCAGAAAAGAAACCATGCTGATCAGATGCCCCCTTGAACAGGATCGTTGGCAAAGGAAACCACTCTGTCAACCACATTCAAAAAATCAAGCCCCGCGTCGAGCAGGTCTGTCAACAACTAGGTCTGCAATATGCCACAGAGGAAAATGCCGGACGTATCTATGTCAACTTGACTGGCGGGCCAGCCGAAATGCCCCAGTACGACAGCCACCCACAGTATCCAAGCACCGAAACCGGCACATATCAACCTTCTCATCCGTCTCATCAACAACCGCATCAGTACCCGCAACAACAGAACCACCAACAACAACAGCAGCAGCCACAGCAGGAGGACGAGATCGAGCAACTTGTCGAGAAGGTCTTGCCCCGCGTGCTGCGCAAGCTGGAAAAGGCTTGCTGTACAATTATGTGATGGGTTCCGACCATTCTTTGGGCACTTTTTTCTATGACCTTTGGATACGATTTCGAGATCCCGCCCTGCGCTTCCAGGATATATGGGGTGCTTTTATGGGCCTAGGTGTCGTTTCTACGAGGAACAACACAGCAATGTTCCTTTCCATTTCTGGACATGAGATGTCTCCCTGGATCGAATTTGACCGAAGGACCCGGAAGACACGCATAATAGATCTCCCCACGTCTTCAAGGATATACCCCTGGTGATTTTCCGTTTTGTTTATTTACGCAGCTTGCTATGTTTGTGTCTTTTCTCTCACATCAGTGGAAAATCTCCGTTAGCCATTAGCCTGGGCCTCGCGCAAATATTTGAGAGGCTGGCGGTGCTTATAGAGTAGAAGCCATGGAGGCAGCAACATATCCGAAAATAAATACATCCTAGAAGGAGTTAAATAAAGACCGACCCGACAGACCTAACAGAGACAAGTAAGGAAGACCCGGTTACTGTCCTCGTCGCAGGGGGTTGACCGACATATGGAAACCAAAAGACCTTTGGGCCACATCAAGATAAAAACACATCCGTCGCCCGGTGGTTCCAACCGGACCGTCACAATTCACCTGGGCACTCCTTATCATCATCCGTAACTAGTTATAAGAGATCATCATTCTGCTCCAGCGGATATCATTGCCGTTGTAAACCAGTCGAAGATACGATTTAGCGGAAGGGGTATATATCAACAACCAAATCCAAGCACGCATGTCAAATATGGCCTCCAAAGCCGTAAACCAAGCTTAATCGTCTTCTCCATCTTTCAAGGTCGACTCCACGATTTTCGCGAGGATCGCTCGGATCATCGTACCTTCACTTTCGCCTTCTTTCTGTTCCCCTTCTATTTCGTCAATCAGGGCGAGAGCCTTGTCCCGCAGCCGCCTCACCACTTTTCGCGTGTATGCGAAACTACCAGTGCTTTCCATGTAGCTCACAGCGTACAGCTTCACCTCCTCGTCTTTTGTCCGCTGTTTGAGGATATTAACCAACTGGAGGTTGCTCGGGTTGGAACGGATGCTGTGGATGATGGGAAACGAAAATTTGCCCTCCGTCAGATCCTCGCAGAGCCCCTTATTCTTGGTGTAGGTCGTGTTAGACAGGTTGAGGTAGTCATCGCAGATCTGGAAGATGAGACCCATCACGTTGACGAGAGCGACACAGTCCCTGCAAGAAGAGCAAACGTAAGCCGATGCATTAGGCACATGCCGATTAGGGCGCGGAATCATACTTTCCGGTGTCACTCTCAGCCTGCATCAGCTTGATAGCAAGTCTAAAGAGCCCCCCCGTCTTATTGCCAACCATCTCCAGGTAGTCATCCTCGCTGGGACATGTCAGGGTGTCACGCCAGAACAGGTCCATTCCTTGACCACGGTGGAGATTCAGCAACTCTTGAGCATATATGTCGATTGCAGCCGGGTTCTTCAGCTTCTGCACTTCCTGTAGGGCTAGGAAATAGACGTAGTTGGCCGAGTTGATCGTCTGGGCCGTCCCGAAGATGCTATGGGCAACGGGAACGCCTCTCCGTAAGATGGAATTATCTTCAACGTCATCGATTCTGTCGCGCACACATCCCCGTTAGACATGGACAGTCACGGTCACGAGGTTTCTGCTTACAATAAGGATGATGTATGGAGCATGACAACCACCTTCGTTATGATGGCCAGGCTATCTGGGGGAACCTTCAGCCAGGCGTTGAATGCAGCGATGAATTGTCTCCGCAGATCCTTGCCTGGGTGTTGCGACATGTAGTCGTAGGGACCCATCAAGATCTTCTCTTTTTCCTCTGACCACATTCCGTCCCTGTATTTCGTCCCGTCGACACTTGATCGGTTGCGAGAATGCTTGTAGGTGGTGTTGGTGGGCAGATTATCAGCGGCGGGGTTCATCCAGTCGTCCTCGGGGATGCCTTTCAAGCCAGCAGTTCTCGACGCGGCCTCGTGGTGATGATGGCCATTTGTAACCCCCGTCGAGCTCGTCCGCGGAGGGATCGCTGTGGGAGGTTGCAAGGATTCCGGCATCGTTGTCCAGATGTATTGTCTTGAAGGAAAGAGATGGGAGTTTGTGGCAGGCACGAGGGCTTCGTTATTCGGGGCGGGTGTGCAATGGTTGCACACCTACCTTGTGTTGGTCACACAGAGTGGATTTAGAAGCTGAAGAGTCGAATTCAGGTTAGACAGAATATTAGCAGCAAAAGGTTGAAGGAAAGATGAATAAGAACAATAAGAGGAAGAATAACAATAATGGTAATAATGACAATAATACCCAAAATCCAGCAGAATGTCTCTGCCTGCTACGATATAGAGAGTCGAGACCGCACATGACGCAGCTGTTCGGAGTAAACCTAAAACGAGGGGCAATCGCATGTGACTGCCCGCTAGCCCTAAAATCCGGAGTTGTTGAGGTCGTGTTTTCAAGGTGCTGCTGTCCATCCAGGTCGCACTGTCAGACATATCTACGATTATACTGTTCCCTGACAATGTTTCAATTATCATCTGCTGTGTCTCAGTTGAAAAAGGTTCGTTGCTGGGAGCTTCTTACTGCATGCTGCAGAGTGATTGTGTGACCAATGTGTAGGTATGGCTCCAAGTCCAACAGTGCCAGAGCTCCTTGCAGAATCACCAGCACCCAAGGACCGGACTAGCAATCGGGTAACGCCCTCGATCGGCGGCTAAGAGACCATGCCAAATCGTCATGACGGACACATCTCTGTAAGGCAACGCTAGAACAACACTCGATCGCACGAAGCCGTGTCGTGGTCCCTTTGGCATCTGCTGCTGCAAGTGTTGTACAGCGTGGTTGGTCCAGACTGGCAGTGGGGTGGGCGGTGGCAGAATTTCACCGTGCCAACCGCCCGCGATGTTTACCTCGTTGTGGGGGATATCGGTTTACTAGTGACTGCTAACAGAGTATCTAAAGCATTTAGTATACTCGGTTTGCTTATCCTGCTCCAGCTGTTCGCGCCAGGTCAGCGCCCAACCTCCTCAGCCTCAGCCCCAGCTCTGGCCCAGTTGCACGCGGCTGGCTGGATGCTCCATCACGTCAGGAGCTGCCGCCCGCAATCAGGTTGGCATTTCTTTTATTTGGCGGACTGCCCGTCCTCCCACGTCTCCATCCCTTCGTTCTCCTCTACCTGACGGTGAGCTTCAAATCCTCTTCAAGCTGGTTATAGGAACCAACGGTCAATCGCAATGGAGACTCTATTAGCGCATTCATTTGACTACCTCTCTTCCTATGAGCCTAGCAAGATCCGGAAAGGACTGCGGCAGGTGGAGGGGCTGTTAGCACCGATATGTTTGTCCAGATCCAAACAGGCACCGGTCGACAGGCGGAGATCGATTGTCGCCCCCGGCTCACCGCAACCTCCCGCAAAACCTCTCGGGGAGCTCAAAGACGATCCGGCCTTCAGGGAGTTCTTCAAACTGCAGGATGGATTCCAATGGAACGGTATGTGCCGTCATACGATGCCAGAACAAAATGGACTGTCGTCTTAACTGGATTCTGAACAGTCGCACTACGTCTCGTTACCTGCCTGGAGCATTTGCTTGGCCGAGGTAGCAATGGAACGAATGATTTGCTTATCATCTCGACTCTGGACCTGATTCAAGGTGTCCTGCTACTGCATCCGCCTTCCCGAACGCTATTCGCTCGCGAGATATACATGAACCTACTCCTAGATCTTCTTGATCCCATCAATTGCCCCGCAATCCAATCGTCCACCCTTCTGACGCTGGTAACTGCTTTGTTGGACAGTCCAGCCAACACACGAACCTTTGAGGATCTGGATGGCCTCCTCACTGTCACATCGCTATTCAAGCTGCGGGCGACATCTCGTGAAGTGAAGCTCAAGCTTGTTGAGTTCCTTTATTTCTATCTCATGCCGGAGACACCAACTACCCCTGCGCCCGGATCTAGCGCACCAAACACCGCCGTCCTTGGCTTGCACCGCAGTCCTAGCAAGGTCGCCGGTCCTGTTTCGCGGAGCGTCAACGTTCCTGGTGCGGGAGGCAGAGACAGTAAAGGCGGCCGCGACACGCGCACCACGGAAGAGAAACAGGCACTGCTCGGACGCTATCTCAACAACGTTGAGGATCTAGTGGAAGATCTCAAGGAAACGGCACCTTTTGGAAGCTCCGTCTGTTGATGACATTCTTCACATGCTGTCTACACCATTGCAGTTGTATGGTGGGACCCTGGGATTTGCCTTTGCTTTTATTTGCCGGTTGGCCTCCCCTTGAGTTCTTTTCTTACCCGTCTTATTATCATGCGATTGATGACTGAACTATTTTATGCATTGGTTTATGTTTTATGAGCGTGTTATGATCAAGGTTTCATGTGATGGTTCTCTTTTGTCGAGCCCGGTGTCTTGTCCTTTTTTTCATGTTTGGTGTTATGCGGCGGGATTCTGTACGATTAGCGATGGGAGTCCTATTCATGCGATACGAGGAATTGAACAAGGTTAAGAATTAGATTCACACAAATCTCACATTAAATCCATGAATCACCCCCGAAATAAGTTGGAACGATCGCTTTCGGGATGGCTTACTTCGACTCAAGATGCTGACTGTTATACTAGTGTACCATAGATCAGGATCTGGAAACTCGGCTATCATGACTTATTCCTATTCGCCCCCCGCACGAACAGAGCTTGCGGGCAATAACTTTATTTTTTCCTTGTCAATCGACTGTCTCAGAAATGGGAATAGTACTGTTTCTTTTCCAACTCTAATATGACTCAATTGGCAAATTGGTTATTATCCTTGAACCAATCTCCCTCGACCGCAGACCTGGTATCCCCCGAGATCAATATTTGAGATGTATTTCATACCATAAACTTGGTGATCTCCCAAATATAATATAATTCCATTCTCCATCTTCTTATGGTATATCTTTATCCTAATTCGAAATACCAACCTGCATATATACTGTAAGGAGAGTATCAAGGATCAAATATGGAAAAACCAACACAGAAGAATCCAGCAGCGAGATCCTTATCAGACGAAAAATAAATCTCCGTCCCAACAGGTTCAGTACATGGAGACGGTAGATGCGTATGATAAATGGGCTGAGGTAGGTTGATTTCTGTCGAATCCTATATCACGGAAGCAGGATCTGAATTGCTTGCTTGACTCTAGGTCTAGGGGGGATTTTTCTCTAGCATACAAAGAATCTAGACCCTAGTAATCTAGTAGGTTCGATCCAATTCCATGCGGGAATAAGGTGTAACAGATGATTGCAGATCACCTGGCGTTTTCTTTGTACGCCGACACAATCACCTTCATATCGAAGGCTGTTACTGTCTTAAATTTGTCTCGCTTTGTAGTGGAGATAAACCTATTACGGCTGGCAGTAAAGTCTTGAGATGCTGTTCTAATATTTTGACCCTATCCGACTTGTGATCGCAGCTCTGTGTTATCAGATCGCAGCTCTGTATTGTCCAGTTCGATTTTTTCAACCTTTGCTTCAATAAGTAAGAGTCGGCTATCATGCTCTGCATATGCCAATCCGGCAGGATTTCCAACAAATATCTCTACTGCTTTGCGGACGTTCTTGCGCGTATTACGCGTCTTTTTCTGCATTTCAATCATTTTCAGCGAGTTATTTATTGTTGAAGCATGTATGTGTCACTTACAGAACAACTACTGCTTGTCGCTGAGCTTTGAGAGAAACTTCAGCCGGCGATATATCACGAGGATGCCGTCGACTTTGAAGTCGACGTTCAGCTTCGGCCACGCGACCTATCTCAGAAAGGGCGAGAATGTGAGGAGAGACTGAAGGTAGATTGAGATCTCGACATAGGAAAGTGCGACGTAGAATTATTTTGCTGTGAGGGAAGTAGTGAGGCGAAACTAATATTTGCAGTCTTGGAAACCATGGTTCTCGAGTCACATGGCATACAATTACCTAGTATCTTGTCCGCTAACCTTAACAGAACACTCTCAATGAGTGAGTAGTTGCGAACCAAGATGATGAGAGTGACAGGAAGGATGGGATTTGGCGTTGTTTGGAATGAGGGAGTAAAGGAGAAGGCGGTTGATGAAGGTATGTTGGAGATGCTGGGGCCAAGGGCGAAGAGGTGGGTTGGGGTTAAGGTGTGGTTTGCGATTTGCCTTAGGAAAAAGGAGTGAGACAGATGAAAATCTGATGGCCCTCTCAAGCCAGTTAATAGGCCGTGTGATATATGATAATGCTGATGATGGTTATGCTCGTAATGTACATATCAGGACAAAAGAGCGTTTATGCGCTCTAACGGACGAAAGCGTGCCTCCCCGATGACATATTCCTAACTCCCTCTTTGTCGACTCATCTCTTAAAAGAATTTTTCAAACAAGTTGTCCCGGTGTTGTACGAGGTTCCTATACTTCCTCAATAGCTGCGCCAGTCTGTTGTGTTTCCAGCCCATGTTGCTGTCTAAGAGTAGATGTGTATATGCGAAGACGCTCGCATCGAATAGTCCGGGCGTCCTGCGGTTGAAGAAGTATTCATTATCTCCTAGAAGGGTTGACAGGGCCTCGAAGGCATTGTCGGCTTCGGCCTCAAGATCACTGACGTCAATGTAATCCGAGGTCTTTAGTAGCTCGTCACGCGCAGCCTGCTGAAGCTGAGTAGCTAGCACAGACCGGACGAGGGTATTCGATGTGGAAGGTTCAATATAACGTTTCCGCGCCACAGCGTCGAAATTGTCCTTGTCTAGGTATAGAGCATACAACTGCGTGCACGTCAGTGAGTGATTATGCGTAGTTTGCCCTCCATGCGATTCAACGTACCCATGCGTTTCGTATTCGAGTATCCAGTAGAGAGGCATATACTTCAAAGCGCATACTGATCTGCTGCTCTTCTTCGCAGTGGACCTGCTCAATGGCCCATTTCTGCAACTTATTCGAAGGGATGGGAACGAGAGTGTTCAGAGGAAAAGCCGGAAGGAGGTAGGGTAAAGCACCGGTTGGCGATGCGTGATTACTCGAGGGGACCGTATGGAAGTCAATGCCCAGGAATTTCAAGTATGCCTAAAAGCACACAATCTCCAGTTAGCGATAGCCCGCAGCAAGCAACATCCGTGGTATCATATTTCTCACCTGCCACCGTAGGCATTGCGGGTTGAATGATGGCTTCCCCAGTCTTGCGCCTTCATCATCTGTGAATATGAATAGTCGATTTCCATCGACTTCGTTTGCTGCACGATAAGGTAATTCGTTGGGAGGGTATGTTATCAGAGGGACTTTGTCGAATATGCGTTTTATCGGCGCAGGAACGGAAAAGATGCCTCGAGGCGCGGGTGTATTGGGAGCGCGGTTTTGCGCATCAGCGGCAGAGTCGTCGTCCGGCATGACTGCGCCGTGTCCATCGCGGCCTTTGGGCGGCATGGATGGTGAGGATCAACTGTTGCTTGCCAGAGGACAACTGTAGCATGTATACAACGCAGCGCGCAGGCCAGAGAAGGTCGGGTGAATGCAAGCTGTACCGGACGCTATACCGCTCCCGGCGCTGACAGATCAGGGCGGTGGGCGAATCCCGGCGTGAGCGTTAGTGTCGTTCCCCTCCCGTTTCGTCCGCCGCACTTTCGCATCTTCAAGGACCTGGTAGCGATCTCACTGGCTTCTCGTTTCTCATCCAGGACGTTGATTGAGCTGAGGCTGGCTCTTGCTCTGTGCTGAAGTACAGTCCATTGCGACTCACAGAGTCACAAGGGTCTCTTTTGGCCCGTGTGCCTCCGTTTTGTCTCAGCTGGTGGTGGAGTCTGATTCTTATCGATTAACTAACTATCAGACTCCGCTCTTCGTCATCCATCCAGGGCAGTGTGTCTGTGCTTGAAGGCAGTTCTATTTCGTTGTTGCCATACCTGGAGAAAGAATTGTTAGCTTGGGGTTTGCTTTCATCTGAAACCACAGGGACGATTCTATCTCGCGCTTCTTTCCGGGCGAGCGGGGTAATCGATCAATCAGTTTCGAGTTGCGCATCACCATTGAGGACCTTAGAGTCGAATTTCCTCCTCTGAAACGCATCATTGTTGGTCCACAGTTAGTCACTCTTTGGAAGAGTTCTGTTAAGGTTGCCGGACAATACTCTCGGCGCGCGGGCTCTTATGACGGGATACTGTCCTCGCAAATAACATTGACAATGCCTCTGGATGAGGAAGGAGCGAAGTGGTCTTGGTAAGAGATGGGTTATGTGCAGTTTATCACTGTCCAGTGTACTGATTGGATTCCAGCGAACCATGCATTCGTGGCCACCGCTCATCAAAATGTCAGCACTTTGATAGATTGATGATGAAAGTTCCCAAGGCCGGCCGGCCTCTGGCGAAATGCCCTCACCCGAAGGGTACATGTAGCTGTCAGAAGACATATGCCTTCATGGTCCGCATACCGAAGGGTGGGTTCCGAGAGGTGCTTTTTGTAATGGATCCAGACTGATGAGAGTATTCCAGGCTCAAGTTGTCTTTGCCGACCGTTATACAAAATTCCCATGGTGCCCGAGGATGGCCAACCATCCTCGACGTCTAGCCCTCCAGCACCTTCTCCTGCCCCTGGAAAGGTCCAGAAATCCAACAGACGACAGAGTAACCTTCAAGCCGCCCCAGAAAATATCGCCAGAGCGTTGGACTTTACGCCGGACTTCGCGAACCAGCAGATTCACAATGGAATATCCGCACCTGGCACTCCGTATTCTTTCAACTATCCGGAATTTGCTAGCTCATCTGGAACTCCCACTACAAACAACAAACATCCCATGATTCTGCCAAAGCAGAGCTCGGAAACGAATGTGCAGACCATAGCACCGCAGCCTAGTTGCTGCTCAAAGGAGCAACAACCGTTACCCCTGGTGGAGAAGAAAGGATCTTGCTGCGGCGGTACAGTGCCTGAAGCTACAGAGGAACCAAAACCGAAGTCTTGTTGCTCTTCAAAGCCAAAAGCCGCCCCTCCTGGTACGGATTCCGGAAACCCATTCCCACCGTGGCATCAATTCCCCTCTGGAAACCACCTTCTACACCAGAATCTGCAATTCTCGCCGCCTTACATTCAAAGTCCTGTCTATATGAACGGATATCATGTCCCGAATTCTGCGGCAGCAAACCCTGTGAGCTTTGTGCCCTCGACTATGCAATGGAGCAATGGGTTCGGTCCGTCTATGCAGCAATCGTTTGCAGGATCTGTACCGTATGGCAATATGGCCCCTCCCGCAGTGGTCGATGCGTCAAAACATGAGTGCAGCTGTGGAGATGACTGTCAGTGCTTGGGATGTGCTTCGCATCCCTTCAACAACACCACCAGGCAGCATATCCAGGAAATGGGCTACATGATGACCATTGGAGAGGAAGGCCAAAGTCCAGATGGATTGGACGGCAGTAGACAGTCTCCAGTGTCCGGAACAATGAGCCCTACTCTCTTTGGATACCCGGAAACCCCAGAGGGCACTACTTCCCTTGGTGGCGGCTGTTGTGGGAAAGCCGCGCAAAATGTGCCAGAACAAGGGCATCCTTCCCATTTCGATTATGGTCTGTCCGCACAGAATTCTTCGCATTACGATGCAGGGCAACATCTGATGCAGCCTTCCGAATACTACGAAGTCGAATATCCAGTTCCACTGCCGGGATCTTGTTCTGACATGACTGGGACTTGCCAATGTGGAAATGATTGCAGCTGCGTTGGCTGCTTGACACATAGTGGACACAACGGCATGCCACTTGAGGCACCGCATGACAATACTCATGCTGGCATGGAGGACTGTAGCGCTTCGCAGCGCTCACCAACGCATCCAGAGCCTCGGTTTGCGGCATTGGACGAATTCTCCTTATCTTCCCTGAGCCCACCGGCGATAGAGCCACAGCTCGTTTAGGGCGACATGACCACAAAAGCGAATGCATGTTATGGAACGACATTTGACTTTTCTTGGCGGGGAGAGAGGAGTTCTATCGGAATCATGATTAAGATACCCCTTGTTGAGTCTTTTAGCATTGATATAAAGTTTTGTCTAAGGAAAGAGGGAAAAAAGGATGGGGCGTGCATGGAATCCCCTCTCCCAGGTCAATGTCTTTCCGCAAGGAGTGCATGGATGGCTTCGGTTCACGTTTGCGTTCAATCGGTACATAGATTATGTGTTATAGATCATGACGGACTTGATTATATGAACGGTGTATTTAGCATCTATATCTGTCGACTCTCAAATCATTAACATATCACTTGATACAGAAACAGCAGTATACGCATTTATTTGTTGCCGTTGCGAGTGAAGATCTCGAGAAAGGCATCAGGTAAACTACATGATGTCATTCTTTTACATGGACCATGATGGCCGGCAAATATACATACAAGCATCCTCTTTCAGCGAGGTCTCTACCCGTTCCCCTGAGATGCATCTGTACAGTATCGTACATTGGAAATATATTGTCCTGTCTAGTATGTTTATGGAACTCGGAGTTAATCTTCCTGTCATAGGCTTCATTTTCAACGGAAATGCTGTGGCACAGGAGCATGAACGAGTTCCCACAGGATGTCTCCAAACCTGCTGTATTTTCCGTCAAGCCCTCAACGTCCTACTGCAAGGCGGACTAAGCTCACGATTTCTGCTGGCGCAGGGCGGCGGTCACGGGGGTGTCGCCTCGTCGGAAGGAAGCTGAATAGAATAATCAGCATTATAGTCCGGGGCCTTCTTCGACTGGAGGAGTAACTTGGCCGGCTCATGCCGCACCGATGATGGATTCCACATACCGTCAGCCTCTTCCCATGCCCGTCCGGCACCGAATCCCAGACCAACCCAGGCGGGCCAGGCTCTCCGCTTGAACAAGAGAACAGAGAAAATAACACCGAAGGACAGGCCGAGAGAAGATTTAATGATCATGGAGGAGATAGCACGGTCCCACTGTTACAAGAAACGAGTCAACATCTGTCTTAGCCGATAACCCATTCGCGCATTGCTTTTCTTGAGGTAATGCCTCTGCCCAGGGTGGAATAAACGCTTTATGCCATTGCGCACACCGTATGCACGCAGGAATTGTTGCTGAAATAGCAAACTGTAATAGAGAGGTCGCGTGCGGTGTTTACCTTTTCGTTCAGCAGAGTCTCACTGACCGGTCTGGCGGACCTCGCGACCGGCACGACCGCCCGGGAATCGTTCGAATCGGCCATTGTGACGGACCTGGGAGTCGCGACGGTCAGTATCCTAGGAAATCGAGTCGACAGGATTGTATACTCACTTTCTTCGAGAGAAAAATTAAGAGACAACGATGTAGAGGGGGGAGTATAGTAAGAGCCGGACTGGGCGGTTACGAGGTTCATCGAGCTCCTTTGGGAGGACTGGCTGTCGCGGCGGTCCGGAAAAACTAAATCGGGCGGGCCGCGATGGTCGACTTACCGCCGAGCTATTGCGGCATAATTTTTTGGAAGAGTAAATGAGATGCCGCAAACGATAATAATACCCCGCGGACTGAGCGAGTGATACTGTGACGTCTCTGCAGAGATGGCTCCTATTGCGGAGGTGAGTGTTATTCTGTCAGATTGTCATTCTGGCCTTTCCCATTAAAATCTAACGTTTATCTGAACTGACAAAGGATTCTTCTATGCAGCGTTCGCGCTCGTCCCAAGAGGCTCTGCTTCAACTGGAGAAGGGCACCGGTAGCCCCGTCACGCAACTCGACGAAGCCGCACGCATTATTGGTATAGATCTGTCTCTGTGTGCCAGCCATCCGAGAGTGGATCGCGAAATCTCTCTTCGCGAAACCCCTGCCCCGAAGGAAGAATGGGTTCTCCGCTGGCTGTTGAAAAAGCTCAAGGCCGGAAACGCCTACCGGGTCGAGCCTGGCTCGTTTCTTCTTTTCCGCCAGCTTATCGACCGTATTCCGCTGAAGACTCTGGCGGCGACATTGAGCGATTACAAGTTTTTACCAGTGTTGGGGGATGTGTTTAGTGATCTGGAAAACGGCATTCTCTCGACGGCTACGGAACTCTCGTCCGACCCTCTTCTCTCCGGTTCTGAGTCGAGTCACACTTTGAGCGCATCGTCTAGCAGGGAAGATGGCGACAAGAAAGGGAAAAAGAGAAAGAGAGCCAGCGATTACGGGGACGCTATGGATCTGGACAACCCTCAGCCTAGCCACAGGTCCTACCTCTTGGCCTTTACCCGGACTCTCGATACGCTGTACTCTCTGGTGAATCTGGCGAACAAAACAGAAACTACGGACGATATAGCGACTGCTCATCTGAAGCATGCGCTCAGGGACCAGCCGGAGGCGGTGGCCAAAATCTTGGGTAAATCGTTTAAGATAGGTTCAGTGGCCACCGAAGAATACTCAAGAGCGAAATTAGATACCGAGCTGCGGCATCTATTTTATGTTCTACCTGCTGCTTTGGATTTGTGGGATCTGAGATCCTCTCGCTTGGACGATGGGGAAAGCAACTCTAGCAATGATAGTTTTGCGAACTACTGCTTCCCTCAGGCTCTACGGCTTCAACTGGCAGCTCGCAGTGCCTCAATCGATTGCGACGAGAGAGCTCAGATGATACATGGAATCGAGCGGTTAGTCGCGCTGCACGTCGTCTTACCAGCCCGTGCCGCCTTTTTCTCCAAAGGTGGCTCCGGCATTGATTACTCCTCAGGTGAACCTGATTGGAGCCCTGTGCAGCCCGTCTCAGATGCATTCCGGCCATACTTGCGGGAGAAAGGAGTGCAAAAAGCGAGTTCACCCAAAGGAACTGTCGAAAGAAAAACAGTCGACGAGGGTGAGGTCGCCAAGACCAGTTCGTGGACAACTGCGCAATTGCTTCCCACTTTCCTGGACATCGCCATCCGCTCGGTGCCTCGAGATACCTTCCGGAGACAGACGCATGAAGTCCCTTGGCTGGAGACGTTGTTCGTTGCCATCGCGGAACTTACATTCTCAATTGTGAAGGAGGACAATGGATCCGATGTTATTGCTACCTTTGTTCCTATCTTGGAGCAGCTCTTCCGTGTCATTCTCGATCGGAAAGTTCAGCTTTCCCTGCATACTCTGCTCACCCATGCTGCTTATACTGGTCTTTTGAAGGATGACCTCAAATTGGTCGAGTGGAATTTGACAGCACTACTGATGAAGCTTGGCGTCGACATTTTCCTTCCAAACTCCGGTCTAGAGGATTCGTCACGCCTTTTGGGAGCTCTGCTGGAGAAAATTACATCGTATTGGACAGGCCGCATCCCTCTCGATGAGGAGACATACTATGTTATAAAAACGGGTGTTGTCATCCCGCTTCTCCGTGGCTTTGCAGCCGCTCGAGCTCTGCCAACTTTCGTCCAACTGTGGCGTGAGCAACTGATGGCCGTGGAGTCTGCTCGCTCGAAAGCGGGTGGTTTTACAGCCATCTCCGTCTGGGAGGATGACGATGTAGCCAATGCTTATAGTGATGTTCTGAAGACATCGCTCACTCCATCCCAGGTTATCTCCCAAGTCCAGACCGCAGGGACTGAAATGAAAGCTGAGAATGGGAGGGTTGCTGATACCCCCGTTTCTTACGCTTGTCTTGTGATTGTGGAGGCTGGTTTGAAGAATATTCTGCAAACAGAAAGCTCTGCTGAGAAGAACGAGACACTTGGCTCTTTGATAGAGACCGTGGCTCGTACTATCTCGTCTAAGCAAGATCAACATTGGCGGTGGCGCCTATGGAGATTTGCTACAAGCGTGTTTGGTGACCCGTCAAAATCAGCTGAAATTGGTGTCACCGATTCCGGAAATGATTTGGTCGAGAGGGCTGCAAAGATTATACTCCGTTTTCATAAGAAGTCGAAGAAGGCTAGCACTGATTATATGGAGATATTGGAGGCGTATCGTTTCGCCCTTGCCCTTTCTGAGCAAGACGTGGAATCTAGATATACGACACAACTTGAGGAAGTCTCCGAAAGTATTTCTTCGTTCCTGAAAACGATCTCAACTGGTCAACATGATGCCTTGGTTGAGGGAGCCTGGAATGGACGTGTCGAAACAGTCAATTCTCCCACTGCTCTTGCAACAGGCTATCTCGTGACTCTTTTGAGGACCCCGGAAATCTGGCACAAATTGAAGAACGACACCCGACGTGCTCTGTTCAACGAGATGCTTTCGTTGGCTGCTGCGCAACGGGGGCTGGTGTCTGAAGCGTCGCTAGACTCTCCACCTTCTCAGACTCGTTTCTTCCAGGTCTGGGCAGGACTCGCTTCACACGCATACCTTCTCAATGCCCCGTACATTGTCAGCGATCTTGTTGTCGTACTCGCGGATCGCCTGAAAAATGACGCATCTAACCGTGAGCTCATAGTCAACAGCCTTCAAAGGATTCCACCATTGCTCATTTCGCGTCACCAAAGGGGTGTTCTGCTAGACTTGCTCCAGGATATTATCCTTCAGGCTAGCTGCCCCCTCGAAATCTGCGCTGAGATGCTCTCTTTGATGGCAAAGCTTGCCGAATTACCCAAGTCTCCTGCTTCCCTGACGAATGACTGGGACGCAGTCTGGAAGATTGCAAAGGCTGTATCCCTCCAAGGAACAGATACCGACTTGCGGGTTTTGAGATCATGTCGCAGTCTCTACCGTGCTGTGGTCTCCAAATTCCTTCTTTCTGCAGAGGAAGATCGACAGAAAATGTTCAAAAAGACATATCGCAAAGTCTCTTCGGCGGTTTCCAAGCTGGAGTCCATTGACTACAACTCTCTGAGCGAGTTCCTCGTTAGAATATCTACCTGTCAAATCCTAGAGAACCGTGCGCGGATACCAGATGTGTTTGATGAGGAGGAACTCACTACGTACCGTCAGAAGCTATTCAAGCTACTAGTGTCGGACCTATCCTCGTTTAGGGATCGTCTCAGACAGGGCGCTGATGAAGACAGGATATCCCTGATGAAAATACTAGATGCGCTGGAAGACTTTGAAGATCTTGCAAGAAAAAGCAAGAAGGTCGACAAATATCTAGCCAGTATCGAGGAGTCCGTGACCGAGAACGAGGTAGATTCCATCTCCTCACTGAAGACTCTTGTCCGACGACGCATCCTCGCTAGCCGTGACTACGAGAGGGATGTCTCTCCTTTGGTCCAGTCTGCACCGGTCTTCCCTATCCAGCAGCTTTATGGCGAAGAACAGAAACTCTTTGTCCACGACACGGTCAGTCGATTCCGTTCAATGTCTACAGAGGACCTTGTCACTGCCATCCAGAGTATACGGGAAGGAGGATTTGTCGACAGCGACGCTCCTTATCGGCTGCTTCTGGCGGCTGTGGCCGTATCCGCGTTGCCGCCGGTCGAGGAGAAAACGAATGGACCATCGCAGGAACTATCCTCTCTGTGTACGGCAGTGACCGAGTCTCTCCCTGAAAGCACCTCGATCGAACAATTCTCTCTGGCGTGCGAATGTCTAGATGTACTTCTCCGCACGCACCCTCGTGTTGTCACCCAGTGGAATGTCGACAACATCCTTGCATCCATTTCCGCATGTGCTTCCAGCTCTGGACCAGAAATCAGCCCCGAACATGCAGGAACCATGTACACACGCCTCTGTCGCCTCTTGGGCGTCCTGTTAGGTCTCTATCGACAGAAGCTCGGTGGTCGATTCCACCTCATTGTGCCTGTTATGCAGCGTCTGTTGAACTGCCTCTTCCCGCCGGACAAGAGACGAATGCGATCTACCCGACAAAAGGTGGCGCGTAGCTATCCATACTGGCTGGCACCCCTCGACGCTTCGCATGCCGTTCACTACACGCGCCTGCTCACCTCTCTGTGCGATCCGACCGTCTCTGCCGTATCCCGGCCGACTCAATCAGGCCCGGGCCACGAGGCCCTGACTGATCAGACCAAGAAGGCCAAGCGCGTTGCCGGACAGTATCTGCAGTACGTGGTCATGGAGTATGCCGAGTGCTCTCTCCGCGGTGCACTCAAGCCTGAGGTCAAAGCTGCCGTGATCCCGGGTCTGTATGCGGCCCTGGACGTCATGTCTCGGGACACGATGCGCGCCTTGAACGCCGGTCTGGACGTGTCCGGACGAGCTGTGTTCAAGGGCTTGTACGACGACTATGTGAAGTTCGGCAAGTGGAACAAGGGTTAATGTTGGATTGTTATTATGTTGCAGCGATTATGCGCTGGAGGAAAAGTGTAATTGCTGGAAATGTGTATAAAGAACTAGATAAAGCACTTATAATATACCCATAGAATTCGACATCACCTTGCTAGTTCGGGTATATCTTAAGCGCATATGCCTCCACGGTGGCCATGGAATGGGAGCATCAATCATACTTGGCAACGTTGCGCTGTGTAATCCAATTTTTACAACCTAATGTAGCACGTTACTGCTAATGCGATCTCAGAGGTCACAAACATCGTGTTTGTTTCACACCCTTTTCATCACATTGATCTCGATTTATTTCGATCCAGTTTCTTTCAGGACAAGGCAACATGCCTCGTGGCACTTGCTGCTGCGGAGCATACGGGAGCCGCACTGCTGCTCCGCGCATCGAAGCTGAAGAGTTCCGTCAAGCTTCGACATCCGCGCTCAGACCGGAGCCTATGGCCAATGTAAAGATCATCTGTGAGCTGTGCGCTAATCTGCTGGGCCACTTAAGTACAATAGAAGAGATATGCTTTGACAAGCTTTCCTTTCTTGACGTCTTCGTCCTGTTTGTGTCAAAATATCAATCAGCAATTATATATAACTAGCCGGTCGATAGCCTCATAAGGCAAGACACTCACCATATGATGCTTGAAGGAGACGACTATTCCTTCTTCCTCTCTCAGAAAGCTCCTTTGCCTCTCAGTAATTTGATCTTCATGGTAAGTGTCAGCCCTGTCAAAATCGATCCAGATGACTCGATCAGGGTCAGGGTCATCCTTGACCAAGAGCATATTCCGTGGTTTGGTATCGCCGTGAAATATCAATGCCTTGTGAATCTCCTTAATCCCTTCAATAAACCTATCTGCCCGCTCAGTGGTATAGTTATGCAGATGGATCATCTCCACATTCGGAAGATATTCTAGTAAAATTGCACTAGGAGGATATTCATCCTCTACAAACATATTCAGATGTGGTTGGCAAGGTCTCGGATCAAACTTGTCCATGCTACCGTAAAACTGCGGGACAATTCTGCGATCACAGAGCCCGCGCTCCTTTAGTCGCCGATATGCATCGCGCTCGCAGACATTTATATCTAGCTCACGATCCGTTACCTCATAAGGCAGTCGTGGACCACGTCCATGATGCTATAAGAAAGGTTACTGGTTAGATTAACTATGAGACTTAGTTAGGGCTGACTACCTAACCACTTTCATGACGCATGTCTGATTCCGGATGACGACAAGAAATATCACAGAGAAATCAGAACTGAACAGGTGTTGCTTAAACGTAATCTCAGAAGGCTTCACATCAGTCAACTCCATCTTGTCTAATGATTGGGATAAGATAATAAGGAAATGGGAGCAGTGTAGAAGGTAGGTTAGGTAGTTGTTCCGTTTGTTAAAGGTTAGTTAGGTAGCTGGAAAGGACGGGAGACGAAGCTCCGGATCATCGTTAATCCGAGCCAGACGGCAACTTTCCCTCTTGGTCTGTCTGGTCGCCCACAGATCCCCTAAGTAGATACTTGGAACAAATCACAAAATAATAATATATGTCAGTAAACTCACCAAAGTAGGCCAACGTAAATCAACCGTTGTAACAAGTACTTACCTAGTTACTACTACATATTAAATGGATTACTCGATCCCATCGAGTCACCGTCTTGGGTCTATCTCGGCCAGCTCCGCACCCGGCGAGCCACGGTGGAGCTTATCTCTGCGCTAGATATTATTATTCGTATATTCCCCGCGCTGGTCTTGAGGTCTGGCTTTAATTTAGTATTTCTGCTTACTCGACGCGATCGAGCAACGGAAAATGATAAGCCAGTCGACTATCATCGGTGATAACCATGTTTTTGCCATCGCTTCCCGCACGGCCCAAGGGTATTACTGATAATGATCCCTTGTCCAAGACCATGGGGAAAGCTACATATATCGTTCTTCCCCCCCGTGGAGGATGTAGAAGTCACAAGATATACTAGTATCCATCCCGCATTCCTGTCTAGTCTAGAATCTAGACATTGTCTCCGTTCTCCTCCGTCCATCTATCACGACGTCACTGTGATTGCTACGCTCGAGGCGTACAATTCACCGACGCCATAACCAAAGGACGACAGAGGAACATCCGTACACTCTCGTTTAATTGTTTAATTCCTTCCTGTCGGGATTTCCTGACTGCTGGAAAGCTAGCTGCCCGTCATGGCGCTCAGGCTGCGAGCCAAAAGATGCATCGACAAGCTGGCAGTGTCGGGCACGGAGCCGGGCCTCACCCAGACCCAGCTCATGTTGATCAATGAGGATTTGAAACCAGGTGAGTTTCCTGAAGATGGACCGCATTGCATGTGTCGAGAGCGCCGTGTGCTCATACAGATGGTTGTATCTAGTCGAACCCGAACGGCGCCAATGGAGTGCATGGAACTATGTCGGATTCTGGATTGCGGACTCTTTCAACATCGTGGGTCCTCCTTGATCGGAGAATGGGTGTGGACATGAACTAAATACCCGCCAGAATACGTGGATGATCTCCTCCTCAATGATCGTGGGCGGCCTGTCCTGGTGGCAGTCCTGGATCTGTGTCTGGGTGGGCTATTTCATCGCCGCCTGCTTTATCTGTCTGACAGGAAGGATTGGAGCCACCTACCACATCTCCTTCCCGGTCGTCACAAGAGCGTCTTTCGGCATCTGGGGCTCATTGTGGCCGGTCTTCAATCGAGCCGCTATGGCCTGCATATGGACGGGAGTCCAGTCATGGATTGGAGGTGAGATAGAATCGCATGCTATCCTACCCTACCTCGAGCACAGCTGACAGCTCTGCAGGTGAATGTATCACCCTGATGATCACCGCTATCTGGCCGAGTTACGCACGTCTGCCGAACTCGATGCCCGCAAGCTCCGGTACGACGACGAAAGACTTTGTCAGTTTCTTCCTTTTCTGGCTGTGCATGCTCCCGGCCATCTGGTTCCCCGTGCACAAGATTCGCCATCTCTTCACGGTGAAGGCATACTTTACACCTATTGCTGGCATTGCCTTTTTCGCCTGGGCAATTCATCGAGCCAACGGCATCGGTCCCATCGTACATCAACCCAGCTCCGTACATGGAAGTGACCTGGCGTGGGGCGTCATCAAAGGCATCATGTCGTCCATCGCCAACTTCGCGACCTTGATCGTCAACGATCCGGATTTCTCCCGCTTCGCCAGAAAACCCAGGGATGCCCTTTGGTCCCAGCTCTTCACCATTCCAATCGGCTTCGCCATCACATCCTTCATCGGTATCATTGTCTCGTCCTCCGCGACGGTGCTCTTTGACGAGGAAATCTGGAACCCACTTGATGTCCTGACGAAATTCCTCGAAGGAGCCAGTTCCGGCGAACGCTTCGGTATCTTCATCATCTCTCTAGGCTTCGCTCTGGCCCAGCTAGGTACCAACATCGCAGCCAACACTGTGTCCGCTGGTACGGACATGACCGCGCTATTTCCCCGATACATCAACATCCGACGAGGAGGCTATGTCTGTGCTGTCATCGCACTTGCCATGTGCCCGTGGAAATTACTCTCCAGCTCGAACCAATTCACCACCTATCTCTCCGCATACTCCGTATTCCTCTCCTCGATCGCCGGCGTTATCGTCTGCGACTACTACTTTGTGCGCAAAGGATACCTGAACATCAAGGAACTATACAGTGCGCGCAAGCGCAGCCCTTATTTCTACGTATACGGAGTCTCCTGGCACGGCTACGTGGCTTATATCTCTGGAATCCTCATCAACATTGTCGGTTTCGTCGGTGCTGTCGGCCGTAATGTCCCCGTTGGAGCTCAATATATCTACAATTTGAATTTCTTCGCAGGGTTCATCGTCTCCTCTGTGGTGTACTACATCCTCACGCGAGTGGTGAGGATTCCTGAGACGAGTGAGACGTGGAATGAACTCGATGTCGATGTCGACAACCTCCAGGTCGCATACGGCGAGGAGGTTAGCGTTGGTGAGGCCACCGATGAGGATGTTGTCATTCCCGGGGATCAAAAAGTTAATAGTTCGACCTCGAAACTTTCTGGGAAAGACAAAAAGGAACCGCCCGTTCAGGATCTTTTGGTATAGGCATGATAAAGATATATGTGCTATGGTGTTGGGTCATGAGAACCATGTTGGTGGTTTTATGAATTTCTGTATATACCCCTTTTCGTTTGTATAGGACTTGTATCTCTTCTTTGGCTAGTGTTCAGCAATGAACGCGCTCATCTTTCGTCACTTGGAATGAAGTATCACTAACTATCCCACTTAAAAGATAACTGATTCCCAAACCATTATACCGAGCCTAACATCGAACGAGGACCTCATTGACCAGATCTCTCTCTGTTAGTTTACTTATGATTAATTATATCCAGCGTCTTGATGTAGTATGAGTCTGGTATATTGTATATAATTTTAATAGCAATCGCCTGCCTATTCACGAGCCCCTATCTAGTACAGATAGACCACTAGGTCGCCATGAGTCGTATCCTATTTATTTCAAGCTGCATATCCAAGCCCGCCTACTTAACCTAATCAGTTCGTCGCAGGACAAAAGTCGTAATTGCCATTAACATTATTCCCCCACCATGTCGGAAAAGGAACCGACCTCCCACCAGCCCCAAAAACAGCAAAAGACAAAATAAACAACACCGTCAGACTCGCCCCATCAAAAGCGCCCGTGACTAGATACGAATAATCCTTGAAGATCCGCGGATGGTAGTTCCGGAGGTAATATTGGACGAAGAATCCAGCTGAAAGCTGGCTCCAGATGACGCAGGTTTGGCTCTGGTTGTAGGGGATGTAGCCGGCGTATTGGATGAATTGGGGAAAATTGAAATCCTTGAGTGAGAAGTTTCGAATCTTGGGGATGAACTGGGTGTGCGCTCAGAAATCAGTATGATATGAGAGGAAGGAGGGAAGGAAGATATCAGGTAAGGAATGGTGGATAGTATTAAGGGGGTCATGTATGTATGTATATAATAACGTACCTGAACAACGACACGATGAACAACGACGGCGCCAGCGCCTATGGCAAGTCCAATAGGTACAATCTCATACGGGGTACCTGTCCGATAAAGGTATTTGGAGAGCGCCCACGAAGCCGCGTTGGTATTATACGCCTGGATGGTCGCGCCACTCCAGGAAGAGTCACCGTTGCCTTTGATGAGGATTTCGGAATTGCCTGTAACGATGGCGATCATTACGGCGTAATTGATGAAAGCGCCTAGTATAGTACCGTAGCATTGAGTGATGAACATGACGCGGGGAGGAATCTTGACTGTATTTGCATTGGATTGGGGTCAGTATGTATGTACCTTATGTATGTATGTATGTATTAGAGGTCCATGGACAGGATAGGATAGGATAGGACAGTAAACGTACGGTATTCACCCATCTTCAAGTCATTGCATAGGTTGACTGTGTTGGAAATGGTGTTGTGTGACCAACAAGCAAAGTACATGTTACCGACGGGGCGGCCGGGGAGGATCAGACCTGCCATTAGTTTTGAGAGGTTATTCGTAGCGATACCATTACCATAACGAGAGTAGAGGATGGCGCTCTTGAGTAGTTGTCAGAAAACTTTCACTCTGTAAGGAAGGAAAGAAACTTTTGATATATAAGGGAATATAACTTTGGCATAAAGGGGATATTACTCACAAAGGGTGCAAATACTATTCCAACCACTAGCGACACGATGTATGCCCAAACGGGAAGGGTAATGTTCTCCTTGATAACGACGACGAGACCGATGACGAAACTGAAAACGAGCACGGAAACGTACCACCACCATGGTGTTTCCTTGTAATGCTCCGCCATATGTGCATGATGTCGATCTTCATAGGTCGCTTTTTTTGCGTTCTTGTATGCCTTTTTTATGTCCCCGCCCCAAAAGAGGAAACAGTGGGCGACCATAGCGCCGATCTAGGATATCATTCAGTCAGTGACTGCACGAGTGATTAATTGAGGCATGTTAGGATCTGGTGCTTACGGCAGCATTCGCCATGAACATTGCATACGCGAAGGTCCCGCTAAGTTTGGGAATACCGTACTTGGCCAAACCGGACGTATCGAGCACACCACCGGGGAAAATTTCGGCGCTAGGGTACGTTGTGCCGTTCTTTGATAGAAGTTGCGTCGACATGAATGGGAGAGACTTTGAGCCCCAGGCGTTACCGTAGTAGATGGCGAGCATCACAATATAGCAGACGAGGAAGCCTGCCGCAGCATTGGCTTGCAGCTTAAGAGGAAGGGAAGTCTGGTAGGAAGTGATCTGCAGAAGGTTAGTCTCGTTCACGTAGTATATATATATATATATATATATATATATATAGGAATGATAATCTATCTTACATATTGCCAGTCGAAAGAAAAACTGAAGAGCCCTAATCCCTCGTTGTTGACAGACCCGCCAAAGAGGGTTGTCAGTATAGAAGCAGTGTTACCAGTAGCATGCATTGAGGCTAGGCAGGGAATGGAGATAGAGTTGAGCCATGGCCAAATATAGGCAGGGAACCACTCGTAGGAGAACATGGCCGCAAAAGCATACCAAAAGTATCGGAGAGGTTTGGAGCCCTTCAGGTTCTGCCAATGAAGACCCTGAAGAGTTTTCACCACAGGAAGAGTGCCCCAGTAAACTGCATCGACTTGCCAGACGGCAATGGGACGCATGATACCGGCAAGGCCGTAGCCAAACAATCCAATCGAGATGGTACTCAAGACCACGGTGGTCGCAGTTAGGGGTAGGTTATAGAAGAGCTTTTGCGCAGCGAATACAGTGCTAACATCGGCGCCATTGGAGGCGGATGTTGCAGTAAGAGAGCATACCGCGTGCTCTTTCAGATTCCAAGGCCCGTAGTTGAAAAAGGAGATGATCCTGATCCATAGGGGAGGTCTTCCCTGACCACCTCGCTCCCTCCATCGGGCCTCATATCGATCACCCCGGGGGAGAAATGCGGCCCATGCTTTTCCGAGAAAATAGGCAATGACCACAATAAAAGTGCCTTGAATAGTTACATAAGTCGGTTTGAACTGGGCGGTCAGTCAGCCTATGTCGTACACAATGGAGGCGTAGACCGTTGAAGCCCACACATGTTAACATGTTTAACTCACGGTGTAGATCTGGGTCATAACAGCCTGAAAACATGACAGCACCGAGGCTAGGAAGAGACTCCGGAAGGTCAACGCAGGCTCGCTGTCGTCCCGCAGCGGCAGCAGGTATTTGGCGGCATCAGCACCTGTGACGATTGTGGTCTCGTTACCGCCAGTGCCATCGTCATGATAATGTGGGATAGCATTGATCTCTGTGTCCAGTACGAAGGCATCATCTTTGCTGATTTTTTCCTGGCCAGCAGCGAGGCCATCTTCGTTGACCATTTGATGGCTGGGAGACGAGGAGACCGTGCTATCGGCAGAGTCAAGAGCACCCATAGCGATAGCAGAAGCCGGCATTTTGCGTGGAAGTGAAGATCAAAGACGTTGCGCACGATCTCGTCGCCTCGACACCTCAGTAGAGCTTGTCTTATACTCAATGATGGATATAAAACAGTGGATGGTGTAATGCAAATATGGAATTGCTTGTCATCGCATCGCGTCTTTGGTGGCTACTATTTGCAATGGAGGCCAGGGTTCTGGAACACATAAAGAAGATTCGTTTCAGTTCAGTACTGTAGATAACAGAAATACTACTAGCCATCGGCGGGCTCCTAGCACGCGCCTCATATTCTGTATGCAGTGTCCAGGTTAACTAAACTCGAAAATGTAACCCTTTTATCCTGTCTTTATAACGGACAGTGACACGGTGGCTGGAGTCCAGACAAATTAGTCCCACGGCAGATATGTAGTAGCGCTATGGTTCAACGCCAGCCTAAGATATTGACCTTTTTGTTAGGCTAGCGGTCGTCAAATGGCATCCAAACCAGCTTATCCTATCGTCCAACACATGTACAACATCACGCATTGGCCCCTCCAAAAAAATAGGAGTGAGGGATAAGGACCTAATAGGACGCGGGTTAATTGGTGGGGTATCACACTTATAGCACCGTGTTAGCGAGGATGTCCTTATTTTAGTTAGAAATGAGATGATCAAAAGATATCCGAGCGACGTTGCTAACTTAGCTTCGGATATTTCCGTGCTTCGATCACCTGGTGCACGTTCCATGTGTTTTCCCTCAGGTGAGCATATGGAGTTGGAAAGTACAGGTAGTAATGAACTTATCTGTATCAGGCAGTGTTTAGGAATTCTTCTTCATGAACCGATGATTTATGGTCACCAGAGCGTTTCGTCCAGTTAATCGCTTGAGAAAGGCGCTTTGGGAATCAAAATAATGAAGTAGCATTTGATCTTGGTTTATTTATTTATGTTTTGTTTTCATGAAAATTGCAAAGACCATTTAGATTTGGTATACCTGGGAGATAAGCATTTTATGATAAGAGTGGTTAGAATATGACTCGTTGAGGAGTGGTTGTTGGATTTGACAGGAATGTTACTCAGACATTATTATAATCAACAGAAGCAAAAATGGCTACCTCGACCATCATGGCAAAGGCATTAAGGAATATGTTAAAGCAGTACACTAGAGCATGTCCGACTTCGATAACACTAAAAGGAGAGTCCGGATGGGCAGGAGTAATAGTTTGGATGTAATCCATCGGAGCCCTCATGTTAAGCTTCCAAACGTTGGAGAATCTCAAGAGACTAAAGCGGGAAATGGCTAAAAAACAAATAATGCTTACCGACATTTCCCGGTGAGCTCTTCAGGATGCTTAATGTAGGCTGAGAGTCTATCATGTGCAATATTTAAGCGTTCACAATAGTTAGTATACGTTCATAAGTGAGCTAAGTTGTGCGCAAGAAGTACCTAGTGACCGACTTAATCTCCAATCATGTAAACCATCGGTGTCAGACAGAAGAGGAACTCAAAACCTATAGTACATGTGTGCTACATGTATGCTACTTAATAGATAAGGTCCCCAAATCGAGGCTTTCGTCTATCGGCACACGGGGTCTTTCGGCTACTGTTCTTATTGACGCCGGCTCCCTTTTCCAAATTCCTGCTCCATCGTGTGTAGATTTCGTCTATCTCCGAGATTTCAGCAGAATCTACGAGTTCAGGCCTCTGTATTGCAGGGTCCTGCTGATATGAGATCAAGGTGCCTTTCATGCAGCTGTCCATGATCCCGTATTGCAAGGTCTGCCGAGGGAAGGCGAGAGATAATATAGATAGCCATATACTAGAAAGCCGACGTTTCAATCTCAAGGTGCGGCTGATTGTGAAACTCAGCAGCAGACTCCTGGAATGTGATTGAACAACCACGATTCAGTCTTCTTATTAGCCTCAGCCTAGTCATTCCGTGAGAAGTAATACTGCTCTCCTTCTCCTCTCTCATATAAGTCGGCCTTGTAACCATTGCCATCACAATTGGACAAGACGCCTGAACAATGATGGCCTGGGCTTCAGATTGCTGCGACAGGGTGATGGAGACGCAAGGTAATTGTAGATATTCCCGAGGATGTCCTCCAAGAAGATGGCGAGAATAAATATCGCCCAAGGCAAGCGCAAAGCTTGGAGAGATCCTTCACCTCAAAAGAACTTCAGCTTTTCGGGACATCAATATTAGAGACAAGCCTCCGGCTAGAGTTTTCCTGTGTCGCAGTGACTATGACGAAGTAATGGCAGATATTGGCCCAGAGATCACCGAGGCACCTAAATATGCTACGACTGATGAATAAAATGGTACGCTTTCCCAGCTTATCGAGAGCTTCCGCACTGGTGACTATCAGGCTTTCCGTTCCGCCCACGAAAGACTTGAGGAGACCGAACGCACTAAGACTAAGCCTTTGCTTGCTTTTGGTCATGAATCAAATAGGAAAAACTGTTATTTTCCTCTATGAAAAACATGATATATACTACTGCAAGGTTCGATTAGTTCTTTGGAGTCGGACCGGACACTGACTCCAGAGACTGTTCAGTTCTTCTTTATCGGATACTTAATAATATGCCACGGCCAAGCCTCATAAGTCTGATTGCGACCCACAATATGTTATCGACAGGGCGCCGGGCAGAGGCGGTTAAAAGAGGATGGCACTGGAACAGTATAAATAGATAACTTTTCATTAGTTGTTCTTAGCCCGGTGAACCGTCAACTACAAACCAACAAAGCCAATTCCATCCATTTGACTAAATAGCAAAGGACGGATTGTATCACAGCTAGTTATACTCGGACAAGGGAATAGGAAGGAATAATATCTGCACAATGGGAGCACCACCCTCGCCCACGCATCATAACATCGTGATGCTCCAGACGCAATACTTCCCTTGCCCGCATTTCGATCTTCCCCCGCCATACACCAAGACGGAATTCATTTATAAGGAAACGCCCTTCTCAGAGCTGCACGCGCGCATCCACGACGCAACTATCATCGTCCTGGCCACCACCCGCCTCGATGCTGTCGCGCTGTCTCCTGAGGTCACGCCGTATTTGAAATTCATTGCGGTTACGGCATCGGGTACAGACTGCATCGATCTGGAGGCATGTCGGAAGCGAGGCATTGTGGTCAGTAACAGTCCTGGAGTCAACATCGAGGCGGTCTCAGAACATGCAATCGGACTGTACTTTGCAGCCAGGCGGAAGATGCTCCAGATGCATAATCTGACGACGAGGGGCGCGTGGGTGGAAAAGGGCACATTGATGTTTGACATGTTAAACAAGGATGGCACCGCGCCGTTGACTTGTCAAGAGGAGGTGGCCGGAATTATTGGCTATGGAGTTGTTGGTAAGTCGAATAAGATCGAATAAGACCTTCTCTCAATGCATCTCCATTGATTAGGAAATATGGTTGCGATTGCATTCTATTGGCCAGTATCGTAAATTGACATATAATACAGGAAAAAGAATCGCACAGCTGGCACAGAGCCTAGGGATGAAGGTTTTGATATCCGGCCGCAAAGGTGCTGGGGAAACAGCACTTCCATCCGCACTACAGTCAGAAGAGCGCACGCCGTTCGAGGAAATCATCCGGAAGTGCACTGTCATTTTCGTTGTTGTTCCTCGCAACCCTTCAACTATGGACTTGATTTCGACACCAGAGTTTGAGAGAATGTCGCCGCACGCGGTGCTGGTTAACGTCGCGCGTGGCGGTATCATCAATGAGGAAGCACTGGTAGCAGCGCTTAAGGAAAATTTGATCGCGGGCGCCGCGACAGACGTCTTTCTCCGAGAGCCAGCTTCTCCAGAGACGTCTCCTCTGTTGCGGGAAGATACGAAGGATTTGAACCTGACTGTCAGTCCTCATATGGCATGGGTTGCGGAGCGAACACAGCAGAATCTGGTAGATGTGGCTAAGAAGATCGTGGAAGGATGGGTTGCAGGACAACCTTGTAACGTGGTCACATAGACGATTCTTGATTTCATAGGCAGTCTTTTAGATGTGTAATTGAATGTATACAATGGAGCCAATGACCTTAATGTATGATTCAAAATGCTCCTAAATATGGCACTTGCTTGCGGAAACGATATATTCTTACCGCGTTATATACCCCAAAAGTCACCATCTAGGCGCTCTGCGGATATCGTATCTGGACGCCTACCCTTCCATCTTCAGGGGGTTCTGAAACCCCCGGTCCTCCCAGTACTGCATTACTTTCAGATAAAGCTGCCGTTGTTCGTCCCTGGAGGGAATCCTACCAGTGACGCCCCTATCGGCCCTGGACTTTTCCGTCTCTATAATGCTGGCATTCTCATCATCATCACTGACGAACCGATATGTTCGGAATTCAGTATTTTCCCAAGCGCTCGCTGTACAAGAATCAGCATCCAGTAGTAGACAGTTGTCATTTACGGAATGAAGGGCAGACCATGTTCGCTATCCCCGACACCCGTCCAATCTTCAGTGAGATAGTGGAAGAATCCACCATGGCCGACAACTACGATCTCTTTCTCTGGCCTTGCTCGCAGCCATTGTCTCGCATCTTTTGCTCGCGCGATAAGGGCGCTGGATGACGGCGCATATTTACCTTTCTGTGATTTGTACGATCAATATGACGTTCTGTCATAGAGACGAAGTGGTAGTCTATTTGCATAAGAGCCGATAATCTCACCTTCACCCACCATCCAGGTTTCAAGAGGCTTAGGTCAACAACAGGTCCAGACGGCCCTAGCTCCACAGAGAATTCTCGCGCAAGCTCTGAGACTTCAGTCCCTGTGTCACAGGCAATATCACTCGTCTCTTGCAGTTCCGGCAAGGCTACAACTTTCACTCCTCTGGCAATAGCTGGCTTAAAAGCCTCGAGGGCAGTGTATAACGAACGGCGCAGCGGAGACGAGACGATGAGATCAATGGAAGAGTGGTATGGGAACTGTTCAGACAACATCCGACATTCATCCAACCCAGATTTTATCAGGACTGGGTCGCGAATCAAATAAGCGTCACCTCCTTTGTTATGTTCACCCTGTATGTTGGCAGTATAAAGTTAATTGATCGTTACTAGACTCGTAGGACAATATATCGCAGGTGGGGAGTACCGTACCTGAGCATGGCGTACCAGATGTAAGATTGGAGCCATGGTAACCCGATTGCACGCTAGATCTTTGCATGTAATTCTCTTTACTGTGCAGAGTTGGGACCCTGGCACCATGAAACAAGCCGGTCCCCTAAACCTCCAGGGTTTACTGATCTCAGGTTAGTTTCGAGATCTACAATCTGCGCAAATGCTCGCGACCGCGGATGGTGCGACGGCTGCTACCCCATCCATGCGTTACATGGAAGGAAAACAACGTAGGTAGATATACCTGCAGTAATTAAGTCTTTCTTGCGACAGAAATAAGTATTATGGAACTATTTACAAGGCTACCTACATACTCTCTCACATTACCTCGATATGAATGCGCGGGCTGACATCATGCTAACTCAGCTTTATCGCGGATTAGTCATGATAAGACGAACGAATCTCCAAATCCCCTCAAATCGCCTCCATCCACAACTCCATCCCTGGCCACAGCTTCGTGGGCGTTTCTACGCCTGATTACTTGTAAAGAGGCCCTTCGTGTCGGACATCGCTGGTAGAATGGATTATCAGACCATCAATATGGCTGGCGATGCTTCGCACGATGCTGCTGACAATTTATCTTTCCTTTCGGACTCCACTATCAACTGCGGACGTCCGGAAGAAGAGGGTCACTGTGATGCTGATGCACCCCTAGAAGGCCACAATAATGCGGAATTCACGACGCAGCGTGAAACTGTCACGTCAAGGCAAACCTTCACGTCAGGGCAAAGCTTCACGCCGCGTTCGCTCCTTGTCGGCCTGTTCATTGGCACGCTGATAACGTTCTCTAATACTTATTTTGGCTTACAAACCGGTTGGGTCAGTAGTATGGCGATGCCATCATCCCTTATCGGATTCGCCATGTTCAAGGCGCTGTCGAAACATCTCTCATTTCCCTTCAGTCCGATTGAGAACGTCTTGATCCAGACTGTAGCAGGAGCAGTGGGGACGATGCCACTGGGGTGTGGCTTCGTTGGTGTGATACCTGCGCTGGAGTATCTGCTCCGCGAGGGCGAGGACGGGCCAGGTGGAGATGGTGGCAAAGGTGAAGGTGGTCCACTGAATGTCAGTTTCTGGAAGTTGGTTGTATGGAGCCTTGGAGTCTGTCTGTTTGGGGTTGTGTTCGCAGTCCCTCTGCGAAAGGAGGTTATTGTGCGCGAGAAATTGAAGTTTCCCAGTGGCACAGCGACTGCATTGATGATCAGGGTTCTACATGGCGGCGCCAAAGATGAAAAGGCGAAGAACAGACACGAGCGGGTTGCACATGGGCCAGAAGGCGAGGGACTCCTCGCCTCTAATCAGTCGCGGAGCGCGCGTCCTTTGCGCAGGATACGAACAACAGAGAGCAGAGCAGATAGGCGAAAGAACTGGACGTCAAACATCCGGATGCTTATCGGCGCCTTTGCATTCTCTGCTTTCTATGTAAGATATGATATCGCGTGCGCTTCCTTCTCGTTCGTTGTGGCTGACGAGCGTTAGACACTCTTCTCCTATTTCGTCCCTCAAATACGGGATATACCAATCCTTGGACTTTCGCTCTCATCCCACTGGCTGTGGAGTTTGAACCCTTCACCAGCATATGTCGGTCAAGGTATCATTATGGGCCCCTCTACCTCGATGCACATGCTTTTCGGAGCCGTGCTAGGCTGGGGTATTTTGTCCCCCCTTGCAAAGAAGAAAGGATGGGCATCGGGCCCTGTTGACAACTGGGAGACCGGAAGCAAGGGCTGGATCGTGTGGGTATCTCTGGCTATCATGCTGAGCGACTCCATTGTCAGTCTAGGCTGGCTCATCCTTAAACCTATCGTGCACCGTGCTCCTGAATGGAAGACCGGACTGCTTTCCATCCATAGAGACTGGAAAGGGACCCTGAGGAGACTCAGGCCGTCCTCATCTGGTAGCTACTCTATTCTCAACCCCTTGTCAGACGCATCTCTGGCACCAGCTAGTCGGCTACAGAATCCATCCAGCGACGAAGATGAGGATGACGCGCCGCCATCGCAACTCATCTCCACGCGAACAGTCCTCATCCTTCTCCCGTTAACACTGGCACTGAATGTGGTCTGTATCCACATCGCATTCGGAGACATTATATCCCCTTTCCTCTCCACAATCGCCACACTTCTTGCGCTTATCTTATCGGTGATGGGCGTTCGCGCCTTGGGAGAGACCGATCTGAACCCAGTTTCCGGAATCAGCAAACTCACCCAGCTACTTTTCTCACTTGTCACACCTGCATCTCAGCACACGCGTCGAAGCGCAATCGTAACGAATCTCCTGGCCGGCGCCGTCTCCGAATCCGGTGCCCTCCAAGCCGGTGATATGATGCAGGATCTCAAAACAGGCCATCTGCTTGGAGCCAGCCCGAAGGCCCAGTTCTACGGCCAACTCATTGGCAGTCTTTTCGGCGCTGTGATTTCAACAGTCGTCTACAAGATGTACGTCCATGTTTACGACGTGCCAGGACCTATGTTCCAGATACCCACAGCATATGTCTGGATATTCACGGCACGCCTCGTCACGGGTCAGGGTCTCCCCCCGATGGCCTGGCAGGCAGCTATGATCATGGGGGCGATCTTCGTCGTCCTAACTATCCTGCGCATCCTTGGTGCACCCTCCACCGTAGGTAAGGGCCGTCGCTCTGCGCCCTGGAGGAACTGGATTCCTGGCGGCATCGCCGTCGCGGTGGGGATGTACAATGTGCCCTCCTTCACTCTGGCGCGCGCCATCGGTGGTCTCATCGCCTGGTGGTGGGGTTGGAAGGACCAGAGACCACGAGCGACTCAGTTTCGTCGGAAACCGAACAGGAGAACGCAATGCACCACTGATGAGGCTATCGCCAGCGACCGCGGGGTGGAGGTGGACGTAAATGAAGAGGAAGAGGAACAAGAGCTAGATGAAGAAGCAGAAGATGAGTCGTCTTCAACCGTAATCGTTTTGGCTTCGGGGCTCATCCTTGGTGAAGGAGTGATCAGTATCGTGAACCTGATCCTTGCCAGCGGCGGAGTACCGCATCTTTGATACCATTTCTAGATTAGATAGCTAGCCGTCTCAATTTTGGAAGACGAGATGCATTTAAAAGTTACAACACCTCAATCTACCATCTTTGGATTGTTGGTGGAGAACTGCAACCGTCCCTGTGTACGCCGTAGGATAGTACTGCCTAGCGTGATCTTTGGTTTTCAAGTATGTACATTGTAAGCTGGTAGGATATACGCGGCTATGCTATGCTAATGCTCATGCTGGGCGGTGAAATGGATACAGTAGAAAGTTTGATAGTATGGAGTGGCATATACCGTGCACTGTGCAGTAACGCTATTATCGCCATGTCACCGCTCGATGTTCGACACTAGGTCTTTTCACTTCTAATCGTCGCTATGGGAACAGATGATCCGAGAGGAACTGTATGACCGGACCATGCTCCTGAAGAAATGCCAAGAGATCTAGCTCGCTGCCACCGTATCAGACAAAAAAGAGAAACGAAGAATAAAAATGACATGCATTCGGCGGCCTCTAACCGCAAAAAGAAAATGTAGAAGCTGCAACGTAGTGGTACAATATGGGACAAAGATAAAACATGACCACTGTCAACGGCCTCGTAACCGGGGGTATTAGAAATGAAGGGGTCAAATGTGACCAGAAGACTCTGTGGTCCCAGCAGAGAAGGGAAAGGTGACAAAGAGGTCAGACAATGACCAAATGATAGAACATGGGGAGTTGGACAGTGAAGAGATAATAAACAAAAGTAGAGACAAATTCGGCCTCCTCCAGGAGGACTGCATACTGAATCGGGAAACCTCAGGTTCCATCCACTCATTCTTCTGCGACTAGCTCAACTGTGCGAGTGCACAACAACCCGGTGATGTACGAGATCAATATAGACAGGAGACGCGCAGAAAAGAAAGTTGTCGTCTGTTGAATCGGTGATTTCCATGGCAATTCGTCGCGGACGAAGAACAATATCGAATTTCATTCAGGGTGGGCGTTAAGTTGACGGAAGTCGTCAATAGCACGTTGATCATGGCATATTGCTAGATCAACTACAGTGCTTGGCCCGGGACTAGCTTCCTCTCGATAGGCCCACGATTCGCTCCTAGATCTGATGTTTGGGATCTCGGAGGGAGTCCAGCTAGGGGACTCGGCGCTGGAGGACCATTGCGAGAGTAGTTTCCAACAATTCCGCTGGCGCTGTTGCTACGTCTCCGCTGGCTGACCGGCGCGGACGGCTTCTGCAGACCAGGTGGCCCGTAAGGTCCCGGGCTCATAGATCTCTGGGGAGGAGGTCTAAATCCTGGTCCGGGAGACATAGAACGCGAGACTGGGAATTGAGCAGGAGACATAGGTCGGCCCTGGGGCGGCGGACGAGGGGGTCCAGCATGTGCTGGGCCTGCGGGGGACATGGAACGACCACCCTGGGGATAGAAACGAGGGGACTGTGCCGGACGCCCAGGACCTCCAGCTGGGGACATCGGGCGCCCATTAGGGCCCGTCATCGGAGGAGGGCCACGAAGAGCGGGCCCACTGCCAGATGGGCGAGACCGAGGTTTGACCGGGCGAGCAGAGAGACAGGTTCGAGGAGCAACACCTTGTTGAGAACGGTCCATACGAATGCAGAGAGCCTTGGTCATTTGTTAGTTCCATAGTCATAACAGAAAGGGCAGAAAACTTACCCAGCCATCATCATACTCGTGAAGAAGCCTGACAAGCTGGCCAGCCTTGAGTTCGAGCTCATCGTCCATTGAAGGGTTGAAATCCAGTTGGACGCGGTGGACGTTACTTGGGGGAGGTCCGCCAGGAACAGGCGCACCAGTAGCCGCAACCGCACCTGCACTGACAGAGCCTGCCGGGCTGGGCGGTAAGGGACCTGTGGGAGCTGGGGATGCTGGTCTCGTTTCAAATTTATGACCGTTGGGAGGCTGATCCTTTCGTTCTTGGGCGGAACTGACGGCTTCTCCCACAGCAATTCCAATCGCAGCACCAGCTGCAGTTTCGCCAATCGCAGCACCTCCAGGCAGGACGCCTGAGTCGCGAATAGGCATGTCTGCGCTGCTGATCTCAGAAGCGTCACTCGCAGCAGAGGAGGCTGGAGGACTAGGCATCGCCGCATGGTTTCCGAAGGGATTGACGGGGTCGCTGAAAGGATTCTGGGGGCTTCCACTAGACTTTGGAGGAGTCGGCGGGCTGACAGAGTTACCGGTAAGATTGCGTGATACCATGCCATTTGCAACAGCACCAGTAGCGGCAGTAGCGGCAGCAGCAGCAGCAGCAGGATTTGCGTTACCGGGATTGCTTTCCATATTGAGATCGGGCGCAAACTGTGTGATAGGGCGGACATTGAGCTGAGGAGGCTTCGAAGGTGTCGTCGACTGCACCATTGGTGGAGGCGGAGCAGGTACTGGCTTTTCACTAGGCGCAGGGGGTGCAGGGGCTGCGAAGGACTTCTCGTCATCCTCCGCAAGCATCTTCTGGTGTTGCTTCTTCTTATGAAGCCAGAAGAGAAGCAGACTGGCGATCATTATGACACCAGCGATGATGCCAATAGCCAATCCTGCCTTTGCCCCGGCTGACATGCCCTGAGAGCTCGAGTCTTTGGTGCTAGTTGAAGTAGAAGCAGCTGAGGAAGCTGTAGCAGCAGCCTGGTTGATACCTGCTGCAGCATTGGTCAAGGATGATGCAGCAGTAGCAGCGGTCGCAGCCGTAGCCACAGCAGTTTGCAGAGTGGTTTGAACCGCAGACGTCCTCGAACCCGCGTGGGTGATAGCAGTAATTTGATCTGCGGTAGCAGTCGCAGTCGATGGCTCGATTGCAGTTGGAGCCTTGTTCGATTCTTTCGCCGAGTGAGTTGCTTCTTCCGTGGCCTTTGACGCGGGTTCCGTACGTTCTGTTGTGCGTGTCTGCTGAACAGGAGCTCCAACTCCTACGGCACCTCCTACTCCGGCCGCTGCGCTGGTCGCCTGTTCAGATCCAGCCGTCTGCTGAACAGGAGCACCAACTCCCACGGCCGCTCCAGCTCCTGAATCTCCCGAATCGCTGTTATCCATCGTCTTATATCCGCCGATCGGGCCGTCGAAAGTTGCAGGCATCGTTACATAGACAACTTTAGGGGCCTTTCTGCTGTCGTATTCATTGTCGCCAGTGTCATTGATATTGTTCTCAGTTGCGTCACCATCGTCGCTGCCGCCGAAGCCGTTCAGGATATTGTCAATCAAACCCCGCCTCTTGTGGGCAGCATGGCCATGATGGCTATGACCGTGGACCATGATGGATCTATCTGGGAACGCTGTATCGCGTTGTCGTACGACGACTGTGGTGATGTGTAGTAGTGAATCTGTCGAAGGCGACCTGTGAATGTGTTAAGCAGTATCGATAGAGACGCGCAAAGGGGCCACTGCCACGAAGGCGCGCTCTCGCCGCGTTCAAAGAATGTGCTATGTCCTACTCGAGGACGAGAGAAGGAGGGATAACGAAGGGCAACAGACTACAGCCTGTGCAGGTCGATAAAAGAAGGGCGACGAGCAACCAGGCCGCAAGAATGCAGTCGTGGATGAAAACCACGAAAGGGAATGAAGGCGGTGCCCAAGGGAGAGGACGAAAAGAAGGAGAAGAACAGAAGTCGCCGTGGGGGTGAGAAATCGAGGGTTGCAGGGAAAGAATGGAGGAGAGTGAATGCCAGGGCGGCCGGGCGGTTGTACTGTAACGATGGGCCGTTTTACTGCGTAATATACGGCTGGAATACCCGCATCTGAGACGGGATGACGGGTCTATCGGGAGCAATTGTTTGGCCCGTAATAATACCGCTCTTGGTTATTACAGGACATGACAGGATGACCAGACCCCAATTGATGGTGTTGTTCGCCGCCCTGAGGAATCCCTTCGCTTCTCCGCGCATATCAAACAGACTATCCGGCGCCATCCACGGCTCCTCGTCGACTGTGGCTCCAAGGATAACACTAAAGAAGTAAAGCGCCAGGAACGGCACCGGGCTTTCTCGCCGCTAGAAAGATCCGGCAAGAGGACCCTCCGAAAAAGCACTGATTCAGTCCCAATGCGTGGTTTTTCCCAGGAGTAGTGCTCGCAGCGTCAGGCACTATGGCCATGATTGGCCTGATATCCCGCGTTGGGATCCCCCGTCACAGTGGAAAACATTAAACAAAACAAAAATGGAAACCAGGGGTGTCCATGAGTTCCTCGGACAATAATATCATTCAGTCGGGCAAAGCATCAAAGGCAGTATTAGTTACTGTACATCCTCTGACACTGTGATGCAGCTGGACACCTTTGCGGACAGTGGTCAGTGCGATCAGCCACAAGAGCACGATGGTACTCGGGATCCTATCCAGGCCGCTATTCGCATGTTGCCGGCTATCATAATTTAATCTCGCCCCCGTCGCACTGACGTCGGTGTAGAGCACAGTCGTCGTGGAGATAATAATACCGGCCACCACGAGGTGTCTTCTAGCAGGTGGGGAATCACAGTCCTTGGTGATTTTGAGGATTGATTGGACCGCTCCACTCGATATGATTATTAGCGGTGTATTGTGATCCTTGGCCTCGGCAGCCTCGGGGAGTTCCTTGGGCATCGGCGAAACAAACGAACTGCCGTTGACGACTCAGCGTTACAAACACCATAGTTTAAGGCCAGGGTCTCCGCTGGCACCTTTCCAATACGACTTCTGTTGCGATCATGGCATCATGCTGTGTACTAAGGCTGATCCTCGGAAATAAAAGGCGCGTGAATCGCGATAGTCATATTAGGTGATCTTCGCTTCTCCGAGATTTTTCCAGAACTTTAGATTGAAGAGGGTTGAACCAGGTGCTAAGGTGAGTGTATCATATTTAGATGACGGCCCAGCAAGATCTCCTTTCCTGCATCTTTGCCTCCATCGTTCGCTAAATTAATGAAATGGTCTACCCGAACTTTGACGGGACGTGTCATTGGCCCATGGGCCCCGGGATCCGATACCGTCCAAAACGTCTCACGTCGTCAGAAACGGATGATGAAGAGCCTGCGTATTGTTAATGTTCGAAACTCAAATCCTATGAAGCTGGATTTCACACCTCTGTAGCTGAGATTCTCTGCCCGGTCTCGTAGCAAACCAGCTTGCTCACTAGGTCGCGGCCCTTGGACGAAGCTCCTTTCAAGATTTCCTCCCACGTTTTAGGGGGATACTCATAGAATTCCATTTTCCCCCAGTCGGGAAGTCTTATGCACTCCTGTGCTTCTTGTCAGTGACACACTTACACCCTATTGCAATTGTCCCACGCACCGGCCAGGTCTTTTCATTAGGAGTTCCCAGGGTCTGGAAGATAGACGAAATGAGCGACAGCTCACTTCCAATAGGCCCAGAATCGAAGAGCTGTTTGTGATTCACATCGATGGCTTCGGCAACCACACAACCAGCAGACCAAAGATCGAAAGAAGTGTCATATGTCTTGGAGCCAAATAAGATCTCTGGCGGCCGGTAACATGTTGTTCCCACATCTATAATCTTCTGATCTGGTGGTTCAGAGTCAGGATCTCCTTCTTTCCAGGCAATCCCGAAGTCAGCCAGATAGGCAGGCCCCGCTGGTGATGCTAATAGGATGTTTGACGGCTTCACATCTCTATGGATAATTCCCTGCGAGTGGACATGCGCCAAGGCATGGAACAGATCACGCAGATGCGATTTGATCTGGGCGACCGTCAGAATATCACCGTGTAGCAAGTCCTGAAATACATGTCTCATAAATGGGAACACTAGAATGAGCCTGCCTCCCAGAGTAAATGACTCCAGCAGCGGGATGACATGGTCCCCGGCAGCCTCACGCAAAATCCTGATCTCGCGTTTTGAATCGTGAGGTGCAGTCATCAGATGGGGTGTAGTCACTTTCAAAGCAACCAGACGTCCATCCTCGGTTTTCGACTTATAGATCGTCGACTGTAGCCCATCTTCATGATGGATGCAGTTCTTAAACTGGCCAATATCTATACCTTTCTCGGATGTTTCCTCCTCATCCCGTTTCTCAGGTAACTTAGGACTGCTTATCACCGCAGCCACCGAGTCTGTCGCTTCAGCTTCGTCGATCACTTTTTGGCATAACTCGTCATACTCCTCCTGAATGATATTACATAAGCAAACAGACCTGGCACTGAGCCAACATCCCAGGAAAACTAACCTTTGAGGTGGCCTTCTCATAAGCTTCGTTCTCATATCTCTTTGCTTGCGACTGGGCTTCTGCGAAGGAAGCTGATGGCGAAGCTCGTCGATAGGCAGTTGTGCTAAAAACAACGTATAAGATGGGTTGTTTCTGAAGGGCATTGAATGTTCCGATGCAGGGCGTCTGCTTTTGTAATTTCTTGGTGCACTTACATGGATTGTATTGCAATTAGTCTGTCCGTGAAGCCAAGTGTGGCTTTCCAGTCACTCTGTGTGGCCATGATATGGTGCTCAGCAATAATCTAAATACGATGTTTTGCAGCTTTCGTCATTAACAACTGAAGCGGTCCGAGGGTTGAGCTGCAGGCAGCGAATGTACTGTATGTCTCTCAATGCCTCCTCCTTGTGCAAGAGCCACCTCAAAATCGACAAAGGACAAGAAATACGATGGCCTGTTTTCCGCTTTAGATCAGATCATATATTGCTTTCCTTTTCCGGCGTCACTGATGCATCCAGTGTTCGCTTTGGGTATGCTGGAGTGTATTATTACTCTACGTATGACATGTGACTTCGCTAAGCTTCCCCGTCCCGGTCCGAAGCCCGGAGAGCCGCCGCCAGCCTTGTCAGGCAAGACAGCAGTCGTGCGACGAGGTCGCATCACTTCTTCCTCCTTCACTCCCTCAGATATCACCGTGTGTGCCAGACAGAGCTGGCTGGCGGGTTTCTGTATGATTGGATTCATCAATTGTCCTCTAAACATCATTCCATCCGCATAGCTAGTTTATTGTTATGACCCCCTCACCTATCCAATCTTACTGAACACTCGTCGCATGAACCGCCATGGACCTTTCGAGACAGGAATACCCAGCTTTGCTGGTAGGTGCATCTCTAATAGTGTATAGTAACTTGGATTTCACATGACTGATGCTTGCTTCTGGCGCAATAGGCTTGTTTACAGCCTAGCGAGGCGACGGCCGTGCTCAATGACCGCATACGTCTTATCAACAAGATCAACACGGACATTTCGGATTGGCTTCAGGTACGCCATGCTTCGATTGCGCAGGCACTAGGGTGCTCCAAATTGCCTGTCTAAGTGTGATTGACTCTATGACAGGAGCGGAGGCGAGTGGAAGAACAATACGTTCAGGGTTTGCGGAAGCTTGCACGGCGCCCGCAATTGGACAACGGAGCGGCTCTGGGGTAAGACAGGTTTGAATGAGCGGAAGAGTGGATGACAGTCCGCTAAGATTTCTGGCAGGGTATTTCAAATTCCATGGCAGCGGATCGTCCAATCCACCGAGTCGCTGGCAGCATCGCATGAGACATTAGCGCAGAAAATCGAGGAGGATGTCGAACGCCCACTGAAAGAATATGGAACCAAAAATCGTGAGCTTCAAACGATGCCAACGATCCAGAGCGACCTAGCTTCGCTTGCAAAGAGTCTTGAATCGGCCCAGAAGAAAGCGGAGAAGCTCAAGGAAAAAGGTCCCAAGGCCGCAGATAAGATGGCTGCAGCGATACAAGCGGTCGAAGAAGCCAACCAGCAGTGGGATTCCAGGGCTCCATTTGTCTTTGAGCAGCTTCAGGCTATTGATGAGAGCAGATCTAATCACCTGCGGGACGTCCTCACGCAATTGGAGACGCATGAGGTGGATCAGATCGAACGCAACAGGCAGACAGCAGAGAGCTGCTTGAACGTGCTGCTAAATACTGAGACCGCCGATGAGATTAAGACGTTTGCTGCGAAAATCAGTGGTGGAAGAGCGCCTGTGCCCAGACGACAGGATTCTTCAGCTGCTGCTGCTGCGGCTGCTGCCACATCTCCTCTTCCGCCTCCGCCACGAATTCAAGATGATGCCGAGAGTCAGCGCTCAGGAAGATCTGGTCACGGAAGACCACCACCAGGTATGTAGGCACCTAGTCTGCTTGTTTGATTGTCATCTGATAGGTATAGTCCCAGAGCCTAGGCACACGCCCCTTGGCGGCCTGAAACGGTTGGGTACAGTAATGAACCGAAGAAAGAGTATCGTCGCGAGTCCTAGTGGCAGTTTCTCTTTAGACAAGAAGCATCGGACTCCCTTTGTACCTTTCAGGAAAGGCGACTCATCGCGCGATATGCAGATTCCCGAGTCGCCTACATCTTCCCCGCCACAAGACCAGCTAAGCGGTAGCCATATACCTCAAGACTCAATCTCTACGGAACCTGAGTATGCTCGGGGACCAAGTGAATCTAATGCTAGAGGAGATTTCGATGCGATCTCTCCAGCCCCAGAAGCCAATGTAGCGGCTACTAACGGTACCAACGGAACATTGCTTGGAGATCATCCAGGAGCAGGAGTAAATGTGGCGTCCAGTCCGGTACGTATAAAGGATATGTTAGTGCCAACCACAAATCTGATAATATTTGCAGCCGCAGACAGATTCGGAGGGCTACTCCGAACGACCACAAACTATCGATGAAATTACACGAGCGCAAAGAGAGGCTGCTGGGTACGTAAACAATGTGTACGCTCACCTTGCAATTACTAATTCTTTCAATAGGTTGGAGGAACCGGGGTTAAACTTAACAATTCGAGACCAGCCGATCCGCGAAGATGAAAACGAGGCTCAGCAAGCGATAACCGAAATGGCAAATAAGTTGCGACTGGTATGATTGAACACCAAACACCGATCTCCTTGATTCCGCTGACGTTCTATACAGCAAGCTCAACAGTCAGGGGTCAGACGCAATGCTGGCACGATCAGAGGCCGGCGAGACGTCAGAAATACTGTCTTCATACCTAATCCACCTTTACCGGGCCAGGAAATCCCCGGTTTCGGCACCAGTGCCGAACCTTCTGTTCCAGTCTCTCCCCTCCCCCCAAGTAGACATGGTGTACGGCCCGGTAGCGCGGCAGAAGAACATGCTTTATCAGACACCACTTCGGTCCGCTCCTCTCATACGTTGCACAGTGTCTCTGGAGCAGTCTCCCACCCTGAGTTGCACGAACCTGGTTTGAACGCCTCGATTGTGGAGACTGTCAGCGCATGGTTCTCCGAAGGTGCAGTCACGAAGTCTTTCGTCGTCGGTGAGTTGGCGCTGGCATACAATCCAGCGGGAGAGATACCCTCCAACTCTGTTGTCCGCCTGGAAAATTTCCCTTTGCTTGAGAAAGTAGCAGCAAACCCTCACTTCGTCCATGAAATTCCATCGGGGGACGAAGAGAAAAGAGGTCAATACAGCATTACACCGTCTGTCATTTCTCGTTCGCTACCGACAGTTGCTTTCAAATATCAAGTACACCTCAATTCCTCGGACTCCTCATACTGTCCCATCATCTTCAACCCAGCCTGGAATATCGAGGAGTTCCAAGCAAGCGTCATTATACCCTACTCCCTCAATCCTTCATTTACGTCGTCCGGTCCGCTTCAGTCATTAGTTCTCAAGAATGTCGTCATCACTGTTGGTTTGGACCTTTCGCCGGAGGACGAGGTGACAAAACAGCCCCGCGAAGTGGTCCGCGCGACTGGTGCTGTCATGTATCCTAACACAGGAGCCTCTTTCCGTCGCAAGCACTCAGCAGTTGTCTGGAAGATCCCGGAGCTTGAGGTGAAAGCAGGTACAGATGGCAAGCTCCTTGCGAGATTCTCCACCTCGTCAAGCTGGCCCAAGAAAGGGAAAGTGGAAGCCAAGTTTGAAGTCCGGTCTATTGACGCAAGAAAGAGGCTTGGTATCACCACCCTGTCTGATGCGACCACGGAGGAGCCAAAGGATGTCGATCCTTTTGCAGATGAGGCCGCTGCCAGCCAGAGTCAGGAAACAAAGACATGGAAAGAAGTTCCTACGGTGCGCAAATTGGTCGCGGGCAAGTATGTCGCCTCGTGATGTCCGAATACTTGCATAATTTCTTGGACATCACTGCCACGAAGCTCCTGCGATTGGGTTCATTCCCCGATGATATAGGGACTACACGCGAGTTCACCTCGGCGATCGCGAAAGAAGGTCGAGACAGTTGGGATCCGGAGAAAGGCTCGTCGTAGAGCTAAAAGGACATGTTCTAGCCAACCGGACTTTCTACCCTGAAACGAAAATGGCAATAATCCTAATATCGCGTTTCTCCCTAAGACGCATGCATCACGCAAATAATTTCGTCTGTGTATTCCACCTTCATCCTCTCTTTCCCTAGCAGGGAAGGAGAGATAATGTCTTGTTCTGCCTCATTCTTACCATTATCATTCGTCATGAATAATACCTGCAACATCCCCTTCCCATTATTTGGAGTACGTCATTGTGGCATTTCCTCGTGTGTTCTCTCTCCCTTTTCTTTTCCCTTTATTCCCCCGTCCCAAGTCCGCCATCGGCTTTTTCTGTGTAGTTACTGTACCCCCGTCATCGGTCATTATTACCCCCCCTTGTCCTCTCTTTTTGTTCTCGCAGCCTCCTGTTATTCCCATCTCGCGGTATTCAAGCCCGTCCTGCTCTTGCTGTCTTTTTGTTTTCTTGACCTGTGTTTTGCCTATGCATCCAGTGTTAGATGCATGTATGTACTAAACTACCATTCAATCCCATTCTCATGACATAATATTAAATCCCCTGCATTCCACTTTTTTTTTCGTTCTTGGATATATTATGTTTTTGTATATACTCATCGTATGGACTGTTGCTGCTAACTTGGTCCGTTTTTATCTGATGTGTTCAACCCTAGTTTTAATATATATTGTCATGCAATTAATGAATTGGTTCACTTTTTAACCTCGATTACTCTGGTTATAGGATATAACCTACTAGATCCTCTACGAGCTATGTTCTTTGTATGCTTGGGAAATGAATAATGGGATGTACCGTTGCTTCTGCGTCGTTTAGGATCCGACACTTTGTGCTACAGGTGTGGGCATTCAATAAAGGCGCAGGAAATGGAACTAAAAATATTTATGATATGGATATCCACAAGATGTATAAGTTATTTATACACCGGATGAAGTAGTGATTAAGATAGATCCTCAAAGATGAAACTCCACACCTGTCCCTTTTGCCCTGCTTTGAAAGCGCAAACAATCAGACATTGTTCTGTACATGTATTACATGGTATAGAATCGTCAGAGATAAAGAAAGAACATTCGAATCCTTTTTTTCTTCTTCACACTCTCATCGCTCGTGTCGTCTTATCGTAGAAATCAAGAGTCATTGCGGCCAGGAAACAAGGGATGTCCTTTCTCTCTTCGACCCAGAATTTGATGAGGTGCTTGATTTCGAGGGCAAACAAGCTGTTGGGACCACCTGAAATTTTCATGGTTCCGTTTTCACCGTCAAATATGATCGAGTTCTCCTCTCCGTTACCCATACTGCCGGGTCCCCTCGAGTCTGCGGAGGCGTGGTCGCCGTGTCGGTAGGCAGATGAGAGATGGAACATGGATGTGACTCGCACACGGCCGTTAGGGAGGAAATCCAGCTTGTATCCCAGCACGGAGGCGACGGCCTCTCGGAACTCGGATGATTTGGCTGTCCAGATCTCCTTTAGACGACGCATGCGCTTCTCTTTCTCTGCGACAGTCCTCTCCATCTCCTGCAGCTCGAGCTTCATGCTCTCGAGAGCGCTGACCGGGACGACCTTGACATTTCCGTGGCCGCCTTGCAACTGAGCCAAGAGGTCACGGTTCTCTGCCTTCAAGGTCCGTATAGTGGACATTTTGAGGTTTTCTGCCTCTGCTGTCGGGTTATCGCGGAGCTCGAGGATGCGAGTCCGTGACTGTGCCTGGAGAGAGTTGAGATGGGACTTTGCAGCCTCTAGTTCACGACGTAACAGCTCTTTCTTCTGCTCCGACTTGGACAGTGCATCCTGCAGCGTTCGGTTCTTTCGAACCATCACTGCTAGGCGCTCACTTTCTGCATCACTCTCTGCCGGGGAAAGGGGGCGTTTGGTCCCGCGTGCCTGGGATTCATCTTGCGTGGATGACTCCCGCTTCGACAGTTCCTCGTGCGCCTTCTGTAGCTCCACACGATACTCATCAACGAGACTCTCCAGTTGCGCAATCTGTTGCGATTTCTGCTCGTCAAATCGACTTTCGTCGGCGTTCATGGTGACTTCCTCCGTATCGAATGTCTTCAGTTGTTCACGGAGATACTCGACTTCTTTAACGGCAAGAGCACGCTGCCGTTCCAATCGGGCCTTGACGCGACTATCCATAGCTCCACCAGCAGCAGGTGCAGCGGTACGAAGCTTTTCGATTTCTTTTTTCAGATTGGCTCGATCAGATTCGAGACTTTTGATAATCTCGTCTTTCTCCACGAGCTGCGGCTCAACGCTGCCGAGCTGGTCGACAAGAGATGCCTTCTCAATTCTCTCCTGTACTAGAGTCCTCACAACAGCTTCGGGAGAATCGAACTCCGCCGGCTGACCATCGACTTCTAACAAACTGGTCCATGTTTTCCTCTCATCTTCCAGGATCTGCTTCTGAATCTGAAGGCTTCCAAGCTCTGACTCCAGATCCTTCATTAACTGCAACTGGCTTTCGAGGGATCTCTTTTCCTCTTGGACGACTTCGACATTTTTCCCGATCTTCCGCAAGCGTCTAAGCTCAGCAGATTGCTCTCTGTTCGTAGTTTCCAAAGACCTCATATGAGCGACCTGCTCAGAGAGTTCCCGCTTCAAGATTGCAAGTGCCTCTGGGTCGCTTCCCTCGGCTTTGAGGCGCAGATTCTCCGTCTCTAAAGCCGCAACATCTGATTCTCGCTCCGTGAGACGTTCCTGCGTAGCTTGCAAGGTATTTCTCACTTCTTCCAGATCATTCTGCAATTCGGACAGTGTTTGCTGTAGGGATGAACGAACGGTCTCCAGCTCTTGAATCTGATACTTGTATTGTCTCTCGTGATCCGACAGCTGCCCTTGCACATCATCGACGTCTTCCCGTAGGGATTGATTTTCATCCTGTAGTGTCCTGATCTTTCTCTCTAATGTTGCTTTCTCGTTCAATGCGAAATCTTGCGCTTCTTTGAGCTCTTTCGCTAGGGCTTCATTTTTGTGCTGCGCTCGATGGCTTGCCGTTTCCGCAGCCTGACATGAACCTCTGTCAGTATTCAGACTACCTCTGTTGCCGAGTACGAATACCAACCTGTGCCTTTCGAAAGTCCGCATCAGCTTTGGCTTGAAGGTCGCGTAGTTCCTTCTCATGGCGCAGTGCCGTTAAATCACGCTCTTGTTTGATATTCTCGAGTTCATAGCGCAACGTATTCACTTGCACACGTAATTCCTCATTCTCAAAGTCTGAAAGGCGCATGAGCCCCCGTTGGTTGCTTCCTTCTCCATGTGGATCGTGGCTCACCTGGTTTGGGGTGTTGAACAGGACGAACGGACTGTCGGAAGGCGTTCTGCGCGCCGGGTGTGGAAGGTGAGGAAGAATGGCCGGTAATAGAATCGGATCTTCGCAGCCTAGTGGATGCCCTGCCTGTATTCATCTGAAATGTGTTAATAGAGTGCTCTCCGCAGGCAGGCAGTGAATAGCAATGCTCACGTTGGCGCAATCGGGCTTTCAGATAAGAAGTGTCAGGTAGCAACACTAGCTATGACAGCTTACAACAAAGAAAACAAATCGATAGATAACAAATACATTAATACGCGACCAGCGACAGCTCCATGAAAACAGGCCGCGGTCGAGCCGCGAGTTCTCTTGCGCTGACTTGCGCTCTCATTATTGTTTTGGAGTTAGTTAACTAACTTAGAGAGATGAGACGCGGACGGATGACTAAGCACGAACCATTGGCCACTGCCAGCTCGGAACCGAATCGGGCATAGCGCCAAAATTTCAAAATTTCGGACTGGATCCAGCACTATTCAATATTTCGAAACTGCGAGGATTCAAAGGTCTTACTGACCCCGGTCTACGACACCCACCCCGCACCATTATCCTCCGAATTTATTCCAGTCAGTGAGTGTCAAGGCTCGCCATATCTACACAATGGCGAAGGACAGGGTCGACAAGGAGAAGAAGCGTGAGAAGAAGGACAAGAAGCGCGCCGAGACCGATGGCGTTCACAAGTCCAAGAAGGACAAGAAAAGCAAGACTCTTTCCGAAGCCGCTGAGAAGGAGCTCACTACTAAGGTCCTTGAAGGCCTTGACAAGGCCGATGCTGCTACCAACGGCGATGTCGAGGTGATCCAGGCGGATGCCATGGAGGTCGAGGCTCGTCCAGTCGGTGCACTGGTACCGTTCGCCAACCCGCTGGTTGAGGACAAGACTGCAAAGAAAGTGCTCAAGAGCGTCAAGAAAGGTATGCCCTGATTCCTGTTGCAAAAGGCACTGTACCCAGAGAGCATCTGCTGTTTTTACTGCATTGGATCCTCTCTTGTTCTTGTCCCCGTCCGTTGGACCGCTTATTGTTGGGACCGCCACACGTGTAACTGCAGGATATGCACTGACGTCTCACTAGCGGCTGCGAACAAATCGCTCAAGCGCGGTGTCAAGGAAGTCGTCAAGGCTCTCCGAAAGTCTCCAATTCCGGCAGCAAACGCTCCGATCACCACCCCTGCCGGCATTGTCGTTCTGGCTGCAGACATCTCTCCGATGGATGTTATCTCCCACATTCCTGTTCTCTGCGAGGATCACGGCATTCCCTACGTCTACGTCACCTCCCGGGCAGAGTTGGGTAGCGCGGGCGCAACGAAACGTCCTACCAGTGTGGTTATGGTGGTCCCCAAGTCCTCCGGCAAGAGCAAGAAGAAGGACGGAGAATCTGAGGGTGACGAGGACTTCAGCAAGGTCTATGATGAGCTCTTGAAGATTGTGGAGAAGGAGACGAAGCGAGTAAAGGTCTAGACGGCACCTTTCCCTCGGCATTTCTTCGGTTATTCGGTTTCAATGCTCCGGTTTATGCTGTACATTTTTTCTGTTTTCTCTATGACCAGGCAGCGCATGTCTTTGGGGGTCTTTGCTTCCGACGACCACGGGATATCTTTCTGATAGGTCTTTTTGCGAATGCGGCGTTTTAGTATTGGTGTACAAAAAGGCAGGAAAGAAAAAAGAACGAGAACCCAATAAAACACAACGGAACTAATCCTCAGTTACTGTCCCGTCACTTTCTGCTGTCAAAAAGTAAAAATAGAAACCGAACCCGGATCCCGAAGGTACAGTACGTGGGTGATCGGGTTTACGGCCAACTTAATCATTACTGTTATCGGATATCCCGCTGTCTCACTGCTCTGTGCCTGAATATTGAAGCTTCTCGATGCCGATTGAGATGCCGACGAATCAGTCTACTAGTAAGCGCGAGTCGGCCGTTAGCGGATACACGAACACGCGCTTCTCAATCCACATTGGACCTCCTATCTCTCCGACACTGGCCAGCAGAAAGATGAGACCCCACTGATATGCCCGTTTGTTATGATCAAGGTTAAGCCGTGTTTCCCGGTATGCTTGCAAGAGGAAGAATAAAGAATAATGAACGGCATGCCCTTGTATGAAAGGCTCCACCAGCACAAGTGTCGACCAAAATAATGCCGTTGATGGCGCGCATAACCTTCTAGAACGACAGCAGCGTTCTCCCCAAATGAAACAGAAGCGCCACCGTTAATGCTGAACAGGGCAATGATGGACACGACACACATGGAATCGATAATGACCAAGTCAATTATTCCAGCACGCGCTGGCATAACTCGGTTCCAAATTCCCGGTCAAGTTAAGACAGGAGACTCACAAAATGCCCGTCGAACTTGCCGGAAACCAGTGAAACGGTCCCAACTTGAGTTGCTGTCAGATAACTTGCCGGGGCCCTTTGGACGTCGATCCAGAGTCCTTGCCATCCCAGCGCTATCCACGCTCGTTGCATGCTTGTCACTGGCTGGCTCTAAAGGCGCCGTGGAGCTTGTTTTCTCAAAAGATGCTAGGTTTCATGGAAAGCACGGAGTACTGCCAGACTATCATCCAACGAAGGTGGGTAGACCCCGCCAGGGAAGTCTTGAAGAAGATGCCACATGGGCGGTGTTGGAGGAGGGACATAGAAGGAAGAGGATAAATAGTCCGGCTATGGTAGCACTCGAGCTCATTGTTTCGAGCTCATTATTCTCGGCCAGGACCTTTATCTGACGCTCTGATAACCCCCTATCCTTTCTGTCTGCTACACTCACCCACCTATCTGTCCAATATGGCAGACTATGATAAAGCAACTGTGGGAAGGAGGCTGTTTGCCAGTGTCCTAGACGATCTCGCGCAGAAGTCACCAGATAAAAAGGCCTGCGTGATCCCTAAGGGTGCTGAGGTGTCTGATGGATTTCGTGATCTGACATTCAAGGAATTGGCCCACGCAGTCAACTACACTTCATGGTGGATTGAGAAGAAACTGGGGCGCAGCTCCAATCTCGAGACGCTGTCATACATGTCCGCCAACGATATTCGATACATTGTCTTTGTGATTGCTTGTAATAAAACCGGCTATAAAGTAAGTCTCTGAGAAGAATAACGCATAAAGTTCAATACCCTGGAATGAAGAAATGGCGACGGCTAATTTGATATTCTATAAAAGGCCCTGCTGCCTTCGACAAGAAATTCGGATGATGCCTTCCTTCACCTGCTCAAGGCCACAGAATGCAACAAGTTTATCTGCGGCCCAGAAAGGAAAGCAAGAGTTCTCGATGTCAAAAAACTCAGACCCGATCTCGAGGTAATCGAGATTCCTTCTCTGGCAGAAATGCTCGCAAGTGAAACACAACATTACCCGTACGATAGGACCTATGAAGAGGCGGAGGACGAACCCTGCTTGATTATTCACAGTTCAGGGACAACAGGTATGTCTAAAAACATGCACATATATTCCTTGATTCAAAAGGCACGCCTAATCCTTTACCGCGCAGGAATCCCAAAGCCTGTTCCCCTTACGCATGGATTCGTAGCCTGTCTTGACAGGATGGCCTTTATACCTCACCCTCCCAATCGCCAGTCGACTATATGGTACGATCTCACCAGTGATGATCTCCTATTAAGCACCACCCCATTTTTCCACTTGATGGGCTTCATCCCCCTCGTGGAGGCGATATTCCACGGCCAACCCTTCGTTACCGGCCCGGATAAGCCACTGGCAGTGGATTTCTTGGTTGATATTATGGAAGAGGCACGCCCCACGGCGGCGCTCTTGCCACCATCCCTTCTGGAAGAAATGAGCCACTCCGATCGTGCTGTTGAGGCTATGTCTCATTTGAAGTATGTAGTCTTTGGCGGAGCACCCCTTTCCCCGGAGGTGGGCGAGAAGCTGCGCAAATACACCGGTATCCGGACGGTCATTGGCACTAGCGAGATTGGTATTATCCCATCTATGCTTCCACTTGACAAAGAAGACTGGGGATATTTTGACTTCAACCCCAACTGGAAACTCGATATGCAACCTGTTGGTGACGGCAGCTATGAACTTGTCATCCCGCGACCACCGACCCGCGACTATCACGGCATTTTCCACACCTTTCCGGATATCAATGAATACCGAACAAAGGATTCTTTTGTTCAGCATCCTAAAAAGCCAAATCTTTGGAAATATAACGGGCGCCTTGATGATATTATAGTGCTCAGTAATGGTGAGAAGTTCAATCCGGTCACCATGGAAAAGACTATCGAGGCGCACCCCTTGGTATCTAGGGCCTTGGTCGTCGGCCAGGCTAGATTCCAATCTGCGCTTCTGATTGAACCCAACTGGAACCGATGGACTGGAGAGAAGCCTGACAGCGATCTCATTGAGGAAATCTGGTCCACTGTCCAGCAGGCCAACCATATCACTCTTGCTCACGGGCGAGTTGCAAAGAACAGGATCGGGCTGGCATCCAAAGACAAACCCTTCAAAACGACTCCAAAGGGCACTACCCAGCGTCGTCTTGTCAACCAGGACTACGCAAAGGAAATAGATGCGATTTACGAGCAGCCTGACGAGGAGGGCCAGCTACCTGAAGTTTTGGATTTAGCTGGAGTTACTAGCTACGTCCATGGTCTCGTGTCAAAGAAGATGGAAAACCCACAATTATCTGAAAAAGATGATCTCTACGCCGCGGGCCTTGATTCCCTTCAGACAATGCAAATCGCCCAGATCCTCCAAAGTGCAGTCCGCTCTCGGTTTCCCGAGAAGAACTTCCGCGCCATCACTGCCCAGCAAGTATACGGGCATCCCACCGTTGAACAGCTGGCTCAATACTTGAACCGCATAATCAGCGGCGAGACTGAAGAAGAACAAGGGTCTCGGGCTGAGAAGATCAGTGCTCTTTTGAAGAAGTATACCGCGGACCTCCCGGAGCAAAAGCTGGATGTGAGCAACGTTGGCACGACGCACACTGTTATCCTGACTGGATCAACTGGATCACTTGGCAACTACCTCCTCAATGCACTCCTAAACGACCCACAGGTGGCTATGGTTTACTGCCTGAATCGGTCTGACGCTAAGGAAAGACAGGAGAAGAGTTTCCAGGAGAAGGGATTGAAGTTTGATGAAGAGGCGCGGTCTAAGGTCCAGTTCCTGCAAGTAGCATTCGGCGAAGAGAGGTTTGGCCTCGAAGAAAGCAAATACGAAGAACTGCTGCAGTCCGTCGATACGATCATCCATAACGCGTGGAAGGTTGACTTCAATCACTCAGTTTACTCATTCGAAGACGTGCATATCAGAGGCGTCCGCCGCTTTGTGGACTTCAGCTTGAAGAGCACTCACCACGCCCACATCCACTTCGTCTCCTCCGTAGGAGCCATCGCTGGTTGGAAACCCAAGCATGGCCCAGCCGTGCCAGAGGAGCCTCTGGAAAATGTCGAGGTCGTCCTGCCGCAGGGCTATGGTGAATCTAAGCATATCTCGGAGCGCATTTGTTATGAGGCTTCCCGTCGATCAGCCATCCCGACTACCATTCTTCGGGTCGGCCAGGTCGGAGGACCAACTACTGAGAAGGGCGCATGGAACCGACAGGAGTGGCTCCCTACTATTGTCGCAACCTCAAAATCGATGGGCAAGGTCCCTAGTACGCTCGGCTCTGCACCTGTTGACTGGATCCCTGTTGTAAGTTGTGCTCATACATACCTACCTAGGCTTTGGGTAAGGTTATCGCTAACACTTTTGAAAAATAGGATACTCTCGCTAAGATCATTCTTGAACTTGCGGACACTCGTCGCAAGACTCAGTCTGATTCCCGCTGTGAGGTGTTCCATCTAGTCAACCCGGCTACAACCACCTGGGCAGCTCTCATCCCCGCCGTCCAGAAGCACTACCCCGTCAAGCCCGTCGAATTTTCAGACTGGATCCAGGAGCTCGAATCGATCGAGAACCCGTCCGATGAGGACATTGCCGCCAAGCCTGCCTTGAAGCTGCTGGACTTCTATCACGGTCTCAGCGGTGATGGTGCTCTATCCGCTCCACTTGAAGTGGGCAGAACTAAGGAAGCCAGTGCCACAATGAGGTCGCTGGGTCCTGTGGACGAGAAGCTGATGGACACTTGGCTCAAGCAATGGGCATTCTAGAAGATATTATGCCGGGATTCCATGACAATGTCATGACCGGAGATGATATGAAGCTTGGCGTTCGATCTGTTTTACTTACCCTTAGCGGTCAAGGAAGCATGTAAGAATTGTGACTGAGGTTCCAGGCCTATGTTGGAGCTTTGCTTTTTATATACTCAAAGTTGCTTTTTTAGCCGCAAGCGTCATAGAGAATTTCAATTATTGGTATATTTATCAATTTGACCGATACACAGCAACAAGCACATCTGTAGATAGTTACCATATACAGTTATACAATCAAGGAGACCAAAAGCGCATGGTCACGAGCGCAAGCCTTGTAAGCACTAATACGGAAACCTCGAGCGCTAAGCTCGCAAAAGTCTTGCAAGACCCGAACCAGAACGACGCCAGCGAATTCAAGAGCTGCCGACCGAATGCGTGCGATCAAATGATTGTCGGAGGTTTGATTTAAATCTTAGTAAGATTGACAACGCTAATCTTCTCTAACTATTCCAAATGCCCAAGCCAGTAACTAAGCGTTGTATATATGTATATATGGATATGAGCAGCGATCTTTTAATACCTCGTCCATTTGCCCTGAATTTAACGATTAGAATTAGAATCTATACTGTTCATATCCGCTTTCGCAGATGGCTCCAACGATTGTGATCACTGGGTGCACTGAAGGTAGCATTGGCTACTACTTAGCGAAAGAGTTCTCATCTCGAGGATACGACGTCTTCGCCACAGCTCGTCGACCGGATTCGACAGGAGATCTCCAGGATTGCGCCGGTGTCACCGTTCTGCCTCTCGATATAACGAGCAAGGATTCCATCCAGAAGCTATATGAGGATGTGAGCTCAAAAACAAACGGCAAACTCGACATCCTCTACAACAATGCCGGAAAGATGAAAAGGATCATGGCGATTGACAGCACTCGAGAGCAAGCTGAGGATACGTTCAACACGAATCTCTTCGGTGTGATTGAACTCAACACCACATTCGCAGACCTAGTCATTGCTGCCAAAGGAAGATTTGTTTTCACTGGAAGTTGTGGGGCGATCGCGCCCGTTCCTACGCTGTCCATCTATAATGCATCAAAGGCGGCTCTTCATGCTTATATAAATACTCTGCGCATCGAAATGAGCCCCTTTGGTGTAGAGGTCGTAAATGTCATCACAGGAGGGGTGAAGTCGCATATATGGAATGCTGAGAGGATCTCCAAGGAAGGTTAGTAGTATGGAGCCCTGTGTATATGAAGTTAAGTGGTGTAATTTTAACGTATCTGTACCTAGATTCTCCGTATACGTCTATCCAGGAGAAACTGGACGAGGCTAATGCCTCGAGTGCTAAGAGCTCCACGGATCCAGCCGTATATGCGAGGAAAGTTGTCTCGGCCATTGTGAGAAGAAATCCGCCTGCGGATATCTGGGCTGGGGCGGGTGCGTCAGTGTTTTGGTTCATTGATCGTCTGAATCTCAGATGGATGTACCGTTTTGTCTTTGCGAAGATGTATGGACTAGATTCACTCTGTACATCTCAAGACAAGTCTAGGTGATGTTTTTTGTCCACTACCATGCGGGGGGAAACATGGCGCAGTTACCTAGCTCAGTTGCATACCAGATATCATCCGATCAATGAATCTTTCCACTTTCTCGCATGCGGCCCAGTTTTTGAGATGCTTGGAGGCGAGCAATTGTTGATCGGCGCTAGGTCTCCCGATGTTTAACATCGAAATATGATCATACCCCAAATTGGAGCCTTCAATTGGCCAGAACCAATGCAGCGGCCTCCAGAGGCCGTGCGCAAAATGTGCAAAGGCCGGTCTAGAATGTTCGGAGAAAAGACCTGTGAGATGGGTTAAGGGTGTGGCCATCCGGGGCAAGATGCGGGGTGTGTCCCTGGAGGATGGACACGCTGATGCTAGGGGATCAAATAACCTTAAGCAGAGAGTCAAGCATACTAAACCTCTTATCGAACCTAGTACATGTGTGATCGGAAGAGATGTTAAACATGGCGGTAGGCTTCTCTCATGCCCATCGTTATTCACTGGTATTCTCTAGCACTGTCCGCATAGTAATGTCTATCATATAGTCTAATGAACTAGAGCTAATTTACATACAGAATCTCGCATAATGCATTTCGACAACTCTTCGCCAAATTTGCCAGTCGTTCTGGGAGACCCTTCTATCTCAAACTTGAATGAAGCGGGTAGATATTACCTTGATTATTGTAAGTGCAATTATCAATCTGCTCTTCGAGACGTATCCACAGGCCTAATATGAGAGAACAGATAATGGTCACATATGCAAGCTCTTCATCGTGTACGACAGCGAAGAGAACCCCTTCCGGAGTCTAATTGCTCTTGCTTTGGAAGACTCTATTCTCTTACAATCAGTCCTTGCTCTAGCAGCATGTCACAAAGCCAACACAGGCCGGTCCTTTCATCAGTCAGAAATGACGAGGTCTGTCGAGACGATAAAGGCCCAACAGGACGCACTATCTTTCAAGTGCCGCGCTATGAAAGAACTTTCGGGTGCTCTCCACGAAGCGATCTTACACAGACGAGACAGTACAGTGGCTAGCATATTCCTTCTGATATTCCTGGATCTCTTAGAGTCCGGAAGTGATAGATGGAACTTTCATCTTGAAGGCGCTAAGCGCTTGATGTCATCATTCCAAGTGTCAGCCCAGCCGCAGAACGGAATCAGCCAGGATCCGGGCGAACAGTGCAGCGAATACGCAGCTTCATCACCAAGCAGATCTACTTGTATGTCTACCTCACGGTGTTGATTTGAAACGCACACGTTTATTATTATGATATGTTGCTAATGGAGCATCAGGATTGAAACCCTTGGAGCAACCTTTGTGCGTCCAAAATTAATTTCCCAGTATTCTTCCTCGGTCTATCCAGATATATCATTACAAGAAACGGTGGAACGATCCTTTCTTGGATGCCCAGGATATCTGCTCAACGCAATACAATTCTTCTCGCTCAAGAGAGACATCATTGCTAGCTCGGAGCCGTTCGATCAAGGCACTCTTACGGACCATATACAAGATACAGACCGCATGCTCGAATCTATACGGAATTTCGATTACTATGCTTGGGTATCCAGTCTGCCCCAGTCACACCATTCACCAGAGCGGGACGTAAGTCGTCTTTGCATATTATCAGAATCATACAAGACTGGGGCTCTCCTATACGGCGAACGCGTCCTCGACGCTTTCGCTCAACGCACCACGGCGCAGGATGACCTGGTCTGCAAATTAATCGGATTAATTGGTATCTTGAAGGATGATAGGACTCTATTAAAATGTGCACTCTGGCCTATATGCATTGCTGGCCTGGAGTGCCGATGGCAAGCCCAAAGAGACTTTCTGATTGGTTGTCTGGAGAAATTCTGGGAGGACACGAGTTGTTTAAACGTGATCAATGCTGCCAAGGTATTACAGACATACTGGCGACAGATCGATGGGCAGGGAGGTGACTCATCGCAATGGATATTCACTATAGGTTGCTTGGGTGCCGATTGGCTCCTTATATAGGATGAGCCGACTGGGCCTGTCAGAAATAGTGCTATATGTTTATAGACTATCGATTAATTCAGAGAGAAGTAGTACACATGCCGAAGAATACATAGAAAGAAACATGCGATATCTACTATTCTGTACCGAAAAGCGTATGAAAGTTCGTATCTGGACCAGCGCTTGAGGTAACGGTTGGATTAAGGTTATTATGAACAGCAGTCCAATACAAACCCCTGAAGCTTACGGATAGAGGTGGCGTAAGGACAAAGAAAACTAGGTGACGAGCGCCAGATTTCGACTGATTCTATTAGTATTTTCCTGCTCTTCTCTAGAACCTAAACAGATGGCCTGATGATAACCCCGGGAATATCCACTATTGATAACGCAGGCCACTCGCATGGGAATACCAAACTAGGAAGGGCAACTAACATACTCGAAAGTTATCCTGACGCACCACACCCATCGTGACTCAAGTTACAAAGCTATCCATCGAGTACCAGTACAGATAACTTCTGAAGCGAAGCCCTCTAAGCTTGAATTCTCTAGCAACTACCATAGCTCAGCCCATTTATCTCTGCGGGTGAAGCCAGAAAGACGTGGGAGAAACCCGACAAGAGGAAGGCCTGCATGTAGACAGGCTCCGACATAGCTCAACACCGAGTGGAACCTAGCAGTATGATTTTCCATGCGGTTGGACTCGTCGGGAACTACCTTCAATTATCGGCGCAGTCTACCAATCAGACCGCGGTGATATTAATCCCCGATTACCATGATCTCCGCGGAGGCGGGGGAGTTTTGTATGTATGTGTATAAATTATTTAAGATATCTTAGATACCCAGCTGATAAAACAACTCCTTTCAACTCAACCCCTCTGACTCAGTCTCGATCATCCCAGAACATCACATCATGTATCTCCGAGCCGCCCACGCGGAGTCATCTATCCCTATTCTGCACCAACTCATCCGCGAGAATCCCCTAGGGATACTGACCACTGCAATCCCATCCGCCAACCACCCCACTATTCAATCGAGCCATATTCCATTCCTCCTCGACGTGCCAGAATCCGAGGATGGAACACATGGCATCCTGCGGGGCCACATAGCCAAGCAGAATCCACAAGCAAAAGCCCTCATGGAAGCGCTAGAAGCGAACTCACCAAACGAAGGGAGCCACCCACTCGAACTACCAGATGAAGTCCTAATTCTCTTCAACGGACCATACCATCACTACGTGACACCGAAATTCTACACGGAAACAAAGCCAAATACAGGAAAAGTCGTCCCGACATGGAACTATTCTGCCGCACAGGCATATGGCAAGATTCGCGTATATTGCAATTCGAAATCAGAGGAGACGAGTTTGTTTCTCCAGAAGCAGGTTGAGGAACTGAGTCAGCATGCAGAGATGTCTGTTATGGGGTATACGGGAGAAGGGGACAGGCCGGGTTCGTGGAAAGTGTCCGATGCGCCAGCGTCGTATGTGGAGCTGTTGAAGAAGAATATTATCGGGATTGAGATCAGGATCGATCGTCTGCAGGGGAAGTTTAAGATGAGTCAGGAGATGGGCCTGGGAGACCGACAGGGTGTAATTGAGGGGTTTGAGCAGTTGGGGACGGAGGTTGGGAAGGGGATTTCGAAGACTGTGAAGGAAAGGAGCGAGTTGCTGGATTCGAATTCGAAGAAGTAGAGTTGAATTATTTCTGTATGCATAAGTTGATTATTCTTACTCATCCGCAAAGCGCATTGTAGCGGCTAGATACCTCTTAGATTCATTACCAGTGCCAGTCCTCCAAAGCTAAACCAGACACAACCAAGTTTCTACTCTGTTCAATAATAATAATAATAACCGACAATTAGATACTGCACGTATTATACGCCATCAACTTTCCATTCTAGGAACTTGACGGGAGTGGGTCAGCGGCAAATGTCAAATTGCCTATTTAAGAAGTTAATGGGAGCGGGGCATTTGGTCCATATAACATATTATTATTCTCTATTACTTGGCTTGAGGTTGCTTCCAGTATTCTTATATATATAGCTAGAATCGTATAAATATAAGGGAAGGACTCTGAGTATTAATCCATCTCAAAGTGTTGTACCTGCTCCAACACCGATTCTTATAATGCGTCCATCTATCTCAACCGCAATGCCACCAGCAAATAACTCTCCAGCTCATCCTGCCACGCGAGCTTTACATGCTGATGACCCCTTAAACCAAGTGACGGACGTTGCGCCTCCAATCCACTTGTCCACGACATATAGATATCCCAATGAACCGGAAGACTTGATCCCCAGCGCAGATCCTGTTGTACGTATATCCACCCATCCATCCATTCATTCATACGTATATACATACCTCCTTCCCTAGGAAAAGAACAGTAACTACCCCCTCCCTCTTCATATCCAGAACACTAACACAAAACAATACCCTCTAGGCCGAATTCACCGGAAAAAAACTACATCTACTCCCGCGAATTCGCACCCAACACCACACGTTTCGAAACCATCCTCTCCTCCCTCCTCCACGGCCACACAATCAGCTACTCCTCCGGCCTCGCCGCCCTCCACGCGACCCTAACTCTCCTAAACCCTCACCACATCTCCCTCGGCGACGGGCTACCACGGCAGTCACGAAGTAAATCTCCGTAATATCCCGTCTATCAGGTCTACAGAAACCCCCCCCCCCCCCCTTGACTGTCCCGCCTCGAGCCTAGAAAAGGGGGGATGTAATCCTCCTCGAAACACCAATCAATCCGTTCGGAACGGCATTTAATATCGAGGAATATGCCATAAAGGCCCATTCGAGAGGAGCGTATCTTATTGTTGATAGCACGTTCGGTCCGCCCGGTCTGCAGGATCCGTTTTTCTATGGGGTGCGGATATCGTTTTGCATTCATTCTGGATCGAAGTATTTCGGGGGGTCATAGCGATCTAGTTATTATGCGGGGTGGTTGCGACGAAGAATGAAGAGTGGACAAAGAAAGACTCTTCTGGAAGATAGACTGGCTACCTAATTGGGAACGTCATGGGTAATCTGGAGGGAGATGGCTTGGTGTGCGGAGTCTGCGGACGTTGGAAATCCGTGTTCAGCGCGCGAGTCAGAATGCAGCGGAGTTAATCGCTTGGTTTTCAGCGTGGTTTGAATAATAATACAGAATCAGAATCAGAATCAACACCTGCGAAGGGAAGTGAAGATTACTTCGTCCAGACTGTCGTCGAGAAAATCCACCACATCAGTCTTCAAGATGAGCCATGGATCCGGAAACAGATGCCCAATTAATGGCTTCGGATCGCTCTTCTCTCTCGTTCTGCGCAACGAGGAGTTCGCTCGGCGTTTACCTATCTAGCAAATTGGCCTTTTTCCATCATGCGACTAGCCTTGGAGGTGTCGAGTCGTTGATCGAATGGCGGGCATTGTCTGATTCGAGAGTCGATCGAAAGCTGCTGAGGATTAGTGTGGGGTTGGAGAATTGGCTGGATTTGAAGAATGATCTTCTTGGAGCGTTGTCAAGGCTTTGGTAGAGGAGTCAATTTAATAACTACTGAGATTAAATCGGATCTAGATGGTGATTGTATGTACATACTTAACTACTGTACATAGTACTGTACATACATACAAAATAACCACAGCTTCCCTCACTCGATCATCCACCCATCCCATGAGCAAGCAATCAGGTCCCCACCTCTAAAAAAGCATTACAATATAAACTAGGAATATAAATAAGACGTATCACACAACCCAGGGCAAAAAAAAAAAAAAAAAAGAAAATATCTTCTGCTGCGTCTCCAAGTGGGTCTTGACAAAGCTATCGTCGATGTGGATGCAGACTAGCAAGCGGGCCAGGGGCAAAAACACAACTGATCTTCCACTGTCCAGCCTCCTGGGATGTGGGCGTCTCCTTAACGGGGGCTAAATGGATCATCTGCAGAGAGAGAGCCACGAGACCCACAAGCTATTCTTAGGATGATCTTGATTTTGAGTTGGCGCAACGTTCTATCAGAACGTCTGTGTTACAATGTTTCACTATACCATGACTTGTTTAGATCCTTTGGCAGTAGATGCCTTTCGACGGGAGAATTCATAGAAAATATCCATCATTGAATCGCTAACGCTTAAGAAAAAATGTAGATAGATATACAAGGCCCATCAGAATGAAATCATTAATCCAAATCGCCCAAAAAGCCTGCACCAGACCTTGCTGTCGCCAATAGAATCGAATCCATGATAGCCAATTCCAAAAAAGGTTCCCTCCTGAAGAATAGAATATATGCTGCCAGACTCATGGCAGCGAACTCCAAATACACCAAACGACCGTTTCCGATTTGGTGGAAGCAAAAAAGCACTTAAACCGCCAGTCGTCGATCCCAGCCGTCGACCAGGCCAAAATCATCAATTTCGTCATCTGCCGCCGGGATGATGATCCCCTTGAAAGGATCCATCAGGTTCACGTTATCCTGGTGGTGCAGTCCCATATCATTAAGCGGCGACACCTCCTCGGCGCTTCCCAGACTCTCCTCCGAGTAGCTCAGAACACTCTGGGTGGTTGCCCCTTGGTTGTGCGGCAAGTCGCCACTGCTGGAAGACCAGGCTTCTGGCGACAAGCTGTGAGCCTCAGTGGCATGGGGCTGGATGCTCAAGGAATTGGGATGCTGTTGCTGAAATTCAGCAGTCAGAGAAGCAAAAGGCCCGTGGTCTTCACCGCATTCCTTTCCTCCGTAGATCCCGGTGAAAATATTGGAGTGGCCCTGCGCCATGTCACTGACGACGAACTCCCAATCCGCCATACTGAGCGCAGACTTGGGAAGATCCGAGGAAGACATGGCGCGATGAGAGTCAGCGTTGAGAGGGAAGTACTCGAAGTTATTGTACTCTAGAGAAGGATCGTTGATTCGAGGCTTCTCTGCGCCCATCTGGCCCATGTGGTCCGTCTGCTGGGCGGGGAGGCTAGACCGGCTTGAAGAGCGAATGTGCCGGTGGGGTGTCGGAGGGCTGGCGTTGGTGATGGTAGCTCTGCGGGAGTGAGACTCCGCTCGTGCTGGCTGGAACGAGGGCCCGGATACTGATCCACGAGACTTCAAGGGCTGGTACTGCTTCTTTGGAGACTTGGGCTTGAGAGATGACTCGCGCATCTCGGACGATTGCTTGGCGGCCGCTTCACGCTTCCCACCATCGACAGAGATGAGCAGATTGGCAACCACGGTGAATTCAGCCGCGGCTCCGGCTGATTCTGATTCAAGCTGGTCGATGACGGTCGAGAGAAGCTTCTGGCTCTCCTTAGCAAGCTTGCTGTCGCGCTTCAGACCCATGTTCTGCCAAAGTAGGCCCAGTCCAGAGAGGAAGACCAGTTCCTTCCTGCTCATGCAGAAGGACAGGCTCATCCTCCTCTCATCAAGCAAGTCCAGAATTTGGATCATGTGCTTATTCGAGTCGGACAGAGCGAGGACAGAAGTGGAGGCAATGGTAGCATCTCCAAAGCAGACCGCAGGGCGGTGGATCAGTGTTCGGATGTAATAATACACCATTGACTACGTAGAGTCAGTACCAGAGTCAACGACGAAGAATGATCGAGCTTACCAGAAGAGGAGACCGACTGCTGGTCACATTGGTGCTAGGCTTGTCCTGCGCGAACTCGAGTCTCAGGTGCGGAGGAAGGTTCTTGGACCACCCATCCAACTGCTCGGACAGCGCATGGAGCTTGGAGACTGGGATCTCATATCCAGCAGGCGAGGGATACAAGTCTTCCAGGACTTTGTTCAGAATCCGCGAAGCGGCAAACAATGCAAGGGCGCTGGACAGGCGTGTCGATTCGCCCGGAAGCGTAGGAAGGAAGCCAGTCTCCGTCACATTCTCGTCGTCCACATCCGCAGGGTACTCGGTTCGGATATCGTCTTCACGCAGGAGCACGGGCAGGCCGGTCAGAGCAGCAGAGAAACTGTTGAGACTTGTTAGCTCCAATAAAAACATCGTTATTAGCGAAGAGAGAGCGTACCGATCCAGAACATATTGACACCAGAAGACCTTCTTTCTGGTCTCGCTGGTCAACGGGTTCATAGAGAAGCGTTTCTGACTCTGGTGGAGCCCCAGCTGGTGGACTAGTCCGACCGCAAGACCACGATACCGCGAGAGACCTTTGTAGTCCGCCTTAGCGGTGCAGTACATCTGGGCCAAGATGAGGCACTGAAGAGTGCCGATGGACACATCTCCGGACAGAGACTCCAGAGCGGGGTACCAGTTCTGTTCGAAGAACGCTGGATCCTGGTTGGTCCTCGACTGTTGCCACGGTCAGCATGCTCGACGGATCAAATCGAAGCGCTGTGGTATCTTACCCTCGCAGAAAGCGCAGCAATTCCAAAGATGAGGTTCAACTGAGCCGCGGCGTATTTGTTGCTGGACAGAGAGTCTGCATCAGTGAGGTAGTGATCGTAGGTCTTGAGAATCGTTGGTCGATGGACGACCGGATAGAGCGGCGCCCATTCTTGGAAGAAGATATTGATTAATTGGTCCGATACCAATCGAGGAGGAGTCTTGATGGTCTGATCGAGGACGGGGTAGGAGATCATGGGCGGAGACGAAGTCAGCTCCTGCGTCGAGAAACTCGACGCGGACTGGCCGTTCTCCTCCAGTTTACTCGTGAACACATCTATCAACCACCCTCGTCAGCATCCTGTCACCCACAACTACTGCGTCATCCGTGGAGGAAGAGTATACATACCAACAAACGCTCTAGTGCTCGAGGGACCGGCAAATGGAGTGTCTGGTGTAGGGTTCCTCAGCAGCGACGGTGAATGCTGCACCCGAATGACACCTTCACCGCTGTGATTCGTTGTCGTCGTCTGTTTCTTCTCTTCTGCCGCCGGTGATTTCAACGCCGTCTTGTGTGGATGGGGGGAAAATGAATGTATGCGGGAGAGCACATCGATCTTCTCGTCCTTCTCGTCGAGTAATCCCTTCAGCTCCCGTACTTCGGCCTCCAACGTCCGTACCCGATCCTCCAGAGATTCTGTGTATCCTCGCGGGAAGGCGCGACGGCTCAGCTTGTCGCTGGTCTTGCACTCGAAACCCACATTGGCACATTGCGAGCAGCATGGTCGAATGCCATCACATCGAATCTTCTTGCTTCGACAACGATCACAGGCCTGGGCAATGCGGCTCTGGGAGCTGCTGCCCACCTTGATGACTTTCATCGGTAGAATTCCCGGCATGTTGGCGGTTTAACACGTTCTGGCACAACCAGTCGTCTGCATCTGTCCCCGTGCGCGTCGTGACACCCCAGTCTGGGCAAGTTCGTCGTCGTATAGTTCTGTCGTTTTCGTTTTCTTTCGTGATTGATATCTTCTTTTTTTTCTCGTCCGTCTCTTTTTTTCTTCCTTTTCTCGTGTCCAATTGCCAGATCGATTTGCAAATGGCCCAGGGTGATAAGATAGAGAGTCGAGAGTATCTAAGCGTACGTCTAGAAGGAGAGGAGAGTGGATAAGAATGGGAAAGCGGAACACGGGGGGCAGGACCGGATGGATATGGATATGGATTATGGATTATGGATTATTATGGATAGACGTGGTAAGCGGCCATCTTTTGGGGGCGCCTTGGGAAGGGGAGGTCAGGCTGGTTCCACCAAGTGGAGCGGGCGCGGGTGGTCAGTCGTGGGGAGCGGCCAAGGGGGGGAAACTTGGGAACACGACGAGTCTTGGGAAAGGCAGCAAACACCTGGCGGCCGATTGTTCAGGCAGGGGGCTGATTGGATAAATTACCAGAATACCCCCACTTGGCGTCGCCTGCAGGCCTCGTTGGGAATGCGTCGACTGTGCTGGCCAGAGAGACGCCAGGAAGAAGAATAAAATACCTAGTAGTAAAGTAACTATGGTACGGAGTATACCAGAATCCCTGTGGCCACCGGCAGGCACATGCGCCGAGTCCGGCAGCAAGTCCAGGGAATAAAAAAAACGATGGAACTCGTGACGCAGCGGGCGAACTGCTTGTTCTTGCACACACACACACACACAATTCGTCCATAAGCGCCAGACCACTCTATCTAATTTATTATTACCTACTCACTACTGATCATGAAGTGAAAGTATGCAACCAGAGTCGAGTCGAGTCGAGTCGAGTCAAATCAAATCAACTTGCAAGCAGCCGCTAGATAGTCTAGTCTGCTTGCGATCTCCAGACGAGTGACTCGCCCCGCTCTCTGCATCGCGCGCGAGCCACCTTGACGAGAGAGCCATATTTGCTGACGTCGGGGACCATCGATCGCAGCGGGCCTTTTCGTTCGACGATCCCCGAGTGTCTTCCATCTCCAGGGACCCCCCCGACACCGGAGCCGCTGATTCGCTCGTGCCCCTTCCCCGGGCCAGCCAGCGTCGCGGGGGAACAAGCAGTCTTCGTTCTCTCCACGTCGGCTCCCCCAGTGGCGGTCCCAGCAGCGGTCCTTGGAACCAGCCGCTAAAGCCATCACCGCTAATAATCTTTCCCACGAGTTTCCGCCGAGAAAAGTACGCTGCTATCCGCCGAAAGGACCCCGGGGAAAACCATGACTTCACTGCCTCAGGTTACAAGGATCGTCTGCCACTAAAGCAACAACGGTGAGGGAAATAAAGGGTAAAAAGGGAACCAAATAAAGTAAAAAGAGGGATCTCTGGTCAATCCAGGCGAGGGGTCGCTACTTTTCGCTTTTCGACGCAACAGTCTCTGAATACGACACCGTTAGCCCTCTGACGCTGGAGGCACGAGACGTCCAGTGTTTGGGTGAGTTATTACTGGATTCCGTCCGATGGCGTAGTCTAGTCGCACTTTCATGCCTGGTTTGGCATTTTCCGTCTTCGTCGAGAATAATTGCCTCAGCCGCCTTTTCAGCCACGGGCTTCCAGTAGTATACCATACTCACTTTTACCCCGGAATCGACTGACGAAACGAGTGCAACTGCCAACGGCGAGATGATCTAACTTTCCCCATGGGCAGGGCAGTGCAACTTCGACCTCACCCGCGAGGGGTTCCGTGATCGTCCCGTTCCTGCTTCGACAGGCTTTTTTTTTTTCGCTCTGGAGTCGTCCGATGATCACCATACGAATGATGCTGACCAGAGTCGGACGACCTCGTATTCCAGTCCAATAGACTAGATAGACAGCCCGTGCCCGATGGCAGCTTCAAAACGATGGACGGCGCCCAGAAGGTTCTGTAGTAGGGCTGCCCCCCTTTTTTTGCTCGACGCTCTCCGATCGAGCATAGTCTAGCACCACTCACGTGACTTGGAAAGGCCCCCAGCGATATCGGTCTGTCTCGCTTTAAGACTGTGATCCGCATTGCTTGTAGGAGTCGATTATTAGACAGGTAGAGAGTACGGATCCAGACCCCGGTTCCTGGCGGATGAACCCACTCCGGAGTCCGCAGGGTCTTTCGGCAGTCGCTGTGGATGAGGCTTTTCTGCGTGAGGCCGCCACGTCCGCAGTAAGAAAATAATCTATCTTTTTCTGCTTGCTGGTGGGAAATGGACTCGTTTCCAAGGTTCATTCAAAATTTCATCCTGTCCTGCTGGCGGTGGGAAGTAAGAATTGGCGCTAGTGACACGCTATCTAGGGGATCAGGCACCCTACTTCAAGCGTCAGCGTTGGGAGATCCCAGGCGGAGCCTCGCCAACCGTCGATCTCGATTCCAAGTCTGCAGACGCTCCATCGAGTACCCTAGGACGAAGATCAAGGCTAGATATCGTGATAATCACAGAAAGAGTTTCTATCACTCAGTTGACCCAGAAAAACAAACTATCCCCAGGTCACGATGCTCGCCGGTAGGAGAACCGACCACAGCATTGAGTTTAATGTGAGTTTAACAATGAACCCTACCGGCAGTGGAAGCAGGGTAGGCACTACCGATCTATATTATTCAATTAATTACGCAGCGTTCAATCGACGGAAACCAACGAGATCTCTCTCATTATTATTCTTTTTCTTTTCTCTTTCTTCTCACTTGTGCCCGCCTCAGGACGAGGATCGGGCCGAACGACCGCCGTGACTTAGATCTCTAACTATCGGTCCCTCCACCGGTCAACAATACCGATCGCCTTTTTCAGACTAGACGTGATAATTACCATTCACCGCTGCAGGACTGGCTCCCGGCACTCTGCGGCGGAAAAGGCGGGATCTATAGTTAAAAAAGAAGCAAAAAAATATGATCCATCGCAGGTACCTGGACCCGACTGCTGGGCTCTTGACAGCCTGGACTATGCCCCTTTGGCTCGGGATACGTACGGCATTATGGACCCTATCTCTATTTCGGTTGATATGATCCGAGAGGCGTAGCATCCTCAGGGTTTGTGCGGTTGACATCATCGGAACACACTACTCGACTCTACTCCGTGAGACTGGCGAGGTTTCTCTTCACAGAGCCAGTTTTTTACGCGTAGCGTAACTAAGATATTTTGGACTTGTTTCAGAAACATTAGTTTCTAGGATTTCTTTTTTCTTTTGAACTCCCGCTAACGACTCACCGAATACCACTTTGAAGCGGTAGCCACGGAGATTTTTCGCACATGGCACGGAAATGGAATCATCACCGGCCGAAGCCACAAAAAAACGGAGCGGTTACTAGACAGGTAGAAAATCGTGGTGGGGTAGATTAGGTATGCAATCTGCATGCGGAACTAATTAGAGTATTGCTCGATGCTGCGGCACGGACAATCCTACATGCAATACTAGTCTACTACTGACAAGAGATTCAGTAGAACGCTAACCTATTCAGATCCGTCCTGATGCATGAGGTCATCCACATCGATTTACAACTTACTACATATGATCCCTGGTCTGGAAGCGAGATCACAACGCTTTATCGCAGGCTCCAGGGATACGTAGCATAAGCTATGAAACATATCTATCAGTATGATTGCTTATTCGAGTACGGAGTACGTCTCTAGCAATGCAACTCAGATGGACCTGCCGAAAAAGCAATAATACCTTGATCCAGATCCAACTACTAGTTACTGCTAACTAACCCACAGTTGCGGCGTAGTAGTTATCTTCAAAGGGCTCTATTGGAATCACGTCTTGACCAGTGGTTCAGTCGGTCTCAGATTTCATTTCACGAAATGCGAAGATCAATGATCTTCATTACTGCTGTTTTCGACCGTGGAATAATGATTGGTAGATGTGAGTTCTTTTCTTTTATTCTTTCTCGTCCACGCTAAGAATTCATCCTAGAATAGAGCATGTCTGCACAGCTAACGTTACCTAGATAGCAGCAGCGCAGCTGGCAGAACGTTCCAAACCCCCTCCCCCTCCCTCGTGCCCCTCGTGCCCCTCGAAGATCAACAAATCTGGACGTCACTAACACGAGAATCAGAAAGTATTTCCATTCCTCTTGCCTGCCCACCCCTCCATCATCCTGCATTAAGTAAGCGATACAGCAAATCCAGAACAAAAGACAGGAAACTTCATCACCAGTTCCATTAACCAGGGAAAGGAAAAGCAAAGTCGGGGTAAAACGTTTAATCTTAACTTAAGCCCAATCCCGACAATTCGGAATCTTTCCCATGGTTACCATGACATTCTAACTTACCAAGAGGTCCTCATTCATTGATAATTCATTATTCATTATGTCCGCATCATGATTAGACTATCTGCGGAGTATAGAATCCACGGATAACTTTCCTTTCCCGTCCTGGTAAGTACCCCTGTTCTGCCCCAGATAACCCCGGGCGCTTTAGGACCGAGCCACACCTTTGTAACCACCGGGGAATATACGGGGAATATACGGGGACAGGCGGGTGGGTTGGGTTAGCAGTTCTCGCGACCGGTCATTGTCATTATTATTATTATGATTATTATCCTCAAAAACAAACTTTCATGGAGACTCCATGGGGGAAAGACGGGACCGCAAAATCGAAATAGCGCATTGCACCATCTTTCGATTCTAATTGCGGAAGACCAAACGAAAATCCTGGAATACGATAACTAGTAACCTTTCATAATAATAATGGGATACGGAGTGGACTAGGTAAGATAGTGATACATATGCATCCGATCGGGAGGATTCGGGGCCGCATGGGCGCAGGGTTGCGGTCCGGGGATTTTTCGCGTTTATCATTAACTACTCCGTACTCCGTATTATTGCTCCTAACCTTCCCGCCCCCGGGTTTTCTCCGTGGGGTACTCCTCCAGAGTCCAGAGTAAAAAGCCTTGGCTGTGTGCTTTTCTTGAATTATGGTTATGAAGGGTCTCCAGGGATGGATGGATGGGGTCGGTTTCTTTAGTTTCTCCTTATTGCGAACCGCCCACGGGCCCGCTTAGACCTTGCGTCTATTGTACGGGAGATGCTCGTCTAGCCCTTTTTAGACCTGTGTACCTCGTAGGTACCGGCTCCGAGGTTGATTGCCCTTTGGTCCTAGTTTCTATAGCAGTCGTTGCTCGTCATAAATGCTCGACGACAGTCCTTGGAGGGGTTCTCTCTCCTGCCTCGTGAACAGGCACTGCTTGTTACCTACAGTCAGTACTGATTCTTGACTGACTGGAATGCGTATTTCGAGAGGTCAGTGAGATTTATATTACGCAAAGAAAGCAATTATTGTTCGTTACTCATTTATGCAGACAAAATCATCAGTGCTATGGGGTCTCGAAGGACTGAGGTGAGTACCCATGTTAGATTTGGTGTTAACTGTGTAGTGCAACCTATATATCATTCCTCTGTGACTTGTACCGCTACTATCAGATCAATATTATCCGTTAATGTACTTCCAAAATCGGTGTTTGGTACTAATAAGTCATAAGTCAACCCTTTCCATGATGCTGATATGTATGTCTCCATGTATTGTACAAGATTATCAATCTGGTTATCGCGATAAGACACCAAAAAGTCGGCAAATCCTCGGAAAACGCCAATCACATGACGTTGGATAACCTAAACAGGGCAAGCGTTTCCCTATCTGAGATTAGCAAGATGCGAATGGCAGATTGCCCCTCCAAGCGAGTACCCCCACTTGTTCCGGCGCTGCAGTTGAGTAATAATATCACCGCACACGCGCACAACTTCACCTGGAACAGCTATCTTTCTACGCATTTACTATAGACCGACAACCATGGCTCCTCAACGTGTTCTGCTGCTGTAAGTGTCGAGTGAAAACAATCCCAAAGTAGTGATCTATATAGTAACATCATTCCAGCGGCTCGGGCTTCGTTGCCAGACCTACGCTGGATGTCCTGAGTGACGCCGGCGTTGAGGTCACTGTGGGTGAGTCATTTGGCGGATGGATGTATAGCTTGACATGATTCAATTGACACAACCATATATAGCCTGCAGAGGTCTTGACAGCGCCAAGAAGCTCTCGGAGGGTGTTAAGCTCGCAAAGGCTATCTCTCTCGATGTCACTGACCCCGCTGCTCTGGATGCTGCTGTCGCCCAGCATGATCTTGTTATCAGCTTGATCCCGTACATTTTCCATGCCGATGTAATCAAGTCCGCCATTCGCAACAAGAAGAATGTCGTGACCACTAGCTACGTCTCCCCTGCTATGATGGAGCTTGATCAGCAGGCTAAGGATGCGGGCATCACTGTCATGAACGAGATTGGTGTAAGTTTTATAATGACTTCCTGAGTTGTTATTTGTCTTCATAAGTATAACAATTTCTCAGCTCGACCCTGGTATCGACCACCTGTATGCCATTTCTACCATTGAGAACGTCCACAAGGCTGGTGGAAAGATCAAGTCTTTCCTCTCATACTGTGGTGGACTGCCCGCCCCGGAAGGTATGTGCAATGGACGTGACGTATGGGTATATTGCTGAGACTGAGTTTTAGATTCTGGCAACCCATTGGGATACAAGTGAGTACAAATATATCTTAATCCTTTGGAAAGACCAATACTAATATTATTCTATCATAGGTTCTCTTGGTCGTATGTGCCCTATTGGTTTTACATTGTACTTTTGTATTCAAGAAATCATACTAACGCTACATGGCTAAAGCTCCCGCGGTGTCCTTCTCGCTCTGAGAAACTCTGCCAAGTTCTACCAGGGTGGAAAGATCGTCGATGTCGCCGGTCCTGGTAAGGAACCGCTTGCGTATGCCATATAAAGTACTACGCTAACACCACATGAAAAGACCTGATGGCTACCGCCAAGCCTTACCACATTTACCCTGGTACGTTTGGTATCCAATGCAGTATGCTTGTGCTCCATTCTTACATATCTAGGCTTTGCCTTTGTCGCATACCCCAACCGTGACTCTACCCCGTACAAGGAGCGCTACCAGATCCCCGAGGCTGAGACCATCATCCGTGGTGTAAGGAATTGTTTCTTTCCATTCTAGGCTTGTGTACTGCTAACCCGCTATTAGACCCTGAGATACCAAGGATTCCCCGAGTTTGTCAAGGTCCTCGTTGACATCGGCTTCCTCAGCGACGAGGAGCAGAGCTTCCTGAAGGAGCCCATTGCCTGGAAGGAAGCCACCCAGAAGATCCTGGGTGCTACTTCCTCGACCGAGAAGGATCTCCTGTGGGCAATCTCATCCAAGACCGCTTTCAAGGACAACGATGAGAAGGACAGAATCGTTGCAGGTCTCAAGTGGCGTAAGTAACTGCGAGCATCCATAATCGCTTCTTCCCGATTAACATGACGATGCAGTTGGTATCTTCTCCGATGCCAAGATCACCCCCAAGGGTAACCCCTTGGACACTCTGTGCGCCACTCTTGAGGAGAAGATGCAATTTGAGGAGGGTGAGCGTGACCTGGTGGTATGTACAGTCTTGACCTTCAAACGATCTTCAGTAATCTCTAATCCCCGTTTTAGATGCTTCAACACAAGTTCGAAATCGAGAACAAGGATGGAAGCCGAGAAACCAGAACTTCTACCCTCTGCGAATACGGTGCTCCCACCGGGTCCGGTGGTTATTCGGCAATGGCCAAGCTGGTCGGCGTTCCTTGCGGAGTCGGTACGTAACCCGCACTGTGATATTTCCTGCAGATTGCTATTTTGAGAGATGAGTACTGACGCAATGTACCAATCAGCTGCCAAGCAAGTCCTCGATGGTACCATTTCCGAGAAGGGTATCCTCGCGCCGATGAACTCCCGTATCAACGGACCCCTGATGAAGGAGCTGAAGGAGAAATACGGGTATGTCTTCTCTTTCCGATCTTTAAGCACCTTGCATACTAATATAGCACTTTCAGAATCGCCTGCCAGGAGAAGGTCATCAACTAGAATAAATCGTACAGTGGAAAAGATCAGTCTTTACGGACTGAAATCCGTTATGTATCGTGACAAAAGTTCTACGTGATCATTTTAGACATGCTATAGATAGCAAAAATCAAATGGGCCACACTAAGTCCTGCTTTCATGCGACCATTCATCGCCTAGTCATCCCTTGACTTTGTCGATATCCTGCTCTGCCTGATAAGGCTTTTAAAGACCAGCTACTGTTCCTCTCTATCCAAGACGGCAATATATTCCAGGAACAAACAGCAATAATACTGCGCATAGATCATATAGTGATAAGAAATAATAATAACTAGACAATCTCGCTCAAACTCACCGCTACACGGAAAGGGAATACGGAGCATATCCAACAATTCACCGCTGGAGTGCCCCGACCAGCGCTATGACCAAGCATACTAAACAAATCCAGGAGTATGTCCGTGCGGAATAGTACTCCGTGCACTGCCGGCGATAGCCCATAGGTAGATAGAGACCAGGGAGTCAGGGACCATGCGTAGAAGGTACTATTCCAGCGTCTAGACCAGACTCTAAACTTTACAGTCTAAAGTAAAATGCATCTGATAAGGCTCCACTATCCGAAGCGATAATGCATGAGTATGGTATGGTATGCCAGCAGCAGAATAGAATTTCGAATTAAATCCGTACTAATGTGCAGTACCAGCCTAGTCACTGGATAGGATAGAGAGATGCTTAAGTGACAAATCGAGGGTAGTTCTCGAACAAAGAGATATATATCCCTGTAAGACGGGGGGAGAAGCATCGGCTTCTGTAACAAAAGCAAGATAAATCACGAAAATACCCTTGCAACAGAAGTTAATTAACTTATGTATGTACATGTACATACTAACCACCAGCACGTGGGTCACAGACTGCATGGATAACTACATAGTCTAGTGTCGGGAGCAGGGACAGGGACAGGGATAGGGATGGTTGAGTTGAACAACGATAATCTTCTTCTGAACGGTGAACTACTGCGCCGTTGGGGGAAATAAGAAACGGCTTGCCGATCTTTCTGTCGGTCCGGTCACCCGCGAAGTTCGAGAACTGCCAGCATCATACCTACCCACTTGGTTAGTTTTTCTTAGCTTTCTTTTCGTTTTGGAATACGAGAGTAATAGTAATATTATATTTGCATTAGCTGAAACACACTTCGTTTGTATGGTAGGTTAAGGTATCTGTGGCTAAATCCCGCATACTGAGAGAGAACTTAGTTAACTATTATGTATGATTGTTGGTTACCTAGGTAATTATCCTTTTGTCTACTTAACTATTTAACTAGTATCCTCGATGTTTATGATATGCTTTATGCTTTGGCGTTGTCTATCTGTCTAGTCGAATATGTATTTCTGTAGTGCGCTGCAATTACCTACCAATATACTCCATATTTTCAAAGAATTCCTATAGAACCCTATCAAGAAGTCTAGACTCTAGAAGTATAGTCTAGTTAGTAATCTACTCTCAAACTCTTGCAGGAGCGATCCCTACTTAGTACTGTATGTATGTACCTACCTTAGTTCTAATGTGGCACCAACCCAGGATCCCCTGCCCCCTCCCCCCCTGTGAGGTGGAACGGATTCCGGTTGAGAGAATTAAAAGAAGTGGATAGACTACTAGGTGATGATAAGTTCAGGTTCTGTTTTCATCTACTAGGGATGGTGAAAAGTGGAAATTTAGATTTAATTTCATGAAAAGTTGAAATTTCGCCCTTTTTTTTCCTTTCCAGTTTCACTGCGCATAGACCAATTAGTGTTCCACGCTATACTTAAATAGGATAGGTAAGCGACCGATCTGGCCAATCAGTTGGTGTAAATGCTTGTATTACCCTATTTTATAATTTGTTAGAGCTATTTTACCTGGTAATTAGTAATTTAAGCAGAAGCTATTGATTTTATATATATCTATGTTTATTTTGAATTTCTATTGGCATACTATACCCTAAAATTATTAAAAATGGGTAGAATTGGCTTTAGCAGGGGTAAACCCACTAATTCTATACTCCTAGATGCTTTTAATTATATTTGTGAGGATTTAAAAGTATATTTAATTAAATATGCCGTTATTTACTAGTTTAACTGATCTTTTTAAACATTATTTATGTTGCCGCTATTATAATAATAAAACTGTTTAAAATACTACCTATAAAAAGAAATACCTACGCAGCTGCCTAAACTGGCTTAAATCTAGATTTTTAGGTCCTCCTAGAATTGTTCAGACTCTGCTAACTAAAATAATTAGACCTCCTTTATTGAAGTATTAGTTAGATCAGAAATATAGAATATTGATTTTTATAGGTGCCAGACCCTTCTCCCTATATATGGATTTTATGATGTTAGACTTTATTACTAGTCTAGATCCTAGCTATAAACCTCCCGACTATTATATAATAGGAGATATAATTTTTAAAGATTATTATGAGCTAATTGCTAAAGAGGTTAATAAGCTGCTATAAGTAAGCAGCTATTTGAATATTATCGCCGATAAGACTACTAATATACACAATTAATGAATCATTAACCTATTTTTAATTATTGGGAAATACTCTTTCTATTACTGCAGCTAGGATATTAGATCCTAAATAATAAACGCGGAGACTGTTGCGAATTAAGTATATAATAGGATAAAATTAATCCTAGGCAATAATCTTAGCTAGAAAAGAATCAACTCCTTCGCTAGTAACACCTGCAATATTATGTAATTAATATAGATTACTCTATAGAGGATAGGAGGATTAAATACTATTTTTTTTATTTTATATAATTCTTATGGGCTTTAACTCCTAATAAAGGATATCTTTAAGCTGTTAAAGATTATAGAGGTCTTTAATACTGTAAAGAAGATTGTTAGATTTTTTTAAAGCTCCCCTAAATAACACGCGATTTTTTAAGATCTCTAGCTTAAGATCTATAAAAAGCGACTATTCTTAGTATTAAGTGTTATTACTCGCTGGGGTTTATAGTATAGAATGCTTTATTCAATCTACTATAGTAATGAGGCGATTAGATAGTAGGCAAAGGAATTTATTATATTTCCCCCTATAAAATTAGAGATTCTATTGCCGTAGTTCTAGGAGTTATTAGTAGATTTAATACTGCTTATTAAGCTAATCTATAATATCCAACTAGCTTCAGAGAATATAGAGTTAAATATTTTTATAGTAAGTACTAAAGTAGTCCTAATTATAGCTTTATTAATAATTTAGGTAGTATAGCAATAGATAAAAATATATTAATACCTTATATAATAAACCGGTTCCTTGCAGTCCTTTACTTATAAAATCAGCTTATACCTAAACTCTAGATAGCACAGCCGATTAAATAAATAGCTTACTGGGCTTCACTAGGCTGCTTATTATCTAGATCCTCAGACCTATTATAAGAGTATTAAGGATTATAATAATACTGTCTATTGTGCGCTTAGTTAATATATTAGTAAGCAAATAGTATTTAATTTTTACTGCTTTAGGGGGTGAACTAAAGCTTTTTATAATAGAGCTAATTGTTAGAAATAACCTATTATTGAAGCCTTTTAGAGAGTTATAATATAGACCCTATTTTATTGCTTTTATATCCTATTAACCTATATAATCTATTACTAGACTCCGCTAACACTAGATCTTGCAAATTTTATTATATAGCTATTTAAAACAACTGCCAACTTTATTACCTTTAAATAATCTTTCTCTACTATAAACCTCCAATATATAAAGCTTTAAAATAGGCTTAACCCTGATTATGTAGATAAGCTTATTTATATCTATATAAACTCGCGGGTGCTACAGTAGATAAAGGGGGAAGATATAAAATACTATATTAAAGGAGATATTAAAGCAGAATTATTAGCTATAGAGGATCAGGAGATAGAGAAAGCCTAATTTGCAGAGGGACTGCTAGGCAAAGCTATTAAAGAACCCCTACCGGCTAACAGCCGATTAATGGGATGATTGCTTAATGCTTAAATATAGCAGTAAGATCTAGGAGGTTTAATACCTTTACTAGCTTTAAAAAGCGATATTTCCTAAGAGTTGAATAGCTTTAAATTAATCTTGTTTTTTCTTTTTGCTACTTATAGACTAGCGGTAAAATATTAGGTAGGTCAGATTTACCATACTAATTTATTAGCGTATTTTAAAATGTTAGGACACTTTTTCGTTACGCAATTTAAATCCAAAATGTCGGAAATTTCTGACATTTTGAAATTTCACTGACCTACGCTATCATCTACATACTATCTAGAGTACTTACTTAGACTGCTATTATGTAGATCATTCCCTTCTCGCTTCCTGCAATGCATCGGGTATGCATCGGGTAGGAGATAAGATAGGAGATTCAGTGGGATGGTGGGTGTAGTTAGTTAACTAGATAGTCTAATGCTTTTATTCATAGTGAGTAGATAGTTAACTAGTAGTAGTAGTAGTAGTAGTAGTAGTAGTAGTAGTAGTAGTAGTAGTAGTAGTAGTAAGTCAGCTGGATATTTTCAGAAAAGAGTTTTCTGTTGTGGTTTAGCTAGCAACTGTGATATAATATGATGAGCACTGGGCTTGAATGGAGAGTATAATTATTACCTACATAGTAGTTGATACCAATGTCAAGTGTTGAAGGGAGATTGCATAAGCATATCTGGTTGATGAAGTAAGGAACGCCGGAGTAACCGTCCCTTTTCTCAACGGAGAGATCAGAAGTATAGCAGCAGCATTTAGTATTTGGTATCTATAACTTTTGCATGTTTTGGGTCGAATTTCCTGGCCCTGTGGGGATAAATGATCGCTGAGGATATTAGTTATCAATAAAAAGTCTGTCTGATTAGAAATCCTATTTCACTTCGTAAATTTTTGCCGATGTTAATAACTCTGACTACTGTCTGGTAGATAGTGCGTTGTGTACCTATACTTATATATAGTTCGTGAAACTAGGAGGGGCCTGTGCATTTTGCTAATACAGACCTTGTTATCTTATTGTGCCTCACTTTTGAGATGACCCATAGAAAATTCCATACTACCTAGCTAATTATTTATATTATCCTGTCCTCAGCCATCTCGTCCATGTGTTCATTAATAATAACGGCTTGATGCGGAGATATGCCGGGGCTCCGACTCACCGCCTTCCAGCAATAGCAGGAATTGTCAGCAGAAAATGTAACTAAGTAAGTGAACCCCTCCGCGCGGTGCGGAAGCTCAGTCAAATTCCTACTATCATTATTGAAGAAGCTCCCGGAGGACCCTGATTGCTGCTAGGGCAATACTACTGTCAATATGCCGCGCGATCCTCTGATAGGACTGGTGGGAAAGGTCAGTTTTCTTGAGCATGTCTGCTATCCGCTCATGACTCACGACTGATCTGGTCTGGGATTTTTACAGCCATCCAGCGGGAAGTCAACCACGTTGAATAGCTTGACAGATGCAAGTTCTAAAGTCGGTGAGTATCTTATTGATATATCTGTAATCTCCCGGATTGCTCCTCTAGAATTATCTAACGGTCATTTTTCTCGTAGGCAATTTCCCGTAAGTTATATTCTTATACTTAGATCAACCTGCATTTCGCCGCCATGATGATTTCCCGTTGGCCCTGCGTATCGGTGTCGTTACCGGCGGAATTTTCGGCAAGATACTGAGACTCCCCGCCAGATTCACTACTATCGATCCGCAACGGGCAATCGGTTACCTCCAGATCGACTGCGCCTGCAAGCGATACGGCCTGACGGATAAATGCAAGCCAAACTACGGAGGATGTCACGAGGGACGGAGATCAGTGCCGATCGAGTTATTGGATGTCGCTGGTCTGGTTCCTGGTGCGCATGAGGGCAAGGGACTGGGGAATAAGTTCCTGGACGACCTACGACATGCCGATGCTCTGATTCACGTGGTGGACGTTAGCGGGACAACGGATGCTGAAGGTCGGGAAACAAAATCCTCTGAGCAGGGATTTCATATCTGGATCATGAAACTAAATATATTCGATACAGGAAAGGCAACACGAGGATACGACCCGTCTAATGATATTGTGTGGCTGCGATCCGAGATCGTAAGATGGATTGAAGGGAACCTGATGCAGAAATGGTAACAATCCATGAGCAGACATTCGATGATTAAGACTAATTCTGTACTTAGGGGGTCCATCAAGAGGAGACATCTTGCCGTCAGTAAGTCGCGCCCGCTCAGATCCGACAACTGAACATCTGTTGATCATTCGCAGAGGCGACCGCCGTCGAGACGTTGCAACAGCAATTTTCCGGTTACGGAAGTACCTCGCAGACTGTCCAACGTTGTCTGGATCGAGCACAGATAAAGGAGCCACTTGAGCACTGGTCAGACGAGACGGTCGAGAAAGTCGTCAACGCATTCACCGACGAGAAGTTTCCTACCGTGTTTGCATTGAATAAAATCGATCATCCGGACGCGGACAAGGTGAGATGAATGGATTTACGATCAATGAGACGTATTCGCTTCTAACAAGATGATGTAGAACATAAGCAAGATTTCCAGGATGCAGGATCCGAAGTCCATCGTTCTCTGCTCGGCCATATCCGAAGTCTTCCTTCGGAGACTGGCAAAACAAGGCTATGTCAAGTACGTGGAAGGTAGTGAATTTGTCGATACCAGGGAGGACCTCATCGAAATGGGAGATCCTGAGGGCGGTGGCCTTAAAGAAATGGATGAAAAGTTGAAAACGTGGGTAGACCCTTACCTGAGACCGTCTGTCGCAAGATCCGACTAACATTATCTAGTCGCGTGGAAAATCTGAAAGATATGGTATTGTATCGCTTTGGGTCCACCGGAGTTGTCCAGTGTCTATCGCGAGCAGCAGAACTGCTAGGGCTCGTGCCTGTATTTCCTGTCAAGAACATTCACACATTTTCTTCAGCAGCCGGCGGCGCCAACGCGGTATTCAGGGACTGTGTACTGGTTAAGAAGTATGTTATCGCCAGATGTCGGATCTTGAGTGGTATATTCTAACTTCGAACAGGAACAGCACTGTGGGTGATGTGGCCCGCAAGGTTATGGGTGACGTCCCCATTGCCTATGTTGAAGGCGCTGGAGGTGTGAGGGTGTCAGAAGATGAAATTGTAGAGGTTGGGAAACACGACGTAGGTACTCCTATATCTTTTTATTCCAATGTCTACATGGCTAACGCGCTTAACCATTGTAGGTACTCTCTTTCAAAGTCGGTCGATAGTACCCGGCCGATGTTTCATTATCTAATGTACACTCTCAAGCCATAATGATGAATATAGAAACGAGACTTATCAATGATGCAATGTAGCTCCCGGAAAATAGAACAGAGGTGGTGCATGACTGTATTTAAAGATACGGGAAGGAGATATATGATCAATAACCCTTCTATAAGGAACAGTTAGCTGTCTAATTCTGGGTCATTTTTGAAATTTGTGAAGCCATCGCTTATGCTAGACAACCATGCACAACGCTTGCTGGCAATTGACGCATGAATAGAGAGCTAGGGCATCATCAGCGGAACTCACCTCTCCCTTCTCGTCATTTACACCGATCACTGGCTCCGGCGCATGAGGATGCTCCTTCTTGGCTCTCTCCTGGCTCTTGTTAACATCCCTCTCTGTCGTGCTGCTACTCTTGCTGGCATCAGCGATCGCTTCGTTCCTTTCCCTCTCCCCCTGACCAGACTGGGTCGATTCCATTTGCGGATCCGTTATATCATGCTTCTTCGTCCGGTTGATGGCATGGTCATCTGTCGAAGTGCCTCTCCATTCCCTGGACTTGAGAGAACTAGCCTCCATCGAATCGCTCTTGAATCGAGCGGATACTCCATACGGCGCCGGAATACCCGCGGGCCGGACGATAGATTGGACAGGCACGAAAGACGGTCGGATAAGGTGAGGGGTCAATAATTGCCTGACCCTCGAAGTCGACGATGGGAAACGGTTGCTAGCCATTGTATATATATGATTCTTGTGAATTGCCAATGCGATTATGCTGAGCTTGTCAATGTATGGTGGTGGTGGTGGTACTGGTACTGGTACTGGCACTTTCCTGATGACAATTGGGATTGAGCGGACTGGGACGCCCCTCAATATATACCGAGCAGGAAAGAGAAAAAAGTTAACTTAATCCAGTTTTCTCGGGTTCTCGATTAGCTGTTGAAGTACAGGATTGTCCAATGTCTCTACGTTGTTATTCATCTTCGTATGACGTCGTGATGCTGCAATACGATATGCGATATGTGAATGCCAAGATGTCGCTGAGGTGATTACTGTAATATCACACATCTCCATCTATACCATCTTTTGCGATTCCAATTTCTCGATGCTAAATAGAAGGAATTGAATCTTAAAGAATTTCTTTATTTTTTGTTAGTAATGTTGTTTTATTGATATTGATATTTGCGCTTCTAACAACTGAGCTGTTGGAGCATTGGGCTTGCGTTACGTCATGTGCGCTGATCTGGTCAATCCCTCAGCTAGATTCTAAGGTGTACGCTGCCCTTTCTTTCTTTCTCTAAATTATGGTAATCTCCTTGATTGAGAATGGCCAATATCATTCTAGAGTTTTGATGTTTTGCCGTTGTTCTCCGTGTTGGGACTTGTGCCGGTCCTTCAATCGTTATCGTACAGTACTTCCTATATTTGCTCCAAACTTTCTTTCTGTTCTCGCCTTCTGCGTATATTCTAGAAGCTGATAGAGAGACAAAAACAGACGACTGCTCTCTGGGAAATATGTATGAAAAAAGCAGCAAACTGCCAGGTTATCGTGGTATTTAATCACTTTTCTTTATTGGACAGAGACTAGAGAACGGTTAGTAGGCATATGAGAATGCTACAACTTTCTTCGTCAATTCTACTTACCGGTGATCTACTTACATTTTGCGAAGCTTGGCCTATCATTTCTGCGCAGTGAATTCAGCTGGGGGCAAGCAATTCTTGGTCTCGAATGGCGGCTCTATTCTCGAAGCGCTATGGAAAAGGGAATCCGCTATAGAATGCTAAACCTCAATCACTCAGGACCTGCTCTATAAACCCTAGACCCGATGGAAGTGGGAGACTTTGCTAGTTCATTGTTGGGAGATCCTCAAGTTCATAATCTGCTGGGCATTAAGACTGGCCTTCGGTTGGTACCATCGCTTTCTTTAAACAAATATTAAAGTCTTCTACGGCTTTCCAGTCGATCTGGAATGCGCTACCACTATAATCCGAGTCAGTTGGTCATTCTGCCATTCATTATATTCGGAGTAGACCTACAAATCGTACTTCAAATTGTTTTGATAAACACGATTCAGAAGGCCAATCAAATCTTGGTCATCAGTATTCAGCCCATATTTTCGATAAACCAAGTCCAATGAATCCGCAAGAATCTTAGCATACGTATAATCTTCCTCTTGTCCGAGAAAGAGGATACAGTATCTTTCAAAGACCCTTGGGTAAAAACCTGCGAACTCCCAATCCAAGAGACAAAACGACTCGTCGACTTTAATAATATTCCGGTAACTGAGATCCAAATGGCAAAATACGCAGTCGTCAAGCTGAAATTGAAACCTTTTTTCAGACCCAGTGAGTCGTGCGCGTCTGTCGAGCCATAGATTCAGCTTGTCCATGCTGTCTAGCGGTTCACCAGCCCCGTCCTCGGAGAAAAGATATCCTCGAGGGATTCCACGGCCCCGGGGCCCAGGAAAGTCCGCCTTAGCTTTGGTGGTGAAGTCGTAAAATGCCTCCGCTAAATCTCGGACAGGTTCATCGAACGGTGCGAAGTTGCCCAGCGGTATGCCATCAATGAACTCCATCAGTAGGTAACCTATCCCTGACCTTTGGAAATATCGATACACTTTCGGGACCCGAATGTTGGTTCCTAGTGATTGATGATAAGCGTATACCTGGTTTGCGGCCTCATCGCCAGTGACGCTCCACCCATATTTGACTATGATGTCGCCCAGTATCTTTTCTAATAGCCGTCCACATTTTTCTGCACCAGGATTGGGGCAAAGATGAACGATATCATCGTCGGAAAGATCATTCACTTGATGAGCCATGTAGTCGTAATCGTCAGAAGATATAATCAAGAGTTCAGGAAAATATCGCAGAGTCGTTAGCTCGATCATGTGATAATGCTATCCCACCGTGCTCTCTATGGGTCGATTTTTCGTTTCTATATTTGACGCTTGATTTCTTGCAAGAGCCGGATTCGCTATCCATAATCCCCTAATTTTCAGAACAATCTCGCTGTTATGGATTAACAAAATATAACACAGCGGTAAACATTACAGCAAGTCGAAATGGTCTATTGCTACCTACAGTTCTTGTAAGAGGGTATTCTAAGTCTCCAGCCTCCAGACCTAGATGCCACTAGTCTAAAAAAACACTGTAATAGTCGACTGGCTATTACGGGCTGGCACCCCTTATATAGGTATACATCGAACCCCAGGACGAGTTGCCCTTACAGTCCTTTAGATCATCGATGCTACGTTGTAGTGAATATACAAACTAGAGACTCGTTTCCCGAAATAGCAGCAGAAGAGACCGCAGCGCTTACGCGATTAGTGTGGAACAGCGAATTTCCTCGGCTTCTTTTTAAACAAAGAAACCTTGGAAAGCTAGATACATCGTCACAAGAGGTTAACATAGGTAGTACTGAGTTATGGTGACAGAAGGACTCTAGATTTCGTGACTGCCCATAATGCCACTAGATACGCGCGGATGATGCGATATAGTGGATAAAGTACTTGTTTGGGCGGGGTAATTATGTATTCGCCAGGGGCGGAAATCATTTAAATGTATGTACTATATACACCGTTGACATGCGGTCTGGTCTGCTAAGAAGATCAAAGTGTTCTTGTCGAAAAATTGGTCCCACAGCAAAAGCGGGGAGATATAATGCGTTATATTATGGGCTACGCCGAGTACCTTAGTACTTAAGCGCCTTTTGTAAAAGAGGCGCGTACTTTTAGCAAGTGCAGCTAAGTAACTAAGCTAGCGAGACAGAAGTGGGAACTTTTGTCTGCCGGTCTCTAGAATAGGTAATCCCATTACACGTTAATAGGATTGATATTGGGTAGTATTTTCCGAATTGGAAGTAGTACAAATTATCTACAAATAGGATAACAGAAGCTGTTCTGTCTCTAAATCTCTGAATGTGGTAATACTTTCTCAAATAATTATCCAGGAAGATTGACGAATTGACAGTCGGGACAATGGTCCCTGTGTCGACTCCTGGTTGAGTCTTGTTTTCTACAATAAGAAAGCCAGACTGAGCCACGCACAAGCACGGCACGGGTACGTCGTTCCTTTGTTTATATTGTAAGCTTTACCTGACTTCCGCCCTGCATAAAGAGTGGGCCATCGTCCCTTCCAAGGAAAAGGTCCTTAAACCTAGGTAAATATACTCCATTTATGCAGTATGTAGGACTCTGCAGGCTGCGGCGAGAGGAGACGCTCAATCCTTTCCCGTGTTGGAGATACTCGTATATATCCATTGTACGTCGGAAGACAGACCTGACCTAGACTTGCAGATACATGCATCATACGAGAGAAGTAAGTCACTTAGCTCTGGGACCATCGTCTCGAGAAAGTACCTGATGGGTGTATGTCTCAATGAATTAGTGTATGATTCAAGTATACGGGGTTATTTAATGTTCGCCTTCCCATCTTTCATTTCGTTCCAAGTCATACAAAGATGTTTTACCAGAAACTCTCGATATATCTTTGCTTATAAGATCATACTTGTCTCATCTCAGCTTGCGAATCCATCATGGCAGCCACTGGAGATTCTATTATTACACTCAAGCAGCGTACGAGTAAACTATCCGATTCCGTCAAGTATGAGTCCATGAAACTATCAACGGCCGATGAACCTCTCAAGGAAGCTACAGGCGACAGCAAGCATGTTCTCATCATTGGCGGCGGTGTCAGTGGACTACTCGTAGCATGGATGCTCCTTGATAAAGGCTTCCGGGTGACCATCCTCGCCCGGGAATGGGCTTGGACCAAAGACTTTCAGGGATCTCGCATTACCTCGCAAATTGCCGCGGCCCTGTGGGAGATGCCACCAGGTGGGTGCGGGCACAGAGAGATCGAATCACCGGGAAAGGGCTGGGCTAACGTTCAGCATTATCGAGAATGGGCCTTGGACAGCTATGATTTCTACACCGAGCTCGCAAGTATTTCCAATAATCACGAAAATGGAGGGCGCTCCTTTGGTCTTAAAGTCGCAGATCTTCACCAGTTCTTCTATTATAATGTGGTTGAAGATCCCAAAGACAAGAAGTCGCAGATATATGAGCACTATGATAAGTTTTGTGCCGTTAAAGACGAGATACTGCTCAAACGTGTTATGAAAGACAAGGGGTTAATGGGTGACACCATCGAAAACTATACTTACAAGGATAAGACCGCCATTGCAACTAAATTCGGGTCGGACCTGATCAATTTAAGCCTAGGAGGGAAAGACTTCACAAGCGGTTATTCTCATCCAGCTCCAATCATAAACACGGACAAGGCGTTGGCATACCTGATGGCCCTAGTCAAGAACAAGGGAGCCACGCTTGAGACGCGAGAGATCAAGGATCTTTACACTACTGGGGAAGAGTTGTTGAAAGATTTTGATGCGCATGTTATTGTCAACGCCACCGGTCTCGGTGCCAGAGAACTGGTCAACGACAAAGATGTGTATCCTGTTCGGGGCGCTATTCGACGAGTCGAAAACACTCGCAACGGCAAGTTCCGTCACCTCGCTGATGCGTATTTGGTCCCAGCGCAAATTGGACCTTCGAAACTACCCACCAAAACGGTGTTCATCGTACCGCGCAACGATGATATCCTCTATGTGGGATCCATAATCCAACCGAACAACGGCCAATTGAACTTGGGTCCAGAGTCGCCTGAGGTCCAGCAGATGTGGAATCGAGCAGGAGATTTCATGCCGACCTTGCATCATGCGGGCTTCAGGAAAGACTTTCCATTTGCTCAGGGCTTGCGGCCATTTACCAAGAACAATGTCAAGGTGCGAGCAGATGAGAAAGTCACATTTCCCCTCGTGCACAACTACGGCCATGGAGGGTCCGGATGGACTCTGGGGATCGGAACTGCTCGCTCTGCTGTATATATCGTGGAGCGGCTTCTGAAAGAGACGGCAGAAGTGAAGGAGAAAGCGGCAAAGATCAACGAAGATCTATATAGCCCCCGCCCGAAACCAGACCTCAACGTAAGGAGGAGTAGACATCGATCCTCAATCCATCAGAAAGCAAAGCTCTAGGACTAGACATGCTTATAGAAATGTTAGTAGTGTACGTAACTTGGCTTCACTTCACCATCCAGTTTATTAGCATCTTGTGCTGGAAACGTATCATGCCGTAAAGTTCGTGGCATGCGTATTCTATGCGATTCAGGCCTGTTTATTTAAGAGCTTTAATGAATCGATGGGCGTCACTTGAAAGCTATATATGGCCCGTGCATATCATATCACGTGTATACAAGCCGCTGACCCACCAAACCCTCCCGATTAGGAACGTCCCATTCCATCATGAACCGCTGAGGGAATTGTTAATAGTGGGATGATCAACACAATTTAGCCTCTCGCTATTACTATTACGCACACCATGAAACGTGAGTATCTACCAATAGAGGCTCTTCCAGCCTGGTCGAAGCTCAATGGCATCAGCTTCAATGGCGTTGCTTTCGAGCGGTTCCAGGCCGAGGATGGAACGGATAAGGGTTCAGGCGTTGTCGCTACGGAAGAAAAGTACAACGGAGATCCGGAGAGTGAAGAGTCGAAACCTGAATTCTTAATCACAGTCCCGCCGGATATGGTTCTATCATTGGATCTGGTGCAGAACTATGCCAAATCCGACAGGTATCTGAGGGAAGTGCTGGAAGCTGTGGGTGATTATGGAAAGGTAGGCTAGCGATGTCTTGCCATAATGGCGGTGCAATTGTGCTATAATACCTATGTACTGTTTCTTTATACTATTGTTTCTATCAATTGGAATCGATTTGCGCAAAGCTAATAGTTACAGACAGCTCGAGGCGCAATTCTGATCTTTCTGCTGCTCCATATAACATATTCCAGCCCGGATTTTGAGAATGTGCCTTACAAGATTGGCGTTTCTAATCCATGGTCGGAATATATCAAGTTCCTACCTGCTTCGGTTCCATTGCCTACCTTCTACACAGAAGAAGAGCACGAGCTGTTGTACGGCACATCACTTAAAGCCGCAGTGGATGCAAAGATATCCTCTCTCGAGAAAGAGTTCGACTTGCTACGCGAGTCTACCCAGAGCATAGCTTGGTGCGAACGAGTATGGTGGGGAGTGGAGACTGGCAAGTTGACGCTCGATGACTGGAAGCAGGTCGACGCGATGTACAGATCTCGAGCTTTAGATCTTCCAGGGACGGGACACGCCATGGTGCCATGTATTGATATGGCCAATCACTCTTCTGGGGATGCTACTGTTGCACTTTACGAAACAGACTCGGAAGGCAATGCCGTACTGCAATTGCGATGGGGAAAGAAGCTGCGGCCCAGAGACGAAGTGACGATCACGTATGTATCTTCTCCGTTTACTCATGGCTTCTTATTAAGCGGACTTTTGCAGATATGGAGACGAAAAGGGCGCATCTGAAATGATCTTCTCCTACGGGTTTCTGGAGAGTGAGGTAAACAATGCAAGACAGCTGTTTCTCGGGTTGGATATCCCCGATGATGATCCCCTGAAACCAGCAAAGAAAATCTACTGCCAGGACGCCCCTGGTGTACGTCTTTTTCTTCCGCAGTCATCAGAACAGACGGACTGGGAGAGCGGGTTTGTCTGGTGGGCATGTGTAAACGAAGAGGACGGTCTCGATTTCTCTGTGCTGCAGACGAATGAGGGACAGCGAGAGCTCAAGGCTACGTGGAAAGGAAACGAGATACCATCATCGAGTTCTTTACGCGATATTATTTCAAACGATCCGCTATGGGATGTTTTCCAGCTTCGTGCGGTGGTCTTCCTCCTTGAACGCCTTGAGGGACAATTTGCGATGCTCCAAGCAAGCTACGAATTTGTCTCGAATGCAGGGCACGACGAAAGCGGCACGAGCACGGGAGTGCGAAGCGATATATACGGGACCATTGTGAAGCTGCGAAAATTAGAGTCTGAATTATTGGAGCGCGGAATCCATGATCTGTCAAAAAGGGTATGTGAACCGATCATTCTGCTTTCTGCACACAGACGATGCATACGGCCTCAAATCCTTCACAAGGGCTAACTTGGGTGATATTTCACGCAGAGAGATGATCTTCTCTCATCTGAAACAGTGGTGGCCTATTTCAGTCGACTTGCGGAGGGCCCAGAGGAGGAGGAGGACTTTTCGTGATGACCTCCTGAGGACCTTTTACGGGTTCCCATGAGATATCCATATTACATATGGCTTGCATCTCTTATCGATATAGTCTACAGCAGGAACATAGGATCTCCCTGCTTTCCCTGGGGAGTGAGTAAAGAGTTCTCCCACACATTCCCGATCAGGGTTGGGTACATGACTAGTTAGATAGCTCCCCAGATCGGTTCCTAGATCGTTTCCGCACAGAAATAGCGCAAAGATTCTGATGGAAGATACTGATGCCAGCTTGGCCTCTACTGGACAAGATTTCCTGGTACCTGACGTCGTAGTCCGTTGTGTCGAATGCCTAGGTAACTCCATCGGGTGGAGAGAGAATGTCCAGCTTGCTTGCGAGGGCGGAGACTGCCAGGGCGGAGAACCGAATGTCGTCATACCAGCACAACCGCCATTAACGTCACCACCCAAACGGCGACAGTGCTGGTTCTCGGTGAAACGGTGTATAAGAGGCTTTAATAACCTCTGCTCTACGTTCGATAGTCTCGTCAGAACTCAAACGAGAAGCAGACCTGAACACATCTGTTATTCCATTCTATACCAACTGTCCAAACCATCCCCCTCGCATATAACACACAATCGCCATCATGACGGACACTACTTTCCACGTCACCAAGGAAGACATCCGCAAGCCTGAGTCTAAGCTCGGTGGGCACCACCACGGCAAGACTCCTGCCAACTCCAATGTTTCTGGACTCAAGGTATGTCGAATCGTCTCAAGCTAGACAGGGACCCCGAACAAAAACAGCTCACCAAGTCCTAGTCTGTGATCGACAAGAACACCGACAAGGTGAAGGAGATCGACGAACGCAAGGCCAATCTTCCCCTTCCTGATCAGCCACCCACAGCCAGTGACTGGCAGTCCGCCAACGGCAAGGTCACTGGTACCGGTTCCGGCCAGTTCGAATCCCCCGTCTCTGGAGAGAACAACAGCGCCCTGAGAGGCCCAGCTACTGCAGGCAGCAGTGTTCGTGTGGATGGAGAGGAGTTCAAGAAGGAGACGCAGCCTGGAAGCGGCGTTGGACGACAGGCGAAGGACCAGCTGGACGACCTGCCCAAGGACGCGCAGGCGCGATAAACGGGCTATGGTGTAACTATTATTCTTGTGTGGATTGACTTTGCATCTGTTCTATTATGATTAGGGAGCATCCGACATGGGGAATGTCGGATTGAAACATAAATAAATGACGACTTAATGAATATTTTTCATTCATATCACTTTAAGTAGGAGGTACCTAAGAAAGTAGTCCGTAGCAAATGATCTAGATCTCTTATCTACTATGGATGTTGCAAAAGCTTAAGAACTGAGGACTAGTCGTTATCCCAGTCCTTGCCTCTTGCATACATATCATATCTTCTCTCCTCGATTCAGAATCAGTGAATTGAATTGAATTGGAGCAAGTCTCGAACGCATAACGTGGGCCAAATGCCACTTCCCGACGCCAAGAAAGCTGGACCGGAGCGGAGGGCGGATTGTCGCGTGCTTCGATTCTAGACAAACGGGCGGTGACGTCAATCCCGCCAAAGCCTGGCAAGAAACATCTCCAGCAGTTCACATCATGGCCGGTTATGAGAGCAAGATAGCTCAACTCTGTGCCCATCATCAGCAGAAAGGAAGCAACCTCATCTCTCCACCGGTCCATTCTGTCTTTTCTGCTACTCGCCACTCAAGAGGCTCTCAGTCGCTTCAAGGCCCGCTTGTTGACGTATCGTCCCTCATTCGCTGCAGGCTGTCTCTCGTATTAGAGTACTTCTTTGCCGTAAGGATGACATCAGGACAGCCCAGCCCCCAGAGCTACACTGCTTCTCGGAGACCTTCCTTACCTTTCTCTACTCATGGATAAGATATACTTATATCTCCAGATTGCCCTCTTCCACCATCAAGACTCACAGAGAAATACCACAGTGGACAGATATCTATATCTTCCTACTCAACAACAGCATTACCACAAGATATCACGACTTTTTTTGATCTGAGATACCAGTACCCTTTGAACTACGTACAAAATGGATCTTCAGGGCACTCCCATCGGAAACACTACCACCGGCACCAAGGTATGTCTCATTCGTTTGCAACCCCTATATTGTGTGTCTAGGAGAATCATATATTGACGGCTTTTAGGTCACCTCTGACCCTGAACGCTACAACAGACCCGTCCAGGAGAAGCCTGGTGCCATTGCCAATGACTCTCTCGCTGCTGAATCTGTGAAGCAGGGCGGTGCTTTCCAGCGAAACGCTGATGCCGCTCCTCTCGATGTCTCCGGCAGCAGCTCGACCCTGAACAACACCAACACTTCTGGAGCCAGCCAGCTCTCTTCTAGCCGTGATGCCGCCACCAGAGACCCCGACAACAAGGAGAGATACCCTGACAGCCTGGGTGGCCAGGGCAGCTTCCCCGGAGCTCATGTTCCTGAAACCGGCTACGTCGGCGGCCCTACCAGCGCTAAGAAGAATCTCGGTATCGGACAGGAGGGTTACCCTGCCTCTGAGAAGGGCCGCCAGCCTGCCGAGGCTAGCGGCAGCGGCGTCAGAAGCTCTCACTATGGCGGACCTGCCCCGTCGTACATTGAACCCGTTATCCACAACCCTGGCAACACCAAGCCCAAGGGTCAGAACCTGAAGGAGGGTGGATTCACCGACAAGAAGAACGCTAGCTGGAACACCGACATTGGTAGCAGGAACGACCCTGGCCGTCTGGCTGAGAACAAGTTCGAACGCTACAACAAGGAAAGTGGCATTGATGCTGGCTACACCAAGCAGAGTAGCCGTGAGGACCCCAGCAGCGCCCAGCCCTATGGTGCTCTCCGCAATGAGGAGAGCATCTAAGCGTCTTCCTCAAGAACTATAATGACATTATGAGGGATACGCACAATTATTTACATGTTTCAGAAAATCACAAATCTGCGATGAATCTTGTTGAAGTTGGGCAATTCAGGGGTACATACTTTGGCATATTTTAATTGTTGATTTTGTTTTTCCATCCTGTCCTGCTGGTATTTTCGGGACAGAAATCGCCAATGGCTCCTATATATTGCTGGTACGTTATATCCATACCAGATGTATCAATAGAAATGCATAATCAAAAATAAATTAAAATCCCATTATGGAAATTATGCATGAGCTTGACCAAGCCTAGTAAGTATAACGTAGACTGATTTCGCAATTCAAATATCACAAATGGTCACTTGGGTCTTCCAGAAAGGTAACCGATCATGTGAGAGTCAAAACGCTCTCTCATCTCTTGGAAGTTACTTAGCACGTGCCTTCGATTTCTGCAATGCCTTACGGTACAAGCAGATACATGTGGACGTATTAGAAAACGAACCAGCAACTTTTCTATTTCATATGGAAATAAAAATCTTTACGGTACAAGATCATCAAACCCGTCATCCGAAGAATCATCATCGTCATAATAATGCTGAATCATATAACCTCCCTCGATCTTCATACCCTTCTCTCCCCTTGCCATCTTATCGGCCGACATCCAAAGCCGACTTTTGTGTCCGGATTCGATGGAATCCAAAATATTCGCGTCTCCCCGATACCACATCCACGCGTATTCTAGCATTTCGACTAGTACGACGGTAATGGGTACTAGCCATATCATTCCCAGGACGATCATCCATGGTTCAAGAGCAGCTTTGGAATCATGATGAGGGACTGCGCTAGATGCGGCCGTGTGAGGCGCAGTGGTATTGCTTTCCTTTTCGGAATTATCCTTGGAAAGAGAAGAAGGAGAGAATGACGGGACGGAAAATCCGTGTAAGACTCGAGATACCGTTCTCAGAATCCCCGCGTGTGCGGGACAGGAGGGTTTCAAGGATCTGTTATTATTATTATTATCCTGCGCGGATTGTTCCGGTTCATTAGAAGGGGTGATGATGTTTTCGATCTGGCGGTGATTATTCAGAGATTCTGGCGAGTTTGATGCTTGTGGTTTCGTTTCAGTTTCAGTTTCTTCCAGATCGGTTAATCTTGCGTTGGCGGGATCGGGATCGCGCGCTGTGGAGATAATAGTAGTAGTAGGAGTAGTAGATGGCGTTGTTGTCTGATGTCTTCCCGTATATTCTTCTTTTGCGAGGAACATGAAATGATGACCCTCTTCTTTCCCGTGAGACTGGTCGTGTTTCAACGTGAGGGTATCGGGCCGCAAGCTATCTGGGAGAGGGATTGCGTTGGAAGTATGTAGTATGGAAAATAACGAAAGTGGAAGAATCAGCAAGGACTTCATCTTGAATGTTTTGAGGCCTTATAATGCGAATGGCAATAGGGGACTTTGGGGGGTGGTGTATGCTATGGTATGGTATGGTATGTAGGGCTGAAGTATCCGTGCTACCCTGTAGGTAGGTAGGTTGGATGGGAAGATAGGTAGATTATAGAGAATATGTAGGACCTGTTGCTGCTATCATATAGCGATGTCCCGTAAGGAAGGAAAAAGGCAAAGAAGAAGGGGAAAAAAGGGTAATCCGCCATGAAGAGTCGGAAGCACATCCGAGGACAAAGGTCCTTCTTTATATGTATGAAGACATCATGACGCCCGCCTAACCTAGCCGGTCCGGCTAAGCAGGGACTAAGTATGGGCGCATTGGAACGACTTTTTTTTCTCTCTCTCTCTTCTTTTTTAGCGCAAACAGCGAGGCTGCAGCACCGCCGCGATCTAAAAAACGTCTACGGTGCAATTATTTCTAACGCTTTCAGGCAACAGGGGATCATTAAGGGGCGGGGGGGCCGAAAGGAAGAGTAAATAATCTGAGCTGAGAAATGCGCTGGATTGACTACTCTGGCCGACCGGGTCGCTGATTGGACAGGATCAGTCGGCTCGGGCAGTCAAGCTTTTTAGAGCGACAGGACTATCTATCTAAATCCGGCTAGGAGGTACGTTGGATGGGGATCAAGTCTCAAGTTGCACAATTTAATTATTACCTATTGTTGACTGCTCTGGGACTTTGTTGTGTACTAATGAGCTATTATTATTTACCGTCCTCGTCTGATTTCCTGGATAACTTCAGCTTGGCTGTCTTGCTGGAGCAAATTTGACCGAGGTACGGCTTTCCTGCGCGCACCATCCATCAAATCCGTCGATTTGTTCAAATAAATAACTCAGCCCTCCCCGTGGGATCAAACTAACTTAACTAACTTAGTCAGTTAGCTCATTGTGCCAGCACAAAGAAGCCTCGAAGGATCATGCTAAGTTTTTATTGTTACACCGAGACCACGGATAGTTACAGGTCATGTTCCATTTATAGCGGGACCACTTAACTAAGTCCCTGCCGTCCGATCATGAAGCACCTAAATAATTCTCAGCCACTGGTACTTTAACTTAGATTGGTAATTGATCTCCTGATCTTGTGTGAGGCTCGAAAAAAATTAATGTCTAAGCGCGGTAGTTAATTAGTTGCCTTGAGCCTCAATTCTTAGGATCGGCTCAGCCGCTCTGTTTTGTCCCCCACGCGGGAGGAGCTAGGGCTGTGAAGGGGCTTCTGGACGGAGTCACGCAAGGGATGTCGAATTGGGTGTTAGTGAATTTCTGATGAGATGGAGATGGTTTATGCCGACTTCAATAGTTATTTAGCTCTTTGAACCAAGCTCTATGGGGATGATCTACTCGAGCCTGTTGACCTTAAAGTGGTTCTTGCGATGGATACTAGTACTGTATGGGCCTAACGTCCGAGTGTCTACTTTCTACCCCAGAGTGAGCTTCAGTGAGAAACACTCCTCATCGCTTTTTCTGCTAGAACATTCGCAATCACTCAATTCAACTCCGTTGGCGTTCAAATTCCTTAAACTCCTCCGTATTAATCCTCTATTGCAGTTGTGATCGGCTAAGCCTAGCATGAGATCGAGCGCCGGACTAACTCCTGTTCCGGCCTGACCGCTTCGAGTCCCTGACTTGTATCGTTGGGAGCTGCGTTTCTTACCTTCCCACAAGATCGGTTATCCTCGTATAGTGGCCTAGCTGGTTGAACAGATCTATTTCAGACAGCGATAGTGCTCTAGATATTAAGCAGTTAGAGAATTAGAACGACTGCTAAAGCGATCTTCTTACCCGACCTTCTGGTAGGTCAGTATAAACGCTAAACCTATTCGGGTAAGCGTACAATAAATCAGTACTCATTCGACTCTATACCTAGTGTTGATAACAGTACCTGCTAGTAGTTAGGACCTTCTAATTCTATTTTAATTGTTTTCTTATTAGTGACTTATTAATCAGTTAAGAATCGGTTTCTAACTAATTCGGGTTTCTACAATGCAATCGTCCAACGGTGCGACCCACCAAGACTCGGGCTCGGGGGCTGGATCAACTACTGTTCCTGAGAACAACAAGACCTCACACCTGGTACCTTCGATTGTTTGGCAGCTCCTTGGTAATTAGATACTAACCGATTGAAACTTCGATAGAGTGGTCTAACTCCGTTGAATGATGGGGGGAGGAAGACAGTATTCGCACGTAAGATAGATCGTGCCGCTACATTACCTGAATATCCAACTAGCGATGCTGTTGGATATGCATACATTGTATCTACCTGGGGGAAAACAGAGAAACAGATTGAAGAATAATTCAAGATTGTTCATTAAATTCAGTTATTAACCAGCTGTTACGTACCTAGGTTCGATATAACAAGGGCCTCAAATACCCAGTTAAGAAGAACCGATGCATTATTCAACTTGGATGGTGTAATCGTTATCGATGGCAATGTTCTGGAGTCAAAGGCTGCGAACATTTACATCCTGACTTGCAGGCGTTCGAACACACCAAGGTTGATGATGATCTTCTAAATCGTCTTGAAAGCCTCTCTCAATCGATTCGCGATCAGTTTCCGCAAAATGGTGAACAGTGTTACGTGATAAAGTCACAAAGCACCAGACGGACTACATGTGGTAGTTATGTGATGATTCTATGGCCGATTGGAGGAGCTCGAGATCGATTTCTAACTGGTTGTTAAGAGGCACCTCACCAAGAGGATGCTAAAATAATTTCACGACCTTGTCCAGTGGAATTCAATGCGTTTGTTCCGTTGGATTTGAATGAAAGACCATGGTATCTATGGTGCTCATTTGGTGTCCATAACCATCCTCCTCCTCCGACACGGGGCAAATAGTTGAGAGTACGGCCCGCGCGGACAAGGCCACATGACTCGATCGGATAAGCTTGTTTAGGTAAACCGAGCACAGGCTTCATGGTATTCTGCTGTTGTTCTAGTGAATTACTCGAAATACCTCTCTGAGCTAGATTTCTAATTGCTAGATCGATCATGATCCCCTTGTGATCTTCTCTGTGCGACGATCTCGTCGTACGATACTGCTAGAATAATAGAATAGATCCCTTTTTATCCTATCTGCCGTTGGTATTTAGCCTTCATCAGTCATTAATATTAGCGAGGGGCAAAGCCAGCAGTCGGGGTGGAGTGGATGGAAAAGGCCGGCGGAGCAGGGTAGTCCGGGGCCAACCAGGGCCTCTGGTGGTGCTTTGTCAGGCTTTCTCCGGGCTGCTTAACTTAGTAGTAGTTATGTATCCATCTTTCATGTCATCATTACGATCCCCGTCGAACTGTTTAGCCACGAGCTGGTCGATTCGATAACCGACTGCAGCTTGACCGACCTTTGCCGGCTTTCAATACATATCATCTCCCAATTATTGCGTCTGGGCTGCATGCTTGCTGCTGGGTGGATACGGAGTTGATAATGTTAATATTATTATTTAGTACTCTGCTCTTACTGAGCATTGAAAGCAAGCAGCTAAGTAGGTAGCTGGCTACTCCGTATATGGTACTTCATGTCCTGGGAGCTTGAATGAGGAAGGCTCGCACTCTGGTTGGCGCGGGATGGGGAGGCAATTCGAATTGATTCCAGACGCAAGCAATGCTCATTCTGGGGCAGAGAACGTCGCAGATTCTCGTCCATGCAGGCATCTCCCCGTAAGTACCATAGAGTAGAGTACCAATACGGCAGAAGGGGGACATTGTCATCCGAATGGGCCAGCACAGCACTCAACAGCAGCAATCACTCTAGAATAATAGCAATTATTATCCGGTCTGCAAGAATTATTAATAAATATATACATAACTTACTGACTAACTACTACTAGCTGAAAGATAACTAGAAGTTCTAGAGTCGAGTCTCTTTATTATTATTATTAAGGAACGCAGGACTGTCCTCCGGAGGTTACAGCTCTCTCGTCGAATTCCCCCCACCACGAAGACATCATCGACCGTCCTCACCGGGAATTGCCCCACCTAATCATTCCCGCCCACCACAGCAGCAGCAGCAGAGAACTCCCCTCATCTTTCCCTCGCAACTGATCAGAAGAAGAAGGGGTTAAGAAAAAAAAATTGAATTGGCTTATTCATTCTTCATATCCTAGAATTACTAGTGTGAAAAAAAGCCAAGCCAAGCGAAAGAGGAACCTCGACCAACGTTCTTCCGCGCCGCCGTTAAATAAAGTTGGTCCCCCTCCCCAACCTTTCCTCCACGCTTGCTGTAACAACTCTTCCTGTTGAAAAACTTCCCTCCTGTTGTTGCTTGCTTCGTCCTAACGCTGTCGACGTCAGAAGCCTGCAATCATGGGTTACACCGATCTTGATCAATTGGCCATCAACACGATCCGTACTCTTGCGGTAAGTCTTGCCTTTTTCTATTTCCTCTTGGTGCTTGTGAGAGGGGGAGGGCAGTCAGAACGGCTTTCTTCGGACCTCGACGGGAGCTGCGCGAGTTGCTGTGCTGGCGGAGTCGTCCGCAGGGTAGCTTGTCTATTGTTGCGGGTGCAGCTCTGGACGGCTCTATGCCAGCTCTATATAACCCATCGCTCGTTCTAGGATGTTTTGAACACCGCTGGAAAGATTCTTTCATACTGATTGAGCTCGCTTTTTCAGGTCGATGCCACCTTCAAGGCCAACTCCGGTCACCCCGGTGCCCCTATGGGCATGGCGCCGGTGGCCCACGTCCTCTTCAACAAGTTCATGACCTTCAACCCCCAGAACCCCAAGTGGCTCAACCGGGATCGTTTCGTTCTCTCGTAAGTAGATCCTGTTTTCTCAACCTACTCTGGGATCAAAGTGTGGCCATTCCAATGGACACTTGGTTGCGGTAGCATGGTTCAAGAGCCATCAAAGATCCCGAAGGGCCCGCTCAAATTGAGAAGAGACCATGGCTGACACTCTTTCTTCCTCTCAGGAACGGCCACGGTTGTATGCTGCAGTATGCCCTGCTGCACATGTTCGGCTACAAGGTCTCTATGGACGACCTGAAGAACTTTAGAGTACGGTTACCATTTATTCAGATCGTTTCATTGATACGAGACTGATCTGTTTCTCGTAGCAAATTGACAGCATCACCCCCGGTCACCCCGAGTCTCACGACACCCCTGGTATCGAGGTCACCACTGGTCCCCTTGGTCAGGGTTTCGCCAACGCTGTCGGTCTGGCCATTGCTCAGAAGCACACCGCAGCCATTTTCAACAAGCCCGGATACGACCTGGTCAACAACTACACCTATGTCTTCTTCGGTGATGGCTGTGCTATGGAGGGTATTGCCAGCGAGGCCGCCAGTACTGCTGGTCACTTGAAGCTCAACAACCTGATTGCTATCTACGATGACAACCACATCTCCATTGGTAAGGGAGCTCCGTTTCCCCCGGGACCGCTTGGCAGAAACTGACCTCGATAAATAGACGGTGACACCAAGTGCGCTTTCACTGAGGATGTCCTGAAGCGTTTCGAGGCCTACGGCTGGCACACCGAGTGGGTCAAGGACGGTGACCACGACCTTGAGGGTATCGAGGCCGCCATCAGGAGGTGCAAGGAGGTCAAGGACAAGCCCTCCGTCATCAAGCTGACCACGACCATTGGTTTCGGTTCCAAGCTCCAGGGTACCGGTGGTGTTCACGGAAACCCTCTGAAGCCTGACGACGTCCAGCACGTCAAGAAGCTCTTCGGTTTCGACCCTGAGAAGACCTTCGTCGTCCCCCAGGAAGTGTACGACCTCTACCACAAGCACGCCGCCGAGGGTGCCGCCAAGGAGCAGGAATGGAACCAGCTCCTCCAGAAGTATGGCACTGAGTACAAGGCCGAGTACGAGGATCTCACTCGCCGTCTGACTGGCAAGCTGCCTGAGGGCTGGGAGAAGAACCTCCCTACCTACAAGCCTTCTGACCCTGCTGTCGCTTCCCGTAAGCTGTCTGAGGCTGTCCTCGAGAAGGTCCACGGTGCTATCCCTGAGCTGCTCTCCGGATCTGCTGATCTGACTGGCTCCAACAACACCCGCTGGAAGAACGCCGTTGACTTCCAGCCCCCTGACCTCGGTATTGGTGACTGGTCTGGTCGCTACCTGCGCTATGGTGTGCGTGAGCACGGAATGGCTGCTATCATGAACGGTCTCGCGGCCTATGGCACCATCATCCCCGCCGGTGGTACTTTCCTGAACTTCGTCTCCTACGCTGCTGGTGCCCTTCGTCTGTCGGCGCTCTCTCGCGTCCGTGTCATCCACGTGGCCACCCACGACTCCATCGGTCTGGGTGAGGACGGTCCTACTCACCAGCCCATTGAGACTCTGGCTCACTTCCGTGCCATGCCCAACCTCATGGTCTGGCGCCCTGCTGACGGCAACGAGACCAGCGCTGCCTACTACTCTGCCCTGACCGCCCAGCACACCCCTAGCGTTCTGGCCCTCACTCGCCAGAACCTGCCCCAGCTGGAGAACTCTACCATTGAGAATGCTCTGAAGGGTGGCTACACTGTTCTTCCCACTGCCAACCCCAGCGTCATCCTCATCTCCACTGGTTCCGAGGTCAGCATCTGTATCGAGGCTGCCACCTACCTCAAGGAGAAGCACAACATCGATGCCGCCGTTGTCTCCGTTCCCTGCTTCGAGGTCTTCGATGCCCAGAGCAAGGAGTACAGACTCTCCGTCCTCCCCGACGGTGTCCCCATCCTGTCCGTCGAGGCACTCAGCACCATGGGCTGGGAGCGCTACTCTCACGAGCAGTTCGGTCTCAACCGCTTCGGTGCCTCTGGTCCCTACAAGGAGGTCTACAAGGTAAGCCACATCCCCAGTAGTCGCAGTCAGCAGATATACCTTTTTTGGAGACTAGTTGCTAACTCATCGTCTAGAAATTCGAGTTCACTCCGGAGGGCATCAGCAAGCGTGCCATTGCCACGATTGACTTCTACAAGGGCCACAAGGTCCGCTCCCCGATCAACCGTGCTTTCCAGCAGATTCTGTAAGCACCTCATTGCAGGTGTTTGCTCTTCGTTGATGACCAAAGTTATGATGATGGTTTCCGGGATGTATTCGATATCAGAAAATGGGTACCTCCCGGGGTTTTAGGGATCTACGACCTTTCTTCAGCGTTTTATTTGCGCCACTTCTTTACGCCGAAATAATTGGCCCCGAAGTATCTATATTAGAGATTAGAACAAAGGGCTGTTAAAATAAAGTATATGTTTGTCACGCCAAATCCCTTCACTTATTGTAATTTTTTTGCCATTCAGGAACTAGTAGGTTATTATCATAGCACAACAGAGTGAGAATCAGTAAGCAAATAATAAGAGGTTTCATTTAAAAAGGCTCATGAGAGTCTTTTACTCTGACGACTATGGAAGCAAAGTGCATCCCAATTTGGAAAGCGACTTTTTCTACTATTTCTGTAGAGACATGAAGGGTTGCAGCAATATTTCATCAAGCGACCTTTGCTAATCCCATCTTCGCCTTTTTTTATTTTATCATCGAAGAAGAGGTCGTGATCATCAGTCGAATGGAATCAAATCAAATCCCAAGCCCATCCTAAGTACATGCATAATTTAATGATCATGTCTTCTTTCTTTCAAAGGGTGCCTCTGGTCCTAATTTTATATTCAGGGGGTGGGGGACGGCGTTCTTGAATCGGCTTTTGGACGTTTTCGTTATTGCTTTTTGTATTTTTTTTTTTTTTTTTTTTTTTTTTTTTTTCAATTTGATTTGAAAAGCAAAGTCCAGGGAATTTTTTAGTTGTTCAGAGCCTTGCGGGCAAAGTTGGGCAGGATGAACGAGGCACGGTGGATGTCCTGGTTGTAGTAGCGGCATAGACGCTCCTCCTCCTCACGGGACCACTTGCGGAGGGGCTCCTTGACGTTGAGGTTGGGGTCCTTGCTGCAGACCATGAAGCCGATCTGGCCGGAGGGGTAAGTGGGGATGGTGGTGTAGGCGTACTCAGCGACGGGGAAGACCTCCTTGCAGGCCTTGCGGAGGTTGCTGATCAGGGAGAGGTGGAGCCATTGGTTCTCAGCTGTGATGGAGAAGAAGAATATGTTAGCTGGTGTTTATAGTCGGGACTCTTTTTTTTTCATCTTTTTCTTTTTTTGTTAAAGGGGAGGAGGAGTTTGAGGAGGAGTTGGACATTGTGGTTCAATGGTGACTTTAAGGGGAACATGAAGATGAGAGACAGCAATATTGGTGCAAGCAGACAAAGGAAAGGCCACGAACAACCTTGCGTGGTGATGACACCTCCTTCACGGAGGGCGTCGCGCAGGAGCTCGAAGTAGGGCTTCTGGAACAGGCTCTCGGCGGGACCCTCAGGGTCAGAGCTGTCGGTGATGATGACATCGAACTCGTTCTTCTTGTCCGCGAGGAACTTGAAGCCGTCGCCGACGTGGACCTTGACGTTGGGGTGCTGGAAGCCAATGCTCATGCCGGGCAGGTACTTCTTGGAGACACGGATGACGGCCTCGTCAATGTCGCAGAGAACGGCCTCCTCGACGGTGTCGTGCTTGACAACCTCACGGAGAACACCACCGTCACCACCACCGATGACGAGGACCTTCTTGGGGTTGGGGTGGGAGTTCATGGCCAGGTGAGTGATCATCTCCTGGTAGCTGTTTTCAGTGTCAACTGCTGTCAGTCATATGACACATCCAGTTTGTCTCCAGTGACAATTTAGATCCATCACGAAGTCTCAATTAAGCAATCCGAAGAAGAAGAAGAAGAAGAAGAAGAAGAGAAGACATACGAGAACTCATCACGCTCAGTGCACTGGATGACGTTGTCCAGGACCAGGACGGTGCCGTAGTCGCTGCTCTCGAAGACCAGAACATCCTGGTACTGGGACTTCTCGTGGTGGAGGATCTGGTTGACCTTGAGGGTCATGGCCTGGCCGGGCCACATGTCAGAGGTCTCGGAGAACCAGCCATCTATGAAACCAAAGGAAGAACGGGTCAGTATAGATTTCAGTATAGATCGTCTATCTCCACGTCAATTGACGCTGGGGGATGTCAAGATACAAACCGCATCACCCGGCCTCCCCTATCAAGCGGAGACACGAGCGGTTACGGCAGTTCAACAAGACACGCTCCGGGGAATCCATCTGCTTTACCTTTGATGGTGGGGTGGGTGAGTTCGCTCATTGTGGGGAGAATTGATCGAAAAGAACGGGATTGCAAGAAGAGAGATGAAGCACGAGACCGCAGATACGGAGAGAAGACAGACGATCGAAGGGTATAAGAAGTTGGCGACAAAGATAGACGGCCTAGCATGAAATTTTTCGAGATTTTTCTCTCTCTTTTTTTTTTTTTCCCACCTCTGGGCTCTTTTGGATTTACCCCTCCGCACATCCAGCGGCCAGTGGGGATTTTCAGGCAGAGAAGGCGGCACCGTCGCTTCTGGGCCGAAACTCAACCCCGCCGACTTCAATCAATCCATGCATTATTTGGCTGCCTTCGTTTTGCTGCCAATTCACTGCGAGTTGACTGGGATGTTTCGGATATTCCCTCCTGGTGGGCATTCATTCATCCAGGTCTGCTGGACAGGGACATGGTGATTAATGCCCTGCACGACATGCCAGAAGCACTGCTTTGATGCGCTGGTGATACCCTTCCTGCTGCTGACCAAGTCGCTACAGTAGTAAAACAACACAAAGAAAAGGTTCTGGTAGAAGCCGTCGGAACCAAGGTGCTGAAACAGTCTCAACCGCTCCGAACCCAATCTTGACTCCGATGTTTGGATCCATGGCACGTTCTGCAGCAGTTTTAAAACGACTTTCGAGGCGGTTGGGCATCCGCACCGAATTTGGCAAGATTATCAGTGCACTTCAATCGCGGCCATTCTCGTCATTGATAACGGGTGCTCAGAGACTTTTCGATAGTAAAGGATTTCAGATGAGCCTGTTAGTCGACAAGTACGAGACCGGTTCTTTGTCTCTGTTTCTCAGTATCTTGCTGGACCCACACATATAACTACGACAGACGTTAAATACTGATAGGACCGCAGGATGGAAGATAGACGAAAATCAAGTCCCCTGATCCCTCGTAGGAGAAGGCTTCCTGTAATGCAACTCATCAATATACCTACGATTGGGTAGTTGCGTGAAGCTCGTACACGGGGCTCTTTGCCAAGTTTCTGAACCGGAACTGACTGCGGTGTCAACAAGGTAGTTTTACAGACAGCTATCTCCAGCATCTATGACTCCAGACTTAACAAAGGAAAACTGTGAGGATTGGTTTCGGATTGCCTTCTAGTACTGTACAGCGCGACCACGAAAGGACTTCCCAAAACGGAAGTGAACAACACGTGACTGTCCACAGCCAATCACGACCCCCCGAACTGCGTTTACTCAGATTCACCCTCGGCCTGACGACCAGGCTTGGAGTTGAGGTACTCGTTCCTAGAAAAAAAGCAAGATTCATATCAGTTCCATGCCCAATGCCAACCGGTGGTGCGTTTCGCGCTCGTCAGGAGCGGAATGCAAGGCTTTTCGCGTACCTCTCAATGGCCCAGTTCATGGTAGCGTAGGCGATAATGAAGGGAGGGGCGACGTAGAGGACCTGGTGGCGGAATCGGCGCCAGACGTTGAAGATAGCGGCGTGAGCAGCGCCGGCCATGGGCCTCTGTCGGTTGGCGGAGAGGGAATAGGTAATGATGTTCTTCTGAGGGGTCGTGCAGCCTGGATGTTGCAAATCAAGAGATTAGCGCCGTTCTTCAGGCCCTTCGAGCGCGGACAGCGTGGAAGTTATCCAGGCGAATTGTCATTGCCATTGAGGCTGCAATTGAAGCCCTCCCAACTCTTCCCATATAGCGATATATATCCCGTGTCGCCGGTGTTTCAACTCAGGTCGCGGAGGACTTACCGATGGCTCCCCAGTTACCTAGGAAACTGTAGATAGGAATCGTTAGCAAAGAGTTCAGCACGAACAGGTAGATAGAAGACCAATTGAGAGGCCTGTTTGGGTTGCACATCTCCATCACGGTTGCTTCCGGGCGACTGGAGAAGGGAACGAGGCAATCGGAAAAGGAACGGTGACTTACACTCCATGCTTGGGGTCCGCGCCGTGGTTACCCATTGTGACTGATTGAAGAACGAAAGTGACTGAAAGAGGAGAGAGACGCTACTGCGGTTCGTAAAGAGGACTGGCGTCGGCGTGGCACAGAGACAAGACGTTGTGATGAAAGACCGGGAGAGCGAAGGTCGAGTTCGGTTTGGGCGCAACATCCGGGCGCTAAGCCCGATCGGGACAGCATCGAGAAAAGCCCGTGATCAGCTCCGCCGCAACATCCAGAAGAGCCGCAGCAAGCAACGACGAACAGTCCCGATTTCCCCCTCATCTCTCAGCCAGTGACCATCTCGAGTTCCTGCAGCGATGGCGGCCAACGCTCTCTACAATGTCTACAAGTGGGTGATCCCCGCCACCGGTGGCGTCTGGCTCATCCAGAACTCCATGTACGATGTTAAGGGCGGTTCGCGCGCCGTCATCTTCGACCGGATGTCGGGTGTGCAGGAGAAGGTTGTCAACGAGGGTACACATTTCCTGGTTCCTTGGCTGCAGAAGGCAATCGTCTACGATGTGCGGACGAAGCCTCGAAACATCTCCACGACGACGGGGAGTAAGGACTTGCAGATGGTCAGCCTCACTCTGCGAGTGCTTCATCGACCAGAAGTTCCCAAGCTTCCTCAGATCTATCAGGTATGTTGTTTTCCTGTGTGACGGCATGTCTTTGGAATAAAAAGAAAACATCGAGGATTCGAGCTAACGCTCGATCCCAGTCCTATGGTACAGACTATGACGAGCGTGTTCTGCCTTCGATCGGAAACGAAGTCCTGAAAGCCATCGTCGCTCAATTCGACGCCGCCGAACTCATCACCCAGCGTGAAGCCGTCTCGAACCGCATCCGCACCGAGCTGATGCGCCGTGCGCAGCAGTTCAACATCGCCCTGGAGGACGTTTCCATCACGCACATGACCTTCGGCCGCGAGTTCACCCGTGCTGTCGAACAGAAGCAGATCGCACAGCAGGACGCCGAGCGGGCACGCTTCATCGTCGAGAAGGCTGAGCAGGAGCGTCAGGCCAACGTTATCCGCGCAGAGGGAGAGGCTGAGAGTGCCGACATCATCAGCAAGGCTGTTGCCAAGGCCGGAGATGGCCTGATCCAGATCCGTCGTATCGATGCCAGCAAGGAGATCGCCGCGACGTTGGCTCAGAACCCGAACGTTACCTACCTTCCAGGCGGAGAGAGCAAGGATGGTGGAAAGAGCACGAGTCTCCTGCTTGGTCTGCGGGGTTAGATTGGGGACTCTAGGATGATTGCGGTGGAGACTTGAAAATTATTAAAATGAGGACGCAGCGGGACCCTCTCGGATATGAGGAAAGATAATAAGGGAAAAGAAATATCCACGAAGATTATCATAAGCCTGTGTGCATTGGCTGTATGGGTTTCGGAAGACATGATACTGGGGATGTTACATTCTGTACCCCTAAGCGCTTTTAACCTCTTGTAGCAATATATTCCTCTTTACTCTTCTCAAGTGACTCATATACATCCAGAACAAACACTATCCAATCATGGATGGAGTTCAGGGGACTGATATACGACCTAATCCTAAATCAACCTCGCTTCTCTTTCCGATGAAGAGTTATTTTCTATCCAATGACCGGAGATCTTTCCCCCTCTTTCCCAATTGAAACAGATATACATATACACCAAAAAGTAACATCTATATAAAACCCCCAGAGTATCCCAATCCAAAACCCACCAAACAACAAAAAAGATTCACGTTTCCAAACGCTTATAAACATGAATCTGAAACCTCATATCCTCCAACCCAGCCCCCTCTCCAACAGCGTACCTCAACTTCGCTGCATCTCTTCGAAACCAGCGCGAATCCTGCGAGAGAACCTTATCCCACTTCCCTGCCGCAACAGAAAGAAGGGTATGATCCAGAAGGAATTTCATAGGATAGTTTCTCTGCTGTGGTTTATCTGGCTCTGACGACGATTCGGACTCGGGTTTAGTTGTTGAACTCTTGCTTTTCCCCAAAGTAACAGTAGAGTAACTGCCAGGACTATCAACCACGAGGAGAACAGTGCCTGGTTCGAGAAGGTCGGTGATTCGAAGGAGAAATGCGGTCGTTTTGGCCATGGATACGGAGAATAGTTCGTTTAATGTGAACATGAGTGTGACGAGGATGGTGTTTGAGTTGTTGTCTTTGTGAAGGATGCTTCGCAACTCAGCGTCGGAAAGAGTGAGGATGTCTGATTTCTGGAATGAGATGGAGAATAAGCTCCCTCTGTGAGAATCGTCCTGAGGGGGTAGTAGCGGTGCTGGATGGGCCTTTGAGCCCGGGATATCAGACGATCTGATAGTGGAGGATAAGCGGTTCACGACAGAAGACCAATCTGCGATATCGACTGCTGTGATTGAGATGTTGGGAATAGAAGAAACCTCGACTTGTAGAGACCTGCCTGGGTCTTCTTTCGTCAAGGTCATTTCTCCAACAGCGCTGGATATGGACTGTGCATCATCATCACCACCACCACCACCACCTTCCCCTCCATCTTTCTCAGCCTCAGTCCCATTACCCTGCCTTCCCAACTTCCCTCGCTCCTCCTCATCCATCAAATCCCTCCAAACACACGCAAGAGCAACAATCTCCGCTCCCGCGCCCCCTCCTATACACAGCACATGCCCATCCCTCCTCCTCCTCCTCCTCTTGACCACCACTTCACCCCCACTCATCCCCTCATCATCAACCTCTCTCTTCTTCTTGAACTCAAGAATCCCCGATCCCACAACCCCCCTAAAAATCCCCGCATACCCTAACGCCCTACTCGCGCTCCATCGTAGCGCATAAGCTCTCAATAACTCCTCATTCGCATCGGTGAACGCAGAGTCGAAATCTCGATTATATAAATGCGATTTGATGGTTTGGATGAGTGTTTTCATATCCAATTCTTCTTCTTTTTCTTCTCTTCCGTTTTCTTGTCCAGCATCATAACTTGAACGAAGTAATCCAGCTTTGAAAATATTCAAAAGTAACTGCTGTAATGAAATGGGGATTGTGATAGAGAGGTCTATTTTCTCTTCTTCCTTTTCGTTTCCGAGTCGTCGTTGTTGTTGTCTTTCTCCTTCTTGATGGTTTGCTCTGCGGGATGTCGTTGGAGTTTGCTTCTTCTGCTGCTTCTGCTTCCCTTCTTTGTTATTTGTATTAGAAGAGGTTCCTTTTCGAGGTGGGGCACGGCGTGGTGGACCCATTTTATATATATATATATATCGTTCTTATTTATTGATCTTTTTTTTTTTTCTTTTCGGTGGTTCAAACTTCATGACAAGACTTTTTTTTTTGGCGATTTGCCGTTTAGATTTTTGGCTCGGTCACTGTGGAGCTTAAATACTCTACACACCCCACATCCCGTAGTTAACTTAGATGCTCCAAGTAACTATGCTTTAGGTAGATGACACAGATATCGATCAATATACTGTAAATACAAACTTCTCTATCATTTCGATCGTGCATACACCCGGAATGTTCCTAATTGTTGTTTCGGTGCTGGATGAGATTATCCAGTTGATTTCTGGTGTTGTCGATACGCTACCTTTTATCTAAATCTCCCTCACTTATCCTACTGATAGATGCGCGATTAAATGTATACCGGTGACAACCACATTGTGGCTTTGCATTGCTATGTCTGTGGAAGTATATCCCAAGAAACCCCTCAAGGAAGATGCTCCAGCCGCTTAGAAAGAGGCGAAGATTGAAAATAAAAAGATTCCCGCCGCTGGCTCCTAAACTCTCGACAGAAATGGGCCCTGACAGAAAAAAAAGACCTCCCGGAATGAAACCTCGGGGGAGAAAATGAAAAAGAGAAATAAAAAGAAGACCGAGGCTCTGGTGGAACGAACGTGGCGAAGGTAGATACAATGCTAAACTCGAACAATCAATGGACATGTTAACATCTGTTCACGCTAACAAAGAGGGGACATCAACGAGAGAAGGCGAAGAGAATAAGAGTCCAGACACCTGAAGTCATAAATAGACAGACCGAAAAGAGAAAACGCATATAAATGTTCAAACAAGAGGGTTCAATAAAAAATACGCCCATCCTGATCAAGTAAAAGAGAAATTAAATCAGTCAACATCGGCCACTGAGCATATGTACAGATGGCGAATGAAGAAACAACGTTTTATGTGAAGATGGAGGAGAGAGCCGAGATCCGAGAGTAATAAATAAGGAAAATGCGTTTCCATAAATCAATATCCCATCCGCCATGGTATCGTGCCGTACAAGGTTGCGCCGAAAACATCAGACCAGAAAAAAGAGAAAAAGCAGCAGCAAGAGCATGATCAGAAACGGTGAGGACCCTCTCTAATCTCCATTTGTCCTGTGCTTATCCTTTTCTCTGATTTTCCAGAAATGCATCAGCCGGCTGATCCTATGACCTTTCTTTTTCAGCTTCTCGGTTTCATCACCAGACGCCTTCATTTCGTAACTGAGCTTGCTCTTCTCCCCGTGCGAACCGACGACCAGCTTCGAAAGGCTGGCCAGGCTTGACCGTTTCGTGGCGTTGGAACGGCTGGTGCGACGGGGCACAGGAGCAGAGTAAGACGCTGCGCGTTCGCCTCCAGGGCGGAAATTGAAGGTGGTAGAAAACCGCGGCAGGTTGCTGGTCATCGTAGACGTGCTGCTAGTCAAGGATGGGACATCCTCGACCGAGCCATGCGGGTATTCGACTTGAGGATCGTTACTGTACAGCGAATGGGATATATTGCGGTCGGTCATCGACGAGGCGGTTGCGGAACGGGGAGCTTCAGACGGATCGGGAGAGGGAAAAGCTGAATTCACTCGAGCGTCTCCTGGTAGTGACAGATGAGGGATGTTAAACGCCAAGTCAGCGGACGAGGTGTCAGGCCGCTTATCAGCCGGGACAAAACGAGGAGACACATCCGGACTATCAAACTTGCGGTGATAAGCGTCATGGGGAACGATCTCAACCGAAGATTTCCGGGCGAAGGGCGATGACATAGTCACATCATCCTGAGCTTTTACACTCTCATCTCGGGTCTCAAAGTCGTCTCTCGGGCGTGAGGAAGTGGAGTGAGAGGATAAGACATCATTTGGCACCGAAAGCCGAATCCCCAAGCCTTGGTCGTGAACGGATGTGCTGCTATCTGCTGCGACTGGCGTGACGGTAGCTGAAGTATCGTTGCTAGAGGACTCGTCGGCGGGCTTTTCAGCCACATCAGACTGACCAACTTCCTTAAGAGCTGGCACCTGCTCTCCTCCTGGAGATTGGTTGCCAGCAAGGAAGGCATCCTCTTCTTCTTCGTAGAACACGTCTGGAACTGGCATGGCAGGATTAGCACCAGCCAAGCGAGCAGTAGCCAAGAAACTTCGGTCAAATGGAGGCATCTCAGGGGCGCTTTCTGCACGTCGATGATAGCGCATCTCAGGTCCAACAAACTCGCCGCGTCGACCACCACTGTACATGCGCCTGGTAGCAACCGAGAAGGAACTACCAGCAACACGGTCAGAGCTCATCTCCGGGGTGTTGAACGGACCCAGAGCGGCATCCAGGTCGATAACCGGGCTAAACATGTCATTGTCTACATTTTGTTCGTAGAAGCTCTTCGGTTTCCATGCACTCTCCAGCGACGAGGCATCAGTGTTCAAGGGAGGAAGAGGCGGTCGAGGAGAGGTAGGATTAGTAGGGGTCCTGATAATGACAGTGTTATCTTCATCAAAGTCGACTTCGGCCAATGATCCGACCTCTGAGTTTGTCCGAATGAGGATGGGCCGCGGGGGAGGTGACTTGGTGGTGGGTGATTTCTTTGAGTGATGTTTCTTGCCCTTGCCCCTGGTGAGAATGGCGCCAGCCCACGACCGCACCTTTTTCTGCCGTTTCTGAGCCTTGCTGCGGAGGTGAGATTTGTGCTTGGACTTGGATTCGTCCTCCACGGTAGTGTCGGATGAGTCGCTGTCTGAAGAAGCCCGGGAGGAACCGGCCCCCTCATTGGCAGCATCCCAGTTGTCCCTCTCCAGGTTCGGAGACTGGATATCTGAGAATGACGCACGGCGGGACGGTGGAGCAGCGGCTGATACAGGGCGTCTCCATGCATTTTCCGAAGATCCGCCAGCCCCAAACTGAAACAAGGCCAGAGAGGAGTCTGCCGTCTTCGGTCTCGGTCTGAGCGGCTGGTTGGGAGAGTTCTTTGTCGTGGATATGGAAGCGTCACTGATGACAGTTTGAGTCGGTCGAATCGTCGTTAGGCTGCTGGAGGTCTCTGCGGAAATGGTTGACAGGGGGCGTGGAGCAGCGGTGGGCCTCTCCGCAGACTCAAGTTTCTCAGTCGACCCCGACTGCTCTTCTACCTTGGCAGGAGAAGCCGGAGGGGTCGACTGACGCGGGCTGGGGACAGAACAGGATGTTGGCCGGGCCATTTCATCACACAGGTCGTGCTGTTGCTTCATGTCGGCCGGGGTCGAGGGAGCACTGCCCACGAGGGGCATGCCCGGAAAGGCCTTGGTGATGGCAGTCAGATCCATGCTGGAGACCGCTGCTGAGCGGCGATGAGCATGACCACGTCTCCCTGGTCCAGCACCACTGAGACCGGGGCCTGGAAGGGGCAGTGTCGTTGAGCCAGTGCTGTTGTCCGTTTTGCCTGGAGGACTCGACCCTAAGCCGGAACCGCCAACGGGATTGAACTCCGTGGCCCGACGACGGTGCCCGCCAGCGCGTGCATGCGCCGGCATCGCAGACGTCGATGCCGTCGGAGCGTGACCATTGCCCGGGTTGAACGAGAAGGCAGGCAGCGGGGGCGGAGCAGACGATTCATCCTCCCTGGCCGTGGACGGGGCATCCGGTTCTCGAGCGGGGAAGACGAAAGGCGGATTAGGCAGAGGCGCAGGTACGGCCAAATGATTATGTCTGAGATTCGACGTATGCGCATTGCTCAGCTGTTCCGTCAGCGCTGAGATGGGGCGCTGAGAGAGTGAAATCGAAGCCATGGCGACAATGCAGCGATATTCGTTTGTGAGCGTTGGTGTCTCGAGATCAGCTGGGCAACCGTAATCGTTCCTTTTGTTCTTTTTTTTTTGTAAATCGTCCTCCTAGGGATCCAGACGCACCAGGCCTCCAGACCACTGCAACTTCCCGACGGGCGGACGTGGGAAAGTTCAACTCTGGCTGGAGGCCTTTAATCTCTCACTGCTGGCATTTGACACTGGGAGCTGTTTCCCAACCGTGATGACCGTCTTCTTCTTCCCGATCGTATCTGGCAGTTGTCTCGTCTCGTGGGTGGTTCGTTATATCCTAGAGGGACGGTCGGTTAGGCGATGAGATGGGGAGGAAGACGGTCGGGAAAAGGCGGTTGTCGGAGTCGGGAGGGAGCTGTAAGGAGCGGACGGCCACGAAGACGGGCCAAAGAGGCGAGGAAGGAGGGAGATGAAGGGAGAAAAAGCAGCAGCAGCGGGGATAGCTGGAGGAGGAGGGAAAAGAAGATGAAGAAAGATGAAGCTGGAAGGAATAAAGAAACTGGCCACGACGTGGAGGCGAGCGAACAGGCAGTGATGGTTGTTTTGAGGGTGGAGGGAAAGGATGGAGCCGGGCTGGGTGGCTGGGGACAGGCTGATTGGCTGCGGCCACGCGGTGCGGAGGCCGTTCCTTTTTTCGCCTTTTTGCTTGTTCGCTAGAAGAGAGTCAACTATTTGATTAGTTGATTAATTAATTTATTAATTAATCGGCAGTAAGGAAGATGGCAGAGAGAGTATTGTTATTTTTTAATTATTATTATTGTTAGGGGGTTGTATTATTTTCTTGTTCTGGCGTGGTGCAGGGATAACTAACTAGGGTGCAGGAATCATCATAATCAGAATGATAACCAGCTGCTAAGCTATCTATCTGGCTCACTTTCTCTTCCTACCTAATCTCTCTCTCACCCTCTCTCTCTCGCTCTCTCTCTCTCTGCAGGCGGATTACGCGGGAAGGCAGCAGCCATTTTGTGATCTCCGGACGTCATGACCCGCGAGTGTGCCGTGTAATACTAATAACCAACTAAGTTATCCTTTCCGTCTTCTCCATCTGTATTTAGTTACTCTATCTACTCTAGTAACTAGTATCTCCATCGCCATCTCCAGTTCTTCTTCTTTTTATTTCTTTTCTTCTTTACTTCTTTTCTTTTCTTTCCTCTCTCTCTCTCTCTCTGTCTCTCTCAACTTCTCAACTTTCTTCTGTCTCCCCCAAAGACCCGCTTTTTCGATCCACCTGACCGGCGCCAAGGCTGCATGTGCGCTAGTGCCGTGTCCAGATCCGCCAATCACATCGCCTGCTGGCTCATCGAAATCTCGCTTGTCTCAGGAGTTCCGTCGACGGTCGCCCCCCCTCTCGGCCTGCTTTGCTCTCTGCTCTCGCTCTCTCGTCGGCAGTTTGAGTCTGAGTCCTGTTGAGAGTCACAGCAACCGACATGTTTCTACTCGAGAGGATGGTAGAGGAGGCAGCCTTGATGCATGTCGCCTATCTTGTCGTGACTACTCTACGCAGGGGAAGGGTAGATAGCTAACTTAGGATGCATTAGGGTCCAGTTCGTACTCGAACTCGTAATAGTAGTACCATACCATAGACTACCCCGTAATCCAGAGATAAGACACGACACACGACACACGACACAGCACGACAGATAGATACTCGAAATGGCCTGAAACACGACTCACCGCAGTCGAGTAACATACCTGAAAAGAGACACAGATCCACTGTGTTTTTTTTCTGTACTGTACTAACTATACTATAATTACCATAGAAGAAAGAAATAATAGTGAATAGTTAATACAATAATAATACTAGAGAACTAATAATAATAATCCTCAGCAAAAAAGGCCCCAGCAAAAGCGGAGAATATCTAGGACCCCCGTCGTGTCAATGGACAATCCTCATTTCGTCTGTCTCTCCCTTTTCTGTCCGGCTGCGAAGTCAACTAGTAGTACCATAAACCCAGCACGAGCCAAACCCTGGAGAGATCCGTCTCTCTGCGCCACCCCGACCCGTTCAAGGTTCACCTAACAATCCATCTAGCTGGGCAACAAGACTCTCTCTCTTATCTCTATTTCCCGTTTTCTCTCTCTCGCTTCCTTATCTCCCCATCATCACTGCAGGGAAAGACAAAAATAAATAAATAACAAAACCTGACACAGAAAAGAATAACCTACAATCCTGAAATGATGGTGCCTGAGGAAGAGACACAGGACGCGATGGCCGACCGTTCACCAGACTAGATCGCTAGTCAGGTCTCTAGTCAGGAACAAGAGTCTAATAATAATAATAATAATAATAAGACCAGCAACACTACTAACTAACTCGCCCGTATCCACGTAAACTAATTTAAACCCGATATTACCGCCCTGTACTCTTGGCGTAAGATTTCAGGGACTGCTTCGAGTTTGGGATTCATTATTATTATTAGTTAATCTTCATTTTATCCAGGCAGCGCAATAACAATAACAATAAAAATAAAATAAAAATAAAAATAAAAATCGACAACGAATGCTGGGGTGAGGTAGATAACTTAATCACACGAGGCTGGCTGCGTTTTCTCGCTACATGGCCTTTTTGAGTTCAACGCCCACGGCCATCCCCGAGGTTCCAGGCCCGTTAGAGGCGTCGCTGCAACATTCCAAAACGATAAAGATAAATCAACTACCTTATGCTCATGCTAAGTTAACTGTTGCGGGAAGAGCCCCTAAGTCACGGATATGCATTATAATAACCAGCAACTAACTAGTAATAATACTTCTTATGCAAAAAGTCCTTCTTGTACAACAATTTCCGTAGCATTTCTCCATAATAATGATTCTTAATTAGTTACTACATGGCATCACTGTATTCCGGAGTCCGAGGTCCGCATGCTGTTTAACCCAGGCTACATGTCTAGTACGGAAATATCATTGATTCTCTCTCTAAGCCAATCGAGTCGAGCTCTGGCTCAAAAGAGATTAGTGTAGAGCGGCCTTGTACTATCAATGCACAGTACTCGTAACACTCTATCTATAATTATCCAAGCCTTTCCTCTCTCTTCCTTGACTTGATGCTATGTAGTCGACTAACGGCAAGTTAACCTGTCCCTTTCCTTATCCGTATAATTCGTATTGACCATCTAAGTTAACTACGTACAGGTCTACGACAAATACGAAGTAGACTAGACTACGAAGTACACTAACTCCCCTCCCCTCTAGTCTCGTCTAACCTCCAGCGCCGTCTCTCCATCTCCCCCAGATGGCCCATGTGCCGTCAGATCGACCGTCTTTTCCTCACTCGACGAACAAATGGGGGCGCCTCGTACGTCAGAGCGGTTGGAGTCTGTTGTTTCACCCTGTGTTACGACCACCTGTTGATCAGGGAACGGTGCCGGTTGCGCAATCGACGATCATGCTCTGTCGCGGAGGGAGGGGAAACGGAAGAGAGAGGGGGGGGGTGTCTTTGCTCTAGATAGCTCTCCCGTTCTTTAGTTAGTGACGCGGGATTTTACTTGGATAGCATACGGGGTACGGATACACAGTGCACTAAGTACTAGTTACACAGTTCAGATTCACCTATGACCTGTCTATCTTATTCTATCGCCCCGTCTATCCCGTCCTGATTTTCTATTTTTGAAATCAAGATACTCCCGACCCGGGCGGACTCCGGAGAAATAAGCAAATAAGCATGAAATCATGAAAGCGGGATGACACGAGATCATCATATGAGATGAACCTACCTATCCGCCAACCAGTCGTGAGAATAATGATCAACTAACTAATCAGCCTTCCGTTCCGCACGGACAGTGTTCAACTTGTCCAGTCTCCAAGGCATCTCACCAGATAGCCTTCGAGGGCCTGATGTTCTCCATATCTTAGTCTACACAGCCCATCACGAATATCCAATCCTCCGCGTTGCAGAAAGAACAACAAAAGCCGCTGCGGTTCATTCTGTGCCATGTGACTTGAAACCCAGGTTTCCATTTCCACGACTGCAGAATCTTGAGGTGGAATGTACTGTAATTTGGTAGCTGGCTCTGTCTATTCATCGTATCCTCTTCCTATTCCTCCCCCATTCGCATGGTGAAGTCCTCCCGGTCCGTACATTCTTTCGTATTCACGCTGGGAAGGGAGTATTCATTCCTGTCCAACCCCGATTTCTTATCTGCCCTCCTCCTCGGGCATAAAAAGATGTCTCTGTCGCCTTCCTCTACTCTTCATTATATACTGGATTCGAATTTGATATACAGTTACGTGATTGCGGATAGCGCTCCGCCGCAGGTACCTAGTATAACTTCATAATTTGTACCATCCCGTAATAGCCGGCGAAAGAGCCCCTCTATTCGAAGACAAGCATTTCTTCTTTTTGCGACCTGACCTTTCCACACCCTGATCGCGACTCTAAGTGTACAATCTTTTTAGACGACTGGTATAAAGTCTAGAGGCTGGCGGGTGAAACAGCCCTAGGTTCTCTAAAGCCAGGTGCATTGGATCAGATTCTTGATGATATTCTTGATAAAATCGGTTCCAAAACTACTGCACAAGAACTGCGACAACGATCCATTATAGATGGATTCCGCGATGGCCCCCATATCTCTGGCTGGTGGGCCAAATGGGATACGGATGGTGGGATAACACCGTGTCTTGCTCGCGCAGTATGGGAGCAATCCATACCATCTGATCGATAAAGAGGGCATGCATCCCGAGCAAAACCCAGACACGCTCATGGACTACACCATTATGCACGTATCTGAGCTGGCGATAACGAGATTTAAGGATATAGACCTTAGAGAGGCACTGAACCAACAGATACAGGAAGCACTAACCGACCCACCCTAAATTTTTCCATATAGATATATTTTGAATACAAGACCTCTATTTTGGATTCAGGATACCTTTTGATTTTAATCATGCCATCTTTCTCTCCCGCCAGAAACTTTTCAAGAATCACGCCTGTCGACATATCGCTCGCAAAAAGAAGCAAAAGCGAGCATTCGAGCTGGATAATGAACCAACTACGATTCATACGATACCGCAAATTTTCTGATGTCCCACCGCACACGTGGTGATAGAGTCAAAGAGTACAATCCTACCAGACCATGTAGTCCCATATAAGGAAAGGCATTTTACATCTGAGTATGTTCAGCCATTGTCTCATGTTGCTATGGAAGTCGTTCGATTTTCTTTCTGATACTCTATTCCATTTAGTTACATTAATCTTATCTCCGATATGCAAGAAAACGGTCTTCTCTATGCAGAGGATCACGACGGACGCAAGAGACTGTGCATCCCGCAAGCGGTATTGCCCGAAATTCTACGGCTTGCCCACGGTGACGCCGGTCACCCAGACTTCGAACGAACTCTCAAGCGCTTGGACGGCCTCATCATCTCACGTTGCAGCAAAAATCTCCGCAATTATATCAAATACTGTCCACAATGCATACTCAACAAGACGAGACGACACAAGCCTTACGGCTCACTGCAGCCTATACTCACGCCACCAATACCCTTCCATACAATCACAATTGACTACATTCTGGGCCTCCCCGAATCTGGTCAACTTGATTGTTGTATGTCTGTCACGAGTAAATTTACTAAACGCGTGACCTTCATCCCAGGCGCAGCCATATGGACCGCTGGACAATGGGCAGAAGCATTACTTGAACGGCTTCGCCTAGGAGATTGGGGTATCCCGCGAGCTATTATTTCGGATCGCGATAGAAAGTTCTTATCAGAACTATGGCGTTCGCTTTTCCGAGAGGACGTAGATCTACAGGTTCAAACCGAATTACACACATACAATTCCACTTTATCTCTCCAAGGGCGAAAGAAGTGGTAGGGAGACGTACTTTCGAACAATGCGAATCTGTCTACAATCTGTTTGATGATGTATTTGAATCCTCTGACTACATTACCGAGCTGCGTTGTCTGGCATGCTAAATCAACGATTGCGAATCACCGGACCCCAATTCTATACGACTGCGCCTATTGATGGAATAATATTGATCGAAGAGCTGATTTTTCGAGATGACATCGACATTCTTTACGACCCTCGAGTTTCTGCCCGCTGTCGTCGCATTGAGTGGCCGACCGCTGCCATCTCGATTCTTAGTTAATAATCCGAGTTCTGACTCCAGTATCAGACGCATGTTGTTTCTAACCGCTACAATGTCACGACTAGATCCCACGAGCTCTTTCGTGCCTATATGTTGGAGAGTAAGCGTGCGACGAGAAAGACAATCAAGATGGTCACCTTTCAGTCCAATAGTCAATAGATCAAGTATAAGCATAGATCCGATATTTTGTGAACTCCTGAAAGATTCCAATTATGCAGGCGAAGATCTCCATGGGAACCCAACTGTCGTTACGGCGGCCTATTGGGAGTTTTCTAAACAGTCTCAAAATGGAAGCACATACTGTCTGAATTGGTAGAGTGCGTAGATCATTGTTTTTTTTTTTTTTTTTTTTTCTGTATCAGATTCTGAGTACCCTTTTCTGTTCTGTTTTGTTTCGTTATCCTCTCCATCAGTACAATACAAGACACAATACGATGCACAAAACGTATGCAAGACATTGACCCATTTACTACTCCTGATGCCAAGGGAAATTTCTTTTTGTAGATTATTACGCCTCACTAGGTAGTACTATGTATCATTCGTGGTGAAACCGGAAAAGGGTCTGAATCTCCGGAAGATCCGGAGTTGTGGTTCCGAAAAAGCACTTCGTAGAGAATGGAGACCAATTCAACTTATGCAGGTCTTGTTCTAATTTATCCAAAACAAATAATTAACACGCGAGCGTCCACTACTCCGTACATGGTCGTCACTACGTGCGACAGACAATAATAAGGCTGACTGACGGGCTCAGCTCCGTGATGTCTTCGATTCCAAATCTGATCCAGCAGAGCTGAGGTCGAACAGGCTGCCACTAGCCAGCGAGGACTGTCCGCGCGGAACATAGAACCATGGATACGCCCGAATAGGCAATCGATAGTTAACTACTCTGTATGGTACACCAGCTAGCCACCACGATGGATCTCTCCCAGCCACTTTCTTCTTTTCCGTTGTGGAACCTTGACAATCCACCCGGATTCCGGGACTGAGTACGGAGTACGTATGGTAGAATTATTTCCTCGTACCTTGTGTCCCTTTTCGAGAAGCCTCGTTTCCGCCACATCGGAGACTCGGCAGATCCACCGTGCATGGGGCGATCCAGTGTACTCCGTATCGCGGAAGCGGCGTGGGACAGCATAGTCACGGATAGTCCGTACCATAATCGTGTGGCTGGTGGTGATCGAGCCAAGTCAATAATCAACATCTCGATCCATGGTTGGGTATAAATGAGTATCAAATTTCCGTTACCGAGCTAGCAATCCCGCCGGCTGCGTATGCACGTCGTAATTAACACTTGAACAATCGGAGCTGGAGCCGTGTTGCTTTTCCCCCGAGGCCATGCAGGATGGATGCGATGCGCACGTTGCGCTGTCGGGTAGGGATTCTGATATGTTTATTTTGGAGTTTCAGCTCATATACAAGGTACAGCCTGTTTGCTGTCCAGGAAACGCAGCGAGGAAGCATCGTGCTAGTCAGCCTGCGCGATGCAAAGTAGATCATCTAAGACACATAACCAACTAGTTAGTCACTGTATCGCATGACACATAGGATTAGGACCACTTTGAACTGATCAATTCGCTAGTGTCGACTTCCTGTATGCGATCGACATCCGACTTGGCGATCTTCTTTTTCGCGTCAACGGCAAGACCACCACACATGTCATTCACAGTATCCACTGAGAAGAATACATGTTAACAGACTATCAGATTCAATCAAGCTGGCAGCCAAGGAGCGATCCACGCAAGGAGGTGACGGAACAGAAACTGTACGGAGTATACCCGGGCCCGCAAGATACAACCCGTAGACGCGATCGATCTTGTATCCGCAAGTTCCCCCGCTTGTCTTGCCGTGCAGCCGTTCTGACTTCCCATGGAACAGTTCTCGCTGTGCAGTGTGGAGTGTCCGCAGAACAAACCCGCCTTACATGTTCTCGTAGTTCTTCCAAGCACGAAGTCGATAGAGCTGTCCCGTTTCGATAACTATAAGCAGCACGAACCTGTCCCTTATGCAAGGAGGTTCGTGTCTTACTCGTGATGTCGCGTTTTTGTCGGCTATTATTATTGATAAAGAAGTAAACAATGCCGGGGCATTGTCGTTTCAGGTGGCAACAAGAGGATGTATTTGGATATGAAGAGGGTCAATTGTCCGCTTATCTGGGCTGCGATTATTGCTTCTATGAAAATGAGGGCGTTCCTGGGCCGATTGTGGTCACTACCTCACTGTTACCCTGGTGAACAGTAGTGGTTGTTCCCGGTGGGATAGGAACCTCCAGATGCACCGTGTTGTTGGCAGCAGAGGACATCCCGTGTCTGCCATAATTTAGTAACTAGCAGGAATAGTCTCGATAAGCAGGATACTTAAGTATACTCACGTGAAGAACTTCCCCGCCATGCTCGCAACCTTTGTTTTGCGTCGAAACAAGATCTTTGCCCAAAACGATGACTGAACAGCCTAAGCGTAGAAAGAGAGATAGTGCAAAGGACCAACTGCTGCTCTGTATACTATCCTGTAGCTGCTAGCACGGCCACATCTAAATCCACGAAGACGGCCCTGAGGATACCGACCACTCCATGTGCTAGGAAGAACTGGCCGTCCCAAACGCAAACAGAGTCTCGATGGAAGTGTTGGCGTGAGTAAAACCACCGCCAACATGAGGAGCGGCCTTGATTGCACGATAGCCTGGTTCATATGTGAGATAACGCCCTATGCCTTCTCGAAACCAAGAGGCAATAGCATCCAGAGAATAATGGTTATGTGATCCCGTTGCCTTGCCCTCTTTTGTATACCCATCCCAGTTTTCCCATATAGTGGTTGCGCCGCTGTTGACCATGTGTAGTCATAACGGCCTCTCCTTCCTCGTGCACGTCGTTCAAGGAAGTTTATCAAACGACACATACTCACGTTTTGCATTCAAGAACCTTAGTTATATCTCCATAACGCTGATAAAGATTCTGGTATCATGACGCAAGAATATCGCCATCCACATAACGAGGAGACAGATCCCAATGTACTTGGAGTCGATCCTGAATGTATGGACATCTCGTTGTTGATAATCGGGTAAATAGCCCCATATGGAAACAGCTCAACTTGCAGGTTGCGAAGAAAGCGGCGGAGTTACGCTTGAACATCCATGAAAAGAGTTTCTGACCGAGGAAAGACTCGGGTATGTCACGTTGGACAGTCCGCAGGAGTATCCAGAAAACTAGAACGCATCTCCAAATCAATGGTGTATTAACAAAGTATGAGGATAATACATGCTTTATATTCTATATATTCTTCGAAATGAACAATTGACGCCCAGAGCATTTCAGTAATCAAAGAACCAAAAAGTATCTTGTAGTATACAGCCGTCATCTCGACTCGGATATGTCACATCATTGAGATCCCACCACCTGCGAACAGCAAAATCAATCTGTTTCCTCTCACAGGCATACTCTATACTATCGTGTATTTCTTCTTCGATCAAGAAATCAATGTATATCTCGATCTGGCTTAGTCGAGGCGTATAGGTCTGTTTGTTCCTCACGAGATCTTCCAGTTGCGAGACGAGGGCATGTCCTTGGTCACCGATGCATTCAGTAATACACAAGGTCTCGATAGATGGAGGCAACAGACTGGTCAACCGCTGCATGGGGACTATATGGGGATGACTGGTGGTCCTGGGCGACCATGAGAAAAGGTTCGGAAGACGGATATGGAGTTTTCTCAGGCGCGAGAAATCCTGGAATGATCCAATCCAGTCATTTTCTCTTTCATAGTATGGATAGCTGTAATCACCGTAATCTATCCAGAGCTCCTCGAGAGACCCCTTGGTAAGCGGGAGAGACCGGCGAAAGCAATCGGGACGGAAGCCAGCAGCAGGAGTGAATTCAGTATATCTAAGATATTTTATAGCTTTGCAGGACTTTATCAGGCCTAGCAGGCCGTCTTCGCTCATACCCGAGGATATATTAAGCTTGGTAATGGGCGATGACCCGGGTTGAAGTGAAAGTTCTTGGTCCGCTCCTCCTCCATGGACTGGCGGGAATGCGATCTGATGTCCACGGAGGGTTTGCAGAGCCGGCAATTTTGCGAACTGTGTGATATCGAATGCCACATACGAGCTATGAAAGACACCATCGCTATCATCCTCGTAATATTCGACATGCCATAGCGCCGTGATCTCGTTGAGAGTTGACAGTGGATCCCGAGTCGTGAATGGCCGCTGTCTATTTATAGCTCTTTCTAGCATTCGTGGTATGAACCTCGTCTTTGCTGAAAATACGAAGCGAAGCGACTTCAGATTAGACAGAGCGGGGAAAAGCAGTGCCAGCCATGCATCGCAATATCCTCCAGCGATGTCGATTTCCCATTCCTCCCGGTCCTCTGCTGAGATGGCGGCCGTATTCAAGGCCTCTCCGACGAGAACATCGTCATATTCAAGATCTGGATTTAGAGCACATGGCCCCACCCAGGTCAATTCGGTTTCCTGAAGCTCAAGGGAGAGATGGAGAACCGACCGCGCTAGGTGCGGACGTCGTAAGATTGTTTGAACAAATGATACAGCACGGCGAATCTCGCCCAGGCCGGCGTAATCGTGTGGAGCGACAGGCTCCCGATACAATTGAGGAAGCAGCAGATTATACAGATGGCGGCAAGTATATAAGAAATTAAGAAGATCATTTCGACTCCCAATGCTTTGTGAGATAAGGATGATGATCTCGGTGGGCAGCACCGATACTAGAGCCGGGGCAGCCATCCTGTTTTGGTAGGACGATGAGAAACGGCCAAGCGAATAGGCACCGCGCAGGTAGTACTGTCAACGCATAAACGCTAGACCACCGAGTTCGATTAGATGTTCATCTTCGTGGCCCAAGTCACATTAGTTTTCGTCTAGTCGATCCCGGTTTTAGGATGCGTCTTTGATTTGAGACTGTCCGCTCAGGCAGCGCATTATGATGACATAGATGCAAAACACGCAGCAGATCCAACACCCGGAGATGGATAATATCGTCAATGTACATATGGCCTAAGTAGCGACAACAATATGAACGACTTTCGATTGGCTATGGAGAAGACATGCATAAGGGATTTCAATGATGTTAAGCCAAGGAATATATCATGATCATCAAGAATATCCGGGTATTTTTAGCGCCGGAAGCCGTAATATAAGTCAGGTGATCGACTACTTAGCGCGGATCGCCTGTAACCTGGAATCTAGATACACCTCTCTCTCTCTCTCACCGTTGTTCAGATTCTTTCAAAGAATATACCTTTTTATTCCCCCAGTAATACTGCCTCCACAAGTTATACCAGAAATCCCTCTTACACTTAGGACGAAATGAGTCAGGCTACTCCGGTGCGGGTAATCCTTCGATATCGCGAACAACCTTTTCAAGACCTGAACGCAATCATCAACGCTTTCTTTAAATGGCGAGATATTCAACCTCTAGACGACTACTGTACACATATATGTAGTAATTTTCATTCTTCTCGGTTATATCTCGTTCTCGATCTCTACTGCAAAACATGTCCAAATGTCAATCTCGACAAGTTAGACCTCGAAGTCTTTAAAGTCTCAGGAATTAATTCATTGTGCGTCACCTCTTCTACGACCTAACTAAACTGACTATATTTAGTACATTTCGGGATCTCGGAGAGGTAGCTCGCAAGCAGGTTTACCAGCGATCCGTTTCTCTGGAGTGGGGGGAAGGAAACCACTCTAGTCAGAGGAATTAGTCCGGTGTTGTTCCAGCACAGGGAGGACAAGATTCCGCTATATCCGTGTCTTGCCTATCGAGACTCAACGGGAGATCCCTCAGAAACCCGGAGGTAGATTGGCATGGGTCATTTGCAACCCTTCTTGCGGGTGTACAAAAGATAATGTGATCTCGATTCATGTGTTTGGGAGTACGCGTACAAGCTGCGTATATCTTGCAAGCCCATTCACACATTACCAGAGAGCGATGGAAGTCGACTAAACTTGAATAGCGCAGAGAGAACCTTCGCACAAAGCGGATCGTGATGCGAGAGACGAGCCTTCAAAGGAAAGGTAGCTCGAAAAGACGATCTATTGTCAATCAGCCGTTCACGCGTAGGCTTTTCGAGGCCCCTAATGACGAAAAATAGGTGCCTTCTCCATTCTTCTCATTCGACAAATCGTAGATTGAAAGTGCCACAGTCTCGACTTCCTTTCATCGGCTTAATGTCTTGACCATATGGCAGTCGTGCAGCGCTGTCAACGGGCCCAGAGTCGAGCTGAAATAGTCACGACTCTGCTGATATTGTTTCCATCTTCTGGATGTGCTTTCTTTGTCTGAAAATTCCCGGTGTCCCCTATCGTACCAGCTGACCGGAGCTAAAACTACCTCAAGCACATGGTCACCTGATAATCTCATTCTCTGGAAGATAAAAGACGATTAGCCCCATATAATGATAACGATGACGCATGGTCTAGGCTGATAGAACTATACCACTTATATCCTCTTCATATGAGAACTTACAGGACGATGAAAATAAGCACGAAAGGATAAAAACTTTTTACCTCTCAATTCTACGTCACTCAATAGCATCTGAAGCGGAAATGTTCCTAAGCCCCATCTGGTCGGGACTTCCTCGACTCTGCCTAACTGTTGCCTGAAAGGAGATCTTCAAAACTACTCCAAGAAAGTCAAACTTCCTCTCTTCATCTATCAGACAACACAACATACCATCACACATTGATTGTTAAGAAAGCTCGAATCTCATCAATCATGTCACAACCCACCGTCCCTGAGACTGTCCACAAGGGCGACCTTATTCTCGCCTACAAGCCCAAGGAGGCACACATGCTGCTTGTGGTGTCTGCCCCTGACGATACTAATAATACCAATATCATCCAAGACGCTTCTTCCATCATGGTGCAGAGGGTTAACTGGCATATTCCAGATTCGCCCGGCTTCTGGACCCTGTACGGCCCAGAGGTGTATTATGTCGATAAAGACGAGGAGGACGAAAAGGACGAAAGATTCCACAGGTGGTATTGTCTCTATGATGACCATTCCAAAGATCTCGAGGAGGAGTCTCTTGATCGCTTTCTCAAGTCGATGGCTGTCACCGATGCGGATGCCAAAGATAACCACACGGGGGTTGCCCTCATCGTGAATCCTCATGGAAGGTACGTCTCCTGTCAGACGCATTTGCGCTCGTGATTCTCTACGATCTATCATGTGGAAGGAATTTACTAAAAAAAAAAAAAAAAACCCTTGTAGGGATGTTATCAAGCATTACTTTCATGGCAGTTGCCCCCATTGCGGAAGCACGGGGTGGTTCTGCCCCGGATGCGGGGGCGTAGGTACACGGTTTCCCGATCTTTTTGGCAGCTGTGCGGTCGACCAGTCATGCCCGGTTTGCATGGGATATGAGTTTGCTCTCGAAGATAAAGGGATACTTCGAGAACTGGACCGGCTAGAATATATCCTCTACGACTACAAAGACAGTGGTAATATGTCGGGGCTATGTAAAGCACAGATGGCGAAGACAAAAACGGAGGCTCTTGAGTTGGCAGAGGAAAGATTTGCACTCATTCATGCCAGAAAGGTCGAGATGGGTCTCAATTCGGAGAATGAGAAAAAGAGCTTACAGGATTGGAAGGACTGTTATTTGTGATGGTCTCGATTGCCGCAACATTGAGCGCGCTTAGAACTCACATTGACAGCGAGTATCAAAAGTCGCTATTAGGGCTAACTATTGTGTCAAAGAAAGTGCGATTTCTATGGGAAATGTTTGCTCTCGGTGTTAGGTATCTATGTTTCTCTATGGAACAATACACAAACAAATCATAGCTTTACACATCTTGCGATCGACGTGATCTACTGAGTCATCTAACACGACCAGCCATGACAACATGTCCTCATTCTCCTTGGATCACAGAGACATATCTAGAAACCAAAGCCATAGTGAAACCCTATGCTCCTACATGACGAGTCTACTGTAAGCACAAGTCAAATCGAGGTTCAACGAGTCTTGGTACGTTTCGCGGGGAAACATCACGTTGACTTCTCAGCGCAGAATGAATCCAGCTGCGCAATACGATCCTCTTGGAGACAGAGCGTTTCCCCCCATCCAAGGGCCGTTCATTGGTACGTGGTAGACACCACGTATTGCGACTGTGTACTTCCAGTCGAGTTCGTACCCTGGTGATGGCTGAATAACAGCTATGATAGTATGTCATTTCCGGTGCCTTGAATACCGTGCTCAGCGTTCTCCCTATCTTGGATATGCTGCTTGCGATGTGATAATCCCGAAGTAACTGTCTTGGCAATATGATCCATGCCATATGTCATAATTTTGGGTTTGTTGGAAGATTTCTAGATTGCGGCTTCTGTTCAAACAGCAGGCAAATGTTTTACCTCAGGACTCCGGGGATAAGATATCATACTCCTTTCCAGCTCTATATGAGAGAGTATGCTAGCATGCAATCCAAACGCCAAAAGCAGATCTTTTTTTGTTTCAATGAAATCAGCAATTCTCGTGTATCGTTGCCCGATCGAGACACGCCTATACCGCGTGGCTGAAAAGGTACGACACTGATTCTCCGTTGTGGGTTCTCCGGATAGCCTGTATTGACGTTAGGAACTGGCTACTGAAAATTGGGGACATGTGTGATCACTTACCTCGGCCAAAGTTCCCGACACATCGATGACCTTCAGTTTAGGGCAGCGTTCAATCTTGTCACCAACTGTTGAACATGAAATGTTAGTATTCATATGAATCGGAAAGTAGGGAAGCAACGAGAGCCATGACTGGCATCGCAGAATCGACATCACTAGCTCAGGGCAGATCTTGAAGCTAGAAATAAGCGCTAGGGAACATACGTGGAATAGCTAAGAGAAACTGGTTAGCATTTGCACGGTTGAATGAAGTTAAGAATTATGTCGATAACGTACTGTTTGTGACGACCAGACCAGTGAGACATGACTGGTTGACGTTCTCAACGGCATTACCGCTCAAGATACCATGAGTAGCAATGGCAAAAACTTCCTTGGCACCGTGTGCCTTCACTGTCGCTGCTGCCTTCGCGAGCTGAACACCAGACAGTCAGTATGCATTGAACAGTAATCGCTTGTAGCTAATTGTCAAGACTCGAGAACATACGGTTCCGCAAGTGTCCGCCATATCATCGACGAGGATAGCAATCTTGTCCTGGACGTCACCGACAAGGACCATGCGTCCAACAACGTTGGGTCGAGGGCGCTCCTTGTGGATAAGCGCAAATGCCGTGTTCAGTCGATCGGCAATAGAGGTTGCGCGCTTCGCACCACCAGCGTCCGGAGAAACAATGACGCAGTTTTCGACATCCAGGTTCTCTCTGACCCAGTTCAACACCGACGGCTCAGCGTAGAGGTTATCCACAGGGACGTTGAAGAATCCCTGGATCTGAGAAGCGTGCAGGTCCATGGTAATGACGTGATTCTAGAGTTCGCACCATCAGCGCCCGTTATCTTTGCTCCTAGCTCGTGGTTGAGGCCGACTTACGCAACCGGACACCTGCAGCATGTTGGCTACCAGCCTTGCGCTGATGGGAGCGCGAGACTTGTCCTATACGAATAATCAGCATGACCGGATACACAATTCCCTAGTTCAGACGTACCTTCTTATCTTGACGGGCGTAAGGGAAGCTGGGAATAACCGCAGTGATAGAGCGCGCGGAGGCGGTGCGGCAAGCGTGAATCATGATCAACAGTTCCATCAGGCCGTCATTGACCTCGCCTGGTGCAGTAGACTGGACGACATAGACTGAGGATAGTATAAGAATACGTCACCGGCAAAATGTCGGGCAAAGTACACACCATCTTCGTCTCGAACAGACTCTCCAATAGTGACGCTCGTCTCCTGATTGGAATAGTTCAAACTGATTGTCCTTGCGACATCGATACCGAGTCTACAACGATGTCAATCCCAGTCCTATTATCCCAACAGCATTGTTTTCAGATCCAATTCGCATACCGGGCTGCGATCTTCGCGCTGAGGTCTGGATGCGAGCTTCCAGAAAGAAGCTTGATTTCATTGGGAATCTTGGCCGACATTTTTTCTCGAGCGTCTCAAGGAGTGCTTATCGAACGATCGTAGAGAATCAGAAGGAAAGAGAGAAAAGAAAAACGATCGAAAGACTGGTATCCCATTGGTTAGTGCGGGGAACTTTCGTATGTTCGGGCGAAGGGTTCGGGGAAATTAGCAAGGGTCTGAGCAAGTTCTCGGTGCTGGTAGTGGTTTCTCAAACTGGAATATGAACGGAGTACTCACGATCAGATGGCTAGAGCCGTTATCGAAGGCTACTGATCGATGCGCATAGAGAATGAGAGGTGTTAGTGGACTCGAAAAAGCGCCTTCGAGATGTCCGTCAAAATTCGAGATCATGTGACTGCGTAGAAACTCTGCGCCAACTGACTTCCGATCTTGTGTCGGCAGCGACGCCGACCCATGGACCGCAGGCGAATCCAAAGCGAGTCTTCAGATGAGACTAATCGGCGCCTATTTTGTACGGCGCGGGTCCAAAATAGGCGCCGATTACCATAGTTAGAGCGTTTATCCGGAGAGTCTGGTGTAGAAGTCCTATGAAATTTCATGTAAGTATGCACGTGCAGTAGGATAAATTCCATAGCAATGCTTCCTCAGGCCGCGATGTTCCAGCAGAGCTCAATATTTCGGAGGATAGCGCCAAAGATCCATCCCCGCAGTGCGAGATATGACGATCAAGTACTACGCAGTAGCAATAAAGCAGTTAGCTACCTACTGATATATACCGCTCAGGTCTCATAGACAACAATCTTAATATAGTCACCTGGCCGTGATAGTCCAGGAACAAGGCTAGAATGTATGTAGTACGATGTCATCTTTCTGCGCTGACAGCCGAGAAAATCTCTCTCAGCCGATATCATAAAAAGTCTTGGCATCTGCAACATGTAGTAAAGGAACCAGTCTGTCATTTTTGCGTCGACAGGTATGACTATAGATGGCAAGATGGTGGTCCATACTCCAGATGTGGAGATGTCAGTTCTTCTATGGAGAATCCCCGAAAATGGCGATGTTGATGCCGTGTCTAAGCCTTTCTCGGAAATCGTCGGTACCGCAAGAATGAGGCCCGTGGGTTTTCCTCGACTCACTCTGCCGGATGCCTACGGGAAACAGAAAGCTAATAGGTAATTTAAATAGCATTCAGAGAAGGAATATGATTGCCAAGATTATATTCCCTCCCAAGTACACAGCGAACGGTACTTTGTGGATCTAGATATCGGCGATTGTCGCGCATAGCTCGCCACTCAATATGAATGGCGACGTTACAAGTCGCAGCACTCCTGTCCCTCAACAGACGTCCTGTAATGCCCCTTCTATACAGTGTCAAGAGCAGAGGGCGTTAAACAAGCATGAAGTCGGTTGGAGGAGGATCGTTCGGAACTTTACCCCATCGTATGCATTATTGGATGAAGACCCCTGTATACACATGCTGACTGCCAATCAGATGGTTTTCGGTGACTATGGGTACAGGCATTGTTTCTGTACTGCTCAACAGTCTACCATACAACGGCATATGGCTGTATTGGATCGCCAATGTCATTTTTGCACTCAATGTACTACTCTTTGTTGCAGGATGTGTGGTGTCCTTTTTGCGCTACGTTCTCTATCCGGAAATTTTCAAAGCTATGATCATGCACCCGGTACAGTCTATGTTTATGGGTACTTTCCCCATGGGTTTGGCGACAATCATCAATATGTTCTGCGCAGTTTGTGTGTCAGCCTGGGGTGAGTGGACCAGGAATTTCGTCTGGGCGCTATGGATATTCGATGCTGCAGTATCGGTCATGATTGCTCTTTCATTGCCCTTTATGCTGTAGGTTGCTAACGACCAAGAGGAGAATCGATGCTGACAATACAATCTAGTATGGCGCACCACAAACAGTCAGAGCTCTCCAGCATGACAGCTGTGTGGCTTCTACCCGTGGTTACTTGTGTTGTCGCAGCCTCATCTGGTGGTGTAGTCGCCGATGTCCTACCAAACCCACATCATGCTCTATGGACTATCATAGTCAGCTACGTCCTATGGGGAATCGGTATGCCTCTGGCACTGATGACCATGGTGATATACTTTATGCGTCTTACGCTATACAAGTTACCCCCGAAAACAGTGATTGTTAGCGTCTTCCTCCCCTTGGGTCCTATGGGCCAGGGAGGTTTTGCGTAAGTTCCCACCCTCACAGGAACATCCCTGTACATTTTCAGCTCCTAATCATGGTTTATCTCCTTAGCGTTATGAAACTTGGTGCATCAGCGCAGAATATATTTCCAAAAACTCACACACTCGAGGGCAGCGCTGGTTCAACTTTCTATGCAATGGGATTCCTGACCGCACTCATCCTTTGGGGCTTTGGTCTAGTGTGGCTGTTCTTCGCATCAGCATCTATCGTGCAATGTAGGAGATTTCCATTCAACATCGGCTGGTGGGGATTCACTTTCCCTCTCGGCGTTTATGCCGCGAGTACATGTCAACTGGGACGAGAGCTGCCCTCGACTTTCTTCTCGGTACTGGGAACAGTAAGTATTCATCTGCCTTCTGCTCACTCCAGTAAGATATCTAACCATTATCCAGATTCTTTCTCTATGCGTAGTGGCTCTCTGGATTGTCGTCTCCCTTGGCACTCTGAAGCGTGCTGTCACCGGGGACATATTTCATGCTCCCTGTCTTGCGGAGATAAAACCCAAGCAAGAAGAGGGGAGAGACGCCAGCAAAGCTGCTTGAGTAACTTTTCCTTGAAGTATATTTCTCGTATTTGCCATTTGGCTAAAAGTTTGTAGCGTTGTACGTGTAATATTCTACGGCTTAGCGCATATTCACCTGATCTATATATTTTGAACTACTTAATGAAATGGTCGAATGGAGGATATCCGCGAGAATCAACCTATTTCTAAACATACAGAATAGTACATATTACAATCTACAACTCACAAAAAGACAGCCTTTGAGGATTTAGATGTGGTGTCAGGAACGTAAATCCGAAAGAAGAATGAGGTCACTGAGCACTCTTTATTCAGTGCACGGACCATATTTAACTGCTAGAATATTTCGACTCCGCACTGGGGTCACGTCTATACACCAATATTGTCCAACGCACAGTTCCATTTGCGATTGCTAACGCCAGTGGCAAAGTCAAACCAGCAATATCACCCAGTTATCTATATGTGATTCCTGCGCTGTGATCGAATTTACTCACTCCCGCAGGCTCCTATGAGAGCTACAAGGAAGCTGGCGCCATGACTTCAACAAGCACTACCCCGCGATTCTCCATCTTGATAATTAACCCGAATACCTCGAGGCATATGACCGATGCACTGAAACCCATCGTCAACAACCTGAATTACTCTGATGTCCATTTCGATTATTTCACCGCCCCCGCATTGACGTCAGTAACAATCGAGGAAACCGGGCGCGTCGTCCCCGGCGTACCAAGCATAAACTCCGGTGAGGACTCCGCAAACTCAGCACTGCATTGCAGACCCTTCCTCGAGCCTCTAATACCAAAACATGACGCGTTCTTGGTCGCCTGCTACTCCGCGCATCCTCTCGTGGCGATGCTGAAAGAAGATATAAAGAAACTGGAGGAAAGAGAAGGGTCAACATCGAACAGCAGCAGCAGAAGGAGGAAATACGTGACTGGCATATTCGAGGCAAGCGTCTCAGTGTCCCTGTCGCTGATCAGTTCTTTTCAGCTCCTAGGGACAGACGACCTCAGAAAAGTCCAGGCAGACGAGACGTTCGGTATCGTTTCGACTGGCAGCATATGGAAGGCGGAACTAAGCAAAGCCGTGGCTGAAATGCTTGCAGGGCCAGGAGGCAGTATTCCTGGAACCATTGCGCGATTCGCTGGCGCTGAAACAACTGGCTTGACAGCGGTTCAACTGCACGACACCCCGCCGGATGAGGTGAGAAAGAGAATAAGCGATGCGACGGAGAGGCTTATTAAGAACACTTCTTCCCCGGTAACTGTCATTTGTTTAGGATGTGCAGGAATGGCAGGCATGGAAGAAGCGGTCCGGGCAGGCTGCATAAGGGCTTACGGCGGAGAGGCTGGGGAAAGAGTGCGTATTGTTGATGGCGTAGTCGCAGGTGTTGGATTGCTTGTCAATGCCTGCAAAGCACGATTCTGAGCCGGGAGGAAAGGAGGTAAGTTTAAACGTTGCTTGAGCTGTACTTCTGAGATGATGGGAGCTCGTTGGGTTGCATCTGAACTTGAATCTAGTAACTAGCACGAATGGTCCTTCAATAATAAGATAGGAATAATTCTGAAAAATAAAGAAAAAGTTAAAATAACCAAGTCCCTAAAGAACAGTTCTAGTATGCAATTATCATTGGCGAATAAATAGAAAATCGCTTTTAATCAACTTATGGCGGGTCTTGTGTTAGGCAAGCAAGGAGCGCCAGATACCCGTTTGCTAGATACCCCACAAAGCCACCGCCCACAGTGGTTAAATCGACATCTCCGGAGCTGTCTCGGCGCGGAAAACGCGCCGCTACGCGTCCAAAGCCCAATCTCACCCACGATTTTAATGACTGCAATGAAGATAAGATGCCTAGGTACGTCGCGCACCTGCTCGTCACTGACGTACATTTCACTTCTTGGCTACTTTCCAGCAACTTCCACTGAATAGCCGTGACTAACGACGTGGATCTTATTACAGGGAAATCATAACGATACAAGCCGGCCAATGCGGCAACAACGGTACGTCGTCCGCCCAGGGAATCGCATTATAATTATCGGCTATCAGAGGGCTTCTCTCTGCTCCAGCTAGAGGATATCGGGCTGGAGTCTTTGATAGGAGAAAGAAAAAAAGACTGGATTTTAGCTGACGTTACGTCCTCGATGCAGTCGGGAGCCAGTTCTGGCAACAGCTCTGTCTTGAGCATGGTATCAACCGAGATGGAAACCTAGAGGAATTCGCGACGGAGGGCGGAGATCGGAAAGATGTTTTCTTCTATCAGGTACTGAACAGACATGCCGTGTTCGATTGCTGGTTATGAAGCAAGCCGTGTGTCTGTCTGGTCTGTATGATGGCTAATCGCACTTGCGTGAATATAGAGTGATGACACGCGATACATTCCCCGAGCGATTCTGCTCGATTTGGAACCTAGGGTATGGACCGAGATTGCGCCCCCCTTTTTGACCTTATTATCTCTTCTCCGTCGAAGCTATGCGGCTCGTGATGTGTGAACTGAAAGACTAATTCGCCTTTTTCTTTGGATCACAGGTAATCAACAGCATCCAAAGTGGCTCTTACCGCAATATCTATAATCCAGAGAACTTCTTCATCGGCCAACAAGGTATTGGAGCGGGAAATAACTGGGCTGCCGGATATGCAGCCGGAGAGATCGTGCAGGAGGAAATATTCGATATGATCGATCGAGAAGCAGACGGAAGTGATTCATTAGAGGTGCGTGTTGGGTTGTCGTGGAGGAGTAAAATATAATACTATGACGGGGTGGAAATTTGACGGAGGGGGACGATCCGCTGATTATAGATTGTTACATACAGGGCTTCATGCTGCTACATTCCATTGCAGGAGGTACTGGTTCCGGTCTAGGAAGTTTTATTCTCGAGCGGATGAATGATCGCTTTCCGAAGAAGTTGATTCAGACTTATTCGGTGTTTCCGGATACGCAGTCTGCAGATGTGGTTGTCAATCCTTATAACAGTTTACTGGCGATGAGACGGTTGACGCAGAATGCGGATTCTGTCGTAAGTGTCTTCATATTGAGATGAAAAAACTGTTTTATTAAACTCACGGATTTACAGGTTGTTCTCGACAATGGTGCGCTTTCCAGGATAGTCGCAGACAGACTCCATGTTCAAGAGCCGTCATTCCAGCAGACTAATCAGTTGGTAGGTGCCGTTATCTTATAAAATACGGAAGATTCATACTAGGATTCAGATGCTAAAAGAGCTGCTACAGGTCTCAACGGTGATGTCGGCCTCAACAACCACTCTCCGGTACCCCGGATATATGCACAACGACCTTGTCGGAATTACTGCCTCTCTCATCCCCACGCCCCGAACACACTTCCTCATCACATCCTATACTCCATTTACCGGTGACAATATCGAGCAGGCCAAAACTGTTCGAAAGACCACCGTGCTCGATGTCATGCGCCGACTTTTACAGCCCAAGAATCGCATGGTCTCTATCACGCCAAGCAAGTCGAGCTGCTACATCAGCATTCTCAATATCATTCAAGGCGAGGCCGATCCGACGGACGTGCACAAATCCTTGCTTCGTATTCGAGAGCGTAGACTCGCGTCTTTCATCCCGTGGGGTCCAGCCAGTATACAGGTCGCTCTCAGCAAGAAGTCACCGTACATCCAGCACACGCACCGTGTCAGCGGTCTCATGCTGGCCAATCACACATCTGTCGCGACACTCTTCAAGCGAATTGTCCAACAATACGACCGTCTGCGGAAGCGAAATGCTTTCTTGGAACAGTACAAGAAAGAGGCTCCATTCGCCGATGGATTGGGCGAGTTCGACGAGGCACGAGCTGTCGTGGTCGACTTGGTCGGAGAATACGAGGCTGCAGAGAGGGAGGATTATCTGGATCCAGACGCAGGAAAAGGCCCTGGGGAGGCTGCGGCCTAAGATTCTGGATTTCCTCCCGTGTTCATTCCAATTGTGTTTTTCAGTCATTGGTCCATCATGCAGATATTCCCCCCCCCCCCCCCCCCCCCCCCTTATTTTATTTTATTTTATTATCTTGTCAACGTATGCCAATTTTTCCTTGTTGTTCTTCATCCTTTAGAAATAGGACATTCAAGTATCCCGGTATTGATCGTCGGGGTGCGAGGAAGGCGTCATATTGGTTGATTGATTCTTCGGTGTCGATGCATGGGTTAATTACTCAGGTCAGAAACGTACACTAAGAAAGAAAGAAAAAAGACTGGAAAGAGAGGAAAAAGCAATTATAGGCTTCGTTTCCGTTTTGCGTAGCGAGCTTCCTAAGAAGTAATAAATCAATCATTCGCCGCGTTTGTTGCTCTGTCAATACTTAGTATGCGGTTCCGTGAGGGGCAGATGAACGTAACCACTAGGTAGCAGGTGTCTACCTATGGTGAGGGGAACATTCGTCAACCATGATGAGTTAACTTAGTTAGTTAATGTTAGTTAGCCAACAGGTAGTTATTATCGAATAGCTGATTCAGGTGTAGCCAATTTCTCTCCGGATCACACGACTTCGGGATGTTAATACAGCTCCAATTTTGGGCGGCAAGGCCGGAAATAATACGAACGCTATTCACACGTAGCTTGTCCACTGGAATTTACATGGATTAAGTCAGTAGTTCAGTACTCCGTCGTAAGGGAGGGTTATGTGCCCGAGTATCTAGTCGGGTTTTGCGAGGCTAGCGCCCAGAGCGATGGCTGTGAGCCTTCTGGATAGCTTGCATGTCGTTAGCGAAGGTAGCTATCCCTATGGAAGTTAAGTTGATTTTTTTTTAGAACGGGCAGGGGTCTAAATAAGTATGGTACAAATCTCCATCACAGCTGTCGCGATATTTAGGCGGGATCGTGCTTTCTTATCTGGCGATAAGCAAGCCGAGCCGTTAATTTAACCCGGCAGTAGTTCCGATATCCAGGAAACGGACCGATGTCCGGAGGGTATTTCAGGGCCTGCATGTGGTTCCATTATTTATTAGTCCTGGAAAAAGCAATCAGTGAGCGAAGTAGTACAGATATCACCGTCAGGGTTTGTCGGGTCTCTTCAATGGCATGTAGTCGACTTCAGGTTATCATTGGCGTGGCCAGCTGCGAGCGTGTCCCAAAGAGGAAAGCAACCGGATATTTAGTTGTATATGGGACAGGTCAAACATATCTGTGCTTCTTTCCAGGATTTGGGATAGAAATACTTGTCACATTTCACACCGAATGAAGCTGTCCATGGTAACATCCCAACCGCATACGTGCGTCTCACTGTATGGTATCTCGCTGCTGTTGTGTGCAATCTCGATAGATGACAAGTCACTGTGGCTAACGGGGTCAATGCGCGTCTTAACCCTACGGAGTACAGCACGTAAGTTAGAGTAGACCCCGGTTGGTTCGCTATCGCGTGGTCTCATATCACCTCCTTTGTGTCCCTCTGGGGACGCGATCTTGACCAGTGTCAGGTCCTCCCTTTTCGTTGCTTGTTATTAAAATGCTTGACCCTCGAATTGGCGTCCTCTGGAAGCCAGCAACCTGCGCAGTCACGCTGCAGCACCGTTTCGAATCGATCTGCGCGGGTGTGGACGATCATCTGGATAAGGACCCCAGTCCTTCTCAGATACAGTGTTAGTGTGTACGATTTTGGCGTGGCGGCGTCTGGACGACCAAGGTAGAAAAGTACGAGTAACTCCCCAATAGCCGAATAGGCCGCTTCAGGGGAACGAAAGCAGCGTCGCAACCCATTCTCCGTATTATTAGTATTATTGAATGATGGCAAAACCTTGATCTGCGGGGATTACACAGCACGCAAGTGCAGAAGCTATTGACGGATTGACACGGCAGTCACCAAGCTGGCGCTATCTCAAGTCGACTGGAGCTTGTGGCAGCAGCGTCGATCGAGCGCTATGGTTGGAATAGTGAACAGAGATAGCTCGAGGATCAACTTCCAGTTGAGAAAGTCTCCGGAATGCAAGGCTCAACGCTTTAACGCTGAACCTCGAGCACGGGCGTGAGGGGATGTGGCTGGCCCGAGTCCGCATCACGTGAGGCTTAGCATGCGATCGAGTCACTCTGCCTTGATAGACGGATGATGATCTCGTATGAAGACGGCATGCGCTTTCGGCGGCGTCTCGCTCCGTAGAGCAGTCAGATGAAGTTCTACTGGTATAGCTGCCAACCTGGTTGCTGGCCCTGAAGATGTCGCTATTCTCTGCTTCCTTTGCGACCCTGAGCCCGGAGTAATCTAATTAGATGATCGATCCATGGGGATCTTCTGATGCTGAGACGTAAGCCACACCCCGAGCTCCGACACTTCGCCGGTGTCTGGAACGGGGGGAACACAGCAACGGGAACTTTGGAACTGGTTTTCTGAACGAAGGGAGAACGAAGGTTAAAACCCAAGCGAACTGGACGGATATAGCAAGTCATTTGCCCCCAACTGGTACCAATGTCTCGGGCAACGGCAGCGGCCGACCCAGTGCCGCTGAGGAAGGGGAGGTTCAACCCTGGATTGGTGTCAAAGAGGATTCCTGGGTCGTTACAAAGGTTTGGAACGTCCACGGGACAGAGAACACGCGTGAAGAAGGGATTGCTTATCAACGTAGATCCAGCGTAACTAGTTAACAGCTCCAGTGATATCTAGTAGTGGAGAGGTGATTCTCTAATGCATTGAGATACCGGCCATTACTAAAAGGGGAAACCACGCGTACCAAGGCAGGATAAGAAGATACTACAAGTTCAGCTCTCGAGTGTACCTAAGATAGCAGGATGATTCTTAGTACCACTACCACCGCAGCATCTCCCAGTGTAATTATATTATTATTATTATTAGTTAGATTAGATACATCAATAATACTAGACGGTTTCACCAGTATCCGGGAGCAGCACTGCTGACTGCCGCCCTCTCTCGAAGCTTCTGGGATACGATCCACCCAGACTCACCCATTCGCCTCCACCGCCCCCAGTTAGCCCGTTTAGCCTTCTTCCGTCTCGATCGCTGGCACCTGCTGAGCTTGCTCATACCCCAACCTGAATCGGATCGTCGCCTCGTCGGCGCCTGGTCTCTTGGGTCCCGACTCCAGCTTCCATAATCAACTCCTTCGCCTCAGTCCTTTAAATGGCGCCCTTACTCACGGCCACCTGGCCCTCTTCTCTCCTCTCTTTCCTCCCCTGACTCACACGATACCATCTTCAACACCCCTCCGACGTCGACTATCTCCTCAGGACTCCTCTCCGTCTCTAGAACACTGTCGTCCGCTATCTCCAGATAAAGAGTGAGTCCGTCCGTCTTCAGCCTCACCGCCAGCAAGCTGCGGTTGGCAAGGGTTCCGCTCTCTAACAGCATATCCAGTCTCTCGCAGATCCTACAATACCAAAACCACCAAGAAATTCCTTGATCTCTCAAAGAGTTAAAATCACCGCTGCAATCGTTACTGCGTCTGCATCTCTTCAGTGAGCCGCGTGGCAGCCCTCCTTTCTCCTACTCGCCACCTGCCTCTCCTCCATACCTACCTACCTACAAGCTATCCAACATGGCGCCTCGCAAGCCTCGTTGCAACTTCAAGGACTGCAAGGAGCCCGCTCAGCGCATCATCGGAGACTGCGGCTTCTGCAATGGCCACTTCTGCCAGAAGCATCGGATGTTGGAATCTCATCTCTGCAGCGGTCTAGAAGACTGCAAACGGGAATCCCACGCCCGAAATGCCGATAAGCTGAACAGCGAACGCACGACGGTCATCAAGGGCGTATAAGTGTCTGCCCCGTTCGGCACTGGCTGGCGACGGGCCCATTTCGTTTTGTCATGATGTTGGTTTTGGACCACGGAGGAACGTCGGATTAGCCGGGTGCTTTATGCCTCCTACGTCGGGGTGGTTCTTTTTCTCACGGGCATGTTGGGGTATTATTGACGGGAAATTTCCCATTTCATATGCAAGGCGTTATTAGGAGGGATTCTCAGAGATATTTTGCATCAACTGCTGGGGTCGATTCTACGGACGATCCCGTCTTTCTCACTTGCGACCGCTGCCTGAACGGCTATTTGGACTATGGGAGCACCACGCATACCTGCGGCATTGTTCGATAGACGGGGCTGCTTTGGATTTCGGGTGTCTGCTGCGATTATTGCTTTCCTGGCGGGCGACACAGCCACTTGGATATAGGGAACTGGACCGTTTTGGATGTGATTGGACTACTACCTATGGAACATTTAGTTGTCGATGTGCATTATCATACCAATAGATCGCCATATTTGGTCGTTTACATATCATTTCTGTTCTAATAATTTCATAATTTCCCTTGGCGTCTATACTCTGATACTAGTAGAGAGTGAGTAGTGAGGTACTGTGATATTGTCACGTGACTTTGTTCGGTTTGGTAGCTGGAGTAGCACATGATTCGAGCAGTGATCTGGCTAATATCGAAGGGTCGAGGTGTTTGCGCAATTGCCACGTAGATGGAGAATATGCATTACCTAGCAAGGAATAGAGTGAAAAAAAAAAGTAAAAGAAAAAAGTTCTGATCGATGACAAAACAAGCGGCCTCGTCCGAACGTAGTTTTTTTTTCAGCAACCCGGAAATTTTACCCTGGGAACCCGCACGGCAGACGTCACCGCGGCTCCGGAACAGCAGGCACGCATCCGTCACGAGTCGTCAGAACTTTCAGCCACCGACATAAGCAAGAAGAAACTTGAGCCCATTCGCATCCGCGTACCTCCAACGATACGATATTCGAAAAAGTGCACTTGAAAAGAAATTGCATATCAAAGTGTGATAGAGAGGGCATCGTTCGGTGTTATCCGGGTCCAATCTTCGGCCTAGAATTGAGGACGTGTTAGTACTTGAGAATAGAATAGAGTATAAATATGGTACGTCGGGGGAAGGGTAGAGTAGATAGTGAAAGGAGGTGTTTCTGTTCTTCTCTTTTTCTCCTCGCTACCACGACCATAACCGTCGAAGTAGTAATGGTGGGGAGAGAGAGGTCCATCCATGAAGGATTGATTGTGATTCATATGCATGCATGAAATTTCATGGATGTCCGAATGATAATCATGATATCAATGATACTTCCAGAAAACCGACCAGCAGACTTGTGGACGGGATCCCAATGAAGAACAGAACAGAATAGAACAGGGGCATAAAGGGGAAGTAAGTAAGTAAGATGAGAGGAGGAGGGGAAGCGTACATGTCATGGTGCTCACTTAGAGTGCTCAGGTACTTGTTGAGCTCCTCGACGCGCTCCTTGTGCGTCTTGACGCCTTCTCGCTTTAGGCGGTCGTTGAGCTGTAGATATCATAGTTAGTATGTGATCTGGCTATGGCAGGCATGGAAGTATTGAAAAAGGGAGCAACACAGTGACTATTATTATCATTGCTTTTTCTTTTCTTTCTTGGAAACTTCGATTTATATGCGCGCAGTCCTTTTTGGAAAATGGAGCCTCAAACCCTGACAAAGAACAGAAAAATCCAATAACAGAGAAATAAAAAAAAGCTCCTAACGAATCGAAAAGGAAAAAAAAATAAATAAAAACGTACCCTCTTCCTTCTCATCTCCTCATACTTCTTCTCTGCCTCCGTCTTCTCAATAATCGGAACATCACCACCTTCCTGTTCCGCAGTCGCAGCAGCGGAAGCTTCACCACTATCCTGCTGACTCTCCGCTACAGCGGACGCTTCTCGCGACGTCTCTGCATGTTCCTTCTTCTCTTTCTTTTTCTTCTTCTTCTCCACCCGACCGCCTTTTACCTTCAAGCCTTTCAGCTTGAGTTTCCCGGCCCCGCTGACGGCGGAGTATTCGTCGCCCGGGGCCATTGATAGAGATCTGGCTTTGCAGGTTCTTCTTTAGGGGAAAAAGGGGGTGTGGTTTCTCTTCTTTGTTTGGTCTGCTTTCTGTAGCAAGATATTGTCTTTAGAGAGACATGTCGGAGATCTGTTTTTTATATTTGGAGGGAGCGAGTCCCTGGTGTTGCATATGGAATTGGAGAGAAGCCTCGCCAGTCGATTTGCCGTCGGAGGCGAGACGTTGCGAGATCGACGATCGGCCAATCAGCGTGCGGAGCGCGCACTGAAAGGGCCGTGCGTATGCGATTACATCTTTGGATACGACGATGTATGAAAAAGAAAGCATAGAGACTGATTTCTAATTAGAGTATGTTTGTCTGTGTATTTTATTACAAGCGTCTCCGGGGGCCACACATACTGTGTGGCCTGGGCGGGTAAGAGAATTTGATGGGGGGCAGAACTTAGAACAGAAGGCAGTGAGCGTGTTAAAGTATACATTTTGGGGCGATCGCGTATTTATATATTTAACAAGGTCTTTAGCCACACATCCTATGTGGCTATCGCCCTTAATAGAAAGTAGTATTTAGCATATAGAGCTTAATAATTAGGATAATATATTAGGACTTTAACGCTAACTACTATAGAGGCTTTAATACCTTATTTTATTTTATAGAATAGCCTATTTAAGTTCTTAATTAAAACCCTAAATATTAGCTATTCTTTCTCTATCTCTTACCCCTAAATATAGAGTATAAGAGCTGTTAATATTCTTATACTAATAATATTTAATATCCCCTAAATCGCGATTATAATAGACCCTAGATTTAACTCCCTAGATTTAATATATTTAATACCGACCTTAGATAATACCTGTTAGATAAATCCCTTAGATTAGAGTTTATCCCTAAACTTTATAATACTAGATAATCCTAGAGCTAGAGCTAGAGCAGCCTATTAAATTATTAACCTATTTAGATAGTAATCTATAGCTATTTTTATTTTATATAGCTATTTTATACTTATCTACTATAAGAATTATAATTATTAACCTATATATATACTCTAGTCTAATATAGAAAGAGGTCTTTAACCCTAGCCTAAGATTAAATATAATATATATAGATGCTAATAGCAGGAATCCCTTATACTTCTAATATTTTTTTAGCTAATATATTACCTATAATATAATAATAGTAAGCTTAATTATTAATATATTATATAGTAATTATAGGGCTAAATCTCTATATTAAGCTAACCCCTAATATTATACTATCTTATTTTTTTTATTCTTCTTATTTTAGAGAGTATATTAGTTAATAAATAATCCTTATTAATTAGTCTAGTAGAGCTAGGTATTTAGAAGAGATATATAGCCTAACTACTTAAAGCTAATTACTAAAAGTAAGTACTTATTTAAACTATAAATTATTAAATCTAAAGCTATAATAACTAATTAATCTTATTCCTTAATACTCTACCTATTTTTACTTTTTTATCTTTTCCTTAAAGATCTTTTCTGCAATAGATTTATTTATAAAATAATTATTAATATTATCTAATTAAGTGCTTTCTAAATTTAAGCCTTTATTTAAAGTCTTAGTTAAAAAGAATAGGCCTAGATAGAATTCCTAGACTAATCTAATAGCTTAAAAGGCTAATAATACTTAGGGAGAAAGAGTATTAGCATATATAGTAGATATAAAATATATCTCTCTATTCTTAGTTAGGGTAACAGATTTTTTATAAAGGCTTAAGAAATAATTTCTTTAAACTACCTAATTTTATTATAATAAAATTATTCTTAAAGATTTTTTTAGAGTAAAATTTTAATTACTTAAAAAATTACTAGTCTTAACTGCTATTTTATAATACTTCTTCTTAATCTAGACTTATTAAATTAGTTAATCTTAATTAACTTAAAAATCTTAAAAAATCTGCCTTTAGTAATAGTTTAATAAAACTATTTACTATTATATCTTATATTCTAATAAACTTAATACTAATCTTATTCTTTTAATATAGGTTATATATATAATAATATATAATATTAATATACTTTAATCTCTTATAGATATAGATATCTCTAATTAATAATAATAATACTTAATTATCTCTATAGATTTTAACTAGAGAACTAATAATAAAAGCTTACTCTTTCCTTATTATTAGCTTAAATTTATTTAGATTAATATAATATCTATATTCTATATCTCTTAAAAGAAGGGCTAACTATTAAAACTGCTTTATTGCTTAATATATAGCTATATATTTAGCCTCTATAGTTAAAATTATAATAGACTTTTATTTCTTATTTAATTAGCTTACTAGACTACTAGCTAATATAAAAATATTCCTTAAGATTAATATCTAATTAGTCTTATCTATTATATAATCTAAGTCTAAATATTTAATAAATTACTAGTCTTAATTTATATTAAACTTAAGACTAAGGCATATAATTAATTATAAATATTTTATAAAAAACTTTAATATCTTAAAATACCTTTTAAATAAATCTAATAAATATTAACTTAATCTGCCTATTATAAATATAATATCTAGTCTTATTAAAATTACTAAATAGATTAAGCTATTAATAATCCTTTAATACTCTCTCTAGTTTATTCTTTTATTTTAAAAGCTAAATAATTTTAAAAAGTTATATCTATTTAATAAGATATTAACTAGATATATTTTCTCTTTATTTATTTTATATTATAATAAGAGTTCTTTAATATAATAAGATTAGTCTATTATTAATATTTAGTTCTTCCTATTTTAAGTAACTTAAACACTAAGAATCTTTTTTACTTCTCTTAAGTTCTTTATCTTATATATTAATCTAAATTCTTATTTAAACTAGTAAATATTCTCTATTTATTTTATATTAATTAAAATATTATTAATATATACTAGGAATAAGATCTCTTTTTTTAAGTACTATAATAAGTATAGATTAGTATTAATTTATATAAAACCTATTTTCTAAAGTATTTTTATATAAGTTTAATTCTAATCTCTTATAGCCTGCTTTAAGCTATATAGAGATTAAAGAACTTTTAATATTATTTCTAATAATATATTTATTCTTAATAGAAATACTATATAAATCTCCTTTTTTAATATTAACTTTATAAAGATATTATTAATATCTATAATATAGTACTTATAATCCTCTATTATAATAATAGCTAGAAATACTTATAATATATTATATTATAAGATAAGAATAAAGATATACTTAAAATTAATACTATATTTCTAAATAAACTCTTAAATAATAAGATATATCTTAAGCTTCTAAAGAGAACTATTTAAATTATACTTTATAGCTAATACTTAATAACTAATTATAATATTAGCTCTTAATAATAGTATAACTACTTTAAAAGTTTTATTTACTTAAAGTATATCTATTTTAACTTTAAATATACTCCGCTATAATTTATTTTAAATAGAGTTATTAATTATAGTATAATATAAGTTTAAGATTAGAATATACTCCTTTACTATATATATTACTATTATAATATTTAATATTTATTCTATATGCTTCTCTTAATCTATATTAATGCCTAGAGATAGGAGATTTAATATAAGCATTACTTAATATAATTTCTTAATATTCTGTTTATTATTTAATAACTTAACTTTCTCTCTCTTATACTTTATTATATAAGGGATCTCTATATAAGATATAACTTATCTACTTAGCAAGAATAAGGGGTTTATCTATAAATCTTTATAATTATTTAGATTATTAAAATAAAAATAATTAAATATTTCTTTTTATTCTATAATTTTATTATAATAAAATATCTTAATTTCTTTTTAATAAAAAACTTCTTTTTCCTTTTAAAGAAAAACTAGAACTTCCTTATAACTCTTCTCCTAATTTTTAATATTATTCTTTTTTTTATTTAAGAATATATATATACTTAAAATAATAGGTTAGGTTATTAATTAACCCCTTAAATTTTTTATTAGTACTATATTTAATAATAATCTTTAGAGAATTTTAAGGTCTAAATCTCCTTTTAATTTATTCTTAAAGAACTTAGCTTAATAAATCTTAATAGTCTTTTTTATATTTAAAGCTTAAACTTTCTACTATTTATTTATTCTCTTAATATATCTTATAAAAATATAAATTCTGCCTTAATCTATTAATTTATCTCTTTATATATCTTATAATAAAGATTCTAGATTTATATATAATACTACCTAATTATTATAGTGCTAGCATAGGGAATAGAATAAATAACCTACTAGCTAATGCTTACTTAATCTAGAAGAGTAAGGTTTATACTCTTTTAAATTATATAAGGAGTTATATAATCTTATAAAAATATCTTTAGCATATAGCTTAATCTAAATTTAAGTTCCTTAAGCTATATTTTATTTATTAAGCTTACTTATAATAGCCTATTTTAGTCTAAATTAGCTAGATAGAGATCTTATAGCTAGTCCTAGTATTAATTATCTTATTCTATTTATTTTAACTTATTCCTTAAGCTTATATTTTAATATTATATAGCTTCTATCTAGGAGTTAATACTATTAATAATATCTGCCTTAATTTTTTTATTCTTACTAACTATTTTAGGGGAGTTTATTAAGTATATTATTATTAGCTATAGGCTAAAATAGTATAATTATTATTATCTAGCATATAAATATATTGCTAGGGCTAAGTTATTTATAAATAAAGCTAGCTAATATATTAAATAGATTAAGGTAAAGTTTTAAAAACTCTAGTAAGAGTTTATAGCTATATAATAAAAGCTTAAATAAGAAAATATTAATCTTAAGACTATTTAGCAATATTAAGAGATATAGCTTAATAAAAAAAAATAATAATATATTTAGGCTATTTTTAAGAGAGATTAAGCTTACTATATAGCTATTTCTACTATAAATATATTTATATTTATATTTAAATTTAAGCTTAGTATTAAGAGACTTATAGCTATTCTAGTAAAAGTATTTAAAATATTTATTATTATATTTTTCTCTGCCCCTAGATTTTT